AAAATTCATTCTACCAACAACAACAAGTTCCTAGAAAAAGCTAAACACCAAAAGGTTAAAAATGTGTTGCCAGAATCTTTTGAAAAGACCCATGTTGTTGGTGCACCCATATCCTCCACGTTTTCAGACAATGGTGTTCGTTGGCAAGGAAAGGATTCCAAGTTATGTGATGGTTGCAAATTGACTGATTACAATTGTCAATGCTCCAAGGCTCAATTGGCGGACAAAGAGAATGATTCAACTCTGAAAGTGTCTCAATTGGCAGATGATATGAATGAAACTCTAAAAGTATTCATATCACTTGAAAATACTTCACCCTCTCCAACTATGCTATTGGAATCCCTTTTCTCTTTAAGCAAAAAGACTGTCAAGGAGTTGATAGAGTTTTGCAATCTAAACTCTATCAAATACTATCAACAAGAAGAGCCAACCAAAGGGAAAAACAAAAGAGGTTCTCACAAGGATAGTAAGGGTGGTGCTACCAACAGCAAAAAGGACCAACTTATCAACGCTATCATCAAGTTTAATTTTGAAAAACAAAAAAGGGATGCTAGCAAAAATAAGAAAAAGAGGTCAAAATCGTCATCAACTACTAATGATCGTTGTAAGGACCAAGATCAAAGCAATAGTCAAAAGGATGGGAACAAGTCTACAAGCAACTCTGTTTCGACCCACGATTATGGTTTTGGTAAGTCTCTTTGTGATAGTCAGATCAAAGATCTCTGGAAGTCAAAGAACCCAAATGCGACAGAAATGCCATTTAAAACTAAATGGCAATGGCTATATTGTCCAGTTTGTGATCATTTCTTCAACAGAGACTCGAGCGCTGCAAAGAATATTCTCTTATTGGGAATCTTACACCAAACCGCAGATTACAGGCCATGGATTTATCGTCCTTTACCTGCCGATATCGTGCATATTGGGAGGGTAGACACGACCTAGTTAACCTTAACAGGGCCTTCCTGCATAAATATGAAAGTCCCCCCCCCAGCTGTAAGTTATTAGATAGAAAATATAATGTTGATCTCAATTTACTGATTTTCCCCTTTTTTTCTGTACTTTGTCTTTTTTTTTTACTTTGTCTGTTTTTTTTTTCTTTCCTCAATTCAAAATAAAAGTTCAAATGTTATTCTTCAACAAGTCTCTCTCATTTGACGCTCATTAGTATACTCTTCCTCAGAAACTAGCAAGAGATAATAGAACAGACAATCTTTGATGGTATTACACGACGAAGATGCATTTCGATTTATAACCCTCATGACCAACAAAAATATTTTTCAATTATTATTTATTTATTTATTTATTTTTTCCATTTCAAGAATGGTTATATCCTCACTGTTATTGTTATATTTGTCTTCAAAAGCTCCATTTCAAATCATAAGAGAGGGCAAAAATGTAAATAAATGGGACGATATTGTGTCTTTTGCTGGTCATCTTGTTGTTGTTGATTGTTTGTTGATTTTAGTCGTTGAGTGATGATTCCACCTGTCATTGTCTGTTTCTCCAATACCAATACATTTTTGTTGTCCTTGTCCAATCTTTGAATTGAAAATTGATAGGTTGGAGTAGTGGTAAAGGAGATTGAAAAATCTCTAACATTGGTATGGTTGATCACTTCATCTAATCTAAATACTGAACCTGATTTTGAAGTAAATTCCCATAGACTGCATTGTAGATGTGTGATATTGGGTGGTAGCCATTGTTGTTGGGAGACGACGGCGTCGCTCAACCTGGAGGTGATTGATATGATTGAATGACCAGCAGGCGACAACTTTCCACTTTTTCCCAATGGCATCAATAGGTTGGTGATGCAAGGTGGTATATTACTAACTTGTTGCCTGTTAAATACGTTAGATCGATTGTTTCAAGGTTGGGTGGATAGTCGGATGGGAACTTGATCAAATGACATGAATCGTCGATCCTACAATACGCGAGTTTTTTCAAGCCGCGAGGAAGCGTGGCTCGCCAAGTTTGATTGAAACCCACCTTTAGTTTAACGAGTGACTCTGGGAGCTTGGCATTCTTACATTCTCCAGAGACGGTTAAATGAGTGAGTGACGGTGGGAATACAACATTTTTAAATATATCCACACCTTTTGCATAACAATATACTGTAACCTTTTCAACGGTGGATGGCATGATATTGGCTGGTATGGAATTGACGCATCCGTGAATAACCAGTTTCTTGAGAAAAGGTGATGACTTTAGACTGACCCCTCCATCAATCAATACGTCTCCGTGAACATCCAATGTTTCTAACAATGGCATGACACACTGTGATTGGATTTGTACACCATTGGACGGAATTGCTACAATCTTGATGGAAGGAGGGACACGAATCTCAATGCCGCATTTTCTGCCCATCAAGTAGTCGGTGAGCTTGAATGTCTCGAGGTTGGGTAGATGTTCGAGATCAATGATTGCTGTTGTTTCTGAATCTCCCTGTCTTCGCAAGATGATCTTGAGTTTGACAAGCGACTTTAATGAACGGAATGAATCTCGTGGAGGTGTCTTGTTCAATCTGATAGTGAGTAATGTCAGACTGATTGGCAATTGATCTGGACCAATACTAGACACAAAATGATTCTTCAAGCTCAACTCGGTCAGCGATACGAATCTGGTGAGTCCCAAGTCAGAGCGAGTGCATGAGGTGCCTACGTGTAGTTTCATCGACTTGAGTGTTGTGTGTTGACCAAGTTTCACCTGATTTACACCATAAACTGAAAGACGTTCGAGATGAGGCAAGCGTTCAATTGATCCAAGATCGACTACATCCATTGGATAATCACTAAAGGCATTCTGGCCGTTCATGAATAGTGTGTCGATTGATGGTATGTCGTCGCAGAGTGATTGTAGTGTTGATGCCCATGCTGGTTGTTGGTTATTGGTTAACAAAGCAGTTGTAATTTTACTCTTGTCAGCTCTCTCTGTAGTGATACGTTGTTGTATCCATTGAGGATAGTTGCCGGGATAGTGCCGTTGAGATGTTCAAAGATGACATGTTGATCAGATACACTATTCTCCAATATATCTTTAAATGTGTTGAGTTTGAAACGAGTAGCTGTTACATATTGTATCTCCATTATCATCAATATATGATATGATATATATCAGTATTAGATTTGATAACTTTAATAGAGACATAATAATTATCCTTGGCTGTATAGAAGGGGATAGAATGTACAAAAGATAGATGCAGGTTTTATTAAAAAAAAAAAAATTGATAATTATATTATATAACTTTATGTCTCTCAAGGTATAAAGAATAGTGATTTTGTTTTATTTATTAATTAATTAATTCACTGTCATCCTTATCAACTTCTTCTTCTTCCTCTTCTTATTCTTCACTGTTATTGTTATATTTGGCTTTGGTAAAACTCCATTTCAAGTCATAAGGAGAATTTGAGTAGGTATCCAAATATAAATAAATGGGATAATATTGTGTATGCTGATCCTGCTGTTGTTGTTGATTGTTTTTTATTATTCGTCGTTGAGTGATGATTCCACCTGTAACTGTCTGTTTCTCTAAAACCAATACATTTCTATTATCTGCGTCCAATCTTTGAATTGAAAATTGATAGGTTGGAGCTTGATTGGCTGAATTGGTAATAATGATTGATAAATCTCTAACATTGGTATGGTTGATCACTTCATCTAATCTAAACACAAATTTTGGGGAATTATAATTTGAGGGAAACTCCCATATTCTGCAAGTTAGATGTGTGATACTGGGTGGTAGCCATTGTTGTTGTTGTTGTGAGACAACAGTTTTGGTTAACCTAGAGGTGATTGAAAAGATTGTAGGGCCACCATACAACCAATCACTACTTTTTGCCAATGGCATCAATAGATTGGTGATGCTAGGTGGTATATTGTCAATCACAAACTCGTTCTGATGGATATGTGTAAGGTCGATTGTTTCAAGGTTGGGTGGATAGTTGGATGGAAACGTCATCAAATCAAATGATTTGTCAATTCCCCAATACGATAGCTTTTTCAAACAGTGAGGAAGTGAGACCGAGGTTTTATGGGCATCCACCTTTAGTTTAACGAGTGACTGAGGGAGGTTAACACTCTTACAGTATCCAGTGACGGTTAGGTGACTGAGTGAAGGTGGGAATACAACTTGTTCAAGTATATCCACATCTTTTTCATAACTGTATATTCTAACACTTTCAACAGTCGATGGGATGAAATTGGCTGGTATGATCACTTTGCACTGATCAATAACCAGTTTCTTGAGAGATGGTGATGATAATAGACTGACTCTTCCATCAACCAATATGTCTCCGTACACACGCAATGTCTCTAACAATGGCATGACACACTGTAATGGGATGCAGACCCAATCTGACAGGATTATAAGAGTCTTGATGGAAGGTGGGACTCTAATCTCAAAACTGTATTTTCTGGATGATGGGTGGAAGTTGTTGTCGGTGAACTTGAATGACTCGAGGTTGGGTATATGTTCGAGATCGATGAATGCTTGTTCTTGCTCCTCCTCCACCTCCTTTAGTGTATTTTGAAAGATGATCTTGAGTTTGACGAGCGACACCAATGAATGGAATATATCTCGTGGAGGTGTCTTGTTGCTGCTGCTGAATCTGAGAGTGAGTGATGTCAAACTGATTGGCAATAGATCCGATTCTATAATCGACACAAACTGATTCTTGAAGCTCAGATCGGTCAACGATACAAATCTGGTGAGTCCCAAGTCAGCGAGAGTGCATCGGGGGTCAACATGTAGTTTCAGTGACTTGAGTGTTGTGTGTTGACCAAGCTTCACCTCTTTTACACCATAAACTGAAAGACGTTCGAGACGAGGTAACCGTTCAATAGATCCAAGATCAACAACTGGGCTAATAAGATTATAATAAAAAGTGTACTCTTGTCTTTGTTGTTTGGTCCCGTTGATGATGGATAGTGTCTCAATTGATGGCCACATGTCGATGTTGTTAAAGAGTGATCCTAATTGTAGTGTTGATGATGCTTGGTAATTGGTTACTAAAGCAGTTGTAATGTTACTCTTGTCAGAGTCTCTGTATATATTGATACGTTGTTGTATCCATTGAGGATAGTTGTCGTTGTTGTTGTTGTTGAATTCCCCAAAGATGACATGTTGATCAGATATACTATTCTCCAATATATCTTTAAATGTGTTGAGGTTGAAACGAGTAGCCGTTGCTTGAAACTGTTGTGATATATCTCCCTTTTCAGTTATAAGACCTATACCTTTGAATGTAATCAATCTTCTAACACTACTATTACGGTATATCTGTTTACAAGTCAACAACAAACATATTATATCTTCATTATCATCAATCTGTGATATGATATGTAATAGTAATACATTTGATAACTTTAAAAGATAACTGTCACTAGTCATAATGTGAACCTACTTTTGTGTGAGGTAGGTAGAAGACGTTGATGATCAAAGTGAAGAGACAAGCTTGGTGGAGTTGTACTTGGATATTTTATTGGAAGTTATTTTTTAATTTTAATTTTAATTTTAATTTAATTATTATTGCACTTTGAAACAAGGGAGCTGCTACTTAGACAAAATGGTTTCAATGGAGCTGTATTTTCTTTAACTTGTTGACTGCAATTAAATGATGTGAAAGATTGGGTGGTCAGTGTATCCTCGGTGCAAGCAGAGAAGATAAAAGACTGGTTTGTCTCTTGGTAGTTTGGAACACAAGAACCGAGGACCATGGCGTTGACTGTTACGGCTTGACCATCGTCGTCTCCACACGGCACATTGTATTCCACTTCAGAGACAGTGTTGTCGGGGATGGTGTAGTTTGTGCCACAGCTGTAGATCGATCCACCATCACGGTTGAAATTCTTATCGGTTATGCATTTACCAGTGTTGTAGGTGTATTCGAAGCTATTACCTGTGCACCCCAAACTTTCAAACGCTTGGTATACAACTTGTGCTCCATTGCCCTTGCAATAGTATCTCCAACCATCGACACAAGCTCCAGTCAAATAAGAGGTATAGATATATGGTTGATCGGTGATACATTGTCCTGGTGACCCATTATTATATCTTACAACATTGGCATAAATTGGTGTGTTTGATGAATCGTAATCTTCATGGTTGTGATTATTAGTAGTTGCATTTATACTTGAAACTAGTAAAACCAATGAAATGGTGGTTGTTGTTATAAATAATTTAGAATAATTATACATTTTCTATTTATCTATATATCTATATATATCTGTAAAGGTACTTTGAATGATGGATCTTGTGACGAGCATATAGTGACCATGATCATTCGTTGTTATATATTAATATAACAAAGATTTTTTTTTTGTTAAAAATCTATTATAGAAATATCTTGTTGTCAAAAATTTTATAAGTTTTCTCAAAGAGAGAAAATTCTAGTTATCTATCTATCTGTGAGAATTCACATCTATCTGTTACTATCCCCCTTTTTTATTTATTTATTTATTATTTATTTATTTATTTATTTAAATATAGAATATTATAGATACAGACTATCGCTTTTATTCATTTAAATAATTCCATATCAAAAAATAATGTTGAATGTTTACTGTTAATCGGATTCCATCTTTAGTTTGACGAGTAGCTTCCAGGGAGTCTGATAGGCTTACTATTTATAGAGATGAGTGAGTGACGGTGGGAACACAACGTTTTTCATATATGGGTAACTATGTATTCTAACACTTTCGACGGTGGATGGGATGGAATGATATCGGCGGTATGGAATTCCTGGTTATTCGCGAATAACCAGTTTCTTGAGAGACGGCGATGACAATAGAATCAAAATCAGTACTGAGAGTGGGGTAGATAAAAGTGGTAAATCAAAACGCAACAAAAACAAAATCAATTCAGGGTGGATAAATGAAGATCCTGTACGTATGGTTGACACAATGTGGGAATAAGTAAAATTATCCATGACTACATGACTATGGTGAGGGATGACCTGTACTCTGTTTGTATCAGAATGATTTCATTGACCCGTATGGTTGTCTGGTATGGTTTGCTAGAGAGTAATATAGGAACTGTTCTCTGTCTGTTTGGTTGCTGTTACTCTACTCTCACTGTTGATGAAAATTAAATCAATTAATTTAAATCAATACCATCTACTTGACTTACCAGTATATAACAAAATCATTGAATTAATAATATTTATAGATGACAGATACAAACAAATTAAGAGAGATAATTAAATCAGAGTACGATATTCTTTGTACAAAATCAAAATTAGGTAAAACAGAAAACTTTTCAACATTAGGAAAAAAGTATAAGGTTAGCGGAAGCACAATCAAAAGATTTATAGATGGAACGACATCTGTTTCTCACAAAATCAAAAAGGAATACCTAAAGCAGGTTGCTACAAAGACAGATACACCTGTAGACTACAATGACTTGGCCATCAATGCTGACCAATCAAACAGAACATCTGTTTCTGACAAAATCAAAAAGGAATCCCCAAAGCAGGTTGCTACAAAGACAGATACACCTGTAGCCTACAATGTCTTGGCCATCAATGCTGACCAATCAAACAGACACAAGGACATCAATACTCAGGATACTCTGGCGACATATGTCGATGGTGTAGTGTCCGGTCAAAAAGCTGATGTATTTGTCATCTCCGAGGTGGCAAAGAATTTCTCTTCAAAGTGGTTGCGCCCTAAACTACCAGAACGCTATTCGATGACTAGTCATGTTCTAGCAACTGACTCATTGATAGTCGGATGGGATAGGACAGTATTTGAAGCCCATGGCGACGTTACAGTATCCTACCTAAAATACATTGGAGTCAACTTACGATGCAAGAAGACCGGAGAACTCTTTCTTTTCATTGGGTGTCATCTATTTAAAAAAAATTGTAAGAAACGATTACAAAGCCTATATAGCATGAAGGAGTAAGTACAATCAACACCATTGGACTCTAACTTGAACTGCCATCGAACTATTAACTTATCCATTTACCAATTAGATTCATCCAGAAAGAAAATGTTGACCATGTGATAATATGTGGTGATTTCAACACCAGCCCCAAGGAGTTGGAGGAATATTTTAATGAATTGGGACTCAAACTCTGTTTCAAAGGAAATGACCAAAGCACTGCCAATGACACATGTCCAGATAATGTTTTGATCAGTGATTCCCTTAGCCCTTTAAAAAAGAACATCGCCTCAGAAAGTCTATTCACCCACCTTCCAATATCGTGTACTTTAGCCCAAAACAACATTCTTTACACCAACAAAAATTAATTTTTTCCTATCCATCAAATATAGTTATAAAAAAAATATATCAATAAATCATCTCTTGCATTAATTAATAACAGGCTCTTTGTATTTTTGAATACAATACAACAAATTTAAAGAGAGCAGAGATGAGGAGGATAACGACAACTCTTCCTCTTGTAAATAAATAAAATCAATAGTCTTATACCTAGAGTTTATTTATATAATTATTGTTTAAAAATTATTGATTTTAATTATTTCAATCATTATTAATGATAAATCTCTAACATTGGTATGGTTGATCACTTCATCTAAAGCTTGATGATGGACGGTCGTATGTAGTAAATATGTTATACTAGTAATTATGATGACAAATATCATTTGAACCTATTAATAGATAGATCTCTCTTTTGGGATCTTTCCACAATCTTTCCATCTTTCCTTTTACAAAAAAATAAATTAAAAAGTATTTTTGCAAAAAACACATAAAGAGAGAGATGGGTGTTTTGTATTTTCTTTTTAAAAAGATTATTATTATTATTATTATTATGACAACAATAACATTTATAGATATATTTAGGATTGGGGTGATTCGTAGACAATTATTTCAAGAGATTGAAACGATTGTATGGATACATGAAAAAGCAAGAGCAATGCTCGCCAACTATCCAAACAAACGACTGTACATCAAGGGTAGAGATTTGAAATGTCTCGGACTCCAACAACTGATCGGCAACTATGCAATGCCGTGGAACTATTTCAAAGACTATCTACCACCAACAATCCTAGGTACAGCTGATCAAAAGTCTAGACGATCAATGATCAACATGTACTGTGCACATCCCAATGCTACACTCAACACTCTTAATCGTCTTTTAGAATGGTCACCTGATTTTGAAGTAGAAAGACATGTATTTACATGGGCTGCAATGGCTGGTAATCTGGATATAGTTCAAACGCTTCATAACAGATTTGCAGATACCATTCAAGTCAATACTAGTGCCATTGACTCTGCCAGTTCAAAGGGTAGATTAAATGTAGTAAAATGGTTACATTTAAATCGTACAGAAGGTGCAACCATCAATGCAATGAATAATGCAGCCTCTCAAGGATTCCTTGATATCGTTTCATTCCTTCATTTTAATAGAAGTGAAGGTTGTAATATTTTAGCAATGGATCAGGTAAATATTAAATCAAAATACATACATACATATATATCCTCTCAATTAAAGGATACATCTCTAATATTCTATATATCTATTTCTATTTCTATCTACCTATTTAGGCTGCAGAGAATGGACATTTTGATATTATAAAATTCTTGAAAGAACATAGATCAGAAGGATGTTCAAGAAAAGGTTACGAGAATGCAATCAAGAATAATCATATTGAAATTGTTAGATTCTTGCAAGAGCATTATCCCAATCAAACAACTCAACTTGAAGACAATGGTAGTGTTGTTAATGTCTATTCAGGTTCGTTTTCAAACTCTATTGATTGGGCTGCCTCCCACGGTCATTTTGAAATGTTGGAACTTTTACATAATCGTGGGGACAAAGCTACCAAAGTTGCAATGGATCTAGTATGTTATAAATATAAATATAAACATTGTACAATTATTTAATATTATTTGTTTAGGCAGCAAGTAAAGGACATTTAAAAATTGTAAAGTATTTACATACACATAGAACTGAGGGATGTACAACTAATGCTATGGACAATTCATCTAAAAATGGGTTTATGGAATGTGTATTATGGTTACACGGTAATAGAACTGAAGGATGTACTACCAATGCGTTGGATAATGCCGCGTATCACGGTCACATGAATATTGTTGTATTTCTAAATGAGAATAGATCTGAAGGTACACGTTGCATTGGAATAGATGAAGCTGCTGGACGAGGGAACATGGATCTTGTTAAATACCTTGAATTGAATAGAACCGATGGTCACAGAGCTGCCAAAGCAAACGCAGCTAAAGGAGGACACTTGGAAATCCTTCAATTCCTATATCAACGGTCACCACCAACCTTTATGCCTAAAAGAGGTCTAGTTGACATTGCTTCTGAATTTGGACACTTGCATATTGTCGAATGGCTTTTAACGAGTACTCAAGAACAACCTAGTTATTTGGCAATGGATAAAGCAGCGGCCAACAACCATTTAGATATTGTTAAATATCTACATCATAATACTAGTGTTGCATGTACAACCTTGGCAATGGAAGAAGCCAGTGCTAATGGTCATTTAGAGGTAGTACAATTTTTAAATGAATATAGAACTGAGAGATGTTCATTTTACGGGCTTTCCAAAGCAGCTAGAAATGGTCATGTAGAAATATGTAGATATCTCTCTGAAAAGATAAAGGGTGGTCCTCCAATCCCAATCACATCATTGGCTATGGATCAAGCAGCTGAAAATGGACATCTCAATGTTTGTTTATATCTTCATGAAAATCGAACCGACACTAGATGTTCAATCGCTGCATTGGATATGGCCATTGCCAATGGTCATCTCAAAGTTGCTCACTTTCTCTATCATAATAGAGTAGAATGTAATCCAAACCTCAAAGTACCAACTATTATAGTCCAACCCAAAACCACAGAAGAAAAATACAAATCAAAAGGTTTCTTGTTTTCAAAATTATTTAAATAATAAATAAATACTTTTTTTTTTTAAAATCTTTTATTTCTTTTACATTATATATTACACTCGATACGTGGTTGTTGTTGTTATTATTATTATTATTATTTATATATGATTCGGTTTTGTTTATATAAAAAAAATAAAAGTAAATTGTAAATTGTATTATTATTACTAATTGATTGATTGATTGATTTCTTTTATCCCTATCCCAATTTATATTGATATGCGCTATTATTATTATTAATTCTAATTAATCTATCTTGTCTTTTAATGTTTAGAAGAAGAAGAATTTGAGAAAAATGTATTACGAGGATTATGTGAAGCAACTAGGATAAAAGCTATAAATGGAGAAACAAACAATGCCATGAGGGCAGTCCAGAAACCCTTGAATAAATAAAATGTCCATTTAATTTGCATTCTGTCATTGTATGGTTTCAATGCCAAATAAACAACCAATAAAGTTGGTGGTGAAATAATTAAAACGCCAAATATTCCAAATATAATTGATCTCTTTAATACTAATTTCCAATTGATACCTAAAAAAAAGAGACAGATAAGTAAGTAAAATTGAGGGAATGATTTATATATATATATATTTTCTTTTTTTATCTTTTTTTCATACCAGTTGGAATCCATCTAAGGACAGGATGACTTAACCATCTTTCGTCAATGGGTTGAATCCACTTTCCTTTTCGTAGATCGAACGTGACCATGATTGACGATAACAAGTTGGTGATAAATGGCAATAGGAAACAAGTCATCATAATATCTGAAAAGATACAAGTGAGTGACCCTGTGAATTGAATCTCTGCGTCTTCAGTCTTGTCAAATATAATATAGGTGATAAAGAGGTTGATAAAGAAATTGACAAAGGCACTACCAATACCTTGAATTAAAAGTAGATATATCCATTGTTTTCTAGTTAGAGGTATACGATTATACGCCCATCCATATTTTGATCTCTCTGGATAATCAACTTCCATCTCCATATCTTCGTCCAATTCAAAATGGACTGTCTCTTCAGGATGTAACATCATTTTTTTAAATATTTAATTTTAATTTTAATTTGTATTTGATTTTGTTTAAATGTCAGTATATTCTATTTGTATTATTTTGTATTATTATTATGTATTATTATTGTTGTTGTTGTTGTTGTCGTCGTTGTATTATATAAACTAAATATAAATAATTATTGGCTATATATATCTTTTTTTTTATGATTACTTTTGTTAATATTAATACTAATACTTTTTTCTCTATCTATCTTCTATCTCTTTTACTAAAAAAAACTAACTAACTTTATTATACTAGAAATGAAATCTAAAATTTAAAAAGTAAACAAATGAATGAATGATACAAGAGTATAAAGTATAAGTATAAGTATTGTATTCTCCTATTATCTATCTCTCTCTTTTTGTTTTTTTTTATCTAATACTAACAATTATCTATCTTTTTCGTTTAGTGTTTATATATTCTACTCGGGGTGTGATAAATGATGATGATGATGATGATAAGTAAGAATCTACTCTTTACTCTACTCTACTCTCTTCTCTTCTCTCTTTCTAATGAAATAAAATATATATATAAACTATAAATGAAGTTAAGAACAAGCAAAAAATTTGATATGAGGAGGCAGAGAGTGTGAACTTATCATTATTTTTATTTTTATTTTATTTTATTTATTGGGGTGTGTGCGATCGATAAAGAAACTCGTTAATACGTCAACAACTAACAAGCAGACAGACAGCTGCTCTCCCACCTTCATATTCATACTTTTCTTTTGTTTGAATCATTGTTTCTTTTATCTCTTTTAAAACAAAGAAAGACAACATGATAAACATGTTGGGTCCGGACTTGTTTGAAAGTGTAGCATACCTTCAAGTCTCAGAGGTCTCGTTGTCAAAGACGAGATTCTTTCAAAAAAAATCGTCATCATCACATGAACACACAATCTTTGAAATGGTTTCAAGAAATAATTCATAATCGCTGTGATTATATTTACTTATTTATCCTTCTTAATTGTAATGCAGCATAATATATCATAAGAAAAATGAATAATAGTAATAATAATAATAGAGTTAGACAATTTATAGTAAATTTAGATGATAATCCTTATCATAGATGGGATCATGTAGCTAGAGAATATAAAGATAAAATAAAGGATGTTGAAAGATACATTGATCAATCATTGTTGTCTGGTGGATGGTTGGCAAGAGGCGTTTTAGCGTCGGTACAAGGAACACTAGGTGTGATGGCTAAATTAAACTTGGTTGCATATGCAAAAGAGTTGAAAGGTTTATCAAGAGAACTATCAATCCCTCTTGGTAAAATGGTCGCAATGCAATTGATTTATGAAGCTTCAACATGTTGTACAAGTATGGTTATACCTGATAATCAAAATAATCAAGTAGATATATCATCATCGTCATTATCATCATCGTCTTCATCTACTTCATCTCCATCATCATTGGTACTTGCAAGAACTATGGATTGGTCAATGGATTGTTTAAAAGATATTACTGTAGAGATTGATTTTCATCAATCAGGTGCATCTGTGATGAAAGCAACTACTTGGGTTGGATATGTTGGTGTATTGACTGGGATTGCTAGTCAATCAAAGACTGCCGTTTCCATCAATTATAGACGATCTGATAAAGGATCATTTATGGATAATATAAAGAATTTAATTTCGTACAAGTGGCCCGTTGGATACCTCGTAAGACACGTACTCTCAACTGCAACCAACTACCAAGCTGTAGCAGGTACACTTGAATTGTCAGGTATTGTAGCACCTTGTTTTATGACGATTGCAACCGTTGATAAAGGTATTGTACTTGCAAGAGACCCAGAATCTGTTTTTAGAAAGTCTCATGTCAGAGATGCTACCAACACACAACTTGAACCAAACATACAAACTAGTTTCAACAACAAAAACAAAAACAACAATTGTATAACAACACAAAGTAATTATTTTGTTCAAACCAATAATGAAGAACAAAATGACAATGACAATAACTTTCTATACTCTAATGAACGTAGATGTTTGGCAAAACAACAACTTGCCAAATGGATAGAGACCGGCGAACCAGTCACCGATGACTCTATTTGGAATCTATTCTCAACATTCCCAATTCACAATGATGATACCATCTATGGTACCATCATGAATCCAACAACCTATTCAATTGAAACAAGAATTCCAAATACAAGATTTGGTTTTAATCTAAATAATAATAATAATAATAAAAATAATAAAGGTATGACTAGTAAATACTAAAACTAAGTTCATCCATCTATTTGTATATATATATAATTTAAAATATAATAATAATAATATTATTATTATTATTTGTTATTTATTATTACTTTTTCTATTTATTTTGATTTACTCTTGTTTCTTTCTATTGATGGATGGTTGAGTAGTACCCTTAACGGCAGCACTACGATTGTAAGAATTAGAGTAGAAACGGGTAAAGAGGAAAAGGAAGGAAAAGTTGATGGCGTAGGCGGCGACAAAGGCCGAGGTGTTGGTGACACATCCGACAGTGTTGATGGCGGCAAAATGGAGGATACCGACGATACCAAGGCATACAAATTGGATGATTTGGATCATGGTGATATATTTCTTCCACCAGACGGTTCTACCAAGTCCGGTTTGCAAGTAGAAATAGTACATAAATACGTGGACAAAGGTGTTCAAAAAGACGACCCACAATTGGAGTGGCCAGCCAGTGTACATAAAGTACCAGCACAACCAGACTACGACGCAATGATGATAGACGTGCAAAAAGATCAATGGCTTCTTTCTCAACACAATAATAATAGTGTCAAAGAGTTCATAAAACTTGCTAATATAGAAAATGTATGACCAATAATAAGCTGGTCCTTGATTAAATCCATGATCTGCTTCACAAACTGTAAATAATGGCCCTTCGCTCTTTTAAAAAAGTAAAAAGAAAAAAAAGTAAAAGGAAAGGAAATTAATATTAATTCATTAATTTAATCTTTGTTATTAATAATAATATATTATTATCTGGGGGGTTGACATACCATAACTCTTTTGGCAACTTCATAGACTACACCAACACACATAATTAAAGACCAAAGGCAAAGAATAAAGTTATGAATAACAGATACATATTTTAATTCCAATGGTTTTCTATTCTTCATAAATGCCTAAAACAAAAAAATAATAATGGTTAGTTTAGGCTACAAAGATCTATTCAATATTGTTTGTTTGGTTGATTGCATACTTGAATTGAAAAGATTAAGATTAAATAGATTGTAATGACGGCAGGGAGGATTGGGAATTGAGAGAATGGAGTGACACCAACTTTGAAATCGTGGTCTTCATATGCAAACAATTCATTCCAATTGGTCTTGTGAAAACTATGTTTAAACAAGTGTTCCCATGATTTCCATGTCCAAATATTATCAAAGTTATTCATTTTCTGTATATATATATTTGGTTTCTATAAATATATTGAATATATATCGTAGTTGTAATTGTAGATTTGATAGATTTAATAGTTAATATAAAGATCTTTAAAAAAAAAAAAGAGGTAGAGAGGGGAAAATATTTGAATTGTTTTAAAACAATGTGTATGTGGGTTGCTTATACTTACGACTACTACTACAACTAATATTAAGATCTAAGAGTATAAAGTAAAGAGTAAAAAACAAAAAGAAAAAGGGGTATAAAAGACAGACGACCTCAAGAAATCGACAGACTGTAGAATGGTAGTGGGTGGTAGGTAGACTCTACCAAACCCTTGGGCAATACAACAAGAACAATAAATAAAATAAAAAAAATTAATTCAAAATATCTGCAAATTAGTTCGTCTTCCCGTTGGATTTATTTTGTTTCCCAAACAGCGCGATTTTTGCCTCCAAAAAAATATTTGTTGGATATTTTACTCCATTTCTGACGCGATTTCATTCGAACAAAGTTAGATAAGAGAGCCAGAGATTAAAGAGAGGTCAAAATAACAGAGAGCAGTAGTTTCTACTCGACATTTTACCGTATCGGCTGATGATTCTATCTTTTTGGTTAGGGTTGATCGGTAAAGATCTTTTGTGGTGAATTTCACAGAGGTCGACCACCGGTATTCAAGGCAGATCTTCTACCCCCACCATTGTGTGGGATGGATGGGTTCGGGGGAAAATGAAATATCACGCATTGAATGGTATGATAGTATCATTATCATAATAGTATTCAAGAGAAAAGTACAAATAATTGTATTTATTATTATAGAGAAGGAAGGTTAGGTTATTTTATTGCTTTAAAGGTGAAGGCGAGAGAGAGAGAGAGAGAGAGAGAATGTAGATAGCTATTAACAGCATCCTCCATGTCTGTCTCCAAAAGCATGACCAATACAAACATCGATATCAATATCGATATTGGTACCCCATCCTCTACTACCACAACATCCACGACTGATGCCTCTACAGACAACTGAATTAACAGAATCACTTGATACATCTGAATAACTTTGGTTGGTCACATTTTGGTTGATTCCATGATTTGAAATTGATGATAATTTGGATAGGTTTTCTAAAGAAAGCTCTAAAATGTTTGGATTTTTTAATAGTTTTTTTAAAACAATCATTGCTTTATTAAACTATAAATAATGAGCAAGAATATACTAATCAATTCACGAATTAAAGTAAATTAATTATCTCTTTTTAAAATCGTTGTAACCCATTTGCATGCATAGGTAGAATAATTCTAACATTCCAATTTCAATTTCTTTAGAGAATCTTTCCCAACTTTCAACGGTCTCTGGTCATTCCATCCAAAAGGTTGAAGGTTGCTAGCAGTAAATGACTACAACCACATGTTCCTGCTGCTTCAACATTTAAAAGAATAAATTAACAAAAGGGTTTTGGTAGGAGTTGAGGTTGCTGACCGTCCGGAGTGTTTGGTAACCATTGATTTATTCTTTGGTTAGGAGGGGATTTGCTTTCTCTAAACTACTATTGTAGTCTAGAGAAAACCACTTGTACGTCTGCCTAAACAGACTAAACTCCGGCGGTCTCTTTCGATTAATATTTAATCTACATTTCATGATAGCGTTTTTGAATTGTTCGAAGTATGACGATTCAATTTATGCTCAATGACCTACCAAAATCACCATAATAAAGATAGTACTTATCTTTCTATTTAAATGTACAAATGGTTGGTGGATCTTTGGAATGGGATTGTTGGTACTTTTTTTGAAAAAATATGAGAAGTATTGAAGAACAAAAATCAAGAAAGAATCTTTATTATATTTATGATGACATAGGAGATACTTTAAAGTGTAATAAATATCTATGCAAATGGATAACATCGATGATATCAGCGGATGAGTTATAGATAGATAGTACTATAGTGTTAGAAAACTTAGAAATGAAGAGGTTTGTTATCATGAATCGACATGGCAGCTTCTTTGAAACATTCAGATAGAGTTGGATGTGCATGTGAAGTTCTAGATTTGGTAAAGAAGATTAGTTATTAACCTGTTTATATCTCAGTATCTCTTTAGGAATATAAGATAAGATAAGATGGATCATCCATCTGATCTTTGTGGAAATACAGTTACCTTGAAATATCTTTGGTGGTGATACCGTTTTGAATGGCTAGTACACCTTGACCGATGAGTTCACTGGCGTGATCGGAGATGATGTGGACACCTATGATCTTGTCAGAGGTAGCGTCGGCGAGTATCTTGACAAGACCGTTGGATTGGTGAGTGGCGCGAGCAAGACTGTTGGCATGGAGTGGAAAGGTACCGACCTTGTAGGAGATACTCATCATCTTGGCGTGTTCCTCTGATAGTCCTACAATAGCCAGTTCGGGGTGTGTGTAGATGACCAAAGGGATAGAACCGTACTTGTGTGTTGCGCCACTATGCAGATGCTCAACGACAGCAATACCCTCTTCTTGAGCACGGTGTGCAATCATTGGACCGCGGATCACATCACCGATGGCAAAGATCGACTCGACATTGGTGCAAAAGTTAGCGTCAACCTTGATACTTCCACGTTCGTCCATGACGATACCAAGCTTTTCAAGACCAAGACCACGGGTGAATGCACGACGACCGACTGCCACTAAAACAATGTCTGCCTCGATACTACCATTCAATCCCTTTTCACCAATTGATTCAACGTGGACTGTGACCGACCCATCCTCATTCTTGGATACTCTAGTGGCCTGTGTTTGGACGTGGAACGTCATGTTGTTTTGAGACTCTAACAAGCCACGTAGATGGGTTGCCATTTCATTATCACTACCTCCACCAATACGTGTACGTTCAATGATGGTTGTTTGACTACCAAGTCTTGACCAGATAGATCCTACCTCTAATCCAATCAAACCACCTCCAATAATAACCAAACGTTTTGGAATGGATTGCAAATTCAAAGCAGAGTCTGAAGAGATGATTTGCTTCTCGTCAATCTCTATACCAGGGACTGAAGTAATCTCAGATCCAGTGGCAATGATGATATGCTTGGTGTTGATAATAGTTTCCTCTCCATTGTCATTTGAAATGATCTTGACTTTGGTTGGAGAAATGATAGTGGCTTGACCGCTAACATAATCGACTCTATTCTTTTCAAACAATACTTCAATGTCGTCGGCCAAGTCTGACACTGTTTCATTCTTGTTTTTAACCATATCCACAACATTGGCTTGGAGTTGATCGGCACCAGTTATACCAAATTTACCAAACTTGGATTTAGCTTCGTCAAACAAATGACTTGAATGCAACAATACCTTGGAGGGAATACAACCATCATGAACACAAGTACCACCCAACTTTCCACGTTTCTCAACCACCGTCACCTTCATACCAAGTTGACTTGCCTTGATTCCTGCCACATATCCAGCAGGTCCACCCCCAATAATTAAAATATCTCTTTGTTCTAAAAAGAAAAAAGAAAAAGAAAGAGGAGAAAAAGAAATTAATAATAATGTAAGATATATAAATATAAATATATTATCTATTTTTACTATACCATTTGAATTATAATATCTTAAACCACTAGATACTATTGGAGAATTAATTTGAAGTTTATTTAAATTTCTGCTAATCATTTTTTGTTTGTTTTTTTTTGTTTGTAAATATATTTATAGATGTAAAAAAAATAAAAGAACATGTAATGTAATATGAATGACAAGAAAACTAACTACAACCAGCTCTTTTAAATAGTTTTTGGAACGGATCACTTTTGGTTGTGATTCGTAATGATTGGATCAGACAGAACAAGATCAGATGATTTGGTGTCATATATGTTTCTTTTTTAGTACAAGAGAATGGAAAGGTTATATCATTCCTCATGGTTTAAACAAATGGAAAACGGAAAAACGTCACAATTTGTCCTGAATTTTTTTTAAGGGTCTGGCTCATCCACCTATGGCAAAATATACTCGTTTGTCCAAATCCAGGACCAGGCTAATAAATATTTATATATACATAAATATATTAATTCATAATAAATTAAATTATTATTACTATTTAATTATATGATTGTTTTTTTTTTACTTTTTTTTTTTTGATTTTATTTTATTTTATTTTTTATAATTTTAAAGAAGAAGATTGAGAAGCAAGTTTACGTAAGAGTTGAGAGTTTTGTTGTCCAGTTTCATCAATCAACCAAGAGAATAGACCAGTTTGATTTTGGAGTAATTTGTCTGGTGTGTCAAACTCGGCAATGACACCGGCATCCATGACCATGATACGGTCATAGTCAATGATGGTGTTGAGACGATGGGCAATGGTAATGATGGTACAGTCATTGAACTTTTCCTTGATGGTTGTTTGGATCAAACTGTCGCTGTGACTGTCGACCGATGCAGTTGCTTCATCGAGCACGAGGATCTTGGGACGACGGAGAAGAGCACGACCAAGACAGATGAGTTGACGCTGTCCGACAGACCAATTGTCACCATTGTCTGTAACAAGACTGTCAAGACCACCCTCCAATTCCTTGACCTTTTCGTTGAGTTGGATGTCTTCGAGGACACGCCATAACAGGTCGTCGTCAGATTCACCAAATGGATCGAGATTCATACGGAGCGTGCCGGCAAACAGACAGGCGTCTTGGGGGAGGATGGCGAGGTTCTTACGGAGGTCGGTGAGACCAAACTTGGCAATATTGTCGCCGTCGATGGAGATGCTGCCTTCAGAGAGCTCGACCAAACGGAACAAGGCGAGGACGAGGGAGGACTTGCCCGAGCCTGTACGACCGACGATACCAATCTTTTCCTTGGGGGCGATGGTGCAGCTGATGCTCTTGAGGACGGGGTCCAAACCCTCACGGTAACGCATGACGACATTGTCGAGGACAATGCCACCTTCTGGGGGCCAGTTGGCGGGTGGACGGCTGTTTTGGATGACTTGTGCGGCCTCTTCAGGACCGTCAATGTAAAAGTTGATACGCTCGACACTGTTCATCTTGGTTTCGAGATCGGCACCTTGGAGAGTGGCTCTGTTGAGTGAAGCAGTGATAGAGAGGGCGTACGAGATGGACAGACCGATCGAGGCAATGGTAATAGTGTCACGGGCAAGAGTGACAAAGACCACCGAGAAAAAGACAATCAAGTTGCCAAGGAAATCGAGTCTGAGACCAAGCCAATTGTTCATGGTCTGCAACATCATATAACTCTTGTTATTGTCGTCCAAGAGACGTTGGTTGGTGAGCACACTCTCTTGCTCGCGGCCATACGCACGGATGGTGCTGGCGCCGACAAGACTTTCGGTAAAATGCGAAAAGATGGGTGACCGCGAGATCGATACAAGACGTTGGAGTTCACGACTCGAGTAACGGTAGTAGGTCTGGAGCAAATAGTAGATAACAATGATGGGGGCGAGTGGAATGAGGAGGTATGGGGTAATGATCGAGATGATGATCAACGAGGCGATGATCTGCATAAAGAGACCCATGTACTGCCCAATCGACGGTGCAATCAAGTTGTCAATGACATCTTGGTCACGAGTGAAACGGTTGATGATACGACCCATTGGAGTGGTGTCAAAGAACCACATTGGGCAACGAAGGATGGCTGCAAACAACTTTTCGTGTATTCTGCGGGCAGCGCGCACAGTATAGGAAAAGAAAAAGATGTTACGTAGACCCGATGCAATCACCGACCCTATACCAATACCAATATAAATGAATAGGTATTGGTCGGATGTTAGGTTATAGTCACCACCATTTTGGAATTGCATTGCATTGGACCAATCAGACAACCACCAATTGAGCATTGCACCAGACCCATTTTCAAGTGCAAATATTAATACAATCCAAAGGAACAATAGGATACCACCAGTCTTGAAATAAGATCCGTACACTGCCATACTGACAGATCCAGTCTCTCTCTCCTCTCTTTGAATTAATTTCCCCTTTTCTCCTGTCACTGGTGTAGCTGCTACAAACTTTGGTTTAGGTGTAGTATTACCACCTGCTTCATCAAGTTTAACAACAACTGTCTTTTCTTTGGGTATCGCACCGGCACCTGTAACTTCTAAACTTGAAGTTTCTGATGATGTGTCGACTGGTGTCGAATCTTGACCCATACCATAGTTTGAGAGAACTTGAGAAAAGTCACCTCTTGATTCCATAATCTCTTGATAGGTACCGTGTTCAGAGATGGTGTTTTTGTTCATAACCAATACATTGTTGGCAAAGGGGAGATAGTTGAGTTGATTGGCAACGAGGATGACAGTCTTGTCCGAGAGGAACCCGGAAATACACTTTTGAAAGATATGTTTGCCGACGTGTGCATCGACGGCCGACAATGGGTCGTCGAGAATGTAGATATCGGCATTGTTGTAGACTGCTCTGGCAATAGAGACACGTTGCTTTTGTCCACCTGAAAGATTGATACCACGTTCACCAATCTCGACAAAATCACCTTGTGGGAACATTTCCAAATCACGTTTCAAGGCACATGCCTCGATGACTGCTTCATAACGGTCTTGGTCAAATGCCTTGCCGTAGAGGATATTGGCACGCAGCGATGCATTGACAATCCAAGCTTGTTGGGGGACATAGGCGATACGACCCTTGGTTCGGAGACGACCCTCGACCAAGTCCATGTCACCAAGGACCGATTGGCAGAGCGACGACTTGCCGCTACCGACACTACCGACGACCATGGTCAGCGTCGGACCGGTACACACAAAGTTGATATTGTTGAGTTTGAAGGAATCGTCCTTGGTAGAGTCCCAGTTAAAGTTGGCATTCTCGACATAGATACCGTCAGCAGTGTTGGGATCGTTGATTTCCTCGACCGGCTTTCTCTCAGACAGCAAGAGGAAGGCGGCAATTCTGTCGGTGGCGACCTTGACCTGCGCCAACATGGCTATGATCAGTGGGAGGAATGAAAGGGGCATTCTGAGGATATTGAGGTAGGCCAGCGCCGAGAACACCTTGTCGGCACTGACTCCCGTGTCGGCCTTGAACACCGTGGTGAAGACGAGGATCGAGACGATGGTGGGCACGGCCGACACGATGAAAATGAGGCATGCACGGATATACGAAAACTTGGCCAGTGCCTTGACCTCGAGGTTACGCGAGTTGGTGACCTTGGCGGCAAAGGGCACCTCCCAAGCATACAACTTGATAATCTTGATAAATTGGAGTATCTCGTTGATGAGACGTAGACGCTTGTCAGAGTTTTTAATCATCTGGAAACGTAGCTTTAAAAGTGATTTGGCAACGATGGCATTGAGTGGAGCGACGGCCAACATGACACCCAACCCAACAAAGGTGGGCCATCCAATCTCTTGGTACATCAAAACGATACACACAATGATTTGGAGTGGTGCAAAAATACCATTGTTAAACATGAGAAATACTTCGGCGACACGTTGGGCGTCGTTACTCATCAAATTGACTACTTCACCAGTCGATGTTTTTCTTCGAGCTGCTGTATCCAATTTAAGAGACTTGGTATAGATATCGAGTACCATACCCGACCTCATCCAATTACCAACACGCGCCGATATAAGATTCGATTGGTAATTGCAAAACGAACCAACCATGGCCGACCCAAACATAGCCAATGCATAATAGTATCCCATGTTGGGATCAACGGTTGTATCTGGTACATATTGAATTTCAAACACCCATTTTATAATACGTGACAATAATTGTGGTCCTACAAATTGTGATGCACAATAAACTGCATAAAATGTTAATCCCAAACAATAGTATGGTCCATATGCTCTCATTGATGCTTTCCAATATTGTTTTGTTTCTTCCCTAAAAATAAAAAGAAAATAAATCAATATTAGTAAATATGAATATATTTATGTTGTTTGTTTTGGTTTTAGATTAGTTGACTTACTCTTTTTTTAATAATTCCTTTTCCCATTCAACTTTAATTTTTTTTCCAACTTGAGTTGATTTATCACATTCTGCAAGATCGTAGAGATGACTTTGCTCCAAGATATTCTTAAAACAATGCCATGCAAATGTTTCAATCCATGCAAACGTTGCCAAAGAGAATAGACTTGCTGTGTCAAATGGATTCTTTTTTCCTCCAAATCCAATCACCTTTTTTTCTTCCACTGTTGGTTTGGTTATACTATTATTATTATTATTACTATCAATGGGAGTGAGTTGGATACCTCCACCACCACTGCCATCTTCTTCTTCTTTATCTTGTTGAGCCATTTCAATGATAATGACTTTGTGAATGATAGAATCAAAGATAATAAATGTAAAATAATAAATAAATAAATATATAAAAACTTGTTACTTGTTGTTTGAGTTGATGTTGTTGTGTGATATTAATAGTAGTAGTTGTGTTAATCACTACTAAAATAATAAATAAATAAATAAATCAATCAATCACGTTAAGATTGTTATAATATGAATGAATGATAAAAGGGTAATATCTATTGTTGTTGCTCTCTCTCACTACTTTCAGTATCAGTACTACTATCACTCAGTCAGTCTATGCAAAAGAGTAGAGTAAATCAATTAAACTGAGAGAAATTTGATACACACAATCGATAGGTGGGTAGAAGATGGATGACAACAATGTGTTTGTTGTTTTAAAAGTCGAGAATCACTAAAGATAAAATTGAGAGGGTGGCGAGATGTGAATGAATGAATGGATGGACAAACAAATAAAAATATATATTGTTTGTATGTGTGTATGTAACTATGTGTATATGTATGTATGAGGTGGCTGATGACAATAAAAATAATTAATTTAATTCTGTTTAGAGAGCTTGTTTATTTATACAACCTTGCAAGGGACAGACCGAGAGGGATAGAGAAAAAGACGTGAATGATAGACAACTCGAAAATTCCTCAGCAAATGCACCACTAATATTAGATGTGGTGGCCTTTGGTTTGTCCATTGTCGGGCTTTGCTTTGTTGAATTTTCACGATTATTTTTTATACCGACGACAATTGTGATACAAAGTTTACGTAAAACGATGTCGTGATTGCGAGTATGAGACCACTGAAAACTCACTAAAACTTCCTATTTTGGACTCTCACACTACTACCAAAATAAATTCGATGTGAGCTTACACTCATCATTCACATCATCTGCTTGAACAGATAACTATTATATCACCGATATAGCTATATTGGTCTGAAGTGAAGTACTCTTGTCTGTTCAATATTCACCTTTATCAATACATGTATTGATTACTAATCCCAAATGTTTACTGACTACAATCACCACAATCATCATATATTAAAAGTAAGAATGTATACTTAAAGAGGTAGGTAGTAGGTGTGCCAAGACATGGATGGGATCATGATGGTGGTGAATGAATGAATAACAATCCTCTTCTTTTATACTTGAGAGAAGTTACTCTAAAACATGAGATATCGAGTTGTCAATATCATATGATATTATTGAATGGATCATATGCACACATATATACATCTTCTCTAGTGTTAACAATGACCCTTTGAAGAAAGGACCAAGGACTAAAGGACTAACTATAGTTATTAAGATTAAATTATAAATAAATTAATTACCAACAAAATGTGTCCTCTCCTCCAAAAAACGAACGAAAGTTTTGAACATTGCATTATTTATTTATTTATTTATTTATTTATAATTTAAAGAAAGAGATGAGCAGTACTACTACTACTACGACTACTAATATAAAGAGAGATGATACTAGATTATCAAATCAAATAAGACCAATTGAATCTGAACAAGCTTTGTTAAATAAAGCTGATGGTTCTGCTAAATTCTCTCAAGGTATATATATATGATCATCATAGATAGTATTGTATTGTATGTGTAGTCAATATTAACTTATTTCAATTGTATTATATTTAGGTAAATCATCAGTATTGGCAGCAGTATATGGACCTATAGATGTAAAGACTGCTAGAAAGGAGAAAATATCAAAATCGGTTGTAGATGTATCATTCACACCTGCAACTGGTAACACTACCTATTTTGACAAGGAAAGAGAAATGTTGGTTAGAAATGCTGTTGAAAGTATCATTCTTACTTTATTACATCCAAGAACTCAAATCAATGTTATCGTTCAAGTTTATTCAAATGATGGTTCTGTAAGTAGTAGTAGTAGTAGTAGTAGTCTTGGTAGACATTTCAAGAGACTTTTACTTACCCGTCTATTTATTTTAGATTATAAGTTGTGCAATCAATGCATGTTGTTTGGCATTACTTGATGCTGGTATTGAATTAAATTGTTTAATCAGTTCAATTACACTTTCTTTTACACATGATAATCAAATCTATTTAGATCCAACTCAAAAAGAAGAAAATGTATGATAAAAAGGAGACAAGAAGAGAGAGAATCTATGCTGTTAAAAAGTATCTAATTTCCTTTCTTTTATTTTTATTATTATTTCTATAGAATTCAAAAGGATTAGCAGTATATGCTATCAATAGTAAATCAGAGATTGTAATGACAAAGACAACTGGAATCATTGGTGAATCATTATATTTCCAAGGATTAAATATTGCTAAACAATCTTGTGAAAAGGTGTCTGCATACACTAGACTGGCTGTTAGAAATAGAATTATGGGTGATCAAACTCAACCATCCACCACAACAACCAATACTAATAATACTTTGGTTGAAGAATCAAAAGATAAAGAAATGAAAGATTCTTCTTAAAACAAAACTATTAAATTAGTTTTGTTTTGGAATCTTTGTATATAATAATCAAAAAAAAATATTTATATTTATATATATATATATATTTACAAACCTCTTCTTTTCTTTTTATTTATTTTATTTGGATATTAATCTTTGTAAATTACGTGATAAACGACGACGTGGTTTCTCTTCTACTTCCATTTTCATTTCCATTTCCACCTCTTTTTCGTTGTCTTTAAATTTTCCAACATCTATTTCTATATCTTCACCATCAATGATAACTTCATGTTCACCTCTTTGTAAAAGATCAGCTGCTATTGTTGACGATGATGATGATGATTTCTTTTTTGATTTTTTATAATGTTGTCTTTTTACAATTTCTGGTTCCTTATTTTCCTCTGCCAATTTCATCTCTTGTTCCAATTGTTGTTGTTGTTCTCTGATTTGAATTAAATAGATTTCTAATAGTTTTTTAAGGTTTGTTTTCAATTCGATGACTTGGTTGTCGTCCATATGGTATGCGCTGATTGGAATGATGGTGGTGTTTTCCTTGTCGATGAGATGAGCCGTTGCTTTTTTGAATACATCCAAATGATCTTGTGAAAAGGGTCCGTCCATTTTGTTGGCAATAATGATCGATGGCTTCTTGGTGAGACCCGGTTGATAGTTTTCCAACTCTTCCAACAATGTGACAAAGTCGCCCCAAGGAGACCGTTGTTCCATCTCTTTGGAACGTGCTCTAATCTCTTGTGTCACTTCTTTGAGTTTTTCTTGATCCTCGCGGATCTTTTTGTAACGGTCTGGTTTGACCTTTAGTTTCTTTCCATCCCACAGAGATGGCACTCCCTCATTGGACATATCAATCACATAGCAGAGTACTTTGGTACGTTCAATGTGTTTGAGAAAGTCGAGACCTAATCCAATGTTGAGGTGGGCGCCTTCGAGGATACCCGGCAAATCGGCCATGGTCGCCTTTTCCAGTTTGCCCTTTGCCTTTTCAACGCTGCTGCTTCCCGCACTGCCGTCACCGCCACGTCCTCGTCGCGACAGCTTGATGGTGCGGTCAATGACATGTGGAAAGTCCATCACACCAACATATGGGTGTAGGGTTGTGAATGCATAGTTTCGAATCTTGGGGATCGCATTAGAGACACGAGATAATAGCGTGCTCTTGCCAGCGTTGGGGTAGCCGACCAACCCAACATCGGCAATGATCTTGAGTTCCAACTCAAAGTATTTGTCGCCACCCTTGAGCCCCGGCTGCGCATACTCGGGCGATCTGTTTCTGCCCGTTGCAAAGTTGGCATTGCCCTTTCCACCTCTTCCACCCTGCAACAAGACAATCTCCTCTCCATACCCATGCATCTCACCAACTATTCTATTCACCTTCCACATTCGCTTACCAGCTTTTTGTTTGTTATTATTGACCTTTTTGCCATCCAGTAAAACCGGTTCGTTCATCTTTTGCATAAAATATTCTGGGTCAAAGGTTGGTGAATTTGGGTCTAATCTAGCTTCATCCTCTGCAGCTGCCAATGACTCTGCGTCACCATAGAAATGTTCCACCTCTCTAATGATCGTGCCGGGTGGCACATGAATGATAATGTCGTCACCATCCTTACCAGTCTTTTTAGCACCCTTTCCCTTTTCACCACTGTCCCCAACATAATGTCTCTCTAAATGTGCCAAATTGTTTTCATGTAGATCTGAACGAATGATAATACTCGCCCCATTACCTCCATTGCCTCCATCTGGAGGTCCTAGAGGAATATATTTAGCTCTAAAGAAGTTTACGCAACCAGCTCCACCATCACCAGCTTTACATTTAATTCTAATCTTATCCATAAATGATAAATTCTAAAAAGAAAAGAAGACAAAAGGTTAAATATAAACAATCAATCTTTTGAGAACTTTATCATACATACAGAATAGGTTGCATCCTTTTGTTCAATTTGATTTATTGCTCCAACATTTTCAGCATAATCTCTCTTTTTAAATAGTATTAGAGTAAGTAAGTAAGTATAACTATTTCAACTAGTTTATCTTTTATATTGTCTTGGACTACATACTAATTGATCACCATCCATATTCTCTAATAATTCTTTAAAAGATTCTGAATGTTGAAATTGGATACCTGATTCTTTATCAGAACTATAATATCTCATCATACTACCATGATGATGATTGTGAATATGATTATATCTATTTAAAGTTGATAATGATGACAATGTATTACTACTACTACTACTTTTACAACTATAATTATTACTAATATGATTTAAAGATGATGATATTAAAGATGATTGAATACATCTTTTATTTAAAGTAGAAGATAAAGATAATAGTTTGACTCTACTTATCATCGTGATGATTGAATTATAGCCTTTCTTTTAAAAAAGTAGAATACAATGAAAATGAACGACTGTCAGATGATCCTATACTCGGTTTTTTTTATTATTTTAAATTAATTTATCACTGGAATAAATAAATATAGAGATGGAAATATAATATAATATGTTGTAAAATATGTATATATATCTTACATTTGGAAATATCTGGGAGAGAGAGAAAGAGAGAGACATACCTGTCAAGAACACAAGAAATCAAAAGATTTTTAAAATATAAATATGGTTGTTGATTTTTTGTGTTCTTGACAGGTATGTTGGTTTGATGTTGGATTTTAGAACATTGTTAAGGAGCCCATGTTAGACATACATTTGTCGTTTTCTTTTGATAACTTGATTGGTTTGTTGAAGAGGTGTATCTGATCGAATGACATTTTGTAAACGTAAGGTCTCTTCTACAACAAACTGCATATACTATGCAAATGATAGTCTATTAGGTTTCAATTTAAAAGAGATTTAAAATGAGCATCACTTGCTTAAGATTAATTCAATATATGGAACATTAACCTCCAACAATATAATTACAGATGCATGGAGCTCCATAACACCAATATATATATTTCAAGTAAGATATCAAAGATGATTGAGTATTGATTGTCAGTCATTAATCTTCATCTTTTCAAACCAATTTGGTGTCGGCACGTCTTGATCCATTCCAAAGTCAGAAAGAATAATGAAACGAGCTTGATTCATTATTGATAAGGTCCAACAAGTAATCAAGAATATTCTTGCAATAGATGATGAGATTAGTTCAATACAATCTTTACTCTTTAAATATTCTAAATCGCTTTAATTTTCATCAACGTTGTTTGTTACCTTTTAGAATCAATGTAGATATATATTTTGGTGCCACTCATATCTAGCTCGATCCTTCCTTGTTCCTAATTACTACCCTCTCTCTCTCTCTCTCTTTCTCTTTCTTGGCTAAACTAAATATGTACTCCAATCTAAATCATGTTAAAGAATGATCATTCTTCACAAGGAGGGAGGTTACAAAAAAAAAAAAAAAAATCAAAACAATTAATTGATTATAACAAACTAACTAAAAAATAATATATAGTTAAAATCGTCGTCTTGCTGTTTATATATCGACACCTCCACTTCCACATCTATTGGCCCTATTTATCATTATTACTATTATACTTTTCCTGGATGATGATGAATAAATATATAAACTGAATAGGACTCCATATTTAGTCGATTGATTGTAATATATATATATTGTAATATTTATACATCCTTTAATGATGCCAAATCATTTATTCCTTTTTCTATTAAACTAATTTTCCCTCTTATACTATGTACCTTTTTAGTATATTTTTCTATATGTCTAAAAATGATTAAAAAAAGATTAATAAATAAATCAACAAATATAATATTGTTGTGTAATTTGTGTCAGTATGTACATACTGATTTAAATAATCCTCTTTTTTGTTGATAAATTCAATTGCTTCACCTAGGGTATATTGTACGCTTACACCCATACCAATGTTGACAAATATCTTGCTGGTATCGTATACCTTTGCTTTTACATAACACTCACTACCAATATTCATCATTGTTTTCAATTCCTTCATATCATTCTCTATCATTAATTCAATATTACTCTTTAATTCTAAACTATAAGATTTAGTTAGTAACCATTATAATGATGCTATATATAAAAATATATGAAACCAATTCAATATCAACAATTGTTGTTGTTGTTGTTGTTGTTCTTTACTTGTATACTTACTATCCCTCCAATTCAATTGCCAATTCTTCTTTCTTTTCTTCAAATGTTTCTAGATCGACAAGTAAAGTATCTGTAATAAAGTGTTTATAGTGTTCAATCGATTCTACTCTTTCTCTTTGTAATTGTGCTGATGTTAATTGTTGAATTGGACTTGGACCGCTACTACTATTTGAATGTTGATGATGACCATGTTGGTGGCCATGTTGATGACCGTGATGATGATCATGATCATGATGATTATGAGGTGCTTTAACCATTTCTATATATATCTGTATTTGTAATCTGTAATTAATCTTTCGTTCAAAGATGAAAATGAATCATATTCACGAACATCGTCCAAAAAAAAATTAAATTAAAACAAAATAATCATTATTTAAAAGAAATCAAGATAATAATAAACAATTCTCTCTTTTAACATGAACCTGTTCATTATAAAGTATATACTTGGGTATCCAATCTATGATAGATTTGATGGTCTGTCTATGCTATGAATTTTGTGTAAGATAAAGATGAGGTGAGGTGAGGCGTGCCGAGAGGACACCAAGATATTTTTAAATTTTCAACGTTCATCCGGGTATTTAAAATAAACAATTGGGAGGTTAAAAGCTGTTGATCGGCTGCTTTGTTCTCCGATCGGAAATTGTAAACAATCTTCCTCAGAGAGCTCTCTCTCTCTCACAATTTAAATATTTTAACCCCCCAATCCTCTTCGTCTCTTTGTCTGCAAGACAACTTGCCTATCTATCCCCCCCACAGCAGCATTGAAATCCGCATTCCTTCACTTTCTGATTTATCATTTCTCTCTCCTTTAAGTTATCTCTCTATCTGTCTCTATCTGTATAAAACTAACCACGCGAATATTTATATTTATATTTATATTTAACTCCCCCAACACATATACACTTTACTTTATTCACACAAACACATAAACGCCGTTTTAGTCAAAGTGTAGCAGTGGTTCAAAACAGAAACAAACAAACAAACAAAGAAAGGTGTGTTGTAAAATTTATTGTTTATCACACCAATAATAACAATAATAATAATAAACAACAACAAGAAGAGATAGGCAGAAATAGAGAGAGAGAGAGATAATAACAACAAAGATCTAATAATATAAATAATTATAGAGAAATCAAGAAGGAAAGAAAGAGATATTAATTTTAATTTATTTATTTATATAATTGTGGAAATGTTGTGATTGTATTGAAATAGTAGTTTATAGTTTATCATTCTAACGTACCTTTCTCAAAGTTCTGTACGGTCTATAAAGAGAGAGAACGTACAAGTTGTAGTCATAATAACGAGTTATGAGTACAAGTAACAATTTCAAATGCTCAGAAGATTTTCCAACCTCTGACATTGTACTCGGATTCTTATTATCCGTTGGTATCTTTATATCATTCTTGCCTCAAGTATGTATATACATGGAATATATATATATATCTCTATCATATGATTATTAATAAACCAATTGTTTCTTTAATTATTTTTTAGATATTAGTATTAATCTTTAGAAAGAATGTAGAAGGTTTATCTGTGATTAGTTGTTGGTTCAACTATGCCAATTGTATGGGAACATTTCTAAATATTCTATTTTTAAATTGGTTCATCTTTGAATGTTGTGGTGATTCTACTCTTCGTTGGATGGTAACTATATCAAATATCAACTTTGAATCTATCTATCCTTTGTTTGTATTAATCATTATTATAATTATTATTTCCATTTCCATTTTAGAATTCATGGGTATGTTTTGAAAATTTATTACCAGTTGTTCAAATGGGAGTACCATTTGTAACGACTGGAGTTATATTTGGATTGTATGTTTTGTATAGACCAAAGTTACCACCCTTGTCATCAATCAAGAATATGAACAAGGATGGAGAGAATGGTGGTGAAACCGATTCGCCATCAACCATTACCGATGACAATAATACTACTACAACTACATCGACAACATTACAAAATAGTAGTAGTGTAAATACTACCAACCATGATTCTTCTGATTTCACAACAGGAGGTAGTAATAATGGTGGTAGTGGTAGTTCAACACCAATCTTACCAAAAAAGAAAAAAGCAGAGATTGCACCAGACAGTTTCCTGATGCAACAAGGAAACAATCGTATTGAGAGACTGTTTATTCGTATGGATTGGTACTCTCAACCATTCTTTTGGGGTACCAATCTTGCTACGATTGTATTTTTCGTGATTGGTGTGGCACTTGTCTATGGCTACGGATCAAAGTCGACACAGTTGGAAGGATACGCATTCTTTTTGGGTGTGCTTGCTGCCATCCTTGTATTTTTCCAATGGATGCCCCAAATCTACACTACGTGGTTGGCCGATGAGATTGGATCGCTCTCCCTCGTTTCACTATGCATCCAAGTGCCAGGTGCCTTGTTGGTGTGTTATTTCCAATTGTCGTCGGGTCAGTCGTGGATCACTTGGTTCCCCTACCTAGCCACTGCCATTCAAGAAGGTGTTCTTGTCGTTCTATGTATATACTATTTGGTTAGAGATAAAAGAAGAAAACGAAAACAAGAAAAAGAAGAACAAGAAAAGAAAAATCAACAAGGATTAGGTGGAGTAGGAGATGATTCATCATCATCATCATTACCTTCAAAGGATCTTGATCATTCAACCAATCAACCATCAAGTCAAGATCAACAACAATACCAACAACAACAACCAGATAAACAAGTTATTGATGAAACAACATCTATTAATACAACTGGTAGTGGTAGATCAATTGGAATTAATAATACCGACAATGATAATGATAATGATCAATCTGGTGGACATGAATATTATCAAAGTACTCCTGGGATTTAATAAATAATAATATAGTGTATAAATAATTAAATAAATAAAAAAAAGTAAATTAACTCTATTATAAACAATAATAATCTAATTCTAATTCTAAATACTTACATAACTAACTAGTAATGTTTGTTTTCTTGTGTCACAAGATACAAAAAGACAGACAACCTTTCTCTCCTTGAACTCTTTTGACAGTATTTTAACAAACCGTTGTAGAGAAGAGGGAGAGAAAGGTTGCCTACAATTGTAGGACCATGTATAGATCATTTAATATCAGTTTCAGGTATTCACCAGCTATCTTCCAGCCCATTCACTGTACCATTGTTGTAAAGACCAAAACCATTAACTAAATCGACGCCTACTTACACGGTGTGGACGACTTTGAGAGTCAAGGAAAGTGGTAATGAACTAGTCTAGAAATGTAGTTACAGATTTGGTGTGAAGTCGACCGTTCAGTGTCAATATTAATATTATGATTGATTTACAAGTTTTGTTTAGTTTCCTCTACATTCCAAAGGTCCACGTTTGTAACTAAATGCGAATACATAATATAATATAGTATAAATATATATATATATATACAAACATTAAACAAACAAAGTTTTTGTGAGGAAATAATATTAAATAAAATTTAACTTTTCTCACACTCTCGTCATTCATTGCAACTCTCAAAAAATAATTATTGATTAATTATATTATATTATATTATATTATATTCACTCAACTACAAGTTACTTACAAAGTAGAAGTAGAGATCGATCTCAACCAAGATGAACAAGATAATAGGAAAAGAAGGATTTATAGGGTTCCTTGCAAAGAACTTTTTCAAGAGAGGATTGGTAAAAGACATAAAGGGAGCAAAAGACCCTTTACAAGAATCAATCGAAGATACGTTTGGTACATCGAAACAACTACTAGACTCGTGCAAAAAGATCAACAACTTTACAACAGACTATAAAGAATCGATTGCTGGTAATGTCAAAGTACTCAATACACTCAAAGACAGTATCAACAAACAATTGGATCTCGAGAAAGAGATAGAGGCTGAAATGTCTAAAGCAAGACACGAAAAGTTTGCTTCTCTACAACGTGATATCGATCATCTATCAAAAGACATAACAAATACATCACAATTTAGAGAAATTAAAAAGTTTGATGATCGTATCTCTAAACTATTTGCTCTACAAACTTTAATCATCGAACAAGATAATAGAAATAATCGTCTTTTAAAATTTAATGAAGAAGATGATGAAAAAGAAAATAATAATAGTAGTGTAAATAATAATAATAATAATAATATAGTAGTGGATGATATTGAAGTTGAAGATTATCAATCACAAGTTTCAACTCTTGGAAAGGATATTGAAAGTTCAAATATATTGAATCAAAAAGCAAAGAATCATTATAAAGAAACTATTCATTTATTATCTTATTCTTAAAAAGGAATAGAATAGAATATTAAACAACGTTATATATTATTATTCAAATGTTTACTTTTATTTAGTATTGGTATATTTATATTGGTATATTATAATTTTGGTGAGAAGTTAACTTTGACCACCAGAAGAAGAAACCAAATCAATACTTGATTGTCCATGTCTAACCTTTCTTTTAACCATCAATACCTTTAAATCTTCAACCAACTGATTACATTGATCCCATTGTACTTGGTTACCATTGGTTGGTACGATATATTTAATCAACTTTTTAACTGGTGGTTGTTCATTACCCAATCTTTCTTCTTCATCACTACCAGAACTACTACTACTACCTTGTTCATCATTGTCATTATTTATATTATTATTATTTATATTATTATTATTATTATTATTTTCTTTTTCATTATTAATATCTAAAACAAGATGATCATCACTATCAATTGGTGGTTGAGAAAGAGCAATGGTAGATTGTGGGAGTGGTGTTGGTGGAGGTAGAGATAAATCTTCTTTACTAGCATCATGAATGACTTGATGAATATTTGCATTGTTGCTAGAAAAGATTGCATAGACGACGTGATAGTTTAGATAGGTTTTTACAATGGATTTAAATTCTACCAAATCATCATCTGGAATCTTGCCATCGTTGCCAAGATCGATACCATAGACAATCACCCCCTTTTTCATTTCCAAATAACGTAGATGTAGTGGTGGAGGAGGTGGAGGTGATGGAACCGGTGGCAAACCACATACTACACGAGTCTCTAATTTACCAGAGAATGATTCCTCTATTTGTGGTACTACATTTCCTTCTTTTCTAACTATATATATATCTAATTTTAATGGTGATCTTCCTCCAAAACTTAATTCTCTATGTAAATTTTGTGGACTTGCCTAGGAGAATCAAATAAAAGTAAAATTAATAATAATTTAGAATAGACTGACATTATTTGTGTGTTGGTTTCACTTACCAGAATTGGGAATTTTGTATGTTTTAAAATACTTTCTCTTTGTCTCTTTTTATAAACAAATATATATATAAATACTGCCAATGATATCAATGCAAAAACTACTACAATTGATACAATAATGGCAATCACTGCTTCTGATGATACCATGTCTTTGAAGAAGAAGGAAATAAAAAAAAAACTATCTGATTTTTTGAATTGAAGTTGATTTCCAAGTTGATTCTATCTGAATGATTGATTGATTGATGAACTATACTATACTGTAATGAACTGACTGTATTGCACTATTTTATTTCTCTATAGAGATAATTAAAATAAATGATTTAAAACAAATTGATTGTTGTGGAGTGAGTGAGTGTGCAGTTGGATAGAATTGGAAGAGGGGAAGATGGGGGTGTGAAATGAATCAATTGGAATTAAAAACATATGTAATTATAAATATAATACAAAACACTAACTATCAAAGAGAGATTAAAGGCAACGTATTGGCGAGGCGATTGATTGATTGATTTAATAAATATTTATATATTTTTAATGTTGTTTTAAAAAAGTATATATATATATATAAAACAGAGAGGGTCGCTCTGACTTGGTAGGAAAGGCATTCCCCTTCCTATCTCTCTCTTTTAAATTTTTGTGGGTGTCCCTCCTTTGTACATACAATCGTTGGTTGTTGGTTTGTTGGTTGGTTTGTTTGTTGATGGTGGTTGTGGTGGCAGTGTGGGAGTCGTGGTTCAAAACACAACATCCATCCAACCAAAAACCTACCATACCACAAAAATTAAAACCTATCAAAAAACCACACACCAACACCATGGGAGACGATGTGCATTGTGTGTGTGTGTATGTGTGATGGTGATCAATCAAATTTGGTTCTATCGAGTGAATGTGATTGATTTGATTATTACCCTTTTCCTATTATAGTTTTGATATGGTTTAAAAAAGTAAAAGATATAGAATATGAAGGTAGAATGTATCGATCATCTTCATCTTCATCTTGATATTTCAAATTGTTGGTTTTATTATTATTAAGTTTTGATTTGTTTGATTGTTGTTTGATTGTTTGATTTGTTAGTTTGTTTTTTCTAATGTTTTTAAACATTGATTGCAATATCTTTTAATTGAGACATTGATGATAAGCCTTTGGCATTTAACCAACCATTGGTAAATTCGAAAAAGAGGTGAGGGATATTATTGTCGTTTAGCCATTCAAACTCGGATTGCTCGGTTGAATAGTCTGCGTTGGAAGAGTTGCGAGTGACTATGGTATAGACCACGCGATGGTTATAGTAGGTAGAGATGATGCGATTGACGTCTTCTTGGTCGGCCGAAGTATCAACTAGGTCGGACCGTGTCTGCGACGAGTCAATAACATAGAGTATGATACCGTCCCATGGATCTGACGGATCCCTGAATGTCTTGCTACCCACCTGGTGATGGTAATCGGGTGCCGGTGCATGAGGCAACCCTTTTTTAATATTGACAGAGTATCCCAAATCCTTGACCAACACTTGTTCAAACTCTAATGGTAAATCCAAAGATGCATTCTTTTTATAAATGTAAATTGTACATGGTTCTTTACTTCTTTTTCTAAAAAATACTATTGTTTCTTTAATTAAATAAAATATAAATCTCTAAACAATTAAAAAGAAAAAGAAATGGTTATTAAATAATAATCAAATATGTATTTTGATTTGTTGTTTTTTACATACTGGAAATGATTTAATATAAGATTCAAATTCACCTTCTTTAAATGGTATTTTCTCAAATGTTTCAGACATGTCATAGTATTCATCTCTATTTCTACTTGTACAAAACACCCAGAAAAAGAGTCCAAACATGAATAATGTAAATCCAAATAATCCAAATCCTATATCCCAAATCATCCTATATTCTATAATAATAATAATAATAATAATATCTCTCTCTATAGTTACAACCAACATATAATAATAATAATAATAATAAAGTATGGATGGGGAATTCTTAAACAAAACAAACAAATTTAAAAACACACTGCCTTGCTTGGATCCAAGCTACTACTACCTAACTACTTCTCCTCTCTCTCTCTCTCTCTCTCTCTCTCTTTTGACTAGACAACAACCAAAATTTTGTATGTGATACTTTTCTCCTCAGATCACAACCAAAAACACATCCATCATATATATGACACACACCCAAACAATGAAATTGTGTGTTTTGGGTGATGGTAGGAAAGAGGAGAGGTGTAAGTAATACGATGATGGATGGGATGATGTTGATTTTTGAACTTGTGTGTGTGTGAGTGTGCTTACCTCTCTCTCTTCCCATCATTCATCGCGATAATTTGAATTTGATTGGCAATGAAAGTTGAAAAGATACGATATATCGTTATTTATAATACTAGTAACCATCATCAGCCAGTCATTTGTTGTCATCGAATTATTAGTAGATTTACAGCAGCAGCAACAACAGCAAACAACAACCAACCAACAAACAAACAATTAAACAAACAAACAATCACTAATAACTAAAGATCAGATCTAATCTATATATAGTAAGAAGAAGAAGTGACTTGAATTGAATATCTTGTATATATATCTAAAATATCTCTATCTGACTAGATCCTAGTTTAGCAAACTATAGTGAAGTGATACATACACCTGCACGGGCAGCTACATAATAATTATTTTTTTGAAAAAGTTCCAAATTCTACAGACAACTGACGCCCCATTGCTCATCGAGTTGCCCCTTTCAAAGTTCAAAAAAATTGAAAAAACATACACAACAACTTTAAACGCAATTTTCCCTCTCTTCTCACTTATTGTTGTTGCGTGCCACTCCACCCACTCACTCACACAGACAGACACAAACATAGATAGCCCATACAAAAAGAGTACTCTACCTATTTACAGATATCTAGTTGTTGTTGTTATTAGCAACTTCTTCTTCTTTATAATCCCTCCTCCTCCTCGTCGTCGTCAGACTCACTCACCCATTCACCCACTCACTTACTTTCATACCTCAATATTCTTTCTATCTTTGTATGCATACACTTTCTTCCTCTTCTTAAAAGATAGATTAATGAGGAGTCAATAATAATAATACTCTAGAGACATATATAGAATCAACAACATTCAATAGTAAACAAACAATAGAATCATACTACTATTACACTTCTAGTGTCATTTCTTCTATAACAAGATGATGGACATTTTGAATTTATCAATCGAGTTTCATAACGAAGGACATATAACAAAGAGAGTAGTTCGTATCGAATCAACGATCAAAGTGGGAGAAGTTGTACGACTATTGCTAGACAAGTTTGGAAAGAGTTGTAGTGATCAAGAAGCAGCTCAATTTCATCTTTCAATGGTTCAAAAGAACTCTCATGCACCAGTACAAATACTATCCGATATTAATCGTTCTTTACAATCTTATGGTGTAAAAAATAATGTGTGTAAACTATATTATATATATATATAAATTCTACACAATATACTTAATTAATTTTCAATTTGTGTAGGATGAATTAACAATTAAAAAGAGACAAAAAAAGAATCCAGCACAAGCCAAACTACAGAAAAAGAAACCTGAAGGTATATTCAAGACACTGTTTTCAATGTCAACGTTGGAGATGAAATTGGCAACCGAAGAGAAACAATTCATTAGTATTACAGAGGTCGATGGTCAAATTGATGTACCCATCGTATTATACAGTATATTGGATTATCTTGAAAATCATCATCATTTTAATTTAATTAACAAAGGTAAAGAAAATTAATAATAATAATATTATAATAATTTGTTTCTAATTCTCTTTTTTTCTCTTTTTTTCTTTTTCTTTAGATTCATCTGAAATATCATCATCATTTCAATATTATGGTAGTGAAAATGAATATTTTGAATTATTAAGATCATTAAATACAGGAGAAGGAATTGATCTTGGAGGATGTAGGAATCCAAAGTTGTTGTGCAACTTTTTACTCTATCTTTTACAAAACAGTTTGACAGAGACGTCACTCACCTATTCGTTATATACAACTTTTTTAAAATCGGCAACTCTAGAGAGCAAATCGAATATTTTCTATGACATTCCACCTCGCAACAGAGTGATCCTAAAGCACATTATGCTTTTCCTCTCCAAACTGACATCCAAGGATCCAAACCTTCTCGACACTATCTCTTCCATCATTGCACCCTTTATCCTTGGTCGTATCGAATCCCCCAAACAACAACAACAGCAACAACAATCCAACAACAATGGTGGTGACCAATTCAACAATGGTCAAAGCGTTGTTCAATTAATTTCAAACAATCGTGTACTTTCAAATGAAGAAACTACTCTTTGTAAAAAAGTTGCCATTGATCTTATTCAAAATATTTCAACTTATTTATTAGTAAGTAGAAAAAGAAAACAAATATTTATTTATCTATATCCCTTTTATTTACTCTTTTGTTCTTTCTATTTTTTCTATTTTAGTATCCACCAAGTAAAGGAGGAATATTTAATTTAATGAATGGAGAAAAAACGATATTTTCATCAGAGAATATTTATTGTATAGATAAATGTAACTTTCCACCAACGGTGGCTAGTTTGGGAGAGTTGTGGGTGACCAATTATCGTATCGTATTTGTAAATTCGTCGATTTCTTCACTCAACCCACCGACCTCATCGTCGAGTTCGTCAATAGGTAGTTCGTACAGTGCGAATAGTCAACAGGCAGCGACTGCCAATCAGACACCATCACTACCTACTTCATTGTCGACACATAATCTGTTTTCGCCATTATCGCCTGCGTCGGCTGGCCAAGCCAGTACCATTTCATCGTCATCGTCGGTTTCGTTTATTTCTAATCCCAAGTTGGTTGCACACGACAATTGCGAGATACCCATCTACATGATCCAAAAATGGAAACAGATTAGGACCGGTCCTCTATTCGAGTCGTACAAGATCTATTGTAAAGATTTTAGATGCAAGGTGATTGGATTTCCAGCCAATTCACCACACCTTTTAAAGTTTAAAGAGGTGCTAGATTGTATTCGTATGCCTACTCCACAGAGTATGTTTGCCTTTGCCAATGGTAATCCACAGCTCGCTGCTTGCGACAATTTTGCCGATACTCATCTCTTGACAGAGTATAACCGACAGGGTGTGTCTTGGGATGACTGGCGTACGACCAATGCCAACTCATTGCTCAAGGTGTGTGATCACTATCCAATGATGTCGGTCGTACCCAAAGCCATCAGCGACAATATTGTTGTGACTAGTGCCTACTATCGTTCATTCCGCTTTCCCGTTCTAAGTTGGGTCCACCCAACACACAAGGCTAGTATTACTCGTGCCGCTGCGCCAGAGGGATATGGCTCTGGGGGTGCTGCATCAGTTCAAAACTCTGCATCCTCTACTACATCGATGGTCATCACAGCTGCCGTCAACCCACTATCTCCAACTAAAAATAGTAGTACTAGTGGTGCATCTGGTTCATTTACCATTCAAACATCATCATCATTGACGACGGGCGCGTCGTCCTCCTCCTCTAATAATCCAGGTGGTCCATTAATAAGTCCAAGATTACAACCAACCATGTCAACCTCACAAATGCCACAATCATGTCAAGAAGATGTCGATCTATTAAAAGCAATTGTAGACATTAAGAAATGTAGTACACTGTCGGTCTATGATACTGGATCACAAGCTCCATACGCACTATTTATGGTTAATTGCAAGATTGAATTTTTATCCTTGTCTTCACCCGACAAGATACGTGATTCGTTTTATCGTATCCTTCATCTACACAATACCAACCCAGACAAGATTAAATGGCCAGAAACCATTAAATTTAATTGGATCAATCTGTTAAAACCAATTCTTGCAGCATCGATTGCCATTGCAGAGACGATTGAAAAGGGCCAACCAGTATTGATTCAATCACGTGACGAATCAGATTCGGATGCACAACTCTCTTCCATCTCTCAAATCCTCCTAGACTCTCATTATCGTACCATTGAAGGTTTCCGTACACTCGTCGAAAAGGAATGGTTATGTTATGGTCATGCATTTGCTCGTCGTTCGGGTCATGACTTTGCTCGTCGTAATACATCATCTCTATCATTACCAGCAAATAATACATCCATGTCCAATCTGGGATCGGCACTTCTCGGAGGAAATAGTGGCAATTCAATACCAAATTCACAAAGTTCAACGTCAATCAATACTTCTGGTTCCAATTCATTATTATTCCCAGCATCATTTGAACCAGATCCCAACTTTTCACCCATCTTTATGCAATTTATATTTATAGTTTGGCAAATTTACAAAGAGTTTCCAACAGCTTTTGAATTTAACGAACAATATCTTGTCGATCTCATAGATTCTACTTTTAATTGTAGATTTGGTACTTTTCTTTGCAACAATCTTAAAGAACGTGAATCCATTTTTCAACATACAAAATCATTTTGGAGTCATGTAGCTCAAAATCAACAACAATATTTAAATCCTTTATTTATTCAAGAAATTGATAACAACAATAATAATAATAATAATTCACCAACTTTATCTTCCTCTTCCTCCAAGAGAATTGGATATTTAAAATGTAATAGAATTTATCAAGATGCAATGTGGAATGAATATTTTTATCGATATTGTTTCAAATCAATGTTGGCAGTTGAACATTTGGAAGAAAGAATTCGTATCGTTTTGGATCCAACATTAAATTTGACAATGTTGGACTTGTCATCACTTAGATTGTACATGTTGCCAGAGAGCAAATTTGCATTGAGAAAAATGACAAATCTTGTTCAACTGTCGCTGGCAAAGAATAATTTAAATACTATTCCTATTGGATGTTTTTCGTCCATGGTCAATTTGGAAGTATTAAATTTGGAAGAGAATCAAATCGTATCAATGTCACCACTCAATGTTGCCTTGCTAGCACAGAGTTTACCAAATTTGACTGTTTTAAATCTTGGATCCAATCAATTTGATGATTTACCAATGACTTTGACCAAATTTGCCAAATTACAAGTCCTATCGATTCCAAACAACAAGTTTGATCGTGTCCCCGATGTATTGGATCATTTGACTACATTGGTTGAATTGGACATGTCAAAGTGTCAAGTGGCTAGTATCAAGATTCCTCTGGCCAGTAAAGCCACACTGACAAGTTTGAATCTTTCACATACAGACATTACCAGTTTACCAGAGGAAATTGGTGAATTGATTCATTTGGAAAATCTTAATCTTGGTCATAACCTATTGTCTCTATTACCTCCGACATTTGCCAATCTATCGAAATTAAAAACACTATCAATGGAAGGAAATCAATTTACAAGTTTACCAAATGAAATTCTTCAACTGTCACAATTGCAAGAATTGATTTTGGAAAATAATCTAATTGGTTCTTTACCAAGTGATATTAATCATCTAAGTAATTTGCGTATACTTAATCTTAGATTAAACAAGTTGGATATTTTACCAGCAAGTATTGGTCAATTGTCAAATCTAACTATACTCAACTTGGCACAAAATGCAATCACTCAATTACGTCCAACAATGGGACTCTTGTCTGGTTTATCAGAACTCAAACTTGATGGTAATCCATTACGTACACCACCACCAGAAATCTTACATCAAGGTCTTCAAGCAATTTTGGATTATCTAAAAGATTTGATCAAAGGTCAAGAACAATGTTATCGTATGAAATTAATGATTGTTGGACAAGAAAATGTTGGTAAAACAACATTACTCAAAACATTAAGAGATCGTAAAAAGAAACCAAGTGTGGCAGGACCAAATATATCGACCGATGGTATTGTTATTGACAATTGGGTATTTAATGGACAATTTGATGATATTGACGTGGATTCTGGTCGACCCATCAAAAAGAAACAAGATATTACACTGTCGGTATGGGATTTTGCAGGACAAGAAATTTATTATACAACACATCAATTCTTTTTATCTGAACGTTCAGTTTATATTGTTGCTTGGAATATTATATTGGAAGAAGAAGCATCACGAGTAGAGTTTTGGCTGCAATCTATTACAACTAGAACCAAAGATGCACCTATTATTATTGTTGGAACTCATTTGGATGATAGTAATAAGGCATCGGCCAAGGCAGTCAAGAAAAAGATGTTGGAAAAATATCTTCCTCGCTTCCCAAATATTAGAGCCATCAAAATGGTTAGTTGTACAAATGGTAAAGGAATTTCAAGTCTTCGAGAGACATTGGAAGAAATTGTTCAATCTCAACCTACTATGGGTGAATCTCTACCACGTAGCTACATGTTGTTGGAAAATTTGGTCAAAGAAGAAACAAAAAAACGTATCATACCAACTATACCATGGCAAGAATTTGTTCAAATGGGTACTATATGCACCATTACAGATGAAGCAGAATTATTACGTGCTACGATGTTTTTAAATCAACTTGGATCACTTGTTTACTTTTCCAAGGAATTGGGATTGAAACAATTTGTTATTCTCGATCCACAATGGATAACGGTCATGTTGTCATCTATTATTACAACCAAACATAGTTATGCAAAGGATGGTATTTTGGCACACAAGAGTTTAAAGCAAATTTGGCGTCCCCCACAATACCCAGAAAACCTTCATCCACATTTGATCATGTTGCTTGAAAAGTTTGAAATCTCCTACAATTTGGGTGGACCACTTAAAAAGACATCTCTGGAACAGATTGACGAGAATGGACAAAGTTTAATCCCATCATTATTGCCAAACGAACGTCCAGCGAGTTTTGCAAGTTTATGGACCGCCTACAACCCCAAACTACATCAAGAACAATTTGGAAGAAATTATGAATTTGAATTTATACCAAACGGATTCTTTTCGAGGTTGATGGTTAGAATTTTAAATTTTGCAAAGACTGAAGCAAGATGTTATTGGCGCAATGGTATGCTCCTTCAACGACAAGACGAACAAATCTTTATCGAAATGATTCCATCTCGTAAACTCATGTGTTTTACAGTTCGTGGTAAACAAAGTGCTCAATTGTCTCGTGATGTCATTGAAACGATTCAATCATTATTGGATGATTCATTCCGTTTGGAATGCTCAGTCTATGTACCATGTATTCATTGCATCAAGAGCAATGCAGCACATCCATCTAAATTTTCTTTGGAAAGTTGTGAAAATGCTGCAGTCAAGGGTATCCCATATCTCAAATGCCAAGGTCGTTTCCAAGTTCGTACTGACCTCCTTGTACCTGACCTTGTCATGTCAAACTTTACTGGATCGAAAATTAGTTATAGTCATTTATCGCTGGACGAATTGATTGGTGAAGGTGGAGCTGCATTGGTTTATCGTGGTCGTTGGAAAGATCAAGTGGTTGCTATCAAAAAGTTAAAGACTGTCAGTGCCGAAGCACCAACTCTTGGTGTCACTCTAGAGATTAATGACATTTCGCTATCCAAAGCATTCAACGAATTTAGAAGAGAATGTTGGGTAATGAGTGGTATTGAACATCCAAATATCGTTCAACTTAAAGGTCTTTGTCTTGACCCTCTGTGTATTGTAACAGAATATTTACCACATGGAAATCTTTACAAGTTTTTACATGGCAAGGAACCAGTATCATGGGTATTACGTTTAAAGATTGCTTTGGATATTGCATCTGGTATGGCTTTTCTTCATGGATCAACACCATCCATTATTCATCGGGATCTAAAGACTCCGAATATTCTTTTGGCATCCATTGATGAATCATCACCAGTCATTGCAAAGGTTGTAGATTTTGGTTTATCTGGATTACAACATACCATAACCAATAGAGGAGTAGAAAATCCTGTTTGGTTGGCACCAGAAATCATTGAAAAACAAGAAGCAACTACTCAAAGTGACATTTATGCCTATGGTGTCATCTTGTGGGAACTACTTACTCAAAAGGATTATTTTGGTGATTTAACCTTTATGAGTATGTTGGAGGACAAGGTTGTTAATGGTGAACGTCCAGAAATACCAGAATCATGTCCACCAGCCTACAGTCAACTCGTACAAGATTGTTGGCAAAATGATCCACTCAAAAGACCACCATTCCATGAAATCGAAGAAAGAATTCTCGCCCTCGTTTCTGAAATGTTCCCAAACCTCAAAATGGTAGATCCAAATGAATATATTAAAGAAAAAAGAAAATCTATTCGTCAACATAGAAAAAGTATTAGTAGCAATGAATCAAAAATAGTAGAAGAAAAGGAATTGGAACCAATTAAATTAATTACTCAAAGTCAAGAAGTTAATTTTTTTAAAGATCAAAATATTAATAATAATAATAATAATAATAATATGAATAATAATAATAATAATAGTAATCATAATGGTAATAATAATTCTTCACCTTTATCATTTTATCATAATCCAAAAAGATCATCAGTACAAGTTCAACCATTTTTTAATGAATATAAAGATTCATTACAAGGAGGTGAAGAAGATGGATCTGTACAATGTATGATTACAGTAAATGATAATATATGGGTTGGTAGTGGAAATGGATCGATAACAATTTGGAAACAAAATGGAGAAAAATTAACATCTATTCGAGCACATGAAAAGAGAATTCATTGTCTTTATCCATATATGAATACAGTTTGGTGTGGATCTGCAGATAATAACATATCGATTTATAACAGTGAAACATTTACATTGGTAAAGAAATTTACTGGACATTCACCAACTTGTTTTACATCGGTTGGTCATACAATGTGGGTTGGATCACTATTCAATGCCATTCATGTTTGGGATATAAAGAAAAAGATTAAATATAGAAATAAGATTTCTTTGGAATTTGGACCTGTCGAAGCAATGCTCAAACGTGACAATGAAGTTTGGGTTGCTCTATCCAACAATATTGCTCGTATCGATATTAATTCTCAACGTGTCACTCAAATGATCAAAGGTCATGAAAAGACGGTTCATTGTATGATTGAGGTGGATGGTTCTACTGTTTGGTCTTGTTCTAGTGATGGAACGATACGTATTTGGGGATCACAATCTGGTCAACACATTTATACCATTCAAGCTCATCAAAGTCGTATCTTTTCTCTCATTCAAGTTGGTGATTATGTTTGGTCTGGTTCTTGGGATTGTAGCATTAAAATTTGGAGTATAAAAGATTATCAATTTGTAAATGAAAATAGAATCATTCATAAAGATGCTATTAGTAGTTTTATCCTAATTCAAAATAATCAACAAAATCAACAACAAAATAATAATAATAGATTAAATAGACAAGTATGGTCAGGATCATGGGATAAGAATATTTGTATATGGCAATTAAATCCACTCAATTTAAATAGTTCTTACAATTCAGATGTTTATACTTCTGGTCAATTATTATCAGATACAAATTCTTCTCATTCTTCATTTGGTGGTGGTGGTGGATCATCACAAAATGTTTCCCCAATCTTAACATCTTCAAATAATAATAATAATAATAATAATAATAATAGTAATAATGATTTATCAACTCCATCACTTAAAGGAGATACTCCTTCATCTACTTCATCATCATCTTTACCACCCATTTCAATGTCAGCTAGTCCAAGTACTTCAGGTGGTACATTAAGAAGTCATGCTCGTAGAACAGTCTCTTTTGTTTTGGATAAAATTAATAGTAACAATAATAATAATAATAATAACAGTAATCAAAAGAAATAAGGCAACACACATTTATCTATTTATTTTCCCTACCAAGCTTGTAATATTAAATAAATAAAAAAAATATATTTATAACAATTAAATTTTCATTTATTTATTTAGACTAAATCAAGTGATTGTTGATTCACCAGAAGATTCATCGATACCTAAATCAAAGTGGCTTGGTGAACAATACATTCCAAGTGAGACTTGAAGGGTGACACGAGCATCTCGAGAAAGAGTTACTGTAAATGATACAGTGACAAGCTTTTCTTTGACGCCACAGTCTACAATTGTTCTATAGATTGTATTCTCGCGGGTCTGGTGGTCCGAGAATGGGTTATTCCTGTCATAAATGTTGATCGCTAAATATGATTTACCCAATTCAAAGTTTGATTTAAAGATAACATCAATTGTACCCGATAAAACCTTTGTTTCATCGGACCAACTAGTTACACGGAAACTATTATCGATGATTCCTGATTGTTGGTATGGAGTAGGTGGTGTCATGAATGTAACAATGTGTTGTTGTTTTACCTTTGAAGATTTTCCAATCATTACTCAAGTTTTTTTTTAATGGAGGAAATCTTTTGGAGAACAAGAATATGATGAAAAATCCTCGACAATAGAGGTGGTAGCAAAAAAAAGGAACAAATTTTTAAAGGATTTCATCGGGAATAGGTTTTTGTGGTCAGGATTGGTTCGATTTTAATGATTGATTGATAAAAATGTAGGGAATCGTGAGTAGAACGAGAATATGATGAAAAATCCTCTATGTCGAAAAAAAAAACAGGCAATAAAGTCGCTCCTAGTTGGGATCGAACCAACGACCCTGCGGTTAACAGCCGCATGCTCTGCCTACTGAGCCATAGAAGCGTATTTTTTAGATGAGTTGAAAAACATTTTTCGCCTATTTATAGGTGACAATTGTTTGTTATATAAAAGCTACATTATTTTTAATCTTTTGGTTTGTTTACATTAAATTTTCATTGATTATCAAAGTTGAACATACCTTTGGTACATGGATAATATAGCCACAATTGATTTGTACTCAGAAAATTGTTAAAATCTCAAAATAGATTAACACCTCTGTGATTAAATTTCTTTTAAACATTTAGTTTTTTGGGAATCTACATTTTGAATTTTAATTTTTAAATTGATATAATTAAATACTAAAAAAAATCGATCCTAATCATCAAATCAAATTCAAATCATATTTGCTTATCAATTCAAATCACACACCAATTTGAAAACTACAACCTTTTCCAACAATGTCGAAATTAACAATCACTATAGCCATTATTGTTGTATTTCCTTTGTATTTGTATATGCTCTAACTTTAGGTCTCAATGATCCAAGCTTGGACACCGCCATTCTCCTCTTGAGATGATGTTGCATGACGAATGAGTCCTCTCTATTTTTAAAGAGTACAAATTGTTTACAATTTTGAATTACACTGGTATTATGACCAGTCCAATGGTCTGTAATGAAACTTGTCTATCTACATATTCTTCCAATCCTTGGAGGTCCAAAATTGTACTTTAATGATCAACTCTCTTTTGGGGCAAAATCCATAATAATATATAAAAATTAAATAAATTAAAAAAACTGATTCACAATTTGTTTGTAATTTTTTGACCCATTTAATTTATAAATATATTTCATTTTCTCTCATAATAATATATTCGTAAAAAAAAAAAAGGAAATAAAAAAAAATACACCAATAATAGGGTTCGAAGTCGTAGGTGTTTTATAGATGGGGATTTAATGGATTTCGATGGCGAATGGATAGAAATGTAGCCACAGATGTGTAGTACATATAGATAATAGCGGCAACGTGAAAAAAATAATCCTGTGGCCGAAGACAATAAAAAGTTGAGGCCCCATCGAGGTTCGAACTCGAGACCCCTTCCTTACTAGGGAAGTACAATAACCACTATGCTATGGGGCCTTGCTTTTTTGATGCAAAAAAATCAGCATCCCCCTATTTATACCCCCATTTTTTTTTAACACATTTGCCACCGGCAAAAGGGAAAAACAGATGGACGAATGGGTTCAAGTATTCTGTAAGGGTACCTCTTTAATAAATGTGGATCTCTTTTAAATTAAATTGAATCTAAAAGAGTGTGGTATAGACCAACTCTTTAAATAGATCGATACGATTATGATCAATCGTATAATTTACACTTTCAATTAAACATTCTGGATACCTATACTTTATAAATAAATATTTTACTATTTCTAAATTTCCACTTTCAATTGCCTAAAAAATAAAAAGAAAAAAAAGATTAATAATAAATAAAAAATTTTGATTTATTTATATTTTTTACCGTGTGTAAAGTAGTTTTAGAACAATATAGAATATGTTGAATTAGGAATTGTACAAAATGTAGGGAACCATTGACAATTGCTCTAGTCAATATATGTGATTCCAATGTTTTACGTTGACGTGGATTTGTTTTGATTAAATATTTGAGCATCTCCAAGTTTCCAGTAGATGCAACATCTCGAAACAAACTATCAAAACAACCTCTAACAAGATTTTCATGTTTTGATCGAAAGGATTTGATGATTGTACCCTACGATTACATGCAAACTCTGTCAGCGATTCTTGATAATTTGTATCTACCAATTGAAACATTAATTCAATGATTTCATCTCGATTCCTTTGTATCTTGAGATCCCTCCTTTTAATAGCTTCTATTAATGAATCTAATAGTTGTATTGCCATTTCTTTTGATTGTTTAGATAATTGTTCTATTATCCATTTGAATATTTCAACTTGATTATAAAATGCTGCATTCCATATGATCGTATGTGATAGTTCTGGTAGTCTTGTTGAAAATGTCTGATAAATCTCTTCAACATAGTTAAAGTGTCCATCTCTGACTATGTACTTGATGACAGAAATCAAATGAGGAGTGTATGGTAAATCTCCATCTCTAGACCAACGATATTTTGAATAGACCAATCGTTTTTGACGTCTAACACTTTTTTGATTCGATCAATGTATCCATATCTTGATAATTGATTAATATTATCTTTTAATTGACTCCATTTATAAATCTTTAAATGATTATTTATTGTTGAATTATTGTTGTGTGATGATGATAATAATAATGATGATATTTTGGTAACTTGATCGAATATATATCTTTTAATGATCACATTTCTTAGTAATCTTGAAAATAACTCTGTTTTACTAGTAGTAGTAGTAGTAGTAGTATTATCATTCATTACTATTATGATTATTACTGTGTGTATGATGATCTTTTAAAAAAATGAATGATTTTGGTCCTAAAATGAATTTACTCGTTTGGGCATGTTTAAAATTTTTAGCGCCAAATTAATCTTTTAACCTAGACCAACAATTGTCCAGTGAGTTTTTTCATTCTTTATTTTTTTAAATGTAAGAATCAATTTGTAAAACAAAAAGATATTGAACAATATGGAAGATAAATAAAATTCCTAAATCTTTATAAAGTTTGAATGAAAGGATTTTTATATATTGAAATAAATATATATCACTTGAGAGAGTTTAGAGATAAAATAAAGAACTAATTGATTCTTTTTTCAAGGACAGTTTTGAGGATAAAATTGTGAAAAAAAACCACATTTAACTTGCGCTCTATAGGTGTCGTGAGTTTTTTTTTGACAATTTAAACAAAAAACAATTTTTGGGAACGACCGACCTTTGTTCCCGGTCATCCCACTCTGTATTGCTTATTATTACAATGTTTTTGAGCATATTTTGAGATTTTTTACAAGCTGATTAAAAATAGAGCAAAAAAAGAATTACAATTAATTCGAACCTATCTTTGTGCCCGAGATCAATGCGAACCTATATTATATAAAAACTCGTCGAAGATTATAGTATAGGGCATTGCCTCGATACAAGGATCAATAGTAGTTTCGAAATTGAGGACGAGGTAAAAAGTTGCAATTTTTTTTTTTTTTTTTTTTTTTTTTTTACAAGTCGAGTTTAAATAGCGCAAATTTCATTTGGCCATCATCTACCATCTGTGCCCGGTTAGCTCAGTCGGTAGAGCGCGAGGCTTTTAACCTCGTGGTCGGGGGTTCGAGCCCCCCATCGGGCGCAATTTTGCTCCTTTATTGCATGGGTGGCGAGCTGGGACGTTATTTTTAACATTTCCTGAATCTCCGCACTCGTGGCTACCATTATATGCAAGTTTCATCGATTTTGGTCAAATCCTTATAGGTAATATGCTATTCATCGAAATTGATCAAGTTTACCTAGGTCCACAGATGATGTGTTAGTATAGTGTATTAAGATTCCTTAAAGGACATGGGAGATATGTACCTACAATGACCGACCACATTTAAACAACTTGTAACCCTGTCGATTCAGTACTTTAATACATTTTAAATTAAACCTTTAAATAAATGAAATAGTATTTTATTTTATTTATTTATTGCTTTCTTTTTCTTATATTACAACCAAAAGGAGCAGATATCGATAAAGTTGCTATAGTCCAAGGGGTGTTGTCACTGAAGATGGACGTCGCTAATTGACATATGGTACAGATGTCAATTTAAATTGTTGATTATCCAAAAATCTTCACAATTTAAATTTAAAAAACGAACAATTCCCCAGACTCTAAGTAATTTTAACTCAAATGCGGGCAATCAATCTAGCTCTCTAGGTCACAACACTTTTATCAAGTTATATAAAAGAGCATGATACTAGCTATTTATTACTAGTAAATACTTTATCAAAAACATGTTTAAATATACAATCTATTTAACAATTGTATTATTATTATCATTGATTGTTTGTTGCTGCTACGGTTCTTTATCATCATCAATTATCTACAACAATATTCAACCAATTGTTGAATCTACTACTAGTCAATGTCAAAATTGTCTTGTACAATCAAACTCTGCATCTTCTCAAATCAAACAACTCTTGCAATCTTTCACATTTTCTAGTTGTTCTGTAAGTGTAGATACAAAAACAATAATATTATTTCTTTTTTTTATTTATTCTCTTTTTTTCTTTTTTCAAAGTCATTATGTAGTGAAATAACAATAACAAATCAAGATATATGTTTAATAGTTTGTAATGCATTTGGTATTACAACGTATACTAGTAACTTTTTAAAAGAAGATGATGTCATTTATTTCTGTCAAGTCGCTCAACAATGCCCAACCAACAATGCTCCAAATGCCTATGTTCAGCAAGTTGTATCAACACCCAAATATGCTACTCGTGGTCAAAAAGTAGAGGTCGATGCAACCATCTATGTTCAAGACGCTCTTGGTATTGGTCAAGTCCTTTTTAATGTGACCGATTCCAATAGTAATTCCATCTTCACCTCTGCCTATGTCCTAACAAACTATGCATCCTATAGTCAAGTCACACTTGGTATTCCAGTAGACACTACCTCTTTAAAATCTGGTACTTCCTATGAAACTACTGTCACTGTTTGTTCTGGTACTTGTGATTCAATCTATCCTGGTTCAAAATGGCTTGGTTCATCAAATGGTTATTTTTATCTTGAATAGAAAATAAATAAATAAAATATATTTATATTTATTTATTCATTTATTCCAAATAATGAATCAAAACTATCAATATTTCTATATTTTTGATCAATCAATTTTGCAATAGATTGAAAATTCATATTGATTGCAGTTTTGTATGCTTGTTCTGGATCACATTCTGTTCTATTTTCAAATAACCAAATAATTGTATCCAAATGTTGACCGAAAATAGCATTGATGACAGCTTGACTTGTACAACCTTCAGATCTATATTGATGTAACCATTGAACTACATTTAAATGACCATTCATACTAGCCATATCCATTGCATTTTTTGAACAACCAACCGTACCGTTGTTTTGATGTAACCATTGAACAATATGTAATTGACCACGACTTGCTGCTGCATCCATTACAACCGATCCAATACGATCGGGATAATGTTTAAAAATCCATTCAACAATGTCTAGATGACCATTTCTAGCTGGGGCAACAACATAAACAGTCATTGGTTCTTGATTCATATTTTGATGTAACCAAACCACTATATCTAAATATCCATTAGACATTGCATATTCCATTGCATCTTTACATCCTTCAGTTCTATTTAATTTTAAATATTTTAATATATCCAAATGTCCATTCTTTGATGCATTATCCATTGCAAGAAAACTACAACCTTCGGTTCTATTGAGATGAATAAATTTTAGAAATTCTAAATTTCCATTCAAACAACAATAATTCATTGCCTTTTCATTACAATTAAAACCTTTTTCATGTAAATATTTAAATATCATAAAATGATCATTCTTGGCACAATTATTCATTGCTTCAATTGTACATCCTTCAATTCTATTTTCAATTAAATACTAAAAAGAAAATTAAAAAATAAAATGTATTAATACAATATTATTATTATTATTATCTTTTTATATTTACTTTGACTATATTTAAATGACCATTTAGAGAAGCATTATCAATTGCATTTGTAGTACAACCTTCAACTCTAGTTTTATCAAGATAATGAACTATATTTAGATGACCATTCTTAGCTGCATCATCCATTGCAGATACAGTACAACCAATTCTTTGATTGTTTGTTAACCAAATAAGATTTTCTAAATGACCATTTGAACTAGCCCAATCAAATGCTTTATATGATATCTTTAAATTTGGGAATCTTTCTAATAGTAATTGAGCAATATCTAGATTACCAGTTTTACCAATAATATAATCCAACATGATTGTATTATTTGGTGACGATAATGATACAGGTTGATAATCTCTTGACCACTTTAAAAGTTGTTCAACTGTATTGTGGTTTGCATGTAATCTCATACAATACTGTGAAATTGCTTTACATTGTATATCAAGACTAACATCTTGAACAAGAGGTAAATAATGTTTAATAAATGACCAATCCAATGAAAATATACCAATCACTAATAAATCTCCACCTCTAATATGATCAATCAATGATTCTCCTCTAATATATCGAAGTGGTGGTTTTGAAGTAGATGTTGTTTTAAATTCTAAAATCTCTTTAAATATTTGATTTCTAATTACTAAATTTCTAAATATACTTAAAAATGTTATTATATTATTATTATCCATTATTAATAATTATCTCAATTGTGAAAAAAAAAAAAAGTCAAATGAAGTTGGTTTCTTTAAAAAATCTTGTTTTTATTTTTGTTTTTTTTTTTTGTTTTTTTTTAAATATTTAAATCTTTTTCTGTCAATTCTAAAGATAATTGTTGAATATCTTTAATAAAATGATCATCTTTTTCTTCTTCTTTTGTTTCCTTTTTAGATTCAATATTTGATTGAACAAAATCAACCAAAGCTTTTACACTTCTTGTATTTTGATAATCAATAATAGTTTGGTCTTTTTGGAATAATGAAATATGAGGATACCCATTGATTCTAGATTTCATAATATCAGGACAACTATTTACAGTTGTATCATAATTATAAATATCAATACCATCCAAACCATAAATCTTTACAAGTTGTTTTGATGCTTCTTCAAAATAAATATTCATTAATTTACAAAATCCACACCCTTTAAAAATAAAATAATTAATATATGAAGATTTCTTTTCTTTTTTTTTTCAAGTACTTACAATTTGCATTAAAATAAATTAAAGTTGGTTTTTTTAAATTTTGAATGGTTGAATTAAATTGATTATAAACCAATTTATCAATATTGATATTTAATTCTTTTTGATCAAATTTTGAATCACTTGTCGTTGAATGTAAAAGTTTTCCTTGATTAAAATCTAATAAAAATTGTTTCATTGATTCATAATCCAAAGTAGAAGAAGAAGAAGAAGAAGAAGAAGAAGATCTAGATTTGATATAATGTTTTTCATTGATTAAATCAACAATTGCAAATCCAGGTAATCTATCAATTCCTAATTTTTCATAAAAATCTTTATATGATACTCTATAAATTAAAATTAAAAAGTTAATATTTATATTTTTTTTTTTTCTATTTTTTCTTCTTACCCATCTAAAAAAAAAAAATTAAAAGAATTATTAAATAATAAAGGAGATTTTAATAATTTATAATAATCTAATAAATAGGATGGAATTGATTTTGAATCATTTTTTTCAATTTGATTATAAATTGGTGAAAATGAGATTGCATCGGTAGTATAATTTAAAAATAATAATACATTTGGTTTATCATTTTTTTTAAACTTGTAAATCGATTCATATTTTCTGGTGTCAATTCAAACATGTTTGGTTTACGAGACAATAACCAATTAAAAATTGATTTACTAGTATGATTTGAATTTGAATTGTCTGATTGATTTAAAAAATAAAATCTATTTTCCATTGGATATAAATTTAAAATACCAAAAGATTTGGAACTATTTTCCTCTTTTTCATCTCTAAAAGGATATAAATGATTTAAATGATCAATTATAGTTTCTTGATGAATCACTGCCAATGGAGTTTTAAATGCCATTTTGTTTACAAGTTGAATGAATTTTTCAAAATCTTGACCAACCGATGTCATTGGATAAATACCAATGACTGCATGACTACTTGCAATATTAATAAATGATTCCAAATCTTCTACTTTGTCTATTCTAACCAAATGATCCATTGTTTGACGAGCCAAAAAACTTGCCAATACATTTGAATGTGTTGGTCCACGTGGAATCACATTACCTCCCTTTCTACGATACAATTGTATTACTGGGAATCCTCCAATACTTTGACGATCTCTTATTTCAAGATTCTTGAATCCATTGACTCTTGCAAATACAACTGGTTTTGATAATTTTGATTGATTATTATAAAGTTTTCTTGCTCCATCCACTTCAATTGATAATGTTTGTGATCTACTACACCATGGTGCATAAAATAATACAAATACAAAATCATTTTCTTGTAATACTTTATCAAAATTGGTACCATTTAATTCCATTACTGAATCATATGTAACTTTTACTGGATTATTATTATTATTATTGATAGTTGTAGTAGTTGTTGTAGTAGTAGTAGTAGTTGTAGTTATAGTTGATGTATCATCTTGGATTTTTTGTTTTAATAAAGATTCTACTTTTTTATGTTGTTCGGTTGAATCTGTATCATCAATTGTATAAGTTACACCATCTATAATGATTTGTATTGGTGATGCTTTACCTCCAATTCCTTGTATCAATTTTTGTACCACTTCATCTACTAATCCAGATGATTCCATCTCTTCCAATTCAATCTCTTCCAATTCAATATCTTCTTCTTCTTCTTCTTCTTCTTCATCAATAATGATAAAATCTTCTTCTTCTTCTTCAATAATGATAAAATCTTCTTCTTCTTCTTCCAATTCATCTGTTTCTATTTCTTTTTCAATTTTACCAACATTTGGAGATTTAAATAATAAAGGATCAGCACCAGTATAGGGAGCACTTTCTCTTTGACCAATGGCAATAGCATCAAATACTTGTTCTTGAATACCACGAATGATATCAAGTGGTTCTTTGGCATGATCATTTAACAAATGATTTAATGCTTGTTTTTCGAGTGGTGTTGTCTTTGCATTATTGATATGTGATTCGATTGTATTGATGGCCGATACTGCAATCCATAGTTGTTTATTGTATCCAGTCTCTGATAACATTTCAACAATAAATCTTGCAACTGCCATCTTTAAATCTTCATTTTCAATATCCAATGATTCTTGTTCTTTTGTTTTTGAATGCTTTTTCAAATCAATCAAATATTCATCCAACTTTGTTGCTTTTCTATTGATCAACTCTATCATCTCCTTGTTTACACCAAACTCTTCTGCCTTGGTGTAAATATTCTTTAATGCTAATACAAGATTTTCATTCTCTCTCTTTTCATTGATTATACTATCTATTCTTTCTTTTATATCTTCAGCTGATTCTTGTTGTGATATAGATATAGATATAGATATTGTAGTAAAACATAATAATAAAAATATAAATAATATATAAATACTTTTACTATTACTATTATTCCTTTTCTTTGTAATCATGATTATAATTTAATAGAAGAGTGTTGAAGCATACCTTACTTGTTGTTCACACTTGTGATGATGAGTGTCACATGACGGGCAATTTATTTTTTCATGTATGTGAATTTTTCATTTTTTTTATAATATTTTTCACGATCAGCTGACCGAGTCTCACCTCTCACTGTGCTCTGTCTCTCTCTGACAAAAGACACTGATTCGATTGTATAGAGTGTTTAGAAACCGCGTCAAGTGTATGTAACAAAACACTTTTTAAGAGAGCGATTAGATACAGTTATATAGTTCTTTGGTTTTAACATCCCACATCACTACCCCTACCACTATCTATCCATTCTACCTCCTACTATTCTATCTATTTTTTTTTATATACTTTATAGCAAACATGCAGATCTTCGTTAAGACTTTAACAGGAAAGACCATCACTCTTGAAGTTGAAGGTTCAGATACCATCGAAAACGTCAAGGCTAAGATCCAAGACAAGGAAGGTATCCCACCCGATCAACAACGTCTTATCTTTGCCGGTAAGCAACTCGAAGACGGTCGTACCCTCTCGGATTACAACATCCAAAAGGAATCTACCCTCCATCTCGTTCTCCGCCTTAGAGGTGGTATCGAGCCATCCCTCGTTCTTCTCGCCCGTAAATACAAGTGCGACAAGATGATTTGCAGAAAGTATGTATCAAAAACCAGAAACAAACGACCGATTCAAAATTAAATGAAAATCATTGCTAACAATTTTTTACCCTCTTCCCTACCATTACTATTCATCAGGTGTTACGCCAGACTCCACCCACGTGCTGTCAACTGCCGTAAGAAGAAGTGTGGTCACTCCAACAACCTCAGACCAAAGAAGAAGTTATTGAAGTAAATAATAAAAGGATGTATCTTGCATGTTATAGGGTTACACCATCTGAAAATACATATTATCTTGTTATTATTTTTCTGTCTACTAGTCATCTTACTAATGGTACAAAATTCGAATATTAATTCTCTTATCGTCACATTCATTTCAACCATCAATTCAAATACCAATTTCAAAACTACAAACCTTTCCAACAATGTCGAAATTAACAATCACTTTAGCCATTATTTTTTTGTTTTGCTTTTGTATTTGTAAATGCTCAAAGTATGTACATCTATCTTTATCATCGTCATGGATGGTGGTACTGTTGGGTAATATCAAACATTGCTACATTGGTGATCTCTTATAAACCAGAAGGATCAATGGTCATGCAACATCAACTCAAGTTGAATGGTGGTGTCCAAGCTTGGATCAATCCATACTGTAATATGGCTACTCCAATGGTCTGTGACACTGTCTATCTGTTCCGAGTAACTCTGTCACACAAAAGAAAATGCTACTATGTCGTACAGGTCCTAACCAAGCCATACATGCTTTCTCTTCTAGATCATACTGTAGATCATACACCCCATCATACTCGGTCCCCCAGCCCTTACCAATTGTACAGGTATCCAAACCAATCAAGTGGTCAAAGAGATAAAAGTCTATCGAGTGGCCGATACAGAGGTCCGCCAAGATCAAACTAAAGTGATCTTACCCAACGGTGTATCTAAAAACCAGTGGTGACAAAGAGACACACTGAAATGCTGAATACGGAATGAGGATGAATTCCACTCTCGAATTCATCTGTCGTCCCACTCTATCCAATTCCACTCCCGTCCCTCTATCTATCAATCTATCCCACTCATGCTCGATTCTTAAAGGACACTCTAGATGAAGAAGATGGGTCCTCCCTGGACTGTGCCCTACAATGAGAGGCACTCCCAAGCCAACAGAGGCACCTCTCTCTCCTCCCCCAAGCCAAGAGAGGTACCCCCCTCTACTCTCCTATCCCATTCAAGAGAGGTGCCCCCCTCTCCTCTCCTATCCAAGATAGGTACACCTCTCCTCTTCCATGGAGGCACTCTCTCCTCGTTATCTCTATTATCTCTGCGATTCGCTAAATTATCTCTTGAACCATGAAAGAAATGTCTCACAGCGAGAACGATGACAAACAAAATGAAATGAAATTAGAGCAAAAATAAAATCAAAAGTCTCTCTTTCCACATCAACTATCAACCTTGACCATTGATCCTATTTCCAATGTTTAGCTAAATATAATAGTAATGATTCTAATTAAACCAGCGAGCTAGAGAAAAGCTACTACAATACTGTCACACTGGTACTAACCAATCTCTACTTTCTTCTTTCTATTTTCTCTCCCCTTCTCTCTCTTTCTCTCTACTTTGTAGCTACAAACAATACAGATAAAAAGACTAGAGAGGTAATGGATTCACAGCGAGGTTGTACAAGTGTCAGAATTCCAATGGAATAGATCCGTCACGACAGAAGCTACATTTCATCATGTACAAGAGAATCAAGTATGCTGTCGTCTGCAAGAACGATCCATTAATGCAAAAGTCTGCTCAACTGGGTAGATCCTCTAGATCACGTTCTAGATCTCGCCGCCATAGATCATACTCCCTATTAAACCGATCAACAAGTGATAGTATTATGACATAGGAGTGGCCAAAGAGATAGCAGCCGATCAAGATCCAATTATACAAGTGGCTGACGAGATAGAGGTCTATCGAGAGGCTGATACAGAGGTCGATCACCAATTCCTTAACAGACCAATTGTCACTCCTCCATCATCCAACCGATCATCAACTGTCACCACTCCATCAACAGACCAACGGTCATCTACCTCCACTACCACAACTGATACACCAACAGAAATCAATCGGCAGAGGATTGCCACACTCGATTGGATCCCAGTTATCTACATGTTGATGATCGATTGGGCGTTGGGTAGTGACAAGTGGATTTCATCAATAGACAAAATCATCACCGTTGACTGACCTACTTAATCAACAGCGTCTCTGAGAGAGAGAGAGAGAGAGAGAGAGACACCCTCGAAGATTATAAGATGGGCACTCACCAGGGTCAAGAATACCTCGCACATGTCTGATGCGTTGGAGCTACCAAGGTACTAAAGCGAGTTGGTTCATCCTATCTACCGGCTCAAGGAACTCTGTCACACAATCTCTCTATCAAGACAGAAGCTATATTTCATCATGTACAAGAGAATCAAGTATATTGTCGTCTGCAGGAATGATCCAATATTGCAAAAGTCTGCTCCTCTTCTCAGCTGGATTCAATCCGTAGTTATACCACCGCCAGATCCTCTAGATCACCTGCTAGATCACACCGACCTAGATCACGTTCTAGATCACGCCGCCATAGATCATACTCTCGATCGTACTGTAGGTCATACACCCCATCATCCTCTCGGTCCCCCAGCCCTTACCAATTGTACAGGTATCCAAACCAATCAAAAGAGATAAAAGTCTATCGAGTGGCCGATACAGAGGTCCACCAAGATCCATGTACTCAAGTGATCAAAGTGATAGAAGCCGATCAAGATCAAGATATTCAAGTGGCCGACGTGATAAAAGTCGATCACCAATTGTCACTACTCCAAACCGATCACCAACTGTCACAACTCCAACATCGAGCCAGTCATCAACAGTTACCACTCCAACATCTACTTTATCCACATCTACTACTACCACTGCTGATACACCAACAGAACAGAAAATCAAAGCAGGGGATATCGATTGGACGTTGGAGTAGTGACAAGTGGATTTCATCAATGACCGAAATCGTCACCGGTGACTGACCTACTTAATCAACAGCGTCTCTGAGAGAGAGAGAGAGAGAGGGAGACCCTCGGTGATAAATAGATAGATGGCACTCACCAGGGTCAAGAATACCTCGCACATGTCTGGTGCGTTGGAGCTGCTCAATGGTTCCCTCCTACCGGTTTCAAGGAACTCTGTCACACAATCTCTCTATCAAGACAGAAGCTATATTTCATCATGTACAAGAGAATCAAGTATATTGTCGTCTGCAAGAACGATCCAATATTGCAAAAGTCTGCTCCTCTACTCAACTTGGATTCAATCTATAGTGATACTCTGCCAAATCATCTAGATCAAGTGATTCACTTTCTAGATCACGCCACATAGAACATACCTTCCATCCCGTTCTCCTCGCCCGTAAATACAAGTGCGACAAGATGATTTGCAGAAAGTATGTATCATAAACACACAAACAAACGACCGATTCTTATTAAAACGAAATAATGAAAATCATTGCTATCATCAGGTGTTACGCCAGACTCCACCCACGTGCTGTCAACTGCCGTAAGAGGAAGTGTGGTGCAGTCGATGTCTTGTGGCAGTTCCGAGATGTCTACACATACACACCAAGTAATGGAAACAGGTTGATTCAACAATAAAGTCACATAACAAGCTAATTATACTGCTCCTCACAATAATTGACATCGTGATATTACATCAGAGACAGCACCATTAAGAGAACTTGTTACCTATTATTATACGATGAAAGGACCATCACGAATGTCGATTATTGTGAGGAGCAGTATAAATAGGGGGATGGATATATTTTCGCATCAAAAAAGCAAGGCCCCATAGCATAGTGGTTATTGTACTTCCCTAGTAAGGAAAGGGGTCTCGAGTTCGAACCTCGATGGGGCCTCAACTTTTTATTGTTTTCGGCCACAGGATTATTTTTTTCGCTTTGCCGCTATTATCTATGTGTACTACACATCTGTGGCTACATTTCTATCCATTCGCCATCGAAATCCATTAAATCCTCATCTATAAAACACCTACGTCTTCCAAACCCATCAAAAAAATAAATAAAAATACCTTGACTGTAATATTGTGTATGGTGTATATAATATCTACTGCTAATAATGACAATGATGATAAACAAGATAACTAGATAACTGACAAGATACAATAAACTAGACTGAACAAGACTCTACACGATAGATATACAATTATAACTAGCTACACCAAAGGCATGCAGCGTACCACGCCTTCCTTCATTCCTTCTTATATTATTATCTACTTTAAAGTCCTTCCCCGAAGCTGGAGTATTGGCTAGCGAGGGAGAGTGAGCCTTGGCCGTGATGGATGGGGCAGGAGAAGGTGGTTTAGCAGTGGCGGAAGGAGAGACTGGTTTTTGGAGAATTCTCCGGAGCAGGATGGATGGTGGCAATGGTTTGGAAAGAACGGGGTTGGGTGTGGCGTCTGGAGCCTCGGTGATGACTGGAGATTGTGTAGTATTGAATACAGAGGGAACAAGGTTAACCGTGACGTTGGAGTCGGAAGAGTCGACGTGACCATTCGGTGTAGAGTTAAGGTTTAAAGTGGTGTCGTTTGAAAGTATGTCGGTTGTAGAGTCGTCGGTTGGACTCTTCTTGTTGGTGCTGTTGTGCATCGCATGCTCAGGGTTTAGCTGTTCAAACTCGTCGAGTATGTGTGTCGGTATTTGATCTCTAGTAGACCAGCGGTTGTTGTAGTTGTCGAGACCGGTCCACTTTACGAGATATTGTGGTTTGTTGTAATGCAACCTGAAATCGACAATGGCCTCTATGAGATGTTCCTCGATGAGACCAGAGGTAGGGATGGATACTTGATACGTGGTGTCGCTGAAACGGGATGAGTGGTGGAACGGTTTCAACAAAGAGGAATGGAAAACAGGGTGGATGGCCATAGTATCGGGCAACTCGAGCTTGTACGCTGACTTCTCATCGTTGTGGTTGGTTATGACACTGATAACCTTGAATGGACCTATCCACTTGTTGTACCATTTCCAACTGTGTCGACGCGAGTCGGCGGCAAGAGTGATATTCTTTCTGTTTAGTAGAACCATATCACCGACGTTGAGAGACTCTTGAACTTTACCACGGTCATGGTATTCCTTTTGGCTGGATTGGGCTTCGGCGAGACATTGAGTGGCATGTCTCCAAGACATGATACGGTTATCGATAAAGTCGTTGACGGCTGGTGTGTCAGAGTCGATGTCACTAGAAGAAAGTAAGCGAAGGGGGTTAATAAGCTCAAAACCATGAATGAGGTGGGCAGGGGAATGGTTGGAAGAGGAGTGGATGGTGGTATTGTATGTAAAAGCAAGAGTAGGTAACAATTCTACCCAATTGTCCATCTTGTAGTTGACGTGTGATCTCATCATTTCATTCGTCACCCGATTCATCCTCTCTGACTGCCCGTCAGTTTGAGGGTGAAAGGAGGACGAGAATGATAGTTTGGAACCAAGTAGTTTAAATAGAGCTTCCCAAAAGTTGGAAGTAAATTTAGCATCCCTGTCAGATACTATATTCAAAGGCAGACCATAGCGAAGATAGAATTGGTCGTAGAATAATACGGCGGTATCTTCTGCCGTTGCGTTGACGAAAGTAGGGATGTAGACTACGAATTTAGAGAACTTGTCAACAATTGTCAGTAATGCATTATGGCCGGTGCCTCTTGCTGGTGGGAGATCTACCATGAAGTCAAGTGTGACAGTGTGGAAAGGGCGATGTGGGATTGGCAGAGGGTGAAGTTTGCCCAACGCACCACTCGTCGGCGACTTGTTGCGCTGGCAAGACTGACAGGCAATCACGTACTCCTTGCAGTCCTCGTAGATACCACGCCAGTAAACCGACTGAGAGAGGTGCCAATAAGTCTTGTCGACGCCGAGGTGACCAGTATTGTGAGCCGCTTGAATGATATCTTTTCTCAGATCCGGGTCGTTTGGAATGCACAACCTGCGATGATCGTTACCTGTGAAATAAACTAATTTGTTTGTAGAAACATGAAAATGGAGACGGCTTTTGCCATTAATAATATCTGAATAAAATAAATCTGATTTGTATCCTTTCTTGATACGATCGTTAAAGTGTGGATCAACTATCGGTGATGATATCGCCTCTTTGTAGTCGGGGCGACGCGAGAGAGCATCCGCCACAACATTGAGCTTACCAGGCTTATGCTTGAATGTATATCTAAACTCACCTATGAACCGGGCCCAACGACCAACCTTGTCATCGGTACCAACAGCATCTTCAATTCGACTGATAGCAGTGTGATCAGAGAAAAGGATAAAGTCCTTGCCCACAAGGTAATGGCGCCACTTTTTGAATGAGTGGTATACCGCCAAAGCCTCCTTGTCACGCGTGGACATACCTCTCTCTGCTTTAGTCATTTTGCGCGATTCAAACGCTACAGGTCTACCATCTTGTTCGAGGACAGCACCGATCCCAAAGTCAGACGCATCAGTGGTGACGGTGAACGGGCCGTCCATATCTGGAATGAAGAGGGACGTGCACTCACAAAGCAACGACTTGATCTTGCCAAACGCGGCTGACAGCGAGTCGCTCCATGATAACGTCTTTTTCGTGGTGGCATCGTACAACGGGGCCGCGTGGTCGGCAAAGTGGTCGATAAAATTACGGTAGTAATTACACAACCCGAGGAAGCTTTGTAGTTCTGTGACGGTAGACGGTGTCGGCCAGTCCTTGACCGCGGCAAGTTTATCTGCAAGGGGACGGATGTACCCAGGAGTGATAAGGTGACCGAGGAACTCTACCTCCTTCACTAGAAACGATGACTTTGCTTTGTTGGCGAACAATTTGTTAGAACGTAGTCGGTCGAGAACTTGCTTGATGTGTTCGTAGTGGTCGTTTTCATTCTCTGAGAAGATAAGAATATCGTCGATATAAATAATTACAAAAGTGTCGAGAATGTCAGCGAATGCCGCGTTGATGGCACGAACAAAGGCGGACGGAGCATTACGTAGCCCGAAAGGAATGACAGTGTACTCGTAGTGACCAGACGGAGTACTAAATGCTGTTTTGTGGGTATGCTCATCCTTAATACGAATCTGATTGAAGCCGTCCTTTAGGTCGATCTTTGAAAAGATCTTGGCCTTTGCGATCTTCTCGATCAGTTGGTCGATTCTTGGTAACGGGAAACGGTCGGCCACCGTCTGCTTGTTTAGCGCGCGGAAATCCACGCACATACGGAGAGTGCCGTCCTTCTTTCGAACAAAGAGGACAGCCGAGTTGTACGGGCTCTTGCTCGGGGCGATCCGACCAGATGCGAGACCCTTCTCGACAGTGGTGAACATGACGTTATTCTCTTCCGATGAGAGGTGATTATTGCGGCGATAGACTGGCTTGGCACCATCCACCTCGACGATCTCCATGTCGTGCAAGCGGTGGTCAGCGAGGTAGTTTGGTAAAGCGTCTACCAAAACGTCTTGGTAGTCGGCGAGGAGTTTGGCGAACCGAGGGTTTGCCGACGAGACGCTGGCGACGTGGGCCAGGCCAGAGTTGGAAGAAGGGGAGGGATACAGTTTGACGATAAAGAATTCATCGACATCGTCGTCCACAAAGAGGCGTTGAATGGCCGAGACCGACAATTCGGGAATGACGGATTGGACGACGACATGAATGGGGGGTGGAACGGGTGGTGCGAGTGGCGACGAGGGGATGATAGGCGAGGTAACAGGTGGTGTGACAGACAAGACAATAGGCGGAATAACAGTTGAAACAATGGGTGGTGAAACAGGAGAAACAATAGATGGTGCAATAGGTGAAACGGGTGGAGGGATAGAAGGAGTAACATGTATAGATGGTGCAACAGGTGAAACGGGTGGAGGGATAGAAGGAGTAACATGTGCAGAGGGTGAAGTGGTGGTGTGAACAATAGGGTGGTCAAGTAAGGTAACCGATATAGGGCGAGATCCAGCCTGGGCGCAAGTGACAGGTGGCACCGGTACAGCGAGGGTGGCGACCGTGGCCGGGTCCTTGAAAGACAAAGTGCCAGCCGTCCAATCGATAGATGGATTGGTGGCCAGCAACCACGGCATGCCCAGTATAATCTTGTGTGGTGATTCCAAGATCAGAAAGGGCATGTTGACGCTACGTCCCATTACGCTAATGTCCAACGAGATGGAACCGTTGACATGGGTGTGGGAGCCATCAGCTAGCATGATGGGAATGAGTGACTTGGAATATGGAATGTTGTAGAGGCCTAAAATAGATGGGGAAATGACATTGACAGCTGCTCCGCTGTCAATGAGAGAGGGTGAATCAAATAATGAAAAGGATGTATCGACGTACATACATTTTATTGATCGAGAGATCGTCCCAACAAAGGGAGCAGGGGACGACACTAGTTTAAATTCGATGGGTTCTTTTTCTTTGACTTACGAGGGCAATCGATTGCAGTGTGCTTGTCAGACGAGCGGCAGAAGAAGCACAGTCGATGTGTCTTACAATAATCGTGGATGGCTGGAGTTATGGGGCCAGACAACGAGATGGCCGAGATGTCCATGGGAACGACCGTGGAAGGTGGGGCGACATTCTGACCGTAGTGGTGTTGGTCAGAGGCGATGCGGCAACAAACGGAGATGGTGTCGTCAAAGGTTTTTGGGCGGAACTCACCACCGAGCAAATTGAAAATAGACCTGACACCAGTCGAGAGACCATGGAGGTACCGGTCGATACGGTCGTCCTCCGACATGGATGGGCAGTTCGAAACTAGTTCTACAAACGTGCTAGTGTACTCTTGTATGCTGAGTTTATCTTGAGATAATTTCCATAGCTTGGCACGCGCCACATCGGCGGCGTTGACTGGGGAGAATCTGTTCTTGAGAGCCGACTTGAACGCATCCCAAGAATTTATGGATGCCTCGACTGAGATGAACCAAGACGAGGCAGGGCCTGTCAAGAAAGATCTGGCGAACGGGATCCTCTCGTCGTTCGGCGTTTTGTAATAGTTGAACTGGTTTTCGACGGCAGCGATCCATTGGCGCATGGAAGAGGCATCACCGTTGAACGGAGGAGGAGCACCTAATTTGAGACGCTTACCAGGAACAGGCGCTGGTGCTATAACCGGTGAAGGTGCTGAGGCTTGGGCAACGAGACGGTTAATAACAGCGTGTAGCTCATCGAACTTAGCTTGTTGTGTTGCACTCATGACCGACTGTAGTGCAACAAACTCCTTTTGGAGTGACTCTTTCTGTTCTGCTGAGAAACCTGACATGACAATGACAACAATAAACAACTATATATAAAAAGGAAACGATGATGTGATGAATGAACGAGCAATTGACCGATAGACAAAAGCTACCAATGTAATATTGTGTATGGTGTATATAATATCTACTGCTAATAATGACAATGATGATAAACAAGATAACTAGATAACTGACAAGATACAATAAACTAGACTGAACAAGACTCTACACGATAGATATACAATTATAACTAGCTACACGAATTGGGGAAACAAGAATGATCCACCAAGCTCGTCGCGACTTCTATTTATTTGTGTTTTTCATATTTTATGTATTTTCGGAATGCAGGGTGAACCTTGTTCTCTGACACTCTCGCAGTGACACCAAAGGCATGCAGCGTACCACGCCTTCCTTCATTCCTTCTTATATTGACGGTCAAAGAATTTTCTCTTTTTTTCGGCACTGGTCATCTCGAATAGATATAATCTTATTCACAATCATAGATAAATCAGATCATTATTATAGAGAATACAAAACAGTATAAAAGATAAACTAGTTGAAATAGTTATACTTACTTTCTTACTACCGTTTAAGACTATCAAAGCAAATTATGCTGAAAATGTTATCAGTAGGGGTATGTATGATAAAGATATCATCGATTGATTGATTGTCTTTATATCTAACTAATTATATTGATTGTTTCTAGAATTTCTGAAATGAATCATTTCAGATCTACATGAAAACAACTTGACTTTAAATGAGAGAGACATTATGTTGGAGACAGTGGTGAAAAGGGAAAGGGTGCTAAAAAGACTGGCAAGGATGGTGATGACATTATCATTCAAGTGCCCACCCGAGACGATCATTCGAGAGTGGAACATTTCATTGGCAGCTCTGCAGAGGATGAAGCTAGATTAGACCCAAATTCACCAACCTTTGACCCAGAATATTTTATGCAAAAGATGAACGAACCGGTGTTACTGGATGGCAAAAAGGTCAATAATAACAAACAAAAAGCTGGTAAGCGAATGTGGAAGGTGAATAGAATAGTTGGTGAGATGCATGGGTATGGAGAGGAGATTGTCTTGTTGCAGGGTGGAAGAGGTGGAAGGGGGAATGCCAACTTTGCAACGGGCAGAAACAGATCACCAGAGTATGCACAGCCTGGACTCAAGGGTGGCGTGCCATCTCTGTGGGACGGCAAGAAACTAAAGGTCAAACCAGACCGTTACAAAAAGATCCGCGAGGATCAAGAAAAACTCAAAGAGGTGAACATGAAGTTATCATTGATGGTGAAGAAATAGAAATAGATGTTGGAAAAATAAAAGAAAAAGAAATGGAAATGAAAATGGAAGAAGAGAAACCACGTTGTCGTTTATCACATAATTTACAAAGATTAATATCCAAATAAAATAAATATTAATGTAAATAATAAAAAAAGGATCATTCATTTCTTTATCTTTTCTTCAACCAAGGAATTGGTATTTGTATTGGTAGTGGGTTGTTGAGGTGATAAAAAAAAGGAATAAAGAAATCAGAATTGAATTGGTCAAAATAACGTTGTGATGATTGTTTATTACAACTATAAATATAATTAAATTATAAATATTATTAAATTATTTTACACCAAAAAAAGAGTTGATAAACATCTTAGGCGACAGTACAGTTGAATGGATAATTAAAGTACAAGTTTGGACCACCAAGCATTGGAATAACATGGAGATAGACAGTGTCACAGGGTGGGACTTGTGGAAGATTACAGACCATTGGAGTAGCCATATTACAGTATGGGTTGATCCAAGCTTGGACACCACCATTCATCTTGAGTTGATGTTGCATCACCATTGATCCTTCTGGTTTATAAGAGATCACCAATTGTTTACCATTTTGAATCACATTGGTAACTATAAAAAAAAAAAGAAAAAAGAAAATAAGTTTAGAATAATATTATATCATACGATGATAAAGATAGATGTACATACTTTGAGCATTTACAAATACAAAAGCAAAACAAAAAATAATGGCTAAAGTGATTGTTAATTTCGACATTGTTGGAAAAGGTTGTAGTTTTGAAATTGGTATTTGAATTGAATTGAATTTGAATTGATGATTGAAATGAATGATGATGACTGTTATAGTATTCTATCAATCAAAATCGATCAATGTGATGATACGAGAGTTTAATATTCAAAATTCGATCAATTTAAATTGATACCATTCATTCAATTTTGGTGTGGTTTGATCTATAATTATAAACTCTACAAAAGGTAGAAACTTTAAACATCTTTCAGTTTGCTCTTTGAGAGTAGAGAGTGAGTATCGGTGCCAGCTAGCTTGGTCATTATAATTATACTTACTGTTTAGATGTTATTGTTGTTGTTGAGGTAGATTCATAAACCTTCTTCCACTACTAGCCATTACTCTTTTCAATATCGATGTTACCTAGATTAGTCTGCCATAGGTCTTCTTTGACTCTATTGAACCGAAGAGGTAATGTAAAAGTAATATCACATGATATTGCAGTAGGATGGTGGTTATACAAATGATTAAATATATCTTTTTTTCTGATTTTTTCTATTCATTTTCTCATGAACTTTACTTTTTTTTTTAGTTTTATCCCATTTGTTATAATTCATAGCAATCGAGTACATTTAAATAGAAAGATTAGTATATACTTTATTATGGTGATTTTGGTAGGTCATTGAGCATAAATTGAAGCGTCATACTTCGAATTCTCTCAAATCATGAAACATATGTTACATATCAATCGGAAACGACCGCCGTTGTGTGGGTTGCTTAAAAGCAATCGAAAAGTATGGTTTTCTCTAGACTACAATAGTAGTTTAGAGAAAGCAAATCCCCTCCTAACCAAAGAATAAATCGATGGTTACCAAACACTCCGGACGGTCAGCAACCTCAACTCCTACCAAAACCCTTTTGTTAATTTATTCTTTTAAATGTTGAAGCACCAGCAGCAGGAACATGTGTTGTAGTCATTTACTGCTTGCTTGCTTGTTTGGGTAAATCGTTGACTTGATAGATAATAGTGGTCAAAACATATATATATATATATTTTAAACAGCACCAATCATTACCACGACCACCGCAACATCCTCTACCCGCAACCATTGATTCACCAGCTGATGACACATTGGTTTGATCCTTGGTAAGATGACTTTTGGATGGAATCACCAGAGACTGAAGAAAGTTGGGAAAGATTCTCTAAAGAAAAGAAATTGAAATGAAATTGGAATGCTTTATTATACCTATGCATACAATTGGGTTACAATGATTTTAAAACTTACTGAATAACATTTTGGTAGAACAGAGAGAATTAATTAATATTTAATTTAATTGATGAATTGACTTTTGGAGCGAATGACCAGCAGAGACAGAGGAAAGTTGGGAAAGATTCTCTAAAGAAGAATTTTAAAACTTATTGAATAACATTTTCAAAATGTAATAATTGGTAATTAATTAATATTTAATTGATAAATTGAAGATTATTCATGCTAATTAAATTATTTATAGTTTAACAAATGCAATGATTGCTATAAAAAAACCAAACATTTTAGAGAATTCCTATTTTTGAAGTAGGGGTGTCTAGTCATCATGCAATATAGGATTTTAACTATCTTTTTTTCGCAATTCTAAAACTATATACATGTTTGGTGGTAAATATTAAATACCCAAGGAATCTTTAAATCACTATTCTTCAAATTAATTTGTTTGAAAAAAAAAAAAAAATCAAAAACGAAAACGAAACTAAAAATGAGTCTTTTTAATGGCTTGGATATTTACCTATCAAAATTTGATCAAAATTATTAAAACTTGGATCAAAATGTAGCCAAGTGTATGAGGAATCAGGAAATAATGTTACATTTCAATCACATCAAAGTTGTAAACCCCGGGATCAGAAAAAGAAAACCCTGTCGGAAAAAAAAAATGAAAAAAAAAAACAACTGCTTGATCTTTTTATAGTTTTTTCCTATCGGAATTCGATGGAAATTGATAAAACTAGGTTAGAAAGATAGCCACGAGTGTCTAGAACAAGAATCTGCAAAAAAAAAATTTCTTACTGCCCAAAATAACAAAAGATAGCCCTATGGGGGGCTCGAACCCCCGACCACAAGATTAAGAGTCTTGCGCTCTACCGACTGAGCTAACAAGGCACATGTTTTTCAACGGAATTTTCACAGGTCTCGACCCGCCCTTGTTTTTTTTACCGATTTTTTGGTTTCCATATTAATATTTATTCGTTTTCTCAAATGCAAACAACTTATTATGAATTTATTTATATCTCTATAAAAATCATGTGCCTTGTTAGCTCAGTTGGAAGTTTTGTAAGATATTTTTCCGACCCTCTCATCCGGTTTTTTCAAATTATTGTTTCATCATTTTTGAATTAATTAACAGAGGTTTTCACTTTTTTAACCATTGTCTTTACTCATTAGCTCGTCTATTGCTTCAATTTAAATTCTCAACACTATTTCTTTTCATGTAAAAGGATATTTTATCAGACACTCTTTGAATTAATTATATTAAATATGTTTCAATTGGTTTTTTTTTTGTCCTTGTATGATTTATAAATCTTTATTTCTCTTGTCTGATAAAAAATCAATTGCCCCACTTGGTGAATTACAAACCATCCAAATAAGAGTTAGAAACTGAACTAAAGTAATAAAATAATCATCCTTACATCCATTTATACTGTTCATCAATCATGATGTGGAAAAACTAATAAACAAGCTTGTTTGAAGAGATATTATTTTTAAATTGAATAAATGTCATTTATTTACAATTAATATCTATTCAATTTATTTATTTAATTAAAATTTTAATCGATTAAAGAGATATCTTTGATAGCGTCCTTTGGTTGATAATTATTCATACAGCTAGGAGGAACAAATTCCATCGAGGTGTAAGATTCATTCATTGAATCGAATCTCATTTCGGGATGCTGTTTGATATATTGAAGGATTGGAATGTCCAACTTGTCTGAGTTCATTTGAGCAAGACCTGGATGTACTCCAAACTTTCTTTCCTTTACCTGTTCATTTGATACTTGAGTCGCTTTTTGATTTGCTGGTTGTTGATTATTTGCTGGTTGTAAAACTCTATTATCAGTTCTTCCAGATGAATGTGAATAATAGGCCAAAGAATAGTTTACATTGTTGTTGTTTCTATTGATTAAATTTGAAACTTTTTTTAAATTATCGTTGATATTTTGTACAATATATCTCTTTCCTAAATTGGTTATTGAATAATTCTAAAAAGAAAAAAAGAAAAAGAAAGATTAATATATATATTGACATCATTTGAAAATATCATTGTGTGTGTGTATCATACCATAATAAATTAATGATGTGAGGGGTTGTCTTTGTCGTTGAATTAAATTAATATATATAATATAGAGGTGTCAATGTCTAGATGAAAACAATGAAATGAAATAATAATATATGTCGTTATTCAAATAATTATGTGTTTTTTTAATTGTTGTTGGTATCTTGCAGTTGTTTGTTGTTTATGAACAAATAAATAATTAATCATAATCTATTCGACCCGATATTTGATATAAAAAAAAAAAACACATTTTAAATAAAAAAGATATTAAAATTGATAATAATTCTATAGGGTAGATGTATAATAATTAAATTGGTTTGTTCAAACCCCCCCACCCACCAATAAAGAGAGGTCGAAAAATTGAATTCACTCCACATTTCTTTCCATTCCTTTTTTAGGAGTTTTGACAAAAAGAGAGATGTCATTAGGATACAAGCGACCCTTTTTTCAAATCCCAAATAAAGTATAGAGAAAAAAAAAAAACTATTGGTCAATTTATTTTGTTTTTTTTTTTTTACAAACATAGGGGTGTAAATTTTAGATTTCCCATCTATCTCTCTATATATATATTAAATAAAACCAATAAATAATCCAGTCTTTTTTAAATAATTTATAAAATTTTATTAATTTGAGGGGGGGATTTTTAATTTTTTTTTTTATCTATATTTGTATCTTTTCTCTCTATTTCTTTTTACCTTTTCTTTTAGATTGGTAATTTAAATGAAACATCCAAATCTGCTTTTTCAGCTAATGTAACAATATCGGCAATTCTGACTGACTTTTCGGCAGCTTCATCGAGATCGTCTGCGGCGATCAAACGCAATCCAGATTCTTCCATGATCTTTTTGGCGTATTCGACGTTGGTACCTTGGAGACGGACGACGAGTGGAGTCTTGATGGACAATTCCTTGACGGCGGCAATGATACCCAAAGCGATAATGTCGCACTTCATGATACCTCCAAAGATGTTGACAAGGATCGACTTTACCTTTTTATCAGAGGAGATCAACTTGATGGCCTCTGTGACTTGTTTTTGGGTGGCACCTCCTCCAACGTCGAGGAAGTTGGCTGGGTTACCGCCATAGTGCTTGATGATATCCATAGTGGCCATGGCCAAACCGGCACCATTGACCAAACATCCAATAGTACCATCCAAACCGATATAATTCAAATCATATTCAGATGCCTTGACTTCACGTGGATCTTCTTGTGATCTATCTCTCAATTCAAAGATTTCCTTTTGTCTAAATGCTGCATTATCATCAAAATTTAATTTTGCATCCATACACATTACTAATAAAATAAAAGGAAAAAAAGAATTAATAAAAAAGTTTTCTTTTTTTCTTTTTCTTTTTCTTTTTCTATTTACCTTCACCAGTAGCAGTTTCAGCCAATGGATTAATTTCAACAAGAGTACAATCATTTTTAATGAAAAAATCATAGAGTTTTTGCATTTGATCTTGAGCCTTTGGAATATTTTTTGGAGAGATACCCAATTTGGCGGCGAGACGGGCAGTTTGTTCTGGCTTTACACCTTGCATAATGTCGATAGCTTCGACATAGATGGCATTTGGGTTCTCTTTGGCAACCGTTTCGATATCCATACCACCTTCTGGTGATCCAATCATGACTGGTCCACCAGTCTTTCTATCCATCAAAATAGCAAAGTACATTTCACGTCTGAGATAGTGACGCTCTGCAATATAGACTTGATTGACAACCTTTCCTTCTGGACCAGTTTGTTTGGTGATAAGAGTGTAGCCAAGCATCTTTTTGGCATAGTTTTTAACTTGTGCTGCGTCGCTGCAAATATGTACTCCTCCCTTTAATCCACTAGTAAAAATACCTTTACCTCTACCTCCTGCTAAAATTTGTGCTTTTATAACTAAATCTTGTGCATCTAAAAAAAAAAAAAAAGAGTAGTAAAAAGAAAAAAGATATAAGTAAAAAGTAATCTATTTGTTGTTTTTGTTGATTCGCATTACTTAAAACTTCAGAGATCTTTTCAGCTTCTTCTGGTGTGTCTGCAACATTGCCCTTTGGACAATCGATACCATATTGCTTCATCATCTTTTGAGCTTGGTATTCGTGAATGTTGAGGAAACGCTTTTGATAAACCAAAGACGATGTCTTGGCATTGGTTGCAACTCTCTTGATTACTGATGAGAACATGATATTACTTTATATATATGTGAATAGGAGAGAAAAGAGAATAGAGAGAGATGTGAGATCGCGCGTGTGTGTAATATATAAACTACTACTACAACGACAAACTTAGTAGATGATCAAACAAGCTTAGATTCTTCTTTTGAATTATGCTTTCTCAGCTGACACACCCCCCAACCCAGTGCTTTGAAAAATGATCCTCATGATCAAAAAAAAAAAAAATTATATAATTTTCATTTTTTTTTTTTTTCTTCTCCTAATCAGCATCTGTTGTTTGAACGACGAAAACCTCTTATTGCCGACGACAAGCAACACGATCAATCAATTAATAAAGTTAAATTAATTAATAAAATCAATGAATTTGATTTATACTAAAATAATAAAACAGTACAGATAGATAGCAGTTGCAATGATGAAGGTGGTAAAAGATTGATGAACAGTTCACACCCCTCGAATCTAAGAAATAATAAAAAAAATCAATTTTAAATCGTCCCACCAAGCTGTACGAAAACAGTGATGTGGTTGTCCAACCAAACCAATTGTAACAATAACACCCCAACCAATCATCATCATCATCATCATTGTTGTTTAAACATTTGTTTTTATATAAATAATAATAATAATAATTACAACAATATACTTACAATATATATGTAGTATGTAAAAAAAAAAGAGAAAGTAAAAAAAAGAATGAACAAATCAATAGAATTGATTGAAGCAGAATCATTTAATAATCTTAGTAATAGCAATAGTATCAATAATGATGAATTTGATCAACCACTACTAAAAAATAATAATTATATTGCAATGAGTGATAGTTTGGAAAGTGAAAACTATGAAGTCGATGTAAAGAAACCATTGTTTATCAAATTCTATCCTGGTCAGTTCATATTTGGATTACAAATGCTTCATGCTACTGATCCACTATCATTGTCTTTGGTTATCGCTACTCTTACCATTGTCGATTTAGAGTATTATGAAGCTACTCTTTTATTTGTATTATTTAATTTCTCTGTTTTATTTGGTAGACATTTAATTTTTGGTAAGTAAACGATTAAATAAATGATAAAGTAAAACTAATATATCTTTTTTTTTGGTTTATATTTAGTTGAAACTGATATACAATCATTTTTAAGAAAAAGAATGTATAGAAAAAGTTCATATAAATCAATATTAAGGGTTAGTTTTTGGCATGGTCGATTGGCAAGATTAAGAGATATAACTATTTTATTATTATTGGGTTTTGGAATACGATTACTTTATCTATCCTATGTTTATGGTCGTGACCGTGATAATATCAAATGGCGATTCTTTGATATGTTTACAGTGTCTTGTGTTGCATTGTTGACTGGGTTCTTTCAACTTTCCTGTTACATTTATTGTTTGGTTTGTGTGAGAATTGGAAAAGAAACAGAGGAAAGATTGGTTAGTTTTATGAGAACAAAGAAACGTCGTCCTGCTCAACTTCAACTTGGAGCAGTCCTATTGGAACGCAAATATGGTGAAGAACTTTGCAAGGAATTGGCAACTATTTACAATGTACATATTATTTGGATACACAAAGAATTTATGCGTCCCGACAAACAAATCCAACATCCCTACGAATCAAACATCTATGATACTATTCAAAACCCAAATCCATTCCCCCATCAAACAAAAAGAAATAATAATAATAATAATAATAGTGTTAGGTTTCAACAAGCTTAAATTATTAATTTAGATTTCTTTTTTATCTTTTATTTCAAAATAATTATCAAATAAATAATTTGATAATATTATACTATTGGCATTTTGATTATAATTGTTGTAACGTTTTAGATACATTTTAATTAGGTGTACTACATAGGCATAATGATGACTCCAACTCTTGACAAGAGTTAGACGACAGAATTTAAAATGTTCCATGGTTTTGATATGTGGAAGTACATTGTTGAGACTACTGATAGAGTGTAGGACTAGAGAAATATGCGGGTTTGATGATAAAACTTCTTCTGTTGAACGACCATATTTAATGGCGTATTGTTTACTGTAAATGTCATATTCATCTTGATTTGGTTTTAAAAGTTCAAAAATCGATAGTATACTATCAATGACACCAATACGTTTAAAAAACTCTATAGCAAAGTCTAAGCTCCATTGAGGTATACGTTGGAGAAACCAAAAGAATAAATGATTTCTTTCTTGCTCTTTACTACTGTCATCTAGAGATTGATAAAATTCCACCAAATCATTCATTAATGATTCACTTGGATGAAATCCAATACTTTCATTTCTATGACCAATTAATTGATGATTTTTGAAAAGATGAAACATTTCTATAATCCTATGAGACTTATTATTTGTAGACCAATAGATACTCTTGAGTTTTTCATTTCCATCAATTGCTACCAATATTTGTTGTAATTTTGATGGTAATAATTTAACTCCACCAGAAATATTATTTTTAATTCCCTCTGATAATCCTAATCTAGTTTGGTTTATATACTCTGAAATAAAAGGATTATCTCTTTTAAATAATTCCAAAGAAAGTTCTTCAATTAATGCACCAGTTCTTGGTAATCTAAATGTATTTTGAGAATCCATATATTTGTCATGAAATTGAACCATTTCAAAACTACCATATCTTATCATCAACTTTGTACATTCCAAATCATTTGTATAATAGTCTATAATGATTGGTACAATATATGGATTGTCTCCATGATATTTTAATAATACAATGACCCAATTCTTTAATATCTCCAATTCTACCATATTTGCATTATATAATTTATAAATGATTCTAAATAGAATTAATCTATTTAATAATATTTTATCATTTTTTACTTTATCATAAATAATAAATGACAAGGAATTTGAATCGTCTGTACTATACATTGACAATGATGATGGTAATTGTATTTTGATATCCAAAAATCCACTTTTAATTTGAATATCAATTGTTTTTAATCTAAACAATATTAAAAGTACATTTAATTGACCTTTTGTATCATTTATCATTGATTCTGACATTATTATATTAAATATTTCTTTTAATTCTATATTATTATAGTTTATATTTAAACGATCTTGGTTTGAAGAGGATGAAGAAGATGAAGAAGATGAAGAAGAAGTGTCATTGTTGTTATGAGGAAATGAATTTGGAGGAGAAATTCTAGTTCTATTAAAGATTTTAAATGGAAAGAATCTATTAATCCAATCAATACCATTTAAAAGAGTAATAAATTTAAATATTTTTAAATAATTTTAATTGGTAAATAGGTCCATCGATCTTCAGATCTATGGGTGTAAAGTTGATCATAATTATTGTGACTATAGTAATCGATAAATTGAGAGATTAAATTTGGGAAATACGAATGAATCATGACAAGAGTGTCAAGTGTTGGTGCATTGAGGGCAGAAAATACAAAGTCAAATAGGTCAACCAACTCGTACTGTTCTACTTGTTTTTCAACTCGATTCCATTGAAATAGATATTGTATCAATGGTACGTTGCCACTTGAAATGGCAGCCAATAAATGTTGAACGTGTGATGTTGGGAAATCCAACGTAAAAGAGTGTCGTCGTTGATGAAGAAACCTGACAATCTCGAGTGTCCCTTGATAATTGTCTCTATTGCGACAGATAGTGGTTACCATATCACTCGATTCAAACTTGTCACGATACAATCCATATATACGATAAAAGGTCGATGGATCAGACACGTACCGACACACCACATGTATACAGTCACCCTTTACCTCGTCAACGTCATAATACAACCATTGATTTGTAACAATCTTGTCTTTTAGTAGTGCCAAATACCCATTCCTACACATTGCTGCCACATCAAACCATTCATCATATCTTATTCTTTCACCATTCAATCTATATAGACTATTACTACTACTACTACTATCTAATCTATTCCTCTTTACATTTCTTAATATCAATTTAAATAAATATTTGTTTTTAATTATTTGATTAAATAAAGTAGAAAATGATAAAGATGAAGATGAAGATGAAGATAGAGATATATTATTATTCATGTTAATGAAAAAAGAATAAAAAAAAATATATTATTAACACTGTGAAGTTGTTCAAGAAAACCCCAAAAATTTATATTATTATTTTATATTTCCATCATTTGTTTCAACAATAATAGTGACCAGTATTATAATCATTAGAATTTTAAATGAGTAAAAGAAAAGAAATAGAATTGAATGATGACAAAGATCATCAGAGGGAGAAACAATATACAAAAGAAGAGTTGGAGAGACTGTACAAACAAGATGTGTACGAGATATGTTTGAAGAGAGGGATTAATATTGGAGCACAAGTCACAACCAAAACAATAAAAGAAGAGTTGATAAAGAGGGTAATAGAACAACAACAACAACAACAACAACAACAACAACAACAACAACAACAACAACAAAGGGAGGAGAATAATAGTACAACTACAACAATAACAAATTGTTCACTACCATGGTATATCATCAAAAGAATATTGACTTTGGCAGTCAACTATTCAAACATGTGTACATGTGTGTACAGTGATCAACTAAAAAACCTTGTTTGTGAACGTGATTCAAGTATCAATTGTATAGAAATGAAGGTATTTGCATACATGCAAATGCGGCCACAAATCAAACAACAGTTACCTCGTCGACAAGATATGTGTCCTACACACCAATACTTTTATGATAAAGAGTATACACCATCGATCAAATTTACAAACTTTTATAAATACGATGACGAATATGGATATGGAGATAACAACAAGAGTTATCGTAAACTGATGGACGATAGTAAAAGATGGAAACGACAGTCATTGGCAATGGTATCAAAAAGAGTATTTGAGTTGGTGTCGACCACTCTCTACACTGACCTTGTCATGCGACCCACCAAGGAAATGTGGAGTCATTTCAAAAACAAACATTGTATCATCAAGAGACCTACCACTTTGACCGTCCTCAACAGAATAACTACAATAATTGGAAAACCTCTTGATATTATATTCTTTGTATCCGATCATCATCAAGGTGACGACGACCAAACCACACCAAGAGATCTATTCAGTCAAGTACAAAAGATCAATCTCAAGGGCTCATTCCTCACAGACAGCGCTGTCAATATAAGAAAGCTTGCCGAGACCATACCCAACCTAACCACTATTATACTGGAACGCACAGTCCATCCATCTATCGCCATTGCATTGCTCACCAGTTTTAAAAACTTGACATCGATCAATCTTGCAAAACCTCGCATATATAGTCTATCAAATCCTGGAGGTACAGAGTCAAACCTTTTAGACTTTGCAACAATACTCGAGCCTGGCACATCGATCACCAAGATTGTTTATTCCGCCTACTATGATTGGAATAAATTGGATACCAAAGTCAAGATTAATCTAAGAGTCGTGTCGTTGTATCAAAATAGCCAAGGGGTGTATCCTGATCTCAACCAAAAAGATTTCCCAAAGCTCGAGCACGTCCACATCTCGGATCTTGATACAATCGAAAATGAATCAAGTCTGCCTGTCATACCAGAAAGTGTTTCGAAAATTACCTTTTTTTCGACCGCGTCTCGTGCGACTTCATTCGAGAACAAGTGGTTCAAGATACCAAACGTCAAAATCGTTAAACTTAAATCCTATAATATTTCAAGCAATTGCTTGGGTTTGGATCAAAAAAGCATTTGCAAATTAATTACCTATTCAGCGTTGGATATTGTACAAAGTCAAGTTGATTGGTTTAGAAACAAATTGGGTTATGAATACATTGGTTCAACATTTAAAGATTATAAATCTTTCAAAAAATTATCATTTAAAAGAATATTAATTGATAGTAATAATTATATTAAAAGTAATGATGACCAAGAAATGATTCAACACTATTTCAAAGTTAAAAATCAATGTGCTGTACATTTTTCAACAACCGAACCGTTTGCACCACTCAATCACACAACAGTCGAATCAAATCGATCGAGATTACAATTGACACTCATATCCAAAGATATATTTGAATATATCGCCTCCAACTTTTTCAACAATATCTTTTCCTCCTCCCATCCATCCCTCGGAGAAAATTTCAGTCAATACAATGTATTGAAAACAATTCGATCGATTACTTGTTTCAATGTCAAGAATGAAACATATCAAGAATCATTGTTAAAACATGCAGACCGAAGCATCACACGCATTATATCTCATGTGATTTCCGACTTTGAATATATTCCATCGTTTCATTCCTTGTCGATACTGGATCTAAGGAAAACAAAACTTGGTGATCATAGCGATTCGTCTGATACAAAAAAGCTTTGTTTGTCTTTAAAAGGGCAACCAATCACCAAACTGTACCTTCCTAAAAAATATAATGGTCTTGAGATCTACTCGACTCTACCAGACAATATCAAACAGTCTCTCCGATCAATTTCAACTACATTCAAACAAGGAGGAGGAGGATATAATATTAATAGTCTAGATGAATTTCCAAATTTGACAAGTTTGGTCATTAATGTCTGGCACAAAACTACACCGTCACATCCACTCCCAAAGACAATCACCAAAATCATTTCAAATAATTTCAAGGCAATCGATTTCTTTGTCCTTGCCAATACATCAGTTGTCACCTTTAAGATGTTGCATTTTGGAGATATCGAAAACTGGATGTTGACCAATTTAATGAAATTGTCACCAATCAAACACGTCACAACAGTCATTATGCAAATCAAATCGCCACCACCCATATTTGATTTGGGTGATAGACCCGATTTCAATCTATGTGCAAGTGTATCCAAACCACCTATTTGTCATGAAAAGTACCACAATCGACCAGTAATCTATTCTAATATAATATTTAAAAGAAGAGAAAATATATAAATGAATAAACTATCAAAACAAATTATTATTTTATAATTTTGTTGATCAAGGTGTGGTGAAGATCTTCAAGTTTTAGATGACTTTTTTTTTTTTTTTTTTTAAAAAGTATTCATACTTCTTCTTGTTAGTCTTACTTTTTAAGAAAATGTATAATAATAGTAGCAGTAGTAATAGTAATAACTCTACCACCTCTACCTCTAATCAAATTTTAGAAAAGTTAAAGTTATTTGATTTCTATCCAAAGTTGGATGAATCTGTACATCAAACGAAATCAATCTATGGAGGTATAGCAACCGTCATTTGTATCATAGTAACAGTATTCCTCTTGACGTCAGAGTTGTACTATTACACCTTTCCCATCAGAGATCATTCACTACGTGTTGATGTGTCGCGTGGCAATCGAATGAACATCAACTTTGATGTACACTTTCCATCGTTGATTTGCTCAGACATTATAGTCGAGAGTGTTGACGGTGTCGACGGCAAACCCATCAAAGATGCAGCTCACCAAATCGTCAAGGAACGTCTCAACAGAAGAGGCTCTCCTCTTGAACGTCTTCACGCTCGTGCAGGTCTCTTTTCTTGCACCAAGTGTGAGTTGCCACCAAAGTATCAACTATTAGAGAAACGTAAATGTTGTAATTCATGTGAAGATCTTCGTACTTTTTATCGTACAAACAAGGTCCCTCAACATTTGGCTGATGAATCTCCACAATGTACAATTGGTAAACCTGTTACTGAAGATGAAGGTTGTAGAGTTTTTGGTATATTATCAGTTCAAAAGGTAAAAAGAAAAAGAAAAAAAGAAAAAGAAAAAAGAAAAGATAAACTAACTTTTATTATCTTTATCTTTCATCTAGATGAAAGGAGATATTCATATCATTGCGGGTAGACCACACGAAGAATCACATGATGGTCATAGTCATCATGTACATAAATTGACACCAGAGATTGCTCAACGAATTCATAAATTCAATATTTCACATCATATTCATAAATTCTCTTTTGGTCAAGATGTTGAAGGTTTAATTAATCCTTTGGAAGGTTTTGGAATTGTTGTACCAATGGGTATGAATCATAAAAAAAAAAGACTATTTATATATATATATATTTATTGCAAACAGGCTTTGATTAATATATCTCTTTTTATTTATTTATTTAGGACTTGGATTACAAACTTATTACCTTCAAGTTGTACCAACCATTTATAAACAAAATAATTATATTTTAGAGACTAATCAATACAGTTATACACGTGAATACAAATCAATCAACTATAATAATCTTGGATACCTCTTCCCAGGTATCTATTTCAAATACGATCTTAGTCCACTTATGATTGAAGTCGATCAAAGTTCAAAACCATTCTCTGAATTGATTACTTCTATTTGCGCCATTGGTGGTGGTATGTACGTTGCTTTTGGTCTATTCTATCATGTTACTGCTAGGATTGTTGGCAAGATAAAGAAACAAAAATAAATAATAATAAATAGAATAGAATAGAATAGAATAGAATAGAATAGAATAGAACAGAATCGAATAGAATAGAACAGAATAGAATAGAATAGAATAGAATAGAATAGAATAGAATAGAATAATAATTAAAATTAGAATAATAGTAATAGTAATAGTTTATTATCTATATTATTCATAAAGTTGTTGGGTATTTATAGTTTACCACCATCCACTAAGACGACCACCAAATCCATTGTCGATACAAATATCAATATCAATATCGATATCAATGTTGTTACCACCACAACATCCACGACGACGTCTACAAGCAATTGAATTAACAGAATCACTTGATACGTCTGAATAACTTTGGACTTTTACATTTTGGTTGGCTCCATGATTTGAAATTGGTGATAGTTTGGAAAGGTTTTCTAAAGATAAGAAAAAAAAAGGAATAATAATAATAATTAAATGATTAGTAAAGAATTTATATTTATTATATTCTAAAACATTGTATACTTGCTAAAGATCATTTTAGATTTGATTTGGTAGAATAGAATTTGATAAATGTTTTGATAGTTTGAATATTTGTATATTTGTATTGAATAGAATCAACAAGTTTACTATTTATAGTTTTAGAATTGACTAAAAAGATTGTAAAAATCAATCAAAAATTTTCTGTATTCCATGATTACTAGACACCCCCAATTCTAAAATAGGAATACTCTAAATTGTTTGGATTTTTGAATAGTTTTTTTAAAGCAATCATTGCATTTGTTAAACTATAAATAATATTAATGAGCAAGAATATACTAATCAATTCCAACTTTCCTCCGTCTCTGCTGGTCATTCCATCCAAAAATCATCTTACCAAGGATCAAACCAATCCAATGTTTCATCAGCTGGTGAATCAATGATTGCTCGTAGAGGATGACCATAGTGCTTACAGTAAATGACTACAACACATGTTCCTGCTGTTGCTTCAACACTTAAAAGAATAAATTAACAAAAGGGTTTTGGTAGGAGTTGAGGTTGCTGACCGTCCGGAGTGTTTGGTAACCATCGATTTATTCTTTGGTTAGGAGGGGATTTGCTTTCTCTAAACTACTGTTGTAGTCTAGAGAATGCCATACTTTTCGATTGCTTTTAAGCAACCCACACTTCGGCGGTCGTTTTCTATTGATATGTAACATATGTTTCATGATTTGAGAGAATTCGAAGTATGACGCTTCAATTTATGCTCAATGACCTACCAAAATCACCATAATAAAGTATGTACTAATCTCTCTATTTAAATGTACTCGATTGCTATGAATTATAACAAATGGGATAAAACTAAAAAAAAACCCAAAAAAATGTTGTTGTCTCGAGAAAATGAATAGAAAAAAATAGAAAATAAAAAATAATAAAAAGAGGATTAGGTTTATATAATATTATTATTATACTATATAAATTAATTAAAAGTTTGATGCAAATGAGGGGGATTTGTTAATATTAGCAAAGAGACTGATATTGGTCTGATCATGACCATCGAAAACTTTCAAATAAAGTTGGCGCCAAATTTAAAAATAATCCGTTGTTTATTTTTTTGAACAACACCCTCAAACACACCGCATTTGGGTCGAGTGAGTAGTTTGTTAATATTAATCAAATATATACGTACTTTTTACATTTACATTATCCTCTCCTCCTATCTATCTATATTAATCAACCAACTAAAAGGTTGATATGTATATAAAAGAAGAGAATACAGTCATAGTGCTACACAATCACCTATCATAATAGTTAACTCTCTGCAACAAACAAATTGTAAACTTTTACATATACAAATACAAATCTTTATTAAATCAAAAGAAAGAAAGAAAAAGATGATTGATGAAAATACATCACCAAATATTCTATACCAAAGATCGTCATCTGGAAGTGGTATGTCTTTAATGTCTTCGTCGTCGTCGTCATCGTCGTCGTCAACTATTCACAAGACACCTGGTAATAGCACATCATCATCATTAAAGAATGGTCATTCTCCATTGGGCTCCTCTAATATGAGCAATACTAGCACACCATCACCATCATCATCATCATCAATGAGTCAATCATTATCACCAGTGACCATGTCACTTGCTAGAACAAGTCAATCAACAACAACCAATATAACATCAACACCAACTGCAGCCGACCTCGAGAATCCATCATGGTGGTTTCAAGTGATATCACAAGAGATTGAAAAGTTTAAGAATATTGAAATGTTGAAATCGACCGATGAGGTCCAAAGAATGCTTCACATCTTTCAACGTGCAACTGAATCTATCAAATACAAAGACCATTCTGACAATATTGAATATTCCTCTATTTTATCAAGTCATGCTAATTTTCAAATGTTTGTAAAAGAAAACAAAAAAAAGAAAAAGAAAGACTGGAAATATTAATATTTAATTATTTGTTTGTTGTTTAGACGAATTGGAGAATTTGAAGATGCAAAGGAAACATTGAAATTTATGAAGGTTAAACATATTGGACAAAAGACGGCAGAGTTTTACATATCATGTGCATATCTTGAATTGGCACTTTACAACTTTGAAAAAGCAAAAACTATTCTCACCAAAGCAATTGAAAAGGGTGGAGTGTCTCCACTTGCCGATGTTGAAAAGTTCCTAAAATATGCTCAGCTAAAAGAGGATAATCACCTACACCACCAACAACAACAACAACACCAACAACAACACCAAACCCAACAACAACAACAATCTCCATTGTTACAATCCATTTCCAACACAACAACAACAACTACACCATCTACTTTATCTCCACCTTTAAGTACCTTGCATCAACAACCAATGATAGTACAACAACCAAAACCACAGCAACAACAAGATACAATTAGTAATATGGGTAGATTATCAATTTCATCATCATCTCAAAAATCTGGAAATACAACAATGGAAAGACAACATATATTACCATCATCGGTAAAATCACTTGGTTTGGGAATTAAACAACCAATTAGAGTTCAAGTACAACAACAACCAAAAGAAGATGTTAAAATGACAGATGATATTCCAGAGAATAGTTTTACCTCTACCAATACCACCACATCTACTTCTAGCTCTACCAATACCACTTTATCTACTTCACCTACATCATCATCGTCAACAACATCTACAACTGATCCATTATCACATCTTGTTCTTTCTGATTCAAAAGTTGAATCTGATCCATTACAATCAAGTCAAGTACAAAAGAAAACTTCAATGCAACAACAATACCAACAAAAACAACAACAATTATTGGTTAAAAAACAAAAAGAAAAAGAACAACAATTACAACAACAACAATTACAACAACAACAACAATTATTATTACAACAACAACAACAACAACAACAACAACAACAAAAAGAAAAAGAAAAAATAATAATAGAAAAGAAACCAGTTAAACAAACAACACCACCACCACCAAAAAATGATCATGATCAAATTGACAAGGGAAAGGTATATGAAATTGCCAAATCATGGAGTGAAACAACAACTGTCAATGGAAAATCTTATCTTCGTATTGAATTTATTGGTAAAGGTGGTAGTGGAAAAGTTTACAAAGTACTTTCAAGTGATTTAAAAATTTATGCTTTAAAATATGTTTGTTTAAAGTAAATATATTATTATTATTATTATTTCTATTTATTAATTATTTTTATTTTATTTTTTTTAGATCAGATCAAAATGAAATTGAATCACAATTAAATGAAATTGAAATGTTAAAAACATTAAGAAAACATAATAATATTATAAAATTGATAGATAGTGAAATCAATATAGAAAAGGGATTTATTTTATTGGTTTTGGAACTTGGTGATATTGATTTGGCCAAATTATTACATCGTCAACAACAAGAGACTGGCAAGATCAACGAAAATCTAATCAGAGTATATTGGCAACAAATGTTGAGTGCAGTAGACACTATACACAATGAGAGAATCATTCATGGTGACTTGAAACCAGCCAATTTCGTGTCGGTCCAAGGTAACCTCAAACTGATTGATTTTGGCATTGCAAAGGCCATCCAAAATGACACGACCAATATTGTCCGTGACAGTCATATCGGTACACTCAACTATATCTCTCCCGAGGCACTCATCGACACTGGTGCTGGAAGCAGTGACCAACCATCAGGCGCCGACAACCCGGGCGACGAATCAGCCCCATGCATGAAGCTTGGAAGAGCCAGTGACATTTGGTCACTCGGATGCATCCTCTACGAGATGACCTATGGCTATCCACCATTCAAAAACTATACCAATCTTTTTGCCAAATACCAGGCCATTGTCAACCCCAACGTGGCCATTACCTTTCCACCCAACTCTAATGCCAATGTGGTCGATGTTTTGAAAAAGTGTCTTCAGCGTGACCCCTCTCTTAGGCCATCCATTCCTCAGCTTAAAAACCATCCTTTTCTTAATTCTTAGGAGAATTTCCAATAATACTAGTAGTATGAGGTTGACCATTATCGTCTTGGTTTTTTACACTTTTAATAATAATAATTATATAATAATAATTGTTATCATATTAAATAAATGCAAAGAGTGCGATGTAATATTATTATTTTGTAAACACAAACAAACACAATTTAGAGAAAGATGTTTAATGTTTCAACACCTTTTTGTAGAGTTTATAATTATAGATCAAACCACACCAAAATTGAATGAATGGTATCAATTTAAATTGATCGAATTTTGAATATTAAATTCTCGTATCATCACATTGATCGATTTTGATTGATAGAATGCTATATAACAGTCATCATCATTCATATCAATCATCAATTCAAATTCAATTCAATTCAAATTTGCTTAATCAATTCATTTCAAATACCAATTTCAAAACTACAAACCCTTTCCAACAATGTCGAAATTAACAATCACTTTAGCCATTATTTTTTTGTTTTGCTTTTGTATTTGTAAATGCTCAAAGTATGTACATAAATCTATCATAATATGAGGTAATATTATTCTAAACTTATTTTCTTTTCTTTTTTCTTTTTTTCTTTTTTTTTATAGTTACCAATGTGATTCAAAATGGTAAACAATTGGTGATCTCTTATAAACCAGAAGGATCAATGGTGATGCAACATCAACTCAAGAAGAATGGTGGTGTCCAAGCTTGGATCAACCCATACTGTAATATGGCTACTCCAATGGTCTGTAATCTCCCACAAGTCCCACCCTGTGACACTGTCTATCTCCATGTTATTCCAATGCTTGGTGGTCCAAACTTGTACTTTAATTATCCATTCAACTGTACTGTCGCCTAAGATGTTTATCAACTCTGTTTTTGGTAAAATAATTTAATAATAATATTTTTAATTGTAATAAATTATCAATATTTTTGAAAAAACAAAAAGTTCATCAAAATTTAGGTGAGTTTTTTTGCAATGAATCAGAAGACGTAGGTGTTTAAAAGATGAGGATTTGATGGATTTCGATGGCGAATGGATAGAAATGTAGCCACAGATGTGTAGTACATATAGATAATAGCGGCAAAGCGAAAAAAAAATCCTGTGGCCGAAAACAATAAAAAGTTGAGGCCCCATCGAGGTTCGAACTCGAGACCCCTTCCTTACTAGGGAAGTACAATAACCACTATGCTATGGGGCCTTGCTTTTTTGATGGAAAAAAATATCCATCCCCCTATTTATACCCCCATTTTTCATAGACCGAGCTGCCGTCGCTTCAACTACAAAAGAGTACTACTCCGATAGGAGAGAACAGGAAAAGAATTCTTTAAAAAAAAAATATTATTTTAAAATACACTTATTTCCATTAAAATCTGTTGGAAGGGTCGGCGAGGAAACGATTCATCGTCCACGCCTTTTACGCAACTTGTCTGACGTCCACGTACCACAGTGAGAGGACCATACCTCCCTTTGTCCAATGGAGTGCTGCTCTTGGGTGAGCTATGCTTTTTTTGTATTTATTTGCTTTAACGTATGTAGAAGATGATGGCGAGTAGAGATACCAATTAATTAAACTGTTCGGTTCACTAATCTCTTCTGTATTTGGTGACTCGATGTACAAAAAGTATGTGAGAGAGTATGTTTTGACGATTGCCATCGCTTGTACCTCTCCAAATGACTAGGTAGTGCGATCTTGTAGACAGTAGGATGGTTGTAGTTGGAGGAGAATCGAAGGATGATAGTTTGTATTCGTTCTGTAATCGTATGTATTACTGATTAGTCGGTTTGGTTCATTAGAGCCAAGTGCCATCGATTACATAATTCTAACGTCTTGTCCCAGTTTACTTGAGGGTGATGTCCCAAACTGGTGGTGGAATGTTGTTGGCAGCAGAAACCTCTTTCAGTATCTCCACTGGCAGCGTGGTCTCCTTGCATTGGAAGAACAAGTGCTTGGAGGATTCATCTTTGCCACACGACACACAGATGGAGGCGACTGGGTCACCCCTGACGAGCGGGAGACATTTGGTTACGTATTTCCAAACCAGATCTCGACCCTTTGGTAGTACGATGGTAGAAAGAGCAGCTAGTGCATTCATTGGATACACTCTGTCATCGGTTGCTAAGATCTTTTGGCCTGGGGTCGGGTAGTACACATTCCACTTTTCGTTGGCTATGGTCAGCCTTTGGAGGTACACTTGCTTGAGAGGTATCTTCCTCTTTTGTCTGGTTCCATTGCTGGCTTGGGAACAGCCTCTCTGCTGATGTCGTAGGGTTGGGTGAGCTTCTCCCACCCGCTGCTGCAGAGACGGACAAAATCGTTTGGTTTGTCTTGGTTGAGTTGGTCCATCCATGATTGGGCAAATGAAACCTTTACAACTCGATTGTTCTTTACCTCGTGGAGGAACCCTTCGAACATCCATGCCTTTTGAGCGCGGAATCTAGCGTTGAGGTCCCAGAGGTTGAGACCACTATGGTCGATCGATCGTATGGAACGTTTCTTGGACATGGTTATTTTGGTTGGCTTTGACGGGTCGTACTCACGGTCGTTGCTGAACATGAACCAATCAATAACGTTTTCCAATCTGGTGATTGCCTCGTGACTAGGTGATTCAAGGTACGTAAAATAATTTAATTGTGACAAACCATATGTTTTGAGCAAAGCTAATTTACCTCTATAGTTATTGTTGTGTCTAGGTTTCCATCTAATCAAATCGTTGATTACCTTGTCAATACGCTCTGGAAGGTGAGGTACCAAACCAAACTGGTTAAAGTAATAGCCGAGGTATCGTTCTTTGCTTTCCTTGTCCATCAGTGGGTACGGTAAATTGGTTGGACTGCCAGGTGACATGATCACACATTTGTCAGTGTTGATTTTGGATGATGTAGCTTTACAGAATAGCTGAATCCATTCGTCCATTAGTTTAAATTCTTGTATGTTTTTTTGGCAAATGTAGACGTGTCGTCGGCAAACTGGAGTAGCTTTACCCAGTTGAGGTGGACAAGAGGCGGTGGCTTTCTCTGTTTGGTTCCGAAAGCTGGCGGTGGGAGCATAGTGAGAGAGATTGGTGGCTTTGCAGTTGTGGTGTCGATTGGCAAACCTTGTATGCGGCCGTCATTGATGATGCTGCCCAATGGTTCATCGAGTAAAAAAAAATGGGGGTATAAATAGGGGGATGATTTTTTTACATGTATTGTTTTCCCTCAAAAAAGCAAGGCCCCATAGCATAGTGGTTATTGTACTTCCCTAGTAAGGAAGGGGTCTCGAGTTCGAACCTCGATGGGGCCTCAACTTTTTATTGTTTTCGGCCACAGGATTTTTTTTTCGCGTTGCCGCTATTATCTATATGTACTACACATCTGTGGCTACATTTCTATCCATTCGCCATCGAAATCCATTTAATCCTCATATATAAAACACCTACATCTTCCAAACCTATAAAAAACTGGCATTTATTTTTTTAAAAGATTATGATTCGAAATAGTATAGATATTATTTATTACCTACTATTATAAATATGAATAATCGTTGGATAAGTATCTTGTTTGTAAATTAAATTCCTCTCTTTATTTCTTCTATTAAATTTCTATTTTTTTCTTTTGACGTAAAATTCTGCTCCAAATTAAATTTATTATCTTCTATTGTTTTTTTACAAAATGATCAACAAACAGATAGAAACAAATAATGAAATTATAACAAGAGTATTTAAACATAAATATCTTCTTTTCTATATATTAAAACGAATCAATATCAATAATACTTCATTCCTTGGTGTTGAAATTCCAAGCAAGAAAGTGGTAGTCATAGGTGATCAAGATCTTATCGATGATGACGATCTCTACAATGATAGCATCGACAATTTTTCCAACAAGAATACCCAAACATATCATTTCGTAGCAAAAAAGTACACACATCTTGCTCATGATCTATTATGGGTCGTACGACATGGACACTATGGTGTACTCAAAGAACTAATTAGTACAAAACCACCAATCGTCGACGAAATAACAAACACATTTATCCACGAGAGTGCAACGATTGACGATCCCTCTGTGATTGGTCTAGTCTTATCAATCTTTTGCAAACAATTTAAAGATTACCTAGAATCAAACAATCAAGGTATCACACAGTACCTTTTGTCTCTGGTAACGACACACGGCAACATTGGTATATGGAGGTTGGTTACAAATTTTATCAATGATCATTGTTTGGATGAACATAAAAAGAACAAGAACAAGAAAGGAGGACCCTCTTTTGGGTTGGATGGCATATCTGTACTACAACTAGTTTCAGTTGATAGACATGATGAATTTGTAACATCTCTATTACAATTGTGTATTTTAAAGAGTCGTGACGAGATTATGGAAGAAATTGTCACTGCCATTCTAGATGGTTCACTGCCGATAAAGACTAAAAAGATGGTACCGTCGTTGTCGTACAAATATAGATCATCAAGTCCTCTCCCAAACCTTGAGTCGAGAATCTTGATTCAAACAACATTGGATAATCTATACACTAGATTACCAATGCCTCTCTATTACAACATTGTCATCAGATCACCATTGGCATTTATGACTGACAATATCAATATTTTATCCAACCTTTTCGAATCAAATCCTATTTATCATCTAAGAGCATATCTCCAAGTCAATCCTATTCGTCAAGATACTTGCAATGAAGAAATGAAACAAAAGAAAAATATACTCTTTCAATTGTTGACAAAATACAAAGATCAATTAAAAATTGATGCGGATAAAATAGATAGTAACATTCAACCATTCTATTCTTCTTCATCACCACAACAAACTACATCATCAATAGAATACACGTATAATATGTTTTGGGTATTTGAACTATGCACAATGATCAATGGTCAAGATGATGATACACTTGGAACTAGTCAAAAACAAATAATATCTTTAATCAAACAAAACAAGATCTTTACCAATGATTTGGTGAATTATTTATTGGATCGATGTGGTTTTACAATTATTTGTCGGTTTGGTAGTAAAAGATTGGTAGAATCGGCATTTATTGCAATCATGATGTCCAAGACAATAGAAATACAAGCCGACACGAGAAACCTTTTAAAGGACCTTGTATCAAATCGACCTCAATGGGATGTGATTGAGTTTTTGGTTCTAAAGACTGGTCTTACATTTGAAACTGATTACAATATTATAAAACGAATTTTAACAAAAGGAGGATTGAATCGAGTTGCTATTCACTTGGCCACACCAGAATCAATGTCTAGGTGGTCTGCCAATATGGCAGATATATCAACAGAGACAATCACCATTCCATCACCCTCCCCAACCATTCTCTCCCAAGACAATGAAAAGAATATTCAACTGCTCGACTCTATCATTGCAAAATATTTAGTAAACAATGACGTTGTTCATTTTATTGCTATTCTTAAAGAGCTTAGAGAGAGTTCATACTATCTACCAGTTATTAAATACCTTGATGGTTATTTTAAACAAAAAGATAATCAATCTATAGAAATACAATCAAAGATTGATAATCTTGTAAAAAACCATTATCAAATATCATTAGACTATGCAATACAAAAATTGGATTTGGAAATGGTTCAAGGAGTGGTAGAGATTGGTATACCATTTAAAATTGAGTACCCAGAGACTTGGAGAATTGTCGGACAATATGGATCGGTAGAATGGATCAGTACATTCCTTCTCATTGCCAATAGTTATGATCGACAATTATCAATTAGACCATTCTATCATAGTTTAAAAGAAGGTGCCCTTTTAAATCATAATCTTAATAATAGAAATTCAATTTTAAACTTTATAAAAGAAAAATCTCATTAAGAAGAATAGAAATATATTTAAAAAAAATGGTAGTACACTACTACAATTTTAGTATTTGATTATTTTATATATATATATTGTAGTTTTAAGATTATTATTATTGTTTGGTTGGGTTGGGTTGGTTGGTTGGTTAGTTGAATTGGATAATTATTATTATTAATTATTAATTATTATTAATTATTTTTGTTTGTTTGTTTGTTTAAGCAGAATTGATAAAGAATTTTAATAAACCATTCATGTTACTTCTTAAACTTTCTGGTTCTTGTTGGTAAAAGTAAAACAAGATGCTACTAGCAATCATAAATACCAATACCTCACCATGCTTAATGTAGAATGCAAATCCTCTATTGGCAGCCATCTTCCACATAATCTCCATAGTTTGATTAAAACAATATAAAGATAATTCAGATCTTCTATTCTTTCTCCTAGAAATAGAAATAGATAAATAAATAAATAAGAGTCTTTGTTTTTTTCTAAAAATATCGTTCGCCATTTGTCTTACTCGATTAAAATTGAAAATAGACCTGCAAAGAAACCAGATAAAGCAGCAATTGATTTATAATCCTTTGTTGTTAGGCTTCTAAACAAACAAATACTTCCTGAAAAGACACCTGCATAGGTACCCAAAAATGTTGATGATCTAATAATCTCTGGTAATGTTCTTGTTATTAAATATTTGATTCTAGTGGCGATGAATAGTAAATGAATGAGTAAATGATCCAATCAATGATCTCTTTCTATTATACTATAGTTTACCCTTTTCTCTTGAATAACAATGTTGGTACTAAAAACAATGGTCCATATAACTTTAGACCTGCTATAAACACCTTTATCCAAATAGATCCTGCACTCTGTGTACAACTTGTACTCCAAGGATGTATCTGTTGACACGATATATTATTGATTTTTGATGCTGCTGTCATCTCTCTTTTATATAATATATAATATATATATCTCTTACAACACAAACTAATTATTGAATGATAATAATACAAAGAGATTCAATGACGATTGATATATAAATAAACTAAAACAAAAAAATGAATGAATTCAAGGTGTGATGAACATGTGTTTTGTTTTTTATTTTATTTTTTTGACCCGAATGATATGGTCAATATCTAATCACTTTTCGGCAATTTAATATTATTGTCATTGGAAATCAATTGAAAGTTCTTATTGTTGTTATATTTATCCTATTATACTATTTTATTTTAATTTAAATTTATATTATAATTAATATTAATATTTTTTGACTAATGAAACAAATGTTGATGGGATGATAATATTGTTGTTGTGGTTGGTTGTTATTGATTTAAAAAGTAAAAGATTGAGTTGAAAAACATAAATGATAGATTGCATAATAGAAAGCGGCATGACCAACTACTAGTAAGACACGAAGTAGTGCACGATAGATCTTGCTTTCTGACAAACCCTTGATGGTGATTTCAAAGGATATCAATACGGCACATCCAAATAGATTCATGGTTGACCAGGGAATACACATATTCTTGGAGGTAATGTAGACCACAAACTCGTGACACAGACCGGAAAAGAGAACCGTGAAAAAGAGTCCAGTCATACGACTAACGCCAAACAAGCTTCGTAGATCATTGTGCACGTGTCTAAAGAGCCATGCGTGCACTGGTTTTGACCATTTTTGTAATATATCTTTGGTGGTACAAGCATTCCAATAATCATCATAAAATGATAATCTATCTTCAAATCCACTTAAATCTGCTAATAATGAAAATACACAATGATATAATAAATAATATCTAAACAGAATAGAAAAATAAAAGAAAAGGTTATTATTAATAATCATCTTTTAATCTTTTGTTTGTTATTTGTTTTGTTTTGTTTACATACTGGATTTGGAAATTAAATTCAGCAGGAATCATCATTTTGAGGAATGATGTAATAGAGGCTGGTTCATACATATAAGGAAAGATACATTCCATATGAAGGTAATGAATTAAACCAAGTAATGCAAATGATGTATACAACTCTAAAAGAATTGATTTGATTCTATCTGGAACAGATTTACGAAGTTTATCATTGATATTTAACAATTCTGAAAATTGATCATAAATCAAAGTTGGTGATAATAAGAAATGATAAAAGTTTTTAAAGTACCCTATAAAAAAAAAGAAAATAATTAATACATTTCTTTTTTCTCTTTTTCTTATTTTTTTACACATACATAATAAAGTATTTGATTGAATATTAGAATTATCTAAATGGTTATGTAAAAGTTGATAATTTGTACAAATAAAATAAGAATGTGATTTCCAAACAATGACAATACATTCCAAGACCAAAAAGAGAGCTGTACCAATGGGAGCATTCAATTTAAAGAATACATATTGGAATGAAACAAACAATGTGAGAGCTTGAACCAATAAATAACTTGTAACAATTTTTGGTCTATTCCAAAATAGTGTTCTACTACCACCGGTACCTTTTCCTCTCTTGGTTAGTTTAATCTTTTCTCGATCGGAAACAAAATGAATTAATGGTAAAACAAATGAAAAGAAATGCATAAATACTACACTTGGTAGTAAACTAATAGGATTGAGGAATATCTCCCAAAATACATCAATATCCTTTACAAATTGATATGGTTTATCCAATATAATATATGCTAAAAATAATGTCTAAAAATAAATAGAAAGAAAGAATATATATAAGTAACCAAAAGTAATGATTATTAGATAGTCTGTCTGCGTTTATACAATACCAAAATGACAATTCTATTTTTATGTAATAGTTTATGAATTGAAGGTGATTCACCTGGACGATCTGGCATATCAAGATATGATTTTGATACTGTAAATGGTCGTTTGTAAAGTTTTGAAGTTGGTATTTCAATGTATGGTTTCCATTCCTCTTTTCCCAATTTCTTCTCCTCCTCTACAACCGATGATGATGAGGATGAAGATGAAGATTCATCATCATCTTTAAATAATGGTGACCCTGTTGGAGATGATTCTTTTGGTGAGGAAGAGGAGGAAGAAGAGGGAGAAGATGATTTCTTCTTCTTCTTGGTATTTAATACCAAACTGGGAGGAGACTCTGGTGGTGATGTAGCCATTCTACGTGTTGTTGGTGGGAATTCAGTTGCCATCATCTTTGTTGTATCTTTGTTGTTGTTGGTGTTGTTTGTCTGTTTCTTTCCATTGGCATTGCCGCCACGTTTCTTTGTCGATGATGTCGTTGTTGGTGATGACGATGATGATACAGTTGTTGCCGATGAAATTTTCTTTACAATATTGTGGATTCCTCCAACTGCTGTACCGCTATTATTATTATTATTATTATTAATATTATTATTATTTTGTTTTATTAAATCGTCATCTTCAAATAATAAAGTATTGGTTGTATTATTATCCAATGTATCATTATTTTTTAATATTTTAGTTGGTGCCATCTTTTTTTTTTTTTATTATTATATTATTAAAAAAAAAAAAGTGTTGAAACAAATAATAATATTATTATATTATATAATATAATATATAACTACTACTACTATAGATTGTTTAGAATATATATTTGGTTTGGTTTGGTTTGGTTTGATTATATAATAATGTAATGAATAAATTGGGAACGACGATGATGATGATTGTGATGGTACTAGTAAAGTAATCTTAATCTACTCTTCTTCTTGTTTTGCCAATTCGTTATACCTCTTTTTACGATCTACTACTGCTACTACTAGTACAACTACAACTATAACTATTTGTAAATATACCTCTCCTCTTATTTTTTTCGATACAATCTACTCTTGCTTGTACTACCTACTATTTTTGTAGCCACAAACAAATATGAATTAATTATTCATTATTCTATTCACACAATTTTCATTCATTATGCATAATACCACTACCACCAAACAAACACACACACCTTTCTTCTTTGCACCCAATCGTTCCCAAGATATATCCATTTTAGGGTGGGGGTGGGTAATGCATCACATCAAAAGTAATCGAGAGACCCTCGCCATCACAACACACCACCACAACCACCATCATCGAACTGTTGGCTGCTGTTGTTGTCACCAAAGAAGACATAAAGGAAAATAGAGTTGTTTAAATACCAACGACGACGACGACATGAAAGGATTATAATATGAACATCTATCTATCTATCTTTAAAAAGAGGAGTGTTGAGTAAAAGTAGGAAATTAAATTTCTTATTCTCTCTTTCTCTCTCTCTCTCTCTCTCTCTCTTTTGTGTTGAAAACATAGTTTTAATTAATATCCCATCTTATGTGTGCGAACGTTGTTATTGGCTCGTAGTAGTAACTCTACTCCGCTTTCCCTATGAGAGATGTAATATTATCGACAACAAGAGGAGAGAACAAGATTGTGCAAAGAAAGCTTTGCAACACCCTCTCATCGATGCCCTTTTTTTGAAAATCCATTTTTTTTTTATTTTCAATTAATTGTGGCTTTTTTTCTGTGTGTTTTCAACAACAAACATAAAAATATCATTTACCCACCCACTTTATATTATTATAGTCTATTGTCTATCCAATAATACTTTATATATATATTTAAAATGGTATGACAAATTCTAGAATAAAGACAAACAAACAAAGAAAAGAGACGAACAGCTATAGAGAGAGAGAATATATTATATTAGTAACTAGCGAACAAAAAAGGATAACACGTGATCATATTACGGGTTGTGATGATCATCACAAAATACGATATTAAAATTTTAAAAGAAAGATAGAGAAAAGATTAATAACAATCATAAGAAATAAGACAATATAGATAGTTAGATACTGAACATCATTTCTAATCATTACCCTTTTTACTTTTCTATTGTTGTTGTTGCTTGCATATGTATAGTCTGAAAATTTAACTGAAGAACAAATTGCCGAATTCAAGGAAGCTTTCTCCCTCTTTGACAAGGACGGTGATGGAAATATTACTACCAAGGAATTGGGTACCGTCATGAGATCACTTGGTATGTAATAGTTATTTGTTTATAAACAAACAAAAAGAAAGAGAGTTTATCTTTTTTTTTTTTTTTTTTTTTTTTTTTTAAAATTTTTTTGTATCATATTTTCTTTACCTGTACTAACTTAACCTTTTTTGTGGTTGTTATTTTATATTTATTTAGGTCAAAACCCAACTGAAGCTGAACTCCAAGATATGATCAATGAAGTTGATGCCGACGGTAACGGAACCATCGATTTCCCAGAGTTTTTGACAATGATGGCTCGTAAGATGCAAGAAACCGACACTGAAGAAGAAATCCGTGAAGCCTTCAAGGTCTTTGACAAGGACGGCAATGGTTTCATCAGTGCCGCTGAATTGCGTCACGTTATGGTCAACCTCGGTGAAAAGCTCACTGAAGAAGAAGTCGAAGAAATGATCAAGGAAGCTGATATGGACGGTGATGGTCAAGTCAACTATGACGAGTTTGTAAAGATGATGATTTCCAAATAAGAAATAATAAAAATAACAAACAACCCTTGTAGAATTTATAAAAAAAACAAACAAAATAGAAAAAAAGAAAAGAAAAAAAAAAAAGAATGTATTTATTTAGGTAATATTATTACTATTTTAGTTTTAATACTTTGTAGTTTTGTGTGGTTGGGTTGAGGTGATTCCTAATCATTTGATTTTATCAAGGATTTTTTCAACAAATTACAAACTAACAAACTCTTAATACCAACCAACTATCACATCAAATCATCAATCAATCAAACAAATATACCTACTTTCAATTATCTCTTTCAACAAAAATGTTATTCAGTTTGTATTTTTTTAATTATCAGTATTCCAGCCAGACTTTATTATTAACAATTCCTTTCTTTTCTTTTCTTTTTTCTTTTTTCTTTAGAAAATCTTTCCAAACTTTCTCCAGTTTCAATTCATGCCAGTACCCAAGCAGTAGTCAGTCAAGGAGGATTAACTGGTTCCTCTGAAAATGGAATCAATTCTTCTGCTTTTTGTGGCGGATGTGGAGGATTTGGCCGTCGTGGCAATAATATTGATATCGATATTAATATTGGTGGTACCCGTGGTGGTTGTTGCTAACCAATCAATTAATCATTCTTTTCAACAATTAATAAATAAATTAATTAATGTCATAGGACATCTCCTCTAAATTTTAATAATTTTGATTTTTTTTTTGTAATTAAGTCGACTAAACCTACTTACTCGGTTCTGACCCAGACGACAACTAGAAATTTCATGACATAGGAGTGATCATTTAGATGATTAGATAGTAGTATACATACATACATATATAAAATGAGATCAACAATTCTATTAGTTACTTTATTCGTTATTATTTCAACTTTGTTTAGTCATTCAAGTATGTGTGATGATTGATGAATATTATATATTATATCTCTTTCATTGATTGATTAACCTTTTTTGTTTTGTGTTATTCTTACTCTAGATGGACAAAAGGGATGTGTAAAGTTACCATCTGGAAAGAATAGTACAATGCCACAAATGAATTCTGTTTGTTTTGTAGTTCCAGTATCTTCTGGATCATCGGGAGCAACAACATTCAACTACAACATTGATATTGATTCTAATGACTTTTATGGCATCTATGTTGGAACTACTACATCCAAGAATAACAAATGCAACAACAACAATTTCAACCCAATTGACAAAGGTTTAGGTCCCGGTCATGTTAATGTTAACAGTACCTCTGAACCTCTTCCAAAGGGGTCTCGTGCAGCCTATATGATTGCTTGTGACAATCAAACACAACCATGCAACATTGAAATTGTTGGTGGTACAGTTTGTTACCAATAAATGAGAGCTCTTTGTAGCTACACCCTATATTATATTTATTCAAAACAACATTACAATTAATTAATTGGTCTGGTCAAACACACACACACACATTTAAATTTGCTTGACCAGTCAAGTAATCTCTCTAATGATTTTAATTCAGTCCGATTGATTCCATTAAACCAATCACTAGATCTCCACCCCATATATCTTATACAATGGAGGAGGGTGGTTCTATTTCAATTTTAAAACAGTCGCCCCTAGTGGTACACTTTACAAAATGATTCAATCAAAATGTTTGTTCACACATTGCAATGAAAGTTTGTGTGTGTCATCTTACACACTTGAAGCCAAAAACATTTCTAATTTGAGGTTGCTTCTGCTAATAATATATTGACAATCAATATCTAACACTTAATTTATAGTGTTAACATTGAGATTGTTATCTTTCCTTCATGTGTTTGTGAATTCAGGAACCTTTAAAAGAAGAAGATTATGGAGTCAATTAAATCAGACCTTTTGGTAAAACAAATAATCATTTAAATCAATTTCTATCTATCCCTTTTATCTCTATTTTAACAAAAAAAAAGAAGAATGTCAGCCCCAGCCGGAACCGTTGCACTTGTCCAACACGCCTTGGTAAACATCCGTACATCGTCAAATTACAGCCCTAACCATACTCAATACAACATCATCTTGAACCACACCGAGAATCCAAACAATGCCAATGATGGTACCTCTGGTTGGAGCTCATCCTATGTTGACCAAAACCAATACATTGTGTTGGGTGGTGACGTTCCAAAGGAAATCGTAGCCGTTGCTACTCAAGGAAGAGGTGATTTTGATCAATGGATTACTTCTTACAAGATTAGGTATGTCAAAAGAGATAGATAGATAGATAGATAGATAGATAGATAGATAGATAGATAGATAGATAGATAGATAGATAGATAGATAGATAGATAGATAGAGAGAGAGGTATTGTATTTTTTGATTCTAACAAGTTTCAATCCTTTTCCCTTTCCTTTTTCTTTTCCTTTTCCTTTTTCTTTTTTTATAGATGGTCACTTGATAATGTATCATGGTTTGATTATAATGGAGGACAAGTTATCAATGCCAACAATGATAGAAACTCGATTGTTACGTTCAACTTGCCAACACCATTGCTCTGTAGAAGCTTGTCCATTCATCCAGTCACTTGGAATGGACATATTTCATGCAGACTTGAAGTATATGCCCAGCCACTCAAGCAAACCTATGTCCAACAAGGTCAAGTCTACACTGGCGACAACGGAGCTTTGAATGCCGGTCCAGACGGTGCCCGTGAAATCAAAGTCCAAGTAACCTTCCCCAAAAAGTTTAGAACCGTTCCACAAGTTGCAATCACCTTTGATCAACTCGATATTAGCAATGCCAAGAATATCAGATCAGGTGTTCAACCACAAAACATTACCACCTCTGGTTTCGAAGCTCGTTTCTATACTTGGAGTGATACTAGATGTTATAGTTTAAGAGCTGATTATATCGCTGTTGAAGAAATCTAAAACAACACAACATAATAATAATGTTTGTTAGATTGGGTGTTTAAACAAAACTAAAGTCTAAATCATAACTATAAATAAATAAATAAAGGTCTATGAAATATAAACATAAAGAGATAAAGAATGGTGAAGATAGAGAGAGATACACTATGAGGGTAGAATTTCTTTCTTCTTTTTTTTCTCGCTTTTTTTTTTTTTTTTTTTTATGTGTGACTTTGTTTTTAATAGGCAACTTTAACGAAAGAAACTAAAGTGAATTTGAAATAGATAACTTCAATATCTTTTTATTTACTTTCTCTCTCTCTATATATATATACATACATAAAGATGGCTACTCCTGCTATTAGGTATGATAGATAATAGAATTATATACAATGCAAAAGAAAGAAAGAAAGAAAAGAAAGATATTAACTCTCGACTCTTAAATCAATCAACCTCTACATTACATTCACTCTTTTAGCAAATGGTCTGATGTACCACAAGAAAAGGTTCAAGAAGTTATTGTAAAGAATGAAAAGGGTGAAGATGTTAAGGTATGCATATCAAATCAAATCAATTCAATATAAACCTTGCGATGATTGGATGGATCATAAATTCGATTTGATGACATGATAGGAGATACATGTGTACAACATACATTCATTTTATGGATTGAAAGATATGGATAGATTAGAAAGATAGAATCAATCAGTTGAATGATAATTGGAATATATAGATAGAATAAGATTCTCTAGAGAATATTGCTATTAATACTTTTAAATTTTCTCTGTAGATTATTACAACATACCGTGAATATCAAGTACTTGTAATGAAAAATAAAAAGGTAGACGAAAGAAAAAAATGGGGCAAGTTTGGCGAGACCAATGAAGCCAATTGTTTATCAAATACATCGTCTGGTGAAGAAGTGTTCTTGACCTTGTCGAGAAACTCTGTCTCGGAAGAGGAAAAGAAGGACGTTATTCAATGTAGAAACTGTAAGAGAAACCATTTCACCTCCAAGTGTCCATACAAGGATGCTTTAGAGTTGTCTCAAAAGTTGAACAAGCCAGAGAAAGAAGACAGACCAGACAATTTGGGTGGTGGCAACAGATACGTCGCTCCATCACAAAGAGTTGGCTACCAAGCCGCCGCTGAAGTCCCAAGTTTGATCGTCAACAATCTTTCGAGCAATGCCACCGAAAAGGATCTCCGTGATCTCTTTTTGCGTTTTGGTTATGTCGGAAAGGTCACCATTCCAAAGCTCAACGACGGTACCCCAAGAGGTTTCGCCTATGTCACCTACAACGAACTCAGATGTGCCGAAGAAGCCATCAAGGGTCTCAACGGTCATCGTTACGATTACTTGGTTTTATCTGTTGATTTTGCAAAGAAAAAGCCAATGGTATGTAAGAATCAAAAAAAACAAAAAAGAAAAGAAAACAAAATAACATTATCCAATTAATTAACTAATTCCATTCTATTCCTTTACTTATATTTCTTTCTTTACTTTTTTAATTATTATTATTATTAATTTAGAACTAAATAAATATAGAATTAATTTAATCCAAAAACAAACAAAAAAGATGGATATCAATTATATTATATTATGATTGATTTATTTTTAATTCATTCATTATAGAGGGATAGTATTTTCAATTGCCATTAAAACAGTTGATGAAGGACATAGAAAATGTAATTTCCATTTACAATCTTTATAATCTCCAGATTCTGGTAATTCACTAACAAATATAGTTCCTGCTATAAATCTTTTTGTATTCTCTACTTTATATGAATTAAATCCAATTGTTCCTAAAACAAACAAACAGAGTAAGTATAATCATAATTATTTATCTAAATTTCTATATATTTCTCTTTCTTCTTTTCTTTTCTTTTCAATTTACCATTAAAAATAAAATGAACAGAAAGATAAACCTTTTTTTGTTCAGGACGATAGATTAATTTTGTACAATATTGATGAATGATATCTTCCATGTTGAAATAATAATGAACACCTGATGCATCGGCAGGATCAATTTGATTGGTGTAGAGATGTTGAAACTTTTGAAATTTAGATACCATTGGAACAAGTGTCGATCTAAAGAGTGGAATAGAGGATGTTGACCTTAGAGTGGCGAGGTCACGTGCATTGAGGTCTAAAAAGAATTGACGGAATAGATTGGCAGTGTCCACTAACATCTTTTGATTGATTGTTTTGGTTTCATCGAGTAGATCACCTCTGAATAGTTGATTGGCATATTTCCTCTTGTGATTGGGGATGGTAAAGGATTGATTGAAGAAGCTTTGTAGTTGGACGAGTGGTAATGACAGGTAGTTTAGTAAGCCCCACGGATACACAATATCGAGTATCGGAGAGTAGGATGTCAACAACATTTTGGTGTGTGCAGGCCATTGTATGTTATAGTCGGCTTTGAGTGATACGATCTCTTCTACTTCACCATCCAAATTGATCCGACTAAGTGGATTCAATGAAATCTCTTCAATATCTTGCAGCATTAGTTTGTTGGCAATCCTATCTCTCATACTTGGCTCAACACCCTTTTTGTTAGTCTTGATCATTTCATAATATTCTTCTTCTTGTTCTGGTAATTTGTTATCAAATAATTCTTTATAATATTCTTCTTGTTGTTCATCTAATTCCTTCTTCTTTTGGTCTTCTACTACTACTATATTCTTGTTATTATTATTATTATTATTATTATTATTATTATTATTGTTGTTTGTTGATGAGTAACCTCTTATTCTATATGATGATGAAGATGATGAGGGTAATAATGACGCACTCCAATTATTACTCGTCAAGTCATTATTATTATTTGTTGTTTGTATCCTAGTTAACAATGTTAAACTACTATTTGAAGTATAAGTGTTATAATAGGTTAAACATCTCCTTGCAATCATCTCCTACTATATTGTATATATATGTATCTATATGTGTGTATGTTTTGAAGTTGACTCCAACATTCAAACAAACTAATCTGACCAATAGAGCTATCGTCGAAATCTGCGTAATAATTTTAAATTAAATTAAAAACAACCCTTCTTGGTCCTTGTTCCCTCAACACCCGGAACACATAATTTCATTATCTTTTTGAGTAGATAGATATACAGATAGATATATATATACAGATACACTCAAATATTACTATTAGTTTAAACAAGGTTGATATCATTCATCGTTAGTAGGGGGATGTTTAATCGTGGTATAAACAACAGTATCAGCACCCCTTCATCTTTGGGGATAGGAGACAAGAGATCAATATCTTTGGGTTCTCATTCATCCATTTCTACTCCTTCTTCATCTTCATCGTCGTCGTCTTCATCGTCATCGTCATCATCTTCATCTTCAACTCACAGTCATTCAAGGTTATCGGCTGGTCTTGGAGGAACTCCAATAACCCCTTCAAATAATCTACCTCCAATTGGAGGAGGAAGTAATGCAATGAATAATATGAATAGTAATAACTATAATAATAATAATAATAATAATAATGGAAAGTACTTTAGTGAATTTAATAGATTAAAACAACAACAACAACAACAGAATCAATCGCAAAGACAACAACAATATCCTTTACAACAACAACCACACCAACAACCAGTACAACATAGTCGTACACCATCTTACCCTCCATCTGATAATAATAATAATAACAATAATTTGATGATGAATATGAATCATAATACAAACTTTTCAATATCACCTCCGATGATTGGTTCATCATCTACTACACCTCCATTATTTACTAATATTAGTAGTAATAATAATAGTCAATCGTCGTCGTCGTCGACGTCATCATCAATGTTATATAGAAAATCAACACCACCATCAACTTCACCTAAATTACCAACATTTAATATTAATAATCATAGTAGTAGTAGAATGTTTATTGATTGGAAATTGATCGCATCAATAGATACGGAACAAATTGTTAAAGAGAATGATACAAAGTTTTTGTATAGTTTGGTTCAACCGACACTTGCTGATGGTGCTTTGGAAAACGACCCCAAATCAATATACATTGATGGCGAGGTCATGTCACTGCTCAAACTCTATCAACTCACTATTGGATATCTATCTGGTCAACTGGACAATAGCGAAAAGGGTAATCAATCTATTATTCAATCACTACAAAACCAACTACAATCTGTCAAGGAAAAGAGTCAACATCGTATCAATGAATTATCGTATCAAGTAAATCAATTAATAGAGGATAATCATAATAATCAAATAGATCCAAGATCATCAGATATTGAAAATAATCATACGATTGAATCGATCATTGAAAATCGGTATCAACAACATATTGAACAATTACAAGGTGAAATGTATAGATCATTTGTAAATAATTCAAAATGGTTAGAAGATGAATTTAAAAATGTACAATTACAATTGAAAAAGGAATATAATAGTAATAATAATAATATTAATAATAATAATAATAATAATGTTCAACAACAAAAAATAATGATTAAAGAAATGATAAAGGAAGAATTGGATCCATTGGTAAAGGCAATTGGAGATCAACAAAATGATTTCCTAGTGTTTAAAGATGAATTGGTAAAGATTGAAGACAACAAAAACAAACAAATTGATAAAGAGAGAAAGAAATTGGCACAACTACACAAAAAACAAGAATCTCTTAAAGAAAGATTAGACAAGATTGAAAACCTAATTCAACAAGAATTGGATGAGATGGAACAAGAACAATTTTTACAACAACAACAATTACAAGCTCAACAACAACAGCAGCAGCAACAACAACAATTACAAGCTCAGCAACAACAACAACAACAACAACAAATGATTGATAATACTCAAAATCAAAGAATAACATCTCCACCTGCAAGATCATCTCAATGTATGAAATATCATATTTATACATTAGATTTTAAATTTCCTTTCTAATTTACTTTACTTTCTTTTTTAGATATATCATTGATTAATAGACCATATAAATTATTATGTTATTTTAAACATTCAAATGAAAGAATAGAGAGTGAGAGAGAAGTGATTATCAAGAATTTGAATGAAATGCTTAGACATAAAGGGATATCAACCGATCAAGGTCTTTCTAAAAAAGAGTTGGATCACTACATTGAACAGTTGGAAGCTGAAAGAAAGGATGATGAAAACTATGACGAACAATATGAAATGAGATTGTTATTAGAAACTAATATTGATGGTGTCATTGCTCATCAATTGTACACTGCATTTACAGATAATAATAATACTCAACCAGTTCAACCATTTTTAAATCCAATCATTAATAATAATAACCAAAATAATAATAATAATAATCAAGTTCCATTTAATAATCCAGTCAAGGGTAGTAGTAGTAGTAGTGGTGGTGGTAATACATTGAATGGTAATTCTATAATGCCATCAATGATTCGTAGAACAACATCAAATGAAAGTTTATTCTCAAATACTTTATCAAGACCCAATAATAATAATACAACTGGTACTTTGACTCAACAACCAACACCTCTAATCATATCAACTCCACCTTCTAAAACTAGAGATTTTAATAATTCCCTAATGTCAAAACAAAATAGTATTAGTAATATCATTAATAATATTGCTAATCATCAACTCAATGCTAGTGGTCAAAAATTACAATTACATCAAAAAGATCAACAACAACAACAAGATGCCGATGAAGAAGAAGAAGAGGAAGATGAGGAAGAAGGAGCAAGTGGTGGAAGAGAAATGGAAAGAGAAGAGGAGTTTTTAGATGATGATGAAATGGAAGAAGTTGAAGAAGAATTACAATTTCAAAAAGATCAACAACAATTACTACTACAACAACAACAACAACAACAATCATCACCACCAACAATCGATCAACCAGATATTAATAATAACAAAAATACCAAAAATAATAATAACCAAAATATTACAAATAATAATAATGAGTTATTAGCAAGATATTTGGAAAATGTACAAGAAGAAGATAATCAAGAAGAGGAAGAAGATATGTAACATAAAAAACTCTAAAAATATATATTGTAATTATAATTAATTAATATAGCTAGTGGCACTCAATTTGGGCACAATTGAATTTTGGTTATCCAAACATATTTTCCTCAAGGCTATAGTTGTTAAATATATATATATATTTTCTCCTGATCTGCTTATGATCGTCGACTTTGTTTTTTTTCATCATAAAATTATACATATTTTTTTATAGATTAAAAGATTGGAGAAAATATATATAAAAAATATGTATAATTTTTTTCTTATGAAATCCATTTTTCTCACCAATATCCATTTTATATATATTTTCTCTCACCAATAATAAGTCTCAAATCTTGTCGTGTGGAGCTGCCAAAAAGCAATTCACCAGTTGTCTGACCACCAATAATTGCCTTTACTGGTACACTTCTGATACTCCTCAAACCTGTCAGCTATCAAAGTGCGGTAAAGAATATTGTTCAGTGGAACGAGAATGTTCGTGGGAATATGATTCAGACGCCAAAGGAAAAAATTGCGGTAACTTTCCCCTTAGTGAATCACAATCAGTGTGTAAATTCCTTGGCTATTCAATCGCTCCTACCCCAAATTCTGATTCATCCAATTCCCACTCGGCAACCATCTCACAATCTATTTCTATTCCATTCATTTCAATGATCATTTTCACTTTATTCTTAATAATTTAATATCAATAAACCCTCTCGACAAATAAACAATATTACAATATTAAAATATATAACTAATTTCTTGTTTATTCCAAAATTGATTCCTTGGCAAGTAAATTCATATCTTGTATGTTGTTTGTTGTTTTATCGTCATCACCAATGAATGAGTCTGAATTGAAATTGGTTGGACAAACACTTGAATCTGTTCTTTCAAATGCATTGATCATTTCTTTATACCAATCGATTCGACAAACTACATAGATACTAAAAATGGAACATACAAACAATCCTCCGTTTAATCCCCACCACAATCCAAACACAGTGTGATCAATCGGTGGAATGATATTTACAAATGTCAGTACTCCTGCCAATGGCAATCCAACCAAATAAAATGATCCAAAATGTAATATAGCTCCTAATGAATTCTTTCCAACTCCTCTTAACATTCCTTGACATGTTACCTAAAAAAGAAAAAAAGATTAATATTTAATAAATATTGATTAATTTTATGATCATTCATTTTTCATACTTGATAACCATCAAATACTTTGGAAAGTGCAGATAGTGGAACAAGGTTGGCAACTAGTTCGATAACTTGAGGATCTGTAGAATAGACCTTTCCAACTTGATACCTTGATGCAAGTTGAAAGATAACACCTAGTATGACAATAATGGTAATGATAAACATGGATACTTTGGCTGATTTACGGGCACGTTCTGGGTGACCTGATCCAAGTAATTGTCCAATTCGAATAGACACTGCAACCGACAGGGAATAGGGAAGCATTATATTTAGGAGGTTAAAGTTCATAGTGATAGAGTGTGCATCCAAACTTGCAGCATTCAACAACCCAGCCATGATTGTGAGGACTTCAAATCCCCACGTTTCAAATAGTAGTTGTAGACCAGACGGTATACAAAGTACAATATATTCTTTGAAATCCTTTAACGAGAAAGTATCCCATGTAAACCCATACCATGTTTTAATTGGTCTTTGATGTAATTTAAATATCAAAATCCAAGCCAATAAAATAAAAAATCCAACCGCCTTTGATATACTTGTTGACAATGCACATCCCACTACTCCCATTGGTTTCATTCCAATTCCATAAACAAATATGTAATTTAATATTGCCTAAAAAATAGATAGAGTAAAAAATTAGATAATTATCAAATCATTATTATTATTATAGTTTTTACATTTAAAACATTTGAAATTAAACCAACTATGATGACTGGTGCCATAATACCTTGAGCTTGTAAATATTTTTGAAAAACACCTATAAATGAACCAAAACATAGACCTGGTATCATATAGATGGTATATTGTTGAGCCAATGCTGATATTTCCTTATCTTGTCTACACAATAATAAAATATTTTCAGTATTACTCCATAAAATTGCTAAATATAAAAAGTAAAGTATTATTTAATCATATATTAATATTTATATTGTCGGGTCAAAAGTTTTGATATTTACAAACTAAAATATTAATAATGATTACAATGATAAAAGCTCGTTGAACAGTAATTCCAATTAATTGAAATTGTTTTGCACCATAGGCTTGACTAATAAGTGTATCCATTGCTGACAGTCCTCCCAATGTGAATGCAGAAGTTGCAATTTGCCATGTATTTCCAAGGGCCACTGCTGCCAGCTCATTCTTACCGACATGTCCAATCACTGTTAGATTAACAAAATTAAATAAAACAAAAATGATAAATTTGATACTAATATTGGCCTAAATTTAAAAAAAAAAAAACAAAAAAAAAAAAAGAAAAGGATAATATTATTAGAATAGTATAGATTAGTTTCATCATTTAATAATATTGAATAAATAAATATCTATTCTAATTACCATGTCCATTTAAGTAGGAATTTTAATTCACCAATATTCCTTTTATATTTTCTTTTCACAAACCAACTGAATCTTTGCCATCTACTAGTTGATTGAATAAATTGATCATCGAAACCATCATCATCATCATCGTATTGATCATCATCATCATAATCTTTATCCAAGTGATATTATTTTCTTTTTCTTTTTCTTTTTCTTTTGGCATTGATACTACTCCATCTTGAAGATTATCTTCTTCTTCTTCTTCTTCTTCCACTTCTTGGTCTGTTTGATTAACATGATTATATTGATTATCACTATTATTATTATTAATCATTGTCAAGTCGTTGTAAAAGATATATATATAGGGAAGAGAGAGAGATAAGAGAAGATGGATTAAAAAGTTTCTTAATTCTTCTTCTTTCAACTTGTTTTAATCAAAGTACTCTCTTTTGTTTGATTACGTCTCTCTCTCTCTCTCTCTCTCTCTCTCTTATTCATCCATATCACACAAAAGATACGATATTGCCTGAAGTGTAGTTTGGTTGTACAACCATTCCACGCCACATATACACAATATATCTTATGACCCACACCACCACCACCTCGGAATTTTGAAACTTAATAGTGTGTGGATAGGCATGTATGTATGTGGTGGTCAGTCGAACCATCCATGTAATGTCGTCAGTCTTTCTCTGCTAATGAGAGGTGTACTAGTAACCTGACCTTTCACTCTAAATTAAATTAATTTTAACTATTTCACAGAGGGATTATGTCGCAGCTGCAAACAATATTATTTTAAATAATTACCCACACCACTAGTGGTATCAACCTATATTTAACACCCTCCTCCTTAAATCCTGTATGCAGGATGGATGGATGAGCATTCATTCTTTATTATTCAATTTAACCTCTTCCATTGAGTAAATAAAAGAAAAATATATAGATAGATAGTAATGTTCAAATGCATTGATCGGTCATCTTCATCAAAGAGTACTTATGGAGAGTCAATGTATTATGGTAAATCAAGGTACTTGTTGTTACTGATTGCTCTAGTTCAACATGTTCTCATGAGTGGTATCATATTTGGTTGGCCTCCATTAGAAGATCAGTTGAAAAGACAAGGTGTATTTAGTTATTTGTGTCTACCAAATGAATCGGTAAGTCATGTCATGTCATGTCATGATCTCATGTGGAGAGGAGATTAATCATTTATTTATTTATTTATTTATTTATTAAACTCCTTTTCTTTCTTTCTTTCTTTCTTTAGACTTGTAGTCAACAAACATTAAGATTAAATTTAGTTTATACTTTGGGTGCATTTACTGTATTTGGATCTTCATTGTGGAGTGGAGATTCGTTTGATCGACATGGACCAGTTTGGACATCACTAGCAGCAATGGTATTTATGATTGCTGGTTGTTTGTGTTGGTATGCCAGTCATATGGTTGATGACAATCTCTATATTGTAGCATTTGCATTGTTGGGTGTAGGTGCCCCGTCGAGTCAGATATCGCTCATTCACATTTCCAATCTCTTTCCAGTACATGCTTCGACCGTCATATCATCGTTTTCAGGCTTGTTTGTGGCATCATCCTTTGTATTCAAGGTATTTAGCGTTATTGCCAACCGGTACAACATCCCACTAGCCAACATCTTTCTCTGTTACATTATTGTTATTTTGATAGCTTTTATTCCAGGACTCTATATGATGCATCATAAACCATACCTACCATACAATGAATTTAAATCAAATTACCAATCCAATCAAAAACACTTAAAACAATTAAAAGAGTTGACAAAAGAAAAAGAATCATTAATTTCAACAAATGAAACAACTGAAATTGAAGCAGAAATTGAAAAGAATATAAAACAAGAAGAAGAAGAATTAATCGATATATTATTTGACCAAAAAGATCACATGGTTGAAATTGAATTGGAATTCATTTCATCAACGGAAACAACTCCAAAATCTGCTGCAGCAGATTCACCAGTCAGTTGTAGACAGTCTCCTACCTTGATGGTAATGGAGAAAAGAGTAGATGTGTATAGTTGCGAGTCTAAAGATTTTAAAAAGAAACCTTTAATCAAACAATTACAATCTTGGCAATTCATAGGATTATGTTTATTTCTCAGTATCAATTCTTTACATTCAATATTTTTTATTGGAATCATTAATAATTTATTTCAAAATGGTCAGTAATGAATTAATTAATTTAATTCCATTTCCAATATAATAATTATTTTTATTTATTTATTTAGATCCATTTTACATTCATGCATTTAATTATATATGGGATTGTGGATTTATATTTGTACCTATAGTAGCATTTATAATGTTGAAATCTAGTATCACAGCCAATGCATTTTATATTAATCTATGTGGTATTTTGTTTGGTGTGTTGTCAAGTATATCATATCCACCGGAATTACAATTCCTTGGTTTTATCATTACATCATTTCAAAATGTTTACATGTGGGGATATTTTTATTTCTATTTAACTCAAACGTATGTATTATTATCTTTTTAATGAATAGAAACAAAGTGATAATAATAATATTAATAATATTTTGTGCACAATATTTTTTATAGTTTTGGATTTAATAATTATGGTAAATTAGTAGCTATATTTTCATTGGTTGCTGCATTTATTGGTTTATTAGAGGTTGGTATTTATAATAGTTTATTGAATCACCATTCAAAGATATTTATTTATTTATATTTATTAACAATTTATTCAAAAAGTATTTATTAGTTTATTTAACATTGAATGGAATGAGTTATTTTTGGATCAATTTTATCTTGACAGAAGTTAAACTACTTTTATTTATATTCCCATATAAACTATGGAAATATGATCGTACAAAAAACATTCAATATAAATTGGTTCAAGAAGAAGAAGAAGGTTTAATATAATATTAAATAAATAAATATTTATTCTTTCTCTCACTCTCTTTCTTTTTTTTTTGTTTTATAGTGATAAATAAATATTTGTTGTTAGTTTTGGTTGATTGTGGTTGGCTGATTGATTGGTTGGTTTGATATATTTTATATTTATAAAATTAATTTAAGGTATAAACAGAGACATGATAAAAAGACAACGAGGAATTTACAAAATGAGGTGATGGAAGAGATTTTCAAGGTGTTACATTGTGGATGTAATCCTGCTGATTGCATGACATCAGACTTGAATCGCTTATGATAAGACTCGCTGAATACTTCGAAATAGTAGCAAGATCCATTCCACGATACCATGATGAAAATAAAACAAAGGAATGCTGAATGCAACCAAAATGATCCCATCAATAAAGGTAATGTAATTAGCGTTGAGAATGTATAAACCAATTGTGTTACTAAAATAATTAAAATAAAAAATAGGTTAGATATCAAACACAAACAAACTCAAGAGGAGGTTTAATTATTAACTTTTGATTTGACTTACCCATTAACAAAATAGTTGGATTAATATTAATACCCTTTGAAAGGAAGAATTTGTACAATGGATGTGGTTGCTTGACAGACATCCATCTTGACGAAGTCATAATCTCCTCATCATTTCTTAATTTTAATCCATCAACTACTTCTGTTTTAATAAAATAAAATACCTAAATCAATCGATAGCAGTAGTTTAGTGAGTATTAAATATTTGATTGCTGTCTATGAATATATATTTATATTTACCTGCCAAAAGAAATGAAGATATAATGGAACCAAATAAGTTTCTTTAAATGAAAGAGTACATTGGGAACCACCACAAGCCAATTCTTCAGCGTAGAATGGTGGGTACCAACGCAGACAAAAAGTGACAATGGGAGGACACAGATGAATAAAGACCGATGTCAACTTGTCAACGTCGTGGAATACCAAACTGTTTCTCCAAACGATGGTACCCCATGCCAATGGTCCATTGCTCAATGCAAACACCAATTTAAAGAGTGACGATGACTTGGTGTCGCCCAATAGATACTGATGTCCAAATAAATAGAATAATAATAATACTTGACAAAGATAACAGAAATCCAACATAAAATAATGATATTTGGCTCTATGATACATTATAAATCTAATTGCCATTAACTTTAAATATTAAAAATATTAGTATTTACATCATAGGGGTGTCATGTGTTTGTGTTTGTTTTTATAAAAACATACTGGGAAAATTAAAACAGTATACCATAGATACATCATTTGAGGTCTTTGAAGTAAAACAAACTCTGAAATAAATAATACCAATAATCCAACTGTAAATGCAAATTTATCCATTGCTCTTAAAAATGGTGGGGCATTCATACGATCATTTAATTGCTAAAATTGAGAGATGAAATTAATATTCATAGATATGGTTTATATACTTTTTTTTTTTACTTTACTTACATCCTTCTTTAATTTAATTAATTCTTTGATTCTTTCCTTTTCCTTTCTTAAAGATTGACCTCTTTCACGGAGAGTTGAAGGATCAACAACCTTTTTTAATCTTTCCAACTTTGAATTCAACTGCGCATGTCTTAATTTTAATTTCTTGATTGCCTCTCTATTAATAATAATAATAAAAAGTTATTATGAATGTCTTTAAATTATTATCCAACTCTTTTTCTTTTCCTCTTCTTCTTACCTATCCAAAAACTTTTGAAATAACTTTACCAATGGAACATTTGAACCTTCTTCTTCTTCCTCTTCTTCATCATACTCGTGTTCAGAGTCTGATTTAGTGCTTGCTCCATCAAACTCTAATTCTTCTTCGTCATCACTCGATAAATCTTCCAACAATTCTTCATCAGATGTTGAAGAATGATAGGTTGGTTCATCTGATGATATCACTACTCTTTTCTTTGGACTACTAGTAATGTTAGTAGTAGTAGTACGATGGACTGATTCATTGCTGTTTGCAGAGGCAGTTCTTTGTTGATTGATTTCATCTAAACTACTTTCAATCATTTTCTACCAACTAAACAATAACAAAAAAGTTTTCTTTTTCTTTCACTAAGCTATAGCTTCTATATTTAAATTGAATTTCAATGTTGAATGTTCTCTCTCTCTCTCTCTCTCTTTCTATTGAATTCTGTTCTGTGCGTTTAAATTATTGTTACAAAAAGATATAAAAGTTGTAAAATTTATCTGTTGTTGTCAACCTGCTGCTGTGACTACTTCTATGTGTGTGTGTGTGTGTATATAATATTTTGGTGGTATAACTATCTATATTTGCAGATAATAATAAATAAATATAATAATAATAATAATAATAATAAAGAGTGTGTGGTGGGAATGAATGAATGAATGAGTAGGCTTTAAAAAAAATAAAATCAATTTAAAAGAAATAAATGTAGAGGTGAAGGAAAGGTCAAGGGCTACCTGTCTCATCTTTGACATAAAAATCGTTGATTTGAGTTTTCATTGGGTGAATAAAACCGTTTGGCAAAAGTGTGTGGAAAGGTCCGATGCATCATGTCAACTGATGCTGGATGGTTTTTAACCATGCAACTCCTAGACTGATGAGATGATGTAAGAGAGAGAGAGAGAGGGAGATATATCTTTTATTATTATTATTATTTATTGTTTAATAGTGAATGGACCAAGTTGTGATGTTTCTTCTTGATTTGATGACCAAAGTATGGTGGGGGGTGGAGAAAGATGAATTAAGTAAGACTTGATCGTCTACATATCTCGAGAGAGTTGTTGTTGTTGTTTAGCTTGTTAACAGTTTTTTGATACTTTTGTTGATCTTGTATAATCTTTTCATTTAAATCTAGACAATATAAATATAATAAATTATTATTCTATTGTTTTTGAAAGTTTCATTTCAATACTTTACAATTTATTATATTGAACTAATATTTGGTATCAAAGAGATAGATATTACTCGAATATTCAATATGTTTCTCAGGACTTCCTACTCTAAATTAAAAAGCCTTGATTTTAAATCAATATCTTCCTATTCGCCACTACCAATACCTTTGCCATCATCTCAATTAATAAGATCAAAAACATCAAACCACAAAGTAAGTAGACCTGCCACAATATAGTATGATATTTCATTTCCGTAACTTGGCTAACAATTTTCTTCTTTTATTTTAGTTATTTTCTCCCAAGACAATCAAGACAAAATCATAAGTTGGTTTGTAGGTAAATATGGTGAGCCAAAGAAACCAATATTACTCGCCAACTCTGAGATGCCCTTAAAGGGAAGAGAAAAGGTACTTGATCAAAATCAATCCCCCACCACAGACAACCAATCAATCATCGCCATTGCTGGAGCACCAGGTATCGGTAAAACCAGACTAATGGAGTCCATTGGTGATTACCTCTCAAACAAGGATGGCAGTGTGCTTCCCAAACACCACCTCAATTTGACAATCTCACTTGGCAATGGTACGTCATACGACGAAGACCTGGACAAGATTCCGAGACTAGCCATTGGTACTAGAATACTATATAGATACTTTGCAGAGGGATCAAAGATTCGTTATGATGCCTTTCTCGGTCATATCAAAGCATCGATGGATCTTTCACAAATGTCCCCATACGATTGCTTTTCATTAATCTTAAAACATATGGCCCGTTCAAATCAAATTCAAGAGGGACAAAAGATATAATCATCTTTGGTATAGACGAGTTCCAAAAAACCCTTGGTGTGAGCACGGATCTCATTCAAAAAAGAGCCTATCTCAAATCCGTGATAGATTCTATCAGTCGTCTATTGATTGGACGAGATTCAGCTTTTTACAACATCGTATTAGCTGACTCAGGATGATATAAACGAGAGATTTTGGGAATTACTTAATGGATATTTGGAGACTAGCAAGCCCCTCGCTCTCAAATATATTGGAAGAAAAAGTCATCAGCTTGGAGAATACTATGACAAAGCAATATGTTTACCTCAAGAAACCAAAAATCTTCAACAAATACTCAAGAAACGATTCCCTTCTGAAAGTGGCCGTGAATGGGTTTCAAATGGAGATGTAGTCATAAATTCAAAGGGTGCTCTAAAAGATTTGTATTTCTTTAGGAAGTTGGAGAATGGAGAAGATATTGTTGTTATTGGCAATGCAAAACATACCAAAGATGGAGCTACATATCTCACATCAAAGGATCTCAAGTTGGGAGCCAACTGCCTTCGGGCAACCAAGCTCATACCGGGTCTGAGTAAAAGTTTATCTTTGTCATCTATTCGAATAGATATATCACTCAGGAATCACTCGACAAATTTAAAACAACAATTCAAAAAAAAGGCCAAAGGGTTATTATTATTTGTAAAGGAGTTGAAAGGACTGATAATCAACCTCAAAAAGCCTTGGATTCATTCTATTTCCCTTTTTCAGATTTTATCTAATCGCGGATGGGATAGTATGTTGTAAATAAAGAATAGAAAGTTTGAAAAATGGGTGGGTACAAGCAACTCACCATCGACATACAGTAATATACACACCGATGAGATCCAAAGTGACGCTGCTGTCGAGTCCATCAAGAGAATTATCCGTGACATCTGGCATTATCGAAAAGCCACCATCTCCTCGATACGTTTACGCTCATGCTACAGCGATCGTCTCACCTCGTCTGCCAGATACCTCGGTTGTTGCAGTACCGGTTACATTGTTCGATCAACACCACACATGAAAGCTGCCACACTTTTAAAGGACATTGTCACTGTCTGCCACACATCAAGATCGATTGCTTCCAATAACAACATCACATTATATAGAAATGATGTATTTGACAAACTAGTTGACTGATGATTCTCTGTGATTTAATTACATATGTTGTTATTGTTATTGTTATTGTTGTTGTTGTTGTTGTTGCTTCTTGTTGTTGTTGATATAGAAATGATGGCATTTGGCAAAGATCAAAGTTTGTATATAATGGTATACCAAAAAAATTTCTATATTATTTGCATTCGAAATAGTTGAATGGATGACACCCCCAGCAGAACTTCATAATAATAAAAAAAAAAAACAAAAAAATGAAATTAATTTTTCACCCTCATACTAATTAGTTTCGCGGTGATAGTTATATTTCAACATTAATTTAGTAGTTCGATCGATTTTACGGTGAAAGATGAAATCCAAAGGTAAGTCAATTAATTAAACAACACATCTACTGTAACCCCTACCTAGAATGATCGGTCGGGCGATAGATAGATTGTTTGTGAATCTATTAAAGTAGAGTAGACAAATCGATACTTACTTGAACATATATTTTGTATTACATTAATATGACTGCTACTACTATAGGTGACGAAGAATCATCTTCTTTGGATACAACTACAACTACAACAAATAATTCTACATCTACACCACTGTCAGGAAGACGAAGAGCAACTGTCAGCAACAACTCTAAAGACTTTGTATATTTTAACGAAAAGGGTAGTAAAAAGGATACACCCGAGAAGAAGAGAAAGACTACAGAGAATGGTGGTGATGACGACCAACAACAACAGGGTGATGAAGATGTAGAGGTTGACACACCTGTAAAGCGTATCAAGTCTGAAAAGACATCTACACCTTCAAGTAGTAAACGCAAGACTAAAGATACAGCAGCAGCAGCAGCAGATAAAGATACAACAACAGAAACAAATGGAACAGATAGTAATGGTGGTGACTCGAGTGTTACAACTACAGTACACAAACCACTCAAACTTACTATTAGACTTGGAAACGATAAGAAATCGGCTACTTTAACATCACCACCAACAGGTGCTGCAGAGACTACTGACAACGCAGCAAACGACAAAAAGTCACCAATGTCAAAGAAGAAAAAGGGAGGAGATGACAACAGTGCATCGGCAGCAGCAGCATCGGCAGCAACAACAACAACAACAACAACAACAGAGACAGTGACACCAAGCAAGTTGTCAGTCAAGATCAAAAAGGATCAGTTGATGCCCGCACAGCCACACGTCAGCGGGTTTCCAGCGGCACCCGACGTGCGCGGCGAACAAATGGCCACGATGAAAAAGATATTCACCGAGCTACTCAATCAACTCGTTAAAAAGGACGCTGGTGGCATCTTTTACTACTCGGTCACCGAGGATATTGCTCCCAACTACTTTACACACATTAAAGAGCCCATGGCATTTGAGGTCATGAAGAATGGCATCAAGGCGGGCAAGTACAAGTCGGTCGAGCAGTTCCTCTACGATTTCTCATTGATTTGCGAGAATTGTATGAAGTATAATCAACCAGACTCGTTCTACTTTAAAGAAGCTAAACGTATACTAGGTGTTGGTCGTGCACTCATCCTTTCGTATTCGTCCAAGTTGCATCCTGATAGATCGGCTGATGAGATTAGCCACGCTGGTACACCGGTTGGAAAGGGGTCGTCGTCGTCGTCGGGTGGCCATTTACAGGGTCCCGTAGTGTCTACACCATCGGCATCGACTTTGCGTGAGCAGTCGCGTCGTGCTCGTGGCGACTCTGTCCCTGCGACACCACCACCTTCTAGCTCGCGTAGTAGTAGAGCACCCCCCACACCAGTGGTACGTGAAGAGCCGCCTGCCATTGCCATCTCGGCACCCAAGCAGATCGCGCTTACCCGTACCAAGAGCAAGCCCGGCGTCACCACCGCACCCGTCGGCGCAGCTCCTCCTACCCCCGGCCGCCCCTTCTCCTCTGCCCCCGCCACCACCATGCTGCCCCCCACCCGTACAGGCACCACCCTTGCCAACTACCCCACCACCTCTATCCCCGGCCAACTCCTCCAGCAAGTCACTCAGCAGCAACAACAACTCCAACAAGCTCAGCAACAAGCTCAACAACAACAACAACAACAACAACAACAACTACTCCAACAACAACATTTCCTTCAACAACAACAACAACAACTTATCTCGCAATCATCTATATTGTCATTGTTGGGAGACCAACCATACTCGGTCAATGTATCACTTCCCAAACGTAAATATGTTAAATTGGGAGCAGTTGGTGAGGTCAATGCCAAGTCACAGTCGATTCCAAATGTACTTAAACCATCGTATTCGCTGACCAAATCGATTGCCGAGGGCAGCAACATTATGATCACGCCATTCAATCAGGCCGGACCACACGAGTACACAATGTACGTCCCTCGCTCTGATCCCGACCAAGGCAGCTTTGATTTGGTCGATCTCAACCCCACCCCAAAGTTCCTTGAAAGTGTAACAAACTATCAACAACGAAGATATGAAATGGCTCAAAGACAATACCAAGATCAACTCATCAGACAACAACAATTATATCTACATCAAATGCAACAACAACAAAGACAACAACAACAACAACAACAAAAACAAGAAGAGGAAGAAGATGAAAGTGAAGAAGATGAAGAAGATGAAGAGGAGGAAGAAGATGAAGAGGAAGAAGATGAAGAGGAAGAAGAAGAAGAAGAGGGAGAAGATGAAGCGGAAAAGGAAACTACTACAGGTGATCAAATAATGACAGAAGCCGTTGAAACAACTACAACTACTACAACTACTACAACCACTACAGCAGGTCAAGAATTAATGGTTATTGAACCAATTACATCAGTTGTACAACCATCACAACCACCACAACCACAACAACCTCCACCACAAATACAACAACAACAACAACCACCACCACCACCTCAATTACTACCATATGAACAATACAAGGTTAGTCAAGAGACTAGAGAAAGATTAATAGAAGAATATGGTAATGTTGAAAGACCAATTAAATTGAATGGATTGTCCAACTATCTTTATATCAAGGTCAAGAGTAATCGTTATCAAATGCAACAACAACTCTTGCAACAACAACAAAAGAACAAGTTGGCAGAACAAGTCAAATATCTCAGACAGTTTGTTAGATCGGCACCAAAGGACTCACTCGACTATTTGAACAAGCAAATGAGTAATTTGGTCAACAAGGGCAAACTCGAAGAGGACAATCTTTTAAAGACCTACGTAGAAAACCAAAACAACAGAGATGTATTGACACTTATCAAACAAGGGACTGATGATATTTTGGCATCTGATCATCAACCAACCATAGAGGAAATTGAAAAGATTAAATCTTCAACTCAAAATCTCTTTAAATCTCTCAACCTTGATCCATCCATTCTTCAATCAATAGAAATTAAACCACCTCAATCTCCAGCAACAGCAACAGTAGTCAACAACAGTAATAGTAATAGTATTGTTAACAACATATCAAATGATAAAGAAAAGGAAACAACAACAACAACAACCTCTGATGTTGTTGTTCCTCCTTCATCATCATCATTATCTGAATCATCAAACTCTGTAGCAACCAAATTGGCACAACAATTGTTGGATGAAAACTTTGAAGAATTATGTAAATTGCAACTATCACAATACAGTAGAAACATTCCAACACCTTCGGCCACCGAACTACAATTGGCATCAACCTTGCACGATAATATTGGAAAGTTGGGTGTACAACTTCCTCCCTCTGCTTACATTAAATCACGTGAATCTATTAGAATGGCAATTGCCAAGAGTGGACTCTCTGTTGGTTCAAATCGTCAACCACGTTCAAATTTTAGACAATCAAAAAAAGATAATCAAAATAATAATAATAACAATGTCACTACTCAATCAACAACTGCCACTACTACAACTACAGCTACATCTCCAACACCAAACAATGTTATTGTAGAACAAGATGTCCAATAAATAAAATTAACTTAAATTAAATTAAATAAATTAAAATAAAATAAATAATAATAATAATATCTATCTATCTCTCAACTTGAAACAATAAATAATATTTATTTTTAGCATCAACATCAAATGGGTTCCAACAAACAACAAAGTTGAGTTTGAGTTGAAAAAACAAAGTTTAACAAACGATCAGATTATTTGAACTTTTGTGGGTCTCTTTTTATAACAAGAACGATTCGTGGGAATGGTACTTATTTGGAATCTGTCCAAATTTTTGTTCGTTTCAATCAAAACCAAAAAAACCTGCCAATGATATTGTTTTGTCGAGTGAAGATCATGATGGAGCGTTGTGGGGCTGGGCTTTGTTGCTTGTATTTTAGATCACTCACTCGTTTTTATTATCTTTTTCAATTGTTTGTTTGTGTCTTTGCATTGTCAAGGGCTCGCTCTCGCTTTGCTTCACCACGCCAACGAGTTTGTTTGTTTTTAGTTGATTGACGATGAATGTTCACATCACATCACTTTTAAAACGATGATTGATGGTTGGTTCGACCGTCGTCATCCAAAGTATCTTGAGAGAGGCACTCTTTGCTATCTCTTGGCCCCCAAACACCCATTTCTATTATTCATTCTTCTTCTTTCTTCTTTAGCAACCACTTCCATATATATTTATATATCTCTTTAAAAGTGTGATCCTATCCTTATCCTTACTTTAATATTATATTAAAGTTTTTTCCATCTCTTAGAGGCAACAAAAGATTCAAATAAAGGTAAGTTACAAAGTACTTGAAACATTTCATTTCAAATTACACCAACCACACACACATACATTGATCCCACCAATCATCCAATCTTTTAATGAACCAAACCAACACAACGACCTATACGTCCAATCTACAACATTCAATGTCATCATCAATCATATGTAGTAGTAGTAGTAGTAGTAGTAGTAGTAGTAGTAGTAGTGCTGACACACACAGTGTTGATGGTAATGATCATGGCTTGGCCGATCCCAATATTGCTATTCTAGCTAGCTGTAGCTAACGTTGTTGTTATTGTCTCTTTGTTGTTGCCAATTAATTATGATCATGATGATGATGATGATCAATCAATCAGACTACTCTGATTTAATTCCAATCAATCACATGACGACTTGTAAAACAAATGTAGTCTCAAATCAATCATCGATCACCCCCTCACCACAAGATATAAAAAAAAGGGTTGGTCAGACATTTGTAATTGAACCTGGGTGAAACAGTACCAACAACCACATCCTTTTTGTTTAATCACCCCCTTTGTTTGGATTGTTTATGTGTGTTCGAACAAACATTGTATTTGTAATGTGGGGTTTCAAACGTTGTTCATCAAACAAACAAACCCCATACTCTTACTCCTCACTATGCTTTTTATAATTCCTACTGGACGGAAACCGATAAGGTTGGTGGTAAATCTGGAGAAGATTAACTATCTATAGAACCACACACACACATAGAGAAATACAAAACAACAATTAAAGACACACACATTTCCAAATCTGTTTACTTTTTGTTAGTAGGTTAAGCTAATACACGTTGGTTTCGAAACCAGCTCTTCACCTTTTTCTTCTTCCAACAGCAATATTGATAATGATGTTGTTTTTGAAAAAATGATGTTGTTGTTGGTTGGTGTTGTCAATAATTGATTTGATTGATAGATTTATTTATTGATTGATTGATGATTGATGATTGATTTTCAAGTGATGTGATGCACGATAGGAGGGTTCAAATAACCAATAGATGGATGGACGTACGGACGGATGGTTTTATTTTAATCATTATATAGTTAGTTAGTTCTTATTCTAATCACGAGTTGTTGACAGACAGGACAGGAAAGGACAGGTCAGGTCGGTCGCTCATATACGTGCCAAACTTTATTTATAAATAACTCATAGAATTGTAAGAGATACATTATAGATAGATACACATTAGATAGATTGATTGTAGTGGTAGTAGTAGCTTAGTAGTTTTTTTTGTTTTTTTTTCTTTCTTCTGTGATTGATGTTACAAACCTATTTTAATATTTTAAAATCCCAAGCCTACCTAAATTTTATCGGAGAATTAATAATATTATTTTGGTAAATAAAAAAACTGTTTGTTTGTTTTGTTGGATTGCACCATCCATCGAAATCGTCATCCATCCATCCCTCCCTATACGTGCTACTCTTTCTTTTTTTCTTAAACAAAATCATAATATATACCACTATTCGCACAATGATCACATTCCTTTCCTCCTACATTCCTACTCAATCACACAATCAACAACAACATTTAATTAAATAGTAAATGTGAATTGAACCCAACATACATCCCCGGTCCATCCAAAAAATCCAAAAAAAAAATCACAACAACAGTTTTAAAAATATTTATCTCTAAATTTCTGGATATGGTTCTCGATTGAAGCTCATGACAATACTTTTTTTTTTATGTGTATACTACCAATTCCTTCTCTCTCTACTATTATTCTTTTCCTTTTCAGTTGGGGTGATGGATCCCCCCAATCACTTGATATCTATCCATCTATCTATTCTTTTCTCCTCATCACATCGTATATTCTAATAATACATTTATATATCGGTTGGCTCGACATTTGGCGGGCAGTGTGTGAGTAGTGACTGATTAAATTAAAAAGGCAATATTGCCTTTTACCATTTTCCATGCACTCTTATCACGATCTAAATCCCATCACATCACGTCAAATTTAATTAATATCCCAATATTCCAACTCTACCGTCGCACTTGTCCAACTATTTAAATGAACCAGAGTGCTAGTGCTGTTCCCTACTCTATTCATCATTTTGATTTATCTAATCAACAAATTTAAACTAAAAGGTAGTGTGTCTCTGTTGTTTTAAGTTTAAATTAATGTGTCATTCACATATCGGTTTTCTATAAAGAGGTTTTTGATGATGTGATGTGTCCACATCTTAACTTACCCCTTTCCTTTTTTCTCTCTCTCACACACTCTCTCTCTCTCTCTCTTTGTCTGTTCATCATCATTATCATCCTCCAACTCCTGTCATCCCCAACTTTTACATTTTATTTTCCGACCACCATCTCTTACACTCACCATCCCATCCAATAAAAGTGGATCATCGTGTGATGGTGGATGGATTAAAAAAAAAACGAACAAAACAGAACAGGAACGGCAGTGTCCTTCCTTTTTATTCAATTAATTTATTTATATCCAAAATTTAAAATTAATTAATTATTAATAATTTAATTTATTCTCTTTTTCCTTTTCACTATTATTATTTTTAGAATCTTTTTTTTTTTTTTTTTTTCCCAAACTATAATCAAACCAAAAAAAAATGGTACTTCTTGAAGAAGACAATAATAATGGTTCTTCAACCGACGCTGATATTATTATAATGAATAATGAAGTGGGTGATTCAATTTCAACAACACCAACGACTCTAGAAGTAGAAACAAACACATCAATTAATATCGAACCAACTAATCATTCCACCACCAACACCGACCAAAATCAAACAATCGAAATCAAACATAAACCAAATATTACTATACAAATTCCAACTACACAACAACCATCACAATTACAATACGGATATTCCAACCATTCACTTGTATCGGCAACAACACCAACCTATGCATCCAATCAAGCTCCAACCAACTTTGAGTTGAAGCGTATGCCATGGAATGAATACTTTTTCCACACTGAACTCCAACACCTTCCAACTAGATGCTATAAATGGATTGAATCACCACTCTCGTCCATCATCATTGCCTATATTATCATGTCGTTGGTTGTGCTCTGTCCACTCTACCCGGTCAAGGAAAACCTCTCGGTCAACAATCTCACATATCTCTTGGTATACCTCCCAGTTGTAGGTGTCTTTTGCTTTGCCGTCTTCTTTCCATTGGCATATACCTTTTTGAATCTTCCCAGAATCCCATACAACATCAAAACCACTCTATTCCTATTTTTGGGTATTTGGAATCTCATTCTCATTGGCTCTCATTTCTTGACCATGCTCGGACACGCCTTCCCCATTCCATTCCAATGGATTATTATTGCCTTTGGAGGAGGTGTCCCAATCATCTACTTGCTAGTCTGGAATTCCCTACCAGGCTACATTAGATCATTTGTTCCAAATGCCAACAACAACCATTCATCATTCAACTCGGCGGACGCTGAAAAGGAAAAAGAAAAGGAAATTGAATTGGAAAGATTAGAAAATAGTCAACAACAACCAGCTCAACAACAACCACCAGAATATGAATCAAATTTAATGACGCTTAGATCATCGGTCGATAATAACAGTGGTTCACCCAATCCACCAACACTCTCTGAACCTCTTCCAACTCCCATTACCAATCATCATTTAACTAGTTCCAACAATAATAATAACTATTTCACTACACCAAGTGGATTAAACAATTTATTGATGAAATCAGTTGACAATCCAACCAATCATCTTCAAGAAATAGCCATTGATGAAAACCATAGTAGAAATATTTCTGAATCGAGCACTCAATCATCGGTCTCTAACCGTTCGGCCGAAGCATTATCAGACACCATTTCTTTCAACTCTTCGGTTGCCAATTCACAAGTATTGGACAAATCATCCATGTATCATCACCAAAATAACCAACAACAACAACAAACCATTTATCAACCAAAACACAGCTTCTTGTTCCAATTCTGGATCGTCGCCTCGACCATGTCCTTGGGCCCCATGGGATATGTCTTTTTCCATCTTTTCCTTTTAGCCTTTTACAGTGTCACCGATCAATTCCTACAAGCTGTACTCATCGTTGCTTTCCAATTGATGATCCTCGTTTATAAAATCATCTTTAGATTATCATTCCATCGTATGAGATATTATTTACCTCATATTCCTCTTAGGTAAGTAATAATCAATCAACAAAGATAATATTTATTTATTCTTTTTATTTTCTTTTAGAGTATTCCAAGATGGTAGAGTATTATTTTTATTTTGGTTGGAACTTTCAACCCATTGTTTCTTTTCAATGGTATTCCCACATATTGGTAGTTGGTATATGATTCTTATCTACTTGGTGATGGAATCTGTCACATTGACTCTTCAAGTACTAGTAGATACTGTAAAATTCCGTACTTTTGCCATTAAAACCTATGAGAGTCTCTATGAATACTTTAATGACACCAAGTATACTGGTACGCTTCTACACCGACTATTGGGTCAAAATGGAGAATTGGATAGATCAGTCTCTCTCGAACTCTTCTTTTTCAATTGTACTGCCCGTTCGTTGTCGGCACTTGCTTATATCATCTTTTCGCTCGTCATCTACTATGGTCCCAACAGCCAGTTCTACCCAACATTAAACTCTGACTTTTTCTCCTTTTTCATGACACTTGTCTACGCCTTTGCCTCGTTTGTCACCAGTTCCACGCATATGGTCATCTGTCGTCCCATCCTCAGAAAGGTCTACAAGATCGACATGGTCAAAGTCGGACTACAACTGTGGCGAAGAAAACCCGATGTCTCCTTTTTCTTTATCACAAATTGTTTCATTCTTCCATTGGTTGTATTATTAGAACAAAATAACGCTGTATCCTATCTCTTGTACTTTTTTAATAAATAATAAAGAAAGAAATTATAGAAATTATAGTTTAATTTTAAATACATAGAAACTAGAAATATTATTATTATTATTTCCTTCGTAAACACATCATAGTGATGTTGAATGCAATGATGAGCTGTCAATTAGCATTAAATTAATTGATTCTTCGATCGAGACATGACTTGGAATTGAAGGAGGTGATCAGATCACTCAGATCAAATGGAACAAACACAGAAAAAAACAGGATGGCGAAAAAAATTTTAATCATTCTCAGAAGGAGAGGTGTTGAGCGTGGAGATATTAGAAAGCACTGGTTTTTTATTATTAGCACACAATACCCACAATTATAAATATTTATACACCACCATTGCAAAACACAACACAACAACAATAATAAAACAAATAATAATAATTTTATTTATATATATAAAAGATAAATATCTGTACCATACATCATAAATCAATCAAAAAAATGAGTACTCAAGTATTAATCAAGAATTTATTCTCCATCAACAAAAATATATCAACTTTAAAATATGCATTGAGCAATAACATATATAAACAAAATCAATTCACTTCTTTAAAAAAGACAACAGAACGTGATAGCAAGAGAATCGATCAAATAATGGAAGTCTCTAATGTTAACCTTGTAAGTTTAATCTATCTAAAACCAAAATTTATACATATACATTTATTAACCTATTGTAATCTATCACTATACCACATTTATAGGCCATTATTATTAAAAAAACATATCTCGGATCATTAATCAATGATTTCAAAAAGTTATTCTTATCAAATTTTGCCTAAATCTTGGCTTGAGAGAGAATGGAGGATAAATATATGGAATCTCCTCCTCCTCCTCCAATGTAATATTGTTGTAAATAAACCAAACCAAACTCTTCACTTTTTTGTATATATAAACTATATCTAATGATCTATATCTACTACTACTACTACTACTATGTTATTATTCTTCTAGTTGTTTGGTGTCACCTAAAAAGTGATCAATCTTGATTGATGTTTCGGTAGTGATAATGTTATTAAACTTTTGAATGTCTTGATAATCATTGTCGACAGTAATATCGGCCATTGCAATGACTGATGCTATTTGTTGACCTTGGGGATCTGGATTGTTTGATTCCAACTTGTCCGTCTCTAGAAACCTATCATATGATAGCACATCACCTTCTCTTGCTCTTGATACCAATCTATTGTAACGAATCTGAGTACTAGCTTTAACAGCAACCAAACAAAACAATCCATTCCTAAGAGATATTCCATTTCTCAACTCTCTAACCTCTTCTGGGTGTCTTATCGAATCGATTACATAATTTTTGTTTATATCCAATGTTGGTATGATCATCTTTGCCAATGCACCAGACCCATGTTCTATCGAGATAGAGATAGAAAAGATAAGATATAAAAGTAATCACAGTCAATATAGAGATTACAACCCTTTTTTTTGATCGATTCGACTACATACTATGTCTTAGTTCATTTCCAGTATCGATTAAGAGTTGCCTAGACTCTGGTTGATTTCTTTCTTTTAAAACTCTACGAATGACATCAGAGAGTGATATGACTTGGTATCCCTTTGCTTTATAAAAGCTACACAATGATGATTTACCAGATGCATTTAATCCACATACACCAATCGTTTGAAATGTCTTGTTCATTTTAAATTGAAAATGAAATGAAAATGTATAAAGATAAACCTTGTCTGTTCTGATCACAGGCATCTACAAACCAATGGATAAAAAAATATATTAAAAATAAATTTAATTTTAATATTTATTGGAAATGATAAAAAGTAAACTATATCTTGGTTTGTTGATGAATCATTAATTATTTTAGAGAAAGAGAGATAGAGATAAGATAGATGAGTAAATCAGATAAATTTGATGAATTTAGAAATGAGTTCTTTAATTTAGAAAGTGGATTTTCAACTGTTGCCAGAAAAGGTAAACAAAAAGAATAATGATTAAAGAATAAAGATGAATACAAAGTATTAACTTTCTTTCCATTTTTTTAATTTAATAGAAAAAAGAATTCTTACATACTATGAAACCAAGATTGAACATTTTGAACAATTATTATCAAAAAGTATAGTATATCAATAAACTTTCATCATCCAGACTAATTGTTTAACAATAAATATTGTAGGGGATAAAAGAATCAATGAACTTGAAAGTTATTTAGAGGAACTTAGAAAAAAGGAATTGGACTCTAAATACAATTCTGATATTCTTCAAGTTTTAATGAAAGATTATATGAATTGGGTTAAAGGTAAGAGATAGAAAAGGAAAAAAAAAGAAATTCTTGTCCAGAGATACTTGAACATTTAATCTACTTATTCAAATATACTCTATACTCTACCACTTTAAAGAAAGGGAATTATTAATTGCAAGTTTTGAAAAGGAAAAGAATATGTGGTCTGAACTTTTACAAAAGAATAATGAGTTGATGAATCAATATCTTGGAGATGTTATCAACAACTCTAATAATAATATCAACCAAATCCAACAATAGTAATAATAATATTTGTTGGCCACACCAATTTCCTCAACCAAAAAAAAAGGTAAATCAAATGAATCAACCAATAATAATAATTGTTGTTTAAAAATAGTTCCAATTGAAAATATGATTTGTTTGATATGGTTTAAAAGATATATACAAGATATATTGTTATTATTATTATTGTTTGGAGGGGTTTTAGTTTTTTAGCGAAATGTTATTGTTGGTGTTGTTTGTATGTTTGTTGTTCTTGTACTTTGTTTGTGTTGCTTTCTCTCTTTTTGAAAACCAGTGATATTGATGGCTCCAAGTATAATTGTTTGGGGAGGGGGAAATGGTTGGCATTATAATTGTTATTGTTATTGTTGTTGTGTTCGATACAAGATAGGTAAAGTAAGGTTGGGTTGTGCTAAAAACATATTTAAAAAATTGTGTGTTGTTGTTGTTTGATCAATTGGCTAGATCTAATTATGATATGGTTTCGATAGGATTTGTTGTATTTGTTTGTTGTATTTGTTTGGTTGTTGGTTCTACATATTTTGTTGTTAGTTGTATGGTGGTTGTTGTAGGATGTTGTTTATATTATATATATTTGAGGGTTTTAAGAAGCTTGTGGTGATGATGTCTTTTGATTTCTTTGTGAGTGTATCTTGTTTGCCTTATCGTAAATCTCTTGGAAGGCGTCACGTCCAAACTCCTATAAAACACAGATCAATATCAGCATTAATATATATATATATATATATAAACTATAGTTCAATAATAATGATGATAGTGGTAGGTCACCACCACCACCTAATGTTGGTCGACCAATTGATAGATCGATTGATCGATTGATCTTCATCCTTGATCTAAAATATTGATGATCATTTTGATGTCATATGACGACACTTACTTGAACGATTGGTTGTTGTAGAGTTCCTTTTAAGACAAAATCCTCAATTGAGCAAAACTCTGCGCTGCTATTTATACTCTTATCACGTGATCCCAACATGACATAGCCACCACTAACAAATACAAATGACCAAGCATTTGCGTTCTTTTTAATCTCCCAAGCCATGTCGTCGTTGTATTCCTCTTAAGAATCTTCTATTATAGACACCTCTATCTATTTGCGTAAGTTATTTATTATTCTTCTTTGTTGTTGTTGTTGTTGTTGTTGTAGAGTCGACTTCTCTTTCTCTCTGTCTATCTCTCTATCACCTTTCCTTTTCTCGATCGCTTATAATACAATTGTGATGATTCCAGCTATGATTCGTTTACAGAACTTCTATATCTTCTTCTTATCCAATTACGTTATCACTCTATGTTATTTTATTATTATTTGACCTTTAAGGAAATATATATATAGTAGTATTTATATAAGTATTTATTGTTCAAAACACCCATCAAGTAAGCTTTTTCATCAAAAGTTGTGGTTTTTTTTTTTTTTTTTTTTGAACATCGGTTCTGCAGAACCCCTTGGTTTTGTTTGTTGGTGTGAGGATGAGTGAGGAGGATGGAGCGGATCACTCCTTGGACTATAATTATATACAAGTATTTACAATGTTTTATTTTAAAAAATTGGTATCTATAATTTATATACTCTTATAATGATATATTATATTTATTAAATAAATTATACAAGTATTTTTATTAAATAAGAAAATACTATAGTAGTGTGATTATTATTATGTGAAGATTTAAGAAAACCCTTGTTGGTTGATATTAATTAATTAATTACCAATCCATCTTTCTCTCTCTATCTCTCGACGATGATGATGATGATGATGGTATAATAATATTATTGCAACCTAAAAAAAAAAAAGGTGGAAATGGGAGGTGGTTGTTGTTGTGACTGAGACTTGATGATGTCGTTCGTTTGTAGGTGTTGTTAGTTATCAATATATATTATTATTATTATATACAATATATTATTATTATTAAATTATTATTTTATGCCTAATATCTATTCTATTCTATTATTATTATTAATATTATTATTATTATTAATTTTCTATTAATTATATTACAACTCTAATAGATCTTGGAATGATTTCACAAACAAATGGAGTGGTACCGACGAGTTCACCGTCGACATCGATGATTTCCTCTTCGACTTGATCTTCGAGTTGCGAGAGGATGGTATTACATTCGGTTTTGAGGATTTCGAGTGGGTTGGAGTGATGTTCGAGACCGGCACGTTTGGCCGATCTGATTCTCTTCTTTTCCTTGTGGATCTTTCTCTTTCTTTCCTTGTCCTTTTTGAAGGGGGTAATACTGAAACGTCTGACTTGCTTGTAGATGACATAGTCGAGTTGGGTGTGGGTGCCGTCGTAGACCTTGGTAAAGACGTTCATGAGGTCGAATGTCTTGTGCGACTTGATGAGGATGAGGTCGATGAGACCGTCGTTGAGCTTGGCCTTGGGCGCCATCTTCATGCCCTTGGCAGCACCTTGAATGTTATTTACAATGGCCAAACAAAACTCGTCTTCCAGAGCGGTCGTCTCGCCGTTGGCATCTTCATACTCGATACGTGCCAAGATCTTTTCACCCTTGAACAGCTCGATGAGGGCGGCGGTGGTGTAGCGGACGGCCTTGCCCATCCAACGCATCTTCTCGGCGGTGACATTGACCTTGCTGCCGAGACCCCAGTGCAACGAGTTGAAGCTGTATATGATTTCGGTGTTGTCCGAGTCTTCCTCGGCGATGTGTGTGCCAAAGTCCATGAGAATGTCGGGACGCACCTCTTTGAGGTTTTGGAACGAGCGACGCTTCTCGTCGAGCGACTGCGACAGCTGGCTGCTGTTGAGGTCGACGTTGGCCAGCGACGACTTGAGCTGGCGGAACTCCTCGCGACGACGGTTGCACTCTTGCGAGATCTTTTCCTTCTTGATGCACGTCACCTTGGCGATATCGATGGGCACGGTCATGCCGGCGAGGATACGCTCGCAGATATGCTTGATCGAGAGGGTGCCGTTGAGCTCGAGCACAAACGAGTTGCCCGTGCCGGCGGGGAGACACGCCAACACAAACTTTTCACGCGACTCTGGGTCACGCTTCATGATACCGTTGACAGCCTCGTGGATGGTGCCGTCTCCGCCGACTAGACAGACTGCGTCGATGGTCGACACATCCATATCGCGACACAACACTTCAGCATGTCCCTTGTATTCGGTGGGGATCGTCTTGACGTTCAATCCATGTACTTCAAAATATTTGCGTGCTTCGTTCATAATCTTTTCACCAATCTTACTGCCCGAGAATGGGTTGTAAATGATGGCAATGTTTTGCACCTTGATGCGTTTGGCGCGTGATGGCTCGTTGAACGATGGATGGTTGATGACGCTGTTGTCGGCACTGTAGTCGCGGTCTTGCTCGACGACAAACGCTTCCTTGTCGGCTTCGATCTGTTCGGACCAGCTGCGACGGTTGGTCGTTGGCAAGCCCGAGTCGGCTCCCTGTGGAGAACTCTTGTCGCCACGTGCAGTCACTGGCGATGATGCATCGGCATCAGTACTGCCTGAAAAGTCGTATATAATGGTACCATTCGAGTCAATGGTAGGAATCACTTGTGAAAATGAGTTGGATGTAGATGACGATGATGTGGTGGTGGAAGAGTCGGTCGATTCGTTGAGCGAACTACTTGGAGATGATAATGGAGTGTCGATATTACTTGTATTGTTGCTGTTGCTAATAATGTCGATCGATGCCGACGATGAAGTTGGATGACCAGTAATCACCGATGTAGTGGTAGATGCAGATGTGGTGGTGGTACTTGGAGAGTTGGATGCAGAACCAGATGAAACAGCACTAGAAGATGAAGAACTAGACTTGGCCAATTTCTTTGACAATCTCTTTTGCTTCTTTTCTTGTTTCTTGGCCTCCTTGGCTTTGATTCGCTCAGGATCCATCTTCTTTTCCTTTTTGTCTGACCCACCAACAAATATATTTATGATTTTACTAGCTACTTCTGACATTCAATAAAATTATTTGTTTAAATATTATGTATATTTCTAAAGAAATTTTGAAATAAGAGTAAATATTAATTATCAAAAATATTATTGGTTGTTGTTATTGTTGTTGTTTGTGTGAACTAGTTCTACTTACATATAATTATATAGTATATGATTTTTGGAATTATTAAATTAATTAATATTAATTATTATTATTTATATTATTATTATTATTTATAAATGGTTGTAAATGTTATTGGATTGATTATTACTAGTCTTGGGATTCTTTATCATTGATAGAAACTATACTTTATGCCAATAAAGTAAATATGTGAAAATGTTTTTAAAAGCCTATAAAATGTGAGAGTAGTGCGCGCGCGGTTGCTAGTTGTAGTTGTGTATATTACTGATTACAGTGAGTGTTCTGTATATAGTAGGAAATAAAAGAAGGGTTGTTAGAATCCTTGGTTTTAGTGTTTGGACTTTCTCAAAACAATTGTAAATAATAAAAAACACAATTGCGTGTGGTGGTAGAGGTAGTGGTCTGCAATGGTACCATAGTAGTAAAAGATATAAAATTCGAACGATGTATGAAAATAGTGTTACCACAATATAAACTTAGATATTACTATTTAAAATTATTTTAAATCAGCAAGCAAGAGTAGCAGTAGCAGTTATTATAATTAAATAATTAACCTTTAGTTCTTCTTCTTTCTTCTCCTTCTTCTTTTTGTTCTTGAGAAATTACTCTTCTCTCTCTCTCTCTTTCTTTGTACAATAATAATGGTGGTATGTGTGAATGTGAATGAGTGTGACTATAATATTGGCAATACTATAATAACTATATTATAGTATTTATAGTTATTTATAGTATAGGAGGGGGGAGGGTATTTGATTTTGGGGTATGATAATAATAATTAATTTAATAAATAATAAATAAATAAATAAATAAATTTAAAATTCAACTAAATATTTTCACAGTTTTAATTTATGTTGCTATAGAGTATGGTGTGTAGCTTTAACGCCAAGAATCTTTAGATTGTATGGAAAACTGCAATTCCTGTGTCCAAAGGAACTATAGTTTTTTGGTTTTTATCCATTTAAGGAAACTCTGTATGTTTTTGTAAAAACTTTGGTCGCGTGTGTTGCACTTCTCTGAAGAGGAGGAAAAAAAAAAAACTCTTCTTCTTGTTTTAGAACGTTGTCAACTCAAAGATCGATAGGATGGATGGATAGGATTCATCAATCTTGAGCCAAAAATAATAAATAAATAGAGTTATGAAACTATATATATATATACCTTTTGAGAGAGAGAAAAAAAACAATATTTAAAAAAAAAACATAAACATAAAGAGAGAAAGGTTGTTTACTAGTACAAAACAACAACAATATTATAATAATTATAATATCTCTTAAATATTCTATTCCATTCCATTCCTATTCCTTCTCTTACAATTTGTAGTTATTATTATTATTATTCCTTTATCTCTTCTTCTTCAATATTCTATTGGATTACTATTGTGTGATCTTGTTAATAATTGGTTGTTGGAGCTGGTGGTGGCGGTAGTTGGTGTGTTGGGGTTCATAGTAAGTAATTATACAATAACTTGCAAATGTCATTATTATGACTTTGTGTGTGAGTGATGTTGTTTGCTTGTTGGTTGGTCTGTTTAAATTTAAACCAAACCAGACACCAACCTGGAACAACAATATATGAATTGAAATTATTATTATGTGATGTTGTTTTTTGTGTTGTTGTAGATTTTACTTGAACACTCTATTGTCAAGTCTATCTATGGTTCTTTCTTATTCTTTTTTCTTCACGCGCCATATAGCAAATTATATGTTGCGGTCGGTCGTCATAAACTTGCAACCATTGTGTTTTGGGTGGTGACTGCAGTCTAAGTTCATTCACACAAACACACAAACACACAATCTTATGATTTTTTTTAAGTAAATCTGACACACACATCCTACCCTCTCTACCCACTATACCACCATTGTAGGGGTATAGGTGTAAAACTCAACGTCGTCATTGTGTGGGTTAGAGATTGAACAGCTGACGAGGGAGTGGCAGGGGAGAAATGAATGAAATGACTATAGTAACAATATTGAACATGCATACTGTACTACTATACTATATTGTAGGGGAGAGCACAGATATAATTATATTATATTATTGTACAAAGTTGTGAGTGTGAAGATATCTCTGTCTCTGTTGTACCTGTTGTGTGTGTGTGGTGACAATTATAACAACAATAAATATAATATATACTTTGGACGAGTAACCACGATTGGAGCAGATTTAAAGAGGAAAATATATATAGATAAAGTGGGTAGATTATAGGATAGATTAAAACAATATTATTATTATTATTATTATTATTATTATTATTATTATTGTTGTTGTTGTTGTTATAAATATGATTTTGAATGAATACTCTACTCAACTCCCATTGGATGGTCCTATGGGTTTCGACAAACAAATGTGTGGGAATGGGGTGTAAGTGTTGTAGATGTGGTTTGGATGGATCATTTCTATGTTACCTTTTAATTAATTGGAGGCTTTCTCTCTCTCTCTCTTTTGGGCTTTCTACTTGTAGATAAAATTTCTATTATTTTCGAGAACTTTTGTGCTTTTGTTGAAGTGGTTTCGGGGATGGTTTAGGGACGGTTCCACGGTTTTGAAGTGGAGTCGAGATTAAATAAAAAAAAAAAAAAAAAAAGAATATATTCTTTAAAAAAATATATATCTATTTACAATGGTGGTGGTTTATGGGGGATATGGATATTAAATTAAATAAATAAATAATATATATATATATGATATATTGATGACTGTGAGATGATGAAACTAAATGTGTATACTTGTTGTATGTATTACTATAAATCTCTAGTTGAATTATAATATTATATATTTGATTAAAAATCTGATCAGATTAATTTGAAACTCTGGTATGTGTGTGTATGTATGTATATTATAGATACTACTACTATTAATAATAATAAATGATTGTGTGAGGGGGTTCTATTGTTGTTGATTCCTGATGATAGATGGTGGAATTAATGGACGTATAATTTGTGTGTGATTTTTTAAAACGTTGTTTGTTTGTTTGTTGATCACTCAATGTTGGTGTTAATAAACAATGAATGATGCGATACGATGACTGCTTTTGAAAATGAATCACAATGTATAAGTATGACTTGGAGTAGGAGGGTAGGGTTCTTCCCACTCTAGCTCTCGGTTCGTAACGGCGTTGTTCTCATCTTCTCCACACACACACAATCTATAGTGCTTCTGCTGATGTCCACAGAGAGAACGCACTAGAAGACAACTCAAATCGTCACTTGGCGTCATTATAGAATTTCACATCGTAGTCTGACCACAATTTTTCAACACCCCACGCTCTCATTTTAGGCGTCCATTGTCGGTTTGACCAAAATTTTTTTAAAAACTCGTTCTTGACCGATTTGGAAAAGCAATACTGCTTGTCCTCGCAATTGTGACGAACCCTGGTTCGTGAATGCAATTTGCACTAATGATACTAAGGATTTGTTTGGAGACTGATAGTACAAAAAAGGCAATCAATATTCTAATTCAATGCCTATTGCTGCGTTTGTCTTCATCAACATGTTGCATTCTTTTGTTTTATTGATGCAGTTGTAGTCATCACTCTACTAGAAGAGAGCGACCATTATCGTCCAGGCTCTGGAATACAGATCACTAGAGCAAAGAGAGCAGGATGGGTGTTGGTTCAGTCGGGTGTTGGATTTAATTTGTGACCTCATGACGGTATCATCGATGATAGCTTTGCCAAGAGTCGCGTTTCTTTCTCTTCAAATGTTATTTTATGTACATCATCAACACTATTGTTAACATTCAATGGGTCAAAATATATAATGGGTTGAGAGGAGGATGACGAAGAGGAGTGATCCCTGGTTGAAGTAGTATTATTATTTTGTTTTGATAAATCGGCAAGTTTGTTAATATTTGGTTTGTCAATGGTTATTCTAAATTTCTTTCTTATATCATCTTCATGATTTTGTATTATATTATTCTAAAATAGAAAAATAGATAGATAGAGAGATTAGTATTTAATTTAATTTAGTTAGGTTGGTTTAATGATTATTATTATTATTATTATTTCTTTTTTTTTTTTTTTTAGTACTACATACAATAGTTGATGAAGATTTAAAATAAATAATAGCACGATTTAATTCAGTTGGATCATTTTGAATATTTCTTTCCAAGATGACAACTGAATCTACCATACCATACGATGAAAAGATATCTACCAATGTCTCTTCTCTAAATTTTAATTTATATTTCCATTTTAAAATTAGAATATTATTTCTATCTATACTTGAAGTTGTTGGATCATATCCTCCTCTACTACTACTTCCAATATTATTATTTCCTTTTTTTGGAGAATTATTATTATTATTATTACTTGTAATATTACTTTGTTGTTGAACCTCTCTGAGAACGTCTTCTCTATATTTAGCATTTTCCTTTCTTTTATCCTCTGCCTCTTTTTGTTTCTTTTTTCTATGTTCCTCTTCTCTTGTTGTTAGATCATCCTTCATCTTTTTTCTCTTTTTATCCATATCATCATCTCTTTTCTTCTTTTCCAATTTACCCTTTAACTGTAAATCAAATGCATCTCTTGTACTCTTTTCTGTCAATGTTTTATTTGCTTTTGATATCTAAAAAGAAACATATAAAAGATAGTAATATTAGTATCATCATTGATGCATAATCAAATCACAACGACCAAGAGTCATATCAATATCATATGACACTTTCATACCTTTTCAAACATGATTACAGCTTCTTTTGATTTATTCTTATCAGGATGATACACCAATGCAAGCATTCTATATGCCTTTTGTATTTGTTTATCTGTTGCATCTTGTCCTATATTCAATACTGCATACCAATCTATAAACTCTTCTCCTGATGACATTCTTTTCTTTCTTTCTTTCTCTTTTATCTATCTATTTACAAATGATATTATATCTATCTACTTTATTTACAATACACTTTATAATATAAATACTATACTATTCTTCTTCTTCTTTTTAATATCTCTCTTAACTTCTAGAATGAGCACTATTCATTCCTTTTTGAGTATTACTGATTTTTAAGATGTAATTTTCAATGACACATTGGTGAAATTTGGACAACCCTTTTGATTAAATGTATACAATATATTTATATTTATTATTTATTTCTTTCTTGGTTATGTATTTTAAGATTGATGTTTTGTTTGTTGAGGAACTGTTGAGTTGGGCACCTTTTTCTAAAGAATGAAGGATACCTTGTTTGGTGACAGAGGTTGGAGTGATTGTGTTTTGGTAGATGAGTGATTTGATCCATTTTGGAGACCCGTATTGACCAACCATTACCCAACTCTCAGACTGTGTAATATTAAAAGGTATTCCAAGTTGGATGACACGTGTAATCAACTCTACATCCAAATATTGAATAGCCAAGTCAAATAAAAGTATGAATTGTTCCAATAGACCGTTAATCTTGGTATTTGATTTACTACTATTTGTTTTGAGGTAGTTCCACAAAAATTCAATAACCGGTAGATAATATCGGTTGGCCAATTGGGAGAGGAAAGTATCTTTAAGTACAAGTGTGGTGGTTGGAGATTCAAGATACCTTTTAATGATTTGTTCCAATAGTTCGATATTCTGTTGGTTGTCAAGTGTGAGTAGGGGAGTTGGCGATTTAACATAATCTAACATTTCAATACTATTGACAGACATGTTTTGGAGAGCGGTTCTAAGTGGAGTATTAAATAGTACCAAGCATTTAGCAACTGAAAATTGACCCTTTAACAAGAGAGAGTGTAAGATGTCAGCACCGCTAGATGCATGTATTCCATTGGATAGATTCTTCTTGTTTTGATAAGAGGTATAATATTCTCTCTTTTTACTGATTGTATTGTACACCTCTTGTACTAATCGGGGGTCTCCATATTGACAGATCGTTTCAAAAGTGCAGTGACTTAGTAAATATTCGATTAGTAGTTCGTTGCCATTGACACAATTAAACAACAAGAGATCTATTTCAGAATTGACCATCGTTATGACTTGTTGAAGAGTTGATTCACGTAAATGCCCATTTTCAACCATGGATTCAAGTCTTGCATCTAAAATGGTCAACACATAATAAATGAACTCCATTGAAGTGTTTGTAGAGGATGAAGAAGATGATGAGGAGGATGAGGATGATGATGATGATGATGATGAGGATGAGGAGGATGAAGAAGAAGAGGATAGAAGAGTAAATGGTTCAATTTTATGACCAATCGTAGATACTTTTAAACGTGGATATTCTTTTTGGTACTTTGTTAAAAGAAATGTAAATGTTTGGAACCGTTGTTTCATTTCTTGGTGATTAGTATCTTGATAGATTGGATTCTCAAGTATATACTTTGGTGAGTAATACGTTAGATTCATGTCAAAAAAGAATGACAGTATGGTTGTATTATGTGACACATATACTAGTTGAGAGAGACACATGATTTCATAGAACTTTTTGGTTGGTAGTCTTTTGAATAGATCGTCCAATGTTGCTCTGATACCAATTCTTGTTTCTAGGTTTGGTAAACTTGAATGGTTCATTTCCTGATAATTGAATGTATGAGGAGAGACTTGTCGACGATCATCAAAGGGATTGTTGATCACAGAGACGATCAAATCATCTAGAATCTCTAGTCTCTGTTTCACTATACACATTCGAATGAGATGATTCATGATATTGGGATCTAATTGATTGAATAGAATAGATGAACCTGGTATACAATGAGCATTGATAAACCCAAGCAAACATTTCCAAATACCAATATTACCATGACTATTGATGACGGCATGAAGATACTCCGAAATGTGTTGAAACATTAGACAATTAATAAAATGACTACGAAACGATTCAAGCACCAATTTGAATATATCCACTTGTTCAATAGACAATACCGACAAGACAAAACTTCTAGTTGGTAATCCAAACAGTCGATCTAAATTGAATTTACGTTGGTTGTTGGGTAATCGCATCAACTCTTTTAGTAATCCATAGTGTCTGTTTCTTATTACCCATTCAAGGTCACTTGAAGCTTGACTATAAGATTTTGCCAATGTACAAGTTACACCATCTTTTTGACTTTTTATTCTACTTGGTATAGAAACACCTTTATACTTTATATTCTCTGTCTTTACTCTTTCAAGTATAAATCTGAACAAGTATTTATTTTTTAATACTCTTTTAATAGTTTCTATTTCGATGTTGATGTCATCATTCTTTGTTTGATTCATATTTGTGTGTTGAAACAAAAATGATCATCTTTTTTAATTTTTTTCAATTTTAACCAAGGTTTCCTGTTTGATTCTTACTCATTATGTTAAAGGTGTAATTGATTGTTATTTATTTATTTATTTATTTATTTATTTATTTATTTATTTATTTATTTATTTATTTATTTATTTATTTATTTATTTATTTATTTATTTATTTATTATTATTTATTATTATTATTTTGTTTGATTATTGATTTGGATTTGAAGAATCACCTCTATTCATACAACTTTTTGCAACAGATTCAAATAGCTGTTCAATTTCAGGGGCAATACGAGTAAATGAATGACTCCAGAAATTGTATCTTGGGTTCTTGATCAATTCAATAAAGGTAATTAATAATCCCCATGGATGTGGTTTGTTTGAAATTAATCTTTCAAGTAATACTCTGTTTTTTGATAAATAGAAAATAATAATTAGTATATTTGTATATTGATATTATGAATTTGTTTTATATACCTAGTAATTTGTTCTTTAATAACTTCTTGATTAGCTTCAGCGAAAAGATACAAGAGTACACAACTAAAGTAATGAGTATGACTATTTGGATAACGTAATTGATTGGTGATTGCGTTAAAGAAGAGGTATCTTCCTTCGGGATCGAGGTCGATACAGAGACGATGGAAGATATCCATTGGAGCATTGTGAGTTGGTGAGGCTGCTCCTCCACCATTCTTGCGTTGTACTTGGGGTATGGCGAGGGTACCGACATAGAGCACGAGCGAGTTGATGAGTGGGACATTGTAACGAGTACCAGCGATAATGTCTTCTCCAGGTTCGAGCATAAGATACTTGTTCTTGAGCTCAGCCAAAAACGATGGTGGACCACGGATCTTGAGGTAACTGTCAATCTCGTTTTTGAGTCCCTTTAGGGCGAGTGTAAAGTTGCTAGATATCTTGGGTGGATGGTTAATGTCTGGCAAGAGGTCAACCTTTAGATTGGGTGTAAAGGGATCTGGCAGACGCATACTACGTGGGAATGCAGACAATACCAAGTTACGTAGTTGGATACAGGTGGCGGGGATCACATCACAAAACGAGAAATGGTATTCACACAAAAACTCTGGGAAGTCGTGCAAGAGTACGAGGAGGATCTTGAGTGTACCCTTGTAGAGCAGACGGAGTGGTTCAGACACGTCAACACCTCTGAGGAACGGGTCGAGGAACTTAAAGTGTTGTACGAGCAGAGTATGGAACCACGCCTTTTGCTGTTGATGTTGTTGGACTTGTTGTGGTGTCTGTTGTTGTTGCATGGGTTTAGCGAGTAGCTTGGGCATAAACGAACGATGTGAGATGAGGTCGAGCCAGGCAAAACAGAATGCAGGGTATTTCTGTGGTTGAAGAGTGGCAAGTGCATTGACAAAGCAGTAGAGAATCGAGATACTAGACTGTTCGAGAATAGGGTCGGGTGCATTGAGATCAGTCATAAGATTCTCAAAGATACGTAGGTATGGACGTTGATTAAATCTAAATCCATAAGTCTCATAATCCTTGGTGAGTAACTTGATAAGGAACCCAAGTACCTTTGTGAGAACTGTCAAATGTGTGTTGTCACCATGTTTGACCATCATCACTACAAACTTGCAATACGCGTCAATCTCCATATAATTGGCAGATTGTGCTGCAGCAGCCTGTTGCTGTTGTTGTGGTTGAGTTGGTTGAGCTTGTTGTAATGATTCAATATAACTAGCCATATACTTTTCAACAGCCCATTCCAAACCCATACGGAAGAACTTTTGAAAGTATATTTCATTCTTCATCATGTTGAGTTGGAGTACCTGTTGGAGATACTGAATCTGGATCTTGTGGTCACTATTGGCAGTAGAAAAGACAAGCCAGTCTTGGAGCAATGAACAGACGGCGTCTTTGAGACCTGGTGGATCGCGATTCATCTCTTCCTGTTTGATACGAGAGATACGACGTTTCTTTTCGTCTGGTTGGTTCTTGGCGTCCTCGACCGTCTTGAGAAGCATGTCTGAACTACCACGTTGTGCCATTTTGTTGAGCAACTCGATGGTGATGGCAAACTCGCTTGGTACAGCATAGGCATTCTCAATCACAGTGAATCGAATGAGAGAAATGGCAAACTCAAAGGCTTGAGATGCGGTTCTACCCTCCAACATGAGCTGTGCCAATTGTTGATCATAGTCATTGACATTGATGAGCTGATGGATGATGAGACCATAGATGAGGATACGGTTCAATTTCTTGTCAACCGATGAAAAGTGTAACAACGAGTTGAGAACATTGACAATCTTGAGATCCCACTCTTTGAGTACTTCGAGCAATTCAAAGTAGACTTCATAGAGGAGCTTCTTGTCAGGGTCACCCAAACGACTAAACAACTTTTGTGCAAACTGTTGCAACAATTCGTTTTGGTTGGCAGATGTCACTACAAACGATCCCATCTGTTGAACGATACTGTAGAGTAGGTCAAACTCGATTGGTGCATTTTGTTGAGCACGCAACATACCCAACTTGTCGACTTCGTTGAGCATGTAGCCAAACTTTTCGAGCAACTCGCCATTGGAGATGGTTTGTTGTTGTTGTTGCTGTTGCTGTTGTTGTTGCTGGAGTTGAGCAGCTTGTTGTTGGAGTTGCTGTTGTTGTAACTGAGCAGCTTGTTGTTGAAGCTGTTGTTGCTGCAATTGTTGGAGTTGAGCAGCTTGTTGTTGTTGTTGCTGTTGCTGTGGATCAATGTCGGACGATCCCTGTACCATGGCAGCAATATTGGCGTGGTGGGGAAGGTTGAGGAAATCCTCGTACACGCGGAACTGATCTGGCTGGATACCTCCGGGTTTGGGACGGAGTGGTTCTGGCAGATTGTTGTAAATGTTGGTAGTGAGGTATCCAAAGTCAAAGTAGGGTTGGTGTGGAGCGGTCTCCTTGTGCTTGAGACGCTCGGCATAGCTAGACGCTAGCACCGTGTCAATATCAATGACTGCCTTTTCCGTGGCGGCACGCTCGACAATCGAACAAGCAAAGTCGAGATTGTCTTGGATGACAGTGTTGAGTGCCATCTCGAGCTGGGGTGGCAGCTGTTGGTCGGCCTGAGCACCGGTCGAGCTCAACAAGAAACTACGCAAATGAGTAGAGATACCAACGCGCAACGGATCCTTGCACGTCACCAACGCCAAACTGCCAGCGAGATTCTGTACCATGAGATGCGACGCCTTTTTCATCTTGCGCTCATCAGCTTCGGTCGCAAAGTCCTTGCTGACCAGCTCCTTGGAGGTGATGACGGCAATCGCCACAGAACGTTCGACAACAGGACCGATAATCTCCTTGATACCACGCTCAATCGCTGCGGGCACTGCCTTTTTAAAGACGGGTGATGCGAGCAATGGACCGAGCGACGAACTGTACTGAATGTACCCAGGCAGATTTTGGAGCAACTCGAGTGCCGATGGCAGCTGTTGATGTGGCATCATCGAGTGTTGGCGCTGCTCCATCTCGAGCATACGCTGCATCTCCTCGCGACGATCCTTGATGAGTGTCGACGGCTTGATATCGGCCAAGTCAAGCTTGAGGTTGGCAAGCAACAACTCAATCTCAAACTTGATATTGTTCTTGCTTTCCTTGAGCTGGTAAATCTCACCAAGCAAACGGACAATGGCCATCACCCATGGATTAGGTGGTTTAAACACACGTGATGTCTGACAGCTGTCGAGTACCTTGGTGACAAATGGAACGACTGCAATCATCAGTCCAGTGTCGGCGGCATAAATGAGGAGATCCTTGGGCGAGATAAACTTTTGCAACAATGGCTTGTTCTTTCCAAGTGTCAACATACCAATCCAACCACCGAGATTCTTTAACAGTGTACGCTCAGAATGATCGGTCTTGATCTTTTCCGAACTGAGTAACGTATGGATATAGTGTTGAGTAAAGAAGAGAATCTGAGCGTGGAACTCTAGAATGTTCAATCGATCGAGGAACTGCATATACACATTGTGGAAGTTTGGTTCGATCGACACACGCTTGTGAACGAGGTATTGTGCCAAAAAGGGGAAGAATTCAGGCTTGAGAATATCCTTCATCTCCTTGACCTTGGCATCGAGGTTGTACATACTGACATTATTAATGATGAAAAACATCTTGTCACGAATCACTTCCTCTGGTTCGATAAGCTCGTGATTCTCACATTGCTTGATTGTACCAAGTGGTAAACCTGTACTAGACACAATCTCTTCAATGTTGTTGTCCTTTTTACTCTCTTTTTTCTTTGAACCATTATTATCCTTTTGTTGTTGTTGACTATTGTACGGATTATTTTGATCATCACCTCCATCATTTCCACCACCAACAGTATTTGATGGCTTTTGTCCTGCTGAAGAATAGGAAGTTTGTCCACTTGGTTGCTGTTGTTGTTGTTGTTGCTGCTGCTGTTGACCAACATTTTGTCCACCATGATGTTGTTGATGATGATTACTTGCTTCTTGATGTTGCAACTTTTGTTGATCACTCATAAACAATGACTTGTCGGATGCATTGTCGAGGTTTTCATCTTGGATCGATGTTGGTGGAGAGTTCATTGCACGGAGACTAGCATCGGCTGGTGACTTTTTAGTGACTTCAATGATGGATGAAATCTGCTTGACCAAGTCACCATTCATATAGTTTTTAAAGTGGTCGATTGAACACACCTGAGTCCAATACTGTGGCCACTCGACCAATCGGTTGGCAAAGGAAACCAATGAATTGACACCAAATATGAAAAGATTAGAGTTTACCGGATGTTTCAACGCCTCCAACACATATTTCAATGCAATACGCAATGCCTGACTTGAAATCAACTGATACTTTATCAATGATCCAAACAACAATGCTGTAATTCTCAATTCCTTGTCTGGATAACCTGAAAGGAATTTATATTCATCAAACAAATTAAATAATAAACATTGATAAATTTCTTGTTCCCTAAAAATAAATAAATAAATAAAAAAGTTAATTTCGTTTCTTTTTGTTTTTTTCTTTTCTTTTAATGTTTACCTTTGATTTTGAGAAGATTTATATTCTTTAAGAATTGCAATGATTTGTTCAACAGAGATTTCTTCATGATAGAGTTTAATAAAGTAAGCATTGGTCTCTTCTTCAATTTCCTCTGGGAATCTTCTTTCGGTGCCATTGTTTGGACCACCACCACCACCTAATTGTTGTTGATGTTGTGGAGAAGATTGTTGTTGTTGAAGTGGTATACCAGTTTGAGAGATTGCCTGTTGATTGAGGATATCTTCAAACTTTGGATTAATGTCTTTGAGGATGACTCCAATGTCTGATGGATAGATATCGACAGTCTTGATCAAGGTTTCATAGAGCTTGGCGAGAATGACAACCGAGGTAATATGGCCAAGTGGTTCTGTTCCTTTGAGTTTTCTAGTGACACGATCATGAAGGAATAAAGAAGATGCTCGAGCAAATTCATAATCGTTTGAATCCTCCTTTAGACGATCTTGTAACCATTTCTCTAAAAATAAAAATTCTCTTTGACTTGCCAACAATGCCAATTCAATAATAAATGGATAATAACTTTTTGTACTTAATAATTGTAATAATATCTAAAAAAAAACAAAAAGAAATGATTATTAATATTTGTAGATAGATAGGTGTAATATATGGTTTCTATTCTTCTTACTTTTAATTCTTGTGCAACATCTAATAATCTTGACAAGGTTGAATTATCTTTAAGATAAATATCGGTCATACCAAATACAACGATATTTGGGTTTTCTTTCCATAATTGAGAAATATAAGCTTGATAATTATGGTTAAACAATAATGATTGGAATAAAATTGATAAAATTTCTTTTAATAATAAATTTCCCATTTGATTCTAAAAATTAATAAAAAAAAGAAATATATTAATATTTTGATCTTCTTTTTTACTTTTCTTTTTTTTAAATTCTTACAATTAAACTAGCAAGACCCATTAATAAAAGCTCTGGACAATGTTTAAGAGGGTATTCGAATAGAGCTCTGGTACGATAATAGTGTTCTTGATCGATTTCAGAGAGAGTTAACAAAATCTCAATAAGAGAAAGTGAATTCCAGTGGGCGACAGTTTGGGAAACTTTGCCAAGTGCAGAGTATTCGATACGTTTCTTTTGGGAAAAGTGGAATGGAAAGTCGGATTGAAGGGCTACCTTGATAAAGGAGATCTGGCCAATCGAGTTGTTCCAGGCACAGTCGAGGATATGGTGTACCGGGAATCTCTCATTGGGAGATGCGCGTTTGAAAATGGCCAAGATGAGGGACAGACCTCTTTGGTCATGAAGAATGAAGCCTGGATGATCGAGTTCTCGGATGACGGTCGACCAGTCGAGTGATGGATACAACTCTTTGATAACGTCAACAAAGACTGGGTAGTTCCAAGCCTTGCTGCTCTCCAACAACACTGCTTCATCACCTTCTTTTGGAGTTAGTGGTTGAACCATTGGTGGAGATGACTGTTGTTGTTGTTGTTGGGGCTGTTGACCAAACGAGAGGATGAGTGGAACTTGAGCATTCGAATCAGAGGTTGGTGGAGGATGAGAGGTGGTCTCGGCCATCATACCAATCGCCTGTGCAACGTCCGACTCTGAGAGACGGGGGAATTGGGCGAGCAGCTCCTTGAGTGCAGCAGACGATGCGCAGGCCGAGAAGCCGACGCTCTGGATCAGCTGTACCGCACTGTTGCTGTTGGACGACGCCACCTTTTGGATGAGTGAATGTACAAATTGGCTGGCATTGTCGACGAGTGAACGCTTCGAGTTGGGAATCGACACGTCGTCTGATGGCGACATGAACGGAGACAACGCGAGCGATGGAGTGGGAGGGAGGAGCGACTGGATATATTTGAGAACCTCTCCATTACCTCCACCTTCAGCTTCTTGTACCTTGTACTTGAACAATAGATGATGAAGTACATTCTCTGGCAATGATTTAATATTTGTTTGTGGAATTGATAATAAATATTTTTCTCCTAAAAAACAAAATAAATAATTAAAAAGTTAGATATATATATATATAATGAATGTTATTTTTTTAATTTACCTTGTTCTTTCATTTGTGGATTAAGAGAATGAGAGATGGCCAAACCTAATAATATTTCTTGTGGAGGAGTGAGTTTTAAGAGTTGTGAAAAGGTTGTGAGAAACTCTTGATTCAAATTATCGACACCTTCAAAGGCTTTGCAGAGGACGGTCGTAAAGTGTGGCTGTTTCATCAATCTTGAAAACTCGTCTCTAAACAATTGGATTTTGAATGCGTCCTTTGGGTCCTTAAAGTCAATACTATCAATCAACTTTCTAAACAAGAAAATCTCTGCTTGATTTCCAAATTGATTTATGATCTAAATAAAATAATTAAATAATAAAAGTAAATAAATAAATAAGTATTACTACCGATCATTCTTTCTTTTCTTTTCTTATTTCTTTACCTGAGCAATATCAGAACATATTGATTTATATGATTTCTTTGTCAACATTGATAACAAGTTATCAATTTGAGAACTAATAATAAACGATAGGTTGGTCATGACTTCGACATCTTGTTGTTGTTGGTGAATAGACCATTGATTATAGTAAAGTTTGTCTGCTGACTTGAATGATGATCCTTCTCCGATATTGTTACTATCAGATGATGAGGAGGATGTCTTTTGTTGTTGTTGTTGCTGTTGTTGCTGTTGCTGCTGTTGTAGTTGCTGTTGAACATCCATTTTTGTTGTTGTTGTTTCTTTTTTGAATTTTTCTTTGGTTGTCTTATATATATATCTCTCTATTTCTATATCTCTTAGTGTATTATTATAAAGATAATGATTATATAATGATGGTTGAATATGATGCGTATGAAAATTGTATTATATATAAATATATGATTGATTCGTTGAACAAGATAAACGTTGTTTCAAATGACAAATGAAGAAATTAATAAAGGAACTCTTCCTTTTTGCCTTCTTCCAAAATGCTGAAACTCTCTTTAGATATATATATATATTTATAGTAATAGTAGTAGATATGTAGTAATAGTAATAGAGGATAAATAAAGATATATTAGTTCACAAGTCTAGACTTTGTTTCTTTCTTTGTATTTTCTTTTTTTTTTTTTTTTTTTTGTTGATGAACGATCTTCTTCTTTCAACCATTTTGAATGATGGTTTGATTGATTGATCGATTGATTATAAACAAGAGATATATGTATTCATACCTTTAATCAACAATAATCTTATAAATGGTGATGATGATTTTCTAACTTCGCTGTGTTGTTATATATATTTATTAATCAATGAACTTACATCTTCCAAGTGACAGGAGGTATGCGGTCTCTCTTGAAAACTATTTTTTTTTTTTTTTAATTTTTTTTGAAAGCTGCACCTCACTCAATTTAAAAAACGACAAGACAATCTGCATTCAAGCAAAAGTAGTATAAACCAGCTAGCTGTAGGGTAGTAGAGTAGTGATTGCGATCTATCGTTGTTGGAATATATCAATTATAAATACAAATATATATAAGAAATGAATAACTTGATTAGACAATCAATTAAGGTTTCTGTATGTACAACATCTTCTACCACCCTTTTTCGATGATCATAACAATCTAACATTCCTTTCCATTCCCTTCCCTCTCACTCCTCCTATGTTACTATACATACATTAGAACAAGACCGTCACTGGTCTTAGATGTTTCTCAACTGGTTTCACCAAGTTTACAGAGTATGTTTAATCAACAAATCAACAAACAAGCGATCATCTACTATCGATTTTATTTATAGATTATGATATCATCATACATTCAATACAATGATCATCATCATAGTATTGAGACAAAGAGATCGGATCAAAGATGGATAGAGATAGATAGACAACAAGACAACAAGAATATACTGACAGACATATTCTAATCATTCATTAAATTATAGAACACCAATGGGAGTTTTTGCCGATCAATTATTCTTGCAACCAGTCAACCCAGCAACAGAGAGACCAATCAAGGACATTAAAATCGATACTAGAGCTACTCTTACTCAAAAGTTTGAAAGAGCTTATTTATATAAAAAGGAATGGAAATACGTTTCTCAAACTGTATGTAGATGATGATGATCAAACAAACAACATCAACAACAGTTTGATTGGTGGTGATCTTCAAAAAAAATGGATAGATCCGAAAACTTTTCTTCTATTCGGGAAAAAAAGAAAAGGACGGAAATATATTTATATTTCCAAAATCATTGGACATTCATTATACACATAGAATATATTATTATTGAAGATGAAGATCACCATCAATCACTTTTAATAATCAAAGTAAAAGATGAATATGGATTAACAAAAAAATTTGATTTGTAGGAAAAAGCAAATATGATTATTAAATTTAGAGATTTATTAGTTGAAAAGGTAGAATCATTGGCCAACGATTTAACAGAAGAGACTGGAAAGCCAATTACTCAAAGCAAGAATGAAATCAAGGCTGTTGTCGATCGTATCAACTTCTTTTTATACAACTTTTCTAGCTGTCTTGCCGAGCGTTCCGTTCGTACCACTGACAACTTCCGCGAGTCGCTCTCGTACGAACCATTGGGTGTAGTTGGTAACATCTCTGCCTGGAACTATCCATTCTTTATTGGTTTGAATACCATCATCCCAGCCCTTTTGACTGGCAACACTGTGCTCTACAAGCCATCCGAGTTTGCCTCGATCACCGGTGTCAACATTATGAACCTCTTGTATGAGGCTGGTGTCCCAGAGAGTGCCTTCCAAATCGTGCTTGGAAAGTCTGTTATTGGACAATCAATGTTATCGTTGCCACTCGACGGTCTCTTCTTTACCGGCTCTTACAACACTGGCAAGCATATTGCCGAGACACTTGGAGGTCGTATGATCAAGACTCAACTCGAGCTCGGTGGCAAGGACGCTGCCTATGTACACAAGAATGTTGATATCAAGGCTGCTGCCCGTTCACTCGCCGACGGTGCCATGTACAACACTGGACAGAGCTGTTGCTCGGTCGAACGTATCTACGTCGACAAGGAGATCTACGCCGAGTTTGTTGTCCGTCTCACCGACGAAGTTGCCGAGTTGCAGATGGGTATTGACCCAAAGAGCGCCTCGACCTACTTTGGCCCACTCACCCGTGGTCCAGCCCAAATCGAACACATGCTCCGTCTCGTTTCAGACGCCGTCGTCCGTGGTGCACAAATCGCACTCGGTGGTGGTCAAGTCAAGGGTACCCCAGGCTACTTCTTCTCGCCAACCATTATTGTCGATGTCGACCACTCCATGGCTGTCACCAAGGAGGAGATCTTTGGCCCAATGGTCACCGTCCAACCAGTCAGCGGCCCACAAGAGGCTGCCGAGCTCATGAACGACACCCCATACGGTTTGACCGGCTCAGTCTACACCAACGACGCCTCCGTCGCCGACTTTATCTGCGACCAAAGCAACACTGGTACCGTCTACTGGAACGCCTGTGACCGTGTCTCCCCATACCTCCCATGGTCCGGTCGTGGTCACTCTGGCATTGGTTCGACCCTCGGTGTCGAAGGTATCTTCTCCTTCCTCAAGCCAAAGGCCCGTCACTACATCTCTGACAAGCCAGGTGCTTTTGGCGAACCATCCAACTCTAATATCGTCCCAACTCAACCAATCTCAAAGGAAAATATCTCTCAATTTATCGAAGAATCTTATGAAACTAATAAGAAAAACTAACAAATTTATAAAATTATAAAGATACAATCATTTTCCTTCTTTCTTATTCATACAAGAACACAATGACATTGAACGAAATACTTTTTAAATAAACAAAAAACAAAACCAAAAAAGGCTATTTATAAAATTTAACAGCAAAAACCTGATCACTTTATATAGAACAAGTACGAAATTAAATTGTTTTTCTCAAGTTTTTTAAAATTAAAAATTTAATTACGCCCTCATAAAACACTTTTATTCTGCCTCATTGCCACTACATCATCATTTTGTTTTGTTATTTTACCCCCAATACTTATTTTTATTTTTATTACTATATATATATATATCTCTTTATTCCTTTCAAACTATCAAATTAATTTACTTGTGCATTTATTTTAAATATTTATGGAAGAAGTCAGAAGAGCAATCAACAGAAGACTGGCAGATGGGGAAACCCAAACTACTCTTGCCATTGCCTATAATGTCTCAAACGCGACAATCTCTCGCTTAGTCAACAATCAAATCGGTCGCTCCCACAAGCTTTTGGCAGCTCACAACCGCATCATAGAAGGACAAGAGAGGGAGAGACAAGAGAGAGAAAGACAAGAGAGAGAAAGACAAGAGAGAGAAAGACAAGAGAGAGAAAGACAAGAGAGAGAACAACAAGAGAGAGAAAAGGAAGAGAGAGAAAAACACGAGAGAGAACAACAAGAGAGAGAAAAGGAGGAGAGACAACCCAAGACAGCAAAAAATAATACGCCATCAATTACGATTGGAATTCCAGCAAGAGGACCTAAAGGATCCGACTATGACCATCGCACCATACAATCCATCACTGGACTTCCAACTACGCCACTTGTTTATGGAGGTTCTGAGAAAGTCGAAAAGTACAATAAGATATTCAAAGAGACACAAAGAATGATGGTAACTCAAATTCCAATACCACCTGTCGCATGGGTAGACACCAAACAAGAAGAACTATCTTGCATCGTCATGCCTGGAAGATCAAAACAACAAGAGAACTGTGAAGAGCGCGCGGCCCAAGAAAACCAGATCATTCAAAGGGCATTAATAATTGGCCAACCATTGTTCGGCATTTGCGCAGCATCATGGCGCATATGGTGTGGGCTTCATCGTAGAGATCTTCGTTCAGATTTTGGAAATACATTGTCCAACATCAAGATTTCTTTGGTGCACACAAAGCACAAGACAGCTCTCCAAGCCACCACATTGCTAAATTCAATCGAGAACAGAAACCCTGGAGCAGATCCGAAACAATGGCTCGTAGACATCCGTTCTCTCAAAAAATTGTTACCAAGAACAGCCGATTTCAAAAACCAAATCAGGTTATTGCTTCAAATCATCAAGCACTTGCAGTTCTCAGACTCAAAATTCCTCCAAATAGTTAAGGGCCATAACTCAAGAAGAATGATGTGCATGAACAGTTTAGGAACAAAGGTGATTTATAACAAATCCGTTCATCCAATTGAAATGGTCAAGGATTCTCTCACCAAACAACTCATGGAATCAACAAAAGTCCAACAAGGAAAAGTTGTTATGACAGAAATCGATCCAAAGGATTTGGAAGTAAATAGTGTCCACTGGAGAGCTGTTAGCTTATCAAATAGATATTTGGGCCCAAATTGTCCAGGTGGGGTGGAGGTCAGCGCCATTGCTCCAAAAGATGGGTGTATCGAATCATTCTCCTCGACTCTTGGCTGCCCAATAGTCGGTGTCCAGTGGCACCCTGAGGCCACCAATCATGATGAACAAGAACAAAAATTCAACAGACTCATGATCAAAAGATTTGTAAAACAATGTGGACAGTCTTTCTCTTTAAAGAGATCCCTCTTGTAAGTATAACCAAACTACAACAACAAAAACAATTACAATAATAATATTTACTTTTTTTTTTTTATTTTATTTTAGAAAACAAATCCCAAAACAAGTTTATTAATAACAAACTGGTTTATTTTTAATCATATAATTTAACTCTTTTATGGCAAGCAACCAGCCAACATTTATAACTCAGTAAAAAAAAAGAAAAAAAAAAAAGAAAAAAAAAAAAAGAAAAAAAAAAAAAGAAAAAAAAAAAAAGAAAAAAAAAGAATTTCTATTTATCTAATTATCTATAATATACATTTATAATAAAAAAAACAAAAAAGAGACCATTGTCTCAAAAAAAAAGTACAAAAATTATTGTTCTACCAGTTTGTTTTTTTTTTATTACCATCATCAATAAATTAATATTGTACAACATTGATTTAATTTACAATTTTAACCATTTTTTTTTAAGGAAATTAAGTACAGAATAATTAAAAGCACCAAGTAAATATTTACTTATTTTCTCATTTTTTGTTCGTTTGAGCAATAGTCTGAGAATTGACAAGTTATTATTGTTGGCAGATCGAGTATGATAGTCTGAGAAATATTGGAATACAGTATCTTTGTTACAATTTACTTTGAGAGCTGAATAGCTATCAGACATGATGGCGAATAATGAGAGATTTGCTATACAATAGGTTGAAATGTGATCTTGTATCTCCTTGCGTATATAATAAATGGTTTGAAGGTGGCTCTGTTTTGGTGCAACATCATGTTGATTTTTCGATCTGAATGGAATGGGTAAGAGCTTTTTCTCATTGACAATGTATTGAATAAGAGCAATGTTCCCACTGACAAGTGCTGATTTGAACCAATATGTATCGTGGAAATAGTATGGATTGGATTCTGCATGATTGAAACCATTCTCTTGATTCCACAACATCACCATTTGATACGCTTCAATGTATCCATCGGCAAGTAGAATGGCTGGATTCACACTGGTCAGGTGTGGTCTGTACCGATGAATCATTTCAATCAATGAAATGTTTTTAGTTTCTATTGCCATTTGTAAAACATCATTTGTTGCTTTAAACCTGTATTCTGGTGTTGTTGTCTGTGATTCTTCCGATACCAACGTTTGAACAGACCGGTCTGCTTTGATACTTAAAAGATACTCGACTGAAGTATAGAATCTTCTGTTGATTGATTCATTGATAAATTCAACCATCAACTCTTCATCCTCAGGTTGATCAGTACTAGGATCCAAAATTTGAGGATAAACATCAATGAGATGTTTAATCACATGAAGATGGCCATTCTCCAAAGCATGTCCCAATGATTTAATTGTTATTAATGGAGTATCAGTATCAGGCCCGATACTAACATATGCATTTCTAATAATATCGATACATTCGATTGACCCCGATGCAACGGCAGCCTCGAAAAATGTTGGAATGAGTGATCTGAATTGGTCGAGATTATATCGCAAGAGAATGTGCTCGATCATTCTCTTGCATCCTCTTCGACACGCCAACTTGAGTGTACGGGATGACAAGGCACCCGTAAACTTGGAGAGAAGGTATTCCATGCACTCTATACTGGCAGACTCTGCACATTCTTCGATATCGGCCTGACGGACGACCCCACCCTTTTCGTCAATCACAAACTTGAGTATTTCAAGTCGACCATACGATGCAGCCTTTTCGACAATCAGTTCATTCATGACCAACGCATAATTGTCCATGATAAACGTCATGATTTCAATGCAGTCACTTTTACAAGCCAACTCCATGATCATGTGCAAGTCAAACCCTGCATTACTCTCTAGACATGCAAAGAAGAGCATCTGAAATATTTCCACTCTTTTACCAATGACAGCAAAGTTGAGAGCAAAGTCAAATGGAAACGTTCTAAATCCACTACGTATACTGGCCTTTTTGTGTACATCCAAAAAGTATTGAATGATTCGAATATGGTTACCTTCAACCGCACATGATACTGTATGTCCTTGTAGTGTTTCTACCAACTTTTGATCAATGATCCATTTGATCATATCCATATTACCCTGCTCTGTAGCCATTGACAGTCCGTTGGTTGACCAGTTTCCACATTTCTTCCATCCCTTGTCAGAGTGTGCATAGTTGAATAGTTTGTTTAGCATTTCAAAGTTATTATCTGCAATACACCATTGTAGTGCTTCACTCGTCAACAAGTATCCTTTCATCTCTCCATCCTTTTTATATTTATCCAATATATGATTAACAACATTCCAATGTTTATTCTTTGCTGCTCCATCAATAGCTTTGACGGTAAACTCAACTCTATACTTTGACTCACCCTTTTGATATTGTTCTCTTAATTGATCTAAATATAATATTACATTTAAATGACCATTTGTCGCTGCATTATCATATGCATGATTTGTAAATTTAATATTATCATCCTACAAATTAATTAAAAAATTTATTAGTGATGGATCATGTGATTGATTGAAAAGATGTTTAATTTGATACATACAAATAAAAGAGGATCATTTCTAGGTGTTGTATTTAATAATAATTTAATTATATCTAGGTAACCTTTTGAACAAGCATTATCAATTGCATTGGTTGTGAATGGTGTACCCTTGTCCAATAAATATTCAACCAATTCAAAGTTACCAGAAAGTACTGCATTGTCAACAGCAAAGTGTTCTTGTTCAAATGCAGATTGATAGTATGTGAATATCTTGTCAAATGTATCCATCTGAAAGGTAATTGATTTGTGATAGGTGTGAGGTGAACAAACAGCCACTATCATATCCAATGTTGCCCAACCAACTTGTAATCTTGATAATAATGATCTTTGATTATCTTTTGATCTCTTACACAATTCATGTATCAAAGAACCAGTATTATTCTGTACTACCCATTTTAGTGATGGTATTTGATTGATTCTATATGATTCTTTGTCCTGTATAGTATTGATTATATGTACATGTCTTGTAATACACTGTAATAGATATTGATTTCTAAATACACTTAATATTATTACTGTACTATTACTCTTATTATTATTATTCATATTCTACATTAGATCTATATAAAGGTATTAAAATTATATTAAAGCTTGAACTTTAACAAAAGTATTGATCGATTTTTGATTTTCCATTTATTAAATTGTACATGAAAATTGTAGACATGAAAATTTCTTTTTCATTATTAAACAATTATAACAAAAAGAAGAAGAATCAAAAGAAAAAGTTTTATGAGATGAAATTTGGAATTGGTATAAAAGTATCAAATTTTGAGAAAATACATTTAAATGAATATTAATACTAATTTAAGCTTTTATTTTTTTACCAGCAGATTTGGTTGTTGTGTTTGTTTTTTTACCTGGGTTATGGGCTTGATGGGCTCTGCCTCGTCTACATGGTTGCCATTTTCTTTTTGCTGTTGTTCTTTTTGCTCTTGTTCTCTTTTTTTTCTATTATCTTTTATTATCTCTTGTCTCTTTGTTTCTTCAACACAATACGGGTCATAGTCCTTTTGTAAGAGTTTTGTTGTTTTCTTTGGTTCCGATTTCATGTTGGACCATTAATGCACAGAAATCCAGAGCCAATCGTGTGGCAAAAAGCCACCGAAACCGTAATCAGAGAAGGCTGAGGTATAATCAAGAGTTTTATGGGCAAGCTCTAACACCTCAATCTTGGCAGTACACATTAAGCACCATTCTATGTGGTTGGGGAATTTGATATCTCTGAGATAATCTGAATTCAATAGATACCCATTAATTCTTGCTCTTTCCTCTATCGTTTCGAGATTCTCGCGACACCTGGGGTCGATACCAAATGTTAGACTCTCAACAACTTTTAATTGTCAGAAGCAAGATTCTTTGCATTGAGTCGACAATTTAAATCCAAGTTTTGTGAATCCTTTTCCAATTGTGGATATTCTGTCTGTTCTGTTTTTTCTTGTCAATCCCACCTTACACAGGTACCATGGTCTGCCAAGTGCAATTTGAGTATAAACAACATATACAAAGGGTGTAGGTCAGGTGTACAATGAAAGATCCCCTTTTCACCCCCACTTCGTTTTCACTATACACTGGTTGATTGGTGTCGTTATCTTTTCGGGACTTTTCTGGTACACCATTTGCAAAAGATTATTAAAACCCTTTAGATGGAAGTTGTGATAGAATCTTTCGAGATGTTTTTCGGATTTAACATTGCACTCCCCATTCATCACAATTTATAAACAAAGTCCTGTCGAATAGATCTATTAGTTAATGCTCTATTATTTACCGTTAAAACAAACAACTCACCTTTAGGTTTTGACATTTTGTTGTTGTATCTCTGTAGATAGATCAAAAAAAATACAAATATTTAATTTGAGAACCAATTGTGCATAAATGTGGCAATACACTGTAATTGATATTGATTTCTAAATACACTTATTATTCTTAAATTTATTATTTGTTAAAGTTTAAAAATTGATTGTCATAATTTCCTTTTTTTAAATAAATAAGAAGAATTATTGTATTGTTCATGAATATTGATTATTTATTTACAAAAAGAAGAGGAAGAGTCAAAAATGATTATGAAAACTTTTAATTAAAAGATTTAAATAATAAATCGTGATTGGATAATGGTTGCTTTGGTTTCCAACCTTGTGAAGTGAGCAGGAATTGGAGTAATGTTAGATTTTTGTTTGCGTTGGTGATATGTACGATTGAGGTTTCAAGTGATCTTTCAAATTTGGAGCCGACTACTAGATATTTGCATGAAGAGTATTGGTCGTTTACTAGACAACCGGTATAGTAGGATCTTAGTGCGCTCGAGTTGAAATATATTTGGCCTTCAGCTGTCGACTGAATATAGGTGATGGTTCGAACACTTGGTCCAAACCGATGAATATTGATTCCCGAGTAATGCGTTGCACTCGAACTTTGTGGAAGAGCAATATGCTTGACATCAACAAGATACCGAATCAAATCAATATTCCCTTGTCTGACGGCAGTGTAATACCACAATTCTATATCGTGATTATTGCCCTTACCATCATCATGATTGAACTCGTTTTCCTTGTTCCATTCGACCGCCTTGTCAAACATGTCTATATAACCAGAGGAGAGTAAAAGGGGTGGGTTGAATACCAACATACTTGGACGGTGTCGATGTATAACTTGGAGCATCGTAGGACTACAAAATAGGGTTGCTTGGTGGAGTAGATCGTCTGGGCCGTTGAACCGTGGCGTATCGACCATCTCTATCCAAGACTCACCATCCTCTTCTGATACCTCTAGTGCCTTTAATCCAAGTATGAAATCAACCGTTTGAACGTAGCCCAATTGAACGGCAGACCGCAGTGGTGTCACCAGGTGATCTTGCGCATTCTTGGCTTTTTTGAGGATATGAGGATATTGCTCGACCAAATACTTTGTAATATCTATCCTGCCCTGCGACACTGATTGAGAAAGTATCTCGCTCGTCACACGACTAATATCTCTTTTTAAAGTAGACACTAGTAGTTTGACACATGGGAATGATCCAGAGTCGACTGCACCCGTTAGATAGTACACAAGATTGGCTTCATGGTTCTCGATCAAACCTCTATCCAACAAGAGTTGTAACATATCACTTGATTTTAATGTACATGCATATATTACTGCTTTCAAAGATACGTGTAGATGAGTATGATTAGTCTTGTCCAAACCGAGAATATAGTCTACACAGTCGATTGCACCTACACTCGCGAGTTCTTCGAGTTGGTCAACTGCTGGCACTTCTCCACGCGTCTCGACCAAATACTTGATCATCTCGAGCGAAGGGTGTTCACCTAGACACGCCAGACCGAGATGCTCTAATCCGCTCGTCACTTCCAGGTTGGTATTATACAACCATTTGAGTATTTCTAAACGTCCGAATCGACTGGCCCACTGCACCAACTGATCCGAGTGGGCTCTTAGTGTCTGTCTTAACTTTCCTCCATCCTCTTGATCGATCATTCTCTTTAGCAACTCGAAATGACCACCCTCTATAACCTTGTACAAACTAGGAAGTATAGTTTTAGCAACATATGTTTTCTTTTTGATATGCAATTTTATCAAATAATCTATTAATTCGTTATGTTTGTTTGTTACTGCAGCTGTCAATAATTCGGTTGGTGGGGTATTTTGAAGCTTTGTTTTAAATACCCATTGGATTAAAGTCAAGTGTCCTCTACCTACTGCTATCTCCAAGTACGCAGGTAGCCATTTCTGATGACCCATCTTTTTCAACTTTGGGTGAGACATCCTCATAAGTCTCTCCAATACAACATGATTACCATTCATGACTGTATTCTCCAATGCCTTTACTGTAAACAGATATATCTTCATCTCTCCATCCTTTTTATATTTATCCAATATATTATTAACAACATTCCAATGACTATTGAGTGTAGCACCATCAATTGCATTGGCTGTGAAATCAACACGATACTTTGATTCACCCTTTTGATATTGTTCTCTTAATTGATCTAAATATAATATTACATTTAAATGACCATTCGTTGCTGCTTTATCATATGCATGATTTGTAAATTTAATATTATCATCCTACAAAAATATTAAAATAAATTAATTAATACATATAAATCATCTGATTGATGTTTAATTGATACATACAAATAAAAGAGGATCATTTCTAGGTGTTGTATTTAATAATAATTTAATTATATCTAGGTAACCTTTTGAACAAGCATTATCAATTGCATTGGTTGTGAATGGTGTACCTTTATCCAATAAATATTTAACTAATTCAAAGTTACCAGAAAGTACTGCATAGTCTACAGCAAAGTGTTCTTGTTCAAATGCAGATTGATAGTATGTGAATATCTTGTCAAATGTATCCATCTGAAAGGTAATTGATTTGTGATAGGTGTGAGGTGAACAAACAGCCACTATCATATCCAATGTTGCCCAACCAACTTGTAGTCCTGATAATAATAATCGTTGACCATTCTCTAACGATCTCTTAGACAGTTCATGTATTAAAGAACCGGTATTATTCTCTACTACCCATTTTAGTGATGGTATTTGATTGATTCTATATGATGCTACCTCATCAATTGTATTGATTATATGTACATGTCTTGTAATACACTGTAATAGATATTGATTTCTAAATACACTTAATATTATTACTGTACTATTACTCTTATTATTATTCGTATTCATTCATAAAACTTGGTTCCTTTCTTTTCTATAAAGATCGGTGAACTTCTACAAGTAAACTATTTTTGTTTTTTTTTTTGCTCTTTTTAGGGCGTATTCTTGTGGCTACTTTGAAACCGTAGGTTTCACCGATCCCTTAAAACATGACCCGATCCGTGCTAGTTGCCTGTTGGTGTAACATAACAGCGATGGTGGCTTTTGTCTATGGGTTCTGATCAGATTTGTTTCGTGCACGACACTTCTCTCCTCATCACGCATGGCTTGAGAGTTCTTTTTAAGAAAACAAAGAGATAATTATAATAAGACAAATAATAATAATAATAATAATAATAGAATGAACTCATCGATGAAAGTTCAAAGAGTAGTAACTACAGTACTATTATTTTTAGTATTTGTATTGCAACAACAACTAATCAACGGGACCTATCTCGTCGCTACTACTTTTGCGACACCTGATTGCTCTGGTTCATTAGCTCCAGTCGGCGCATACTCATTGGTTGTCGGACAGTGTTATGGTGGCTCAGGTCGATCTTACAAGTACACGTACTCTTCAGGTGCAGCAACCGTTGCAGTCTACACCGACGATGGGTGCGGACAGTTTGCTGGCACCATCTTTAACGGCATTTCACTTGGAGGGTGCACCCAAATGCCCCTCACTGATCAAATCAATCGTTATGTATCGTTTACAGTATCAGAACTACCTTTAAACCCAACTCCAGGTTTCTATTTCTATGAGAAACATATTACTGCTTCGTATGTATCCCAACTCAATATATGATAATCTTTAAAAGTTAATTAATTTTTTTTTTTTTTTTTTCTCTAAAACTATTATTTAGTAATTGTTCAGATACTACCAATGCAGCAAGAGCATTGATTATGCCAACACAAGAAGCTTGTGCAAGATCTGAAACATTCGATAGGTTCATTAATAATATTTCACCACAGGATGGTGTAGGACTAGAATTTAATTACGCTTCTGTTTGTGGTGAAGGTGTAGCCACACTTTATAGTGCATCTTGTCCTGTTGGTGGAGCTGTACCCGACAACATTGCATATGCCACTGTTGTTCCTGCCTATCAATTGCAATTTGCACCCATCACCACCGTCACTCTCAACACTATCACCATTCCAGGCTTTACAAGCGCATGGCCATCCTATTTAACCTATTCCATGCCAGGTTATACAATCACTTACCAAGTCAATGGTGCTGGCACCACAATTCCTATAACCACCAATTGTCCAGCCACAGGGTGTGTCCTCACCTTCCCCATGGCCGCTGCCAATATCAACCTCTATGCCATACCAAATCACTATGCTCCACCAGGTCTCTTTGTTCAATCTGCAACTCAACCCATTAAATTAAAAAATGGTAAGACTTTCACAATCAATCAATTGATTATTATTTAATATTAATCTTTTTTTTAATTTATTTATAGTACCAAAAGTAACAGCTATTGATTTTACTAGAATATTAAATGATTCTATTACATTTAAATATACCATTGATGATAGTTCATATGGATCTGATACAACATATATTGTCAAAGTGAATGGAGTTGAAAATACTTCAAATTCAAGTTGTTTGGTTGGTCCATCATGTACAATCAGTGGGCTTGCTGCAACTTTTGGATCAAACCAAATTATGTTTTCAGTGATGGCTGTCACTAAAACATTCACATCTACTGAATTTAGTAGTAATACAACCCTCTACAAACCAGTCACCAATATAGAAATAACAACATTGACAGCTAGAACCAAGTCTTTTTCACTACTTTACAAGGTTATTGGAGGTGACCAAAGATTCCCAATCTTGCAATACGTCGATGTCAACGGTGAACTTAGCGCAAGCTGTTCCGGTATCTTAACTACCCCTTGTTTAACAACTGGGTTACAACCAAATTCCACCAACTCTATATTGTTTATTGCTCAAAGCAATGGAGATCAGTACAAACAATCAACCTCTATCCAAACACTTCCAATTATCAGTGGTCAAACTTTGACAGTTGTCAATTTTACCACCAAGGCTGTCACTGTTGAATACTCGTACAATGGAGGTGTTCCAGGTGAAACTACTGTCACATTTACAGTTGATTCTGTATCAGCCACTTGTACACCAGTCCAAGGTTTAACATCTCAATGTACTATCTCATCAATGACCTCTGGTTCTGAACATGTTATTGTTGCTACATTTTCAAATGATGGTACCCAAGTCACTGCTCAAACAACCGTCACCACCTATCCATCAGTTGCCAACACCACTGCCATCATCAATCAACACGCATCTTATTTCAATGTCACCTATGGTTCATCAGGAGGTATTCCAGGTGCTACGACCTACAAAGCCCTTGTTAATGGAGCTCCTGTCGATTTAGCCACAGGATACTTTATCTACACCTATGAAAATGAAAGATATCCATCCGAAGAGACGTTTACCATTGTTGTTAGAGCCACCAATGATGGTATTGTTTCCCAAAACGTATTCACATTCACAACCTATGTCCCACCAAGTGGATTTATAACTAGACAATTATTTGGTGTCAATTCAGTAAACTTGACATGGACTGAATTAGTTGGTGGACAAGCAGACTCTACCTATTACCAAGCTATTTTGGCTTTTGAGGGTGGTCCAAACATTTTGAAGTGTAATACAACAGGATTCTATTGTTTTGTCGATAATTTGGTATCAGATGTTGAATATCAATATGCTTTTTATGCCTACAATAGTTTCTTTAATCCTCTTTACAATAGTGGTGATTCTCATACTTATCCAGGTAATTACAACTAAACATTAATTATAATGAAAAGAAATATTAATATTAATATTTGTATTTAATTAGAACCAAACAGCAATTGTACAGATGATTGTAATGGTCAAGGTAAATGTGTAATTGGCAATTGTGAATGTGATCAAGGATGGGATGGTCCATCTTGTAATATTAAACTATCGTCCAACACTACACAAGATATTGTCCTCACACCAACCACTACCAATCAACCAATATTGTCAATTTCATTCAACAATCAAGTTAAATATTCAATTGGATTATTGAAATTGGTTGAAAAGGATACAGCTACCAATACTGATGTTAATAGTTTGGATTTAACAACATTGACTTGGACATCAAGTGGAAATAGTTTCACATTTAGCGGTGAAGGATTGTCCATCTTTTTTGGAGCCACTCAAGTCAACGAAAACAACGAAGAGGCATACTTTGCAGGTCAGAGATATAATAATACAGTTGGATCAATCCTGTATAACATTACAATTAGCGGATGGATGTTTGCTTCGCCAAGCAACCAATTTGAGATTCACACCTCAATCTCCAATCCAACCATTTGCAACAAGACACTCACCCCATCAACCCTCAACACACCAAACAATCTTACATCCAGTTTATTGATTGGTGATGCAACACAATCTGAAGCATTATTACAAGGAAAGTTAGTACATTCATCAATGGTAGACACACTTCCAAATATCATCACATACCGATCAGAATCAGGAGGATCTGTCAACACCACAACTATTGTCGCTATCACACCAACATTTAATCAATCGATCACCATCCAACCATCATTCCATCTCATCAATAGAAATCTTACCCAAGAATGTACCGATGATAATCTCGTATCCTCAGCTCCCATTTCAAATCCATCCTGTATCTTGATAATGTCTATGTTTATCCTATCAACATTATTATCTATTGTCTAATAAAAAGTGAAATCATTGGTCATTGTTTATCCAATTAATGTAACGAAACGGGATAGATCGTATCCCGATCAATAAAAAGAGATATTTCAAGTCAGTCAAAGGGTTGCTTAAAATGGAATCGCTTGATATTTGAAAATTCCAAATCCGCACCTTCAAAATGGTAGTACTTATTAGTATCATCATTACTAGTCAATTCAAGCTATATAATTGCAACATCCTATCGCAATTCTGATTGCTCGGGACAGATAATCAGCTCTTATGCAGGAATTATTGATCAGTGCTACAAAGGAGGCGGTCTAAAATCATACAAATACACCTATGATCGAATGAATGGCTGGGCATCCATCATATCGTATCGTGGTGATAATTGCCAGATAGAGGTGGATGTTACTGTTCATGCACCTGCCAGACAGGGCTACGGTTTGAGAACATGTTCAATGAATGAATGAGCACCGATAATATGTTCAAGTACCAGTTTCTAACGTTGGAACTAACAGAGCTCCCTCTCCTCCCAATGCCTGGTTTCTATTTCTATGAAAAACATATCACCTCTTCGTATGTATCACTTTAAAGTATAATATAGATATATATCTATCTATCTAGATCTATCTAGATCTATCAATTTAATGATATTTATTAAATTTATTCATTTTTTTCTAAATCTATTTTAGTAATTGTTCAGATACTAGAAATGCTGGTAGAGCATTGATAACAACTGACAGCAAATTTAGTTATTGTACTCCTTCTGAATCTTTTGCTCATTACATTGAAGATATGAGTATATCAAATGGTTTGGTGAGTTCAAGTTATGCACTTAAAACTAGCTGTGGTACCAATTCTTATTGAAGAATCTAAAAAAAGAGGTGTAGCTTGTCCTACTGGTGGGTCTGTACCTGATAACATTGCATACTCGTCCATTGTTCCCGAACCATCATTTTCCTTTTCCTTTACCTTTTCTTCTGTCTTTTTTGACAGAATCATCACAATCAAAGATTTTACCAACTCATGGCCATCCTATTTGACCTATTCCATGCCAATGAGTTACCAAGCCAATGGAGCTGGTAATCAAATCCCTCTAACCTCTAGCTGTTCTGCCACCGCTGGTTGCGTCCTCTCGTTTCCCAGTGACATTAGAAATGCCACCGTTTATGCAGTTCCCAATTTCTTGGCTCCACACTCCCAATTACAAATAGAATCATTCAATTTCCAACTGGTAGCTATCAAATCAAATCACATCAAATCAAATCAAATCAAATCAAATCAAATCAAACAACCACACATATAATTCTTAATATTAATCATTTATTTATTTATTTATTTTAATTTTATTATTTATTTATTTATTTAATATTTATAGTACCAAAAGTAAGATCTATCAATATTCCTAGAATATTGCATGACTCTATTTCTTTTGATTATGTAGGTGTTGAAAATATTTATGAACCCGAAACAACCTATGTTTTAAAGGCTAAACAATTATTGTGTTGGTGAGAAAGAAAGAGATTATCATGAAAACCAAGGGATTTGTCAAGATATTGGTATCTTCAACCTGTTTGTAGCGATGGCGCCCACCTTTATGGACAACACCAGTGATTATTAAACAAGGTGTCTCAATTTCGATGAGGTTTCAACCAATACCCCAATGCCTCTTGTTTCGCACTGGCCCACTAGTCAAAAGTCTAATCAAGTCTATTGATAGACTTTCCAAAGTCAAATCAACTGCACTTTTAGAATCTAGAATCTTTGCTTGGTAAGACGTGGTTTGTAAAAAATATCTTTAACTTTGGCCCAACCCTAACCCTTTTACCAAGCAAAGATTCTAGAGTTATGAGCGATCATTATCATCGTGAACTTCGCAAAAACCCAAAAATGGAGTTGTCTGTGCCAACGTGTTTAAGATCTCCTGTTCAAGATCACGTGTCTTTCAATTATCTTTCTTTTCATTATTATTATTATTGCAATGTGATATTTAATCACAATCAACCGTTCATCATCCTCATTATGAACACCGCTTCACCTCACCTTTTCATTATTTTTATCTACCTGTCCCTACAACAAATAATAAATAACCATCATGGTTATCTTTAGTTTAACTCTACGATCAGCAGTAGTAGCAGTAGCAGCAGTTCTATTTTTATTAGCATCACCAATTCAACCACTCAATGCGACCTATCTACTTATGATATCTTATCCACAAAATGATTGCTCTGGTTTAAATGCCCCACTTGCTGTGATGTCAGCGGTTATCGATCAGTGTTATGTAGGTGGCTTTACAAGATCCTACAAATACACCTACGATGTAGATACGGATAAAGCAGCTGTCGTCGCCTACAACAACGAAGTTTGTCAAGAACCAGGCGTCGAATCAATCTCCTCAACTCATCTTGGACAATGCCAATTATACCTTCTCACAGGTACAAAGGCGCGTTTTATGTCATTTAAAGTATCGGAATTCCCTCTATTACCTGTAGAAGGTCACTATTTCTATGAAAAGCATATCACCTATGAGTATGTATCATCGTAAAACACTATCATGCAATCAATCAATCAATCAATCAATCAATCAATCAATCAATCAATCAATCAATCAATCAATCAATCAATTCATATTAATTTATTTAATTTATTTAATTTAATTTTATTTATAGAAATTGTTCAGATACTACAAATGCTGGTAGAACATTGATCCATGCATCAGAGTCAACATGTGTACGTGCCGAAAACTATGATCGTTTTATTAATAGTATTTCGCAACAGGGTGCTGGATTGCTCTCTAGTTATAGTGTATCTACTAGTTGTGGTCAAACAAGTGGAATTACATTCCGTGGTCTATCATGTGGTGTAGAAATTGTACCAGACAATATTGCCTACTCGACCGTTGTTCCTGAACTCGTATTTGCCCCTTTCCTTTCCTCAGTCTCCCTTGACAGCATCACGGTCAAATACTTTACCAACTCGTGGCCATCCTATTTGACCTATTCCATGCCAGGGTATTCAATGAGTTACCAAATCGATGGAACTGGCAATCAAATACCTCTAACCTCTAGTTGTTCGGCTACCGCTGGTTGCACCCTCAATTTCCCAAGTGCTGGTCTGAATATCAAACTTTATGCAACACCTAATTTCTATGCTCCACCAGGTATCACACCCCAAGTTACTACTCAAACCATTCAATTACCAAGTCGTAAATATCAATCAAACAATATATATATATACATTTATCATTCAGTATTAATTAATTATTTATTTATTATTAATTATAGCACCAAAAGTAACATCAATCAATATTATTAAAACAATGCATGACTCTATTACATTTGAATATGTAGTGAATGATCTTTCATATGGATCTGAAACAACATACATTGTAAAGGTGAATGGAGTTGAAAATAATTCAAATGCTAGTTGTGCTGTTGGTCCATCTTGTACTATCAAAGGTCTTGTTGCTGGATCAAATGTGACCCTTTCGGTGTATGCTGTTACTAGAAACTATGCATCTGTTGAATTTACTCAAAATGCAACTCTTTACCAAGCCATCACCAAAATTGAATTGCCAACATTGGTCTCCAGAACAAACTCTCTTTCGTTGACATACAATCTTGTTGGAGGTGACAAAAGATACCCACTGTTATCGTCAACGACCAACTCAGTAACAACTGTTCATCCACCAGCCTCACAACCTCTTCCGTATCTTGTGCCATTACTGGTTTACAATCAAATTCCAACCACTCGTTGGTATTTTTAACTGTAAACAATGGATATCAGTTTAGCCAAACACATAATGCTCAGACTCTTGCCAGTATCTCTAACCAAAACTTGACCGTTGTCTCTCTAGCAACCACATCTGTCATTGTTGAATATTCATACAATGGAGGTGTTCCAGGTGAAACCACTGTTTCGTTTACAGTTAATTCTACCGCTGCTACTTGTACACCAATCCAAGGTTCCTCCTCTCAATGTAATATTTCATCGTTGACTCCTGGTTCCACCTATGACATTGTCGCAACAATCTCAAATGATGGTACTACTGTTACTGCACAAAAAACCTTCACCACCTATCCATCGGTTGTCCTCAGTATCGCTTTGGAACAATACAATTCATACTTTAATGTTAGTTATACTACCAAAGGTGGTATTCCTGGTGCCACTACCTACATTGGTGTTGTGAATGGTACTGAAATGGAAGCCCATCCAGGATACTTTATCTACCACTATGAAAATGGTCAATATCCATCAAGAAAAATCTTTACCATTGTTGTTTATGCCACCAATGATGGTGACACTGACATGGAGATTTTAAGGTTCACCACCTATGTCCCACCAGGTGGATTTTCAACCAGCCAAGTGTTTGGTGTCAATTCAGTCAACATGACATGGACAGAATTAGTAGGTGGAAAACCAGACTCTACCTATTACCAAGCTACTTTGGATTTTGAAGGTGGTCCAAACATTGTCAAATGTAATACAACGGGATTCTATTGTTATATCGATAATTTGGTACCAGATGTCGAATATTATTATGGTTTTTATGCTTATAATAGTTTCTTTAATCCTCATTACAATAATGGTGATTCTCATACTTATCCAGGTAATTTATAATAATAATTAATAATATTTTTTTACAGGAAATATTAATATTTTTTTTTTAATTTAATTTATTATTTATTTAGAATTAAACAAGAATTGTACAGATGATTGTAATGGCCAAGGTCAATGTGTAATTGGAAGTTGTGAATGTGATCAAGGATGGGATGGTCCATCTTGTAATATTAAATTATCATCCAATACTACACAATCCATTGTCCTCGCACCAACCACAACTAATCAACCAACTTTATCAATTTCATTCAACAACCAAGTTAAATTTTCTATTGGATTATTGAAATTGGTTGAGATTGATACAGTAAACAACAACACTGATGTTCGTGGTTTGGATTTAACAACATTGACTGGATGGAAATCAAGTGGAAATGGTTTATACTACAATGCAAGTGGATTATCAATATTTATTGGTGCCACTCAAGTCAAACAAGATAATGCAGAGGTATACTTTGCAGGTCAGACCTATAATAATACAGTTGGATCAATCTTGTATAACATTACAATTAGTGGATGGGCATTTGCTTCACCAAACAATCAATTTGAAATTCATGCTTCAATTTCCAATCCAACCATTTGTAAAGAGACATTAAATAATTCAACCTTCAGCACACCAAACAATCTTACATCCAGTTTATTGATTGGTGATGCAACAGTATCAGAAGCATTATTACAGGGAAAGTTAGTACATTCATCAATGGTAGACACACTTCCAAATATCATCACATATCGATCAGAATCAGGAGGATCTGTCAACACCACAACTATTGTCGCTATCACACCAACATTTACTCGATCGATTACTATACAACCATCATTCCATCTCATCAATAGAAATCTGACCCAAGAATGTACAACTGATGATTCCGTATCACTAGCCCCAATTTCACATCCATCCTTTATCATCATGTTGATATTAATCTCTATTTTATTAAATATTTTAATTTAAATAAATAAATAATAAAATAACTAATCCTATTTAATTATTTGATTTTCTTTTTTAAAAAGTTTAATACTGAATAATTATAACTATCAGAATAATATCGATAGTGAAACTTGCCATCTTTACCAGATCTAAGGAAAAGTAGACGGAGTAATGTGATATTTCCATGAGAGGCAGGAGCCATATATTTTTGAGAAGACATTCTTGCAGTTTGGTGGATGTCTTGTATACTTTTGGCACAAGAGTAGTTGAGCATCTTGGAGACATGTAAAACAAGGTGACCAAGACAATAGATGGACGCATACGGAAAGAATTCGGCCGATTGAATATATCGGAGTGAACGGATACTGAGGACGGTGGGGCTAAGCTCTGAGGGTATAGGGTGTGGGAAACCTATGACTTTGGCTCGTGCAAAGAGATGGTGTACTAAATCAATGTTTCCTAGCAACACCAAATCCATGTACCACTTTAAACGTTTAACATCCATGTTGTAAGGGTACACTAGTTTGAGAACAAACCCTAGATCGGCATTACGCTGAACGACTCGTTTGTACATATCAATGTAGCCGTTGACTAGTAGCATTTCAGGTTCGGAACTGGTAGCCAATGGACGACGTGCAAGGATGATTTCTACCATGGGGAGATCGTGTTGGTTGATTGCTGTTTGAAGCAAGTCTGCAGCGGGTGAATCGAACCGGTTTCTATCAAGCTCGATGTATTTGACTTGACCACCACCATCATCAGTCTCACTAGCACATCGTTCTTTGAGACTGAGGATATAGTCAACGGTGGTATAGTATCTACTTTTAATGGCTTTGATCAGAGGTTGGGTAATTGCAAATCCTGGGAATTCGCCATCAGCAGCAGTGTCGAGCAGATAGGGAAAGTGTTGCACAAGATACTTGAGCATGTGTACGTGTCCACGCTCCATGGCCATGATGAGCGTGTTTGTGACAGCCATCGCACCGTCTTCGACAAAGCAGAGACCGCGTATAATCTCGACACACTCGATCGACCCTGACAAGACGGCTGCGTCAAAGCACGATGGCAGATGACTACGAATCTCGTGTGTTCCTGTCACATCGAGGTATGTTAGTATCAACCTAACATTCTTTTCCAGACCGGTTGAACATGCCAATTTAAGAGCACGATGTGAAACTTTACCAGAATAGTTGGACAGCAAAAACTCTAGGCAGTCGGTGTGATCTGTTCCAGCAGCCGCTTCAATGTCGTCTTGAAACACAAACATGCTCTTTTCGATGACCAAAAACATGAGGACGTCCAGTCGTCCCTTGATGGCAGCACTATTGACCAGGCCGTCAGTCGCGCCCATAAATTGAAAACTATCAAACATCCATCGCAGCAATTCGACACGCCCGTGGTTGCTTGCAAGCTCAAACATTCTCGGATAATCAATCTGACCTTGACTGTTTACACTGACAAACATTTGAAACATCTCTACATGTCCACGCATGGCTACATAATGCAACGCATACGATGTTGTGAAATGAGTCTTTATAGATTTTGATTTGGTTGTTTTAAACAAATCAATAAAGTAACGTGCAATCTCTATTTGATTTTCTTGTGCCACTGATGCCAATGCATTCTCTGGAATGATTTCTAGTAGATTTGCAGTATACACATATTTGATCATATCCAAGTGACCTTGTCCTGCAGCATCAGACACTCCATCTGCTATACATTTTCCTCCTTTTAACATATTCTTCAAGTCTGGATGTGCAAAACTTAATAGTTTTTGTAGTGTCTCCAAATGACCATGTCCAACACTCCATCTAATTGCCTTGTCTGTATACAAATATCCTTTCATCTCTCCATCCTTTTTATATTTATCCAATATATGATTGATTACATTCCAATGTTTATTCTTTGCTGCTCCATCAATAGCTTTGACGGTAAACTCAACTCTATACTTTGATTCACCCTTTTGATATTGTTCTCTTAATTGATCTAAATATAATATTACATTTAAATGACCATTCGTTGCTGCATTATCATATGCATTATTTGTAAATTTAACATTATCATCCTACAAAATATTTAATTAATTAATTTAATTGTACAATATTATATTTCTTTCTTTTGATACATACAAATAAAAGTGGATCATTTCTAGGTGTTGTCTTTAACAATAATTGAATGATATCTAGGTAACCTTTTGAACAAGCATTATCAATTGCATCTGTAGTGAATGGTGTACCTTTGTCTAATAAATATTCAACCAATTCAAAGTTACCAGAAAGTACTGCATTGTCAACAGCAAAGTGTTCTTGTTCAAATGCAGATTGATAGTATGTAAATATCTTATCAAATGTATCCATCTGAAAGGTAATTGATTTGTGATAGGTATCTGGTGAACAAACAGCAATGACAGACTCTAAAGTGATCCAAGCTGATTGTAATCCTGATAGTAATGATCGCTGATCATTCTCTAACGATTTCTTACACAATTCATGTATCAAAGCACCAGTATTATTCTGTAGAACCCATTTAAGTGAAGGTATTTGATTGATTCTAAAAGATCTACCACTATACTCTATTTGATTGATTGTATGTATCTCTCTTCCAATCTGTTTTACTAAATATTGATTTTTAAATACATAATATATTACACTATTATTATTACTATTACTAATATTACTCATTATTCATTATATATATATATATCTATATTACAACTATCTATACATCAAAAAATTACTATTTTATTAAAACATTCTTTCTTGTTCTGTTGTTTGTGAAAAAAAACAAAGGTAGCTAAAAATATCAACACCTAGGTGCCAATTGTCCAAACCTTTGTGAAATCAATTCAATGAATAAAATTAAATTAATAATATTTCTTTTCGATTTGAATCGAATCTAATCGATAGGTCTTTAAAATTAACTAATTATTATAATTATTTATACTATACATTTTATATCATTCTTGAGAGAGTCATATATAATATATCAGACGTCAACATATTAAAGAATCTCCAATGATGGATAGATAAGTGGGGATTGGTGGTTCGTTAAGATGTTGACGTCTTTAATTAGAATCACTCTGCTTGCTTTGTACATTTGAGGTTCTTATTTCTACTGGATCCATTCCTCCATACGCTGTCAACTCGATACTAATCTATACCTGTAAACTTTATTGACTGTTGTTTGGTCTCATACTTATTGTTTGCTATGAAAACACTTAAATGTATACAAAGTCTCTCTCTCTCTCTCTCTCCCCAATCCAATAAATAAAAAATATAAAAGTTTGTGAATATATCGTGTCATCTGACCCTCGTCTGGTCAGCCTTTTACTTGATGGTTATGGGCTCATTCATTCTTGTACTTTTATTTTTTATTTTTTTCAGAGAGACGAACCAAGGCAAGTTGGTAATAGAGACAATCCTTACGTCATTGGAGTAGTCTCCTCCTCATCATCATACTTACTTACTTTTGCTCAAACCCATCTGTATTAGATAGTTTGTGGTCAACAAAGAGATAGATAGATAGATAGATAGATACAATGTTTAATAGAATATTAGTGAATCAGTCGACTCGTTGTTTGATGAGACAACAAATCATAAAGACAACAACCACCACTTTGTCATCTTCATCCTCCCCCTCTTCTTGTTTCTATTCATCATCCTCTTCACTTTCATTCAAATATACAAATACAACTTCTTCACAACTATCATGTAGACATCAACAACAACAACAATACTTAATCAATAATAATCAAAATACTAATAATACAAATCATATTCAAAAGCGACTTCACTCATCTTCAAGCAAACCATCAAGTGCAAATGAGTAAGTGTAGATACAATATTAGTATCTCTATAGATGGGTATATATTCTTACACTACTACTACCATTTCATTCCATTTATAGTGTCAATATAGTATTTATAGATAAAGATGGAAATAAGAAAAATATAAGTGTACCTGAAGGTACATCATTGCTAGAGGCAGCACACGATAACGATATCGACTTGGAAGGTGCTTGTGAAGGATCTGTTGCATGCTCTACTTGTCATGTTTACATTGAATCAAAGTTTTTCGATCAACTTCCAATGTCTTCAGACGAGGAAAATGATATGTTGGATCTTGCTTTTGATTTACGTACAAAGTATGTTGGACAAATCTATCTATCCCTCCATTTTGAGTGTATTTACTAACCATCAATTAAATCATAAATTAATTAATTATTTATTTAATTAGTTCAAGATTAGGATGTCAAGTAATTGTAACAAAGGAATTCGAAGGAATGGAAGTAACTATGCCATCTGCCACTCGAAACATGTCGGTCGATGGTTACAAACCACCCAGGCATTAAATTGAACTTAAATTAAATCATAATATTAATTTACCCAACACACACATATATATATACAACTATTATTATTAGTATTCCTTCTTCTTCTCCTTCTTCCTCTTCTTTCTTCTTCTTCTTTTTATTTGTTATAAATTTAATCACTCGTCACAATGAACAAACAATTATCTGTTTTTGGAACTAAAAAAAAAAGAAACGTCGATCTTTGCATCGAACAAAAAGAAAGAGGATAAGATGAATCGACACCAAACGACGTGACGCTTGGGGCTCTATTCTTTGAGCCCATGCAAGGACCTTGTGCACCTTGGGTTTAGACCAAAACCGACAAAAAAAAAAGTTGCAATTGCTTGGGATTGCGCAAATCAAATTTGGTGATGTTCAACAATCGATGTTTATCCTTTCTGACGTTCGTTTCGTTTACCACAAAAGTTTAAATCAATCAATCATCCTCGTTATCGTCATTTCCGTTTCCCCCCTCCCCAATCAAATACCACGCTGGCGTTGCGATGAACATCGATGGAAATCGGAGTTGGTTCAAACCTACCCCCCCTACTGTAAACTGTGGGGGAGGTTACACCCTGCGAAATCATGATGTACTCGATGGAGAAGCAGCATTGTTACAATTGCACCATTTCGTTCTCACAATTGAGTGCTTGGCCTAGTGTAGACGTGGCTTTTTTATTTGTTTTTTTTTTATAATAGTGTCACACAATCTTTTGCAAAGGGTAGAGTAGGGTGCCCCAGCACTGTAATCCCAAGCCATGTGTCAAGAGGCATTGATGTTTATTACTATTAATTGTAATTTTTTTCCAATATTGTAGCCTTTTGTGGAGCGAAACAAAAATCAAATGTTTAAATCACTTTACACATCCCACCCATTATTCAACTAATCCACTTATTTTGACAAATATTTATTTTTTTGTAGATCTATTATCCCGCCTCACATATCCATCCAATTCACCCCCCCCCCCCCCCCCCAAGACAACATTACATACAATAATATTCAATTAATCAATTCATAGGAAGGAGGAGCAACTGCTTTTTTTGTCTACCATCTAAATTAATTTCATTTCAAATTTAATTATAGACAGATAGAATAAGATTTATTCGTTAATTCGTTTTAATTTTTATATTATTTATTTATTTATTTATTTATTTATTTACAATTAATATATATAAATATATATTTATTTATTACAATGGGTGAAGATTTCACATCTATAGAATTGGGTTCTATAAATAATAATAATCAAGAAAAGATTGACGACACACCTCACACAAAAGAAAATAAGATAGGATTTAATGGAGAAGAGAATCCATTCGATAGAGCAAGTTTATTTTCTTTGGCAACGTTTGCTTGGGTCGAGAAATTTGCATTTCACTGTTTTCGAAACGTATTGGAGCAATCACATTTATATAATCTTGCACAATGTGATAAATCAAGTACAGTATCAAAAAAAATCCAAAAAGAATGGCAAAAAGAATTAAAGAAAGAGTAACTATATCAAATTAAATCTTTTACTTTTAATCAGTAATTCTAACATTTTTTTTTAAATTAATTTTTTATTTTTTTTATAGTAAAAAGAAACAATATTGGAAAGCATCAATTAGAGCATATGGATTATATTATTGTTTAGGAATGTTATTTTATTCAGTATATTGTGCATCACTTTTTGTCGGACCACAATTGATGAGTAAATTAATCAACCATATATTATTATTACGAAATAACACCAATGATGATACTCTAGATGAAAATTTTGGATATTATTATGCATTGGCTATATTTGGTGCATCAATGATTGGATCATTTTGTAATTATCAATCCAATTTAATATCATCAAGAGTTGGTAATTGGATGAGATCAGGAATGGTGGTTGACATTTATGCAAAATCTCTCAAACTTGATACAGCTGCCAGAAGACAAACATCACCCGGTGAAATTGTTAATTTAATGAGCAACGATGCTCAACGTGTATCCGAGATGTTTATCATGTTAAACAATGGTATTTTTGCCCCCTTTCTAATGATTGCATGTATCGTTTTAATATATCGTGAAATTGGGTGGCCAACATTTGTAGGGTTGGGTATCATGTTGATCGTTGCACCTACCAATGCCATCGTCGCTAGAAAACTATTGAAAATCAGATTATCTATTATCAAGAGTTCAGACCGTCGTCTTCGTCTCATCAGTGAAATACTTCAATACATTAAAATCATCAAACTCTATGCATGGGAAGACTCCTTTGCACAAAAAGTAACAGATGCTCGTAATTCAGAAATTAAATCTTTATCTAAATTTTCAAATGTCGTAAGTAAACAAACAAATATAAATACAAATTATCAATCAATTACATAATTTATTAATTTAAATTTTATTTAATTTATTTTTTAATTTTTAGAAAGCAGGATTAATATTTATAGTTACTTCTGTACCAAATATAATTTCAATGGTTGTTTTTGCTATTGTTTTTCAAGCCCAGACTGGTGTCTCGGCGGATAGAGTATTTTCAGCAATGGCCTATCTCAATATTCTTCGTTGGCCATTAAATATTCTTCCATTGATCTTTGCAATGTTGGCACAGGTCAAAGTATCAAAAAACAGAGTGGCAAAGTTTCTTTTATTGTCTGAAAGAAAGCCAGTTGAAACCATCATTGATCCATCAGTCGAAAATGGAGTCTATGCAAATGAAGCATCCTTTAATTGGGAGGTTTCCAAAGACGACTCGTTTAAACTCGAAAATATTTCAATCCAATGTAAAGGTTCATCACTCACAATGGTAGTAGGGTGTGTTGGTAGTGGTAAATCATCGATTTGTCAAGCAATCCTAGGTGATATGGAATTAATTAAAGGTTCATTAAAAATTAAAGGAAAAATTGCCTACGTTCCTCAACAGGCTTTTATTGTATGTAATTTAAATATTTAAAATAATTAAACCAAATTAATTAAATAATAATTTTAATTTTTTTTATGTCTTTTAGATAAATTCAACATTAAAAGAAAATATATTATTTGGAAAAGAGTATGATCAAGTTAGATACGATTATGTAATTGAATCATGTGCATTAAAGAGAGATTTGGAAATGTTTCCAGAAGGTGATCAAGTTGAAATTGGTGAACGTGGTATTAATCTTTCTGGTGGTCAAAAACAAAGAATCAGTATTGCAAGAGCTGTTTACAGTGATGCCGATATTTATATACTCGATGATCCATTGTCTGCAGTCGATGCACACGTTGGAAAACATTTATTCCAAAAGGTTATTACTGGTGCTCTCAAAAACAAGACTGTTATTTTGGTGGCCAATCAACTCAACTATATTCCATTTGCCAACGAAGTACTAGTGTTGGATGAAAACAAAATTCTAGAAAGAGGTACATACAAAGAGTTGATGGAATCTCAAGGAGAGTTTTCCAAAACATTAAAGTTGTTTGGAATTCATGATTGTGATTCATCAGACTCTAGTAGTAACAGTACTGTCATGGAAGATTCTGACGATGGTATTCCAGAAGAGGAAGAAGAAGATGATGATAATCAAATTAGAGAAGACAAAGAAGAAGAGGAACAAAAAGAAACAATAGTTGATGATTTAGGAGTGACAGTTGTTTTATCACAGAAAAAGAAAATGAAAGAAAGATTTAAATCACTTAGAAAGAGAGCAACCAAATATAAAAGTAAGAGAAAACAAACTGGTCCTCCTCCAATGGCAAGCAAAGAATTGGTAAAGGTAGAGGAAAGAGAAACTGGTGCAGTCAATTTAGGAGTATACTACTCTTACTTTAAGAATGGTGGAATTGGATTGTTTGGTTTTATCATTTTCATTTTCATATTAGAGACGACAACGACAGTGTTGATTAGTTGGTGGCTTTCAGTTTGGTCCAATACCATGCAATTTGGAAATGGCAGTATCAGCCTCATTTCTGATCAATACCTCTATGTTTACATTGGTATTGGTGTTGCAGCCGTTATTGTATGTTGTTTGCGCAACTTTTTCTTCTTTTCTTTCTCAGTCACCTGCGCCAAACGTATCCACGAAAACCTCTTTGCTGCCATTCTTAAATGTCCAATGTCATTCTTTGATACAACTCCAATGGGTCGTATACTTAATCGTTTCAGTCGTGATCAAGATGTTCTCGATCAAATGATTGCATCTTCAACCAGCCAATACATTCTATATTCCACACAAATTGTTGCAACCATTGTCATTATATCAGTCATTACACCATTCCTATTGGTTCCAATTGCTCCCATCATAGTTTTATACTATTTTATTCAAACCTATTATAGATGTTCTAGTCGGGAACTCCAACGTTTGGTTTCTATTTCAAGGTCACCCATTTTCTCACATTTTAGTGAGAGTCTTCAAGGAGTGACTAGTATTCATGCCTATGGAAGAGAACAAGACAACATTATGACAAATTATCATTTGTTGGATGAAAACAACAAGCCTACCATGATGCTCCAAACTATCAATCAGTGGCTTGGCCTACGTCTCGATTTCCTTGGCAATCTCATCATTTTTTTCACAGTCATATTTGTGACTATCAATCGAGATTCTCTCACCATTGCTTCGATTGGATTATCCATCTCTTATTCACTCTCGATTACCTCTTCATTAAATCGTGCAACGTTACAAGGAACCGACCTTGAAACTAAAATGAATAGCGTCGAGAGAATGAACCATTACATTAACGGGCCAACCGAGGCTCCTCAAATCATTAAACACTCACGTCCATCTAAAAAATGGCCTGAACAAGGTGGAATCACAATGGATAATGTCGTTATGAGCTATCGCCAAGGATTAGAACCTGTTCTCAAAGGAATTAGTTGTTCCATTGCTCCAAATGAAAAGATTGGTATTGTTGGTCGAACAGGGTCTGGCAAGTCATCTTTAGTTCTTGCATTGTTTCGTCTCATCGAGTTGTCAAAGGGAAGCATAAAATTTGATGGTTTGGATATTTCTCAAGTTGGATTAAAGGATCTTAGAAAGAATCTAGCAGTCTTGCCACAGGAAGCTTGTCTGTTTGCTGGTACACTCAGAATGAACCTCGATCCATTTAATGAATGTGATGATGAAGGACTATGGAGAATTGTAAAAGACATACAACTCTATGACAAAGTCAAGGAATTGGAGGGCGGATTAGATTGTGCAGTATCAGAGAATGGTGATAATTGGTCAGTTGGACAACGTCAACTCATTTGCCTAGGTAGAATTCTTTTAAGACATCCAAAGATACTAGCGATTGATGAAGGTACAGCATCTGTTGATGCAACATATGATGCTTGGATACAACAAACCATCAAGGATAAATTCAAAGATTGCACCATCATTACAATAGCACATCGTCTAAACACTATTATTGATTATGATCGAATCATTGTAATGGATGCTGGTAAAATCATAGAGTTTGATACTCCCCATAGATTACTAAGCAATCCTCATGGTCTCTTTACATGGTTGGTCGATGAAACTGGACCATCAAACTCTCAACAATTAAAAAAATTGGCAAATACCATTCATCAAAATAAACAATTAAATTAATATTAGTAAATTAAAAGAGAGTTATTTTATCTATCTATCTATCTAAATGTATTATTTTTTTTGTTATAAATATTATTTTATTGTACTATTTGTATGATACATTATTTTTTTTGGGAAAAAAAAGTAGAAATGATGATTTAAAATTCTACTAGTTTCACCATCATGATCGATTATTGTTATTGTTGATAAAAGAAGGTTGGATTGAAAAAGACGATTGGGGTACTAAACTCTTCCTTGATGGTTTGAATGGCTGAAATAAGGAATTGATAACGTTCTTTTTGTACACTAATTTGTTGATGCTGTTGTTGTTGTTGAGATGGTTGTTGAAGGATATTTGCAGATGAAGAATTCTTTATACTTTGTTTCAAATGTAGATCATATATCTTTGTTAATCTACTCATTATTTCTTTTTGTTTTGATGCTGGAATAAATAATACATTACATGCTTGTTTATTCCTAAAAAAATAAATAAAAAATAAAATAAATTAATATTTTTAATTGTAATAATATTATTGGTTTTTTTAAATTTTACCTTAAAATAAATAATGGTAATTGAGATAAATCTACTAAATCATTATATGCAAATAAAAGGATAGGGAAATGAATAGTATCTGTAAAATCTTCTATAAACTTTGTAATGCCAGAGATTCTTGTTGCCGAAAGATCGAAAAAGTCCAAATATTTGTTCTTTTTTCTAACTACACTTGGTTTGGTTCCCAATTTAATTAATGGTGAAAGATATGGATGATTATCATTTAATAATTTAATTGATGACTTCTACAAATAATATAAATTAAAAAAAAATATTGTTAATATTTATATATTATATTATTCTATTTTTTTCTATTTTCTTTTTCTTACATTGGTACAACTAAATAAATTATAATTCATTAATTTAACAGAATTATCTTTTTTAATATGATCGATAAAGTGAGATTTATCAGTGACAGAGTTGCAACAGTTGATAAATACAGGGATTGATCGAGTATCTGGTTCTTCATCGTCATTTTCTGTAATGTAATTTGTTTTCATCAAATCGTAGAGGGTGAGGTAACGAACAATGAAATCGGGAATAATCAATTCCCATGGGAATACCTGTAGACTCTTGGAGCAGATAAAAAAGAGAGGGGTGGTAGAGACATTGGTAGATGGAATGATTGGTTGCTCTGACTTGCTCTCCTTTCCAAAAAAGACAAAGCTCTTGGTTGGCTTCTTTTGTTGATGTTGCTGTTGTTGTTGGTGGGGTTGTTTCTCCTTTTCGAGTGGCAATATTTCAAACAACGATGCAAAGGTTGTGTTTTTAAGTTCCGACACAATCTTGTTACGTTCGGCATCTTCTTGAGCTGGATCCTTGGGAGGTACGAGTGAAAGTAGTGGTGCGAGTGATGCAATAATCTCTGGCGAGAATTTGATGGCTTGGTCATTGGTCTTGTCAGAGGGTGTGTCGAGTGAGGTGAGTGACTTGCGTTGCTCATTAGAGTTTACAAAGAGGAACAATTGCAATGGATTTTGCTCTGAACACTCACGCATCTCACGGTGCGAAAAGATCTTGCAGATTTGTGTTGACAACTGATCAATCGATACGAATGCCTTGGAGTAGGCGGGATCTTCGCTCTTGACCATACGCTTGGCCATCGAGAGTAATGACAACTGTTGGTGGTTATATACCTTTCTGGCGACCGATCCTGAACCGACACTCATACTACGACCATGGTCTTCACTTCTCTGCTCGGGGTCGAGCGACAACTTGACACCTCGCGATGGGGCCAGTGGTAGGTTGGGATGCGTATTGGTGTGCTGGTGCGACGGACCGCCCAATCCGAGCCCGCCAGTGGTCGGCGTACCCGGTCCATGATGGTTGGGGTGATGGTGATGGCTGTCGGAACGCTCTTGAGGTGGTGAATCGCTTAGATGATCCTCATCACTCTGTGGTGGCCCAATCGTCGAGTTTAAGAATCCAATCAACTCATTGTGGAAATTGACAGTCTTTTCCATAAACTTGGGTGCGCTCTTTAGACTGTTATTACCGGTTGAGCGGCTAAACGAACCAAAGAAACTCTTCTTTTTGGCAGCGTCTTCTGCAGATGGCGTCGATGCCCAGTATGGACGGTTACACAAAAACATAAGAATACGTTCGAGTGTGATCAATGACGACACAATAAACGACACATGCTCTGTAGCATTACTCAACAGGTAAATCTGGAGATAGAGCAAGCTAGTTGGTGGAGTCAGTGGTGTCAACTCTTCCGATCCACCAATACGATTAAATCTCTTGCGTCCACTCGTCGGCACATAATGGATAAAGTAATTGTCAACCTGTAGCGAGTAAACTAATTTCTGTAGCGTTGCGTTGATCTTTGTGGGAGTATTATTAAACGACAACTCTTCGTAACGGTTTGACAAGTTCTTGATCGTTCCACTACTGTTACCAGCGTTACTTGGCGTTCTGTTACGTCCTTCTGCCATCTGTGAAAGATTCAACTTGGTCTGGCTTCTAAAGAGTGTTGCCAAACTGTTGACCGATTGGAAAGACGGAGATACTCCGCCAACCGCCAAACCAGGTGAACCTGCACCAGTATGACCATAACTACCTGTACTAGTACTATGGTTGAGCAAGGTGTTTTGTTGTTGATGATTCTTGTAAGAATTTAATATCTTGAGGATCTGCTTGATAGTCAGCTTGTTGCGTGATGCCAACTCTTCTTGATTGATCTTGCCAATTGAATACTTTCTCATTTCATTCTTGATGGCATGGAATGATCCCCAGATCTTCTCGCCTACTTCGTCACCCGTGTTGATGGTCTTTTCCTCATCCTTTGTCTTTTCGGTAAAGGTGAGGTTAGAGATCTTGGCGGATAGACGGTTGCCTGCGCTGTTTGCGCCTGTTGGACTGCCCGACATGACATCGACACCCTTGTCGAGTGACAATGACACTTCCATGCGACCAGTCTTTTTAAAGTTACGTCCAATAGTATATGCCTTGCCAAGATAGGGCATGTAGATCTTGCCAATCTGTGGATTAGAGTCATATGACAATGGTTTGTTAAAGTCGATAGGACGTTTCTTTGCCTGCGAAATATCAATCTCCAACGAGAGGTAACTGTCCACCAACATTAAATTCTTGTTGATCAACTCTTGATCAAATGCAAAGAGGAAGCGGATCATACGCTTGGCCACTGAATACACTTTCTTGAGGAACTGTAGAGGCGCACCACGACCAATTAGCAACGGACCGTCGAAAAAGAGGTTATAATAGAGGTTGCGTGTTTCGGTCCAGTATGAGATGGCCAAGTCGCGGTCACCCTGAAGTAGCTTGAGCTCGGCCATGTTGAGGTAGCTCTTGAGTAGCTGTACAATGTTGCACGTGTCAATGTTGACGTCCATGGCCAGTGTAGCTGGGTTCTCAATCATCTCAAAGGTGATGTAAAACTCTTTCACCTCAGAGTTGATCGAGGGCGTTTCGGCAGCTGGTTTCTTGGGTTGTTTGTTGGCACTACGCTTCTTTTGGTCGTCTTGTTGCTCTCCATCCTTTTGGATAAACTTGGATGGGCCAAAGAAAGGCAGACGGGCCACATCATAAAAGGGATAGTGCAGCAGCATACATGGTGCAAACACACGGTCGAGGTAGACCTCGGCAATACGTGAAACTGTCTTTTGAATCTTGACATCATCACCAATCGATTTGAAATAGTGATAGGCGCGTTTAAACGATGCAATTCCCTCTTGAATGAGGTCACCAGTACATGTGTATGATGGTGCAGGGGTGAGCGTCTCGACAATCTCCTTCAGGTCATCAGATGTTGGACGTAGTGTTGTGGGGAAGTTGATCAATGTGACATTGGCAAATGACACGAGTTTCTGGAGAATCTTTCCACGAATGTAAAAGTATTGTCCACGTGCATTCAAACTACCAAGTGGACACGACTCTATTGCGCATTCTACACATACAAGTGCCTCTGCAAACTTGTTACTGTGGTAGTAGTTGAGACAGTTGAGTTCCCAGTACTTGAGGTTACGTTCAATCTTGTTGTTTCCACTACCACCTTGATACGATGTCTTCATCGGGTTGGCGTGCAATGGACTGGGGATATGACTGCCACCTGGTGGACCAGCGTTAAAGCTTTTGGCAGCTCCACCAAACAACGGTAATCCCAACGGACTACTTCCACTCGTCTGGATGCCGCTACCCGACTCGTCATTCTCGAGTTGATTGAGAACACCTGTACACTCATCAAACCACTCCATCTTGGTATACACCTTGGCCAATAAAAAGAGCAGCGAGTTGAGCTTGCCGTGTGGGAGGTTATGTTTGCGCATAGTGACGAGTAGCTCGAGACCACGTTCAATGTGGTAGCTTTCGAGGTAGAGGTTGGCAAGCTTCATATGCAGGTTGAAAAAGATAGGGTTGTCGAACTTGGGTGTGTCGCGATACCCACTGTCTCCAAGCGGCGTGCTGCCCTTGTGCAAGATTAAAAAGACTACCTTGAGGTACTCCTCACTCTGCTTGTAGTTTCCTTTTTCCCAGTAGAGCGAGCTGATGACCTCGCAAATATAGATAATCTCGTTGGTCTTGCTCTGTGGGTCGTCCTCGAGATAGCTGTTGAGGATCTGCTTGTAATAGTAGATGGCAGCGTTGATATCATCGTTTTCTCTTGCCAACGCGGCCACTCTACGCAACAGTGTACCATACTCTTTCTTTTTACGGATGTTGTAGATGAGAAGGGCATTGTCAAAGCTGACAATGGCGTATTGGTACTTGTAGTTGTCGAGTAGCACACCGGCGTATCCCAACGAAGCATTGGCAGCCAACTCTGAGAGTACTGGTGGCAATCCAACAATAGGTTGACGGATATTATCGATAATGTAGAGTGTCTCGAAAAAGAACTTTTCGGCCAACACCAAATCATTGCCATCCGAGTGATGAATACCCAACGCATAGGCAGCCTTGGCCTTTAAGAATGTGGGTGGAGTGTCTAGATACAAATCGGTCAACAGTTTCATACGGTAGTTGGCATCCAACAAATCCGTCATATTGGCTGGTACATTAACATCCATGATAGGGTCACCAAGAGACTTGGTCGTCAATGGAGATATACCATTCAAATGTAAATGAATATCTGTCAATGCACGTACCATTGCATTCTTTAATCCAACTTCAAAATATTCTTTAATCGAATTGATTGGTTTTGGTGTAAATGAAGTAGAAGATGATGATCCAGCAGCAGCAGCATTAGTTATTGGTGATTTAGATGGAGTATTATTACTATTATTATTTTGTTGATTTTGTTGATTAATATCTAAAGAATTAAGTTTTAATTTACAATGTTGGTAAGATCTGAGGAAGATATTGAGAGGATTGATTTTCTCTTCTTCATTGCCAGCAAACTCGTCGGGTCTGGTACGAAGCTCGGGCTCTTCGTCAGAGTCTGACTTGTCGCTGTCATTGTCAGAGTCATCGTCGGATGAGCTTGATTTGTGGTGCAGGTGGTGTGAATAGGTTTCGGCGACTATAATATCTACATGGTGTGCGTTGGTGACCGACAGGTTCTTGAGCCCCTGGAACATATGCTTAAAGGAGGCGTCTTCCTCGGGCTTCCAGAGTTTTCCTGCCAAATAGAGCATTTGCAATGCATAATGATAGGTGGCATCCTTTTCATCAATCTCCATCGACATTCTCTGACGAGAGGTGGATGATGATGCGGTAATAGGTGTCGGTGTAACTGATATACTTGGTGCAGGTACCGTTGAAGATGTTTTACTAGTTGTTCCAGTTGTAGTAGTTGGATTGGTAGTAGGATTAACAGATGGTCTCAAAGGAGATGATGAAATGGGTTGATGATTACTACTACTTGGAGGAATCAATGTAGTTGTTGAGGTAGACTTTCCACGTGATGTAGATAATGGAGATGATGCGCCAGAATCACGTAGATCCAAAAAGAATGCGTGGATAGTGTCCCAACACTGCTCGTCGTATCCAAAGATATGGAGGGTGCAGCAAAACTCGAGATTGAGACGTGCCCACTTTTTAGTGTTCTTTTTCCACTTGCCAGACTCTTGTGCAAACTCGTTACGAAGTTCCTCGAGCGATGCGCGTTGTGGTAGGACGCGAATGGCGCGGTCCTGACCCTCGAGGTGCTTGATGATGAGGCTCGACAGCCACTTGGAGAGAGCTTCCTCGTGCAAAAACGAGTGGCCGTCGGGAGTGGTGAGCGAGTAGAGGTACGATGGCTTGGGGTACTTGACAATCTCAAAGTTTTGGTTGTTGATGCTCTCGATGAGCCGGTAGTGTGATGGCATACGGTCCTTGTTGACGACTGTCGACGACTGACCGGCTAGTTGGAGTACGGGACGGCTGTCCTCACCTTCGACGTCCAATCCGAGCTCGGCGTCCCAATCCTCGTCGTCGTCCGATTCAAAGCCGGCCGTGGTCGAGTCTGCCTCGTCCTTGGCGGTGCTCGACGACTGACCTCCCAGCTGCAGCTTGAGTGACCCTAGTCCGGGGGCAGTCACCGTTGTCGATGATGATGTGGATGACGGGATTCCCATTCCTGTACTCCCAGACAGTGCATTCTGGAGACTTAGCTTGGCCGCCGATGCTGGCAACGCCGGTACTGCAAACCCTCCACCATCTCGTTGTACCTTGCTAGTCTCATTGAGCAGCAAGATTGACTCGTTCTCGAGTACACGGTCACCAACCTTTTTAGCAGCGTAGCATGCGCGTTTGGCAAACGATACGCACAATTCCACGTCACCCAACGTCTTCATGGTTTTGGCCATCTGCAAACAGCCGCCAGCAACACCAGCCCACTCTTTGACATGCTTGAGTGGCTCGGCAGGTGACGTGCCCAGACAATCAGATGTATGTACATGGAGAGTGGCGCAGTGTCCGCACAGCAGACTGCGCAGGTAAGCTTCTAGATATTTAGTTGCGTAGATGGGTGTCTCGCTCGTAGCGTAGCACAGACCCAACTCATAGTTGATCTTTTGGTACATTGCCAAAAACGTCTTGGTGTCTTTGGCACAAATCTCTAGCGCCTTTTTAAAGTACTCTGTCGTGTTGAAGATGTTGGCCATGGCCTTGGAGGTCATTCCCAGTTGGTAGAGGAGATCCAACTCAAACTGGTCGTTGTTTTCGTCGAGTGGTGTGTCAAAGTCCTCCTTGTGATCTTGCAACAGTTTGTAGGCCGTTGACAACTGTGTGTTGGCCATAATCGTCTGTTGCACACTTAAATATATCATTCCCAATTCATAGTATCGTTTCGATAATTCCAATTGATTACTACTAACATGTAATGCCAATTCTATCAATTGATTTTGTGTTTCAAGTTTCTTTTTTAATTCATTTTCTACCAATTAAAATAATAAACAAATAAAACGTCAATAAATATATACATATACATATATACATATAATCCTTTATATTTATATTTGACATACCTGATAAAGTTGTAATTTTAAGTCCATTAATTGGTGGTGTCTTGTTTTCAACAATAGTTTGTTGTGTATTTATATCATTTCCAACTATTAAATAAATATAAAAGTATTAGTTAAATTCAATATGTTATTAATATTATCTATTGCAACGTACAAATCATTAAATTAATTAAATCTGAAATAGAAGCAGGTATTTTGGTATCAATTTGATTTGAAAGTGGTCTTGATGCAACACGAGTCAATAAGTTGTTGGCAGGTGTTAGGATTGATTTACTGTCAGATTCAGAGCTATCGTTGAAAAGGAAATCGTCGTCCCATTCAGTCTTTTGGTTTGGATCGGCCTTGATACCCAAAATCTTCATTTGTGGAGAAGCTGGTGAACTGGTTCCCCCTGGAGCTGGTGTTCCACCACCAAAGTCGGCATCCCAATCTTCAGAGTCTGACTCTTCCTTTCGATTCTGTAATATACCCTTGGTTGGCGATGGTGATCTGTCCCAATCATCATCGTCATCCATCAAATTTGAACTGCTTCCACCATCGGATCTTTGTGTTTTGATTGGTGTAAAACTATTACTTTGTTGTTGTTGTTGAATTGGTGATATTGATCTTTGTGGTGATGATGGTACATTCAATGGTGAAGAACTATTATTATTATTATTATTATTATTATTGTTATTGTTATTATTATTATTTTGATTATTATTGCCAACAGCCATAATCTCTGCTTTCTCTTTCTTTGATAACTTTCCAATTGTTAACTTTCTTTGAAGAGATGATAGATTGTGACCTGGTTCAATACCAAAATCTGCGTCCCAATCTTCGTCATCTGATTCTCCCATTCTCTATCTATTATATATTGTACACACACGGATCGTGTCTCTGTTCTGTGATTATAAATGAATGAATGAATGATTGGTCACAACCAAAGATGAAGATGAAGAAGAAGATAAAGATAAAGAAGGAGAAAGAAGATTGTCTATAAAGTTGTTTCGAAATATATTGTTGTTGGCTTGATGATGATGATTGATGATTGATGATTAGAGGGAGAATTGATTATATATCTTCTTTCTTTCCTCTCTCTCTCTCTCTCTCTATCCCTCACTACAACCTCTCTTCTCTCTCTTTCTTTCTATTGATCGATCAATGTCAATGTCTTGTTGTCTTGTCTTGTTGTTGTTGTTGTTGTTGTTGGTTAATATTAATATTGGTTGTTGATCATCTATCCTAGCAATCAATCAAACTCGAGTCTCTGTGCTGTTCAAACTGCCTGAACTCTTTTGATGGATGATGATGATGATGATTCAGATAGATGAATATGTATATATATATGTATATGTTGTGTGAATAGTAGTAATGAATAAAGTTGAAAGATACTAGAGACAAGCAGAGGGGGGGTGAGAGGTGGATGAAGCTTCAAAATTTTCACAAAAAATGGGTTCTGTGGGAGGGAACTTCGCAAATGGCTCTGGGCAACAAGCACAAAACCCTGTAACTATGATACACTTTCATTCATTCATTCATTCATTATCGTGTACACGAGATCTGAACAACACGAATATTAGATATTATAATCATGGCAGACACAACAGAGTCTACTATTAGTACAAGTACAAGTATACCAACACCAACACCAACACCAACACCATCAATGCTTCGTGAACAACATGTCAGCGATTTACACGATATCGGTGCTGTTCTATTATCACAGGGTGCTGAAGCTGTATGTATACATACGAATATTCGTGAGATAGTATAATGTACATTATACTGACTGACTGACTGATTGGATTGATCATTCTATTTATTTATTTATTTGTTTGTTTATTTGTTTATAATAGAGAACATTTAGATATATGTTGAATGGATTAGATTGTATTGTAAAAGAGAGATTTGAAAAGAAGTACAGACATCCATTACTGGATGCCAAGATTGCAAACAAGAGAATATTGATGGAGGTTAGAGCAATCAATCGATGCAGAAAGAATGGGATCAGTGTACCATGTCTCTATCTTACAGATACACTCAACAACCGAATCTATATGGAATACATTGATGGTATCACTATTAAACAACACCTATACAATCATTCACCACCAACTAATAATCCATCGGGTACACCAACCGTCATCATTGAAATGACACCTGACAAACAAAAAGAAATTGAAACATTATGTTTTGATATTGGTCTATGTATTGGTAGAATGCATAATATTGATATTATTCATGGTGATTTAACAACTTCAAATATGTTATTAAAATCATCTTCCACATCTGTAAATAATAATAATAATAATAATCAAAATAATAATAATCGAAATAATATTAATAATGATAATAGTGACCTTCAATTAAAAGATGAGAAATCAATTATATTTATTGATTTTGGGTTAAGTTATAGTAGTACATTGGTAGAAGATAGAGCTGTAGATCTATATGTTTTGGAACGTGCATTCATTTCAACTCATCCAAATTCAGAACCATTATTTAAAAAGGTGATGGAAGGTTATGAAAGCTCATCTCCCAAGGCCAAGAATATCGTTGCCAAATTAGATCAAGTTAGACTTCGTGGAAGAAAGAAATTGGCTTTTGGATAATATTAATAATATTAATAATAATAATAAATGTGTACACATTTATATATATATATACATTTATATACACATCTTTGAAGAAGAGTTTATTCTATTCTATTCTATTCTATTCTACTCCATCTTGCTCTTGTAACTTGGATTTACGTTTAGTTTTATCTTTTGCACCTTTTGGTCTTCCTCTTCCTTTTTTCTTCTTGCAATTGTTGGAAATGATTAGTTCATTATTATTATTATTATTTTGATTATTATTATTTTCATCATCTAATTCAAGTTTATCATCCAACATTGAACGCCATTTAAGCATTGTTTTTGTATCTTGTATTGCAGTTATTAGACATTTCGGTTGACAGAATCGAATATTGAATGAATGACCTTGATATTCTTTACCAAGTATTGGAAAGTGAATTGTGATGGGTACACATTTTGAAGTCTTCTTACAACATAGCTCTTTGTTTACACCAGCTACTACTACAGTAGGCAACCCTTCTCCACATGTAACTGTTACTTGGGAACCACCAGAAGCATCCCAATCTTCAATCGCCCATTCCACCAAATTTTCTATTGCCATCAATGTTTCCTTTTCTTTTCCATGTCCATGTGTTCCAATTGTACAAAGTCCAAATACTTGTGCTTTAAATTTAAATTAAATAAACCATTAATATTTAATAAACTAAACAAAGACACTAGATGGATGAATACATACAACCAACTGAAATAGATAAATGATGATCTGTTTCTAATGACATATCTTTTTTGCAATACACTCCAAGACAATGTTGTGCATTCATTCTAGATTCAAAGTATTCAATTGTCATTTGATCATTTTCATCATCATCATCATCATCATCATGATTATAGGGTACTTTTACAACTGCTCGATCATTTGACTCTTCATCTTCATCTTCTTGTTCCATATTTTCTTGATTATCATCTTGATCTCTTTTTCTTTTCTTTTGTAGATATATGTCTGTTGATGATGACGATGATGACGATGCCGATGATGAATTATCTTGGTTGATCAGTTGCATCAACAAACTCTCTTGATTCATTTCCTTGATGAGAGTGTATGAACAATGCACCAAGTGCGCAGTAAACATCGCCTTTCTATTCTTGTACGATACTCCACATATCGGACACACATTATTGAATGTATTGAATCGTTTATGTATATTACCAACTATAGCTAATTGTTGATTCATCATCTAAATATATAAATCAGCAGAATGAAAAGACGAATGCCAAAAAACCGAGAAGACAAATTAGGTAATTATTAATTAATATATTAATTAATATTATTATATTGATTTTTTCATTGAATCAGACATTTATTAACAGTAATTATTTATTCATCAAATTCTAATAGTCTTTTAATATTTAATAGTGAATTGGTGGCTGTTTCAAATTGATCGTACGTTTGATCCATCCACGGTGCTGTATGGTTGATATACCAATTGTAGCAATCTAGTACACATTCAACTTGGTCCTTGACAATAGACCCATACACCAAAGTATCTCGCATTTCCATGACACTTGAATGAAATGATTTTAAACAATCATCTGATTGTTGTTTGTGATAAAGTGAGGATGTATCGATATTATTGAGAGTGTTTGTTTGTAATATTATTGCCAAAACTACTCTAAAAGGTATAACCAATTGACTCCACAATGATGTCTCTTGTCCAATTTTTAATAAAATCTCTATTTCTTCAATTGATAGTTCAATATTATTATTTTGATTATTATTATTTTGATTATTTAATTGGAAAACTTTGATTAATAAATTGACAGATCTAAAACAAGGTAGAGAATAGTTTTTAACATTTTCTTTGTTGAATTCCAATGATTTGTCAAGAGTAGTTGAAAATGTTTTGGTAAAGATTGAATAGGCATCTTTGATTTGACTCGGTGTCATATAGTTTCTACCATTTAATTCTACCAATCGATCGAGTGTTTTAATATTTTCAAATTGTGTATCGATGAATGGACATTGTCTAACCTGTTTGATTGCCGCTGCATAAACCATATCAAATACATCTCGTGTCTCTTGATGACCAAGTCCCATCTTTTCAATGTACACCTGTAATACAACAGGTAGCACATCTAAACTATCACCAGTCACTAATTTACATATAGGTTGAACCAAACCACTACCACTACCAGTTGCGGCAAAATAAGGGAAAAGGTGTACACCCAATATAGGACCAGATTGAACTAATATTTGAAGAGAAGTTTCTGTGAATCGATTGTACTCCCAGCCATCATCCTCTGCATTAAACAAAACGGTTCTAATATGCTTCATGATGAATGGCAAATAAATGGTAAAGTCTTGACCAACAATCTGACAAAAATGACTACACTCGTTAAAGAATGGACTGAGAAGAGTGTTCCTCGTTTTCTTGGTCATATACACCATCAACGGATAAAAGTAATCTTTAAAGAATACTTTCTTTCCACACGCCAATCCAAACTGTGATAATAGTGTCATTGCATCCATACGTGTTCTAGTTGACCCTGTCAACCCATCCAACTCCTTTCTTTTTAATAAATCTATACATATTGGAATACATCTTGAATGATACTATATATATAATAGGTGTTGTTAGGGTTGGTCAATTGAATTGGATTGAATTGATCTTTTACTTTACATACATTATTAAATTGATTATTATTTAAAAGATATTGTAATGCTTTTACATAATATTTAAAAATATTTTGTTGGTCTTTAAACTGGGTCGATTTCAATACAATTTCAATCACTGTTAATACTTTATCGGGGTGAGCTTGCATGGTGAGATTATCAGACCTAAAGATTGTTTCAGCAATTACCAAACAAGCTTTCATTACCCTTTTGATCTTTGTGCCATCGTCTGGTTGGTCGTTTCTGTATTTTTGTTCTCGTGCGACTAATATATCGCACAATAGTGTAATGTATTTTGAATAGTCTAGTAGCACCAACACACAATTACAAATAGACTCTTGTTTCTCATCCAACACATGTTCCAAGATTCCACTCATCTCAATCTTGTTGTTCCATTTCCTATTGATTCTACCAATTGCTGTATAAACTTGTTCTCTAACTTCATCCCTTTCAATCATATATGCATTATTAAAATATTCTATCAATTCATTCCATTCTCCTCCTAAAATAAATAAAACAAATAATGAGTAAGTATTTATACACCATTTCTTCTTTCTTTTGATTTGATTTCATACCATCTTTATAGATAAAGGTTGATATATTTTCAATGGTATAACAAAGGGATTCAATCAATATATACCGTTGTTGACATAATATTGGTATACTTGTAATCAACTGTTGTCTAAACCATCGAGTAACGACATTGTCAGAATGATACAATGAATTGGATGAATATAATCCTTTTAGTCTCAATACACTTCTTTTCGCTTCAATGATGATTGATACATTGCTCATTCTCCAAATCAAATTATATTGTAACTGTTTTGGATCATATGTCATATCATCTAGATAGATACTCTTTAAAATAATAAATTAATCAATCAAATATGTTAACAATATAATATATATATAAATAGAGTATAAGTATAGTATAATACCTTTGAGACACCATTAATAATGATATCTAACATCCATTCGAGTACTTGACTAGGTTGTTTTTCCAATAACCTTATATATGTATATTGTGATTCTAGAATCCCATTATCTTTATCACATGCATCATGGTCCAACTTTATCAATAATCTAATAAATTCATCATTTGGACTGTTATTCATCTATCTTTAATCTTCCTATCTATCTATCTATTTATCTCTCTCGAATGAATGAATGTTTTGATTCTGACAAACTCTTCTTGCAGCTTTTTGCAATAATTTAAAATGAGAGAAGAAAATGAGAAATCTAGCTATCGAAACTTGTGCTTACACCTGTCAATAATTACTTTCTTCTTTAGTTAATCATTAACACTTCATTCATTTACATATACATATAAACTATGTTACATACTAATTGTTCTTCTTTAGAATTAATTACAAGTATTATGAAGAATTTGTGTCTCCGACAAAGTTCAATTTGAGCCTTTATTTCAAAATGAGGAGAAAAAATTTTTACAAAAGAGATTTGAAAAAAAAAGATGAGGTTTTAATGAGAGTTAGTATGACTCAAAAAATGAAATAAATAAATATAATCGTACCTGTAAGAGCCCAAATTGTGTTGATGATTTGACAAACTTACCATCTTCATCACCCAACACATCTTCACCACGCAACCCAAAAGGTAAAAGAAATCAAAGAATGAAACATGACAGCATTCGAATCCGCGAGTTGGATGAACTGAAGAAGATCACAATAGAGGCGGATATACTTTTCATAATAGTCCAGCCTAGATTGGAATGTTTGAGGGTTAAGGACATTGACTATATATAAATATATAAATAAAAAAATAATGAATTAATAATTATTTAATAATAAAATAAAACAAATATTATAAAATGTATACATACACTTGAATATGTAATAAATATTGAAATACTTACGCTTGCAAATCTATTGTCAAGTTTGTTTTCCTCCTTTCCTCATCCTTTTGTTTTTCAACATCAGTGGGAGGGGTGGTTCCGCCGGAAGATACACCCTCTTGGTGTTTGTGAAAAGCCTTGGATCGTATTTGTACAAGCCTGGGAAGAGAGTGGCGATGGCATAGCTTGGGTTACCCTCGTGATCTTTTTCGACATTGGCATTTTTTAAACCTAAACATTTCAAAAGGTTTTGAGCATGTTCTGTTCTCTTGTAAACATGAATTGAATATCAAATCTATTAAAATGAATAAATAATAGGAATAATAATAAAAGTTAATACATTGATTTATAATTAATAGATACATATCTTATATATAAATATATTTAACCTACCCAAGAGATGGTATAATGGATGAAATATTGATGAGCCCGGGAATAAACACGGTTGGTGTTCGGGTATCGCTAATCTGTTGGAGATCAGCATTTCTTTTATCCGCCTCTATTGTGATCTTCTTCACTACATCCAACTCGCGGATTCGAATGCTGTCATGTTTCATTCTTTGATTTCTTTTACCTTTTGGGTTGCGTGGTGAAGATGTGTTGGGTGATGAAGATGGTAAGTTTGTCAAATCATCAACTGTCAAAGATGTGTTTGGGGACTTTTGCAACTTGATAGCAGCTTCTCTTCTTTCCTTTATGATAGCTTCCCTTCTTTTGTGAGCATCTTCCTTTTTCTTTTTGATAATATTTTTTCTTCTGCTCATAATCTATTTATTTGTAAAACATATTTCTCTCTATGGTCTTCTTTATTTTTAATTATTCTTTTACCAATCGATTGATCTTTTATGAGGCGACACTCTCAACCAAAAATTTTCAAAACCCCCGAAGAAAATAAACACTCATTTTTAAATTAATTTTTTTAAAAGCACCACCCATTTGATTTAAAGTGAATCGACCCGCTGCTATCTCCGTTAGAAAAAGATATCGTCGTTCATTAAATATGAAAATAGGTTACATAACTTAAATATATACATACTACTCTTCACAAATCTATGTGAAGTTAGTTAGTTTATAAATACACAGTAATAATAATAATAATAATAGTAATATAGAAACATTATCTCAGTTGACAGACAGATAATTATCTAGGTAGATAGATAGACTTTTTAATAATATAATATAATCAGTAGTTAGTCTCAAAGTCAACTCCTTTTAGTAAGGAGTATTAGTAAAAAGTCTAGACTTTCATTATGAACTCAATGAAAAAGTCATTGATAGAGAGTGACCAATTACTTTATAATAATGATGGAAGAAATGAAGACGACAATAACAACAACTCTGTCACTCATCAAGACGGTATCAATACACCACCGTCATCATCATCATCTTCCTCTAAATATTACAAGGATAGAAAATATGTATGTATCAATCAATTATTACTGTCTCTATTACAATAATAATCACATCAATCTATAAAACTCTACTCTTTCTTTCTCTCCTTTTCCTTTCCTTTCTTTCCTTCCTTCTTGTTCATTATTTGGTTATCCTCCATTTTCCACTTTTGATAATAATAATGAATGAATGAATGATGATCCAGGATAGGGAATCTATTTCTATTTTTGGAAACTCATTTATTTTTTTTGTCAAAGCATCAAACCAGTAACTATGTATGCATTTTCAAATACTATTCTGATCATAGTTGGTGGTGGTGGTGGGGTGACTGACATTGTTTGGATAATAATAATAATAATATCAACACGATGAAAACAATCAGATATTCATATTTAACCCGACATACATAAATACACACACTCACTCCCTCCCTCCAATGTGACATATTCGTCGCTATTCATCACACCCAACCTGTTGGTTGTTGGATATTTATTTATTTTATTGAATATCTATCTGGTTGAAACCAATACTATTTCGTGTGTAGTAGGAATTCCAAAAGAAGAAGAGAGAGGATCGTGATTTATCTATTTATTCATCACAATGGGTATAGGGGTGGATGAAATACCAAGCAACACTACTGTTGCTGACACATTCTCCGCTCTCACCCCTACCACAACCAACCATATGGAATTTTACAATAGTAGTCAGACAGACAATTTTGTTAATACTATAGTAGTAGGAGTGCCATCTACTATGATGTATTTGATGAACGAATCAAGATTAAATGTTAAATAATTATATGTGTCAGCCGGTTGACTCTTTTGGTACTCTCTCTTCACAACACATTATTAATCTACAACCAAATATTTGGCATCCAACCAGCCAGCCAGCCAACCAGCCAACCAGCTCTTTTTTATTCTTCATACCTATTTCTATCTATCATCATAATAATTGAAATTAAATGAATGAATCAATTGTGATGATGATGATGATGATGATGATAATTCCCATTAACCATTAATTTTTAATTGTTAAACAAAAAAAACAAGAAATAATAATAATTAAAATATTATTATTTAAATCAATTTTTAAATTGATAATATTACATCGACCGGTTCATAGAATATTATTAATTTCCACCATAGTTTAAAAAACAATAATAATAATATTTATTTAAATAATTTATATCATTGCATTGGGAGTTAACCCTTCATAGCAGTATCAGTATCAATATCAATATCCATATCCATATCCATATATATAAACAAGTAAATAATTATTTCATCATTTTATAACCCACGGTTATTTCCCCCCTTCCACATCCATATCCATATCCATTCCAGAAAAAAGATTTATTATTTATTTAAAATACTGCAATTCCGATAAGCACCAAGGAGAACAAATAATAATAATAATAATACTTTGAATATATAAAATAGTGTCAGAGATTGGATCCAATTTTAATATTGTGGTTGAATAACAACATCCCCATCATTTTATTATAATTAAATTAATTACTACCCTTATTATTATTAGTATTTTTATTATTGTGTTGTTCCAGTTGGAGTTTTAATAAAATGTAAATATCTCTAAATCTATAATAGAATATTATTTTTCATTGCAAATTGTTATTTATATTTACGAAAATCTTTACAAACCACCCAAACCTCACAATTGTAATGATAAACAACCAACCATACCATTGATTATTTATAAATATAAAATAATTTCATCCCTTTCCTTCTCCCTCTCTCTCTTTCTCTCTCATCCCTCCTCTCTCTCTCTTATTGCTAACTATTTCCATCCTTTTCTAATAATATTTTTTCTTTTTCTAAAGAAAATGATTGCAGACGAAAATCCAATGAGAGGTGGAGGCAAACCTCCAACGTCTTATGAAAAGGAAGATTATCAATTTTCCAAAAATAATTCCAATTCCACCATGACTGCATCATCATATACAACAAATACTGGAATGTCATCTTCATTATCAAATGAAAAGATGAGTTTTGGAACTAGATGTACAAATAGAATATATACATTTGGACAATTGTCCAAAAGAAAGAAATCATTGGAACAACTTCAACGAGAGATGGCAGATAGTGTCATGAAGGAAGAGTCTATGATATCGTCGACGAGTGAGTCGGGTAGTTCATCCAATGTAGACGAAGAAGATGAAGAAGGTCAAGTGTCATCGGAACCTCGTATTCAAGGTCAAGACAGTAAAAAGTTTAAAAAATGTTTATCAGTGTTTGATTTACTGGCATTTGGTATTGGTGCTATTATAGGTAGTGGTATCTTTGTATTGACAGGTGTAGCTGCAAAAGAGAAAGCTGGTCCAGCTGTCATTCTAAGTTATGCAGTCTCTGGAATAGCTTGTGCTCTCTCTGGACTATGTTATGCTGAATTTGCTACACGTGTCCCATGTTCAGGTTCAACTTATTCCTATTCTTATATTGTAGTTGGTGAATTAGTTGCTTGGATTATTGGTTGGGATTTAACTTTAGAGGTAATTCAAAATCAAAATCAAAATCAAAATATATATCATTTCCAAAACTAACAATCTTTTATATATTTTAATATATTTAGTATATGATTGCAAGTGCAACCGTAGCAAGAGGATGGAGTGGATATTTAAATTCAATTATTGTGGCAGGTGGAGGATACCTACCACACCCATTTGCACCATTTGACATTGGAAATGGATTTTCAGTTGATATCATTGCCTTTTTTTCAGTTATCTTGTTGACTGTGATTGTTGCATTTGGTATGAAGGAATCGGCTCGTTTCAACAAGATCTTTGTAGTCATTAAAATAGCCATTGTATTATTTGTGATTGTTGCCGGCTCGGTCTATGCCGACACTAAAAATTGGGAGCCATTTGCTCCATACGGTGCCAACGGTGTCTTTAACGCCGCTGCCATCACTTTCTTTGCCTATCTTGGGTTTGACGGTGTGTGTAATGTGGCCGAAGAGGTCAAGAACCCACAACGCGATCTTCCCATTGGTATTTTGGGCTCACTCGGCATTTCAACGATACTGTACATGCTTGTGGCCGTCGTCTTGACGTTGATGGTACCCTACTCTGAGATGGATATCAGTGCACCGCTGTCGCAGGCGTTTAGCAGTAAAGGTTTGCAATGGGCATCGATTATAGTGAGTATTGGTGCGTTTGCGGGACTCACTACCGCTCAATTATCAGGTCTGTTGTCACAACCTCGTCTCTACTACTCGCTGAGTCGCGATGGATTGTTGCCCAAATGGATGTCACATATTCACCCACGTTTCAAGACACCATTCTACTCTACCATCTTTACAGGTGTCTGTGCAGCCATTATTGCCCTGTTTGTAGATATTAATATCCTAGCTGATATGGTGTCTATTGGCACACTACTCTCCTTCACACTAGTATCGACGTGTGTACTTATCATGCGGTATCCATCAATCGACCACAAGAGTCAGTCCAATGCAAAATGGATCGTCCGTGATTTCCCAGTTGCTCTCCAACGTCCTATGTATCTATGCATGTATATTGCTGTATTTGGACTAATCGCCGGGGCAGGTGTACAATACTCGCTCCACTATAGTGTCATTATCGTATTTGGTGTGTTGATGCTACTTTCAAGTGCCGTCCTCTTTTTCCTCGTACCTTCCAATATTCCAACAGGGTTCAAGTGTCCGTGGGTACCTTTGCTTCCCATCCTCTCGATTTGGGCCAACATGTATCTCATGATCTCGCTCAGTTGGGGTACTTGGATGCGTCTAGTTGTCTGGCTGTTTATCGGTCTACTCATCTATGTCTTTTACGGACAAAAGCGTAGTCATCTTGGAAAGGAGCAAGAACTCAACACCCTTGCCAACCGTAGCTCAGACAACCATGGTGACCTCTCTGCATCACTCCACCTCAAGGAAAAAGAAATGATGTCTGTTGGAACACCAACCACCAACAACAACAAACAAATCGATCAATATGTAAACGAAATACAAGATCGTTCGAATTCAACCAAACCACAACCAGAAGACGATGAACCAACCCAACAAGAAGAACCTAATATTAATAAATTGGATGATGAAAATGACCAATAAAATAATAATAAAATAATCTTTTAAAGATGTCACTTTTCTTTATATATATTTTACAAAAATACATTTATTTATTTCCATTTGGATCGATTATAAAATTAATATTAATTTCTTTTTTTTCCTTTTTTTTTTTTTTTTTTAGGTTTTTAGTTTTTTAGTTTTTTAGTTTTTTAATGGTATCCAAACGCCGTTTCATGGTGTCATTTTACAAAGATATTTTTAGTTTTTTAAAAATAGATTAATAAAGGTTTTGTTTGAAACAACCCTTCTTTTTTTTTTTTTAAAGATCATGCTAATAATAATTTATTTTTGTTGTGTTGGGAGGGAGAGGATATCAAGTCAACTCTATTATTATTGAATAACCCATTATTATTATCTAAATATTTAAAGATTAAATTAGTTTAAAATAGATTCTATTCAATAATAATAATAATAATTATTAGCACCCAATACAAGATTCAGATTCAGTTTAGTTTAAAGGATTGTTGGGTCACTATGAAACCCATCGGTATCATCATATCAAAATCACAATCAATGTGATTCATGGTCATCACACACACACAACCTTTTCGAAACAGATAGATAGGTATACCACCCCCACAATAGAGAGAAAGATTCTTTTTTGTGAAGATATCACCTGACCAACCAAACCAACAAACAAATAAACACCCCCGCATAAGATATTTTCATTCTTTTTCATTCTTTCTTGTTCCGCCTAATCAACAACTGCACAACCCTCCAACAAAAGACGGATTAACCACCTCACCTTCAACCAACGGTCGCATCTCATACATACTACATACTACTATACCAATCATTACATTACTACCTGTAGATACAGACAGACAGACAAACAGACAGACAAACAATTTCAATCTAATAACATAACCAACCAACTACAATTGAACAGCATCAGCAGACCAGATCAACACGACACTACCTACCCAAAGTAGATACTCAACTACAGATTCATAAAAACAAACACAACCAGAACTCAAAGAGAAAAGCAGAATAAGAAGAAGAATCAACCAAACCAATCAAATCAACACCCATCGTCATCATTGCCGCCATTGTCATCGTTCTAGAATAATTATAATAGTTATATAATAATAATAATAATAATAATATAAATATAGACACTTTCACATCCTTCACGAAATAAGAAAAGAAGACAGACAAACGACAGACAAACGAGGATAATCTCATCACAATCATCAATAATTTCAATCCAATTGTAAACAAGTTTATAATCCAAATTGATTGGATAGTTTAATAGATACAGACAGACAGTGGATCTTTGTTTGGTTTAAGACAAAGAAACCTACCTCGTCGCGAGTAAACCTCAAACGCGAACGAAAGATACTTTTGTATCTTTTTTTTGTTTGCTTTGGTGGTCATTCAAAGCCAAAGTCGCGCGGTATATTAATATCTCAAGGGTCATCGTCACCGTCACCAAATCCGACAACAACCAATCAAGTTCACTCAAAAGGCTCTCTTTGGACAACAACCCAACCAATCGCGACCTTTTCATTTTTTTGTTTGTGCGCCTTTTCCGTCACAAGGGCATATTCCTCTTTCTTGAAACAGTAACTATTTGAGACAGACAGACAGAAGAGAAGTTGGAAACTAAATAGTTTGTTCACCTCACCTCACTTTGCCCGCCCCCACATCATCTCTAAAGGATCCTCCTTTGATCACTTGTATTGTTGTCCTTTCCTTTCATTCCATCGTTTTATTTTTTTATTACATACATACATACATACATATAATAACATCAAATAGAGGAGATAAAACACAACAACAACATATATATATATTTATAAAACAAAAACAACAAAAATAATAATAATAATAACAAAATGAAAGAAGGAGTTATATTTTGGCCAATAGAGTTGCCATTTTTTGTCATTATGTTACCAGTGTACATATATCAAGCCTATCTAACATATAAAGAGTACAAAAAGGAAATACCAGCCTTCAATCCTATTTTTAAACCAAAACCTGTTGCATTCTGTGTATTTGCAAGTTTAGTAATTGGAACCATTTGTAAGTAGTACAAGTACAAACTCAACAAAGAGAGATTATCTGAATGAAGGAGAGAGAGACACACAAAAAGAAAGAACAGAAACCTCACCAACAAACATCCAAATCCAACAAACAAAAAATATCCAGTTCACGAATAGATCTGACATGAGGCTGCATGCATGACGATGACCCGATCAGAATCTAAAAAAAAAAAAAAGATATTTTTTTTTTTCGTTTTGATTTATCATTAATTTTTATTCTTTTTATTCTCTTTTATTCTCTATCTATTTAATATTTAATTTATTCAATATTTTATAGTTAGAATAGTAACATGTGCATTAGTAGTTTATTATAATGAAGCTGAACCATATTCATATCCAATTATGCATACAGTATTTATGTTTTGTATTACTTGTTATATAATGGAATGGTATTTTATCGTCTTTTTCTGGATTAGTATAGTCGTTGGCTTTTTGACTAATCGTAATGTACTGGATATGCAAATATTGGCACGTGTCGAAATATGGCTGTGGTCGTCGATTGGCATCCTATGGCTATACCACTTTATGTTGGCTGCATTCGATTTCCATGGCCGACATTTAATCAACGTCGATGATTTTTGGCGTATTGGATTCAATGTATTTGTAACTGAAATGTTGGGTCTATTCATTTATTATTCAACTTTTCTATTACGTAAATTCCGTTCAACTGCTCATGATGATTATATATATAAAAAGGTAAACAAAAGAGAGAGAGAGAAAGAGAGAGAAGAAAAAGAAAGTAAAGAAATATTATTATTATTATTTATTAATTAAATTTTTTTTTTCTCTTTTGTTTAGTTGATTTGGTTTTTAGTTGTATTTGCAAATGTAGTCATTGGATCAATAATATTAAATTTCTTTTATGTTTTTTATGCAAGGGGTAGAGGGTATTGGCAGTATGGATCCAATCTCTTGTTCTTTGTGTGCGAGTTTGGGCAGGGTCTGGCAGTATACCTATTGCTCGGAAAGGGATGGTTGGCTGAGCGATTGAGCAAGTTGATCGGTATCCCAAGATTCAAAAATTCACAAGACAAGTTGGTCGATGCCAACAAGACGCCATCTGATCCCAAACAACGTATCATGGGACTAGACTATTTCTCAAACAGTACACATGTACCTAGTAACAAAGCCGGCGGTGGTGGTGCAACAAACATCACAGTCTCTTCTTCTTTTAGTCCAGAATACTATAATTCACATATAACTCCTCAAAATAGTTCACTTGATGAAGAATCAAATATTGCTTCTACTCCTCCACCACAACCAAAAAATAGAAATAATAATGGTGGAGGTGTTGAATTGGAAAATACAAACAAAAAAGAACAAAAAGAAGAGAAATTGGTTGATATTAGTAGTGATGAAAATAATACACCAAAATTAAATAGTAGCAACAACAATATTAATACAACTAATCATAATCATGATAACTTGTTAGATTTAAAGGAAGGATCAAAACATAATAATAATAATAATAATAATATTCCAGAAATAATTTCCCTCACCACCAACACCACCAATATGACATCCAATGATATATCTTTAGGAAAACAAGGAGATGATCAACATTATGATCATCAATCTAATTCACCTTCTCCTGGATGTCCAAATGTATAGAATGAACCAACAATAATAATAATAATAATAAACAATCAATATTATCTTGATTTTGATTGCAACCCCAACCCAACATATTTCTTTTCTTTTTACATATGGTACATTCTTATTTTATTGTATTTGTAATAATACATTAGCTATTCTATTCTATTCTAGTTTCATTACAGGTTCACCTGAAACCATACCAATAGATAGTTTCTTTTTTGGTCCAACCATTCCAATTTCAACTTGGAGTGTGGCCCATTTATTGTTATCTGTCGACGATACTTCGTTAGACGACAACGAGTATAAAGGAGTTGTAATTGATACAGTTATAATCTTTTCTTGTACGGTATCAAAGTTTACCAATGTTTGATAGATTGGGTCACTACGAGATCTCCCAAACCCACTTTTCTTATTCTCGTCTGCCAAGTGTACAAATAGAGTACATTCATCACCCATTCCATAGTTTGTTTTAATCACTACATCAAATGTAGCCTTTATATTCTTACCGTCCCAACTAGTCACTCTTAAACTATTCTCAACTATATTTGTTATTCTTTCTTTATAGAATAGTTTCGTCATATTGATATGATGATAGATATCTATATATCTACTATATATATATATATATCTATGTATTTGTATTTGAAGTACTTAATATTAAGATCAAGATTAAAAAATAATAATTTATTTTTAATTTTTTCTCAAAGTTCGTGTTTTTCGGTTCATTGCTCAAAGTACTTACTTCTTATTTGATTGAAGCGCAAGACGACAGATATAATAGATAATACAACCTTTTGTGTGTGTTTTCTTTTAATTTTCTCTTCTTTTCTCTCTCTCGTACCTCTAGAGACATTACAATCCCTAATTATATATATATATAGATAAATATAGAAGAGTAGAAGAAGAAGAAGAAGAAGATGAGGAATATAACTAGATTAGTAGAGTTGGGAGACCAATTACCAATCTCTGAAATCACTCATTTTACAGTAGATAATGTCAACTCTATCATTTACTTGATCACTAAATCAAACCTTTTCGTTGCCTATAATCCAACTTCTAAAAAGGTAATACATATAATAAATAATAAACAGTCATATGACAATAACAACAAACACTTATACCTTGTACTTTTTATTTTAGGTACAAATACAAATAGAATTAAATGGACAAGATATATTGAGTGAAGGAGCAGAGATTGTATCAATGCAATTCATTCCAGATTGCGAGTCTGTATGTGTAGCTAGTTCAAAGGGAGATATATTAATGTACAATGTAGTGACGAGTCAATTGGAATGTGTTGGTATCATTGGGTCGGGTATTGTGGCAATGTCGTGGAGTCCCGACTATGAACTACTCATCTTGGCAACTGAATCAAATACACTTGTGCAAATGACAAAGGATTGGGATATTTTGAACGAGGTGGCAATCGACTCGTTATTGCCAGGCAACAAATTAACTGCCAATATCATCACCAACTCTAATCTACCACAAGCACAATACAGTAAAGCTCAATTTGCACAATCAACATTGGATAAACCAAACAACAACAATGAAAAGACACAGTCGATCAGTTTTACACCAAAGATTAGTTGGAGAGGTGATGGACAATACTTTGTATGTAGTGCATACGATGAAAAGAGCGGACGTGTAATGCTAAAGGTATGGGAACGTTCGTTGACAATTAGCTCGCTTAGTGAACCCACGATTGTTGGGTTGGAGTGTCCGTTGAGTTGGCGTCCATCGGGATCGTTGATTGCGGTGCCATTGCGTTTGGAGCATCGTCTCGAACTCGCATTCTTTGAGCGTAACGGACTCAAGCACGGAGAGTTTGTCGTGCGTGACAAGGATGCCTTGATAGAGGATATACAGTGGTCGAGCGACTCGGAGGTGTTGGCGCTGCAAATGTTGGTCGACGGCGGTGCGTGTTCAGTTGTCCAGCTCTGGCACCGTTCCAACTATCACTGGTTCCTCAAGCAAGAGTTACAGTGTCATAGCGCCGACGACCGATTTGTCGCCATGGCATGGGACAATGGCACGACACAGACGTTGCGAACTGTCTCGCGAAACGGTGTCTATCAACAATACACCTTTTGCTGGGACTATGACGTATCCAAGGGTTCGTCAGCTGCCAACCCATCGTTGGTTGTGATGGTCGATGGCAATACACTCAAAGTTACCCCCTTTAGACGTTTGGTCGTACCACCACCCCTCAGCGCCTACCAGATTGGTTTGCCAGCTGCTTGCAGCGCCTTTGCATTTAGTCATGATTTCAGTATCGCTGTCTTGACCACCGACAATACCATGGCCATCTACACACCGGCTACCCTCCCCCCTATCCCCGCTGCCGGCGTCTCGCAACCCCTCCCCAACTATTCCGTCGCACCAAAGTTGGTCGCATCAATCAAAGTCCCCGCATCGACACTCCAACTCTGTCATCTAAGACATCTCACATGGGTACCTGAAACCAACACACTCGTAGCAGTCGACAGTCATAGTAAACTTGGTAGCGATCAAATTGTAGAGATTAACTTTTCAATCAACGAGCAAGTTTTGGTACTCGACCGCATTCATCGTACTACAACAAACTCTCATATTTTACGTCTAGTATCATACCATTATGACGGTGCACAAGCTACTCTACCAGCTGACGAGGAGGAGCATCAGTTGCATCCACTCGGTACCAAAGACAAGGTCATCTTTGAAACGGTCGATGGCAGTGTCTACGACTACCACCTCATCAACATGGGTGCTGTCGCAGCCATCAACCCATTCACAATCGACCACGCTGCCTTTAAATTTTCAACTCCATGTGTCTGGATATCATCGGCAATTGTTGGTGGCGAGGAGAGTATCATTGGTTTGAACGATCGTAACCGTCTCTACATCAACAACACGCTTGTAGCACCCGACTGCAACAACTTTACTCTTCACAACAAGTTTATCCTCTTTACCACCATCTCTCATCTCTTGCGATCCGTCCCTCTGTCGTTGGCTGCCAGTGCCACCACTCCAGTCATTACTGCCACCCATCCACTCACCGGCAAGACATCGACTGCCTATGACGACTCTGTTCGTGAGGTTGAGCGTGGAGCGCGTGTCGTCTGCGCCGTCCCCCACGACACTCGTGTCATTCTCCAAATGCCTCGTGGTAATTTAGAAGCCATTGCACCACGTTCACTCACACTCTCAACTATTCGTGAAATGCTAGATGCCCACCAATACGGCAAGGCATTTGCTACAATGCGTCGTAACCGTATCGATATGAACTTTATCTATGATCACAACCCTCAAGATTTCCTCAAACACATTGATATCTTTATTGATCAAGTTCCACAAATCGATTTCCTCAATCTTTTTATCACCACTTTGCGTGAAGACGACACCACCAAGACACTCTTTGTTGATTTGGAAAAACCATCATCTGCACCACAAAAGACAGTCACTGGTACCACTACAGCCAACAAGGAATCAAAGGTCAATATTATCTGTGACCGTTTGAGAGAAGAACTCATTAAAAAGGATTCAATCAAATTTAATTTACCAATCCTTACAACCTATGTCAAGAAATCACCACCAGAATATGATCAAGTATTGAGAAAGGTACAATCATTGCGTGGAGAAGAGATTACAGAACATGGTGAAACCATCGTCAACCGTCTTGCCGAGGAATCACTCGACTATATCGTCTTTTTGGTCGATGTCAACAAGTTGTACGACGTTGCTTTGGGCACATACGACTTTGAATTGGTCATTATGGTTGCACAAAAATCACAAAAGGATCCAAAAGAGTATATGGCATTCCTCACTCAACTCCAATCGATGGAACCAAACTACCAGAAATACGCAATCGACTGTCACCTCGAGCGTTGGTCACTTGCACTCCAACATCTTGCTGCCACTGGTCCAGAACACTTTGATCAGTGTCTAGAGTTGATTGGCAACCACCAACTCTACCAAGAGGGTGTACGTCTCTTTGCAGGCAAGCCCGACCAACTCAAACGCATCCAAGACGCATTTGGAGATTATTTGGTCAGCACCAACAAGAATGTCGAAGCTGCCTATGTATACAATGCCGCCGGACAAGATAAAAAGGCATTGCAAGCATTCAAGGAAGGTGGTGTCTTTAACATGGCTGTTTTGGTCGCCAAACGACTCGGACTCTCTGCTCTAGACCTCGCTCAAATGTCCAATGAAATGGCCGATTTCAAGAGACGTGCTTCATTCTATCAAGAAGCATCTGCCATCTATGCATCGGCGCATTGCAATCACGACTATGAAAATGCAATCAATACTCTTTGTGAGGGTGGTTTTTGGACAGATGCCTATGCATTGGCTGTTGAATCCAACCATGTCGCATTGCTAGACTCTAGCATTCTCATACAACTACAAACCGCTGCAGAGACCACCGAAGAGGAACTCCAAGAATCACTTGACACTTACAAGAAGCAGTTTGTACGTTTGGGTATTGTCCGTACCACCAAGCTCAACCACGTTCCACTCCGTTTACCAGGCGGTGGAGGTAGTGGTATGGGTGACGACACCACCTCTATGATGTCGGGTATGTCTGGCATGTTTAGTGAGCATTCTGGTATGTCTGGTATGTCGGGCATGTCGGCCAACACTGCTGTCACCACCTCTTCCTACCGTTCCACCTACTCTTCGGCAACCGGCACCTTTTCACAGGCCACCAGAGTCAGAAACAAGCCTAAAAAGGAAGGTCGTAAAAAGATCAACAAGATTCGTGTCAAGGGCAAAGAGGGTAGTATCTATGAAGAAGAGTTCTTGGTTGACGCTATGAAAAAGACCATCCCCACAGCAAGCAAGCAAGAACTTATCAACCAACTCCTTAGAGGTTTAGTACTTTTCAATATGACCTCTGAAGCTCAACATATAGAGAAATTGTTTGGTGATTTAATCATTGTCATTGACGAATCTCTCAACCTCCTTTCTCAATCGGCCACTGCCATTCATCCAGACAATGTCAAAGAAGAACAAAGAATCCAAGATATCGAATACCAACATCAACAAAGACTTTCAAATCCACTTCTCAATGAATTACATCATCAACATCAACAACAATCAAATCAACAACAACATACTTTGGAAAAATCAACGATTCACAAAATCACAATCACTAGAGATAATATTAATTGGGCTCTTGGTATTTATTAAAAAAAAAAATTAATAATAAATAGATTTTAATTTGTAAAGAATTTTGATTTAGAGGTGTCTAACCAAAACCACTACTCCAATAAAACTATTGAAAAGATATTTAAGTTTGTAGACTTTTGACCTACTTTTAAATTAAATTTTTTTAATTGGAGACTGGTCAGAAAAATTTTTAGGAATATTTTTTTCATGGCTTGGAAGATTTAGGTATTTTATAGATGAGGTTTTAATGGATTTGAATGGCGAATGGATAAATGTAGCCACATGTGTAGTACACATAGATACTAGGCGAAAAAAAAATACTCGTGGTGGAAAACAATAAAAAGTTGAGGCCCCATCGAGGTTCGAACTCGAGACCCCTTCCTTACTAGGGAAGTACAATAACCACTATGCTATGGGGCCATACTTTTTTGATGAAAAAAAATCATCATTTCCCCTATTTATACCCGAATTTTCGACTTCAGCGGTGATGTAGAGGCCAAAGATTTAAACTTTGTAACTTCTGAGTACTACTCTTCCCCATAGGATAGAACTGGAAAAGAATTACTTTAAAAAAAACGAATTTTTTTTCATAGCATTCCAACCTTTTGCGATCTGACAAAAGAACAATGGATCGTAACTCACAGAACCGTTCAGCCCCCTCGATTCAACAAAGAAGCGTTTCCCGTAGAATTGATGAACAACTAGAATTAATAGCCCCACCAAGACTTGCCATTTTTGCTGGTCACCTTTTTAAAAAGTTTACAAAAAATATAACTTTGTATCTTTTGAGTCCTACTCTTCTCGATCTGAGATGGTTTGTAAAAGAAACAACCTTTAAGGTTTGGTTAAAGATACTGGCAAGTGTTTGAACAAAAGTTGTTTGTGAGAACTGATATCCATTGTTTGAAGTTGAAATGACCAACGATTGATTGTAATTTGGTTGTAAACCAGTAATATAATAAGAGCGGGTTGTTGGATAATAATCATAATAATACCAGCTGTTGTTGGTCCCTGTCCAGTTGTAATTTAATTGACCGTTGATCATGGCATCGACAAAGAGTCTGAATCTTGAGTCACCTCCAACAATATTGTATGTCAACGATAGAGATGTTGTTCTGGCAACCAATCTTGGAAATTCAATTTTGGTGACTGGTTGCGTAGAAAGAGTGGTAATCATTTAGGACTTTGAGCGACGCTTCGAAAAACTTAATTATTTTCGATTATTTTTATTTTTTTTCGAGCAAAATACCCTTGTTAGGAGTTTTCACCTACTTGTATTTGATTTTATTCTTTATATTTTTTTTCGAGCAAAATTTGCCACATGAGGAAAGAGATGATGTTTTTTTTTTTTTTTTCCACAATTGACATATTATATCATAGAATGTAGAAATATGATCGATTGTCAAAAAATCAAGTAGTTTTAGATTCATTTCAACCCCTAAATGATTAAAACCCCATTTTGCTCTCACTACGGTAAAGAGTTACATTTTGAGTAACCTCTGCAGGTGAGTAATTTCTGGTAACAGCATACACTGAAATGGTAATTGTCGATCCAGCTACCAGACCACCAATAGTACAATATGGACCAACCTCAGCATTTGACTAGTTTTCAACTCCATTCACCTTTACAACATACTTTACTTCAGATAAATAATCACCACGAACTCCATATACAATTTCAATAGAGTCATGCAATAAACTAGTAACATTGAAAGATGTTACTCTTGGTACTATATAATTATTAAAAAGATAAAAGAATGATCAATAATAAGAATGGATATGTATGGTTTGGTTGGTTTAGTTGTTTGATTAATTGATTGATAGTTACAAATAGGAAATGTAATTCCACGAATAAATACCGGAATGTTGAAACCAGGTGGAGCATAGAAATTAGGTGATATATAAAGTCTGACATGATGCCCGATGTTGTTGGGAAAAGTGAGGACGCAACCAATGATGGAGGTCGAACAGTTTGAAGTTAGAGGAATTTGTGCACCAATTCCATCGGTTTGGTAACTCATTGAATAACCTGCCGAATAGGTCAAATAGCCAGACCAACTAGTAGAAATGTCCATGATCTTGAAGATTCTGTCAAAAGGATTTACAACATGATGCCAAATGATCAAGTATAATGAGAGTCGAGGGACAACCGACTAGTATGCAATATTATCGGGTACAGGGCCAGCTGGAAAATCTACACCACGAAACTGGAGTCAATGTGGGGGAATAAATGGAAGGATATCCATAACATTCCTTAAAAACGTCATAACTTGAAGACAATCCTCCACCTGTCGGCCTTGATAAAAGAAATGTAACGATCGAAAGCTTCAGATCTTGTAATCAATGTTCTACCAGCATTTCTAGTATCTGAACAATTACTATAATATATAAATAGAAATAAATAAATAAATAGAAATAAATAAATAAATAGAAATAAATAAATCGACAGACAGATAGATAGATAGATAGAGATAGTAGTAGTAGAGTAGTAGTAGTAGTAGTAGTAGTAGGGATACATACGAAGAGTTGATATGTTTTTCATAGAAAAAGTACCCTTCTACTGGTAGTAAAGGGAGTTCTGATACTTGGAATGATAGATAGCGTTGTCCCAAATCATTATCAGTGTTTATAAACGCACATCTACCAATAAGGTTATTCTTTGTAGTAGTGACTTGTCTTGGGGCACAATCCTCATTTTTAAACGATTGGATGGATGCCCTGCCAGTTGTTTGATTGTAATTATACATATACGATCTGGGAGAACTACCACCCATATTGGCGACGCCACCAATATAACATTGCCCAATGACCATTGAGAAAGCGCTTGTTGGAGCTCCCGTGCAATTTGGATTGTCATATGAAACAGCGATGAGATAAGTTGCATTGATTTGTTGTAATGATGATGATGATACAAATAAGAGTAATAGTACCGATACTGCTACTGATCGTAGAGTAAAACTAAATAGAACCATAATGAATGAATTATAGTTTGTTGTTGTTGTTGATACAAATAAAGTGTAGAGATACAATAGATAACAAGATGATGATGTTTATGAAAACAAACTAACTAATACATAGTTTGATGATCCATCATTATATCATCATATCATATCATAGTATTGATAGACAGCGAAACAAATAATATATGAATATATGAAACGAAATAATGAATTTGAAATGAAGTCACCTCAACATCACTTCACTCAAGTTCTTTGTAGATTTTTCAACCAGCAAATGATATCATTTACGGCAACCTGGCTCTATCTATCTGACTCTCTATCCAGTATCGGTACATTAATAGGGTAAATAATAGTCATCCTAACTTGGAAACTAGCGATACGAGAAACTCTAACCCTTGACTTGGAAATGTATATGTAATTGATCGAGACAATAGATAATGATGGTTGAAGATGGATGAACTAGATTATCAAGGGCAGTTGTACATTTTTTGAGTCAGATTACTATTGATGAGATGGAATGATGGTTGGATAGTGATCATTGATTTAACAGTTGACCGAAATCGGTCATCTGTTTTATCACTTTTTTTAAAACTGACCGATTTCCCTTTGGATAATTATAATTATTAATTTGTCAGACTTTGAAAGATGATATTTAGAATAGAGTAAAATACGATAGTATTATTTGATTATAGTATTATTATATTAATAAGGGAGGGGAGGGGTTTTTAAAAATTGTTTTATTATTATTATTATATTTTATATTGTTTTTCAATAATTATTCATCATTATCACTTTCTTCTAATTCTTCAACTTCTTGTCTTGACATGTTTCTAAATCGAGATTGAAGAGATTGATATAAACCATCAGCAACTACAGTAACATCTCTAGTATCTGCTGGTTTTGATTCTAGAGTAGTAGAGTCACCACTGCTGCCGTTGTTATTAGTGTCGGGTGAAGAGATGGATACTGGTGAATTGGGTATATCTTCGGCTGCAGCAGCGTTGGCAGGCTTTCTTGGACGAGCAGAGATAAAGCTACCACTCTTTTGACCGGCATAGGGAGTAAGTTCTGGTGCAGAGGTTGGAGCATGTCCACTGGTGATTTGTTGACGCAACTCTTCGTATTGACGTTTGTAATCTTCTAGTTGGGTGGTGAGGAGTTCTTCACGTTTCTTGAATTGTGTGACTGCGTTGTTGTAGGCTGCTTCGGCAGTCTTGCGTTGACTCTCTGTATCGGACATTTGCTTTTGGTAACGAGCGGTTGATGCCAATGACTTTTGCTTCTCTTGGTCCAAGTCTTGCTTGGTAGCCTTTTCTTCTTGTGTCGACTTTTTGAAACGTTCGGCTTCCTTGTCCTTGATGTCTTTGTACATCTTGGCTTCGCCGGTGGCGTTGACAAGACGACGTTCCATGTCGGCCATGGTCTCACGCGACCACTCGAGGTCTTTTTGGAGGTCGGCAATCTCGTCCAACTTGATTTGCACCTGTTGGCGGAGCACGTCACGTTCACGTTCCAAATCACCAAATTGACGCTCGACCTTTTTAGCACTCTTTTGAAGCTCCTCCATCTTGAGGACAGCCTTTTCAGCTTGGGCGACGGCATCTTGCTTCTCAAAGGTGGCCTTTTGCACAGACAATGCCATCATCTCGCGTTCGCGGTTCATTGATGAAATGTCGTCTTGGAGTTGGGTGACCAAGAGTGCTTGGCTGGCTTGGAGTTGGGTGACGACTTCTTCTTGCGACACCTTTTCGGTGGTGATGCGCTCGATCATGAGACGGGCCTCGTCCTTGATGGCGACCTTTTCCTTTTCCAGCGTGGCGATCATCGACGACAACTGGATCTCGGTGCTCTCGCTGGCTTGACGCAACTGGAGTAACTTGGATTGGAGGGTGGCAATCTCGGCGAGTGCTTCGCTGTGTTGTTGGTGGAGGTCTTCCTTTTCAGCCTGGCACAAATGGAGTGTCGACGAGAGATCGTCGTTGGAAATACGGGCTTGTTGGAGTTGCTGAGTCGTCTCGTCGAGACGTGCCTTGATACCACGCAACTGCGAGTTGAGAGTCTCAATCTCGGCGTTACTGGCCAACAACTTGGACTCGTAGATGGTGTTTTGTTCTTGTGTGTTTTCGCGTTCCTCTTCAAGTGTGCGTTGCAACTTTCTAATCTCTTCACGCAATCTCTCAATCTCTGCTTGTTGTTGTTGTGACAAGTCGTTGCCCTCTCCAACATCCTTGTTCAGACGTCTGATTTGTGCTTGGAACTCGGAGCATTTCTCCTCGAGGTCGTTGATGATGGCGCGGGCTGTGAATGGGTCGAGTTGGCCCGGACTGACTTGAGCCCATCCATGCATGGGAATGACAGTGTGACGATGGACATAGGGTGCAATCAAATCGGTAAATACAATCTTGAGATCCCACTTTTTAAACTTGTATCCAAGTCCATAATGCTTAAAACAGGCTCCACTAAACAATACAAATTCTACCAATGGATTTTCATCAATTGTCATCACTGAAAATCTATCATGTCCTTCAACTCTATATTTTTTCATAATATTTTGAATTCCCTAAAGAAGAAAATTAAAAGATTAATAACTAATATATATATATATACATAATTGATTGTATCAACATACTTGTTTAATAGTATGATTGGCATCAACTTTGACAACATGTTTCTTTAATCCATTGAATTCTTCAAGTGGTGGTAATTCAAATACAACAATAAATTCTGTTCCAATTGATTCAATTGGTTCATCTAAATTAAATATTATAATATTAATAATCAATCCAAATATATTTATATTTATATATTGTTTTTTTTGTTTTTTTATAAAACTTACATTTCAAAGGTGATTTTGACAAGATATCTTCTTTTAGAATTAATCTTAATTCCCAAGATTCAAATAAACTACCAAGACCATAGGTATAGAGATGTTCATTATCATTCATGATGAAACCTTGTAATGATCCAACCCAAAATCTCTTTGGATCTGGGATTTGTTGTTTCTTGCATATGAGTGAGATGGTTTGTGCGATGGTGAACTTTTTGTTCAATTTGTATGATTTCTTCTTTACATCTCCAAATTCTGGTAATTGTGGTAAATGGAATGTTACGATATTTGGTGGTGATTCAGCTGAAAAAAAAATAGATAAGAAATTAGATATTAGTATTAGAGTAGAGAGTAAAAAAAATGACGTTGTGAAAACGAAAAAAAAAAAAAAAAAGATATTTTAAAAGAGAAAGGTGAATGGGGGAGGTGATCGTCCTCCCCATTGCTACTGCTCTCGCTCTCTGAAAATGTGATAACAATGCTGTAATTTGCATTGTGGTGATAATTATATTTGACTGTGTTGTTGTAACCTACTTTTACTTAATTGTTCTTTAAATTGATACAAGATTGCAAAGAGTGATGGTTGACCTTCCCAAATCTCCTTTTCTGATAACTTTTGTTCTGCTAATAATCTAAATAATGAGGGAATCTTTTGTTTGTTTGCCTGTATAGTTTTATAGATATAGATATATAGATAGAGGATTGAATAAATGATTAGATATTCGAAAAAAAGGGGGGGGGGGAAAGGTGTGTTGTGATATTTCTGATGACTTACAGCAATTTGATCCAATTGTTCAGCACTGGCACTATTTGCAACGGAACCAATCTTTATACCGGTACGTGCTACTGGGTTGATTGCTTGAGAGGAGACTGGTGCCAAGTTGGGGGATGATCCTCCCTCTCCTTCTTTTTTCTTTTTTGATCCAAATACCATTGTTGTTGAGTTATATTTCTTCTTTTCTTCTATTATATATTATATATATATATATGATTGTTTGTTTTTTTTGTTGTATAATACAGGGGAGTAGACAAGTAAAAGTATGTTGTTTTGTGATGTAACTTGACTAGTTGTTAAACTAAGTATGATGATTAAAATAAATAAATAAATATGTTTGTTTGATTCTAAATAATGTGTGTTGTGGTGATTATCAATCCATCAAATCAAACGTCGCTTCGATTATAATAATAGATAAATATAATTGATGTTGTGTATTATAAATAAATAAATAAAATATAGAGACATGTCACGCACCAACTAACGGCACTGTAAAGGTGTGGCATGCGAAAAAAGAGAAAAAAAGCCTTCGAACGCAACTCATTTTCAAATAATTCCGCTGGTGATATCTTTCTTTTCAATGATTTTTGTCTCATTGATATTTTTCGTCATGAGGAAACGGGCACCCCAAAAAAACATTCTTTGCCTCATCCCCCTTTCTTTTGAACAAGCGATATACCGTAATAGAACAATGGTGGTATATTTGTACTTTTCATCATTGATCTCTTGATTGAAATATATCTCCGAATAGGTCTCAAAGGGTTTGTGGGGGTTACGAAACCAAACAACCGATGAAATGACGTTGTCCTAATTCCGATGCGTGCGCGATTCCATTTGACCAATGTTTTAAAAATAAACCAACAATGCTTACTTTACTTGTTGTTGTTACAAAGAGATAAAATAGAGTTTGAGAGATTGTATTGATGGTTGTTGTAATCTTTTTTGCAATAATCAAGATTTTATCACGTTGAAGATATGAATAATGTGTGTACCTGGTTGTTGATCAAAAATAAATGAAGATGAAAAAACACAATCGAGTGACATTTGATAGAAAATATCTTTTTTTCAATATGTTCTGTTTTTTTTATATTTTTTTCCTCGTTGCAGAATGAGACATGATTGTATGTTTGTTCAATCTTAGACTATAATCATTACTTATTTATTTATTTATTAAAATGGTTCTTTCAGGTGCAGGTTCAGGATCAGTCTTATCAGTATCATTGAGTGGTGGAACAAGAAAACCAATCGGTTCACAACCTATTTCTCAAAGACCATTTTCCAGACCTCCATCATCATCACTTCCAACATCTAATCGTAAGTAAACTTTAATAATCAATAATGTCATATTTAAAAACATTCTAACATTAAACTTGTAACCAATTAGAATTCACATTTTAACCAACAATGGCATATTCGTAACAAAACAAAACAAAAACATCTAAATCAATTAAATAAAAAAAATTAGTAAATCTAGATCAATCATTTCAACCAAACCAAACCTAATTACTTGCTTGTTTTGTTTTGTTTTGTTTTAAATTATTTTATTTTAAAAATGACATGTATTATTATTATATATTTTTGTTTTCATTTCCTTTCCTTTTCTTTTTTTAATCTGATCCAGTATCCATCTTTTCATCATGAATAGATTGATCTTCCTCGAGAATAGTGTTAAAGGTAGTGTTGAGTTTTTGATTTTGACGGATGGTGGTACGGACAAACTCTTCAAACTTGACGATAGACTCTGAGGATGGGATACGGTGGATAGAGGCGATGGCACGGAGGGCACTACGGATGCACTCTTCGTTACGCTCGACTTGTTGCTTGACGGTTTGGTCGGCAACCTTGGCCAAGAGGGTAGTCTTGAATGGGTCGACCAAGGAGGAGAGACCTTCGAGGAGGGCTTGTCCACTGACCATGGAGAGACGGACAATGAGGAGATGACAGAGCAACTTGATGTCGTGTTGGGTGTCCTTGAGACCGGCGGCAATCGACTCGATGAATGGAGCCATGTCAATCTTGTCGCCAGAGGTATCGAGCAACGTGTACATACACTCGAAAGCAGTCTTTCTAATTTCAATACCGTCATCAACTTTGTGCTTGAAGGGTCCGAGATCAACCTCACGGATGAGTTCGGGCTTGATACGACAGTTGTTGTAGAGGATGGGCAAGTAGACGGGGAGGTTACCACGGATGAGTGCAGGACGGTTGTGCGAGATGTAGTTGAGTGTGAGGAGGGCGGCACGCTTGACAACGAGGTCTGGGTTGTTGAGCAAAGCGAGGAAACGGGTGACAATGGGCTCCAAATAGTCGGTGGCCAGTCCATTCTTGGACTCGAGGATGGCAAACTTGATCGAGGTGACGACGGTGGCTTCGGCAAATGGTGAGTTGGTGCCAATCTTGGCTTCGAGTTGTGGGATGATGTTCTTGGGGTCGACCATGGCCAACTTACCAAGACACTCTGCAACCAAGTTACGAGTACCTTCTTCTTCATTGGTACTGTTTTCAAAGAGCAATGGGAGAATAGTTGGCAAGAATGGAAGGATTTGGGCAATAGTGCCGGCAGCTGTAAGCTTGACAATCAACTCTTTGAGTGAATGTAACAACAAATATTGCTTCTTTGGTTGCGATCTGATATTGTCCAAGATGAATGGGACATAGGTGGCAAGGGCAGCAACGGCAATGTTTCCGAGTGACAAGGCAGCAACTTGCTTGACTTCTTCATTGCTGGCGTCAAATGTCTTGAAAATGTCGTTTTGAATGGTCGAGCTGACAGACGACAAGTTGGTACGACGACCAATCTCACCAATAGTGGTGAGTGAGAGGAGAACGAGCGAGTCATCATTGGAGGAAAGGTTCTTGATGAGCTTCTCGACGGTTGGCTTGATTTGGTCGCCCGAGGCAATGGTAATGACGGCAATACACTGTGAAATGGCAGCAATTGATTGACGGGTGGCTGGCTGCTTGATTTGCGAGGCAGCATCAAAGAGAGCGGCCAAAAGATCGCCAAATGTGACACCGGCTTCCTTCTTTGGTACAACGTCGGCAAGCAGTTGTAACAATGATTCCAATGCAACTCCTTGTAATACAGAGCTCTTTAACAATGCCAAAATTGATGGTAACAGTTTCTCCTTGAATAATTTAATGCTACTAGCATGTGTTGCCAATAATTGTTTATAAAATACAAATGATAAATTGGTTAATTGTAAATCACTTTCACTATAAAAAATAAAAAAGAAAAGAAAAAAGTTAATAAAAGATTCTAGTTTGTTTTTTCTATTTTTGTTTACCTAATATTTGAAGAAAGTTCAGTTAAAATAGAAGGTAATTGAGATGCAGTGATAGAATTTGGAATATGAGTGGCAATGTCGACAAAAGTTTGGATGGTATTTTGTTTGAGTGATCTGTTGTTCTTTCTGAGGAAAGTGGTCAAGAGGTCGATAGTCTTGGAGATGACCGAAGAGAGATCGATTTGGGTAGATGACGAGGTGATAATCTTGGAGATGGCCTTGAGAGCAACAACACGGGTGATTTCATTCTCGAGACGATCCAAAAAGAGAATCGAGAGACATGGCTGCAATTGTTGGGCAGAGAGAACGTCGCCAAACACCGAGATGATGATACCCATACAAGAGATGGCAGATTCCTTAACCTCTTGATCAATGTCTTGAGCCTTGAGTTGTTGGAGTGTACCTTCAAAGATTTCGTTGACAATGGACAAGTCTGGCTTGGCTTGCTTGTCGGCGGCACGGAGAACAGTAACAAACTCTTGACATACACGAAGAGCCTCTGACGAGACACGGTAGTAAGACTCTCTTACGCACTTGACAATGTGTACCGAGAGTACCTTGATGTGTGGTTGGAATCCGTCGGCTTGTTGAGTGGCAAGGAGCACACGCAAAAAGGAGAGGGCTTCAATCTTGAGGTTCGAATTGTTGGACTTTTCAACCAAGGCGCTGCCAATGGCCTTGACAAAGATGGTAATCTCGGCGGCTGAAAGTTGTGGCTTCAACAACTCCATAGTCACCTTGAGCAATTGGAAGGCTCCTACTCTAGTCTTGATCGACTTGTCATTCAATGGCTTCTTGATCGATGCAATCATCTTTGGTACTTGTTGATGTAATACACCAATACTCTTCAAATCAACATTCTTTTTGTTTGTTTGTTTTAACAATAATACATATGTAGTAAAGATTTCCAACTATAAAAATAGAAAGTGATTGATAAATTAATATTTTCCTTTTTTTTCTTTTTTCTTTTTTTTACATACTCTGACATTTTCTTCACGTTCTCTAAATCTACCAATTAAAGTTGGTGCAACAGTTTCTGAAAGAGATAATAAAATTTCTGGACGATGAGTAATGACAGCGGCCAAAGTCTTGGCAGCTGATCTTCTAATCTTCCAACTAATATCATCATCATCATCTACATCTCCATCATCCCTAAAAAAAAGAAAATAAACTATATTAGTTTCTTAATTAATTTGTTTGTTTTTTTTTTTTTGTTGCTTACTCGTCTTCTTCTTCTTCTTCATCTTCATCATCAGTTTCCATTTCATCATTTTCTTCATCTTCATCATCTTCATAGTTTGGATCGAATTTAATATATTTGAGGGAGAGGGTGATGATATCGTTAAGGTAGGGAGAGACATCCTTTTGACACTTTTCAACGATGGATTCAAAACAGAGAAGACAGTTTTCCTTGAGTTCGTCGGATTCAAATTTGCTATTTTCAACATTCTTGAGGATATGTTGCATGATTTTGGGGAGGTACTTGCCGAGACGGTAGCCAGAGGAACGACCGATTTGGCCAATCAATTGAACGAGGGTTGACACATGGTCGCCCTTCTTGGCCTCATCAATTTGCTTGGTAATGTTGTCCATGAGACCGTAGAAAAGGTCGTCTGAGGCTGGGATGGCAAAACTGGCCAAACAGTTGATAGCACGCTTACGGGTGGCTGGACGAGTGGCAGAGAGGTTGGGCAAGACAACGTCACGTACTTGGTCGAGGTTTGGTACCAACGAGCCGTACTTGACAAGAAGGTAGTTGAGAATATCGAGACAGTACATCTTGACTTCAGTCTTGTCTCCAGGTTTGCTGGCAGAGATACCTTCGAGCATCTTTGGTGCGACACGCTTGGTGACGAGTGTAGCAATAGTCGAGTCGGGTGTCATATTACCAATAATAGTCTTTAACCCAATCGAACTGATTTCATGCAAATCCTCCTTTTCAGACTCTAATAATCCCTTGATCAATGAATCTGCAATCTCTTGTGCTATTTGATCTTTTACAATCTTTATTAATAATCCAAGACTAAATTTAAATTAAAAATTAAATAAAAATAGATTATTAATATCTATCAATCATATCTTCTTTTCTCTTATCTATTCTCTATTCTTCTTCTTTCTTACCATTTAACAACATTTTCTTGAACATTATTTGCATTATCATCAACAAGAGTTAATAATTTTTGAACAATCTTTGGTTCCATTAAAGGATCCATCTTGAAGGATTCCTTTTCCATTTCATTGGCTAAATCGTGAGTAGCCATGAAACGGATATCCTTGTCTCTTGAACCCATCTTTTCAAGTACTTGAGTGAGGAAGAAACTTGCCATTTTTTTTTATCTTCTTTTTCTTTCTCTATTTATGATATAGGTATGTGTATGTATATATATATATATGTGGTACAGATTAATCTAATATATTTATATATATCAACTAATAGTGTAACAACAAAAATGCGCTATAATTTAAAATACAACAAAGATAAAGATAGATAGAAAAAGAGATAAAGATAGTTTAATGAAAAATTAAATGAGTGAGTGAACAACACACTCACAAAAAGGTCATCACAGCTCCCAACAATCATCACAAAAAAATTTAATTTATTTTTAATATCTCTCTCTTGGGTTTTTCTAGAAAACTCAAAGAATGCAATGATCGTCATCAACCACTTCAAAGTACAAATATATATCGACACAGATAGACGTATAGTATAGGAATGAGTGGTAGTAGTAGTAGCCAACCGCAACAACCACCTGCAAGTCAACAACAGGCAACTCCAATACCACCTGCAAGTCAACCAACCAAGTTTGATTTTGAAAACCTTAGGATTGAAATAACAGGTAGATGTAGTCGTAATCATATACCTGATACTTTAATTGGATTAGAGAACCCTTCAATGTATGTTTTATTGTTATTCGTATTCAATTGTCTGAAGAATATACCTCCAACTAATCATTCTTTCTTTTTAGACAATTAGATTTTGCATTAGAATCATCTATTAATTTAAAATCAAGTAATGTTGTTTTAATTACTGGACCACCAGGATCAGGTAAAACAACTGTATGTATATATATTTAATAGTTTAATTGCATGTTTGTTAACTGTCATGTTGATTCTATTTAGATGGTCAAAAAATGTGTACAAAAATATGAAGATAAAGTAATTATTATAAGATTGAATGGATTGATTCATTCAGATGATAGATATGCCTTGGAAACAATTATCGATGCATTGGATTTAAAAGCGTATACAAAGACTTTGAAATATCAGTTGACAGTATCAGACATGTTGATTCTCATCAATTTGGCGCTCAAGGGAATGTCCGATGATGAATTGACATCGTTGGTCGATGTACCACTCATCACATCACCAGTATTTTTTGTAATGGATCATTTTGAATTGATGGTACATAGTGTATCCAAACAACAACTACTATACACTCTCTTAAACTTGACACATTCCCAAACATCCAACCTAACATTCATAGCCATCTCTACAGACAATACCATTCAAATTAAATTGGAAAAACGTGTAAAATCAAGATTCACTCAAGCTCTTGTTAGAGTTGTACCAATTCAAAATGGTTTGTTTCAAATCTTTAAAATTTAATTAATATATCTATCTATTTAATTAATTTTAATTTCTATTCCCTTTAGTTAGTGTATTAATTGATATATTAACAAATACATTAATATTATCAAAACCAAATGTAAAGATTAATGAATCTTATCGTATACAATGGAACAAGGGTATAGAGAAATTATTTTCAGATAGTGAAGTTGTCAATTTATTGGCAAAGAGTTTAAGAATGCAAAATGCAATCGTTTATTTTTTAAATGTTGTTGCAGATGCAGTCGCAAAAATAGATGAAACCTACCAACATCTGACAAAGGATGAGTTTTTAAAGTCACTGGCAAAATACGATCGACAAGACTTTGAAGAACAATATCTGGTCGATGCAATCAATATTATGGAGCTTGCCATCTTGGCATGTCTCACCAACACTGCAAGACGATTAAACAAGAGTACCATTAGTTTTAGAGAACTTTATGATGGTGAATACAAACAATTTTTAAATTCTGATTTTAGAATACCAGAATTAACAAATCGTTCAAGTTGTTTATTTGTAAGAAAAAGAAAAATCAAATATTAATAATACAACTAGTATTAATTGTTTATTTTTATTTTTAGGCAGTAGAATTATTAATTGATAGAAAAATATTAACAAGAGAAGGAACACAAGTTGGAGAACATACTTTAATGTCTATACCATTTCAAACTAATATGGATGGTTTATTAGAGATTGCTGCAAAGAGAAAGGATTGTCCACTTGCTCTAAAAAGATATATTAATCAATGGATAGAATAAAACACTCAAGAGATCAAAAAGTGGACGAGTCATGTCATCCCACCACTAATTTATGTACAAAGTAACAACTATAAATATTTATATATTTCTATTTATATATTTCTATTTATTTATTTAAATTTAGGTTATTTAAATTATTAAATAATTGGAATAGGGAAGGATTTCTTTTAACAGGTGACAAGGCCATTAGTTTTTGGGATTGAATACCAAACCCTTTTGTATGAAGAAACTTTATCATTGCGTGTGATTTTGTACGGATGAGTGATTCCATGATTTGATCGTGGAGTGGTTCGAGTTGGTCCAACATCAAGTCTGACTTGGACGACGTCCCCAAAGTAAACTCGACCATGGCGATCGAGTTACTTTTAATAGATTCAATTAGAATCTCTTGCTTTAGTGATTCAAATAATAATGGATAGTGTTGGTGTAGAAATACAAGAATAGAGACGTGATGGTTGGCAATCGACGATAAAAGGTAGGTATGGTGTTTGATATCCTCGTCTTGGAGATGGGGTGTCAACTTGCTATAGAGGTGTTGAATGAATTCGACTTGACCATTAGCATATGCCTCGCGCAGACATACATGCATACGGGTGTTGAGATCCGGTTGGCCGATAATAGACACTAGTTGGTTATCTCGAATGATCCAATCAAATATTTCAATGTCACCAGTCTCACCAACCAACTTCCACACAGACTCTTCAAGTTGTTGTAATTGGAGTGGCATCTTGTGTGACATGATTGATCGTACCATTAAACGAGACCGGTCGTGTACAATGATACTATAGACTAGTGTTTCGAGTTGCTGCTGCACCAGTAGTGGTGAATGCTCCAACAAGGCTTGGTCGCCATTCAACATGTGGTCAAACAACTTATAGTCGTTGAGTACAATCGATCGATGTAAAAAGTCTCTGTACAATAACACCTTTTCCTCAAGTTCAATGTGGTCGTATATGAACCGCACCATATCTGATGAGAGACATGGTGGTAATTGATACTTGTCGTGAAAGAGTGGATGTACAATCACTCGATGTAAATGTCTGTCGAGTTGATAAATATACTCTAATATCTCCATTGTCTTGGGGACTATTGGATCGTCGCCACGATTATTGACACTATACTTTGTGTTTAATCCAATATCCTTAAGATACCTAATAGTATCCATATCACCTCTATTTAACACATAGTTGAATAACACTCCATTATCCAACAGCAATGCTGATGACGCTGATGCCACAATTCTCTTGGGTCCGGCAACCAATCCATGATCATTCGATGTATCAACATGTGATGTGGTACTTGTCTCTTCTTGTTTCATTTGATGGAATAATTGGATCATGTCAAGTGTTCCATATTGACATAGTTGGATGTAAAAGGTATGGTAATCATCATCACTAATTACTTTAAATTGTGATATGATTTTATCCTTTCCAATATGTTGGTCACTCGAGATTGACTTTATAATCTCTTGGATCGACTTGCACAGAATTGGTTTGGATTTGGTAATATTCAAATCATGGATCACTTTGAGTATTTCATAGATGATCAAGTTGTTATTAATGTTTGCCGTTGTGTAATAGTTGTTATTACCATTATGTTCGGTCGTCACTGGTGGTTTGTCATTCGTAACTACGTCTCCATTACTTTCTCTTTCCTTTTTCATTTTATTTGCAATGAAATAATTGGTACAATATAAAAGGTATTGTAAACGTTGGTCAATGTCTGTATAGTTGAATAGATGGCGTAGAAACTCTTCGAGTTCGAGTGATGTTTTGGGTGAGAGTTCACCTGGCTTGCAGTACATCTTGACGAGTTCGAAATCGTGGGTGTTGAGAATGGTGAAGGGGTGACGACTGAGGAAAAAGTTTAAATGGGGCTTGTGGTGCGTTAAGAGGTACCGAAAGATAGCAGCGTTGTAGCAAGCGTAGTTGGCCAGATGGTGGCGATCCACGACATCAACCTTTTGCACTTCAACCAGGTATTTGACGACATCTAGGTTTTTGGCCATCACTGCACGCTCCAATGCATAGTCTCGTGACAATACAACAGGGTCGGTCTGCTCGCACAGCAGTTGCACAATACGAGCATTGCCTCCTACGGCAGCCCACATGATTAACTCGGGTGAGCTAAACTGACTCTTGGTGTGTTGATATATGTATTGAAAGGTGTCATAGTCTTTGATCGACTGACAAATCAAGTCGATTGAGTAGGCCGAGAAATAGAGGTGGTCTTTGCGATCCAACTTTTCCTTTAACAGTCCAAAATGCCCATTCTTGACGATGATCTCGACGTTGAACCAGTTTCGATAGTGTCTCTTTTTAGAGTAACACTGACTACGATTATCATTTCCTGAAATCACCGATTCACTTGTCACCAATGATAAAATGTTTCGTAGTACTACTCTATTTTTAAATATTTTCGATTTAATATCTGAACTATATATAGGTTGGTCATGTTGAAGTTGGTCTGTCTCCATATTCAACTCTTTTCTTTTTTAATATTTTTTTTACAATAGTGAATATAATAATAATTAATATAATATTATAATGGTAGTACAAATAATAATAATAATAATAATAATAATAATAATAACGATGGTACGTAAAGTAATTTGTGGGCCAAGTCCTTCTTCCTCCTTTCATTAGTGTAAAGAGCAAAAAAAAAATTATAAAAGTTGTTGCTTCAAAGAATTTCATTGATCTTCTTAAGGTAGACCTCAAGAAAAGGTGATCATTTTATGATTGAGGACACCCCACAAGATGAGCATTTGTTATGTGACGTCTGGTTGATCGAATCGATTTATTATTTCATATTCGAATAATGCAGATTCGATCACTGTGTCGCTAACCCTCTGAAACCCTCAAACGAACAACATCTCACGTGAGATGTTCGAAAAGCCCCTTTTTGATAGGGTGGGCTTGTAACCAATCGAATCGATCGATCTATTGAATCAGTCAATCAATTTACACCTCTTTTACAAACAGAAAGAATAATATTATTATTGTGTTGTAGTCACAAGAGACAGAGCAAGTTAGTTATCAAGAAGTTTTATTTTAACAGTGCAATTATTAACCCAACCAAAACTACATTATATAACCAACTCTTATTATTATTATAATTATTAATAGTTATATAAGCCTGGCCTCTCCACCAAGAGACACGAGAGACAAGCCCTAATTCAAGGTACACACCCATTTTTATCTTTAAAATCGGAAGTGTTATTTTCGGTAAACCTCAAAGACTCTTCGCTTCAACGATCTTGCCTTGAAAAATATCCCGTGTCCAACACACAACAACAACCTTCCCCACCATCGATGGTGTGTTGTTCAAATTTCCCAATGAGATATCCGACACGAATTTCAACCGCCGTGTCTTGCCTTTCCGACCTTCCTCATTCGTTCTTGTCATAAAGCCCTATGCAACCCTGGAGATATTTTAATAATAATAATGATGAACAGGCGCATTGCAACAGCAACCTCAACTCGCATTGGTAAGGCGTCTTCTTTCTTCTTCTCTCCTCTCCTCTTTCTTTTTATTTATACATTTATTATTATTTATTTATTTGATCAGATGATTGATTATTATAGAAGAAATGATAGATGGAGTTAAATATTGGGTTGGACAAATACCCTTCTTTTTAGTATTACTACCATTTCTATGGTATCAATTGTATCTATCTGCAAAAGAGTATTCATCAAAGAGATTTGATCATTCAGGAAATACTAGTGATAATAGGTATAATCCAATTCCAGTTAAACTATTAGTATTTATTTGTTTAAATTGTTCTTGCACTTGTTTGTATCTGAAGTTTGTCCAGAGAGAAACTTTATTATTATTATTATTATTATTAATACTTGGTTTTCTTTTCATGTACAATAGTAAGAATAATATTTACATTTTATATTTGGCATTTAGATATTGATGATCCAGGTGCCAATCTAAATGCATATACTATATATATATTAAATGTTTATTTTATTATTTTAGAATGGTGGTTTATAGGTATGTAAAGAATAACCATATAATATATTATAATTAATATTAAAATTAATATTTAATAGTATTTTTTTGGATATCAATGTTGATGGGATTTATATCATCAAAATCAGTATTTGATCCTACTATTTTAAAAAAAGTAGAGACTATACTTTGGATCATAGTTTCTATTGTCACATTGTTTCATGCAATGTTGATTATATTCAATTCTATAAACAGACATGATATAATAGATACTGATCAATGGTGGAGAATAGGCTATCTAATCATTGTCTATATTGGTATCATTGCATTTGCTATTTACAGTACTCGATTACTTAGAGCCTACAAAAGTATTAAATTTGATAAAATCATTTATAAAAAGGTAGGTCAATATTGTATATCCAACAAGTCATAATATCAAATTAATAATAATAATATATTAATTATTAAACAATGAATTTTAGTTACTTTGGTTTGTTTTAATTTTAGATGTATGTGGTATACCAACAGCTACATTATCACCACTTTATCTTTATTTTGGAAAAGGCAATCATCCGACACAGGATATTATGAATTTAATCTTTTCCCTCTTTGAATGGGGACATTATCCATTGGTCATCATATTGCTCGGTAGTGGTCCGATAGTCCAACGATTTGCCAAGCTATTAAGAATGCCACGTTTACAAAGATCAAAGTCATCAGAATCTTTGGATACCAGTCACACAAGATCTACTAGAACGTCAACCTTTTTAAATAGTAGTACTACAACTACAACTACTACTACTAATACGACTAAAACTACTACCATCAACAATGACAACAATACTTTGGAAATAGATGGAGCTGATTATCCCCAGGATACAATAATTATAGTAGAGGAAAGAAAATAATAAATAAATGAATTTGATTTTTTTTTGGTTCATTGTGAAGATCTTCCTCATCTTGGACGTCTCATTTCATTTTAATATCTTCTTATCTTATCTGTAATCTGTATATTATTTGTATATATATCTTTTATTTTACTTTGTATTATATATCTATCTATATCTATATCTATTTATCTATTTATCATTTCTATTTAAATGATGTTAAAGAATATTGTCAGTCGAAATGGTATAACTGTAACTTTTAAGAATCTCTTTGTGATTCCACAATCAACTAGTATTAGTTTTGGTACTAGACCATTTTCTAGTAGCAACGACAGTGGTAGTAGTGGTAGTAGTGGTGGTAGTGATAACAAACATTACTTTAGATTACCAAAAGATGCATCAAATACAACTGCAACGACATCACCTTATCCATCATCTTCTACATCGGCCAAGATTGAAGATGTTGTACAACAGAATCAATTCATTCACTATATCCCTCAGGCTGGTGTCATCACCAATGCAACAGCTGCCAGTCTAAGTGAGAGTCATGATCCTAACAAATACACTAGCACTCATCACAGTGTATTAAATCTATCATTGGATCAACTTATCAACATGTATAATGTATGTCAATCAATCAATCATAATGAATCATAACATATATATATAAAGTTAACTAATTATTTTCAAAAAAGACAAGAAGACATATAGATCTAAGTCATGTACCAACATTGGACTCACAAGATGTATTTATAAACAGTGAATTAAAGTTAAGCGAGATTAAAGCATATGGCTTTGATTACGATTTTACACTTGTATGTCAAATTTAATCCTTTACTCATAATAATAATATTAATCCAAGAGTACATTCACCATACTAACCTCTGTTTATGATTATTATTATTTTTAAAAGGCCAACTACTCTGATCAAGTTCAACATTTAATTTATGACTTGTCACTAAAGTATTTGGTAGAGGAATGTAAATACCCAGCCAATTTATTAAAATTAAAGTATGATCAAAACTTTGCTATTCGTGGTCTTCACTATGACATGCGTACAGGTCTATTAATGAAACTAGACTTTTTAAATAATATTCAAGTATGTCATATAATAATATTAAAACCAAATCCAACCCAATTGATATATATATATATATATATAATATTTATATGATACTTATTATATTAATTTAATTTAGGCAGGAGCAATTTATTATGGTAGAAGATCATTAACAAAAGAGGAAATAGTAACGATTTATGGATCGATGCAATTAAGAAAAGCATATTGTGAGACATATTTAAAGATTATGGCTGATATCTTTTGTTTACCAGAGTCTTGTCTCATTAGTGATATCACTCAATTCCTTATCGACAATAACTACCAATTCGAACCAAGAATTATCTATGACGATATTATAAAGGCTGTTAAAATGGTTCATATGAGTGGGTCACTACATAATACAATTATCAGTGATCTACCATTATATTTAAACAAACATCCTCTACTTGGTGATTATTTATTAAAATTAAAAAATGCTGGTAAAAAGGTAAAACAAACAAGAATGATCAAAAAAAAGACAATTATCCTTTTTGTTATTATTATTTATTTATTAACCTTTTCTATTTTCTATTTTCTATTTTTTAGTTATTCATGTTAACAAATAATTCATTTTATTATGCAAATTGTGGAATGAAATATTTATTAAATGATCAATTACAAGGACAATATACCGATTGGACTGAATTATTTGATGTCATTATTACACAATGCGACAAACCATCATTCTTTGGCAAAGGAAGACATTTTAGAATGTATGATAGAAAGTCGGATCGATATGATTGGCGTGAAATCAAAGAATTCCTTCCTGGAAAGGTGTATGTCGGTGGATCGTTGGGTCAATTTACCCATCTATCAAAATGGCGTGGTCGCAGTGTCATGTACTTTGGTGACCATCTTTTTGCTGATTTGGTCGAACCAAGTATGATTGAAGGATGGAGAACAGGTGTTATTATTAAAGAGTTAGAGACTGAAGTTGAAATTCAAAACTCTCCTAAATATAGAGAAAATCTTTCTCAACTTTTAGAAGTAAGCAAATTAATAATATCAAACAAATATTAATAGAATAAGAATATCAAATCATTAACCATTTTTACTTGTTATTTAGATTGAGGAGGCAATTAGAAGATGTCAATTTTTCACAGGCGAGAAAAAAGATGCATTTTTGGAATCACTAAAACAAAAAAGATATGCTTTACGATTACAATTAAAGGAACCATTCAATGGATCATTTGGCAGTCTATTTAGAACTCACACCAATGCAACCATGTTGGCACACTCACTTCAAAACCATGCCGATATCTATACAAGCAAGATTGAAAATCTAATCACCTATCCTCTCGACTATACATTTTATACAAGAAGAAATTATCTTGCACATGAATTTAAATTAAATTAAATTAAAAAAAAAAGAATAATATTTGTAATAATAATAATAATAATGATAATTATTAGAGGAATTAATTAATTACCATATTCTTGTTTATCGAAATTCCGATCGGAGTTCACAATTCTCACTATTTTCGTCATTCATCTAACTATGGTATTTCATACTTTGAAAAAGATATTTAAACTCTTCAATTTTCGATCATCTCATTTCATTTCATTATCGATTCATATTATATTATAATTATTTATTTATATTTATATGTATTATTATTATTCTATTTGTACATTATATAACGTTTAGTAGCAATCAACAACATCCACTTAATCATGCCTACATCATATTTAGATATCTCTGGTGATAATGACGATTATGCACCATCAATCTATACATTCTTTGACAAGGAAAGATACTTTTTCGATTCACCTGAAGGTTGTCAAAGAGTGATCAAAGAGAGAACAAGTATCAAACTTAGTAAAATTGGAGGCATCTTTATCACTAATCTCTCTTGGGACACTATAGGTGGCCTGTTTGGCATTCTCTACATTTTGGCTGGTATCGATACCGTCAAAGATGTCAATGTATATGGACCTAGAGGATTATATAACATCTTTTATCATGCAAGACAATTCTTTAATGTGTATGTGTTGTGGACCACCACAGCCTCGAGTAAGGAATCTTTTTTAATATTAATTTAATATTTATATACACATTTTAGATCAATGAAAACAAATATATTTGAAATGAATGATCGTAATTGTGAGGAGTTACCAGAATGTACTTCATCGATGAATGTTACAAGTATACCGATTTGGAGTAAAAAGGATCAGGTAAATGATGGTGGGCCTACCATTCAAGAGGCATTTGAAAAACGTGTCTATCACAATTTTATCAATCCAGAGGAATGGTTAAAGATGATGAATGAAGGTGCCCCATTGGACGTGTTGTATAAACACGTTGTCAAACCATCAACAGTGGAAACTGATCGTAGTTCTGTCATTTGTTATCTTGGAAAGACCAAACCTTCACCTGGTAGATTCTACCCCGAAAAGGCTGTTGCCCTAGGTATTCCTCGAGGTGCCATGTTTCAAAAGTTAATTGCTGGTGAATCAATTGTCTCACCCAAAACAAATGAATTGGTTCATCCTCATCAAGTTTCTGATCCTACAGTTCCCGGTTCCGTAAGAAACAAAAAAGAAATAAGAAGAAAAAAGAAAATAGTATTAATAGTTATTTATTTATTTATTTGTACAGAAATTCTTAATTGTTAAATGTCCATCAATTGAATATTTTGTTAGTTTATTTAATCAATCTGTTATTGTTGAATATCAAAACAATCAAACTGAACCAATCAACATTGTTGTACATTTAACGCCAGCATCTGTGATTCAACACGAAGAATATCAAGCATTTATGAACAAGTTTGGTAATACCACCAAACACATTATTGCAAACAGAGATAATTGTCCAATGGCACAATCCTATTATATTCCCGAAAAGGATATTACCAAGTTTTCTCATTTCTTCCCAACCATGTTCCCAGGACAATGGGTCACCAATGAACCAACCTTGTTGCCAGTGTCTGTCCAAAACGACAATGTAGTCGTTTGCAAAAAGGTGACTCGAGGAACCATCATGCCTGCTCAATCGGTTGGAAAGGTTGAAGTGGTTGAAATGCATGAAGGATTGGCAGAGGATGCTGAAAGCAAGTTTTACGACTTTTTATACGCACACCCAAAGGCAATTGAATTGCGTACAAAGACTCTTGCTCTCTGTCAACAGTTGGAGGAAACAAGAGACGAGCAATCAAATGTGTATCCGAGAGTTTTGTTTACTGGCACTGGCGCTGCAAAGCCAACAAAAAATCGTGGCGTCACTGGTCATCTAATTGAAACTAAAAAGGATTGCTTTATGATTATGGATGGTGGTGAAGGTACGTTGGCCCAAATCACAAGATTCTATGGTCGTGAGCAAGTCAAGGATATTTTGTTCAATCTTCGTTTAATTTGGGTATCCCATATGCACGCCGATCATCATTTGGGTATTCCTTCTATTCTAGAAAAGAGAGAAAAGTTGGCAAAGGAATGCAAGGTCGATAATTTACCAAAGGTTCTTGTCGTTGGTCCTAAAGATTTCCAACTTTGGATTACATCTTTAAATACCATCATTCCAATCGACCATTTATCATTTGCTTATGATGAATCAAATGATATCATTTCTCAATACTACCAATATTTGGGTATTAAATCATTATCAAATGTTCAAGTAGATCATTGTCCCGATGCTAAAGGTGTTGTTATTGAATTGGTAAATGGTTTTAAATTAAGGTAAAGAAAAAAAAAAAAGAAAAATAGTTGGGATACAGCTTAAAGAAGAATTAATATAATGTTTATTTATTTTATTTTTTTTAAAGTTTCTCTGGAGATACTAGACCATGTGAACAATTCATCAATGCAGGAAGAGATTCAGATTTGATGATTCATGAAGCAACATTTGAAGATGACAAGGTAGAAGATTCGATTGAAAAGAAACATTCAACCATTGGAGAAGCTTTAACTGTTGGTAAACGAATGAATGCCAAATGGTCCATCCTCACCCATTTCTCTGGAAAGACTAAAACATCCGTATCGATTGATACTAGTGCTGTTGGAGAAAACTTTGGTATGGCATTTGATTTCCTTAATATCTCTCCCTATCAATACCCATTGTTGAAATATCTTAATGAATTACAAGAACTTCAACAAGAATTACAAAATAAATAAAGGTCCACTATTCAAAATGTAGGTGATGACTATTTAAAAAATAGATGATCCCTATTTGTTTAAAAAGGATCGTCGACACATAGGTATTTCTTGCTCTTGATCACTGCTCTTGATTGTTCTTGATCTCTTGCTTGCTCTGATCTTGATCTATCTCTACCTCTTCTTCAAGATCTTCAAAGTTGTCTGTTATGATTGCGATTAGACTATCCAACTCATGGGTATCTTTGCTCCATACAACTTTTAAATCTACTCCACGATATGAATAATCTTCCTCTTGTACTGGTTTAACTCCTTCACTGTATTATTATTATTATTAAATACTATCTATGTGCAACCTTTGATCATAATAAGTTTTGTATCTCCATAGCTGTCACTCTGAGTTTGCTTAAAGAATTGAGTAATTAAATAAAGAAAGAAATTTAGTAGCTGGTATGAATGTATTATTCAATAACAATTCTTACATTAATACAAGAGAATAGATAAAAGATATGAGATAAATCCAATACTTTACTGTGTTAGGATTTAATCTAAAAACTTTATGTAAGTTTTTAAAGAGAACAAAATATATATTGGTGATTTATTAATCTAATTACAATTTAATACTTTATAGATTCAAAAATGAATGTAGATCCCACAATCTCAGATATGAATATGATGTTGAAGGATCTGGAAGTCATTATCAAGGAACACCCGGACGATGTTTTGTTTCAAATTACCAACCATTTTCAGTCCAAAAGTTGACTATATTAGGGTTGTTAGCTTGGATACCCCTCTATTAGATCCGATGTGATCAACTTGGTGCTAAAGAATACAAAAACCAAAAGGTAAGTAAAAATTATCTCTTTATATAATCTAATGACGATTGCCATTTTATTCACGACTTGTAATAGTATGACCGATTCATTTATGGAACAAATTTGATCGATGGATTTGCCTGGCGGTGAGACATCTATTTTGGTTTCAATTGAATCTATTCTGGTGTTTAACAAAAATATCCTACACAGGTTATCTCGACATCAAAAAAACCCACAATCACCGACTTTATGATCATGGTACTAATCAATTCTTTTCACCCAACCAAACAAACTGGAAAAGTATTGGGAGATATGATGTCCAATGTTGAAATTTATAAATTTACAAAAAAAAAAAACTTCACAATCGATTACTAATAATCTTCTTTCAAGATTCTGGAAACATTTTTTAGGAGCAGCTAGAAATGAATTGGCACAAGAAATATTCATGTTTATTAGGGTTTGCATAAATTACAGTTCTGATAATATGGTGGCAGAAATGATGAGTTCAGTCCCCAATTTTATTGATGACTGCATGGCCGAGATGGATGAAAGAAGAATGGGAATCTTATGTCTATTACATCAAATAGAATATAATTTTACTTATCCCGATCAAACCAGCGTCCGTAAACTTTTTCAAATACCAACCCGTTATACTGTACTCTGGGTACAAGACCCAACACAACTCCAAGTTGGATCAACCTATTATCTCGTATCCAGTCTTGGCAACATCCTCATCAACCCAACTCAATGTGCCATCATTCCAATCGACCATTTATCATTTGCCTATTATGAATGAAATGATATCATTTCCCAATGCTACCAATATTTGGATAAGTAGATCATTATCCCGATGCTAAAGGTGTTGTCATTGAAATGGTAAAGGTTTGAAAGGAAAAGAAAAGAAAAGAAAAAATTAATATATTAATGTTTATTTATTTTTTTTTTTATAGTTTCTCTGGAGATACTAGACCATGTGAACAATTCATCAATGCAGGAAGAGATTCAGATTTGATGATTCATGAAGCAACATTTGAAGATGACAAGGTAGAAGATTCGATCGAAAAGAAACATTCAACCATTGGAGAAGCTTTAACTAGTTAAATAGTAGGTGATGATTTAAAAAATAGATGATCCTATTTCTTTAATAAGGATTGGATACTTTTAAATGCGAGAATATATTATTTATTAGATATAGGTTTTTATTGAACCAAATTATTTACATATTATTAAAAAACTATTGGGTGGTATTGATGCCTTTAATATATTTGTTTAAGTGTTTTAAAATGAACCTCTGATGATTCCGGTAATCGATTGGGATGGAGGAGGAGGAGCTGTGCCACCAATAATTCCTGTGATGGATTGGGAGGGGGGAGGAGCTGTTCCACCAATAATACCGGTAATAGATTGAGATTGTGGAGGAGCTGTGCCACCAATAATTCCTGTAATCGATTGGGAGGGGGGAGGAGCTGTTCCACCAATAATACCGGTAATAGATTGAGATTGTGGAGGAGCTGTGCCACCTATAATTCCTGTAATCGATTGGGATGGAGGAGTTGTTCCACCTGTGATGGATTGCGTCGTCGTTGTCGATGATTGTGAATTAGTAGTAGTCTTTGGTGTTGTGGTTCCAAAACCACCGATAAAAGAGCCAATAGTGTTGGCAGTTGTAACTTGACCTAATGATCCAGCCAGTACTCCACCCGAGGCTACCCCGGAGCCTCCAATGAATGATCCAATCGATTGAGAGGTGGTCACTTGGCCACCAGAAACACTTTGTCCGATAGAGTTTTGTGTAACTCCTACGCCACTGACTGATCCACCACCACCAATGATACCAGTGACTGTTTGCGTTGATGGCGATGTAGTTACACCAGCTACAGTTCCACCAATAATACCAGTGACAGTTTGAGTTGATGGTGATGTAGTAACACCTGCTACAGTTCCACCAATGATACCGGTTACTGTCTGTCCTGATGGTGATGTTGTTACTCCACCAACAGACTGTCCAATAACCCCAGCTGTTTGAGTTGTTACTCCAGCTACAGTTCCACCAATAATACCGGTTACTGTCTGTCCTGATGGTGATATAGTTACACCACCAACAGACTGACCTATAACTCCAGCTGTTTGAGTTGTTACTCCAGCTACAGTTCCACCAATGATACCGGTTACTGTCTGTCCTGATGGTGATGTTGTTACTCCACCAACAGACTGACCTATGATACCAGTGACAGTTTCTCCTGATGGTGATATAGTTACACCACCAACAGACTGTCCAATAACTCCAGCTGTTTGAGTTGTTACACCAGCTACAGTTCCACCAATAATACCGGTTACTGTCTGTCCTGATGGTGATATAGTTACTCCACCAACAGATTGTCCAATAACTCCAGCTGTTTGAGTTGTTACACCACCAACAGACTGTCCAATAACCCCAGCTGTTTGAGTTGTTACTCCAGCTACAGTTCCACCAATGATACCGGTTACTGTCTGTCCTGATGGTGATATAGTTACACCACCAACAGACTGACCTATAACTCCAGCTGTTTGAGTTGTTACTCCAGCTACAGTTCCACCAATGATACCAGTGACAGTTTGAGTTGATGGTGATGTAGTAACACCACCAACAGACTGACCTATAACTCCAGCTGTTTGAGTTGTTACTCCAGCTACAGTTCCACCTATAACTCCAGTGACAGTTTGAGTTGATGGTGATCCTGTTACACCACCAACAGACTGTCCAATGATACCAGTGACAGTTTCTCCTGATGGTGATATAGTTACACCACCAACAGATTGTCCAATAACTCCAACTGTTTGAGTTGTTACTCCACCAACAGACTGGCCTATAATACCAGTGACTGTTTGCGTTGATGGCGATGTAGTTACACCAGCTACAGTTCCACCAATGATACCAGTGACAGTTTGAGTTGATGGTGATGTAGTAACACCAGCTACAGTTCCACCAATGATACCGGTTACTGTCTGTCCTGATGGTGATGTTGTTACACCACCAACAGACTGTCCAATGATACCAGTGACAGTTTGAGTTGATGGTGATGTAGTAACACCAGCTACAGTTCCACCAATGATACCGGTTACTGTCTGTCCTGATGGTGATATAGTTACACCACCAACAGACTGTCCAATGATACCAGTGACAGTTTCTCCTGATGGTGATATAGTTACACCACCAACAGACTGACCTATAACTCCAGCTGTTTGAGTTGTTACTCCAGCTACAGTTCCACCAATGATACCGGTTACTGTCTGTCCTGATGGTGATGTTGTTACACCACCAACAGACTGTCCAATAACTCCAGCTGTTTGAGTTGTAACACCACCAACAGACTGACCAATAACTCCAGCTGTTTGAGTTGTTACTCCACCAACAGACTGACCAATAACTCCAGCTGTTTGAGTTGTAACACCACCAACAGACTGACCTATGATACCAGCTGTTTGAGTTGTTACACCACCAACAGATTGTCCAATAACCCCAGCTGTTTGAGTTGTTACACCACCAACAGACTGTCCAATGATACCAGCTGTTTGAGTTGTTACACCACCAACAGACTGTCCAATGATACCAGCTGTTTGAGTTGTTACACCACCAACAGACTGACCAATGATACCAGTGACAGTTTCTCCTGATGGTGATATAGTTACTCCACCAACAGATTGTCCAATAACTCCAGCTGTTTGAGTTGTTACACCAGCTACAGTTCCACCAATGATACCGGTTACTGTCTGTCCTGATGGTGATGTTGTGATACCAGCTACAGTTTGTCCAATAATACCGGTTACTGTCTGTCCTGATGGTGATATAGTTACACCACCAACAGACTGTCCAATGATACCAGTGACAGTTTGAGTTGATGGTGATATAGTTACACCACCAACAGATTGTCCAATAACTCCAGCTGTTTGAGTTGTTACACCACCAACAGACTGACCTATGATACCAGCTGTTTGAGTTGTTACACCACCAACAGACTGTCCAATGATACCAGTGACAGTTTCTCCTGATGGTGATATAGTTACTCCACCAACAGATTGTCCAATAACTCCAGCTGTTTGAGTTGTTACACCACCAACAGACTGTCCAATAACCCCAGCTGTTTGAGTTGTTACACCACCAACAGACTGTCCAATGATACCAGCTGTTTGAGTTGTTACTCCACCAACAGACTGACCTATGATACCAGTGACAGTTTCTCCTGATGGTGATATAGTTACTCCACCAACAGACTGACCAATAACTCCAGCTGTTTGAGTTGTAACACCACCAACAGACTGACCTATGATACCAGCTGTTTGAGTTGTTACACCACCAACAGACTGACCAATAACTCCAGCTGTTTGAGTTGTAACACCACCAACAGACTGTCCAATAACTCCAGCTGTTTGAGTTGTTACTCCACCAACAGATTGTCCAATAACCCCAGCTGTTTGAGTTGTTACTCCACCAACAGACTGTCCAATAACCCCAGCTGTTTGAGTTGTTACACCACCAACAGACTGTCCAATGATACCAGCTGTTTGAGTTGTTACTCCACCAACAGACTGACCTATGATACCAGTGACAGTTTCTCCTGATGGTGATATAGTTACACCACCGACAGACTGTCCAATAACTCCAGCTGTTTGAGTTGTTACACCAGCTACAGTTCCACCAATAATACCAGTGACAGTTTGAGTTGATGGTGATCCTGTTACACCACCAACAGACTGACCAATGATACCAGTGACAGTTTGAGTTGATGGTGATCCTGTTACACCACCAACAGACTGACCAATAATACCAGTGACAGTTTGAGTTGATGGTGATCCTGTTACACCACCAACAGACTGACCAATGATACCAGTGACAGTTTCTCCTGATGGTGATGTTGTGACACCAGCTACAGTTTGTCCAATGATACCGGTTACTGTCTGACCTGATGGTGAGGTGGTAACACCTGCTACTGTCGATACTTGTCCAATAATCCCAGTAATGGTTTGGGTTGTAACACCAGCTACAGTTTGACCAATAATACCTGTCACCGTCTCAGTTGATGGATAGGTTGTCACACCAGCCACAGTTTGACCGATTATACCAGTAACAGTTTGAGTTGATGGTGCAGTGGTAACACCTGAGGCGACCTGACCGATTATACCAGTAACGGTTTGTCCTGATGGAGATGTCGTTACACCAGCTACAGTTTGTCCAATGATACCTGTCACCGTCTCAGTTGATGGTGAAGTGCTCATACCGACTGTTTGGGTCGATTGTGAACTAGAAACCCCAGTGTAAGTGGTAAATGAGGTGATTGTTTGTCCAGAGGTAGTAGACATATCTCCGGTAGTCGAAGTTAGTTCACCGGTCGTAGAGGACATTTCTCCGGTAGTTGTTGACGTTTCGATCCCGCTAGTCCTCCCTGTAGTCGACATGTCGCCAGTAGTATCGCTACTTCCAGTGGTACTTGACATATCTCCGGTAGTGGTGGTGGTACCAGTGGTAGTAGGTATCACAGGATTATTACACTCGAGCAAACTGTAAAATACGTATTGGGAATGAGTAAAAGTAGAGAATGACAGTTTGATGCGGTCCAAGGCGTCACCTGGTCTGACTAATACATAGGAAGGCACGGCTGCATCATCACCAAAACTACCAAACTTGAGTACATTGTCATCCTGTCTAAGATACATTCCGACATTGTTTGTCTCTGACTCTGACAAACTTCCAAAACCAATAATCTCCCATCGAGTCATATTTAATGGCATAGTGCCCGACGATGCAGACACTTTAACAAAATCATAATCGTCAATACCACCAATCAACAAACATACATTATCAATTAATCCTTCAAATGTAAATGCAATCTCTAAATTAAATAAAAATAAATAAATAAATAAATAAATAAATAAATAAATAAATAAATAAATAAATAAATAAATAATCTTCTTCTTTTTATCTTATTTCTTTGTCTTTGCTTACCTGAACCATCAGTTAATTTACAATTGGTACATTTCATTTGAAAGAGAGCATTTAATTGTTGACTATCGATGAATTGCAAGAGGTTGTTATTGTTGAATTGAGGATCACCTCTAATAATCAAATTTCCAAGATAGATGGGATCATTTTTGATTGGAAGAACGTGTGCGACCGGGTACTCTAGTCCGTTGCTTCCCAATGCAGCACTGGTCCATTCCAACTGGAACGGAGCAGTTGTTAAAACATTTGAAAAGGCCAACTGTGTTGGTTTATCCGACTGTGGTCCATATTTTAATAAATCAATTTGAAGTGGATTAAGTGGTGTATCATGTGATGTAGCATAAACATCAACCGTCAAAGATAAAAACACCACTGATAAAACCAAAAATATAGAATTTAGAAAAGAATATTTCATTCTTTTCCCTGATTTCAAATCTATATCTTTTTTTCTCTATTTGTTCTTTGTTATTGTTGTAGATCTACAAGTTTAAATAAAAGTAAAATTCATAAACTATATTATTCTAATATTTAAAAAGTCCACTTACATTTTAGAAAGAATTCTCTTTTGAAAAAAATAAATAAATAAATCCTGTCCTGTCCTGTCTTGTTAATTAATTAATTGCCAATATCCTAAAGAAAATATTTTTCTCTCTCTGTCTCTCTCTCTCCCAATAATAAAGTAGGTAATAGGTATAAACTAACTTGCTTACAAGTAAAGTAAAGTAAATTATTGTTGCTGCTATTATTAATTGATTGTTGGCTGTTGATCACTACTGTTGTTAATATTAACATTAATGTTGGGTTGGGTATGGTTAGATAGGGAAATGAATGAAATGATGTATCATATGATCATCATTTCCCTTCTTATTTCTTCTTAACTAACATTGCTAATGCATCGCATCGTATAGGAGGGTGGTGCGGGTACCCAAGCAAGCATGCTTGTGCTGCCCATCCGATCTTTTGATCAATATTAGCAATGAAGAGTTATGATACTATGAGTGATATCCACTCTCGTTGACATCATATGAAATATCATTTCCATTGATTTTGATTTGATTGACACCCACACTACATACTGCACACCCCCACCACGACCTTGCTGATCACTACTACTGTTGTGTATAGCAATGGTGTGTCGTGGTGTTTCTTGTTCACATTACAGAAAAGGTGGCCATGCCAATACCAACAACATTCTTGTTCTTTCAGGCAGCTGCTGATTGACCTACTACTAACTATTTTAGAAGCAACAATGATGAATGAGTGAATGAATGAATGAATGTTAAGGTTAATACACAAACATACAATGTGTTAACATATATTCTCTTCTGTTTGTTGGTGTTGTCTTGGTCGTCACCACTAAAATAACTCTCTTACCTTTTGTTGTAGGGTGGTGTTACTACTCATTGACTGATTGATCATCATCATCCATCGAAACTATTAGCTGAACATGAACAAACATGATTACTCTCTATCATAGTCATTATATATATGGCTGGCTATGACAAAGTTTAACTGTATTGCCATATACACCTAAAAACTACTTCTCTTTTTGATGATCATCATCAAAGAAGGAACAAAGATTAATTAAAAAACAATTATTTTTATTTTATATTGCATGAGATTAAGATACTAAATATAAATATAGATATATTCATATAAGAATAATAATAATAATAATAATAATAATACAACAAATGATTATTTATATTACATTTCTATAAAATTATAGTTTAAATTTAAGGTATCCCAAATCACCAGTTTGGAGTAGGGATTGGGTAGTACATAATATCCTTTAAAATAAATATGTTTGATCTTTGCTTCTTGGTAGCATTAAATCAAACAATCTAAACTCTTTTCAAAATATGCATCAGGATTGTCAACCAACTATTTAAACAACATTAAATTGATTGTTGATCTATTGTTATAAATATCTATCTTGTCCCATTTATGCTTGTGTGTGTGTGTGTGTGTGTGTGTGTGTGTGTGTGTAATGTTGACAGACCTATCTATTGTTATACACATTGTTTTCGAACTACAATGAGATTTGAACTACAAGTCGTCGTAGCTACAACCAACTCCTCTCCTCTGCCCCGAAGCCATTTTTAGTAAGTGGCTCTAAAAGTTTATGCGAATTGTTATCAGCGAAGGTTGTTCACCTGTTTTTGAGGTAGATTTTTTTACAATTTTTTTCTATTTTTTGTGATGGATGGATTTGCGGCTTTTGTGTTGTCGGAGCAAGACAGACCATAAAATATTTAAAACAGGTCAAATCTATCACAGGTAGATATATATAATTTATAAATATATATATATAAAGTAGTTATATTCTTTGTGTTTGTATTATTCACAATATCTATATTTAGATTCACACACACATACACATACATAATAATATAATATAAATATAGATAAATAGATATATTTGGATTATTCCCTTTATTTGTTTGTGCCCCACTACACACAATCACACAGCAATAATAATAATAATAATAATAACGAATACATAAAGTAAAATATCAAAAGAGAGAGAGAGAGAGAGAGAGAGAGAGAGAGAGAGAGAGAGAGAGAGAGAGAGAGAGAGAGAGAGAGAGAGAGAGAGAGAGAGAGAGAGAGAGAGAGAGAGAGAGAGAGAGAGAGAGAGAGAGAGTCAAGGGTATCAACGTTGATCGATTCTCAACATCCCCCCTGGAGTGACAACGACCACAACAACAACAACAATAATACCACCGCACCGCACACTTGATTTATGTAAATACAGTTGCTGCATTTGATCATATCCATGTGGTGTGTGTGTGTGGTAGATAACGATACCGCTAACGATGTACAAATACCCTAGGTTATAGAACAACAACAAACAACATTTTTTTTTATAATATTTCAAGAAGAGGGGGAGAGATTGACAGACCAGAGACAAGAGAGAGACATAAATCTGTTTATAACAATCACTCTTTCTCTTTCATTCTTTCGTACACATCGTATCACAATTTCTCTTTTCGAATTTTTTGATTTTTTTGATTTTTTCCCATCACGATAGAGCTCAATTTCTTTTATAGGAGAATTTCGTACTTATAACAAACCATATTTTCTCTTTTTTTATTCTATTCACAATTTATCTATCTAGTACAGACAAGAATATATATATATTAACAACCAACAACAACACAACAGACAGGCAATAACAATAATAATAACAACACAGAAAGTAATATTAACAAACTAACCCAATAATAATAATAATAATAAGAAAATGTCAGCAACTACAGTCGCCGTTGAATATAAGCTTGTCGTAATGGGAGGTGGTGGTGTTGGGTATGTCTTTTTTACAATGATTATCAATCTCGATCGATTATTATCTCTTGATATTAACATTAATCTATCTATCTATCTCTATCACCAATCAATCAATCAAATATAAAATATATATATATATATAGTAAATCCGCACTTACCATTCAATTCATTCAAAATCATTTCATTGAAGAGTACGATCCAACCATTGAAGATTCGTACCGTAGACAATGTCAAGTCGATGAAGACACTTGTTTGTTGGATATTTTAGATACTGCTGGTCAAGATGATTATTCTGCCATGCGTGATCAAGTATGATATGAAAAAAAAAAGACAATAGACAAAATAGAAAGATCAGCTGATACTAACATACAAATAATCTTTTTAACTATCATAGTACATGAGAACTGGACAAGGTTTTCTTTGTGTTTATGATGTTACCTCTAGAACATCATTTGAAGAAATCAATGTAGTTAGAGATCAAATTATTAGAGTAAAGGATAACGACCGTGTACCAATTGTTTTGGTTGGCAACAAGTGTGATCTTGACAATAGAGAAGTGACCACGGGCGAGGGTGAAGAGTTGGCAAAGAGTTTTGGTTGTCCATTTTTAGAGACCTCTGCCAAGAAGCGTCTCAATGTCGATGAATGCTTCTTTGACGTTGTCAGAGAGATCAAAAAGTCACTCAAGGAGCCAGGAAGAGTCAAAAAGGAAAAGAAGGGTTTAAACTCCTACCTTAAAAAAGTTAAAGGTGGAGATTGCATCATTTTATAAATTCAAAAAAGTTATAATAATAATTTATAAATAATAATAGTAATAGTAATAATAGTAATATTTTTTTTTTTAACCAACAACCACAACCAACAAACCAACAAATCTACCCAACCCAACAACAACAACTTAAACTATAATAATAATAGTTTCAACATAATTTTTCCACAACCCCAATCACAAATATCGAGAAAATCATACATACCATTCAATTCCCCAAAGTAAATGATAGAGCATCGATTACTAAAATCAACCAACCAATCAATCAGTAACACCACCCTTTTTTTGTACAAATGAACCAATCAACTCACCTCTCCTCCACTCTTTCCACAAACACCATAACCAATAATAATAATAATAATAGTAAATAACAACAAATAATAATAATAATAATAATTTTCAAAACTATTGATAATAACCTTTAAAAAAAAAAACAACAAATAACACGATGTAATTGTAATAAATTCAAAATCTTTTTTTAATATTTATATTGATTGGTTGTTGGGGAGTTGTTATTTTTTTATTTTTATTTTATTGTTTGTTCATCTTTTTTTTTTTGTTTGTTTGGATATTACAATACCTTTGTAATATTCCTTCCTATAAATAATAATAACAACAAATAATTATAATAATAATAGTTAATATTTATATTTAAATATTTTTATATTTTACTACTTACATTTTGGTTTAAAGATCCTTCTTTTCAAATTTATGAATCTTTTTTGGTTGATTTAAACCATACCAACCACCTAGAGCACCTAAACCAAGGATAGCTCCGAGTCTAGTTCTACGAAGTCTTGGGAAGAGGTAGTTACCAGCAAAGAGACCAGTGAGACCACCAGCACCACCATAGAGGGCACCAGCTTGGTGATTGTAAGAGTCCCATTCATTAAAGATGTTTCTGTTGATGTTGTTGGCCACCTTTTTGGTTTCTTGTACGGCGTCATGACCAATTTCAATCACCTTTTTGTTGACATCACGGATAGCATCAAATTGTTCATCGATTTCATTGTTGGCAGTCTTTTGGATTTCATGGAGTGCATGGTTGGCAGAGTGGAGCAAGTCTTGGCCAGTTTGGAGGATAGATTCTCCCATTGAAGAGATGGCAGTGGCTTGGGTTTCAAATGGTTCAGCTCCTTGGATCTTCTTGCCCTTTACTTCCCAACCCCAGTCTTCAAGGTTACGCATCTTTTCAGTGGTTTCCTTTTCAATCACCTTGGATTCCTCCTTGGCAGTGTCAAAGAATTCACCCAACTTGGTTTGAGTACTTTGAATGATACCTTGGAACCAACCTTGACCGTCATTTCCCCATGCATCTTGACCACCGTCAATGACGACACGATCACGAGCAGGGAATCGAATCTCTGACTTTAGTTCGTCGAGACCCTTCTTGGCAGAATCGTCCAATTCACCAACCGCCTTTTTCATCTTGTTTTGGAGGTCGATCGATCCGTGGTTGGCAAGTTCGTACAAGTCTTGAGTACCCTTTTTCATCTTGTTGGACATTTGCGAGGTACCTGTGATGACATCGTCACGGAGACGGTCGGTGCCAGCCTTGATATCCCCACGGATGTTTCCAATCGACAGGACACTCTTGTCGTACGATGTCTTGATGTCACGTTGCAAGAGGTCAAGATCCTTTTGGGCTTGCAATTGAATGTCGAGTGCATTCTTTCTCAAGTTACCAACACCCATGTCAGTCTTGATTTGGAGGTCCTTGGCGATAGACTGGAGGTTTCCGACACCGTTGGATGCAAACTTTTGGAGGTTGATACTCTCTTGACGGAGATGGTCCAAACGAGCTTGGATCTTGGCGTGGAGGTCGATAGCGTCACCCTCCAACAGGTTGGATCCCTTGGCGAGGATGTCGTTGAGTTGAGAGGCCTCGGAACGGAGTTTCTTGACACCATCGGCCACCTTGACGTTGAGGAGGTGCACTTCCTTGTCAATGTTGATCTCGGGGTGTGTGTGGACCGACTCGATCGACTTGCCAATCTTGCCCTTGAGGTCTGTGGTCGACTCATGGATACGGTCTTGGAGGTCATGTGTATTCTTTTTGAATTCCTTCTTCAAACCGTGGGTAGTCTTTTTGAACTGGTCTTGCAACGAGAGAGTGTCCTGGTAGAGATCAGTGTAGATGGCGTTGGCATCCTTTTCAAGCTTGTCTTGGAGCATGCCGGTACGTTGGTTGAGTTGGTATTGGTAGTCGACTGCACCAGACTTGAGATTATCGATGCCCTTGTTGACTTGGGATTGGATCGACTTGGAACCAGACCATACTTGCGATTCAATATCCTTGGCATTTTCATTGACGAATCCCTTTAGTTCCCCAAGTCCCTTTTGGAGAGAAGTGCCGTGACCCTTGCTGATCGACTGGAACGAGTCATTGACGACAACTGGGGCAGCAACCTTGACCTCTTCATAATAGTAGAGTGGTTCCTTTAAATCTTCAAGGTCGCCAAGTCTACGACGAATCAAACGAGTGGTCTCTTTCTTTTCAATGATGTTTCTTCTGGGCGATGACCAAGAGTCGACTGGTTTAGCAAACATGTCGGAACCCTTACACATCTTTCCATCGACAAAATCTTGGAGTGGATCACTCGATGGGTTGTCAATGTACCATCCGTCCTGGTTGAGCAGACGACCAAAGAATCCTTGCTTACCAAACCACGACCAGTTTCCATCGCGGAGTGTCGCGTCGTACTTGCCATCGCCGCGCAAAAACACGTCTCCCTTGACCTTCTTTTCCAAGTTGCTCCATTCGTCTTGCACCTTTCCAGACTTGTCAATGTAGTCGCCGGCAGTGTGCAACATGTCCTTGACCTTTTCCTCGCCCTTTTCCAAGGTGTCCCAAACATATGATCCAGTCTCTTGGGCCTTGTCGCGGATAGTCTCGACACCAGCATCGACGTTCTTCTTGACGTCAGAGTACACCTCTTTGGTCTTGTGCAATCCATCGTCGACGACCTCCTTGGTCTTGTCCAATGCAACGTGGGCATTCTCTGTGGCCTTGTTCATGACGTCCTTGGTAGCATCCTTTTTGTCCTCCCAGAAACCCCATACATTTTCAGAAGCCTTGTTGACTACATTCTTGGTACCGTCGACGATGTTCTCCAATGTTTCCTTGGCATTTGACCAACCACTCTCCAATGCACCTTCGGTGTTTTCAATGGCATGGTCAACAGTCTCCTTGGCATTGGCGGCCGATTGGTTGATAGCTTCCTTGGCATCGACAGCCTTGTTGACAATAGCTTCCTTGGCATCAACGGTCTTGTTGACAATAGTCTCTTTGACATCGACAGCCTTTTCCTTTGCATTCTTGACACCCTTTTCAACATTCTTTTTCGAGTTCTCTTTGAAATTGTCAAATGATTTGAGATTCTCTTGGACACTATCCACAACATTTTCTCCACCTTTTTCAATAGAGTCAACGGTTGTATTTAATGATCTCTTTATTTCACGAGCAGATCCTCTCATTTCTCCTTTAATATCATCTCCTTTACCCACTAAAAAAAAAAATAATTAAATAATAATTAAAAAAAAGTATTAATATTGAGCCTTTAAATAATTTCCAACTATCTCTTTTTTTAAAATTATTTATATAATTACTTTTTTCTTTTGCTTTTTTTAATAAATTATCTTTTTAAAATTGATTGAAAGGATAATAAATAGTAGTATAGTTTTTAAATAAAATAAATATTTTGAATGGTAAAATAGACCTAGCTTGTTAACATTAGTCTATGTATAGAGATTATGATTTAAAACATTTAAAACTAAAAGTAACTCATATATTCGTATGTATGAATGTATGTATCGCACATGAATCCATGTAATAGTTTCCATTCCATATGTTATTTTTCATAGATTTTAAAACAATTACTTTTTTTAGAAAGGTATTTCCAATTTGGAAAAAATTAAAAAAAACAAAATAAACAATATGTCTTTTAACTCAAAATATATAGGGATTACAAAAACATATACTCATTTATAGAGAGAGTTTATTTTAAATTCTTTTTTGGTAATGGAGGAGACGAAAAATCTATTAGGAGCTCGTCTTCTTTAATTTTTTTGTCTGGAACTTCAGAGTTGGAGGTTGTTGTATTGGTGTTCATTCCAAAACCATCCAATATCTGAGATGAAGTCAATGAATCTTGATTACTAGACGACAATGAATTTTGTTGTGCCTTTGTATTTGTATTTTTCTTTCCTTTTTGATCATTTTTTCCAGTCGATGGTGAATTGTATCCTATCAACGCCTCTTTACCAAGTGGCAATATATCTTCTAAATTTTTTGGTTCATTTTGATTATTGTTACCATCGTTTAATTGATTTGTTGTTGTTGTTGTTGATGGTGTCGTATCAAACCCAATATCTACTAATGATTCTGACATTTTTTTTATTGCTAATAATTATTATTTATCTCTTTAGAATAACTAACTAATTATTACAATTATTAATATTATTATTATTATTTTACTTATTATTATGGTGGAATTAAATATTTTATTACTATTCGTTCGTATATACTGACTGACAGATATGATATGATATGATATGATAGAGTTGTGTGTGTATGTATGTGTTAATATTTGTAATTACTGCTACTATGAAAAAAAATAAAACCTTTAAAAAAAACAAAGAGGGGGTGGTTCGAAACACTTTCTTTTAAAAGAATTAAATACATTTTTGACAGTTCTTGATTTGGGATCAAGGAAAAACATATACTTTTTGCAAATCAATTGGTGAATAATAATAATAATAATAATAATAATATCATTCATTCATTCATTGTAAGCTCTGCTATGGCAAGTTCTAAGTTGTTACAAGGGGAGGAGGGGGGTAGAGGTGTGGTTGACCTCTCATTTACATTTATTGCAATACATGTTTTTAAATATATTAATATTTATATATATATATTTATATATCTGGATTTTTAATTGGTAATATTAGTTGTGTTTGTGTGTTATTCTCTTTGGGTATATTATTATTATTTTGATTATTATTATTATTGTTATTGTTATAAGGTTGTGTGTGTGTTTGGATATTTATATTGATTAAACTTTAAATAAATAATTTAATAAATTAGATTTGCTTTGTGATAAATTCTAGAATATTAAAAGAATGGTGGAAAAGATTGGATTGGAATTAATAAATATTATTGATGTCTTTTGTGAATAAGATTGGTTATAATTAATATAATATATTTACATACCTTCCATTATTAGATTGTTTTAAAAATTCTTCGATTGTCAACATGTCATTTGAATTGTCTCTCTTTTCAGAGGTATAAATAAATTCTTCAACTGTGACTAGATCCTCTTCTTCATCAGCTACTATTTGATCTTCTTCATCATCGCTTTGTTGGTGGTGTTGTTGTTGTTGTTGTTCGAATAAACTCATAGGATTCAAACTAGTTGGTTCTTTGCAACTAAAGATGAATTCCTCGACGGTCATTAATTGATTTTCTTGTTCGATTTCAGGTGCAATATTTTCTCTATCTTCTTGTTGTTGCTAGAGTAATAAGAATATTATATACACACATATAAATATATATATATACAAAAGGTCATTGGTGTGTCAGTGGTTTGATCAATATTATTATCGTCATCATATGATTAACATCAGTCAGTCATAAGTCATACCATTCTACCCAAACTAGATATAAACTCTTCAATGGTCATGAGATCATTTTCAGTGGCTTGTGATTCTTCTGCATCATTGTTTGCATTCTGTTTCCAAGATTCTATATAGTTGATGGTTGCTCTATTGTTGTTTTGTTGTTGGTTATTGTTACCATTATTGTTGTTGTTTCTTCTTCTTGGTGGAAATGTCAATCTCATTTTCGGTCGTCGATGGTTGTTGCTGTTGTTATAGTAGGAACAATAAATAATATGAATGTGTAATAAAAGTATAAAAATAAATAAATAATAATAATAATAATAATAGTGATAGTACTAACTAACAAATTAGTATTATTAGTGTTATATTATACAAATTGGTAGTTTATAAAAATAGCAAAGATGTGAGTAAGGAAAGAAAAAGAGAGAGACTGAGACTGTGCTTGTACAACAAATAATGTTTAAAAATAAAACAAGTATGTATATATGGGGTACCGTTTGTTTATAAAGTAGTGAAAAAAGTTTGCTGTGTATTGGAGTTCTCTCTCTCAACAGAACAGTAGGTGGGTAATTGGGTGGTGTGAGGGGGGGGGGTTGAAACCGCTTATGTATTATTTCGGTGATGTGGGTGAGGAGGAGAGAGGGAAAGAAGAAGAAGACTGCTGTATAAAGTAATTATAATGTGTGCAAACACGACAGATGATAGTGATAAGTACAAGAATTAGAGAGAAGAAGAAGAAGAAGAATATATATATTATTAATTATTAACAACAAATAAATAATAAAACAAGACAGTAGAGAGGTAGGTCTAGCTAAAATAACAGTACAATAATAAACAACAACAGTTTTAGTTTTGTAGAGCGAGGTAGATTTGTCTCCCCTTGTCTCCCCTTTTATCACCACTTGTGACATTATCGTTTGCAGGCGCGTTTGGTCTAATATTTGCCGGATCAGCGATCTGCCCCTTTTCCTTTAATTTTTATAAAACTTATCCGCTGATTTATCCCCCCTCCTCTCACCAAAGAGAGTGATCGGTCTAAGACAACAACTCACTCACAAATACCCGCTTTTTCGAATCTTAGATACCACCCTTCAAAAATCCCAATCCATCCTACCGCCGGCCTTACAACAACTAGTCCTCATCTCTAAAAACACCAAACTTCTTCCTCTTCTTCTTTTTCTTTTTTTAAATTAAATTTCTCAGACTCCAAGAGACACAGACGGTTTCTAACCTTAAACCTAAACTGTAGCACATCTGTGAAATGGGTAATTCAACTTCTTCTGTTGATACATCATCATCATCGTCGTCCTCTGCAGGAAGGAAGAGGTCTAGTTCTACTCCAGTGTCTGTTGACTCTCTTCCCATTCCCAGTGGTGGTGACAATACTACAACAACTTCTTCAAGATTCCTTCAAGTGAAGGACAACAATAGCAGAAAGTCCAAGTCGTCAACATCATCACCGTCGTCAACATCTAAAAAGATCGAAAAGAAGTCATCGAGCAAAGGAAGTAGCGGTAGTAGCAGCAAAAAGGGTAGTAACAATAATAGCAACCCTCAATCACCCAATAACAATAACAATAGTAATGATGGTACTGCTAATACAAACGCCCCTCCTCCATCTCCACAATCTATAACTGGATCATTCTCACCTCCAATTCAATCGCAGTCATTACCATCGCACTCGTTTATATCATCATCTTCGCCTTCAAACTCTACCAGTCCTTCAATCTTACCAACTACAACAACAACAACAAACACAACAACCTCTTCTTCTTCTTCCCTTCTTTCAACCATTTCAGAAGCTCTGATTTATATAACATCAGATGATGAAATTGATTATACAAGAAAGAATTTAAGAGATTTGGAAAAGAATAATATCAAGACTATAGATGGTAGTGGTGGTGGTGGAACACTTGATAAACTAGTAAAGATACATCTTGGACACAATTCATTAACAACGTTACCAGATTGGATTGCAAACGATTGCAAGAGTCTACAATGTATAAATGTATATGATAATCAAATAGATCGGTTACCATCGAATATAGGTGAGTTGGAGCATCTAGAGAAATTAATCATTTCCATGAATTCCATTCAATCAGTCTCTGCCATTCCAGTCATCCCCTCACTACAACACCTATCGATGGCATCCAATTTAATAGCAGTCTTGGAACAAGATCACCTCGATCAATTTGTAAATTTAAAACACCTACTATTGGATAGAAATCAATTAGTAGACATTCCATCATCTTCTTTATTCCCAACTTCTTCATTACAACTTCTCAGTCTATCACACAACCAAATCAATAATCTAAATTTTAATCAACCTTTTATTAATATTTTAAAATTAAATGTAAGTAAAAAAAGTAGAAATGAAATGGGAAATATATTAATATTAATATTAATTCTTCTTTCTATTTTTTAGTTATCATATAATAAATTAAAAAAGATAGATGGACAAGTTTTAATACATTTAAATCATTTGGAAGATTTGGATTTATCATTTAATGAAATTATAAGTTTTGGAGATTCGTTGGAATCTGATCAATTATGTAACCTAAGATCATTAAATTTAGAATCGAATCAATTGGAAAGTTTATGGGAACCATTATTCAAGAATCAATTTGGAAACCTTGTATCTTTGAATTTGGCATCAAACAAACTTTTATCTCTACCAACATCGATCAATTGTCTTGGTCGATTGGAAATACTATATCTTGATAATAATCAATTAAATAATTTACCATTTTCATCTTCTTCATCCTCTTCATCATCATCATCTCTATCTTCTTCATTAAAAGAATTATATGTAAATAATAACAAATTAAATAATACTAATTTATCAAGTATATTCGAAGCTTTTGAAATATTGGAAAAGATTTCAGTTGCTTCAAATCAAATCGATGCCATAGAGATTGATGACTCTACTGCTCTTAAATCATTCAAATCGATTAGAATGATTGACTTGTCAAATAACAAGCTTAAAACAGTTTCAAAAAAGATTTATTCATTCAAACAACTTAACCAACTAGTACTGGCAAACAACAAGATTGAATCATTGCCATCAGAAATTGGTAAAATGGATTGGTTGTTGGATTTGGATCTAACTAAAAACAATATCTTTTTAAAACAACTTCCAAGACAAGTTTATCAAAAGGGTACTCAAGGTATTAAAGATTATCTTTGTAAATAATAATAAATGATTATATTTATTTCCATTTAACGAAATATTAGAATAATGATCCATATATATTCATCAACACTATATAATATTACCACCATCCATTACGAGCACCACGACCACCAAAAGCATTGTCAATACAAATATCAATATCGATATCAATATCAATGTTCTTACCACCACAACATCCACGACGACGTCTACAAGCAATGGAATTGACAGAATCACTTGATACATCTGAATAACTTTGGTTGGTAACATTTTGATTGGGTGCTGGTAAAAACATCCAAAACTCTTCATTGCTCCAAGCATCAAACCATTCCAGTTCCACTGGAGAATCAACTATTGCTCGTAGAGGATGTTGTGGTGGTCGTCGTAACCGTGCCAATAATATTGATATCGATATTGATATTGATATTAATATTGGCAATGGCAACAACTGGTGTTAAATACATTATTATCTACCAAGTCAAGCATTCATTGACTATGAATAGTCCAAAATAAAATTTCTCTTGAAGATATCACCTAAATTGTTTAATTATTCATCATCACAAACACCAAAATGACCTATTCCCAACTCCATATCAACCAATTGGAGACAAGTTTATCAAATGGGTACCCAAGATATTAAAGAATATCTTTGTAAATAATAAATGATTATATTTATTTATTTAATTGAGTTAATATTGTTGTGTGTGGGGGATTAGTTTTATTATTAGTTATTATTAATTTAATTCTATTTTCTTAATTTGATGATTTTTCTTTTAGAGAATGACTTCTTGCAAAAATATGAATTGCAAAGTTAACTTGAGTGGTTAGAGTATGAATTGATTCATGGATTAGTTTTGTGAAACGTTCGGATGCTTCTTCGTCACTGAGATCACTTCTAAACTTGTCACGAAGATACATAATGTCTTGCTCACATTTAAGTTCTGGGATACCAGTACTTAACATCAGCTCAAACATGCTGTAAAATATATGGTCATTCTTTCTGAGAATATTATAGGCCTTGCAACAAGTTTCAACAAAGAATTGAAAGTTTGGTGAATCCTTGTTACCAATTACATATACAAAATCTGGTGTTAATACAAAAGGAGCCTTTTCTCTTTGGAATCCTGCCCATGTTTTAAAATTACCAAGGAAATGTCCAAAGTCTAAAAATAAATAAATAAATAAAAATAATTAAGTATTTTGATCTTTTGGATTGATTTTTTTTTTTGTTTTAGACTTACCAATATGAAATAGATGACCAAATTTATCTACCATAATATTGTCGTTGTGTCGATCACCGATTCCCAAGACATAGGTGGCAACACAATAACCGGCACATGATAGAGTGAATTTTGTAACAGCCTTTTGATAATTGTTTTCAGTGAGATTACCATTCTTTAACCAATTGGCAATGGGTGTTTGCTTGAATGCACCAGTCATGCCACCGGCAGCTGCTTGAATCTTGGCGGCTGTTTCAGCATTTCCAACGACTTCGATGAGTCCTGTACCCATACCAGTGGCAATACAACGATAGATGGTCATATGTAAATCCAATCCTTCACTCTTCCACATGTGATCCATAAGTTTGAGTAGTTGCAACGTTAGAATATCTTGTCTAAGATCATCACCAGTTTTCACAATCATTTGAAAGTTGGTGGCGTGGAGGTCTCTGTTTTTGTATACTACCCATAGAGGTACTTTGGCGCTATCCATACTTTTGCATTTTTCGGGGATAATGTCCATTACCTTGATGGTCGGGTCAAATGGTACAGTGAGCGATGATGGTAGATTCTTTTCAGCTCGAAGCAATTCTTCGATTAAAGGTTTTCTCTTATCTAGAGACACTTCTTTAACCTGCTTTGCAATACCCTCGAGAATGCCAAGTGTTTGTATTTGTTGTTTAAATGGTTCGTGCAAATGTGGAGTAAATCGTAAAAATGCCGCCGTCAACAACCTGAATCTTTCACTAACCTCTTGATTGTCCAAGTCGGCTCTTAAATTCCAAAAGAATGGGTGTGCCAATACAGAAGTGTTTTGGAAAACCCGACCAAGCAAAAACAATGAAAGTGCACTTCCATGGAAACAATCGTGTTTAATAGCTTGTACCAATTGTAACATATATAATTCCAATTCATAATCTGTTATATGATCTAAACATTTTACTACATATTCTCTAATTTTTATACAATCTGCAAACTTTTAGAAAAAAAAAAAAAAAATTAGAAATTAATTTCTTTATCTTTTCTTTTTGTTTTTTTTTTACTTACCTTTGGATCTAATAATTCTAAAGAAGTAATTGGGGATAATAAAGGCCAATTATTTAATAATCTAAACATTTCACCAACACGACTGATATTTGTCCATTGTACAGATTGAAGTAATTTAGAGAGTGAATGAGGAAGTGTTTGACAATAGTATCTAGATTTCCACATTAATTGTTTCTCGTCTTCAGAGAGTGAGTAGAGTGGATCTTGACGTAGTATGAGGTTGACCTTTTCATGATCACCTATATCGATGGATGGGATTGGTTCTTGAGCTGTGCACAACAGTAGGTCGGGGTAATGAATGTTGTGTGGAGTGGAATAGTCGTGGAATTCAAAGGCAATGATGATGGCCTGATCCTTTGATTGTAAATTATCTACACAGGTGCCGATTGGGTTGACCTTGCCTGGCCAAAGCAAAAGACTGTAGGGTGTACTAGTATAAAAAAGATTCTCCGAGTCATAGATACGATGACCCACCCATCCAAGTGCAACATTATTGTCACGATGCTTGGCATTGATAGAGAAACATAATCTCGATCCAAGTGGAATCGAAGATAGTGCAATAGGTAGTGTAATCCATTCATTCCATACTATAGTGTCTTGGAATGGTATAGGTTTGCTTGTAACGGTTGGTGCAATCAATAAACCTCCATAATAAATACCAAATTCCACATAGATCATGATATTTGACATATCATTGGTACTAAAGTGACCCTTTACACTGGCCGAATCAATTTCGTGTGCGTGAAGTAGTCGGAGTTGGAAGTTTTCATGAATCTCTAATGCATTGATGGTTGTAGTTGGGAGTGTAATATCGTCTTGTTGTTGAATTGCATTTTGTAAATCTGGTAGTGCCGATGTTGATAATGATTGTTGTTGTTGTTGTTGTTGTGGTGACAGCGATAGATTGTAAATATCGGGTAGTGAAGTGGTGGATGTAGATGCTGGAGGAGTTGAAGGTAACGAGTCGGAAATCGATCCAATCGGAGAAGAAGTGTTGCTAGTATTGGTACTACCTCCCAACGCCTGTCGATTATGTTTTTGTTTCTTGTGACTGAAAATAATGTCGAGTATGGGTGATTGTCTGTGTGCATATTTTGGATTCTGGTCAAATATATTACTCATTCTAATGTCTTCACGTAACCCAAGCTCGTTCAACTCGACCATCGTTAGAGTGACCTCACCCGTTCTCTTTATACTCTCTACTACTAACTCGACCGACAAGAGAGGTACCTTTGGACGAATGTATTGGTACTTTCCAGTAATGAGGAATCGCCATTGCGAAGGATCAAAAGGCAATGTGTTTTTGACTTTTTCAGAGAGGATTGCCATGAGTGTCTCTGCAGTATGATTTCGTGTGCAACGAAGAGACTTGGTTTGGTTGCGGAGATGGATCTTGATGACGAAAAACTCTGGGATGGTAGAGGGAGGTGGGTATGGTGTAAGACGGGCATTTTCTATCGAGCCGGGTGTATCACGTGCCAACGATGCCAACATTCTATTCTTTCGGTTGAATGTGATGACTTCGTCAATATGTGCTTTCCAATAGGACGGACGCCCGTTGATTTCCGATGCCTGTAGATCCACAAGTCGCTCCTTGCACATGGTATCCTTTTCAATCAACTCGAATCGTATGCTCGTCTGTGTTCCATTGACAAACATGGACGATGGAGGATACACAACCAAATCCTTGATAGTCGACTCCTTGTCAAACAAAATCTCCGAGTTGTTCCACTTGAAGAAATAAGCTTTCAGATTATTCTTTATCCTGTGTCCTTGCATCTTGGCGGTTGCCCATGCCAGCTGTCTGATCGATTCAATCGTCGAAATACTCGATGCTGGTACCTTGATGTGATGTCTACACGGCAACAAAACAATCACATTGGTTTCAAATGATTCAGCCAATGCTGGAATCTCCTTTTCCTCTTCATAGTCGTCATGAACCGATGGACAGTTGTCATAGGTTTGCTTGTTATAAATAAATGATTTGATTATTCTCTTTTTCATTACCATTGCTGCTGCACTCGTAGGTGATGAATTATTTTGATTCGTTTGATTATCCGATTGTTCTTGTTGTTGTTCTTTTTGTTGTTGATCTTGATCTTGATCCTCTGATGATGATGATGTTTTAGAAATGAGTAATGGAGATGATGATTGTGCACCACTACCACCACCACTTAGATTAACACTTTCTCTTGGAGTAAAGAATCTACTACCACTTGTACCAAGACTGGCACCAATACTTGATCCAGCTGCTCCTCCTCCACTACTCATAGCCATTTGACTACGAAGTGATAATGAAGAACCTTCTCTTAGCGACATTGGTACTCCACCACCAACACCAGTTGATGTTGTTGTTGTTGTACCTGGTAATCCACCAGGAATTGTTCCAAGACTAGAACCACCTGCAAAAAACATTGACCCAGTTGGTTTTGTTGATGTCCATCTCTTGGATGTAGATGACAATGAAGGTGATCCAGGATTAGACGATGATGATGATGATGATGATAACATCAAAGGTGGTAGAGAATTTGATATCGTGCTAGCATTATTATTATTATTATTATCACCATCTGCTTTAAAAGATGATGGTGATAATGCAGACGATGCTTCATTTGATGCCAATAACAGAGTTCTTTACCTTTTCAATTAAACTTGGTGTAGTATTTAATTTAATATCTGTAATCTTTAAACTCATCTTTTTCTTTTCTTCATTTGGTTTGGTGTCTTCACCATCATTCAATGTTGAAGATGAAGCAGACTCTTGTTGTTGTTCTTTTTCTTTTTCTTCTTCTTCTTCTTCTTCTTCTTCTTCTTCTTCTTCTTCTTCTTCTTCTTCTACATTATTTGTTGAGGGAGTGGCCAAAGATTCAGTAGTTGTGGTTGATTCAGTGGTGGTTGTTGTTATCGAGCCAGCAACAACTACTGTATTCTCAACAACACCAACATGTTTATCTATTTTGTTATTATTATTATTTGGAATAGTTAGATAAACATTTGATTGTACTATTTTATCAGTTTGAAAGGATTGCAAATAGTTTAACCAAGATGAATAATTTGAATTTGTGCTATACTCTTTGTGGTTTGATTCAAAGTCTTCCAACTCTTTGAGTGTATTTAATAGTTGTGTCTAGAAAAATATATATAGAGTTATTAGTCTTCTTCTTCGCTGTAGATTGTAATTACTATGATAGTCTCATACCTTTAGTGATGAAATAAAACAAGGTACATCTGAATGAAGACATTTATCTTTTTGAATAAATACTGTTAAATATTCTTTGTTGTCTACTGTTTCTGTTGTTTCTGTATTGTTGTCGGGAGATGATGATGATGATGATGTTGTTGACGTCGAACCTTTATCAACAACTAGATTGATAGTAAGTAATGACTTGTTTGAATCTTCATCATCGATATCAATAACATCTAATGTGGTCGAACTCATTTCATCAATCAATCACGCACACCACACGTACTCCACTGTTGACTGTCTATATCTAACTATCTATCTAACTATCTATCTGTATTATCTATATTGATCTATGTTATGATGATTGGTTGGTTGATTGATTAATTAACTGTGAATAAATAAATAAATAAATTGAGAAGTGTGTATCGATCTGAAAGTCTATGTTTCAGAGCGATTTCTAAATTCCCTTTGCGTGGCGAGGGATGAGTCTTTTCGAAAAATATCTGTGAAGAGGTTTCGCGAAATTATAAGAGTTGTTAACTAATGATAATATATATTGTATTATCTTTCTTGTTCTTGTGTCTTGTCTATCTGTATTCTATTCTCTTGTCTGACAAAGAAAGATAAGGTATTTAAGAAAGAGAGGAGATTAAAAACCGTGATAGTGAAGAGGCGGCAAACAAGCAAACTAGTGGGATAAAACAGCCAACAGCCCATTTTAAAACAGATATTTTGTGAAAATCGGACTCTGCTGAGACTGTGATCGTAGGTCAATCATACCCACTTTGGTCACAAATCGTGAGTTTCTTTGGTGAGCTCGGTAGCCAACCTATGGGGCTCATCCCTATGACTCGACCACATTTAAAAAGTCAACTATTTGAGAGATGTTTAAAACCTATAGATCTCTTAGGGACCTATAGAGAGAGATGTATGTGTGTTTGTCAATATCGCCTTTATTATTATAAGGTTTGAATATAAAAACACAAAAGTTGTTAATTTGTACACAATCAGTCAACATGTCGATCCATTGGTACGTTTTGTTTCCACACAAATGGGTATGTTGAATTGATGAGAAATGATGAGAAAAGAATCTTAATTAGATAAAGAACGATTGGTATTTATCTACGGATTGGCATATGAATGACCTTTTCGGTATCAATGGTGCTTGGTGCTGGACATCCTGGAAGTGGAGCAAAATCATACTTGAGATCTGCGAATCTAATATAAATATAAATAAATAAGATGAATCAATCAAAATTGTTAGTATCCTTCCATTTCTTTGTGTTTGTTTGTTTTAACTACATACGGGAAGTTTAATGATAATTGAAGATATTGTTCTTGAATATAAATGAATTTTGGTAAACCAACAATCGATAAAAGATTTTCAAGAATGGTAAGGAATGATTCACCCTTTTGGACATTAAAGGCTTGATAGAATCTAATGATTTCGTCCTTGTTTTCTTCATAGTCGACTGGTACTGGCTTCTCAGAGAAGAGGTTGATATAATCTCTCTTGAGAACAATGTTACAGTCGTAGGTGGAACCACGAGAGTATAAGAAATTAAAGGCAGCAACGGCAAAGTCATCACAAGTGTTTGATGGAACGTAAAGATCTTGACCATAACTGTTCCAGACATCCCAAGTTTGGTAAACTAAAAATAAATCAAATCAAATCAAAATAATTAAATATTAATATTAATATATATATATATATAAATAAAGATCACTTTGTTTGTTTTGTTACATACTTGGGTTAGAATTATTATAGGAAATACTCCATGGAATGAATTGGTTAAATACAGAACCATTGATGGTGGTCATATAGGTTCTAGAGGCGGTAGAGAAATGCTTGGAATCCCAATAGGTGGCATTGATCCATGGGAAAGCGCAGAGAATACCTGCATTGCACCAGACGACTTCATCGGTACCGTTGATGTTCATGATGTTTGGGAAGGTGCCATTGGCAACCTCATAGTAGGCATCGTATTCAGCAGTGTAGTTGATACCGGTGGTCAAGTCATAGAAACCCAAAGCAGAGTGGTATCCACCCAACTTGCCTCCAAAGTCACCATACAATCCTTCAAAGATTGGTGCTTGTAAATAATAAACTTCAATGACATCATCTAAATTAAAATGAAAAAAAAGAAAAAAAACTATTAATAATCTCTTCTTCTTCTTTAATATATATATCTATCCTATCTCCTATATCTATGTTGTATGTTGTGTGTATGTATGATAATTACTAGAGTTTACATTATCGAATGGTGCTGGGACAGTTGGACAATCCTCTCTGACAACACGTTGTTTACAGAGTTCAGGATCATTGTCATAGACACTTGCAAGAGTAACAGCAACCACTGCAACCAAGAAGCAGATGATGCTCAATAACAAGTTTTTAAACATCCTTCTTTTGATTATTAGATCTAGATTATTTGTTAATATATCTATCTCTATCTATTTGTGTAAAAGTAAAAGTAGTTTTAAAAAAACGTCAAAAAGACGCAATAAGGAGGACATCCAATCTTTCCTCCTCACCTTTCAAAAGTATTTTATTTTTTTTAATTTTTTTTTTGGGTGTCTGACATCAGCAAATCCAAAGATATTTCATCTTGACGATGCGAGTTTATTGTTATTTATGTATAAAAAGAATTTTACTAGTAATAGTTACAAATTCAAGTATCAACGTTAATAGTAAGAGATTTGATAGAACACCCAATGAACGGCACTGTCAAACTGAACGGTGATTTAGGTCTTGGGCTTGTTGATTGCAAAAGCGACATGGTATGTTGTTTCAATTTCATGTCTGGAGATCCCTGATATTTCTATGAAACGGGAGGGTCTCTAACATTAAATTGAAGCAATATGCCTTGCCTACCGATTCACCTCTTAAAGGTTAAACTATACCATATGCAAGTTATAATAATAATAATAATAATAATATTGTCCCATCTCACTCAAAATCATTTATTATGCACTCTATTCGCTCACATTTCCTAAAACATCATCCCTGGAAATACAATAAATATTTGTATATTTCATTCCTTTTAAATTTAGGTTGATATGATATTATTATATTATTATATACATTTTGATTTATTTATTTTATTGGATGGAATCTATTATTATCATCTCGATTTTCTTTTTCCGTTTTGGTTTTTTGTCTTCTCTTCTTCTTCTTCTTCTTCTTCTTCTTCTTCTTCTTCTTCTTCTTCATTATCATCAATCTCTTCATCTAGTATTATATCATCATGATCTTGATTATTTTGTTGATCATTGTCGTCGTCATCTTCTTGAATGAATTTAGGCATTTTATCACCTTGTTTTTCTTTTTCAATTTCCTTTTCCTTTTCTTCTTCTTGTTTATCCTTTTTTGATTTTCTTTTAGAGGTGGATGTTGGTTTTGTTGTCGATTTTGAAGATGTTGATAAATTAAATAGATCATTTGAAAATTTAGCCAATAGTGTATATGTTATCGTATTATTATTATTGCTATTGCTATTGTCAGTACTGTTAGTAATGGTTGATAAATCATCTCCATCCTCTGCATAAAGTGTTTCCTCCTCGGCATGGTGAGGAAGTTTGGCAATGAAATTAATTAATATATTATGTAATGGTGAAATATCAGTATTTTCTAGAAAACAGATAAAAAAGAAATATAAATTAAATTAGTACAAGTGAAGTGACTTTATATATATTTCTTTCTTTCTTTATCCTATTTTGTTTTGTTTTGTTTTGTTTGACATACTTGAAAATTTCTTTGCAGATGAAATGATTAGGGAAATTAAATTTAGGGAAAATTGAACTGATCGTTTACTCATTTTCTCATTCTTGATGTACTGAGCAATATAGTCAGAGAGTGAGGAAATGATTGCTGTAGATCTGGCCAAACACTTGCAAATAAATAGAGAGGATGGAGAAAGTCGTTCGATGTTTCGGATTAATCGATTGCTATAGTTGGTCTTGATCAAGCTGAATATATCCTTGGCCACAATCTCGACAAACACTCCAATCAATGTTGATATCGTGCCCTTTGATTGGAAGAGCGTTACCAATTCTGAAAGTTTAAACCAATCTTTTTTCTTTTTACCACTACTACTATTGTCATCAACTTGTTGATCTTGACCTTCTTGGCCATCTTGTCCGTCGTCGTCGTCACCGCCGCCGCCAGCATTGATTGAAATACTTTCAAACAAGATGTTTAATAATTTAATGGAACCATTTGACAAGACTTGATCGTCATTGGCGTGATTATAGACTTGGTAGATAAACTTGGCGATGATGGGCTGTATCGATTCAAACAGCTTGGGATGGTGCTTCATCATCTCGGATAGGTTCAACACCAGTTGATACAATTCATACATGGTTGTTTTAGTGCATAATCCCATTGCAATATACTCTGTTAAAAATAATAAAAATACTCTAACAATATCCATATGGAATGAATTTTCCATTGTTCTAAAAATATCCGTTTCATTATCATTGTCATCTTCATCTTGATCATCATCATCTAATCTACTTTTAATACTACTTGATGAACTTCTCTTTCTCTTTGATAGATTCGATGTTTTGGTTTTAATAAATGCCTCTAGTGATGGAATTAATATAGTGCTACCCCAAACCAATAAATCTTGGAATAATCCAGAATCCTTCAAAAAATAAATCAAAAGAAAATTAATTTTTTTTTTTCTATCTTTTTTTTTTTTTGTTTAAACATACTTGAATAACCTTTTCACTTGTACCTTCAATATGGAAAAGGAATTTACCATACATGACAAAACCAGATAATAACAATTTGTTACTAACCAATGGGATGAGATGGTCATAGTTTCCTAGTTGTTCCTCTTCATCCTTTTCCTCTTGTTCCTTTTCAATTGATAACCCACCCTCTAATGCCAACTTTCTTTGAATGACTGGGAAATAATCAACCAACCCTGTTAATATACTTGGCATTAATTCTATTTGACTTAGAGTTGATCTTCTTGATTCTTCATTTTTCTACAATAAAATAAAAGTAAAAATTAATAAATAAATACTATTATTATTATTATTATTATATTTTACAATTGACATACTAATAACATATCAAAAAAGATTAATGAAACTGATGCCAAATCAGAAACCATATTTAAATCTTGAGCAACCGATTGATCTTGTTCACTCGTTTGTTGTTTGGAAACTCCTCCTCTTTTTCTTTTTTTCTTTGAATGATCTGGTGAACCTAAATCATCATCGTCATCATCATCATCATGGTCTTTTTGTATTTTTCTTTGAGTCATTAAATATTTAATAGGATAATTTAAATTCTCTAAAATAATATTTAAAACTTCACCTGGAATTTCCCATGAAAATAATGAAAGTAATAAAGTTTCTTTTAATTGATCTGGTGTTGATTGATCAATCTATAATTAATTAAATTAAAATAATTATTAATATATATAGTTTTCTTTTTTCTTTTTTCTTTTTTTCTTCCTATTTACCTCTTTAAAATTTTGAAGTAAAACTTGTTTAAATACTGGAAAATTATCAATACTAAATATAGAAGCTATTTTGATGAGACTACAAATAGAATCGATACGAGGTAGATCCGATGTGAAAAGCCAAGAATACAATAGGATGAATCCTTCATCGGTATACTTTTTCAACAGACCTTGGACAACAAACTCATTGTCTGGTTCTTGTAACTTTGGTTTGATCGATTCCAAAGCAACCTTTGCAATCTCTAACAAGTTTTCAATATCTTCCAATGAAAGTTCTCCTTCTTCCTCTTCCTCTTGTTCCACTTGTTCCACTACCTCTTGTTTCTTTTCTACTTGATTCTTTTTCTTTTTACTATTCTTTTTCTTTTCAGTTGCGGTTGTGGATGGTTGTTTTTTTGAACTAACTGGAATGGAAGAGATTTCAGGGTAGAGTGGGATGAATTTACTGGTTATAAATTTGAATATGATAGCGAGTGTTTTGGCGATGGAAACGACTGGAACAAAGTTGACGAGGTTCGAGTAGAACGCGACGATTGCATTCTTTTTGGACCGTGCGAGCAAGAGACAGCGGTTGAATATCTCGGTGGGCTTTTCATCTTCGTGGGGAAAGTAGGCTTCGACGAGCAGCTGCGTGATCTTTTTGGTGAGGACGGCGTGGTTATAGTCGATGACCATGCGCTCAAAGAGATGCTCGAGTGGCACAATATCGAGGTACCGGATGCTGGACAGGTCCTTGATGTAGAGCATGAGGTCGACAAAGGCGACACGCACGCGGTCAGACGTGTCGTGGATGGAGGATGCGAGATGCTTGAGCAGGCCAGAGAGCAGCGGGTGCGACAGGGCACATTGAGCGAGCAGGTATTGTAGGCCGCGGATAACACTCTCGCGGACTTGCACGCTGGCGCGGTCTTTGGCGAGATCGTTGATCAGTCGCACGAGCAGCGATCGCACTGTGGCAGCCGGAATAATCTCCCAAAAGCGCGCGAGGATGACACACACCCCGCGCACGGCCTCGGACCGCACCGACGGCGCCGGGTCAAACAGCAGCTCGTTGAGCAGGGTGAACTGCTGTTGCAAGCGGCCGTCAATCTCGGTCTGCTCCTCGTCCGAGTCAATCACGGGGAACGCATCGATAAAAATGGACAGTGCGTTGTGTCGCACCTTGGAATTGGCCGCTTTGAGCGACCGCCACAGGATGGCGTCGTAGATACGCACCAGCATCCCGTCGATCCCCTTTGTCTTTTTGTGTGTCTGCAGTGTCGACAGAATGGCCAGCAACGACGTCAACAATGGAGCAGACGTGCATCTAATGGCACACGACGCCAGTTCTTGCAGACACCCATACTCAATCTTGGCGATGATCGGTCCCGTCGCCAACTGCCACGCTCTGAAATAAACGTCGCCGTACCACTCGGCCACCGACTTTTTGCAGCCCACCAACTGACCCTTAATAGTCGCATGGAACGCGTCCACCAAGTACGGACGCACCGTCAACAGATACGCCAGCATCTTTCGACCCTCTGCACTCTTTATATAATGTGGTTGCACAAAACATTTCATCAATAAATCTCTCAACGATTCTGCATCTTCATCACTATACTCTAATAATAATAATGAACTTCTTATATTATAAACTCTTGTTATATCTAAAAATATAAAAATAGAAATATAAAATTAATCAACAAACAAATAAATATTAATATTAATATTATAGTTTACCTGAAACAATTGTTGATTCAAAAGACTTTGAAACTAAATATACAATGGTTTGGGGAACCAATTCCCCTTTGTTGGGACGATCCTGCCTATACCAAAGCTCGCATATACTCGATATATCATTTGCTAGTTTATAATAGTATTTTGACAGTCTTGCCAAAACATCCTTTCTAAATATATTTGTCAATTCCAACACTTTTTCACCAAGATTCATAAATGACAATATTAAATCTTTAAAATATATATAAATAATGAATAGTTAGTGTCAAGCCTTTACAATATGGATGAAACATATGATATGACATTACATACCATGAGATATAGTGATAATTGAAAACATATGTTCAGGTGGAACAAATGAAGATTTAGTATTTTTTAAAAAGTAGTTGCATATGACTAGAATTATATCCATTGATTTGAGAGCATTGATTGCTATGGTTCGAGCAGTATCTGTATCTATATCTTCTGTATCTTCACTTGGAATCATAAGTTCTTGTTCAATGATTGGTACCATTCTTAGATAGAGCAATTCAAACAACTCTGCATGATGTTTGGTTGGTAGCCATGCCAAGAACTCTTCTACATTTATCTCCTTTTCTTCGATACGAGGACTTCCCTTTCCAAGCATTACCAACCATTCCGTATCGCTCTGTGGTTGTTTAATTGCTTTAAACAACTTTTCTCTTTTCTTATCCATATTCTTCTTCTTTCTTTCTTTATCAATCCTATATATCTATATATCTATCCTTTAATTCATAATCGATGTATGTTTGTTGTTGTTGTTGTTGTTGTTGTTGTTATTGTTATTATTTGATTGTTGTATATCGATTGATTGTTAAATCGCAAATGATTGATTGATTGATCGAATTGTTGTGAATGATGGGTGATGGGGTAGACCAAACTATCTATCTTGTTGCTTTCATTAATGATAAATCAAACAGACCTGACAGAGATGAAGATGAAAAATTGGAGGGAAGGTTGGTAGTCAAAAAAAAAAAAAAAATCGATTTTGGCGCCAAACATGTTATAGGTATCAATCTAACTATATATATATTAAAATATTATATATTTATTTGTTTCATGTAATTAAGTTACCAATTCATTGACAATAATAAGGCGTGTCTCTATTATTGAGGGCCATTGATTAAAACAACAATATGACCATCTTCTGAATCAGGAATCCCAATACATTTAAAGTGACCTGATCCAAGAACCTATTCAATCAGAGGAATATTGTTAACAATTGGGGGTGCCTCCATTGATACAAAAAAAATGATGATGGGAAGATTTCATTTATATATTTAGTTTTTTCAAAGATATAGATATCTTTTTCTAAATTCCTATGAATAAACCGAAAAGATAAGATGGATACCTAGACAACAACAATATCTTCTTGTCTCTTTCTCATCGGGGGTAAAAGTCAGATGACTATTCGGCTATGACCCCGTTAATTTAATTTATATCTAATTTAGCAATAAGATCACTGGTTGATATTGTTGTTGTTGTCTAATCATGATGTTTGTCGAGAGATAAAGACAAAGAAGACTCTAGTTCTATCGGTTCTGTGACGTGAGCAAACCTATTAAAGAGGTCATTAGTCTGGCTCCAATCCCCTCTACTCAAAGTGACCAATACCACTTTTATTCTCACAAAACAAGCAGTCTGATGATATCATAGATATCTTCATCCAAAGAGTGCAACGACAAAAGTCGGTTTTTACACCTGCTCTTCAGCACAACCACCACCCAATTCTAGAACAGGACAGAGATAGAACGACGGAACACCATAATCGAAGCGTTTGGGGTCAGAGCTGCAAAACGCAAAAAACTTTTCTCTTTTTAATAATAAACTCTGCCAACTATCGATATTTAAGTAAATCAAAAGTTTACTCTATTTCATATTAATACCTATAAATATTTATTCACATATATAAATTAAACAAGTAATTTATATTTATATAACCAACCAAACAAAGAAACAAACAAAAAAGTAATATCACAAGTTAACTTTAACAATTTTCAAAACATTGTCTACATAGTTGACCTGACCTACAATTGTTGGCAACGACAATACAATAGGCGACCTGACTTTTAGTATAGATAAATATATAGATATCTACCTACACATACACAGATTCATCGATTAGTTAGTTTTGACGGAGCTATCATTGGGCGTGTTGCATTGGAAGAGGGAGGATGTTCTTTTTTTGAAGATATTTTCCAATTCTTTTTTTAAATTTTATTTTCTCTATTGCCACTCTCATTATTAGGTTGCAGGTTAGGTTTTTGACAAACAAACGAACGATCTGCAGTTTCCCATTTTTTTATTATTCAATTTAATTTATTGGTACAAATTACAATCCTCCTCTTTTTGTTTGTTTGTTTGTTGTTACTTATCACCTTCAACCCCCCATACACTGGTATTAGGAACTCCCAACTTTTAAAAGTTGCACATAATCATAACATCACCTCCTCTTCCCAACTCCGATCGGTACCGCCTCTTCACAACCTCACTATTTAAATCGCATTCTGAATCGTTTGTTCATTCATTCATTCATTAGTTTAGTTTGATCTCTCTCTCTATCTATTATCATTATCTTCTCTTCTCATATTTGTAATATAACATATCATTGGTATGATTTATCTTTATCTTTTATCTTTATCTCCTCTCCTCTATCACATATATATATGTGTGTGTGTGTGTGTTTATGTTAAAGTTGTCATTCTTTGATTTGGATCTATTGTTTTTGAACCTTTAAAGGGGAGAGAGCACAGAGCACAACCAAACACAAAGGTTAGAAAAGGACGCGATGCAAAAAAAGGATTTGGTGACGAGTTGTAGATTGGCGTGACGTACACTTGAATGGTTATTGTTAAGACATACCACACCTATATATCAAATTCTTACACCCACACATAACAATACATAACACAACACACAATCCAATTAAATGCTTGTTGTTTTAAACACTTCATCTTATTACTGTTAAATTAATTAAAACATTTTAAAACCAACCTACTACTCTTATCTTACCCAATCAATCAACCAACCAACCCATCCAAATCACAATCTTTATAAATATTCAATAATAATATTAACATTTGTTTATCTCTCTTTTTTATAATTATTATAGTAATATCATCATATTTAACAAATATATACAATACACCAACCAACTAAAAATGGACAGCACTACCGACAACAATGTTAACCTCAAGACCTACCAAACTCATCACAAGGAAGAGGATGATGGTGAGGAAATATACGAAAGCAAGGCCAAGACTGCCTTGATGCCATTGCGTGCCAAATCCAGAGATCCAGCCTCTGCACAATCTCGTCTCCAAGGAATGTCTGACAATGTCAAGCAACTCCTCATCGGTATTGGCGAGAACCCAGAACGTGAAGGTTTGCTCGACACCCCAATGCGTATGTCCAAGGCCCTCATGTTTTTCACACATGGTTATGAATTGACTGTTGATGGTATGTAAACATTTAAATGTTGACCAAAAGAAAGATATCAAACAAGTATACTAATATAATGTTTTGATTGATTTTTAGAAATTATTGGTGGAGCCATTTTTGATGAAGATCATCACGAGATGGTTGTCGTACGTGACATTGATATCTTTTCATTGTGCGAGCATCATATGGTACCATTCTTTGGCAAGTGCCACATTGGTTACATTCCCAACAAAAAGGTGCTTGGTCTCAGCAAGCTTGCACGTATTGCCGAAATATTTGCTCGTCGTCTTCAAGTACAAGAGCGTTTGACTCGTCAAATTGCCATGGCCATCCAAGAGGCTCTCAGCCCAATGGGTGTTGCCGTCGTCATTGAAGCTTCTCACATGTGTATGGTCATGCGTGGTGTACAAAAGCCAGGCTCTAGCACCGTCACCTCTTCAGTCTGTGGTATCTTTGAACATGATTCTCGTACCCGTTCCGAATTCTTTAGTTTAATTAGATCGAACAAATAATCAAACCTAATTTCAAATTCAAATTAATTAATTAATTCCCCCCCAACATATGTTTATATTTCTTCTTCTTCATCATACCATATAATAATAATAATAATAATAGCAACAGAGAGCCGAATCAACTAACCATTCAATTCAATTCCATCATCCAACTACAATATTTGTATAAACTTTTTATTTTTTTTTTACAATCATTAATAATAATAACAAAAGTAACAATAATCAATAATAATAATAATAATAATATGATGCTACAAATGGATTTTGCAAACAATCCATACCTCCCCTTCCCTCCCCTTCCCTTCCTTATCTACCAATGTTGGAAATAGATACAAGTTGGGTATTACTAAAAAAAAAAAAAAAGAAATTAAAAAAAAAATAAAAAAACAAAAACAATTTTAAAATTAACTATAAAACTTTGAAGTATTCTATTTTGGTTGACTTGATAGATGATAATAGTAGTGGATAATCTATATGTTTAACACCAGTTGTTGCCATTACCAATATTAATATCAATATCAATATCGATATCAATATTATTAGCACGGTTACGACGACCACCACAACATCCTCTACGAGCAACGGTTGATTCATCAGTGGAGCTGGAATGCTTTGATCCTTGGAGCAATGATGACTTTTGGATGTTTTTACCAGCACCTGGAGTAAGTTGGGAAAGATTCTCTAAAGAAAAGAAAAGATAGAGATTTAAAAAAATAAATGGATTATGTTAGAATATTATTAATATCTTGATTGTGATTATTATTTTTTAACACATACTGAATAACATTTTGATAGTAATAGTTGTAATTAGAAAAGAAAGAGATAATTAATTAATTTAATTTGATGAATTGAATATTATTCAATACTCATTATTTATAGTTAGTATATGGAATGATCCTTTCAAAAAAACTTATAAAAAAATCCAAACATTTAGAGTATTCCTATTTTAGAATTGGGGGTGCATAGTCATCATCAGAATATAGGATTTTTGATTGATTTTTACAATCTTTTTAGACAATTCTAAACTATAAATAATAAACTTGTATGTAAACAATATTAAACATTTAAAATAAAAAAATAATTATATAATATAAATTAATTAATTATATTTCTTTTTTTGTTCATTCTATCTCAGAGATTCGCCTTGCCGCTAGTATCTATGTGTACTACACATCAGTGGCTAGTATCTCTTTAGAAAACCTATCAAAACTATCACCAATTTCAAATCATGGAGCCAATCAAAATGTAACAGTCCAAAGTTATTCAGATGTATCAAGTGATTCTGTTAATTCCATTGCTTGTAGACGTCGTCGTGGATGTTGTGGTCGTGGTAACAACATTGATACTGATATCGATATTGATATTTGTATTGACAATGCTTTTGGAGGTGGTCGTGGTGCTCGTAATGGATGGTGGTAATTGATTATATACTTACCATATTTGAGTTGATTAATAAACTATTATTATCTCCTCCAACTTCCTAGCTAAGATTCTAATCATGATCTACCAATAATAGTAATAGTTAATATTATTTAAATATATATATTATTATTTTCTTGTCTTGTTGTTGTTCTTTTAATATACGTATTCTTGGGATCCGTTCATCAGGCGACGAGAAGTAAAATGTTGTATTTCATTCGAGTGATAGAAGAGTAATACAAATACGGACCCAATGAAAGGCAACATTTTACTTCCCGTGAACATGGTTGGCTATCTTGATGTGAATTGATAAATTAGATATTATCCATATAGGATGAAAATGCAGTTGGTACCATGTCTTTGGCGGTTTAGATAGATCACTTTGAAATTGGCAGCAGTTTGTTGGTCTGGATCAGACATGAGTTTCATCATCCCTACAACCTCTCTCAACCGTTCAGCATCCTTTCATCTTCAGCATAGTCGCTACAACACAAACGAATTTGGTTGTTGATGTTGTTTCGTTTCTTTTGGAAAAAATCACGAAGTGCAACAACTAGATGATTTCTAGCAAACGCTGGGTACTTGGCAATTGATGGATGATTATCCACTGCAAGTTTGATTGTCTCCTCAGACAGATTGCATTGTTGGTATAGAAAGTAGGGTTGTAGGAGATTTCTAAGTTGACCTAGAGTAAATAGTAATAGTATATATATGTTCTTCGAATATATGAAGACGAAGAATTTAAGATCGTTATCATTACCAATCAAGGACCAGAATAGCAGTCGACAAATCTAATGTGGTTGCAATTTATAATTATTAAATATTTAATCAAGTTGAATTTAATAATAAAGGTAGTGAAAGGTTTCGTAAGTACTTGGTCGATCTTGTTGAATACCATATACGTATATACTATAGTCATACTTACGAGGAATTAAGAACAGTCAATAATCAAACAAACAAATGAATGAATGAAAAAATTTGTGCAGAACAGTAAAAAAGACGAAAACGAAGATCACCATCCTGATAAACGTGATAAAGATAAGAGTCAAAAGAAGGGCATCATAGGATCAACAAGACCTTTGCATCATGAACATCAACGATGCAGCAAAGAATAATTTACAAGAGTATTGTCAAAAGAACAAGATTGCTATGCCAATCTATAATACTACTACCAAAGGACTAGACCATGTAAAACAATTTATGGTATGTTTAACCTTGAAATGTGTATGATAACTAGCATAAATATTAATAATATAATATACATAGAGTACGGTATAAGTTAAAGGTATCAAATATGAATCAAACGAATGGATTGCATCTAAAAAGGATAGTGAAAAGCATGCTGCTACAATTGCATTGGATAGCATTATGGGGAGGAATGGAACAAAGAATCAGAATCAAACTGTGACTCAACCATTGGTAATACCAATCTCAAACAGTAGTAGTAGTAGTAGTAGTAACAATAACAGTGGTGGTAGTAACAGTATCAGTGGTGGTAGTAACAGTACCAGTTTTCAACCAAACAAGGCTGTACCTGCCAAAGCCAGCCTGTCAGTCGTCAATGGTAGAAACATTAATGGAGATATAAGTAAATTACCCAATTTGACAATCTATTATATCATCAGTTTAATAGAGAATGATATAGATTTAATTTGTTTCTTGTTTACTTGTAAATCATTATTTAAATTAATTAAAGTAACAAGAAAAGATTTAAATCAAATCACAAATAACAACAAAAATAATAATAATCAAAATAATAATAATGGAAAGGTTAGAACAAAACAAGAAATGAAATATGATCAAGAAACACCACTTATTCAACTCAAACAAATCAAACTGTTGGATAGGAATAGTAAATTTCTATGTAATCAACGTTCATTGGACATGTCAAAGGATATATCAAAGTTGGACATGCAAACATTCAAATCACAATTCTTGCACGCTACAAGCACCCAAGTGGTCATCATGTCGTTGTATCCGTTCAAGAGGGATACGTATATTGAACATGTGGCCGTATCACACGATGATGATGAAGATGGACTTACTTTACCTCCAAACTGTCGTACACTGGTCTACAAAAACATGATGAACAACTTTCGACCATTGAAACACTTGGAAGAGTTGGTCGTCAGGGCAACAGACGAGATGATGGACGACCCTATCAAAATACCACAGACCTTGAAGAGACTGACTATGGACTTCCCTTGCGCCTTGTCGAAACTCCCCGCCAGTCTTGAACGAATCCGGTTCGAGTATCTCGGGGTCCCCTTTAACTTTTCAAGATTCCAAAACATGACCCATTTACAGGTTAGAAAGCCGTCAATATGTTCAGACATTAATTACAACAACAATAACAACAACAACAATAATAATAATAATAATAATAATAATAATAATAATATATTTCCACCAAAGGTTCAAGTATTGGCAATTCCAATTAACGAAACGTTTAAATGGAATGTACCATCAACTAGATTCCCAGAATCACTAGAAAGCTTAGAGTTACGGTGGGTGGAGACCCCACAAGAGAATAATAATCACAATTTAATAGATCTTGGCCATCTTTATCAATTAAAACAACTACGACTATTAAACATACCACTTTACGCATTCAACACGATGGTTCTACCACCTGCATTAAAGAGTCTAAAATTCAAAATATTCTCGGATAATTTGAAAGAGTTGGAGCAAACTAGACTACTCCCCGACACTCTAGAAACACTCGGCTTTAATTTCCAACATGGTATCGGGTCGTTCCCACCTTTAATGGTACCACGATCTGTCAGACACCTGACCGTTAGAGGAAAAGCCATCTTCCCAGAAGGCTTCCTCCCAGATCAATTGGAAACTCTTGTCATCAAGGCCATTAAATATAATAATAAGCCTGATCTCTCCACTGACGACATTGGGTACCTACCTCGGTCGTTGCAAAGTCTGCAAATAGCCAACAAAACCCATCTCACCTTTACACCCAATCGCGTAGACCAACTCAAACATCTCACCATCATTGAAAAGAGTACTATGTTTAAACAGTTATTACCGTCTGCTACCTCTTCTTCTTCTTCCATCAACTCTCTCACAATTGAAATATCTAGTGATAAAAAACCCTTCTCCGTTATCTCTCTCTTTTCTTCCAACAACGAGTCAACAACAACCCCAGTAAATATCATTCCACCAAATATTACAAATCTTACTATTCGATTGCCACATGAAATTGGTGAAGATAGTGCAGTTGATTTGGAAATGGACGATATTCTATTCCGGTCAAATATCGATACTCTTACAATCGAACAGGTTTGGGCCAAACAAACAATCACCTATCGATTAAGAAGAATGACTCAAGATGGATACATCTTATTCCTCGAACAAGAGTCACTGGCTGGTGGATACATTAAAGTGCCACCACCAAAGGATAGTAGTGAATGTAGTGGAAATCATTACCGTCTTTGTCACGAAAACTACGATATGTCAGACAAAGTATTGTTACTTAAAACAAGTAGGAACAAGTCTAGATGATTATGACAAATAAATTAACCAATAATAATAATAATAACAATATATTTATATAATAGACAAAAAGTCAAGAGTAAATTTATTTTGGGCTATATAGTCATAAATGGTTGGCTTGATTGATAGATGATAATAATGTATTTGTTTAACACCAGTTGTTGCCATTACCAATATTAATATCAATATCAATATCGATATTATTAGCACGGTTACGACGACCACCACAACATCCTCTACGAGCAATAGTTGATTCACCAGATGACACACCTGATTGCTTTGATCCTTGGAGCAATGATGACTTTTGGATGGAATGACCAGAAACCGAAGAGAGTTGGGAAAGATTCTCTAAAAGAATAGAAGAAGAAGAAAGAGAAATTGGAATGTTAGATTTTGTTTGAATATTATTATGATAAAAAATTTAAAATATTGTTTAACATACTGAATAGCATTTTGGTAATAATTGGTTTTGTGAATTAACTGTAGATAGAAAAGAATGAGATAATTAATTAATATTTAATTTAATTTGATGAATTGATTACCATTCAATAATCATTATTTATAGTTAATAATGAAATGATTCCTTCCTAAAAAACTATTAAAAAATCCAAACATTTTAGAATATTCCTATTTTAGAATTGGGGGTGCATAGTCATCACAGAATATAGGATTTTTGATTGATTTTTTTCAATCTTTTTAGACAATTCTAAAGTATTTAAACTCTCATCAAGAGTATCTTATTGAATTCAATTCATCAAAATATCTTTTTAACAAATAATTATATTATAATATTATTATATTTTGCTTTCTTTCTATACTCAAAAATGTTATTCAGTATGTATTGGATAAACCCTTTTCTTCCAATTTAATAAGATTCTAATATTATCCTTTTTCTTTTATTCTTTCAATCTTCTTTAGAGAATCTTTCCCAACTTACCCCAGGTGCTGGTAAAAACATCCAAAACTCTTCATTGCTCCAAGGATCAAACCATTCCAATGTATTGGCAGAATCAACCATTGCTCGTAGAGGATGTTGTGGTGGTCGTCGTAACCGTGCTAATAATATTGATATCGATATTGATATTGATATTAATATTGGTAATGGCAACAACTGGTATTAAATATTTTTGGACCATCCCAAAAGAAGGAATTTATTTTTTTATTTATTAATTAATTAAATAATTCCTATCAAATATATTATAATCAATTATATTAGTTGATTTTGGGTCAAATAATTATTTGATTAGAGTTTTATTTATTTTTTAGTCTTTTTTAAATTATTTTTAATATTTTTAATTTTTCCTTTTGTTTCTTGTGACCTTTCTTTTTAGCTCTACCATCATCGATTTCGTCATCATCGTCATCATCAAAATCTTCATCGTCATCGATTTCTTCTTCCATTTTCTTTTCCAACTCTAATAATCTTTGTTTTTCCTTTTCTTCTTTTTCTTTTTGTTTCTGGACGAGTTCCTTCATCATTCTAGATTCATTTTCATCGAGTCCCTTGAACAACTCTCTAGTGAATTGTTTTTCCTTTTTCTTTTCTTGAATGATGTTTTCCTTTTCGGCTTGGTCCATATCCTCGGTCAAATATTGTTCATAGTCCTCGTCATTGTCTTGTTGCTCCTCGAGTGCCTTTCTTCTTCTTCTCTGTGCAGCCGTTTCATTTTCTTCGTCTTGTTGCTCCTCGTTCATATCGACTTCTTCGCCTGGCGCAAGACCCAAGTTTCGTCGTACAACTTCTTGCTCACCCTTTGAAAGTGGCAACAATTTTCTAACCAAAATCTTGTGTTCCTTGACATAGGCTTCTTGCAACTTGGCGATGGTTCTCAAAGGATACATCATCTTTTTCATGACGGCTTCTCCTACCTCTTGATCAAATGATTCGGCTGAAGGGAATACCAAATACAATGTAACTCTATATCCAGTTGTTAAAAATCTTTTCAATTGTGCTACTTTCATTTTTCTATCCATTTCATGAATTCCTGGTGAAATCTAAATAAAAAACAAAAAGTATTAATACTTGCTTCTTCTTTTCTTTTTTTTTCTTTTTTTTTTTTCTTAACATACAAAGAGAGTTTTTTCTTTTATAGCTTCTCTCTTTTTCTTTTTAGCTAATAATTCTTCATAACGACGAATTAATTCTTCCATTTTAACCAAACGAATGACGGGTGGTAATTCTTCGGTACCTTCAGCCACCAAGAGAGCATCCAATTTTTCATCCATAGCACGTTGATATGCTTGACGACCAGTATAGAAACCAATTTGTTCACCATCCTTATCAATAAGACGAACATTCTTAAAGGCAATGATTTCCTTGTTGGTTGGACGACGTTGGACGCCCAATTGTTGCATAATGATGTTTGTCTTGTAGACAATATCCAATTCTCTTTGTCTCTTGATGACAAACTCTCTTTCATACTTGTTGAGAATAGATAGATCACCTGGCAATGAAACATCCATTTTAACGTCTTCATCGTCATCACGCACTTCAAAATCTTCCTCTGGTTCTGGAGCAGAGAATTCTCTCATGAGAAAGGCTGTGATTTGCTCGTCTGTTACATCCTCTACCTTTTCAAGTGATTCGTCATCTCTATCCTCCTCGTCGATATAATCGTCTTCATCATAGTCTCTGTTCTTTCTAGCCTCAATTTCTTGAAGTCTCTTTTCAATTTCTTGCATTCTACGAGATTGTCCACGTTTTGGTTGGTATGAATCTTCATCCTGGTCATTGACCTCTCTAATACTTTCAAAACTCTTTTGTTTCTTTTCGTAGGGGTCTTGATTGTCTTGTCCAGAGAGACCATCCTTTTTCTTGAATTCTTGGTCTTCTTCGAGTTGACCATCACGAGTGAATCTTTGAATAGCCTTGTAACCACCTCTCTTTCTCTTTGGTTCCTTTTGATTGTATTGTTTTCGCTTGTTTGCCTTTGCCAAGAGTTCTGCTTCAATGGCAGCTGGGTCAAGTTCTTCTGATGGACCATCCATCTCTTCTCCAATTTCTCTATCATCTTCCTCTATTTCTGGATAGTCATCGTGACGTTCTTCAGCCTCTTCGTTGGTTGGTTTGGGGTCATCATCCAAGTACTTTTCAGCTTCCATGTCTTCTTCTTCATCCATCATATCGATATCTTCATCCTCATCCATTTCCATTCCTACTCCTTTTTGTTTTTGACCTCCTCTTGGATTAAATGGTGATTGACCTTGTTGAGCTCCTCTATCATATCTTTGTCCTTGTCCTTGTTGTTGTTGATTATTTTGATAATTGGCACCTCTATCATATCTTTGACCTCTTGGTTGATCAACATCTCCTCCTTGTTGATATTGTCCTCTTGGTTTGTAATCACCACCTCTTTGTTCTCTTGGTACAAACTCTCCTCTTGGTTTGTAATCACCACCTTGTTCTCTTGGTTTGTATTCTCCTCTTGGTTTGTAGTCACCACCTTGTTCTCTTGGGACATACTCTCCTCTTGGTTTGTAGTCACCTCTTTGTTCTCTTGGTACATACTCTCCTCTTGGTTCTCTTGGTACATATTCTCCTCTTTGTTCTCGTGGTACATACTCTCCTCTTGGTTTGTATTCACCTCTCTCTGATGGGTTTTTGTATCCACTTGGTTCTGGTCGATCTAAACTTTGTGGTCTTGGTTGGAATTGCTTGTTGGCTCCTTGTTGGAATGGTGGTGGCTTGAATTCGAATTTAGCTGGTCTTGGCAATCCTTGACCTTCTTGACCTTGACCTTGTTGTCCTTGACCTTGACCTTGACCTTGTTGAGGAACATTAAACTTTAATTTATTGAATGCACCAGCAGAGTTGTTGTTGTTGTTGAATGAGAAGGTTCTTGGTGGTTGTTGATTCTGTTGTATTTCTTTTTGCATTTGTTGTTGATCCTTTGCCATATCGTTTGAGAATGATGTTCTCTTGGTTCTTGGATCGAATCTATTATCATTATTATTATTATTTGTAGAGTATGATGACGACGGTGATGATGATACACTTGTAGTAGTATTGATCAAACTAGTTACACTACTAGTAGTGTAGTACTGTTTGTAGTATTGGCTACCAAGCCATGTTCCTTTTGTGGAGCTCCTTAACATCTTCTCCTACTCTATCACTCTCTCTCTCTTCTTTTGTGGTGGTGTTGTTCTGCTACTCGAATGATCATCGATTATGCATCATTGCTCAAAAATACTCTGCAAAAAATCATACACCAATTTTCAAAAAGACATATTACTTTAATTAAATTATATTTAATTATTTATTTGGCAACGACAAGATTGATTACAGTTACAGTTATAGTACAGATACTCTTTAACACTACACTGGTGACAAAAGAATAGTAGTACAATAGAGTAGAGTAATAGATAGTAGATACGATAGAGACAGCACTCACTCGTTTGTGAGCATAGGGAGATATATACCAACACTTTATTTAGACCCGAGTGTCGTCACACTGCCACAATACACAATGAAAGGTTACAACAAATTAGATCAGACGAGAAGAGATACATCAGCAGATAGACCTATCCCTACTCGGCTACATTATGACGGTATGGTTTCTGTTCAGTTAATCGACTTGTTCGTTCAGTTGAATAAAGAGGAAATGGAGATAGGATAGCTTTAGGGAATTCCTCTCTCTTGTGTTGTTGACATCTTTGCATGCATACGTATGCAAGACACGATTTTTCAACAAGAAGATAAAGATGGGTTGGCTCGAACCCCCATACAGCCCTGTTTGGTCGAAATTTGTTTTATGTGTGTCTCTTGGGTCGTGGATGGTCCAACCAACCTTGTGCGAAACTTGTTTATAGGTTGAAGGCCTCTCCCTCGAGTCGATTTTCAATTCTTTTTATTCTTTTTTGTAAGTAGTTTAAAACTATAAATACAGATACATGTATTCTTCTTTCAGGATGCTCTAGATCACTCGTTCACTCGTTCACTCTTTATATTTATATACATACATATAGTCTTTTAAAAGAAGATCGAAGAAGAATAAGATGATGATAATTAAATATATTACATTGGCATTTATTGTTGTTATTGGTTTGATTGCTTCTTCAACTAATGCAACATTTTGCCCAGGTCATTTCACATTCCCAATGAATGTTAATACATCAGTTGGACAAGTTTCTGGTACCTATTTAAATGAGGCGCGTGCCTTTCTTGGTATTCCATATGCCCAACCACCTGTTGGAGCATTACGTTTTGCACCACCAGTTGCTGCTACCCCTGTCAGCAATGGTGTGAATGCTACTCAATGGCCAAACGCATGTATGCAGTCGGGTGTTACCAACCCAGTAGGATACACACAATCAGAGGACTGCTTGTACCTCAATGTGTTTACTCCACGTTGCAAGAGATTCACTGGGTTCCCACCCACCACCAAGATGCCAGTAATGGTGTTTATCCACGGTGGTCGTTACTGGACCGGTTACTCGAAGCAATTCCCAGGCGACCTTTTGGCATCCGAGAAAAACGCTGTTGTCGTCAGCATCCAATACCGTCTCAACATCTTTGGTTTCCAGTCGTTTGACAGTAACACCAACAATGGGTTGAGAGATCAACAGATGGCTCTCAAGTGGGTCAAGGACAATATCGAAGCTTTTGGCGGCGACGCCTCCTCCATCACCCTCTTTGGAGAGAGTGCTGGTGGTTCGTCGGTGCTCTATCACCTCTTGATGCCCGGCTCGTACAATTTGTATAACCGCGGTATCCTCCAGTCGGCCTGGCAGTGGGTTATCCCCACCTCGCAGACCTCGCGTGTCAACACGGCCACTTGGGCAGCCTCTGCCAAGATTGGATGCAACAATGTGACTGTCGACCCCGTCACCAACAAGACTGTACCCAACTACATTGCCATTCTCTCGTGTCTCCGTGCACTTCCAGCCACCAAGATCATCCCTACTACCGGTGAATCCAACTTTATGCTCCCAATGGTTGACGGCGACCTCATCACCACCCTTCCACTAAACTCGTTCAAGTTGGGCAACTACAACAAGCAAGCCAACATTATCGTCGGTCACAACTATGACGAAGGTAACTTTATGGCATTTAGCAGACTCGGATTCAAGACTCCACTCGATAATGTCACCGATGCCACCTACCTCTCTGTTCTCAACCGTACCTTGCTCGTCTACTTGAACCAGTCTTCAACCGACTATATCGTCTCGCAGTATGAACCAGTCCGTCAACAACTTGGTAACTGGTATGGTGGGGCCGAATTCTTTGGTGACTATTACATCACATGCGGCTCCATCTTGGCTGCCGAATACCTTAACCAACAAGGCGCCTCTTTCAAGGCATATATTTTCAACTACTCCTCACCCAACTACCCAGCCGACGATTGGTTCCTTGCCGCCTCCCATGGCAACGAGCTCGACTTTGTTTTCCTTCAACCAATCTACACACCATACAATTTCTCCATGACTGACGATATCATGGCCGAACGTATGTCTAGTTCATGGGTCAACTTTGCCAAATATGGTAACTCATTCTACAGCTATTGGACAAGCAACTATCCATCTGCCTCTTACTTTGGTCCAAACGCATTTGGTTTCTTTGATACTGTTCCCTATTTAAAGAATATTTGTTCAATTTGGAAATCTTATTATGAACTCTACTAAAGAATAAAAAAATCATATTAATTATCAATATTGTATATAATATTCCAATATTGTTTGTCTAATATTTTTGTCCTCTTGTTGTGTCATAAAGCCGAGGGACGGACAACAAGGTAAGTTGCAAACCAATGGAGACCATCCATTTATTGCCTTGCAATATGACTTGATATTAGTCTGTAATCCATTACTTGCAGCATACTAAACAACTCTAGACAATAAAAGGTCCACATAGAGCAGGAAAGTTCACTTGGTATTATTGTAATAAATAAATATGGTAACTCATTCTACAGCTATTGGACAAGCAACTATCCCTCTGCCTCGTACTTTGGTCCAAAACCATTTGGTTTCTTTGACACTGGTCCCTATATATATTTAAAGAATATCTGTTCAATTCGGAAATCTTATTATGAACTCTGATATTAAATTTTATCGATACATACTATAGTATGATCAAAAGATGATGCAGATCTACATGACATTGTAATAACACTACCTTTAAATCAAATTTAAATCAATTTAAATTCACCACTCCAACACCACAATTGTTTGTAGAATGTGTGTGTGAAAGAGGAGGGAGGGAGGGAGCAGAGTGAGGTATCACTGCTATTTTATGTATGTACACATATCTTTAATCGATTTTCACATAGTAGTAGAAATAGAAATAGTAACTGTTTTTGTTTGTTTATTTGTTTAAATATTTTTTATAGAGGATGAAAAAAATATTTATATTTCCAGATAAAGTAGAGGTGATTACGAATGGAGAATATGGGTTTTCAGTCAATGGCAATCTCATTCCAATGCAACGAGAAGGAAAGAATTTAGTTTGTTTTACAGATATTGGTAAATGGACAGTATCAACAGGTACAGCTAGATCGATGGGTCTAGATACACAACTCTACTTGAACGATAGAAATGTTGAAACCAATGAACCTTACTATCCAAGCTATAAATCAATGGTCAAGGTATACCTATTTTTTATATTTCTACTATTTCTATTGGGACCTGCTTGTATTGTAGCTATCGTAGCTGCCTATATAGTATGCTATTTTATATTCAAGGATAGAACCGTCAATGTCTCTTATCCCAAAACAGATACACCCATCCAAACCACTGCTGTCCCAACCATTGAAAATATGGCCATCATAATCGATAATCCAAACTCACAATCATCTCCAATGTGTTATGACATTACACAAGATCAAGAAAATCATCCAACTTTTTCTTCTTATTATCCAACCAAACTTTTTTATCCTCCTCCTGACCCATACCCAATTGATCCACCTTCATTTCAACAACAACAACAACCACAACAACTAACTGTTGAAGTGACCGATTAATAATAATAATAATTAATAAATAATACTAATTATAATATTTGTAAATAAATGATTACTTTCCTAAATAATAATAATAGTTTATCATTTATTTTTTTACCTTGATATATATATATTCCGTACATGATACTAGTATTTACAATTTAGTTTAGTTTGATTCAACATTAAAAACTAAATAATTAATGTCATTTTGGAGAGTGACTTGGAATGAATAGGAAAGATTGTTTGGTAGAGTGAAACTGATGGCACATTGAGTTGGGTTGATAAGGATGTTGCCAACGCTTGATACAAGATAGTAGGTTGATCCAACTTGGAGTTGTGTTGGGTCTTGTACCCAGAGTGAGAGTGACCCGTCATTCAACTCTAGTGCATGTGTAGAGATGGATGCAGAGGTGGGTGAGGTGGATAATGAGGCAACGGCGAGATTGATAGAGGATTGTGTTGTGAGATAGACACCTCCTGAAATCTCAACCCCTTGTCCGAGCACAACCTTGGTGCTGTCGGCATAGACGTTACCGATGATAGATGACTTGCTGACGAGTAGACTGCTGCCACCATTAATGTGCAGGTCACCAGTATAGATACTTGCACCAACCAACTCGACCGATGAGTCTGCTCCAGTTGTGATGTTTGGTGAGGTTAAATTAGCACCATACAACGAAAATGAACATCTATTTTGAATGACAATTTGTGATAATGGTCCGCTGAGAGATACAGAGCCTGTGATATTGAGGTTTGCACTGTTGGAGACAGTGATGATGGCGTTGTTGATCGAGACGGGTGTGCTGCCAATAGACGAGATGGTACCGTCAAAGGTGAGGTCAGCGGTTGTTGGTGTGCCGGTCGAAGTGATGTTTCCAATGTCTACATCACCAATATAAGCTGTGATCTGTGATGGGATCCCCTTCTTTTGAGCGTTGAGAATGAGTTGTGCGATACTACCCGGGCCGATAATATCAGTGTATGGGATATAGTCGGATAGTGTGAGTGAGCCTTGGATATCGAGCTCGCCAAGTGTGACGGATGCACCACGTCCGATGAAAATGGAGCTCTGTGGCTGACTGACAATCGTGTCGATCGTCACAAGGGTGGGTCCGTCAGCCTGCGATGTGGGATAGAGGCCTTGAATAAACTCGCAGTTTGCACCAACCGCAAGCGAGCCTGGGGAAGGGATACTCACATTGAAATCGAGTTGAATGGAGGAATAGAGGCTGAGTTGGACATTACCAGTGGCCAAAAAGTTGCCAGTGACTTGTAGAGACCCGCGATTAGTCAGGAGGAGGTTATCGACTTGCACGACACTATAGTCATACGTAGTCACTTGAGAGTTGTTGATAACAGTGTTACCGTAGAGTGCCATGGTAGACTGTGTCTCTAGGGTGAACTGACCGCCCAAAAAGTATGCACCATTCGATGTAAAGTACGATGAAGGTTGTATTTGGACGGTTGATTGGTTAAAAATAGAGTATCCAAGTACAGAGAGAGTCACTTGGTATTCAGTATAGATACTGCCCCCGTAGAGAATTGTCAGGTTGCCAGCAACGGTGAGGGTTGATTTCTTGGCTGGCTGAACTGTCACAAAGGTGCCAATAGTCAAGTTACCGGCAATATTGACATTGCCTAGTTCCACCAAAACGATTGGACTGTTCTCATCAGAGAGTACAGTCAACGATCCGATTTGCAAGTGTGATGCCTTTGAATAGATATTTTGGACTTGACCACCAGAAAGAGGATTTGTACCTCTATAATCAATGACAGCAGTATCAGTTGGTAGACTAGGTGCAACACTTCCAACCCAATTGGAAGGAGAGTTGAAATCACAACCATCTCTATAACAATTCATCGATGTTCTAAATTGCATCGTTCTTTGTGCTTCCACATTACAAGATAACAATACAACCAATACTACAATTGCAATAGAGTATTTAAATGCTGTCATCATCTTCTTTTATATATTTATATAGTTATATCTGTGTGAGAATAGTGAGCAAGTTTAAATTAACTATAAATAAATAATATATATATATTGTTAGTTTAAATACTATCATATTCTTCGTGGAATTGAAAGACGATGTGTTACTTAAAATAATATCTTTCGAAAATGTGAGTCCAAGAACCATCATAGGAAAAGGTGTTTGGCAAGAAGATATCATTTTATTCGGTCAAGATATTATTAAATTAGGGATCTTCCCCAAACCAAGTAGGTCATAACGTCATGACTACATCTGACCTAATAAACTTGATTATTTTTATCTCGTAGCACCTTTATATTTATTCATTGTTTTAAATCTTTACTAGTTGATTGACTTTCATTCTTTATTATTAGAGTAGAGGAAAGAAAGGAACGAATGAATATTTTGAAGTCGCACCGCGATGACCATCAAAAAAAAGAAATAATAATATTTTTTTTTGGTGTGCAATATTGCTAACATGATTGATTGATCGATCGATTGATGAACATAGTGATACAAGAAGATGTTACAATCGAAGCATTTGCATCAGCCTTGAACATACAAGCAAGTCACACTCCACTCAATTCATAGGGTGCGTTCATTACGTAACTCGAACTAACAACATGCTTACAGTCTCTTTGGTTGCTAAATGTGTTGATGATACTGGCTGGTAAGATTGTTGGTCATATTGCTGCATCTCCTATCACTATCAACAATAACAACAACAATAATAATAATAATAATAACATTGATACAGACAGACAGATGTACAACAACTACAAGAACAAACATATGTTGAACTGAAAGTTCACAAAATATTTTTTATTATTATTATTATTATGATCAACAAATTCCTCCTCCTCCTCCTCAATGATACACCAACAACAAAATAGTTAGTTAGTTAGTGGTTAACTATTATTATATATATTTATTTATTTATTTATATATCTATCTTTTATGTATCAAACAACAAAAAGTTTAAAAGAAGAGGAGGAAGAGGAGGGAAAGAAAAACCCATTAATCTCTAATAGATTACAATTATTAAACAAGTTTAAAGATGAAACAAAGAATTGCCTTTTGAATGTATTTGCTCAACCATCATTGAAGAGTCGTTTGACCGATGAAATGTTACAATCAAATCAAGAGTCGTTTGAATTGGAGCCAATCAACATTCGTGACCTGTTGGTAGATACCAAACACACTGGTCGAGTATTGGTTGTCAGAACCATCATCAAAGCTTACAACGCCGACAATACCATTCATCTACTGGTGGAGGACCAAAATGCAGACACCTATGAACCTGTGGATACCTCTGCCTTGCTCGTCACTTTGCACAACTATGTGTTGCCAGGAAGGTTATCAATCCAACTTGAAACAAGTTCTATCTTTCACTTTGGTATTATTCTCGCTATCATGGAACCTCTTTCCAAGCTCAACCCCGATGATGGTAGCCTCCAAGTATGTGTCGACGATCCCAGAGATGTTGTTCCCATCCTTACGCCCAACCATCCCCATCTCTTTAACCAAACGTGGAGGGAAATACTCGTTGTAGAGCAACCAAAGAGTGTTGAAAAATGGCGTCTCGCAGGCAACGAGTACTACAGAAAAGGCAATTATGAGCTTGCGCTTGGTTGTTACAACTCTGGTCTGGTGGGTGATCCAAACAACACCGTGTTGTCACTCAACAAAATGGCAGCGTTGCTCGAGCTGGGAAACTATCACGAATGCATTCCTCTTGGACTTGTGCTCATGGCCAGACTACCCACTCAACAAAAGATCCCTTTTCGACTTGGCAAGGCATACTATTACCTCTGTCTCTATGAACGGGCAATTGATTTCTTTAATCACTTTTTGTCGTTGTCACCAACCGAACCAAGCCAACAAAATGCCCAGGAATTTATCAAGAAATGCAAAGTCAGAATCGGCGAAAGAGATCATGGCAAATTCAACTACAAGGCCATCATGGAGGACTTTGACAAACACCAAAAAGAAACAGACTGCAGCGAGTACATTGGTCCTGTCAAGATCATCCAAACTGAAAAGATGGGTCGTGGTCTCGCAGTTACCGAGGATCTCAAGCCTGGAACGTTGCTAATCGTATCAAGACAACGTTCTTTGACGACCAAAGCCACTAAAGAAGATCATGACAAACATGATATCCTTGACGAGGATATTTTGGGTGAAGCAAACCTTTTCAACAACCATTTTGATAGTCCAATCTCAAAAGCAATATCTAAACTCTACAGTGGTCCCACCGGTACTGATAAACCACTCCCACCAACAACCTTGGACGATTTCAAGATAAGTGAAGCAGATTTGTGCAAACCATATACTCATCGGGGAGATGATCTTTGTCAGCGCATCACCAAATACAATTCATTTGGTGATATGGGCTCTGGTGGAATACTTCTCCTTCCATCGCTTATCAACCACAGCTGTGTCGGAAATGTCGCCACCGTCTTTTATGGTGACACTGCCTTTATCTTTTCGACCACCAATCTCAAAGCCAACCAAGAGATCTTTATCAACTATGTCGATCGATACTTGTCGTACCCAAAGAGAATGAAGGCATTGGAGCGTTACGACATCACCATGTGTCCTTGCCAACTGTGTGAATTGGATCGTCAAGAAACCACCCAAAGCTTTCAACAAAGAGACCAACTCATAGATCAATTTGGCACCAACAAATTCTTTGAAAACGTTCAAAACAACCGTCTAAATTTGGTATCAGAGACTGAAAACATAGTTACATTGCTCAAAGCAACATTCAAAAACAAGACCCGTGCATCGATCCTCTCGTATGAAATGTTTCAAATCATTGGTTTCCTTCCTACCGCTTGCAACAAAGTATACCCTCGATTCCCCGAAAAGGCTTTACAGGCCTGCCTTGATAGTCTCGCCACTCTTGGTCTCTCAATGGATCAATCAGATCTTAAAAGAAAACTCACTCCAGGCGAGATATCATACCAAGCCATCACTATTCGTATGCCATGTCCACGTGCACCATTTATATTTGATTGTATTGACATCTATCATCAATTGGCTCACCACTGTTTCCAAGTTGGTTACATCCCATTTGCTCGAAAAGCCATGGCATTGGCTCGTCTTTGTTGTGTCATACACAAACAACAATCCATTCAAGATCAAAACAACTACTTTGCACAGAAACAGTTTTACAATCAACTATTATCATTTAATGATAATTTGGAATTGATTTAAATCAACAACAACAGTTAAATAATTTATTAATAAATAAATAAATAAATAAAGATAACTCATATGAAATGAAATATATCCAATGCATAGAAAGAAGTGAGGAAGAATGAGTAGAAAACAGAATTGTAAATAAAAAGAAAGATGATTTTATTTGAGAAAAAGTTTCTTTCAAAGTGTTAATTTAAATTTGTTGGTGTTTGGCAATATTGGTTGGTTGATGAAGATAGTGATACAAGAAGAAAGTCAATCTGATATTCAATCGATTGAGGATGTTACAATTGAAGCATTTGCTTCAGCTGAACATACAAGTCACACTGAACAATTTATAGTGCGTTCATTACGTAACTCTAACATGCTTACAGTCTCTTTGGTTGCTAAATGTGAAGATACTGGTAAGATTGTTGGTCATATTGCTGCATCTCCTATCACTATCAACAACAATAACAATAACAATAATAACGATACAGATGTAAATCAATCAACAACAATAACAACAACAACAACAAAATGGTATGGATTAGCTCCATTGTCAGTGTTACCAGCATACCAAAACAAAGGAATAGGTACATTACTAGTGGACCGTCTTTTGAGGAGTCTCAAAGATATTGGTGCCGATGGTTGTGTAGTACTTGGTAGTCCAAAATACTATGGACGATTTGGTTTTAAAGCAGACTCTACTAAATTAGTATTACCCAACGTTCCACCAGAATACTTTCAACTCTTACAATTTAATCATGATAGTAATAATAGTAGAGGTTGTATTCCTATTGGTATTGTCTCTTTTCATTCATCATTTGATGCTGTCAATTAATAATTAGAACAATATATAATAATAAGTGTACAATTAAAAAAAGGTCAAAGGTTTGTTTATTAACTAGACTAGAATAATAAAAGAGATGCTACCAACATGACCAAACATAATGGTAAAGTGAAATGAATCGATGAAGATTCAGATGGTTGTGATGTTGTGGTCGTGTCTGCAGTAGTGGCACCACCAGTAGCAGTAGATGTAGAGCCACCAGTGGATGTAGTATCAGATGTAGTTGATCCACCTGTATTGGAAGTGGTGGAGGTGGTAGTAGTACTTGGAATGGGAGTGGTTGGTGGAGGAGGTGGAGGATTGTTGGTGCAATAGTCTACTCTATTTTGGAATCCATTACACTCTACAGTCTCAATGTTGTATCTTGAGACACACTCGAGTGCCGAGAGTGCACAGTACTCCTTACCGCAATTGTCATAGATGCATGAACCAGGTGCCGGTGTCAGAGGATAGAGATAACTCACATCGACACCCTGCACACACTTGAATGCAGTCATACATTTGAAAAATGCCTTTTTGGCAGTTTGACAGGCTCCAACTTGGACAGGCTCGGTCGAAAAGATGCATGTGCCATTGACACATCCCCAATTGGTTGGACATCTGACAGAATCTGAACACTGGGCAAGTTGCGAGGTGACAGTTTGACATTGAGAATTAAAACATTTGGCACCGTTGTTGGCAAAATCGCATATATTGTCCGAGGTGTAGGGGGCACATGGCAGAGGACTGCCTGGTGCAACACTGTAGTATGGCACACACTTGCCACTGGTGCAAGTCGAGTATGGGTAGCAATCAATCACCGAGCAACTACCTCCATCGGCCGTACGATTAAGACATTGGCCATTGGAGCAGTACTGGTCGAATGGACAGTCTTGTTGGTACTGACATTTGGCTCCGGTTGGCAAACCACACTTACTGTTAATACACGATAAATTGATAGCGCATTCCGACTCTGATGTACATGTCTCTCCAACAGCCAAGTAGTTTGCGTATTGGCATGTTCCACCAACACACGATTTTGGGAATGCACATGTGCTGTCATTATAGTTACCGGTTGGCACTATAACATTCTGACAAGCTGTATCAGTCACACGTTTAGTACAAAAACCATTCAAACAAATATCAGTAGTTTGACACATATTGTTTTTGTCACTATATAAATAATAGAGTTGATGAGATGGGTTATAGATTAGATTAGATTAGATGTGTGGTGCAAAGAGTGTAACTATAGATACATACCATATTGCTCCAGTGGGTTGACATGTACTCTGTGACGACACAAACTGTGAAACAGATACCAATACTAATAATAATACAAATACAAATTTCATTTTTTTTTTTTTTGTAAAGATAATGAATGAACCATCAACCTATAGTTTGATGTAGTTGTAGTGCGTTTCATTTTATGTAAGTAAATATCTTGATTTGAATATAGTGATGTCACGACAAGGTGTCGTCGAACACCACTCACCATCCAACCAACCCACTTCGTGCAGATATTTCGAATTTCAAATAAAGCCACTGTGATTTTATAGGGGCCATGTCCATTGTCTGATTCAGTAGTCTGCAAACGATAAGATTTAAATCTTCATTGTATATTGTTGTTTTAAAAAAAGAATAAAATTAATGATTTGATTGTAGGTGGGGCAACAATCATTTAGTTTGTTGCATTGTTGTTTACTCATTATTTATCTTTTCCTCTATCTACTATACTATTGCAATGAACTTGATTTTTAAATTTCGAGAAAGAGATTGAAAGAATCGCAATGTGTTTGTTTGCGGAATCTGTGAAACCACATCAAATTGTCGATTGTGATCCGAGTGGACAGGTTTTCATTCCTCGAACCGAAATTCGAAAAGTATCTCATATGTGGAACCCACCTCATTGAGGCTTTGCCCCTCATCCCGACCACAAGATCTTGGTTTCATCATTTTTTTTTCAGCTGTTTGTCATTCAATCAATGGTCATCATCCGACCAATCAGAGACCAACCATGCAAAGCAAAAGGAACATCCTCAAAATTTTAATTTCTTCTTTTTTATTTGTTCTTTTTATTCATTGCTAGGCTATCAACCCACAAAACCCAGAGAAAAAGGAGAACCACATCATCATCATCATCATCATCAAAACTTGTAGAGTTTTTTAGAAAGAATCTTTTTTTAGTTTTAATAATCCCGCTGCTACACTCTTTGATCAACCCTACCGCCACCAACACCACCCACAACACTGATTATTTTTATTCTCTCTTTGATCGTCGGCTATATATCAGCGCGCTTCACTCACATATCTACCGAACGGTTCACTCACATTCATTCACCCACCATCCGCTACACCTATCATCCTACGGGTCACAATGTTTTAAAATAGAGTTATAGAGAGGAGAGAAACAAACATTTTTAAATAATATATATATATATATTGTAACATAGAATCTAGATAGATAGAGATAAGATGACAGACCCTAGAATCAACTTTGATGACCTTCAACAATTGTTGACAGAGCTAGAGTCACCAATCTTGACAAAGAGCACTATGCACGGTGCAAACACCATTCCCCCCTTTGTTCAACAACATTCATCTCCTGATCAAACCAACATAGATTCAACAATAACAACAACAACACAACAATCAGATAATAATAATAATAATAATGCAGTTGGAGGAGGGGTTGTAACAAAATTAGATTTATCAAATTTACAAAACAACAATAATAATAATAATCATTCATCATCATCATCGGAATCACCAGTATTAAAAGCATTGTCAGGTAGTAGTGACCAAATATCAAGTCGTAGTGTATCAGAGTATGGTGGTAGTAGTAGTCATGGAGGATCAGATTCTAATCCAATGACACCAACCACTCCACTGATGGGCAGATACATGATGCAAAAAGAAATATCTTTGGAGCAGTTGAGGCAGATCTCTGAGAACTCTCCCTTGTCAAAGTCAAACAAGTATGGTCGTGGAAATCCAATCCCTCGATTACAACTATTGACCGAGGAAGATGAAGAAGACGAATATGACGATGACGACGACGACGATGACAGTTGTAGCTCATCGTCTGAAAGTGAGGAGATCTTGGTAGCGTCGTCACGTGGTAGTACACCATCCCACGAAGTGTTGATGAAACTTATCAACAGTGCCAATAACCATCGTAACCAAATACACAAAAAACAACAATTGCAACAACAATTGGAGGAATTAAAACAACAATTGGATTTGGGTGCAAATACAAGTAGTAACAGTCTTGGAAATAGTAGTGAGATTAGTAATAATAATAGTGAAGAAATCAATGGAGTACCTCAACAACAACAACAACAAGATGGGTCAGGATCTGTAACTCCAACCACTACAACTACAACTACAACGACTACAACAAATACAACAAATACAACTAATAATGCAAGTGATAATAATAGTAATGATGATGGTGACCATCATGGTAATGGTAATAATACATCACCGCCACCAATGACACCAGCTTTGATGGTATTAGATATGGACAGACAGTTACGTAAATCAGGTATTAGGTTGTCATCGAATTTGGGGTCACCGCTCATATCGTCGAGATTGCCAAATCAAAGGGCCGGATCGTTACGACTCAAGATGATGGAGTTGAATGAAGAAGAGTACCAGTTACAACAAGAGTTTCAAGAGATGGAGAGAAGGGAATCGGTTAATTCAGCCATTCATCCAGACTTGACCGTTTCAATATCGATTGTAGATAAACTCGATCAATATGCTGGCGAGGAAGAAGAGGAACAAACTACTACTACCAACCGATTAATGATAAGTGAAGATGCAAGACAAAAGTCTATCCGATTGGACCGTCTTAAAGGAGAGGTGTTGTCACAATTAGCATCACTTGAAATTGACCCCAAAACTGGTGAGTCACTCGTCCCCATCACAGCTTCATTATCAGAGTCTGCTAGAAAGTTGCGTGAACAAGCACAAGAGATCAAGTTGAATCTACCTTTACCAGAGGATGATAAAGACCAACAAACACAGTCACAGACATCGAGTAACCCAGCATCACCAAGAAAACTTAGTGGAGGAGCAACTACTATAAAGGGACCTTTGGGACGAGTACAGACACGTCCAAGAGGTGACTCGATTGCTGACAAGTGGGATATTGGTAGTAGACGTTCACAATCACTCAATATGCAGAGAGTAGAGGGAGAGTTTATGTTCCAACGTACACCAGTCAGTCCACTCAAAAAACCCAACCAAAATATGGAAAAGGTGTTGGTGCATATCTCCTTGGTCGACCATTCCCACAAAGTTCTATGTGTCACTGAAGACTTTTTCGTGCAAGATGTGATCCAGTCATTTGCACAGAAACTCGGTCTTGTACAAACCGAGTTCTTTTCATTGTCGGAACCTACTCCAGACGGCTGTGACCGTTGGTTAGACCCATCCAAACTTATCAAGGATGCTGGTATCCATAACCTGTCCAAACTTGTCTTTAAGATTCGGTTCTTTAAACAACCCAAGAAACTGACTGATTCCAAGGCCGTACATCTATACTACCTCCAAATCCAACAAGCAGTAGTCCAAGGTATCTATCCATGTTCTGAAGCCATGTCACTTAGATTGGCAGCACTCCAATTTTACATCACCTTTGGTGCACATGACAAAGACCAACATGTAGCTGGATTCATTGACCATGCTACACTCGAAGGATTCATTCCTCAAGAACACTTTTTCGATAACTCTGACGAGTACATCCAACGTCGTCTCTATCGTCTCCACTCTCAAATCAAATGTAATTCCGTCATTGAAGCCAAACTTCGATACCTCGATCTCTCCAACAAGATTCCAACCTTTGGTGTCACTGCCTTTAAAGTTCATGATTATGTTCGTGTCGACAGTTCATCAGTCAGACATCAACGTACTCTTTGTGTTGCAGAAGATGGTCTATTAATTTCAAGAAAAGATAGAGTATGTAAATAGATATATATATATATTAATTTATTCTAATAATAATAATTTATTTTCCATTTATTTTTCCAACAGAGAGGATTTGATTTCTTCCCATTTAAAGGTTTATCAAGTTGGACTGTTACATCAAGAGGTGTTCAAATTCAAATTCCATTTATTTATGTTACTCCAAATGTAATTATAAAAAAAAACCACATATAGTTGGTTATATATTAATTTCTTTTATTTATTTTAGTCATCAGAATTAATGATATTTGATACAACATCAAATGATCAATCAAATAATATAGTTGATTTATTAACTGGATATAAATATTTTGTACAACATGAAGAAAGTTTAAAGGGTCTATGTCCACCTCCCCAAGTTGATTTTTCAATCTCTAGTCAATTTGCTCTTTTCCAACCACCAAGACCAAGACAAAAATCAGATCCACTTAGAAGTAGATTAGAATTATTTAAATCTATTTATTTAACATTGTATGAAATATGATAGAATAATTTAAGTGTGCAGTTTACTCATTCCTTTTTTTCGTAGATGTCAAAATTATCGTACAAAACATATATTAAAATTTGTTGATCAAATTGATGAATTGTTGGACAAGGAAGGATCATTTAGACAAAAATTATTATATTCAACCATTGATTTATCAAGTTCTAGTATTAGAGCAAACGATATATCATTTATTGGTGATGCATTGAGAGATGCCTTTAATACTCCAATTGAAGAAGGTGAGACCATTGTTGAAAATCTTGCCATTACAAGTATTGATTTATCAAATAATCCTTTAATGGGTGGTGATTTGGCTGAACCTTTGTAAGTCAAAAAAAAAAGAAAAGAAATATTATTTCTTTTTATTTATTATTTATTTTCTTTTTACTTTTTAGAAAAATAATACTTGAAACATCACCAAATATAGTTCATATTAATTTAAAGAATATTGGGCTTGCAGGTAAAGGAATAGGAAATGTAGTATCAATTTTGGAAAAGAAAAAGAATATTCAAACATTGCATATTGGAAAGAATAGATTAGCCGATATTGGTGTAAAGTCTATTCTCAAATCACTCAAGCAATCGACCATTTCAACGTTGGGTTTGGAAGAGACTGCCATTTTTGACGAGGGATGTATTATTATTCAAAAACTATTGCAAAAGAATAGGACCTTGACATCTTTGAACATCTCAAAGAATAAGATCACCGAGAATGGATTCAAAGTCATGTTTGAGGGGTTGAGAAACAACCAAGTGTTGAGCGAGTTGTATCTCAGTGGCAATCCGATTGGACACAAATATATCAACCGATTCCTCCAATGGATTTCAACAAACAATAATCAATTAACAAAACTTGCCATTGCAAGCACATCGCTCAACAGTAACTCTGGTGCAGAGATTTTAAAGATTCTCACTGGAAACACTTGTCGTTTGAGCGTATTGGACGTTTCACTCAATCATCTTGGCCCTGATGGATCAAAACATGTCATCAATGGCATTGCCAATAACAATACCATCCTTGATGTTTCCCTCAGTGGTAATAAGATTAGTACACTTGGATGTAATGAATTATGTAATTCATTGGAATTATCTGCATCTTGTATTATTACTAAATTATCTCTTAGATTTTGTAATTTAAATTCTGTATGTCAAAACAAAACAAAAAAACAAACACATTATCCAAATATATTAATTTATTTATTTATTTATTTATTTTTAGAAATCAATTTATAGAATTTGTAAAATGTTAGAGACAAACAAAACTATTACTCAGCTTGATTTATCATTAAACAAATTTTCTGTAAGTAAATCAAATATATTATTATTATTTAAAATAATTATTTTATTTAATTTCTCTAACTTTCTTTTTATTTATTTATTTTTAAGAAATCATCATGTCAAGCATTATCACAATCTTTACCATCAAATACTACTTTGGAAGAGTTTTTCATTACAAATTGTGAGATTGGACATAAGGAATTTGCAGCCATTCTACCAGGTCTTCAAATGAATTCAAGTATCAAGAAATTGTATCTTGATTTCAATCCAATTGGAAACAAGGGAATTCGGTTGTTGTGTGATGTCATCAACAATAACAATTCAATGGAAGTGATAACCATTAGAAATGCTGAAATTCATGCCAAGGAGGTACTAGAGTTCCTCAAGGGTTTAAACACCAACATCACACTTCACAAGTTGAATTTGACAGAGAATCCAATCTTTGGTAGTCGTGTCAATCCAGCCATCAAATCAAAAATTGAAGAAAATCTACAAAGACTTGCAAGATCAAATATTCAACTTTAAAGAAAAAAAAAACAACAAAAAAACATATATAATAATAATATTAACACATACACATAAATATATACTCTACATTTACAGATAGACATTAATCTTTTTTGTAATCTTTTTTTGTTTTATTGATTTCTATACAAAGGAGATGTTTTTTTTTTTTTTTGAAAATACTATATTAAATTAAATTAAATGAATGAATGAATGAATATCCATATCACCACCATTAATGGTTGACAATTATTATTATTATTATTATTATATATGGCAGGGAAAAAGGAAAAGGATTAATGGAAAAAAAAAAGGTTGATAAATATTATTGGTTATATAAAGATATATATGGTGTTTGTTCCTGTTGTTTTTGTTGTTGGTTGTTGCTAATAATAATAAAAAAATGATGGAGTTATATGCTGTTGGTTGGATAAATTAAGAATTTGGAACTTCAAGTCCTTCAAAATAAGGATGTTTCAAAGCAGCAGTGGCTGTAATTCTTTGAGCTGGATCATATTGTAACATTCTTTGTAAAAGATTCAAACCTTTTTCGTCCAATTGATGAATAATCGATCCTAATGGATGTGGTGGATGTATTGGGAAATCAGTCTATAGAGAGAAAAGAAGAAGAAGAAGTAGTAGTAGTGTTAATGATCATTTGCAAAATAATATTATATGATTCGCGATTATAATCAATCTCAACAAACCTTATATTCTGGCAACTCTACAATACTTGGCCAAAGTTCTTCATTGGGAGTACCAAGAATCTTAAATATTCTAAACAGTTGGTCACTTGTACCGGAACCTGGGAAGAGGGGTCTACCAGATGCCATTTCAGCAAAAATACAACCGGCTGACCAAATATCGATTGGAGTCGAATATTTTCTTGAACCCATCAATACATCTGGAGCTCTGTACCACAATGTAACGACTTCATGAGAATATGTTCTAACTGGAATACCAAAGGCACGTGCCAAACCAAAATCTGCCAATTTTAATTCTCCTTTCTAAATTTTAATAAATAAATATAAAAAAAAAAAGGTTATTAAAGAGTTTTTCCATGTGCTGATCAGGTCGTATGACTTTAACATACTCTATTGATTAAAAGGTTTTGTGGTTTCAAATCTCTATGCAATACTCGATGTTCATGACAAAAAGCTACACCCTTTAATAATTGATACATAAAAGACTTGATGTTTTGTTTGGTAATCTCTCCGCTACATTCATCCAAATACTTTTTTAAATCTTGATCTAAATATTCAAATACCAATGTCAACTTTCTTTCTGTATGAATTACATCATATAATCTAGAAAATAATAAGAAACAATATTGATTAATACACTCTGTGATGGTGCAAGTGATGATTGATTTGTTATGTACCTAACAATATTATGATGTTTTAATTCCTTGAGTAGTGAAATCTCTCTGATTGCAGTACATGGTACACCTTCATCTTCTGAATCGAGTCTTATTCTCTTTAAAGCTACAATATCACCAGTATCTCTATTCTTTGCTTTGTACACAATACCATATGTACCTTCTCCCAACTTTTCTATTTTTGAGTATTTCTCCATTATTTGTTGTTGCGCTACTATATAATATAATATTTATAATTTATATGAATTGATTGATTGATTGCTAAAATGTATTATAATGAAATAGAGTAGTGTTAATAGATTATGATAAAAACTACTACAACTATGCAATTTAATTAAAAAAAAAAAAAAAAAAAACTAAAAAGATAATTTTTTAACTAGTGCGAATAAATAATAATTCTATTATTATTATTATTGGTGGTTGGTGTGTGTTTTAATCACAATAATCAATTATTATTTTTTTTTTCGAATCGATCGTTCTTCTTCACGTATTTGTTTTTCTCTCTCTCCTCTCTTCCTTCTCTTCTTTCACTCTCTTCTATCTATCTCTATCTCTATCTTTCAAAGTTGATCTTCATCTTACTTTAATGGTAAAATAAATAAATAAATAAATAAGATAAGATAAATGATATAAAAATTGAATGAAATGAAACAAAGAAAGAAGGATCCAATGATGATGATGACCGAAAATCAGACCTCACCATTCATTTGAATGAATGTTTGCATCGATGTAAAAGTTTGGTGAAAGGCCACCCTTCCGACCCGACATAATTGCACCATTTGTAAATATCATATCGATTTTTTCGCTTGTTTTAGTTTGAACAAACAACCCCTACTACTATAAATTATTAATTGATCTATCCTACTCTATCTCTATTCTATTCTATTCTATTCTCTCTCTTTTGATAAATTAAATGGGATACAAGATGAAACTTGTTCATGAACATCAAAGATGTTTTACCAGCATATTTTTTAATAATTTTTTAAAAAGGAAGCTTCCTTGTTGGTAATCCAATTAAAAAGGGGGGTGGTAGATGGGTGGATGCGTGATTGTGATCTGCTGGGGACATCAACTCTTTAGAAAGAGAGTTGATTTGGTTCTTGATCGATAGATGGATGTATGTATATAATTGGCTAAACAACTTGAAACAAGTGAATCCGCTATTGATCTATCTATTCGATGCATATGTTACAAAATTTATTGTTGGTTTGGAATGGGTAGATTGGATAATACTACTATATTGAATTGGACCCAGGTCTTGTTTGGATATATACATATTTTTAAAGTGCCCATCAACAAATACACTCACCAATCAGATTGCTAAATTGTAGTGTGGTTGGAAACAGGGACCTAGATACAACCAAAATCAAATCATCTCCAATCAGAGATCCCATTATTATTATTATTAATTATTTCGTTATTATTATTATATTTGATTAAATCTTTGTATTATTTAAAAGGTGTAAGAGTTCTCCACATATTCCCTTTACCTTGTCATCTGCCTGTTGGAAATTAAATGATTTACCAGTTTCAAAGTCCATTTGTGTGAAAAATGCTAGTATCTAGATATATAACAAACAAAAGAGAGAGAATGAATATTTAAATAGGGTTGAGTCTTCTTTCTCTCTATCTCTCATATCTTACAGAATCTCTAACTAAAAAGAAAGAAAACATATTATTTTCTCCTCTAATATGAATATGTTGAACTTCGTCTTGGTATTGCAATGTTGCACCTATATTTATATATTGATCAATCACATCACCAACTTGTTAGTAATGTATTATATCTATCTTGACAATCAATCTATCTGACATGTGATTGATACATACCAAATGTCAAAGCATATGTTTTCAATTGATGTATAGTATTTGATAAATCCTTTTCTTTTTGAGTTACATTGGTTGTTGCTGCTACTGTTTCAACTCTATATATAATCATAAATGTTAGAAATACTCTTCTTATAAATCAATCATATTGATCAGTCGGGTCATCTTACATAATCTCTCCATTTTTGTCAATGATCAAACAGTTTGTTGTGGTTGGATAGAGTTGAGCTATATCTTTGAGTTTAACTTGTACTTGTTTCAATAGTTTTGGTGCTATTGCTGCATTACTCCTACTACAATTAGTCATCGTGGTTGATTATTATCTCTCTGTGTTTATATAAATATTTTTGATACTACTCTAAAAACTTGTCTTAGTTGTTACCCTATTTTCGATTTTTTGTGATTATTATATCAAGGTTGGTTGACAATACTCCATGTAGCAATATGTATAATAATATAATGGTGGAAAAAGGGCTTGCTAGTGAATTTATAGGTCTTGTGATTGATGGTAATGATGATAATGATAGGTGTGAACCATTGAAGCAATATCTTTTAAATAACACCGACCAATCTATCAAGTGGCTCAATCTACTTTTAAACGAAACGGTAGGTTATTATTATTATTCATGATCGATGGCAATAGCATTATGCAAAAGCAAGTAAGACAACTAACTAATGAAAAGGAATTATGATTATTAGGCATACGTAACAAGACTAGCGTATCCGGCTACCATCAACACATTGCGACTAGCATTTCAAGACACCAATATTAGAAAGAATATAACACCACAACATGTGAATAGTGTAAAAGAAGAGTTACAAAGACATTTGATGGCATCACACAGCAATGCATACTCTCAAGAACAAACAGTCAACGCAGCTTGTATAAATATTCTTCATATTGCACAAGTCCTAAAAGATGAATACAATGGTATGTTTGATTTGGAAAAAGAGGAAGAAGAAGAAGGACAAGGACGGTATTAATTTAATTAATTGATTCAAATTGACCTACAGATGAATGGAAAGAATTGATTGATTTTATAAACCAAGCACATTTACATGTTGAACAAAATAGTAGAGATTTTGCATTCATGCTAATGATTCAAGCAAAGCAATTACCATTTATAAGAGAGAGAACCGATCCAAAGGTGGCTGTTCTTGGTAGTCTGTCGGTCATGAAAAGTCGTGGTAAATTGGATTTCGAGTCTTTGGAGAATACAAGGTTTTTTGGTCTCATCCTATCAACCATCACATCTTTGCCACAAGGAGGAGATGAAAAGATCGATGCTTCCATTCGATTCCTTTCAGTCTTTACAAATGCTAGAGGTGAATTATCAATAGATATGTATCAACTATTAAACAAAGAGGCACTACTTGATATCGCATTGGCTGCACTTAATCCATCACAAAGAGACCTATATAGAATTTTATGTCCAATTCAATCAATGATTGCGAGATTACAAGGAGTATGTACATAATTAATTAATGAATTAATTAATCAACCTTAAATCTTTTCCTTATACTTATTTATTGATCTATCTATCTATCTATCAATAGAGAATGGATTGGTCAGAATTGGTTATACCTATTGTAAAATTATTTGATACTCTGTCAGTGCCAACTGATTCAGGAAGTCATCGAATAGTATGTGATATTTTAAGTGACATTTGGTCAATCAAAACAACAACACCAGATGAAAATAAGAAACTTGTATCAAAACCAATTCAACAACTATTCCATTATACATTGGTACGAGATAATGCCAACCCTTGTAACTTTTGGAAAATCATGAAATTTGCAAAAGATATCCTTCCACTATACCTCCCACTCTTGATGAAACATATTTATTCAGAGTTGGGAATCCGTAGTGGTAGTAGAGATACAGATACTAAAGAAGAAGAAGAATTGGAAGAAGATGAAGAATTGGATCAAAACATAGAAGAAACTATTTGGTTGTTAAAAAAGATTGTTAAAGTTGCTTCTCGGTCTGATATATATCCATATGCATGGACGTTGGCCAAAACACTTGTCAGATATCGGAATAGTACAACATTGCCAATCGTCTCTGGTCTTTTGGCATCGATTCGCCAGATCTCTAATGATAAGGACTTTCTTCAACATCGACCAACATTTATTCACATTTTTACAAAATTCTTCAACTATAAAATCAACAAATCAACTAGTCAAGGATCATCACCTTGGTTTATTGACAACGCTGTATCAATCCAGAATCTAATACAATCGGTTGGACCTTGTATAATACCTCAACACATGGTGATTAAATGTTTCACACAATTTATTGTATTACAACAACAAAGATTCCAATACATGGGATCTCGTCTAGATCGTCAACATCAACCTCAAATAGAATATCTTGGTCGTCTAAGTTGTGTCTCCAACCTCTTGATGACTCTATTAGAGTTGAATGGAGATGATATCCAGACAGAATCATATCCAGACACTTCAACAAGAAAACTTTGTGAAGCTTCAATGGCCATTGTAAAGGAAATCGAAATAGAACAAAGAGAATCAAACAAAATAGATGATTCCATCTATTTTAGAGATTTGTCAATATTTGGTGCAACCATTCTATTTTTTGTAAACAATTATGCAAATGTACCAGAATTATCGCCAACGTTGATAGAGGCATCATTACCAAAGATTGGATACATTATAAACATGTTGGGTGATATTATAGAAGAGACAGAGAAAAATGATCTTGGAAAATCAAGTAGATTAAGAAAGGCAATTAGGAGTGTACTAGAGTATATAGAAAACTATATATCAGTAGCTCCTTTGATTTCAAATCAAAAAGGAGAAAAGAAGAATGAAACTGTACAATTAATCAAATATCAAATTGTTACCATCAGGGATTTGTTTAGTAAAAAATAAATAAATAAATAAATAATTGGATCTCAAAAAAAAGATTGGAAAAAAAAAAGAAAGTACCTTGCGTTTATAAAAGCATATTTACAGAGCTCTTTCTTCTATATTAGTATTGCTAACAAATAATAATAATGGAATAGTAATCTTTTTTATTCTTCTTCTTCTTTCATATCATAATCCTCATCGGTCGTCATTGCGTCATCCTCGGTTGATTCAGTAATCCTTCTGTCAGTGGTCGATGTGGTAAAGGTCACCCAGGGGGTAGTGAATGATGCAGCATATTGGGGAATAACTTGTGAGAAAATTGATCCAAAATGGCTGAAATGATTATTTGCAGAAATAACTATATAGTCTTTGCATTGAGGGGCATATTCACAAGGCAAGACTGTACAGAGATATTGAATCACTCTAGCTTCTTTTGGGATAGTTAAACCTTTCCAATCTTTGACACTGCCTTTAACCTTTTGATACTCTTGATTGATGGTCGATGAATCAATGGATTTCTCACTATTGATAAAACTACTGTATTTTCCATGGCAAATATAGTGCACAAAATTCCTTCCAATCTTGCCAATAGATATTATTCCATATACTATCCAAAAGTGTTTTGAGGAGGATGATAAATGGAGGACTACCACCCAAATCAAAGTCAATATACAAAAATGGTATTTCAACTCTGTAATAAATGTCGCTGTTTTTGTAAAAGATTGATTTTGTACATATCCCAATTCGTTCCAAGTCTTCAAAAGTACGATTAGAACCCACTAATGTTTCCTTGGTCCACTTCTTCACCAATATACCAGTGATAGAATAAGCAACCAATGCATACACCTCTTCCCAAGGAATATCATCTATCGATGGGTATGAGCATTTAAGGGTTACTTTAGAATAAGTGACTGCGTCCATAAACTTTTATCTCTAGTGTCATTGGGATCTGATTTGGAAAGCTCTTCAAGAAAATACTCGAGAGCTCTTGGCCATCCACCAATATACAATAGGGCTGTCTGAAAATGGTGGTTTTCACTGAATACCTTCGCACCAGTGGTATCAACGATATTTTGAATATCAGATGTGTGATGAATCAAAGGGATGTTGATTTGCATGGTAGGATATGCCGAATCCATTGATATAGCCTTTTGAAGAGGAGTAAGGAGAGTTCCACCGATTAGAGATACAACAAATACGCCCTTTGGTGGGGAACACTGAATTGATCCAATTGCCCTGACCAATTTTTTGAGATTTCCTCTCTTCTCTTGATCACTTCCTGTTTCACCCAAAAGTCTTTGAAATTCGTCGATTGATAAATAAATTCCAATTTGGTCTTTCTTTTCAAGTGTTTTGATTGCGTTTAACGTTTCATAGAGGGTGAGTCTTATTTTTGATAACTTGAATTTGGTCAATACAACATTGAATTCGATCCCAAAGTATGCAGCCAAAACTCTGAGAGAAAACGATTCCTCTATACCCATACTAATTTCATCCTGGCTAAAATGTGATCCGTTTCCATATGTTGTAAATAAATCAACGTGATGAATTTGAGAGAGAGGACTAAGATCTCCACGGAGTAGCGCAGGATATTCCACAAGGAGACGTGACTTTCCTGTACCTGGTGCTCCAGCAACAACCATTATTGGATTTGCCTTTTGATCAGCAGAATTGAGTTCCAATCTTTTTTTGATTATCATCGTCTCTTCCAACAAAAGGAAAATCCTTTCCAAATGTACCTAATGGACTTTTGTGAGTCTAAATAAATCATTTGGTTAATAATGTGACTATATAAAGTAATGTAACTAACTTACTTTGTTTGCTAAAGGATAGTTGGTTGTAAACCATTCTATTAAATCTTCTAAGGTTTTTTCTATAAAGGTGTTGATTGTTAATAAGAAATGAAAAACAATAAAGGAATGAACAAAAGAATAGAGATGAAAGGAGTGTACGAATAAAAGAAATGAAATAAGAGAATAGAATGTAAATGTGAGGTGTATGCAACGAGTGTGAATAATGCAAGAGTAATTGAATGAGTGTGAAAAGAAGCGGTACTGAGATGAATACAAGAATAGAATGGAATGAATAATGATTGATGAATGAGAGATGACAAGAGCGAATACATAGGGAGTGAATAAAAGAGGAGGGAGGAGGTTGGTGAACCGACAATGGTACATGATTTGGATCAAAAAGGATATAAATTTATGATATGTAAGCAAAACAAAATGTTGAGTGATGGTGATTGGGAATAGGTTAAAAGAGCTGGATGGTGTATTGATGGGATAATAAAAACAAAAAGATCATCTACAAGTATGGTTTAAAAAGAGGGGCAATGATGATAGTGATTGCAACTGGTGGAAATATGGATGGTTTGGTTGATAATATTACGAACAACAGCAGGGGCCTGTAATATGAGAACAAAACAAAACAAAAAAAGACTAGTTGATGCACCAATTAGGTATTTTTTTGTCAATAGAGTGATAAAGAGAGTGTAGCTGGTCAAAAGGATTATAAATTTATGAATGAACAAAGAGGTCAGTGATTAGAAAGATGAACAAACAAAAAGACAAGGTGTTGAATGATGGTGTTTGGTATAATAGTTTACCGTAGGTGTGAAACAAACAAAAGGTGGAGTGAATATAGCATGATGCCACAAACAAACAAAATGACAAGATGTTGCATGATTGGTGTTTGGTTGATAATGATTGGAATAGGTTAAAAGAGATGGGTGGTGCATTGATGGGATAATATAAAACAAAAAGATAATCAGCAAGAAATGGCTTAAAAAGAGGAGTAAAGATTTTTAATTATCTGATGAAACAAGAAAGTATTGACGACTGGATATGTGAATCAACAACCAACAAACAAAAGGTGGAGGGGTTTTAGTGAATATAGCCAGTGATATGAATGGTGATTGGTTGATATAATATTTGGAATAGTTGGAGATAGATTGACCAACAACACTGAGGCAAGTGAAGGCCTGTAATGTGAGAACAAACAAAGCAAAACAAAATGACTAGATTTGAATGATGGTGATTGGTTGATGCAGCAATTAGGTATGTTTGACAAAAGTAGTGACTAAGAGGAAAAAGAGATGGGTCTTAAAAATAAAAGGATGTAGAGTGATAAAGAGTGGTAGTGTAGCTTGGTGAATGGATCAGTATTTGATTTGTATAAAAAGGATTATAAATATATGAAAGAGGTCAATGATATGTAAAGATGAACAAGCAAAACAAAATGACAAATGTTTAGTGTTAGGTTGGTACGACAATGGTTGGAAGTAGCCAATGAGGCAAGTGGTTAAAAGGAAAGAGATGGGTGGTGCATTGATTGGTAATGAAAACAAAAAGATAATCAAAAGAAATGGTGTAAAAAGAGGAGCAATGATTGGTGTTTGGTTGGTGTAAGAAATAGACTGGCCAATAATGAGTCAAGTGTCAAGTGGTCAAAAGGAAAGGAGATGGGTGAAAAAAAGGTAATAGTTGAAAGAGGAGAATGTAGTGCAATATCCGATGGAATGTTAAAATGGAAACAAAAGTTGTTGATAAAATATAAATTTAATGAAATATGAATAAAATTGTGTTTATATTACCTTGAGGAGCATCGGCTGGAGCACCAAAAAAAAAAAAGAAAGGAAATTTAGTGTCCACACATATTGATTTGGGATTAATTTGTACATACTTTTCGTGAGCTTTTCGATGGATTCAAGGAGAGAATAGGCAGAACCATCTTTGAATTTATAGGGACCGTCTGATTGAGTTAATCTTGCAAAGGTAAGATTTTTCAAAAACTGCCCTTTGATGGATTGATCTTTCAATGCTTGAGCATAGTCCTCCCCATCGGATTGATTTTTTGCCCATCCATACACTTCTTCAATATTCCACTGTTCCCAAGTCTTTGATTTGTCCTGTATAGGGTTGGTATTGTCTGAAACAAAAAAATGGTCAATTTCTTATTAATAACTATTTTTGTTCCAAATATAACTTACCAGTGCCAGACATTTGTTCTTCTTTTGGTGGTTGAGTGTTAGAGTACAAGAGATAATATATGAATTAATGTCAAAGAAATAAGGATAAAAAGGTAATAAATGAGCAAATGTGGTAAGGAATGTTATATGGCGGATATATATTTATAAATTAAAATACTAGGAGTGAAAAAAGAGAGGGAATGAATATATATGTACAAGATACTGGTGTCTCTTTAACTGATGAATAGATAAATATGAAATATATGAATAAATGGCAAAAAAAAAGAATAAATAAAAGGTTTCAGAAATAAATAACTGCTACTGCTGATGCTGCGGTATGGTGCTTCTATCATCAGACTCCAAGAAAAAAAAATATTATATTATAATTATTAAAAAATGGTGGTTTTATTTTATATAAATAAAAATCATTAGAAAATGTCTAATGGGTGAGTGATGATAAGGCAAGACTTTAATATTAGGGTTGATGGTGTGACAAGTATGTTTGTTTTTTTTTTAAGTAATATAATTTAAATATTGAAGTTTGTATCCGTTCCATACCTATTCTTCATATATCTATATACAGAATTCACTTTGTTCGTTTAGTGTTTTTGTAAAGAAGCAGATCAGCGTATGGACGTTGGTTCTATCAGGTTTGGGACCGGGTCAGATGTAGCGCGAGAGCTTGCTAGCTTGGGTCTTTATCAATATCTAGCCCTTTTCGGTTTTGTCGTATTTTATACGAATAGTTAGTAAAATTGCTGGTAAAACCATCCATACAGATCCGCCTCTTTCACACACGGTGTTTATTATTCTCTCACCACTACACTCGACTTTGCGACTCAAATTTTAATAATTGTATAAATATACTAATTAATTCATTTAGGCTTAGTTGCATGTACCCAAACCAACAATGGGAAAGTCACCCTCACTGGGGGCAACATATACAAATCAACCAACCCAATGTAAATTATAATCAATTAAATCAAATCCTACCTCCATATAATCAAATCCAACCTCCATATAATCAAAACAACAATTTAACTTATGATCAATTCACTCCAATTTATCAAATCAACCAACACAACAATGTAAATTATAATCAATTAAATCAAATCCAACCTCTATATAATCCTCCATATCCTAATCTACACCAACCAGTCAATTTTGGACAACAATCACAACAAACACAACAAACACAACAAACACAACAATCACAACAACAACAAACAAAAAGAAGAAAGACATCTTCACAACCAACATCAACAACCTCAACAACTACAACATCAACAACCTCTACAACATCTACAACCAAGAATCCTAGGAAGTGTAAAAAGGGTTGTGGAGGTCTTATTATCCACCACCCATATAATTCTATCTTAAAAGCGAAACACTGCCCATCAGTGCCGCTGCCCGAACCAATAACCACGGTGAATCTTTTATCTACTGGAGATACAACGATACCATCAACCTCTACCACAACAACAAAAACAACAACATCTACAACCACAACACCACCACCACCAACAACATCTACAACATCTACAACCACAACACCAACACCACCAACATCATACTTGGACAAACTTGAAGAAATCAAAAGAGATCCATACATTTCCAAAACTATATCAATTCGGCGATGCAACTACAAAAATGGATCTCCAAGTCAAAAGGTCAAGGACATGAATAATCCAACTCCACAAGACATATGAAACAAAATGCAACAAGATCACGAGATAGATAAATCTATTAAAGTCAGCCAACCAGGTGGACTATTCACAGGTCGAACTACATTTAAAGCAGTGTTGGCCGGATCATCCAATGTCGGAAAGACAACACTACAACATCGAATCGGTGGTACACCAATCGATTGTGTGACCCCTACAATAGGTGCTGCTTTCTATCAAGTTACACTTAGAGGAGTCATTCATGAAAATGAATCTCTTAAATGAATCTTTGGGATACTGTATGTATAATAATATGTATACATAATAATAATAATATTAATGATCATTAACAACCTTTTATTTATTATTTATTGTAGGGAGGAGTAGAGAAATTTAATGAATTTAGTCTATCTGAATTATATTATAGAGGTGCAGACTTTATCTTTTTAGTGTTTGATCTATTTGATCGCCAATCTTTTATAGATTTACCTCTATGGTTGGATAATGCCAATCGAGCTGACAGTGCTCATCGCATACCACCAAACATAATTCTCATTGGCAACAAAATGGATTTGGAAGCAAAGAAAAAAGAGAGACATGTTCGCTTGGATGAAGCTCAAACATTTGCTTTGACAAGAGGACTACAATACATTGAAACTAGTGCTCTCCAAAATGAGAATTGTGAAGAAATTAAAGAGTTGGTCTTGCATCATATCGACAAAACAATTAAAAAGGAAAAGGAAGCAGAGGGTCATCGTCGTTGGACGGACAAAAGAAGAACAAATAACTCACTCTATTTTCTTATTCATTCATTTAATGTAATGTATCATATAAATAGATAGATATTTTTGTAAGAATAAATATTTTCAGTATCACCATTATTATTATTATTATTATTATGAGAATTGGGAGTATATACCAGTTTCTTTTGATTTTCAACAGGTTCCTGTTTGATAGACATTTGAGTCTAGTAGTCTGAGTCTATCAACACTTTTGGACCAATAGAATTCTGATGACAAACTTTGAAATTCAAAGTCCCAATGTATATTTTAAATGTAAAAATTGTATATATCCGCTCCTTGTCTTGCAAATTCACCAAGGTAAGTACCATCTACACAAATAAAAAAAAAAGAGAATCAATTTCAATTTAATGCACAACTATCTTCTCTCTTTTTTGTGTGCTCTTTCTCAAATATATGAAACAAAATGATGATTGTTGATAATCATTAAGTATTACTAGTAATATTATATCTTATATAATAATAACAAATGCAAGGAAATGGTGGATGTTGTGGTCCCAATTGTTACCAACAAGATCACAAGATAGATGAACCTATTAAAGTCAGCCAACCAGGTGGACTATTCACAGGTCGAACTACATTTAAAGCAGTGTTGGTTGGATCATCCAATGTCGGAAAGACAACGCTACAACATCGAATCGGTGGTACACCAATCGATTGTGTGACCTCTACAATAGGTGCTGCTTTCTATCAAGTTACACTTAGAGGAGCCATTTATGAAAATGAAGCTCTTAAAATGAATCTTTGGGATACTGTATGTAAAATGAATAATGAATAATGATCATTCATTAACAACCTTTTATTTATTAAGGGAGGAATAGAGAAATTTAATGAATTTAATCTATCTGCATTATATTTTAGAGGTGCAGACTTTATCTTTTTAGTGTTTGATCTATTTGATCGTAAATCTTTTATAGATTTACCTCTATGGTTGGAAAATGCCAATCGAGTAGACAGTGCTCGTCGCATACCACCATACACAATTCTCATTGGCAACAAAACGGATTTGGAAACAAAGAAAAGAGAGAGACTCGTAACACTGGATGAAGCTCAAACATTTGCTTTGACAAGAGGACTACAATACATTGAAACTAGTGCTATCCGAAATGAGAATTGTGAAGAAATTAAAGAGTTGGTCATGCAACATATCAACAAAACAATTAAAAAAGAAAAAGAAAAGAAAGAAAATAGAGCAATGGAAAAGGAAAAGGAAAAAGAAAAGGAAATAGAGGGGTCATCGTCGTTGGACGGACAAAAGAAGAACAAATAACTCTTTTCTACTAGATCTTATTCATTCTTTCTTTTAATGTAATGTATCATGTAAATAGATAGATAGATAGATATTTTTTTAATAATAAATATTTTTTAATATTTTGGTATAATTTATTGATTTGTATTTCTATTGATTTTCAACAGGTTCTTGTTTGATAGACATTTGGAATAATGCAGAGTCTAGTAGTCTGAGTCGATCAACACATTTGGACTCTTTTTTCGAGGTCAATCTAATATCGATCAAACCTATACTACAGGTACCGACAAAGATGACAAATGAAGTTGCCAACCATTTCCAATTCTTTTTCGTCATTATGTACAATGGAACAAATGGAACGATTGGAGACAAGTTGACCAAGAAATTGACGAATCTATTTTTGTGCAAATTTAAACCTTTGAACATGGTGTACAAGAAAATTTCACTTGCGCAATAATAGACAGGTGTTAACCATGTTGGTCTGTTGTAACACACCAATGAAGCTGATAAAGCAGATAATATCTTTAATTTCTTTGCGTAGAAATGTCTGATTGAGATGAATCGAGAAATATCGAACCCCGAAAAGGGCTTTATCACTTGTGCCATTTCTATGGCTTCTGGATCATCATTATCTAATGCCAAATGAACGAGTAGTTGATTTGTTACACGTCTCAACACCAAATCATTCAGCGATGTGCTAGATGAATTGACCTTGATGGAAGACATAATTCTCAAAATGTTGGTCAAACACTCGAAATTATGTGTACGGTTTGGGTACCCATAGATGACAAACTTTGAAATTAAAAGTCCAAATGTATATTTTAAATGTAAATATTGTATATCCGCTCCTTGTCTTGCAAATCTATCAAGGTTTGTATCGTCTAAATAAATAAACAAAAAGAAAAGAGAAATATTAATATTTGATTATTTAATTAAATTATAATTTTAAATAAATAAAAGGATAAATAAATACCAAATTCAATAAGAGTTTCCAAAATCATAATTAAACTATTTAATATGTCACATTTTGAGTAACTGGTATAGGCCTTTTCGAGAGTTTCTTCACGTGATCGGTTGGCATTTATATTATGTTGGTACACTACATACATTCGACTATGAATAAAGATGTATAATGAACAGATTAAATCAAATTGATCATTCATTGCTTGGCATAGTTTCTTATTTTTTGCCATCCAAACAATTTGGACAACCTGTTGATTGGGATCTAGTATTAACGTATTTAGATCAAAGTAATTGTTTACTTCTTTCTCTAATTGCTTTAATGTTTCTTTCATCTCTAATACTAAATCATCCAAAGGTAATGGCAATAGAACCTCTTGTTCAGGTTGTAGAGCTACAAAATTGATACAAATATTAGTGTGTGAATTTCATGATTTATCGCGATAACGTTTTAACCAAACATTTTGATCTAGAGCGAGTTCTTACTTGCTGAATAGATTGACCATCCAAATGCTGCAGATCCAAGATCGAATCAAGATTATAAAAAATGATTATAAAGAGTTTACAGGACGAACTAAATTCAAAGCAGTGTTGATTGGATCGTCTTGTGTCGGCAAGACAACACTCGAGAGAAAATTGTCTGGCAAACCACTAAGTGATTTGGTAGTTACAATCGGATCAGAATTTAGTCACTTTCCAATTCAAATCGATCGTCAACCAATTATGATTGAACTTTGGGATACTGTATGTATAATCATATGATTACGTAGATATTCATTGCAAAAGAGATAAAACTCAGTTACTAAATATCGTTATTATGATTTTTTTTTCTATACTTTTTAAAAGTTTGGACAAGAAAGGTTTCGGAGACTACCATTTAGTTATTATAGATCAGCAGACTTTATATTTTTAGTATTTGATATATCGAACCGTCAATCTTTTATAGATTTGCCAGAGTGGTTGGATCATACCGATCATTTTGAATTGGGTAAAGAACCATACACAATTCTCATTGGCAATAAATTGGATTTACAAAATCAACAACAGAGATTGGTTAGTTTTGACGAAGCTCAAACATTTGCACTCCAAAAAGGATTACAATATATTGAAATTAGTGCATTGCACGATGATAGTTGTGATGTCATCAAGGATTTGGTCTGTCTACATATCAAACAAAAGATTAAAAATGAACAACTAGAACAAGAAACGAGGGATAAATCATTTGTTAATGAATAATCAATAATTAATAAAGGAATATTAATAATGATGATAGTAAACGATTGAAACAATCATTGGCATTGGGATCGAAAAGAGTATTCTCAGTTTGTATCAAACAATCTCTTTACCAACATCACCATCGCCATCTATTATTATTTTTTTAATTTAATTTATTTTTTTCCTGTACAGATCTCTTCTTATGTATTGTTTGAGTGCTTGTTTGTTATTGTGATCCGCATTGGTTTCTACACCTTTTAATAATTCCGAAACTATTGATGATATCCAAGGACATCCATTATCATCATTATTATAATTATCACCATTATTATTATTATTATTAAATTTAGGATTGGGAATGATTTTATTATAAATAAAATCAACCAATTCAACTGATCCATATCTTCCAATCACTTCCCAACAGGAATAATCTTGTATTGTAAGAGGAATATCCTTGTCCAACAATTCCACCACCACTTGAAAATCCAAAGCTTTGATGGCGGGGTCGATGCAGATGGTCTGCTTGTAGTGGTGCTCGTACAGGTATACCATTGCACTGAGACACCTGCTTAACATCACCACATCCACCACTCGTTTTTTGTTAGTGCCAGAGTGTTTCCACAGGTATTTCACCAGATTGACACTTTCCTCCGGCTCTAGATCAGATAGTAGTGGTATGACTGCATTTGGATTGTAGTATCGTGCCTTTTTAACAGAGTCGCAAGTGACCGTTTTAATCGTTGCCAATCCATGCAAACTGGGAATATCCAATAGTATCTTGTCGACAATTGGAAACTGTTCTTGGGAAATTGCCGTACGTACCAACAAATCCAATCCAAGAAAGTAGGTCATTCTGACGTTATGTTCACCAAACATCAGGTACTCTACCATCTGCCAATTCCGTGAGGTTAAATAGGTGCGTAGGTATCCCTCCAAGTCTCTGGTTTCGATGGAGATGCTAATTCGATTACGTTTGGATTGTTGGGATTGTTGGGTCTGTCCTTTCTCCAATAGAAACTTTAAAATTCGGACATCGTCACATGTCACCTTTTCGATTGAATGTCCAATACTATAGTAAGTGTTGTCGTCCAATAAATTAGGAAACTTGTCGAAATAGTAAAACGAATCTTGGATTTGTTCGAATGAGCCATGTTGACAAATTAAATTAAAAGTAAAATTGTGTGCCAAAAACTCGATTGAAGCTCTGCCAGCAGTTCCATCTGTATTTGTTTTACGAATGGATTCCAGTGTCTTTATAACTGGTTCGATGTGTGCTATTTGATATGGTTTAAGATGACGAGCAAGTGCAAATAACCAAATCATACAATAATCATTTGTTTTTGTTGTAGTTGTTATTGTAGTTGATAAAGTTGGAAATAATGGTTGAACTCTATTATTTATAATTTCAATTATATTATTATTATTATTATTATTATTTTCCCAAATAATTATAGAACATTGATATAATCTATTTATACTATTTGGACCACTGTTAATTGTAAGTGAAGAGAATATATCGTTTAGTTTGGTGTTGAGAACGTCGGCAAACATATTCTTTAGGCGATTGTGTGTCTTGAATGCTTCGATTTCCGCACGTACGAGGTCGGGATTGTTTGAGAGGAGGATGGCGTGTGCTCGATCACCAAAGGCAATGTCAAAGGCAGCAAGAGAGAGAAGACGATAGAAATGGGCAATGGTATCTTGGTGCATATAGTTCGCATCAAATTTACATTCTTTTCTTGTATTGGAATCTTTTGGCCGAAAGATTGACCGCCAAACAGGAGGGGTAGGTTCGGTAGGTACCAAGTAATTAGTCTCCAAGAATCGACTAAACTCCTCTCCAATCTCATCCAAAATAAGTCTTGTTACCAAATGTGCTTGACGTGTATACACAAGATTCCAAAGGAATTGTACAAGGTATGGTACCTTGTCTTCATTAAGTTGATTTAATAATATTTTAAAAATTGTTGAATAATTATTATTATTATTATTATTATTGTTGTCATTATTGTAGTTGTAAAAAGATTTAAAATAATTTAATAAATCTTTATAAAGATTAAAAGGTGATAATATTATAGTTGATTGATAATAATCTGATAAACAGTTATGGTTGATAAAGTTGATGAATAATTGCCACACTTGTACATTATCAAAGCGAGTAGCAGTGTGTAAATGATGGAGTGCCACCATTTCAAGGCTGGGTGCCTCGACTGTTAACAGTTGTTTGTATTCCTCGGAGAAATAGGTGAGCATTTGACTGACCACTTTCGGGTTGTCCATGTACCTCGATGTTTCCATTAGTCTTCTAAATACATCTCTTTTCATTTGTGGTTGATGTGATTTGTTGTTGAGGATTTCCATCAAGAGACTAAAGTGTCCATTGTCAATCAACCATTCGTATCTAAACTTGTCTTCTCTGATAATGTGTGCATATCTCATTGGAATGTACAATTTTGTAGATATCTCTCCATCAGAGGTAACCGATATCCTCCGTTCTACACAAGGTACCACTGCACCTAGTACCACTCTATCATTTCTAACTCTTTTAAATATCTCTGTCTTTAGAAAAACATTATTCAATACTTGTCTAATTACTATATCTATATCTATATCAATACTTTGTTGTTGTTGTTGTTGCTGATGATTCATAATAATATAAATATATATGTTACAAAATTTAATTTATTATTATTATTATTACTCTTATATTATTATTACTCTTATCTATTACTATATATAACTACATCAGTATAAAATAAATAGAGATATATAAATATATTTATCTGTCTATCATCATAACTATGATCATGGTAAACTAAAGTCAACTATGATGATGATGACTCATAATACTGATTATAATCAATAGGTTCACCTTGTTTTTATTCAAAAGTGTAAAATTAAATAATTAAAAACAAATGATCATTAATTTAAAACGAACGAGACTTGATCATTCATTGTATACTTTTTCAATCATCATCAACAGGAGTACTATAGTACATCATCATCATATCACATAAATATATATATATATATATTTATAGTTTAAAAACTTGTAATAAGAATGGATTGTATTAATAGTAATAATCATAATGATTTTAAATTAGAACTTAAAAGAGTAACAATAAATGATGTAGAACAATTATTAAGTATTGGTAGGCGTACATTCTTTGAATCATTTTCAGCAGTCAATACTGAAGATGATATGAAACAATACTTGGAGACTGCATTTACAATTGATAAATTGACGGCCGAGGTGAATGACACCAACTCTGAATTTTACTTTGCAGTGGTTGACTATGCGGTGGTGGTTGGGTACCTTAAACTCAACTATGGACAATCACAGACAGAGATAAAGGATAATGGTGCACTCGAAATTGAACGTATCTATGTACTCAAAGAATATCACGGCAAAAGTGTAGGACAGGTCCTATGCAACAAGGCATTGCAAGTGGCCAAAGAGAGGGCATCAGATTACATATGGCTGGGTGTGTGGGAACGCAATCCTCGTGCCATCAGTTTCTACACTAAAAATGGTTTCGTTGCATTCGATAAACATATCTTTACATTGGGTAGTGACGATCAAACAGATATTTTAATGAAATTACAATTAAATAAATAATTAAATATTTTAATTTATGTAATTTCTGGCACCATAAGCACATTATACATCATGGAAAAAAATAAAATACATGTATATTTATAAAAGGGAAGTAGGAGAATAACCCTAGATAGTTTATTATCTATATCTTTTATTCTGCTTCCCATAGGTAAATAATGAATATTACCACCATCCATTTCGAGCACCACGACCACCAAAAGCATTGTCAATACAAATATCAATATCGATATCAATATCAATGTTGTTACCACGACCACAACATCCACGACGACGTCTACAAGCAATGGAATTAACAAAATCACTTAATACATCTGAATAACTTTGGACTGTTACATTTTGATTGGCTCCATGATTGGAAATTGGAGATAGTTTTGATAGGTTTTCTAAATAGAAGAAAAAAACAAAAAGAATAAGAAATATTAATAGTAATAAATTTATAATATTATGTATATTTATTTATATATTATAATGTTTCAATTTGTATACTTACTAAAGATCATTTTGGAGATTTGATTTGTAAATAGAATTTGAATAATAATTTTGTTTGATATTTGTATTTGTATTTTGTTTTGAATGATTTAAAATAGAATGAACAAGTTTATCATTTATAGTTTAGAATTGTCTAAAAAGATTGTAAAAATCAATCAAAAATCCTATATTCTGATGATGACTATGCACCCCCAATTCTAAAATAGGAATATTCTAAAATGTTTGGATTTTTTAATAGTTTTTTTGGAAGAAATCATTACATTTATTAACTATAAATATTGAGTATTGAATAGTAATCAATTCATCAAATTAAATTAAATATTAATTAATTAATTATCTCTTTCTTTACTATTTACAGTTAATACTATCACATCCAAAAATGTTATTCAGTATGATGTTTAAAATTATAATCATAATCATAATCATAATCATAATCATAATCATATTGATATTAATAATAAAATTCTAACATAATCCATTTATTTTTTTAAATCTTATCTTTTCTTTTCTTTAGAGAATCTTTCCCAACTTACCCCAGGTGCTGGTAAAAACATCCAAAACTCTTCATTGCTCCACGGATCAAACCATTCCAGTTCCTCTGGAGAATCAACTATTGCTCGTAGAGGATGTTGTGGTGGTCGTCGTAACCGTTCTAATAATATTGATATCGATATTGATATTGATATTAATATTGGTAATGGCTACAACTGGTGTTAAATACATTATAATTATCTATCAATCAAGTCAACCATTTATTGACTATTATTATTTCAAGTTGACTTCAAACATCAAATAAACTTATCATTTCCAAAGTTTAAAATATTTTAACCAAAGTTATATATATATATCAAATACCGAATTTAATTTCCCGTACGGGAATCGTCAAATAGTATTTTCAGATATTTAATCGGAAATTGCCCCTTTGGGGTTGCCCTTTTTCAATCTTTGTTTTTTTTCTCTGATCAGAATAGGTACCACCCTGTTCCTGTTTATTCTTTATTGTAAGTGGATTGCGACGCAATGTTACAACATAGTTTTATTTATTCAAGATAATAACAGGTTACACAATAAAGTGTTTGTTTGTAAAACAGTAGTAACAATAATAATAAAAAAACAGTGATGATTGTTTAAAACAAACAACTAGTAATAATAATAATAGTAATATAACATATATATATATATTTGATGGCAACCAAAGTAGTAGCAAATAGTACTGCTGGGTATGTAGTATAGTATTGTTTAAACTATACTATATAATAATAGATACACAATTTGATTAATAGTTTCTCATTTCAGTCAAGCAGTATTTAGAGGAGATGGTATTAGAGTATATGGTTTGGATGCAGAGTTAGAGTTGAAAGCACAATCAAAGAGAGATCCACAATATGAAAAGGAGTTGGGTAAATGGATTGAAGGTGCTACTGGAATGAAATTAGAGTATCAAGATGATTTGATTGAATCGTTGCGAAGTGGTATTGTCCTATGTACACTGGTCAATATATTGTTGCCAGAGACCATTAAAAAGATTAATGTCAAACCAATACCTTTGATGCAAGTCGAAAATTTGACAATGTATCTAAAGGCGTGTTGGAAGATTGGTGTTCCCTCGTCTGACCTATTTGTCACATCGGACCTCTACCAGAAAAAGAATATTAATTCAGTGTTGCAGAATCTCGCGTCGTTGGCTAGAGCCTCACACAATTGTCCTGCTTACAAGGGTCCTTCTTTTGGTCTAAAACCATCGGTTGCACCACCCGTCAAGAAATGGGCTGAAATTAAAATCGGTCAACCCATCATGATCACTGATCTCGAAGCTGAAGGTTATGGTAGCAGTAATAATAGTAGTGCCAATACATCAATGAAGGACTTCTGTGTGTCGTGTGGTACCCAAAAATCATGTAACAAATGTGACCATGTTGATACTGAAATTATTACTTTTAAACAACAAGGTAAATACAATATAATAATAATAGTATATAGATTTCATGTTAATTAATATTTTAATTTTAGTTAAAGTATTGGAAAAAGAAAAAGAAGATTTGGTTGTGAAGATTGATAGATTATTAAATGATACGTCAAGTAGAAATGGAGTGTCTGACAAGGAGAAACAAGTGATGGAATCAAAGATTGATACATTGAATCAAATGATAAAAGATCAATCTTTTAAAGTTCAATCTTTACATGATACTATTGAAAGTCAAAAGAAACAATTTAATCTAAAAGAGGTTGAATTAAAATTGGTTATCGATAAACAAAAGTTATTATTGGATCAAAAGGAAATTGATTTAAATTCTTTAAAAAGAAATAGTACAAGTACAGTAGTAACACCAACTACAAATTCAACACAACCAACAACAACAACAACAACAACAACAGTAGAGTCAAATCCATTTAAAAGAAATACAGTACAATTTAATCAACCACCTGTACAAAATGCCAAATCAACATTTGGAGGTGTTGTAGTATCAACAACAAATGAATGTATTCATTGTAAACATAGTAATAGTAAATTGGCTAAATATTGTACATCTTGTGGTAAAGAATTGGTTGCCATTAAATCTCAAACAACAATACCAAATCAACTAAATATTAATAATCAACCAAATAACAATAATAATAATGTACCAACAAAAGAACAAATTATTGAATCAATTTGGTTTAAATCGTTAAACAAGGAAAAGGATGAATTGGGTGAAAGATTAAAATCAATGTTGGTATCAATGAAACAATATGAAGATACTGTTGCCAAGTTGAGTAGATCATTGGCCGATGAAAAACAATCCATGGATAAAAGAATACTGGAACAAAAACAAATCATTGATCAACAAGAAAGACAATTGCAATCAAAGGATAGAGAAATTAAACAATTTAATAATAATAATATTAATAATAACAAATCAACTACTCCTCCATTACCATCAACCAATAATGTTTCAGGATCATTTATTAGAGATGGTGAAAAAAGATTTACAGTTCAACTTAATACTGGTCTAAATAGAGGTGGTGCAGGTCCTGGTACATACAATAATAGAGATAGATCTGAAACTTCTCCACCACTATATTCAACCAATAACAATAATAACAACAACAATAATCTAGTTAGACCAACTTCACCTACTTTATTATCCTCTCCTTCTTCATCTACTTCTACAGGGGAGATTGAAAAATTAAAATTATTATTAAAACAAATGGAGAGTAATTTACAAGAAGAAAAGAATAAGAGTAAATTAAAGGATGCAACTATACAAACATTGGAACAAAAACTACAAACTATTCAGTCACGTCCAAGACCACGTAGGCCACTATATCCTAATGAACAGCCACAACAACCACAACAACATCATATTATGGTTGGTAGAAAGAGATTTAATACATTAACAGCCGATACATTGGATAATCGTTTGGTAGAGGATACGTTCAAATGTGTCAACAATATCCTATTTTCACGTCCCGTTGAATTTTACGAGGTTTCATCATTGAATGATTTGTTCAAGACTGAACAGGGTAGACGTCGTTTCTCACAGATCCTACATGTCACTTTGAAACAAGTACAAAATATTGTCTTGTCAGAGAGTTCATTTGAATTCCTACTCTACCTAGTCAATACCACACTTCAACAGATGGATATTAGCAAGGATACTGACAATATTACAGCCAAGATTATGTTGCATGCATCCAATAGTTTGTATCGAATTTGTGGTAATGGCGAGCAAGAATACATCAAAGACTATATCCGTAGTGCACAGGTATGGCAAAACATTCGATTGTGGGAGGACTACTTTTACGAACTGTTGGCCAAACGTCATCGTAAACGTTATGACAATGCAGTTGACAAGGTAGACAATGAAATTGTTTCCAATCTACTCAGTTACTTTGCCGTCAATATGGTTCATTTCCAAGTCCCACTTGCCACCATTCAAACATTCCTTACAGATCTCGCTAAATTTAATGGTCTTTCTCAATCTGAAGCAAATACAATTTTGGAATTTCTTAAACAATCTTCAAACAAACAAAAGGTCGGTGGTCGAGTAGGTGTAAATAATAATAGTAATAATAGTAATAATAATAATAATAATAATAATAATGATGTAAAAAATAATAATAATAATTCTGGGTTTTAGAAAGAAATAATTCTTCTATTCTCTCTCTCTCTCTCTCTACCATATTGTATTTAAAAAATAAAATATATATTTATAATTTAGCAAAAAAAAAAAAAAGGATATGTATTATCTTTTAGATATGATGATATCATCATATCTAAAAGATAATACTGAACAATCAGTGGGATGGCTACTCGATATACTTTTGAGCAACATTAAAAGAGAGAGTTATTGTTTAAATATCAAAGCAAAGTTTGATAAAGATACTTAGAATAAACTACTTTTGAGAGGAGACAACAAAATATATTAATCTAAATCTAATCAACCAATTAATAGAGTTGGCACAAAGAATATAATAGAAAAGCTCGTCCTCATGTCATTGAAATCTTACTAATGGCATTTCAAGATAGAGATACGAGAATCAAGATATCACCACAACTCTTAAAAAGAGTAAAAAAAGAGATACCAGAACATTTGAACCGATATTCACATGTTTGTTATCAATGCAAGGTATCAATCATCGATCTCTGTGAAAACATTCTTATGATCGCACATATTATGAAAAAAGATGGTGATGGTATGTCGTTGTAAACAAACACACATGGTTATGGATAATTAATTAAAAAAGATTTATCATTACTTTTTAATACAGGTGAATGGACTGAATTGATCGAATTTATACTCTATAATACCGATCACGAAATTTGTAGTCGTAGTTCAGACATTGCATTCATGCTATTGATTCTAGCCGATAAATTCAAGTTTGAAATGAAAAAGATCAATATCAACAGTGTAATATGTAATAGCTTGGAGGTGATGAATGGTTCCACTTGGGATTATGATCCAATTGTAGAGACCTTGTCTAACGATTCATATTTTAAATTTTTACTTCCAATACTTTATTCTTTACAAGGAGAGGCAAAGGTAGAAGCTTCAGTTGAATTTATTTCATTAGTCTCGTCGAAATTGGATAGCAACAAAATTAAACAAATGTTTTATGAAGAAAAGCTATTGGATATTCTTTTAACTGCAGTACAACGACCAATGGGATATTATCGAGATAGAGTTAGAGACTTTTCCGATATGTTAGAACCAATAGATGAAATTATTCGTCCACATTGTATGTACCAAACAAACATCATGAATAATTTATAAATATTAACTTTTTTAAATTAATAAATGTAGGATCCAGATTTATGTAAAATATTGGTCATGCCTATTGTACAATTATTAGAACCTCTTGGTGAAACAACTTATCCAGAAGATCATCAAGCAGTGTGTGATACTTTACATTCCATTTACTCAAAGATATCTGATAAGAAACTCGTATCACAATCCATTCAGCTACTATTCGATTACACATTGGTTGAATCAAATGCCAACCCTTACGACCTTACCCGGATCATTTCATTTTCAAAGGATATCCGCTATACCTCCCACTCTTGATGAAACATATTTATTCTCAGAATGATGGTATGTTCCCGAATAATAATAATGATAATATTCTTCTTCTTATTGGATGGGGACTTATTTCATAAACAATGCATTGAATAATGAAGAGGTGTTGGAAGGATTGAAGATAGATCTATCTTCAAATTTAAAAAATGAAGTTTGCAATGAATACGAAAAGAGAATAATATCTAGTCATATCATCATGATCTTTGCGTCATTGGGAAATTATAATTGTTTTTTTATGTTTGTTTTTTTTTCAAGAACCACCACTCCCAGGTTGAAGAAGATACCACCGACTTTGTGAGGTTTACGAATGAAGGGATGATCGGATTATCATTATTAAATAGAGAGATAAGAGAAAGAGAGAGATAGAGATGTTATTATCATTTAGATTAATAGTATCGTTATTGTTGCTCATCGGAGTGATTGTATCATGTGGTGTTGTTGCATCATCACCGTCATCATCGCACAACACAAGAATCAGAGTAGATGATCAACAACAAGAGTTTACTGAAGAGGATGATAGCACTAGTCAATGGTTCTCGATACTCGAATCATCAAACAAAATAGTATCTGGTAAATTTGTAAAGGGTTCATCTGCATCGGTAGGTAATTCAAATTTGAAAACAAAGAAGACATGTTTTGAGATAGAATTGTAGTATTGTTAACAATCATGTCTATCTCTATTTTATTTTATTTTATTTATATGTTTCTTAGGGATACTATAAAGATGATGTAATGAAAGATGGATGGGGAAAATTGTCGATTGAAACGGTCAGTGGAGACGACTCTGTCATCTTTGAGGCAGCAGGTTATCTCGAAGGTTACTTGACATGGCAACACATTTACAACTTTACCAACAACTATTATGCAGGTCAATTCAACACGACCAATCCCAAAGAGTTCCCTGCTTCGGTGTGGAACTATGTGATTGCAAACTATGAATGGACCGTTGCTCAGGTCAAGGCCAACCCATCGGACACGTACTGGCAACAGGTCAACAACTCGCTGCTGCAGCTTAATGGTCTGGTCGCTGGATACAACTCGGCTGCCGACGATGACAAGCAGTTCACGTTTATGGACTTTGTCATGGTCAACCTGATTGGGGATATTGGCGACATTGTGGCCGCTGTCAACGGCACCAACACTGAGTTTGCACCCATGTCACGTACAGACGTTGAAAAGTATATGGCAACAACCGGCAGATGCTCTGCGTTGGTCAAGGTGACACCCGACTTTTCCGATCTGTTTGTGGCACACACTACATGGGGTAGCTATTACAACATGCTGCGTATCTTTAAGCGTATCAAGATTGTGTCGTCCACAACACCCAATGGATACGAGTCGCTCTTTAGCAGCTACCCAGGTGTGCTCGTGTCAGACGATGACTTTTACATTTTAAAGCCGTCTCGATTGGTTGTCACCGAGACGACCAACTCGATCTTGAACATGACCATCTACAACCAGGTCAACACCCAGTGTTTGATGTACTGGCTGCGCAACCTTGTTGCCAACAGACTCGCCAACAGCGGTCAAGAGTGGACACAGCTATTTGAGCAGTACAACTCGGGCACCTACAACAACCAGTTTATGATTGTCGACTACAAGCTCTTTACCCCCTTCCAAGACCTACAACCCAATACACTGTGGATTATCGAGCAAATGCCCGGTGCTTGCGTGTCGGCTGATGTGACCAACTACCTTGCACTTGGATACTGGCCCTCTTACAACCGTCCATTCTTCCCCGAGGTATTTGAAGCTATGGGATACCCATGGTACCTCAACAAGTACGGCGACATCTTTTCCTACCAACTCAACCCACGTTCCAATATATTCCGTCGTGACCAGAGCTCTGTCTACTCGCTCACCGACATGCAGGCCATCATGACCTCCAACATGTATCGTGTCGATCCCTTCTCTGACGGGTATCCAGGTAATGCCATAGCCTCCCGGTATGACCTCGGTGGCGGCCCACCCATCCTGGACTGGTATTACAAGGGTGCCCACGGCGCCATCGACAGCAAGATCACATCCAGCTCGCTTGTTCCAAATCTCGAGTGTGTTGCAATCAGCGGTCCACCAGTCACTGGAGACTGTCCTCCATTCTCTTGGTCAAACGGATGGGAGAACATCCCTCACGATGGTCTTCCCAATACTTTTGATTTCCCTTGGGTTCCAATTAAATTATAAATAATTAAAACAAACAAAATTATTTATGTAAAAAGATGTATCCATTGGGTGTTGTAGATAGTTAGATTTTATTTCGGTCTCCAGCTTTATTAATTGATTCTGAGGCGGCACACCCAACCAATAATTCAAAACCCCTAAACTTTCGGAAAATAAATATTCATTTCATTATTTTATTTATGTATATTTATTTATTTGTAATATTGAATGTATTTATAAAAGTATGCAAGACAACAACAACAACTATGATGATGATAAAGATGTGTTTTGGGATGAATATGAAGATGATGAGGATAAAGATGTTGTAGTACCTAATGAATTTGTAAATGTTATCTTGGGAACCTATCGTTATGGATGTTCGAATCTAATCAAAGATCTGTGCACGGTTCAGACCCTTACAAAACAATAGAATACCTATTTTCTATGAGTTGTATTTCCTATCTCTTGATGACTCTATTAGAGGTGAATGGAAAAGATATTGAATCAGATCCATACACCTCGAGAATGCTTTATGAAAGTTCAATGGACATTATCAAGGGAAGAGAACAACAAAAGAATTTGAACAATGCAAATGGTACAGATGGAAATTATGTTTATAGTTATTTACCAATATTTGGTGGATCAATTCTATATGCTTTAAAAAATTATGTCAATGTTCAAGACCCTATCAACGTTGGACGAATTACCAAAGATCACATCTTTGCTGAGAAATTATATATTAACTCTAGAGAAAATCAGAAAAAATTTTGATGATTATGATATATTCAAAAAGATGAACAAGAACATTCCCAGGAATTTGTTGAAAACTACATATCGATTACCAACCAAGAAAAAATCATAACTGACAAACTATTCAAACAACAAATCGATACCATCCAGGAAATATTTCGTACAAATCGCTGGGTATATTAATAATCATCATTTGGAATTTGTAATTAAAATGAATTAATGTAATATAATAATATTACAAAGCATTAGTATAATATTATTAATTTTAATCTCATCTAAAACGAAAAGCTCATGGTGTTGATTCGTCTCTTGTCTATTTTTTTTTTTTTTTTTTTGATATCAATGTTTAAAATAAAAAACTTCTTCTTTTCATAACAAATTAATTTTTAACAATAGTTTTCTGTTTTTGTTGGCCTCGTTCGAGAAAAATAAATTGAAATTTAGAAAGGTAAAATTCCGAAAAAGGAAACTGTTGTTGTTTGGGACAACAAAAACATAAAAAACTTGAAAATATCTTAATTGGATGTTCGATTTTTTTTTTTAATAAAGGGACCCTCTCACGGTTCATTCATTATTCTTTTTTGCTGATTAATTATAACATACTTTTATATCATTCACTTTAATTGTATCATCAATCACATCCCTTTTAATTATAGCAATTTATAAAGAGATAATTAATTATATATATACATACACACACAGAAATGGAAGCAATCAAATCAATTTTACCTCATACAAAGTTATTCATCAACGGTCAATGGGTAGACCCAGTAGTCCCAAAGACTTTCAAGACTATCAATCCAACTGATGAATCTGTCATTTGTGAAATCTCTGAAGGTGATGCTGCTGATGTTGATTTGGTATGTAAACACATTATCAATCACGTGTCATTCATTCTCTCTTACTTACTCTTTTATATTCTTTTTCTATTCTTATCTATTATTATTATAGGCAGTTAAAGCAGCAAGAGAAGCATATGATACTGTATGGTCACAAACTACAGGTACTGAACGTGCTAGATTACTCTTTAAGCTTGCAGATTTGATCGAAAGAGATGCAGACAAGATTGCACGTCTCGAGACTATCGATATGGGTAAACCATTCCTCGTTGCAAAGAGAGACGACGTTGCAGAAGCTGCTGCTACTATCCGTTATTTTGCCGGTTGGGCAGACAAGCTCCACGGCAAGACTATCCCAGTTAGCAATGATTTGACCGTCATGACTCGTCATGAACCAATCGGTGTCGTAGGTTTAATCACTCCATGGAATTATCCATTCATGATTGCTGCGTATGTACAAAGATACAAAGAAAGATAAATATATATTTATTTATTTAATTAATTAATTAATTATTTTCTTTTTTTTAGATGGAAACTTGGACCATGTTTGGCAGCTGGTAATACATGTGTTTTCAAACAATCAGAACACACTCCACTTACTACATTGGTCATGTTTGAATTGATGCAAGAAGCTGGATTCCCAAAGGGAGTAGTCAACCTTGTCAATGGGTTTGGTCATACTGTCGGAAACGCCATGTCACACCACAATGATATCGACAAGATCTCTTTTACAGGTTCTACTCGTGTCGGTCGTTTAATTATGGTTGCCGCACAAGGTAACTTGAAAAAGGTTAGTCTTGAACTCGGTGGCAAGAGTCCAAACATTGTCTTTGCCGATGCCGATCTCTCCAAAGCCGTCACTGGTTCAGTCAATGCTTTGTTTTCAAATATGGGTCAATGCTGTTGTGCTGGCTCACGTCTCTTTGTCCACAACGACATTTACGACAAGTTTGTAGAAGAGTATGTTGCCAAGGTAAAGGAACTCAAGGTTGGATCACCATTTGAAGATGTCGACCAAGGACCATTGGCCTCCAAAGAGCACCACGACCGTGTATTGAGCTTCATCGAAGCTGGAAAGAAGGAAGGTGCCAAGTTGTTGGTTGGTGGTGGTGCCCATGGCGACAAGGGTTTCTTTGTCCAACCAACCGTCTTTGCCGACGTCAAGGACGACATGTGTATTTCAAAGGAAGAAATCTTTGGTCCTGTCGTATCCATTTTCAAGTTCTCAGACACTGACGAAGTCATCAAGCGTGCCAACAACACTACCTATGGTCTCGCTGCCGGCATTTGGACACAAAACATTTCAAAGGCTTTACAAGTCACCAAGAAGCTCAAGGCCGGTACCGTATGGGTCAACGAATACAACTATGTACACCACTTGATTCCATTTGGAGGTTACAAGCAATCTGGTTTTGGAAAGGATCTTTCAGAATATGCTCTCCAAGAATTCATCTCTGTCAAGGCTGTCACTATCAACCATTCCTCTTAAAATTACCATTTCTTTACACATTTGTAAATATTAAAATAAATATCAAAATATATAATATATATAACTTAGTCTCACAAAAAAATTGGGTACAGATTTTTAGGTCAAGAAAATATCTATTGTTGAACAACAATTATTTTTCATCTCAACAAAAACCACCGAGCCTCACATCACCTCACATCAAATGGTCCTATAACATAAAAGTATTCAACTATTATAATTTAATTATTATTACTTTTAATTATAAATACAAACCAAGAGATTTAGAAGATATTTATAGATTTAGAAGATATATACAGTAGTTTATAATTAGAATGTTTCAACAATATCAATTGTTGATATCACTGCTAGTGATACTAGTGAGTGGATATTGTTTGATTGTTGTTGATTCATTCAATTATACATCTAGTACATTGACACTCAAGAAATTGAATTTATTGTGTACAGACCTAGATATTGGATATATTAATGTAGAGACTGATAGACCAATATTTTCACACATGGATGTTGTGTGTCCCAACTTCACATGTCCAAATGTCGTTCAACCAGGTGGCATCGATTGCACATGTGATTATAGTGATCCTCTAGATTGCCCAAAATCACCATCAGGAAGCTCTTGTCCTCCATGTCCACTCACTCAAACACTTCTAAATGGAACTATCGCCACTGAATGCAACCCTGGTTACAACTGGACCACCGTTACAATTGGCAAGGAATACTATTTCGAATCGACTGGATCCATTGTCTATTTACGTCTCAAAGCCAATGCATCGATTTGTCAAGGACTTCGTTTCTACACTTCTCAAAAATATGGCGAAATCTCTGTCTATTCAGGAATACAAGAAAAGGGTTTTTATCGGGGTGCAAATAGAGGTGTATGATAATTTTAAAACAATAATTCTAAACAATATATTATAATCTAACTTTAATTCATTATTATTTTTTAAAAGTTATTACATCTAGGTTTTTGCCCTGGTGATTATTTTGGGTATGATTTTTGGACCAACAATACATATTTCATTCAAGTCACACCAAAATCCGAAAAGGTTGCATTTTCATTTATAGCCTACTCGGCAGAGGTACCAAAACAAGTGACCCAACCACCTTGTCAAAACACATCAAATCAGACTTGTATTTCAAACGGAGGAATCATCGAAAACAATGCTGCTCTATTGTATTATTATATGCCATTGACTGGTCCAAGCAAGCTCTCCATCAGATGTCCTAATATTTCTCCTGGAGCCCCACAACTTTATCTCTCCACAAGTACTCATTTCCCTTCTCAAAGTCTGAATGATTGGTACCAATACAACAATGGTATGTATATTTTTAGAACTGAAATTGGATGAATTGATTTGATTAAAATATTGACTTATTATTATTTATTTTTTTTAAAAAGGTGGTGATTCATATCTTACGATTAACATTTTTCAAGAAAAGTACCTGTTTGTCACAATTAGAAATTACTTTGAGTTTGATTATTCATGTACATTTACAACTCACACTGTACCCATCCTCCGTCCAATCACTCAAAACTATCCACTTGGAGCTTCCTATTTATTCTTCGATTCAACAGCCCTCAAGACAGAGAATGTGACCCTTCGCACTCATGAAATCTTTTTCAACTTTCCTCGTCAATCCCAAAACCCTCTTTGGCCAGTTCCAAATTTAATCCTCGATCAAGACTCACACATGGATTTTTTCCAAGATATCGACTATGACCAATTCGCAAGTGACAACCCTCCCAAACCAAATAACTTCCAAGCTGCTGTTATCTTGAAAATGGGTGCACGTGCATTTATCCCACTGGATTCTTTATTATCGGCACAACTTGCTCTCCGGGGAGATTTTGTTGATATAGACGGCAATCCTCTTTATTTGGATAAAGTTTCACTCAATGTGACCACTCCTCAATGTGAATACTCTGAATTGGATTCAATCAAGAGTCAGTTGGACCAACTCGAAAGTCAACTATTCACAGCGTCTGGATTCCAAGAAGTATCAAATATTCGATTTGCAATTGATATATTGACGGCTGAAGATACATGGGTTGGGTGTCAGGCATTGGCAGATAGTCTTTTGGAAACCAACACTGTCAATATCACTGCAAATGCAACTAAATGTCAATTTTCACCTTTTGACACCTCGTACTACACTGATCCTTGTTGTAGTCCAGAACAAAGTTTTTACCAGTGTTGTATTCCACATTTACAAGAGATACCACAAACCACTTATTCGGGTGTACAAAAAAGTCTAGTGGAAGATCAATGTTCATCACCAGACTGCACAGCCAGTATTCTTCAAGATTATTTCAATGCAACATCAACCATGGCAAGTGAATGTGAATTGACATATTCAAGTTTCTCAGATTACCAACTTGACATTTACACAACACTAAGAAATTGTAAGACTGCCTATGACATGATCGATTGTGACAATGACACAATGTGTGCACCATATCTTTGTGATTATTTTGCAAGAGAATGTCTTATACCACCAGAAATACAAGATAATCAATTTTTTAATGTATGTCAAAAAACAAAAATGAAGCAAAAAAGAAAAATATTAATAATCATCCTCGATCATTTTAGTGTGTAATGAATGGATTAAGTCCAAAAGTATTATATTATCTTCAATCAAGATATAATATTGCCTATGAAATCAATACTCCTCAATTTAATCTAGAATTGTTTAACAATTTCCAGGTTCCTGATTGTGCCACCTCTTCAAGAGGCTCAATTTTAAGAAAATGGTATTATTATCAACTATCTAATCCAGAAAAATTTTGTTATCCATCTCCAAAGTGCAAGGATGCCAGTTGTTTAACAGTCTCTGATGTTTGTTTCCAGTTTGAATCGGGATACCGGTTCTTTAGAGCTTCCAATGTAGGGATTTGCCCCATAGCTGGAATATGCTCAGACGAATCATGCCAACAAACATCTTTAAACAGCACTTGTCAAGTAGATTGCCTAAAACGTCCTAATTTCTGTGGCTATTCAAGAAACAATTTTACAAATATCAATTTTCAAGTGTTGGATCAATCAGAATGTCTGAACTCTAGTTCCAGTGTGTGCACCTTTGGCAGTCAATACATAACTGGAATATCTGAAGAGGAATGTGAAAATAAAGGCATTTGCTCTTCAGACTGTGGATACAAGTGCTCTGGTGGCTATACAGGATGCGTTCTGCCATTGATCAAAACCCAAACTGAATGCTTTGCACAAAGTGGATCATGGGCACCATCTATTTCCGTATGCGTTAAAGAGGATGCTACAATCCAAACATGCCAACTCATTCCCAATTCAGTATGGATCAACTGTTCAACCAAACCAGTATCCGAGTGTCACACAACCTTTGGAACGGGAAGTATTTGCTATGTGTCTGAGGTTAGTTGCCAAACCAAGCAAGAGTGTGAGAATTTTGGAGCGTGCTCAGACGAATACTATTTCAATCCTGTAAACACCCCAGACTACCCAGTTCTATTAGGTAAATGTGTACGTGGACATGGTAATTATGCTGGAATTGGTCAAGTGCCATCTTGTAGCTTTCAAACCGAGAATGATTCGCCAAAAGGATGTTTCAACTCTACTCCACAAGTATTCACCAAACAGGATTGTTTGGCACTCGGTCCTGAATATAAATGGTGGGCTGCAACAGTTGGTAAAGATGAATGTCTTGCACAGATGGGATGCAAGATCATCGATCAATCATCTTTTAACCTCCCAAACAACTTTAGATTCAATGAAATGAATCAAACTGCTTGTGAAGCTTGTCATGTTGACAAGAGTTATCATGAATGGACAAATATGTTTACTTGGGAACGCAACCGCTGGATCCCAGGTATTCCAATCAAACCTACTTGGATGAAACCACAATTCTTCAATTTGGGTATTGTCAAACCCTTACTCGATAATAGGTTATTCTCAAATGTCCTCGATGAAGCTTACCAAACCCATATATCCGATCTGCTAAGATCCTCTTCACTCTGTAGATTGGAACGTATTGAAGACAGTCTCCATTCAATTTCTTGCTCGTGTGGTGGACCTGGGGGAGCACAATGTTTCACAAGTAGTTCTTTGGTTCTTGGTCAAAGTTATCCATGTTCAAAAGAAGAATCTGAATTTAAATTCTCTTATGGAAAAATTATGTTCTCTAATTCTTCTGTACCACAAGCTTGTACCAATGTAGTTGTCTCTCAACTCTCCAAATTATTGTTCAAGTCATCACAAACCGAATCATTGTCTTCCAGCTTTGTATCGTACAAAAAGGTTGATAGTTTTGCAATCTATAATGACAATGATGCTGCTATTGGTGTATTGTTGACTGATGGTGTCAAATTACAATCTCCAGGTGTCGATCTATTCACAATTTGCTATTCATCACAATCGATCAGTCTCGAACATTCTTCATCCTATCCAATTCTCGATATTGTTGCTGAAATGGATCCAGAAAAAATAATGGTAGTATTGAATGTCGATATTTTCCAAACAACCGACCAAGTCACAAAAGAAAGCTACTATTGCTCAGAGATACCATCAATTGCCGAAACAGCCACATATTTCCTTGTTTCTCGTGTTGAAGATTATCAAGATTTAGAAAAGGAATTATTTGACAAAGAAGCAACTGGACTCTTATACACATTGGCAGCTATATTCATTTTCAATGCAGCATGGGGTGCATTACAATTGATTGTTTCAGCATTCAAGATTTACAAAAAGTTGGACGAACCAAGACTGATTCATGCTCTAACCATTTCAATCACTATATTTATGTTGAGTATGTAAAAAAAAAAAAAAATTAATATTAATAATTTAAATAATATTAACAATAATTATTATTATTTAGTTAGAGCAATTTATTTCTTTATATTACCAACTAAAATGATTAGTTCAGTTGGAGATTATATTTTGGTTGTATTACCTACGTTTATCTATTTCACATGTTTTACGATTATCATTGTCATTTGGTATATGCTTGTAAAGGCATACACTGGTTCATTCTTTAAACGAATTAGATTGATGATTACAACGATCAATGGTGTTCTATACGTGTTGTTTATCATCATTGTATTGGTATTCCACTTTACACAAAAAGAAGATAACAATGGTGATTGTGGTGGTCGTATTCCATTAGAACCAAGTACAACAACTCCACAAAGAGTCGTTTCAATTGTTTATGCAGTTGTACAAGCTGTTATATCATTGATTATCGGTTCAGCATTTGCATACCTTGGTTTGACACTCTTCTTTATGGTTCGAAATAGAAAGGTTGCTTTGAGTGAAGAAAAGAGAGGTGAACAACAAAAGAAGGTGTCGATGGTCACATTGGTCTGTTCGATTGGATTTATGCTTCATTGTGTGTTTGTATTGGTGTTGGTAGCTGCTGAACCAAGCAATATCGTATTCACATTTGTTGGTCTTTTAATCACCGAAATTGCACCAATCTTTGCACTCTTGTATGCCTACAAACAAGGAACTTTGTCAAGTATTAAACAAGTCATTGGAATGAAGAAATTAGGTTCCGCTTCAAGTTCAACAAATTCTAAAACTCCTTCTTCTTGAATAAATAAATAAATAAATAAATAAATAAATAAATAAATAAATAAATAAATAAATAAATAAATAAATAAATAAAGAAATAAATAAATATAATAACTTATTAAAACTCTCTTGGTATCTGTAAGATAAAAAAAATATTAAAAAAAATAAAATGTGATGTTCATTCTTGTGGTCAGTGCGATCATAATATTAATATCATAAGTTACTTTATTATTATTTGTATAGACCACATGTCGGCAATAACAAAAGAGATATTCTATGACAGAGATAGATAAGATATTTGGGGTGACTTTAGAAGTCGGAAAGTGTCTCGGTTTCAAAGAAGAAGAAAGATATAAATATCTATCTTTTGTTTTTCGCTCGATGTCTTTGATGACATTGTTCATCAATAGAATGCTCTCTCCACATCGTTATGTTTCACATATTTATAAGAACAGAGACGTGTAATGTGTAAGTGTTAACTGTAAGATATCGATATTATTACATTGGGATTAAAAGATCTAATAGCCTTCTCGTCTTTAATATTCATAGCATATAGGAAATGAAACGACTGTCTACACTGATATCACTGCTGTTCATACTGCTAGTGAGTGGATATTGTTTGATTGTTGTTGATTCATTCAATATCACATCTAGTACATTGACATATAAGAAATTGAATGTATTGGGTACAGACCTAGATATTGGATATATTAATGTAGAGACTGATAGACCAATATTTTCACACATGGATGTTGTGTGTCCCAACTTCACATGTCCAAATGTCGTTCAACCAGGTGGCATCGATTGCACATGTGATTATAGTGATCCTCTAGATTGCCCAAAATCACCATCGGGCAGCTCTTGTCCTCCATGTCCACTCACTCAAATACTTCAAAATGGAACTATCACCACTGAATGCAACCCTGGTTACAACTGGACCACTGTTACAATTGGCAAGGAATACTATTTCGAATCGACTGGATCCATTATCTATTTACGTCTCAAGGCCAATGCATCGATTTGTCAAGGACTTCGGTTCTACGCTTCTCAGAAACTTGGTAATATCAGATTATATGTAAACGACAATGCAACCAACGCAAATCGTAATGTTTATAGCAATGTATGTATTAATCAACACATATATATTAATTATATTAAATAATTATACATATTAATTGTTATTATTTTTATTTTTTATTTTTAGGCTTTACATCTTGGTCTATGTCCAAGTGATATTGGATTAAGTCGTGGTGTGTGGACCAACAATACTTATTTCGTTTCAATCAAACCTGAATCTGACAAGGTTGCATTTTCATTTATTGCCTACTCGGCAGAGGTACCAAAACAAGTGACCCAGCCACCATGTCCCAATACATCCATGAACCATACTTGTCTTCCCAATGGAGGATCCATTCAAAGCAATGCTGTCCAACAGTACTACTATATGCCCATTAATCGTACGACCAAGGTGGCTATGAGATGCCCTCTTTTAAATGAAAACATTCAAGTTTTTGCATCTCCAAATGTCTTTTACCCCTCTGCTTCAGCTTATGGTTGGTCTGTTTACAATTTTGGTAAGTGTCATATATGAAACAAATAATATTTTTTTTTATTTATATTAATCAATCAATCAATTATTATTTAAAATTTAGGCGGTGATGCATACCTTAGTATGACAACAAGCTCAACAATCTTTGTTGGTATTTTGAATTTCTTTAAGGCCAACTATACGTGCACATTTACAACTCACACTGTACCCATCCTCCGTCCAATCACTCAAAACTTTCCACTGGGAGCTTCCTATTTATTTTATGGAACCTCTGCTCTAAAGATAAAGGGAGAGATTTTCATATCATCCTTTTACTTTTTCAACTTTCCTCGACAATCCCAAAACCCACTTTGGCCAATCCCCAGATCACTCAAAGAGGAAGACAAGCACATTAGCTTTTTCGAAAACATCGACTATGACCAATTCGCATTTGACAACCCTCCCAAACCAAATAGCTTCCAGTCAGCTATTATCATCAAAAAGGGGTCTCAAGTCTACCTGCCATTACAATCTTTATTATCGGCACAACTCGTACTACTCGGTTACTTGGTCGACAGTGACGGTAACCCATTGTTGAACGAGGCACTTGACTTGAATGTCACAACACCAGAATGTGAATACTCTGAATTGGATTCAATCAAGATTCAATTAGATCAACTTGAAAGTCAACTATTCACAGCATCTGGATTCCAAGAAGTATCAAATATTCGATTTGCAATTGATATATTGACGGCTGAAGACACCTGGGTTGGATGTCAGGCATTAGCAGATAGTCTTTTGGAAACCAACACTGTCAATATCACTGCAAATGCAACTAAATGTCAATATTCATCGTTGGATAATCGATACTACACTGATCCTTGCTGTAGTCCAGAACAAAATTATTTCCAATGTTGTATTCCACATTTACAAGAGATACCACAAACCACTTATTCGGGTGTACAAAAAAGTCTAGTGGAAGATCAATGTTCATCACCAGACTGCACAGCCAGTATTCTTCAAGATTATTTCAATGCAACATCAACCATGGCAAGTGAATGTGAATTGACCTATTCAAGTTTCTCAGATTACCAACTTGACATTTACACAACACTAAGAAATTGTCGAACTGCCTATGACATGATCGATTGTGATAATGACACAATGTGTGCACCATATATATGTGATTATTATACAAGACAATGTCAAGTACCACCAGAAATACAAGATAATCAATTTTTTAATGTATGTCAAAAAACAAACAAAAAAGAAAAAAGAAATATGAAAAAAAGAAATATTAATCCTAACTTCTAATCATCCTCGATCATTTTAGTGTGTAATGAATGGATTAAGTCCAAAAGTATTATATTATCTTCAATCAAGATATAATATTGCTTATGAAATCAATACTCCTCAATTTAATCAAGAATTGTTTAGCAATTTTGTTGATAATGATTGCACTAGTAGTACAGGTGGCCTACTTTATCGAAAATACTACAAATGGATAACAAACTCTGATGTTTGTTACCCAGCCACCAGGTGTTATGATGCCAGTTGTTTAACAGTCTCTGATGTTTGTTACCAACTGGAAACGGGATTCAGTTTTGTAGAAACCGATTTTGTCGACCTATGTCCCGAGATTGGTGTGTGCTCTGATCAATCATGTCAACATAACACTCATAACAGCACCTGTCACACAGATTGCTTGGCTCGACCAAATTTCTGTGGGTATTGCAGAAACAACAACTCTGTTTGCTACAGTATTAGACAACTTGATGAAGCACAGTGTAATGCAACTGACACTATATGTGCCGTCTCTGGACAATACGGAATTGGATATACCGACGAGGAGTGTAAAAGTATTGGAATTTGTTCTTCATACTGTGGATACCAGTGTTCTGGTGTATACACAGGATGTGTTCTGCCATTAGTTGAAACCCAAACCGACTGCTCGGCACAAAGTGGAGTGTGGTCTGCTTCCTATTCATTGTGTACCAGGCCAGATGTAACGGCAATCCAAACATGTCAACTCATTACCAATGCAGTGTGGACCAACTGCTCAACCAAACCAGTATCCGAGTGTTATGCAAACTTTGGATCGATGAGTATTTGCTCTGTGGCTCCCATAAATTGTCAAAACAAGCAAGAGTGTGAGAATTATGGAGCGTGTTCGGATGAATTCTATTTCAATCCTATCAACACCCCCAACTACCCAGTTCTTTATGGCAAATGTGTACGCGGACACGATTATTATTCTGGAATCATGTGGCAACCATCTTGTAACTATCCAAACGAGCATGATTCTCCAAAAGGATGTTTCAACTCTACTCCACAAGTCCTCACTGAACAAGCTTGTTTGGCACTCGGTCCTGAATATAAATGGTGGGCTGCAACAATTGGTAAAGATGAATGTCTTGCACAGATGGGTTGTAAAATCATCGATCAATCACCTTATAACCTCCCAAACAACTTTAGATTCAATGAAATGAATCAAACTGCTTGTGAAGCATGTCGCGTCGACCAGAGTTATCACGAATGGACAAATATGTTTACTTGGAAACCCAACCACTGGATTCCAGGTATTCCAATCAAACCTACTTGGATGAAACCACAATTCCAACAGTTGGGTTTCCTAAAACCAGTACTTGACAATATGTTATTCTCAAATGTCCTCGATGAAGCTTACCAAACCCATATATCCGATCTGCTAAGATCCTCTTCACTGTGTCGTATGGAACGTATTGAAGACAGTCTCCATTCAATTTCTTGCTCGTGTGGTGGACCTGGGGGAGCACAATGTTTCACAAGTAGTTCTTTGGTTCTTGGTCAAAGTTATCCATGTTCAAAAGAAGAATCTGAATTTAAATTCTCTTATGGAAAAATTATGTTCTCTAATTCTTCTGTACCACAAGCTTGTACCAATGTAGTTGTCTCTCAACTCTCCAAATTATTATTCAAGTCATCACAAACCGAATCATTGTCTTCCAACTTTGTATCTTACAAAAAGGTTGATAGTTTTGCAATCTATAATGACAATGATGCTGCTATTGGTGTATTGTTGACTGATGGTGTCAAATTACATTCACCAGGTGTCGATCTATTCACAATTTGCTATTCGTCAGAGTCGGTCGATCTTGAACATTCTTCATCCTATCCAATTCTCGATATTGCTGTTGAAATTCAAGAAGATGAAACATCGTCCAATCCACACCATACATCTCAATCAATGGTTATTTTGAATGTCAATATTTTCCAAACAACCGACCCAATCACCCAAGAAAGTTATTATTGTTCAGAAATACCATCAATTGCTGAAACAGCCACATATTTCCTTGTTTCTCGTGTTGAAGATTATCAAGATTTAGAAAAGGAATTATTTGACAAGGAAGCAACTGGACTCTTATACACATTGGCAGCTATATTCCTTTTCAATGCAGCATGGGGTGCATTACAATTGATTGTTTCAGCATTCAAGATTTACAAAAAGTTGGACGAACCAAGATTAATTCATGCTCTAACCATTTCAATCACTATATTTATGTTGAGTATGTAAATTAATTTAAAAAATATTAATAATAATAATGTATAGTCTATTAATCATATTTTACTTATTTATTTTAATAGTTAGAGCAATTTATTTCTTTATATTACCAACTAAAATGATTAGTTCAGTTGGAGATTATATTTTGGTTGTATTACCTACGTTTATCTATTTCACATGTTTTACGATTATCATTGTCATTTGGTATATGCTTGTAAAGGCATACACTGGTTCATTCTTTAAACGAATTAGATTGATGATTACAACGATCAATGGTGTTCTATACGTGTTGTTTATCATCATTGTATTGGTATTCCACTTTACACAAAAAGAAGATAACAATGGTGATTGTGGTGGTCGTATTCCATTAGAACCAAGTACAACAACTCCACAAAGAGTCGTTTCAATTGTTTATGCAGTTGTACAAGCTGTTATATCATTGATTATCGGTTCAGCATTTGCATACCTTGGTTTGACACTCTTCTTTATGGTTCGAAATAGAAAGGTTGCTTTGAGTGAAGAAAAGAGAGGTGAACAACAAAAGAAGGTGTCGATGGTCACATTGGTCTGTTCGATTGGATTTATGCTTCATTGTGTGTTTGTATTGGTGTTGGTAGCTGCTGAACCAAGCAATATCGTATTCACATTTGTTGGTCTTTTAATCACCGAAATTGCACCAATCTTTGCACTCTTGTATGCTTACAAACAAGGAACTTTGTCGAGTATTAAACAAGTCATTGGAATGAAGAAATTAGGTTCCGCTTCAAGTTCGACCAATTCTAAAACTCCTTCTTCAGGTTAATAGAAATTAATAAATAAATAAATTAAGAAATAAATATTAATATTTCATCATCAAAAAAAAAGAGACAAACTTTAGATTGTATATTTTAAATTTAATCATTGGTTGTTACATTCATTAATGTCATCATTATCTCGATACAAGATAGTATGTGAATACATTGGACAAACATACACAGGTTGGCAAAGACTATCTATTTCAAAGACTTCTACAACAACAACAACAACAACAATTGATGGGTCACCTGTGAATGATTCAACAAAAAAACAAGAATATAAATATAAATACAACAAATACAACAAATACAATAAATATAGAGATGAAGAGGAACTAGATGATGAAAAGAAAGTAGGACCAAGAGAGAATGGAAGATCAATACAATATGCAATTGAACATGGATTATCACATATTATGCGACAAAGAATACAAATTGTCGGGTCGAGTAGAACAGACTCGGGAGTCAACTCACTCTGTCAGGTGGCACATTGCGATCTACCTAATCAACGATACGACAAGAAAGGAACGATCGAACAAGAACAACTCACACCATCCATCATCAAGATTGCATTGAATCAACAACTCAAGAGACACAATCACGACATTCGTATTGTATCGGTCGAAAAGGTAGACAATGAGTTTCACTCTCGTTACAATGCCACCTCTCGCACCTACCTCTACAAGATCATGACAGGAGTACGCCCAACAGAAGTCCCACTCGAGCTCAAGAACAAGGTGTGGCCCATCTGGGAGACACTAGATATTGATCAAATGAAAGAGACTGCATCATTTTTACAAGGTCTACACGACTTTGATAGTCTTCGTAGTGCAAAGTGTCAAGCAAAGTCACCAATACGATCCATATCTCATATTAAAATAATAGATCTACCTCTACCTGATATTTGGAGGTATAATAATGATGATTCGACTCCACCGTATGTATCATTGTAACAAATAATATTAATTTATTATCTAGAAACTAATGATGATTTTAATAATAATAGGAAAATACAATACATTGGATTAGAAATTAAAGGTAGATCATTTCTACATAATCAAGTTAGGATCATGTCATCGTGTTTGGCAGAGATTGGAAGGGGTCATATGACACTCGACAATTTAAAAGAGATTATGAAGGGTAGAGATAGAACACTTGCACCAGCAACGGCGCCAGCCTATCCTCTAACACTTGTCAAAGTATCATATGGTGAAAACATTGAAATTGATGATACCCAAACTATCAGATTACAACAATTACTTGATGAAAGAAAGGAATTTGAATTAAATAATAATAATATTAATAATAATAATAATAATAATAATAATGACCAAAAAGATAATAAGAAAAGTACTACTAATTCCCCTGGTTTAATCGATAGACTATTAACTTTACTAAAAAAATAAATAAACGATCAGAAGTGTCTTTTACACCTCGAAAAATTGTTAAATTAATTAATTGATGGTTCATTTGGTCGGCTTTTTGAAGGGCTTTGCTTAGCTCCATTTCGTTTTGGGATGACACCATCAGAGCCGATTAAAAAAAAAATTAAACATCATCAACGATGCAGTCGAACCATGGTGGAGATAGTGCTTGATCATATTAGTGACACGACATTGTTATACACTCACACACACACACACGAATACACACAAATAAATATCTGTTAAAATTGATATTAGTTAGTTTTATCAGTTTGTTAGAGGCAGCATAAACAAAGAATTGAATCATTATCAAATTCAAATATAGTACAACAGTATATAGTATTATTTAACAAATATAGTTAACAATGTCATCAACAACTACTGCTTCGACTACATCAAATAACAATAGTGGAATGTCATTACAACATTTCATAAAGTGTGGTTTAGGAGGTGCATTGGGATGCTCGTTTACTCACATTGTAGTCATTCCATTGGATGTCGTCAAGACTCGTCTTCAAACTGACCCGGTCAAGTACAACAGAGGTATGGTTGAAGGAATGAAGACTATTATCAAGGAAGAGGGTTCTGGTATGCTCTTGACAGGTTTTGGTGCTACTGGTGTAAGTAGTTTGAAATTTGACAATGTTCTAATCATATGATTGACTGACAAATGATCATTTGTTTAATTCAAATTGTTTAGTTTGGTTATGCTGTTCAAGGTTTCTTCAAGTTTGGTTTATATGAGTTATTCAAAAAGAAGGCATCGGGACTTTTCACTGCCGAAGAAGCCTCCACCTACAGAATCCCCATCTACATTGCTTCATCAGCAGCTGCTGAAATCATTGGTGATATTGCACTCTGTCCATTTGAAGCAGCCCGTATCAGACAAGTATCTGATCCAAAGTTTGCTTCATCCATGACAATGGCACTTTCAAAGATTCATCAAGCTGAAGGTTTCAAGGGGTAAGCAAAGTAATATATATATGAACCAATCCATTATAATATTAATATGATTCATTTGTTTGTTTGATTATAGTTTATACAAAGGTTTAACACCAATTATTTTAAAACAAGTTCCATATACTGTATCTCAATTTGTTACATATGAATTAACAAATGAATATCTCTACAAGTATTTACGTCAAAAGCATGGTATTGAAAAGAAGAATCTTAGCGATCTCCAACAATTTGGTATCATTTTATCAACTGGTGCTGTGTCTGGTGTTGTTGCTTCGATTGCTTCACATCCAGCCGATACCATTCTCTCCAAGATTAACCAAGAAAAGACAGATGGTGGTGTTACCAAAGCAATTGGTAACATTGTCAAGCGTTTAGGTGTCAGGGGTTTATTCTTGGGTGTTGAAGCCAGATGTGTAATGGTTACTACCCTAGTCACAATTCAATTTATGATTTATGATGGTATTAAATTATTAACAAAGTAGAAAAGAAATAATAAGAAATAATATTAATAATTAAAAAGTATCAAAATTTACGTTCCGCCCCTCTCTAATCTCCCTAACATTTTTCCAAAAGGGTTAATCCATGTTCACTATGATTGAAGTCCAATCTATATAATAACAATTAATAAAAAAACAATAGTGATAATATTACTACGCCAATACTTTTTTTGTTTTGTTTTGTTTTGAGAGTAAGAGAGAAAAATAACAATTTTATAAATAATCTTTTATTGATTCTATGATCTATAGTTTTAAATGAATGATTATTGTGTTTCAGTCCAGGGCTGAAATGTATATAGTTTTTTTTTTTGTTTGTTTTGTTTGATTGTAAATGTTGTTGTGGAATTGTTATTTGAGTTATTGGATTATTGGATTAAAGGAGAGGTAGGATCAACATTATCATTAAAACCATCGTCATCATCATCGAAATGATTCATATGGTTATTATTGTTATTGTTGTTGTTGTTATTATTGAAATGCATACTGAGATCATCCATATTAATACCAGTACTTGGATTTTGACTCTCACTCGATAGAGAATCAATTTGTACTGTAGTTGTCAAGTTGTTTGATGAACTGTCGCCAGTATTAACTCTACCAGTCTTTCTTTTTTGTAAAATTTGTGCTTCTTGTTGTTGTTCCTCGGAGGATTGGTTGACCAATTTCTCAAAGATTTCGACAGCCTCTGTTGCCAAGGGTGGTACCTGTTTTCTAAACCATCGCTTAAAGTACTTTTCGTCACAGTTTTGATAGAGCGACGTTTTTTCCTTTGCCTTTGACTTTTTGTTCATCACACGGGTGATATTATCAAGACTTTGATCAGACGATGCAGTCTTGATGCCCAAAACCTTGAGGATTGGGTATGTACCAATACCAAAGACAAAAAGTGTAAAGATAACAATCAACAAGGTGTCGGTGAGAATGTAATGTGCATAGGGTGATCTGTAATCGAGACTGAGTGAAAAGGAAATTGCACCTCTTAACCCTGCCACCCAAATAGCTGCTTGAATTGGCAATTCAATCTTGTTTTTTAAAAATTTGTTTAAAACAAAACAAATTGAAAATACTGCAATTGCTCTTGATAAACATGTGAAAAACTAAACAAATAAAAAGTAAAATTAATAAATTAAAATTAAATAATTCTTTTTGTTTGTCTTTTTTAACATACAATACTCCAAGTTAATAAACCTGCATGGAAAGAAAAACTATGGAAAGAACTTGAAATACCAATATAAATAAATACAGAAGTTTCACAAATAAAGGCGGCAGTTCTAAATAATTGTCTCGATGTCAACTTGGTGTAGGGTGATAAACTGTAGCTACCATATTGATTAAATGTGATACCACAAAAGAATACTGCCAAAATACCAGAAATCTCTAGTGAATTGGCCAATACATATGACATGTAAGAAAACATAATCATAAATATAGTCTCTAATGCTGGGAATCTACCAATATTTATATATTTTAACATCTAAAAAAAAAAAAATTAAAAATGATTAGATATATATAACTTTTAAATTATTATTATTATTTAATATTTTTACCAATGATAATAAAATTGCCATTGCAACACCTAAACCAACACTACCAAGTGCAATTAAAAGGAAATCGATAATATAAAACCAAATTTTACTTGGTTCAAAAATGGAGACTGTTCGATACAACATGATAGCGGTGGCATCATTCAAGATACTTTCACCCAAAACCAACATGTATAGAGTGGGATCGACATTGAGGGCTTGGAAGATGGCCAATGTTGCCACTGGATCTGTCGATGAAATGATGGCTCCAAAGATAAAGGAATCTTGAGCTGGTAAATAAAGAGACCATCCAAGTTTACCAACAAGATATATTCCTCCACCAGTAATAAAAAATGATATAAGTGTACCTAAAACTGCAAAACAAACAATTGGTACAAAATGTTTGAAAAAATCAGTCTACAAAACAAAATAATAAATAAAATATATATAAGTACTTATAATTATTTCATTAATTAAATTGTTTGTTGTTTAAATACCTTTGGTAAAGAGAAACCAGTTTCAAAAATGATACAAGGTAAAATAAATAAAAAGAACTTTTCTGGGTCAAATGTGACTACGTGGTGAACCAAATCACTATTGGTATTTCTAACGACGACACCAATGATGATTCCATATAAAACAATGACGATTGACTCTGGGATGAATGGTATTTTAAGGGAGACTGTAATGTAGACCACCAATACTGCACCAGTAAGCATGATCAAGAATAATAAAACAACAATATTTGCATCTTGTTGGTTTTCTTGAATCTCTTTTTCAGTTGAAGAATCGTCAAGGGAAGCAGAAGAAGAAGATGAACCAGATGAATCGGATGATTGATTTGTCAATTCATTGGTTGATTTTGGTATTAGCCATGAACTTGTCGAAACTGATCTTCCTCCCCTTCTAGCATCCGACGTATCAACATTAAATGTTAATACAACCAAGATGATTAAAGTAATGATTGATAGGATTGAGATATTTCTAAAGAATCCATTCTTTCTTGGTTTCATTGTTGTTGTTGTGTTTTTTCCTTTCTATGAATTAAATGAATAGAATATGTATATATATAATATATTAATTTCTTTCTATTGTTTCTCTCTTGTATTGTCCAAATAATATTGAAGATGTTGATGATGATGATAATAAAGATAAAGATGATTATATTGATTAATCATTCAAATCTTTTGTTTTTGTTGTTGAATGAAATGTCAATATGTGTTGTATGTGCACATATGCTGTTGTTGCTGCTGTGTTGTGTATATTATACTATATTTACAATAATAATAATAAAGAAACTCAATGGAGTGGTATGTCTCAAAAAATTTAAATTATTAATAATAATAATAAATCTTTTTTCTTGAACAAAGAGGTGTGTTGGTGGTGTGGTGTTGTTGTTGTTATTGGTGTTTCAACCTAATAGTTCACCTCGTTATTATTGTTATTACTCTATCTATCGATCTAATCTTTGTGTGTATGTGTTCTCTACTCAACCTTTATCGTTTTTTGTGTGCGTGGCAATGAGTGAATGAAAAGTCATCGTCATTCCCCTCCTTCCACTCCTACTCCCAACTTCACCAAATTAATTTTTATTCGCAATGGGTCTGAAATCATGATCTTTGCAAAGAGAATTCTGATCTTTAGACCCTCTCACTCTCACCATCACTCACTCTCTCTTTCTTTAGTATAATCATACAGATAAATAGATAGATAGATAGAACAAAATAATAATAATAATTATACAAAAATCAGATGTGATTTGTGAAACTTTTCTTTTCTGATTAATTTCTCTGAGAGCAGCAAAGAAACTATGTAATCATTGTTTTTACAGAAATCGATTCATTCACCAATACATACATGCATGTGATGGTTACAACAAATAATAATAACAACAAAGAGATAAATAATAATAATAATATTCAAGATTTGTTTAGATTGGTATTTTGTAATACTTTTATCAAAAGAATAGTATTTTATCATGTACATGATATTAATAGATGGTTGACTGCTACAGCTGCCAAAGATCAACAACCAGAGTATCCACATTATGCAACTAAAATAAATGGATGTGCGTCACCTCATCTACTATACATCAAGTATTTTGACTCGACCGTTTCATCTTGCACTAGATACGGATCACCAAGATTCATCGGTGATATCTTGACACTATTGGACAATGGTCAAGACGACCCTTTCTACCAAGACGAAGCGTTTAGATACAACATTCATCCAAAACAACTTCCATTTATCAAGAAAAGAAATGATGATTTGCTCAACACCCAATTAAATACATTCTTTAACATGAATGGACAGTTACAAGCCCATATTAATCGTGTTGGTTATGGAGAACAATCATTTGCTTGGGCTGTCGAAGCTCTAGCCAAGGGATTAGATTTGGATCGGTTTAAACGTGTTGTCAGTCTCATTCAACCACCCATTATCAATCACAAGTATGATATGGTACCAACTTGGGCAATGTCATCGATGAATTTACCAGTGGCCGAGTACCTCGTTGAAAACAATCTCAATTTCCGTTCATCTCCTCATGCAGTCTATACCGCCATCAAAGTAGCTGCCAAGCATGGATTCCATCAAGTCGCCCACATCCTCTTGCCACTCGTCACCAAGGGTATACTAGAAAAGGTTTATTATAGTGTTGCCAAATCCCGAAATGTCACGTTTATCCAACAACTATTGATCTTCCATCCAACCATTGTCGAGCTAAATAGATATAAAGTTGAACACTATCTATTGGCAACGGGAGACAAAAGTATTGTTGATCAATTCAAAATAACACCTCCAACATCAAAATACAAGGATCAAGCTGTCTATTCATTTATTTCATTGTTAATCCATAAACATGGGAAACCAAATTTACTAGTGGACAATCAACACATGGAAATGGTTGAATGGTATTATGGAACTTGTATTGAACTTATGTACAGCATGACATCTCAACAATTTATTCAACATAGACTCAATGAACTACAATTCAACATCCAACAACAACCCAATCAAAAGAACAACAATCTATTGCGATTACTTGTTATATTTTTGGAATTTAATCAAAGTAGTATAGCTACTAGTTTTGAATCATTGCTCAGACTCGATATACCAACAGTGACAAACTCCATCATTGACTTTGTACCAACTAAACAGATTATTCAATTTGGAACGGTTGAAATGGTGAAAAGTTATTTGGTATTGGATAAAAATTTAAAACAATTTACGCAAATCTTACTCTTGTCGTTGGAATACAATGTAGAGATATTTGACTATGCTTTAAACTTTTACAATTCTCATTACCAACATATTCCAATTAACTTTGACTACCCAAACCAACTTCCACAAGCTCCACTAGTACATTTTAACCAACTCTACCAATCTGTTGAAACTCGATTACTATTTATCGACAAACAAACAAATGAGGACAATTCAGATTACAATACTCTAGTTTCTCATTTAATGTTTATTTTAGCACAGGCAGCTGCTAAATTGGGTAGATTGGATGTCATTGAAAAATTCATGTCTATTCATCAATCCAATAATTTTTATAATGTAATATTCATGTGTGCTGTAAATGCGGAACAATATGAAATTGCAAAAGAGATAAAGAATAGTAGATACAATGGTAGTAACACCAAATATATTCTACATTCAGATTTTTTCTATTTCATTCCAAGTATTCATGGTTTAAATCGTATGCAAAGAGCTATCGACTTTGGGCTTGATTGTGTAGAGAAACAAGATTACCTTTGGAAAAGAACAGTTCAACTATCAATCAGTAGTGCAAGACTTGATGTTTTACAATATTTAGAGCAACATGGTGTATTGGAACACAATGGAATCGATTTTTTCAATATTGTCACATTGTATCCACATTTTTTGGCTACTTGTATTCAACACCTACAACATTCTTCATTTTCAAAAGGAACACCATGCGACCCCAATCTCACTAGACTTAGATTACTTTCAACTATTCAATGGTCTAAAAGAAATGGAAAACATTTCCAAATCATTCCAATCATCAAATACTTTTTTAAAAATGATCAACCATTTCTTGATAAATTTAAAAATAAAATGAAATAATAATGATAGTATGGATAATAATAAATTGTTGTTTAGCTTGATGAGAAGTTGCTTGAGAAGCGATGCCACAGTTGTTGTCACGGTTCATGGCCATCCATACAATTCCTTCATTTCCATCCATATTTTCAATTATATATTTAAAAAAATGAATTTTTATTTATTTATTATACTTTTATGGTTTAATATTTAAACAGCAATTGGGTAAGTGGCTTGGGAAGCGATACCACAGTTGTTGTCACGGTTCATGGCCATCCATACAATTCCTTCATTTCCATAATATGTGCTCCAGGAGTTCTTGACGATCCAGTATTGTTGACCGTTATCAGTTCCGTAACCGAGGACGGCGACTTCGTGATCAAGGTAGTCCAAACCGCTTTGACAGACGGTAGAGTAGTAGACACCGGAAGAGTAGTAACGGAAATCTGGGGCAGAGGCATCGATGGCAACAGCAACAACACCGACGGTAGCGACGGCATTTTGGAGGGCAGCTTCAGAAAAGGCGGTAACGTTGACGTAGGATTGGACACGGACGCCAGAGTTTTGGACAGTTGAGGCCTTGCAGTAAGCGTTTTGCATCAAGTATGGGTAGTCAGACTCGGTGGCAATACCTCCGGCATTCATGATGTATTGGTAGGCGTTGGAGGCGAAACCACCGTTGCAACCCATCGATTGACCAACGTAGGCACAGTCGACCAACTCTTGTTCAGAGAGTGAGATCAAGTCCTTGTTGTGCTTCAAACAGGCGACAGTCTCGAGTGAGGCCAAAGAACCGAATGTCCAGCATGAACCGCATACACCTTGATCCTTGACTGGGGTGACACAACCAGAGGTTCTCCAATCGAGGGAGGCTGGGAGAGCAGAGACATCTTCATTGTCGTGGACTTCAGAGGCACCGTTGTTTTCGTCACGATCGACGTGTGGGATGATGAACTTACGGAACTCTTCGTCAGACATATCACCAAAGTGGTTCATGGCGAGCTTGTAGGTGGATTCAGAGTTGTGGGCGTTGTGGGTGGCAACACGGTGGAGCATTTGCTTGTAGGTGGCGAAACGGGTGTTGTGTTCGAGGGTGTTTTCGTAGGTCTTGCCAAATTGCTTCTTGAATTGGTCGAAGGAGGAGTCCATCTTTTTGTTGGAAGAGTCAATGTGACCAAAGATCTCTTCGAATTGGTCGAATTGGGCGTGGGTGGCTTCCTCGGCGTTGTTGCAGAGGGCTGGGACCTCCCAGATCGATCCGTATTGGGAAATGTCGGTAGTCCAGGTGGTAAAGTCGAGAATGTAGACATCGGGATGTGAGTCAAAGATAAAGTCGACACCGTTCAAGTAGAATTGGACTGGGGTACCATCAGAGTTGACGTAAAAGGTGTAATAGGCAGCCTTGCCATAGTTGACAACCTTTTGGGTGTAGGAAAAGACATCGATACCGTTGACAGTGCTGGTTCCGTTGAATGACCATTCAGATGGGATTGGTGGTAAAACAGTGATCAATGAACCGTTACCTGGGATGGTTTGACAAATTAAAGTATTAACTTGTGGGCCTAAAGAAAATAGAAAATAGAAAAAAAGAAAGAAAAGTGGTGGGTTGGTTAGTAATTGTGTGTGTGTTGGTGTGTTAAATTTCACAAGATTGAAACTGAATTGTTCTATCTCTCTCTTCTTTTTCTCTCTATCTTTTTTTTGTTTAGAAAGATTGTGAAGAGACAAGACAGTCTGTCAAGATCTTTTGAGTTGAAACTTCTTACCAATAGAGTATGAAATATTTTGTTCGAAAAGGTTGAGAGTAATATCCATTCCATTGTAGTATGAAATGTATTGACGGTTGTTGACACCATCATAAATTAATTCGATTGGTTCAACAATGTTAAAGTATGGAATGCTAAAAGTTCCACTCATATAATACTATAAATAAATTAATAACAAATGTAACAAAAGAATGAATGTCAGTATTTGTTTCGGTCGGTCAGTCGTATGTTTTGGTTTGTGTTCTTACTTGAGATGGATTTGGGATGCTTGGGACAGCATATGCAACAGCTGCAACAACAGCAAATAAAACTAAAGATTGCTTAAACATGTCTTTGTTTTTAAAAGTAGTAGAGTATGTAATAAAAAATAAACAAGTGTCACTCGGATGGATCAAAACAAGCAAGCATCGCTCGCCTACATAAAAAAAAAAAATTCAAAAAAAAACAGTCCCCAGATTTCAGTGAGTTTGAGAAAGAAAAGTATTTAGATGATTCCTCAGAATGTTGATAACTGAGGAACATGGAACAAGGTCAAGAATCTAAGAGATTTCTTTGAATCACTTTAATGTGTTGTTCGTCACGTCATCAACCGACGGAATCGGATTAGTAGTTCCAATTCAATTTAGATTGATTCAATCTAGATAAAAAGATACTTTGCTTCATTTAAGATTTAAATCAATTTATTATTGTAAAGTTCCAAAAGATGTTTGGATATCTTATGGATTGGCATTCCAGTAACATTGTAAAAGTCACCTTGTATCGATCGAATAAAGGATGCAGCTGCTATTTCTTGTATTCCATAACTACCAGCCTTGTCAAAAGGACGGTAGTGGTCGACATAGTAGGCAATCGATGCTTGATCGATTTGATCAAATTCAACTGTTGTCTCTTCATAAAATGTTGATTCAACTGTTGGTTGTTCCTGTTCATTATTATTATTATTATTATTATCTCCTTGTTTTCTTGTCAATATACTTATTCCTGTATATACTGTCGTAGTCAGAGTAGTAGTAGTATCATAGTAATGCAATCACATATTAGTCTCACACAATCAATCTCTCTCTTTCTATATTCCTTCTTCTTCTTCTTGTCAATCTATACCTTTATGCTTTTTACCAGATAGATTTGATAACATTTCAATAGCATGATCACGATCTTTTGGTTTCTCCAAGATGGTATCACCCAATACAACTATACTATCTGCACCTATAACTATATTTGGTTTCTTCTTTTCACCATTGTTGTTGTTGTTGTTGTCATTGTCGTTGTATTGTTTCATCAACTGATTATAAACCTCTCTTGCTTTGATAGTAGCATTTGCACATGCATAGTCTGATGGTGTTTTGTATAGACTCTTGTCAAGATCCTCTGCAAAGTTTGATGTTACAACTTTAAACTTTAATCCCAATTTACCCAGATACTCTACTCTTCTAGGTGATCCTGATGCCAACACAATCTCTAATTGATTTAAATATTCTAAAATATGTAATATCATCTATGATCAAATACTAATCTTCAACAAATAAGCAAATAAATAATAGTTGTACAATGACAGGTGTGCCGATTTTTAATGACCAAAGTAATAATAATAATAATTTTCTTTAGTTATTCCAAAGTTTTAATGATTTTTTAGGCTTAATGTTTTTAAGATATGCAGCAGTATCTAAATTACCATTTGACATGGCTGTATCATAAGGTATATCACCTGATATATCCTTTACATTTGGATTAGCTCCATTATTAATTAAAAATCTTGTACAACTAAATAAATAAATAAATATTAATTATTATTAATTGTTTGTTTGTTTGATATATTTGTATTTACTTTAAATGACCAGCAGAAGCAGCCATATGAAGAGGAGTCCATTGATTAGCATTTTTAATATCAATGGAAAGTTGATTAGTAGATAACATTAGGTTTATAGAATTTACATCCCCGGCAAGTGCGGCACAGTGCAATGGGGTATTGCCATTTCGATCACATTTGGCGCAATTGGCATTTCTTGCGACGAGCAAGTCGACGACTCTAGGGTGACCAGATAGAGCTGCTACGTGTAATGGTGTGACTTGATCTTTGTTGGTTCGGTGTACATCTGCTCCCATCGTGATCATCATATCGACGAGATCCGAGTTTCCAGAGTAGGCAGCTCCATGAAGTGGAGTGTTTCCAAAACATTCGGCATCATTGATATCTGCCCCGACTCCAAGCAACGCTAATACACAGTCACTGTATCCTGATAGAGCTGCTGCATGTAATGCCCTTTCATAATAATTATTGGTTTGTAACATTGGTGTTATAAATGGACTATTTCCAATATCCTCTCTAAAAAATGATGATCCTGTCGTTGTTCCAGTTGTTGTTGTACTTCCACCTTCAACTGATTTATCCATTGATTGTGATAATGGTACTGACGCAACCAGTCCTGTGGTAGAGGAAGATGGATGAAGTTGACCACCTTGAACACCCCAACGAACGAGTGCTAATGCAATTTCAGTTGACCCTTTTCGAAGAGCAACCATGAGTGGTATGTCACCTTGTGAGTCTTGTTCATGTGCTTTTGCACCCTTTTCCAAGAGTAGCATGGCCAATTCAATCGATCCCGATGAACATGCATAGTGGAGGGGTGTCTCGCCATACTTGTTGGTTGTGTCGAGTGATGATCGTGTAGTCGCACGGGTGATGAGTGAGATTGCGCATTCGGTTGCACCACGTCGGATAGATACGTGGAGTGGTGTTTCTCCTTCGAGATTGTCGCTGTCGACCTTGGCACCCATACCCAGCAACAACTCGAGGACACGTGTGTTGTTGGAGGTGGCTGCCTTGTGAAGTGGTGTCTCTCCCCACCGATCCTTGGCCTCGAGGTTGGCACCGCGTCCAATCAGAACCTGTGCCATGTCAACAAGCCCGTGACTCGACGCGACGTGTAGTGGTGACTCGGCCAGCTCGTTGGCAAGGCTGGGATCAGCACCCTTTTCTAATAATACATGTACACACTGCAGAGACTGGTCAGAGTTGTCGGTTGTCGCCGCACCCTGTGCCGCTTTGAGTAGTGGCGTGCTACCATCCTCACACTTGATATTAGGGTCGCATGCACCGGCCGACAACAGTGCCGAGACAGATGCCACGTGTCCGTGAAACGACGCCACGTGGAGTGTCGTCATACCCTGATCGTTTTTAAGGCGTGCGTCGGCACCATGCCCGAGAAGATAGCGTACTACATCTGCAGCACCCACACTCGCCGCATAATGCAACGGTGTGCCGTAATACGACCGCGCATTAATATTAGCATTACTCGAGAGCAGCAGCGACACTGCTTTGGCGTCACCTGATGCCGCTGCTTCGTGGATCGCCGCAATACCATACTCTTTTTTCGACTTGCTCGTGATCATGTTGACCGAGGTGGGTTGGTCGTTGAGCGGACTACCAATACCATAGTTGACATGACTGCCATGTCCAATCAGTGATTTCATCGCATCAATCTTGCCCGCATAGCTTGCATAATGCAGCGGTGTACGTCCAGACTGATCCAACAAGTTGACATTCATATGATGCTTTTCAACCAACACCGTGATCATATCCACCATATCATTGAGTGCACTAAAGTGAAGTGCCGTTGCTCCATTCATATCACGAATCACATTATAATTAACACCCTCTTCAAAATGATGAACAGGTTCACCTCGCTGCAAAGTCGACAATACATCTTGATACAATGTCGATAATTCTTCACTAAATGAAGGTGAATTTACTAATCCACCATTATTATTATTATTATTTATCATAGTTGATGGTTTTGGAGAAGTTGAGTGATGATGATGATGATGATGATGTTGATTTAAATCATCGTCTCTATTTAAAATGGCTTCACTTATATCTTGAGCCAGTTGGGTGTGATTACTATTGTGAGCGAGTTGGAGTGGTGTCTGACCTTGCTTGTTCTTGATGGACAGCTTGGCATTCTTTTCAACCAACATGTTGGCAAAATCCGAATGACCACGCCATGCACAGACGTGGAGTGGTGTCCACCCCTCATTGGTCAATGCATTGATATTGACACTACTATGTTGAATGAGGATAAGAGCACACTCTATACGATCAAACAACGCTGCATAATGCAATGGTGTCCAATCGTCCTTGTCACGATGATTCACATCCGATGCCAACGGACTCTGCAACAATAGATCCAACGAAGCCAACGCATCATACTCTATACAATAATGCATTGCAGATTTACCATCAGAGTCTCTAAAATCCAACTTTAATGTCTTTGTTGTACCTCCTCTTTGAAGAATATTTGGTGGTGTCGGCTGAACAGAAGTTGAAAGTGCCGTCGTCGTCGTCGTCGTCAAAGTTGGTACAGCTGATTGTAGTGTAGGAGAAGTAGTTGGTGGTGTGGTGGTGACTACACCTGATGTAGATGTAAGTGATGGACTACTACCACCACCAATTTGAAGAAGAGGAGGAAGAGGATGAAGAGGAGGAGTATCACTATTTAACATTTTACAAAACTCTGATATATAGTCCTTGTCATCATTCTTTATTGCTTCTACCAACATGCTAAAGTTGTTTATACCACCAGTCACTAGTGTAGGTGTCATTGTACCAGTAGCCGTTTGACCACTAATCGTCCCACCCTTCTTTCCACTATTTGTTCCTCCTCCTGTTGTATATTCTTTGAGTGATGATGATGGAGGATGGTTACCACCACCACCACCATGGTTACTACTATTCGAACCATTGTCATCATTGAATGCATGTTGTGGTGGTGATGAAGGCACAGCAACATTAATGGTTTCACCATTACCACTACTCATTGCTAATGATGATAGAGGACTTGTCATATAAAACTAGTATCTATCTATATATATCTATCTTTATATCTATCTATCTATCTCCTCTAATAATTTAATGGAAATTCAAAATACCAATAATAATATTATGCAAAGAAGTCAAAGAGACAGACCACGAAATTGAAGAAGAGTAAAAAAAAGAGAGGGGTTCATTTTCAATAGATATTTTTTTTGGTTTCTTTTTAGGGTGTATCATTCATTATTATTATTCATCTTTATTAATTTTAATGGTAAACAACCTTTTTATATTTTAGACCACCTCCATTATAAAATGGAGAGGTTGTAGTTTTTTTGGAACCAATTCTCCAGCTTGAAAAGGCACAACATTTAAGATCAGTCAATCCATACAACAAATATCCAATGTATGATGTAATTAAACTGACACCATAAAATATAACAATTACACTAATTGTAACTGTAAATACAAATGCCTAAAAATAGAATTGAAATAAATAAAATATTAGAGAATGAATGTTTAAATATTTTTGGGTTATTTTGAGGTTGTGTGATATATTTACCTTTGTCATCATAAAATTATAATAACCAAGATGGAAAAAGAAAATACCAGATAATAAAAGTAATAATAGGAATCCCCAAATCTGAACATTTAAATTCTCCAATATATTATTATAATCTCTATTACTTTTAATTTTAAATCCAAATGTAAATCTAAAAACAAATAAAGAAATAAATAAGTATTTGAATTTGATTTGATTATATTATATATTATATATTTTACCTATTATTAAACCAAGTCATTGGAATTAGGGCGGGAGGACATGGATTAGCCATTTTAATTAAAAATGAACCTAAAAGGAAAAAGTAACCCAATTTATGAAAGGACATGATGAAACCAGAGAATACTGGCATCGATGGAGGATCAAATACACCGGGTACATAGATGGCAACATCACCAATTTGGAAATTCATTTTCATTGATTTGTAACATGACAATGCAGTACTGGTCATTAACAATACGACCAGAGGTAAGAAATGATCAGTGATACCAGAGAAAAAGTCCAAATCTTTTAAACTGAAATTGTAAATCGATGATTCCAAGTCACCTGCTCCACTTGCACCACTACCACCACCAGCAATATTATTTAATCCTCTCTTTCTATATCTCATCATGATCGGATAAAATGTATTAAATAATTTGTAATAAAACATATTACTTATACAATAAAATTGTGGTATTACAAATAATAATAAATAAAATCGTTCCTACAAATAAATAGAAATAAATAATACAATAATTAATAAAATGAATATTTCTTTCTTTTCTTTTCTTTCTGTTTCATTTACATACTTTGTCATTTGATAAAAAGAATAATATAGTAGAGAATGGTAAAAAGATATCAGATTGGATGTATCTTGGACAGAATAATAAAACGATTGAATGTAAACCTAAAACAAGGTAGATGATAAATGCCAACTTTGGCATGACCTTATGATTCACTCGTAACGCATAATCATAGGTATAGATTGCATATAGTAGTACTAGATAAACCGTAAACTTTACGTACAGGGGTCCTAAAAATCCCCTTCTTGAATCACTAGTCACAACCAAATGAGCCAACAACTTTCTACGTTGAACATAAAATTCAAACATTAAAAGTATTACTGCTAATATATATGATCCTTTATAAAGATGCTAAAATAATAAATAAATAAATATAATATTAATATTATTTCTTTTTTTCTTTGTTTTTGTTTTTTGACTTACAACTAAAAATAGGTCTTCCAAAGGTACTGTTAAAAGATAAATACAAACAGCCATGAAAAATGTAAAGAATGCATATTTCTTTAACCATTCTCCGGGTGGTTTATATTCAAATGAGAATCGAGTTTGGTTATTATTATTATTCGAGTTGGTGGTGGTTGTATTGTTGTCACTATAGTATGGTACAGAGTAATCTTCTACTTTAACAGGTGATGATGATTGAAGAATTGGTGTTGTTGGATTAGTTGGTGTAGATGTATTGTAATCATTACCACCTTCTTCTTTTTCCAAAGTGTCATCATTATCATCTATCATAGTCATATGATGATGATCAATATCATCGTCGTTGATAGATTGTTGTTCACCTGGATAAATATATTTGTTGTGTTTTCTATGATTTCTGTACATTGGGTTGTTGATATTTTTGTTGTTGATACTATTATTGTTGAAAAGATTACGTCTTTGAATAATAGTTGCTTTGGGTGTATAATACATAACCAAGGCAGATAAAAGTGATGCAATATAGACATGAATCGATTCATTGTCATCGTGCCAATACAATACCCAAAAACCTGAAAAGAGAGCTGTCAAACCAAAGATGATGATGTAGGGTATGATGACCAACTCGAAATTAGATTTAAACTCTTTAAATAGGTTTGATAGTGTTCCATACTGTTTCTTCATCAATGACATGATGAGTAGTGAAATGGCAATGGGGAAAAAGACAACTTCAAACAATGGGAATCTTCGTAGGTTGAGAAACGGTGTCTTTAGAGAATTGATATACTCTGTAAAGAGACGAATCGATTCGTCAATATGACCTTCCTTATCGTCGATTGCCCTGTTGTACGATGCTTGGTTCATACGATAATGCCATTGTTTACCAAGTCTATTAAATTGATCTGCATTCAATTTCAAAGCATCATAAATCAATTCACTATCTTGTTGTGTAGTTGCTATCTTTCCAATATTCTCTGCTGGTAAACTAACTCCTGATCCAAAAAAGTATTGACTAATCGTTGAACATACATCAACTAAAGTATTCAAAAATAAAAAAAAACAGAAAAGAAAAAAAGCTAAGTTAGAAATTTTGAATTGAATAAATGAATGATTAATTAATTCAAATTTAGATTTAATTACCTTGATCAATAAATTTATCTTGTTTATCTTGTGGTAAAGGAGTTAGGGTTGGGTTGTAAATTAAAAGGAATGCTTCATTACCACCATCATTTTTGCCGTGTGCTGCAGTCTCACTTTTGAGTTTACCGCCGTGGTCACTGAAAATGACGAGTAGGTACTCTGGATTATCGTCAATCCATTGTTTGACATTTTCCATGTCTTGTACCCAACTAGAGATAATGGAGAGTGTGGTTGGATCGTATTTATCGCCTGTCTGATGATTACGTTCGTCTACAATATCACCGCTAAAGAATATGGATGACGATTCATTCTTTTGATAATCCAAGAATATTTTACTACAATCTTTTGGTGTTGCGGCTTGATCACATTTGAATAGTGATTGATAGAGATGACTGTCTGGTGTAGTTGGTTCAATAGCAATTCTTTCAAAGAATTCACCTTTCTCCAAAATGTCATAGGCAGGCATTCGAGTACCATAAAATCGCATCATAAAACCTGCATTCTTTGTCATTTGATACATTATATTATCGTTTTCAATGGGGACACCCATAAAGTTGGTCGGTGCACCACCAGTCATATAACTTGTAAAAACAGCATAACTTGCTGGAAATCCTTCATTTTGAATTCTAAATACATTGCCGTGATCAGACATCATACTGACCAAATCATCTGATAAATCTCTTGCCAATCCATCATTATAGAAAAATAAAACCTTTTTAAATTTGTATCCAGACATGCATTCTTTGGCCAATTCTTTTCCAGCTGCCAATTGACATTCAGTGTTTTGAAAGGTATCAACCGTCGTTTTACTATCCAACATTTGAAATTTAATGACTGCTTGTGACATTAGATAAATGATCATTGCCACTTGTAAAAAGGTAATCAATCGTTGCATTGCATAGGATTGACATATTCGACAACCCCATTTTTTGTATTTGTTAAAGGTTGACCATCGAGTTCCAGTACAACATTTAATATTCAAATCATGTCCATCTTCTTTATGATTCATTGATATCATACTAATTCCTTCTCCAAGTTCTGAATCTGAATCATCATCATCAACATTATTTAAACTATTATTATTATTATTACTATTATTATTATTGTTACTGTGACTACTACTAATTTCACTATCTTGATTTATTGTCATATTATTATTACTATTATTTATATATAATCGGTATCGATTATTATTATTGTTACTATTATTACTATTGGTATTATTATTATTATTGTTAAAATTATAGGTATTATTATGGATGGTGTATATATTATTATGATTATTATTATTTAATTTCTTTTTTGTTGTAAAATTTTGTTGTTGACTTAATTTAGTATTTTTTAAAAAATAATTATTATTATTGTTGTTATTACTATTATTATTATTACTGTTATTATTATTTAATCCACCACTACTTGAAAATAATAAATAGGAATATAAATTTTGTTTCCAGTTGATACCCTTTAGATAATTTTTTAAATCACTTAATAGGGTTAAAAAGGACTGTTGTTGGTTGTCTCGTCGACGGATGATGTTTCCGCTACTACTGACTGCTGCACTGCTGCTGCTGCTGTTGCTGCTGATACTTTGACTAGGAATGTTAATATTAACCATTCACTTTTTTTAATTTATGATGAGAGAGATAAATTGGATTGCTGTATATAAATTTGGCAAGCAGCAATACAATACAATACAATACTATACTACTCTCCACACCAAATATACAGATTAATCCAATTTTAAATATTAAATTAGGGTTGTTTTGTGTAAATTGATAAAATATGATTGGATGAAGATAAAGAGGAGTGTTAGGGTTGAGGGTGAACTGTCGTTTCAGAACTGTGTGAATTAAGCGAGTTACAGATGATGGTGGTTCAAAAACCAAAACAAAATTTTATTTATAGTTTTCGATTGTTGGATGGATGGATGGATGAGATGGATGGATGGGAAGGGATAGGTGATGTATTACAACAAGCAATGATGGGTCTCTCTCTAGTCTTCTGTTGCAATATAATAATTAAAAGTGTGTTATTTTTAAAATGAATATATAAGCGTGTGTGTGTGTAAATTGTGGTAGTCAAAATTAAATTAAAACCGTCATTAATCTTAAAATGGATAGTGAAAAAAAATCGATAGTTAAAGAATGAATTATTAAATACAAAAAAAAAAATTAAATTAAATTAAATTGATATTTTTTTAATCTACTATTATTTTTCATATGGTTTAAAAAAAAAAAAAAGATATTATTATTCTATTATTTTTGTATATAGGTGAAGATAAGGATCGAGGTGGAGTATGGTTCTAGAATGTATGTGAACAATGAGGAGGAAAAATGTATTTTTAAATTGAGGGATATTTATATATATAATATGAGGTGCTTGGGGTGCCAGTGGGTTGTTTAAATATATAAATAATAATAATAACCAGATAAAGTGATAATAAATGTAAGGTCCCAATTCTTCAAGAGAGAGAGACGAATAATATTCCTATGAGGATATTGGGGCTTGCATGTAAGCAAGTCTACTTTTTTTTAAAAGTATTAAATTCAATTTCATTTAGAGAGTGTGGTTCCAAGTTGACTCATCGATCGTGAGACATCTTCCCAATTGAACGTTATATGTGGTCATCAGCCTTGCCTTTCAGGTGCCAAATCTAGACAAACCAATCCACGAAAAATGAAATTTGTCTCTTTGATTTTTAAGGGGGGTCTTTTGTTAAACAAGGAGCTTTGAAAACCGTTCGTTTTTGTTCGATTGTTGACAACAAGGACCCTTGTTTTTTGTGTTTTGTTTTCAAATCGTCAGTTGGCTCCTGTTTGTTCGATTGCATTCATCATTATGTCTATGCCATACCACCAGTGATTCGAATCAGCAACGCACTCATCATTACATGTTAACAATCTAGATATATACTAATCATTGCGACGATGCACAGAATGTATTGGAATGAATGAATAGACTTTCTGTCTTTTCCCACATCTCTCTCTTTCATAAACAACGCTTCGCTTCGCTTGATTTAATAAATATCTTTCGGTGAATGCAAACAGTAATATGAATGAAAAAAGTTAAGGAGATGTGATCATCATCTCGGTATCATAACAAATAACAAATTAAACTACCACAAAATAGAAAAGAAGAGTGTATATATATATATATATATGTATATTTATCTATTTATCTATCTTGTGGAGAATGAATGAATCTAAAAAGGAAAAAAAAAAAAAAATTTAATTAAAATCTTGAGGTGTTATGAAATTGAACACGAAAAAGAAATAATAATAATTAGCTTATCATTAATTGGCTTCATTTTATCGTCTTCTTGTCTTGTCCACAATAGTGTATTAGTACATTTACATTTATAATATATAACAACACATCTCATCTATATATATATATATATATATATATTTATACCTTTATATAAACAATGATAACAGAACAAGTATTACATAATAGTCATAGTGAAGATGACAATAAAGTACATATAGAGACATTCTCATTAAGAGGATCAGTTGCAGGTGCACCTAAGAATCGTACGATACGACAACCAAGTGTATTCATAATCTATACAGGTGGTACATTGGGTATGAAACGTGATCCCATTACCCAAGCACTCAGACCAGAACCAAACTTTTTAAATGAACAATTAGCATCTCTACAAGAAATGAAGTCTCCAGATATGCCAAGATATACATTATATGAAGTATGTCTAAAAAAGAATAATCATTATTATTATATCTCTATCTTTATTAACCTTTATTTTTTGATAGTTTGAACATCCAGTTGATTCAAGTGATATGGATCATGATGATTGGATAAAGATTGCAAGATTGGTTGAAAAGAATTATTATGATTATGATGGATTTGTGGTGATTCATGGTACTGATACAATGGCATATACTGCGAGTGCACTTGCATTCATGTTGGAGAATTTGGGTAAACCGATTGTGTTGACGGGGTCACAAATCCCATTTGGTGATATTATCAACGATGCACGTCGTAACCTTATCACGGCCATCATGTTTGCTGGCAAGATTGATATCCCAGAAGTCTGTATATTTTTCAACAACCAATTGATTCGTGGATGTAGATCGAGAAAGATTGATTCTTGGTCGTTGGCTGCATTCGAGTCACCCAACTGTCTACCATTGGCTACGTTGGGTATGGAGATCAAGGTAAATAGTGATGTCGTACTCAATCAACCAAAGGGACGTTTCAGACTATACGAAAACATGAGCAAGAATGTTGCCGTCCTTCATCTTGTACCAGGATTTAGTGATGAATGTGTAGAGAATCTCCTCAAGCCACCTTTGGAGGGACTGATTATCCAATCGTACGGATCGGGTAATGCACCTGCCAAGAAGCGTGCGTTCCTCGACCACATTGTCACTGCCGTCAAGAGAGGTGTTGTCGTTGTTGTCTGCAGCCAATGTGTTCGTGGAACCGTCAATCTCAAATACTATGAGACTGGCAAGAGTCTTTTGGATGCAGGTGCCGTCTCTGGTATGGACATGACAGTCGAAGCAGCTGCCACCAAACTCGGTTGGCTACTCAGTATTGGTCTGCCAACCGAACAAGTCAGACAATTAATGGAAAAGGATTTACGTGGAGAATTAACTGTTAAACCAATGACTGGTCCAAAATATTATTATTATCATCATTAAAAAAAATAAATACTAACAACAAACCAAGTAACCAAGTAATATTATACTTTTAAATAGACCTTTTGAACTCTTCTCTCTTGTTATTTATTTATTTAAATGGAAGAATTTAAATTTGAATTAATTCTATTAATTGTTTTATCTTTACCGAGGATTGCAATGGTTGCAGGGATGCCACCACCAGTTGGTGCACCCAACAATATGTATCGAATGACAGACATGAGTTGATTGGTTTTAGTTGATAACTCTTTGTCTGTTAGTTGTTGTGATTGGTTCATTTCACGAACTGTGTTTTGAAGTGTAGAGTAGATAGTGTCAGTTTTAAATTCGGCATTGTCAATAGCAGCCAACTTTTTGAGAAAGAGTGGTACACCAACAGTGACATTATCCTTGTTCCAAACCTTTGCCTTCATTTTAATTGCTTCTTCCGTAGTAAGATCAGGTTCCAAATAAAATGGTTTCAAAAGTTGATTAAAATCAATAACCTTGTGTATTCTATCCTTTACACATTTAATAGCATCGATCAAAAACTTTTCATCCTCCTCGGAATCAATTGCCAAATCTCGTTTCAAATTCTCTTTGACTTGTTTGACAATGTCCATCATACCTGGTCCACCATTATCAATTTGTAATCTAATATGTTGAACATTTAACCAATCCAATTTATCCAAATCAACTACACTTCCAGATTTATTAATTCCTTCTAATGAAAACTAAATCAAATCAAATATTATTAATAAATAGACAAATTAAAGAATGAATGAATTTAATCTTACACTATTAATTAATTCCTTTAATGTAAATACTTCTTTGGTAGTTTCACTTGGTGCCCATCCCAAAAATGCAACAAAGTTAACCAATGCTTCAGGTAAATATCCTTTGTTCTAAATTAAAACATAAATATAATTATATTAATATTATGGTTTGTTTAATTAATTTAATGTTTTTTACTTACAATATATGCATCAACAGAAACATCACCTTGTCTTTTTGATAATTTTGATTTATCTTTGTTCAAGAGTAATGGTACATGAGCAAATGTTGGTGGTGTCCAACCAAATGCTTCATAGAGAATGACATGTTTTGGTGTACTACTGATCCATTCTTCACCTCTGATGATATGCGTAATCTTCATGTGATGATCGTCTACGACCGATGCCAAATGGTAGGTTGGGAATCCATCACTCTTTAGGAGGATTTGGTCATCAATCATTGAATTTGCAAATTGAACACTTCCCTTTACAATATCGTTGAATTTGGTGAATGGCGTTGTATGTGGAATCTTGAGTCGAATCGTGTGTGACATGCCATTGGCCAATCTCTTTTCAATCTCTTCTTTTGATAATCTGAGACAGTTACGATCGTATATCGAAACTGATTGCTTTCCCATTGTATTTGCCTTTAATACTTCTAATCTTTCACTTGTACAGAAACAATAATATGCTGATCCTTTCTAGAAACAATAATAATAATAATAATAATTAATATGACTCATTTAATAGACGATCTTTGTTGAATCATTTTCTATGATCATACCTTGACAAGTTCATCAGCATGTTGTTTATAAAGAGGTAATCTTTCAGATTGAACATAGGGAGCAAATTCGATACGTGGACGAGCAGGTCCCTCATCATAGGGTATGCCAGCCCACTCTAGACAATTCTCGAGGTTCTTTGCCGATCCCTCTACAAAACGAGTGCGGTCAGTGTCTTCGATACGCAATATAAATGTACCTCCTTCCTTTCTTGCAAACAAGTAGTTGTACAAGGCAGTTCTCAATCCTCCTAGATGAAGACTGCCTGTTGGACTTGGTGCATATCTAACTCTGACATGATCTCCAATCTTCTTTGAATGACTATGTTGATGATTGCATGATGTTGTTGGATTCGTATTAGTAGTAGTAGCTGTAGTATTGTTTGAATCTGCATTTGAACAATAATATCTATTATTTGGTGGTGATGATGATGATGATGATGTTGCAATAGCATGTTTGAATAATGATGATACAAGCAATCGACTTGTACTAGACCCAGCAGTGGTCAGGTTCATAGCCGACTTTCTTATGAGAATCATTCTCTCTCTATCTATTTCTCTATCTCAATTGAATACGAAACAAGAATGATCATCATGCATTGAAAGAAACAAAAAAACGAAGGAAAAACAAATCAAAGATTTTTATTGTTGGCTTTTCCAAGGACAACCTTGGAATTATTTACAAAAGAATTCTTTTATTTATTTATTTATTTATTTACAATACAAGTAGTATAATTAAATTAAATTGGTGATGTTCATTTGGTGGCAAAAAAATCGGCTATATTTAGTTTCTTTTTTTCTCTTGTTTTTGATTGTTTACTACGAGTATGAGTAGGAGTAGAAGGAGTGTCTGGATACAAATCAGATTTGGATGAATTAAATAGAAAAGATTTCAAATCCCTAATGAATTCATTGTACATTTTGGTGGGATTGAGTAGTCTGACAATGGAATATAGATTGCCAAAGAAACTGTCCATCAAATTGAGAACAAATGCAGCATTCCTATCGGCCACAGAGAGTGGATACAAAAGTTTGTTTAAATCATTCATATGCTTTTCTGTAGCATCAAACTGATGAATCTTGTTCCAAAAAGATTCAAAATAAAAGTCTTCAATCTCACTAGTAGTATATGGATTTGATGCTGGATCTATAATAGAATAGTTTTGGAATAATAATAATAATAATAATTGTCCATTAATAAATAATAAATAGTAAATAATAAATAAACTTACTACTTAAACTCTTTCTACGAAATGATGGTTCGTATACATTGGTTATATACATTGTATCTTTATCAACTAAAACAAGCAGTTTTGTATTTAAATTGATAGCCGATACCTTTCCATCATCGCCATCTTTAACACCATCAACCAAAATACGATATTCATCTGGAAATGTTTGAGGTGATGATTTGACAATAAATTTGAGTCCATTGTCATTCATATAATCAATGGTTGTTCTATTTTGAATTGTACTTTTGGAAATCACAAACATCTTTTTGTTTTCCATAAATTTCATCAATTTATCATCATCATCAACATTATTATTATTATCACCTTTCTTCTTGTTATTATTATTATTATTATTATTATCTAGATGAGGAAACCAATCTATAATAAATGGTGCTCCAAATTGTGTTTGTGGATAAAAACTTCCAACTTTTGTTAAAATGAAAGGTTAATTATAAGTTTAGTTCTTTCTTTTGAATTATTATTATTATTATTATTATTATTATTATTATTATTATTATTATTATTATTATTATTATTATGTATACATACGACGAATATGAGTACCAGTAAGTGATACTTGCTTTGAATCATCTTTGCACTTTTTTACCTTCTTCTTTTCCCTGACATGATGTCCATCAAAGAAAGATGACAATCTATAATCTACAGACTGCTCTTCAAATACAACATTCCATTCAAATTTAACCTTGTTGTGTGATAAACCAGACTCGAATCCTTTTACCAATTCACTTGCATTTATAGACATTTCTTGACAAAGTTGATGTATTGATTCTTCTGACAATGAAAATGCTTGTTCAATGACCAAGTATTTGTCTTGTGCCATGAATGTTTGAGCATCAAAGTATATTGAATACTCTGAATAGGTTGTAAAATTAGAACTATGGTACAAACACAATGTGTATCTTGTTGCCAAGAAATCCCATATATCCTTTAATTCAATAGGTCCAATTGCAGTTCCACCGCTTAGTTTCTTTTTGTTATTATTATTATTGTTGTTGCCCTTTCCCCCAGCCTTTTTATTCTTTTCAATGTTTTTGTTGATTGAATCCAATAGTATGTTCCAAAACTGTTCACGAAACAGAATTACAAATGCTTCTTTCAATGGTGACTTTACATCTCTACCGAGTTTACCAAGAGTTGTTGATCGCACTATACCATCAAATTGAATAGTAGGTTTGATATCACCCAAGTGACATCTCCATCCATCCTTTGCAAATTGAATCAAATCTTCATCATTATATCCTTCTTCCCTCTTCTTCTCGTACATCATCAACAACAACAACAACAAAGATATTAAATGTTAATATAAAGATACTGAATATTTCATATCATTTTGTAAACTATACATACCCTTCCTTTTTCATCAATCAACTCTGCATCTACATCTATCATCTCTCCATCTCTATCTTTTCTTTTACTCATTGCAACCAACGAGTACTACATGTAATTAATGTATGATATATTATGTATATTTATTTCTACCTGTCTAAATACAAAAAAGGAGAATGGTGAACATCATTTAAATTTGATTTTTAATTTAATTTTATTCTCAGTCTTGGTTTTTGATTAATAGAGTAGTACAGATAAATAGATAGACAGATAGATAGACCATACATTACATTATGTCTTGAATAGATGTAGTACTTGGTTACAATGAGTAAAAGAAAAGATAGAGATGGAGAGATGATAGATGTAGATGCAGAGTTGATAGATGTAGATGAGAAAGGGAAAAGGGAAAGGGAAGTGTATGTAATGTAATATTGCAATATTATTCAATTTGATGGTCACCAACGAGCAATCATTAACTAACCATTTATCATTTTTGTAGAAGAAGAAGGAAGGAGGAGGATACAACGATGAAGATTTGATTCGACTTGCAAAGGATGGATGGAGATGTCACTTGGGTGATATCAAACCTACTATTCAATTTGATGGTATAGTGCGATCAACAACTCTGGCTAAACTAGGAAGAGATGTAAAGGTACCATTGAAAGAGGCATTTTCAACTCTGTTTAGTGAACAGTTTTGGAACTTACTATTGAATGAAATCAACAAAAGCATTGAAAAGAATAAAAAGGTTGGAGGAAAAGGTAACAACAACAATAATAATAATAATAATAATAATAATAACAAAAAGAAACAAAGTGGTGGAACTGCAATTGGACCTATTGAATTAAAGGATATATGGGATTTCTTGGCAACAAGATACACATTGTGTTTGTACCATAGTTCTAATTTTTACAACCTATTCAGAGTATTCAATATACTTTGATGCTCAAACATTCATGGCACAAGACAAATACTTGGTCATTGAACAAGCATTTTCATTGTCAGAAGAATCAATACATCAACTTTGTCAAGAAATGTCTATAAATGCAAGTGAATTGGTAAAAGGATTCGAGTCGGGCATATCACATGGAAAGATGAAATTTGAATGGGATATTGTATTGGAAGATCAGTTTGTAGTAGATAGAATTACAGCTTTCTTTCATCAGCTAAATGGTGATTATGTCAGGGAAAAAGAACAGAAAAAGGTAAAAAAGTACAAAGATGATTCAAAGCAAGTATCACTTACTGGTACTCATATTCGTCGTAAGTAGTACTAACTATTTAAAAAGAAAAGAAAAGAAAAGAAAGGAAAGGAAAGGAAGGAAAGGAAAAAGTTTATCAAATACTAACTATACATTTTAAATCAAAGTTGGAATTCCCAACCATTTTTATCCAGAATCACATTCTGGATTACCTTTTATTATAGATTGGTTTCCTCATCTAGATAATAACAAGAAGAAAAGTGCTGATGATGATGATAATAATAATAATGTTGATGATAAAGATGATGATAAATTGTTGAAATTTATGGAAAACAAAAAGATGTTTGTTATTTCCAAAAGTAAAATTCAAAATAGAACAACTATTGATTATATGAATGACAATGGACTCAAATTTATTGTCAAATCATCACCTCGGACATTTCCAGATGTTTATCGTATTTTAGTTGATGGTGCTAAAGATGGCAACGATCAAAAGGTGTCGGCTATCAATGCGAATTCAAATCTGCTTGTGATAGTTGAATCAAAAGTTACCGACCTCGAGGACTTTGAGCAAAGTGATATCAAAGATTCAATGTACATAACCAACGTATATGAACCAACATTTAGTGGCTGTAATTTAAGAAGTAAGTTGTTTTGTGATTTTATTATTTTTTCTATAAAATATTATTTATTAATCATTATTTATTTATTTTCCAAAAGATCCAGCATCGTCTCGTGAAATAGAATACTTTAATTTTGACTCTTTTTTGAAAAAGATTAATCAGTTTGATGCAACAGAAAAGCATATGGATGATGTAAACAAATTTTTGTATCCACTTTCTGTTGTGGCAGATAGGAATGCATCGTTTGTTCTCAATTTGATGGACAGTTTCTTTAGCAATCTATATTCTATTGTCAGACTATATACACTTGCCTCCACCAAACCACACATTGAATTCATTAGAGATTTAAAATCTTTTCTATTTAATTCATCCAAATCTGATTTATATCCAAACCGTCCTTCTACTCCTACTCATACTCGTAGTAAACAATCAAAACAGAACATTATGAATTTTTTTTCAACCAAATGAACATCACAATAATAATTGTACATAGCATCTACTGTAAATCAAAAGAATTGTAAATAATAATACACTTAAAATTCCCATCACTCACAACTCTGGAAGACTATACACATAATTGTTGTCTAGATGAATGCCATCTATAGTGTAATCATCTATTAAAATATTGAAGTCATGTTTTGTTTCTCTCTACCAAAAATTAATTAATATTTGGTTGATTATTATTATTATTTTTATTATTATTGGCAATTCTTAATACTATTTGTTTGATCTATGTATATTTGATAAATACAGCATGTTGATCATTTTTCAACTCAGCGATTTCAGTACGGGAGAAATATTGTCGAGGTGAAAATGGCACTGTGTTAGGGAGGTTAAAGTCAACCAAATGCAATCTCGCAGCCAAATCTTTTAATCTGTTTCGTTCTTGGGCAACTGATCTATTGTACAATTCTTTTTGTTGGGGTGTCAAGTTCGTACTACTTTTGTATCCAAGCACAACATGATCAGATGGATCCGAACGACCACTTATCGTATTGTTGAGCTGTATTGTAATGAGGTTGCGAAGAGTGTCCTGCATCATTTGTAGATCGATGTTTAGTTTTGTGGCCAATCGGATGATGGGATCTCGGAGCATATTATGGAATCGGGCTTGGGATCGGGTGCTTTCATCAAATCTTAATGCTGCCGAATGGCCTGCTCCCATAATGAGACGGTTGACTACTGCCCGTTGGGTGTCGTGGTTTGATTGTCTAAAATAACGGTTGAAGTGTGGAGTCTACCTTGTTGCAAGAATTGGTCAAGCAGGTTTAGGGCTTGGCGATCCCCATGACAATTTCTAGAAATAGTATCATCATCATCATCATCATCATCATTTTTGTTAGTGAGATGAGGAAACCAATCAGCAATAAATGGTACACCAAAATTTAATCGTTCCCAACTACCAACGAATTTAAAAATAAATATTAATATAATCTTTTTTTTTTGTATTATTATTATTATTATTACTACTCCTTACGACGAATATGAGTACCAGTTAGTGATACCTTTTTTGAATCATCCTTGTACACTTTTTGTTGCTTTTTGTCAGTTATTCCATAATACTCATAAGTCTTTTCTACAATATTGCATTCAAATTTCATCTTTCCATGTGATCATCCAGATTTGAATCCTTTTACCAATTCACTTGCATTTATAGACATTTCTTGACAAAGTTGATGTATTGATTCTTCTGACAATGAAAATGCTTTCTCAAAGGCCAAGTATTTGTCTTGTACCATCAATGAAAGAACGGCAAAGCGTACCGAGTATTGGTGATAATTTGAAAAGTCAGAAGTGCGATTGACACTTATCGTATATCTAGTGGCCAAGAACTCCCATATATCCTTTAATTCAATAGGTACAAATCCTCCACCTTTCTTATTATTATTATTTTTGTTTCTTGTTGTTGTTGTTTTTGCATCATTTTGATTCTTTTCAATGTTTTTGTTGATTCAAAATCTATCATCTCTCCATCTCTATCTTTTCTTTTACTCATTGTAGCCAACAACGAGTACTACAGTAATGTAATTAATGTATGGTCTATCTACAAAAAAATACAAACCACCAAAAATGGTGATGTGATGTTCATCCATACATTGCCTAATGCTCAAAAATATATTAATAATAAAAAATGAATAATAATAATGTGTATGTACATAACGGGAGTAAAAGTTGGTTTACTCTTTTGTCTTTGCAAGTATTCATTTGGTTACCAAAGATAGATAGAAACAGATATTCAATAAATATCTCATGACCTTCATTCTCTAACAATCTGATCATCGTTTTTTTACAATTTCTCAAACACATTGACATCATCAATACATACCTCTTATCTTGGCTATAAGATTACTTAGTTAGTTTGCATATATATATACTTATATAAGTATTTAGAAAGAAAGAGAGATGATCAATTTATTACGACATAGTGGTAGTAAATCGACGACCATCTTTAAAGACACTTTACTATCTTCGTCTTTGATTAGACAATCGTTTAGTAGTGCTAGTAGTGGTGGCGGTGGAGCAGACAATGATCATTCATACAGTGCAACACTTAATCTACCAAAGACATCATTCTCGATGAAAGCAAATGCACAACAACGAGAACCAACTCTACTCAAAGACGCATACCAATTGTACAAGTGGCAAGAAACGAATAATGTAGAGGGTGGCAAGACATGGGTGTTTCACGACGGTCCACCCTACGCAAACGGAGACTTGCATCTCGGTCACGCACTCAACAAGATTCTAAAGGACATTACCAACCGTTACAAGATGCTTCGTGGTCACCGTGTCAACTATATCCCCGGGTGGGACTGTCACGGTCTGCCTATTGAAAGTAAGGCATTCGAATCGATCCGTCGTGAAAAGAGTGATCGCATGACACCTGTAGAGATTAGAAAGACGGCCAAAGCATACGCTGAAAAGGAGATACGCAAGCAGATGGCATCTTTTAGATCATGGGGTATTATGGGTGACTGGGAAGCACCTTATATCACAATGGCACCAGACTATGAGGTAGCTCAACTCGAAACCTTTTACGATATGTATAAGCGTGGATACGTTTATCGCGGTATCAAGCCCGTTCACTGGTCACCGTCAAGTCGTACTGCATTAGCTGACGCCGAGCTCGAGTACAATGACAACCATGTCTCGCAATCCATCTTTGTCAAGTTTGCAGTGACACAGTCTTCCAACGCTCACATCCTCGCTGCTATGAGTCGTGGTGACAAGGTTCATGCTGTCATCTGGACCACCACGCCATGGACCATTCCAGCCAACCAAGCAATCTGTGTCAATGCCCAGTTGGAATACTCGCTTGTCAAACATGACAAGATCGACAACCACCTACTCATCGTGTCATCTGAACGTCTTGCATCGCTCAGATCAGCATTTGGATTGGATTTAGAGGTCGTTGCAACATTTACAGGTGCACAACTTGAAGGAACTCAAACAGTCCACCCACAATACAACCGTCCATCACCAGTTCTTCTCGGCGACCATGTTGTCGCTGGCTCTGGTTCTGGTTTGGTACACACTGCCCCAGGACACGGTATGGAGGATTTTGCCATCTGTGCTCAACACAATATCGCAGTCTTGTCGCCAGTCGATGACGAAGGTCGTTTCACCAAGGAGGTAGGTGACAAGTTTGTCGGTATGGAGGTGCTTGGCGGAGGTAATACAGCCGTTATTGAAGACCTCTCTCAACTCGGGTGTTTATTACACCAAGAAAAGTACACTCACAAGTATCCATACGACTGGCGTACAAAGAAACCCATTCTCATCCGTACCACCCGTCAGTGGTTTGTCGATCTCACCGACGTGCATCAATCGGCTATTCAAGCCATCAACGCCGTCAACATGGTACCTCCATCGGGTTCTAACCGTCTGTCGAGTATGGTTGGACGTCGTTCAGATTGGTGTATCTCGAGACAACGTTTCTGGGGTGTACCCATCCCCGTCTTTTACGAAAAAGAGACTGGCGAAGCACTTATCAATGACGAAACCATCCAACACATTCTCGAGGTATTTAGAAAGCATGGTGGTGCAGACAGCTGGTTTGAACGTGACGTAGCTGATCTCCTTCCCGAGAAATACAGATCCGAGAGTCACAAGTATGTCAAGGGTAGCGATACCATGGACGTATGGTTTGACAGTGGTACTTCATGGCGTGGTGTCCTCGTACAAAGAGGAATCATTTCCAAAGAGGATGGTGTAGCAGATATCTACCTAGAAGGTAGTGATCAACATCGTGGATGGTTCCAAAGCTCACTCTTGACCTCTGTTTGTGCTCGTGGTATTGCTCCATACCGCAACGTCGTTACACATGGTTTCCTTCTCGATGAAAAGGGAATGAAAATGTCAAAGTCTCTCGGAAACACTATGGCTCCAAACCTCATTGTCAGTGGTGGACCAAACAAAACTGAAAACCCAGCCTATGGTGTAGATATGTTACGTATGTGGGTTGCCAGTAGCGACTATAGTCGTGATATCTCCATTGGTCCAAACATTCTTATCAAACTATTGGAAAACATCAAGAAAATTAGAAATACTGTTAAATTCATGTTGGGTTCAAACTTTGATTTTAATCCAGAATTAAATCAAATTGATTATAATCAATTATCTGATGTAAGTTTAAAAACAACCAAAATATATAATGTTTGTTTTTATTAATTAATTAATTAATTTATTTAGTTGGATAAATTTGCACTTCATAAAGTATTTTTATTGGAACAAAATGCATCAAAATATTATGATCAATTCCAGTACAGCAAAGCAATGCAAGAATTAAATATATTTGTAAATGAAATCTCTTCATTTTATTTTGATGTCATCAAACAAAGACTTTATGTAGAGTCAAAAGATAATATCCTAAGAAGAAGTTCTCAAACTGTTTTATTCCATGTATGAAAACACTAAAAAAAAAACAAAAGAAATCAATTAATTATTTTATATGTTTTATTTATTTATTTTATTTCCTCATTTAGATGTTAGATGTTGTTAATAAGATTTTAGCACCAGTTACAGTACATACATCAGAAGATATTTATAATCATCAATTTAAATATCGTAGTCCAAAGGAATCAGTATTTACTCAAGGATGGTGTAAATTTGAAGAACAATGGTACAACCCAGAACTCTTTGAGAAATGGAATCACATTATTACTCTTAGAAATGAAGTGAACCGTCTTTTGCAAATCGTTCGTGACAAGGGTGTCATTGGTCGTCCAGACGAAGCAACCATTACCATTATGGTTACCAACGACCAAGTACCACTCTACACTCATCTCACTTCACTCCAATCACAACTGGAAGACATCTTTTGTGTCAGTGGTGTCATTGTCGAACCATACAACGCACCTCCACAACTAGAAGGTGAAGCTGCCATGACATCTGATGTTCTCATCACCAACCCACATGGTGGTCAAACTCTCTACCAACTCAATGGTGGTATTGACAAGGTTGCAAGATTCCAAATCACATGTCAAAAGTCTACCCAACACAAATGTCCAAGATGTTGGAGACATCAAAGTGAAAAGGAAGCAACCCTTTGTCAACATTGTGTTAAAAGATTAGAAGAAATTAAACTTTAAATTAAATAATTATTATTAATTTACAAAAGAAAAGGAAATACCAATTTATTTATTATTTATTTTTTAATTGTTTTAATTTTGAGTATTTGTAATTTTGAATACTTTAAAGTCAAAGTTATCGGGAGCACGACGAGCAATATCACCCATGATTGCTTTTTTCTTTTCATTACTCTTTTCACTTGACAGTTCGTAGAGTGAACAAATGTTAAAGATTAAGGTCTCGTCAATTGTCTTTTCCTTTTCCTTGTTCATCAATTGTTCGAGTGCATGAACTGCACCAGAGAGATCACATGTGTACAACATTGCTATACATTTGTTGTTGGATGCTGGGATGTTTGTAGGATCCAACTGAATAACCTTATCAAAGTGACCTATTGCCGCTCCATACTGATCCAAAGCAATTGCCAAGAAACCCTTGTTCATATGTGAAAGTACCGAAATCTCTGGTTCTGGAATCAACCGATCGGTCACCTTAAATATTGTCTCTGCCTGACTGACATTACCCATTTGTAAATGTATTCTACCCAATGCCGATAGTGTCCATTGATCAGCTTGTTGTCTTTGAATTAAATCTTCTATGATTTTAACTGCCAATAAATAATCCTTATTCTTTTGAATAATAAATGTTACAATTGAAAATACAATTCTTCTTTCTCTTAATCTCCATGTTATCACTATGTAAATAATTAATTAATCGATTGTTTAATTTCAATCCATATTTGTTTTTTTTTTATGATACATACAACCATTAGTATTAGTTTGATCTTGATTTTCAAATAATTCATCAACATGAACACTAAGATGAAGTTGTGATGAAGTTGGAGGTGAAGAAGATGGTGTTTGTCCTGTAATAGGAGATGTAGTTGTTGGTGTAAGTAGAGAGGTTGTTGCAGCATCTACTTGTGATAAAAATATTTGTTGTTGATCCAATGAACTACCCATCATAGAGTTGCCACCACCAAATCCATTGTTTTGACGATTGAATTCTTGTTGTTCGAGATTGAGTATTTCACGTTTACAAGTTGACAACAATGCATACAATGCGTCGAGTTGATATTTCTCCAATCCCAAGTGACATGCCAATTCAGCCTTGATGACTCGCATTGAAAAAGGTACCATTGTACCCTTTTTGTTGGGAAAGAGTGCTGGATAGGCTTCATAACAATTGACAAGATCACGTACATCACCAATTCCTTGTATTTCATCGTATGCAATCTTATAGTTTCTCATCCTTACATGCGCTACTATACGACATTGTTTATATTGTAAGATCAACAATGGATTATTTGTACCTGCAATACACATATCTGCTACTTTAAATACATTATTCCAATTTCCAACTCTCTAAAAAGAATTGATAAATAGAATATATTAATATTAATATGTTTGTTGTTTTAATCAATGTAAGAAGATACAAACAATTAATCTTTTAAGTGTAGCTTCATCACCTGTTAAACCTTGAACATTTGATGATGAATATACATAAGGTAACTCTGGATTATTATTATTATTTCCTCCTTGTGGATGATGTGGCTGTATAATGCTTGCTGATGACATTAAAGATGATGTTGATGATGATTGAGCTGTTGGAAGATGTAATGGACTACTACCAAAATCGATTGAATTTGATAATGAATTTGTTGATGCTCTATGATGATCATCTCGTAGTGGTGATGTAGTAGTAGGCGTAGAAGTACTAGCAATCTGATTATATGACTGTGATCTATTCATAAATGAAGAGTTGTGATTTGAAGGTGAAGAAGGAGCTGATGAAGTATTCAAGTTTAATGCACCTAATCCTAGACCTTGTTCTTTTACATTTTGTACAAATATATTATTTGGTCTTTGATTTGATGAAGATGAAGAAGAAGAAGAAGGTTGTTGTTGTGGAGGTGTTGTTTGTTGATTATTACTCATAATATATATGTATGTACAATTGCAAATGAACTGTAAATATCAAATTTGAAAGTTTGATGTTTGTGTGGATGAACAAAAAAAAAATGGATATTTCAACGGGATAAACAATATTAATAATAATAATATGTATAAGACAATTTAGAGGGGGATAAAACAATCATATATAAATATATGTTTGTATTTTTTATTCATTCTTTTTTTTAGAATTATTATTTGCCTTCTTTTTGTTTGTTTGTTGGGAAAAAGTTTTAATAAATAGGGGTGTGATGGGGTGTGTATTTTGGTTAGTTGATTTGTCTTTGTTATCCTTTTGTTTGTTTAAATAGTATTTAAATTATTTGCATTATTTGAAACTTGGATAAGAGTATTTATCAATTTTAATAGATTACGAAGACCAAATAAATAGCCTTCATCCAAAACTGAATCCTCATCATCGATTGGAGGCGGTTGATTTTTGTTGTTGCTGTTACTATTATTATTATTGTTATTTTTATGATTAATATTTGAAGTTGAAGTTGGATGAGCATGAGCAAAATCAACCATTCTAATATTTAATTTTGCGTCTGCAGCGTTGGTACTTTGACCATCGTAAATAAATAATAAAGAACCTCCATAGAATTTGTAACATTGTTGTTGTTCAAACAATGAAATGATTTGTCCCAATCGTTTGGCGATCAATGGTAGCAACTCGAGACGACTTCTAAGACCGTTATCCAAATACCTGCACAATACAAGAGGTATGTCTTGGTCGGTCAAACTACGTCCATAGTATTTGTCATATGTCGAGTATTCCCCATTTGGTAGGTTATAAACCTTGAGTCCACATACTCTAAAACCCAACGATGACGATGTCGTCGCTTTACATTTTTCCACCATCTTTTTAACCTTTTCAGCTGGTGCTTCCCTACCGTGTTGTCTAACTCCCATTTTAAGGTCAAGTATACATGGATATTTACATGAGAATGTTAAATCCTCTATTTTTATATACACTAAATAAAAAAGAAATTAAATTAATACTCTATGCTTCTATTTTTCTTTTTTTTCTATTTTTCTGTCTCTTACAATTTTGATTTTCTTTTGGTAATTTAATTATTTTGTTTCTCCAATGAGCATAATTAAATATAGTTGATTGTTTATTACAGGATTGTTCCAAATACTCATGATCCAAACCAAAATGATCGATACCAAAGAATTTGGGTGTGAAATCAATAAATTCTGAATGATGTTCCAACGATTTGTAGAATTGGTATTCTGTTGGCACCAAAGGCTTTAAAACCTTTCCATCTGGTAGTTTAAGTAGGGGGCACTGACCTGCCACCTGGTGAGATAACAGAGTTAAATCTGGAAATGTTATCGATATACTTCGTTTTCTAATCTCTGATGATGATAATGACAAGTTGGAAGATGAAGATGGAGTGGTTGGTACTACCAATAATCCTGAAACTTCATCTCCTCCATCGTCATCTTGATCACTATCACCACCATTACTACTAGTATTGTCTAATAAATCATCTTCATCTGTAAATGATGAATCCAATTGATTTTGATGGTTGATGAATCCAACACTTTCATCATCACTACTAGTAGAATGTACAAGTTTGTTTGGTATAGTTGATGTAGGTGTCGGTGTATTAATATTGTTATTGTTATTATTGCTGGGGGAAGTTATTGTGACAGTTGGTGGTAAAGTTAATTGTTGTGATAATAGTAATGGTGTTTGTGGTGTTGAATGATTTGAATAACTTTCATTTTGTTTTATCACTATTATTATTATTATTTTGATTATTGTTATTTTGTTGATTATTATTATTATTTGGTTGTTCAAACATTGAAAAGAGAATTGGAGAAGTTGATATTAAATTTCTCTTTGTATTACAAACTTGGTATAAAGAGTTGGGTGCCAATATATTCATTGGTGGAGTTGATTTGTTATTATTATTATTTGATATTGAAGATGAAGATGCTGACAATGGATTATTATTATTATTGTTGTTGTTGTTGGATTGCAATACTACACTTGTGTATGGCAATGAACTGCAACTACTAGTTGTAGAAGATGATGAATCTGCATCCTCTTCTTCAATTAATATATCCTCCTCTTCCTCTTCTTGTTCCTTTTGTCCTCTAATCACCTCTTCTTCTGGGTATTTAAATCCACAACCATTGGTAGATGAAGCCATAGAAGATGACGGAATGGATCGACAAGGCATCACATCATGATGTGAAGATAATTCATCGTTGTCATAATTGTCTTGGATATTTAATAAACTGACTTTTGAATTTAATAAATCATTGTTGATGGATGTCAATGTCTCTTGTTGCTGCTGAGGTTGTTGTATAATTGGGGATGATGGTATCATTTTGTTGGATTGATAATATTTTTGATGATGTTGATGATGATGTACTACTATGATTGTTATTGGTTCTATTACTGTAAGGTAGTTGGATTATCCTACTATACATTCAATGATGATTGATGTTCTAAATAAATAATAATAATAATTTGTTGGTTGAATATTTAAGAGAGCGATTCTTCTTAAATGTGTTGTATTATTATTATTATTTGTTGTTGGTGTTCAACTAGTTAGTGTGTCGTGTTTCTAATGTACTAATGTTTGTTTGTTTGTTTGGTGGTGTTAGTGTTGGGTTGGTGGTGGTGTTGACAATCTACAACTATGAAATAATTATTGTTATATCTCTATAGTTGTTTCTCTAATCTAATACTAATAAATAATTTTACAATTGTTGTTGTATCTAATATAATGGTAATGATAATATAAATAATAATACATAGAGATGGGAATGAATTAGAGATGGGAATGAAAGAAAGAGAAAGAGAGAGAAAGAGAGAGGGGTAGATGTATGAGAATAAATTATGAATTATTAATATAAAAATTTTAATTTCAGTTGTATATTTTATTGATCATCCCAACTTTAGAGAATTCCCAAACTCTCATGAGAGTTGAAAAATCAATCGAATTTTTTGTAAAGAATAAAAGAATAAAAGGAAGGAATAGATAGATAAAGATAGATAGAACAAGCAGATAATTAAATATATATATAGGTATATCTTTCTTGTTTTATCGTTTGTTTGTTTGTTTGTTAGGGATAGAGGAAAAGAAATGAAAGAGAGGAGAGTAGTAAAAAAATAAATAAGGTTTTATTTATTTGTTTAGAGAAAACTGTACATTTTTGTTTTTATATATATATATTTCTTTTTGTTGTTATGGTTAATTAATTAATTATATATAATATAATATAATTTATATGTGTATAAAAATGAAAAAAGAAAAGATGGGAATAGTAGTTGTCCTATGGTGTTAAAAGAAATTGAAATGGAATGTGTGACCCTTTGTTTCTTTGGTTATTGTTGTTGTTATATAAATTTCAATAACACCAAGTGGTTCAATTTCGATTTACACTACTAAAAACAGTGTGTTGGGGTTTGAGAGTGATTAATTAAACCCCCACACACACACGGTGATTCTGATGTAATGTTTATTGTATTATTATTATCATTATTAAACATCATATTAAATTTGGATAGAATGAATGAATGAATGATGAGAGACAAGAGAGCGGAGATTCATATGATTGAAGTTGTAAAATCAACTCTATCTCGAGAGTGAGTGAGTGATGCGAGAGTAGTAGATAGGAGTAGTGAGTGAATTTACTATACTTGTCGCGACTAGTATAGTGTGTAAATGAACCTTACCTATTATATTGCCTATTGGATGACTGTGTGATATATTTATAGTATCGCGGCGATTATTGGTTGTGTTTATACTGTGATTTATTTATTTATTTATTTATACTACTATGACTTTTCTATCTATCTATCTGTATGTCTCTTTGTTTTTTTTTTACAAAATAATGATGGTTAAAATGAATGATTTTTTACAATGCTACTTGTTTGCAACAGTCATCACCCTTTCCCAAAAACAAGAAAAAACCAAAAAATCTTTCTTTCAATGAAATCATACGCTTTTTGACCATTGCTCGCAATCCTATAAAAATTTTGATCTATTCAACCTTAAATCAATCAATTAATTAATTAATTTAAGATCTTGAGAGATTAATTGGACTGTAAATCTTGACTTGACAGATGTTTTTAAAAGATTGAATAGATGTAATCTACTAAGGTATGCATTGGCACACTTTAAAAGATTACTGGGTTTATTGTTTATTATTAAACTAAACTTCTTTTGAGGTCTCGAAGGAGTCCGTCGTGATGGATCCAATGATGATGATGATGATTGTGATTGATCTCAGAGAGAGTTTAGGTTATTAGTAGAGTTTGTTGGGTGAGTAGAGGGCTATGTGTTTTGATTGTTGTGTTTGTTTGTGTAATAACCAACAATAACGAATAAGTTACATTTGATGATGATGATGATGATTGAATATTTTTAGAAAGATAACGTTGAGATGAATGGAATAGAAATGGAGGGAATGGTGGATGAAATAATAGAGAGATAGTTCGGGTGGTTGTATTATTCACAAGTCTTGAGTTGGGGAATTAATCTAGAGTTAATTATTATCATAGATTATTATTTAAATATTATTATTATTATTATTATTGTTTTTGATTATTATTTTTCATATTGATTGATTATTGTTGTTTTTCATTTTTTGTTGTTAGATTAGGAGTTGATTGAGTTCTAGTTCTTAAAATATTAACCGATGAATTTTCTCTATTTTTAACATAATCCTTCATAGAATTAATAGCAGAATCCAAACTTTTCAATTGCTTGTCCTCTTTGTTCTCGGCCAACCAAGGATGTTTCATACACTGTGATGCGCTCCATCTTTCCGTTGGATTAATGACCAACAATTGTGAAATAAAGTGTTTTGCATTGTCTGTAATACCAGACCACTCTGGTTCTGGAAAATCATATTCTAGATCCAATATCTTTTGGAACAGTTCATGATGTGTATCTGCATAAAATGGTGCAAATCCACATAATCTATAGATATCAATTGAGGAGTGTTAGCAACACGATCGTTCATTCATTCATTCGTTGGTTCATTTGTGATATTTACAATATATAAGTGATAACTCCAATACTCCACATATCTACAGAGGTATCATAAGGTTTACATTCTAAAATTTCGGGTGCTACATAATCTGGTGTTCCACATGCCGTCTTTAATTCTTCTCCTCCTTCAAATATTTTACTTAGACCAAAATCTTTAGAATGAAATGAAATGATGATTTGTTATTAGGGTTTGTTTGACATGTAAATTAGATTGATTGCATTTCATTTAATTTCATTTCGATTTCGATTTTGATTTCATACCTGCTATTCTTACAAATTGTTCAGCTTCATCGTCTGCCGAACACAATAAATTCTCTGGTTTTAAATCACGATGACAAACGCCATGTTGATGCATATATTGAACTGCCGATACTATTTGTCTAACTAAATTACATGCGTCTCTTTCAGAGTATTGACCTCTATCAACAATCTTATCAAACAATTCTCCACCTCGCACACTTTATAAAATAAATGTTAACATCAAAACTTTGATGGGACGATCCAATTGATCTATCTAATCTAATCTATCTTTCAACCATCTACTTACAGTTCCAATACCAAGAATAGATAATCTTGAGAATCAAACACCTCTATCAATTGAATGATATTCTTGTGTTTAAGTTTCTTCATAATTTCAATCTCTCTTGTGAATCTATTCATATCTGCTTCGCTTACATGTTGCTTTGAGATTGCTTTAATGGCAACCTCTTCACCTGATTCTTTATGTGTACCATGTCTAACTACTGAAAATGCTCCACTGGTAATAGTTGTTAGTCTTTATCGGTTGATACTCCTAGTACTAGCATATATATATATATATTGTATATACTACATACCGTCCAATCTCATGACCAAATTCATAAAAGTCTTCAATCTTTGATCCCTTCTTTCTCTGTATCTTTTTAAACAATCTTAACATGATTTGGTTACTACACTATTGTTGCTGTATTGATTGTTGTTATTGTTGTTGATCCTATCGATCAATGATTGATAGAGATGACGATTGATTGATTGACTGCGATTGATTGCGATTGATGAAAACGATCGTTCTATGTATCTTAAAATATATCTATTTGTAGTATAGTTGTTCTTTATGTATATCTATCTATCTATCTATCTATCTTCCTTTCTATTTGTATATTCATAAAATGGTCTTCTAATCTGTCAATGTTTATGTAATGTGTATGTTCTTTCTTTGTTTTTACTTATTCTAATCTCGCGATCTAATCTATTTATCTTTTATGTTGTTGTTTTGACTACTATTATGTAGATATATGTAATTATATATAGTTTTGCTTGTATGTGTTGTGTTGTGATAATAGACTTTTTGTTGGTCCCTCACCACACACTTTTTTATTTTTTTTGTCAACAAATTTGGATGGTGGTTCTTTCAATGGTTCATCCACGCATGCTCGTCTTGGATACAACTTTAATCACCAACAATCTTGCTTTTGGTTTTTTGTTTTTGAGATCTCCATCCTTTATAACATCATCTCACTCATCACTAACCAAATCTACACAACACACCCCACTGTTTATATAACACATTTATAGTTTAAAAATAAAATACATGATTTATTTGGGTGGTTTTGGGAATTGGATTGGATTGGGGCAATCTAATGAAATTAATTTGGTGATTTGATTTGATTTGATTTGTATTATTATTATTATTATTAATACTAAATTACATTGTGTTGGTTGTTATTATTATTTGATTATTTTGATTTTTTGTTTGTTTTTTTATCTATCTAGCTTTCACTCTTATTCTTCTTGTGAGTGTTGTTGTTGTTGAGCCTCATCAACAGGTGATAGAGGAGGAGATATGACCATGGGAGAAGAGATGACCCCATTGACAGATTGGGAAGCCTTTTTAGAGTGACCTTTGTCAAAGTCTTCGTTGGCCTCGAGTTGACCAAGCGCGGATAAAAAAGTTTGTGCAAGCTCGCGCTCTCCACGAGTCGACATGGTGTTGGCAACATTAGAGTAGTGCTGCTTGGCAAAGGCTTGGACAATGGGGATGTCTGCGTAGTAGGTTTCGATTAGTTCCACCGACGATGCCCATTCGGTGGTATCACCAATATTGCCAAAAAAGTCAATGATTTTGGGACGTGCACTGGCGAGTGCTTCATTGAGCTGCTGGTAGTCGGTTTGTGAAGCTAAAAAGGTCTGGTTGGTACCGGCATGAGAAAACATGGTTGCGAAAAAACCAAGTGATTCAAGTGCACCGTCGGAAGGGACGACATTAAAGAGACCGCGGAGATGGGGACGTGCAATGAATGGAGCAAAGACACGTGCAAACAAGAGACATCCGGATGGTGGGTGTTGGACACTCTTCTCACGCTTAACAGCGTCAATCTCCATAGATGCGCGTTTGAATGGTGGAGGGAGATACTGTTGCGATGTGGCAAAGTTGGTCAAGATGTTTTGAAACTCACCGATAAATGATTGAATGCCTTCGGGTGTGTGTGGACGGAACCGTTCTGGGTATCCGACAATAGTGGTGATGGATTGATCAAAGAGATATTTCAAGTAGGGGATGGCGAGGTGGACGGCGCACTCCTCCACCATCTCGCACCAGATGGGTTGGTTGATAAAGACATTACCCAAGCTTGATGCGTGTTGATTCACCAAATCACTACGAACCATGTGTGACAATAGTTCGCTCATCTGTCCGCGCATATCCAACACACGAACAAGATGTGGTATAAAGTTGATTGGATTGGTTGCTGGTAAAACCGGTTGACCACCTGGTGGAGGAGGTGGTGGGTAAAGTTCATTCTTTCTAACTTCTGCAAATCCATACCATAAATTAAATGCTGGTGTTGTTAATAACTATGAAAATAAAATAAAATAGAAAATAGAATCAATAAAAGTTAGAATATAACCAACATTACTATTAATTGTTATTATTATTGTACGTACATCAATAAATGGTTGGAATTTAGCATCCAATTCATTTGATAATTCAACGGCTCTCTTTTGTTCACGTTCAACAATATCTTTGAGGAAATAATCTTGTTCTGACAAACACCATGTTCTCAAACTATCGACATATGATTTAATGCCAGCATACTCAGAGTATGAATTACCAGCTGTAGTTGACATTGATTCATAATGTCTAATTAATATTTCAATAAATTCTGTATGCATTCGATTCTAAAAAATAATAAATAATCATATTAGTCAATATACATAATATATATATTATTCATATATTCCTTTTTGAACATACTTGAGTATCATTTAAATATGTTATATATTCATGTTTAGCAGCATCAAAGTTTAATTTTGCTTTGGTTTTTTCTCTTTCATACTATAAACAAAAATAAAAAGAAGGAATTAACAATTATTATATATTATTATTAATATATTATTATTATTTGATTTTTAATATTTACAGTATATAATTTCAAAATATGAGATTGTTCAACTTTCTTTGTTTGAATAGTTTTAATTTTACCAATCAATGTTTCATATTCATTTGATGCTTTATCGTATTTCTTTCTATAAACCTTTTTCTCTTCGATTACACTAATCAATGTTTGAATTGGTTTAATAAATCCTTCATTTACACTTGTTACCTATTTAAATAATAAATTGTTAATCATTATTTGTATTTGTTTTTTTGTTTCTTTGTTTACTACTTACAAATTCAGTATCAAAATTTGAAGATTTAGTCATTGATACAGTGAATTGTTCCATTGCTCTTGTAAAACCAATGTTATTTTCACTGCCTCCACCTTCAGCTTGTTGTTGGATGGCGTATTGACTGGTAATGTGTGAGTTTGATGAACTGGTTTGTACATTCTTTTCGTGGTCTTTGGAGAATGATTGTGCCCATAGTACATGTGTCTTGGCCAATTTGTCACCCTTTTCAGTCCATGCTCGTTGTGCTTTGATGAGATCGCTCAACAACTGCTTAATGTCATTCAAGTTTCTTTCTGATTGTTTAATCTCTTCTGGTTCGACGACGACCTCGCTAATGACATCTCCATAGGGTGTTGAATGCGACCCGTCCTTGTCTGGACTACCACCTATATTTGCCAACGACCCACTCTTTCTTAACAATGATGAGAACATTTTTCCACTCATCTAATATAATCTAATATATAAATATATAGACACTATCTACTTGTTATTGTCTTTACTTTCTTTACTCTGATGATACAATCTATTCTAATATTACAACAACAACAATGCTACGATAAACTAACTTCCTCTTTGCTATATTTAATTTATGTTTCTTTCTTTCTTTCTTTCTTTCTTTCTTTCTTTCTTTCTTTCCTTTTACTACTATGATGATATTTGTTAGATTGTAAAATATGTGTCTTGGGTTGGGTTGTTCTATCGATAGCAAAGCAGTGTCTTTGAATACTCAATAAATCTGTTTGAATCCGGAAACTATCTATCATGCGCTGCCCCATTCAACTAAAAAACTGATTTTATTCAAAAAAAATATTAAAATTGTTTTTTTCAGCTACAAACTTTTCATTGATTTTCAATGACCTATGTTAAAGCATACATAATCCCAAGATAGTCGATGAGATATCTTTATATATTATTATATCTGTCAGTCATCTGTTAATATTATTGATATAACAAGTTGTTATGTAGACAAGGATTAAAAAATGGATGGTTTATCTTCATCTTCTTTCTCCTCTCTTTAATATATAATAATATATTACTTTTAGAAGAATGCTATCTAAATTTTGTACATTATCTTTTGTCACATCAAAGTGTATACAACCATTTCAAATTATACGTGGTCCAAATAGTCGTGTTGTTAGATCCAACTCTTCTCAAAGTTGTTTTGATGATCATCATCAACCTCCCCAATCATCTACTTTTAATTTCTCTTCAACTTTTGGTCACAATGGGTTTTATTCCCATTCATGTATTCGTACTTACTCTACTATTACAACAACACCAACAACAATAACAACAACCAACGAAAAAGATAATGTAAAAGTACCTTCCAAGTTTATAAATGGTGGAGGAAACTTTGAAAAGGTTTATTGTCAATCCTCCTCCCTCTTCCTCCTCCTTTTATATTGATAACAGCAACTATATTCGATATATTGAAGATTTAAATGCCAAAGTTATAGTCTCTCTTCGTCCTCATGGCTTTGGAAAGACTTTATTCCTAGACATGCTCCACCAATACTATGACTGTAAAAACAGGAAAACCTTTGATGATATAACCTCTGATAGACCCGATAAATTGTTTGGTCACCTCTCCATTGGTAAGAAACCAACTCCTTTAAAGAATGAATTCATGGTACTCCATCTTGACTTTTCTGGACTCGATACTTCTACTTTTGATGTATGTGTATTAAAAAAAAAAATTTTTATATCCAAACCAACTTTATTAATTAATTAATTAATATTTATAGATAGCAAGCTATTTGAAAAGGATTTCAATGAAAAGGTAAACTTGTCGATTGAGAAATTTAAGAATACCTACAACAAAACCTTGGAGATATCGCCTGACAATTGTTTGACTAGTTTTGAGAGATTGAGGAGTACTGTTTGTAACAGTAAACTCTATATCCTCATTGATGAGTACGATGCTTGTCTAAACGATGCTATTAATAATAGCAGTAGTAGCTCTCCAGATCCTGAGATTGTCGATACCCGATCGTCGCTATCAACAAAGATAACCAAGATACAAGGCCGACTTAAACAATTCTTTAAAAGAGTCAAGTCAGCATGTGACAAATCATATACAGAGTTTAATATTAGAAAAGGACTTGATATCCATCCATTCCAGCCAATGTCAAGAACCAGATAATCAATCAATTACGACACGGTGAGAGATTTCCAATAGAACAGACCTATATAGATGATGTATTCAACCAAAGTATTAAACTCACTTTTTAGTATTCAAAAGATAATGTCAACCAACAGAGATTTGGATACCCAAAGTCTTAGCTTGACCTAAAATTGACTTGCACAACATCAAAAAAACAAAAAAAAAAGATAACTATTTTCAAGATGCAAAGATAAAAAGATTAAACCTTTTTGGCTTTAACAGATAAACTCTTCATGAATCTTCTTCTTTTGGTGTAGGCAACCACAAACCCTTTGTCCTTTTGTTCATCGTCAACAACGACCTGGTTCTGGTGATACTTCTTCTTGCTCGTTGCCCGTTTTGTGGGGTTTAAAATTTCCAACTTCACAAAGAAGAATCTGCAAAGATGCAAAGGTACTACTTGTTTCCCAACCCACCTTTAGAGAGAAAGACAACAAATATCTTGAAATGATAAACAACAAACCAGTATTGCTCTTTGTTCAAACATGTAATAATAATAAACCTTTACTTGCAATTTACAAATTAAATGAACAACAACAATGACACGTTTCATTTACGCATGTGTCTTTTGGCTTGAACCAACAGAGGGTATTTAAAGTAACTGATGGATCTGTGAATAATATGATATGATAAACAATGGGAGATATTAAAAGAAGAAGATCTTGAGATTTCAAACAACCTATGATTATTGTACAACAGTTATTATATCATAAATATAGAATCATTGAACAGATAAATTGATCAAAGAAAATCATATTTATCCTTTTTGTGTTGTGTGATCGTATGTGTGATATGGGCAAGACGAGGCGAGGGCGACGATAACCAAACCGTTCAGTTTTCAGGGATCACAGTGTTGTGCGTGTGGGGGTATACAGCCAACCAGCCCAAGGTGACACGAAAAAGACTCGTGATGCCATCTCTTTGCCCTGTTGCATTTTAAGTGAATGTCGCAGGCAACAAATCAATAAATTCTAAAAAAAGATAAGTTTTTACGAAAGATTGTTTGTTTGATTTGCTCGAATCTGGGAGACGCCCGTCAAAAAAAGGTTCCAATGAGAGATATTTCAAGGTCTCACCAAACCATCAGTCTGACACCATAGCCCATCAAACAATGTCGAGGTGCTAACTAATAATCATGGGGGGTTGTTTTCGAGGTGGTCGACGCCGATTGAATTGGGCTAAAACCTATAAATATTATTAATTCTTTTTTAATCCTTCTTCTCTCCCTTTGACTTTCTAGTCTTTGTTGTTGACCGATAACTTTACACTCTCTTTTTTGTTTCTTTTCATTCATACTTGTCTGTTCAACTTCACTTCATCTCATTCCACCCCCCACCCAATTGTACCATTAATATTATTATTATTATTATTACCACTTACACCTAGTAACACATCTACTTTTACTACATTTTTTTTTAACCCCATTGTCATCAATCAATCAATCCCATACGCGATCACCCCCACAACAAGCACAACACGCCCACACGCACCCACACACACACACACGCACACGCACGTTGTTGTAAAGCTTCTCTCCCTGTACATTATCCCACTTTTGTAATTTTATACACCTTTGTCTTTGTCCACATTCACATCCATTCTATTTATTCATTCAGCCAGACAGACAGACAGACAGCAGTCAGTATCCAAGCCAAGCCAGTTCAGTTCAATCAAACAGCAATTTAGTCTATATTCTTTTTATTTCCAATCTTTACTACAACAAATAACAACAACAACTAACTAGCCAACAATGATGATGATGAACAACAATGAAAACATTCAACTTGTTGTTGAAGTCTACGGATTATATAGATTCAGAGTCTGTGTAGACTCAACACTTGGAATTAGTGATCTATTGCAATGTAAGTTCACCATCGACGGACGACATTCCAATACAGCCAATAACTAATCAATCATATTATCCCCTTTTCTACACTACAACTCTACTCTACTCTACTCTCTAACTATATAGTCTTGGAAAAGCAAATCGAAAGCCAATATAGCATGCAATTCCAGATCTTAAAGATAAACGATTCCAAACATTCCGACATCCCTGTACATAATAAAATTAAAGATGTCTTGAAAAATATGGTAAGTTAGTTTAAACTTCTGATGACAACAACAACAACAACAATGATACTTACCAATCAATCAATCATAATTATAGGATATTGTCTATCTTTTTGTAACAGTACCAGAATATAGATATCAACAAAGACAACAACAAATTCAAGAGCAGCAGCAACAACAACAACTCTTACTCTTACAACAACAACAACAACAACAAGACGAACAAGAACAATGTTGTGAGAGTATAGAGATTGAGACATCATTTTTACCATCGACACCAACCACCCTGTATAGTACCGAATTGGACTTTGATATGGACCATCCAAATCAATTACCACAACCAATCCACCATCATCATCACGATCAAGACCACCTCCTTCACCAATCCACCTCATCCTCATCCTCATCGGAGGAAATCACGCAAGAACCAATCCTTTCCAAAGACTGTATGATGTTGGATCATCACTCATCGTCTATGTATTCCTATTCCCATCCATCAATCATTTCAAATGCCACTCCAACTCCTCCACTCGAGAGTTATTCAGTTCCATTTGTCGATAATGATTCTTATCCAATTGTATTTTAATTTTTAAAAAGTAATAATAACAAAAATAATAATAATAACAAACAAACAAACAATCAAAAATATTTTCTAAAACGCAAAAAAGAATAATAACAAAACAAATAATAATAACAAATAATATGTATATATCGGTTTATATTTATCCAACCAATCATCCTCTCACCTCACATACTCATCATAATCATTTATCCATAGTTTCAAATCAATTAATAATTTCATATTGATGTATCGATCAACATCCATTCCTTTTATCTTTTCCCTCCCAACAACAACAACAACCATAAAAAAACAAACAAACAAACAAGAAACAACTCCTTCTCCTCTTTCAACAACAAACATACAAATTATTTATCTTAAAATAATAAATAATCAAACAACAACAACAAAAAGTAATCATTAATAATATACTTTTTGACAAAAAGAAACAAATCTATTTATTTACATAATTCTATCTATTTATCGACAAGGCAAAAAAAAATAAAATAAAAATAGATAATATTATTTACAATATTATATCTAGATTATAATTATACAAATATATTTTATTTATTTTCTGGTTTCTGGTTTATTTACTCTTTATTTACTTTAGAAGTTCAGATGCTTTTTGAGAGAATGTGGCAAGTTGGGATGGGTCGGCTACAAAAGCTGGTTGTTGTTTGAGCCATTTCAGAGCTTTGATGACAACCATGTTCCATTGAGCCTTTTTATCGGCATGTACCTTTTGGAGATGGGCAATGATGGCAATGGTTGTCCAAATGTCGTCAGTGTCACTACCACCGATTGGATTCTTTGGAAGAGTGAATTTCAATGTGGTCTTTGATGCCCAACTACCATTAGCTTTTTGTTGACGGAGAATGTCTAATAATTCGTTGGATTGCATTGTTGGTACACTTCTTTCTTCTTCACATCTTTTGAAGGATTGTGATTGTTTTGAGCATTCCTTCATGGGCATGGATTGGCTTTGTGCAAAGCCACTAGATAACCTACGTGATCGTGGACTTGGTGCAGACAATTTGCAAGAGAGTTCTTGAGCCTGGTCACCGCTGCTTGTGACGCTGGCGGCAGATTCAAGCTTTGACAGGGCATTTACTTGTGTTAAAGAGTCGAGGGTTGGCTCTTCAGATTCGGCAGTGACAACAAACGAGGTGTGCTTGGAGACTAGACGGAAACGTTTGCCGAGCTTGACGATACGGTCTTTGTGGTTCTCGGACTTTTTCTTTTCCAATTGTTCGAGGTCTTGAATCGACTGGTAGGCAGCCAACGAGTGAACGAGTTCTTTGGCATCCGAGTGGACGGCGTTGGCAAAATCAATGGTGATGGGGAACTCGAGGTTGTTGCCAGTGGGTCCGCTGCCGGTGAGTGTGACCGTGACAGCACCCTTCTTGGTAGTCGACTCGTTCTTGTCGGTGTATTCAATCAATGCATAGATCATCATACGTTCGCGGTTGTAGATGGGTCTGATACTGAGTGGTGCTTGGACGACTTGGAGACCGGCACCTTCCCAGTTAATATGCACGTTACTCAACATTGGCTGAGTGGCAATCGACAGCAGCGACAAGACACGCTCTTCAAATCCGCTGGACGTGTCACTGACCATTTCATAGTGACCCTTGCATGCCTTGCTGAGACCGATAACCAGTTCCTTATCGACACCATTACCAATACCAAGTGTAAAGATACGAGTAGTGTTACACTCGGATGCAACATACTTGATGAGCACCTCTCTTTGCGAGACGGCACCGTCGGTCAGGATAAACACCTGTCTTGGGTACTCGGGCAATGCAGGCATAGCCAACACATCCTTGATTGGTTCAAACAACTCGGTTCCACCCATATCAGCATCCATACTGGCAATCAAAGAACTAGCCTTTTCCAAACTAGCGTCATTGTAACGAGTCGATGATGGAAACAACTTTTTAAATCCCGAACCAAACGATACAATATTAAACATTGTATTTTCATTCAATGATCTCATCATAATTTCCAATGCTCTCTTTGCAGATTCAATTCTATCACCACTCATTGATCCTGATCTATCAACAATTATAATACTAAACGATAAATTAAAAGAGGAAGAGTAAATATTATTATTATTAATATTATTATTATTTTGCATACCATTCCATTTTTTGATTTAATTCATCTTCTGGAGTTTTATCTAAAATACAAGATGGATAGAAACTGAGTGCTACGGCATATGATTTCTCCTTTTCAATGTATTCAACCAATGCCTTTGGTTCTGGTGTCGAGTGTGGGACGATGACGACGACATAGTTGTTTGGAACACCTTGGGTAGAATGAGTGGAAAAGGTTACACTCTTTTTGTCTTCGGAATAGGTGATTTGACTGGCCTTTTGGTAGACATCTTCCAAGGCGGCAATGTCTTGGATAGGTGTAGATAGATTAACCTTGAGATTGGCCTTGAAATCAAAGGAATAGTTTGGAAATAGGAAACGATGCAAACAAAAGTGGAGAGAGTCCAAGTGTGTACCAATCTCTGATATAATGTCCAATGTAATAGATACATCCTTTTTTGGTGGCAAGTTTCCAATTGACATGGTAAAGTAACCGTCAGCTGATTTCTCACCTAGGAAAGCTTGACCTCCTGAAGCAATAGTATCAGTGTATGCTTGGAATGCCTCCTCCTTTTCTTTGATCACTCCACTCAACACCTTTCCATCAAACTCTACAGTAAATCCATTGACAGATGCTTGTGGTGGTAATGGTAATTGATAGAATGCTTCAACTGGTGATTCATATTCATTTACCTAAATAGAATAGATAGATAGATAGAGATATAATATAAATATATATTAATATAAATATAAATATATTTTAATTATTTACTTGGTTGGTTACATACAAAATGTTTCTTTAAAGTTGATACTGAACAAGTATCAGTAATGACTGAATTGATTTCAACACTTTTGAGAGTGAATTTACTCGATCCTGAATGTAAAGTAGATGGAGCAAGTGCTGGTGCATTTAGTTGGTTTGGTAGTACTCTTCTACACTGTAAACCACTCTTTGCTCTATGGTCAGTACCACGTGACTCCTTTTCAATGTATCTATAGTAGTTGTAGTAATGAGCATTTTGATAATCACTTCTCGAATCGTCAAGTGACAATGATGATGTATCATTTACAAAATCTTTATATGATACTGTTGATGATGATTTAGATGATGATGTTGATGTGGTGCTAGTGTTTGATCCACCAAAGAATGATATGATTTTCTTCATTTTTTAAATTAATTATTTATATATATATATATATATGTATGAATTATAGTTTGTAGTTAAATAAAGTCTCAGTTCAGCAGCAGTTTATAAATAAATAGGTGACTCAACCGATATTCTTAAGGGCTGCTTCTTCTATCTTGATGAGTTCCTGCATCGCACTCATTCGATGTTTTTTTATTGGTTTGAACCAAATTCAAAGATTTAATTGGGTTTTTTTGAATGGTTGTCTCAGCAAATTATCAAATGTTAATACATTCGGTTTTATTTTCGTTTGTTTATACTATAGTATAGTTGGGGGGGGAGGTAGAATATAAATGGACTGTTGGGACTGTCATTTAACAAGACAGATCATTTCCAGGATTGACACCAACGATACCACAAAACTTTTTGTATGAGTTGATACGCATATGCATTTCTTCAGAGTTGCGGCCATCACATTCAATGCCACCACTGATAGTTCTGATGGTACCAGAGAATGATCCAATAACAATTGATTTATGGCATGGCTTGTCTCCAGAGGCCATCCAGAACCATAGGGCTGTAGACCAACTAATCTTGGCATCGGTAGCAACCAAGTCTGGGTTGTTGAGTAGGTCATACTTGAGAGCCTTTCCAGCATCTGCATAGTTGTAATTCCAAGAGAGTTGTAATGGGCCTCTACCATAATATTGCTTTGAACCACACGATCCAGCTGGATCACAATACAAATTGTAATTATCCTTGTTACTTTCACGAACTATCTTTAATCCATTGGTATCGTGGTCGACATGAGCCAAGAGAGCAGCCATTTCCATCTTTTCAACATTACTACCTCCTTCATTGGCAAATGCAGGATAGGAATTGAGTGATTCAACCAAACCTTTGTAAGTATAAAAACTGTTACGGTTTGGGAACATGCTATTAAATTCCTTTCAGAAATTATAAACTTTGCTTCTGAAATTGAAAGTAAAGCAAAAGTAAAGACAAATAGTCCAATAATAGTTGTTGCTGATAGTTTCATTATTTAATAATAGTTTGTTGAATGTTGGTGAATATAAATATTAAAAACCTATAACGACTCGATTTAAATAGTTGTTTGTTATTCCAACCTTTGAATATTTATATGTATACCATTCTTGTTTGCGATACTAGTGTCTTGTTTCGATTGAGATACATTGTAGCATCATCAAATAACACTATTATAATTATTATTATTAATTAATTGGCAAAAGCAACCCAAGTACTTTGTATCCCTCTCGCGCATTGGTTATAGCCAATGTAGTGATCCCTATTGAAACGATGTTTAGAGTTGCGTAATTTAGAATCTAAAGTTCGAACAGAAGATTATTATTAGTATTATTATTTACATACATATATTATTATTAATAAGAAAAGATGGTATATCTTTGCACCAAAGAAGTACAATATGTTATTCTTTTCGTTCACCATCGATCCATCCATCCATCCATCCATGCATGCATGCATATAAATATAAATAAATAATGGTATGTTATCGAATTTAATCTTTTAATACATTTGATTCGTGTGCTCTACTATTACATAATACCAACAAAACAAAAACAAAAAATAATCATAGTACAGATTGTTTTGTTAATTTTATTTAATATATATGTATTATCATTATCGTTATTGGTATGATTATTATTATTGGAACAAAAGTTGGGTTTCATTCACCCATATTTATTATTAATCAGAAAGAGTACGTTCTGGTTTTTATAAATACCACTTTCCATTTCTTTCAAAAAAGTGAATAAATATTGGTAGCTCTGAGAGAAAACAAATACAATTATTTATTTACTATTATGGACCCCTTAGAATCTCTTAAGGAATATATCAAGCAAGAAATATCCAACTGTAATGATACTGTTGAGATAATATTGAGAAGAGAGATATCAATTGGAGATCATGAAGACCATCTTGTACTTCAATGCAAGGTGATGTGTCAAGTACTTTTAGAAGTTCATTGTTTGAATAAAAGTTTTTATATTAATAATATTATTATTGCAAACAGATGTCTGTGATTATTTATTATTAATTAATTAAATTAGCAAGCCAAATCATTACCAGGATTGACACCAACGATACCACAAAACTTTTTGTAAGCATTGATACGCGAATTCATTTGATCGGTGTTTTTACCTTTACATTCTAAAGCACCGTTGATGGTTTTGATGGTACCAGAGAATGATCCAGCGACGATTGATCTGTGACAAGTACGGTCACCGGCACCGGTAGAAGTCATCCAGAACCAGATAGCAGTAGACCAACTAATCTTGGCATTGGTAGCAACCAAGTCTGGGTTGTTGAGTAGGTCATACTTGAGAGCCTTTCCAGCAGCAGCATAATTGTAATTCCAAGAGATTTGTAGTGGTCCACGACCATAGTATTGCTTTCCACCACATGATCCGGCTGGTGAACAATAAGAGTTCCAGTTGGCTTGATTGATTTCACGAATATACTTTAATCCACCAGTTTCATGGTCGACGTGAGCCAGGAGAGCTGCCATTTCTCTCTTTTCTCCAGTAATACCTCCTTCATTGGCAAATGCAGGATAGGAATTGAGTGATTCAACCAAACCCTTGTAAGTGTAAAATTTGTTACGGTTTGGGAACATGCTATTAAATTCCCTTTCAGAAATAATAAACTTTGCTTCTGCAATTGAAAGTAAAGCAAAAGTAAAGACAAATAGTCCAATAATAGTTGTTGTTGATAGTTTCATTATTGTTGTTGTAGAATAATAATTTGTTGTTGTTGTGGTTGTTGATTATGATTGACAACTACTCTTGTTTGGTCAGTATTTATAGGTGTTTGTTGCATGGCTTTACCTGCATTTGAACATACATGTACTTTTTGTTTAGGTATACCTTTCTTTCCGATACTATCTTGTTTGTGATACGTTGCCCCAATTTAAAAGGTTAAACCATATATATATATATTATTATCGTTATTATTATTATTATTATAAGTTTGGATTTCATTCGACCATATTTAGTATTAATCAGAAAGAGTAAGTTCTCTCTTTTCTCTCGGTTATAACCAATGCATTAGTGATGCCTATTTGAATGAAAGTGTCAGTGTATAGTATATATTTATTGCGCAATTAAGAATCTAGAAATTTCTATTTCTAATTTGCATACATTATAATACAGATAAAAGAAGAGATCATTCAATTGAATTGTTATTTTCGTTCATCATCTTAAAGATTTGATCTTTTAATACTTTTACATGTATGTATATGATTCGTTGAAGTGAACAAATAAATAATGAAAATTATGACTTGGGTGGGGGTATCCATTCTTTGTTTCTATTTTCACAATTTATTTAATTATTTTTTTATTGCTGCTACTACTATTAGTATCATCAAATTCAATTGCACATTTTATTAAACCATCATCTGTTAGTCTAAATTGAATCCATGGATGGGTGAGTGGACGGGCACCTAAAGATTCATAAAATTTGATGGATGATGAAAGTGACTGGAGTACCTGCCATTCGACGAGACTGTATCCTCTATCCTTTGCTATTTTACAGAGATGCATGATAAGTTGTTTACCATACCCTTTTCCCCGATACTCATTCTGTACGTAAATGTCTTCAAGATAGATTCCAGGCCGTAGAAAAAATGTACTATAATTTAAATAATGTATGGTATAGGATATCATTTTTGGTTCTAGATGAGATAATGACGACGATGACAATGATGATAATGATGATGAAGATGGACATATTGGTGTTACCCATCCACAATAAATGTGTGCTATCTTTTCTTCACCAAATGCAAATCTCTCTATATCTTTGGCTGTCCCTTTGACCTATGTAAGAAAAAGGTAGGAGTTAGTTAGAATATGTCACAATTGTGATTTAGCAAGAAATATAGATATGGTTATTTGATTATCATTATTATTAGAATATACATACATGATCTGATAATTGTTCATGTCTTGCCAATTCCATTACCAGATTATATATTAAAGGTACATCTTTTCTTTCAGCTGCTTTGATTTCAAATTTATAATCTATAATACTTTCCATATTTAATAATTGTTAATAATAATTATTCTCTCTCTCTCTATGATTGTTTGAAAATAATAATAATCATCATCATCATCATATTCTACCTTTTAAACAAGTATACTTTAATGAATACGCATTAATTATTATTAAATATGTGGGGTTAGCGATGAACTTTGTTGGCTGTTTCAATCAGATTGTTATTGGGGGACTCCACCACCCACTTTACTATTTTTGGCCCCAAGTTCGATTTTTGTTTTTGTCTTGTAATTGGGATTATTAATCCTATTTATTTATTAATTTAGTTTATTATACATTATTAACAAGTCAAATCATTGCCAATCGCAACACCTAATAGTTGACAGAATTATGGTTGTATAGGTTGGACCGGACTGTTTGTTAACAGGTCAAATCATTACCAGGGGCTACACCTAATAGTTGACAGAATTCTTGATAATATTGCACCCTACTTCTCATGGTTGCACTATTTTTGTTGCATTCCAAGGCACCGTTGATGGTTCTGATGGTACCAGAGAATGACCCAGCGACAATAGAGGCATGGCAAGTACGGTCACCGGCACCGGTAGAAGTCATCCAGAACCAGAGGGCAGTGGCCCAACTAATCTTGGCGTTGGTGGCAACCAAGTCTGGGTTGTTGAGTAGATCGTAACCCAAAGCACTACCTGCAGCAGCATAGTTGTAGTTCCAAGAGAGTTGAATTGGACCTCTTCCATAATACTGTTTTCCACCACATGATCCGGATGGTGAACAATACGAGTTCCAATTGGCTTGATTGATTTCACGAATATATACCAATGATCCTGTCTCATGCTTGATATTTGCCAAGAATGCAGCTGCTTCTCTCTTGGCAGTAGTACTACCACCCTCACTTGAAAAGGCAGCGTAGTGATCCATAGCTTGGACCAGTCCTGCGTACGTGTAGAATGAGTTACGGTTTGGGAACATACTATTGAATTGTGATTCAGAAACCGGGAATCTTCCAGTTGAAGGTGATCCTGTAGTAGACGATCCGGATCCAGACGATGTTCCCGGGGAAGAGGTGGATGAAGCAGTTGATGAGCAGGTGACAGCACTCCAGTACCAAGTACTAATCGATGGATCAGTACCATCACTTCCATTGGCACCGACATTGACCAATTTGTAATAGTTTCCATTAAACTTTACAATTTGTCCAAGTGAGTAATTGACTCCACTCTGCCAATTAACATAATTACATGAAGAGGAAGTTGACGATGTACTAGGTGATCCCGTAGTAGACGATCCGGATGATGATCCAGAAGAAGAGGTAGATGAAGCAGTTGATGAGCAACTAACTTGACTCCAATACCAAGTGCTAACAGTTGGATCAGTACCGTCACTTCCATTGCCACCAACATTGACCAACTTGTAGTATTTTCCATTACCACCGTACTTTACAATTTGTCCGAGTGAGTAATTAACTCCACTTTGCCAATTAACATACTTGCACGACGATCCCGATGAAGATGATGAACCTGATGTCGTTGTGGTTGACGATCCCGATGATGACGATGAAGTACAGCTAACTTGACTCCAATACCAAGTACTGACAGTTGGATCGGTAGCATCACTTCCATTGGCACCGACATTCACCACCTTATAATAACTACTATTGTATTTAACGATTTGACCAAGTGGGTAATTCACACCTCTCTGCCAAGTGACATATTTACAAGATTGAGCTTCAATCATTGAAACCAATGAAATTGATAATATTAAAATGATAACCAGTAATCTGGTAATTGATAATTTCATTATTACTATTATTTAAATATATTTATAACTATATAAAAATAAATATTGATATTAATATAAGTTGTTTGATTAAGTATTTATAAGTTTTCCAATTACCATTTTTCCAATCCAAACCTGGGATAATTATCCCAATCCTAATCCAATCCAGTAAATGGGTTCATTCATTCATACATCCATCCATCCATCCAATCCAATCCAATCCATTTTCATTTAATAGAGTGTTCTTATCAATATTCGAATTATGGACTCTTCCTTGTCTCTTTTCAACCTCAAAGAGTTGTTTCCATTCCTTTATATTAATATGCAAAGGGATGATGGATGAAAGGATGGATCGTCATACTTGTTCCGAACCGAAATAAGGAGATATGAGGATGAATGAATGGAGATTGTATAGTAAAACCAAAAGGGTTAGGGTGGCTACCCACATTAACCATCACGGAATGGGTTTAACACAGATCTCTTTAGAGATAGATTCGTGGGGGTGTTGATGTTACAATTTGAGACACTACCTACACATATACACAGAAACATTGTGTGTTTAGATTAAAACTGTCTTTTAAATTCCCAATATCAATATTCCTTGGCTCTAAAAATAGTTTGGGTTGTTAATATTATTGATTGAATCAAGCATTTTTATCCGTCGTCTTTCAAGTTGAGTTATCATCATATCATCTATTATTTACCTTTGATAGCACTATGTTTGTTTGTTTGTCTTCTCGCTATATTTACATCTATAACTCTATTTGTTTGAACAACACATAATTATAATAATAACAAGACTTGGTGTGAGTTGCCTGATCAACCAAAAAGATTCATTTTTTATAAAATTACAAATAAATAATAAATAATAATAATAATATTGTTATTATTAATTTGACAATTACGTTTATTACATTTGAATGATTAATGAATGTATGACCAACAATAATGAACAAAACGACCAGCACTTGAACTCGATTTGTTTGTGTTCCACATGTATCACCCATGATTTAAATTACTTTTCATCTGCTCGACTTGGACTTGATCGACTGCCACGATGACGATCCTCCTTTGATCTACTATCTACACTGTCCCTGCGTTTGGGACTTGGAGTTCTTGACTTTCTATCGCTGCGGCTGTCAGACTTGTATTTTCTATCTTTATGTTTTCTATCTCTTTCTCGGCTATCATCTCTATACTTTCTATTGTTGTCTCTACTACGACTGTGACTGCGGCTACGACTACGACTACGACTACGACTGTTGCGTTTAGGACTAGGAGATCTTGACTTTTTGTCACGACTATCCCTTTCCTTGTATTTTCTTTCATCATCCAAAGAAGATGATCCTCTATCATATGATTTTCTTTCTTTACTTCTACTTCTACTTCTGTCTCTATCTCTTGATTTTCTATCTCTATCTCTACTTCTACTTCTGCTTCTATCTCTTGATTTTCTATCTCTATCTCTGTCCCTGCTTCTACTTCTACTTCTACTTCTACTTTTATCTCTTTTACGTTTATATTTTCTATCATCGTCTTCGGATGATGAACTATCGTCACTTGATTCATCATCTTTCATAAAGTCAGACAGTCTAATAGGACCATTTGCCTTCTTCTTTCCATCTTTCTTTTTCTTCTTCTTCTTATCGTCGTCAGAGTCGTCACTATCCTTTCTACTCTTTCGTTTCTTGTCTCTTTCTCTCTCCTTTTTGATTCTCTTTCTATCCTTTTCCAGTTGTAGTCTGTATTCATCCGTTGACATCTCTTCCCATTTGTCCAAAGAGTTTAGCTTTCCTTCCTTTTCTGCAACCGTCTTTTTAAACTCGTCCATCGTCATTCTTGGTCTAGCGAGGTAGTCTTTCAATGTAGGACCATCTGCTCCCTGTTGCCCTCCTCTTCCTTTTGACATGTTAGATTGAGATATATATAACTTTGAACTGAAATTAATAATTAAAACACAGAAGAAGAGGATAAAAAAAGATAGTGTCTGCTTGAAATTAATTAAATTAATAATAAATAAAATTCAGACGACAAACGACACACCCACAGCTTATGAAACTTCAACAAATCGCATTCTCCCCGAGATAGATAGATAGATACAAGAGTATGATGATCAGGACACAATCATCATCGATTCATAAATGTCTATTGTACATACGGTCATCATCATTCATATCTCTACAATATCATAATTATAGTTATAGTAGTAGTAGCAATAATCATCATGAAAGAATTGCAAATACAAACAACAATAATAATAATACTAATATAAAGAATAATAATACTAATTATAATAATAATAATAATATAAAGAATAATAATAATATAACAGAACAAATAAATAAACTTAAAGAATCAAATCAATTGGTATTGGAGAGATTCAATCAATTGATTAACTTTGGTATAAACAAACAACAAAAAAGAACGGCTGTTGTTGAAGAAAAGAATAGAAAAGAACAACAAGAAGAATATGTACAAGAGAAAAAAGATGATGATGAACTGGAATATGAATATGAAGAAGTTGATAAATTAAAAAGAAGAAAGTTTAAAGTAAGAGGAGTCAATTCATTGGAGAGTGGATTGACGGTGGTTGTAGAGTTTGGAGAATGGACCGGTCGATTCAAGAATATTGACCAACCGATCCACTTGGATTTGGGGTGTGGTCTTGGCGATATGTTGATCAATCATGCATTGACAAGCGATAAATGGAATCATATTGGTATGGACATTAGAGATATTTGTATAGAAGAGGCAAACGATCGGTTAAAGAAATTACAATGGACGCGAGACATCAAGTTGGGTAATATAGCGTTTGTCAATGCCAATGCCCAATGTAATATAATGTCACTACAACAATCACTGCCCACTGGCAGTTCGATCGAGCGAATCAGTATCATGTTTCCCGATCCATGGAGGAAAAAGAGATACAGTAAACGTCGGTTGGTAAATGCAAACCTAATCGACGATATGGTTAAAGTGTTACCATCTGGTGGTAGAATATACATCATGACAGACGTACAACAAATGTACCAACATATCTTGGACGAGTTTGCAAGTAGTCCCACATCACCGTCCATCAAAAAAATAGAAATCACAGAACAAGAATGGTTGGATGCAATCCCTCGATCCAAACGAAGGGATTATCTTGAAAGAGCTGGATATAGTGTATGGAGTTTGGTCTACCAGAAACTTTAACAGAAGCAGGGTCGAATCGCAAGTATAGAGAGGAGAAAGAGAATAAACCAAAAGAACAGAGGAAACCTATACTTTATTTAAATGAAAACAATAACAAGCTACCATGTAAAATGTTTATACAGATAGTGGTAGAGATAATATGTGTATATGATAATAAGACATAATAGTAAGAATCGTATAAATTTATGCAATTGTCTTAATGAATATTGCTGTCATTCATAATGCGCTTCTGCATCTCTTGTTTTGATTAAATTTCTGTGATTGATTCTTACATGTATACATTCTAAAGATTTACTCAATGGTTTTCTTCTTGAGGGGACTGGTTTTGAACATTCAACCAACAAATTGTTTTAATTTATGATTCACCTTTTTTGATTTTTTGTTAATTTACTACTGCAGTACTGCTACAATCAACATTTAAAACAACAATAATAATGTCAGAAGAGAATAACAACAATAATACTACGAATACAAGTGAAACATTCTTGTTCTTTCAAGTATTTAAAAATCTATTCCTTTGCAAACAAATATTCCGATGGGTACCCTACATAGGACAAAAGATAATAAAGTACAAGACGATCAAGGCATACGACTCACTCGATGAACGTGGAGAGATTCAGTTTGAGATGCCACCTCTTTCATACCACCAGATCACCTCGGTGACCAAGATGATAGAGTACAAACAATTTGGTCTGCTCAAAGCCAAACTACAAGGTGTGACGGCGCTAGACATTGCCAAACACGAACTCCCCATATGGACCTATCTCGTCTCTACTATATGCGAGATCCCAGACTTTACTCTATCGTTTTTCCTCGTTGACAATTTGTTGCGAGTCGACCCATCGCTTCGAGAAAAGGTGTTGGGATGGTGCATCAGACGTAACAATATCGAGTTGTTTGATGTCGTGTGGGACATGTCAAACTTTACAAGAGTGACCAAGAATCTAATGTATTGCATGACGTCGGGTGAAGCAGTATCGGTTGCCATGATGGAACGGATGTATCAAGTGATTGCAAGACACGGCATAGAGTCTTCACTCACCCAATACCAAAGTGGATTGTTTAAAAACAAGACCAAACAACAAAAACAAGAGTTGTTGGATTTGGTCATTGCAAATCGTCACTTGGTACGTCTAGAAGCAGTACTACATGTTGCATTGGAGGATTTGGAATTCACACAAATACAACAACTACTACAAGCAGACAAGGCTTGTTCCGATGAAATTAAAAGTGGTGGTAATCTAGAATCGATTATTCGTGGTCGTATCACTGCCTTTTTAAGAGTGTTGCAACCAAGTATGATGGAGGACGAGTCGAATCTTGTCTGTTACTTTCACACCAAAAATTGTGTAGCCTATAATCATGATAACAAGACGAGGATATGTGATTATGCAACCGTCGACAAGAGACTAACATCTATGAAATTTAAAAAAAGGTCGTCTTGGGAGTCAACCATTCAAGATACTTATTGGAGTTCTGATCATTTTAAAATTACAAATAGATCATTTAATTATAATCAATTGGTTTATTTATTAGTTTATATAGGTAAACAAAAAAAAAAAAAGAAATTTCATAAACAAAACATTTATTTATTTACTAATTAATTAATTTATTTATTTATTTTTTAGAGAATTTAGTACATTTTAATCATTCATTATCACTTTCAATTTTAATGTCATTTGGAGATGAACAATTATTTGGTTATATTGATCGATTCCTAAATAGTGTGAGAACATCAGAACAACAGTTGTATAGTGCATGTCTGTCTGGCAATGGTGATGCTGTAAGACACTTTAAAAGGGCGGCTACTGCTTGGGGGTCATGCAATCCAATCAGTTTGCAAGTGGCTACACTATTAGAGGACAAATTTGCCAAATACAATTTAGAATCAAAGATCAAATTGTTTTCGGTCGCTTTTTCGATAGCTTGCTTTAATGGTGATATTCCGTATGCAAAATATATCATTGATCATGGATATGTTGATTTTGATTCATATTCTCAAGGATTTGACAAGGCACTAATAATGGAACGAATTCCAATGCTAAAGTATCTTATTGGTACAAGACTATTCCAAAGTCAAACCTCTGATTTTTTGGGACGTGGCCATTTACGTGACAAAAGAGGAATAACATTGGTCAATCATTACAAGGACCTATTTCAATCATTCTTTTCAAAAGAGGATATCAAACATTTTGGAATGGATTTTATAAAGTTTGGTGTCCTCTTGGAATCAATGCCATTCCTCCAATCAATCTATCCAACATGTCACACACAAATTCCACTCTTCCTTGTTCTTGACAAGGATATCCAACTTCTCACCTTTTTCCTCGAACACGAAAGAGTGTATCCCGACGAATTCTATTCAACCAGAATATTAAATGCATTCAAACCAAACAAAAGTATCGAATTGATTAAACTAATTGACAAGTATCTTCCAAATGCTTTTTCTTCTTGGACACAATTACTTCCAATTTATCAAGATTTAATCTCCACTCTTAAACGTTGACATCAATCATAAATAAAATAATTTTTTAAAATTGAAAAAGAATAAAAGTCGATGGGGATGATAAAGAGGGTTCGGAATGTGTTTCCGCGAAACACATGAGCATATTATTTGTCATCCTCAAGCTCTACCGTACCAAAGATCTTGATCCTCTGTATAATCACCAATCATTTAGATCTTAATGGGCTCGGTCACAGTTGGTGGAGGAAGAGCAACCACTGGGTCATTTGGACTCACCAAAGAACGCATTTGGATTTTATCATCAAACACCCCAATCCTCAATACAAACAAGCCAATATACCAATCAAAGAGAGTAGGAGATGTTGAAGAAGTTAATGAACAAGTTATGAAATATGATATAAACCTTTTTCATACATATTTCTTCACTTGTTCAGTGGCTTCTCTTTGCAAACAACCATTCTTGGATATTAATTTAATTTGGTAATTATTATTAAAGTTTTATTTATTTTATAGCCATGGATAACTTATAGATTCCATTTGACTAATATTTGAAGAGTTTGATGATAGTTGAATTAATTCACCAACTCTTTTAATGATTGGAGTGAGGAAAAGTGTTTTATCGGGTTGTATGGGTGGTGTAATAGAATTGATTCTTGTTGATACCATCTTGTCGACAATCTTTGTTGTTCTTTCAACAATTTCTCTATGAATATGTTGTGATTTGTTGGTAGGTTCAACAATATTCCAACACATTTCATCAAAACTAAATATATATAATAAATTTACAAGTTGATCCTATTAAAAAAAAAAAATTTAAAAAGAAATTAATTAATTATTCTAATTATTATTATTGTTTCTAATATATTTACCTTCATTTCAGAGAAACAAATTGAAGTTGATAAAAGAGAGCTTTGATAACTTCCTTCAATAAATACTGGATTGAGATAGGATCTAATATTTTGAGTCAATCTAAATGGTACCACACCATTTTCAGAGAATTCCATAGAGGCATCATTGGCAAAGTCGAGTGGAGCCCATTTACCAAAATAGACTGACCCACTTGATCTTGAAAAGAAAATGTCAGATGGTGAGAGACTGGCAACTCGACTAAACAAGACATAGGAGAGCATGGAATGGAGACCCCATTGAACTGCAAAATTAAATTTAAATTCGTATTGTTCTTGGTAGTTGAGGAGTGTACGATTGATAAACGAGCTCAAAAGACCGTCGGTCATAAACTTTGAAATCTCTCTAAACGATTGTAATTTGGTTGGTTGTTTGTGATGTGATTTGGGTGGAGTAGAGGTAGTTGATTCACCAGAGTTTGACGTGGTGGAGGTGGTTGAGGTATTAGTTGGAGAGGTGGCGACAGATTGTTGTTGTCCGAGTAATTTGTTTCTAAACATGACCAAAGGAGTGTATAGTTCAGTTTCCGGTTGCATAGTCGACCATACATCCAAGAGAGAATTGTATTCTCGACTGCCAAGTGATTGGATCAATGTGAGTGATGGAGTGATCGAGATGGTGGTTGGGTAGTGGTTCAAGTTGATGGCTCTTCTACGAGTTTCGCGATGCTTCAAAAGGATGGTGTTGACCGACGACAAGAGATGGTTTCGTCTTTCAAAGTCACGGGCTCCAGTCTTTGACGAAAAGAGTTGTGGCGTAATGTCAATGAGATACGAATACTCCTTTCCATTGTTTGCATGCAACGTAATACGAGGACACAACATGCCAATTGAATTCTTGACCATAGTAACAATCGAGCCAATCTTGTCGATTCTTACATTGTGGGCATAGTGTGATGGGTCCTTGGCAATGGTCGAGAGGTGTGTGGGCAGGTCGACCATACTCGGTCTAAATTCCTCGAGTTGCGGGACAATCTTTTCAAGTTGCACTGCTCTGTTGGCCATAAACACCTGGCCCTTGACAGTGTACAACTCGGGGTCGAATCGACGTTGTACCCATTCAATAAGCTTGCCAATCAGCGACATTAACGTGGTCTCACCGCTATCCATCTTGACGCCAATGACGACTCCAAAGTCATTTTCAAAGGGTGTCTTGAGTGTGTCGACGAGGATGGCATGGTTGGGGTATCTGTCTGCAGACAAGAAATAGTGTTGGTGGACAGTTGTAAGCATATCCTTGATTTCTTGGGGGATTTCATCCAATGCCGATCCAGAGACTCTAAAACTCTCAGTGAGAATATGTTGCAAGTTGCTACCAAGGTGGTGAATAGCAGGGACAGTGTTGGCAATACAAATTAATCCGTTGAGCATGGCGTCGATTTCACTAATCAATTGACTATGGTATGGTTGTAATCCCATTGAAAGTGTTTCTGCCATCTTGAGTGGTCCAAGTGAGATGGTAGACGTAGTTGACGAAGAACTGCCAGCAGTTGGTGGTGGATTGATGGGTACAAAGTGTGGACTATTCTGGTTGTTTTTCATATCAGATACCAACTTTCTAAAATGATAGTATGTTGCATTTGGACAGAGATAGCATATCTTACTAAACAATTGCCAACACAAGAATCCATATCCTGGGAATTTGGCACTCATATAACAACCAGTTATGAGAATGGGAAGGAAATTAAACCAAATCCAGTGTGGGAGGATAGACCATGTCTTTTCAATAGTTGACAGTACCATTTGTGCTGGTGTTGGTTTCTTTGGTTCAACGGGTGCTGGTGGTGGTGGTGTCGTTGTTGCACCATCTGCATTTTGTGTTGGAGCTTGTTGTGCTGGTGGAGGTGGAGGTTGTTGTGGTAATTGTTGAGGAACTTCACCAGAGTTGTTGAGATAGAGTATCCACAATACACGAGGTAATAGTTTGGCAGAGTATTTGGGGTCGCATCGAATAGCTTGGATGTAACAATTGACAGCACTCTCTGCCCAATTTGCCTTTGTTTGGGTGTCAGTCTCAGTGGCAAACTGATTGTCACAATAGTATCCCCAGCTCATCCAACTCTTGGCACAGTTGTCATAGAGACTGATGGCAGTTGAGAAATTAACGTTGGCATCGGCATTGAGGCGAAGACGTGACTGGAACTCTCCTTTGAGTTGGAAAAACTCACTCTTTTGCAACGGCATAAAGTAGTCGAGATTGGTACCATTGATGATCGATATACCAGTCTCATAGTGAGTTGGCAACTGCAAGTAACACTTGATCTGTTCCTTTAGATTCAAAAAGATATCTTGTACCTCGATTTGAAGGTTGAACATTTTAGAGAGTGAGTTGAGACACACTTCAACGATATTGTGTTTACGTGCAATATGAGCATACTTGTTCATGGTCCATGCTGTCTCGGGTTGGACAATTGGTTTGGCGGGAGGGACAGCCGCACCAGTCAATCCCAATTGTTGATTGACCACTTCAGAGATATGTTCTACACCCTGTCCGATCATTTGGAATACTTGCTGTCTCCATGTCAAAAGTTCATTCCAGACAGCTGCGTCTTCATCTTTGGTTGGCAGACGTTCTCTCCAGATGGTAAAGATGGTACGAACGTCGTTCAATGTGTTCATCAACAGATTACGAGTGTTTTGTATTTGCTGTTGTTGTTGTTGCTGTTGTGGTTGTTGTTGTTGGATTTGCAAAGCTTGTGCGTGTTGAGTTGACAAGCTGACCTCTTTGAGCAAATGGACGGCCTCTTGTAACTCGACCACCTGCTGCATTTCAATGAGACCCTGTGCATGGGCCTTGGCCGATCGCAGTGGCAACGACACCCATTTTCTGAGTATCAATTGGTTGCTCGTCACAATGTTTGGATCCACTTCAAGATACTTTTTATCCAATATCAATGTGTACCCTTGCAAGATCTTTCGTAGTGCCGACGTGTCACCATGCACCGTCAACTTGTTGAGTGCCTCTTTCATGAGTGGCCAAGCAGACAACTTCCACGCACTCATGGCCAACAAATCATACATGCCTTGTGAACGAGCGTATTCGCCGAGTACATCCCATTGGTTGAGTCGCTTGGCACATTCGATCCAGTGGTCCTCCCACAATAGATTTTCTTGCTTGGTCGTAGCCTTGGCACCATTGCTAGAGTACTTGTTCATGGCAGCCAAGAATACTTCCTGTGCCGATTGCCACATGTAGAATTGCTCCAAAAGCAAACCGAGTTTGGTCTCATCGCTGTTGAACCGTTTTCTCAACAGACCAAACTGCACATCTCGTTCATTCAACGATTGGTACAATCCGCCGAGACAGTCCCATACGACATCTGTTTGTTCGGGTGCCTTGGTACCTTCGAGCAGGCTAGATTCTAGTATACGAATAGATGTGTAGTAGCAATTGTACGTGTCTCCAAGATACGACACCAACTCGACGGGGATCTTGAGAGGAGGTGTGCATTTGGCAACACCATCCAACAACGATTTGACAATAATGTTGGATTCAGTGGTAGTTGGTGGTGTGTTTTGATTGGTGGTCTGTGTCAACAACTGTTGTTGTGCACCTGCAGAATTGATGGCAATCTTTTTGTAATCCTTTGTCAAGAGGGTCGTCATTGTCTTGGTGAGCTTGTAGTGCTCTTCTTTTGGTAGTCTTGCCCAAATGGCACTAAACGTAGACACCCAAATACCATGACACAATGGTTGTTCGGTAAAGAGTATTTCTCTCAACCCTCCAAACATTTCACCAAATGTATTCCATTTCAATGTCGATTCTTTCATAAATTCTTCATGTTGTTTTAATTTAATTGAGAATGCATCCATTGTACCACCAACACTATCTACTTGCATAGATGAAGATTCATTATTATTATTATTATTATTTGTTTCATCTTTTGATCTAAATAATGAAAGTTTGGCTACATTGTTTGAAAAACCAATTGGTCGGTTCATTGGTAAAATGGCCAATAACAATTCCAAAGCATGACGAATCCAATAACTGTTACCAATTGAATCCCATTGTTGAATACCAAGTATGTAGTTTAATCGTTGATAGGGTTGAGTACTAATCGATTTGTGTAATATGTCAAAGAGGGTTCTTCGAGTGGTCGAGTCACTTGTACGTAGACCCAACATAAACGATCCCTCCAATTGAGAGAGTTCACTCTTGAGAACCAATGACGAGTCACTATACACCTGGTGTATCAAACCAAAGTATTGAGTAGTCAACTCTTTGTTGTCCAATTGTACAAATTTAGCCATCTTTTGGATAAATGAAACCTTTTCCTTGGGCAAATCCTTTGATACAATGAGTTGAGAGACAATCGACAATACCTCGGTCAAGAGTTCAATATCAGTCTTGTCACAGAGCAAATAGAGAGCGCTAATGTATAGTTTACGGCTGTCTGCTGATAACTTGGACACACGACTCTTGATCAAATGGAAGCATTTGATGAGTGCCTGAGACACCTCTTTGTCTGGTCTCTTTGGTATTTGCTGTTGTTGTTGAGGAGCTTGTTTGGCACCAGCTGGTGTTGGTTGAGCTTGCACGACTGGTGTAGTGGCCGCAGGCTTGGCACCTCCAGCAGGTGGAATAGGCTGTTCGTTTGGTGCCAAAAGGTTGCCGTTCAACTTGTGAACCATCTTTATGATCGCTGGTAGGTATCCGTCGACCCAATCCAAATTCTCGTCCTTGAACAATTGGACAATAGACAAGATTGAAAAGTTGAAATTCTTCTCAAAGTTGTCGAGGATTTGTCCGACAGTTTGCGAGATGGTCTGGTAAAAGGTAGTCACCTCGTTGTTGGCGTTGGTGCCAGCTGGCCAAGCATCCTTGTTGTTTGGTGGGAATATCGCCATGACATGCTTGAATGTTTGACAGAGCAGTTGTGCAACACGCGGATTGTCGAGGTTGAGCGATGGAACCAAGCCCGTCTGGAGGTTGGCAAGGTTGGCGGGGATAAACGTAGATGCCTGTGTCTCTAGTACAATGTTGAGGATTTGGACGGTAGTTGTGAGGATGGGAGGTTGGTCACTATTCAACGGCTTTTCAAAGGCGCTGTATTTGATGACTACCTCGGGCCATGCAACCAAAGCTTGCTTGAGCAAGTCACTGCACTTTTCAACAATGGCATTGTTTTTGGCATCGACCATAGTAGTAAGACGAATAAGGAACAAAAGGATATGTTCAATCACGTTGGATGGTGGTCTGTACTCGTCGTCTCCCGTCGCACCAGTAGGAGTTGTCCCACTTGTAGCAGTGGCAGTAGAGGTGGAGGTGTTTTGGATGGCTGGTGTAGTGGGAGTTGGTTCATTGACAGGTGTAGCAATCTGTCCTGGTGTAGCTACATCCATAGCTACCAATGGTGTTGATGCAGTTTGTGTTGTTGTTGTTGCTGCAGTTACACTAGCTGGTGACCCTGCTACAATCACTGCAGTTGATGATGACGAGTTTGAATGTTGTTGAGCATTGATATTATTTGATCTCCACTTTTCCCAAGTCAAAATCAATTCAATAATATCTAATGCCAATTTCTTGTTTTCACCTGCCATTCCCAACCCGAGTTTTGGGAGCATATTAACCATATGTGGAATAAACTGTGAACGAGATGGGTAGAACATGGTAGGGTGACGCACGATCAATTGGAGTATATGTACGAGCTGCGACAATGAGTGACCTTCCTCGACAATAATCTTTTTAGTCCATTTGCTCCAAGTGGCATTTCGAGCGTCACCAGTTGGTGTAGGCAGTCTGGTACGAAGGACAGGCACCAAGATATCAAGTGCTTGTTTTACAAGACCCTTGGCTTCGGCTTGGAAAGCCTTGAGTAGCTGTACATACACTTGCAAAACAATCTTTTGGGGTGTGTCGTATGCTTCGATGAATCTACACGCCAACACATAGGCACTTTGACGACAGGTATAATCTTCATTCTTAAAGTGGTTCCATGCAAATCTAATAATCTCTTTTCTCAAATCCATCAATTCCAATGGGATGTTTTTGACCAAGAATGTTTCAAGCTGCAATAATTCGATTTGCAACTGTTCGTCAATTGGCTTTTCAGCTTCGATCAACATGTTTTTGGCAATGTCAACAAACACAGATGCTTCGATAGTCTTGAGCTTTGCATCCAATTTAAAGTAGGTACTGAGGATAGGAACAATAATATTTTGAATGGCTTGTACCTTGAGTTCGGTATTTTGTGTGTTTCTAAAGAAATCTAGAAAAGCAACCAAAATGTTTCGTTTTTGCTCGACTGTTGTCTTTTCCGCCACTTCAAGTGTATAGAAATCCTTGACAAACGAAAAGTCCATCGACGAACGAATAGTAAACACTGTCAATAGATGGAACAGTAGTTCAGTCTCACCTGGATGAGCACGACAATACGCCAAGAAACATTTAACAATAATCTTTGTTTCTTTGAGTATAGTTGGTGATGGAGAAGGAATGTTCATTGGAGTGTTGACTGAAACAATATTGGTTGGAGATGGAAGGGAAGGTTGTTCAGCTACTGTTCCAGCGGGAGTGATAGCTCCTCCAGTTGGTGGAGTAGTTGTAATCTGCTGAGCATTTTGAACTGGAGTTGATACAGAAGTGGTAGTTGGAGTAGTTGGTATGGGAGTGGTAGCTTGTTGTTGTTGTGGTTGAATACCACATACTGCTTGGATTTGAGCAATTCTAGTAGGATTGGTCCACAACTCTATCAATTTATCAATAACTCCCACACGAACGGTTGGCAACCACTCTGGCAACGATCGCACGACCGTGCTGAGAATAGATAGACCTTGGAAGTTGAGTTCGGGTGTGCGGGTCATCGCGTCGACCCATCCAATACGGTCGTACTTGTTGGCCAGCTCTTCGATGATGGGTTTGGCCAATGGGTTCTTGAGAATTAGTCTAAAGGTGGATGCGTAGACATTGGTCCATTGGGCGGGCTGTGAGAGGAAGATCTCGACGGCACGAGTGGGATACTTGGCGAGGAAACGAATAAGAGGTGTGCGGTACGGGCTGTTGACCTCTTTACCGAGCAACTGCTCAAACTTGAGAGTCGTCTGCACGGTTGCTTCGAGCAGCTGTGGTGCGGTGGGGAGGAGATGGAACGTGTCGATGATGGCAGCGCTGATCTTGACCACTTCATTCTCACGTACACGGTTGGTCTGTTGCGACAGCTTGCCGCTCTCTTCAAAACGTTTGAGGTACTCGGACAGCTTCTCACCGAGTGCCTGGTTGAAACAGTTGCTGAGCAACTCGAGGAGACGAGACAAACCCTGCAAGAATGGCACCGACAGACTCTTGGGATCGGTCACATTGGCGAGTACTGGACGCAAACACGGTTGTAACAAATCCTTGACCAACTTTTGGTTGGCGATTGCCAGATAGAGCCCGCGTTTGGCCACCACGGCAATCTCTTTGTTACGGGTGGTAATGGCCTTGAAGAAGATCTTGACCATACGGTTGATAAGGTCGGTCGGATCACTCTGAATAAACTCGTGACACGACATGGCAGTCGCCGACATTTCCACACCGGCCAGTCTCAACGCCGTGATAATCGCCATACTCTTTTGAGAATTTGCCTTTATCTGATGAGAAGGTTCTTCGCTACTCGCGACACAACAATCGTCCAACACACGAATCGCATCTGATGTAAAGGGGATCATTGACATGGGTTGGGAGAGACAGAATGTTAATGCCTCCAACACACCAGTCTGTGCTTGGAACGACAATGTCTTTAATGACTTTGGAATCACCTGCATAAAGAATTGTCTAACATCGTCCAATAGATAATGAATTGCAATGTGGGATTGTTCCGATACCAATGAAATTGCTTTTTGTACAATTTTTCGTGTATGTGTCTGTGCTGAAAACAAGAATCTGAACAACGTTTCAACGACCTCTTTGAATATACCTCTTTGTTTGTCATCGATGATTTGTGATGGACGTGCAGATGGTTTTAATGGACCTGGAGGTGGAGGTAATGCAATACTTGGTACCACAACAATAGTTGATGCTGGAGTTGCAACTGGTGGTGGTACAACTGGTGTAGTCGTAGTTGGTGGTGGTACAACAACAGCGGCAGCAGCAGTAGGTACTGGATTCTCACTACCTGTTGAAGGAGCTTCTGAAGTAGTTGGAGATGAAACTGATGTTGTAGTGGTTGATGATTGTGATTGTTCTCCTGTTTCTTCAGTTTTGACTGTTGGTTTTTCAATATCCATTGCTGTTGTTGATTCTGTTGTTGTTGTTGGTGGTTGTGGAATATCTAAAACTGGAGTACAACACTTTAATAAAGCAAGTATTGCCTCTGATGATGAATCAATGAGTGGTTGGAATTGCATATATGAAACATCGTCGGCAACAAAAAGCAATGCCTTGAGTATAGTCGTTTCATGATTACAAATCCATTTATACTCTGTTGAATTATTAACAAAATATTGTAACCCTATACATCCTCCATTCTTGTTACCATATTGATATTGATAACATCTATTAATAAATGATTCAAATAAATATTTAACAATTGGATTCATTTCCTAAAAATAACAAAATAAATAAATTAATTAATTAATATTAATAAATAAAATATTATTATTATTATTATTTCATACATCTTTAGGATTAATAGTTGAATAAATTTGATAAGATGATTTAATTGCGATATCCAATATTTGATGACAATCTTCTGTTGTAATGGGTGACTTTGTTTCATTTGGTTTTAGACAAACAAAATCAACAAGTGAATCCAAGAATAACTTTGGATCCAATTCAAATGAAGGTGTGACTTGATAATCTAATCCTTTGACACCAATTATTAATAAAAAGTGGAATATTAATTTACCAAGATATTCTTTACTTTCATTCTATAAAAATAAATTAAATAATTAATAAATTATGTATCTTTTTTGTAATTGCTATTACTTTGTTTTGTTTTGTTTACATACCTTTAAAGTTTCAATAGTAGTAGAAATAAAAAAACTAGTTAGAAGATTTTTAAATAATCTAACTTCTTCATTATATTCTTCCAAAGTTTTGAATGGTTGTTGACTTGAAAGATGTAATGCTCCAACATTTAATTGTAAGGGTGATCCACTTGGAGAGAGGGAGATGGCAGTGGTTGAAGAGGTTGATGTGGATTCTGTTGATTCGATTCTATTAAAGTGGATGACTTGTCCACTCTTTTGGAATCGTAAGAGTGATTCTTCGACACTCGTTTGAATGATTGATTTATCAGAGAGGGTGGCCGATGACTTGTCGGTGGAGAGGTAGACAGACATGATTGATTTCAATACATTAAAAGTGTTGAGTTGTAGTGCAGAGTCTGTCGACGTTGATAAGATGGTTCGAGAAGTGTCAATGACCTTGTCAAATGGAACTGAGAGGGTTTGGGTAGAGCTAGTCGATTGTTGTCCCGAACTGTCATACGGTAGGAGGAATCGGACAATATCGGCATTGGTGGATGGGTCAGGAGTGAGTGGTGTCGAAGAGAGGACAGTAATGGATCTACTCTTTCCAGCCATCTTGCCCAACACTCGTACAGCATGTGGTCCAAAGAAATAGGGAGTTGGACGAAGATGTGCCCAGATGGTTTGGAGAAACTCTGTTTTGTTTTCTTTAAATACACCCAATAGATAGTCGCCCGACACATGGTCGACAAAGAACTCGAGTGTCTTGAATGCTGTGGTCAACAGGTCGGTGCTAGTCGACTGCAACGCCAAAATAAGTGGACGTACGAGCAAGTGTATACAAGGCATCGACGAGGTGATACGCACAGGGATAGTCAACGCCAACTCGACAAACAACTGCATCATGTCGAGTGGATAGCTGCTCTGCAAGAGATCATTGAGTGTCTCTAAAATACCCGGGAATAAAATAGTAATGTCTTTGGTGAATTCGGGTTTGGTACAACTTCTAAAAATGACACGCAACAAATGGAAATAATGGGTTGCGTCTTGTTGTTTGGATTCTACTGCCAACTTTATAGTTGTCATGATGATACTAGATAGAATCGGTTGGACGGCCGACTCTACCTCTATGCTATGTACACTACCAAACAATAATTTTAACATTCTAATTAAATTCAAGTCTGGTTTATCTTGTGGTGTTAAATTTCTAAAAAATAAAATATTAATATTAATATTAATATCCCCATCCATCCATGTCTTCTATATATATTTGATTCTTACAGTAATTTCTCATTTAAAAATGGAGCAAATATTTCTGAATAGGTTTTAGTTGGATTGCAATAATTGACTGGAGGGGTTTGGGGAGTTTGGTGGTTTAAAAGACCTTGAGAGATGAGGAGGAGTGTTTGGTCATCGGCTGATCGTTCGTAGAGGAATGGCATGACTGATATAAAGAGTTCTTGGAATGAACGGTAGTCGAGCATGGTCAACGAGGTGGTAAAGTGGTCGACAATCTCCTTTTCCTCAGACATGGATGGTGTGGCACCGCCATAGATGGGTAGACACTTGATGACGTTTTTAAACATCTTGATGTGCATTAGCGACTCGTCAACCGCTGGAATGGCCAATCTAATGGTCTGGGTCTGTCCGCCACCCAGGGGAATCTGTCTAAATGGAGGACAGGCACCCAACGCCCACACAATGTTACGCACACCCACAATGATAACACGGATCAGCCCACGACACTCCTTGACGGGGTCAGTGGTCGTCTGGCCCATTTGCTGGTCGGCTGCAGATGGTTGCTGCTGTTGCTGCCCGTCATCATCTTTTTTGTTGGCGTCGGTGGCGGCAGCTGTGAGAATACGTGGGATCTGCTTCTTGAGCGACACAAACTTGTTGATGAGCGAATCAAAGATTTTGTAGACGATGGAACGTGCTTTACCCTCGAGATCCTGTTTACGTGGGATAAACTCGACAATCGAGATGAGGAGTCGCGCCGAGATGGCTTGGATGCCAAACGGGTTGGACGGGTCGTGCAGCAGCTTGCTGTAGAGCGCAACCACCTTGGACACCTGTGCCAGCGTCAGCTGCTCGCGCAAATGGTGCACAAAGTCGGCGAGTGACGAGTAGGCAATATATCGCAGCGTCTCAAATGGCGTGCGCGACTTGCCAATCAACACACGCTCGTCGAGCAAAGTGTCGAGGAAGCCGATAAACTTGGTCTTGAGCTCCGACGACAAGATGTACCGTGTCGCAATCAACAGCTCTTTACGCGTGCTCCACGACTGACTCGGGCAGTTTTTGAGCAGCGCAATGACGTGTTTGGGAAAGACGTCGCCATAGTTGCGGATCAACTCAATGTACTGTTTCTGGATATACGCCAAAAACGACAGTGTCTTGACCTGTGCCGATATAAAGTCGTTGTAGAGTGCGTGGTGTGTCTGCTGCACGCCGGCCTGTGGGGGTGCCAGTCCCAGTGTATTGATAATCAACGGGATGAACTTACCCACATTGGCATTGACACAGGACGGATACAACTGGAACAATAGAACCACTATAATAGGACACTCTGACAACACCTTGAATGACTGCATTGACAATGTCATCAAAGGTGTGGTGGGTGTCGCTGCAGATGCTGCTGCTGCTGCTGCCGCCGCCGCTGCTGCTCCAGGCACCGCTGCCGCCGGCGTTGTCGTCGATGTCGTCGATGTTGTTGTTATTGGTGGAGTAGTTGATTGCTGTGCAGTAGCTGTTGGTGACACGATGGTTGGTGTTGAGCTGCCACCCACGGGAGCAGTTGTCGCAGTTGCTGTCGTGGCTGGAGGTTGTCTAAACACGCGATCGACCGTACCCGGCAAATCAGTATAAATCTTTTGCACTATATTGAGAAATGGCTGCACCTCTGACTCGAGGTTAGGTCGATAGTTCTTGTGCAGCTCCATGATGATACGTAGACAGATGATTGCATTGTCTTCATTATCCACCTCTAACAAGTACATGCACAGTTGCAATAGATTCTGTACATGTGGTTTCAACAATTCATTGTTTGGTAGTTTATTCAATATCTCCAATATCGTATTTCTAATCTTGTGTTCTGTTGATTGACTATCAAGTATTGCAACCTATACACATATAATAAAGATATAGATTGAAATGATTAATATAATGAATACATGTATCATTGATCAACATCACATTCACATTTGAACATATTTGTTTGTCGACATACATTTAAGTTTCTAAGTATATTGTAAAAGACAGGAAAGAGGTATTGAAGAAAGTGACCATATTCACCTGTATGAATGACCTCTATATTGTCTCTAATCTCTTGTACAAAGGTTAAAAGTTGTTGATAATCACTATTGGTTTGAAATTCAAAGCATCTTCTTGCACATGATTCAAAGTTTACTTGACTCATATCTCTCTATCTGTGTAGTGTTATATATATATGTATATGTTTGTATTGATTGTGGGGATAGAATAAAGAGGTTATCCTTGCAAAGAGATAGACACTCTGATGTTATTTGTTTTCTACTATTTCGAGGTTGTTGTTTATTTGTGTGTACTGTACTACTAATAATAATAATAATAAAGAATTTCTGAACTCATATATATATATACATTGAGTAGATCGATCGAATATAGATAAATAGATAGATAGATAGATAAATAACAAATAATAAATGATTGCGATGTCGTCTTTTTTTCATTGTCTTTGGCGGGTGATCTTCACCATTAAATCTTTGAGTTTTTTAAACTAACTATATATTTATATTTATTTATCAATACAATATATTGATAGGTATTACACCAACCAATTGGATAATTATTCAAAGACCATTCGTTCATTGTTGTCTTGCCCTTTGAGAGTAGTATCAAAAAAACTGGATGGTAAATATTGTTTCCAACTTGGATCATTTTTCTTTTGACCAAAGGACTGATGGAATCGAATTGAATATTTGAAATAGATTGATGGATGGATGGATAATTGGTAATGAATAGTTATATTGCAGGTTGGTAGGTAAACCAAGACACTCCAAATTTATTTGATCGTCGGAACGAGTTTTACTAAAAAAGGAATGCAAGCTAAGCTTGACCCAATTTGATGTGGGGATGCATATTAATACACAAACTTTGTTATCAAAGAACTAAACGAACAAGTGCACTCTGTAATTGTAAGTTCATCTGGGGAATGACACTTGTAATAGAAACTACTACTACTACTACTACTACTACTACTACTTCTTGTTTGCTGATTGGCATCTTCGATACAACAAGCAAATAAAACCCAAAAAATGGGGTTATTGTTCCTTTTCAAAAAAAAAAAAACTGATCCTCACCCATCTATCTATGATGGTTCAGCTCATGATTTTAAACTAAATCATTTATTTATTTATTTTATTTATTTATTTATTAATTGTAAGATTATATTAGATCATAATTTGTTGTAGCTTTGTTGTAAAAGTAGTTGAAAGAAAAGAGAAGAGGAAGATCTTTGAATACAAAGGTCCATTTGTAAATAGTTTGTCACAAAGTAAGTTTACAATCAGCTGCTGTTTTGTTTGCTTGATATATGTTTAACATGGGTGTAAACATGTTTTCAACCGTGGATTAATCTGACAACAAAACACTCTCCTCTCCCTCTAGATATAGATAATAGATAATAGATAATTAAAGAGATATATATATACATACACATAAATATACATAAATAATAGATGGATCAATTATTAGAGGCAGTAAGTGATGCTGTATCATCCATTGTTTTGTACTCTGTCGAAGCTGACGAGTCAAATGCAGCCATCCCAAATATCCTTCCCGGTGCACAAACTGTCAAAGGAACTGTAGACTTTTTAGTAGAGTTGGCAATCAAGGTAAGAAAGAGAGGAGAGATATATATAATCACACAATCAAATACATATATAGCTAACCTCTGTGATACATTACATTACATTTCCGTTTCTTTAGTCGGCTGAATTATGGAAGAACTTCAATCAACCAGATATGAGAGACAAGATGGTAGAGACATGTGAAGCAATCAAAGAAGCATGTGCCAATTTATTAGAGGCTGCTACTATTCTCGCCAACATGCCATTTAGCAAACCTGCCAAAAAGACACTCCTCAAAGGTGCCAAGGGTATTATGGAGCACATGGTCGTGTTGTTGCAACAGGCCGATCTCTACGAGGTCACTCGTTTGATCAGAGCTGCTCGTCGTGTAGAGAGCAAGCTCAAGATTTTCGTTGGATTGGAGCCCGGTGAAGCATACTTTGCACAGGCTGCTCAAGACTTTGTGACGACAACGGTCGATCTTGGAAAGATTGTTGCAAAGCGTACTGGCGAGATTGACGATTTCGGATACAAGAGACGTTTCGAAGATGCCAACACACAACTAAAGGTAGAGGTACCAGTCATCCTACAATACTTTGCCTACTATCAACGCGATCCAAATGACAAGACTGCATTGGTCGAGGGTGGAAAGGTACAGAAAAAGATCCAAGATATTATCGAAGAGATTATTGTCGTGGCACGTCTCTCAGCCAAGTCACCATTTGATCTCTCGATGATTGCCGGTTTGGACTTGCGTGATGAAGACGACTTAAAGGACGCCAGCATCTTGATTGCCCATGAGCGTGAGAAGCTCTTGTCGGCCATCGAAGCCGGCGATGGCAAGGAGGCTAATCGTGCACTCAAGGCCATTAAAAAGGGCTTGGGTGATCAGATTGTCATTTCAAAGGCGTTGGCCAAGTCGGCCGACAACCCAGTCCAGCGCAAGCGTCTAGAGGACGCTGCTAGAAACGCACAGCATATTTTAGACACGGTGATTGCCGAGTTTGGACATGCTGTCCAGGCACTCCTTGCGCAACCCGATAATGAGCAGTTGTTGCGTCAGTTGCGTGCTTCAATGCATAGAATCAAGGAGGCGTCCGACCAGATGGTCACCAGCTCGGCCAAGCTGTCGTCCAACGACGTGGCAGAGGCACAGCGTCACTTGGAAGACTCAATTGACAAGGCTCGCGGCGATATTGCCCGTGCCGACATTGGCGCACTCAACCGCGACCTACCCAAGGTGATGGAGTCGTTTAATCATGTCATTGAGATGGCCGAGACACTCGCACGTGCCACTGACAATGCCGAGATCAAGACACATATTGAGCGTGCCACAACCGAGGCCCGCAAACGCGGCAGCACCATCATGGGACACGTCGAACGTCTCCGCGACCGTTTGGAAAAGAACCCACATGACGCACAAGCCGCATCCGAGCTCAACGAGTTGCTCAACCAACTCGAGGCCATCGGCAAGGACCTCGTCAAGGCCACTTCCATCGGTACATCCGAGGATCTCTTCCACAAGCATGCCTCGATCGAAGAACAACTCGCCAAGCTACGTCAAGCCGCCTTAGAAGGCGACAAAAAGGAGACGCAAGCAGCTCTACGTGCCGTGCGCAAGGGGTTAGCCGACGAGATCAACATTGCACGATCGATCGCCCGCACAACCGATGACGAGCGTCTCAGAGAGGATCTCGAGGCTGCCATCCTCAAGGCCGAGGACGACATGCAACGTTTGATTGAGGATCTGTACAAGTACGCCAACGCAACCGTCGAGAACCCATCAGACAGCAAGGCGATCCAGTCGCTGGACGACATTATCAATAGCATCGACCGTCTCAACGCATCGTTGTTGGGTGCCGTGTCACGTGAGCTCATTGACAACAACACCAAAGAGATTGAAGCCAAGTTGTCGACTTTGGTCCGCGACATCAAGACTGGCGACCAACAAGCCGCCGTTCAAACACTCAAGGGTGTCATTGAGAGCGTCAAGAAGCAGGCTGCCATCGCTGGTGTCGCCAGCACCCACATTGCAAGCAACAACGACGAGCCACGTGCCGAGCGTGTGCGTGACCGTGCCGTCGACTTGACCAACACGGGTCCAGACCTCGTCAAGTCGGTCAAGGCTCTACTCACCGAGTCGTCACCCGCCAACCTCCAAGAACTCGTCGCCAGCATCAACAATGTACGTGACTCGAATCGCGACCTCGCCAACGCCGTCCTTCTCACCACCGACCAAGAGATACTCGAGAATGCCGCACGAATCGACGCAGATATGCGCAAGATCCGTGCCAACCTCGAGGCTGGCGTGCCAGTCAGCATGAACGAGCTCAACAACCTCGTCAAGCGTATGGCCAACCAAGTCAAGCTCGCCAACCAACACGCCAGCACGCTCAAGGACAACAACGCCAAGAAGCGTCTCTTGGAGAGTACCAGCCAGCTCAACAACCTCGTGTCGCTGCTGGTCGATGCTTGCAAGAGTGGTAACATGCAAGACCCCGCCACCCAAAAGAAGGTCAAGGACCTACTCGACCAGAGCATCAAGGTCAACATGGACCTCTTTAACTTGTCGGGTTTGTCTGCTGCCGACGAGCTCGTCTATGGCACACCCAACCTACTCAAACTCATTGGCAAACTCGAAGAAGCTATTGCTAGAGGCGACCCAGACGAAATCAAGCGTTGTCTCAAAGAGTTGCAAGAAGAGATTAACAAGCAAATCTTTTTGGCTCGTATTGCTGAAGCATCGATTGACGACCCCGAACGCAAGAAGCAGTTGCAAGACGCTATCATGCAACTCGAGTCACTCAACAACTCGTTGGTACCATCCGTCATGGAATTCCTTGCCAATCCCAACAGCAAGGAAGCACGTGATCAACTCAACAACCTGCTCAAGCGTCTCAGAGACGGTGTCGAGCTTGTCTCCAACATTGCTGCTACCTCACCAACCGAGCACTTGGAGAGCAAGTCGCTGGCCGTTGCCAACGAGATGTCCAAGATTGTAGAGGCCATCGACAAGAACAACGCCGCCGATGCCAACGAGCACCACCAACGTGCGTTGGCCGGTATCAAGCAACAAATCCAACTCTCCAAACATATTGCCGACACTACTAGCAACATCCCACAAAAACGTGAGATTATCGACCTCACTGAGCGTCTCGAGAAACAAGCTCTTGTACTCAGTGCCGCCGTCAAAGAGTCGCTCGCCAATCCAAAGAGTGCTGCTGCCAAGGCCAAGCTACTCGAAGCTGCAGCTCAGACCAGAACATTGATGGCTCAGCTCATTGCCGCTTCATCCAACCATGTGCCAGAAGAGCAGGTTGCTGCCACTGCCGCGTCAATCAAGAGAGATTTGGAGCACCTCGCCACTGCCATGGCTAGTGGCAAGCCAGCCGATCAAAAACAAGCAATCGATGACTTTAAAGAAGGTGAACAACTCCAAAAACTCGAGCAACTCAAGGCTTACAATGATCACGTTCAAGATCCATTCCTCAAGAAATCAATCAACGATGCTATTGTTGATTTGGAGAGCAAGTTGACGTCTACAATCAAGGCTGTCAATGAAGCACAACAACAGGGTGGAGCAGTGTCACAAGACAAGGTCAAGGCCATTAAGGCATCGGCTGACCAAGCCATTCAATCTTCGGACCGTGTCATCAAGGCTTCGACACCATCGACCGAGGAAAGATTATTGGCACGTGCCGTCAAGATTGGCGAGACATTGGATCGTGTCAATCAATCTGCCAAGAAGGGATCAAAGGGTGACGTTGAAAACAATGTCAAGGAACTAAGAGAAGAGTTGGGAGAGACTGTAAACTTGATCAAACAAGCTGCCGAGCAGTCACGTGACCCACACAAAAAGGTTGCACTCAACGAGATTGCTGACAAGCTCAAGAATGTTGCTCAACCCATCTCCTCGTCTGCTTCGGGTTTGGCCGACAAGCCAGCCGATGCCCGTCTCCAACAAGAGTTGCAACAGTCTATTCAACAAGCCAAGGATCTTCTTGGACGTGCTGTTGTCAACGCTACTGGTACGTCAGAGGACCAAAACAACCTTATCCAAGATGCCATCTTCAAGGCCAACAACGACGTCAATCACCTCGCATCGGCCACCCAACAAGGCGACCAAAAGAACATTGGTGACGCACTCTTGTCGCTCCAAGACTCTGAGAAGCGTATCAAGATCCTCAGCGCTGCTGCCTCGGACAACAATGTCAAGCAGTCACTCCAACAACTAGGTTCTACTCTGCCAGTGTTGGTTGCCGCCGGAAACTCAGTGCTCACCCAGCCAAAGGAAGCCGCTCAAGCCAAACAGATCATCGACTCGAATGCCAAAAGGCCATTCAAGACCTGTCTGCCAGTTTGGCAGCCACCAATGCCGCCCCCGAAGAAAAGATCATCGCCAACAACACCGTTGCCAACCATGAAGCTGAAGGTCTTGTCAAGAGTGCCAAGAACAAGGACAAAAAGGGCACCGAATTGCATACTGACACCACCCGCCAAGTCTTGTCTGAACAGGCCTTGTTGGCACGTGCACTTGCTGCTCATACCGACAACCAAGCTAGAAAGCAAGAGTTGGTTGCCAAGGCCAACGCCATTGAGCAGATCCTACCACAGATTGATATTGCATCGAGTGCTGTCCAAGCTAATCCACAAGACAAGCAATCGGCCGACAAACTCGAACAACTCGTCAACATGGCCAAACAAAACAACCAAAAGATTGTCAACGAAGCATTGGCTGAAAAGAGAGAAAAAGAGGAACGCGAGAAACAAATCAAGATCAAGCAACAACAAGAAAAAGAGGAACGTGAGAGACGTGAAAAGGAGGAGCGTGAAAAGACAGAGCGTGATGAAGTCGCTGCCGCTGCCGCCAAGATCAAGGAGCGTACTGATGCACTCTCCAAGGACGCCAATACTGCCGAGGGTAAGTTGTACAGCACTGCCGCTGGTATTGCCGGTCTCATGAAGGACTTGTCCGAGGCTGCTCGTACCAACGACAAGAAGGGTATGCTCACCGTATCCAAGCTCCTCTCTGAACAAGTAGCCATCTATCTCCAACAAGCCAAAGACACTGCTGCCAAATGTACCGATCCAAAACTCAAAGAACAAATTATCACTGCCGCCCAAGCAGCCAAGAATTGGACCGTCCAACTCAAGATTATCGCTGCTGTAAAGGCTGCTTCAGATGATGACGATCCAACTTCAAACAAACAACAATTGGTCAAATGTGCTAAAGGTTTATCAAAGGCTATTCTTGAAACTATAAATACTGTTGAAATTGGTTCAATTAGAGCTAAATAAATAGAAAAAAAAAAAGGAAAGAAAATGTAATAAATTAAAACAATATATATATCTATAAATTATTTAAAAATACAATTAATTACATGTTATTAATTTTTTATTCTATCATTAAATGTTTAATTTCATTCCAAGCAGGTATTATACTCTCGGATAATAAATTATTTTTAATGATGGGAAGGAAATGTTCTTTGAGTGCCATAAGTATACCAACATTCTTTCGTTCAATGGCACCATCAAAGCTATCCGGTAGAATATATTTGGCTAGACGATTGTTATTTTTGGGTAGTTTAGATTCAAGGAATCTGACCATTTGAAGATGACCGGTAGTGATTGCACCTTTGATCATTTCTGGGACCACCGATGTTCCTTTTCTGAATCTAAATATACATTTCATTGTTTCCAAGTCATGTGATGCATGTCTAAGCATATTACTGTTGATTTTTATATTCTCTTTGCAATATTTGTTTTGTAATACATATTCTAAAACCTCTTGATCGCCCCAAAATAATATTCTATCCATAAAATCAGAATCCAAATTTCTGATCAATCCTAGTTCATCGTGAACATACTGAGCTATATGGAGATGCTTTGATATAATTGCAACTGTAAACATTCTATTTTTCATATATTGACTGGGTCCATCGCCCTCTGATACCAACACATCGATATAGTGACGCAAGAGGTCAAGGTTTCCATGTTGACAAACGTTTAAAAGACCCATGTTGCCTGGACGATAACCTAGAGGCTCATTGAGACTTGAAAAGCTTGTCATAATTCGTATGGCTGTTTCTTTACTGTAGCAGATAGAATCGAGTGCATTACGCATAGAAAATAATATATTCGGACGGATATCCAAAAGATAGTTCATGAGCGCAATGTCATGGTATGAAAATGCCTTGATTACATCGTTTTCTTCGAACATGTAAGACGGTGCACCATCACCACCACCATCTAATCTTAGGAGGTTGTGAATAAACTTGATAGTGTCTAGATCCGAGAAATGTATCGTGATACCAAAGGTACCAATCGTCTCTGTGTTGTGATAGACATATTCTATAATCTCTTTGTTGCCCGATTTAGTTGCAAAGGACAAGAGTGAGCGAGGGTGTGGTTCTGATGTCCTCATATTCTCCATTACCAACTTGACCATGTCTAGATTATTTGTTTGGCATGCTGCCCCAACACTCTCTATAGTGTAGGATGAGGATGGTAATGGTGGATGAATAAATTCGCGATATTCGGTGAGTAAAAGTTTGACCAAATCCAAGCTCCCAGAGGCAATAGCATATGGAATGCATTTGGGGTGTAATTGGTTACCAAACACACCCATATCCATGAATGCCTTGAATGATTCGGGGTCCCCTTTTTCTACGGCAGGAATCAGTTTGTATTCACTGTATGGGTAGATTTCGTAAACCACTGCTGGTATTACGGTCAGAGGGTCGATCGACTTGAGGAATGTCAAAAGTGAAGGGTTGCAATTACCAATAGCACCCATTGCACCATCAATCACTGCTCTACGATTAAATAGAATATCCTTTCGATGATCGAATAGGTATCTGACAATATCCTCTCTATCACTCTCGCAGACACGAGAGATTATACTAGCATTTGTTTGAAATGGGTATTTGGGTTTGATGCTATCCAAATACTGCAACACATGTAAATGACCAGAGATGGCTGCACGTTGGTATGCTGGTTCTCTTGGATGAAACTTTTGTGCTGGAGCATCTTGAATGTAATCGCAATCTAACAACAGCTTGACAACCTCCAAATGACCATTGGCAACTGCCTCCTCGATAGCACGTGTACTCATTGGATGTCTTTGTGATATGAGATACTCTGCTATATCCAGTCTACCTCTTTCCGATGCTCGGTCGAGTAATTCAACATATCTATCGATTCCATCCATTTTAAAATGTTGATAGACCACTTTAAATAGATCCAAGTCCAAATCACATAAATCTAATATTGCATTGTACGATGGAAAGCAAAGATCTTCAACACTCTTTAATATCTTTTCTCGAAGTAATGATGGTAACTTTGTTTTCACTGATAACAACCATCCCAAAGAATCAACATCTTGATATCTAATTGATCTACCACGACCATTGTCTATTTTGTTGAAACTTCTAACATAATTGAATATCTTATTTCTAGTATATTTTGATTCTATTATTATTGTTTTAAATAATCTATATTCCATCTTCTCTCTCTCTCTCTCTCTACTATCTAATCAAATAAACAAATACCACAAATATTATATATCTTTCATTATGATACTGATTGTAATTTAATTAAGAAAATTTTTAGAAGACCTCAGATAAACAATAAAAAAATCGTTCGTTATTTAAATTACTTATTTATTAAATGAGCATTATCTCTATTTTCTTCTTCCTGTGGTGGTTAGAATATTGTTGACCAGTTTGTTAGTATTTGTTAGGATGATGAAAGAAATATTAAATATTAATTAATTAACCCTTTTATCCTTTAATTTAATTAATATTTTATATTTCTTTTTAAAAATAAAGATACCAAGATTTCTAACTCCTTTTGTGGCTGGTAGGAATTGTGTTGACCAATTTTTGAGTATTGTTGGTTTGTTATATTTGGTTCTTTTTGATAATAATCTAAACCTTTAAAGTTGAGTGTAGATAGTTTTGGAAATCGTTGCAATATGTCTAAAAATTGGTCTTCTATTTTGTTGTTATCTAATTTAGCGTTGTGTATAGAGAGTGTAGTAATTGATGAAGACCCAATAGCCACTCTATCCTCCTCCTTTGAAATAATAGTAGTGTAGTGGGAAAGTCCACTTAGCGTTGACAATCTAATTAAATGATTGTTTTTAGCTAGATACAAAGAGAAATTGGTCATTACTCTGGGATCACGGACTTTGAAATGTTTGATGACAGAGGTTGGATTGATGGTAAATGGACATATGCCTTGAATGGATAGATAATCGAGTTGGTCAAAATATAGTGGTGCAAGTTGACTAAACTCTTCTCCTGGTACTGCAATCAACTCTAGTCGTCTGAGTTAAGACTTTGGTCTTGTAAGTGCACCATATAGCAGTGGAAAGTAGTCATTGTTGACTCCTGACAGAGACAAATCGGTCAGAGTATTTGTCTCTAACAGGTATTGTGAAAGTACCGGAGTGCCACGGTAGTACTGAATCTGATTTTCTTTTAAATTTAGATACTCTCATTTATCGATCGATCTATCTATCTATCTATCTATCTATCTATCTATCTATCTATCTATCTATCTATCTATCTATCTATCTATCTATCTATCTATCTATCTATCGATGATTGAGTTTAGATATTCAATATATATATATATTAATTAATATAATTATATTTATCTTTGTATAATTTGACAAATAATGCGATGAAACGAAATGAATTCCCGATGCCAATCAAAAAAATATCTGTAAATGGATAATAATTAAGGTTACCTACTATTTTTGTTTTAAATTATTTGTTTGTTTATTCTTGTGAATGAGATTGACTTTGTTTGGGAGTCATTTCTTTTGCAATTTGAGCCATACCTTGCTCATAGGTGATGATGGGTTGATAACCCAATTTTAGACGTGCATTTTGATCGTTGATAGTGAAATCTTTGGAACTATAGTAGAGACCGGTTTTGGTGAGAAGAGGAAGACCTTTGAGTGAAAAGATACGCCACATGAATGACATGACGTATACGAGAAGCCATGCAAATGGAATGGGAAGTGACATGTGAAGTTTCCAATCAGAGACTCTACACTTTTGGAATCTCTCTGTAAAGAATGATCGAAATTGTACACTTGGACCATCAGTCAGATGATAAATATCTCCATTATCACCTTTTTCCATTGCCAATATAATACCATGTGCTGCATTCTTGACATGACAAATAGATAATTGATTTCTTCCACCTCCAATCCAAACCCATCTCAATGTATTTGCCAAATTACATAAATGTTTTAATACATTATCTCCTTTTCCCCAAATCAAAGGTAATCTTATAATTATTGATTTTGTTTTTGAAGAAGAAGTAGAAGAAGTATTATTATTATTATTAGTTGTTGTAGTTTTCTTATTAACATTATTTAATATTCCATTATTATTATTATTATTTGTATTATTTTCATTATTATCATCTTTAAAGTTATTTTTAATCTTTGTATTATTTGTATTTGTATTATTTGTATTATTTGTATTGTTGTTATTATTATTTTCATTATCAATATAACCTAATAAATATCTTTCAGCAATTGCTTTTGATTGATTATACCAACCTAAATGATTGATATGATCTAGTGAAGGAACATGTTCGGGAGCATCACGTATATTGTTTCCATTCATAATGACACCTTCAGTACTGATGAATACAAATACACGTACATTTTGAAAACATGAAACATTGTACAGTGTCTTTGTTGCATCTACATTGTCTCTGAATAGTTCGTCGATAGACGATGCATTCGTCTCTAACTTTGCAGCACAATGAATCACTGAAAAGCAACCTTTGATATGCTCCATCAACGATGATTCATCACTCATCGAACATCTGACAGGAGTACCTCCCACTCTAGCAATCTCTTTATCTGAGCTATCTGATCGACTCAATGCTACTACATGATACCCTTTTTCAACCAATAACTCTATAATCACCTTTCCTACGAATCCACTACCCCCTAAATAAAACATAAAAGAAATAAGATTAAGATGATAGATAAGATATGATTGATTGATGGTTAGATAACTTTGCTACCTTTCTATGCTAATCAATGATGATCTGTAATACTACAATATAATATTAACTATTCTTACCTGTTAGAAATACCTTTTTACTCATTCTATTGTCTTGTTATCTGATATCAAATTATATTATTACAATGAACCATTGAGTTGAGTGCTCTCAAAATCTTTTTTTAGGTCACATCATCCATCAAGAACTTTAATGATTCATAAAAGTTAATTAAAATAAATATTATATTCAATTTATTATATATATGAGAGGAGGGAGGTTGGAAGGACCATGGTAGGTATTCTATTCTATTAATCTATTTAACTTCTAAATAATTGGTTGGGTTGGAGTTGCTTGGGGGCAGGGAGAGGGGCGAGGGTTTTGATCAAATTTACATTATTAAAGCAATTATTCGTGAATGGTAAATGGAATTACATTGTTGTCGTTGTTGTTCTTTCTGTAGGTAGGTAGGTAGGTAGGTCTGGAAATGATTGACCATATTGTAGCCTAACTAATGTAAGAAAGAGAGAGAGAGATAACCCAACATCTTCCTTTATCATATTTATCTATCTATTGTACTAAATTAATAATACACATTTTAGATGGTGTTGATCCAGATGGTGACACTGATATTGGAGACAATTGGTTATTATTATTATTATTATTATTTTGATTATTATTCTGATTATTATTTTGATTATTATTTTGATCCAAACGTTCTGAAATTTTTAAATCACTAAGTAGTGATCTCATTGGAGGTAGTGTAAGATCAGAACTATCCATCGATGATGATGATGAATGGAAATCTGTTGGTGGAAAGTGTGGGGTTGATGGTTGAGAAGAGGTGAGAAAAGGTGATTTTAAATGTACAGTATTGTTGTTGTTGTTGTTGTGTGATGACAATGAAGAAGAGGATGAAGAAAGGTTAGTATTGAGGAATTCTGAATAGTCTCTTGGAGTTGTTTTACAAGATGGAGGTGTGGTTGGTGGAATTGAAATTGATTGTTGAGATTTGCCTAAATATGATGATGATTGAGAAGATTGAGACGATTGAGACGATAAACGTTCATTCGAATTGAAAAATGGTTGAGGGAGACCAACAAGCGAAGGTGACAATCCATTTATATATAGTGGTGGAGAGTGACCCATGAATGGTGATGTTGAAGATGCCGACGATGATGGCGAAAACCCTGTCGTCGTCGTCGTATTATTCCCACTACTACTACCAATGTTGTTTGGACCATTGTTATTGCTACTGCCTCCACTATAATATCCATTCTCTTGATTCTCTGGAATAGAGTCAAGATTGTATAATGAGGATGGTGTCGTTTTGGGAGTGAGTTTTGGTGATGGTGGGGGTTGGTATTGGCCACTATAGAGGGACATGTTGGAGACTGATGGCAGTGAAAATCTTCGTTCCATTCTTGGTTGTGGCTCGGTTGATTGTTGGGATGGAGATGGTGGTGGTGGTTGGGGAAGGTTCGATGATGATAATAATGACGATGATGAGGATGATCTTGGTGACGCAGAGTTCTTACTGGCTCGAGAGTATGGATGGAATGTTGATGATTTAAAATGTGATAACTCGGAAATTGCTGTTTGTTCGGGTGATAATGATAATGATAATGATTGTGATGACTGAGATGACTGTGATGATAATGGTGATGATTGCGTTGGTATGGTTGTTGTTGGCAGGAGGTTTATAGGTGAAGTATCCATTGCCATTGGTTGTTGACCACCTGTGCCGGGTTGTCGAGCAGATGATTCTTGAAGTCGTTTAAGATACATTAATTGTTGGTGTTCTCCAATCAGTTGTAATTGTCGTTGTTGTCTAACCATTCCCTTTGGATCGAATTTCCAATGAGACACCATGTTTCGCATTGATGGTGAGGGAGCTGAGTTTCTTCTTGACTTGTTGTATCCTGCTCCACCTTCAGGTTCAGCGGGTGCTACAGGTAGCGTTGATGATTGTGGCAGTAGTGGTGGTGGTTGTGTGTCTCCAATCACCATATCGTCACTCGATGAGTTGAGTTGGGATTGTCCGCCAGCGTTCATTGGCGCCGCCTTGTATTTCCAGTGGCTCATCATGGACTGGCGCTTTCTTTCATTGTCTATATTGGGTTTTCTCAATGCTCCCCCAAGTGCACTTGGAACATTATTATTACCACCACTACTATTCATCATCATCATTCCATCTCTACTACTCGATAATGGGTTCATGGCATTATTATTAATATTAATATTATTATTATTGTTGGGAGATTTCCCATTTAGTTCGCCACCCACATCCATCATGTTTTTCTTTCTCTATCTAGTATGTTGTAGTTCTAAATCTAATTCTAATTCTAATTCTAGTTCTAGTTGTAGTTATATATAGAGTATATTTCCTAAAAAAGAAACCTAACCTAAAAAAAAAAGACCGACCTTTTCAATCAATGTCTTTTGTTGTTGTGCTGTTGATCAAAACTTTTGTTTTTTTAAATAAATAATTTTGTTTGTTATATTTGTTTGTTTGGTTGTACAGTTGTGGGTATGATTGGGGGAAGGGTGATTTTTTTGAAAGTGATTGGTTTTAAGAGGGAATGATGATGGTGATTGTGATTCCAAAAAAAAGGGTGGGAAATATGGGAGGGAGGGTAAATCCCTTCTGGTGGTGATCGTGATGATTTTGAAATTGATTTGTTTCGTCGACACTCTAAAGTAGAGGGTGTGGAAAATCTATAAATTTAAATATATAGTAACTCTATTACTATTACTATTACTTCTATTGTTGTTGTTGTTGTTGTTTATATGAAACACATAATAAATCAACAACAACAACACAACACCAGTCAACTGGAACACCAAACAACAGGAACAATGCAAATATTATAATATCACAACCAAACCAATATATTTTAAATATGTGTTTTGTGTTGTGTTTACAACTACTACTACTACTAACATTAATTTGGGTTGGTTGATGATGATGATGAAGATGATGATGATGCACTACCCTCAATGAATTATGATGGGTGGTGGTGGTGGTGGGTCGAAAGAAGCTAGACCAACTGCGCGCAGCTAAGCTGCTTTTTTAACATAATCAATAATGTTGTTTAAATTGTGTAGTGCCAGCCCATCCATATCAACCAACCTTTAAAAGTAAAGTTCACCAACCTTCCTTCCTCTCGGTCTTCTCCTCTTTTCTAATCATTTCTTCCTCTTCTTCTTCTTCTTCTTTTTCTTCTTATATGAATATGGCTGCAGCTGGACAGAGTGTTTGTTGATGGCGAGGGGTAAGCGTGGAGGGTGCCATCATTCTGTGCATCGCATGTACTCGTTTTGGAAATACCATCTGCACAAAAAAACACTCACTCTGTGTGTTTCCAGCAGCAGTAGCAGCAGCCAGAGGTAAAGGGAGGGAAGGATGGATGAGGATCAACAATATTTATTGTTGGATTTCACAAAACACAGTTGGTTTCCAGCCAGCTCAGCTTATTTACTTGGTGCGTTTAGTTTGTGTGTAGTTGGTTATTGGTATGTTTGTCGTCTCATCAATCAATCAATGTTTGTTGTGTTGTCGATACATGATTGTGATGTTGTTATTATTACTATTATTATTATTATCGTTGTAGTTGTTGGAAATGGATGGATATGGAATTATTATGTAAATGGCGGTTATTTGATAAACATACTGATTCATCTCTCTCTACCCACCCTAATCACACACACACACACACATACACCACACTCTCTCTTAATTCTTTGTGTCCTGAATTGGAAATAAAAAATGTCGGAAGTGCATGGATGCATTCAAGCAATCAAATCACACACCCCCTACTAACTTTTAAATGATTTTATGTAGACGAGGGTGTGTGCGAGATATATATATATACATATATATATATTGAAATAAAAGGCAATGAAAATATGACTGACTGAATATATGTTTTGTTCAATTATAGTTAGTTGAAACACAAACAACAACAACAACAACAAACCAATCCCATCCATATCTTGACTATACAAACCAACTGACTGACTGAATGAATGGGAAAATCAGACCCCCTTTAACAAACTTTCTCTTTTTAGAACATCTGCGCAAGTAGGTCTCAAACTAACTAACCTCAATAGTTTAAGCAATCCTACTTCCATTCCAGTCCAGTCAGTTTTTTTTTCAAGAATGGATACGTGTAGCCAAGTTGATCAAAATCGCGGTTGGACTGATCAGTCACTTTACTGTCTGTTTTAATATTATTTATATATCTGTTTGCTGAATGTTGTTTCTGTCTGTGTGTAGTGAATGTTATGATATGATATGATAAATACCTATAAATATATATAATATAAATTCTAGAAGATATATACTATTACAAAGAGAATATAATTTAGATACTAAACAGGCATGCCTAACAGACTACTACTACTACTACTACTACTAGACTAATATAGTGATAAAATATGAGAAATGCAATGCAATGCAATGGACGGATAGGGACCCCTCCTTCCTTTCTCTTTTATTCTTTTAATACAAGATTAGTTAGTTAGTTAGTTGCGTGTGGTGCTGCGACGGAGTTCTCTAACAAAACAAGAAATGAATGAATGAATGATATTTAAATAGAAAGAAAGAAAAGACTATAAGAAGAGAATTGTCGTCGTTTTGGGTGTGTGGTGAGAGTAATTCGGTTGCATTGTGCAAGGCAAGGTACCTTGCATTATTATTATTATTTGATTCTAGAGTCAACTCAACTCAACTCTCTGCAACTGCATCAGTGATGATGAGGGACACAGGGTGTCCACGCGCTATACTTCTCTTCTCTTCATCTCAATGGTTATAGAGTGAACGAGGTAGGCGGGTGTGTTTCACACCAACAGCCTATCGTTGACAATCGATAAAAAGATCTATAAAAGGAAAGTACTTATTTTTGGGCCCTGCGACCAAAACGCATCAGAAGAAGAAGAAGAAACAAACAAAAAAGCGAAAGGAGGGAAAACCCATATTAGGCCAAAGATGCACCATTATTTTTTGTTTTTGTCTTCTTTTTCAAACTCAAGATTCCATGCGTTTTAGGCAATTTCATGGTTTAGAGTAACTTGCGTCGTTTGTACCTCTCATCTTACTCTTTCTTGCCTCATCACATCACATTTTCCTTTAAAAGAAAACAATCATAAATCCATAATATTGAGATGATCAAAAAGATTGAAAGTAAAGAAAGAACAAGTGCAGATACTAGCTAGTTTGAGAGCAATCAATTTAGATTCATAAAGAATAGCAATAATAATAATCTTTTGTGATATTGGGCGCACACACAGACACACATCCCATTACACTGAATAAACTATTCTTCTTCTTATTGGTCGACTAACAAAGAAGTGCGGTTGTTGTTCAAAGTATAACCAATTCAGGTAAAAAAAAGTAAACAAGTACAACTCCTTATAAGGAAAGGAACACAAAACAACAAAAATGGTTTGAAAAATGGGTCGTTGAAAGTTTGTTTGCGATCACATCCATGAGATGCCCACAGGCACTCTTTGAACTCTTACCCATTTTATTCAAAAAGAAAGGATCCCTAGGTTGGTATTGAATATTAAATAGTTGCAAATTTCCTACTTTTAAAATAAAAGTTCATATTAAATAGTCGCGAATTTCACCAACAAGCTTGTCTTTTGTATATGCGTTTGTATCCTTGGATCTTTTTTCATTTCATATGGATTTAAATAGAGAAATGATAAAGAGAATTGGAATAAAGAATGTAATAACACCATAGTTTGAAGATTGACCACCACTAACAGAATGAACAAGTGGACATACATCAGGATGAGTAAGATCACATTGATAGGTACATTTGGTAGGTTCTGTACAATGTATTTTATACTGACTCTTGGAACCTCCACATAGGTAGTTGACAGTAACATTGTTACCGGTTGGACACCCACTACTACTTGGTTTAGTTGCCTTGATGGCAACGCCTTTTGGTAAGTTTGATGCAAGTGGCAAGAATACCGAGGTATTGACGTACGATGATACACCTTGGGTTGTGGATCCTTCATATACATTGCAACTGGCAGCACCATCTGTATTACAGAATGGGTTTGATTTAAAAAGTATATTGTCCATCCAGATGAGATAATTGGTGCTTCGAAATAATCAAAGTAGGTTAAAAAAAAAAAAATTAATAACATATTGGTACATATGAACCTAATCATTTATCATTTTAGAAAAAGGATACAAACTATGTGAATGGTGTCAAGTCATAAAGACGATCATTTTTAATGTCTTTGTAAAAACATGTTGGAATGGTTTGTTGACACAATGTGTCAAACTTGAAAATAAAGATACAACTACAATTGTATATAATGTTGTTGTTGATTTAATGTTAAACATTTCTTAAAATAAATAAATAATTAATATAGAGATACTAAAGTATTATGATCATCCGCAGAGCTCCTTTAAAGACTCTGAGAATCTTTGGGTCTCGTTTTTTTTTGTTGCATACTTGGTTTCCCAATTGTTCTTGAAAGGAAGGGAGTGGAATTCCGGTGAAATATGATACACCTCTTTTGATTTGAATCATCATCACACTTTTACGTAAAAAGTTTTGTTGGAAGTTCCTCTTGCAATACCAGGCAATCCATTACACCTAGAGCTGCATCTTCTGCATCACCTTCATGATCATAGTAGTTGGCAAAGATGATCGGGTCGACAAACGGATCAGTAGATTTGATCTGAACATATCCTTGTGATTTTGGTCGATTGGTTTCGAGGAAGCATGTCAGTCTTGGAGGAGACAGAAGAGGTACATCGGCCAATTCATTGGAAATGTCTACGTGCAGTGTATACCTGTTACCAATTAAATCAGAGTTGTGTGGTCCAAAGATTGTGTATCCGTCAACCATGGGCGATCGCACGATAATCGGACGATTACGATACGCTGGCACCACATACCGTCCAATATAAATGACGACACTGTGATCCTGAAGATGTTGACCAACTCCCGGTGAATCGACGACCGTCTCAATACCAAGTGATGTCAGGTGACGTTTATCTCCAACACCAACCACGATAATTAAGTTGTACCCATACACCCTTTACCTTGACCATTGATGTGGTCTTGTTGTCTTCAGCTGCATTATCATTCTTGTTGTCTTTGTCACCTTTTACTGGTTTTTGTTGTTCATACTCCATTTTAATGGCACGATATTTAACTAGAATATTTAAATTTTCTCTATTCTCCAATGCACCATTATCCTTTAGCATGACGCTGTAGGGAGTCATTCGTTTATGGTCTTTACCAGTGTACCAGAATTGTTTGGTCGAGTATCCGTACGGGTTCATACCAACAAAGTTCTCTTCGACCGTTGTAAATGTGTAACCCATCGCCGGCGACTCAATCGCCTGTCCCATCTCTGGCATCCATGTTCTATTCCTATCCATATAGGTCAATGGGAATATCTCCATAAATTCTTTTAACCTCTCCTTGGCAATATCACCCGACCAATTCTCTTTTGCATCTGTCATCTCTCCCCATTCATCATAATCTCTTTCTGCACTACCACTATTTGCAACCATACCATTATGTGCTAAAAATCAATAGAATTAAATTAAATAAATATAATTGATTATTTAATATTTAATATTTGATGTTTCCAATCTATCTTACATGAACAACCACCAACCATAGTTCCAACAACATTTCTTGGTCTTTCACCATTGAAATTTGGTTCAGGTTCTCCAACATATGTGTGACTGTAGAGTGGGTCTGGTTTGACAAGCCATCTGTAATACCAATTGGATATGTTGTAAATGTATGGACTGGTATCCCATTCACCACGCTCGACTAGCAATACTTTGGTATTTGGATCCTCTGATAGTTTAGATGCCATAATTGATCCAGCAGTACCAGCACCCAACACTAAATAATCTACTTCAAAATGATGATGATCATCTGTACATTTAGGGGTACCACCATCTCCATCCTCCTTTCTACACTTTGATAAATTGATAAATAATAAAAGTACTAATAATAATAAAAATACTCTATTCCCCATTATTATTGATAACATTGATATAGAGCTTTAAAACAAGATAGATTAATATTAACTATTATGCATGCAAAATTTGGTGAGGGAAAGAGTAGAGGGCAATTTCATTCATTGTCATATGATTGATATAATAATCGTTGATATGATTATGATAACGATGGTCATATACCTAGTGTGTTGTGTTGTGACGAAGGTGTTCTCTATCACGCAAACATTGTGTGTATGAATTTCATGGTGTGTAATGATTTTACAATGAGGGTGGTGATAGTTCACCACTTTTTGACCACAAATCAATTGATTGTCATTTTATTTAAATCAAATTGGTACTATCATATCAGTAATTTTTCTTATGTCACAAATATTATAAATTATATTAAATAGAATATTGTTTGTTTTATGACTTTGAAAACCGTCCTATTATATTTTTTGGATGTACTTCGTGTCCTCCTAAGATGATCATTTTTTTTATAATAGATAATAATAGTAATGAATGTTGCAAATAGTTATTCAAAGGAAAATAATAGATTTTTGTTATATAGTAGGAGGAGAAGAATTTATCCTATGTAAAACACAAGAAAAGAAATGGTGGAGAATTCATTTATTGTTGGTGTGCAAAGGTTGGTTTGACTACATTAGAGAAAACTTGATCAACTTTTGCAATTATGATCTAGCTCTAAATTTAGATCTTTATTTTTCTTCTCCATGGTCTCTTTTCAACCATTCATATCCTCAAATTGTAAAATTGGGTACCGAGTCTTTACAAAAGATTTATTTATTAAAGAATGACAAAGACAATAGCCATAATCAAACAGATTTTTTTGGATCAGTAAAAGAAATGGAATTTTTTGAAACAGACACAACAACAACATCAGAATCACAATGTAATTTCTTATTTTCAAATATTAAAACAAATATTAAAAACTTGTGTATTATAATTGGAGGAGATATGGTAAGTTTGAAAAAAAACAAAAACAAAAGGATTATTTAATATTATTTTATTTCTTTTTAATATTATAGGAATCTTCACCACTTTTAGAATATATAATAAGTAATGAAATAGAATTTCCAAGTTTAGAATCTTTTTATTTTGGTTGTTTCAATGATAAAATAGATTATAGAAAATTGGAAGGATTGAAAATGCCAATGTTAAAAGAGTTTGGGTTTATAACTGGACATGTTGGTCAAGGTACTTTTATTGGGTTTAACCAATTGGTCGAAAGTAAATGGAAAAATACTTTGGAACGTCTCTCATTGACAGTCAATAGTTTGGCTTATGTAGACTCTTATCCAATTGAAACTAGTTTAAAGATTTGGAAAGGAATGCCAAAGTTGAAACGGTTAGTCATAAGCCAAATAGTCAAACAAGGTGATGGTTTTGAATGTTACTATTTCAACAATGTGGATCAAGCAAAGGTATTTAATGAATTGGGTCTCTCTGATTTGAAATTACCTGAGCCATCAATACAATACCTTGAAACATTGGCTTTTTCACCGAAATTGGAGAAACTATCAATTGTGGATCCACAGCCAAGTCCCTCCAGGATCAAAATCACTCCATCTTTACGTTCCCTTTCATTGTATGATCAGTCTTTTTTGCCTGCCAATATCCAAGACTCGAATCTTTTTCTTAAAAAAGTTAAACTTGAATCTTGTTCAATGGAAGTTATAGAACAGTTTCTTAGACTTGCCAATCAATTAAAAGTTTCAGATATCGCCATTTCATTTGACAAATTTCAAGACAATGAACAACAACAACAAGATAAAACATCAATATGTTTAAGACTTGTCAATCTACTCCTTGACAAACAAGTTTTTAAAGAAATTACGTTTAGAATTTTATGTTCCACCACAAGACATACTTTTGAAAGTTTATAAGGTCTTGAGTAATCATAGCAGTCTATTGTTTATGGAAAACTCATTTTTACTATTTTCTTTTGGTGATGAAGACTTTGAAATTAACCAGAACCAATGGAATACTATCTCTCAACAAATGCAAATAAAGTATTATCCAAATCTATTATCTTGGTCTGAACAAAAAGGTTTAGTTTCTACACTTTTTACTAAAAATCTTTAAAAAAAGAATAAATAAATAAATTCTTTGGTTCTTAGCTTCTTTTAACAAATGATTTATTAAAAAATTAAATTGAATCTTTCTTGTTCGTGATATCTTACTTTGAGATTAAAATTATACCGAAAATAAATAAAATAAAGGAGGTACCTGAAAAAGATATTTATTAAAATTTTGGCGACGGAATTGATTCCGTTCTTTAACCAGTCGGATATTTTGATCAAAAGGGGAGGGATGCGCCCTAAGAACGATGTTCCGTTCCATCTCAAATCAGTATTTATGTTTGTTTGAGACATCGAATAAAGATCATTACATTCAAATCATTAAATTTAAATTAAAAATATACGTATAACAAGATGAAATTATTCCTTCTTTCAATCATCCTCGCAATTATTATTGCTTTCGTTGCTGCTACACCAGAATGTTCATTCACATGTGATGATGGTGTCAAAGTATTTATTCCAAATATCAAGTAAGTAAATTAAATTTAATAATAATCCTATACTTTGTTGGCCCTAACTAATTTACTTTTTTCTATTTTTCTTTTTAAATTAGTGATGTTGAAACCTGTAAAATGGCTGTAGAGTTATTAGAGTGTCCAGCTAGAAGACCAATGCCTATTGGACAGTGTATTCCATGGTGTCCAACTTGTCACAAGTGCCATTATGGATTGGAGATCACAAATTACTCTTTTATCGAAAACTAATAATCCTAACCAAAGTACTAGTAATTGTATAAAAAAAAGAAAATAAAAACAATCAATTCTTTATTTTTGTTGCACCTCTACCCAAGTGCATCAACACACCTCACTTTGCTTTTGTTTTGGAATTTAATAAATCAATTGATAATTTGAATCTAGATTAATAGAATAATTCTATTATTCATTTTAATGTCGTTGACCAATAATAATAAGATTATTACTATTATTATTATTATTATCTATATTGATCAATATTAAATAATAATCTGTAATATCTCATTTTTATTAAATGTGTTACAATTAAAATGAGCACCTTTTTTAATGTATGATAACACAAAATGTTGATGTTCCTTTATAGATGGTGCAAGCAAGATCTTTTGAACCCACTGACTCGAACCAAACATACCAATCAAGATACATGCCTCTTTGCTATTGATTTGTATATCCATATCCAAAGAAATGATCAATTGTAATAATTCTACATTCAATTGTTTAACAATGATATCCAGATTCAACTGTGGAAACTTTTTACCATTAGCTCCCGATAGTTGATAAAGATATTTAATCATAGGAATATCGTTATACATAATAGCATTTTTTGTCATTTGTTGGAAAAGATCGCTGGTATTTCCATAGAAAAACGTTTCATCACCATCCAAAAAGTAACCGACCAAATCCTTTTTATCTTGCTCGTCACCAATAAATTTACCAGGCACAATTATACTATTGTTAAAATACGATGCCATCTTGACACTTGTTACCGTTACCGTCATCGCTAAAAGAGGTTCAACAAATCTAATATTATGTTGTGAATCATATATTTTATCTACAATACCAAATTGACACTTGTTCATCAACTTTTGCAACGTTGTGTATTTAATGTCATAGGGTCGGTCAAAGTTATTGACCACCATCTCTAGATGACGCCACTCTTCATTGTCAACCATTTTATCCAATCTTTCTATCAACTTGATTGTATTAAATGTTAATTTTTGATTGTATGGTTTGATGGACAACTTGTCCACCACATATTCCAATACCTTTAAATCCTTGTTGGCCAAACTAACAACATTATATTTTTGTTGTTGTTTTAATTGTTCATTACATGACGCTTGCACCAATTTTAAATTACCATATTTACTAATATTTTCCAACGTACATCGATTTAATAAATAATCTATAAACTGTTGATGATTATTTTTAAAATGGTTGGTATCATTATTGTAATGATGATTGGCATGCTTAATTAATAATTTATATGATTTTTCTTTTAGTTTTGATCCATTCATATGATGATTGATTTCTCTTTTATCCATTTCCAATTTTAATAAATATTGATAATTGAATTCAAATATTAAAAATAAATAATATATTGTTGCTAAATGAGGAGGAGGAGGAGGAAGGAATGAAGGATTGTTCTTGTCAAAGAGTGATCCAATAGTTGAATGAATTGTTTTAATATCTATTATTAATTTTGGATATTGATTATAATTATTTGTGTTGTAGCATTCTATTAAAGTTGATAATGCATGATAATGAAGTTGGACTTGTTGTTGGAGGTATTCCTCTTTTTCATCTTGATTAATACAATTTTTTAATGGACAATAAAGAAAATAATATTGTAAACCAATGGTTGGATTCATTTTACAGAGGGAGATGAAGAGATCAATATTACTAGTAATACATTGTTTACAACTCTTTCTACCAGTGGTGGTAAATAATAGGTTGAATAGGTTGGTTGATTGATTATCACTATTACTATTACTAGATATTTTGTTAAATAAATGAATGATTGTTTCTCTTATTATTTTTTGGTTGTCATGATGATGGTGGTGTTCAAGTTGCTCGTATTCAGGACTATCATTCATCCAACAAGACAGTGTGCTAGAAGAATTACTTTCTAATTCCAATTTGGTCTTTATATAATATTGATTTAACTTTTCCATTCCAATGTCATTATCCAATACATGATCGAGTAGGTCTATTCTTCCATAATGTATACATGTTCGAATAATTGTATCTACCAAATTGTATGAATGGTTCACCCATACATACTCTATAATTGATTGTTTTTCTGGTGGTATAGATGTAGGTGTAGAGGATGAGGTAGTATTATCATTATTATTATTATTATTATTATTATCATTGTTATTATTTCCCATCAAGTAATTGAGAATGGATGAGGTTACCCAGTTGAATATACCTCCTCCTCCTCCTCCTCCTCCTCGATTTTGTTTGATTACATTTACTGTACAATGGGTACTGATACAATCAGTCAATGCAATCCATATATCAACATTGGCATGACTGGCGATAAGTGATTGAATATACCAATCAATGTATTCAAGGTATGCCGATAATGACTCATGTACGGTGCGATTCGTATTGAGTTGGGTAAAGAAGGAGTTGTCGTTGGAGTAATGCAAGTGTTGAATAAATGATTGTGTAAAGGTTGATAGAAGCAATTTAAATGTATCCAAATCATCAACTTTGGCAGACAACATGACAATAGTTGATAGTTGATTGTTATCAATACTTGATAAAAAGATGATGATGATGATTGTATAATCTCTTTTAAAACACCATAATGCTTGTTATGTATCAACCATGGCAAATCGATTGATAAATGATGGTATCTTCTTCTAGGAATATTATATACTCCTCTAATGATCGATGATACTGTTTCTATTGTTGGCTGCTGTTGTTTATCATCTCTAATGACTAGTGAGTTGATTGTTACCCTTGGTACTAGTGCACCAAGGAATTCTACATCATCACGAACATACTTTGTTAATAAAAGTTTAAATAAATATCTATTCTTAAATACTCTAAGAATAGAAGAAGAATCACTTCTTTTATCTTGCATTCTCTCTCTATTATTATTATTATTATTATGACATTGTTAACACATCATTATCAATCTCTTTGAAAATATCTACCAAGTTTTTTAGAGTTAATTAATTTATTTTTATATTTACAATGTTTGGAGGAAAGAATTCCAGTATTGTGAGAGAAAGAAAGAAAGACCAATTAAAAATGTCCTTTGATGTTGGTTTGTGTATGATTATTATTGTCATTGTTATTTATTCATTATTTATTCTCCATGTTGAAGATCTACAAGGATTGTTTAAATGGTATGAACGAGGTAACTTTTGGTCTGTTGATGATACAAAATTGTCATCTACCCAATCCTCAAAATCATCTGATCTTTCTTGTTCCTGTTCTTCTTCTTCTTCATCTTGATCTTGTTGTTTTTCTTGTCCATGGTTTTCCAGTATATTTGCAAAATGTACAGTTTTATATGATTGATTGTGTTTATACAAGTTGTTGTTGTTGTTGTCGGATGATGACGATGGAATATGTGAATAATTGAATGCAAATGACATATTATTTTCATCTATATTATTATTATTATTATTATTATTATTATTATTATTATTATTATTATTTGGTTGCTTTAATCTCTTTTTATATCTAAAAGAAGAACGACTATTATAATTATCTGATATATTAATTGTACAATCATTGTCATCTTGATCATCATCGTCATCAAATAGTCTTTTTTTGTTTGTGGGTGATAAAATCGTTGATTCATTTTGAGAATGGTGTAGTTGTAGTCGTTGTTGTTTCTGTTGTTTCTGTTGTTGTGTTATTTGTTGTTGATTATTACTAGCTAAACGATTTGAGAGGACAGTGATTGCTGATATATGATTATGCCCACTCTTTCTAAGATTAACCAACTCTTTTTTTAGTACCAATATTCTTTTTGCATCGTCTTCAGAGTATTTGCCAATGTTGATTAAATAATCCTTATCTTGATTAATTGTTGAAGTGAAATTATTATTAATTTTAATATTATTATTTTGATTATTATTACTATTATTATTATTTTGTTGATTATTATTATTATTATTATTTATAGTTGAAGTTGTAGAAGTAGTTTGAGATATAGTAGTTGATGTCGTTGATGTGGTTTGAGATTTTTGATTGATATTTGATTCTTGTATTTTATGTACCAATTTATCAATAGCAGATCTCAAATCCAAACCATCATTAAAACACATCTTTTCAATTTCAAGTTGAGAAACTTGCTTGAAATGGTTGATTGCCTCTTGAATATGTTTGTCATCCATTAATATATGTTCATAGCTATGATTGGTATTGCTAGCAGCTGCTGCAGCTGTATCCTCATCAATAGAGTTGGCGCCGGTTGATTGAAACATTTTTAATCTTTTAATCTTTCGGGTGGTTATTGATTGCGAATTCTTCAATGCCTTTGATTGATTTGTATTATTATTTACACGGCCCCTCTCCTCAAATGATTCATTACCACCACCACTAGTGTTGTAGTTGTAGTCTTCTCTACCTCTTTTCAATATTGGTTTAGTTCCCATTGATGACTTTTCTTTTTCCTGTTCTTCTTGTTGTTTATGTGTGATTTTGAATTTGATGGTTGGGGTCGTACACTTTGAGCCTGGCTCTGAGCAATTGCTACTACTACTACTATTGTGGCTACTTGACAATGACGACAAAGAATCACTTGAATGGTGGAACCCGATACCATCAGGTATAAAAGTGTCATCATCATCATCATCATCATCACTGAATAGTAGTTCATCTTGATCTTCTCGTTCATTAGAGGATGAAGAATCAACACTGGCTAGTTGATCAATTTCATCATCGTCATCATGGTTGTCGTTGTCATCATCATCGTTGTGAGAAAATAGGAATATCTTTTTGTGTGGATGGTGTATGTGACGATGTATGCGATGGGTCACATTTGGGGAGGAATACATAGAAGATGGGAATCCCACATCTAAATCATCCTCATTGATTTCTTCTTCTTCTTCTACTTCTAGGTCATCACTATCACCGATGTATTCATCCCTCATTTGTGAAGAAGAAGAAGAAGAAAAGGATGGTAATATGTAGGACGACTGATGCTTGACGAGTGATCTGCTCCCCATGACTTTTTACTTTATTGTGCTGTCCTTGCAGGTGAAAGACTACAAGCCTAGACCTTTTGTAGTCAGTCGGTCGGTTGTTTGGGTGGGTTGATCAAGTATATATTTATTGTATACTTCTCCTCCTCTCTGCTTTCAGTTCAGTTTTATTATTATGACCTACTGTAAAAAGAGATAATAATAATAATAATAATAATGATTATTTATTAATTGATTGATTGATTAAACCGATGATGATAATAATATATATAATCTTTTTTTCAATAAACATACAATAATAAATAAATAAATAAATAAATAGATAGATATCAAAAAAGAAAAGAAAAACTACTAACTAAACAATTAAATTGTTTATAAGGATTGCTGCAAAAGGGTTTATGTGTGAGTATGTACAAATGATAATATAAAAATACAACAACAACAATGTCTCTTTAAAGATGAACAAAGAATAGAAACAAAGAGAGAGAGCAAGACTGTGTGAAAGAGAGAGAGTGTGTAGTGAGAGTGTGAAAGGATAGTATTAATTAATTATTTAACACCTTTGTATCTCTAAAAAAAAAGTATATATGTTCTCTTTGTGTAAGGATAAAAGAAGAAGAAGAATAATAAAAAGAAGTGAATGAATAAAAAAGATGTTGTTGCAGATAGAATGTTTGTTTGACCAAAAATATAATATATAAAAATTAATTCTAATAATTTAATTTGCGGGCATTGATGAGGTTTCAAAGACAAACTTTTACACTGATGATGGTGATGATGGAGGAGATATATGTAATACTATAGTGATCGAATGACTTTTTCATAAATCTAATATAGTTTGTTTAAACTAAACCTATAAATCTTATTTAAATAATTTAAAAATGTTGATTGATGAATTTAAATGTAAAGTAAAGTAAAGTAGTAGTAATGCAAAGTAAAGTAATACAACACTCTACAACAATAAAAAGGTAATTTCAGTCAGGTCAAAAAAAAACAAAAAAAGAGAGAGATTGGGAAGACCAAAAATCCAAGTGTGTTTGTTTGGTGGTAGTTGAGGGGGTGTTGGAAATCAAAGATTGATTTATTTACTTTTAAGCAGAATAAATAGTTAAATGCAGATGGCCGTATAAGAGTTGGGACACCAAAGTGGATTGGTAAACGTGATATTTGATCTCCACAGACAAAAGAGTTGTGTCCACCGGACTAGTCGAAGTAAATTTGGGATATATGGAGTTGTTTCACTTGGGTCTTTGGGTGATTCCCAAAGCACTCTAAATGTGAAATGGTTGAGTACTTGGATGGCACCAAATGCAAGTTTAAACTCGATCAAATTGTTTAGAACTGGTGTTGTTGACAAATCATGAATACATCCGATTTTTAAAAAGATCTTGTGAAAAATTAAATTGACCTCATTAGATTTAGGCCATTGACCTCCTCATTTGATAGTTCATTTAAACAACATATCAAAGAAAAGAGATAGTTAAAAGTAGAGTAATCATTTAATACATAGATTAGAGCATACAACATGTTGAAATTTGATGGTGAGAATGTAAGATTATATTTTTTATAATAATGTTTAATTAACGCTTAACTGTCCTGATACTTATATATTCTCTCTCTCTCTCTCTCCTACTGTAACAATACAATACAAGAGTTTTGGATTAAGAGGTGGAAAAAAACCAAAGGTAGGAGGAGGAGGTGGCGCTGGTGCTAATGGTGGTCAACCTGACAATGGGGCTCCTCCTTTTTCTAAATCAAATAGTAAGTTCATGAATCGGATTAATGGCACTTTTATGAAAGAGAGCCAATGTTGTATATTCTAACTAAAACACACCTATTTTTGTCAACCAACTAGACTTTGGTCCATAAACATTTATTGAATGGATGGATAGAGGAATAATTAATTAACAATTTTAATAAAAATTGTGATGCTTTGCCCACTCTTAATGTGGGTTGTCAGGCTCAGACTTTATTACCTCGAGATATACGTACGAAATTCGAATTCCGATTGACGACCACTGATATTTCCAAAGTTTCTCACCTTGACAAAATATCTACCCTTCTTTATCTTTATTTTTTTTATTATTATAAATTGTGCAATGGAAACATCGAATTTAAGTGAGGCTGTTGCCCACCCACGCCTTTTCATTGTATCATTAAAAGTGTAGAGTAGTTATAAATAATAAAAACATGTTCCAAAATGTAAGTCTAGTCAATCAATGAATAGATAGTTAGTTCTAACATTAATGTCTTTTTAGCCAAAACATAACTGGGGAGGCAAAGGCAAACCTGGAATAGGAGGTAAATCATCATCGGACTCCCCTTCTGGAGGAAGTACTGGAGGAGGACCTACTCCCCCTCCCCCTCCAAAGGGACCTTCTAAAGATGGTTGTAAGTTTAAGTTAATCATTTATATTTATGATAGTAGATTATAGAATTATAGAATTATTTGTTGATATCTATTTTTTTTTTTTTCATTCATAGTCTTTACCATTTAGGATAGATATCCCTCAATATTAATTAATTGAATTCAATCAATCTTTATATAAATTAAAAAAAGTATATATTTTATTGATCAAGTTGATACTTTTAGAATTCAATTCACATCACCTTAACGGAACTAGTCTACTCGAGGAAAGTCGAGTCGAGTGCGCCACCTACCTTCTAATTTTTTTATTTGTTAATGGTTATAATTATTTAATCCTTGTCCAAGAGGGGATTTCTTTCATATTGAATTGAATATTCCGAAGATTTTGGGATCGTTTCACGTTTGAAGCGGAGTGATGTAAGAGGCAAAAAAATCTGAACCATTCCATGAACAAAAATATCTTTTCAACCTTTGCATCTTTGACGATGATGTGTTTCTTTAAATTCTTTCATTATTTGTATCATTATTTGTAGCATTATAACATCATTTAACATTATTATTATTATTATAAGTTTAAACATCATTCTCTAGAGAAACAACAAGATAATGGGAATTTTCAAATTTGACAAAACCGATGGAGCCCATGGTAAAAAACCAACACCTGGTGGAGGTCCAGTTCAACTACCATCGCCACCATCAGGTCCTGTAGGAGTACCCCCAAAAGACACGAGTACATATACTACCCTAATCTAATCTTTATAACCACGATCATATGCATTAACTCTATTTCTCTATTTCTCAAGTTTTTGGTCCATAACAATTCATCCAATTTGGTATTGACATTCTTGACAATCAATAAAGTTTCAACAAAGCGACTCGATAGTTTAGTTAGTTGTTTGGTAACTTTATCACCACCATTCATCAATGAATATTGTCAGACATGGAACTGGAGATGATATCATATACTGTCGTGTCATGATCCGGTCCTCCTTGATTATTTTTTTTAAAAAAATGGAAATATACAATTTATTATTTCTTGTTGATTATTATTATATTATCTTGGTATTGGTATTACTTTGATGATTAAAAATGATGAAAGAAAGCAAAGGAAAGGAGGGAAGGGGAGGTGGGGAGCATTAACTATGATATTATTATTATTTGGCGTAGTTAATTAAAGCAAAAGGGTGATGTGTGTGTATTGTTGGAAATAAAATATCTATATACGATGGATTTAAACAAATGGATTGGAAGTAGAGAGGAGGATGGAGGGGAGGATAGAAGGATAGAAGGTAAAGGAATGTAATGTAATATAAAACGTCGCTATTTTGTAGTTATTGTAATAATAATAATTATTATTATTATTATTATTTACCAATAAGATGAAGATGCCCATGATGAACCTGAACCAGATCCAGAGGTGCCATAGGATGATGAATCCGATGAATAGGATGAACCTGAATAGGATGAGGAATCAGATGAAGATGCCGATGAATCGGAATAGTTGGCTGGTAAAAGAACAATATAGATGAGCATTGAAGTAACGAGAATAGCAAGTACCAAGAACAATGTAGTTGAAACAATTCCAATTGCACGTGCTGCTGAGTTTTTGGAACGGAAGAAGCTAAATAAATATAAAAAGAAGAATTAGTTAAACACATGACTAAGTATATTATATATATAATTATATATTTGTGACTTACAAAATACCGGCGAGCCAAACACATGGAAGGAAGAAACCACAGACCAATACGATGAGGGCACCGACGGTGTCTTCGGCATTAAAGTATGGTCTCTTTTTACATGAGGTGCTTTGAGCAATGATGGGAGTGGTTGCAGTTGGTTGAACATAGTATCCTGGGTGTTGGACAGCTACATATTGTTGACCATTGATGGTGTAGGTTGGGTATTGGTTTGGTCCCAATGAAAGGTATTGGTAGGTTTGTGGTGCTACTTGATATCCTTGGTTTTGATAGGACATGGATTCATTTGATTGTTGTGGTTGTTGTGGTTGTTGTTGTTGTTGTTGAACATTATTATTATTATTATTATTGTTATTATTGTTATTGTTTTCGTTTGAATCAAATGCCATTTTTTAAATTATTATTGATTGTTGATTATCTCTTTTAAACTTTTTAAAACTGTTTAATAAATAAATGATTAATATGATTGGTTTGATTGACTTTAAATATCTATCTATCTCTCTATCTATCTAATCTATCTAGATATTTGGATTTAAAGAATAATAATTGGAACTATTAAACAAACAAAATAAATAGAAATAGAAATAGAAATAGAAATATATTTATATAAAGAGTTGTTGGAAAGGTTGTGATTTTCTATTAAAATAATAATAATAATAATGGTAGTTGTTGGAAAGATAATAACGATTTATAGTGTAGTAGTGACAGCAAGAAAGATTCTTCTTTCTACCTCTCCTCTGATTGATTTTGTAGCCAGTTGTGCGTGTGTGGTGTGTATTTTGTGTGTATTATGGTCTAACAGACAGTGCACTAGCAATCGCAAAAAATAGGGGTGAACATTCCACCACTGTTTTCTTTGCTTCTTGTTTTGTTTGTATAATTAAAATTAACTGCAAATGCTAATCGATTGATTGTATGTATGAAAGTTTGACTTGAGGAACTACACAATCCAAATAGAGTATACATGATGTATGGTGTATCGCTTTTGAAATTGTATGTATATATATTGTAGGGGATAGATAGATAGATAGATATGTCACATGCCGTGACCTGATCGATTTATCTATAGTGTCACATTATCTTGATACTCACTTATATTTATTATTTATTATTTATTTATTTATTACTTTGATGTGTTCTTATTAAAATTAACTCTCTATTAAAATTAACTAATAATTATGTGTTGTGTTGAGACGAAGAGTGTTTAATGAGGGCAACAACAATTCCGATCAGCTGTTTTGGGAGGAGGGAAATGGGACAAGAAGAATTTTCTTTTTTATTTTATTTTTTTTCGTGTTTTTTTCAAAACCAACAGAAGCAAAGATTGGTGAGATCTTGCAGCTAGCTACTACGAATTATGAAATAATAATAATATTATTATTTTAATTTTAATTTATTATTACCTTTTTATTTTCATGAATTTCTTTTTTTTTTGATCTATTAAAACAACAACAATTATAATTATAATTTGTTTATAATATATTATATTATAATATTATATTATAATATTATATTATATTATATTTATCCTATTCTATTTTTCACTAATAAATAAAGAACCATCTGGAACCAATTTCAATTCTTGTAAAGTGTTTTGGGGATTTGTTAATTTACTCCTACAAAAAGAAAGGGAAAATTAATTAATTTAGAATATATATATATTTTGTTTTGTTATTATATATATATATATATTTACTTTGGATAATTTGTATTTAAAACATAAGTTTCAATTGGTTCTTCAATTCTAGAATCAACAAAATCCAAAACAGTTTGAATGGTATCAGTTTCTAAAAAGTTTCTTTGTACCCTAGAACCATCGACCAATCTAATTGCCAGACGTGTGATGGCGCCAGTCTTTGGTTCGACAAGGAATCTTTCTCTGAGCAAGTCCTTTTTATTCTGTAGGGCTGCCTCTGCCTCGAGTCTCTCTTCTTGCTCCTTTGCTTCTCTCTCTTCTTCCTCTTGTCTCCTCATTTCAGCTTCTTGAGCCAATCTTGCTTTTTCTTGGTCACGTGCCAATGATTCGTTGTATTCCTCGTCTTGTGTCATTCTAATCAATCTGTCGGCTTCACGTTCTTCATGATCGATTCTGCATGTTACCAATGATGGTTCATAGGCAGATGCTGCATTTGTCAATAGTGATACAATATTGTCGGCAGTGATGGTTGCTCCTTGGAGTGCCTCTAATCTCATCACACTCGATCCATTTGAAATACCTTCCACATTGTTGCAACACAACATTGCAATGTAGGGATAGGTCGTTGCCTCTAATGAATTGGCAATCTTTAATCCATTGCATTGATTTACATCACATGCCCAAATAACAAAATTTTCATTAATATAACTTGTAAATGAATCTGTAAATAATACTTCCCTAAAAAGATAAAATAAAAGAAACAAATTAATTTAGTCATATGATAATTTCAACTATCTATCTTTCTATCTATCTATCTATCTATCTTTCTATTTCTATTTTATACATACTGACAAAATGATTGAGCATCAGGATGTTTTTCAGAATGTACATAGATTAATAATATTTTAAAACGGCTCTTTGCAAATTGTACAGCTTCATTGTATGAAGAATCTCTAAAGTTTGGATGATTGTTTCCATATTTTCCAAAAAAGTCATGATAGAATTTTCTAGTTTCTTCTACTGGATCTTGATGTATTGCATTTTTATAAAAGAATTTAACTAAAGCAACAGATGATGGATGAGATGATTAGTTGTAATGGTTTAGTTGTAATGATTGTTGATTTGTGTGTTTTGAGACATACCAAGATAATTGTAAATACCACCATCGTTATAGGTGGTAGTAGTTGTCGACGATGAAGATGATGATCCACTAGTTCCTCCGTTCATTGCAGGTACGATGACTGGTTTAATTTTCAATAGTGGGTTGTTGCTGTTGTTGATTTCTTCTTGTTGTAGACGTCTTTGATGTTTCTTTGCTACAAATAGTAATAGTCCAATACCAAATCCAGCACCCAAGCTTACTAATAGTACACTAGAAACAGACTTGGTCTTGGTGGTTGCAAGAAACGATGATAGTGGCTTTGCAAATGCTGATGGTACCAACAGAGACAATGCCGATGGTATCAGTCCTGCAGGTGTTGGTTGTAATTGAAATGTACTAGAAAGTGTAGAGCTTGCAAATGATGTAGAAGCCACGATTGATTGATTGATACTTTGAATCAAATTAATTGCGATTAATCAATTCGATAGATATATATATATATTGTCTATTGTATGAGACACGTGATTTGATTCGATTGATAACTAAAGACTAATGTTGACTACTTTACTTCTTCTTCTTCTTTCTAAACAAAAAATCAACAAGTGATTAATAATCTCTCTCTCTCTCTTTCTAATAATAATATGACGTTGATCGTAATGATGAATGATTAATTCTATCTATCTATCTTCTCTCTTTTGAATAAAGTATTAAAATTGTGAGACTGATAGAGTACGCAGCTGCAATGTCATCTCTCTATGTTTGCAAGCAAATAAAATGATTTTTTTGTTTTTAATCTTACTTTGGTGAGAGGAGTAATCAAAGATTAGTGAATTATTATTATTATTACTAAAGAGTAGTTTGGTTTTATTCTTTTTTTTCAAAAGTTGTAAGTTAGTTTAATTAAGAAGTAACAAGTGAGATGTGATAATAGTTAGTTGTTGAGATAGATAGATATTTTATTTAAAATTAAATACACCAAACAAAGCATTACGACTTTTTTCTTGAAAGTTTATTGGGTTAATGAATTTCAAAGATTTAATACCTCTCTCTTTGACCAGACGACTATTCATCATTCACATTTGGTAGAGAGATACAAAAGGTATTATCTCTTTTCCCCCTCTTCCATTCATTCAGTCATGACATCAACTTCATCAACTACAACTACAACAACTACAACAACTACAACATCATCATCAATATTTAGTATAATACCAAAAGATAGTTTTATTACAAAGACATTGTCATTGTTGGATATTGAAAAAGAGAGTGAAGTAAATGAATCGGTACATCTTCAATCGACACTTTCAAATCGTGAACTTGAACTCAAAGGAATATGTATAAGAAAGTTGAAACTCAATTCAATCAGTACTGGTCTAGGTGGAAGATGTCTTGTTAAATTGGTATCTGCCGTACAAGATGAATATTTACCTCCTCATAGATTTACTCCTGGTATGTTTAAAACTTTGAATAATGACTGATAACTGATCAGACTTGATTTATTAACTTGAATATCTTTAGGTGACATTGTTGGTATTAGAACAACCAAATCAAAACCAGGACAATCATTATCATCTGGTGTTGTATATAGAGTTGATAGATTTCGTATTACAATATCATTTGATGAATATGATGAAGAGTTGATGGCCGATTGGGAGAGTTTTGTATTTGCAATCGATAAACTATCAAATGATGTAACATATAGAAAGATGCGTGAAGCATTAGAGTCGCTAAGAAGTGACCGTATTGCATCTGGCAGTGGTGGTGGTACAACCATTACAAATCAAGTTAGTTCTAGAATATTAGATGTTGTATTTAATGGTGCTGAACCTCATCAAAGTGCTACTTATACTAGTAGTTCAGAAAACAATAACAATAATAATAATACAACATTGAAACCAATTACATCAAAATTAAATCAAACACAAATTAAAGCAGTTGAATTTGCATTGGGAAGTAGTGATATTGCACTTATTCACGGTCCACCAGGAACTGGAAAGACAACGACTGTCGTTGAATTTATTGTACAGTGTGTTCGTAGAGGACAACGCGTTTTGGCATGTGCACCATCAAATTTGGCAGTTGACAATATGTTGGAGAAGCTGATTGCTGTTAATGGTATCAATCCTACTCGTGTTGGTCATCCAGCACGTATTATGGAAGGATTGAGCAAGTACACTTTGGACCACAAGACTAAAAACTCTGAAGAGGCAGAGGTTGTCAGAGGACTGAGAAAGGAGATTGCTGACCTCTTGAAAGAAACAAAGTCAAAGGGAACGGATCGTGACCGTCGTCGTGTTATTGGATCGACCATCAAAGATTTGCGAAAGGATCTTCGTTCAAGAGAAGTGGTGCTTGTAGAACAGGTCATTAAAAACTCAAAGGTTGTATTGTCAACTTGCACAGGTGCTGCAGACTATTCACTTCGTCATCACGATTTTGATATTGTGGTGATTGATGAGGCTGGTCAAGCATTGGAAGCATCGTGTTGGATTGCTATTCGAAAGGGTCGTCGTCTTGTATTGGCCGGTGATCATCAGCAACTCCCTCCTACCATCCATTCCGACGATGCTGCCAAAGACGGTCTTTCAGTGACGTTGTTTGAACGTCTCATTAGAATCTATGGCGACAAGATATCGAGACTCTTGTCTATCCAGTACCGTATGAATCAGTCGATCATGAACTGGTCGTCAAAAGAGTTTTACAACAGTGAAATGCATGCCGACGAATCAGTTGCCAGTCACTTGCTACAAGGATTGAATCCGGAAAAGATCAAAACAACACCCACTACGACATGTCCCATCGTTCTCATTGACACGTCTGGATGTGATATGGAAGAGTCAATGGAGGATGAAATAGGTGTAGACCAGAGTAAAAGTAATATTGGAGAGGCTAGAGTTGTTGCGACGTACGTCAAAAAACTGTTGCAGCATGGAGTGCTCGAGAGCAACATTGGTATTATCTCACCGTACAATGGACAGGTAAAATGTCTCAAAGCAGTCATTGAATCAAAACAAATAGAGATTGGAACAGTCGACGGTTTCCAAGGTCGTGAAAAGGAGGTGATTATCATTTCCATGGTTCGTTCCAATCCTCCACCACACAATGTTGGTTTCCTCAAAGAGGATCGTAGAACCAATGTAGCCATAACAAGAGCAAGAAGACAGGTTGTCATTGTCGCCGATTGTCTTACCATCTCATCGTACCCATTCCTCAAGAGAATGGTAGATTACTGTAGGGAAACTGGATTGGTTCGATCTGCTTTAGAGTATAGTGCTGGTGATTTGGACGATATGAGTAATACCGGACAAGAGTTTGTTTTGGTTTCATCCGACGAAGAGGAATGGGACAATGAAAAGAAAAGTGACCGAAACAATACAAGTCAAAAGCTTGCACTACAAGCCAAACAAAAGAAATCAATTGCAGAGTTGAAAAAGGAAAAAAAGATGGCAAAAAAGAAAGACCAAAACAAATCAAAACAAGAACTAGAGGTGGAAAATGAAGAGAAAAAGAAAAAGGAAATTGCGTCACTCGATGCAATGATTCAACAATTTATCAAATCGTCCAACACTGTCTATTCACTTCCACCTACCCTTACCTCTTATCAAAGAATGTTGGTTCATGAATTGGCAGATAAATATAAACTTGGTCATGAAAGTATTGGTGAAGGTGAACAAAGACAAATAACTTTAACCAAAAAATCAAAGGATAAAAAATCAACATCAACCATTAATATTGAAAAGGTAAAACAAAAAGAACCTGAACAAGTTAAAAAAGAAGAAGAAGAAGAGGAAGAAGAAATGGTTGTTGGTGATGATGAAAAAGATGATGAAAATGAAGAAGAAGAAGAAGAAAAGTTGGAAACTAAAACCAAGACTACAACTAAACCAAATCAACCTCTTGCTGCACCAAAAAAACAATCCCCTAAAAAACCAGCAACAACAAAGAAACCAAAGAAAGCAACAACAACCCAACCAAAAAAAGATATTGGAGATGAATTACTTGAACAATTTAATAGTTTGGATGTAGCACCAATCGATATAACAGTATGTGGAATTAAATCTTGTAAAAATAATGTAGTTTTATTGGGTCGTATCTGTGAATTTTGTAAAAGAAAGTATTGCAACATGCACGCACTCTATGAAATCCATGGATGCGGTGATAGAGCCAAGGTAAAGGCCAGACAAGACTGGTTCGATGCCTATGCAAATGGTGTACAAAAAGAAACAAAAACACATGCCAAATTACAAACAAAGATACAAGAAAATGAAAATGCAAGAAAAAAGAAACCTGCTCCAGGTTCTAAAAAGAAATAAACAAATATAAAATTATGCACATAGCCATCAACTCGTTTTAATATATATTCGACAATGTCTATGTCCTAATACATCATATTAACTATCACCTCTTCTGGCTTTAGCCTCTAGCCACTCAACACACAACACACCACACGTCAGTAAAACCCTATTACCTATTTAGCTATTTAACCTTTACACATTGTCGTTTCATCTTTTATTCTGACGTTTACTACAACTTTAACCAAATGCTCATCCAAGATGCCATCTAAACAATCAACTATAAATAACCAATATTATTATCAATAAAGGCAACGCTTATTTTATCTACATCTTTCTACCGATAATCTAAACTGAACATAATCTTATTCTATCACACATAACTATGCTTTTGTAGGTAGATTCATAAAAAATCATTTTATATAGATAATATATTGATTGATTTTAATTCGAACAAAATCAAGTATGTATTTTAATTACAAACGATATATATTTAAAATAAAAACTAAATATATTTATTTCCTTGGAAATAAATCATCAAACACTCTAAGTCGACCATCATCATTGGTATGATAAAGAGTGGGAATCCAAAATAGGATAATATTTCACAGAGATTGAACCATGACCACCCATCAACCCTCTAATTATTATTTATTTGTGTAACCACCATTGTATGGTGAACATTGAAAAGTGATCACCACTATTCGACCCTCACCACTACTTGTTCACCTTTGGTTTCAGTGTTATCATTTCAAAACAAAGCTATAAAGAATCGATTTAAACATTCATTATTCTAATTAATTTTACACACTCTTTCCCTCTCTCTTACATTATTCTCCCTATTTAATATTACACACTCTTTCTCTAATTACATTGCAATGTCATTGGTTCGATGCAGCAAGTTCGAAGGTTGTGATTATCAAATCAACAGTTGCAACGAACTCTTGTATCATATGGTATTGTGCACTACGGTTGTTGTATCCAATGTGGATGCATACTTGACCAAGATGCAATGAAATCACACACAAAATCAACTAAACATTTGGATATTCACGGTAATTTACTCCACGTGGACGTTTACGAAGATACAGACGACCATTGGAATATACTACTTTTATCCCTCCTTCAAATTAAACTACTTTTACGATATGGAATTTTGAATTGATTATATCCAAGATCTTTGGAATGATTTTCCCATATACCTCTGCCATTCCAACAACAACAACAACAACAACATATCGATGGATACGACACAGATCATAATAACTCACAACCAATTAATAATTACAGTTATACACCCCAAACACACATAGAAGAAGATGAAATAGATAGTAATATTAATAATAATATTAATAATAATAATACTAATGATTCAACTCAACCAACCAGTACAACAACAACAGCAGCAGCAGCAGCAGCATCAGCAACAGCAACAGCAACAAACATAAATTCAGCAATGGAGCCAATGATACCGAGGAAGTAAATAAACCAGACAAGACTAGGAGGTTAATATTATTTAATACGTTGGATTTGATTAATGTATAAATTGTTAGGGTACTTTAACAAAGCTCAACGTGTTGAATAATATTAACCCTCCCCAATCCACAACTCAACAACTCAACGTTGGTAAGTAAACATTTAAATTAAAGTTTAATATTAATATCTGCCTCTGTACAGAGACTCTCTAGTCATAGTAAAGAAATATTTTAGTATAGTATTGGATAGATTCAAAATTGTCAAGTATTTATTTATTTGAAGATATATATATATATATATATATATACATGCGATCCACTACTCCCGTTTATTGTTAGGAGATAAAGCATACCAAGGTATCACGCTGGTAGATGGTTTTCCATGGATGAGGAACTACTCATGATCAGTTGGCTTTTGTTATGTTTGCAAAGAGTAGTACATAGGATACTGAAGGTATCTTCATTGTTCATGATATTATACTAAAGAGATGATATATATATATATATCTAGATATTCATACTCTGATAAACCAGTTTATATATTCACAGCCATTAGAGGGCCATACAGGTCTTACTCTTACACATCATTCCTGATACACCTATCACTGATAGACCAACAAAGGTACAAGAAAAAGGAGGATGCTGATGAAGAGATAGAGGAGCAATAGGAAGAAGACACCAATTCTGTACTACCAGATGCTCCTCCTACCATCAAAGAAAGAGGCTCCCAGCAGCAAGGTTGTAACCCTGGGGAGACGAACTCTAACTTTAAACTGTCTCTGACAAGTACAAGATACTTGACAACGGAAAGGACGAATCAAGGAGAGTGGAATGAGTAAGAGAAGTAACTAAAAGCCATATTATTTCAAATGATGCTTTCTCTATTAAATTTGGAGGTCAGGTTCTGACAATGTCTGCAAAGTCCGCAAGTCTCGAGAGACAAGTCTACTAAAATGATCATTTGACAATCAAATTGTTGATGGTAGATTTTTGTATTCAGACAAAATGATGTAGGACGTAACAAAGACTATCTGACGTTGCCACGAGAATGACGAGTCCAACTTGAACGTCATCTAGTTCTTGTGGAAAAAACCTTGGTCTCAATCATACTTGAATATGGTGATTGATTCTTTTAGAGTAGTGGCACCATAGATCTATCTTTTGTTCCGATCGGTATGGGTATCCAATTGCAATGAAAAAAGTATATATCCAACCTCATTTTGGTCTTTGGATAATCCAGCTGCAAGCCGAGAAGATCTTGTGTTTGGCAGCGGAATTCTGACTGTCCCGAAACTCTTTGTATGTCAGCAACTGAGCAATGGAAGAAGCTGGCCAATATTGAAAATACTGCCAGGCCATTCCTCCAGTCCCTGAAAAAGGCTGTACCAGGCTCCAAAGTTCTAGACAACTTGTTAGCCATTCTACAATATGTTGAAAAAAATACATAATAACTATATTTTTATCTTTATTTAAATAATTTCAGAAATGGTATCTATCGAAGCATGCAAGTGAATAAACCAATCAAGACTAGGAGGTTAATATTATTTAATATGTTGGACTTTATTAATGTATAAATTGTTAGAATACCTTGATAAAGCTCAACGTGTTGAATAGTATTAACCCTCCTCAGTTAAAGTTACAATCCACAACTCATCTAGGTATGTAAACATTTAATTAATGTTTAATAGTAATATATTCCTCTTTACAACTTTATAGTCCAACGATAATATTAAATATTAAAAGGCAATGGTATAGTATTGGAATAGATTTAATTTAATTTTATTTGATTATTATGATAGTTTGGGCCTCTTTCTTTTTCTTTTTCTTTTTTCTTTTAGATTTAAAATTATTTCTTTTTCTTGTTATTATTAATAAATGATGTTGTTGTTTTGGGTTGCTGATATTGATTGCAACCAAAAAATAACTGGTTATTTCCGAGATGCCCTTAGTTGTTGGTGGTGGCGGTAAAGGTTAGTCCAAATTTCTTCCAACAGTCAACCATGCTAGAGACCAAGTGCTTGATGGCCGTTTCGTTGTGAACGGGTGAGGGAGTGAGACGGAATCTCTCGGTACCCTTTGGCACGGTTGGGTAGTTGATTGGCTGGACGTAGATGCGATGCTTGGCCATGAGATAGTCACTCATTTGCTTGCATCGGGCACTGTCACCGACAATGAGGGGGACAATGTGCGAGGCAGTCTCGAGGAGAGGGAGATTGGCATTACGAAGAGCTTGTTTGAGGCTGTTGGTTTGTGATTTGTGCATGTCTCTTTCGCGCTTACTCTTTTTGAGGTAGGATACTGATGCACAGGCACCTGCGACAATAGCGGGTGGAAGAGAGGTGGTAAAGATGAACCCGGGCGAAAGACAACGCACAAGATCAATGAGACGGGCCGACGAGGCAATGTAGCCACCATAGACACCAAATGCTTTACCGAGGGTACCAGAGACAATGTCGACGCGGTCCATTAACCCATCACGCTCGCACACACCGGCACCGTGGTCACCATAGAGACCGACAGCATGCACTTCGTCGATAAAGGTGAGTGCATTGTGACGCTTGGCAACCGTGCAAATGTCGTCGATGGGAGCGACCGTGCCGTCCATACTGTAGACCGACTCAAAAATGATGAGCTTGGGACGGTTAGCGTCGACTGACTGCAACAGCTGCTCGAGATGTGCAACATCGTTGTGACGGAACACGTGCTTCTCGACACGCGAGTTACGAATACCCTCAATGAGCGATGCGTGATTCTTGGCATCACTGAAAATGACCATGTCAGGCAATGCCGACGCCAACGAGGTGATGGTGTTGACGTTGGCGACATAGCAGCTGCCAAAGACGAGTGCACGGTCCTTTTTGTGTAGATCGGCGAGCTCGTGCTCAAGACGCACGTGTTCAGAGGTTGTTCCACTAATGTTACGGGTGCCACCTGATCCAGCACCCATCTTTCTAATGGATGCTGTCATGGCGTCAATAACAACGCGGTGTTGTCCCATACCCAAGTAATCGTTGCTGCACCATACCGCCACGTCACCTTGAGTAGCACTCTCTTCTTGCAACTCGACATCCAACTCCTCAGTCTTTAGCAGATTGATTCCACCAAGTCTAGAGTATTCATTGTTGACTTTTTGATCCTCTTGTTGTTCATGTTGATAATGATCGTAATCGACATTGTTAAACTTTTTAGCGTATGGGAATTGACCCACTTGACGTTGGATGGTCGTAAACACTCTGTATCTTCCTTCGGTTTTGAGTCCGTCAATAACCGATTGGAACTTGTTGTCGTATGGTGTTGGAGTGGTGTATTGGTCGTCGTGTTGTTGTTGTAAAAGCATTTCCTTTCTCTTTAGCTCGGTCGACTCTATCATCTCCTTTACCAAAAGGTCGTCTCTGCTCTCTTGTTGTTGTTGTTGTGGAGAGGCCATTAAAGTAGACAATACTTCCAATCCCATCTCAGTCTGTATAGAGAAGAGAACGATGACATTTACGTTAATGTACTGTAGTCAAAAGTATTGAACAGAGTAGAGAGTTTAATGGCACAAGAGTGTAATACATACGTTTTGCTTGATTCCTTCCTCTACAACACCGGCAAATGGACACTTGTCAAAGAAATCCTTTGCGTTTTGTGGAGTCAGTGTAGTTGGATGTGTCTCTGGGACAGAATTCTTTTCAACGGTTTGTTGAGCAGTAGCACTATGAGTGCTAAAGTATGATGATTGTGACGATGATGATGATGATGATTCTACTTTGTTGTGTAAAAAGGGACATCTGCTAATCGATGATGCAGATGCAGCAGCAACAGCAGTCTTTCCAACTTGTTGTAATAACATAGATGATGCTGCTGTAGACATCAAACATTGATTTAATACTGATGACATCATTCTCTACTACTATTTTGTGTTGTTTTGCTATATATTAATATATATATATAAATATATTAGTTAACTAATGTAGTGATATATAAAATAAAAATGATATTATTTGTTAGTGTTACAAACAACAAACAAACAAACAAACTGATCGGTCGATATGATATATAAAAATGATATATCAAGAGTTAACCAAATAGAGTAGAAAAAAAGAAGTAGTGTAGAATGAAGGAAGGGTAAAAGTAAAACAAAAAACGAAAAGTTGTCTGTTTGTGTGTTTTGGGATTTCAGCTGCAAATCAGCGTAAAAATTAAAAAAAAAAAAGAAAAAAAAGGAAAACGCCAACGAAAAAAAACTATAGTGTTAATTCCAAGATGTTAATGAAGATCTTCTTGCGAGGTAAAGAGAGAGATAAAGAGATATATTTATACGTATATAAGAGTATATATATTTATAAATACATAGGAATTTATAAATATTTAATTAAAGTAAAGATTTTGGATGTTGATAAATTGATGATGATGATCAAATGATTATAAAAAATAGAAAAGAGAATAGTTAATATTTATAGAGAGTGTGTGTTTAGCAGTTGGATAGGATAGGATCGATGGTAGAAGTAGTACTGCTAATATTGGTATGCTAAATATGAATAAAGCAGGAACTAGAATAAGAATAAGAAGCCGTCCATAAAGAAAAGGAAATTGTGTCCGTATGTGTATGGCAATTGCCAGATGGATCTCTTAAGAAGATGATAGGTTTGGTTAGATGATGGATGATAAAAAAAAATATTACAATACAAAAACAAGACAAGAAATAATAATAAGAATATTAATAATACTGACAACCCATACCTGTCTTTGAGATATTTCAAACTAAATTTAAGAGGTGGTAGTAGTAATATAGTATGGTCTAGTTTAGTCGACCGGTCGTGTGTGTGTGTGTTTTCAATTGTGTGTTTGTGAGAGTAAGAGATAGAGATAAGAGACAAGAAAAATCTTTTAATAATGACACACCCACTCACGACACCACACTCTTCTCAAGACAGACACCTCCTACTTTGGCTAGTGTGATTCTATTGGATCAATTTTAGGTGTATTAGCATGAATGACATGTGATGATAATAATATTAGCTAGCTAGCTGTGCACAGCTCCTAGTTTTAAAGAGAGAAAGAACTACAACTACTTGTACCCACATCATACGCTTTTGGATCAGATCGATTACAGATGAGAACCAAACACACAACTCGAAAACGAAACGTTCGAAGTTCATGAAAACCACCTCATGCCAAAAATAAAAAACAAGAGGCACCTCGAGTTTTCTGTTATATTCGGCGCATGAACCAATTTATGGGGCACCCCACTACGAACAGAAGAAACCGATCCACGTTGTACCAACCAACCCAACCAAACGTTTGATTAATCAGCTGCTCTTAATTTATACAGATATTTCTATTTTTTGGTTGACAATCACGATTTTCAAACATTTATCTCCTTACTGTGGTCACAAACCAACCATCTTAAGTGTCACCGCGTGTTTGATTCTCTGTATCTTCTCTTCTCTCTATCCTCTTTTTACACTTTTTAAAACGCACAGTATTATAACAACAACAGATCCAGTGTTGAACATAAATAGTATAAATAATAGATGAACTTATAAGAATTATAACTCAATTTATATCAAATATCAAGCAAAACAATCAACATCAGAATATAGAATATCTTACTTCACACACACACAGATATCTGTGCCGACCTACTTACTGACACCCCCACCCCCCACACGTTCATTATAATGAATAAAAATGTATGTTTGTTCTGTGACGATTCATAATCCTCGCACCTCTGACCTCCCATTTCAGGTCAATTAATATATCTTATCTCTATTATGTAACATAATAGAATGACATATGATTGGTTGATCCATTCATTTATATCTTTTACTAATATATATGTTAACTTGTCAAACAACCTTGTTATCTCCTACCTCTATCTATCAATCTATCAATCTATTATATTAGATATATACTTGTTATACAGGTGGAACAAAAGCAAAAGCATCAGCATCAGCAGTCGGTTATAACCAATCAACAACATCTATACTACTACCACGATTAGTAGTAATATTTGTATTTTTCTTCTTGTTATTTGGAGAACTGGGTAACATCGGTAACCCTAACAACAACTATAGTAACAATAACCATGTATTAGTAGAGGCATTTCAAATTCAATCATCACAAATCACAAAAAAGGATGCCAATGTAATTGGTGTCGACGTGTCATATGCTTTGATGGATGTGACATTGGATAAGGAGTTGTACTTGTACAAACCTATAGGTGCATGCACTAATCAGTCAACATGTCCGGCCTTGAATACACTCGACTGCTCGTGCGACTATGCGTCGGTTGCGCAGTGTGGCTCGCCTGTCGTTAATAACGGCTCGTGTCCATCATTCTCTTGTCCAACCACATACACAGACTCGGCGACAGGCGCAACTCGGTCGTATTGCCAGGGTGCAACTTGGACACCGGTCTCACTCAACACGCAATACACGTTTGCAGTGTCTATTGCCGTACCGCTTCAGTTGCGTCTAAAGAGTGACGCGCAGACAATGGCACCTGGCACATGTCACGGTATAACTGTGATGACATCGCAGATTGATGGGTTCTACTGGATAGAGAGTAGCACCGATTTAATGGACACTACACTACGCACATATAAAGAGGATCCACATGGTCAGTCATCGTTTACTATCTGCCCAAACGGTCCAGGATACACACCCAACACCTATTTCATCACGATCAGAGCAGTCACTTCGATGGCCAATTTCACATTTATCGCACATACCGGTGACCCAATCGGCAAGGTTAGCAGTTACAACATGTCGTGTGGCAGCGGTATATTTTCATGTATCCCCGACGGTCTGGTCGTTACCATTCCACAGAGCTCTACGTATAACTTTGTGTTTATAGCACTTCCACAACGCTCCTACACCATCATTGCACCACTTTACAACAACACCTTTGTGACCATATACGCATATGAAGATTACTCAGCCACTTCTTCAAGAAATCAAAGATCATCTGCTAAATGGATATTAAATAACATTTGTAAGAAAAGAAAAAAAGGAAAAGAAAAAAGAAAAAGATTAATATTAATACTTTTTGTTTAGATGCAGAATCTATAACATTTACAATGAGTCAATTTAATGGTTCTCAAAAACTTATTTATTTGATTGTGGATACGACGGAATCTCTATCTGGTAGTAATCCAATCATGGTTACATCGTATCCAAAGAAATTATTAATGTCAGTGACGAGAGACTTTCCAGTGCTGGGAGGAAGTATTGCGTTGTATGGGACATCGAGATTGTATCACCCTGTTACCAACAGTTATACGCCGTCTAGTCATTGGAGTGGACAGAATGGATACAGTCCTACCTTCCCTAGAGATGTTAATAATCCGCTGTGGCCACTACCCTACATATTCTCGACCGAGTCGGTAGATGATTTCTTCCAAGAGATCAATTACATAGACACTAGCAGTCCCAAAAACGCGACCTATCAAGCATCGTTTCTTTTGGGATACAAGGGCAAATACGAAAAGAACTATAATACATGGGATACATTGTATTCATCGTCATATATCGAGTTTAATAATGTGTTGGTGGATAGTAGTGGTACGCCACTCGAAGGATTGTCACGGTTCACAGTCGTTCAACCCAATTGTGATTATGAAGCGTTGACCGATTTAATCAACACGATCAATATGATACAGAGTCAATTGTACGACTCACAGTCCTTCCAAGTGGTTGCATCGTTGCAGTTTGCTATCGATCTCAAGACCATGTCAGACGTGTGGGTTGGATGTTCCAACGATGCACGACAGTTGGCGTTGATCGAGACGACAAACATCTCGCGTACATCGACAGAGTGTCAGTACGAGTTTGGCACGGCCGACTGGTCAACAGACCCGTGCTGCAACAAGACAAAGGCATTCTTCCAATGTTGTGTGCCCAAGCCCGTCAGCTATACAGTTGCCACTTTTAAAGATGCCGACAAGGCCAAGGTAAAAGAGACGTGTGGGTCTCCAGACTGCACCGAATCACTCTTGAAAGATTATTACTCGGCATTGACCGATATTAAAGAAGGTGACTGTACAATCGACAATGACCATCTCTTGTCGTACCGCAAGAATATATCGGATGCACTCGATTTTTGCAAGCACGTCTACATAGAAAAGTATTGTGACAGGGATGACACGATTACATGCACTTTACCAGGTGCCTCTTGCAACATGTACACACGTCGATGCCAATCACCCGTTCCACAACTCGACCGTCTCTACGCCACGTGTATTGTCGCGCAACTACCAACCATGGCTACATTCTACCTCAAGAATACGCTTTCATTGCCCGACAACCCCCAATCACCCGATTTTGTGGACGTCTTACTCGCCAAGACATCGTCCAACGACTGCAACTACAGAGGACTGGCCCATCGTGCCTACTACAAATATGAAAACAAGCCTGCTTCTGTTGAAGTTGCAAAATGTTATCCACAGCAAAAATGCCAAGACACATTGTGTAATCCACAACATGATGTATGTCTTGATGGTTATTTCCCAGACTATACATTTACACCCTACTCAAATACACAAGCACAATGTAATAGCATGGGGTTCTGTAATTCAGACCCAAAAACTGAATGCAATAATGCCACATGCGCACAGACGTGTAACAGCGCCAGTGGGTTTTGTGGTGCATGTGACTCGCATGGAGAGTGTCACAAGGTGACAGAAATCACATCAGAGACTCTGTGCAACACGACCAATGAACAGGCATGTCTGCTCCCCAATGGAACCTATGTGTTGGGTTTGTCAGACTCTGACTGTGCCAAACAAGGCAATTGCTCACACAACTGTGGCTATGAATGTTACTCTGAAGCCTATTGTATTCAACCGAGTTGGGGCCAATCTCAATGCACTTCGTTTTTGGGAACATGGGATAGTCGAGTAGGCGTTTGCAAGGTGGTTGCTGCCAAGATAGCATGTTTCGCCCCGTTATATTGGGTTGATTGCACCAACTTTTCAGCAGACTCTTGTTATATCCAATTTGGCACCAGTCCATCCATCAACAACCTATGTTCAATTCGAGAAATCCCTTGCACTACCAAGGAATCGTGCGAGAGTAATGGAGGTAGTTGTTCAGACAGCTACTACTTTTCACAAGAGTCGACCAACAACAAATTATATCTGCCTGGTTTGGGCAAGTGTGTAGACCCCACAGGTCACAAGGCAACCAACTCGACCGACTTGTCTCTGGTGCCGTCATGTTATGATAGTATCAACCCCCAGAATGACTCGCCAATGGGATGTTATCCACACGTACCCTCTATATTTTCGCGCGCTGCTTGCTTAAACTATCCGGGTCTGGTACGGTCATGGTGGGCGCCAGCAACAAGTAGAAAGTTTTGTGAGATGCAAATGGGATGCCGTACAGTACAAGTGTACAAGGATGCGATTGGATACCGATTCAACCAAATGACAGAGAGCGAGTGCACAGACTGCGCGGCGGGACCCAACAACAACGTATGGACAAACAAGTTTACATGGACACCTGGTCATTGGTCGCCTGGTGTCTCTACACAACTCTCATGGCAACAATCAAAGTTTGTGCAGACTGGTAACTACTCCAAGGTGATGGATTTGCGTACGGTCGGTACACTCGTCTACTACTCGTATCTCGGACGTATATCGGATCTTTTGCGGTCGTCTTCATTGTGTCGTATGGAACGTATTGAAGAGAACCTTAAATCAATCACATGTGCGTGTAATGATGAGGGTCCGGGTGGCAGCGAATGCTTTACAACAAGTAGTGTTGTATTGGGTGAAACCAAACCTTGTTCAGAGGAAGATTCAGTGTTTGAATTTGCCTATGGTGCACTGCATTTTGACAAGACATCCGTGCCATATTACTGTGCATCAGTCATTATTTCATCAGTGTCTCGTCAGATTTACAAGTCGTCGGCAGTTGAGACACTGTCGTCCAACTTTGTATCGTATGCCAAGCCTGATGGCTTCGCCGTGCGTAACCGTAACAACCAAGTCGTTGGTATTGTCATGTCGGACGGTATCAAAGTCGTCACCAACGGTGTCACTTCATTCCGTCTGTGCCTGGGTGGCGATGTCAAGGAAAATGACGACTACCCCATCTATGACTTTAGCAAGGTTGTCTCGACCTCGGAAAATGATACAGTCGGCTACCTCGTCCCCATGGGCTTGCAAGCAGTGATTGAGCGCGACCCCAAAACTGGAGCAATGTGGGTGTGTGCACAAGTGGCGGAAAACATCACCGCGTCATCCACCTCTACCTACTTTGCCATGGCACGTCAAAGTGACTGGGAGACAGCCGCATACGCACCCTTTAGCAAATCAACCACTGGACTCATCTACACGTTAGCAGTCATCTTTTTGCTCTGCGGGTTGTGGGGTATGTTCCAACTCGGATATGTACTCTACAGTCATTACTTTGGTGTACGTCACTACCCACTACGTCTGGTGCACATGCTCACCTTTACCATCACTTTGTTTATTGTGATTCGTTGCATATACTTTTTCATCTTGCCATCGGGTCGTCTCGAGTCTAGTTCAGTCGCCGACTATATCTTGGTTGTTTTACCCACCTTTATCTACTTTTCAGCATTCACTATCATTACAGTGCTCTGGTATATTGTCATCTCTGCCAAGGTGCGTCACGACAATATTATGCGTCGTATTGGTACTATCATCGCCGTCATCAACGCCATCCTCTACCTCTTGTTCATTGCCATCGTACTCATCTTCCAGTACTCGGCTGCCGACCCACCTAGCAACGAGTGTGGTGGTCGTATGGTGGTGGCACTGTCCAAGACCACACCCCAACGTATCGTCTCGATTGTCTATGCCGTCATCCAGGCATTCATCTCACTCATCATTGGTGGTGCCTTTATCTACCTCGGTGGCAACATCTACCTCATGGTCAAGCGATCCACCTCGGGTTCATCCGCCACACACAAGCGTATCTACATTGTAACGTTGTGCAGTAGTATCGGATTCGTCTTGCACTGTGGCTTCTTTTTAATTCTGGTCATTGCCGAGGTTCAAAACATGATATTTAGTTTTGTTGGACTCATCGTCACCGAAGTCGTACCCGCACTCTCCATTCTCTATGCCTACAACCAAATTCAAAAACCAAAAGAACAAGTCACATCGGTTGATACCGGAGGTGGAGTTGGAAGTGGACAAGCCGGAGGTGGAAAATTAAAAAAGATGAGATCCAAACAACGTTTGGATAGTAGTACTAATAATTTAACTCTGTCCTCAGAGTTGTCTGAAGCATCACATACCGCATCGCGTAGTCCACCTTCCGAATAAATCACCAATTTTATTTATTTATTTATTGGTACATTATTTTTCATCCATGGACCGATTCAAATTTACATTGTCTTTTTTTATTATCTCTAAATGAATTACTACAAAATAATAATAGAAATAGAATATAAGTAAATGTAATATATATATATATATATATTTTTTGCGTTAAAAAAAAAGATACCAATAAATGTTGTACATGTTTTATTTAATTTATTTCCTTTATTATCCCATTCCATCCATTTTTTTTTTTTAACACAACACAAATATTATATTATATTTAATTTTTTACCCCAATTCACTCCAACTACTTTCTTACCCCCCTCCCCTCATTTTACTCATTTCCTTTCGTATATCTATATGATTTTACCCCCTCATTCATCATGGTAATATTGAACAAGGTAGATTCCGAGTGACTTCAACTTACAATTAATTTATATTGTTTAAAATTAAGATTTCCATTTTTGTTAAGTTGTAGTGGATATTCATGATGAACTAGTTTTATTTGTTTGCATAGACAACGGTATGATACAATTAATTGATATGGTGTCATCATTTAAAATTTCCCAAATTAGATATATTTATTGGAAAGGAATAAACTGACCAACTGATTCGTTCCGACTTGTTAATATGAACCTACATTTACTATTTAAAGTATAGTACTATACTTTCAATCAATATATTCAATCAAAAATAATAAATAATTATTTAATTTTTAGATTTCTCCCTCTACTACTACTATTTCTATACATACAATTTCCATAAATTAACTAATTATTAACAATAATTTTAAAAAAAAGAAATGGATCATATTAAAATGAAACAAATTAAAGATACATCTGTTGATGAAACTTTTGTTCTTGAATCAGAGATTAGATCTTATAAAGTGGCAATGATCCAAATGAAGGTTGTTGGATGCAAACAAACAAATATTAACAAGGCAAAATCATTGATTGATGATATGTATCATCAAATTGGTAATGATGAATCAAAGAAACCACTTGTTATTGGTCTTCCTGTATGTGTAAACATACCATACCAATCAAAATACAATTAATACTAATACACTTTACATTTTTTTTAGGAATTCTTTAATTGGATAGGTGATATGAATGATAAACAAACTGCTGAAGAGGATGATTGTAAAGGTCCAACTTTACAAATGTTGTCTGGATTGGCAAGACAATACTCTGTCCATATTGTAAGTGGAAGTATTATGGAGAGGGATTCCACAGTATCCCCACCAAAATACTACAACACTAGCTTTATATTTGGTCCAGATGGTAGACTCGTTGACAAGTTTAGAAAGATGTACCTCTACGATTCCAAGCTATGGTTTCAAGAATCTTCCTATTTCACCGCTGGTGATAGACCATGTATCGTCGATCTTGGTAAAGGTATAAAGATTGGTGTTGGTATATGTCATGATATTCGTCATTCAGAACTATCTGACTATTATTCTTCAAATAGTAAGTAATTCCAAACAATCAAGTATTTGAATTATTTTCATTATACATGTTAACATTAAAATTAAATTACTTACTATCAACTTGTTTAGAATGCTCACTTGTATTATATCCAATTTGTTTCAATAGTGATAATGTTGAAACCATGCTTGATCTGTTGTTTAGATCAAGAGCATTTGATAGTTATGTAAGTTGAACTCTACTCTACTCCAACTATATAGTTGATCCGTCCAATTCTAATTCTAATTCTATTTCCAATATGATTGACAGATTTATACAGTAGGTGTCAATTCAGCAAGAGGAGGATTATGTTGGAACCCAACCTATGAAGTAGGTGGCAATTCGTTGTGTTGTGGTCCAGCCGGTGAAATCATCGATCGAATGGGAACCGAGGAAGGTCACTTGATCACCACCATCGATCTAGACAAGATACAGTACATGTATGACGACTGTCCAGTACCACTTAGAAAGAAGCAAGTCAAAGCTCAACCACAATACTCAACTAGTAGTCGTATTAGTATTCCTTCTTCACATGCAACTGTTTACTCTGCATAATTTAATTATTTAATTACTTATTATACATATATAATAGTAGAAATAGTAGGAATAGTAGTCAATTAAATTAAACAAATAAAATTTAATGATTATATAATCAAGTGAACTCTTTTTTTTTCTTACACTCATTCATTTTATATCCTCATGTGAATGAGATCAATCCAAGAAAGATCCAATATATAACGATATTGCTAATATTAATACCCATAAGTTACAAAGACAGTCCTACCAGTATTGACTTTGATAAGAGTAGACACTCTTATCAGCGATGTAAATAAATCAAACTTGCAGTAGTAAAAGACGTCTCTCCATGAAGCGACCATAAGACAGGTGCCACGGCGTATGGGGTAGTGTCCTACCCTATAAACAGTGATGACAACTAAAACCTAACCTGTTTAGTATAGTACACTACCCCATTCTCGCATGTATAAATTGGAAATCACGATCGACACAAAGATCGAAATGTAACAACCCATGGGTTGTGTAACATCCCCTCACATATTATTTAAAATTTTCTTGGATCTCTTTTCTAGAATTTCTAACCATTTCATTCATTCGTACACATACATCCTTTTATCTATAGTTATACAAGTATATATAAATAGAATAACAAATCATTTAGAATCATAATCGAATAGAATCATTGGGTCAGTTGATAAGATAGGATGACCGACAACAACAACAACAACAACAACAACAACAACAACAATCAACCAATAATATCATTTATAAATGTTTATCGTGTATCATATCTAAGACAGTTGATATTCAAATACATTGAAGATATTACACAACAACAATCACTGGTTGTTAAAAAGAAATGGCTAAAAGGAAAGGATATTGTTAATTTACCATTTCTTGCAATGATCTCACAGTTTGCTATGCCATGGTCATTTGTCAAACACTATATATATCCATCAAAAGGAGGAGGAGGAGGAACGGGAGGAGAAAAGGCGGCAGTATTTGAAAGAAGAATGCATGTGATTACACAATACTGCTCACATCGAAATGCGACATTGGATACACTATTGCATCTATTGGAATGGTCTCCAGGGTACGATCCTCAACAAAACAAACAAAATCATATATACTATGCTAACTTGGTACCATCGATTGCATCATCTGGAAATAAAGATATCCTAGAATACCTAATCAAAAGATACCCAAACATTGAGATACTCAATGCAAAGGCATCGGCAGCTGCCAGTGGACACTTGGACATTTTAAAGATGTTGGATTCTTGTAATGGAAACTACTGCCATGCAATGGATCGAGCCGCCGAAAATGGTCATTTAAATATTGTCATCTATCTACACAACAAAGGTGAACAATGTACCACTCTTGCAATGGATGGTGCATCTATGTTTGGTCATTTAGATGTCATAAAGGTATATATATATAACTATATTACACTCCCCCAAACCAACATCTAACAAACATTGTATTACTATTCTATTCTATTCTATTTAGTTTCTCCATCAAAATAGAACTGAAGGTTGTTCACAAGACTGTTATAAAAATGCTGCTCAAAGTGGTCACTTTGAAATTATCAAGGTACTTACATAATTACACAACATATGTATAGAAGATTTAATATATATATATATATATTAATTAATGAATTTAATTACTTTTCTAGTTTCTACATGAAAATCGAACAGAGAAATCACCAAATGCTCTTCACTGTGCAGCACGGATGGGTCATTTCGAAATTGTCAAAGTATGTACCCATACCATACCATTCCAAACAACAACAACAACAACAACAAACTAATTAATTAATTATTTAATTACTACTTTTTTTAGTTTCTACATGAAAATCGTACAGAGCCATGTACTATCAATACTATGAATGTTGCTGCAGAGTTTGGACATTTCGAGGTGGTTAAATATTTACATTTCAATAGAACTGAGGGATGTAATATGCATGCTATGAACAAAGCCTCTGAAAATGGGTATTTTGACATTGTAGAATTCCTACATTTTCATAGAAGTGAAGGTTGCTCAACACATGCTGTTGATTTTGCTGCGGCTGGTGGATACAGTGATATTGTCAAATTTCTACACGAAAATAGAACAGAAGGATGTTCAATCATTGCAATGGATACTGTAATCATTAAAAATGGTCCATTAAAAATGATATCATATCTACGTGATCGTATGAGGGCTGGATGTACACGCCACTCGGTTGATTATGCTGCTAAACATGGTCGACTTGATATTATTCAATATCTCTATCAACATCATTCATTCGACAAAATATGGCACCCCGAGGCCATGGATCATGCCGCGTACAATGGTCATATAGATATCGTAAAGGTATATATATATAATAATACTACATATTTAATTAATATTCTTTAATTTATTGACATTAATTATATTATTCATTATTTATTATTATTTTAACAGTTCTTACATGAAAATAGAACAGAAGGATGTACAACAACAGCCTTGAATACAGCCTGTATGAATGGCCATTTTGAAATCGTAAAGGTATAATCATCCATATTTTAATATTTAATATTTATTAACCATAATTATTTTTTATTATTTTAACAGTTCTTACATGAAAATAGAACAGAAGGATGTACAACAGATGCACTGGATTTGGCTAGTCGTAAACACCTGGAAATTGTCAAGGTGAGTAGAAAAGAAAGAATAGTGCAATTGAAAACAAATGACCTTTCAAAAAGTATATATTAATAATACATATATATATTAGTTTTTACATTTTAATAGGACAGAAGGATGTACAATCATGGCTATGGGAAAGGCAGCACAAATGGGCAGATTAGATATAGTAGAGTTTCTCCATAAACATCGAAAGGAGAAATGTAATGGAGCTTTACTTTACCCTGATTCCTCTTCCCAAATGTACCAATTTTGCCAAGTACTTGAGTACCTTTTGAAAAACAAGATTGTATCCAAACTACAAGGACCCGGAGACTTGAAGCACTATGAAGTTCGTCATATCATCAAGAAATATAAATCATTGTGGTCTATCCTCCCATTTACCTCTAATTAAATTGATTTGATTGGATTACTATGTATGTATGTAACCCAACACACAACCTTGTACACATGATGGTGACGATCAACCATCGTAATAAACATGTAATTGATGTGATCGTCATCGTTTCTTTAGCATTGGATCACTCCGTCTTTAAAAATATTTTTTTTAAAGCACTCTTGTCCTGGTTTCCTGAGCAACATCAAATCATCTTTGCGCCTGGGAAATGGTAGTCGACTTTTTTGGGGCAACGATCTCAGCCCTGTTTAATTTTTTAATAAACCAGAGGATCATGAGACAGAGACCTCCCACAAAACAACTCTAGAGAGTTGCATACCTTCAACTTTATTTTTGTTTTGTAACATATATCGTGCAACAAATCCCCTCCTCACTCCTTTTCCCCTCTCCCCTCATACCCACCAACAACACCCACATTCCACATTCTTCTAACTTTGTGGTTGTGTGACAGTCAAAAAAGAGAAGATAACAATAGATTAAAAAAAAGAAAGAATAATTTTAAAGAAAATCTGATACAGATCAAAATTCTAGAGTAATATTATAGTGAGTATCGTCCCCATCCCATCTCATCCATCTCATTTACTACTCAACAACAAAACAGAAACAGAAACAAAAATAAAACGCTGGAGAGCGTAGAATAAAGAATATTCGATTTTTGGGTAGAAAAAGTTAGAAAGTAATTTGGATGACAACGTTCTACGATAGACAGAGAGAGAGAGCAAAAAGTAGTTAATTACTTGACATACAGAGAAAAAGAAAGAAAGAAAGAAAGAAAGAGGGAAACATTTAGATAGAGACATCATCCATCATCGTCAACACACATTACACACCTTATGCACAACATTCAAACATCAAACTATAGTTTATCTAACACTTACAAATTACTCTGTCTCTCAACAACAATAGTTATTTAATTATAAATTTAATTTAATCTCTCTCTCTCTCATGTTATAAGTTAATATTATCAAGTATTAGAAAGAAGAACGAAGAAGAAGAAGAAGAAGAAGAATTTATTTGAGTTTGTAGAGTAGTGTAGTTTACTAGTAACCAGGAAAAAAAGACAAATAGAAAAGTTGAAAGGGAAAGTTAGTTATACATACACCACCCCCCCCCCCCCCCCACCACTCTCTCAACACCCCCATCCAACCCACTTAAACCCAACTCAACTCTACTCTGGATATAAACCAAAAAGAAAGGGAAGATAGATATATATACACAACCTCATGATTAGCATTAATAATAATAATAACAACAGGATAACAATGGATAATAATAATAGTAAAATAATTTCGATACCGCCATCGACGTCATCATCGTCAACATCATCGTCTTCATATTCAAAACAAATGTCTATTACACCACCTGACAATCATCATCATCACCATCATCATGATGGATCTTCTTACATATCAAAAGCATCGCGGGAAAAGCAGTTTGTTCATACTGCCAACAAGATAATGTCTGATGCATCTCTCAATGACGACACTGTTATCATCCACCAACAAGACTCTGCTGGAAGCAAGACAAAGACCAACAACAACAACAAAACAAAGAAAACGCCAGAAAAAGTAAAGGTTAAAGATAAGACCAAAGACAAGGAAAAGGATAAAGAAAAGGATAAAAAGAACAAAACAACAACAACACCAACAAAGAGTAATCCAAAAGCATTGGTTAGATTTCACAAGAATGGTACTATAAACAATAGTGATGAATCATCACCATCATCGCATCATGGTGAATCAATCAATTTAACGTCGTCATCAAAGAGTATTATAAAAATAGAAAGAGATGAAGGTAACCAAAGTGGAGACGAGTTGTCAATCGATAGTTGCAACAGCAGTAATACTAGCAGTGGATGCAATAGTGATACGAGCGACAATGAAAGAGAAAAAGAGAAAAAGAAAGATTCTGCATTGGATTCGATTGTCTCGGCCGTTGGAGAAAACGTTCAACAGATTCAACAACACTTGGCCAACAATCTCAACCACATTACCAACAATGAATTGACTAAAAAGATTGGAGAGAAGCTTCGAAAAAAGAAACGTGAAAATATGATGGATCAACGTCCACCAAACGAATCATTCTCTATTGATATTGGTATGATGTGGTTACTCAAGAGTATTGAAAGAACTGCCATTCAAGAACATGTCTGTGAAAGAATAGTTCAATTACCTCATACAGATTTTCAATTGTTTTTACCTCAAATAGTGTAAGCAAAACAAACAAACATACATATTTATATTACAGATTCTAATATTATTTTGATTTATATTTAAATATATTTGTAGTCATGTTTGTATAGTATATTCACCAGAACCAATTATTTCAATGTTACTACAAAAATGTAAAGATTCACTCGTAGTAGCAGTTCAAACTTTCTTTTTACTTGAATCTACTGCAAGTGATAAGAATCCAAATACATTCCAACAAGCAAAGTCATTATGGAAAAGTAAATATATTTAAAATAATTAATAATAATTATTAGATTACTAATTTATTTCATTATTTAATTAATTTAATTGTAGGATGTGAATTAGCATCAATTGGATTAATAGATATTGCAAAGTTGTATAAAACTAATCAAAAAAAGTTAGAGTTTTCAATATCTGACAAATCAATTATGATTGATGAACAATATATGGATAAAGTATTACAAGAACAATCTCTAGAACAACAAAATCAAATCATTGAAAATCATCATTATCAACAACAATTACAACAACAACAACAACAACTAAATAATAATAATAATAATAATCATTTTACCATGAATCAATATAATGGTAGTAATGATAATAAATTCCTAGGGGCTACTATAATAGTTGAGGAACAAGTCGAAAAATTATCATTATTATCAAATGTAAATATTAATACACCACCCATCACCAATTTAACATTATCAAATGATAATGAAAACCAACAGAATCAACAACAATCAACAACATCAACATCAACATCAACATCAACATCAACATCAACATCAACATCAACATCAACATCAACATCAACATCAACAACAACAACAAAACAACCAAGACAAATCAACAATAATACTACATTTTTCCCATTGGACAACTCTCCAACTATGAATGGTAAAACATTAGATACAAAACTTTCCTATTCAACGACAACCATGGGGCCACCATCTGCCTCTTTATTGTCAGCAGCATCCTCTTCATCTTCTACGACAACTTCTGATCCAAGTTCATTCAATAGTATTGGAAAATTAAGAAAATCAAATAGTAATATTGATAATGGACGATGGTCAAATGGATTGAGATTGGCATCTACATCGAATAATCCATATCTCTATTGCTACGACATGCTAGAGGTAAAAAACAACGACCAAAAGATATTCACATACAACACTTTTTATTCAGAGATTCACTTTATAAATATCCTCTCCAAGATTGGTACCTTTTTGCTTTCGATTCCACCAACCAATGGAAGAGACTTGCAAAAGCAGCAACGAAATGTGACGCTCAGGATGATGCTCAAACAGCTCAACGACCAGCTCTTTACGCGATCCAACATTATCCTCCCCGTCTATCCATCGTTTCACGTATTGTCGATTGTTCATGACGAAGCGATTTGTCTAAACTCTAGAGAGCGTGTTCCATTCATGTTGTATCTCGAGGTACGTGTGATTGACCAAGACAATACAATGTACTCGCTCAATTGCGACGTTGATCCCGACGAGTCATCTGAAAGATTACACGTGATTGGTGACAATGAAGAGATGGGAGACAGCTGGACAATGCTAGACGACGACACTAGTCTGTCGGAAAAGAGTCATCCCATCAACCAAGTGTTTGGCGAAAAGTGGAAGGAAAAGGAGAATCGTGTCTACAAGACCACCCCGTTTAGAGAGGTGGCTGGATGGCGTCTCATCTCGTTTATCGTCAAGAGCGGGGACGACCTACGTCAGGAACAACTTGCCATGCAACTCATCAACCAGTTTCACCGTGTGTTTCGCAAGACCAACCTACCTATCTGGTTGCGTCCGTACCTTGTGATTGCCACGGGACAGGATTCCGGTCTCATCGAGACTATACCCGACTCGTCATCCATCGACACACTCAAAAAGAAATGCTCCAATTTCACGACACTCACCGACTACTTTGTACGTGCGTATGGTGACAAAAAGGCCAAGCGCTATACACGCGCCCAAACCAACTTTATCGAGTCGTTGGCGGGATACTCGCTGATATGTTACTTTTTGCAAATCAAGGATCGCCACAATGGCAACATTCTCCTTGACCGCATGGGCCACGTCATCCACATTGACTATGGCTTTTTGCTCACCACTTCACCGGGCTCTATCAATTTTGAGTCGGCACCCTTTAAATTGGTCGACGAGTACCTCGAGCTCATGGACGGCAAGAATAGCGAGCGGTTCCTCTATTTCAAGACGTTGCTGCTCGCCGGCTTCCTCCAGGTCAGAAAACACCATCAAGAGTTTATGATGATGATCGAACTCATGTATCCCCATACATCACTTAAATGTATTTGTAAAGAGGGAACATTGCAAGCGTTTAAAGATCGTTTCAGACTCGACCTAAAGACCGACCAGGAATGTAGTGTCTTTATTGATCAGTTGGTATCTCAAAGTATGGGTAATTGGACTACCTCATCTTATGATACTTACCAATATTATACAAATGGTATCATTTAAAACATTAAAAGAATAATAATAATAAGAAAGAATAAAATTTATTTATTTAAATTATATTATACTCAATCCCTTTGGATTTTTTTGAATTTTTGTGCTTTCTTTATGATCCTCTTCGACTGACCAGATATTTCATAACATAGCAACTTCAAATCGGTCAGTCAACCTAGTCATGTAGAGGCTATAAAGGAGGGCCTTTCAAGGCTCGAGAATCATTTCCTATCAGCAACAAACAGTTAGTATCTAGTCCTCTCGAGCCTGCCTTCAACCAAGCCTTGACATAACTCTCTGCTCAGTCCTAGTCCTACTTTGCCGCCTCAACGTTGCAACCCACACCAACATCATCACACGTCTAAAAATGAGTAGGTTTATTTTATCGATACAAGATGTAGATTCACATATAATCATTCAAACCCTAAACTTACCTGATTTTTAATCTTTCTTTTAAGATATCTTTTTTGAAGAAGATCTAGCTAATCAAAATTCTACCTCATTCAGTACTTGGGTTTCTAGTCATCCAGACAAGTGTAATGACATTCCTAGGTCTTTTTACCAAAATTCATTATTAAGTTTACAACGTTCAAGGTTGTCCAAAGAAGAATTTGATCAAGAACTTGGTCGAGAGCTCATCAAACAGGTCAAAAACCATCAAAAAGGTATCCAAATGAATCAATTATTGGCTAAAGTTTGTGTATTGATCAAAGATTATCGTAGTAACATTACTTTGGGAGAGTCTGCAAAAATATTACAATCTAATCTTAAATTGTTGACTCAAGCCAAACAGATCTACTTTACACTTGTAGGTGGTTTGAGACTTTACTTCCACGGGCAACCACAACCACAACGAAAACGAAAGATACAACAACAATCACTACCGCAACAACAAGAGGAATCCCATCAAGCTCTCTTGGAGCATATGGAGGTGCCAACAACAACTTTTCCATCACTGAGCCAAATGGTAAACAATATTGTAGATCCGAGACAAATCGAAATAGTAGCAGTTAAAGTTGAGCAACCAACTACACCACAATCTGATGACTGTATTCAAACAACAGCCACCACTACCCACACAATAGTGGCTCCAGATGTGGAGGAGGGAATTCATATTCCTCTTTGGATAATAATTCCAAACAAGAATTGATAACCAACTTTTCGTCTTCTTTGTCAACAAATGAAATGCCCTCTTCTCCAATCTCAATTCCTTCACCATTATATACATGGTCTCAAACACCCCTCCCACCACTTTGGAATATTCCACCTGGATTTCCTTTGTCTGCACCTCAACAACATCATCCCAAATACAACCACAAGTGCATCAAACATTAAAATTACACAATAACAATCATTACAACAACTCAGGTAATTGTATTACATAAAAAATAAAAGACCTTTTTTTTAATCATTAAATGATTGTTTTTTAATTTTATTTAAATTAAACAAATGACTTAAACTTCAGGATAAGCATCCAATCCAGCAAGTAATCTTGCTCTTGGAGTTAAAACTGGAAGTGTTTCTTCATCATATTTAAATCTATCTAATAATTCTTTATCACCATAGGTTCTTGGATTCTTTGGAAACATTTTAATATTTTCTAAAATTAAATAATAAATAAATATTAATAATCAATCAAATAATCATTTAATATTATTTTTCTCTCATACCTGAAGCCCAATGACTTGTCATTCTCTTTTCATAAAAACATTGTTGTTTCTTTCTAAGATCAGCCTCGGAGATGAGTGAAGCTGGTTGATATGATACATAGACGACCATTCTACATGATCTTGAAGTTGGATGTACTGCATAGTGAATTGTTCTGGAATCCCATAAAACAACATCACCTACATTACAATTGACCTTTACCATTTTACAATTCTTAAATATTGGCAATGTCTCTGGTTGTTCATCAAATTTATACCAATCACCATGAGAATCAATCCCAGACTCTGTAAAGAATTTATCATGTACTAAATGTGATTTATCATAAACAACTAAACCTCCATCTGTATCTTGACAATCCATTAAATTTAAGAATCCCTAAAGAAACATATAAATACATTAATAAATAGTAATAATATTATTAATTATTAATACTATGTCTCACTTACTTGAATACATCTAAAACCCATTTTACTTGAACCTTGATCAAAATGAGCCCAAGGTTTAGAGGAATGACCAGGTCTTGAAAGATTACCACCATCAAAGCTTACAAGTAATTGATCGGTATTGTATACTTGAGTAAATACATCAATGATTGCTTGTTCTGATCTAATATCCCAAACAAATTGTTCTTGTCCGAGAGCATAGTGTTGAAAGATACCATGTATCTGTGATGGCCAATTTGCATTAGTCCAAGAACTAGAACTATTTCTCTTGATACCTGTCTTGAAACCTTCAAGCCAATCCCAAAACTTTGATCTATATTGTTCACATTGTTCGACAGCTACTACCTTTGGTACTACTGCCCATCCATGTTCATATAAATGTTTACGCCATTCTGGCCAATCTTCTTTAAACTTATTACACTCTTCTTCAATTATAGATTCTGTCGACATTTTCTTTCTTTTCTTTTTAATTACTTCTTCTTCTTCTACTTTCTTTTTCTTTTTAACTTCTTTTACTTGTTTGTTATTTGTTGTACTTTTTGTTGTTGTACTTTTACTTTTACTACTTTTATCTTTTACAGTTGTTTTATTAATAGTCTCGTCTACTTTGTCACCTTTGCTAACAAAGTAAGAATTAATCTTTGTTTGTGAAGTATCTTCATTTTCTCTTTGTTTTCTTTTGGTAGCAGACATTGCAAATGCGAATTATTTAGGAATGGGGCTACTCTAAAAATATTTATTTATTTATTTTTATTTATTTATTTATTTGTTTATCTAATTAACTTTAGTTTTTAGACGAAATGATTAACTCTATGACACATGTGATACATATATACGGAGAGATAGAGTACATGTAATTCTCATTTCCTAGAAATCATCTGATTTCTTGGTAAAAATACAATATCGATCATCTTCATTGTCGAATTTTTCAAAGTGTCGATCCATCTTGTGATTAATCACAAAAATACATCTATCGTAGTCATCATTTTAGGTCAAAGCAAATGATGTCATGATGCTACTTGTCATGAAATGAATTTTGTAGGTCACAAAAAAAATATCTAACTACCCTTTGCAACCATCTCCTTCCTGAAATTTGTCAATAATACTATTCAGATAGTATAAATATACGCATCATGATGCACAAGATAATTAATAATATATTATTAAGAAGAAAGATATTCGGTTATATTCGAGAGATTCATAGGATAGAGGCAGATGTAGATCTCAATGCAACAGAGGATGTGCTTGAAAGAGGTAGAATCGTTTGTTTCTACTCTTGGAACGACATTGTTAATAATACTAGACTGCTGTGTCTCTACGGACACATAGATCGTCTAAAACAAATAATAATAGAACAAGAAATTAAATATTCTTCTTTTAAATGGTTCGACGAAAAGGTTGATGATGGTTGTCCTCAAGAAGTAGAAACAAAAGGATCAGGAGGAAGAAACAAAAGAAAGTTTAAAGATGATCAAGATGATTCATCATCTACTAGTACTAGAAAATATTATTATATACCAGGATTAGATGGAATAGTAGAGAGTGCATGTAAAACAAAACAGTTGGATTTGGTTAGATTTATAAATGAACGTTATGGAGGTCATATTGATGAGATTGCCTATTACATTGCAAAGTATGCTTTGAATTATCAGGCATTGGATATCTTTCAATACATCTATCAACAAACAACTCCAATGCAAAGAATGGTCAAAGTGGTCGATACGTTGGCTCATCGTAGCAATAGAGTGGTGGTATGCAAATCATTTCACACTGCCGTGTTACTCTACGTCTACCAGAATGGAAATCAAGAGAATATCATACCTAGTGAAATAACTCGTGCTGACGGATACCAAACTCTTGACATTGTTCAATTCGTAGACCAACAACAACTACTACGTGAAGAATTGGTTGCCTATGGCGTTAAAAATGGTAGTTTTGAAGTTGCCAAATACCTATTCAACAGAGTACCACCCAATCTAATCAGAGATGTATTTGTGCATCTTGGAAGAGTTGGGTCATTGGATGTATTAAAGTATGTGGTTGAACAAAATGTATTGGCATTGGAAGAGATGCAAAGACAGTTGCCTGCCATCATGAGAGACTTATTGTTGGCGTCTCCCGTGAACATTGATAAAATACAATACCTCAAAACCACATTTTCAGAGGACATGGTGTTTGGAGGCAACATCTATGAATGGGATTTAGAGGCATTGGAACGTGTCACAGAGATTTGTCCAACAGTCCGACAATTCTCTGTTAGACCATATACCGTTGAACGAGCCATTTCAAATAATCTTGTAGAGGTGGTTCAGTGGTTAGATACTCATCGTCATTTGACAACCAACCTATACCTAAACGCCAACTCGTCACGATCCATCAACATGTTTAGAATTGTTTTAAAGGCACAACCAGTACAACGTTATAACGTTAATTTTCTCAATATTGCTGCGTCATTGGGCCACTTGGAAATGGTTCAAGCCATTTACAACAATCATACTCCGACAAGTGGACATGAATTGGTTAAAACTAGGTTGTTTGATAAAAAGGATCTACTTAAACAGGCAGTCTTTCCCAATTGCTTGGGAGTGTTTCAATATTTGGCAACGATTGCGTCAGAGCGTACCCCTGATGCAGCTATTGAATTGTCACAAGAATTAATGGAGTGTATCAAAAATGATGCTACATCTACAGTTCAATGGATATTGGATAATGCCAGTATCACACCACCAGGCCAACAATTTAATATTGTATCAGGTAAAATACCAATGGTTGACGGTAAAATCTTTAGAGTTTATTCACAAGACCGTTATTTCCAATCAAAGGTGTCTATTGAAATGTATGATGTATTGGCACTGCATTTTGAATCAATCGACCCTGATTTTAACAGTAAAGTATTAATGTCGGCCATATCAAACGGGCCACTAGACTTGTTAAAATATATAAGGGAAAAGGTTGGACCTAAATTATACACGGCTCATATACAACGTGCAGTCTCTTCTGGTAACATGCAATCACTCGATTATATCACTTCATGTTTTCCAGACCAAAAACTACCCGATTGGTACCTACAATCCACAATGAAACAAGACTTTTCATCACTCCTTGTATTTGCTCCTCTCAAACCAATCAAATATCTGGTAGAAAACTATTTCAACAATCACAAAGACTCTTTTGCCATGGATGAAATGCCTATTTCAAATATGGCTATTGTCAATAACCGACAAATTCAAGCAACGTTTGATTATCTATTGTCAAAAGGTGTAGTCCAACACTCACTCGGATTGGGTTTAAAATTCGATCTATCAAAGTTTATTGAAGGTAATTGTTGTTGGAAATCATTTGACTCTTTTATTCATTTGTATGAATACATGGAACAACAAAACAAATCAACTAGTAATAATAATAATTTAATCATGGGGAAATGGCCATTTGATAGAACTACCAATATAGATTATATTAGATTCTTTCATTTTAATAGGTAATTATTATTCATTATTATTATTATTATTGTCACTTTATGATTAACATTATTATTATTATTTTTTTTTAGATCTGAAGGATGTTCTCGATTGGCACTAGATAAGCAATTAGAGTCTCAACAACCTCACACTACACTCTTTTTATTGAAAAACAGAACAGAAGGATACTCGCAATACTTGGCAGACCTCTATGGCAAAGGTGACTTTTACTCCAAACTCTTGTCACAATACTCTCATTTAAGATTTGTTCCAACTACCACTGCTTCCATCAGTGCTTCTCCCTTTTCCGGCTATTCTTTTTTTTAAACAATTAAAAAAGATTAAACATAATATTGTAATTCTAAAATATACCTATGGCTCTCTTTCTTGTCCTTATACATATTCCATATATAAAAGTTGAAAACAAGAATAGATGACGATCGTTGAGAATATTAGATTCTCAACTTGTATCTTTTCCTCTATTGTTGTAGTTATAATTAAATTATAATTGTGTGTTTATGTACAAAGTTTGTTATTTTCCATAGTTGTATATGCGTGCATCCATGCGTGCATCTAAACCATTCATCATGATGTAGATATTGTCCTATTGTTGTTTCTGTTGAGCTTCAAAATAAGTATTTCTTTCCTTTTGCATCTTGCTTTGATAAGTTCGGTATTGTTCTTGTCGTTCTTTGAGGTGTACTTGATGATGTTTGATTTCTTCGTTTATATGTTCATTTTCTTGTACCAATGTATTCTTGCAAATGTTATCTTTCATTTGAATGAAAATATCACCTGTATAGATAAAACTTTGTTTCTTCTTGTTACTACCATCTTTCTCTATCTTTTCTAATCTTGTAATTGCCTCTTTATTTAATTTATTTCTTTGATTTAAATCTGTTATCTATATAGCAACAATGAATTAATTAGTCAAAGCAATGAAAGATTGTCTGTTGGTTTGATTCATACTTTTTCATTATGATATTCTATTTCCTCTGCCAACTCTTCTGTTATTGCGAATATCTCTTCAAATTTACTCATTCTTCTTTTAGTTTAGTAATCTCTGAGATTGTTTAAATTAAATGACGCTCCCCGATCAAAAGACGAGTACCCATCTTCAAAACTTTGAAATAATCGAATTAATTAAATTTAATAAAAGGTCAACTATCATAGTTGTATGTTATTATTTGTTGTTTGTATGATTGACACAAAATAGATTTATTTAATAGATTATAATATGATCTATATTATATGTATATGTATATTTAAGATAAAAGTACAAAAATAGAGACAGCCATAAAAGCAGCAATGATGGCCCAAGACACCAATATGGTGAAGGAGAGTGCATCAGAACTATCGTCACCTACAACCGATGGTTGAGGATTATCGTCATTGGATGAATAAGATGATGAATTGTTGGCTGATGGTTCCAACGAGGATGATGATGACAAACTAGGTGGCAAGATATCACTGCTACTTCCATTCAAAGATGATGACGAATCTATTGATGATGATGATCCATTTAAAGATGAGGAATTGTCAATTGAAGAAGAAGATCCTTCAAATGAAGAAGAGGAAGATGAAGAATTGGTAATGGGTACCTCTGAAGATGAACCAGTTGGATCAAAGGTACCTGCAATAATCTTGTTGATGGAAGCTGGAGTCACTGGTGGTACGGTTGCAGCTTCTTCACTACTACACACAGTTTCACTAGATGTAGGTGTAGTAGTTTCATTACCTGTTGTAAAAAGAAAAGAAAAAGAGAATCATGGTTAGTAACCTTTACCGATTTCATTCAGAGAGAGTGTACTAGTAACCAAAACTATCGATCGATCAATCTAAAGGATGGACGGGATGGATGGACGGACGGAGAGATAGGAGATAGAAAATCAAGGGATGGATAGTATAGAATAAATCGGATGGATGAAAGATAGAAGGAAAGATGGATGGAAATTCAAAAGGATGGATTTATAATTTAATTTATGGATTTTATTAAAAGGATGGGGGAAAAAAAGGATGGACTTTTATACAAAGGATATATTATATTATACTATGGATTATTATTATATTATATATATTTAGAGTTTTAGTTACCTGCAGCATAATAAGCCAATACGGCAACGAAACAGGCATTATAATCGGTGGCAACTTCATTGGTAATATAGTTTTCACGATCGTCGGTATAGGCGTCATCCTTTCCGGGACCACCAACCAAAGCACCGTATAACATATGGATATTGTTAACTGGATCTTTGATATTGTTGGTGGTAGAGCCGTGGGCGGCACGATGATGTGGATTGATTGGATGCTTGTTGCCAACACCAACGACAAACGATTGTTGGTTGGGATTGTCACCCAAGACATAGGCTAATTGCTTGTCAGTGTAGCCGGTGATATACTTTGCGTCACCCAAGGCTTGGGCAATAAAGGCAGTGTTGATCGCATAACGGTTTGGACCCCATTCCATCAACCAAGCAAGACCTCCGGGAGTGTATGGAACAGAACCTCCAGGCATCCAGCCGTCGAGGAAAGTGGCAGCGTCCTTGGCATAGGAAGTGTCATTGGTGATCTTGGACATGAGTACCATGGTACCTGGAGCCTTGTTATCCCATGACATGGTGGTTCCAGCACCCATAGTTGCGATTCCATTGGTAGTGTACCATTCCTTTGCCTTGGTTAAATAGGATTCGTCACCGGTGGCCTTGTACATCCAGGCGGCGGCCCAAACCATTTCGTCTTTGTATCCAGACCACGACTTGTAGAATGCATTGATGATTGGATAGGATTCAGAGTAGACACCCAAGTTGTTTTCACCAAAAGTAAAGACAGACTTGGCATGACTGAGACATGACTCGGCATAGGCAGCATCACGATCCTTGTAAATGACAGCGGTGGCGGCAAGAGCTGCTGCTACTTCCATAGCAACTTCAGTACCTGGTTTGGATGCACTCAATACATAGACTGGTCTTTCCATTGTCATAAGTTCTGGTGGTCCCCACCATGAATGATCCTTAAAAAAAAACAAAAAAGTAAAAGAAGAATTAATATTAATATTTATAATTATATTATTATTATTTTGTATACATACAGCATTTGGATCACCAACAAGACAAACCAATTCATTATCAGAAACATGAGCAGCCATTAACCAGTCAGTTCCCCATTTGATAGTTTCAAGGTAGAGATTGGTAAGACCACAGGCTTCAATTTTGGCTTCAGATTCGAGGAAACCCCAAGCGAGCATGGTCATAGAGTAGGACATTGGTAGAGTTACCTTGATACCGTCACCAGCATCAAAGTATCCACCAGATAGATTTCCATCTCCATTGGCATCCTTGGCACCGGCTGGATAGGCGTCGCTCAAGACTGAATTATTTCTCCATGGAACGTCGGTGTCTGGAAGACGACCTCCTCTATTTGCTTTGTAAAACATTAAACCTTGTTTCAATAGGTCACATGATACTGCCACTGAACATTGTGCTTGGTCAGCCCAAGGTAAAATTAAAATACCAAAAATAATGGCAATTGTTGTTATAAATTTTATCATTTTTTTAAAAGAAAGATGATGAAAAAAATTGTATTATTATTATTATTATTATTTATATATAAATGTGTAGTTGTTGAATTATTATTATTATTATAATCGTAAGATATTTATATATATATATATTGATTTAGATTTGTAAAGACAATTGGTGTTCTACTTTAGAGTATTAATAGGTTCAATAAAGTGTTTAATCGTTGATTTATTTCTCTCATACAAGATTGTTTAATACTTGAAAATATTTTTAATATAATTCTTTTTTGAAATCTTAATCTCAATGAAACAAATATTTATTTTGATTTATTTTGATTTAAATTGATTAAATTTATTGTTTCTAAACCCTTGGATATTAGATAAATTTCATCAAAAAATTAAAATCTATAAAACAATTCATTGCAATTCGATTTTAAAGGTAGTTGATGTTGTAGATTCAAAAATTTTAAATATAGTTTTTCCATTTTTATACCAAAAAAGTAACAATTCAATGAAGGGACTACTCTTTCACATTCCAACCAACCAACCAATGATTTCCACAATCTTGTAAAACAGTACTACTCTTGAAAAAACATATTAAAAATATTTTCTCTCAAAGGTCAACAATTGGAAAATAATAAAAGTAGGGGCTACTCCTTACAGATTACTATTACTTACAACTAACGAGTAGATTATTGAAGTTCGAATATTTTGATTTTCGTACTGTAATTCAAATTATTTCTTTTTCAACACAGCGTTTTTTTTTTAAAAGGTGTGGTGGGAATTAGAAAAATAAATAAAAAACGGACTTGTGTGTTTTATAAGGAACAAATAAATGAACAACAAAAGAAAAGGGTTCCCAATTTCTCCAAGTTATTTGAATTTCATTAATTATTCATTCCTCTATTGTTAAATCTCATTTCAAACTTTAAATTAACTTCTGACTGAAACCCTATCCTATTTATTTCAATTCTACTATTTTAAATTTCCCTTTTTTATATAATTATATATTTGAAATTTCTTTTCTATTCTATTTATTTTTTATTAAAATATTTTAATGAACAATCTAATGTATCAAAATAATGAATATTCAAATTTTACCATTCCACCATTTACTCTTGCCAACAATGGACCATCCTCTACTGGTAATTGTTCTGGTGGTATCGATTATGGAACTAATCTATCAAATTTGGGATTAAATGGTTGTTCAACTCCTGGAAAAAATGTTTATTGTGACACAGATTCTTATTTTGCTCAACACATGGAGAAAATATTGGATTCTGACCCTGCGGAAGATCTCAAATTATCAATTGATAATTATCCATCATTATCCAATAATAATAATAATAATAATAATAATAATAATAATAATAATAATAATAATGTACCAACCTCTACCACTACCAACAATACTAGTACCATTCATCCAAAATGTAACAACAACAATTCGCCACAATATAAACAAAAGTTGTTTATAAAGAATGAGAATCATTCAGTACCACAACTACCAATACCAAACTTTCACTCGGTACCTGTTCTGTCACCAATTCAAACTATTTCAGCAAGTTGTACACCTCCAATTATTTTCCCACCGGGACATTTTCAATCCATTTCCAAACCTCATCATCAACAACAACCAGAAAACCAAACTAAACTCCCACCATTCCAAGATTACTATAATCAAATTGTAAATGAACAACAACAACAACAAGCAATTCAACAACAACAACTTGAAAATGATAAATATCAAATTGGTGTTAATTTTTATAAAGTAAGTATGGACACAAGATAGAAACAATTCATCAATCAAGTATTCATTTTAAACTAAACTTTTTATTTATTTTATATAGTTGATTCAATATAGTGATCAATTATATCAAATGTCTAAAAAGGGACACCAAAATCCAATGATGGCATTTGATGATATAGAAAATTTAATAACTGTTGGAAATTATATTCATTTGGAATTGAATAGTTTAAGATCGTCGGTCATGAAGAGTAAACAAAATGTAGCAAATTTCAACAATGTTGTTGATCCATCTCAACTATGTTCAATCGAACAACCATTTGATAGTTGTTGTGAGTCTCGTTATTCGTCACCACCCTATCAACATCAATCAAGTACATCTGGTACTCCATCTTCTCATATCAATGAAAATCACTACATGTCTCCAAATCCAGTCTACCAACAACTCCAACAACACTATCCAATTAAACAACAAAATCTAAGTGGACCAATGAGAAAATCAACTCAAAATACACCAAAACAAAGTAAATCAAATGGACCAACCTATATTAATCTAACAGAGAATATGATAAAGGAACAAACCAAGAAACCAAAGAAAACTGCTACCACCAACAGATCATGTTTGAACTGCAAGACTACAGACACTCCAGAATGGAGAAGAGGTCCAATGGGAGCCAAAACTTTATGTAATGCTTGTGGTATTAGATACCGTTTATCTCGTCAATCTAGTACTGGATCCATTAACCTCAAAGACCAGCTATCAATGATTAAAAATTCTCCTCTGACAAGATCACCATCAGACTCTTTGCTATGTTCACCATTCCAACATTTCAATGATGGATCCCTAATGGATCTAGTATCAATCCAACAACCACAATCCCCTCCTTCTCTTTTTGTTTCTCATTTGGTGCCACCTGCACATCAAATATAAAAACAATCAAAACAACAATATTGATATTTTAATAAAAATTTATATAGATAATATAATTATTTTAATTATTTTCAATTCACATCCTAACCCAGATACATCTATCTATTTTTAATATGGTATCACAAAAAAATGGTTAAATAAATATTTTATTGGTTTCTTTTCTATATTTCTCTATCTGTTGTTTTGTTTATGACATTTCCTTTTTCAAACTATTTAATTGATTATGAATATAGGATACATCAGTCTTTGTAAAATGAACTGGATTCCAGACTTGTCCTTCTCGAGTCTTTGCAATGCTTCTTTGATTTTCTTCGACGATATGTTTTTGTGATTGTGCTTCATCTTCATTGTCGACAATGATATTTTTGATAACATGTTCCCATACTCTTTGAGATGAATTTTCTGGTTGTTTGGAAAGTTCTTCAACGATCTTTTCATTCTTTTTAATTGAACTTGGATCAAAAAATGATGTTGTTTTCTAAAATAAAAAATAAAATATCAGAATTATTATTATTATATTTTCTTTTTTCTTTTTCAATTTTTCTTTTTTTTATAATTACATTTGTTTTTGAAGATAAAATAGTAATTGTACCATCCCATTTAGCTTCCAATGTATATAAAGATCTTTTACTTGATGGATGTCTAACTTTACAAATCATCATATTTTTGCTTTTAGCAATGAGACCTCTACCCTTGAATTCCATCTCGGCATAGTATCCCGATTTTTTGCAAGAAAGAACGGTGGAACCATTCAACTCGGTGGCCAAAGATCCAACGACGATACCCTTGACAGCAATCTTTGGAAGATTGGCAGTGTACTCTTCGTCGTATTTTGGTAGTAAATAGATTACATTTCCTTCGATTGTGCTCTCCAATGAATTGCCCCAAAACTTGCTTGTTGGCTGGAGATATGCATGCATAATGATAGACTTGGTCTTGTTGTTCATAATGAATCCAGTCTCGGGTGGATGATGAGACAATTGTTCGGCTATATATTCAGTTGATGAACCATCACTATGATTCCATTTACATGAAAATGTTTCACCAATCACTGGATTGAATGGTGAACGTACATCTTGATTTTCCATCCAACTTGATAAATAAAACTTTAAAATCTCTAAAAATCTATTTTCACTTGATTCCATATTTGATGATCTAAATTAAAATAATAATAATAAACAATTAATTAAATATAATAACTCTTTTTCTCTTCTTTTCTTTCTTTGTTTCATACCCTAAAAAGATATCAAGGTAGTCTCCCATATCAGTTAATTTCTCTAAAAATGATCTTGGTTCACTAAAACAAATTGGTAAACTAAATGGTTGCTTAAAGTAAAAAAAAATTTTGGTGTTAATAATAAGATTTATAAGAGATTGCAATTGTGTGTTGTGTGTGTCTCTTCGATGTTAATCTACCTACTTTTGAAGATACCATATTCTTCATGATTGATTGAATAGCACCTTTTAATTTCTTGTCTTTTGGTGTTTCATCTTTATTGTTATTATTATTATTCTCTTCGATGACTCCATCATCGTTTTCATACTCTTCGTTGACTTCTTCATTTCTACTTATTGATTCATCAGATACTTCAATTGATGCCATCTCTTTCTATTCTTCTTACTAACTGACTTGGTGGTAGTTGTACTATTATTAATATTACAAATATGTTGATATATATATCTATATTACACGATGACGATGACTCTAAAAGCGTGTGGCTCCTCTCTACTATCTGCTACGATTGTTGAAACTAACTATAGTGGTCAGTAAAGGCCAGGGCTGGTTCGAAAAAAAAAATACGTTTTTTGTGAACCGTTGAACGTCAAACAAACGAAATTTGCTGCTTAATAATATTTTTAATTAATTTAGTTTTCTTTTTTTACAAAAAAATGAATCTATTATTGTTTGTTGTTGTATTTATATTATTATATATTATTTATATTATTAAAATAGTTTAATGTTAATGATTACAATTTTGTGTAAAGTCTATCTCTTGCATTGACAATAACGGCAATTAACACCAAAATAGAGGGGGTCGACATGGCGTTAGCACATCGCCTCTTTGCACAATGCATCGCCACCCGTTGTGTTTTTTTTTCCAACGAAAGGTCGTGACACCCTGGCTCCGCGATATTTTTTGAAATGTTTTAAACGTAATAATCATGATTTTTGACTGCCTTTTTTGGAGACTTGCAATTACAATTCAAAGAACTGTTGGGAGAGCTTTTATTTTTGTCTTGGTGTGACCTTTCATAACTTCCATAGAAGGATAATACGATTGTATGATGTAAGGACGCACATATATATGTTAGGTTAATGGAGCTAGGACCAAGGTTGAAGAGAGATTAACTTTTCACCTAATGGGGTGAGAGGAGGAGGAGAATAATTATCCATCTCTAGCTTTGAGAATGCTTTAGAGACATAGGATGGATGAGCACCACTGAGATACCAATTTAATTGTTTGGCTGCATATGTTTCGTTGACTGACACTTTTGGAAGATGTGCAGAATAAACAACCTCTCGAATACTATTGCCAACATGTCTGGCATCGTTATGGTGAGGTGTACGCCAATCAAAGAATAAAATATCACCTCTTTTAATTGGAATAAATTTCATTTGTCCAATCATTGATCCATATTCTGATTCATCCATATCAAATGCATTTCCTCTCTAATTAAAAAAATAAATATAAATATAAATATTATTGTTGTTTCCAATCCTTATATTGACATACTTTTAATAAAGGTTTATCTATCCAAGATGGTTGTTGTAATTTTGTTGAGTTGAAATGGGAGACACATTTTGTGTGAAATGATGGAAGACACCAAAATCCACCTTCATCAGGGTTGATTGTATCGGTCAATGATATAAAAGCTTGAATAGGTTGCCAAAATCTTAATGGTGATGGTTGCATTTGTCCAGTTTCACCATTTCTAATTTCTCCACTAAATAAATGGTATGGATTCTACAATGATACATTAATATATATTAATACAAACAGATTGGTTGGATGAATGAAATAATATAGAGTTGTTACATACACAATCCATATGAGTACCAGTACCTCTTTGAATTAATTGATCTAATGGTTTTTGAATGGTTTCATGACCGATGGTTGGAATACGGAATGAACATCTATTGACAAACATGTACATGTGGTATGGATTAAAGGAACCGTATTTACATGGCCAAGGGTCAGAGTCTTGTGGTTCGACGTTGAGATTGTCATTTGGTATTCTGCCATCACCAATGGCATAGGTGTGTTGATACAACTGTGAAAAGGAGTCATAGAGCAGTGGAGACTCTCGTAGACGATACATTGCAGTACCATGATAGAAATTGATCATACCTCCAAAACCATTAGACACATGTGCAATCTTTTCATGTTGGTTGTCTAGTTGAATGGCTTCAGTACGTGACCCAATACTACAATTGGACAGATCAATCTCTGCATTCTTTACCAAATAGTCTCTCAATTCTACTTGGTGTTGTGTCAACAACCTATCATTGTCTTGATCGCCAAACAATCCCTTTTTAACCAAATAACCTTGTGATTTGAATTGTTCAATCTCTTCTATTGTCAATGTTCTATGTACCAATTCACTATCATCAATTGATGTATTACTATTATTACCAGCAGTTGAACTAGTAGAACTAGTAGAACAATAGAAGTACTTTCTATTACTATTATTACTAATACTTTGTTGTTGTTGATTGTTGTTGTTGTTGTACAATTTAAATAAATTCTTTACATTGCTTAATCTTTTTACTCCTACAAGCATTGCTGTTAATCAACCTTATCTTATCTTATCTTACAAACATACACACATGCACATACTATTAACAAAATGAAATGAAATTTAATGACTTGGTGAAAATCACATCCCCCAAGTTCAAAAAGTAGTGCTTTGAATTTTTTTTTTTTTGTAATTATTATTATATTATATATATTATTATACGTTTTATTACTTTTTTAATTAATTAGTATTAATATTATTTAGATTATTATTATTATTATTATTATTCTGGTTATTTTGATTATTTAAATTTGGGGAACTTGATTTAATATTGGCAATGATTGAACCAACGCCAAACCAACTCCAAATGATTTGAGTCTTGTAGTTTAATTTTTCGAGATATAGACAAAGATAGAATTGCATCCAGTAAAAGCCAGAGAGACCGGTGAGTACATGCCAGATGGCATGCAACTGAAGACCTGGGATGACGTAGCCGCCGTCCGAGCATAGTTTACGTTCAATCAACCAACTGAAATATGCGGTGACCATGGAAATGGTAGAGTAGAGGAGTAAACGTTTTGGATTGGATTTGAAGAGTGGTTCTTCCACCGTCTTGATGGTTTGTTGAGAGATGGTGATGAGAATGAAAACAAGGGCTCCAAATGATACTTGGAGGATAGTTGGTACGTCACGAATGACAAAGATGGTGCCGGCGACAACACACACGTACAATGATAGTACCCAGGGGAGGAGGTGACGGAAGAGACGGTATTTGGGAGAATCTTGTTTGCTGATGGGACGAATCGTCAATATACAGTAGACAAACAAAGAGACAGAGATGACCATTGGGAACTCATCAAACAGTTGGTGTTTGTAGAGAAGAGTTGCGTGGTAAAAGGCCGATCCGACACCGACCGTCGACAATGCGGCGTACGCCAATAAAGTACGTCCACGAATCTCTAGTGATTTAAGTATTTTGACATGTTGTTGTAATTTGCCACCAAAGGGATAGGTTAAAAGAAAGACACCATACAATGCGAAAAACGATATGGCAAACGATGAAAAGGTATTGTAAAACTCACAAATATATGGTGATATCTGGTAATTATTCTCGCACCAGTCTATTGGAGAATCCGGAATTCCTAAGAGATAGATAGATAGATAGATAGATAGATAGAGATAATAATATTATTAGTAAAGGTAGGTCTAATCTATCGTCGATCGGCATGCATCCGCCGGCTGGATTGTGGTAAAGAATTCATACCCCAATAATAATGTTTATATTTTTCATGTATACTTTGATCCATATCTAATGTCATAATATTTTTGATTTTTGATTATATATATATCTAGGTATAGGTATAGGTATAGGTTTGTTTTGTTTTTTTTTTGATGTCTAAAAAAAAAATATATTTAAATCTATATTTTGAAAGGTAACAAAAAAATGATGATTAGTATAATTTATACATTATAAAACCACACACACGATTAACATATATATTTTGGTAAACTACTACTATTACTACTATTATTATTATTATTATTATTATTATTATTATTATTATTATTATTATTATTATTATTATTATTATTATTATTATTTCACACCATTATTATTATTTTAAATATTATTATTATTTTGTAAAGGTTATATAGTTTGGTAAAAGTTGATTTTACCAAAAAAATTATTATCCTTGTTGGTTTTGTTTTGTTATTTTAGGAGATTATTATTATTATTATTATCTCTGAGAATGTTGTTGTTGTTGTTATTTTATTAATTATCTATCACCACCTTTGATAGATTAAATATCATAAAACTATTCTTTTTCTTTTTTGTTGTTATTGTTCGGTCGTATCACTTTGAGTGAATGAATGAATGAACGATTAAATGATTAAATGATTCAAACAACAAAAATAATCTTATATCTTGAATCAATTGCAATTATTGATTGTATTATTGCGTTGTTATTGTTGTTGTTGTAGTGGTGTTGTGTTATTGTTTTGTTGTGATTATTATTATTGTCGTGTCGGTTGTGTGTTGGTGTTAGGGTTAAATTCGCGAGTAGGATAATTATTTTGTTTGTTTGGTTGGTGTGTCTAAACTAAAACTAGTGTGGTGGTGAAATTTGACTCGGTTTCCACCTACTAGTAGACCTCCTCATTCTTTTATGTGTATATCTACAATGAAATCAATCCAACCAATGGTGGTAGAGGTAGGTGGTTATAAGCTTCTTTATATATATATTTATAGAAACTTGATTTTTGTTTTGTTTTGTATGATGTACTCGTATTAAGTGTATGATGTATAGTAGCAGTAGTAGTAGTAGTTCGCATTCCTTTCATTCGAGTGCGATCTGTGAGCTTCATCATTCTTACCCTTTTTTGAATTAAATATGTTGTTGTTGTTGTAATGTTACTTGTTGTTTTTGTTTCTGGTTGGTTTTATGTATATATACTATTTAAATTAAACAAGAAGTCGTATTATAATTAATTGTTTGTTTGTTTGATAGTAGTTTGTTTGTTTGAATGATAGGTAATAATATAAAAGTACTGATAATGATTTTACTACAAGTTAAAAGTAATAACGTGAATGAATGAATGAATAAAGATATCGAAATGAATAATAATAATAATAATGTAAAGGACGAGGAATTGGTTTTGGGGCCACCTCACCAAGGATCTTCAACCGACTCTAATATTTGTCTTCTTAGTCGACACCTCCTGCTTGATAAAAATTTGGTTTTTTGGAAAGCTCTTTCCTTTTTGGGATAAGTATATTGAACTATCGTTTGGCAGGTCCCTCGGTCTAGTCAATTGACCTACTGAGCCCGAAATATACTGGACCTTAAATTCGATTTTAACTTTCATTCAATATTCGATCTTAGCTTTAAATTTCTATATTTAAATTCTATTGAATTGTTTGTTTGTTTTGAAGATCAAATAAATATTAATATTTATTATTTATTCTTTTTCAAATATTATTAATATTATATTTATAAATACAAATAGGGGTTTATTTAAAATTGTAGTTGATGTGAATAATGTAATGATGATTGATTTGGGGGGGGGGGGGGGGTATTACGCGTATTAATATTTAAGAAAAAAGTAAATATTATTATTATTGTTTGATTATTATTATTAGTATTATTTTTCGTTTTTGTTGTTATTTGTTATTTTTTCGTGTTTGTTATTTTTTTTTTAATCTGAAATAACTCTTGGAGATCTCTTTAAAATATATATAGCTTCGATATGAGATGGTAATGATCCACCTTTAATTTCCTTGTCTACTTCGAAACCGAGTCGTTGGAAAAATGGGAAACTGTCTTTTGAGAAACAAAGTGTCTTGCAGAGATAGCCACTGTGATCGGCCCACTCGAGAACTGGTTCGGCGAGATAGGTACCAACACCATTTCCTCTGTATTGGTCATCGGTTCCAATGTATGGAAGGAACCAATTCTTGTCACCATTCTCCTTTGAAATCAAATCGTTGATTGCTCCCATTGTCTGACCTGCCATCCTACATTTAGAAATGCCAACTTTGGTGACAAACTTTAATTTACCAACCAATATATCAGCCTTTTTGATTTCCTTTTTCTGGTCTGGTGTATGCCATATACAAACACTTTGTAATTTATGATCTTTACCATAGTATCCCTAAAAATAAAACAAAGATAAGAATAAATAAGTTTATCTATAAAGAGTTGTTTTAATGTATGTACATACCCAAATTTGACCTCTTCTCTTTAAGAAAACCTTTAATGTAAATTTCATAAATTCAGAGATAATATCCTTTGAATCTGGATCTTCGGGTGGGAATAATTTAATAAATCTTGGATCATTTGAAAGAGCTCTTCCCAAAACTTCAGATGCTTCCTTGACATCTCCCTTACCCAATTGTTTTCTAATTCCATTGAAATTGGTTGTAAGTTTCTTGCTTGACAATTTCTGAGTTCCATTTAATTTATCAATGATTGATTCAATCGATGGTCTAAGTGTACTATTTCCATCCAACATTTTTAATACTAATGGTCCTAAATGTTGATGTTGCTATAAAAAAGAACAGACATATTAATAAATGATTTTGGGGTTGAATTATGATTATGATTTCTTTTGACTTGCATACAGGTGGAAAATCAGAAAGGAATTTCATTTTATCAAATTTATCTTGTAATATTTCTTCACCAAAGTATCTTCTATTTTGAACCAATAGTTTGAGTGTAATGAGTTCATAGAATACACAACCAAGTGAAAATATATCGGCTGATCTATCGTATGATTTACCATTCAATACTTCTGGTGCTGAATAGATGTATGTTCCAACTCTTCCTTCATTTTTGGTGGTACTGCTTGCTTTGGTTGCCAAACCAAAATCACCAATTTTGAGGGTATCATTTGCACCGATAAATACATTCTCACTCTTGATATCCCGATGAATTAAATGTTCACGATGTAATGATTGTACAGCCAAACAAAGTTGTGTTAACCAATCGATCAATATCGATTTATCAATATAGACAGTATCTGAAATGGGTGCGAGTGATATACTAGATAGAGATGATGATCTTGATGATGTGGTTTCCTCGCTACTATTATTATTATTATTTGGAACGGTCAGAGTTGGTTTACTGGATTCTTTGGGTAGTGGTGATGGAGAACATGGTTTCTTTTCTTTGACCTTTTGAATCAACTCTTTGGCATGAGATACTATGAATCGTTGATCTTCAGAGATACGTTGTGAAAGGAGACTCATTTGAAATGAGAGCTGTGCTTCAAGTTTGGCTGGTGGTGGTGGGGTTGTTGATTGACTACTATTATTATTGTTGTTGATAATGACAACTGGTGGTTGTGGTGGTTTAATATCTTCAGTTGCACTTCCAACACTACTAATACTACCAGAGGTAAGTGTATTGTCAATAGTGTCGGCTGTGAATGAGGTGGCAGATGAAGTGGATGTGGTAGATGAATTCGAGTCGAGATGTAATGATGTTTCCAATGTTTTATCCAGGCCTCCATGAACGGCAGTAAATTCAAATAAAAAGTCCAACAAATCACCCTTTGAACAAAACTCTGTGATGATACACAGATAAATATGGTCATCACCAGGTACAGTTCTAAGGAATACTTCTTCAAATGCAATAATATTTTCATTTTTAATACTTGCCAAAGAGTATGCCTAAAAAATTAATGAGAATAAATTAATTAACTTGGACCCAATCATTAATATATATATTGTTGGGAGTGTGTTCTTACCTCTTTTAAACCAGCATTGGCTTCATATATATTTTCAAATATTCTTTGTTTACAAACATATTTTTGACCATCCTTTTCCATTAATATGGCCTTTCCTTCACCTCCAGCTCTCAATTCTTTGATTAGCTTATAATTTGATAAAGGGTCAACTGGTAAGGTATCCATGATTCACTATCTATTTCTATTTCTATTTCTATATATTTAAATCATAATGATTGATTAGTATTTGTATTTAAATGGACTTGGTGATGGTGGCCAAATATATCCAAAAGTGCAATTGATCCAACCGAATCAAGATGATGATTAAAAATCATCCAATAAATGTTAAAATCATCCCAATAATAAATGACAACAATATGATGGCGATAATGAATAATGTCACTAAATTCATGATAACAATCTTGGATGGGATCGATATTATACTATATAAATAGATTGACCATCTATGGTGGGATGAGGAGAGATGCTGAGTGGGGATAATATTATCGATTGACGGGTGTGTATATACACAGCTAACAATGAATGAATGGGTGAGTAGGTGAGTAGGTGAAAAAGGGGGTTTGATATGTGTTTACGATATGCGTATTTCTTGATTATATATCGCTTCTATTTGTTGTGTTACTGTTACCGTTGCACTGTTCTGTCGATATAATAATAATAAATAATACAATGACATTCTTGTTAAGATAAAAATAAACATCAAACTAGTTTGTATATACTGTGTGTGTGTGTGTGTCGGTTAGCTAAAGACAACAACTATATGCTGGCCCAAGAATAGAATAGAATTTGTCATCGTAGAGTATGTAGGTAGTAGTAGTAGTAATAGTAGTAGTAGTGAGTGGCAATAAGAGTGTAGCAAGCAAGCTAGCTAGCTATTGTCGTAGTGTGGTGGAATCATTATGTTATCATTGAGTTTTAAATACTACTTTGAAAAGAAACATCATGTTGTTGCGTTGTTGTAGTTATTGTTGTGTGTTGTGTTATGTTGTTCTTAAATGCAGAACAATGATAATAATCAATCAATATATATATATATATATAAATATAAATAATAATATTACACTTATTGTTGTTGTTCTTCACGGAGTTTCTACAGTTTGTACAAAGAGCAACCAATCTCTCTTTTTGTTATTAATACTACACTTCACTAGGTTATTTGTTTCTCTCTCTCTCTCTTATTGATACACAACTTGTCAACTTTTAGTTCTACTACTTGTTGACCCTTTAAATTAAATTGTTATTAATATATTTAATAGTATCAATTTGAAGTGTTATGATGATGTAGCGTTCAAGGAAATATGCGTCATAGTTCTACCATAAAAAGTTCGTTTTTTTTGAATGCTGTGTGAATGAGGTGGTTACCAAAAAGTGTTTTGTTGAACAACAGTGGTGAAACAGAGTGTTTCGTATTCGTGTCAAAATATCTTAAAAATATTATTATATAAATATACAAAAAAAAAAAAAGTGATATTTGTTTTACTTTAAAAATAAATAAATAAATAAATAAGGGGATGTCTACTTTATTTGGAGGGTGGAATTGAATATAATCTATTATTATATATAAACAACAACAACAACAACAATAACAACAACAACAACAACAAATAATTGATTGACCATTTTAAGTTTTCCAAAATATTTTGATTAATTAATTAAGTTAATTAATATTAATTAATTCACTAAGATCAGATGTCGATAATGATAATCTTGGAGGTCTCTTTAAAATATAAACTACTTCTACGTGAGATGGTAATATACCACCACGTATTTCCTTGTCAACTTCGAAACCGAGTCGTTGGAAAAATGGGAAACTGTCTTTTGATAGACAAAGTGTCTTTGCAAGATAGCCACTATGATCGGCCCATTCAAGAACTGATTCCACTACATAGGTACCAACACCATTTCCTCTATACTGTTCGTCTGTTCCAATGTATGGAAGGAACCAATTCTTGTCACCATTTTCATTGGTCATAATTTCATTGATAGCCTTTAAAGTTTGACCTGCCATCCTACAACGAGCCAACCCAACCTTGGTGACAAACTTTAATTTACCAATCCATAAATCTGCAGTTCTAATATTCTTTTTAACATCTGGTGTATGCCATATACTAACACTTTGTAATTTATTATCTTTACCATAATATCCCTAAAATAATTAAAAATTAAAAATTAATTAAATAATTAAATAAATAAAAAGAAATATGAATATTGATTGATTAATTGATTGATATCATACCCAAATTTGGCCTCTTCTTTTAATAAATATTTTTAAAGTAAATTTCATAAACTCGGTTCTGATATTTGTAGATTCTGGGTCATCGGGAGCAAACAAAGTTGAAAATCTTAAATCATATGCAAGAGCTCTTCCCAAAACTTCAGATGCTTCTTTAATGTCACCTTTACCCAATTGTTTTCTTATGCCTGTCAGTTTTCGTTTGGGTGTGAATACAAGACTCTTGTTTGACATGTTTTGAGTTCCATTTAATTTATTCAAAATTGATTCAATCGATGGTCTCAATGCACTATTTCCATCCAACATTTTTAATACCAACGGTCCTAAATATTGATATTGCTACAAAAATATAAATAAAAAGAAATGTATTAATTAAAATAGTTTGTTGTTTCATTTGAGTTTGACATACAGAAGGAAAATCAGAAAGGAATTTCATTTTATCAAATTTATCTTGTAATATTTCTTCACCAAAGTAAAGTCTATTTTGAACCAATAGTTTGAGTGTCAACACTTCATAAAATACACAACCAAGTGAGAATATATCGGCAGATCTATCGTATGATTTACCATTCAATACTTCTGGTGCTGAATAATTGTATGTTCCAACCTTTCCATGATTTTTGGTGGTTGCACCAGACTTTGTTGCCAAACCAAAATCACCAATTTTGAGGGTATCATTTGCACCTATAAATACATTCTCACTCTTGATATCCCGATGAATTAAATGTTCACGATGTAATGATTGCATTGCTAAACATAGTTGTGTTAACCATTCAATTGCAATGGCTTTTGGAATGTAACCTGGATCTGCAAGTGGAGGGAATGGTGATGCTGCCATCCATGATGATTTTGGTGAACTCACACTATTTGTACTATTATTACTATTATTATTATTTGATTGAATTGATAATGATGACATTGATTGATTCATTGATCTAGTTTCTTTTAATTTAAAGCTGTTGCTGAATTCAAGAGTGGATGATATTTCGATTTTAGAGGTTGATGTTGTCGATGTAGATGTGGATTGAATAGGTACATCGTCTCCACTGTCTTTGCCAGTATAGCTACCCATACTACCAGTAGAAATAGAGTGTTCGATACCTTCACTCAAAGAGTACATTGACGATGAGGTGGTGGTGGATGTGGAAGTAGAAGACAACGACGACGACGACGAGGAGTCACCAAGATTTCCATTTGATTTTATAAAGTCAAATAAGTAATCCAACAAATCACCCTTTGAACAAAACTCTGTGATGATACACAGATAAATCTGGTCATCACCTGGAACAGTTCTAAGGAATACTTCTTCAAAACCAATAATATTTTCATGTTTAATACTTGCCAAAGAGTATGCCTAAAAAATAAAATGAATGAATTAATTAATGATTAATTAACTTTTACCTCTTTGATCATATTATTTTGAATCATAAATCTAATTAATATCTATATATATCTTACCTCTTTTAAACCAGCATTGGCTTCAAAAATATTTTCAAATATTCTTTGTTTACAAACATATTTTTGACCATCCTTTTCCATTAATATTGCTCTTCCCTCTCCTCCACTTCTCAAATGTGCCACCAATTTATAACCTGACAAAAGGTCATTTGAATGAACTACTGTATCCATTTTCTATTTATTTCTATTCCTTCTAATTATAATTATTGAATGATTATAGAGAGGTAATGATGATGATGTAGATGGGTAAGGTAATAAATATAATTAATAAATTGGTTTGTTTTTTTGCAATCATCAATCAATAGTTAAATAAAGGCACGCACTATTAATGGACATTCACCATCATCGTGATCAACCCAACGATGTACATGACATGTGTTTAGCAATACTGCTGTGTCAGTGTCAGTGTGATAAGAGATGTTTGACTGTCATGGTTGGTATTGGTGAGATTGGATAGGTGTGTGTCTTGGGAGAGGGGTGAAACGATGGTAAAAAAAGTTACGGGCAATCAATCAATCGGTCAATAGATCACACATACAGTTCGTTTTTTGATAGGAGGGTTAATTGGATGATTGCCTTTTGCGATTAAACATCTCGACCAAGATCGTGCTAAATAATAATATTTTTATAAAAGATAAATTATAAAGATGAATAAGAGAGGGAGAGGAAGATGAAGATGAAGATGAATGTTTGATTCATCAATTGCAATAGGGGACTGTCCTTTCAAAAAACTAAAAAAAAAAACAAAAAGATTAAGAAAATTGTTTTGTTTTGTTATCTTGCAGACGTCAGCAAGATAACTTTAAAAGATATTAAGGGCTCGTGGTGGGGTTTCGTTCGATCGATTTCCAATTACCTTCCTTTTAAAAAAAGTTAACAACATGATGAGATGATGGTGTTTAGTAGAAATAAATCAGGAGAAAGAAAAATAAGTAAATAAATAAATAATATTATATAAATAAACTGGAAACAGGAGAAGAGAAAAGTATAAACCATTATTAGTTAACAAATTAACAAACAAATAAATAAATATTTGTGACATACTTCAAAAAAACCTTGATTCCTCGAACCTTAATTTCCTTGATTTTTATTAAATTACCCACCCAGCTCACAGCTCTTGAGGTGGATGGGTTCATGATATATATTTCATTCGTTAATCATTGTATTGTAGATGTTTAAAAGATCAATATCTATTATTTCATCATCATTATCATCATCATCAACACTCAAGAGATCATATTCATCATTTAAAATGTCAACAACAACAGAGTCAAGCACCCCAAACACGACTACCACTACTATCACCATCAGAGGTAAACCAGTTACTGTATCAGTTGTACCATCATTTGAAGTACCTGTTGAAACTGTATGTTGATATTGATATAGATCTAATCTACTCTCAAATAGTATTATATTTGCTAATCGATCAATCTATCTAATCTAATGTAGGCAAGAGATGCACCAAACTTTGTAAAATGGGTAAAAAGAGTTGAAGCAGAAGAACAATTATTGGTAAAGAATGTATTGTTTCAATCTGTAGATATGTTTGGCAAGAATGTAGGTTTCCTCAAGTTCAAAGCAGAGGTTGTAGCTCTACCAGAAAACAGACCAGTCCCAGGCATTGTCTTTTGTCGTGGTGGATCAGTTGCTATTCTTGTCATCCTCAAGTCAAAAGAAAGCAACAAAGAGTACAGTTTATTAACTGTCCAAACTCGTGTTCCTGTTGGAAAGTTTAGCTATAGTGAAATTCCTGCCGGTATGTTGGATGGTTCCGGTCACTTTGTTGGTGTTGCTGCCAAGGAAATGAAGTATGGTTTAAAATATATATATATATATAACCCCCTTTCTCTCTCTCTCTCTCTCACAAGACACACACATAAAACTAACACACTATCTCTGTTTTAACCAACTAAAAATAGGGAAGAGACAGGACTTGAAGTAAGTGAAGAAAAGTTGATTGATTTGACACAATTGGCATATGGCAATGAAGTTGAAGGAATGTACCCCAGTCCAGGTGGATGTGATGAGTTTATCAGATTATTCTTGTTTAGAGAGACACTTGAACAAGCCAAGATCGATGAGTTAAAGAACAAGCTCACTGGATGTCTCTCGGAGAATGAATCGATCACTCTCAACGTCGTACCATTGGAAGATCTATGGAAGACCAGTCCAGATGGAAAAACTCTTTCAGCCTTATACTTGTATGAAAAGTTAAAGAGTGAAAATAAATTGTAAAAGTATAAAATAGTGAGAGCAGAGAGTGGAAGATCCGTGGATCATCCATCCCAGAAATGAACATGAACCAAAACAACATATAGTATAGTAATATGGTATGGTATATACCCTCTATTTCAATTTTTTTGAATGACGCAATAGATTAGATTCCAACAATCATCAATCAGCAAACAACAACAACAACAACAACAATTGATATATCAACAAACAATAGATTATAGTATAGATAACACTCTGTGATTGCTCGATCATACAACCATGTATCATAAACCCAACCCCAACCCCCCCAACCACCATTGTTGGTAGCTATCTTTTTTTGGTGTTTTTTGTTGTTGTGGCAAATCAATATGGTGGAAAACAACGCATTGTGCAATTGATGTTTCTGTTGTCAAACACATCTTCCACACCTCTTAAAGTGAAGAATGCATCCTATCCTATATGCTTTATACCATCACCACCACTCTTTCTGAACCACCCATCAACCACATCCATCCATCACCATGCAATTATTTCACTTTGGGTGTGGCTGAATTTTTTAAAGATTGGAAACGTGTACACTGAGAATTCTCATTTGTTGAGATGGGTTGTTCCTCTTCCTACCTACTTCCTCACTATATAGAGTAGTTAGATGAATATATACATCACCGCGATCAGAAAAATGCTTGGCTTGTACTGCCATCCCTCCAAACCACAACCCCTCATCATCATCATCCTCAACCCCAAACTTGGCAAGCAACAAAATATTTAATCATATTCTTTAAAACATGCTTGTTTAATAGGGTGGAGACCATAAGATTTGACCATATATTATATCCTACTTAGTAGTATCCGACAACAACAACAGCACCATTATTCATTGTGTGCGAACTTGTTTGCAGAAGTTGAACCCTTTTTTTGGGGATAGGAAGGAGGGAACTTAAATTGGTGCGATATCCATATCCTATCCATATTCATATCCAACAAGTAAAGTTTGGTGCGATTTGTTGGCGATCACGATTCATTCTTTGATAGTCCAATATAAATATTAGGATCGATTTAAAAAACAATTCATTCTAAACTATTTTCAAATCATTATTACAAATAATATTCTATTCTTTGATCCCATCCCTCCTCCTTGTTTGGGAAAATGTATAATACTATTTTATCTTTTATTCTATTATTATTATTATTATTATTGACAGTTGGTTATTCCAATGGTCAACCAAATTATCCAAATGTTGCCAACTCTTATCTTGGAGTGGGTGATACTGGAATCTCTCATTATCCATCATACTTGGGTTTAAAGATGCATATCCGATGCTATGCCAATGTTACACCAGCCAATGCTGCTGGTCCCATTGTCTTGTTTGACGCTGGTCTACCATTCTTTTCAACTGCATGGGTGTCTATTATTCCAGGTGTTTTACAAAACATGGTCTCTTGGAATATTAGTAGAGCTTGCTTTATGGATCGTTATGGGTACGGGTTCTCCGACCCCTCCATATTCCCTATCCTTACCCAAGACTATGTCATTCGTCTTCGCGGGTCTCTCCAAGCAGCCAACCTTGTCGGAAAATACATCTTGGTTGGATGGTCTTGGGGCTCTATTTTCTGTCAAGTCTACTCACTCACATTTCCCAAAGATGTGGTTGGTATAATGACAATAGACGGCACTGATTCAAGATGGGGACTCATTCCAGCCAATCAACAAGCAATCATTGGATACACAAATACCTACAGTAACTTTCAAGATGAACTATCAGAGGGTACCCTAGGACCAATTGCTAATGCAGGAGGTATCGACATATCCTATGGATTCTTCCCAAATATATCGATCAATTCTGGATACACTCAATGTACGATTGAAGCATCTCAAAAGATATGGTTGACCAATAAATACCTAAGAACAGCGATTCAAGAGTTTAATATCATGGTTGTATCGAGTGCACTACTCAATTTTACCTATGCCATCAAACCAGCCAAACCACTCAAAGATCTTCCCTATGTCAATATTTACCAAGACAATGGTGGAGCTGATTGGACAAGTCGTCAAATATTCATGGCCTCTCTATCAACCAACTCGATTGCCATCGCAACACCCTCATCACACTTTTTCCCATTCACAAATCCCAGTTCCATTATTTCCTCTCTCTCACTTCTTGCCTCTAAAATTGCTACTAATCCTGGTATCCAATGGAGAAATCAATAATTGATAATAGATAGAATAGATAGATAGATAGGTAGATTAATCCTATCAAAACAACAAATTTAAATTATCAATTCAAAACAAAAATGTAAATAATAAATAAAATACAACCTCGAGGCTCAATACAGACCGATATATATACTTTTTCTTTTTGTATTTTTTGTTAGCAAAAGGACATATTCAAATGTTGGCCGAAGGGGAGATTGACATGACCTGAATGGTTCAGGTCATGTCCAAGCCCCAATAGGACAAATTTGATTCTTCAATCCTCCTCTGATTTTTTTTAAATAAATTAAATGCTTGGGTGAGAGAGTGTTGAACATCATCATTATTTTGATCAAAGAGAGGTGTTAGCACTGCACTTTCATAATAGTAATAAGTTTATTATTATTATCATCTATGAATCATCATCATCATTACCATCATCATCACAACTATCATTACCATTTAATCAATAACATAGTTAACTTGTCGACAAGAGAGAGAGAGTTTGAACAAATAATTATTTTTAAAGATTTAATTTAACAACACGAATCATTTAATTTCTACAAACCATCCACCATCCTTCCCGTCCACCATCAATTGATTTATTTATATCACACCCACAACTAATCACCACTCTATTTCGTCATCATCATCATCATCAGTCCATCCATCCTCAATTCAATCATTCTTCTTAAAGTTTAAACTTATTGAGAAAAAGTGAACATACAACAACAACAACAACAAACTAACAGACAGACAGACAGACAGACGACATAACGTACAGAAGAGTCAAAGAGAAAGGAGAGAAGAGAGAGTAGTGTGTATATCGACATACACCAACAAACAAACAAACAACAAATAACAAACAATATATATACTTTTTGATATATATAATACGTTGAAAAAATGGATATACATAAGAGGAGATCAGGAACAACAGCATCATCTCCATCATCTCAATCAGAGTCTATAGTAGATGATCCTATTACCAAACCACCACCACCACCACAAGAGAATAGAACAGATTCACCATTCAATGCATTAGAGATATTCAAATACTTGATGTTTATAGTGATTGCCTTGGGTATATTATGGTCGTACCCAGTATTTTTAAAGAAGCATATACAGAATAGTCCACTCGAGACAGTGTCCATCTTGAATGGCATGAAGCAGATATCACATTGGACAAAGAACCAACAAACATGTAGCGGCCGGGTCATTGCCGTCGGCTACAACACCAATCTCGACCTCATCGTCAACGCTATTGACGTCCTCGAACAACTTGGATTCGAACAATCAGCTATCGCTGCATCTGCCGCCTCTTCAGCTTCAGCCTCTGATATAATCATAACAGAGGATGATTTATTAAATACTTTTATTTATTATTTTCGTATGTGTAAAAAGAAAGAGAAAGAAAAGAGAGGGAGAGAGAAAGAGACAAGATGAAAAAGTATTAATTCATTTATGTTTATGTTGTTTATGTTTATATATGTTTTTATTTTGTAGAACATGGAAGTGCAGCCGAAAGATTTGTACAAGATAAAGTATTATTTAAAAAGATATTAGACAGTGCTTTGGCATTGGACAAGAAGATATTCCACACGGGCGGTAACGCAGGTATTATGGCCAATCGATTGGCGTTGGAGGGATGCCACGTTGTTTTGGGTGGTATTGTAGGCAAAACGTTAAAGTCGTTGTTGAATAGCACCGTAGAGGTGATTGAATACGCACGTGACGACATGGAGTATGACGAGGTTCATTTGATCATGGAGTATGCCCGAAACTCTAGTTTTGGTCCGATTGTTACCCCGCGTGCCAACCGATTTATCATCTCCAACGACAATACAAATGGAAACATGATGACACTCGAATCGTTCCACCAACACCTCGGCAAGGGAGAAAAGACACCCGAGCTCATTGTCCTCTCTGGCCTACACCTACTATCAGAAGAGAACATTGGTCAACGTTTGGACGCCATGATGTCCTATATGGCCAAGATACCCTATTCACCGTTGCCACGTGACTTGATTTCCAACAAAAATATTCCAATCCATTTGGAGTTGGCGTCCATGTCGAGTGCTATAGCCACCAAGCTTCTTGCAACCAATGTCGTCCCTTTTATTGACAGTATTGGATTAAACGAGCAAGAACTCGGGTTCATCTACGTGTCGACGGGTGGTAAAAAGTTTAGATTGGAAGAGTTTAAAGACCCGACACCACAAGTTGCCGTAGAAGCCATCCTCCACATCTTTAACCTTGCGTCCAAGGTCAATGCTAAAAAGGCTGGTGGTGCCTCAACCGACGCTGCTGGCGGCGGTCTTCCCATGATGGAAGCAGGCGAAATGATGGTGGGAAAGACACGTCAACTCACTAGAATCCATTTCCACTACCTCACCTATCATATTGTTGCCGTTAGACAATCGAGCGCATGGTCTTCTGAACGTTCTAAAATGGCTGTTTCAGCATCCTCCCTCGAAGCTTCCAATCAAGCTTGTGGTTTCCAAGACATTGAAAGAAAATTACCTCTAACTTTTGAAGTTGATTATAGATTTACTCCAGGTGCTAAAATTAAAATCAAGGTAAAAACAAAACACAAAACAATTATTTTATATTTAATATTAATATTTTATTTTTTATTTATTTTTTAGATTGATGAAACATATCCAGTATCAACATGGAAAGATGATGGAATTATAATTAATATTGCACCTGTACTTGTTTGTAAACACCCAACCAAAACAGTAGGATTAGGTGATTCAATCTCAACTATTGGTTTGTTGTATAATACTATCACACTATAATATTCAAAAAATGATAGACAAAAGATTGAATAATAAATAAATACAGTCAGTGAATAATAATAATAAAAATAATAGTAATAATAATTAAAACTAAAAATTTGTGACTCATGATGTAGCTACATTGACTAAATATAATGTTAATGTTATTAGTCGTTTTAAGTAAGTTTATTTTTATAATAGGAATATAAATCTTTTTTATTAGTATTTTGAAATTTCAATCAAGAAACAATTTTCAAAAACAGATACAAAAAGAACAGATAATTCCAACACCTATTACAATTTCAATGTTCATCATGATGATTCAACGATATCTCTGAAAAGCCATTGGAGTTCCCCAAACTCCGTCAGTATCCCACTTCCCGAAATGAATGAATTTTACAGTGAAAAGTTTTTTTTGTAAAATTTGTGATTGGGGGCAACAACACAAGCCTCACCTTATAAAATCAAATGATCGCAGCACAACGATTGGTGAAACCTTTAAATTGATCAGTTTTGTAATCAACTGTTGTTTTAAAGTTTATTTCTCTATTTATATCTTTTCATTTCGAAAAAAGAAGAAGAAGAAGAACATCAAGTTATTATATATTTTAAAAGAATAATAGTAGTTGATTGTCGATTCATTGCATTGTAACACCCACACAATGTTTAATTACAAGTTATTTGCATCACTACTTGTGCTTGCTTGTACATTGTCAGCATGTATCAATGCTGCTCTCGTACCAAAGAATTTATCTGGTCCACCATCTGAATTCTCTTCATTTGTTTTACCAGATCCAAAATTGGTTGCTCAAAGTATGATCAAACGAGTCGAGTCGAGTCGAGTCGAGTTAGTGTTAACAATGATCAAATGTTTTATATAACACATTCATTTATTTAATCTATTTAGGTTCAAATAGTGCACTTTTGGCAGTAACATTTTCAGCAAGTAAAACTACTGCAGGATCATTGGTATGGTCAACCACTATCCCAGTCGATACTGAAAGCGACTTTTCAGTCAATGTAATCAGTCAGGTGGCATCGTCGATTCAAGTACAAGCCATCCCACCAAGCAAAGAGACACACTTTGGCGTCGTCTCTCATCACAACAGAGCCATTCTTTCAAATGGAACATTTGGCATTGACGGAAACACCATCCCATCCGTCTCTTTTACCTACCCCAAGGCTGCCGTTGGCCTTTGGACCATCCAAATGTCGGCCCCAGCCTCGTTGTTGAACGATGCTGCTTTCAAGAGCCGTTTTGATGCCGGTCAACCACAAGCATTCTTGTTGGCCAGCAACCCAAGCGAGTACATCATCTACACCTACTTGTCGAGCTACAATGGTTTGTTTGTCGGCGACAAGGTTCCAGTCCTCGCCATGTTGACTTCTGCCCAAGAAGTCCTACCCAAGCACGCTCGTCCAGCCGGCTACCTCCCAACTCCAATCAAGTCAACTGGTGCCGTCGCCGCCGTAGCCACCATGGTTGTCACCTCGCCAAACGGACAGTCCTCATCGGTTGTCATGGTTGACGATGGTCTCCATGCCGACGGTGTCGCCAACGACGGTATCTATGGTGCCTTTGTCGAAGCCGACCAAGTTGGAAACTACCAAACCACCGTACAATTCCAAGGTAACGCTCCAAACGGAGAAGCCCTCTATCGTACATCCCAACACATCATCCCAATCACATCTGAGTTTTTGACACTCACCGGCAAGGCCATTGCCACTCAGCAAAATGACAGTCTCAGCTTCTTTGTCGAGGTTGAAGCCGCTTCGGCCGACATCCCCAATGTTCGTGTCTACTCTGAGGTCTGGGGTGTTGACAGCACCGGTGCTGACGTTGCTGTTGCCTGGGTCGGAGGTATCACCAGTCTCCAAAAGTACCAAAACCTCAATGTCTTGAGTGCCGTCCTCGACAACCGTTGGATCGCTGCCGCCAACGCCACCGCTCCATTCACCCTCAAGAACATCATTGTCTCGGACGTCAACACCTTTGTCCCAGTGTTCAACACCACCGAGTCCTACGTCGCCAAGATGTCGACCAAGTACCATGACGTCCGTCTCGACCACTACGACCCACCCCTCCACGTCATCACCAAGCAAATGCGTGACGGAAAGATGCCAGCCGATTTGGCCGAACGTTATGGCAAGCTCAAGAGCTCAGCCACTGGAAACGGTAAGCTCCTCCTTGTCCACGGCTACTGCGCCCAAGGAAACCCATTCACCATTGGCGACTTTGAAAATGCCGTTGCCTTTGAAGACCCCGACCAAAACCGTCCCAACGATGAGTTTGCCCAAATGGTTGGTGACTTTGGTGCCCAATACACCGATGGTTTCTCGATTGTCGGTCACTCGCAAGGTGGTCTTGTCGCCCTCCACCTCGCCACCTTTTACCACAGCGGTCTCGATCTCTCCCAAGCCCTCCCAGGCCGTGTCATCCAATCGGTCGGCTCCCCATACCAAGGTACCGGTCTTGCCGGCACCCTCGCCTCGATTGGTGACTCTCTTGGCATTGGTTGCTCTGCCAACAATGATTTGACCCACGATGGCGCTGCCTTGTGGCTCAACTCTGTGCCAACCGACAAGCGTTCGTTGGTCTACTACACCACCACCCAATACAAGACTGGTGGTCTCGTCAACTACTGTAACTTGGCTGCCAACTCTGTTTTGAAATGGCCAAATGATGGTGTCACTGATGCCGAGCACTCTGAACTCCCAGGTGCCACCTATGTCAATCACATCAAGGGATGGTGCCATACCGTCGACATGAAGTCACCACCACAATGCCAAAACTCTGACAACAACAAGTTAATGTCTTCCGAATCAGTTTGGTAATATTAATTTAATATCGTACCCAACTCAACTCAACCCAACCAATCATTTTCCAATCATCATGGGCTTCTCGACAAACAAATAATGTTTGAGAAATAACCCATCAATCAATCTCGACCATTTGTAATTGTAATCGTCAACAAACAAAAAACATACTTGATTTAATTTAATTAATTAAATATTCAACATATATGTTATCTCTTATTATTTATTCCCTCCATCATACATCCCGACTCCATCTACCCCTACCCAAAATTATTAATCTGTTTATTTTATAATAAACCGAGGTGATCCCGACATATCCTTCTTTTTTTTTTCAAATTATTTAGATATAGTTTTAAAATAGTACTATGGATTAATGGAAATCACAAGTCCAAAATCCAGCCATTTTATTGTACAAGTTGAGAGATATTTAGTATTACATAAATTATTTTTATACACCCAGAGAGAGATTATTTGTTATTATTATATTATTGATCAAGAATATTTGGTAATTTTAAATGACCAATACCATTATTAAATAAAGGAGTTTGAATTGGTGATAAAGGTGGTGGGAATGCATAAATTGAATACCTAAAATAAAATATTAAATTGATATTAATACAACCTTCCTTTCCTTTGAATATTCAATAATATGTTGTTTGATTTCGTACCTTTGACTTTTTAATATAGCATCACCAGTTTGTTTAAAATATCTTTGAGAATTGTAACGACGTAGATGACGATGGAATTGAGGACCAATTCTTGGAGAGTCAGTTTCAGTTGTTGGTTCTACCTTGATCCATTCGTGATCAAGAATTTGTTGTATGGTAAGTCTTTTTGAAGGGTCTGGTTCTAGCATTTTGATGACTAGATCCTTTGCCAGAGGAGATATGGTTGACCAAACCTCTTGATCAAATTTAATTTCTGCACGCATAATCAATGCCATGACAGCTATCGAGTTTTTAGCTTGGAATGGTGGATGACCACATAAGAGAATGTACAAGATGACACCTATTGCCCAAATATCGACTGGGAATGAATAACCAAGTCTCTTTATCATCTCTGGTGCTTGGAAATCTGGTGTTCCACAAACATCTACCAATGGTTCGTTGTTGTAATAGGCTGCCAAACCAAAATCGATAATCTTTAAAGTCGAAAAATCACTATGGTCTCTAAATAGAATGTTTTCCGGCTTCAAATCTCGATGAACCACATTTTGTTGATGCAAGAAATCAATGGCATGTACAATTTGTTTAATAATCTTTCTCGCCGAATCTTCTGTATAATTTACACTACTTTGGTCTTGTTTACTTGAATTATTTTCAATATTATATAATAATTCTCCACCATTTAATCTAAAGAGAATAGAAAAAAAAGAAATATTAATATTAATACTATAGTTCCTCTTCTTTTTCTATTTCTTACAATTCCATAACAATATAATAATTATTTTCAGTTTCAAAATGATCATGTAATTGAATGATATTTGGATGTTTGAGACTCTTTAAAATATTGACTTCAGTGGTTACATCCAAGTCTGTATGTGAAGCAATCATTTGTACAAGTGATTTATCGATAACTTTGATTGCAAATCGTTTAGAGTCGTGATCTTTGTGACTACATAGATGAACATTACTAAATGTTCCACTTCCAATCTTTTCCAATAAAACATAGTTTTGAATCTCTTTGAGGTAGTTTAATTCGATTGAACTACGTTGTGAGCTACATGGTGATGGCATCGATGGTTCCAATGGTGGGAAGAGTGAAGATAGCTTTCGACCAAGTAAAGAGGATCGTGACAATGGAGACAATGTATTCAACGTTGGATCGTGTTGTTGTGGCGGTGACATTGGATCCATCGATAGTTTAGGTTTAAAGTTTTTGGGTGGTAAAGGAGGTGGTTTCTTGTTTGGTGGTGGTGGTGAAATATAAACACTATTGGCTTCCTCAAAATATTCTTCTTGGTTTTGTTGTTGATATTGTTCTTCTTGATCTTGATATTCGTAACAATATTGATAATTATTATTTTCTGAATTATAATTATAGTCGTTTTGATGATGATGATAATATTCCTCTTCTTTAAATTCACCAGATAATGATGATGATGATGGTTCAAGTCCTAGGTTATCGTTGACGTTGATTACCTCTTCTTCTTCTTCAATAAAATGATTATTTGTTTCAACTGTTGGAATAAATTTGGTAGGAGATGGTTGTTTCTTTTCCTCTTGTTTTAGTTCTTCCTTTACTGTTGGTAATCCTCCTCCCTCTTCTTCTTCTTTTGAAACCTTTAAGTTATTGGTTGGTTTCTCTTTTTCTTTTTCCTTTTCTTTATCCTTTTTTCCTCTTAAAGTGATAGACTTGAATAATGCAGTACTTGATTTTGATTTTGTTCCTTTGATCTTTTTGGTTGATTTTGATTTGTTGTTATCCTCTTCCATACAACTACTTAAAGTGGTATTGTTATTGTTGTTGTTGTTATAAATATTTAATGATCTGGAACGAGTACGATTGAAATGTTGATTAGACAACGACGAGGACGATGACTCTTTTCCAAGTGCAATATCAACCGATGAATAACTTGTTCCAGCTGACAGTCCCGACGATATCGATAACGAAGAGTCAAATGTCAGATTACAAGTAGAAGAAGATGCACTATTTGTTATGGAATTCAAACTAGTGTTGTTGGTATTGTTGCCTATACTAGTAGCACTACTATTATTGTTATTATAATTTCCAAGATTTATAGTTTTTGATTTCTCTCTTCTATTACTACTCTTTTTAGAATTATTATTAATATGATTGTTGTTATTATTATTATTAGTATTATTAGTAGAGTTGTTATTATTATTATTATTATTATTACTGTTTATATTATTATTTTTATCTGAAGTTGTAAAGTGTTGGTGTTGGTGGGATTGGGATGTTGTTGTTGTGGAGGGGGTTGACTGTGATAATGTATTTTCTGTGGTTGTACTACTACTAGATTTTGAGACACTATTATTATTATTATTATTGCTACCACCACCACCACTACTACTATCAATATTTAAATCATGATTATAGGTTTTATGATGAATAGTATATCTTCTATATTTCTTTGCCTCTTTTGATGAGGTTGAGGAAGACGATATTGATTCGCTATCTTGGTTGATGACTTCATCAAATTTACTGCCACTATAGTTTGTTTGTTTGTTTGGAGGGAGAGGGAGAAGAAGTATTAATAATTGTTTGTTGATCACATCCTTTCTTTTTGTCTATCGATATATATATGTATATACCTTTTATAGTTTGTAGCATAATCTTTAGAATTTTGTGATCCCATTTTTAAATGATCTAAATACTACTATTGTTGTTGTTATCTATCTATCTATCTATCTATCTGGGTCGTGACAAAGAATGACTAGAACAAGATAAGTACACTCGATAATCAATCAATCAATGCACTCTCTTCTTTGCTACCTATTACAACTACGACTACAATAATGTTACACTTCTTTTTTTTTAATCACTCTGGCGACAATAATCAGCCAAATTATTTGAAACTCACGTTCCACCACAAACAAGATCCAAAACGAACAAATATTTAAATAGATAGTTGTGATTAATAAATAAGACGACAATGTTTATTGTTTTGTTGGTGATTGTGTGTCATCCAATCCATATATGTATATTACGAATAAACCCACTCACCACATACATGTACTAAATCATTCATCATCATCCATCCATCACCTCTCTATATATTTATATATATATCTCTCTTTTGAGATAACAGAGTGTTGTGTGTTATTATTAATGTTGTCTTCGTAGTCTACCCATTAATGATACCTCTTTTTGCTTTGACAATTTGTTTTTTGCAATTTTATTTTTATTTTTGAAAACGAACGACAAAACTGTCAATCTATCTATCTATTAAAAAGAGATAAAGATACATACATACAACCTACTTATACATAGAGAATGTCATTAAACATAAAGAACTTACTCCCAAATAGAGTAAAGCAAGAGAGACCTGCTCCATTGGGACACAAAGGTTTCTTGGAGAGAAAGAAAGATTATGTTAAGCGTGCAAAGGATTCAACAAAAAGAGAGACCTCTTAAAGAAGTTAAAGCTCAAGGCTGCTTTAAAGAACCCAGATGAATTCAACTTTAAAATGATAAACTCAAAGATTATAGTATGATAATAAGATAAGATAAGATAGGAATCAAACAACTGAATATTAACTTCTATTTAATCTTTTTTTTTTTAGGTATGGAGTACATTACAAACATAGTGGGAATAGTGCATCGAAAGATCAAATTATAGACGCAAAGACACACGATAGAGCATATTTACAATCAAAAAGAATAGCAGAAGATAAAGTATGTGTTTTGTTTGTCATAATACATTTATCAATCAATCAATTTACTCATCAAATTGTTTTTATTATCTATAGAAAATTGAAAGATTACAATCAGAATTACAATATTTAGATTCAAAATTGAAACAATCAGAAACAGTAATCTTTGTAGATGGTGACAAAGAGGTAAAGAAATTTTCAGCAGTTAAATATTACGATACAATCCCAGAGGCTTTAAAGTCGGGATCATCTGTCATTCCAAAATTATCTAAACTTCGTGAGGGCAAGTTACTCGTAAATCCAGACTCTGCTCCCAAATTAGGAGCAATCGAGGCAATGACAACCACCTCTTACAAGGAATTAAACGCTAGAATCGAAAGAAGAGATGGTTTGAAAAAGGCTGAATCCGATTTGGGTAAACATATTAGACAATTGGCAAACAAGGACCAAAAACCATTAAAGAAATCAAATATCAAATCAAACAAGGATTGGAAGTTGGCAAGAAAGAAATAGATCTAATAATAATAATAATAATATTAAAAAAAATATAATTTATAATTTTTGTATATAACATCAATCAAAAAAAAAGGGAACGCAGTAGAAAAGAGAGGTTATTTTAAATATTTAATTTATTTTCGGGATGTTGTTATTATTCTACAAAAAGAAAACATTATATACATTATATATATTCTTCTTTTACTATATTACTATTATTATCTTCTTCATTTTATCTATAATAATATTCTTTTAAAGTTTTGGTAATTTTTTCTTTACATTTTGATTTCCAAGCAAGGAATTCTTCGGTTGAAATGGGTCTTGGGACACCGAAATAATTGTTAGTGTTTCCAGTGATGGATGCGAGATAACGGATGAATAAATCTCTGCCATCGGTGTGATAGGTCATGCTGTCTGGCAATTTGATGAGGGAATCCATCATAGACTCGATACGCCATTCTGCAAGCCCGTCTTGCATCTCCAAAAGACATGTGAGGATTGGAACGATAAATGGATAGACATTGGCCGATGACTTTAATATGATTTCCTTGGTGATGGAGAAAATGTTGCTGGTGAATAGTTTGTTGTTCCAACAGAGATGTTTGAGCATGATCTTGGTGTGTTCGTTCCATCCATATTCTTTGATGATCTTGACCAAGAACGCCTTTGAAAAGATAGATACCAATGTAGAGTCACTCAATACTAGACAGTGTTGGTTTGTTGTTGGTACTCCTCCAAATCTAAATGGTGAGGTGGTTGGTATAGCATTTGGATCGGCTATAATATGGATAACTGGTTTGGTTCTATCCTTTTCAGCTGGGTAGCTGTTGAGCTGCGATGGGATGAGGGTGGCAGTCAAAGAAGGTTGACAGCATCGAATGAGGAAGCTGAGGAAATCGACCATCTTGTTATTCTCCATCATCATACTGACACCACCGCTACTTCCAGATGAAAAGTTACCGATTCCACTACTATTGTTGGACATTGTTCCCATTAGTGGATTGGTTGAAAAGATTGATCCTCCACTATTAGATGATGATGTAGTATTGCTGTTGCTACTGCTATTGCTAGTAGTATTGGATGATGCAGTATTGTTGTTGGAAGTTGAACTACCAAAGGTTGGAATGGGGTAGGATCCAATAAAGGATTCGATCAGCTTGCTGATGATACCACGTTGCAAGAGATATTCTCTTTCCTTGTCCATTGGTGATTGCACAACATTGAAAAAGAGTGCAAACAATTGTTGGATGGTTCTTCTTGGGTAGTCCTTGAACAATTTACACAATTCAATGAGCGAGTTAAAGAGTGCAATGATTGATGGGATACGAGTATCCTTGTTCTCTTCTGTATTCTTGCGAAGTGTAACAGCAAACGAGATAATATCTACAAATACATGTCGGGTCTTTTCAAAGTAACAACCCAACAAGATACTCTTGAGAATTGAACGGTTCTCCACAATGTATCTCAAGAACCATTCAGTTCCTTGTTGACTATCTCTCATCAATCTCTTTAGATGGTATGCCCATACTTCAATCAATCCTTTTTCCTTTGAATGTGAATATATTTCTATAAAGTATTTTGTTGCCAACTTTAAACTTGATAATATTGCTACAAAAAAAAAAAAAAAAGGAATAAATATTTTTGTTGAGGATATTATAATTATTATTTTTTTGTTTGTTTTTTTACCATCATATTCATTAATTGTATTATAAGGGGAAGGATAAGGAACAATTTGATCAAAAGTTGGATTATGATAAAGATTAACAATATCCCAAACAAATGTACCAAAGTCCAAATCATAGAGATACTTTTCCAAGAGGAATGCTCTATTTTCATTCCAAACAGTGTCAAGGATATCCTTTGAGATGGTTGATGGCAAGGATGGTGTACGATGGTGACCAGGTTGATTGGCAGCAGAGGAAGCTGTTTTGTTGTAAAAGAGCATGTAGGCATTACAGATCTTTGGACGACGAACTTGTACATACTTTTGTTGAGCCTTGTCAAATTCCTTGACTTCATCGTAGCCACCAAAACAATCGCTTTGCATTCTTCTGAAATCGTATGGTTGAACATAGGTATCATTCAACTCGAACCAATTGCCATAGACATCTTTGACCAATGTAATATAATGTCCAGAGTCTGCAGTACCTGCATGTAAAACAATACCACTTAGGTCATAGACATAATCGGATTGATCCATTGTAAAGTATTCAGATGATCCATTTTCTCTCATCTCTACTACTTCCTTTGTATATGGTGCCATATTTAATTGTAATGGGAATTCACAAAAATCATTCAATTTAATATTTCTCATATTTTCCAACTAAATAGAAACAAAATAAAAACAATTAGAATATATATATATTTCCTTTTTTTTCTTTTTTTACTTTTTCTCTACTTACATCATATTCAAATCTTTTAAGATGAAGGATTAACGAATTTGGTAATTTATCGACTAAACATCTTTTAGTGATTTCAACACGATCATTACATTGTTCACATTTATAATCCTTTAGACTTTCTTCTTGAATGAAAAGTTCCAATGATTCCAAAAGGGATTTTTTGTTTTTAACTTCAAGTGAAATCGAGTAGAATGGTTCTTCACAATGTGAACGATGACTACAGTTTTTGGGAATAAACTGGTTGGTCAATACACCTCCAAAGGCATCCTTGAGAAGTGTCTTTGATCCTGCCAATGTGGTGTCCTTGAGGGCAAATTCCAACTTGTCAAGGAAGAGATGGAAGAATTCGTATGCGTCCATTTGAATGCCCAGGTTGATTGGTGTTCCATCATAGTTTACAATTGATTTACAGAATCCAATAGGATCATAGTATCGCTTTGTACTCTCTTGCAAGTACATAAACAACAATTGGATCTGTGTCAACATGTGGTATTGTTGTAATTGTTGAATTTCCTTTTGTTGTTGATCCTTTAGTTCCTTTAATAGTTGTTGTTGATCTTTGACTGGTGGTGGAGTTGGTGATGTTGGTGGTGAAGTAATCGATATCTCTCCCATCTTTTCATCAGCCGTCTTGTTCTCGAGTTGTTGTTTTGGTGATGAGTTAAAGTTTGGTTTTGGAACACTCAAGCTTAACAAGCTTTGTTTGAGACCGGTGGAGTGGTAGAGTTGTTGGATCAAAGAGTTCATGTAACAGGTGGCACCTTGGTTCTTGAGACCGACATAGTTGTACATTGTCTTTTCCTTGTCAACCGGACTGTAGTTCCAATCTCCATTTGGATCGACACGGTCAATCTCCTCTGTGATTAGTCTCTCGACGAGGAAGAAGTTGTTGGGATCATTCTTGGAGAGATCACGAAGCAGTCTAAAGCAGGCAAGACGCGACTCTTTGGTTTTGCAGAGTGGCGGCATGGCAACACCGTTTCCTTGTACGTGGTCATGTGCAGTGGGCGTCTTGAACAGACAGTTCTTAAACAAGATTTGGATGAGATTCTTTTCCTTGCACAGAATCTTGAGTGACGGACGTCTACGCACCAAATTACGAATGACATTGACGATACCCACCAAGATATGATCCTTGCGTTGAGTAGAGCTGATCTCACGGATTGGCATATTGATCAATTCAGTGATCAACTTGGACAACAGACTCTTTACAAAGTTGAGTGACTCGTTTCGATCGCCATGAGTATGTGGAATCTTGAGTGAATCAACACTTACATTATCATCACCTGTAGTACTAGAGTCACTGTCAGTGGCAGTTACTACAGCATTGTCAATACCATTATTCTTGTGATGATTTGGTTTGGGTGAAGGAGATGGGGAAGAAGTTGGATATCCAATATTTAGCAACTCTGATAAAAGACAAAAGAATTGTTCGGCAGTATGATAGTACTGATTGATGGTAGGAAGGAACGACAACATCTTTGACAAAAAGAAGAGTGATCTATCGATAGAATCTTGTTTACCACCCAGCGAGTTGGTAGATGTGGTTGAAGAGGTCAAACTATTTCCATTAGAGTTGGAGGTCAATGAAGAGGAAGAAGAAGATGATGATTCATTACTAATGGTAAGATTCAATATTAAATTGGATGCCTTTGTTTGAACAAGAGGGTCAACACACTCTAACAATAGAGCTTTGATCCACTCATTCCAATCGGTACTATTGTTGTTTAGATTCATCTCTAGATTCTTTGGTGCACTCTTTACACTGACTGCCAATATCTCCATACCATACTGACAAACCATATTGAAATCTAGACTTTCATTCAATGATTGATACTTTGAAACTGATGATACCAATTGATGTACCTTTGTGATAAATTGAGGTGCCTCCAAAATATATGAAGTCTCTCCTCTAAATGTATATTTACTCATACCATAATTACTTTTTTCATTTGTATTTACTAAAATAAATAAAATAAAATAAAATAAATTAATATTCTTACCTCTTACTTTTTCTATCTATTCATTTTTTTTTGTTTTTTTAAAACATACTAAGAGCAATAGTAAAAATATTTTTTAATAAAAGATAAAATAACTTTAGATTACCCTTTTGAGAATGAATTGGAGTATCAATAACTATTTGAGTGAGATAGTTGATTCCACGGCTTTTGATGAATCTATTTTTGAAATCTTCTTGAGAAAGTGGGCCATTTGGATCGGATCGAATATCACTACCAAGAGATGTGGTGGTAGGGTTACTGTCACCAAAAACACTATCGAGTACACGAAGATAGTAGATGGTTTTGTAGATACCAGCATTGGTTGGGATAAGAGAGGACACTTCCTCTTTTAGACATTTAATGTCTGATAGAATCTTTGGATTGATTGGAAGATCGCTGAGAACATTCCAAGCATACTCGGCAATCTCATTGTCAAAGTCCAAGAGATTAAATATTTGTTCAAAGTTTGATGGCTTTGAGATGAGGATCGATGAAGGTGATTGATCAATCTTTGTCTTTCCATTGGTTATTCTAGACTTTGGTTCTTGTACCTTTCGAAGCAACACATCACCAATCAAACCAAAACCACCAAGTTGGTGTTGAAGTGATTCCAAAACCATCGAAACTACTGGTGTATCATCCAAAACATCGATATCATCATCGTCGTCGAGTAGTTGTTGATTCACATCATTGTCTTCTTGCTTTTTAGAGGGATCATCTTTTTTGTTCTTGTCGTCCTTTTTCTTTTTAGATTCTGGTTTTTGTGGTTGTGGTTGTGGCTGTGGTTGAATGGTTCGTTTGACCAGGATGGGGTATTGTTGTTGGCCAGTTGAATCAAATATTTTGTATTCGTCAAGACACTTGTCGTCATCTTTCATCTCCTTGTCACCGAGATATACCTTGAGCGATCGAACGGGTGGTTTGGGTTGTCCATAGATATTGGCTACCTTGCGCTTCAACATTCTCATTGTATCAGTACCAGAAATATCCGAAATAATATATGCATCACCACGATCCAATTTCACCAAAAATGAAATAGGTTGTGATTGATCTCTTGTAAATTGTGGTGCTAGTATCGATATTGCATGTTCGTTCTTGTTATTGTTGTTACCACCATTGGTTTGATCATTGATAAATAACTTGACCATATGTAATGAACGACAAATACGGTTAATGTTACCTTGACAACTAAATGATACACGTCGGTCGTGGGAAGATGTCGCCTTGACAGTTTCTAGACTCTTTGTGATATTGTCCATGCAAATTCTAAAGTATTCCTCTTTGAACTTGATCGATTTGGGATTCTCTCCATTCTGGTAGAGAATGTTGAGTGTATTGATTGCATTGATGCTGACCTCACTATTCAGTGAGGTAAGTGCTATCGACCATAAATGAGCAACTCCAACCAAATCAAGCGAAACAATGTAATAGTCGCTTGGTACATAATCATTGTTTCCACTTCCAGTTGCAATTGGTATGCCAGATGGTGTAATTGACGATAAACCTGATAATTGAGGTGATGGTGGTGCAGTCGCCGATTGAATATTTGGTGAAGTCATTGGAGATGGAGAAGGCGATGGTGAATTATTATTCTTTTGTTGACCATTTTGAGTTTGTCCATTTTGTCCATTTTGTTGTTGTTGCTGTGGTGGTTGTTGTTGCTGTTGTTGTGGAACTTGTAGAGTATTATTATTATTATTATTATTTACATTATTATTATTACCATTAATTGAAAAGATACTATCACCAAATAGAGATGTTGCCTTTTTAAGTTTACCACTCTTATCATTGATGTAGAAAAAGTATCTTTCAAATACAGCATAGGAAGTGGGAGTGAGAGATGTCCAGTCGAGTGAAGACATCTTTTCGATAAAGAGGTATTTGACTACATTCTCGTGGAATGCAACGCGATCACGTCCAGCGATACGCGTGCTCTTGAGCCACGAAAAGAATATCTCGCTCTCTTCTTCGGTGAGATGATGAGTGACAAATGCGTCCCACATGACATCGACTTGTTGCACATTCAACATGATCGACGATTGTGACAAGAGGAATTCGAGAAAATCAAATCTAGCTTGGATTTGATAGAGATGGGGAAACAGACCACAAAACACGGTCTGATTGACTGGGGTGGCGTGAAGAGTACCTTTAACCTTGGCACTGACAGTCTTTTTATAGGCTGCCATCTCCTTGAAAAAGATATCAAAGATTTTACTCTTTTGTTCGAGCGACTCGATGACCGATCGCAGTTTTTTTGCTACAAACAATTCTACTATATTTACAATCAATGATAATGATTGTACTACTGATACATTATTCTTTATATTTTCAATTGCAAGATCAATATATTGTGTTCTAAATAAATAAGTAAATAAAAAGTTAGTATTAATCTCTCTCTTTTGATTTTTTATATTTGTTTGTTTTTGATTTACCTTAAACCAATACATTCTTGTAATTTTAATAATGAAATTAAATAAGATTTTGATTTTGTACAAAGAGTTTGAGTATATTGATCAGCGATTTGACTATCATTATCTTGAATTAATCTCCAAAATATATCGACACCATAACATTTCTTCAAGGTGAGAATATTTTCTTGATGTTGAATCGAGATTCTCGAAAAGTTAAAGATAAAGTTTAAAAGTTCATTGTCAAAATCTGATGCTTTGAGACTATTGATCAAAGTCTTGTTAAAATATTCATAGAAATAATCCAATTGTTTAATATTTAAATGGCCAACCAATTCTAAAATTGACATGTAAATTATATTTTTTACAGATTCATGTTTTCCCTAAGAAAAAAGAATATATATATAAGTTTGGTTGTTTTGTTTTTTTTTTTCATTTCTTTTTACTTACAATTGAAGAATTCCATAATAATTCTAAATGATGATTTTCCAATTTACCAGAATGACAAAGAAAGATCATAATATGAATACCATTTGTCATAATATCTGGTTGATCACTAATTTTACAAAAGTTTTCAACTATTTCATTCTTTAAAACCCAATTTAAAAGTAATTGTTGATCAATTGGAGGTTGTTGTTGTTGTTGCTGTTGTTGTTGTCCATTACCATTATTATTATTATTACTATTATTATTATTATTGGTCATTCCAGTACTAGAATTCATAGCATCTTCTTTGTTATTTTTTGAGGAATTTGATTTTTGTTTTTTGAGAAAGTTTGAAAGACCAAATCCTTTGCCACCTTGATCCTTGTTGACCCATTTTGCAGACTTTTTAATGAAACGAAGTCCTCGCAACTTTCTTTCAAGATTTGAACTTTGGAAACACTTTAAAGCACGGTTGAGATCAAACTCTTGAAAGATGGATGAAATCTCACTCTGTGCCATAACGATTGCCAATAATTGTTGTATAGAGTGACAAATATCCTTGAATGATTCCTTATCATTGCCAGGTAAATCTTCAAAGAATATATCTAAAAAGTATACAAATACTACATCCTTTACTTTTTGTACATATTCATTTAAAAAACTTGGTAATATATATTCTCTAATCTAAAAAAAAATAAAAAATAAAATAGATTAATAAATGACTTTAGAGAAATGATTATTACTTTTTTTTTTTTTCTTACAGTGACCAAAGTTTTTAATATAACTCTTAATTTTGATAATGGTGGTTTAGTTGATGTTAGGGATAAGATATGATCAAATAAATTTCTTTCAGCCAATAATAACAATATAGTATAATAAAAATTGGATTGTACATCTTGTGGTTTCTAAAAAAATTTCAAAAAAAGATAGATATTAATATATTGTAGTTGATACATTTTTCTCTTTCTTTTACTTTTAAAGTTGAATGTTCTTTTGTTTCTTTTGTACCAAAATCCAATTTATAAAAATGATGACCTGGGCTTAGAATACGGTTGATCGAAGACCACATATCAGGAATATCAAAATGAATTGTATCAATGGCCAATTCAATGGAGGCCTTTAAAAAATCTCCAATTGTATTTAAAAGATCTGGTGTAACACTAAAGAAAAAATAATATTATTGTTAGATTCTAACATTTACCAATTGAGAACTTGTTACTTGGTTACATACTTTTTAACACAAAGTACTGACAAGATGTATCTTGGAATATACATCAAGAATTGATTGAGTTCAGAGTTGTTTGTTGGTAGTTGTTGAGAGGGACTACCACCATTTTGTACCAAATTGTTGAGCAATGTTACAGAGTTGGTTGTAATGAGCTGAGTGATTTGTTGTATTGCCTTTTTCGGTGACACATCACCTCTGATTGACATATCAATATCTCTAAAATATTTACTGTAATCTATATCTTTTGAAATCTTGGTTGTTGGTGGTGGTGTATTTGTTGTTGTCGTAGTTGTAGCTGTCGTAGTTGATACTGGTGCAATGGCAGGACTATTATTATTACTACTACTATTACTTTGATTGACAATAACAATATTATTATTATCTGGTGAAGACTGTTTTTTCATGTCTACATCAGATGATGTTGATGGTGTCACAACAGCAACTTCATTGTTTGTTGCTGGTGATGATGATTTTGGTTCATTGGTACTCGTACTAGTATCGGTTACTTTTAGAGGAGGTGGTGGAGAGGATGTTGATGAAGAAGATGAAGAAGAAGAAGAAGAAGAAGAAGAAGAAGAAGGAAGAGTATCTGTAATCTCCTTTTCAATCATGATTGCAAAGCAACTTTCTGTGTTTTTGGAAACTTCTCTTTTAATCAATCAATCAATCAATCGATCTTTATAACTATCTGTCTATATATATATCAGTTGGTGGGTGGCTGATGATTTCTAGAATCAATGAGAGGGTTTATCACTACTTCTGCTACTGCTACTGCTACTAATAATGAATCTAATCGAACGTATCTGTTATGTTATGTATGTTAAAGGTTTTAAAGAATGGATTATATTTTTTAATAAACCAAGGTACACAATATGATAAGCCACAACCTCCACACCAATTTTCACAATTATTAATAAAAACATTTTTATCCAAAATATTTTCAAAGTAGTCTTTTCTTTCGAAGTCACCTCATTCGTCACTCACAGAATAGTCATCTTCATCCGTGCGTCTATATCATATGATATATTAGTATTATCTATATATCTAAAACTTCTCTCGATTTATAAAGACAATAAATAGTATAGAACAAACTCTCATAATCAGATGTAGAAAGAGAGAGAGAGAATAGACGAGAAGATGAAAAGATATCTATTCTTTGTATCGCTTGCATTGATTATTATACCTTCAATCATCTTTGCAGTGTTTGTGTATGTATATTAATATTAATATTTCATTATATATAATGAATTAATTAATACAGTAAATGTACTCTAACACTTTAGTATTATATTTGAACTTAGGTTACCATCAATATTTAAAAGATTAGGATATGGAATTATAATAGCATGGGCTATTCTATTGGTACTTAGTCTTAAATCACTTATTCATGCTAGGATATTGGATCCTGGCTATCTACCCAAAGGAACAAATGAATCACTTAAGGATGAAATGAGACACATGGCCATCAATATGGGAGATCCTACATCTCCATCTCCATCTCCTTCTCCTCATTCAATTCATCATAATAATAGTAATAATGAACAATCAACTTCAACAAATGAATCATGTACCGATGAAGATGAAAGCGACCACTCTGGTAGAAAATCAAGGAATCATTCACCAGGTTCTGGAAGTCGTCTAGTCATGTCAAATAATCCTCAACATCAATATCATTATAATCAACAACATCATCATAATCAACAACAACAACAACAAGAGAATTATAAAAAAGTTAAAAAAACATTCTATGTAAATAATAAGGAAATAATCATTCACAAGTGTAGTATGTTATAAATAATAATAATAATAATCAATTCATTGAATAATAATATTAACTTTGTCTATTTATTAGAAACATGTAAAATTTTTAGACCACCAAGAACATCACATTGTACAGAATGTAATAGATGTGTATTGGAATTAGATCACCATTGTCCATGGATTGGCAATTGTGTAGGAAAACGAAATTATAGATATTTTGTTTATTTTGTTTGGTCGACAGTCGGCCTGGCATTGACGACGATGGGATCATCGCTAGTCAACACCATTTTTTTATCACAAGAGCTTGGAGGTTTTGGAAAATCGATTGCAGCATCTCCAGTCTCTATTCTTCTCGTAGGCTTTTCATTTCTTTTGTTTTGGACTTTAATAGGGTTGGGTGGTTTCCATTTATATTTGGTTTCAAAATATTCAACCACTAGAGAAGATGTAAGTAAACAACAAAAAAAAGAGGAAAAGAAAAGAAAAATAAGATAATTAACATTCTATTCATTTCTAGATTAAAGGATTAAAGAATCCATATGCAAAGGGTTTTTTTTATAATTGGAAACAATTTTGTTGTTCAAGTCAAACACCAAGTTTCCCAGATGAATCTGATGATAATAGAAATCATCATCATCATAATATTAATAATCATAATAATAATAATAATAATAATTCAACTATGGTGGCAAAAACAACAAAAGTTTATCCACCAGCAACTTATAATGCATTACCAACATCTCCATCACTAGGTATAAATGATAGTATAAATAATAATATTGGTGATAATATTATAGATGTCGACGACGACGATGACTATGACGATGAATATGACTATGATCAAGGTATCGATAGTGATGATGCCAATCATAGTACAGAAGCAGTCAACTATGATGATGATGATGATATTCAAGATAGAGATAGTCTAACAGATGATGATAGAATCATTCTCCAACATAGTCCCTATCAACAAATTAATTCACCAAATCCACAACATCGAAACAACTCTTCTGTTGTTGTTCCATTACAACAACTAGCATCCACATCTCCAAATTCATCATCTTTTACTACAACAACTGCCACCAACACTACAGCAATGATCCAACCAATTGGAATATTTGATGATGAAGATCCAATTGAATTTGAACAACATTATAAAGATTCTCAAAAAATGAGATTATTATCATCCTATGACAATGGTGGTAGGAGTTAGAAAAAAAAGACACTCTCTAGAGAGAGAAGGTCTTTTTTATTTTTTGTTCCATATATATATATATTGTAATAATAATTATTATTTAATTATTTATTTATTTAATTTATTTATTATTTAATCATTCATTTCTGTGTCATGATTAAATTGACTAATCATATCTGTATCATTTTCTTCATTATCATCTTTAAAACCCATTCTTTCTTGAATATTTGTATGTACAGCAGTGATGATTTGTCGAGCCTTGTTGGGAGTCAACATATCGGTGAGAGGCATATTGAGCGTCATGTTGTAAATCTCCATGATGCTACGTGTGTGAATGAGCATGTAGTGTGTATGAAGGATATGGATGGCATTGCGAACACGAGCAATCTTTTGTCTGCTTTCACGTGACACTTGTTTGACTTGAGGTGGCACAAAGAGTGGTTGATCGTAGCTGTCTTTTTCGTGACGTTGGATGAGTTGTGTTTGGGCTTGTTGTTGGGCAGAATCTGCAATCCAAATGTATCCATTGACACCTAGAATAATGTCGACACCACAATCGAGTGTGTGAGCGTGTTGCTTTGATCGTTTGATGAGTGCGGGTGGCACACTGACCAACACACCATTCATCAACTTGCCATAACGTTGATTACGAGTGTGCAAGGCCACAGATCCGTCTCCATTGATTGCTTGCACCTCTGCATAGATCAAATCATTCTCGACGAAAAAGTTACGCATCTGCAGTTCATCACTCGAAGTACGACGACGTTGAATACCACCTGGCAGATTGATAGCAGTCAACATGAGTATATAGTCTTGACGAGCGTTACAATCGACCTTCCAACGTTTGGCAGCCACCTGTGTAATACGTCCCACTATAATATCACCAATCTCTCCTTGATATCTTGAATGGAATGCACGCACCGATACCAACTTGTCCACCTTGTCAACAACACCCGACACACTTGCAATCAACGATCCTTGGTGATGGAATGTTCCATGACCCTTTAGATACTCACCCTCCTTTGATATCGTCGTACCAGGTGTCACTAGATTTCTTGCAAACTGTGTCTTGGGGTCATTCTCATCGTCATACATCTCTTCCTCTTTTGCATTTGATTTATTACTATATACATCTACATCTTGCATACTCGTACCTGCATTGATGTTACAGTTACTCCTATGATGCATTAATCCCAATCTCTTTGATGGTGTATATATATTTATATTAATCTCTGATAAGTATTGTGTTGTCATTGTTGTCTTTTCTGTCATTGTATAGTAGTAGTATTTATTCTAAGCAATGAGTATATAATAATAATATTTTTGTATTTCGTTTCATCTTTCGTTTAATCATCTTATTTTTCACTGTGCCTAGTTTTTTTTTAATCTTTTATTTTTATAAATATTATTTTTATCATTCATTTAATGAATAGTTTGTGGGTCTATATTATATATATCTCAAGATTCATTCATTCATTCATTTTTTATCACGATCTAATTAAATTATATGTATACAGGATCCGAAAGTAGCAATTATTGTTTGTGGAATAAAAACGACAAAAATTAAAAAAAAAAAATCAAAATTTGAGCACTCTCCAACATGCTCAAAGAAGATCATTCACTTTTTTGTTTGGTAGTTGTGTAGTATTTTAATTAATTAAAATATAAAGTAGGTATATCATTTTGTGAACTACATCAGTATCAACAACAACAACAACAATAGTAACAACAAGTCAGTCGAGAAAAATAGACTGGTACAAACTCTTTACAGATTCTTAAAATGGGAGATTGATTACTTTATATGGACACTATAGAGTAAAAATCATCTTTATGGTGTCAGAAAAACGTCTGCGACCGTTCAACTCAACTCTAGCTTCTCTTCTTTGGTTCTTTTGATTTTCATACCACCTCAAACTATATATATCGATAAGATAAGAGACCAACAAACAATGAACATGATTAAAAATCAAAACACAGCATATATATCATATCAACAAACAAACAAACAAACTATATATAATATATCTTAAAGTCGAATAACAACACAATTGTATCATATACAACAACAACAAAACATAGATCTTTTTTTTAAAATCACACACATAAAACTATACTTTTTCTTCTTCTTCTTTTACAACAAACAACTATAATATTAACATTATATATTATTATTATTTATTAGACCCCTCCTTTTTATATATAAATCTTAAAAATGTTAAGACAATTAAATAGATTAAACAACCCAGTTAGACTTGGTTTAAGATATTACAGTACTGCCGGTAAGTTTAATAAATATAAATACATATACATACATACATAGATACTTACCCTTTTCATATTCCATTTAGAACAACAAGATGTTGTGATTATTGGAGGTGGACCCGGTGGATATGTAGCAGGTATTAAAGCAGGTCAACTTGGTATGAAGGTAACAGTTGTTGAAAAGCGTGGCAAGTTGGGTGGAACCTGTTTAAATGTTGGTTGTATTCCATCAAAGGCATTGTTGAATGCCAGTCACATGTATGAAGATGCCAAGACACGTTTCTCCAACTATGGTGTCAAGGTTGGTTCGGTAGAGGTTAGCGTTGCCGACATGATGAAGTACAAGGAAAAGAGTGTCAATGGTCTTACCAGCGGTATTGAAGGTCTTTTCAAAAAGAACAAGGTCAGCTACTCAAAGGGTCACGGTTCGATTGTTTCACCAAATCAAGTAGAGGTTACTGCTGCCGACGGCACCAAGAGTGTCATCAACACCAAGAATATCGTCATTGCCACAGGCTCTGATGTTGTCTCTTTGCCAGGTCTAGTCATTGACGAAAAGCAAATCGTTTCATCGACTGGTGCCCTCTCTTTGACCACCGTACCAAAGCGTCTCGTCGTTATTGGTGGTGGTGTCATTGGTTTGGAATTGGGTTCAGTGTGGTCACGTCTTGGTTCAGAGACCACCGTCGTCGAGTTTACTCCACGTATTGCTGCCGGTGCCGACGGTGAAGTCGCCAAAAAGTTCCAACGTACCTTGGAAAAGCAACACATCAAGTTCCACCTCGAGACCAAGGTCACTGGTGTCACCAAGAATGCCGACGGTACCGTGTCGGTCAACACTGAGAGTGTCGGCGGATCCGGCCACTCTGGCGCCATCGTTGCCGACGTTGTCCTCGTGTCGGTCGGTCGTCGTCCACAAACCCAACAACTCGGCCTTGAAAAGGTCGGAGTTGCCACTGACAAGGCCGGTCGTGTCGAAGTCGACGAAAACTTCCGTTCCAACGTCCAATCGGTCTTTGCCATCGGTGATGCCATCAAGGGCCCAATGCTTGCTCACAAGGCCGAAGAAGAGGGTATCGCCTGTATCGAGTACCTCCACAATGGCGGCGGTCACGTCAACTATGGCGCCATCCCATCGGTCATTTACACACATCCAGAAGTTGCCTGGGTCGGAAAGACCGAAGAAGAGTTGGTCAAGGAAGGTGCCAAGTTCAAGGTTGGCAAGTTCCCATTCATGGCAAACAGCCGTGCTCGTACCAACGACGACACTGAAGGTTTTGTAAAGATGCTCTCTGACGTTGCCACTGATCGTATCCTCGGTGTTCACATTATGGGTGCCAACGCTGGTGAAATGATTGCTGAATCTGTTCTCGCCGTGGAATATGGTGCTAGCACTGAAGACATTGCTAGAACCTGTCATGCTCACCCAACCTTGTCAGAAGCCGTAAAAGAGTGTGCTATGGAGAAACCAATCCATTTTTAAGGCCCTACACATATAATACATACAACAATAAAGAGAATGGCTTGTATACAAGCTCAACTTATTAATAACTTATAAAAGATACAGATAAATATTATACAGATACGATTTGTTCAAAAAAAAAAAAAAATGCCCACCACACTTTTTTTTTTCAACCCACAAAATTGTTATCTGTAGCATCTTCTTCAACCTCTAGAGCAAGATATCCTTAGAGTTTCTTAAACATCCACAACAATACAATCGAAAGGCCGTCCCATTGGTTAGTGAGTGGATATCTAACCGTCAAAATGTCGAGACCTTTGAAAAGGTAACAAATCAGTAGCACTACCACTCAACAAACAACAATACAAGGAATGGTATCATTTGGTTGGTAATCCAGTCGTGGAAGCTATTGGTGATCGTCTCTATGGTATCATGGAATCAACAGGTACCCGTACATTCTTTGACAAGTCACACGATGACACTTTATTCAAATCAAAGATTCAACCAAATACATTAAATTGGGAACAATTCTTACAATCTACTCAATGGAAAGGTGAATCTTTTGATGAATTCAAAGAAAAAAATAATTATTAAATTAAATAATTAAATAATCCAAATAGTAATAAATCATTGGTTGATTGTTAATATCGATCCACTGACAATTATTTTAATGTGAATCGATCATCATAAATCTGTAACATGCACAGGATAACAATGGAACCCCCATCTCATTCTCCCCCTTTACAGCGAGTTGGATCGAATAATAATAATAAAAGCACCACAACAATAATATCCATAAGAAAAAAAAAAAAAACTATTTTTTTTGTTTTTTATTTTAATATTCAAAAAGATTTTAGAAAAGAATTACTAGTATTATTATTAATATTAATATAGATTGATTGGAATGATAATTTTTTTTTTTTTAATATTATTATTATTATTTTTTTGGGGTAAATTATTTTCAAAAGAAAAAAGAGTTTATAAGAGTTTCTTAGTTGTTTACCTTATTTTCAACAAAGATTTCAACATAACCGATCTTTAACATTTCATTCTGATAATAACGCATATTAACACCCGTTGATATGAATCCCAATGCTGAACTAAACTCGATCGAACCATAGAAATCATTTGGTAGATCAAATGTTTTTGAAGTGAACAATCCATGAGCTGGTCCTCCATAATATGGATCTTCGGCAAATGCTTCTGATTCATTAGCTTTTGCTCTGTCAGTATTTAAAACCCCAACACTTTCTTTTCTGGTAAATGATTGTTTATAGATTTCTTCCTCTCCAGGCCATTGGATATCATCATCTTCACGAACATAAGAATAACTTGTTTCACCATCCATATCATCATCATCCAAATCATCACCCAAATCATCTTTCTTTTCCTCCACTGGTGTACTAGTTGTAGTAGTTGTTGTTGTTGTTGTTTTTTTACTCGATTTATCAACTGGGAATGATAAGTATTCCTTACATTTTGCATAGTTTTGTTCTTTTGTTTTTTTAATTCCCATTTTATCGAAAAGATCATCGTCATAACTACTATAGATGTCGTAACGTTCCTTTAACTTTTTGACATGATCCTCTAATTGTTTATCGGTGAAGGAATCAATTGTAGGAAGTATACCATCATACTTTTTAACGACTGTCATGGTAGTGTTTGCCAAAAAATGAGCTCCAATATAATGAAATCTAATTTGAACCGATTTAGCACCAATGTTTTGAAACGCCAATGGAACAGATCCCTCATAACCAACAGTAATTCCTTTGCAACCCGAGAAAATATCAATCCTATTGTTGAAGTTTTGAACATCATAGGAAAAATTCTTAATTTGATGGTGTGGATCATACTTCAAGTAGTAACTTGTAATTGATCTTTGATCAAGGGTCAAAATATCCGAAGTTGGTCTGATTGGAGGTTCTGGGTATCTTGCCAAATCTAGATCTAAAAAGTAGCAAAATACCTTTTCTTGAGTTTCTTGGGATACCATATTTTTGTTGTAAAGTTGATTCCATGTTAATTGAAGAACATCACGACTACGTTCTTTGGCCGATCTATAGTTGGTGGTTCCTTTAATTTCAGCGGGGTTTAGTCCATACTCTAAACCATTTCTATTAATATCTCCATAGAAAGCAGCACTGAGGAATGTGATACCAAGATACAGATCACAAGTGATATGGATGTGCGTCTTATCACTTAGATATATCAACATTGATGTCAATTTATCTTGGGTGATATTAAAATGGTTCTTGAATGATTCTTTGGCCTCTTTCAAATCACCCTCTCCATTTTTAGCGTCGTGTATCAACATCTTGTATTTGTTGTACTTTGCAAATGTTGCAGCCATTTCATCAACTCTCAATTTGCAATTCAACATCCATTGGTCACCCAATGCTTTAGCAGTGTTCTTGTAAACATCATAAATCTTTTGGTTTAAATCATTTCTCAGAGTAGTCATTGGATCTTCTTTTCCAAAAACCTGCTTAAAGAAAACTAAAAAGTAAAACAAACATTTTTAAAAATGACCAATTAAAGAAATTTTCTATCCTCTTTTTACAAATACATACTACCAACAAAAGGTTGGATGGCAGCTCCAAAGTTTGGAATACATCTATAATTTTAAAACAATAAATTAATATTAAATAGGGGATCCACTTTTGTTTTTAGCATTCATAAATACCCAATTACACCAATAAAAACCTGTTGGGCATCATCATTAAATTCGTAAAATTTTCCATTATCTGCAACTAATTTCTTTGGTGGTTTAGCATCTTCCACATCTCCAATTGCCCTTTAAAAGTGTTTAATTTTTGCAAGATATCCATATTTTTAGAATTAGAAAATTGATTTGTCTTGTTTTAAATAATACTCTTAATTCACCTCTTATACTCAATAAAATGGTGGTTTGTTGGCAAAAAGAGAGTAAAAAAGTTGGGGTTCTGTTAAATATCTATATTTTAAATTTTGTAGATAGTTTTTTTTTAAACTACATTCTAGATTCCTAATATATAATACCAGTTCATCTCCATTTCAAACCAATTCAAATTAGGTAAATCTGATATAAATAAGTATGATGAATTTTAGGGTTGATAGTTTTTTCATTCTAAATTAAAAAAAAAAATACCATATAATTATATATATGTGTAGCCAACAAATCTCTATATTTAAATAGTATTTAATACACGCCCCCTAATCATCTTCATAATTAATAAGAACAAAACAGATCTATTAAGTATGACAATAAAATCTAGATTTGAATATCCTAATACAATAGAGTATTGAACAGACACCTTGTTCTACTCTATACACCATTCCATTTTAAATAAACAACCCACCAAGAGTCAACCTACTTGCCAGTGTTGAAAGATTAGATTTGTCAATGTTGTAAAATACAAATGGTACAAAGATGATTTTCTACAGCTATAAGGGAGGGCATATGAATAGAAAATTAAAGTTTGAAATTGTCATTAACTCCCTACATACATATATATTAAATAAACCTAATGTATTCGTTTATTTAATTAATTGGGATAATCATCTGCCATTCCTAACTACAAACCAAGGTTAAAAAGAGGAGTAGGGGTTACGGTTTCAGTTTTCATTCTCCATAATAATATTATATGTTCCATTATTATGGAAGAAAGAAGAAGAGCACCATTATAGATGTGTTAAAGAGTAAAGTCATCACAACACAAATATTCAAGAGAGATGATAAAGATTATCAATTATCAATTGAAAGGTTAAAGATTGGCCGTGACAGAGTGAACAACCTAGATGCACAAGAAATCTTAAAGAGGATGATACGATATAAAGGAAGAGATTAATAATAGTGTAGATGTACAAGAATATACCAGATTAAAGATTGGTATGATGATGTAAATGAACACTTTCAAGTGTATCATAGAACATTGGCAATCGATAGATACGTACAACACCCAAATGCAACATTGGATACGTTAAAGAAACTAATTGAGTCTCAACACACCGCTGATCAATGGTCATTCTCTGGAATGGAGTTGGCTTGTCAGAATGATCATCTAGATGTCATCCAATCGCTTGATAAACACAAAAGTACGATATCAGCTGGTGCCATTTACACTCTATGCGCCTAAGCCAGCTTGGAAAGTGTTGAATATATGTTTGGTAGATACCCTGATCGATTTGATTTACGTGCATTGGAATGTGCAGCGTTTACTGGTAGGTTGTCAATCATTCAACTCATCCATCCAAAGTGTCAAGAGGGTGACGTTGCGACGACACCATCATCACAGGCTATAGAAATAGCAGCTAACTATACACCACCTCTGTACGGTTGACATGTAACAAATATAGTTGGGAAGGTCTCCACAAGGCTGCTTCATCCGGTCATTTAAATGTATTTAAATGGTTTGTTGAAAAGTATATTACTATCAGATGGAAACCATATGCAGTAGCAGCATTACTTTCTGGTCAAACAGAACTTGTCGAGTGGATCATGACAACTACACATTTATATCAAACACATATAGTTTATTTGTTGGAAATTAAATCAAGAAATAAACAAAGAAATTTCAAGACAAAAGATAAATAACGATTCATAATAGAGTATAGAAATAATAATATTGTATCAATAATAATAATAATAATGATAATAATATTAATTACAAAGATTAATAATATGATGATATATTAATAATAATAATGATAATATAATAATAATAATATAATATAATAATAATAATAATAATAATAATAATAATAATAATAATGATAATGATAATAATGATAAAATGTAAATGTAATGTAAAATATATAAACTTTTTTTTTTTTGCACCTATTTAATATAAGAATACTTTAAACAATACAAGATAGAAGGATGGATCCTTTTCACCAAACATTTTCTGTCTAACTCCATTAACGAGGAGACTTTGGTCAATGTAATGCTCTCCAGTTCCAAGCCAATGGTACATCAGGGACTTCTTCACATCTAAAAAAGATTTAAATTGTATTAAATGATGCAATGATGGAAATAATACCCTCTGTTTTTTTTATAATTAATATTTATTATTATTTTTGATTGATGTTCACGATTTAATTTATATGTTAATTGTATTATTTTTATTATTGTAATAATAATAAATTTATAGAATTGAAAATAAATAATGGAAGATCTCAAAGACATTGGAAGAAATGTTGATTGTTCTTCATTCAAACCCATCCCCAAAGGTATGGTATCAAATGAACCATTTGATCTGAAGAAAAGTCAAACTGTTTCAATAGAATGGGATGTGAACCAACACTTGTCTAGAAAAGATCCAATTGAACAATTTGTTATGATTGTAAGTTCATTTTAAATTCATTTTCATTAATATTTCTTGGGCTCTCACTCATTCTATTAATATTTGTTCTTTTTATAATTAATTTACTATTTACTATTTAGAATGCAAAGTTTGATGATGTAGAATTTACTCTTCCAAAGTATCCAGGTCAAACTTTTAATGTCAAACCAATTGCAGTGTACAATCCATACATTGAAACTGTTACTGTGGAAACTGAAACCCCACACCTTGTATCCTATTTAAAAGGATATGACTGGGTAACCAAGACACTAGACGTATTTATTGAAAAGTAAGATACTGATATAAATTAGATTAGATTCATAAACTAAGTACGTATTTTTATTTATATTTTTCTTTGATAGGTGCGATGCAAAGAACAAGATTACTAACCGTTTTGATGGTTCAAAGTCAATCCCAGTAGAAGAAACTGTCCACAAAACTATTAGAATAGGTCTTGTTCCAACAATGATATTCCAAACAGTGATTGCTTATGGAACTAGGTGTTATGATAGAGAGGGAGAAGAGAACGGAAATGATAAAAACCCTTATTATTGTGTGACATGTGTATAGAGATGATATATTCTCAGTCCTATCTAAACACGTCACCACAGATGTTGTTTCCCAACGTGATTGTCGGGATTATTTAGAAGGTGAAGGAGCTTCTCGTTGGCAAGAAAATTAAATAAATGTTGAAAATTCTAAAAAATAAAAGTAATGTTGTTTTTAAATCTACAAACCTTTAGCGATGATATTATGCGATTATCTCCAAGTAGTGTGAAGATGGATATCTATCTTTCCATAGCTAGATCTCTATGTATGTAACCAACCAACATTTTCTTTCATTCTTTTTTTTTTTTTTTAGAATGAACGATAATTGATAGAATTATTTCTCTTGTGGATATCGAATTATAGTTTCCTATTCCATTTACACCTACAAAAAATGAAGTGTACAAATCTAAAAATATTAAATTGTAAATACGAAATATTTATATATATATTGTCGTTGTTGGTAAAAGTGTTGTTCAAATGTTGTTCAAAATATCACACAGTCATCCAAAAATAGAAAGATGGTAAGATGTATATCGAATTGGTGCTATTCGTTGGAAAAAAAATTAAATAAATGCCGCGAATATTTAAATATTGAAATAAAGAGGTTCGACCTTGTATATAAACAAAGATTATTATTATTTCTCAACCCCATACAGTTGACAAACGATAATGAACAAGCCACAACAATAAATAGTTGTTATGAATACTTTTAAATAAACTTTAGTTCAAATTAAATTACAATGAAAAGAGAAAAGTTGTGTAACAAAACCGTTTCGATTTGAGGAGTACAAGAACCCATGTTGAAGGGGAAAAATCTATACATGTTCACGATGATGACGTCGAATGAATTTTGCAAGGCTACGCCTCATTGCATTGTGGTCTGAATTGAACAAACGAAAAGAAAGAAAGAAGAAGTGCAAAACAAGCCGAGCTCTCATCACGCATTTCCGTTTTTGGTAATTTGTTTGCAAATTTTGGATGATTCAAGATTTTTCATCGATTACAAGTGTTGGTAAAAGCACTCGCGCTCTTCCCTCTCTTTGACCAGAATTAATTTCTATGGGGATCGTGTAAGCAAGAAATTGAACAGAATGGATTAGATTAAGGTAAGGGTTGAACAATCAAAGAAATGGCTAATGGGCGTCTGATGATGTACCAATGAAATACTTTTTTCGATTGAATATTCTTTCCAGACTTTAGTTTTAATAAAGACTGGAAATATAAATGAAAGATTGGACTATCAAAGTACAATGTAGTAATTACGTAGGTATTGTATTTTGTGATACGGCACTGTATACTTTAAAATATCATGATGTTGTGTTGGAGGGTGCAAGATAACAGACAAGCAGAACAATCACGATCGTGGGGTGCCTCCCCTATCAAGGAGAGTTGTTTCACTTGTTTGGTGGGTTCGGCAATCTGATCAGGAGGATGATGTCACGGCCACACAGGGTTTGATGGTTAGATATTGTATGACGTGTGGCGTTTTTTCATAACACCAGATATTTTCATGAAATCAGCGCGACCCAATTTTCGAGCTTGCGATGGACATTTATTCCTTTTTTTTGACAATTTTTTTTACGACCTTTCAAAGATATTCTTTTTCTCGAGCATACGTGTGACATCAGCAATCATTCCCACTATCCTCTCTCTCTTACATCATCACATCTATCTTATACTATCTCTCTTCTCTCTTTGTACACATACACATATACATCACTTGCGTTCACAAGATTACTCTCTCTAAATCTAAAAATTATCAATCAGAACCAACAAACAAACAACAAACTAATTAATCAAAATTACGATTTCGATTCACGATCACTAATAATACTCGCTCGCGTCGATCCTCATATCACATACACTTTTTTTTAGAAGCTCCTACTATAATATCAAAATTTGCAACACAAACAAACAACAGTCATTGTCTTGTTTTTTTTTTTTTGATACCATCTAATTATTTTAATACCCATCATTTTTTTGAAGATATTTTCTAAATTTTCTCCTCCTCTCTTCCCCATCAATCCATCCATCCTGCTCGCTACTCTCATTTACTTGAAGTCAATACTACTGCAACCACCACAATCGCTCGCATCAAGAAATACATTTGTTATACTACTACTCTTTTTATAATAAATTTTTTGAACAACATACTTTCAATCCAATTACAATCATTTCCAAAGCCACAGCAAATCAATCAAATCAATTAAATCAACTAGGTTGCCAATCATCATCATTAATAATATATAATTACACGAGTAATTCTACTCTTTATTTTTGGAGTTTTATCTTTTTTTTTAGAGGGTAAGTTTGGATAATCTCAAAAAAAATATAGTTGGTGCAAATATAATATTAATATTAACTCTTTCTTTGTTATACTTGTATTTCCATTTATTTATTAATTTATTTATTTTACAGGATAAAATTAAAGGAATAAAGTATTTATTTAAATTAGTTTTATAAAATTCACCAACAAAATATATTCAATAACCATAGCCCTAGTACTGTCGCTGCTGCTGCTGCCGCTACTGCCAGAGATAATAGTAATCTAACCTCCCAGCTGCTGCACCAATTGACAACCGGAAATTTCCAATTCCCAATCCAAGTTAAAAGGGAACCAACTCAAGACAACGACTCTATCGTCTCGCCATCCAGTACTACTACTGCTACTGCTACTACCGCATCAAACAACTCGTCGATCACACCCGAACAACAACAAGATATTAGAAACCAAATCCAACAACTTCAACAACAAATCTATAATAATTTAATTAATTTAGATCCTTCTACTTTACAACAACAACAACAACAACCACAACCAACTCAACAATCACAACAATTAATTCAACAACAACAACCACAACAACAACAACAATCAACTCTTTGTCAACAACAACAAAAGAAAATGATATCACTATTAGAGAATGAATTCTTTCCATCATCGACAATGGATAATTTAAATTGGAATCAACCAGATTTACAAAACCTTTGCGGTCTTGTTGGTGATCAATTTGATCTAAAACAGTTTATTGGGAATGCTACCAATGCCAACCATGGTAACTCTGCCTGTACTCAACAACAACAACAACAACAACAAAGTCAAAGCCAAGTGAATACTCAAAACTTTGGTTTGGTTCCAAGTACTGCCAGTACCGCTGCTGCCACTGCCACTACCACCGCTACTGGAACTACTGGTCATTTCACTCAATTGCACCACCAACAACAGCAAATCCAACAAATTCAACAACAACAATTACAACAATTCCAATTACTTCAACAATTTCAACAAATTCAACAACAATTAAAAGGATCAGAGATTAATAACCAAATCAATCAAATTAATAGTTACCTAAGTCAAATTGGTAATAGTATATCTTGTAATAACAATAGTAATAGTAACAACAGCAATAATAATACAACCAATGCAGTAGCAACTGATTTAATCAACAAAATTGCATTTAATAATACCAATAACTTTTATCATCCATATTCTAAATTAAATGGAAATATTAATAATAATAATAATAATAATAATAATAACATTATTCAAACATCTCCAAATACTACTAATAATAATAATATTCCAACACCAAACAATAGTAACAATTCTGTACCAAATCTTAATCAATCGGCAAATTCTTTTTCAAACAATCATAACAATAATATTGGAACACCATTAACAAGTTCATCTGGATCTGTTCATTTGGGTACACCTAGATCACCACCATCAATAGGTGGATCCATTCCAACTTCATTATTATCAAATATTATTCAATCATCTTCACCTCCACAAATCCAACAACAACAACAACAACAACAACAAATGTCTCCACCTCAACAACACCAACAACATACGCCTGCCACTACAACTTGTTTAAACACCTCAAATGGTGAAATCAATAGTACACCTGTAAATATCAACGCCTTTTCCGCTCACCACTCTGGTGCCTCTCAATACCTTCCCAGTTCACCACATGACCATGAATCATCGTCTCCCTATTCCAGTTTTAATCAACAACAACAACAACAAGTACAGTCTTCGTCGTCGATTGTAGTTGTATCACAACCACCTCAACAACCTGGAGGGGGAGGTGCTAGTCTCGGTAGCTTCTCGTTACGCAAGCCAATCTCGGAATACATAAAGTACTGTGGAAAGGGGTTGCCTGCTGAAAAGGTGACTGGTAGCACCATCAACTTGCCATTCCAGTGGAGCAAGGATACCAAGGGAGAGCGTCGTCCACGTGTCAATATCAACACTGACGATGACCTCAAGTACATTGTAGTGGCCAAAGGATGCACGGTCGATGCCAACGAAGACGTGTCCAACTTTAACATCCAGGTGAGAATCTCCGACACGTACACATCGATGGAAAAGAACAAACGCAACTTTTTCAGATTGATCATTAGTTTGGACGATGAACGTGACACCAATGTACTGGTATCCAATCAAATCGAGTTGGTTACCAACAACAAGTACTTGCGTACAACCAACGTCACGTCGCTCAAACTGCTGTTCCAGGGAAGAGACGGACACTCGCTCTACCTGATGGACGCATCTCCAATCAGTTGGGGAGACATTTATTTATTCACAGTGGTTGTTGTCGACCAACAAACCAACTCGATCGTATACGCCGTCGACGAGACCGAAACGCATTGCTTTGGCAAGAGATTGTACAGAAGTGATAAGCCAAAAGAACAAGCATACGTCATGCTTCCAGATAATATAATCAACGAGTCACATGTCCTCTACACATGCTACACCACCAAGATCAAGGAGAGAAAAACAAAGTCTGGCAAGACCGAGTCACTACCCCGTAACACCATCTTCCGCGACAACATCTCTCCCGGCCACAAATGGGAATTTGTCGATTACCCTCAATTCCCTTTAAATCAAGCTCTCACTTGTGATAGTCAACCCGTCATCCTATCACCTGCCGAAACTCAATTCTCCTATTATTCAGTTTTACCTTTATCTTTTGATCAAATTTAAAAATGAATATTTATTTTCTTTGGTGGATGTTTTGGTGGACCACAAGAGCGGTCAAACTTGATATAAATTATGAAAATTTATACGAGATTGATTGAAACTTGGCGACCTCTCTGGTAGTGGCGGTGGTGGATGAACTTTTTTGTTTAATTTTAATACCAATATATACAGACTTGTTATAGATTTAAAATAAAAAACCCATCATCAAGAAAGAAAACACATACAATCTTTATGAAAGAAGAAACTGACGACCAATCAACTTTGCCCTCGCGCGGTAAACAAATGGCATTGTTTGGAAACTTATGAATATACCTACCGAAACAAACCCGCACTCCAAGCATTGCTTCATAATCGATCAATTCCCCCCAACACTCAAACTATACTTGATTTGTTCCCCAACTTTGAGAATCCCATTAAATATCTACAACATGTCATCTGTCAACTGTGTGTGTGTATGAGTAACTCTTTCTCTTTTCATTGGTTGTGGAAGAGGAGGATAAAGAGATGTAGGCCAGGAGGAGATGAAGAGGAGGGAGTGGCCGAGTTATCATACTACAAATTTAAAACTTTAAAGGGTTGACATTGATTAAAATTTTTAGTTGACGATTGGTATTAAAAATAAAACAATTTGGGAGGCTTAGAGAATAGGGACGAGAGAGATATTAAAGCCTTGGTCAAGTGAATACCCCTTGAAGTAGTTGGCCAAAAGTTGGATGATCTTGTCAATGGTATTTTTGAAATTTTCGATAGAAAAGAGAGCGTCCATTGAGAATATTTTGAGATTCCATTGTCCTTGTTCTTGTGGTTTCGAAGCAGGTTTGTCGATTGTGATGTTGTTCTTTCCTTCACGAATTTGTTGTTCAAAGGTCTTAACAATAGATAAAATCTTTTTCTCCAATTTTAGTTTCTTCTTGGATGGATTCAAGAATAGGGGTTGTGCCGCAAACATCTTTAAATTCGGTGCATGGTATGTCCTCCATATCATCATCATCATCATCACCACCAATATCTCCCATGATTACATCTTGTTCGTTATCTTTTTTGGGATGATGTCTTGTTTTGATTGCCTCTTCTTGATCGACAAACATAGCATTAAACTTTCTTCTTTTTTCTTCTATAGCTTGTTTAATACTATTTGCTTCTGCTGCTTCTTCTTCTTCTTTTTCTTCTTCATCATCATCAACAATGGCATTATTGTGAGTTTTTCTTTTTTTGAATACTCTTTCTTCTTCTTCTTCTTCTTCTTCTTGTATTATAATATTATTGTTTGTTGATTGTTCTTCTGTGTTTTTTCTTTTGTTATCTTTCTTTTCTTCATGTTGTTGTTGGAAATAAATTAAATTATCTCTTTTCTCTTGATTAATCTTTTCCACTCTTGCTAATGCCATTTTTTCTGCGATTGCTTCTTTTTCATATTTGATGATAGTATCAATTATTTCTCCTTTCAAAGCCTTTGAACGAAAAGTCCATTCTTTGTTAATCACTTTTAATTGTTTTACATTTAACGATTTAAGTTCTGAAATTCTAGTCTTTTCATCATATTGTTCTGTTGATGATGTAGATGATGACGAGGAAGATGATTGGATATTTAACTTTATCTTGGTAGCATTCACCATTCTTTGTTTGAGTTTTACAACTTGAGCTTCTTCTACTCCAACCTCTTTGAAACCACGCTTGATATCGATTTCTTGGCCTACTTTTACCTTTTGAGACAAAAATTTATATGTAAATCTAATGGGATCAAGTTCATAATTAACTTCATGACTGCCCATGTACATCTAAAATAAATAATGATCAAGTTAAAAATGGTTTCTATAGGTAGGATATGATAGGAGGTTAAAACTTACACTTTTGTTGGTAAAAACAAATTCATTATAATCAGAGAAACCTGCAATATTTTTATAGGTATCATAGTGTTTTAATGAATCCAAAGAAAACTCTTTGATCTCTAATTGTACACAATCTTTTTTTCTTCCTTGTGAACACTTGTAAAGGTTATTTCTAACTGTAACATCTGTCACCACCTTGATAAAATCTTTGCCAGTATAAATATCATAACATTTTGATTGTTGAGCTGTGATGTTTGAGAGATCTGCAAAGTGTCTGTCAACATCACTCTTTCCATGATATTGTGCAGAAAACTGCCATTCCACTCTATTGAGGCTTTGTGATGGTGACTTTTTAAGGTCAATACAAAACGATAATATCTCGGCAGACTTGAAATGTTTTGCTCCATCACTCCAAAAGAAGATTTGTGAAAAGTGTCTAGCTTTGAACAACTCTGATGTGGAAAAGAATAGCTTGATACTATGAATCACATATGACGAACAATGATTTAAAACATCTGAAAAAACATCAAAATGCTCTTTAACCACTTCATTTGTCGCTGGATCTCTATGGTAAATAACCATTCCAAGAATGCTTCTTTGTGGTTTTCCATAGAAATTTTGACTGAGTTCTTCTGGTCCCATTCCAAGTGCAATATTCTCTTTAAAGTCCATCAATACAATGACTTGATCCTTTGTCAATGATTCCTTTTTTTTCTCGAAATCCTTTTTTCTCTTTTCAACAAATTCCTTGTGAATTTTACAGGTTTTAAAATCTGTATCTTCCTTTTCTGTGAGCGTGGTCTTTTCTGCTTTTGCCTTGAGCACGTCATATAGATGGCAATATGGACAAGTATCAGTTCTGTTGTTGAAGATTTCAACATCAGATGGTACAAACTTGTAAAATGTACTGCGATGGATTGGTGTCTTTTCATCATTGTCTGAACAGTCTTTGTACTTTTTCGCAATAAATTCAACATAATAAGCATATGCCTGTGCAATTGATTGGCACAGTAGCTTTCTTATTGGTGTCGATACTCTTACTGTCTTATTGTTGGCATCCTTTTGGTTCTTTGTGCTACATTTTGAAGAAGGTTCTGTAATCGTTGTTTGAGCATAAAATTCTTTAATATCCTCCATTATTTTCTTTTTGTTGGCATCTGTTTTATTGATATCAGATCGTCCCAGAGCCTGGCAGAATTGTGTATACTCCTCTGCTCTAATGTTTCTACCAGGTCCATATTGTTTTGCATGTTTGTTGGCGTTTGTGAATGCACCATTTGCAAATTTGAAACCAAAATCTCTTAGTTGTGAAGCAGTATGAAAAGGTGATACCGATGATAATATTCTTTTAAAGAAAGGAATTAGTATAAATGAACTAGAAGTTTTAAATATAATAATATATGCAACTTACTGTGTTTTTGTAAAATGATTCTTTTTCCCATCTTTTGCTTCCTTGTGCATCTTTCTAATGATGTTGAGACAACTATAATCTCTTGTAGCCATAAAAACTGTACCATCGTTGTAGATCTTTTCTCCTTTGGGATCGAGCAACATCTTGATATCCTCTTCCATGTTTAGATATGCTGAAACTTCTTAGAACCTCTGATTGTAGTTCTTGGTCGCCACCTGTATGTCTATTTAACGTGGATGATATTTGTTTTCTAATGCGTTGGACTTGTCTTAATGGGTATGTTGGTTTAACGCGATTGCCAATGAATGGTTGAAAGACTGCTCCTGTTGGTGGTGTTGTGATTGTTTTTGTTGTTGCTACTGCTGCTGCTGGAGATGGAGAGATTGTTGTTGTTGCTTCTGCTGCTGGAGATGCAATGATAGTTTGGGTTGCTGTACTCATGATTAATATGCTTAAAATAAAGATAAAAATATATCTATAATATTGATAATTCATTAATGATTAAAGATATTATCAATTTGATTAAATAATTAAATGTTTATTGATTACTAATAGACATATATCTTTTGAGGGGTAGGTTGCTGACTTAGAGAAAAAATATTTCAAAACCATGGTTGAAAATCGAAAGTAAAAACCACCCTCCTTTCTTTCCTTCATTCAAAATAAACACTCAAGTCTTCCAATTTGCCTCTTCTTTGTTGTTTCATAGGTAGAGATCTGATCTGGTCATTATTAATCCACATCAAGCAGTATCTGATGGGGAGAGTGGTCTGAAAGAGTGATTTATATGGTATAAAACCTTTCTAACTATCTAGACACCCCATCTCCTCATCATTCTCTTCACTCATATTAATATTTAAAAGGAAAAAAATAACTACTAAATTTTATGAGTACCCCCCATCTCGTCGTCATTCGCTTCACCCTCACCCACTCACAGTTATTATAAAAAGGAATACTACTAAATTTATGAGTCAAGAGAGAGAAAACTATGACTTGAACATCAGAGTAGTGACATCACCCACACTCTCACCAAAATTAAATTAATTTAATGATTAATCCCCAACAAAAGCAAAAAGATAGAAATTAAAAAACATTCTCATTTTTTTTAATGAACAAGAGATAGATAGTAATTATCATACACATACACAATTCAAGTCATTTATTTATTTATTTATATATTATCTTTTATTTTTTTAATCTTTTTTAATGTCAAACAAATTCTCACCTTTGGTAGGTGATCAAACATCTCAACCACCACCTCTTTTTCCTCCACCTTCTCAACAATCACCAAAAGGTAGAAAGAAATCATCCAATAAACCAAAAAAAATAACTAAAAAGAAAAAAGAAGAAGGAAAGACAGTAACAACAAAACACTCACCATCCAAAAAAGATAGTTCTACTCAACCTTTATCATCCAACTCTTCAACATCATCCTCTGCTAAACGCAAGCTTTTTAGCTTTAGTGAGCCACCAACTGATGACTCGCCAACAGTTGGCCCACCTCCTCCACTGGTTGGAAAGAAGCCCGTTCCAAAGTCAAAGGCTGGGAAGCCTGCTGGAAAGAAGCCCGTTCCAAAGTCAAAGGCTCCAAACGCCAATCGACCATCAATCATCTTCAAAGAGGGTGAATCGTTACCAGACTCTCAATTATCATACACTTCATACGTAATGAAGTATTCAACAATTGTGAGTAATGAAACTCAAAAGAAAAAGAAGAAGAAAAAGAAATCAAACTCTTCATCATCATCATATTGGACGTTCAAATCTATGGACATTACAGATGACCAATCATCATCATCATCATCATCATCATCATCATCATCATCATCATCATCATCATCATCATCATCATCATCGTCATCGTCATCGTCATCGTCATCGTCATCGTCAACAACGTCCAACAATATGGACACTACAGATGACCAATCAACAACAACAACAACAACAACAACAACAACAACAACAACAACAACAACAACAACAACAACAATATCACCAGTACCAACAAACGACGAACTAATTCAGAGCATTAGAAAGTTGGCCAATTTTATTGGAAATCAAACCACAACCTTTCTCAATCTAATAGCCACCAACAACAAGTGCTTTGAGTCAAATGGAACACCTGTTCCATTTGTTGTTAAGTTTTTTCAAACTCAATGCAAGCTAACTGAAAGTAAGTCAAGAAAAAGAAAAAGAAAAAGAAAAAGAAAAAGAAAAAGAAAAAGAAAAAGAAAAAGAAAAAGAAAAAGAAAAAGAAAAAAAAAGATAAAGAATCAATCAAAAACTAACTCTTTTTTTTTTCTTTAGATCAACTAAAAGAAAATCTCTCCACTTTTAGATTTGACAGAACTTCTATTGAATGGATAATAAGATATTTTGCTCTTGGAGGAGACGCTATTTTTTCAGCAATGGGTAAACATCCGGTACCTCGTATTGACACCGTGGAGGATCTATCCAATGATTCAATTTACTCATTGTAAGATTTAATTTATTTTAATTACCATAGTAGTGGTTAGTAGTGTCTAAATTGGTGACTAATTTAATTTATTTTATTTTAATTTATTTCTTTGTAGATGCTTTTTCATGAAACATGTTGCTCCATTTTTGGAAAAAGAGATGCAAAAGAGACCCAAAATGCTACAAATGCTTCAAAAGTTGAGACAGTTCCGTTGTAACAATTCAAAAAACTGGGTCAATGTGATTGTGATCAACGTTAAAAATAATATCATGGTTTCAACATGTATGTCATATAAATATATAAATATAGTTTTATGATCATTTATATTTTCCCTATTATTAATTCTTTTTTCTTTTTCTTTTTCTTTTTCTTTTTCTTTTTCTTTTTCTTTTTCTTTTTCTTCTTATTCTAGATAACCATTTAAAACAGTTATTAAACACCTACAAGGATAGGAAGATAAAGGATCTTGGAAAGAACCAAGAAGAAATTAAAAAGGTTAAAAAGTTGGTTCGTGATACTATTTATAATTTTTCTAACACTAGATTAAAAAGAGCTGAGAAAGACCAACAACCAGTTCAAGAAGAAGGTGAAGAAGATGAAGAAGGTGAAGAAGATGAAGAAGGTGAAGAAGAAGAAGATGAAGAAAAGAAAGCAGACCGTGTTGTCACATATGATCTATCCGATGGTGTCTACAAAACCATAGAAATCCTTGGTGGTAAGCAAAAAAAAAAACAAACCTATTTAATATAATATTCATATATTAATTTATTTTCAATCTTTTTTATTTATTTATTTATTTATAGGTTATAACCAACAAGTTATTGATGAGTATAACAACTTATCAGATGACAAGAAGAAGAAAAAGGAAGCAAAATATGACAATCGGGTGAGCAGAAGAAAAAATATTATCAAAAAGAAAAAGGAAGATGCTCACAAAAGAAGGGAAGCTATCATAAAGGAAAGAAGAGAAGCTTCTATCAAGTTGCAAAAGTCCCCAAATACATCTTTGACAGTTGATGATTTGACAAACTCACCATCTTCATCACCCAACACATCTTCACCACGCAACCCAAAAGGTAAATTCAATCAAAGAATGAAACATGACAGCATTCGAATCCGCGAGTTGGATGAACTGAAGAAGATCACAATAGAGGCAGAAAAAAGAAATGCTGATCTCCAACAGATTAGCGATACCCGAACACCAACCGTGTTTATTCCCGGGCTCATCAATATTTCATCCATTATACCATCTCTTGGGTAGGTTAAATATATTTATATATTTATGTATCTATTAATTATAAATCAATGTATTAACTTTTATTATTATTCCTATTATTTATTCATTTTAATAGATTTGATATCCAATTCATGTTTACAAGAGAACATGCTAAAAACCTTTTGAAATGTTTGGGTTTAAAAAAGGCCAATGTCGAAAAAGATCACGAGGGTAACCCAAGCTATGCCATCGCCACTCTCTTCCCAGGCTTGTACAAATACGATCCAAGGCTTTTCACAAACACCAAGAGGGTGTATCTTCCGGCCACCCCTCCCACTGATGTTGAAAAACAAAAGGATGAGGAAAGGAGGAAAACAAACAATGACAATAGATTTGCAAGCGTAAGTATTTCAATATTTATTACATTCACAAATTATTATTTCAATTACTAATTTTCTTTCTTTAGGCATTAAAGAAATATAAAGGTAATGAAGATGTGGCAAGGGTAGCTGCTACTTTGCAAACTGGAGAAAAGGCAAAGAATGCAATTGAACAACACAACAAATTGCATGGTTTTAAAAAAGGATCTCATGATAAAAATCGAGCACTTCTTGCAAAAGGCACAATAACTTTTTCGAAAGAAGAAATGTTTCAAGAGATAGTAAACAAAGGAGTAAAGTATGAAAATACCTCAACTACCACTACACCATCTACTTCTTCATCTTCATCATCTTTACCATATGTCACAGTAACATTCGACAAGAAGGTGTCTGTCACCACCAATGGTGCATCAGCCACCGTGACTTTTAGAACAATCAAGTACAAGCCTGGGAACAAACCCAACAAGCTGTACAACAAGCAAGTTGCAATGGAGAAAGAATTTGCTGGAAAGTCTTTGAAGGATGTCATTGCCATTGGTATCGATCCCAACACGTGCTCAATTACTGTCGTTAACAATCACGATGACAAGGTTCTGGACATGAGAATGGATACTCTTATGGTTAAAAGAAACACCAAGTTTCTTTTAGAGAAAATCTCTTGTCATATGGGAAAGGCCATCAAAAGTTTTGAATCCTGTTTACCATCTCTCAAGTGTATGTATACATTTTATAATATTTGTTTGTTTTATTTTAATTATTAAATAATTATTAATTCATTATTTTTTTATTTATATATTTATATATAGTCAATGTCCTTAACCCTCAAACATTCCAATCTAGGCTGGACTATTATGAAAAGTATTGTGATTATTTCGATATCTATTTCGAAGCCATCAATGATCCAATCGTACTATCTTGGAAGAGGAACTTTGCTTTCAAAAAGCAAAAGTTGAACAAAGAGTTTTACCAACAATTTGACAACTACATTCTTGATCTCTTTAAAGATCATTTCCCAACCAAGTATTCAAGTATGAACGATTCTGAAAGGAATCAGTACATTCAAGACAATACAATCATATGTATGTATTTATAAATCATTTTCAAAAAGAATATTAATGTATTAAAAAGTGTATATATATTAATATGTATTTTTTTTTCCTTTTTTCCTTTTCCTCCTTTTTTTTAAAAGAGGTTTTGGAAAAGCCAAATTTGGACACAACACTCGTGGCAAGGTAACAACATTTGCAGCCAAGACTGTTGCCAACAAGTTAAAGTCCAAACAATATTCCGTTGTCTATATTAATGAATACAACACGTCAAGAGTAAGTTTCTTAATTAAAATTATCATTTTATTTAAACATTTAATTAAATTTATTAATTCTCTTTAAACTTTTTAGCAACATTTTGATTGTTTTTTCCACCAAGAGGAGGAAAACTTGATCCATCATGACCTCAACGAACCTCATGAGGATCCAAAGGATGATTTTCATCTGGAGAAATGCCATCTCAAGCTTGGTAAAGAAAAGGATGGAGGCCAACCGACCAATGTCCAACAGTGCTCACCTATCAGCGAAGCATGTCAATCCGCTGCTAAAGGTAATAGTTTCCTTCGATGCAGTGACCACCGGCATCGTTTAGCACTCGTCAAGCAAGACACCCATTCAAAAGAATACAAAGAGTCGTTGGGGTACCTCAAATCCATCGATGATTTGGACAAGAAACTCCAATCACACAATCTTTTGAATGTGGCAGGTCAATGTCGAACAAGGAAGGTGACACCGTCAGATGTTGCCGGTTCGGAGACTGAATCGCGTCAGGACTCTCAAAAAGTTGCCTCGACCCAATCGTCTTCGTCATCAACAAAAAAGTTCGACTATCGACACGGACAGAATAAATATGGTCCAGAGATTAGAAAAGCAAGTAAGTCCCTACACAACAAGCACAGAATGGCTGTGTCCTGGAAACGTGTTTTGTGCACTGGTTGTGGAAAAAGTTTCAACCGGGATGTTAATGCAGCACGTAATATGCTGCTACTTGGTATTTTTAAAGTTTGGAAAAATGGTCACCGTCCGTCAAGATATGGAAAGACAAATTAATTGCCAGGGTAAAAACCGAGGCATCAACACAATTTGGGCTCTCAAAGGTATGATTATATTTATTTCATTTTTTGAGTCATACTAACTCTCTTTTTTTTTTTTCAAATCTCTTTTGTAAAAATTTTCAATTTTTTCTCCTCATTTTGAAATAAAGGCTCAAATCAACAAAACTAAACTAAAATAGCCATTTTTTAGCTTGTATATAATAATAATATAATATAATATAATATAATATAATATAATATAATATAATATAATATAATATAATATAATATAATATAATATAATATAATATAATAATATAATATAATATAATAAATTACTAAATAGTACTCCACACACTCTTTTTTTTCAACATATATAAATATAAATATAAATATACTTTTGTTTAATTGTGATTTCTTACATTTATTTATGGATTCAATAATAATTGTACAACTTTACAAAGATATAATTCATTCCCTTTTGATGTGATTAATTGAAGTGCAACTGGTCTATTTGAAATCTCACCAAATGGAATGGAGATGGCTGGATGTCCAGTAACGTTGAATGGACGTACAAGACGTGACAATTGCATCACCTGGAATGACCCATTACTCACTTCCTCGACGGTTGGTGGGAGTACTGGAAGTGTTGGTAGTGCAATGATTGGTGTTGATTGTAATAGTTGATCGATTTGTTCGGTGAATTGGGTTCTTGTCTTTTCAGAGTCGGCCAATATATTTGACGTCACATTCTTTCCATGTCCAAGTCTTGATGCTACATCTGGAGACACACGATCGAGTATATTAGCATAGGCACTGTAATTTTCAAATGCTATTATATTGACACCAGCCTGAAACACTTGGTCGTGTGTATTGTCTTGCAGAGTAATTGGGACAATCTCACCTCCCTCTCCATTAGCCTGTTTGGCAGCTACCAACGACGTGAGCTTACTCTTGATAAGGTTATCGATATCTTCTTGTACATTGGCAAGTCCTGTCAACACCCCAAACTTTGGTAGTTTCGTTATTAACAATTGCTTGGCATCTAGATCTTGAGGGTTGAGTCGTTCCAAAACATTGATGATAGTGTCAATATCCCTTGCAAAGAATCCAACACAGTCTAGTGATGAGTGTGGTGGGTGTACACCTATTCTACTGACTGCACCATGTGTTGGTTTAAGTCCAAAGACACCGGTACATGCAGCGGGGATTCTAACCGATCCACCGGTATCTGTGCCCAATGCAAAGTCACACATTGAGTGTGCGACGGCTGTTGCAGAGCCTGACGATGATCCACCGGGTACGATACCTGGGTACTTTAGATTATCGGGTGTTCCAGTATACTCGTTGATACCTGTTAGTCCATAAGCCATCTCGTGCATATTAGTCTTGCCAACCACACGACACCCAGCATTCAACAATCTCTCTACAATCTCGGCGTGCTCCTTTGCAACATCAACACTTTCAAATGCACGACAACATGCTTTACTCTGATACCCCTTTACATCGATAGTATCCTTTACACCAAACTCTAATATCTTTTGATCATCTGATTGACTTTGTTTACTTTCAATAATAAATTTATCAATGAATGATTTGGTTTGATCCGTTGTTGTCATATATATATGATTAGATTATTTGTATGTGTATAATATAACAAATATGATGATAATCATTGCAAGAGAGATGCTTTAAATCAACGACAATCATATGATGGATGTATAGATTTTTAAATAGACAAAAGAGATCTTTTGCCCTATGCTTTGGGATTCATAAAAACCCCCTTCTATTGTTCTTCCTTGTACTATACATACTATACTATTGTATTCAAGTAGAATATATAGTTACCCTAATGATCAATAACAAAGAGAGAGAAAGTGTATATCAATCTATTTTTAAAGACTATTCTTGTTAAGCAAGCCAAGCCACCTGGTGCGTCGAATGGTCTTTCAAAGAGAGAATTCACTCAATGACGATTGCAATGAAGTTTCAAGGTCGCTCGGTTTCTGTAGCATGTGTGGTGGTATCGATCTGACCAGTGTCATAGGATGGTTGTGAGAATTGAGAGCCAAATCTCACACATGCATGAATGAGCGGAACGACATCCGAAAATCTTTCTTTTTAGAAAAAGTAATTCTGTGTTCTGAAGAAAAATATCACAGCACCCTTTTAGACTATTTTTGATTAAACCACCTTTAAAGAGTTTATATATCTATTTATCTATTTATCTATTTATTTGTATACATATCTATTTATTTATTTAATTTACCGAGAGTTTTAATCAGTTGTTATTAGTAGTAGTAGTATTGTTAGAAGATAGTAGATACTAAATATATATATTTATAGTAATTATAAATAAATAGCAACGTAGGCACTGTAGAAGAGTGCAATTGAGAGAGAGAGAATGGATACTCATCATTCTTCATCTTACTCTGGGAATGGTCATGGAGGAGGGAGTCATGGTGGAATGTATACAATGAATAATAGTTACCATCACAGCAACATCATCAACAACAACAACCAATCATCTCCATCTGCTTCATCGCCATCATCACCCTTTTCATCATTCACTCCTTCATCTTCTTCTACTCCTATCACTCTTAACAATAGATCAACTGTACATGATATATATGAAACTTCTCATGGTGATTTTGTATGTTGTATAAATGAAGGAATGGAGGAAATATTGATTGACCTACAATTATCCTAATCTAACCTATTCCCTCTTTTTTTTTTATTATTTATTATTATTATTATAGTTTATAGTATCATCATTATCATTTAGAAAGGATACACAAATCATTAGAATAGAGGGACGATGTGGAATGATGATATACGAGGGATTACCTGGACTCGATTTGTTTCCCAATCATCGACTGGCAACTGCTTTTCTTCAGAAAAAATATACACTCAAGTCAAAGACAAAGGCATGCGCCATTCTTGGATACATCGTAGCTGATCGTTCAGCTCATCTATTGGTAGCTACCAAGGTTAGAAGTGAAGGTGAACTATTGGGATTACATCCAATCAGTGTCGTTTTGGAAAGTAGTTGGATTAAAATTGAACTATCCTATCCTTCTTCATATCAACCTAAAATGGATACCAATTCATCTGCCACCACATCATCATCAACCACATCAAATCTAAATTCTTCATCTTCATCTGTACAACAACAACAACAACAACAACAACAACAACAACAACAACAACAAGATTTAAATAATAATAATGATAATAATGTAAATAATAATAATAATAGTTTTAATATTCATGGAAGTAATTTTAGTACAATTGGTAGTTTTAGTGTTGGTAGTTATGGTAGTAGTATTGGTAGTCTTCCAAATACAAGTAATTTATCTAGTAGTGTTGGGGGTAGTACACAACTTCATTTTAATGGTCAAAGTCAACACTCTCAACAACAACAGTCTCAACAAACTCAACAAACTCAACAATCACAACAATCACAATCTCAAGATGATAATGGATTACCATCAGAAAGTAATATTACAACACAAACATTATTAAATAATTTACAAAGTTATCCAATTGATGGAACACATTTCTATTGCGAATCTTATGATTTGACAAATTATTTCCCATCGAATAGAACTACACCCTATCAATTCAATTCAGAGTTTACATGGAATGAATGGATTCGTAGACCATTTGATCAAGTTTCACTATCAAACCTGTGTGTAGTATTATTACAGGGATACGCATCGATTAGATACATTCAAGCACTCAACACAACCACATGTTATATCATGAAACGTTCAAAACTCAATCCAGAAACATTATATCATGGTCATGGAATTAATGATCGTGCAGGTGCAAGCAATGAATACGAATGTGAAATCATCATGTGGAAATATACTACTAGTCAAACTATACAATGGACTAGTAATGTTTGGAGAAGAGGAACTATCCCAATTTGGTGGAGATCAAGATTAAAGCAAAATGTAAATAGAATATATATAAAGTATTTATAAAGTTGTAAATGTATTAACTTTTTTTTTCTTTATTTTTTAGGGATCAGATTTACAAGTTAAAGATAATGCATTTGAAAATTCAGAACAATATTATTTAAATTTATTAAATAGATATCAACATTTCTATGATAATAATAAGAATAGTTTACCAAATATTAATTTGGTCAATTTGTTAAAGACTGATGATCCACAGGAATCACTACTCTCTCAACTATACCAAAAATCATGTGAAAAGGTAATGTCGCTGGTCAATGTCAATCTGAACCTCATTTCATTTGACTGGAGTGGTATTTTAAAGGGAAATAATAATTCATTATCAAAAACCGTTCAAAATCTATGGAGTGTTTTAAAGGATCCTTTGGAAAATGCAGGATTTTCACGTGGAACAGCTAGAGTTGTCATTAGAGAGGATCTATCAAATTCAATGGGATCTAGTAATAGTGAATCAGACAATCATAGTGGAATTGGTAGTGCCGTACAACATCAACAACAACAAAATCAAACAGCAATATTTTATGATCGTCGTATCATTCATGAACAATATCATAGACAAAAGGAGATTCTAAAGTTTAGTTGCCTAGAATCATTGGAAAGAGTCAATATTGTGAGTTACTTTTCACTATTTCAAATCATGGTTCAAATGGGAAAATCATTGGGTATTGGATTTAGTGATATCTATGGTCTAAATAATGTCACGTTGGATTTTATGAATGGAGCACTCAAAAAACTTGGTTTATTTGTTCCATTGACAGAATTCTTTGTTTCAAGCTCTGATATTTGTAATATTCTTTATTTAAATAATCTTTCTCAACAAGCTCCAACCATGAGAGAATATACTTATGCTTCAAATAGTCATCTTTTAGTAAGAAATAGAAAAATATAAAATAGAATCAAATAATTATTAATCTTTTTCTTTTTATCTTAGTCAAATCATAGAAAATATCAAAATGCACATACAGAGGAAAGTAGAAATCTTCAATATTTGATATTTTTAGGATTTTTTGGTAGTTTTAAATTCCCATTTAATAATCAATACTTGACACCAATACAACAACAACAACTAGTTATTGATAGACCAGTACAATGGATATCGACTTCACCATCAACTTGTATAAAATCATTACCAACACTCTTGGAAAAGAGTAATTTGAATTCATCTATTTTGGTTCGAGAGATTGACGACTTTTGTTGGATCTTTCCAGCACAACAGAATGAATCCACTCCAACTTATGAAGTTGTACTATATCTATCGCAGCCATCGGTAGTCTCGGAACTCTGTCTCACAGTTGCCCATGGAACCAATTCAGACAGTTACCCATCGTCTATGGATGTATACCTTGGAAATTATATGGACGACCTGCATGCAGTCGTCCAAGAGATGACTATCCCAAGATGTACTACTGGTACCAAACTCACATACCAACTCCCAAGACATCCTCTTGAACAATATGGATGCATTACTGGCAATGGTGTGAAAAGTGGTGCTCAACAAAGTCTTTTGTCAGAGGATAGAATCATGAACAGAATTGTAAAGATTGTATTTAGAGGTACAACAACCCCTCTGACCATTGGTAAAATAGAGATATTTGGTCATCCAACTCGTATCATTTCAAAACAATTGGCCTACATATCTTCATTAAACCAAGAAAAACTAGATGATAATAATTCTCTTATTTTTGATCAAAGAAGTAATAGTAATAGTAATAATAATAATAATATTAATAATAGTAATAATAATAACCTATGTTGTAAAGTTACTCAAAAAAATAATAGTAATATAGATTTAATTATAGAGAATCAAATATGTAATCTATTATCAATTTTAAATGTTGATCCATCCGAACAACAACAACAACAACAATCTACAGTAAATGGACACCATCACAATGACAATTCAACAAATGGTGGTGATAGTAGTAGAAAACAACAACAACAACAACAATCACAATTTCAAAGATATCCATATCAACCATCTTCACATCTTCAATCACCTATTCAACCACATCAACAAAAATCAGAATTATTGGATGATTTATCAAAGGTTGATGAAACTACAGAAGACTCTCAACTCATTGGTAAAGAGACTGGAGAAGTACTCTTAATCACAGACTATAATGGAGATAAAACATTTATGGAGGAGAATGTCGATCACCATGAAACAACCGAGACCATATTGATCAATACTCCCATTAAAAAGGAGACACCCTACAAGCAATATGAAAATGTCATTAAAAGACTCTTATCAAGTGGCTCGTCGGCAAGTAGTAATCAATTCCAGAAATTAACATTGATGGAAGTATTGGAACTAGAAATCAAGCGTATTACATTGGGTGTCTGTGGTGAAGATCGTGATCGTATCCTGACTGACCTCCAAATCCCATTGAACCATATCAATCCTCTCAGATTCCTATTTGAAAGAGAGGAAAAGATCGAGGTGGTCATTAGAAAGGGAACAAAGTACAAGTCATCCATTTGCCAGCTCCCTCAATGTGGCAAACAATTTATCTATCTTGACAAGCTACGTCACAAACAGTGTCCCTATTGTTACAAACGATTCTGCCCTTCATGTATGTCTGGGACACCGGTACGTGTCATTGAATACGAAATAACCAAGCCAATTGTAGTTTGTAGTGCTTGTGCTCTCCTCATCTCCAAACAAGAATCAATGTTTAAACAGATCGCCGATCACAATTCAATGCTCAACAATGAATTGTCAAAGATTAGCCTTTCATTCCATCAACTGTTGCTACTTCAACTCGAACAACAACACAGCGAACCTGGTTCTATCAATGGATTAATCACATCGCCACGCCACAATACCTATGATTCTTTGTATAAATCTCTCCTTCCAGTCTCTGAATACCCATCGAGTGGTATTTTAAATAGAGTCACTACCGATGTCCAATCACCACCCATCGAAACCATCCTCCTTCCTCCCAATATTCTTCCTCTTACCACATTTTGGTATGCTCCCCCAGGTGTAAATACTGTTGATATCAATATTCTCTTATCTTTTGATGCAATGGTTTATACTATAACACTTTTAGTTGATTCTTTAGGGTAAAAATAGAAAAATAGAAAAATGACTTCTTCAAATATTAATTCCAATTTAAATCTTTTTTTTTTAGATATTTTAATTATACTTTACCACAAATTGAAGTAAGAATTGGAAAAACATTTACAGATCAATTAGAAACTGTTGGTACTTGGATATTACAACCAAATGGTTGGGGTAATAATCCAAATTTAATTATTCAACCTCAATCATGTATATCCTATTATCTTCCTAAACCTCTTCAAGCAAGAGTAGTATCACTAAGATTTACTTTACCAAATATTCCAACATTTTTAACATATGATCATAATGGTAAGAAAAGTAAAGTTAATTTAGATTTAGAATTAAATTTACTTATTCTTTTTTTCTTTTTTTCCTTTAGAACCATTTTTACATATTGGTAGAATAGCAATTCATGGTAATTATAGTGATGGTTTATTTGAGATTCCTTCATTTTTATCATCTTCCATACCTTTGGAACAAAGTGATAAGGAATTGTATGAAAATACACTCTATACAAGTTCTTCAATCACCACCAAACGTAATCCAATCAAGATTATAAGCTCACAAGTCAAATCGAGAGCTATTCATATTACGATTGACCCTTCCATTTCAGTAAAAGGGTTCAGTGTTATTATATCACAAGATGAAAATGAAGGTGTGAGAAGCCAGATCAAGGGTATCACTGTATCATGTGTCACTGCCAACCAAAAAGGAGAATATCAATCACACACCTATGTCACTCAAGTCACTGTCCCGAAAAGTAGAATTAATAGTACTCTCTATTTCGATCTTCCCTATCTGCCATCATCCGTTCATGTACTTGTCTTTGAATTTACATCAAATTATGGTTCAAATGTTGCTTCCCTACCAAGAGTCAATTTATATTAAATCAACAACAACCAAAACACACAAATCCTCTTTTTTTTTACTATTATATAGTCTAATACTCATTTTTAAATCAAAATTAGAGTATTAAGATCCACCACTCACTTAATGACTAGAAATTATAAGAATACCAATAAATATGGAATCTATATTTTTTATTCTATTTCCGTTTACAAAAAAAATAATGGTATTTTAATATTTATTTATTTTTAACCCGAAAATTCTTTATAAAGCCCAGATAATCTAAGAGCCTCTGCATATTTGACAAGAACATTTGAAGTGTTTGGAACCTTTTGCAAGTCATAGTAAATCTTCATTTCATCTTTTGGATTGTAGTGTAAACTGCCTCTGACACGATGACCATTGACAGTGGCTACAGTTGACAATGTGTACAATGAAACTGGATTGGTAATTTGTTGGGATTCAAACTCTGCCAATTCACTATCGGTTGTGTATGTAAATTTGCTGTTTTGATAGGATTCAGTTTTAGAAAGCTCTTCAACAAATACACGCAAGGTATCGCCAATTGCAAAAGGGTCGATTTTAGGAATGCCACCTCTATCTTTTGTATAGTTGCTCTTTACACGGTCGACGTGGAAAAATACTCGATACTTGTAACGACGATCACATGTTTGAGTAATGAGTGTAAGGATTTTATCCAAAAGCGTACTGGTGATACGGAATACATCGTCGGCAATGTGATTGCCCCAAAAAACGATACGTTCCAACTTTTCGAGTGGCAGGTATTCAGTGCCAAAGATTTTCTTGGTGTTGTGATAGGCGATATAGAGTCCATCCATATTTCCAATCTTGGCCTGGAATGCGTATTTAATGCCACTAGATCTGGTCATATCGGAAAGCTCTCTTTCATAGGATTCGTTGAGTCCAACAACATTTTTGAGATGGTAGTCTAAATGAACATCATGTTCCCAAACATGATAACGAATTTGTCTTGTGGCACGTGTCTTTAAATCAAATGTCATTCTTTCTCCTTTTCCTTTAATTTTATCTGAATAACAATCAATTTGTGATCTATACATTAAATTATCAAACTAAATTTAAAATAATAAATATATTAATAAATATATTAATTACCATTTTACTTTTTTGTTTTGTTTTTTTTTTACCTTTGTGAAAACATAAGAATCATCAAATTCTACAGGAACAGAATTATTTGTTTTCAATAACTTTGCAAGGAATTCTTCTTCCTCTAGGGTTAACATTTTTTCCATTGAATGACCCAACTCCATGAGAACTTCATTTTTCTTTGGAATATTACCATTATTAATGTCAATGGCCCAAATATCATCCTTTACAGCTGTCAATGTGATGGCAGTTGGTTTTAATACTTGTGGTGTGAATTTAGACATGCTTTGGAGCTGTGAATTCAATCCAAATTGATTTACAGTATATTTTTTGAATACAGATAAATACATTGCCGCCAAAACACTTGTAATAGATGATGTTGATGATAAAAATTTACATTTGAAATCACTTGTTTTTGTTAATAGTTCCTAAATGAAAAATTGGTTAAAAAATATTTTTGGATACTATCTTTTTTTGTTTTTTAACATACTGGATCTTGAGAAGGAATCATATAGTTACTACTCATGATTAAAGAATCAAAATCATAAATGTGAGATAAATAACTTGAAAAATTGTTGCTACCATCGAAATCGAAAACTGGATGAATTCCTGGCTCCTCTATGGCCCTATCTAGGCCATGAGCAAGAGTAGGAATACGAGAAAAGTCGAGTTGGTTGACTACTTGTGGTTTTCCAATCTTGTCCAAAAGTACATAACCTTCGGGTACAGGTGCATTTATAAATGTAACTGGATGTGATATAGTTCCCATTTCGGTACTAGAAGCATATGAAACATTTCCTTTTGGTCTAGTCACTAGATCCATATCATTGACAGCTTCCAAATTTGATGGATCTATTAATTTGCTCAATTCTCTATTTAGATCTTCAAATGCAACCTCTGGATAAGGTTTAGTGTCACTAAATCCAATAAATGTTTTTTTGTTGGTTTCAACATTATTACCATTTAAAATATTATTATTATTGATTGGGTTTGAACTATTATTATTATTATTTGAGTTATTATTATTATTATTCAATGGGTTAAATGTATTATTTTGTTGTTGGGTGAAATTGTTATTATTATTATTATTATTATTAAATCCACTTTTATAATTAGACTTATAATTATTATTATTATTATTATTATATGGAGTTGTATTTTGTCTATTGTCATTATTTCTATTATTATTATTGTTATTATTACCAAAGTTGAAATTAATCTTGTTATTATTTGGGTTGATAAAATTGTTTTGATTGTTATGATTGTTGACATTGTTTTGTTGTTGTTGTTGTTGTTTATTGTATGATGATAGATTATTGAATAATGGAGGAGATTGAGAAGGGGGATTGGTTGATGGTCTCTTTCTAGGGTCCCATTGTTTATCAACACCATTGTTGTAGTTATTCTTTTTATCACCTTGATGAGAGCCTGTAGTATGGTTGCTGTTATTGTTGTTGTTATTCTTATGATCATACTTGTTGTTATTAAACCTTTCAAACTTGCTTGAAAAGCTAGATAACTTTTCTCCACCTTTACCTACAGGTCCACTCTTTGTGCAATAGGATCTGACAATCAACAAAGAAGTAGATCCGGAGCTACTACTGCACACTGCAGGCGATAGTTTAGATATTCTCATCATTTTTGACAAATGAAATAGAAGAATAGTTTAGTATAAATATAGATTTATACAATTGAAATGGTGATGTGAAGCTAGTTCTATTGATTAGATAGGATAAAACTATGATGATAATAATAATAATTTAAACTAAAAGTTATATATATATATTCATTCGGCTCAGTCATACTTGCAAACAACTGCATCTGGTAGATCTCTCTCGCATTAAAACGACAAAACATTTTTTTTGATTTTTTTTACAATTTTTTCTTGGTGATCATTGTCTGCTGATCATATTCTTTGAGAGCACTCATCATATTCTCTCTATCTATTCTAATATATTAGTAACTATTAACGAAATGTCAGAACAACATAACATCAGATTCCCACGTGGTTTCAACGGATACCCATACAACACCTTCAAGCTCGAAGGTTACGGTACCCCAAAGGGATACATCACCCTTGCTGGTGTTGCCGCCACCTTGGTTGGTGCCTACATTATCTCTGCTGGTTTCAGATCCACCAAGAGTAGGTTTTAAATAGATAGATAGAGAAATAGATAGATAGAAAGAGAGAAGGAGATATAGTAACGGTAACAGTGAGCAGATAGAATAGAATCAGAAATGGACGATCATTGCATACATAGAAACCAATATGTACATTGCAATGAACAACCACATAACTGCTTGTTGCATCTACTAGCGATCTCTATGATTACAACATCATTTAGATATATAAATAGACACATGTAGGCAAGTGTATTGTCAGATGAAATGTTGGATATACATATTGTGGTCAACACACTACCTATTCTGCTGCTCACTACTACTGCTGCTGCTGCTGCTGTTGCGACACTACCCTTTCTCTACTTTGGAATCATCTATATATATATATATATAATATTCAAATACTAATATTTTATTACTTTTCATCTTTAAACAGAGCCACATCAAACTCACAACAAGCAATGGGAGAATGCTACTTTGGAATACGCCAAGACCATCAAGGCCGATCCAATCTACCATCTTCCAAAGGAGAACTAAATGGTTATGCACGATTATTAATAATAATAATAATAATAACATTACATACCCGCTCTTTTTGATATAATATATAAATAAACCTTAAACAACTAAATTATACTTATATTTTAATAATAAATAATAATAATTGATGAAAAAAAAGAGGAATATAGATTGTATACGACCATTTATTTTATATTACTCTTTTTATTCTTGTTATGTTTAGTTTTGATTGTTAATATTATTTTCTTTTAAAGAATAATTTCATTTGAATAATGTCTATCCAATTGTTTGTGTGGCATGACTATACAATTGTAAACAAAAACTTCGTTGTTTGCCTGTGCTCCGGTACCCATGATAGTGATACCCTTTCTCTTGTCTTGACTGTAGAGGAATGGCGAGTAGTTTGGAACACCTTCGATTCTAGCCCAGAACCCAACAACGCTATTCCATCCAACAATACTATACATTATACATGCTCTGTCTTTGACTTCGGTAGCATCCAAAATAATAGAGTGCATCACACGAACACCCTTTCCAATCTTTACACCTGGTCCAATATAAACATTTGGCCCAATCTTTGAGGTTGGATGTACATCGGCTGTTGGATCAATCACAACATTACCAAAGATATTGTCTCCAGTGGCCAATACATTTGGTTTAGTCTTTGTAAAATGATTTAAATATAATTCTTGACAATATACTGGTGCTCTAAAATATAAATATAAATGTTTAATATAGCATGTCTTTTTTGTTTTCTATATATATATTATATAATTACCCAGCATTCTTTGTTTGTCTCCAAAAACCAGTGTATGGATAAACAGTAAGTGATCCAGATCCAGCCAATGGTACAAAAATATCTTGTTCTAATCTTAATCTACCTGTATCGAATCCTCTTCTTGATATTTCACTTTTTAAATATAATAATAATAATAATAATAATAATAATAATAATAATAATAATAATAATAAAGGGTTAGTTTACCAAACATCATTCAATCAATCTTTCTTTACATACGGATATTCAAGAGATTGAATATTTTGAAGAGAAGATTGTAATTCATTCTTTGTTTTAGTCATCAAATCAAAGAATGAAGGTGAAATACAATATACTCCACAATTGATCCAATCAGAGACAAAAGTCTCTGGCTTCTCGGCATAGTGAAGCAATTCGGCAGTGTTTTCATCGCGAATAAGACAGCCGTATTGGTTGGCGTATTCCTTTGGTACCTGTGTTCCCATGATCGTACAGATACGACCAAACTTTTTGTGGAAATCCAATAAACCTTCCAATGGGAATGTACAACAAACATCAGAGTGCAATACAAACAAGTAGTCTGGATTACCCTTTAACAATTCATCTCTATAATAATTTAATCCACCTGCTGTACCCAATACTTTAACTTCATTAATATATCTAAATCAATAATATATAAAATGGTGTGTTAATAAGAGATATATATATATATATCTATATAAATATATGTATGTATGTATCTATGTATCTATGTATCTATTTATATATACCTAATATTGACATTCAATTCTTTTGAAGTTGATTCGATAAAACCAGATAATTGAGAGTCTGGGAAGAAGCCCAAAATGATGACTTCCTTGATACCTTGTACTTTGCTGCATGCATCGATATGATGATAGATCATTGGTTTGCCTGCCATTGGGAACAAAGGCTTTGGTAAACCTTCCAATGAAAGTGGACGGAATCTAGTTCCTTTGCTTGGTCCACCAATTAATATAACTGCTTTGACTCCTCCGCTGCTCATCGTCTTCTTATATTATTATATATATAGTTATATATAATTGAGATTTAAATAAAAAGAAGAAGAATATAACAATAACAAAGTCAATGAATGATCAAAAGACAGAGGGTAGAGTCACCACACAATTAAAAATTTTAAAAAGGGTAAAAATTGATTATTTTTCTATATTTTGGATGTTCAACCCTCGTTGAACTCATTATTAATTTAAATTAAAGAGAAAGAAAGAGATAATTATAATATATATATATATATAATAGTACTATATACCACTACTACGACAATCAAAATATCAAAAATGGTAAGATGATGAGAGTTAGAGAGTTATAAGAGAATGATATACTTACAACCATTACATCACCTACAATATGTATATTAGAGTATGAATGAATTTATGTTTGGACATGTTCAAGCACCAGCTGGTAGATTTAATCAAAAGTTTAATGTATTGAGCATGAATATATCAGGAAAGAGTGGTTTAGAAGCTGGTGGAAAGAGTATATATTATTTGCAAGAAAGAATAGATAGTAAAATAACATGTACTAATATGTATGTTTGATTTTTTTTGTGTAGTTTTATTACCACCAAGTGCATTAAATACACTTAGTAGATTAAATATACAGTATCCAATGTTGTTTGAGATTTCAAATCAACAAAAACATAGATCATCACATTGTGGTATTCAAGAGTTTAGTGCAGAGGAGGGTGTTTGTTATATGCCCAAGTGGATGATGGAGAATCTCCATCTAAAGGACAACGACATTGTAGATATTAAGAGCACATCGCTACCAAGCGGTCAATTTGTAAAGATTCAACCACACAGCTCCTCTTTTCTCGATATCTCCAATCCAAAGGCAGTACTCGAAAATGCCCTTCGTAAATTTGCAACACTTACCAAATCTGAAGACTTTGTCATTGAATACAACAAAAACAAATACTACCTCAAGGTTGTAGAGATCAAGCCACACAACCCATCCAACGCCATTTCCATTATCGAAACTGATATTTCTGTAGATTTTGCTCCTCCATTGGATTCCAAAGAGGCTACACAACCATCGGGTGGGTCTACCCCACAAGCTTCTGGAAATGGATCGGGTGGTATCACATTTGGTTCACAACCAATCGGAATTGGAGGTAATGATAAAAAGAAAAAGACTGGTGACGACTCTGACAGCGATGAATCAGATTCTGATGACGACGAGCCAAAATTCAAAGCATTTGGAGGAGCTGGAACAAGACTCGATGGAAAAGTTGGAACTCCTCCAAAATCAATGATGGGAACTTCTCCAAAACCATCTTCCTCTCCTTCAACTACTTCTACCTCGACCACCTCTTCTTCCTCATCCTCTGGTGTAAGTAAAAAAAAACAACAATAACCACTAATTATTTGATCAAAACTAACTATCTTGTTTCATTATTATTTATAGAAGTTTGCAGCATTCCAAGGTAAAGGACGTAGTTTAAAGGATTAAAAATTTTACTTTACTTTACAACCTACTATGATGATACTATTAATACAAAACGAATATACGATAGGAGATTGCGGAGAAGGAATAGAATAATAATAATAATCTCTATACATAATAAATAAATCCAGAGAAAACACATAATTGTAAATATAAAATGGATCCCTCCCTATCCTATAGTCCTACAAGTTTGATTCCATATTGAACAAAACGAACCCTACTTTTCTGATGAAACAGTGAGGTCTGCTGTGTTGTCCTGGTCGATGTTGTTTTTTGATTTTTGTGTTTTTCTTTTTTTTTTTTTTTTTTCAATCATACCTCTAAATATAATCAAAGGTACAGGCTAGGCAATATTATCTTTTTATATTTATTATTTATCAAAAAGGTCAATCAACAACAACAACATCATATAATAGTCTATAATAATGGCCAACAAACATATCACAGAAAACGCATTGCTTGCTGTCATTGGTGACGAGGTAAACATCATCAATCATCTAATAATAGTAAAAGATACAACAACCATTGCATTCGACTACAGGGCTTGCGATAATCATACCACGCCGACTTGACGACAATCTATACTTAAAGGCAAATGTGACATATAAATCGATCGATTGCAATGGTTGATCTGATCGGCCATTGTATTTGTCGAGTCGATCATCACACAAGTCACGAGTGAACGTGCATACACAAGTGTGTTTTACACCAGAGCTATGAACTATTCACAGTTCAATGCATTGACATTTGGAACAAATGCAATATCACAACCAACAATCACAGATAGAGAGATAGAACCCAACCTCAATGTTTGATTCTAACCTTTTCTTCTTCTTCCTCTTCTTTTTGATTTTAGGATATTGTAACTGGTTTCCTCCTTGCTGGTGTTGGACAAAAGGATAAGAAGAAGAGCGAAAACTTTTTAGTTGTTGATAATAGTATGAATCATTCTTTAAACACAATCAATCAATCAATCAATGATCGCCCATTTGGATTCATTTTGTCAATGGTCTTTATGCAACAATCAACATGACATATGACGATGGATTGATGATTGATGGATTTATAATATAATAATAATATATTGACCAAAAAATATTTTCTTTCCAATTAATTAGAGACTAGCATTCAAAAGATTGAACAAGCATTCAAGACCTATACCTCTAGACCAGATATTGCTATTATTTTAATTTCACAAAAGATTGCCGACGAAATCAGACCATTGATCGACGGTTACAATCAAGTTATTCCAACCATTTTAGAGATTCCATCAAAGGATCATCCATATGACCCAACCAAAGATAGTGTTATGATGAAGGTCAAGAGAATGACAGGTTCTGAATAAACGCGGCGGGTTAATAATTAATAATAGTAGTATAGTAATAAATAAAGAAATAAAAATAAATAAATTAAAAAATAGTATTATAATCAAAAAAAAAACAATATATATATGTATCGGAAAATAAATAATAAGAGTTATTATTATTATTATTGATTTTTTATTAATTATAATCTTCCTTATTCTTGTATCGATATAATGTAAAATAAGGTTTAAAAGAAGGTGAATTTGTTTTGGATTTGTTTTGGATTGGGTTTTTGGATGTTATGGATTGATTGGTTGATTGGGATTTGTTTGTTTACTGGTGATAAGGGTGTGATATAATGATCCATTAAAATAAATGAATTTAAATGGATTTTAAAAAGTATTAATGGTAATTCTATTCTATTCTATAGTCAATGTGTTTTGTTGATTGATATTATTATTATTATTATTATTATTATTATTATTATTGAAAAAATATTTTTGATAGTACTATTTTGTAAATTACATATTAGTTGAATCGGAAGTTGTCGAAGAGTTGTATTGCTGTTGTTGCTGTAATGGTTGTAATAATGGTTGTGATTGTAATGATGGTTCTTGTTGATCATTTAAATAAGATTGTTGAATACCTTGTTTAATTGCCCAATTTAATAAATGAATTTGGAAACCAACATTTGGCCTACTGATTGGACGAATGGTTCGGATGATGTCGGAGGCAGTCTCCATTGAACAACGTTGGGAATGCATGGTCCAGAGGATACAGAGACACGGGCTCCGACTGACACCCATTTGACAGTGAATGAAAACCTTTCCGTTTTTGCTTCTGGCCATCTCGATAAATGAGATGACTTGGTCAAAGACGGCCGAAATGTCCTCGGACGGGTGATCGTTGAGTGGGAACTTTATGTAGGTGAAGGGGTGGTCTTGGTGCGACTCAAAGTAGTTGGGACACTGTACAGAGGCATTGATAATATGAGTGATGCCGTGACGTTGGAGAATACTCAAATCTGAAGCGATCGACTCGCTGCCCATAAATAGATAGTCGGTGACACGTGAACACACCGAGTCGTATACTCTAAACTTGTCCATATCGCATCCAAGCCATCGACTACTCTCCAATGGTTCCTCTGACGAGCTCTGACTCGACGATGTGCTATCCATGCTACTCTGACCTCCAACATAATGTTCTTGGTGTATTAAATCTGTATTGATTCTCAATCCTAATTTAGATGATGATAAATTCAATTCATTTGGATTGGCAAATGTGTTGTTGGCAATAGTAGTAGTAGGTACGGTTGATTGATTGTTATTTACAGGATATAGAATATTTTGTTGTTGTTGTTGTTTTAATAAAACATTATTGTTGATATTGTTGGATGATAATAATACAGGAGATAAAACAGGAGAGTATGAAGAGTATGATGAATTGGGTGATGAAGATGATGATGAAGGTGGAGATGATGTATAGACAATTGGTGTGAGTGGATTGGTGTTTGTATATGTTTGTTGTTGAGGATGGAATGAATCCAAATTTGTCCTGCAGGTATCGTCTGTAGGTACTGCCGATATTATATGATTGACTCCAACTTGTACTTGTTCAACACCTCCACAAGCTCCAGAGGTACCACTTGGTGAAACCGATGATATCGTCTTGTCAACGTTGACTGTCAACCCAAGCTTTCTTCGATTTAAAAATGATGACGAAGTACTTGATGGTGATGCCGATGATGCTATTGTAGTTGTAGATGTTGTTGATGCCATTGATCCCAATGTTTTAATAAAATCTCCCATCTTGGAAAAAAAGAAAGAAATGTCAACTGGATTTTTGTTGAGTTTGTTGAGTTTGTTGTTTGTTTGTTGTTGTTAGGGTTTTTAGATTAATGGAAATCTAAACAAGTAAAGTGAGTGGTTTAAAATAAACAAAAAGTTAATATTATATTATAAAAATAAGATTTATATAAATGATGATTGGTTGTTATTAATGGGATATATATGTCAAATAAGAGGAATGAAAATGATTGCACACAAGAAGAAGAGGTCACTATAGTAGTAGTAGTATAAAAAAATAAAGAATATAATAGGTTAAATGGTAAAAAAAGATTGATCACAAGTAGCAATAACACACACACACAAGAGGAGGAGGAGGAGGAGGAGGATGATGATGTATGAGCATGTAGTTTATAGTTTGATGGTTGATGGATATTGCTATTTTTAAATCTGTTTTTGCTCCTGCCAAATCAAATAAAGTGTTTATATCACTTTGACTTGTTCCAATTCCTCACTCATTGTGAACACCCACCTTTTGTTCTATCAGTCTGTCAATCGATATTGGGTGTGTGTATGTGGATATTATTATTATTATTGTTTGTTGTAAACAAAAAAACAGTACCTTAACCAAACCAATTCCTTTAATTTTAACTCCTCTTTACCAAATTAATTGGTTTCGATTGATCTTGTGATTATTCTTGGCACAAACAATAAAACACTGATTCCAAATAGAGGTCAGAGATATTTAAATAAGGATAAATGTGTAATTTATATCCAACCTTATCTTTCTCTCTTCTCTCTTTCTCTCTCTCCTCAGCACTCTGTCTATAGATGGAACCGATATAAATACATTTGTTGTTGTTGTCTCTTCATATTATTAGGATTGAGGAAGAGATTTGATTTGATTTGATTTGATTTGATTGTTGTTGCTAATCTACTACTCCTCCTACTATTATTATTATTCAACAACAGTTATTATTGGCATTGTGTGTATAAATTGTGTGGTGTGGTCTTTTCTTCGAGAGAAAGAGAGTGTGTGGTGATAAATCAAGTGGTTACTGACTGACGGTTAGAGTAGTTGCATAGAGAGTAGGCAGGAGAGGAGAGGAGAGATCCCTTCACCTTCTTTTTTTATACCATATCCTCCCTCTATCTATCTCTCTCTGTCTGTCTGTCTCTGTAACAAAAATATCGGTTCTTTTGATCAATGCATATGGTGATAGGATGGATGGGTGGGAGGGGTGTTGAAAAATCTATTTCAGGTGGATAGAACTTGAGTGGTGTTGCATTTCAAAGTAAGCAGAAGAGAGGTCGATAAGTTCAAATTAAATCATCATCATCATCATCATCCATCATCATCACTCATTACTCATCTTCGTCACCACCACAATTCCGATCGGATGAGATTAGATTTATGATGATAGTGATTCCATTTTAATTATCGCACAACTATACTCTTGCAATCGATGGTAGCTGTACCACCACTACTACTCTCTAATCCTCCTCTATACTTGCGCTTTTCTACTTTTTGTTTATGTGTTGTGTTTTTGATTATGATGATGAGTTGTTGAGAAAGGATAGGTTGGACGAATTTAAATTAAATTTAAAACCCTTGTTTCCAGTGTTTCCATTCATTCCACTAGTGTTGTTGCAAGGATAGGTACATTGTCAATGTAGATCGTGTGGTTTTGGTATTGTTATTGTTATTGTTGTTGTTGTTGTTGTTGTTGTTGTTGTTGTTGTTGTTGTTGTTGTAGGGTGGTACACTACACATATTTATATATTTTAAATTTAAAATATATAACAACAACAACAACAACATAAATAGATAAAGTTATATTTATCTATTCAAATAATCGTACTTGCTCTACTTCATTGTTGTGTGGGTGGGTGTGTTGGTAACAAAAATGTAAAATATCCTACCTATATTATATTATTGTTGTTTGCTATATTGTTATTGATAGTACTCTATATAGTGAATATGAAGTTGAAGTTTAGTTAGTATCAATCAAAGAGATTCAACAATCTAACATCAATAGTTTTCCTATTACCCTTTTTGTTTGAGATATATCGTATCGTCGTATCTTATCGTCTAAACAACCCAACTATCTATCTATCTTATCTGTCTTATCTGTCTGTCTAGCTTAGATGGGTTGCCACCTCCCTTTGGGAAATACGGGGTGAGAGAGAGAGTCTCTTGACTTGCGATTGAATCTCTACTCACTGGTTGTATACTCGTCTTCCTCCTCTCTCGTGAACGACCATCAACGTTTGTCGTTGTCGCGTCGACTTAAAGGAAGAAGGTATGTCCGTATGTTGCTACTTTTGTAACTTTTGTATATAGTTCTTCTTTAGATAGGTAGGTAGGATCTTCAATGTCTACTACCCTCCTTTTCTATTTTCTTGTCTGTGTTGTTGCTGGGTGAGGAGTGGTTTGTTATAATTAATGTTTTTCTACTATTATTATCCTTGACTGACAATTGTTGTTGTTGATGTCAAGGTTTCTCCTCTCTTTTGCCCCTAGCTGCTTGTTTAATTCTTCCTCCTCAAGAGCTATAGAGGTTTTCAAACAGCTTGTGTCTAAAATTAGCTATAAATCTCCCCCTTTTTTTTGTTTTTCCAACGAGGTTGAGTATCTCTAAAACCTTTTAAGGGATTTAGGGGGTGCAAGCCCTTATCCTCTTAAATTTAATTAATTAACAATAACAACAAAAAAGACTAAGACTTACCCTTTTTATAAAGTTTATTATCTCTATCTCTTTTTTTGTTATCTATTTGAAACTATCTGTTTTTTTGAGTATCTTGCTTTGTAGTGCAGCTGAAGATTGGAATTATTAATATTAGTTTAATATTTCAATCGATAAATAAATAACCAATTAATTTTGGGTCAGTTGTTGATCTGTGAACCGAAACCTCAACTTCACAACAGTCGAGATTGAAAAACACGGTGGGTTGATTAACCAAGAATAGCCCGACATTATGTGTCTGGTCAATTCTGGAAACATCTATTGACAATGAATGAAACTCACCCACCAACCACACTGACACACAATTGTTTTGGTTTGGTTAGCACTTCTCTCTACTCAAATTGATGTGTTTCTGTCGATGATAATTATTTTCATCACGATTAATAATAATAATTATTAATAGTACCCGCACGCACCTGCTGACTGTTTGTCATTCACTCACCCACTCGCCCTAAACAAGTTGTATAAATACAACACGATCGTTTTTTTTTTATAAATAGTTTACAATTAGGGGTGTGTTGTGTTGTGTCTGCAGGTTTATTAATTAATAAACCTAATAATAATAATAATAATCATTGTAGTGAATATATTATTTTTGGTCATTGTGGTTGTAGATCCAAAAAAAGTAAGTAGTATTATTAACTTTAAATGGGTTGGTTTTAATTATGGATTTTCCATAATTGGGCAATTTTGGAAATTAATTCATTAAATGTGTAGATGATGATTTGACTGTTTCGTTAGAATGAAGAAATGACAGATTGAAAATTCTTGATCAATGTTGTAAGGATGGTAGAGAGAGCTGCAATGACTAGGGTGGTACAAACTTTGGTTGAGAGTACAAACCCAAATATACTGACGGCAAGTGGATGGTGGTCGATATAGGACATGAGGAATATTCTCTCGTCCATTGCAAATATACGCCATGTCTTGATAGTTGAGAGCATACTCTCATACTTGAAGTTGCAGTAGAGGATTGGCACGAGGATGACAATGACGAGGAGTGGTGCTGCGGCCACCCAAAGAACATCGTTGTAGATACCATCGACAAAGTAGGCGATTGTGCCATACACCCAATAGACGGTCAAAAGAACGACCGATACGAGTAGAGTGTATCGCCAGTCACTGCTAGACTGTCCCAACGAGACATTGACCGAATAGTAGACATCGATGATATCGTCGACGGTTTTGACCTCGCATGTGTCCTCCCAAGCCGTGTCTTGGGGGCTTTTGTTGGACAACAATTTGGTAAACATATGGTACTGGCAAACACGCAAGAAAAAGGTGATATAGATGAGCATGATGACCAATGAACACATAAATACCGTCAAGACACGTCCAAAAATAATGGTCGTGTTGGTGACGATACCCCAAGTCGACCGATCCAACAATTGACCCATTTTAAAGAGTAGGAATAGGTTCCATGCCACCACACCCACTGCCACGACCCACATCATAGCCACCAGCAGTTTGCACAGTCTCTTGTAGGCCGTCAAGTATCTCGGAGCATATCGATGGTGTTGATTGGAGAGAATGTAAGATTGCAAGTGATAGACGGTTGCCATTTTATAGGCTTGGTATGCCAACACACGGTTTATCGCCATTGCAATAAGCCATTCTATAGCATTACGAGTAATAACCAATGCAAACACAAAAAATGCCAATGTCACCATTTGATGTATAACATTAAATCCAAGTTTAATTACTCTATTCTTTACTATATGATTGTGATTCTTTTGGTGGTGACTTGCACTACCTCCAATACCAAATATATAGTATAAATGGAAACCAATCAATGTTGATACACCACCATTCTTTAAATCATTAAAAAAACTATGATATGTGATTCTATCACCTCGTCTATCTCTACCACCGCCACCACTTGCACCATTTTCATTGTCATTGTCTTTCTCTTCTCTTTGATTTCCATTTATAAATAGATTTTGAGTTTGATTATCATCATCATCATCATCGTCAGAACTAAACAAACTGTCTTGTAAATTTCTTTTACTTGTGTTATCTAATGACATTACTATTATTATTGATTGATATTACATATATAAATAAGTTGTTGTAGAGATAGATAAAAAGAAGAAAGTACACATTGCAATGGTAGTTTGTTTGTCCAAAGACATCATTGTGATCATTTGGGTGGTTAAATTTTAATATTAATATCCGACGGGATGGTCCTACCACCCCTCATAGTCTTGACCGACAAAGACATGGTTGGTCCCAATGGGGATGCTGATTTTTTTTTAAATATTTTGATCAGAGAGATAGAAAAGTGTGCAAGTTGTAAGTTGGACGATGAGAGGGTGTCTCATCATCAACAAGTAGACATTATTATTATTATTATTATTATTATGATTTAATGTAATAGAGTTGGATGTGTTGGTTGATAGTCGCATTCTTGGTTTCTTCCTCGTCTACTTTGGGTATGTGCCTCCTCCACTCACATTTAGTATGACCGATTTTTTTAATTTTTTTGAATATTTTTTTTTAAAAAGAATGCGGTGAACTCAAACAAAGCTAGGTTTTCTCTCTCTAGTACTAACTTTACAACACACGATTGATTAGTTTGCCTTTTAGTAGTAGTAATAGTAATAGTATTATAAACGAAAGCAACAGAACAGATAAAGATGTCGGATAGTTTAAATTGTCGTATGTACGATAAAAAGTACCCAGAGGAGAATGAACTCGTTATGGTTATGGTCAGAAGCGTAGGAGAGATGGGTGTCTATGTTTCTCTTTTAGAGTATGACAACATTGAAGGTATGATCCTTCTCTCTGAAATCTCTAGACGTCGTATCAGATCCCTCACCAAGTTGGTCAGAGTCGGTCGTCAAGAAGTTGTAGTTGTAGTCAGAGTCGACAAGGAAAAAGGTTTGTATCTCTCATCAATAAGATGGTCAAATGACCAATCAAATGATCACACTATAGATCATTTGAATGGATTGAAACACTCTTACAAAGCATATTGTTCTAACAACCATCCATTCTATTTAATACAAATCAACAAACGATCATCATTTTGTGTACAATCATTTTGTGGGTGATCTCAAAAATAATCAATCAATGGTGAATTAAACAATATATTACAATCAACAACATTACATTATATAGGTTACATTGATCTTTCAAAGCGTAGAGTTACACCAGAAGAAATCACCAAGTGTGAAGATCGTTATAATAAGTCAAAGGCTGTACGTACAAGTCGGCATAGATCTCTCTCTCTCACTTTACATGTACTAACATATTTATATTTAACATTATAGGTTCACAGTATCATTAGACATCTTTCAACCAGACTTACACAAATCTCTGAAAAGACAGTTTCTGCTAAACAAATATATAGACAATTTGGTTGGGCCATCTATCAAAAATTCGGACATGCCTATGATGCTTTTAGACTTTCCTTAACGTATGTAATTTAATATATATAGGTTCAAGTCATTCAATCATTTATCTAACCAACTTTTTTTGAAATACTCTAAAGTGAACCATCAGTATTTGATGGATTTGATATTCAACCAGAACAATTAAAGATTTTGAATGAAATTATCGCACATAAACTCAAGCCACAACCACTCAAGATTAGAGCAGATTTGGAATTGACTTGTTTCGATTATGAAGGTATTGACGCCATCAAGGCTGCCATCAGTGCCTCACAAAACCACGCCATGCAAAGCGTCGTTGTTCCACAAGATGCCACCCCAGCAGACATTGACAAGCTCTTTGGTGTTGTCACCATCTCTTTGATTGCTCCACCACTCTACGTTATGGTCGGTACCTTTGACGACAAGGAAAAGGGTGTCGCCGCTCTCAACAAGTGTGTCGAAGTTCTCGGCGAGGAATTGGAAAAGCGTAGCGGTAAGCTCACCGTCAAGATCCCAGCCCGTGCTGTCGGTGCTTCCGATGACCAAGAGTTGGATGATCTCATGGAACAATTGGGTCGTGAGAATGAAGAAATCGATGGTGACGACTCTGATGATGGCTATGAAGAAGAGGAAGATGATGATGAAGATGAGAAACCAAAATCAAAATCAAAGTCCAAGCAATAAATTAAATAAATAAATTAAATCTAAAAATTAATATATTATATAAATAATTTGAAGGACCCTTCCAATCCCAAGGACCCAATTCAATGAAAAAAAAAAAGAAAGAAGATAAAGGTGCCTTTAACACTATGATTTTGATGGTTTTTTTTACATACATAAACAGAGAGAAGAGATTGATCTAGAGAAGAGTATTAATCATTCTTGACCATCATCATCAATCTGTTTAATGTTTGTATTTCTAAAAGGAACATCATTAAAGATTAAATCCTTTAACTAGAGATACATAAATAAATTATTTTTTTATTTTTTATTTTAAATTACAACAAGGTTATTATTATATATGGATGGACCTGTCTATCTATATGGTATGAATGTAAAGATAGTATAATAAGTTTAGTTGGCAGCCTTGGCCTTGATTTCACCAAGGAGGGCACCACGGTTGTTTTCCTTGACATGGACATCCTTTTCAATGACTGGACCAGACTTGTCGACGGTTTCAGCCTTGTTGAGCTTGTGATCGGTGGAGAGTTCCTTGAGGAGGGCACCATGGTTGTTTTCCTTGACATGGACATCCTTGTCAATGACTGGACCAGACTTGTCGACGGTTTCAGCCTTCTTGAGGTTGGCACCAGCTTGAACTTGAGAGAATAAAGCGTCAGACATGATTATATTATTATTTGTCTATTTGGTATTTATAAAGATGTATAAATGTGTTTGATGGTTAATGAAAACAAAGCTTGTTAGATACTGTCTGATATGTTGTTGTTAACTTGGTAGACCAAGTTGAAAGATTTTAATTTATCTCTGACTTACAAATTGGGTATTGTTATTTAGTGAACTAAATGAATGATATGAATGTACTTGGCAATGTACTACTTGAAGTCACTCAAATTGGATAAAAAAAATTTAATTTAAATAATTCTAGCCCAAATTGATTCAAATTCAAACAAAAAAAAAGTGTTGGGTGGATTTTTTTTTTTTGCACCCAAATTAAAATAATCTCTTTGAAGTGATTTTCAAACCGGCTCAGCAACATCACCCCTCGACGCCAGCGAGCCCAAGTTTCAACCCCGATCTGAAGTCCTCTACGATTATTATGGAGGTGGGGGTTAAATCGAATTAGCTAATTATTTTCACAACTATTATTTCTTTTCTTTTATTGATAATCCTCCACACCACTAAATGGCTTGTTTTAGGGTGAGTAAACATTTGAGCATTTATTTTCTTTGGGGGTCTTACACTGACACTTTTTTCATTAGGATTAAAATCACACAGACAACACATTGTTCCAAACTAAGAACGACTATACCACCCAATAAATAAGGATCAATCTTAAACAAACAACAAAAGTCAAACGTTGATTTTCAGTCAAGGTCATAAATATGATTGGCAGCATTTATTTTATTTAATAATATTATTATAATTTAACGATCAAACAACATATTATGGTTTGGAATGGATTGTGTTAAATTTTGAATAGAGAGTGATAGAATATCCTGTTTTAGTCTTTCCAACCTCTCTGTGCTGAGAAAGAGTGGTTTACCTCTACGCAGTCCAATGTCCTCGTCTCCGTGTTCGTCGAGATAGACCGTACCCCATATTTTGATAGAGTTTTTAAAGAGGATGACTATGAGTGATTCTGACAATAACAAGCTGACGCCAATCCCTGAACATGATGCATAGTGATCAATGTACTCTGTATAAGAGCACATTATCTTTCGACAAAACATACATATGATTCGATTACGGAGTTCCTTTTTGGTTGCATTGTGACATTCATCACATTCCTTTTTGTTCATTTCTAAAAAGAATGGAATATATTCTCTAGGAAGATTAACAAATTCAAACTTTTTGTAACCTCTAAGTGGCGGATATATGGTCGAGGTAGTAGTAACAACTTGTTGATTATTGTTATTGTTGTCTTCTTTGATAGTAGTAGTCGTAGTATTGTCAATCCAAGTTTTAATAATCAAATTTGAAACGATTTGATTATTATTTAGAGTTTCCATGAGAGATTCATTTGACAATCCAAGATATTTTAAAAGATATTGATATTCATTATCGATACCATCATTTGTACTATAGTCTATTCTATTGGAAGTGTTTGGATAATCCAAAACCGATAATAATATTCCTGTTCGTCTAAGGAATGGTAAACATAAACTTTTAATCTCTTGATTCATTTCTCCATTTGATATATTTTTAATCTCTTCTAAAATTGTTCCTTTTAATATATTCTAAAAATAAATAATAGGATATTAATATTTGAATTGAATGATTTGTTATTTTTTTTTCTTTTACCTTTTGTTTTAAAACAATAATTGATTGAATAATAGTTGAAATAAATAATAGTTGAACAATAAAAGAGAATGATAATCTTTGATGAATAGGTAAAGATTCTGTACAAATAAACATTCTAACCAATAATCCAAACATTTCAATATTTAAAAATTGAATATTGATTTGATCCTTTTCAGTAGTTCCATTATTATTATTATTATTGTCTTGTTGAATATTATTATTATTAAATATTCTATTCAACATTGAATTCATTTCACTTGTTCTTTGTCCTTGATTCACCAAACTTTTAGATACAACCAATTTAACAAGATTCTGTAAACTTGATTTAAAATGGTGTGTAATAGAATCTAATATATTTGATCCTCTTTTTGATATTTCTGTTATTGTTATAGTTGATATTATCTAAAAATAAAAATAAAAATAAAGAATAAATGTTATTATCATTTTGATATAGACTTTTTCTTTTTTTTTTTCTTTTATACTTACAATATTCCATAATAAATGAAGTTTATAAGGTGAATCTTGATTACCAATAAGTTCTTGTAGTATGATACCAGGTGTATATAATGATGCTGTATGAATTGGGAATTGTTGATTTGTTTGACTAATTGCCCAATCAATAAAAGGTAAAGTTGAAGGAGATATTTGATTGTTGTTGCGATGAGAATAAATTGGACAATCAGAGAATGGAATAATAGTATTTGAGATTCGTCTACAACAAGGACAATGGAAAGAGTCAAGTGGAGAGTGTTCGGCAGCTCCAGCTCGATGATGAGAGGATTGTGATTTGAGTAGTTTTTTATGACATTCAAGATGCATCAAATGAGAACAAAAGTTGATAAATGAACTCTTGACTCTATTGATATCTTTAAACAATTCCATATAATCCATTGCCACTTGTTCAATTGCCGACCCAAGATTTGAACTATTTTCCAAAGGTAGAAAGGATAGGATTTGATTCTTTTGAATATAACTAACATAACCAAAAGGTTCTTTGGTAGGATTCATCTCTTCTTTACACATTGAACAAGACCCAAATATATTCAAATCTTCATCTTCATCCATATCTATATCACTTGATGATGATGATTTTGGTATTTCCTCGTCATCTTCATCGATATCACCAAATACCAATAATTCAGAATGATCTTTTTCCTTTTCCTTTTCCTTTTCTTTTTGTTTTGTCTTTTCAGTACTATGTTTGAGGAATGATCTTTGTTGTTCACTAAACTTTTTCATAATTTCTAATTGTTTCTTTCTGGCAAATTCTTTTTGAAGAGATCCAAATTCAGGAGACTTTGACAATCCCTGAGAGTTGCCAAGACTAGTCGCCAACCCACTATTACTGCTTCCAGAGCTACCAGCCATATCATTGGCCAAATAAAAAGGTTTTGCTTGTTCTACCAAAGGATGTCCAAGAATCAATTCAATCGCGCCAGTGTGTTGTTCTAGGTTTGATGAAGATGTCAACATGGTGTTGAGAAGCGAATAGATTGTATGAGATATCGATGCAGAACCAATCATAAAGTAGCCAGATTGTTTAATGGGATGGAACATATTGGCAACAAAGTCTTTTGGATGAAACCCAAAATCAATTGTTTCATACTTTGGTACTGATGGTTGTTGGTGGCTGTTACTGTTATTATTATTATTATTATTATTAATATTATTATTTTTTAGATTATTATTATTTGAATGATTTAAAACCAATGATATAAGATGAAGAGTATTTGTGACGAGTGCTTCAGATGTACGTGGTGATCCACTAAGACTATTATAGAGAATGGTAAAGATGATAGAGTGAAGGATATCACAGTGCAATATCTTTTCAATACCCGATAAAATGGGGATAGCAGGAACAAGTGGATGAATTGGTCTGTGGTATGATGATGACGATGATGATTGTCCTGTCTTTTTATGATTTTTGAAATAACGACTATAGTTTTCTTCTGCTTTTTGTAATTCGACACGCGAGTAGAGTGGATAGTAGGCATCCCACTCTTCCCAACATTCATCTCTGAGTTGGTATTTACCCTTTTCATGAACGGTTGCATTGTGGTAGATGGCAACCGATTCAAGTACACGGTCAAATCCAGGATGACTGTTGATCGTGTCATGGTGTCTTTCTACGAGATCGCTGTGTGTCGAGTTGCCAATAGCCAAGATATGAATCAAATCTCTACGTATAATCTGTTCGGTTGTAAATCCAGCCAATTTTGAACGATCTGATACCAAAGAGATAATGAGTGCCACTAGATCCTCTGCCATGACCAAATTGTTCTTGTCTGCATTTGATTGGTGAACCGGTACAGGTGGAACGGTCGTTGTCTGTGGTTGGGGTGGTCTGGGTGGTCCATTCGTATTTCCACCATTTGTCGAAGATCTTAAGAATCCAGGAAGCAATGATGATAGAGCTGCACTTGGACTACTGAATAATCCGTGTGGTGATAGAATAGAGGTTGGTTGTGGTGAGGTGGATGGCGATGATACTGGAGATGCTGGTGTGACAATGGTACCATCCAACACAAACCACGTCGTCAATTCGGATCTATCTAAAAGCTGTGCATAGATTTGTTCAGTCTCCATACACAACAAACAGAATTGCAAGAGATAGAAATCAGGTTGACAGAATTCATCGTGTCTGAGATACAAATGGCTCTGGTATAGAACCGATGTACCATTTCTCACCCAAGACCCACTCTTTACCTGTGAAAGGAATACATACAATCTTATAATTGGATCAACAATAAAAGATGGTTCAACATAATTTCCTTTACTATTAAATAAACATTGTTTTGGTTGTTTTTTAAATATTAATATTACTAATAATAAAAAAAAAAAAGGTAAAAGTATTAGTAGTGTTATTGTTATTGTTATTATTAATTGTTTGACTTACAATCATAAATAAATTCAATTAAAGATCGATGTAGTGGTAAATGAATAGATACGGGTTGTTTGTTTACTCTAAAATCTGGAACGCGATTATCTCGAAGACCACGTTTCCAAGCAATTTTTGAAAGACGATGACCTGTACAATTGTAGAAATTTTCAATCTCTTCCAAAAAGTGATTCTTTAAGTTTAGTATTTGTGATTCTTTGATTAGATCACTATTGTTGGATGACATGGTCAATATCAAATTTTGAACTGGATCCAATAAATATTTTCTAAGATAAAATTCAAAATTAAATGCATAATGCCAAAAATCTAAAAAATAAAGAAATAAAGAAAAGAAATTAATAACCAATTAATTAATTAATTAATATTAATATATTATTATTATTTACCATCTTCTTGTTCAATGTGGACTGTTGCAATTCTAGATTGCGAATAAATTTCTTGAGCCAAAGTCAATGGTTTAAAAGTTTCAAATAATTGTTCTGGATTTTCCATCAACCATAAGAAACTTGATTTATTTCTTAAAATATAACTAAATTGAAAAAAAAAAGAGGAGAGGAATTAAAATAACTATAGTTTGTATCAATGTAATAATTAATTATTCATTATCATCATACCATATATCAACAAGAGTTCTAAAATAATGTTTATCTTTAATAACAGGACTATTTACAATTAATTGACCAGTATTCTTATTTTGAGCATTTTTAATAACTGCATTAAAATTATTTACAATGTGAATAAAATCTGATAAATAAATAAATAAATATAATTAATATAAAAATGATTGATTATATTATATGATATATTTTTGTATATATTTACTTTGGGTTGAAACAATTTTTAAAGCAATTGAATCAACTGTAAAGAGTTGGACAGTTAGGGAAAATGGTTTGGAGATGTTTCCTTCGGTGTCATAGTGACGGACAATATCATAGTTTTGTGAAAGATGGATGGAAAGTTGATCGCGATAGTCATTCGAGACAAACAATGAGATGACAAATCTTTCCAATGGTTCGATTTCCTCTTTTGATTCGGCTAATAGATAAAACGTTGATAAATAGATATGTTTGTGATTGTCCTTATCATTTGTAATATCGTTGTTGTCGGTAAAGGATGATGCACAGATTAGTGCTACATTGTCACCTAACAAATCGATTAATTGGTTCATAGACTTGACAAGTTTCATCAATGGTTCGATATACTGATAATTGATTTTATACATTTGAATGGTATCTTGTTGTTGTTGTTGTCCTTGCATAGATTCATCCATAGATGAAACAAATGGGGAAGATGGGGAGAGTGGTGGTTGAGGTGGAGGAGGTGGTGGTGGAGAATTTACATTATTATTATTATTATTATTATTACTACTTTGTTGATGATGTTTTTGAGGAGAAAGTGAACGATGAATTAATTGTACAATGGCAGATGAGTAGAGTTTGATGGTTTGATGAAGACTAATTGGGAGTTGTCCAATGACACGAGACTGCCCGTGAAAGTCACACCATCCCTCTCGCTTCCAAGCAGATATATCACCACAATCGCAGCAGCCTCTAAACGATGGTAACAGTCGGTACCGATGTCCAACATGTTTAGAGGGTTGGAAGCATTCGACGCAGAGTGCACAGTTTTCGTCAAATTGACAATCGATACACTTGTAAATATAGGTATCACTCTTCCACACATTACTGCACATTGACTTTGTCGAGCAATTGGCATACTTTGTCTTGAGGTCATTAAATGATTTCAATTCACCTTGTGTACACAACCACGATGCAACATCTAGTAATGAATCAACCGACAATGAATTCTTTGTTGTATTGCCTGTTATTAATTCAATTAGTTTGTTTGTTACAATTGTTGTATTCCTTGATTGATTATCATCACCATCATCATCACCAAGCCTGAGAATATGATAATACTCTTCAATTTTCTTTTGGTGACTCTCTGTCATATCTGTTGTATAGTATAGTATGGTATAATAGTATTCTTTCTTTTCTTTAATTTGTTTGTTTAAATAAACTTTAACTTTAACTATACTTTCTAAAAAATCTTTCTTTTCTGTTCTCAGTGCTTCTCAAACTGCCCCAACAATCATACACAAATTTCATTTATTATTTTTTTGTAATTACCAAATTTGGGTTTGATGAGCTCAACATTGTCAGACTGAAGCCAAGCAGTAGACAGTATCGAACACTCATGAGAAGTTTAGTTTAGTCTGACGTATCTCCACATATCACATGAACAACTTTGAAGAAGAATCATCTCAAAAAAAAGGGTATAACTTATGTTGATTAAGTATCTACAAATCTTTAATTTAAAACAACAGCTGTTTATTTTTGTGATTTGATTGGGAGTTGTGAACTGTTTGGTCAATCAACGAGTAAACCTTTGGACGATAATTTATTAACAAACATGAATGTGTAACAAAATAAAATACTTTACCTTTGTTGTTAGTTTTTGTTTTTAATACAGAGTAAAAAACAAATTATTAATTATTTAATTTCAAATTATTGTTGTTTTTTTTATTACTATTATTGGTTTGAACCCCTCTTATTATTTAAATTAGATGTGAGTGCTGCTGACAGAGAGACAGACAGATAAAGATAAAAAAGATTAAAGCAATACACAATCAATGAGATTATTACCAGCAATCATCAAACACCAATATAATTAGATAAATAGAATAGAATCGCTGCGGGACTGCTGCTGCCAATTAAGAATAATTATAAAACATAGAGAAAGAGAGAGAGACAAGAAAGGAGATAGTTATGAACAACAAGACAGACTATGAGGAGGATACTCCTCCTCCTCCTCCTCCTCCTCCTTTGGGAAACCATAGTACTCTTACAGACGACAAACAAAAATATATTAATAATGACAATGAACCAAGTAACACTACCTCATCCGTTCATGTACATGCTGTAAATAGTAACAATACCAATAATAGTGGTGACCATCATCATCACCATCATAATCATGGACACTACCATCACCATCATCACCACCAATATGAACAACCAAGTGGAGGGTCGCCTACCGCTGATGAGTTGACCACCAATATAATCAATGCCATGACTACTCCATCAACAAATACGACACCAATACCAAGACCACAACATCATCATCATCATCACCATCACCAAACGTCAGACATCAACAACAACAACAACAACAACAATGTAAATAGTAATAATGAATCATCAAGCCAAGAAAATGTCTTATCACCACCACCATCATCATCTTCAACAACTGTAAAAAAGGCACCTGTATTAGCAACACCGTCAGCTACCACCTCCACAACAACAACAACAACTACAACAACGAACCAAGAAGGGGACCACCACTCTGTAAATACATATAGTCCTAGCAAGGTTCATATTTTAGTGGTTGATGATGACCAAGTCCAAAGAAAGATCCTAGAAAGTGCTCTAAAGAAATTTAAATATAATGGTAATTAATTAACCAAAAATTTGGATAATAATAATAACTATAATTAACAAATTTCTTTTCTTTTCTTTTATTTTTGTTATTCTATTCTATCTAGTAACGGTTGTTACAAATGGAGAAGAAGCATGGAATATATTAATTAATGGTAATACAAAATATGACTTGGTTTTAACAGATGTTATGATGCCAAATATATCTGGATTTGATTTACTCCAAAGAATCAATGACCATGCTGAAATTAAAAATGTTCCAGTTATTTGTATGTTCGAACCAAAAATAATCATTCATTGAGAATTTCAAACTCATTTCTTTTCTTTTACTTTTTTACTTTTTAGTAATGTCTGGAACAGCAATTGATTATAAATATGCAAATGATACAATCAAGATTGGAGGACAAGACTTTTTAACCAAACCAATTGCCAAAGAACTATTGAAAAAGAAAATAGATACTGTTCTAAACAGTATACTTAGAGAAAAGAATGAAATGGATCTTCGAAGTCAATTGTCACAGGAAATGGAGACACGTGCCAAACTTACCAAACAGATGGAGGCCAAAGAACACGAGGTTGAAGAATTGACCAAAAAGATGAATGAAATGGCATCTTTTTCAAGGGATGCAATGGAATCACCTTTGGTATCAGTCACTAGAAGTATAGAAGAATTAATGCAACAAAAAGGTTGGGCTGTACATGAAACTGAAGTTAAATCAAAATTATTATCAATTTTAAAGGAATTAGGGTAAGTCAAGTAATAATAGACAAAAGACAAAAGACAAAAGTTTAGGTTATACTTATATTTATATTCTTTTCTTTATTTTTAGATCATCAAATATTTATCGACCATCATTTGAAAAATTGATAAAGAGTGAATCAGTTGATCCGGTGACAAAGAGTTTCTTGGTGACTGAATTCAGTAGTGTAACGGGGACAAGAAGAAATTCAATTCCAACGTTCCCACAAACATCAAACAAGGATACCAAAGAGGGTATCAAAGAGTGGGAGTTTGACGTTTTCCGATATTCAGAGGATGACCTAATGCCAATGTTGGTAGACATGTTTGAAAACTTTCAATTACTCGAAACCTTTAAGATTCCAATTGAAAAACTTCAAAGTTTTATTATGGCTGTTCATTCTCTCTATAGAAAGAATAATAGGTACGTTGAAAACATATGATAAATGATAGATGGATAGTTAATAACCATATTAATATTTTTCAATTTTTTAGATATCATAATTTTATGCATGCATTTGATGTTACACAAACATGTTATACATTTTTAACTTCATTTAAAGCTGCTGAATATTTGACACATTTGGATATCTTGTCATTACTAATTGCTTCAATGTGTCATGATTTGAATCATCCAGGTTTTAATAATACGTTTCAAGTTAATGCTCAAACTGAATTATCATTACAATACAATGATAACTCTGTATTAGAGGTAAAGAATAGGAAGAAAGAAAATGAAAAAGTAATAATTTAACTGATTTCCTTTTTTTTTAATTTTATTTAGAATCATCATGCTACATTAACTTTTAAAATTTTAAAAAATAATGATTGTAATATACTTGAAGGATTAAATGAAGATCAATACAAAGAATTAAGAAGATCTGTCATTCAATTAATTTTAGCGACCGACATGTCATTCCATTTTGAGTATATCAACAAATTCCAACATCATCTAAACAATCAACCATTCGATCGTAACAAAAAGGAAGATAGACAAATGATTTTAAATTTCTTGATTAAAGTTTGTAATCAAAAAAAAAAAAGAGAGAGAGAGAGAGAGCACTCTATACTCTTTATAAATATTAACTATTCCAATTTATTTTATAATTTTTAGTGTGGAGATATTTCAAATGTTGCAAGACCTTGGCATTTAAATTATGAATGGTCTATTAGAGTATCAGATGAATTCTTTCAACAATCAAACTTTGAAAAGGTGTGTGGTTACCCAGTGACACCCTTTATGGACAAGACCAAGACTACAAGACCAAGAATTGCAGCTGATTTTATCGATTTGGTTGCTCTGCCACTCTTTCAAAATCTGTGTAGATTCTTGACCGAGGCCAAAGTGTTGATGGAGATGATGAGTGAAAATAGACATAAATGGCAAATCGAGTTGCAAAAGCTGGAAGGAAGAAAAGAAGGCGATGAACAAAAAGCAAAAGATAATGACTCACCAACCACCCCGACCACCAATTTAAATAGTAGTAGTTCATCATCAAAATCTGCCGATATCAAATTACCTTCTATTGATGAAGAAGAAATGTCAAAGTAAAAAAAACATAAAAGGAAAAAAAAACCAAAAAAGACATTTATACATTTTCAAGAAAAACAATCATTCATGTTCAAAATCAAATCACTCCAATCATCCAACCAAATCAAATCAAACCAAACTCCAATCATCATAATAAATTTCAACAAACAAAACAAACAAACAAACTCAAATAATACTTTAAGCAAGATATCTTTTCAAAAAGAAATCATCATTCATCCATTCATTTTATTTTATTTTTTTCTCTCTATTAATTAATCAAACCAACAATGGATTACATAAATAATTTAGTCTATTTTAAATACTTTTATTAACCTTTGAAGATTTCTTAAATTAATGTTTTGATTCTTTTCTCTTTCTATCATCTGTAATGTTATCAGATCCTTCTCTAGAGTATCTCTTTTTAGAAGAGAATTCTTTTCTGGCATTGATATCATCGTCACCTTTGATGATACCTTCTTCATCAGACTCTTCTTGTGATAAAAAGTCCAAATACTCTTGGAAGATTTTAGCTTTCTCCTCTTCGTCGTCTAAATCAGTGTAATGTGGAATCTTGCAAATGGTTGGTTTGATTTCCTCCCATTTCGAATGTTTACTAATGGTTCTTGTATCTTCCAATAATGCTTTAAAGTTGAGTATCGCTTTTTGTCTCTTTTTAATTGAATCTTTTTGTTTCTTTTCTTCTCTTTCTTTTAGCTAAAAAAAAAGGTAAATAGTAAGTAAATTTAAATAATTGTGTTTAATTTAATTTACATACATATTCAAAAAATGGAACAATATTTAAAGCTGAAATGGAATTAAACTTGTCATGAGTTGATATGGATTGTTTAAAATCATCTAAAGTAGTTTGTTGTGGAGAGAATAGGAAATTTACATCTTGAGTCATTGTCTTTAGACGTTTGAAATCCTTTTCATATCTAGATTCCAACTCTTCAATAAAATCTGTAAACAATTCCAATGGTGTTGATCCAACTACTTGTCCAGCCAATTGAACAACAATTGGATGTGATTGATACTTTTTATAAAACTCTTTCCATCTTGTATATGCATGTATTTCTCCTTCATTATATTTTTCATTTAAAAATTCCTACAACAAAATCAAAATAAATATTAATAAATAAATAAATAATATTTCATTATTTAGATTGTCTGTCTAATCATTTCATACTCTATAACTATCTCTATGAATCCTTGCTTCTTTTTTAGCAGCTTCTTTTTCAGATCTTTGAGCTTCATCTTCCTTCTTTTCCAATTCTCTAATGTAAGATTCGTATACTTGGAGTACTTCATATTTGTCGCAAGTAGAGATCAAAGCATCATTTTCATATTCTTCTTTGACCTTTCGCCACTGTGTTCTAGATGTAATCGTTAGATTTACTTCAAACTTTGCTTTGATCTGTTTCATCAAGTCTCGTTTGGCCAAATCCTTGTCTTCCTTTTCCTTTTTCTCCAAATCGATAACAACCATTCTAAACAAATCCTCTCTTTCTCTTTCACTTTCAACTGCCATCCATTTAGGATCACCATCAAAATATAAACTTGCTCGTCTAAATAAGAAAGATCATTAGTACAAGTATACTTTTATAATTTGTTTGTTTGTTTGTTTGTTGTGACATACCTCCAAGTCATTGAAGAGGTAACTTCACCAGACTCTTTTAATAGTTTGATGAGAGCTTCTCTATTTTTCTTGTCTTGTTTCTTCTTTTCTTCGTATTCGTATTTCTTTCGATCGACCATATACTCTTGATAGGCAGATTTTCGCTCGCTCATTGTCTTGAGTACTTGGTATCGTTCGTCGTTGATAATCACTCTTTGTGCTCTTTCAAATGACCAACTACTTGCAACATCATGACTCTGTAACAACTCTTTAAACATTTTAATTGATGCTTCTTTACTATTTGGTTCGTATGTTGTTGGTGTAGGTGTAGGTGTTGTTGTTGATGGTGCTTCATCTCCATTACTATTATTATTATTATTATTGTTATTATGATGTTGATGATGATGATGATGATTGTTATGATTGTTATTGTTATTGTTGTTATTGTTATTATGTAAGTTGTCAGCCGTTGGCAAGTCCCATTTCGTTTCATTGGTGATTGCATTATGATAGTACTTTTTGCCATTCTCTGCAACATATTCCTTCCAATTTGGTGGTAGTGATACAGGTACGCTAGATGCTGCTCCCGATGATGATGATACAGCACCGTTTGACGACGACGACGACGATGATGATGATGAAGATGAACCAGCAGCCAACTCTTGAGGTGTCTTTAGTTCATCGGGTTTCTCCCAAACAGATACTCTAGTCACTTTATGATAGTAGAACTTCTTACCATCCGCTGATGTTGCCTCTGCCCATTGATCACTCATCTCCCTCTAATCTCTCTCTATAGATATCGAAATATATCTTGACACGAAGAAGTTCAACAATACAACTACAATCTTTGAAACAGCAATTTTATTGCTCAAAAATTAATTTATAACAAAATCAAAAGTATCAACCTATATATATTAAATCAACCACCTATCAGTGATCACAATAAAAAGAATGTCATTCACAAGTTCATCATCGTCTGTCGTTTGTGTCTGTATGTCAACACAAACAAAGAAATAAACATAAAAATATTATTATCACATGCAATATAAATTATTTAAAAAAATAATACAAATCGGGTTGGTAAAATTGGGTTGTTGAAAATTGCTTTGCAAGCTCAAGTTGGCATGTCAAACGAATAGTTGTTTGAATTTTATATAAGTTATAGTATTAAAGTATAGGTATAGGTATAGTATAGTTATCTTACTAAACTATTTAATAATAGAATCAACAAACAAAGGACAGAATATAGATAGATAGATAGATAGATATTATCAATCATCCCCACTAGCCAGCTGACACAGAGTATTCTTTATACAAGAGGAGAGTGTTTGATCTCCCTCTCGAGAGAGTAGAAGCAATCTTTGTATCTTTACACGACAAGGCATGGTAGATTTGTTTCGATTTAATAGGCGTCAGAGTACTCGTCACTCTTCTTCTTCTTCTTTATTCTTCTTGTATATAATTATTCTTTTATCATGTATATTATTATTTCAAATAACTACAGTGTCTTGTGCCATAGATGTATGTACTATACTAAATCATAGAGATAGAGATAGAGATGGATATGGAATATGATCATTGACAGTAACTAACTATTTTTTGATTTGATATGTAGGATACATTTGTTTCAGTACCGACATCTGCAGACTCTCAACAAAAAGACAAGTATGCATCGACTAGTTCCGCAACATCAACCTATTCTCAATCGTCTGCTGCAATGACTAGTGGTAGTAGCGGCAATGAAAACACTCTTTTACATACCAACAATAATGCAACTGGCGAAACATTAACCGATAGTAGTGGCAGTAATAATGCTGGTGGTGTACCAAGTATTGGAAGTGGTATTAATAATAGTCAAGGTAGTAGTAGCAGCAGTAGTGGAGACAGCAGTAGCAGTAGTAGTCAACAAGTACAAACTGAACAATATCCTCGTAACATTACATTTATCTACAAGGGTGATTGGAGTGTCAATAATGGATCATCTTTGGCAACACTTTCATTTACGAAAAACACTGGACACACATTATTTAGTATCATAAACTATCCACTTCAAACTTCATCCAATGTTGATTTTGTCGAAGGTGAAATGGTCATTAGAGATGGTGTCTACACAACAGACACTACAAAGAAATATTTCCTCTATGGTATCTATGAATATAAAATTGGTCTCTTAACTTTAATTGCTTTACCAAACAAGTATTTATCTCTACAAAAAAACCATTGAAAAACTATATAATTATTTATCTCTCTCTCTCTCTAACACATATCTTCATTTCATTCTTTCAGTATTCATTATTCAACATCAATACAATTTAGTGATAATTCAACGGTACCTGAAATTCGAGATATATTAAACAAGATTCTAAGTAATATTACATCTACAAATGATTGTGGATTTAATGTCAATATTCAATTTGAATCATTATCTTCTGATGGTATGATATATAGAGTATAAACTATAACATTTGATAATAACAAGTATTCTATTCTATTTAGTACAAGAATCAAATGAAAATCAAATAAGATTATCAGGATCTTATGTTAGTACATTTTGTATGTTGGATATAAAGATTGAAGCAGCTTCAATATTATTAAGTGTCTATCAATCAAAACGAATCAATTATATTTTGATGGTTACACTTTGTTCATTTATACAGATTTTCGTTTTAATCAAACAAATGGACTATACTGGAACACAAACAGGTGCGGCAAAGGTATCGCTCTACACTGTTGGAATGCAAACCATTATCGATGCCTATCTATGTCTTATTCATTTAACCGCTGGTATCGTTATCGAATCAATGTTTAATGCATTTGCCACTGCTGCCTTTTTCCAATTTGTTAGTTTTTCATTATTTGGAATGCGTTATCTATTAATCATTCTCAAAGCAAGAAGACCACAAGCTTTTGCTGATGGTTGGCGTAAGTCTAGAAACACACAAAATTAATAATTAATTAATAATACTAACCCATCAAATTCATTTATTTTTTGTTCTATTCTATAGATTCATTACGTAGAGAATTTTCAATATTTTATTTAAGATTTTGTAAGTAATAACTATACCATCATCATCAACATTATTATTACAAATTTATTAATTAACTAATAATAATTATTTTTATTTAGATTCATTTTTAATTGGAGGATTTATGATCATTTATTATATGAGTCATTTATTCCATTTGTTTTTATTTATAATGTATTCATTTTGGGTTCCACAAATATACAACAATGCAACAAGATGCACGAGAAGACCATTCCTATGGCAATATGTTTTGGGAATGTCTTTTTCAAGACTTGCCATTCCACTATACTTTTTCGGCTGTCCTTATAATTTTATCCCTGTGGAACCAGACTACACTTTTAGTCTTATGTTGTTCAATTGGATGTGTCTCCAAATCTTTGTATTATATTTACAAGAAAAATGGGGTCCACAATTCTTTATTCCAAAAAGAGTAAGTCAATTAAAAAAAAAGAATTTAATAATGGAATTTCTGCAAATTGACTAAATTACTTTCCTGCTATTTAGTTTTTACCACCAAAATATCAATACGCTCGACAAATTGCACCAACAATTCGAGATGGACAACAATGCGTTATTTGTATGTGTGATGTGGAAGCCGACGACAATGATTATATGATTACTCCTTGCGACCATTTATTCCATTCAAGATGTTTATTGGAGTGGATAGAATACAAGATGAGTTGTCCTGTTTGTAGAAGAGACCTGCCTCCGATTTAACCATATAAAGCCTAGCTATGGAACTCAATCATTTAACAATCAATTGTAAATCACATTCATTCATTCTACAAATGAGTGTACCCATATAATTGCAATTACACATATACACACAACAACACAAAACAAGTACTATACTATCATTAAAACAATTATTTATAACATATAACAATAGAAAATTTATAATTAATTTATTATACAGGTCAAAGACAAGTTTTATTATTAAACGAATTATTATTATTATCAAACCCAAAAAAATTGACCAGGGACTTTGCGCCTCGATCTACAGAGAAAAAAATAACCTTTTGTGAGATAATCGGGAACCTGTGGCTTCTTTGTTGGTCAAACTCGTTCGTCGTTGATTTTTATTTTTCAACTTTGAGAGACTGTATATATATATAATCAAAAGAATGATAGATAGGTTTATGATTAAAAGAGTATTACTATTCATTCAGTTTTGATTCCTTGTCATCGTTGCAATATCTGAGAGTTGTCAAGGATGGTATACAATTCAAAGGTCGATTCATTGATGTTGCACTGTCTGATGGAAGACCAACCTATTCACAAACCCAACTATTATCAACTAGTAAACTCAATGATGAACAAGCGATTGTATTGATTGGAATTGGATTTCCTCAATGCTCAGAGGAATGTATTCTTGACCCCGACTTTTCTGCATTAATTGTAGATACTGATAATGGTCAATGTAACTCTGACAGCAAAAAGTGGAGTATGATTGTTGGCATTGTAGTTGGGGTAGTTGGAGCTGTAGCACTATCAATCATTATCTTATATGGTATCAAGAAATATAAAAGATATTTATTATTAAATCAAAAATCAATCACAATGACAAATATTAAAAATTAAAAATAAATAAACATTACTAGTATTAATTGATCAATGATTATTTATTTATTTATTTATTTATTTAGTTAAAAAAGTTCAGTTAATGAAGCTCCACCATAAGAACGATAACCAACGGTTACCTTTTCCAAAGATCTTGGTAATACTCCATACTTGAGTGAATGATTATAATCAGCAATAAATGTTAATACTTTTAGAGATGATGGCAATACACCTGCTGAGATTGGTTGATTAAAGTTATAACCAAATGTCAACTCTACCAATGATTGTGGTAATACACCTACTGTAATTGGTTGGTTATACTTTTTGGCAAGTAGTAACTTTTCCAAAGATGATGGTAATGCACCTACTGCCAAAGGTAGATTATAACTTCCACCAAATATTAATTCTTTCAATGACGATGGTAACACTCCGACTGCAATTGCTTGTTTGTACTTTTGGGCAAGTTGCAACTTTTCCAAAGATGATGGTAATACTCCTACTGCAATTTCCTGATTATAGTCCCAATCAAATACCAACTCTTTCAATGATGATGGTAATACTCCTACTGATAATGGTTGGTTATACTTTGAACCAAACTTTAACTTTTGCAAGGATGATGGTAATACACCTACTGATAAAACTTGATTAAACTTGTCACCAAACGTTAAAACTTGCAAAGATGATGGTAATACACCTACTTCTACAGCTTGATTAAATATATAACCAAATGTCAACTCTACCAATGATTGTGGTAATACACCAACAGCTATTGGTTGGTTATAAGCTCCACCAAAAGACAACTTTTCCAATGAAGATGGTAATACACCTACTGATACTGGTTGACCATAGTAATCACCAAACTTTAATACTTTTAATGAGCGTGGTAATACTCCAACTGATGTTTGTTGATTATAGCAATCACCAAATTTCAACACTTGCAATGACGATGGTAAAACTCCTACTGATAGTTCTTCATTAAACCAATTACCAAATGTCAACTCGACCAACGATGATGGTAATACACCTACTGATAGAGGTTGACTATACTCTTTACCAAACTCTAGCTTTTGCAATGATGATGGTATAACACCAACTGATAGTGGTTGATTATACTTTTCACCAAATGATAGCACTCTTAATGATGATGGTAATACTCCTACTGATATTGGTTGATCATATTCGAAACCAAATGATAACACCTCCAATGATGATGGCAATACTCCTACTGATAGAGGTTGATTATACTGTGTATTAAACACCAACACTTTTAATGTTTGTGGTAGATCACCAACCTGCAAACTACGATTTTCACTCCAATTTATCTTTTCTTCTGACATTACAACAAAATAGTTATATTATTAATTTAATATCTTGAACCAAATGTTTGTGTACTTGTGATGATGACCAAAGTATCTTTTCTAGAAAAAAAAAAAAAGAATCTTTGTTTATATAGATATTTTTGTAATTTATTATTGGGGCTAGAAAGATAAGATATTTTTTTTTGGAATATATATTTATTTAATTTAATTTAATTTTTGTGATGTATCTTTTTAATTTATTATTATTATTATTATTATTATTATTTAATATTTATATACATATGTGAGTTGAGATGTTTGTGTGACAAATTCTCTTCCAATTTATCTATTTAATAATGGAGATCTTTCAGCAGCTGAAGCTCTTGATTTCTTGATACCATAGTAGATGGCATAACCGATAAGAGACATAAAGACGAGACCTATAAAGGAACCAATGACAATGAGAGCAATCTTCCATGGAGATAATTTTCTAGGATTACCACCATTGTTTGGACCGATTGGATGGGTTTGATTCATAAACAAAGAATAGGTATTGTTTGTGAGAATAAAGATGGGTGTCATTTTGCTAGCATCGTATGATGGGTCGAGAATACGACTATTGACATCCTTTTCAATGATGATACCAGAGGTGGCATTCAAGAGGACAAAAGTGTCATTTGGATTGACAATGTTCTTTTGCAACAACACGTTGATACTTGATTGCTTCTCGATGGAAATGGTGAGTGCACTGATCATTGGTTGTGGTTTGTGTTGATGTTTGTGTTTTCTGGTTGGTGAAGGATCGATAATGGTGATATTGGCTTGATTGGTCGAAACAAAGTGACCTTGGCACTTGAGTGGTGAAGAGACCATGAGAAGAGACGAATCCAAACTGATACCATCCCTGGTTTCTAGTGGAGACTGGATATAGAGAGTACTGTGGTTGGTAGCGACAATAGGTGCCGATAATGAGTAGTTGCCCTTTAACTGAACATGAGCACGTGATGAATCGATGAGAATAGTCTCGAAAAAGACAAAGCTATTGCCTTGGAGATCGACACGAGAGTTGGTGGATACCATCAAATTCTTGACGATCAAGATACCAGAAGACACTTCCAAATCTGATTTTGTTGTAATGGTTACATTGTCGACAGACAATTGAGACTGTTGACCAACTTCAAGAATACAACCAACAAATTCAATGTTTCCATGGAGCTGAAGATTATCATTGACCTTTAGTTTACATAATGATTTACCTTCTTCTCCTTGTTGATGATGTGGATAGGAGATAATATCGGTCAAGGAGAGGAATGATTTTGAACCAAGTTTACTTGTACCATGATTCAAAATGACAACTGTCAAATACATGCTATCAATCTTTTCCAGATTATAGATTGATGATCGATCCATATTTAACAATGAACTATTTCCAACGAGTAGTTGAACGGTACCGGCAACGCTTGAATTGAACATTTGAATGAATGGAGACCAAGAGACGGCTGCATTGTCAATCTCGGTGTTTTGCAAGAGCATAAAAGATACATTGTTAATGACGGCATTGTTAAAGATTTGTGTGTCGTTGATGTAGTGTGGGACGGGGGCAGATTCACTACAATTGGCAATACGAGACTGGTTGACAACTAGACTGGTGATATTGGTCAAGGAAACAAACTCTACCAGACAGTTGGACATGGAGACATTGGCGACTGAACGAATAAAGACATGGGCACTTTCATCGGTTCCAAAGTTTTGAATCGAGGATAGATTGATATTGCTAAGATTCAATGTTTTGACAGCCAATCCATTGATCAAGAGATTGTCGATACTGTCAAGCACAACATCTCCAAAACCATTGTTTCTAAAACTATTGGTGATTTGAACGGTTGGAATATTCTTGATGGTCATGTTACCATTGTTGGTCACATCTTGCATCACAACAGCTGTGTATCCATCCTCTACCTTTAAATGTGCTCCTTCTTCAATATCAAGTGACAAAAATGTAAATGTTGGTCTGGGAGTAGTACCATTGTTGAGTGGATTAGAGTTGAGCAGGAGAACAGTATCATTGTTTAACAATGTGAGATAGATAGAGGTGTCGGTTTGTGTATTGATGTTGGAAGTAGAGTTGATGGTGATGTTTGATGGCTGTGGACCATAGGTTTTAAAGTTTAATTTACTATTGGATAGAATGATTTGTGATTGTGGTGTAGAGAATGAAACGAGACCGTTTGGACAATACATTGAACCACCGTCAAGCACTACACTGTCCGAAGAGATGACAACAGTGGCAGACTGATTCATACTATTCACTTGACCTTGGATGTATGATGGTGCAATCACTGTAAAGATGGTGGAATCGTTTAGGGAAACAACCGATCCCGAATCGATATAGACAGAGCCCGAGAATGAACGACCTTGACGGAATGCGAGAGTGGTAGAGTTGGCCAATTGCAACTTGGACTTGAGGATGGGCGAGTGCACCGATATCTGCGACTGAGACGAGTAAAGGGAGAACTCTTGGTAGTCGAGTGTTTGATAGGACACTGAAAAGAAGAGGTTGTCGCCAACTAGATAAATAGATGAAAGGTTGCATGCAGTGGTGCCAGTTGAGACATAAACCAATGTACGAGTAGGAGTAAGCATTGATGTGGCATCAATCACAACAATGTCATCTCCCGACGAGCAGTTGGGAGCGATACCTCCCTGCCAAACATTTGGAGTTGCAAAATTACAAACTCCATCCACAGTACAATTTCTAACATCATACTGACATGTTGTTCCTCCTCCTGCTGCTGCCATTGTTGCTCTTCCCTCAAACTGGAAAAGGATAAATAAACATATATATACTACCATATAAAGTAGTTTGTTGTTGTTGTTGTTGTTATTCATTTTTTTAAAAAAAAATAAGAATCTAGATTATAATAGGTACCTAGATGAATAAATAAATAAATATATTGTTATTATTATTATTATTATTATTCCAAATTGTATAATGGTATATAATTAATTACTTTAAAATAGAAACAACAAAGTAATGAATATTGTTATTATTACTATTACTATTATACATACCTTGTTTTTAATCAAATTATTAATAAATTAGTAATAAACCAAAAAAATCAACCATTCGTTGAATGAGTTAGCCTATTTGGGGTGGACGGTCTCCTTTTGCCTGCATATGGTAATAATGGTATGTGGGTCAACTTCATTTCGAATGTGTCACCTCATCATCAATCCCCAGGGAGAGAGAGAGAGAGAGAGAGAGAGAAGGGTTTGAAGAAGAGTAGTTGCAATGAACCATGAGTGAGAGATGATATGAGTCAAGTAAAACCTTTTACCTAAAAGAATGAGTTGAATAGTTAGCCTAAGTAATGTATTGGTGTATGTTTAACAGACTACTTACAACATGTTGATCAGATACACTTCAAGTGATGAGATGAACAAACTAAAAACCCATTGATCAACTTTAATGACCAACCAAAAAAAAAAACAAATAATTAAAAAAAAACTTTAAAAAGTTGTATATTAATATTTTTGTGAAATGCCTATCTATCTCTACTATAAAGATAATAATAATAATAAAAGATAATATATGGATATAATAATAATGATTTCTTTTATTGAAATAAATTTATTTATTTTCTTATTTGGTCCATCTATATTATTTTTGGTCCCAATCCAATTAAAAATAGAGGTATAGATTTATGACCATGAATATCTTTGAATCATTGACAATGAACCTTTATTCATTGCAATGATTGATGTTTGTTTTGTTTATATATTTTAGATTATTTGGTTTGATATATTTTTATTTCCTTTCTTTTTTTTTTTTCAGCAGCTGATCATTCAGTGTATTTTCAGCTGAAATTCGTAGTTAGACAGATAGACAGATAGATAGACAGATAGATAGATATATAGATATAAAGGAAAACACATCAAACTAATTATCTATCTTTAATATAATCGCGCGTCTTACCCAAACTTGTTAATTACATTGCGTTGCGAATCTTTCCTCATACCAATTAGGGCCTATCATTCATCATATTTGCCATTGCTATCTATCAATACTATACTATACTATATCGCTTTATAATCATCTCTACTGATCGTCATCATAATCGTCGTCGTCGTCGTCACCTGCTAATCTAATACAATATGAGCAGCAATATTGCTCCAACTACAAAACTCTACCTCAATCTTGGAGGTGGCACCAACTGCAATGATAGAGATCTTTATGATGCATTCTCAAAGTTTGGCAAATTACTCAGCTATGCATGGAAGCTTAATTATGGTTTCGTTGTATGTAATCAATCAATCAAACAATCTCTACTTTTACGATTATCAGATGATACATCTTAATGTCAATCATCACACTTTTTTTCTTTGCAAAAGTCTTTTACTATCTCTGACCTAATTACTACTACAAGGTAGTACAATATATACGTGCATAGAAGGCAATGACTCTTACTCCTCTTATATCTCATTCTCCTATATCTATCTCTTTCTTTTTTTTTTGTTTTTTTTTTTCTATTTTTTTTTTATAATCTCTCTCTCTCTCTCTCTCTTTGATCATAACATTAATCTTAACCTATCATTTTCTCTTCTTTAAGGAATTTCAAACTGTTCAACAAGCAACTGACGCAAAAAATGGACTTCATGGAACTACATGTATCAACAACCAAAAGGCATACATTGATTTCTCGTTTGGCAAGAACATCCGCGGCCCAAGTAGTGGCTCTGACAGAGACAGCAAATATCACTACCCGCACTCCCCCGCATCCAAGCACCGTATCTTTATCCGCGGCTATGACATGGAAGAGACCTCGTCGCAAGAGGTGAGACAGATGTTTTCAGAGATTGGACCTATCCACACGAGTCACTTTATCGAAAAGAAAGGCTATGGCTTTATTGAATTCAAAAACGCTGATGACGCTGAAACTGCAATCAAGAAATTTAATGGCTATGAAGTACAGGGCAAGGCCCTCACCGTCAACTATGCATCTCTACCTGGCCACTATCCCAAAGACAGATCTCGCTCAAAATCGCCATCATCATCCTACAGGAAACGTTCTCGATACTCTAGTCCCGACAGAAGTAGAAGTAGAAGTAGAACAAGAAGCCCCAGTCCCCATTCTGATAGAAACAACAATACTTCATTTGACCAACAACATCAACAACTGCAACAACAACAACAACAACAGCTGCAACAACAACAACCACAACCAATTGACCAACAACAACAACAACAACAGTTGTTACTTCAACAACAACCTATTGTCTCGATTCAACAACAAGACCAACAAATGGGAATCGTCCAACAGCAACAATCGCCAATGAATATGCAACCACAACAAAGTGCATTCCAAAACAATAGTTTCCATAGTAGCAATATAACCTTTGGTGGTACTCCAATCAATTTCAATCCACAACCACAACAACAAAAGAGATACCGTAGTTCAAGTAGAGGTAGATCGAGAGAAAGAGAAACTTCTCTGGATCGTTCTTTATCATTCCCACAATTAGATACTCAACCTCAACAACAAGTTCAACCACAACAACCTCAACCACAACAACAACAACAACAACAACATTTTATGATTAACCAAGGACAAAATAATAATAATAATAATAATTTCCTTCCACCCAATTTTACCAACAATCAACAAGTTGATCCTGCACAACAAAATTTCAACAATGGTGATATGAGTTTCAACAATCAAAACAATCTTTTAACTGATCAAAACAATATTCAGGTGGCTCCATTTAATCATCAGAATAATCATTTTAATCAATCACTACAACAACCATTACAAAACAATAACAATAACTTCAACAATAATAATAATAATAATAATAATATTGGTCACAATAATAACAATAATTACAGTAATAACAACGTAAATAATCAATCCAATAATTTTAACAATAATCATAACAATCATATCAACAATAACAATAATAACAATAATAATAATTATAGATCAAGACATTATAACGATAGAGATAATCGTGATAATCGTGACAATCGTGATAATAGAGACAATCGTGATAGTCGTGATAATAGAGATAACAGAGACAATCGTGATAATAGAGATAATCGTGATAATAGAGACAATAGAGATAGTCGTGATAATAGAGATAATAGAGACTATCGTGATAATCGTGATAATCGTGACAATCGTGACAATAGAGATTATAGAGATAATCGAAATAACCGAGATAGAAGAGACACTTATCATAGAAATGATAGATACGACAGAAACGATCGAAATGATAAAAATGATAGTAGACACGATAGAAATGAAGATAATAGAAAGGAAACTCAAATCGTTGTCAGAAAATCGATCGATCAACCAATGATGGTCATCAAAAAAGACACTGATCCATCACCCATCACAAGACAAGAATCCAATGGCCTTTCTAGAGAAAGAGAAAGAGATATGGACACTACTCAAGATACTTCTATCACTACCAGCGCCTCCGCCATTACTACTTTTGCCTCTGAACCAATCAAGTATGAAACATCATCAATATCTGGTACCAGCACTGCTGCCGCCGGCGGTGAAGAGCAAAACAATGAATCTCAATCTCAACAAAACCTCCTCGAGACTAGTATCGACTCGAATGTAAATAACGACGAATCTGATCATGAAAATCCAATCATGTCATTTATCAATAGAGAGGATCGTGAATCAAACGATCCATCCAGTCCTACAATGGATCACATTGATCATCATCATCACAAATCAGATGATATCATTGAAACTCTCAACAACAATTCCTCTCATCAAGATGGTCAACAACAACAACCACCACAACAACTTTTATTAACAGACTCTTCCCATCAAATGGCTATTGATCAACCAACAACAACAACATTACCAACACCACCATTACAACCACATCAACAACAACAACCACATCAACAACAATCAAACTCTTCCCCAAAATCATCATCTTCATCCTCTACACCAACACAAATTTCTAATCAACAATTCACCACTCTTCAATCTCAACCATCATCATCAAATCTATCAAATCAATCAATCCCAACTCAACTTAAACCATCAACTTCTCAACTTTCTTATGCAAACTCTACAACTACAACTTCAAACATTTCTTCTTCCTCTACTTCTACAACTTCAAACATTTCACCAATTACTCAGGAATATAAACAAATCAAGGATTATTTATTAAAAGATATTAATTTGGTAAGTAAATTAAACAGATCAATAATACCCCATATAAATCATACTAATATATTTATTTATTTATTTATTTTTAGGCAATTGAAAATGCATTATCAAGACATATGGGAAAAGAAAGACAAGAATTTGAACAATTGGGAAATGATATTTTTAATAACAAGAAGGATATTTTAATCAAGAGTGACAATATCTCTCGAAAGATTGAGGAAAGTGGTCGTAGAATTATGGGCAACACCGAGACTACTATTAGTTACCTCAAAGACATTTTGAATTTAGTATCAAAGACTAGCGATGAAGTATCTCAACTCAAGATGGATATGAAAGATTCTAGAGACAAGGTTGATCAAATCCTTAGATTCACCAAACTTCAACCAACCCCCAACAACAACAACAATAATATCAACAATAACAACAATCCTGCAACCGAACAATTTAACAAGTTGTTTGGAGAGATTAAAAAGGTTAGTGATAGTTGTACCAAAGTTGAAGCAAACACTAATAATGCAGCTTCAGATTCAGCCACTGCTTTTGGTGCAGTCATGAAAAAGTTGTATCCATTTGAAACCATCACCAATAAGCTATTTAATTTTGAAAACAAATTAGAGGCACTCGAAGAGAGTCTTACAGACAAGATTCAAGGAATCAAAGAAGATATTGAAGACATGACAGAGAATCAACAACAAATAACTCAACAACTTCAAAACTCTCAAGAATCACCTGCCACTTCTGTCACTACACCTGCTTCAACTACAAAAAAAATTAATCCTCAAAGAAAAAAAGGGAAATAATAAAAAATCATTAATTTAAATAAATTAATATTTATTATCTTTTTTTTTCTTTTTTTTTATTGATCAAAAGAATCTAATAAATTTGGATCTTCAAACCATTCATGTTCACCATTATGATTACCAACTAATTGTAATGAACCAGCAGATATACTTCTTAGATAGGAAGGTTTTGAACATTTCCAATTGTTTGTAGTTTCCATTTCTTTAAACAATTCATCGTATTGATCTGGTTCTCTTTTCTTTTCTTCCTTTATAGGCCTATCTTTGTTTTTTTCTTTGTTTTTTTCTTTGTCTTGGTTGGTGATGTTGATAGGATCTATAATGTTGAATGGTTTTGGCATTGGTGGCATTGATGCCTTTCTAGGGAATATATCTTCTCTTGTTAGATTCTTTTTGTAGAGTGAATCTTTTTCAAAGAATCTATATTGCATTGGTAAAATGTGACCTTCAGTTGTAAATATATAAGGTCTCTTTCCAATTAAACCTCCATCATCTTGATCTGTAAAAAGTAGGTAGAGATACTTTATGGTTTCCGATAAAAAGAAGGATTCCATCTTATCGAAATAGGTTTGTGTTTCTACATCCTTGATTCCAGCAAATCCACATTTGGTTCTCGTTAGATTGTTGAGTGAAAATATCATATCTCTACCCATTCTTAGAAATTGTGGGTCATGAGTTGCAGTGTAGAGATAATAGAAACTTTCACCCAACTCTGGACGCAGTGGATATGCTTCTTGCGTTTGTTGAACTGCACCAGCCATCAAATTATAACCTTCTGGGATCACACCAAATCTTCTCCAAACTGCATGGAATGCTCTAGTTGTTGAAATGGAATCTTCAAATTGACCTCCCAACATTTGTAAACCCGGCCAAAATGATTGTAAACTATTATAAATCGGCCAAATGATTAAACCTTGATTCATACTAACATCAACATACCATGGTTCTTTTCTAACATGTCTATAAATTGCTCTATATGACTAAAATAAATAATAAATAAATATAAAATATTATAATTTAATTTCTCTATTATTCTTTTTTATGTTTACTGACTTTAATAAATAAATCCATATATTCTTCATCATCAAAGAAAATGGCAGATTTTAAAAGATATTCAAAATAAGAATCAGCACCAGTACCAATACCAGATTCTTTAATTTTCCATTGACCAGTTGTAATATCAATATGATTGCCTATAAGATCCAAAGAAGATCTAAATTGCCAAATTGCCTTGGTTGCTCGTTTTGCAGCTCTTTCAAATTGTGGACGACCAGTAATCTTGCTCAATACACCAAACTCTAATGAAAAAGTACCGGCTGCCGCTGAACATGTAATCTCTGATTCATTTCTTGCAACTCCATTTTGTAAATGAATAGATCCATATGGAATTCCAGTAGGTGTATCAAATGCTTTTAATAATATTTCACCAATCTCTAATGCGACTGGTATTAATTCTCCTTTATATTCCTAAAATAAAAAAGAAAAAGAAAGTTAAAAATAAATAAATATATATTTTCTTTCTTTTGTTTCTTACAGGTAAATGAATTTCAGCCAATAAATGAGCAGATAATAAACCACCGAGGATACGAATATTAGTTTCAAATACAGAAACACTATAATTTTTGTTAAAGTGATAGTTTTTTGATACCCATTGTACACCTTGTCTAAATTCCTCTAGATCTCCAAATACCAATAGAGCATCGAGTGCATCGAGATAGGTCAATGAATATTGACCAAATTGATCCGATCCTTCACAAGTGATTGATTTTAATTCATCGTTTGGGTATGCATAGTTTATATAACTATTGTAACCATGATAAAACATTTCTTTTGCATCCTTTTTCAAAGCCATCTTTAATTCTTGTGCATTGTAGTTTAGATCGAGTGCCTTTTGATCATAGGTTCTATTTGGTCCATTGATAAATTCAAATGGATCTTTTACTTGTTCTCCATTCCTCTTGTCTATCCATCTTTCATTATTTAAATCTTTAATTGTATATATTATTTCTTGTTTCTTTAGATCACATATTGGTTGTTGTTTCGAAGTTTGTTGTTCTTCTTGTTCTTTGTTACTACTACTGCTGTCGTCTTGATGAGTTGTTGTTGTTGTTGAAGTGAATTGTTTTTGTCTTTGTTTATCTTCTTTAGTATGTTCTATGGTAGTAGTAGATTCGATTACTTGTTCATCTTTATTCTTTTTAATATGTTTATCATCCAAGACAAGATGTGAAAACTCTTTAGGTAATTTCTCTTTATTTGTTTGTATTTTAGTATCTCTATTATTATTCGTTTGTTCTTGTTCTTTGTTACTACTACTACTACTAGTATGACCCAATTGACATGATAACAATAGCAGTACTAATATAATGATTACTATTGATACATGAAATGATTTGAATTTCATTATATATAAATATATATTTATAAATATGAATAGTTGAAATTGATGATTAAAAAAAAGAAGATGATGATGTTCAAGACCCTGACACTTTTTAGACTTTGTTTTATTATTATTAATATTAAACTTTTTTTTAAATAATGACTACTACTACTTCTCTTCAATATGAAGAAAGAGTAAAGAATGTATTACATTATAATATATATTTACGTAAATTGGTCTATTCATTTGTAATCAAATTAAATGATGTAGATTATAACAGACAAACAGGGTTACCTCTCAAAAGAGGTACAATCAACTCGATCATTGCATGTCCTATCAATATATGTCGAATGTTTGATGATTTTTTGGGTGATCGTGAAACAACACTACTATGTTATCTATTGGCCAAGACATCTTTCAGGTTTGGCACTGACGATCTCGTGTGGTACTATGTCGTTCGAATGGTGACGGCTTCAAACAAGTCTGATACCATGGCTCCTAGAATACTAGAATCACTTTATAAACAAAACTATCGATCATTGGACAATATAGGTTATTCATGTCGAAAACGTCTGTTTGACTTGCACGCCAACTCCAATCCTCTTGAACATGTCATTGCAATGTCTACAAATCAATTGGCCTTGACCTCGGATCTAAAAGGCAAACATTGGGTAGACATGGAATCATTTATAACATATGCCAATCATTTTAGATTAGATGTATTACAATACTTTAATGAAAGAGTCACTGATTACTCTGACATTACAACAACGGATTTGGACAAGCAGATTAATGTGGCAATTATCAAATGTGGACGTTGGGATATTATAGAACAACTGATCATTGCAAGAATGATACCAAATCAATTGTTTTTAGAATTATGTCTTTGTAAAAGAATGAAAGAGATTGAAAGGATACTATTAAATCATCCACATTTGGAATACTTGGATTCATTCATGTCAAATGAATATACCATTCGCAGTATATGCCAACTACAAGATACACAATTGATAGATATTCTATCAAATCATTTGACAATGTTTGACAAGTTCATCAACACCACTCCTATCACTCAATCATTCCTCATGAATAGAGTAGATGCCTATTTAGTTGACTATCATAAACATGATCGTACCTATAATCAAAACCCCAATGCAACATCTACCTTTAATTCATTCAACCATCAACAAGATCTACTACAACATCATACCAAACTAACCAATGACCAATCCAAACTAATGTTTGATGATGAATCAATTGGCAATAATAATAAATTTACTTTTTTTTGAATATTAATTAATTAAATTAAAAAAAAAAGGGTGAAGATGTTCAAGACAAAAGGGAAGAAGAAATCTTTTTAGTTTTCATAATTCATTCAACTTTATTTTAATTAATGAATACTACTACACTTTCTTTTAATCTTCAATATGAAGAAAAAGTAAAGAATGTATTACATTATAATATATATTTACGTAAATTGGTCTATTCATTTGTAATCAAATTAAATGATGGAGATTTTGGTAGAAATCCAAGACGATCTTATGGTCGTGTTGAAAGAGGTACAATCAACTCGTTTGTTTGTAATCCATCAAAACTACATCAAATGTTTGATTATTATATGAAAGATCGTGAAACAGTACTAGTCTGCTATCTATTGGTCCAGACATCATTCAAGTTTGACTCTGACTATTTGTTACAACGGATACCTTCATAGAATCAAAGCAAACCCGCAATCTGGTAGTAGAATATTAGAATCAATGCACAAACAAAACCATCAATCATTGGATGAAAGAAGATATTCTTGTAGAAAGGATCTATTTGATTTGTTTGCCAAGTTCAATCCTTTTCAACAAGTAATTGGAATGTCTAATCATTTAGCAGTACAAGGTAAACATTGGGTAGATATGCAATCATTTTTGGCGTATGCCGATCATTTTAGATTAGATGTATTACAATACTTTAACAAAGGTGTTGTAACTGGTTATGCTGAAATTACAAAAAAGGATTTGGATATATCTTGTAGTGTGGCTATTACCAAATGTGGACGTTGGGATATTATAGAACAATTAATCATTGCAAGAATGATACCAAATCAATTGTTTTTAGAATTATGTCTTTGTAAAAGAACGATGGAAATAGAAAGGATACTATTAAATCATCCACATTTGGAATACTTGGATTCATTCATGTCAACCGACCAAATTATTCATAGTATATGCCAGTTACAAGATACAAAATTATTAGATATTCTAGCAAATCATTTGACAATGTTTGACAAGTCCTATAATATTATACAAACAACCAACAACCCTATCAATGATGATAATATACATAGACCATTCCTAATGTCAAGAGTTAATACCTTTTTACTCAACTATCATAAACACTATCGTACATCTACCAAAAACCTAAATACAACCTTGTCATTTGATAATCGACAAGATTTACTATTACACCATTCCAATCAAACAACTACTGAACAATCCAAACTAATCTTTGATGAATCAATCAGTGATAATAATAATAAATTTACTTTTTTAGAATTCTAAAACATCATAGTAGACAGATCTATCAAGAGGAGACGCTAAACTTTCATTCTTTCCTTAACCATTCATCCATTCCAAACCTAGAGGTAAAGTTTGCAGTGTGTATATCTTGGTGGGTTGGGTAAAAAAATTTTCACAAATCATTGAAATAAGCAAGTATGTGCCAATTATTTACTAAAAAAATATCATGTCTTGAATTCGATCCAAATGACACCCCCTCCCGCACCACAAAACTAAAAAATCCCTGTCAAAATATTTGTTTTTGCTGTTCAAAAACCCATTTCAAGCCATAAAAAAAAAAATTAATAAATGGGTTTATTTCATTCCCTTGCAGGGGAACAGCAAGCATAAAAGAGTTCTCTTGTTCATCATTCAAGTCAGTTTTTTATTCAACAATATAATATATAATACAATATGTCTGACGACGTTCAAGTATGTATCTCTAGAGACTAAAAAAACAATATCAAGCAACTCTCTCTTCAATTCAAAATGCTAATTGATTTCCTTCTTTTTTTTACTTTTCTTTTAGGCTTTAGTTATCGATAACGGTTCTGGTATGTGCAAGGCCGGTTTTGCTGGTGATGATGCACCACGTGCTGTCTTCCCATCCATCGTCGGTCGTCCAAGACACACTGGTGTCATGGTCGGTATGGGTCAAAAGGATTCATATGTCGGTGATGAAGCCCAATCCAAGAGAGGTATCCTCACCTTGAAGTACCCAATTGAACACGGTATCGTTACCAACTGGGATGATAGGGAGAAGATGTGGCATCATACCTTCTACAATGAACTCCGTGTTGCCCCAGAGGAACACCCAGTTTTCTTCAGTGAAGCCCCACTCAACCCAAAGGCCAACCGTGAAAAGATGACTCAAATCATGTTGGAAACTTTCAACACCCCAGCCATGTACGTTGCCATCCAAGCTGTATTGTCACTATATGTTTCTGGTCGTACCACCGGTATTGTCATGGACTGGGGTGATGGTGTCTCCCACACTGTCCCAATCTATGAAGGTTATGCTCTCCCACATGCTATCCTCCGTCTCGATCTCGCTGGTCGTGATCTTACTGACTACCTCATGAAGATCCTCACCGAACGTGGTTACTCTTTCACCACCACCGCCGAACGTGAAATCGTCCGTGACATCAAGGAAAAGCTCGCCTACGTTGCCCTCGACTTCGAGTCTGAAATGCAAACTGCTGCCACCTCTTCTCAACTCGAAAAGTCTTACGAATTACCAGACGGTCAAGTCATTACCATTGGTAACGAACGTTTCCGTTGCCCAGAAGCCCTCTTCCAACCATCCTTCCTCGGTATGGAATCTGCTGGTATCCACGAAACCACCTACAACTCGATCATGAAGTGTGATGTTGATATCCGTAAGGATCTCTACGGTAATGTCGTTCTCTCTGGTGGAACTACCATGTTCCCAGGTATTGCTGACCGTATGAACAAGGAACTCACTGCCCTTGCTCCATCCACCATGAAGATCAAGATCATCGCCCCACCTGAGCGTAAGTACTCTGTCTGGATCGGTGGTTCCATCCTTGCCTCCCTCTCCACTTTCCAACAAATGTGGATCTCCAAGGAGGAATACGACGAGTCTGGTCCATCCATCGTCCACAGAAAGTGTTTCTAAGCAATTTGCCCCCCCTGTCCCCTTCAATATATATAATGTTGTAAAAATAATAAACTCACCCCGAACCATCTAGCTGACGAGTAGATTTTATCCTCGTTCGTTAGTAGTGTTCAAAAACCCCAAAAAAACAAAACAATTGATAGTCTTTATTTAGTCTTTCTTTCTTTTATTTCTTTCTTTCTCTTTCACTTTAATCCACCTAATCTCTTTATTGACCAAGCGGCCCATCCCAACCCACTTGCATCAACATAAACATGTGCAAACATGACCCCGACATATGGAACCCTAACCCATAGCTCTAAACCTCGACTATAACAATTACCAGATCAACAAAAACAATCAATCGATACCATAGAAGATTGTAGCGAAAAGGTAATTTCACCAGGCTCGGGTAATTTCGAATCACAACGAATTACTCGTTTTACAAACAAGAAAATATTTCCGAGCTTTGGACAACCTTTTCTAGCTAGATCTAGCTCCGAACCCACCTTATCTGGGGCGATTGAACGTTTAAGAGAGGTATCTCGTCAAAGCTGCTTGGCAAACCCAGTCAACAGCTCATCGAAATTAATTTCAGGTAAACTCGTCTACTTCTCTGTTTAACAATCATAAAACGACAGACTATGGTTTAATAGTCATCATTCACGTGTACATATATAAAGATAGAGATAGATATGAAGTTATTACAAGTCATCATAGCAATTGTTTCATTGTTGATTGCATCTGTTGCTGCATCATCATCATGGGTGACCATTGAAACCTTTAACGAACCACAGTGCAATCTTGAAAGTTCAAGTATCGGAGGTGTTGTTCTTCAATCTGGAGTGTGTTTCAAGAATCAAATCATCACGTGTGGTGCCAACAATGAAATCACAGTCGAAAACTATGGCACCGACGATTGCTCCTCTTCACCATCCAACTCTACCTCTTTTGCTTCGGGTGAGTGTCAAAAAGCTGGTTCTTCGTATGGTTTCTTTAGAACTTACAATTGTTCCTCTGTCTTGCCACCATACCCATCGTCCTCTTTAACAATCTCTACCTACACTGGATGTAATTTACAACCATCCAAGCTTACTCAATACCGTTGGATGCCAACCTTTAAATGTATGGCTATTACTAGTATGTTTTGTCTGCAGTCAGTCGATTGGATTATTTATTACACCTTGTATGGTTTATTAACTCTTTTATTCAATAGGACGTGATCTAAAAGGATCTGGAACAGGATCAGGATCTGGTTCTGGTTCTGGAACTGCAACTGCATCTTCTTCTGGATCGGGATCAGGACCACACTCTGCATCAAGTGGTATATCATCCTCATCTGGATCTGGATCAGGACCAGCTTCTGCTTCAAGTGGAACATCATCAAGCGGAAAGATTTCATTCTACAAGATTCCTCTCATCCAAGGTGTCGCCCCACAAGATCACTTGTCAAAGTACTGGGACTTTTTAGATAGTATCAGTTTTGCCTCTTTTTTCGACGATGAAGAAGAGGTTGGATCAGGGTCATCAGCAAGACCAGTTGGAACATCTGGAACTGGTCTCACTGGAACTGGATTTGGAACTGGTACCTCTACCACTGGTGACAGTAATACAGCCAACTCTGTCCTCTTTGGGTTGGTTCAATGCAACTCTACCAACAACTGGGTCTACACCTTTGCCGATGGCAAGGTTGAAACTGCAACTGCTGGTTCTGTAATGTCAACCGGACAATATAGCTCTGGAACTCCATACAAAATGTTTGCCACTGGAGGTCATGCCACCATGTCTGAAGGAACTGCCACCTCTGGCTCTACTGGTCATCACATGTCTGAAGGATCAGGTTCAGGATCTGGTTCTGGATCATCAACTGGATCAGGATCATCAACTGGATCACATCATCTAAATGGATGTAGCATTCAACCAAATGCAGGTGGTGTTGGTAAAAACATTAATCAATGTCTTTCAAATCAATTGTATTCAGTTTCATGAAATGCATAAAAATTAATTCGAATCAAAAAAACAAAAATAATTAATTATATGGGTTGGTTTATTATTATTAAAATGATAGTTCTTTATGAATTCTTCTTCTTTCTCTGTCATTATCTGATCTTTTCTTTTTTTTACTATTGGTATCACGATCGTCTTGTAGGAGAAGTGGAATGGCTTCATTAATATCGTTACAGATTTGACTGGCCTTTTCAACATCTTGGAAACGAGAACGGAATCGCTGACCCAACCAAAGATAGAGGTCAGAGATGGCATAGATGATTTCAAGTTCGACCAATTGCTTTTGTTTGGAAACGGAAGAGGAGAATTCAGGCATTTTCTCTCTTAGGCGCACCTCTTTGTTGTTTGAGAATTGAGTTGCAAACTGAACAAGTTTCTTTTCAATCTCGACACCATTCTTGATGGGTGCCATGATAAATATGTAACGATCAGAGACCTCCATATCCAAATGGTCAATGAGCTTGGCCGCTCGGAGCTTGTCTTCAATGTCCTCCAAAAAATAGAGGTTGTCCAACTCGGTGTGTTCGATAAACATGGTCATCAACTCTGAGAATGGTATGCTATGGTTGTCTTGGAGTGTTGAAAAAGTTTCCAATTGCTCCCATTGTGGAAAAACACCGGCACGCTCGTTGGCAACGTTGGGAAGCTCTAGGAGCTTCTTGATGGTTGGTAAATCACGTGCATTTGTGCAAGTGACCATACCCACGTTGTATGCGCTAGCAAATCTTCCAGCTCTGCCGGCAATCTGCTTCAACTCGCTGTGCTTGAGAAGACGTTGTTGTTTGCCATCAAACTTTTTAATGGTAGAGAAAATGATACGCTTAATGTTGAGATTGAGACCCATTCCAATGGCATCGGTTGCCACAATGACTTGGACATCTGAAGAGGTATCATTGAATGCACGAGTTTGTTGCACACGTGCTTCGGGTGGCAAAGCGCCATAAACCACAGAGCACTTCTTTCCATACATCTTTTCAAGCGATGCCTTGGTTGTCAAAACCTCTCTTCTAGAAAATGCCACCACGCAATCACCCTTTTCCAATCGACCAAGACTAGCAGGTTTGGTATCGACTACCAACGGCGAAAGACGGTCATAATAATTCACTTCGATCGTGTCACCAGTCAAATCCAACATACGTTTGACCAATTCAACACTTGTATTGTCTCCACAAAGATGAATTTCCTTGGCTGGAATGCCAAGAATAGCACGTGTCCAAGCGAATCCTCTGTCAATATCAGACAACATTTGGAATTCATCAATAACAGCTACATCGACCTCATCTCTAGTGCTTGCCATCTCTACCGTATATGCAGTGTGTCTTGCATTGGGAGTGACAATAACTTGTTGACCGGTCGTTAGATTGCATGGAATATTTTCAGTATTTAATTTCTCATATACTTGATGCGCCAACATTCTAAGTGGTCCACAAAACACTCCATTCTCTGCTTCCATTAATCTTTTCAATGCATTATGAGTCTTTCCACTATTTGTTGGTCCAACATGTAAAATAAATTTTCTTTTCATTCTAGAAAAATAATAAATAAAGATAAATAAATTAATTAATTCATAGGTTGGTCTTTTTTTGTTTTACTTACCCTCTTGCAACAGGGAACCAATTATGAGGATGTTTTAAATTTGCAATTGTTTTCAATTGATCTGAGACATGGAAATCTTCCATTGTATTTTCTTTTCTATGAGCAAGTTTTTGTTTCTGGTTTGTAACAGCAATTTGTTCTTCCATATATTCAATCATTGAATAAAATACCTTTTTCATTAATTCTTTTCAAATAAATAAATAATTGGTTCGTTAATATCATCAAGATGATTGTACAATCATTACTTGTATTGTTGTTTGGAACATACTTTTTTCATTTAAAATATCACGTAACATTTGAGGTTGACAAATAGCCAATTCATTTTCAAACATTGATATATATTCTCTAATTTCCTGATCGTCAAGTGTTTCATTCTCAAACTCTACACCAGCTGATTTATAAAGTGAAAATAATTCTTCACCAACTTTAGAGAATGTTATTTTTTTTGCATATGGATGTGAATGTTCGGCTAAATAAATATAAATGATATCAATAATCAATAATCATATTTGAATATGTGTATTCTATTCTATTCTATTTTTTTTTTAAACATACACTTTAATTCCAATCTAATAATAGAATTTGAATTACAATCTATTAGAGGAGCAGTATGATTTGATGTATGAGCCAAACCATCAATAACCAAAACATAAGAACTCTTGTCATTTCTAGTCTTTTCTTTTTCTCTTTCCACTGTTTGATCGTAAAACAATGGATTCATTCTCATTTGTCTTGGTCCAACTGTACCACCAGCAGCAGCAGAGGTCTTGATGTCATCTTGACTGTCCAATTCCAACTTTTTAAGCCAAACTTGTGATATAATATCACCTACTCTTGAATTCAAAGATAGGTCTAGTGAATAGTTTACATTATCCAACTTGATGTCAAACCGTTTCATTTCAATGATGGTTTCAAACTTTTCCTTTTTGTTCCAAATGGTAGATTGTTGGGGAGGAGGAGGAGGAGTAACATTTTCGCTTGGGAATGTATTTCTCAAGTCTATATGATCTTGATGTTGTATTTGTGGTTTATGACTTGCATAATTTAATTTCGATTTGTTATTTGTTGTATGAGTATCAAAAGATGATAAAGTAGAAGTAGTTGTACTACAAAAACGATTAAAGGTTGTTGTTGTTGTTGTTGTTGTTGTTGTCGACCTGTTGTTTAGAAGTAGTACAGATGAATATAATGACGATGTTGATGATAATGATAAAGATGCAGAAGCTGTTTTAGAGTATATATATCTAATCATGTCATATTCTTATTATATCGTAGTATTACTAATATTAATGACACACAATGACTGATGAATGAAACTAATTTCATAGTTTTCTCGCGAATTAATTATGGAATAACGTATTTTTTTTTGGCCCAAATTAAATACTTTAATACTATTTGTCATTGATCATTGAATTAGGTTTAACGTACAATCCAATTTGGAATGATCAACATAAGGTTTTAATTGATAAGATCAAGACATGAGATCAAACTTCTTAAACTACTTTTTTTTTTTTTAAGTGGAACCAATTTTGCCCATTAAATATACATGGTGTGTACATAAAAGTTTAAAACTATTTATTTATCAATATTAATATTGTAGACACAACATACAAATAAATGACATGAAGTCCGACATAGGGATTAAGACAGACAGAAAGAGATAATTGCGTGTGTTTGTCTGCAGATGCACACCAACTTTTTTAATATTTTTTTTGGTTTTTTCAATTTGGGGAGATGTTCCCTACAGAGGGGTATTACGATGATCACGAAGAGAACAACTTTAATCATCTTATAGATTAGAAATTAGCAACAATGTCTGTCTTTAATAGTATTCGTACCCCTTTATATAAGTCCGCTGTAAGTATATATATTCATGAGATAGATATAGATATAAATAGATATATAGAGAAGATGATACGATCTAAACCAACTACAGAAATAGAGATATATTGATTATAGTAGTACATTTAAAAACTAATCAAAAATGATCATTTCAAATTACAAACAGGGAGGATACCTCAAGTTTAATCCAGGTAAATTACAAGTACGTCATTTGGATCTACATGAATACCAAAGCAAGAGTTTGATGGATCAATATGGTGTCAACACACAAAAGTGGCGTGTTATTAGCAAGGCTGATGAAGCACCAAAGGCTGCAAGCGAATTGAATGCCAAGGAGCTCGTCATCAAGGCTCAGGTACACGCTGGTGGTCGTGGAAAGGGAACATTCAAGGAGACTGGATACAAGGGAGGTGTCAAGCTTTGCACCACTGGCAAGGAAGCCCAAGAGCTCTCTGGTCACATGCTCGGCAAGCATCTTGTCACCAAGCAAACCACCGCCGACGGCACATTGGTGCAAAAGGTGATGATTGCTGAATCGGTCGACCCAGCCCGTGAATTATACTTTGCCATCTTGATGGACCGTGCCTCGGGTGGTCCCGTCATGGTGGCCAGTCCAAAGGGAGGAGTCGACATTGAAGCTGTCGCCGAAGAGACACCAGAACTCATCTACAAGGAGGTTGTCGACATTACCAAAGGCGTGCAACCAGAGCAAACCCGTCGTCTTGCTGAAAAGCTCGGCTTCAAGGGTGACAAGCTCAAGATTGCCCAAGAGCAAATGGAGAATTTGTACAAGCTCTTTATCAAGAGTGACGCCACTCAAGTCGAAGTCAACCCATTCGCCGAAACCACCGACGGCAAGATCTATGCCATGGATGCCAAGATCAACTTTGACGACAATGCCTCGTTCCGTCAAAAGGATATCTTTGACATGCGTGACATTGCCGAAGAAGACCCACGTGAGGTCGAAGCCTCGCAACACGGTCTCAACTACATTGGTATGGACGGAAATATCGGATGTATGGTCAATGGTGCCGGTTTGGCCATGGCCACCATGGACATTATTAAATTACACAAGGGCACTCCAGCCAACTTCCTCGACGTCGGAGGAGGTGCCACTGAAAAGCAAGTGACCGAAGCCTTCAAGATCCTCACCAAGGACAAGCAAGTCAAGGCTATCTTGGTCAACATCTTTGGTGGTATCATGAAGTGTGATGTCATTGCTGCCGGTGTCGTCGGTGCCTGCAAGCAAGTCGGTCTCAAGATCCCACTCGTCGTTCGTCTCGCCGGTACCAACGTCGAAATCGGAAAGGATATTTTAGAAAAGTCTGGTTTTAACATTATCACTGCAAATGATTTGGACGATGCTGCCATCAAAGCTGTTGCCTCAATTAGTAAATAAAATAGAAATTTGTTTATTAATATTTATTTTTTCCCTCAACACAAAACATATACAAAATACAAAATTCAAAAATATATAATATTAATATTGTTGGTCAAACATGTTTGAAGGTCACCACTAATAATAACATTCTTTAAATTATTTGGTTTAGAAAATATGTAGTTATTAATATAAATATAAATATAAATATATATTGTTGATTTCCAGTTTAGTTATAAAAAAAAAAAAAGGGTACAACATCATGATGATGACTTTTGCGTGTGTCACCACCGACGTCGAAACACTTTAACTTTTGATAATATTGAGTCGGCTTTACTCAAAACCTTTTTTGTCAGAAGACTATTTAACTCGAGTTGGTTAAAGATATATAGAGACAGACAGACAGACAGACAGACAGACAGACAGACAGACAGACAGACAGACAGACAGACAGACAGACAGACAGACAGACAGACAGATAGACAGACAGACAGACAGATAGATAGATAGATAGATAGAGATAGGAGAAAGGATAAAGAGAGATGATCAAGAATAATAATATATTGAAATATTATTCTAGTATTACTCATTTATCAAACAATTGTTCAAACATTGTATCGTCATTTCAATTGATTAAATGTAGTAATACTAGTAGTAAACAATTATATAGTACAAACAATAATAATAATAATAATAATAATAATCATAATAATAATAATAATAATAATAATAATAATTATAATCAACAACAACAACATACATTTACAAACTTACAACAACAATATCAAAGACCAAGATATTCTATACAACTAGATCCGTTAACGAAATCACCTTTTAGTCATGGTACAACATCATCTTCTACGAGCAAGTCTGGATGGGCTCATAAAATACATGCACCTGGTAGACAATCTGATCGATCAGGGTCTTTATCTTCGACTATCAAGACCAAGATGATGGACAATAGCAATACAGGGTTAGGAACCCCCTTTTCACATCTTGGCGGCGGCAGCAATCCCATCAACTCTTTACAACCAACACCTCAATTTGGACCTGAATCAAGATCATTCAAAGTGCTCGAAGTGGGCATCAATGGTGTCGCAATGGACCAAATCATTTTCAAGAATACTCTATCACCTGAAATGAAATTACAAGCTCGTGATTTACGTTCTATCGATAGTTCTTTTCCTGCTCAAATGCCTGCAATCTTGGCTAGAGATAAAGTTTTCATTATAAGTATTGGTGTATGTATACATCATTAAAATAACAAACAAACAAAATATTCGATCCAAATGAATATTAATCATTATCACATTTCTAATAGTTTATAAAAGCTATTGTTCAATACAACAAAATCATATTATTTGATCCACAAAACACAATGGTTAGAAATGAATTGGTGCCAAGTATAAAGGAATATTTAGGAAGTCAAAACAATTTATTCTTTTCCGAAACTTTAACTTTACCTTTTGAATTTAAGGTTTTAGAAGCTATTTTAATTTATGTTGTATGTATAGTAGTAGTAGTAGTAGTAGTATCCATGTATGACATTGATTATCCATGTATGACATTGATTTTAATGTAATGATCCTTTTTTCTTTATTTATTATTTAAAAAGTGTAAAAAATTAACAACAGAACATCAAAGAATATTTGGTTTAATCCAAAAGGAATTGGATCTATTAAATGAAAATCCAGAACATAATTTGGAAAATTTATTCCTTTATCATAAAAAAGGATTGAATCAATTTGAAGTAACCATTAAAGAGATTACCGATGCTTTGGATAATCTCCATCAGTCTGATGAGGATATGGCTCTCATGTATTTAACCTTTAGAAATGCAACTGGTGGAACTAGAAAGAAAAATCAACATGAGGAATTGGAAATCCTTTTGGAAACCTATATGAGACAATTGGAACAAATATCAAATGAAATCACTCAATTAAAAGAAACACTTAGTAGTACAGAGGAATTCGTTAATTTCCAATTGGATACGTATGTATAAATATATATATATAGCACATGGTATCAGTCTCTTTATTAATCAACCCTTTTTCTATAGTGCACGTAATAAAATGATGAGAATGAATTTGATGGTTAGTTTGGTAACAATGTCAGCGGGTATGGGATCTATGCTTTCAGGATTCTTTGGTATGAATTTATTCAATGGATTTGAAACTCATCCCTATAGCTTTTATCTTGTTTGTACTTGTATTGTTGGAGGTGGTCTTACTACATTTGCAGCCACCAAGAGATATTGTCAAGTCAATAATATCCTTCCCTACACAAATACATCAAAATTCCAAATGAAGGCTGGGTTCAACGACAACAACCCCAAATCAATTTCATATAAGAATCCTTTATTATATGATCAATTCCATTCTCAAAACCATCCAGGTATTCAATTCCTTCAACAACAACAGCAACAACAACAACAACAACATAGATTAATGCAAGATACCTTTACCCCCAACTCCAACCGTGAATCACAACACGCACATCCAAAGATTGGATTAATCAAGAGAATGAGAAATCGATTTTGGAAAGAATAAATAAACTATAACATTTTGTATTGTGTATGTGGTCAAGGAAAATATATATGTATATAAGTGGCAGAATTAAGGGTTATCCACAATTATTAACTTGATTTTTTTATTTGTTATGTGCTTTTTTATGGATTACTTGATAAAATACATTATGTTATGGGTAAGGATGGGGAGGGGGATGAAAGGAAGGATTCTTTGTGAAATGATGTAATTGGGTGACAGGCGCATGGATTAATAATTTAATTTAATTTAATTTGTTGATAGGTTAGTTATTATTATTTTTTTGTTTGTTTAAAATATGTTAATTTGTATCTCCAAGTCTTCCCAATGCTGATACAAGTGAGAAGGTTACAGACTAAAATAAAAATAAATGGTTATTAAAATATTTCTTTCTTTTTTTTTCTTTTTTACATACTTGTTGATTGTATTGACCCAGAGTCTTGAATATCTTTTCAAGATTCTTAATTAATAATTTATGAATGGATGGTAATTCTTTAGCTTTGACCTCTTGTATCGATGCTAATGGAGTATAGTCTGTGCTTGGTGGCAATGTAGCAACATTGTCCAAGAATACCTTGACACCCTCGATATTTCTCTCTAAAAACGAATTCATTTCCTTCATGTAGGCCTCCTTGGCACCAAATAGAATACCATTGGCAACATTTTGGAGAACCTTGCTTACAAGAATCAATGAACGTCTAGCTTCCATTGTAAGTGATGAAGTGTCGACCACACCAGCACTATCTGGTGATAGAATACATGGACAAAAGAATCTCAAGAAAATAAAACCACCAACTGAAGTATGTTTACTATCTGGGAATCTTTTTACTACTTCAGTTTGTAAATGATTTGCCATCTCTCTAAATGGTCTAAATAAATGAAAAATAAAGAAAAAGAAATTAGATATTGATCAAGCGCATATCTATATATATCTTTCTTTGTTTCTTTCTACATACAAAGGACAATGATTTAAGGAACTATAAATAGATTCAAGGAACTCTTGACAGATACCTTGCAATCTTTCACTGTTTCCAGTTGTATCTACACCTTTGTCTGGGTCAAGTTCATATCCACTTGGATCTTTGGTAATTCTTTCAATGAGTGGTTTGAGGGTGGTCTTTAGGTATCCACAACCAGTCATTCTGGTGAAAGCTGTCATCAACTTGGTGGCTGTACTGTTTCCTCTGAAAAGTGTTGAAGCAGATGGCGTGGATTCTACTTCTTTGGAAATACCCAACTTGATGATTGGTAATGTTTGTTTATGAGCATCTAAAATCTTTACCAAATCCTCAAGAATATTATCTTGATCACTACCAGATGATAAACAAATAGCATTTACAACTGCTAAATCTGCTGATGAGAAAATCTAAAAATATATATATATAGACAAAGTGTTATTTGATTGTTTTGTAAAAATGTGTTTTTGATTTGTTTTTGATTTGTTTTGTATATTTACCTCTACTAATTCATTAAATTTAGTTTCTTCCTTTTCATTTGCAATTTCTAAAAGGGCATTTGTTTCTTCTTGTTTTTTTTCTTGATACTCTTGTCTTTGCTTTTCGGCATGGGTACGCATCTCTTGGATGAATGGTTCCATTTGAGTGAGATAGGCACATGTAGATCCATAGTGATCGTATTCGCTTGCTAATAGATTAATGGATTGAACCAAATATTCAAACGAGTGACGAGTGATGGTATCATGGAGTGCGTGATGAGCGTCGTATTGACGGTGCAAATATTTAAGTTTGTATTGGGCATGATGACCATGTGCTGAAAACAATGATTTGGCATCCAATTCCTTTTGTCCTTGTACCATCTTTAATTTATTCAATGCTGAATCATATTCTAATCTTGCTTTTCTAAATTTAGCTTTTGCATCCTAAAGAACGAAACAAAGATTGATTAGAAAAATGAATGTTTGGTTTCATATATAATTTGACATACTCTTGCAGGATTAATAGTAGTTTGAAGAAAAGCATCGGCTGGAAGAATATAACGATTGTTGATGGATTGTTCAAATTTAATACGGTATTGAATCAATTCATTGTGAAGAGTGACGACAGATTCGATGGACTGGCCAGTCATTGACTCGTTGGTGTAGTAGTTGGTGATGGCAGTGAGAGCAGTCTTGAGATTCTCTGTGGCCTTGTCCTGTGCCTCTAGTTTGCTAACCAACTTTTTTGAAGTTCTTAGTGTGTCTTCATAAAGCAATTTAAGTGCTTTTGCCTTTATATTATTAATAACCAATTCTGGTGTTGATTGTGTCACTTCAACCTATTATTATCATCATCGAATCGAGATCGAAAGGAAATTTGGTTAATAAGGTGTTTCAGATGATGGATTACGGGAATTGAAAAAAAACAATAAAATATCATCGGATAAATGGAATGGATGGAATGAATGAATGAAAGTAGAGTAGAGATATTATTATAAAGTTACAGAGGGGAATGGAAAGGAATGACATCACCACACACATTCATCGAAAGGGCATCATCATTTTAATATTGAAAGGGTTATTATTATTATTATTATTATTAATAATGATCAATGAAGAGATGAGAGATGGGGTACGGCTATCGCATTTCCCTTTTCACATGTAACCACTACTTTCTCTCTACTCTCTACTTGCTACTACTCTATCTATCTCTCTCTACTTTATATAAAGGTGTGGGTTGATTGATTAGATATATATAGTGAAACATACCTTTCCTATCTTTTGAAGTACCGATGTCTTGGCAACACCGATTTTACCAACAAATCCCCATTCACCTCCGCTTCTTTGTGGTGAACGTCCAGTATTGCTATTGTTGTTTGACTGTTGAATGTAAACAGACTTTCTATTATCGTGAAAGTTAGAGGTAGATGGACTACTACTCATTTGGTGTTGTATATTTAAATCTGACATTTTATATCTTTCTATCTGTCTATCTTTGTTGTTGTTGTACAAGTATATGTATATATGTAGTATATGTATATCTATCTATCTTCTATGAGTGGAGGGGGAGTGGTTTGTTTATTTTTTAGTAAAAGTACAACAGTATTATATATATATTATTACAATCTTTGTTCTAAACAATTGCAAGGTAGCTGTACAGAAACACTCTCTCCACACAACCAATCGCGTTGGATGATTTTTTTCAAAGTTTTTTAACTTTTTGTTTGCTGTTTGCGCTGATTATGAAAAGCGGATTCGAAGTCGAAGTTCGAGGGAAATCATCCCAAACCCAGGATAAGATTGGTAGGGTTGAAGGTTGAACCCCCCAACCAACCATCAATGAAATAATACTCTATTTAAATAACATGGTTGGATTATTATTATTATTATATTATTAATTTATTGTTTTTGTTCGGATGGTGCAGATGATGATTGATTATTGAAATTTAAGAATGGATGCCATAAACCTTGAATGCTTTGAGTTTGTCTGATATATCTGTTTCCAAACTTCATTGGCTTAAAACCAGCTGTATTTCTTAAATTGTCCAAGTGTTTAACAACCTTTTCCTCTTCTTCACCTCTTAATGGTACAATCTTCTTTTTTCCTGAAACTATTAAATAATGAACAAAAAGAAAGAGTAAATAAACAATATCAAACAATGAATTCAAAGATAAATGTCTAGTTTAACTTTGATCAATGATTCCAAGTCATTCGTCATCTTCATCAACGAGTGTGGTTGTTTGGTTGTATCATATCATACCATAAGTAGCAGTTGCTTGTGGATGTCTTCCTCTATTTACTTCTTCTACAAATTCGATTTGTGGATTATTTTGTTTATACTCTTGAATCAATGTTGGTAATATGTTTCTATAGAAGTGTTTGTTGATCGAAATGTTAGTTTACTTGAAATCTACATATGGTTGATATCATCTCTTTTCGATATAGTGCTGTAGTCATTCGTCTTGATTGTCTCTTCAATGATGACCATCATCCAACGTGTTTTGTATCCTCCTGTTGTTGTTTAGTTGAACATCAAACTGCGCTGTGGTGATAAAGACAGACTACTACTTTGCTAACTAGATGATTGAAGATTCTTTGATTGGTTGCATTTACCTGATGAATTTGCTGCTACCACTATGATCGCAATATTGCAATACGACCTTCTTTAATTGCCATACACCGTTCTTTGACATTTTCTTTATTGTATGTATATATTGATAAAATGTATAACTGCTTGAATATGCATCTGCTTCAGGCAATCAAGCATTCTCTCACCATCGCTATGATCCCACAAAAAAAACGACAAAAAATATTTTTTCTCATTGCCCATACAAATAATTGAATTTGGTGTAAGACAGACCAATACCTTTTCTTTATTAATACAACTCACTCATATTTATACTAGTAGTAATAAATATAGATCTATGAAATGATATGAACCATAGATATATATATCTTGAGTAAAAGAAAAGGCTCTAAAGTACACCTTTCAATACTCGCACTTTAAATGGCGACCATTTTTTCAATTTTTTTTGATGCTTCGTTTTTTGTTGGCTTCATCTGATCATCCACTTTAATGATCATTACTTGTTACTTTGTTAGAGAGAAAGAGAGAGAGAGAAAGAAAGAGACAACGATTCGATCATCATCATCACCTCTAGATACCTACACATTCATTCATTCATTCATCAACGAAACGCAACAAAGAAGAAAGAATAAAAAATGTTTGGAATCAAATCATTAACAAGTCGTGTTGGATCAATGTCTATCAGCAATGTTGTTGGTAGATCAACCTCATTATATAGCAGCAACGTTGCATCGACATCTGCATTATACTCGACCATGTCAAAATCATATAGCGCTAACAGTACCAGTACTACCTTGCTTGGCAAAAATAGCAACTTTTCATGTAATAATACCATCAACAACTATACTCGTACATATTCAACACAACAACAACAACAAGAACCAAATATCAACATTCTCAACGACATTGAATTCCCAGACAATAGAAATGAAATCAGAACTCCAACTGGTGTCACTTCACATCAAGTCATTGATTTCAACTCTAAACAAGTAGTTGGTGAAATCAACCTTTTAAATAGCGTATTCAAAGTTCCATTAAGGTAAGTCAATATTGATTGCGATTGGATTGATTTGTTTATGTGGTTGCAACTTGCTACAACAAAACACAGACAAACAAAACAAAAGTTTGAAAAAGGAAATTAACAGACCATATATTATATTATAATATATATTATAGAATTGATTTATTACATAGAATGATTAGATGGCAAAGAGCCAAGGCTAGACAAGGTACTCATTATGCTCAGAATATGGGAGATGTTGAGAGAACCAACAAGAAGCCAATGGCACAAAAGGGTAATGGTCGTGCCCGTCAAGGTACCAATCATGCCATTCAAATGGTTGGTGGTGCCCGTGCTTTCCCACCCAAGCCACGTGACCACTCTCATTCATTGCAAAAGAAGGTCCGTAAGCAAGCACTCTGCGTCGCTCTTTCGACCAAGCTTGCTCAAGGCAAGTTGATCATTGTCGATGATCTCCAAGTCGAGACACACAAGACCAAGGAGCTCGTCCAACTCTTGCCAGAGGCATGGGGTCGTTCATTGCTCGTCAACAATGAATTCTCAAACAACTTTAATTTGGCTGCCTACAACATCATCAACATTGATCTCGTCCCAGATCGTGGTATCAATGTCTACTCAATCCTCCAAAAAGACACCTTGGTCATCTCTAAAAAATCAATCGAAATATTACAAGCTAGACTCACCAATCAAGATTATGAATTTGATCAAATTGAAGAAGATGAGGAAGAACAAGTACAAGTAGACCAACAATAAGATAATATAATAATAATAATAATACCAAAATAATAAAATCAAAAAAGTAATTACAAAACAAAAAAATATTACAACAAAGATCACTTTACTGTTTCGGGAGGGATGCTGCCCCGATAATATAATTTATAAAATTAAAATCAAATCGGTTGGTTGGTGGATGAATTGTGATCAAACTCATGACATCACCCGAGAAGGGATAAAAAAGTTTACAAGATATTTTTTGTTGAATGTCATTGTAAACTTCCTTCTTCTGATTCCTCCTCTTTGTAGAACAGTTTACTGTTCTTCTCCATTGTTTCTTTTTAACATTCAATCATAATAAATAACTTGTATCATTAACTTAATCAATCAATTGTTGTATTTATATATATCTATTCTGTACAGATAAGAAAAAGAAAGAAGAGAAGCGATGATGAAATCAACATCACTCTTTGGACTATTAATAATAGTAGTTATTGGCTGTTTGACAACTTTTACAAGTGCATTTAATTTTGTTGATCCTTTGGAACAAGACAATACAGCAATTCTTGAAACAATCTATGGTTCAGTTCAAGGTTTAGTTTATGATAACTATGCTGCTTTTTTAGGTGTATGTTTTATTAAATCTATTTATATTTATATATATATATATATCAATCTTGATATACTAAACAATAAATCTTTGTCTTTATTTATTTTAGATTCCATTCGCTGCACCACCAGTTGGACCTGCGAGATGGCAATCACCAATCGATCCAAAATCATGGGCTCCAAATGTTTTAGATGCTAGAAATTTCCAAGTATGCATTCATGCAGTGACAGTGAGCAGTGTCAACTCTAAAATATCTTTTAAATTAATTATATTTCTTTTCTTTTCTTTTCTATTTATTTTTAGGCAGGATGTCCACAAATGTGTGAATTGCCACCTGGAACATGTCCCAATGTAACAAGTGAGGATTGTTTGTATTTAAATGTATTTGTACCATTGTCTGTTATTCAAAATACCACCTCTTCTTTGAGACCAGTTATGGCTTTTCTTCCAGGAGGTAGATTCGAACAAGGATCAGCTGCTTCAACACTTTATATTGGCGATACTATGGTATCATCGGCTGAAGCCATTGTTGTAACGATCAACTATCGTTTGGGTGCATTGGGTTTCTTGCTTACCGATGATTTTACTGGAAACTTTGGATTCCAAGATCAACGTCAAGCATTGTATTGGATCCAAAACAATGCCAAGTTCTTTGGTGGCGATGCCAATCAAGTTACTTTGGTTGGTCAGAGTGCCGGTGCCACATCGATTGCCACTCACATTACCTCTCCACTCTCCTTTGGACTGTTCCATCGTGTCATTGTCGAGAGTGATCCATGGACATTGGGACTAAAGACACAAGAGATTGCCCAACAATACTCTTTACTCTTTGCCAATGCCGTTGGATGTAGTTTCAAAAATGCCGATTGTTTGCTTGCACTTACAGTCGACCAAGTGTTGCTTGGCCAACAAAAGGCACAACAAAGTCTCGACCCACTCATTCCACTTGCATCGTTCCTCCCCTGGACACCAACTATTGACGGCGACGATATTATCGACCAGCCACTCAACCTCATCAAGGCTGGCAAGTTCTACCAAGTTCCAATGATCGTTGGCAGTGTCTCTGAAGAAGCACTCATCTTTATCTACCAAGCAGCCGCCAAGAACGTATCGGCTCTCCAATACGAGGAGGCATTAGGTCTCATCTTTTTAAACCATGCTCCATTCATCAACGACCGTTACCCACCCATCGTCGGTGCAGACAACCGTCCCGTCCTATCAACCCTCGGCACAGACTATATCTTTGTGTGTCCAGTGCGTAACACCTCACGTTACATTGCCGACATTCAAGCCAGTAACAATGTTCCAATCTACAACTACCAATTCCAACATGTGACCGGTGCCGATTTCTGGGGACCCAATTTCCCAGATTGCGTAGGTCATGTTTGCCATGGAAGTGAACTCTTGTACGTCTGGAATAGTGCTGCTCGTGGAGGTGTACCCCTCACCGATGGTGAACAACAACTATCGATAAACATGAACAACTATTGGATGAATTTCGTCGTCAATGGCGATCCAAACGTTGGTCTCCCGGTTCCAGTCGAATGGCCAACCTACAACACAACGACCGATGAAACTATGATTTTCCAAACACCTCCATTTGTTCAATCCGGTTTACTCAAATCACAATGTGATTATCTTGATGAAATGGGTTATGATAATCCAAGATAAAGAAAGAAAGAAAGAAATTAATCAATTAAATTAAAATTCACTAATATTATTATAAATTATTAATACACACAAAAAAAAAGAAAAGAAAAAGGGATTAAATATATTATTTGTTTATTTATTTTATTTACAATTCATAACTATGTGGAAAACAACAAATTTCATTATGTCTTGGATCACAATTGGTATACCACATGCATTTATGTTTAAAACAACTACTTATACTAGAATATTTATTACATTCTGCAATTTCGGCTGGATCTAAAGAAATGTTCATTTAAAATTTGTTAATACACGAGAAATTATTTTAAATCAATTCAAACATTTTGATCAAGTTACCATGAGCATTGATTGTTATAATTGAAAATATAAATATTATTAATATGATTATTGATATATTTAATAAATTTGGTTTATACATATTTTAAAATAAATTATTAACAAATTATATTGAAGTGAAGAAATGATAAGAATAAAAAATAAATCAAAAAAGTATAAATAGATGGATGATGAAAAAGAAAGAAAAGTAGGTTGGTGATAATATCCAAGTTTCTTGAATCTGGGAATTGGATCTCACTCTAGAGAGTTAACAAGACAACAAATACATCATCATGTAAGATGTATAATCCCAATCTAATCTGTCTGATGAAGTGTGGGGTTTGTAAAAAAAACTACCTTTTTTGATCAATTGATTTTATTTGTTTGTTAACTGTACATAAAAAAATGTATGTTTTGATGAAATATTTACAATATTTAAAAAATATATTTATATGTTATGATAGATTTTTGAAATGATACTACCAAAAAAGGATAATAGTAAAAAAAAACAAATAAATACTAATAGTAATCACGTGCTATATATCCATCTTTAAAATATATCTATCTATCATTTTGAAATTAATTAATTACGACGACAAGACATGAGGATGTAATACAAATTTAATTTGGTTCTCTTAATAATGCCCAAAAATCAACCATTCCATTCTCCTATGTCGTTTAAAAAAAAGAGAGAGAGAGAGAGGATTAATATTATTATTATATATTTATAAATATAGATAACATTGCAATGTTATAAAAGTTTCACGATACATACAGTAGAATGATACATTATTTTAAAATTAAATTTCTCCAAAAATTTTAAAGATTCTGAACTAGCAGTATCAATATATACAGCCACCTTTTGAGAGTCTGCCAATTGGAGGACAGTGTTGATTAGATCAGTTCCAATGTGATTTCTTTTCATTAAAATGTCTACAATGATTGCATTGATGTACCAATGTGGTCTTCCTCTGGTAACATCACTGTGAACCTTTTCTGTTTTTTGAAACAGATTAAGTACTCGAGACAGTGGGGCTATACCCATCTTGTAGGTGGCGAGGACCATACCAGCCTTTATCATTTCAACAATTCGAACACCTACTTCGTTTGGTGGTTGGCATATCATGACACCGAGCATCTGGTCTCCATTACGATCTGGTTTATTGTTAAAGACACCCCATACTCGGGCTCGCTTCAAGGCATAGTTGAGCATGCATCCAAAGTACCATTCACTTCCACTTTTAGTCCAACTTTCTCCTTGGAAAAAATAGGTCATGAATGGATCTGCCCATGTCGATCGTTGCATCATGGTTGCACATGCTTTTGTTTCCTTTCCCCATATCTCTCTGATAATATATTCCTTTTCTTTTGGTATTGGTTTTGCTATCTTTGTAGATTGATCAATCTTTGATGATAAATCTGCCAATTGATTTGCCAACATTGATATTTGTGATGATAATATATCATTATTTTGATTGTTGTTATTACTATTTACATTATTATTACTAATTATACTACTACTATTATCATTTTGAATAAAAGATGAAGAACTATTTATAATATTTTGATTATTTTGATTATTTTGAATTGCAGCTAAATGATCAATGATTTCTTTTAAACTATAGTTTGGTGTCAATTGATCTTTTGATATAGTTTTATGACATAGAGGACATGTTTGTTTCTTTGATAACCAATCTTCTATTGTTTCACGTGAGAAACTGTGTCCACAAGTTGTTAATACTGGATCTTCTATCGTTGATAAGCTAATAGGATCAATCAATATGTTGTTTAGATGTTCTGCTTGGTCTACTATTATACTACTCTCTCCTCCTCCTCCTCTATTACTATCTTCAGACATATTTATATTATATTATTTATTTATTTATTTATTATTTATCTCTAATTTTTGAAATTGAAACAATGAGATGATGACTCATCTTCAAGCTTCACAAATAAGGGGTAATATTTTATTGGCATTGATAAATTCGATGAAAAATTTAATAATAATGGCATAGACATGGACTGCCAAAAATAGGTAATTTATTGTCTCATGATGGGATTTCAAGTGCATAAAATTTCAAATTTTTATTGTTCCAGATACCATGATCCTTTAGTTTTATAATTCTGGTTTTTTATATCTAAACATTTCAAACTTGTCCAAATCATTTTGGTAACTGTTGCTAGTGGTTGTGAAATCGGTAATGTGTGTAATCTCTTCAAAATCTTCTTCCATATCAACCATAATTTTCTTTGATGATGATGGTGTTCGGTGTCCACTACCACCATCGCCAAGTGTAGGTGAAGTTGGTGGAGAAGTAGAAGTTGAGGTTGTCGATGTGGTAGTTGATGTTGTTGATGTTGTAGATGTGGTCTTTTTCCTTTTAATTGCCTCATTTTTAACAGGAGGCAAATCTTTTCTCTTTTTGGTTGCTCCTTTATCCTTAGATTTACTTTTTGAACTTGCTTGTGGTTGGACAAATACATCACTGTCTTCTTCCTCCTCCTCCTCCTCCTCCTCTGCACCAAATCCAGATAGATTTAGTAAATCTATACCATCATCATCCTCACCTGCTCCAGTAAGATCATTTTGATCCTTTTGATCCTTTGATTTCTTTGTTGAAGATTTAGTTGTACTATTTTTGGTTGTTGCGGAAGATTTTGATTGTTTTGCTTTTGGTTTTGCTCTTGGTTTTGCTTTTGGTTTTGGTTTTGATGGTTTTGATTTTGGTTTTGATGATTTTTTAAGAGTACCATTATCATCAAAATCGTCATCATTATAATCTTCAGGTTCCTCCTCTTCTTCTTCTTCCTCCTCCTCATCATCATCTTCTTCTTCATTTTCACTATTAATTTCATTTTTAACTCCATTTTGTTTATCTTGAATCTTTTTTAATTTTTTTTCATATTTTATCTGTCTAACAGCGTCTCTATCCTCTACACGCTTGATGATAGCGTCTAGATAGTCTTCAATTTGATTTTCATTTTGTAGAATAGTATCTGTTTGATCGACTTCAAGAGCTGATCCTTGTCCATCCAACACTCTACCCAAAACATCTTTTTTCTCTTCGATCATATTCCATATGCTCTCGTCGACCGATCCAATTCCGACAAGGTATTGGATGAGGACCGAGCTGGTTTGACCATATCTATGTGCTCTATCTTCAGCTTGGAAAAGGGTTCCAGGCGTCCAATACAATTCAGCAAATATAACCAAGTTGGCAGCTGTCAATGTCAAACCTGTACTTGCAGCCGTAAGACTGAGTACTGCGGCCCTAATAGTATCATCAGTTTGAAATAGATTTACATAATCTGCTCTTGTCTGTACATTTGTATTACCATCAATTCTAATATATTCACAATTTCGCGACTACAAAATAAAAATAAAACAATCAATTAATAATTCTTTCTTTCTTTTAATTTTTTTTGTTTTTTTTTATGTTACCTTTAAAACATTTGAAATACCATCTAAAACATCAAGATGATGAGCAAATATAATAAATTTACCATCAAAAACTTCCAATTTATCCTTTAAGAACCGATCGATAGCACCCAATTTACCAAGACCAGTATCTCTAAACAATTTGGTGTAGAGAGATTTTTTTGAATATGTTTTTCGAGCAGCTTCAGTTCTGTCACCAGTATTTTTGATTGTGTTTTTGGCCGATTGAATATCACCCATTGTCTTTTTGATCTTTCTAAGATCACCTTTTTTAATTTCAACCAAAATCTTTTCTCTTCTCTTTTCGGGCAGATCCGACAATACATCATCCTTGAGACGACGGATCATAATCGTGTTGAGGTAGGTATTCAATTCTTTGGAATTACTGTTGCCAAAATAATTTAGTCGGTGAAATTTGTCATAGTATGCATTGCAATATCTAAAGACATAATCTTTCCAACCGAGGAAAAAGGGAGCAATGCAATGTATCTGTTGGTATAGTTCACACGGACGTGAAATGGCCGGTGTTCCTGTTAAAAGAAGCTTTCTATTTGCCTTTGCCATGATCTTTCCAACACATTGCGTTCGCTGACTCTTGAAATCCTTGATAAAATGACTTTCATCGGCAATGACCACTTTGAAGTTTTTGGCCAAAACATCTTCCAACTTTGTGCGACACAAGTCGTACGAGATGATGTTGACCAAACCATTCAAACCACACTTTCCAGACATGACTAAATTGATTTCACCCGATTTAAAGATACCTGGTAAAAACTTGTCCAATGCATCAGCCCACACCAAACGAAGTGATGACGGGGTGATGATCAATAGTGGCCATTCTTTTCGATAATAGTAGGATATGGCAATTGCTTGTACCGTTTTACCAAGACCCATTTCATCACCAACAATACATCTACCCTCATGTTCAACTCCAAACTCTAGTCCTTTGAGTTGGAATGGCATCAGAGTATTTAAGAGTGTTGCTGGAACACGTGATAAATCGATTGGAGGTGGTAGTTTGATGTTTGGGTTGGCAAATGAGTTGATAATGTGTTTTGGTAGTTTGATGACCTTTACTCTTGGTCCCAGTGATTCGAGTCTATATACAATTGTTTGGTGTTCGGTCACTGGTAACAACCACCAAAGATTCTCATCATGTTGCTCTGATTTTGCTCCATGGATACTTGAAAATATTTCTGTAATTTTTGGATTCTTTGGATCCAAACAACTAAAACTTGTTTGATTGACCAATTGAAAATTTAATTCAATCGGTACATTATTATTAAAGTTGAATGGTATTAAACTTATTTGTTGATTATTTGTATTATTATTATTATTATTATTATTATTATTATTATTATTATTATTATTATTATTATTATTATTATTTTGTGTATCAGAGTAATTCACCATTGTTTGATTTGTATTTATATTTGTATTTGTATTTTGGTGATAATTATTATTATTATTATTATTATTATTATTATTATTGTTGTTGTGGTTGTTATAAGTATGTTTAATACTATTGTTATTATTTGGGTTAAAATTATTATTATTATTATTGTTATTATTGTTGTTAGTGTTGTTATATATATTAGTATTGTTATTCGAGATACCAGATGATGTAGTTTGATTGTTGTTATTTTCTTTCTTTATAGATAAAGAAACCGTCGCAGGTTTAGGTGCAATCGATAAAGATACTGTTTTTTTGACAGGAGATTGAGGTTGTATCTTCAAAGATACTGTATTATTTGGTTTTGTTGGTGCAACAGACTGTACTTGTGCTGTTTGTTGTTGTATACCATTTTGTACGACTGGAGTAGGTAGATGTGGAGGTTGTTGTTGTTGTTGTTGTTGTTGTTGTTGTTGTGTAACTACATTGGTAGGTACTGTATGTAAGGAGGGAAAGGGAGCAGTATTTTGTTGTATCTTTGGTTGTATATTTGTTGTTGTTGTTGTTGTTGTATTGCTCGGAGGAGTAGGATTAGTGTAAGGTTTCTTTGATATGACAAGTGATATTGTCTTCTTTTTTTGTACTGGTGCAGCTGCAGATGCAGCAGTGTTTGGGGTATCCATATTTCTATATATTGTGTCGACGTTATTTGCTATCTGTGCATTAATTAATTATCGTTTCAGTCATCTCTCTCTCTATTTTTGCAATCAAACTCAAAGACAAGTTTCGAGGAAAAAATGACTTTAGCTCTTCTTTTTGAAACTTTAATTAAAATCATATCTTTCAAGATACCAAGCGATGATGATGTAGCTCTTAATATTATCTCAAAACAAAAAGAGACAATCAACATTCTCTATTCTATCTATATATCTTTACACTTGTTTGTAAAAGAAAAAAAAAGGTAATTTAATCAATTAGTTTGAATCAATCTTCTTGTCTAATTAATTCTTTCTTTTAAAAGATGAGTAGTAGATCATTGATAGATTTACCAACAGTAGTAATTCATTCAATATTTAATTGGTTGGGAGATGATGAAGATAAAGTATTTCTATACTTGACTTGTAAAAGATTACATCATTATAAATACTTGACACTCGAACATTATAGTGATCGAGATCAATGTGCACATGGACCAATTGAAAGATATAAAAAGGTGACAATATCAGGTGTTGGTTTGTCAATCTTGGCACCCAAACATAAACTATTGTACCATAGATTAAAAGAGAGGGGAGAAAGATCACTCGTCACATCATTGGTACTTTATTTCTGCTCCTCCAGTCAATGCAACGTGTTGGAGATTACCCCTTCCATCACATGTCTTTCGATAGAAGGTGAAACACCTAGAAACTTACTAGACTCAAAGAACCTGTCCAATCTAGTCACACTCAAAATTGCAAAGAGTCATATCAAAGATATTGAACAGCCCGATTACACCAGACACCTCGGTATTAGAGGTGACACATTCCCCAAACTCACCCGATTGGAGGTACCGTACATTTACATTGACAATACCAATTGTAAATCCATGAACCAACTACCATCGTCACTTACATCATTTAAAACAGAGATTGGTACTTTGGACCATAGCGGTGACTCTACGGTACTCGACTTTTTAACCAACCTACCCAACTTGCAACATCTTTGTCTTGAAGCGTTAAATAGGACGACACCCCTGACTAGATTTCCAAGTAATCTAGTTTCATTGGATATTGCTGAACTATACAATCAACGACTCGAACCTGGTATGCTCCCTCCAACACTCACCAATCTTTGTATCAAGGGATACCAACAAAAGATACCAGACGACACCTTTCCAATCGGTCTCCAAAGTTTGGAAATTAAAGAGTCGAATTTGGCATGTCTGACCAATCTCAAATTACCACCTATGCTTACGTCGCTTTCGATTCACGATTCATCGATAGGTATTGTGATTCCAGACACTGTCAAATTCCTGACTTTTAGATGTGACGGCCAACAAAACTTGGGTACACTCCCTTCATCCCTTGAATACTTGGAGTTGTTGGGTCTATTTAGTCCTGCCATCAAACTGCCTCAGGGAGTACGTGTGGTTAAACTCAACGTGTCAGGCTTGCATCTTGCACGTGGTTTTCTGCCAAGTACAGTTTGTCAAGTCGAATTTGGTGACGATGTCTATTTCCAATCGACATTTGAAAAGGATTGGGCACCAGACTCTGTAGAGACTATCAAATTTGGTAGTCGCTTTGACAGAGCCATTCGATTTCCACCACACCTAAAACACGTTGAATTTGGTCAGCTCTTTAAAGGAAGCTCTTTTATCGACGAGTTTCAACAAAAGGTTTCACTAGAGTATGCATTACCTCCAACCATTGAGTCTGTTAGATTCGGTGCATGTTTCTACTACCATAATTTGATCAATAGAGTACTCCCATCGTCCATCAAAAGATTGTACTTTACAAATTTGGCTCACGTACAGACAGCACTTCCAAATGACTTTACATTTCCTCCCACCCTTGAAGTACTCCAGTTCCCTATATTAGACTATCAATATGAAATACCTCAACTTCCAGATACACTACTCAAACTTTATATTGTCTCTACCAACAAAAAGCATCAAAAATGTATTGGGTGTCATCGTGCCGTGATCACATTGAAATGTCCAATACCAATTAGAAACAAATTGGTTCGTCTTCCCAATTATCCACAATCAATGATTATCTATGTAAACAACAATTTCTATACCACTCAACAATACCAACAAGCTTTAAATCCTCCTTCTCCTCACCTCAAATCATTAGAAACAAACCATCAATCAATTTTAAATATAGTTACCAAGAAAATAAAGGATATATTCAATTAAAGTAGTAAAAAAATATATATATTTTCCAAAAAAAAAATAGTAATTTAAAAAAGATAGTAGAACAGATCCCTAGGGGGTTTTCATTGTATAATTGAGATGGGTTTGAGTTGTAGAAAGGGAATCTTGAGAATACATAATCTCTCATCACCATACATTCCTTCACTAATTACCATGAACAATCATTTATGGGTGTGGACTATTTTTCTTTTTTCTTTTTTTTTGAGAACAATGAAAGAATTTGGACATGGAATGATTTTGGAACTTTGGAAAAAAATCACCCATAAATTTTGTACTTGAATTTATTCAAACAAAGAATTCAATGGTAAACTACTTGAATGTTCTCAAGATTCCCTTCCTACAATCAAACAAATTGTCCAATTACAACAACAAACCTAGGGATCTGTTCTTTCAAAAAAATAATTCTTTTCTATTTTTTTTTTTACTTTAATAATAGATACATAGATTTTTGTTTATTAATAATTTATTTGTTTTTTGTTTTTGTTAAATTGTTAAACAAAGCGTGAGAAAGTTTGGTAAAATAAATATGGATAGGTAGTTCATTAAATATTTAATGAAACAACATGGCGTTATTATAGCAATTTCGTTAGTGTTTTGTTTCATTTAGAAATCGGCAGTAATATCTTTGATGGCTTGGTCAACATCTACCTCTGAGGAGTCACTTGAGCTGGTGCCTTCCTCCTCGACATTTACATCGACTGAAACGTGGGTTTGTGGTACAGGTTCAGGTTCTGGCTCTGATGATTTGGGAGTTGGTTGAACTTGAACTTGAGCTTGTGGCTGAGCTTGTGGTTGAGCTTGTGGTTGTTGAGGATAAGCATTGTATTGTGGTTGTTGGTGTTGTTGTTGTGGATAGACTGGTGGATGTTGTGGATAAGCATTGTATTGTGGTTGAGGGGCTCCTTGAGCTGGATAATGTGAGTAGGATTGGTATTGTGGTTGTTGGGCAACTGCTACATGAGCTTGTGCTGGTTGGTGTTGTGGTTGAGAATGAGCAGCATAACTTTGAAGTTTAACTCCACTTTGTCCTGGTGTCTCTTCAGGACCTGATTTGAAAATAGCCATACCAATGGCAACGAGGATAACAATGAATTGTAAAATGACGACTGGGAAGTGAACAAAATAACCAGCTTGTAAAACACCATAGTACGAGTCCATCTTTGAAAAATCTTCAATACCAAACGCAGCGGCGTACGTCGACAAAATAGAACTCTCTAGGGCAATAGCAATCATCAAGAATATGGCAGCTGCAAACCCAGTGCCCTTGGTTGCCTTTTTACCACCAACCAAACAGAGCAAAGAAGCAAAGAATGTCAAAAACAGTGAAGCAAATGTGAATGCCATGATTCTAGTTTGGAATGATGAATCTTTGGTATCGTAATTTTCAAACTAAAAATAAATTTAAAAAACCAAATGCAAGCAAAAAAAGTGGTGTTAGTCACAACAATCAATCGATTGATCATTTATATATAAATGAAGTCTTCTTTTTATTCTTCTTTTTATCTTTCTTTTCATACCTCTTCATCACCAAAGTATTCAACACCGTATCTTGTTAAATAATAGTTGATTTTTAAACTTGAATTTCTGCCATCTACTGTCAGCCACTTGGTGATACATGATGCAACCAACAAGGCTACTGCTACTAACCCGACGATAAAACCTGCAATATTTCCTGGTCTCATTTTATTATGTAATTATATTTTATATATAGATAGATATATTAAGAAAAAAAGTAGTAGATATAAATAATTACAAGATGATAAAAAAAGAATGAATGTCTCTTGAGACAAGGACTGAAGGGTTGTCGTATTATGTTTCTAACAATTTTAACAATGTGGAGGAAAAAAACTCCCTCTTTAGTCTACGTGGTCTAAAGAATTAATGCCCTCTAAAACAGGGGCAACACTCACACAAACCCACTCCATTCATGATGACCCAATGAAAAACCGTTTGGTTTTGAAAATCTCCCGCCCATCAAACAAGATCGATCAATGGTTGGTGAAAAAATAATTTCCTCAATGGGTTTTCGTGACAGGTCTTGACTTTCAACAATACTGTTGGTATACTGTTATCATGATTTAGATTGTCCAACTAATATATATATATAAATACTTGTCCTATGGCCATCGTAATTTATTGAAAAAAGAGAGCTAGGTTTTTTTTTTATATAGGGACAGCTGTACAAATAAAAGTTATAAAAGGTTGAAATTTCACAAAACAGAGTATTCAAAAGGCTCAGGTTCAAAACAAATCATTATCTATCTATCGGTCTATCTCTCAAGATCTTTTTAGTTTAGATGGATAGTGCAAAGTTATCATTGATAGATTTACCAACAATAGTAATCTATTCAATATTTAATTGGTTGGAAGATGATGAAGATAAAGTATTTCTATACTTGACTTGTAAAAGATTACATCATTATAAATACTTGACTCTCGAACATTATAGTGATCGAAATCAATGTGCACATGGACCTGTTGAAAGATATAAAAAGGTGACATTGTCAGGTGTTAGTTATTATAGTAGTAGTATTGGTAGTGGTAGTGGTAGTGGTGGAGGTGGAGGTGGTGCTACGACTACTATTATACTACCACCTAAACATGAAAGATTGTACAATAGGTTAAAGGAGAGATCTGATAGATCACTTGTAACAATGCTTTCATTATACTATTGTAGTAATGACAAAAACAACGAAAGAAATGTATTGGTACTCGACCCTTTAATCACGTGTCTTGTAGTCGATGGTCAGAGACCAAACAACCTACTCAACTCCAAAAATACATACAATCTCTCGTCTCTCACCGTTTCAAAAGGTTCAGATTATGATAGTGTACTACGTACAAAGCTTGGTATGCGTGGTGATACACATCCTAATCTCATACAACTAGACCTTCCCGTCATAAAGATCACCAGTCATACCAACAACCTTAACGTTGGTGGTCATCTACTACCATCTTCACTGACATCTCTCAGTGTCAATTTCTCTATTCAAAATGGTGGTCGTGGTATGTCTACTGTCAACCCTATAGTGGACTATTTTTCAAACCTTGACCAAAGTTTAGTACATCTAACTCTCAGTCTAGACGTGTACGATACAAGGATAAAGTTTAATCGGTTTCCTTCAAATTTGGTTTCATTGTCTCTCAATGGATTCAATCAACAATTGGAACGTGACATGTTTCCACCGACAACACTCACCAGTCTATCTCTTGATGAATATCACAAGTTAATACCAACCGGCACTCTTCCAAACAGTCTCTTACGATTGGAAATCAAGGAATGTTGTCCAGATTGTTTAAAAGGGACTGTACTACCACCAACACTCACCACTCTTTTGGTACACGGGTCACTACGATCTATCACAGTACCAAACTCTGTCACTACATTAATCTATTCATTTAAAAATGGTATTGTCAATGGTTGTGGATTGGTTAAACTACCCACATCACTTTTACATGCAGAGTTTATAAATCACTTTGATCAAGGTAAACTTGGTTTAAAGTTGCCTCAAGGCTTGCAAACTCTTAGGATCAGTCCTTTAAACTGTCTCGAACCAGGTTTCATTCCAAATACAGTTCATAGTATTCAAATTGATGATTTTTCTCTTTTCAATAATAATATTAATAATAATACTTGCAACAACAATACACAACCAACAAAATTGGGATGGATACCAGATTCAGTAGAATCAATTGTATTTAAAAAAGGATTTGATCATTCTATTCGATATCCGAGTGGTTTAAAGTATATTGAATTTGGTGAATCATTTACAGGTAGATCTTTTAAAACCACCATTCTTGCATCAGAATATTTACTACCATTTGGTGTCGAGACTGTTAAATTTGGATCGCTTTTAGAATATGATACTCTGGTCAAAGGAGTACTCCCACAGTCTATCACAAGATTATACTTTACAAATGTACGTGGGGTTTTGGCCAGCTTAACCACTGGGTTTTTAGGAGAATTCCACCAACTTCCAAAGGATTTCACATTCCCTCCAAGGCTAGAAGTTCTACAATTCCCTTTAGCCTATGAATATGAAATGCCACGTCTCCCAAATACACTTCTCAAGTTGTATTTGTACTCTCCCACCATTGGAAGAAATAAATGTTCATTGTGTCCATATTGGCGTACTCACCAATGTCCACCTCTACCAACCACCCACACCAAACTAATCAATCTTCCAAACTACCCTTTATCGATGGTCATCTATATTGACAACACATACTATACCATTCATCAATACCAACAAGCTCTTAAAATACAACAACAACAACAACAACCAAAAAAGTTTATATAAATAAATAAATAAACTAAATTATTTATTAAGTGTATAATTAAAGTTTAATTAAAAATAGGTTGATTAACCAATTGAATAGATGATATTTTTAAAGTTGAACTAGTTTCAAAGAGGATTAATTCATTTTCACCTTGATAGAGTAGGACTGATGGGATGTAGATGGTTTGTTGTGGACCTACATTCCAGTATCTACCAACATTGAAACCATTGACAAATAATTGTCCTTTACCAAGCCCTTGGAAGGAAAGGAATGTTTCGGCGATATTTTCAACTTGAAAGGTGGCCAAATAAAATGATGGTGTTGTGTATTGTTGTTGGTTGTATTGGTCGATTGGTGTCCAACGAAGTGTTGTGTTTAGTTGGTAGGCATCGGCAAGAGGTAATAAAATGTTTGTCCAAGGACCGAGGTATTGAGATCCACTCAGTACACCCTTTCCCAATCCCTTTCTATCCAACATGGATGAACCATAGTTGATACGACCTTGATTCTCCAACAAGATTGAAAGTTGCATTATTTCATTGGTTCCGGCACCGAAATTGAGAGAAAGAGTAGAGTTGTATGGACGTTGTAAGGTACCTTGGTATTCATTGTCGAGGAATATAGTGGCACGATCGTGAAGCTCGTCGATTCCTAGTGCATTTGATTGGTACTTTGAACTAATGTTGGTTTGGTACAAGACGAATCCGTACGGTTGACCCATCTCCTCCATGTAGAGGGGACGGCCAGTGTCGGTGATGGGAGCGACCGGCGAGACAATGCCAAGGTTGTCAAAGAGTGATGCGGCCGACACGACCGTCACTGGATAGGCCGCGCAGGGTGGGTTGGAGGGGACAGGCGCCGCAGGAGTGCCAGTATGGTTGGCAATGGAGCTTTGGATGGCTGCAAACTTGCTGCTGACACCTCCCCACTCGGAAATGGGTGCGTCATAGTCGTACGACTGGATGGTAATGTCAAAGGATGGTCCTCCGCCATTGGCACCGTTCATGTAGCCATAGTTGGAGCCTCCGTACAGCATGTACATGTTGACACTTGCACTGGGCAATATGTTGGTCAGTCCCTGTGCAACGACAGACGGTGCAACGTTGGCAGCGGTCGGCTCGGTCCAGTGTGTCAGCCAACCGGTATAATACTCGCTGTTCATGAGTGGACCGGTCGGCTCAAACACACGCTGCGTCGCAAACATCTGATTGACATCTTGCTCGGGACCAAAGTCAACCGTCTGGAACACCATTGAACCACCGTCGTCAATCTGTGACCCGTATAAATATGTGGTCGACTCGCCTCCATCGGTCGAATAAAAAACGACACCGTCGTCTTGTCCCAATCCAGCGCCCAAGTACTTGATATAGAGTGCTTGGAGATAATTTAAATACTCTTTATCCGATCCGTAGCTGCCATACTCATTCTCCACCTGTGCCATGATAATAGGACCGCCATTGGTAAACAACTGTGACGCCAACATTGGCAACAAGGTCGTAAACCATGAAGTCACATAGGCAAGGTAGGTAGCGTCAGATGACCGTAACGCAATCTCTGGATCGTCGCGTAACATCCAATAGGGGAAGCCGCCAAACTCCCACTCTGCACAAATGTATGGACCCGGTCTGACAATGACATTCAACCCCTCTTCTTGAGCCATCTCAAAGAATCGAGTAAAGTTGTACGATGCAAAGTCATAGACACCAGGTTCTGGCTCGTGCAGATTCCATGCAATGTATGTCTGGATAGTATTGACCCCAGCAGCTTTCACCCTCTGCAATCTGTCTCTCCACAGACCTGGCAACACTCTGAAATAGTGGAATGATCCAGAAATGATTTGAAATGGTTCACCATTCATCACAAATTGATTATTACTTTTATCAATTGAAAACCATTGTCTCTGTTGTTCTTGATATGTTGTGGTTGTTGTTGATGATGATGATCTAATGATTAATAAAAAATAGATAATAGTGATTAATATGATTGTTGTAAATTTAATCATCATCCACTATAGTATAAATAAATAAAATAAATAAATAAATATAAATATGTCTATGTATAGGTAAGAGGTAGGGTTAAATAAAAAAGAATGCAAAAGATCATCGGGTAAGATTCTTCTTCTTTCCACCCCCTCACCCAATTTTGACCAAGATAATAATAAAAGGGGGGGGGAGGGTATGAATAATAAACTAACCGCCGGTTGGTAAATCTATCATCATTATCCAACCAACTGATCTACAACTATATATATATATATATATGAATATATTTATTGCTATCTCTTTTAAGGGATAGGTAATACATACCCTACCTAAAACAATAATAAATAATAATAAATAAACGTCATATGATGAATACTGATTGAGTGTGTTGTGTGATTAAAATATAATTATAATATGTTTATCACCGGTGATATCTTTGAATATTCATTGACGTTATCATTCATCCATCCACATACATTCAAGAGATCTCTTTATACGTTCATCTTTTAATCAAAAACAATCATTTACATCTATCTAAATCATCCATTCATCTATCTATCTGTTTGTCTCTATTTATCTGTCTGTCTGTTGTTTCATTGCAACTCTTATATATGTATTGTATTTCTATTTCCTTTGTTCTGAATACTATTTGATTTACATCATCATAAACATCAAACTAAAAGAGAGAGAATTTTATTCATTGTTGGGGGTGGTTTCACTCAGAGTCCAACTGCTGCAAATTTCCCGACCAACACAATCATTCTTTTTCACTTTAACAACCTAAATATATATATATTTATATATATATAAACGTATAAATAAATACAAGATAGATATTTATTATTAGAATAGTAAATAAAGAGGAGGAGGTTAAAATATCTATATATTTATATAAATATATCTCTTTATATATATAACTTTGCTAGTTATCCTTCCTCTCTCTCTCTCTCTCTGTCTCTCATAGCAGCTTATAAACCATGAGTGGTGTTATTAGTCAAGATGACTTTAACCTCTTGCAAGAACAACTAATCGAATTAAAGAGATATAAATATGAAACATCTGAAAGAGAGAAGAAATTCATTACAGGTAAGAAGGTTAGATAGATAATATATAAAGATGAAAGGGAGAATAGATAGATAGTTATTATAGTTATTAACACTCTTTGTGTGTGTTTTTATTTATTTATTTAGAAATCAAACATCAAAGAGAACATATTGAAACTCTAGAAAATGAACAACAACAATCAAAGAAGACTAGTAATGCATCATCTCTGTTTTCAAATCTAAAGACCAAGGTTCTCGACAAGGGAAAGATGAATGAAGTCCTCGAAGAGAATGAAGGTTTAAAGAGAACTATTACAGAGAATGAAATAATCAACAAAGAACAAGTAAGAGACTCTTGTCAAGTATATAGTATAGTATTGTTGTTTATATTAATACATTTTATATTTTCTATATTTAGAGTGAAGCATTAAAATTAAATATAAAATCAATGTATGATAATAATAAGGTATTGGAAGAAGAAGTATTACAATTGAAAAAGGAGATACAAGCATATACACTTAAATCAGAGGATCAACAACAAAAGATCAATAAATTAAATGTTGATATGGTTGATTTACACATGACAAATGAAGAGTTGGAGAATCAAATAGAGGAATTAAAATTGGTTTCCACCTCTTTTTCGTCGTCATCGTCAACCAATATAGTATCTGCAATTGGTAATGTTGAACAACCACCAATGGATGGAGCTGAACAACAACAACAGCAACAAATCAGTTCACCGTTACTCATTTCAAATAATAGTGCCATTTTGGAGGAACTAATCAATTCAATTGAAAATGATCAAGAACTATGGACCATTTCATCATCGTCAGATAATACTGATGACTCATCGTCGGTAGAGTTAAAGAGAACTAAGCTAAGAGAAAAAATCAACAAGATTATTGGAAGCAATCAACACACATCACCACCCATTTCATCGTCATCACCTCCACTACAACACAAAAAGGAGGTTATCTTTCATCCATTGGGTGCTCCAACCTACGACCCAGGAGAAGAAAAGGAAAAACAAAAATTAAGAGACACTATCAAAGGTTTGATGGAACAAATCAAAGAGTTTGATGGTAAAACACTAAAGACTACATCGGAAATTAGCTCTCTACAAACACAAGTCCAAGAATTGACTGCATCCAACACATTGTGGCAAGAAAAACATAGAAATGCAGAGATCAACAGAGTAAAGATCGAAGAAAAGTTGGAACAAGAAATTAAAAACTTAAATGTAGATCTATCAGTCACCAAACAAGAAAAGGTTGAACTCTTAAACCAAAAGGAACAAGAAAAGGCCATAATCATCAAAGAAAAGGAACAAGAACGATTGGAACTTTTAAATCAAAAGGAACAAGAAAAGGCTAAACTTATCAAAGAAAAGGAACAAGCCCAATCTGAACTCATCAAAGAAAGAGAAACTTTAGAATCTTCAATCTCTGTTTCAACTTCAAAGTTTTCAAATCATGTTCATAATTTAGAAGAAGAAATTAAAGCTACTAGGTAAAAATAGATAGAAAATGACATATATATAAAATATTAATTATTAATTATTTATATTTATTATTTATTTATTTATTTTTAGAAATCAAATTGATATATTAAATGATAAAATAGTAAAACTTAAAAATATAAAGGATCAAAATTCAGATTTGATAAAGACATTAAATGAAGATATTGCAATCAAGGAAACATTGATACAAAACAAGGTAGAGGATAATAATCATCTAAAGGAAAATGTAAAACAATTGGGTGAAGAGTTGGCAGAGACTAAAAAGACTCTAGATGCAAGAGACCAAGAGTTTTCAACCACAAACAGTCATTGTCTCGAGTTGGAAGATCGACTCAAAAAGGCAGATGAAAAGGTATCTCGAGAGAGCAGCAACTTTTATTCAATGACTGATCAATTCAACAAATTGAATTCGGCCATGACAGCTCTTGAGACCAAGAACAAGGAAATCGAACATAGCAACGTTGAACTCGTCCAAGAGAACCAACTCGTCATCAAGGAACGTGATACTCTTCAACAAGATCTAGAATCGACCCAGACCCAATTGACAGAAACCAAACAACAGTTGGAAGAACATGAAACAAAGGTTAACCAACTAACAAGTCAATTAGAGGAAACAAGCAGTAAATTACAAGAGTGTACTGAAGAGTTGGATGGTCTAAAGGTTACATACGACAAGGTCAATGGTGAACACATTGAACTGTTGGCAGAAACTGCAAAACTACGTGTTTTGACTGGCGAGTTGGATAGCATCAAGTCGCAGTACAGTTCACTACAAGAAAAGGTTGGCAAGTTGGAAGTTCAGTTGGCCGACTCTGAAACGGAACGAAAGATTGCCGAAAAGAAGAATATCAGAATGATCAAGGATCTAAAGTCTGAATTGTCAAAGGAAAGATCATCTGTTAATCTCTTGTCACAGTCATCGAGTAATGTTCCCAACACCCCCACTCAGTCGCCAATGATGTCCCAGTCGGTTGGCAGTGTCTCGCTACCCACCACCCCACTCTCGACACCATTGAAATCACATCAACGTACACTTTCTCGAGGCACCGAACCTTTCCTCTCGAGTAGTCCATCGAAATTAAATAACCCACAATTTATGGTCAAGAGTTCAAGTGTAAACAACCTAGACTACCATCAACAACAACAAATACAACAACAATATCAACAACAATTACAACAACAAATGCAATACCAGCAACAACAACAACTAACATCGAGTACTTCGAGTTCGAGCTCATTTACTTCTCAGAGTGTCAATGACAATGGTAATTTAAAGATGGATTTGGAGGTACTAGGAAAGAAACTTGGTGATTTGGGAACTGAAAAGTACAAGTTGGAAGAGCGTATTAGAACGCTCGAAGAAAATGTATTAATATTGAACCAAGAGTTGGACAAGAAGAACAAGGTTGTCAGATTCTACATATCAAAGACCCAGTTGGGCAAGGCCACCTCGATCGACGAGAAGGCCAAGCGACTAAAGGGTGGCGCATCTGGATCGTTTTGGAGAAACAATGATCCTCAATTGGTTGGAGAGATGGTTGAAAAGATGGAAATCATGCTACAAGAAAACATCCTCAAAAACATTCAACTATCAGATGATGTTGAAATCTTGGGTAATGAAACAAGTAGATTGAATTCGGAAAATAGAGCAATCAAGATATTCCTAAAAGAAAATAATATCTCTTTCCCAGAGACTTCCCAAACACCAACCAAATAAATGATCGAGGAGAAGAAAGAAAAGATAAATTAATTTTTTGAGCACAACCGTCATCGTAAAGTTTACTGTCTTTAATTCAACAAAGAGAGAGAGAGAGAGAGATACCGAGACATGAACATAGCACAAATATACCTTTTTAGTTGTGTGCGGGTTCGTACAGCCGTGAACTTTGCGCAAATCGTAATTCGGCATCATGTTGACGAGTTTGGGGGCACCCACCGTTGTCTTTTGCCTCACTGGGGGTAGAATCTGTACATCGGAGGCAAAAGAAATAATCATTGACAATTCATCCCTAAAAATCTGACCGTCGTAGGGGCCACTTCTGACCAAAATTCATTTATCCATTTTTTTGTTTGACAGATATTTTCTCATTCCGCAATAGATTAAATGGCATTGTTCTGCACACATCAATTTCATTATATTATATTACTCTCTTATCATTTAATTATCTCTAGATAGAAAAATGATGTTTAAAGTTTTCCTTGTTATGGCCGCTGCTTGCGTCGCCATGGTTGCTGCTCAAGCTCCATCTTCCTGTACACCATTCACTGAATATTCTTACGCATATTCTACCCTTGGTTTCAACTTCTTAAGAAGAAACTCTGTCTATTCATTCGCCGAAGGTATGTATATAAACATATAAATATATACAAATATTATATACAAATATTATATACATTATATATTAATCATTTATTTTTCTTTTTTTTAATCATTTTTATATAGCTGGAGGTGTCACTGCTGATGTTACTGGTGGTCGTTTGTCTTCATTCTTCCGTATCTCTTTCAACAATTCACAAAATGTTCCAATGTTTGAACAAGGTTTGACTTTCCAATTCGGTGCCAACAACACTGCCTACGTACTCTCCAACGGCGTTTGCTTTGAGGGTCCAGCCAGAGAACCAATCTCCAACACCTTTATCCCAGCCTCTGCCAAGTTGGGTAACCAAGTCACCCTCGGTTCCTCCAAGTACAACACTTTCTATGACCCATTCCTTGATGGACAACACAACTTTATCGGTGTATATGAAGTCTCTACATGTCTCCCAATTACCCTCGGTCTCACCAACGTCGATGACACTTTGGGTGAAGCCGTAACCAACATCTTTGATTTCAACAACCAATATGATCCAAATGCTTTCAACCTCCCACCACCATGTTACACCCCAATCAATGCTGCCAAGTATGAAGGTCTTTCTGATGTCTTTGCCAAGTAAATTATTATTATAATTTAATTGTAAACCAACACAAACAAAAACATCCAAATAAATAACAAATACAATTTGTAAATATTTTGTACATGTAAACAAACAACAATTCAATTATTATTATTATTATTATTATTATTTGATGTTATATTTAACAGATCGATCTGTGGATTGTGGAAATATTATAGTTTGGAGAAATCGAATCTTTGGTTCACGATGAAATCTAACTCGCAGGTTGCACCAAAAAATAAAAATAAAAAAAAACAAAAATTAATTTTCTAGAGGAGGAGGGCGTTTCTTTTCCTTCAAACTTGAAGTTAACAAACATCTTACTACGACAGAGTGTGAGATAGAAGATATATAGATAGACAGACAGATATATAGACCAGATATATATCATCTTGTATCATCCAACCAGAAACGACACAAACAACACAGACTAGTAATAGTAGCAGGTAGTAGCAAACGACATCGATTCAGAGAGACAGGAGAGAAGAAGGCGAGGAGGAGAAGACATTGATCAACAACATGTCTCAACCAAACACGCCACAGAAGCAGTACAAGGGAGGTGGAGGTTATTCTCAGTCACATAATAACTCTCCTTCCAAGAGAACAACAAACGACAATAATAACACCAATAATAATAATAATGGTAATAATAACACCAAGACAACATACTCACCAAGAAGAAATAATTATGGAGGAGGTGCAGGAAGTGGAACAGGTGCAGGTGGCGGAGGACAACACTATCATGGGCATCATAGTGGACATCACTCATCTCAATATACCTATCAACCAAAGGTTAAACCAAATACTGAACAACAACAACAACAACAATCTTCAGATAATAATAATAGCCAACAAAACATGACAATGAATGGTAATCAACATCACCATCAGCAGCAACAACAACAACAACATCATAGTTTAAATGATATTCATAATGGTAATAATAATCAATTAGAAATGTCACAACAACAACAACAACAACAGATGTTTAATAATAATAGCATGATGGATAATAGTAATATGATGTTTAACAATCAACATGTGATTAAAAATGATTTATCACATGATTCTGCACCACTAAACACCAATCATCACTCTCAACCAAAACATTTAAATCTTAATAATTTGATGAGTCCTCCTCCACCTCCTCCTCTCAATGGTCCAGTTGTTGGTAATAATAATACGAATGGAAGTGCTTTAGAAGGTAGTTTGTTCTCCTTTAATTTATTTCCACCACCATTAAACTTTAATCCTGGTATGATGAATAACGGAAATCAATTTAATCAAATGCAAAACAACAATAATGGTTTTATGAATCATAATGGTCTTCATATGAATAATAATATTAATAATATTAATAGTAACAACAATAATAATAATAATAATAATAATAATAACACATCATCCGGTTCAACACCAAACATTATGGACTTTTTTAACAAAGCACCTATTAATCCAAATAATAATAGTGTGAATAATAATAATAATAATGTGAATAATGGAAATAACTTTGGATTTTATCAAAATGGACCAACTGTTGGTCCATTTCCACCTCCAGGTCCTCATATGGGTCCACCACCACATATGAATGGTCAATTTGGTCCTAATTTTAATATTAATCATATGCCACCACCACAACCATTCCCACATCACCATCATCCAAATCAAATGGTTCCACCACCATTTCCACCTCAAATGCTCCCTCCTTATCCACCATTTATTAATAATCCTCAATTAAATAATAATAATGGCGTAAATTTGAATGGAAATAGTAATGGTCAACAACAACAACCACAACCACAACAACATAATCTTTCAAATAGTTTAGGTGATATGGTGAATATGGGACATCATCAAATGTCTTCACCACCTTTGTTCCCACCACAAAATATGCAATTTGATAATATGTTTCTTCACCAACAACATAATATTCTATCAGATTTTCTTTCTAGTATCCATATGAACCAACAGAATCAACCAAGCTTTTCATTCCCAAGTGATTTATCTTTGGATTCACTTTCCATTTCAAATTATGACCATCTTTTACACCATCATCAAAATAATAATAATAGTCACTTTATCGATCAAAATCTTACATCGATGCCAAACCCATCACTTGATGGTATAGCATCGGCATCTATTTTACAGGCAGGTGATTCACCAGTCACCTTGGTACCACCCAATTTGGAGGAAGACATTGAAGAGGATGAAGAAGCCGACGAAGAACTTAAAAAGAAATTGGAAAAGATTGAAAAGTATAAACAACGTCCTCTCCTACCACCTCCATCCAGAGACCATTACAGAGATTTAAATGATCATGCCTATGATATCTTTGAAAAATCGAAATGTGAAGAAAATAGAGGTCGTACTTTATTATCTCGTTTACAATCTATGGTATCAAAAACATTTTCTCGTATGTTATCAAAAGAATAGAGTAATATATATTTGTATAGTATTAATAATAATAATCCTATCTATCTAGATACTGTTAAACTTCATCTTTTTGGTTCATCTGCAAATGGAATGTCACTCAAAGGAGGTGATATTGATATTTGTATGTTGATTGACGATTCTTTTGGTGATACTGATATAGTAATTGAAAAATTGGCAACAATGTTGAAACAAAGTATGTAACAGTTAAAGTAAACAACATTCTTAGATTGTTGGTTGTTTTCTATGTTTATTTACATTTATTTTTTTATTTAGATCATTTTACAAAAGTTTTAGCAATTCCAAGTGCAAGAGTACCAATTGTAAAATTTAAAGATCAAGTTCATAATTTGTCGTGTGATATATGTATTAATAATAAGTTGGCAATATATAATACAAGATTGGTAGAGGATTATAGTTGTATTGATGACCGTATGAGACCATTGGTATATGTTGTCAAGAGGTGGGCAAAGCGTAGAAAAATCAATGAACCATTTACTGGAACATTGTCTTCGTACGCCTACATCAACATGGTCATTTCCTTTTTACAAAGTCGCGAACCACCAGTCCTCCCTTGTCTACAGCAATTGGCCTTTGGTGCCACATCGATCAATGGAAAGGTCTATGGTGACAACTTGGCCGATGTCACGGTCGACGGCTACAATTGTAAATATTACAACGACTTGCACAATCTAACTGGCTTTGGAAAACACAACAAGGAAACTCTTGGAGAGTTGGTATTTGCCTTTTTCGAGTACTATGCTCGAAGATTCAACTATGTCACTGACGTGGTCAGCATTCGTACTGGTCACACCCTCCCCAAGACCTCTAAAACTTGGGAGTCTATCAACAAAAAGAGTCACTATTACTTTTCAATAGAGGATCCATTCGAGATCACTCACAATCTAGCTAGAGTCGTCAAGAGAAGTCACTTGACGATGATCATATCGGAATTTAATCGTGCTTATAAAATATTATCAAGAAATGGTAATCTTCATATCGTCTGTAGAGAATTTATACATGATGAAAATAGTAGAGATGTTAGAAATCAAAGTTTAAATAATCAAAATAATCAAAATAATCAAAATAATAATAATAATCAAAATAATAATAATGGGGATAAAAAATCATCTATATCACATTAAAGATGGTAAATCAAGTAGACTTTTGAGGGTCTAAATATTATATATACATAGATAGAGGGTAAAATTAGTTTAAAAATAAACAAAAAAATAGAAAGAATCAATGCAGTTTTTAAAAGCAAAAAAAAAAACTATCTATAAAGTTTTATTAGTATTTATTACATGTCCCAAGGTATATTTAATTTTTTAAGGACTTTGGAAAGAATTTAATTCTATAGAGTCAACATCACTTGAAGCAGCGGTGTTGCCTCGGGATTGGTCATAAGTTGTGTGACTAGGAGGTTTTTTGCCACCATCGGTAGTATAGCCAGAACTTGAATGGAAGACACCCATGCGTTGTAATCTTGATTTGATTGGTGGGTATTGACAGATAAATGATTCAAGCCAAATTTGTTTTGACTTTGATGTGAGACCATAGAGAAGGAATACGAAAATACCAAACATTCTAAGTAAAAAGTAAAAGAAAAAGAATCTAAAATATGGTGGACCATCGACTGTACATTCATTTGGGTCTCCTCCCTGTAATAAACATTCTAAATAATGAACTGCATTGGCATTATATTCGTCATCATTTACCTAAGCAATAAAATAAAAAAGAAAATTAATAAAAAAATAATCAAACAAAAAGATAAATGATAATAATAAGTTTATACAAACCTCAAAATAAAAATGAGTTCCGAGACAATAGATAAATGATCCTCCAACAATTACAACACACAAGAATGGTTTAATTTGTAATCTAATAAATCTTTTATCATGATGAATATTTCTAACAATCTAAATATTATAATAATAAATTAGAAAAATTATTTATAAGGTATTTTTTTTAATTATTTTTACTTACAACATAAATTTCTTTTATAACCAAGAAAACAAAGAATATACCAACAGCCAATGCAACAGAGACTGGGAACCAATATACGCCATTTTGTATCCATTTTCCAGAGACCCAACAACTCACAGCACCTCCTCCGGCCTTTACTGCCTTGAGTGATAATGGAATGACTAGTAGGATAATTTGAATGATAGAGACTGCAATGATTGAATACTTTGGTTGAAGGATTTTGATATCGATTCTCTTGATTGATGTCCACAATTGCATCGACATTGTCACCCAATATAATATAGAACCAACTACACCCAAATGGAACAGGGACCCCGTAAATGAACACCCAATATCATCTTGCTGAGCATACCTTCCAGGATTGGGGCAAAATAGGTTAATGTGACCTTTTGCTGCGTAGATGATATCAACAAAGTTCATTAAAAGAATGGCAATGGAGAAACATAAAAGGGATATCGTAAACTTGTTATGGTCTCTTGCAAGAATACCAAATGTAAATATATTAAAAGAAATGCAAACAAATGAAACAGATGACATGACAGATGACATTTTGTAAAGTCCTTCCCATGTGCTATTACTAAATATATATAGGAAAAGAAATGATAATAGTTTGGTTAGGCGTTTTGATTTTTAAAATGAATTATTCTTCTTTTTTTGTTTATAATAGTTACGTATAAATAGGGACTGGACATGGAACAAGACATGAGGTGCTACCTACAAATGTATATCTAAGAAAATAAAAAAGTAGTATTGTTAATAATAATAATGTATAATTGTGGTGTTAATTCTTTGCATACCCATTATCTTTGTCATATTGAGGATCAGAACGATTAACATAAAAGAGTGGGAATGGGCAATACTCTTGTGTTTGATTTGGTCCGGCGATTAATAAAGAATTGGTACATGGAACTTGGTAGCTGGGATCACCTCCAAAAGGCGATAAATCATAGATAGAGTATGCTTCGGGGAACACACTTGCATCATTACAATCTACCAAATCGGCAACCATTGGGTTATTACATGATGCAGTGATTGTCAAACAAGCACTTTTACACAACTGAGACTCTAATGCAATGTTTTGTGACAATGTTTGATTTACTGGTTCATAACATTCTCCCAAATACTAAAGTATAAATAAATCAATAAATACGACAAAAAACTAGTTAGAAATGATAAAAGAAAGATCACATTTGAATTAAACAATTTTCTAAATATACAAACCTTTGTACATAGAGCATTTTGAACTTGATTAGTTCCACATGAAATAGCACCAAGTAAAAAGTTAATCTCTGATACTTCTTGAATCTTATTTGCTTGTGTGTTTGTTTGATTTGAATAAATTGAACCTAAAAGAATTGATTTTTTAATATTATCGAGATATTTATTTATTAATTGATTAATTGATTAATATATAAATAAAATGAACTGTACTTACCAGGATTAATTAATCTATCATTGCAAACTGGTTTATTTGGTGGGTCACCTATATAGGGAGTACATGTAGCTGTAGGATCAACCTTTAAAACAGGTTGTTGTGCAATTGTAATTGAAATGTAGAAACAAAAGATAAGAAAAAGATATGAATAAAATGTAAAAAGATGAACCATTTTCTATCTATTTGTTTGTTTAAATGTTTATGTGTATATGTTTGTTTTTTGAAATTGAAAACAAATTAATGATGATGGATGTTTGTTGTAGGAAGGAGTTACATCGACTTATCGTGATACCCCAACTAGTTGTCTTAAACTCTTTTGCTGAGCTAAGAGGCCAATCTTTGATGATAACACGATCAACCCCGCTCGAGAGGATCTCCGCTGTTTGGAAGATATTTTGGCAAAAAGAAGGATTTTAATTTTAAGGGCCGTTGTTTCAATGAACAAAGCTAATATCTGTCATGTTTTAATGTGTTCCGAATAAACTTTATTCCGACCATATCCAACAAAAATCCAGGTCAAAAGTAAAAGGATAAATTAATGGGTAGTTGATTCGCTTACAGAACGTCACTCTAGAAAAAGGACAAAGTTCGTTGTAACCAACAACCCCCCTTTATCCACATTCGTTCATTTACGATTGTTTTCGGCTATTCATTTTATTGAGTGTTTAGCAACATTATTAGTTTTGGTTTGTTCGTTCGTTTCATTCGTTTGTTTTGTTTTGTTTCGGCTAAAGATCGATTGATATAAGAAATCTTTTAAAGCTGGGTGTATTGGTGTCTTTGATGATAGATTTTAAGGAAAATGGCTAGAGATATAATGACAACGGCGAGACATCCGATAAGGACCAGTACAATGTCGACTGGCTCCCATTCAAATGGCTCCTTTTCGCATTCTTCCAAGCCTCGGATTTCACACGAGAAAAAGTGTGGTGTGCAGCTTTCTGCTGCCACGTAGTCTGTGTTATAGACCGCAGTAAGGTACATGATAGAGTGGCCAGAATCGACAGTGACATTTGACTCTTCATCACATGCAAAATAAGATGAATAGTTGTAGTAGGATTGGATATTGGTTTGGTTAATGACTACACGAGACTCCTCGACGTAGATTAAAACACCTTCTTGCTTTGGTCCCGGTGTGCTGAAAAAGAAACTTGCGCCATCCAACTCTACGTATGAACTATTCTCTGCGATAATACTGTGTGATGTGATATTGTTCATAGTCATGAGAGTAGCGTTGAGTAAAGCAGTGCTGTTTCCAACCGACACTAGGTATGGGCATTTACAAGAGGTAAACATTGTATTAAACATGTAGACCGATGACCCACCCTCTATCTTTATGACAGAGATGTCGGTTGTCAGAGAACCACTGCTAATGGTGACGTTTGATTGTCCACCGAAAAAATAGACAACTGGGTCTGGATAGTTGTAGTCTTGTTCGATGCCAAACGCGTTGCTAGACTCTATTGTGGCGGTTGAACGTTCGATATGGATGGCACTCTCTGTGATGGTCGATAATTTGATGTAGAGGCTGCTCATCGAGATGGTCGAATCTCGGATATAGACGAGTGTGCCCGGACCGCTACCATTTGATGTGATGTTTTGAAAGGTCGATGCTTGGATACTGACCGACAAGCCGTCGGTACCATAGACCACAGCTCCACTTGTACCAACTATACCTCCAACCACACAAGTGATGAGAGAGAGCGTAGACGACGGGCTTGCGTTGATGTAAAATAGAGCTCCTGGAACGGTCGATGTGATTTGATTGACAAATGCCTCTTCCATTGTAAACGATGCATTACTTGATGTCGAATTGATGCTCATGATTGCACCGGGGAATGTCTTTATATCTTGTGCAGTGTTGAAAAAGTAGACGCCTTGAACATACACTTCAACATCTGTACTCGCCTGAATAAAGCTAGCTACTGTGTTTGAAAGATCGATTCCGACCGATTGACGTACAAGATAGTTGACGATATTCAACACTCTAGTACCATTGAATCCAGGGATTGGTGTTAGGCTGATGGCTGCAGTGTTGCTGGAACCAATATAGTTGTCGGGGTATACTGTCAGAGTGATGTTTGTCGAGTTGTTGATGCATTGAGCCATTGCATCTGCAAATGTAGGACATGCATTACTAGACATACTCGATCCACATGGTTGACCAGGTAATACAGTCGACCTAGAATCAATATTAACATTACATGGTGATAATGATGGTGGTATATCTTGTGGTGATGCTAATGTAATAATAACAAATACTAACAAACAAATTGTTGTTTGATAATAATATTTGTTGTGTGTTGAAATGAACATTTTACTGCAAACTTCTACTACTACTACTACTTTTACTAGTAAATAAATAAATATAAAATATATACAATGATGATAATAATAAAACAAATAAACTTTGTACAAAGGTGATCAAACCCGTTCTTTAATCAACATTCTTTTAAATCGCTTTGATTCTTATTCTTTTGAGCTCATGAGGAGACCAAAAACACAAAACTCGTCAAGACCTTAGTTTCAAAGATTATCTCAAGATATTTTTTGGTTGGGTTCCGAAGTAAGTAAAATGTACATTCTTAAAGAACTTGGACACCCAAGTAATAAGTATAGTACGACGATCCCAGGATGGAAAATATTTGTTTGTTATTATTGGTTATGTTTTGTTTTCAAAAATAAGTAAATAATAATCTATTATGATCATGATTATCTTTTATTTTATATAAATAACGTGAGAGTTCTACATAAATGATCTACAACAAAAAAGAGGTGATCGATCATCAACTTGTTGTATTTGGGTAGCATGACAATAATATTATTATTATTACTATTATCATGGGTTGTTTTGGTTTGTTGATGGTTCGCGCGCCAAAACACACACGTGACTCGTCGTCGGATATTTGGTTGGATTTGAGGGGATGGACACAAGTTGTTATTTTTGGATTTGTTTTAAAATTACACTTTGTTCGTTGGTATTAAGGTATCGTTTCTTCGTCTTTGTCATCTTTGTCGTCGTCGTCGTCGTGTTTTGTGGTTATATTTTTAGTACTACTATATCTCTTATAGTTGTTCGAGTTGTCGGTTGTGGTTGTGGTTGTGGAGGTTATTATTACGGTTGTTTAAAAAGTTGTGGTTTGGTTTGGTGATCTGTCTGTCTGTTTGTTTGTCTTGTTGTCTGGGTTGGTTGGGGTTAGATGTGGTTTGGATTAAACTACTTTAAAGTTTAATATTCAGATCGAGTTTTCTTTGTTTGGAACATTGCAAAGAGATTAACTCATTGATTGATAGTTTTTGGTCGTCATTGATATTGTTACCAATAAAGTTTGCAGTGTGAATTTTACAGGGGTGTTGGCAGATGGCGTACGCCAGGTTGGTGAGCGTGTGGAAAGAGAGGAGGTTGAACGAGAGGTCGAGACGCTTGAGCTTGGCGTGCGGCTGTCCAAACAGCGCAGTGGCGCGTTCAATCTCATTGTCGATGGTGATAAAGTTCTGGCCCAGGTTGAGAGACTGGATCTGCGAGCTGGGACTGAGGACGGCCTCGAGGATGATGAAAAAGGTGGGTGCCGTGATATCGGCCTTTCGCCAGCTCAGATCCGTCAACATGGTCAGCCCCATGCTGATGCTTGGCATGATGGCGCCAAACGCCTTGGACGAGCACTTGTTGCCCGAGAGATCCAGCTTTTTGATGTTTTTGTTGGAGGTGACGAGCGTCGTCACATGCTTGACACGCTCAATCGACATCTCCTTTTGGAAAAACGTGAGACGCACAGACCGCAACGTCGACGAGTGCAGCAGGTGCTCGTACAGGTAGTAAAAGCCGCTCGTGTCGAATCCAAACCCGAGGTTGACCGCTGCCACCTGGTTGACCAGTCCAAAGTGGTTGTTGGGAGAGACCCACCGCGCCAGCAACTTGACCCGTCGAATCTCGCGGTGTTGCTCGTATATATAGGGGTAGTGGTAAAAGATGGACCGTATACTCTTGACCGAAAACTTGAACCATCTCCTGCACACCAATGAAATGGCGGAAAAGTGACGGTTGGGTAATGTTCGTCCCACCGCATAGCCAATGATCTTGCGAACAACAACCTCTGGCATGAGATTAATATCAAATGTGAATTCGTCATCCTGTTGTTGACCGCCACTACCATGAATATTCATATTACTAGTACTACTACTCAAATAGAGGTAGCTACTACTACTACTTAGATGAATACTACTATGATTACTACCACCATGATGATGATATGATTGAAGGTTTAAACCTTGTGGTTGACTGATACTACTACTCATTCCACCTCCTCCACTGTAACCACCACCACCATGTTGATTTACATATAGATATTGTTGTTCTGATAAAGTACCATCACTACTATCATATTTGTTATTGATTTGAACAGATATAGATTTCTTTTTCCTATCTCCATGATGATGATTATGACTATGATTCTTGGTATGACTACTTGAACTACCACTACCACCACCTGATCGATGAACTTTGTGATGTTTCTTTTTTTTATCGGTTGAATTTAAAAGCGCCTTGTTGGAAGAAGACAGATTATTACTTGATTCCGAAGGTGATAGTGTAGCAGGATCAGGAAGTAGATTAGTCAAATATTTGTTTTTGTTTTTACTTTGCTTTGCTCCCATCTTTGTTGTTGTTGTATTATTATCTCTCTCTCTATATCTCTCTATCTCTACTCTCTCTTTGTTTGTTTATAGTTCTGGATGATTGATTTATGATGTAAGGTGGATGGATGGTTAGGTTTAAAACAAATAAGCTTGTTGTTGTTGTTGATGTTGTATGTATGTATTTACAATGATGTGATGATGATGATGATGATAAATAACTAGATTGTTTACTTAAAAACAAAGTTAGATGTTGATAAATGCGATGATGATGATGAGATATATTTATATATCTGTAGAATATATCTGTGGTATTGTGATGATGATGTAATTAATTAATTAAATAGAGATAAACAAATAAACCATTGTATTGTTGTATATGTTGTGTGTGTGTAATGGGGAGATGTGATGATGATAACTAACTACTTTAATGATGATGAAGATTGAAACAATAGAAAGGAGGATCCAAACAAAAAGGGTTAAGATAGAACAGAAAAAGAGACAGCAGGAGGAGAGTAGACACAGTAATCAAAGTAAGTTATACGAGTACAACTGAATCATCATCAAAGGGGTGGGGGGTCTTCTCATGGCTATGGGAGAGGCTCGGAGCAAGGAGGCAACACCCCCCATCAACTAGATAAATATTGGCAGAACTCTATTTTTCTCTTGTGGATCACACCCCAATCTCAATCTCGACAGGAGATTCTTTCGAAAAGAAATTCGAACCGGTTGATTGGTTCGCTTTTTGGTAGTAGGTTTCAAATCTCATCACAACAAGGTCGACCCTTTGATCGATTTATATAAATCATTTGGGCGACGGGGCGGGCTGACCATACAACAGAGGGGTTTTTTCTGTTTTTTTTTTATACAAAAGAACGAAAGACGAGGTGTTCTGCCATTGATTTATTAGATGGTCGGCTGTCTGTATAATTTAAACGCGCCTTTGTGTCTTCCTATCATCACTACCAAGATTGGTACTGTTCCCCTTTGCACAAATAATTGGAAAGCATGGCGATTGGAGGAAATTGGTTCAGTTGGAGATTTGCAAAGGGTCTCTCCCACCCCGGCCACCTCTGTTTCCGTTTGAAAATCGTAAAGGTTCACAACTTTAGATGGTGTCCAAAGTATAGATAGTATCTACTCGTATAGGTTGGTGAAGGGTCGAGTCCCTCAGTGTTCCAAGGAAGGAGCCGTACAGTACTCTGATTAAAAATATCGAAATTTTTTCTCTTGAAAACACCTTCGGCCTTGATAAAGTAATTCTCCTTTTTTGTCCAAAGGCTTCTTTTAAGGAGTGCTCGCGCTTTTTTAAACTAACTAGCCTCACACCCACGCAAAGATAAATATATTCGTTGGAATGACATCTTTTCTAATTTTGGGCATTACCTGTCGTCATGTGTATGATTGATTTTAAGTACGATTGTCAACCACCAATCTTTTCATTGATTCAGTCACAACCTTGGCGAGTCTGAATTTTCGTACACACAACACAGATAATATAATTATATAATAGATAGATATTATCTGTTTGTATTACTTTATATTTATCTGTATAAGAGATAATTTTGAATGGTTGCCATATATGATGAGGATGACGAGGACGAGGATACGATGTTACAATGGTTTATCTCTGTGAGGCTTTCCCTCCCTTCTAGCTCTAATAGAACCCTCACGTGACTGTGATGAATTTTTTTTTTTTTTTTCTTTTTCTTTTTTTTTTTAAAGCATGTGGGTTCTTCTCCTGAGTGTTATCTAGATATCAGTACAAGTAACAGCAATAAAATAGCTAGTAGTAGTAATAGTAGTATACAAACTAACTATAGTAGTAGTCGTTGTAGTAGTAGTAGTAGCAGTAGCAGTACAGTAGTAACATATTGTTGATAATATCTTAATAGTTGGATAGAGAGAGACAGAGTTGAGGCAACCCTCCTTCTCCGACGATACATAGTTATTAACACAGGACACACGCGACAGTTGTGTATAGGACAAAACTACACTAACCTACTATCCCCCCATATCACTAATAGAGTTGTATAGCAATATTATAAAAGTGTTGTTGGTAAGTAATAGTTAGATAGTTATAAATGGAGGATATTATTATTATTATTATTATTATTATTGGATATATACACTAACACACACCCACATAAATATACATCTATCAAATATATAATTGTTGATAACTACATTTTATATGTGTACAATAGTAGTAGTTAGTAGTACTATTTGTGACAAGACAATTATATATATATACTTATAGATATATATATTTATAGGATTCTTATAAAGAGGAGTAGTTCCCTTTTTCTTTTTTATTCTTCTTTTTTCTCTTGTTCTTCTTCTTCTTGTTCTTCTTCCTTTTGATTTTCAAAGAAGAATCGACGGGGACCGACGATAGATAGATAGACACCAAGAAAGAGAAAAAAAGAGAGACAAAGAAGGAAAAGCGTCGAGAACTATCACACGCAGACAACAAGCAACAAGATTGATTGCATAGCCACTCCAACAATGAGGAGATTCTTTTCAAATCTATTCAAGAGGAAGAATCCTGACCAAAGCAAACTGCAACAACAACAACAGCAAACTCAACAACAACAGCAGCAGCAAACACAACAACAACAAGCAACAAATAACCAAGGTACCCAAAATAGAAAGAATGAATCTCCGACAATGTCACCAACCTCCACTTCACCAACTTCCACTTCACCACCAGCCATCACTATAAACGAACCATCACAACAACAACAACAACAGAATAACAAATTTACACCAGGTGTGATTACACCAAAGACTGCCTCACCTAATACACAGACCCCACCTGAAAGCCCTAGAAAGGCTGACAACACTGGCAATGTTAATAGTGTCAATCAATATCTCAACGGAGCACACAAGGATGTCAGTAAAACTGGTAGAAAGAGCAATGGAGGCGAGTATACACCACTAGACTATGTAGATTCATCTCCAAAGGTTGATCATGGTAGTTTACCAAAGAGAAAGGTAGGTAGTAGTAAAATATGCACATATATATATATATAATAGATGTAGAGAGAGAGACGGTGAATTACTTTTGAAATTTAACCTTTTATTTATTAATTATTAATAGGCAAGTGGACCACCAGAAATCTTACCAGAAGAAATTGAATATGACTTAAAGAACGACTTTTTAGGTCAAGGATCCTTTGGATCTGTGTATAAAGGAAAATGTAGAGGACAAGAAGTCGCTGTAAAAGTACCAAGAAAACAAAAATTGAATCTATACGAATTAACTAGTTTTAGACATGAAGTTAAAATTATGAGGTATAGTAAACTAATATTAATAATAATAAGAATAATTAATATATTCATAGTTATATATTCAATATTAACATTGTTGTTTTACTTTTTTTTTTTTACAGTAAAATATTTCATCCAAATGTAGTATTATTTTTAGGAGCATGTACACAATCTGGAAAGATGCAAATCGTAACTGAATTGTGTCAAACAGATTTGGAAAGACTTCTTCACAACGATAGAACAAAAAAAGAGTTTAGTTTATTCAGACGTATGCAAATGGCCAAGGATGCCGCCTTGGGAATGAATTGGTTACATGGTATCACTAGAATAGTTCACAATGATCTTAAAACTGCCAATCTTTTGGTAGATAGTAATCTTCGTATCAAAGTTACAGATTTTGGTTTCAGTCAAATCAAGGAAGGTGAAGAATTCCAAGACAAGGCCGCAAAAGGAACTCGTATGTTAAAAACAAAACCTATATAAACATATTCTAAAAACATCATTATTAATTAATTTTTATTTTAATTTTATTTTTAGCATTATGGATGGCACCAGAAGTAATGATGGGAAATCCATACAATGAAAAAGCAGATGTTTATAGTTTTGGTATTATTTTATGGGAGATTTTAACAAAGGAAGCTCCTTATTCACATCACAAAGACTATGATATTTTCTTTAATGCAGTTTGCAACGAAAGAGAGAGACCACCCATCCCATTGGATACTCTCCCATCTCTTAAACATTTGATCCAAAGCAGTTGGGACCACAACCCAGCATCTCGTCCAGGCTTCTCCGAGATTCTCTTTAGACTCAACGAGATTCTTATCGATTGCGCCGTCGAGTTTGACGAGGGTCGTAGATATTGGAAGGAACATTTCTTGGTTCCAAAACAAGAGTTGCAAGAAGAGGTTGAATGGTCTGACTTTGAAAAGACTCTAAAGTCTGTTCTCCAAACTCCAGGTCTCGACTACTCCTCATTAAAGGAACTTTTGGTACAACAATCTCATCAAACCGTCCAAAAGACCAAACATGTTGTTACAATGGAACGTTTTGACAAGGTAATGAAATGGTTTGGTTCTTTCTTTGAACAATCAAATGGTGTAGACATTATTACAAATGTAAGTAAAGCGAATGAAAACAAAAAGTATCTAAAAGAGATTTAGAGATCCTAATCATAATTATTATTTTTGTTTTCTCTCTCTTTCTTTTTAGATTAACAAATTATCTGGAAAATTATGGTTCCATGGTGATATTTCAAGAGAAGAGGCAACTGAACGTTTATTAAAGGAAACCGAAGGATCATTTTTAATTAGATTGAGTTCAACTGAACCAAAATCAAGTCCATTTACATTGTCGATGAAGAATAATCAACATCGTCGTATCCAACTTATCGATGACAATAACAGTACTGGTTTCAAGATTCAAGGCAAGACTGCTGTATACAACAGTCTCATTGAATTGGTAGAAAAATGTACCGATTATCCATTGACAAAGGCTTGTCCAAAGCATGGCCAAGATGTCTTTAATCCATATGATCCATTCAGTGAAGATTAGAAAAAAAAAACAATCGAACAAACGTTTATAAAGCTTTATACCAACAAATCCAAATCAATCATAATAATATCAATTCAAAATAATTAATTAATAATAATAATAATAACAATATTTAATCACTAATATCCCCCCTCCCCCCCAAACCCAAACAATAACATTAGCACCAGTAAAACCATTAATATAACAATAATAATAATAACAATTAATAATATATATCTATTAATAACAAGAATAACAACAACAATAACAACATTAATTTAATTGACACAATTTACCCATTTTTCTTTTTAATTTCTAAAGAAAGAATAAATAAATAAATAAATAATATTAATGATTTATTTTTAATCCTAAAACATTGATCAAGAGAGATAATATTAATTTGAATTTTTGTTTATGTATATATGTAAAAATAATAATAGTTTATTCTTTTGTTTATTCCTCTGAAGATAAAATTGGAAAAGAAGGATCATACCACCATAATTTGACAGTATTATCATGAGAACTACTGGCCAAAACAGATTGTTGTTGCGACCACTGTACAGAATAAACCATACCTTGATGACCATTTAATTTTTGAAGTATGTTACAAGTTTCAATGTCCCAAATATAGACACTGCCGTCTTCGGAACCACCAATGACCAAAGATTCATTGGGTCCAAATGCAGAACGGATAAAGTTTTTAGAGGTGTTTTGGTGTCCCTTGAAACGCTTGACGGGACGGGCCGTACGAATATCCCAGAGACGATTCGAATTGTCCTTACTGGCCGACAAGAGATAGGTGCCGCTTGTGGTGGTCGACACACTTGTGACTTCACCAAGATGCGAGCTAAGCGTTTTTATACAGACACCACTGACAAGATCCCAAAACTTGATGGTACAGTCCTTGCTGCCCGTAATGACAAGGTTTCCGTGTGGATTAAAGATTGCGCGGGTGACACTGCTGCTGTGTCCAATGAGTGATTTGACCAACTGTCCAGTACGCACGTCATAGAGATGAAGTGACTTGTCATAGCCACCCGTGACAATGTGGTTGCCACCCGGATGGAACTGGACTGTGTATGCGTCACCTTCATGTGCTGCAATCGTCGAGAGATGTGCTGGTTTCTCTGGTGTCGCAATATCGTAGATGCGGACGATACCGTCGCCTGTTGCACTGGCCAAATGCGACCCACTCGAGCTCGACGAGAGATCCCATACACGCGCAGTGTTGCCTGTTATAGTCGCTAGGTTGTTTCCCGTCTCGGTGTGCCAGAGACGGATAGTATTGTCACTCGACCCACTTGCCAAACACAGTCCGTTGGTGCCAATAAACTCGACGCACTTGACATTCTTTCGATGGCCCGACAAGGTGGTTCGCATCTTGTTTGGCAGCACAAAACAGGCATAGTCTTCGAGCAACGTCTTGATACGCGGTGCCACCTTGGGATGGTACCGCCCAAACTCGATCTGGTAGGTGACAGCCTGCTTGAGCAACGTCAAAAGACGGTGTGGCGGCAGTCGGTACAGTCCACCGGCCTTGTTGCTCTCCAAATCCAACATTGACTGGAACTGCTCGACCAGACGCTCACGACTAGTCCCCTTGCTTCCATCCCATCCCTTGAATGAGGCCACCCTCTTGCACCGACTTGCACGTGAGCAGGTAGCAGAGGTCTTTGAACTCGTCGACGTTGTTTTGGCGGCCCTCGAGCGGCTTGAGACGCTTGGTGAGGTAGGTAAACGCCTTTTGAAACTCTTGTTTCTCGAGCAACTCGAGATACGCCTGCTTGTAGACGGCGTACAAGAACGATTGTTGGTTCTTGAACGTCGACTTTTGACACAACTTCTCCACCTCGGTCCAGTCGCCTTCCAAGATTGCCTTTTTCATCTTCTTCATCTGTCCAGCGCGATAGTGTTGCTCTGTGAACTTGACGTTTGCCTCGTCTTGCACCGTCAGCAAACTGGCCGTATACCCCTGGTCTTGCAGGTACTGTATGATCATGCGGATGATATCCTCTTTGAGTTGTGGGTCGTCCTCGTCAAATATCGATGGGTCATCCTCTAAATAGATTGATCGCTTTGGAGGACCAGAGTACTCGGCCGAGCTGATCAACGCCTTGAGGTATACCTCTCTCTCGCTTAGATTGCTACTGCTTTCATCTAGACCACCACCACTATTATTATTGTTGTTGGTGCTTGCTGTTGATATATTCAATGGAGTGTTTGATGTAATATCTGAAGATGATGATGATTCTATATTCATCCTTTGATACTACTATATATGAATATGAATATGAATATGAATGAATACTAAATAATAATAAATGAGCAAGTCAAGTCAACTTCACCTCTTTTGCTACTTGCGAAATAAATTAATGATAATTAAAAAAAAAATCAAATATCGAATGACTTTTCAAGCCAAAGCATCAGCAATATTCATTCCCCTCAATTTACAGACAAAGAAAAGAGATATTAGATAAGATAAGAAATGGTATTTATATCACGTAGTTGAACTATATAGCCGTATTGATAATAGTACTAATTAATTATTATGTTTGATTATTGATAGAAATTTAAATTCTGTGGAGAACTTGATGCACCTGATTGGTTGCTAAGAGAAATCAGTACACTTTCAAAGATTGTATGTGTTTGATTGATTGATGATGATAATAATGAACTTGTAGATTATCATAACTAACTCTCTTTCTTTTATACCTATATCGAATAATTTGCAAACACATTAGACAAATATAAGAATTAAATTGTTGACAGTGCAAATCATAAATAGTTTTAGTGGTGAAGAGGTTGATGTAAGTAACACTACAGTCAGTGCACTACATTTTAGAATAGAGTGTTTCACAACAGACGATTATATTAGGGAATAGAGATAACCAAATCAAGCGAATTCACAATCACAATCACATCATCCTCAGATTGACTGATTGGAGGATGTGTGTTGTTAATTATGATAATTTCGAATGTTCCCCGTTTTAAGCACTAGATTTATTATCGACAATAGTGTTTAAATCTCGCTTTGGGAACTTCACCCTTTTTGTCTGTGTGATTTACCAAATCAAGAACATCAGACCACTCATCATACTCTCCCTCTCTTTTCTAGTTTGAAAAAGTAGAAAAGTTGGTAAAGGATTCTGGATTTTTATTGGGCGATATCAAGGCTTTGATCGCAGCCCTTCATTTTATTATATTTAATGGTGTCAAGAATGATGTCGATGATAGCATATTATCAAATGAACTTCAACAACTTGGTTTGCCAAAGGAACATTGTGATTCCATTTCAAGAGCCTATCGTGACAACAAAGATAAATTGAGAGCTATATTTAAAAATGATACTTTGAAATGTAATCTATCAAATCACAATCAATACATCCAGGAAATACTAATCTAATCTATCTATCATTTCAATTATAGTACCAGCATTGGAAAAAGTGGATTGGAGAGTCGATTATTTATTAAGTTCCAATACCATTCCAGAAGTTAATCAACCAAATGTCCAATTAAATTTTACTGTCAAAGATCCAACAACTGGTCAAGTTACCAAACATCCATTTGAAATTAGTGCCAAGAAATTTAATGTATTATATTATGGTATGTAACAAATTAAAAACTTCCAAAAGGTAAATAATTTGTAACCATTGTTTAATTATTAATCACATTTTAAAATATATATCTTAGAATTGAAATCTGCAAAAGCTTTAATGGAAAGTAATTAAATTATTATTATTATTATTATCATTTACTATTTATAAATCAAACCAAAATAAGCAACCACCTCCTTCTTCTTCTTCTTCTTCTACTTCTACCCTCTTCTTTTTTGAATTGTTATTTTTAATGATGATTAACAACACCATCAACACGCACGTATGTACACATATGCTACACAATCAAGTTGGTGACCAATTCAGCGTTTTAAACTGAATACCAACAACAATTTTAAGAAAGAGGAGCAATGGGAAAAATCAGAATATTTGAAACACAATGGGTTAGTACTATGTGTGTGTGTATGATTGTACTGTAGTAATAATATTGGTCGATATTAATAGATGTTACACAGATCAAAATGGATGGAATAGATGAATATGTGGCTATGATGATGATTAACGAAATATTTGTTTCTTTAAAGAGAACTTTTTAGATTTTTCTTTTAATGGATTGTTTAAACATCACTTGGTGGTTTATATGCGAAGATCTAGGTCCCTAGACACGACACTTTTAATTGTGTGATCTTTGTTTATTTGAACTACCTAGTGATCTATGTTTTTGAGTGTGGGGGATGATGGAGGGGGAGAGGGGAGTTTGAATCCAACACTAAAGATATGTGTTTGTGTTGTGTGTGTGTGTGTGATAGAGAAAGAGTCACATTCATACAAAAAAAAAAAAAAAACATCCTACCAAGGTAGTAGTATAGTTGCTGACTGTCATTTATACTATCACACACACACACAACACAAACACACAAATTTGTTTTTTCACTCTATTTGAATACAACCAACAACAATAATAATAATATATCACTTTTTGAAAATCCAACAACCATAAATCACAAATTATTATTAATCAAAAAGTTCTCCGACAACAATAATAAAATAATAATATTATTGTTTTTTTATTTGTTATCCTCCCTCCCTTCTTCATCTTGCATCCATAATACAAGAGACAGAGAGACAGACAGACAAACAAACAGACAGACAAACAGATAGATAGAGACATCACATATATATCAATCATCATTTAAAACAACAAACAGCAACATCTCTTCTCCTTTTCCTTCCCCTCATTAATTTCCATAGTAATTTGTTGTTTCCACTTCCACAACATTGTGTTGAGTTTATAAATTTATTCCACATTTTTCAGCTTCATCCTCTTCTAGTAGTTACAGTGCAATCCACTACTATATCATCACTTTTACCAAATTATTTGGGTTTGCAACAACTACAACAACAATAACAACAAAAGTATATCCAGTTATTTTTAGCAATCAATCGGTTGATAAATCATCATCATCAACAACTATACAACAAAACAAACAAACAATTATTATTATAATAATAATAATTAAATTTAACAAAAAGACAACACATAATACAATTCAATATCCTCTCCTCAATTTGAAAATAATTTTGAATACGTCAGTAATTACAGTCAGTCTCCAACTAGCTGTTCAATCACTCTCTCTCTCTCTAAAAAAATCCATAATTAATTTGAGGGAGAAAAATAATAATTAATAATATTACTAAATAACAAAAATAATAATAATTTTGGTCAAAACTCTTGTGGATATTTTCTTAATGTAAAATAATTATTAGTTTCAAGATCATGATAAAAGAAAGTAGTAGTATAATGGATCCTTCACGTTTACCTGATCACTCATCAGCAGCAGCATCAATACCACAACACCATCAACAACAGCCGCAGCATGATTCATCCTCGAGTACAACCAGTGGTGGAGGCAGTAGTGGACCAAATAGTGCAGATGATTACAGCTCAGATACATGTAGTGTTATGGAAGAAGAGTTATTGATGCAGTGCGATATTGGTGGTTTGTCACCAGAAGAAATAGCCCAGAAAAAAGAGAGACTCAGGAATCAAGCAGTTTTGGAATTTGTAAAGACGGAAACAAGTTATGTCAGAGATTTAAAGTTGATTGGTAAATTATTTATCGAACCGGTCAAGGAAAAGATCTCACAACAAGATTATCAAGATTTATTTGGATGTACTGAAAAAATATTGAATTTACATAGAGACTTGTTGGTCGAATTTGAAGCAATCCCTGCAAAAACTCCTCAAAATCAAAATATTGGTGAGGTTTTAAGTAAATCTGTAAGAAATAAGAAAATAATTATTTATATATATATATATATAAATATAAATATAAATATATATATTTATTTTTATATTCTAATTTATTTATTATTTATTTAATTTTAGTTAAATCATAAAGATTTTACATCATTATATGTAACACATTGTAAACAACAAGCAACTTGTAATAGTGTATTTGAAAAATTGAAAAATAATTCAAAGACCTTTTCCAATTGCATCGAAAATGCTACACAACATTATCTAAGTAGAGGTTTATCATTTCATATGTTGATCATTAAACCAGTACAACGAATTACAAAATATCCATTATTATTAAAAACTCTTCTTGAAAATACTCCAATTGAAAATACTGATTATAAATATTTACAATCTTGTTCCATTACAATTAATAATGTAAATATAATAATTAATATAGGTTGATTATTTTTAATATTAATTGATTTATTTTTTTCTATATTTTTTATTTTAGGTATTGGACGAGGTAAATAATCAAAAAAGATTAATGGATGAAGCCATTCAAAATAGAAATAAATTAAAAGAATTGGAATCAACCATTTCAACAGAAGAAGTTAAATTGACAGATTCACCAATACGAAAATTTGTAAAAGAAGGTTTAGTTTCTAAAGGATTGGAACGTGAATCTTTAAGATGTATATTATTAAGTGGTAAATATATCAAATCAATAATATTAATGTTATTATTTTAATAATGTCATTATTAATCCTTTTTCTTTTTTTTTTTATTTTTCTTCTTTTAGATTTATTAATATTTGCAAAAAATAGGAAAAAAGTATCTACTGTTAAAAAGATATATTATTTAAATAAGATTCTTGTAAGAAATACAATGGAGGTGATGTATGGAGCCAGTCGTGGTTTTGAAATGTTGGTGATGGATAAAAAGGACAAGGTGATGGGTCTTTACTTTAACAATGAAAATGAAAAGAATGAATGGTTTGAACAGATTTACATACACACCAATTTGATGGCCGAGCGAGGGACCATCATAAAATACAAATGGTTTCTGGAAAAGTGCCCCACCTATATGTTGGGTGGAGGCTCGGCTACGACCACGCGAAGCTGTAGTAGCGATAGTCTCACCAGCCTGGGCAGCTCAAACTCGTCGATTAGTAGTGGACATGGATCGCTGCCCCCACACAGTCTTGGTTCAAAGCAACGGTCGACCGACAATTTGTACAAAGATCATATCAACATGACCAAAGATTCTATCATCAAGGCAGAGGTGGCTGCCGGCTCGCTCAAGAGCATCAAAGGGCTGAGTCTGGGCATTGGCAACGGAGGCAGCCTGCCTAGGGAGCTGAAAAAGCCAAATGGACTACCCAACATCCAGGACATATTTAAACAGACTCGAAGTGGAGACTGCTCCCCGCTGCACGATATGAGCGATTGCAGCAGCACGCATAGTCTCTTTTCGCCGCCACCATCCCTTCTTTCACCACCCATGTTTATGTCACCTGGGATGACCTCCCCTCTGACCAATTCCTGTACAATGAGTCTTTCAACCAGCAGCACCAATCTCAACTTAAATCTTATGACCTCTTCCTCATCCTCCACTTCCATCTCATCTACCACTACGACCCCCACCATTTCATCACGCCCCATCACCTCTTGTAAATCCACAAACTCTAACAATTTCTCTCGCGCTTCTTCAGTGCCATCATTCATGACCAACGATGAGATGAAGGGCAGTGCCAAAAAGATGCCGCCGACGATCTCGTCAATCACATTCTCGGCGATCGAGGACAAGGACGATTACAATATAGTGGCTGAAATAACCTCCTCTACCACCTCTGCTATCATCAGTTCACGACCACCTGTTCCACCAAGATCCAGTCCCTCGAGTGACAGCAATACACCCAACCACAGCACACCTCGGTCGGGCACGCCATCTCCTCCATGCAATGATGACATTCAAAAATCCAAACCTCCCTTACCACCACGCAACCATTCACCATTATCATTCCTACCACCTCCACCTCCACCACTTCATACTCAACTTGCCAATGGAAATAATCATCAAGATTTTTCATCTCTCACCCTTCCTCCTCCACCCCCTCTTATCCACAATATTAACAACAATAACAATGGCACCCACTCACTTCGACCACCACAAGATAAACATTCACCAAGAAGTCATTCACCAACCAACATCAACATCACTACCAACGATCATGCGCAACCCAAAAAACCAACTCCACCTCATTACAAGCGTCCCATTAGTAAAAGTGAAAGCTCTCCATCCATGCCTCTTGCTGGTACCAGTGGTGGAGTCCAGAACTCCAGTGCCCATAATCTTGTTAAAGCACTCAACCAAATCAACAGCAACAGTCAATTCAATAGCTTGGGTGGTGGTGCATTCCAACAACCCTTAAAATCAGGTCTAAGTAAAAGTTCAACTGGCATGCCACCCCCACCACCTTTGACTATTCCAACTAGTTCATCAAATACCACCAACACCAACTCCAACTCCAACACCAACTGTTCCAACAATGCTGCTACTTCCACATCCACTTCTTCATCTACAATGTCCCAAAGTAAAGTTAATTTGTTATCTCATTCTATCCCTTCTCGATTGGGAGCAGGTAGAATGCCACCTCCACCTCCTGGATCACTTCAACAATTAAAACCAGTAGTTAATAATAATAATAATAAGCAACAACCAACCGATCATTCAACAAAACCAAAGTTTGTTTAGAATGGCTAAAAAAAAAAAAAGAAAGAAAAAAAAAAAAAAAAGAGAAAGAGAGAAAGTAATCATTCCAACCAATATGTATAATTTATTTATGTATAAATAAAAACATTTAAAACTACAACTTGTATCAAACAAAACAAACAAAAAAAAAAAAAAAAGATAGAAAAACAATCAGCCTATTTTTTTTTTTTATTAAACTTACAATCATTATTTACTAACTGAAACTGTTGTTACATTTTATATTTTATTTTAATTTATTTATATTTGATTTATTCTTGAGGTTTTAAACCCATACAATTATCTAATCCTAGACCTTCTTCGATACTAGTGACAAGATTGGTGATATATTTCTTGGTGACACGAATTCTATTCTTCATGTCTTCGGCGTGAACAAGAGCAACGTTGATGTAGACACCCTCTGACAAGAGTTCAGTGATACCTTCAGCATTGGCCTGTTGGTACTCAAAGAATACCTTTCCGGGAACATTGTCTGAGAGATAGTAACCAAAGACATAGGTGTATTTGAGAATACGACGACACTCGATCAATAGATCCAAAGCCTCCATTAAAAAGTCGGGGCTGAGGTTGGTCAGCTCACGGTACTGATTCATCTTGTCGTCAATCTCACGTTCCTCTTTCATACGTATAGCTTGTTTCATCAACATGTCATGATTAAAGTAACGATTAAAGTAATGAAGGAAACGTTCACTTTCTTGACGGACATTGACTCCAGAGTCATCCGTCTTTTTCGCATCGCTGCTTTCATACTTGTTGCAAGAATAGAAACCACCGGTATGCTGACCATGAGATTTCCAATCACCGCGACACATCCAACACCATTCTCCACCGCATCCACCCTGTTCCTTGCGACACACCATATGATTGCAACCTTGTATACGTTCGGTTGGCATACCACAATGATAGCATGGTTTGCAAGTCGACATGATCAATTTAATGCTTTCTTGATCGTTTGTATTCTTTGATTTCCATTCGGTCAATTGTGCACAGCTGACAGGGTTATGCTTCTCACTGCCACACGAGAAACAGAATCGAATGCCACAGTGACACTCAACCACATCACTCGGTCTTCCAACACCATGATACTTTACTGCATTACCACATTGAGGATTTGGACAAAATACCAAATGTTTATCATTATTAACATAATCTTTTGTTATAAAATACCAATATCTAAATAATAAATAAATAGAAAGAAAAAGAAAAAATCAAAGTTAAAAAAAGAGATGTAAACAAACAAACAAACAACTATCTACTCTATCTTTCAATTCATACCTATGAAAATCTCTATCAGAAGCTAATTTCTCCCAATCTTCTATTGTTAATTTACAATTACAATCAGGTGAAATACATCGACTGTGAATGATTTCAGTGCCAGTAGTAATCAACTCTTCATGTAGATAGGTCTTCCAACAACTCTTGCAATAGGGACCATGACCACAAGCCAATGGATAGTAATCACTAACTGCATGAGGTTCAAAGCAAATTAAACATGATTCTCCATTTCTAAATCTTGGTTCAATTCTATTCAATTGAATACCTGCCTTTGAACAATACTTGTCTGTATCATCAAAATAACATGATAAAATTCTATCAACATCCCATCTAAAAAAAAACAAACAAATATTAATATATTATATTAAATCAAATTTGTATAGATATATTATTAATAATTAATAATTATAATATTTACCTAAAGAATTCTAATAATAATATAGCTCTACCTCTACATAGATCAATTTGACTAGCCAAAGTTTCAGCCATATCTTTAATTTTGTTTTCAATTTGTGGTTTCTCTAATATTGAGAATAATGGTTCATCCTCTTCCTATTAAATAATAAAATAATATATATTTCTATTTAGTAAACCAATATATTATTACGATTATTATTATTTGGATATGATTTGTTTGTGATAATTACTTCACTATTTTCTTGTAAGAACCAATCGTTTGGATCATAATCGGCAATATCAACTTCAGATCCATAATCTGAAAAACAACTACTAGTATCGTCGGTCATGCTAAGATTTTGAATATACTTTGATAGTCTTTCATCACCATCGATTGATCCAGATAGATCCTTTGAACCTCTTCTTTGCAATGATACAATTGAACTTCTACGCAACACTGAAGAAAAACTACCTCTTCTTTGTTGTGATTTTCTCAAAGGGGAAGGAGTATTGAATCCAGGGGGTACACTTTGTTGGATTGGTGATGAAATCATTGTATTTGTGCTATTATGAAGTGCATGTTCATTTGGTATTTGTCTAGATAGTGTTGGTGATTTGGTTATTCTATCCAATGATTGGTGTAAAAATGGACTCTTTAATTTTGGTGAATTTAATATATTATTGTTGACATTATTATTGTTGTTTGAATTATTTCTATTTATAATATTTATATTGTTACTTGTATTATTATTACCATTGTTATTATTGTTGTTATTATTATTATTATTATTATTTTTATCCATTTTTTAAATAATAGTTTGAATATTTCTATCTATCTAGTTTTCTTCTTCTTCTTCTTCTTCTTCTTCTTCTTTCTTTTGATGGGTATAGATAGATAGAATTGTATAAATATATATTTAATAATTATTAATTTACTCTCTGGCTTTGAGTGACCTTTTGGAAAAAACACGAAACAATAAATTATTAGTTTGACGGGCGTGAATAGTCGAGAGGAGTGAGTGTAGTGTGTGTGTGTGATAGGAGATAGATAATTAAAATTTCAGAGACAATGATAACCACTTTTGATTCTATTCTATGTACTGTAAAAATAACTAGAGATGTATGTGTAAAATAGGTAGAGCTCTCTACTTGATAGCACTGCCGCTGCTTAAAACCCACCCTCCATTGTCCATGAATTAGGTGGGTGAATTTAATATTAAATTGTTAATTTCCCTTTTTAGCTTTCCTTTTTAATGAAAAAGTAGTTGGTTGCATTTCTTTTTTTTTTTTATATTATTATTTTCTATTCCTCCTCTCGACGTGTCTATTCTCTTTTCAAAACATTTCGTTTATTTAAAGATAGATAGATAATAATAATAAATATGATTTGATTTATCTCTTTTGGTTTTTTAATACTATGATCTTGAATGAATGAAAATAGAAATAATATCTTTTCCTATGTTGTTGTTGTGAATCATCAGATCCTCAAAAATCAAAAACCTTGTTTTTCACAAGCAGCTGTCCATAGCAACGGTCGCTTCATGACGTTTGTTTGAAATAACAATCTTTTTTCTTTTTCACTATCCATCCTCGACCTATTTACAAATTCATTGTTATAAATAACTTTTGTTGTTTGCTGTTGTTGTTGTTTGTTGTCGTGTAGATAAGAGATAGATATATCTCCACTACTCCTACATCAATATTTATATATATATATATATTTAGATATATAGATAGATCTAAAAGAGAATAGATAGGAAAGATCAAGATCACGATATACATACACAGATAGATAGAAAGAGATGTCATCATCTATTGTAGATTCACCAAACTTTAATTTGGTAGATGCATGTAAATTTGGACAACTCAGAGAATGTATTGCATACGTTGAAAAGATGCGTTTGCAGAACCCTAATTTGGAGATTGGACCATTGATTAATGTGACCGATGAAAATGGTAACACCCCGCTGCACTGGGCGGCCTACAAGAAGCACCACGATATTGTAAAGTACTTGTTGTCGATGGGTGCCAACCCCAACTTGGCCAACTCGGACGAGTCGCAGACACCCCTACACTGGGCATGCATCGGCGGCGACGCCTATGTTGTCAAGACTATGGTCAACAGCGGTGGCGACCCACTGCAAGTCGATAAACGTGGCTACAACTCGCTAGTGCATTCGACACAGTACGACGAGATCAACATCACACGATACCTCGTGGAACGTGTGTGCGTTCCTGTCAGTTCGTCGGACCATCTAGGACAAACAGCGCTTCATTGGGCGTCCTATCAGGGACATGTCCACATCCTCCTCTATCTCGTCAACAAGGGTGCCGACATCTACGCAGTCGACTCGTATGGTCGCAATCCACTTCACTGGGCGGCCTACAAGGGTCACAACGATGCCGCCAAGGCCCTCTGCGACTTTGGATCCAATCTCAACCAAAAAGACAATGAAGGCATGACACCAACCGAGTTGGCTCGTCAACAAAATCATATCTATCTCTCTCGTAACCTACAAATCTATCCTTTTCATCCATTCCGTAAAATGGGTGCTGTATGTATCATATTGAAATGAATTGAATAGAGACATCAAAAACAAAATAGACTAACTAATCCTTTGTTTCCCTTTACAACCCTTTGTTTATTTAGCTTCAATATAATATATTATGGGTATTAACATCAATTGCTATTTATTGTAGTTTTGCATTCTCATTGTATTACTTTAGATTTATTTTATCGATACTTGCATTTGGCATTGTTGTTGGCTTTTGTAAATTAATCGTCGAACCAATTGTACTACCATATACTCGTAACCCATTACTTCCCACTTGGATGTTAAGTTCTTTTACAACTTGGCTCATATTTTATTTAAAGTATATTATGCAAGGTATGTAATTTTTTATTTTCAATCAATCAACTAATCAATCAATCAATATTAATATTAATCATGATTTCTTCTTCAATTTTTAGCTTTTCCAAATGCAATTTTCACTCATACCATAACAATATGTTGTTTACTTTCATATTATTACTATGCTTTTAAATGCTTTTTCTCTGATCCTGGATCTATTTCTCCTTCATCTGCCAATCAAGATGCCAAAGTATGTAGTTTCATATAGTATTAATGAATATTAATTATATTAATATATTTGAATTATAGGATTTTATTTCATCTGTTGAAAATGAAACCAAATTACCAGATGTTTGTTCAACTTGTTTAATTAACAAACCATTGAGAGCGCGTCACTGCAGAACATGTAAAAGATGTGTTGCCAGATTCGACCATCATTGCGGCTGGATCAACAATTGCGTTGGAGTTGGAAACCATTCATCATTTATTACTTTATTAATATTATTTTCTGTTTCTTATACTATAAGTATGATATTTAACTTTAAATGTATTGTATCAAAAAAAAAAAAAGACTTTATTATATGTTATTAATTTTCTCTCTTTTTCTTTATTTTTTTTTAGATTTATCATTGGATGAAGAATCACCATCTATTAGTTCATTTGGATCATGGATTAGTTACCATTACGATATTAACAAGGGATTACTTATTTATATGATCTATGAAACAATTATTATGGGATGGATTGGTAATTTATTGTACACCCAAGTCAGAGGTGTTTTAACCAATATTACCATGTTTGAATATATGCGTCCAGAAGGTGGAGGTAAATGCAAACATGCACATGGTCAACAAGATGGAGCAAATAACAACAACAACAACGGTACTAATAGCAATAGTCAATCAGGTGATCATGGCCATTCACACGGTGGTAATACCAAACGTATAAACAAATATGACAGAGGTTCATATCGTGAAAATGTTCGTGAATTCCTTTATGAAAGTAGTAAATGGTTTAGATACTATAATCATAAAGTAATTGATTTCTAAAATAATTAAATAAATAAATAAACAAACTAACAACTATAATAATATCTCAAATATTTATATATTTATTTATTAAATCTTTAATCAAATATACTTGGTTGATATAAATTTAAATTTGTGGTTGATGGAACCATAGTTTCTGGTGGGAATGTAATTTGACATTTAATTAAACAAATCTAAATAATAATAATAATAATTAATTAATTAAATATTAGTATATATTATTATTTCTTTTTTTAATATAGTCTTACTTTGTAATGATCTTTGGCATGAACATCACACATTACTACGGATATTGGGTCACTTTGGCATTTGAATGTATTAGAACGAAAAATCGACAAACAGAAATTATCACAACCATCCAATGATTGTGCTCCAATATACGGAAAAATAAATACTATTACTACTAAACAATAAAGATATAAATAAATAGATTTCATAGTTGGTTTAAACTTTTTATTATTTGGTTTTAGACACTTTGATTAAGTTCTTGTCTTTATGACGCCTAATTTTGAACACAATGAAAATTCATCCCTCAACACTCATTGAAACCAACACACCCCCCTTTTCATCAACTTTTGAAAACATATTACAAAACACATTATTATATACTTACTCATTGTTATACATATAGATAGAGATATAGTTAGATAGATAGATAGATAGAGATAGATAGAGTGGTTAACATAACAGAGAAAAAATGACAGATTTATCAATAGAACAAACAAGAATATTAGCAGACTTTAGAGTATTTATTGATCAGAATGCAAAAGAATGGAAGGAAAAGTTGGGACTAGCTAGTCAATTAGAACTATGGCATATCAATTTGGAAGTAGAATCACCTCTTCGTGATATGATATTGATCAAGTTTCTAAGGGCAAGAGATTTTAAATTGGATTGTGCACAGACGATGCTGTACAATACATTTGTGTGGAGAAAAGAGTTTAATGTTGATAATCTAGTCAATGAACAGTTCCCAGAGTATGACAATATCGGTAGTATTGGTGTAGATCGGTTGGGAAGACCTGTCATGTACAACTACTACTGCAATATCGATGTCAACAAGATATTTGCCAATGGTGACGTTTCAACGTTTCTTCGTTGGAAGGTGAGTCAGATGGAAACATCCATCAAATCATTGGCAGAGAATGGATGGAAAGAGAGTCAGATGTTGGTAGTACACGACTATAAAGATGTATCACTCTTTAGCATGGACTCTCGTACCAAACAAGCATCCAAACAAACCATCCAACTCTTGCAAGACAACTATCCAGAGATCCTAGCCGTCAAATATTTCATAAACATCCCTTGGTTCTTTGAACGTCTAGTTAATCTATTTACATCTGAAAGAACTAAAAAGAAGTTTGTTGTTTGTGATAGTAATTCTTATCGTCATCATTTATTAGAAAATGTATGTAGTAGTAGTAAAACAAATATATATATAATATATTAATAATCAATGTATTGTATAACTAACTAAAATTGATAAATATATATTTATAGATTGATATTACAAAGCTGCCAGCTAAATATGGTGGATTAAATAATATTCAACAAGATGGCAACAACATAGAAGACACTACCGCCGCCACCACCACCAAGGGTGATAATGAACAAGATAAAGTACAATCAGTTACTTTAAAATCCAAGGAATCACACAAGATTAATCTTGGTACACTTTTACCTGGTACTACAGTGTCTTGGGAATTTACAACAGAATCTAATGATATTGGATTTAGTATTGTAATAGATAATTCTCCATCATCATCATCATCATCATCAGGTGATGGTGATAATAATAATAATAATAACAAAAACAACTACCAACCAGCACTTGATAGAACAGTTCATGAATTCAATGCTGGTGAATTTACAACTGTCCGTGATGCCAAATATTTGTTCATATTTGATAATAACCACTCCATGTTTAAACAAAAATTGGTTCATTACAAGATAGCTGTTAAATCAGCTGCCATTCCAACTCCTACTCCAACCACTGTGCCAATCTTAAATCAAGTTGGTTCTTCTACTGCTACAACAACTTTGGAACCTACGGTGGACGATAAAAAACAAGAAGAAACAGTTGATGCTACTACCACCACAACATCACCTGATCACGACCAAATCGACGAATAAACTTGTAAGAAATTTTAAAAGTTAGTTAGTTATAATATTGTATAAAAAGAAGAGAAATTCAATTCTAATTTCATTGATCCACTTTTTAAGACTATCAATTCTCTCTTCATACCAAAAGTAATTTAAATTTCAAGTAGTTGTAGTCAGAAATTCTGATTGGACAAATCTATTAATATCCTCTCCTTACCTAACATCTCCGATACTTTTTTGGTAGTGTTCATTGAAACAAATTTTTCGGATAACCCAACCCTTTACAAACAACACTTTCGTCTTTGGGCTTCATCCCTAACGACTATCGCTTTTTGATGATCGGTTTTGTGGGTTTGGCGCCAAACGGTTTGGTTAATTGGCGCCTCCCCGTATTCTGGGTGTGGGGGTTTTGATCTACCGATCCAGCCCAATATTTTCATAAGACGTTTTCGACCTAGCTCTTTGTCTCAACTATAGAGAGAAAAGAAATTGTTCTTTCTCTCTGGTATATTTTTTAGTGGAACAAGGAAATAGTGTTTACAAACTATCCTACAACCGAATACTTCTTCTTGGTCTTGCTTTGAGTGTGGCCCAACGTCATTTTCCTACTATCATCTTGAGCTCTCAAGGTTGGTAATACTCTCGATGATGAATAAGGGACAAAACATCCTCAATCAATCAGGAATAGAGAAAATTATCGAAAAAAAATATCCCCAATCCTGAAATTTAAAAAAAATCACGAAAAAGTGCTTGCGTGTCTCTTGTTTCAAGGGGCTGTTTTGGAGCTGCCTATAAGGTCGCGCATCCCCCTGTCAATATCTTGGTCATCCACTGCAGAGAATTTCGAAAATATCCGGGCTCACAGTTTTTTTTCCTAAAGGGTCGTACCTTGCACACATCAGCTGATTTTTTTGGAAAAAGTTTTTTTTTTTTTTTTTTAAATTCTTTTTTGTGAATAGCGTCACACTCTCGACCAAACCTCTCTGCCTTTGATCAAAAACCTCTATTTATTTATAATCGTTGTAACTCACATTATCTTATAATAATTATATTTAAAAATGACCAACTGGGGTAAGTTATAATATTATTAGCCACTCACAATAGTGTCTAGACACCTTATAATATTCCCTATTGCACAATATTCTAACCCCTTCTTTTCTTTTCTCTCTCTTTTTTTGCTTACTTTTAGAACACGGGTATGTCTTTTTCTCTCTTTCTTTATCGCCATTCACTGAAACTATGATCTATAGTCTATTATAGTTATTAGTAGTAATGCGTGATGACGGATGACGGTTTCTACACCTTTTTGTAAAAAAGCGTAGATCGTTAAACACATGTGTTAGCATGCTGTGTGTTATGTGATCCTGATCCAACAGTGAACTAATCTTTTTTTGTCTTTTTTTTCTAATCTATTTTTATAATTTAGACTCTGCGACTGCTGCGAAGATACTCACGTATGCTGCATTTCATACTTATGGCCACAACTCCAATTGATGCAACAAAGAGCTACCATTGAAGGTCGTCAATGCGAACTCATTGATTGTCTCTGCACCACCTTCCTTTTCCCATGCACTGTCTGTCACGTCAGATACATGATCACCGAAAAGCACGGTATTGATGAATCCATCGTCATGAACATCCTTGCCTCCCTCTGTTGCACTCTCTGTGTCGTCGCCCAACACACCCGTCAACTCCAATCCAAGGGTGAGAAGCCATCTGGTCTTTTCATGGCTTAAGCGTTCAATTTTCTTCTACAATAAAAAGCAGAATTTGTTTATATTTTAAAATATATAAAAAGATATGATAAGATTTCAGATAGATCTATCTATCCGTTTGTACTTGCATTATGTTTTTGTTTGGTTGTTTTGATCGTCTTTTTTTTTTTTTTTGAAAAAGTAAATGCTAAATGAAGAAGACGAAAAGTTGAGATCTTAAACTGGTGAGGATTCATTTGTTTGATTGTATGCAAGCATTATAACAAAGTGATATAGATCCCACCTGATGAATCACTTATTATCAACCTCTACAAAGAGATTGACAGGTACTATAGTCAATTGGTCAAACTACTATCATTGTTTGGGCAATAGGCACTTGCACTTCAACAACAACAACAACAAGTCTATTACTAGTTGTAAATGTAGCAATGATTTCAAATATACTACAACTTTATCAACATCTTCTACTATAGTATCATCATCATCATCATCATCATCACTGTTATTCAGATCTGCATCAACATCAACGCTGACTAGAAATTATAATAGAGGAAAACAACAACAACAACAACAATCATATGAAAGTCAAGAATTTAAAGAAAAAGATGATCAAACTATAGATAAGAAAAAGAATAATTCTACATCATCATCATCATCGTCGTCGTCATCAACTACGTCACCAACAACACCAAGTTCAAGAGTAACAGAAGAACAAACACAATTGTTTGAAAGTTTGGCCAAGTTTATCATAGAGATCAAGTCACCGATTGTTATGCCCAATTACCAACCCTATCCAATGATTCAAAACATTATCGAATTTGAACAAGAGTTGTTTGACTCTAGACAAGGAGCTGGCGACGAAGAACTAGTACCACAACACCAACAACGTCAAAAAGAGATTGAAAGACAAGTCAGAGATTCTCTAATGTCTGGTCAATCTCCCTTTTCTACCCTTTCAACCAAAGAATTACATCAACAATTGAATGCTCAATTTAAAAGTTTTAATGATTTCACTTCGTATGTTATATATATAAACGAGAGAGAGAGAGAGATCTTTGGGGATTGATGTATACATCAAGACAGACGACACCTAACATTTATTTTTTTCTATTTATAGGATACTTGATGCAATTAGATTAATGCCAGTTTATTATCAAGATCCAGATGTAATGTTTAAAGTATTCAATTGGTTTACGGAAAAGGGATGTCAAAAGACAGAGATATTTAATTTCTTTTTAGAGTATTTCCGACGATTCAAACAATATCATTTCTCCAAAGTCAATCATGAGATGAAAAAGAGTGCCAAAGCAAACATTGACACTTACAATACACTTTTGGCCTACTATAGCGAGAACATGTTGTTTAAAAATGTAAGGTTGACATTTGCAGAGATGGAACGATTGGGTATCGAGTATAATATCGTTACACATATTCTCAAGATGAAAGATTCTACATTTCCACCCAAGAGACTCGAACGACTCATTCGCGAATTGGAGACACAGTTTGAAGACGAGATTGATGAATCTATCAATGCGATGCTTCTCCATTCATCGCTTTGCTTTTTAAACGATACTAGCCGAGCATTGTCATATTATAGCAAGATAAAGGCTGCGCAGGGACAGCCGTCTCAGGCCACCTATCATTCTCTGTTGGTTGGATTGACGGCGTTGGTTCGTTTTGATTTGGTTCGAAAGTATTGGAGTGAAATGATTGGATTGGGTATCGACCCAGATATGCGTACAGTGGCTGCAATCATTAGAACGGCTGCCGATGTTATGGATGCCAATGCTGCAATTGACTTTTTCCGTTTTGCCAACAAATCCAAACCAGAGATTAGTGTGTCGTCACACGTCCTCGGTCAGCTGCTCCAAGTACTGTTGTTTGGCCAGAAATACGATCAAGTCGAAGAGATGATGATGCATTTGGAAAAGAATCAGCTCTACACGTTGGAGATTTACAACTCTGTCATTTGGGCATTCTCGTACAACCGTGATGCATCAACCTGCGAAAAGATCTATCAATCGTTGGCCAAGCAGTTTGAACCGACACTCGAGACATTTGAGCCGCTCATCACCTCGGCCGTCGTTGTCAACGACCTCGAACTCTGCACCAAGTATTTCCGCGAGATGCTTCGTTGTAACGTCCACCCCAACGAACGTCTGCTCAACATCCTCACACGTATCTATCTGCGTCATGGCAAGTTCAAGGTTGTCTATCGTCTTGAAAAGTTGATTGCCCAAAACAACATCTTGTCGCCATCCTCTTTTGCATCGGTACTCATCTTTAACAAACACAACAACGAGCATCGTCTCAAACACCTTGTCAGCAAACTTCACAAGCTCCAACCCAACTTTAAGTACCGTACATTGGATTTGTGCGTACAAGAGTCGCTCTTGATGGACGACTATGAAGGTGCACTCGAGTGGCTCGAGTTGCGTATGAACATATCCGACTATTTGTCGCCCTATCCATTCTACTTTTTCATTGCCTATCACAAGGCTCGTCAAGAGGAGCCACACACAGACTATTGGTTCCAAAAACTAACCGACTATAACCTTAAACTCGACCATTCCGAGATTGACCGTTATCGCAGACATTTCAAGAAACTTTATAACCCTCTTCCATTGGTCATTGATAGAGAGTATGATATTGCAACTGATGACAGTATTCTTGATCAACAACAAATACCAGAAGATGATGAATATATGGCAGCAGCAGCAGTTGAACAACAACAACAACATCAACAACCCACCACATCATCGTCAAAGTCTAAAAAGATTAGTATAAGTCAGATTTTGGAGAATATTACCAACTTGCAAACTCAACTAAGACACGAAAAACAAGGAACCACATCGAAGAGGGATGGAGATTTAAAAAAGTCGGCAGAAGCAATCGAACTTGAAGAAAAGGCAAACTTGTTTAAAAATATTGCACAGTCTCTCAGACCGGAAGAAGAGGATCATAGACTCGACGATGAAGACGATGATGATGATGACATTAAAATCGACTTTAGAAAAATAGTACCAGTGACCAACGCAGCAGACTCTTCATTGGCAGATTTAATCATCCAATCTTCTTATTCATTTAGATTGCGATTGATTGGTTTGATAAAGGACAATCAAATTTTACAGGCTATTAGAGAGTTCAAGATCAAGGAACAGAGCAATAGCAACATTGATGTACAATCGTATGTCTTGATGGTCAAGGTATTTGTTGAACAAAGGGATTTTACAAATGCTGAATCCTTTTACATCAAGATGCTCGATAGAGGCTACACACCAGGTGGTTTCATCACTAAAGGCATTTTAGAGGTTTCACAAGCTGGAGGCAAGGAATCCATGAAAGCCTTTACACAAACCATCCAAAACTATCCCAACATCCAAACACTTGTGCCTAGATTCGACGAGATTCTTTTGTCGATTGAACTCAAGCTCAAAACCAACGTTGTCATTAGCATTGTCAAGCACCCCAATGCCGACGAGCTTGTCAACTCGGCATTGATCATCAACTCGCTTGCCTACTCGCTTGCACACCGCGGCGAACTCGAGTTGGCCGAAAAGGTGTTGCAAAGCCTGCTGCACAAAAAGAAGCGAATCTCATATCCAACCATTTCCTTTTTCCACAAGTGCTGCAATGAAAAGGGGATTGTACCAAAGATTACACACGAGTTGGCCAACTACTATATGCAAACGATACAAAGTGGAAACCAACCCATCCCAACCGAAATATTCAATTCACTCTTGCTCGACGCCTACAACAACGGGCATTACCAAACCGCATACAATGAATTCAACAAGAGAGCACATGAATTCCCACAAGAGATCAACAACAACACGATTCGACTGGCTGTCCGTGTCTACTCCAAGGTCTACCCACTTGGCACTGAATTTGGTATTGGACATTGGTTGCAAATCAAAAAGAACGATCTTTTGAGAGCAGCCAAAATATCGCGATTCGTCTTTGAGTCTGAACTCCTCAATGTACTCTACAATCAAGGCAAAACCGATGTCATCATGGGATACGCCAACCAAAAGAATTTCCACAACATTTCGCATCTCTCGGATACGATGGCCATCGTTTTGAAATCATGTCCAACACCTCAACAAGTCATTGACCATGCTTTGCAAATGCGTCGTGAAGGTTGTAAATTCCTACCAGAACACATAGAAATAATCAACAAAGCAAACCAAACTGTAAATAACGACATTGTAAAGACATTTACTTGGAAACAAGTGGTCGAACAAAACCCATCATTCCTTTTGCCAACTGTCAGAGTTGCCATTGAAACTTATTTCTTAAATAATCAAGAAGAAGAAGTTTCTCAATTTGACAACAACGAATCAGAAGATCAACAACAAGATGAACAAGATGATGAATTTGAACAACAACAGGAACAACAACAATCATATGAAAAGGCTGAACAAAAAAGATATAAATATTTTAAGAAACCACAACCATCTGGTGGTGAAAATAATCTACCTATATTCTTTTAAATAAATAAATAATATTATTTAAACCTAAAGTATTTAAATCTCATCTTTTTGATGATGGACTTGGTTGTTATTGTTTGGGTTGAATTTACAAGGAGTGTTTCGATTTACTTTTTTTTTTTATTGGTTTGGAAAAAATTACGTCTGAAGAGGGAAAATGGTTGTATGTGTGTATTTGTTTGAAATATTACTTGATAGTACTACTTATTAACTAGTTGGGTCATAAATTATAAAATAGTCACGCATATGTGTTGTGTTGTGTGTGTATGTGTGATAAGATATCAATCTTGTTTGCGCTTTTGTTTTGTTTAAGAGATTGAATAAATTGGTTGATATTCGTGATTCTTGCGACATAGACAACGAATAGAAATAAAGATGACCAATAGTACGAGACAGAGGAGGGAGATTGAGAAAAGGACGCCAGTCGCAATGGCACCTCCAGGTGAATATTTTGGAATGGGGAGTACCGATACTCTAGTGTTGTTTCCAACATCTGACCAACAGTGAAAGATACCATCAAAGTGGTTTGTGAAAGAGTATGCACTCTTGTAGTTGCCAAAGACATATAGTGAAAGATCGACTTCTGGTTCGTTCTTGTCGGTTGGTTGATAACTGAAATTAATAGTACCCGTCCAGCATTGTGTTGGTGTTGTTGCCGGACATGTATTGTCTGACGAATGAGGATCATAGCTTGTTGAGTCGGTCGATGATGTTGGCTCGTCACTTGTATCATACTCGTAGGGGAAACGACGTCCATTATCGTAGAAATATGATGGGAATACTACTTGGTTGGTTGATTCTTGACACGTCGACTTTAACTGACACGATGGGTCCATTGAGAACGAGTTGAGTGTGCAATTGTGTCTGGTCCACTCGTCGGTATACTCCATCGATGGTCGGAGAATAACCGCTACAATGACCGCTCCAGCAATCAAACAGATTATAAAACAGATAGCATTCAATGCAATGCAACAATTCGAACACCCATATCTCTTGTGATGATGGTGATGGTGGTGATAATGATGTCCCATAGTTTTAATATATAGTATGTATCTATTTAGCTAAAATGCATATAAATATATCTATCTCTTTTTTGTTGAATAATACTAATAATAAATTATTCTGTTAACAACAAGTCTCACAATGTTGTTAAAACAAACAACACCCAAGTAATAGGGAAATTAAAAAACAAAAAAATGAATTAAAATCATCTTTAATAATTCGGTGGAGATTTCATCTTTTCATGCTGCAAACGTTTAAATCAAATATATATATAGTATCTTTGCTTTGATAATACATTATACATAATAACCAACCAACCAACCAACCAACCAACCAACCAACCTTGATGGTTTTATTTAAATAGAAATGAATTGTGGATAGTTTCGAAAAATATATAGTGAGAGTGAAAGAGAGAGAGAGAGAAACCAGGCTCAACATCCAATCCCATCATCCCTCAAAAAAGAAATCATTATTTCGATATACAATATATAAATCTATTCTCTGTCTATCTCGATCTATCTTTTGTCTCTCCTATCTCTCATTATTGCACTCTAAACAAGTTATGATATGTGACGTATAGAGGTGAATTTAAATTGGATGGGATATCTGTTTCAACGAGACACATAACTCAACCATCATCATGTTATCTGTATCAACTATATTATACTATATTATACTATATTATGCTTGTTTGAAATAAATATAAACTAACTTTTGCTGTTCATTTGGGAACTATCTCTCAATAGAAACTCGAGTCGTCTACTTTTTTGTATGAGCCCAAGGAGAGGCAAAAATTTCCGTTTCATTTCAGATGATTTTTTATAATATTGATTAAAAAATGTTTTTTTTTGCGCATCTCACCGGGATGCTCAAGGAGAGCTCTTTTTGGATACGTATCGTCCTCTTTTTTTCGTTAATCCTTTAATAGCACACTTACAATGGGTATATGTCACAGCATATGAAAAAGACATTATCATACATACCAACTATGTATCATCATAACTAACAAACCATACTCTATCATGTACATATGACACATCATCACATCACCACACACAATCACAATCCAACCAACTCTCTAAAATACTATAGGTATTACACGTGAACCTTTGCACAAGCACAGAAATACCGGTGCCGCAAGAAAGCCAAACTATAAGAAGCGTAAGTACTTCTTAGGTCGTCAACCAGCCTTGACTGCCATCGGTAAGTCACGTGTTCGTTTGGTTCGTGTCATGGGAGGTCACTTCAAGTTCAGAGCTCTCCGTCTCGAAACTGGTAACTTCTCCTGGGCTTCTGAAAGTAAGTTATATATCGTACAGGATCAAGTAGAACAGTTGTTAACAATCAATCATCATCTATCACTATTATCACTTTAATAAATTTACAGAGGTCACCAGAAAGTGCCGTATCGCCAACGTAGTCTACAACGCTACTTCTAACGATTTGTTGCGTACCAACACCCTCGTCAGAGGTGCTATCATTGCTGTTGATTGCACTCCATTCAAGCAATGGTACGAACAACACTACGGAATCACCTTGGGCAAGAAGAAGAACGCCAAGGATGTCAAGGAAGTCGCCAAGACTGCTGAACCAGCCAAGAAGTCTGCCTCCCACTTGCGTAAGATCGCCAAGAGATTAAAGACCAGAACCCTCGAAGCTACTTTGGAATCCCAAGCTTCTGAAGGTCGTTTCTACGCCCGTATCACCTCACGTCCAGGTCAAGTCGGAAAGTGTGATGGTTACATTCTTGAAGGAAAGGAATTAGATTTCTACGCCAAGAAGATCCAAAAGAAGAAGAAGTAAATTTTTTAATCTTGGTACCCAACAATAAACCAATCTTTATAACAAAACAAATATATTACTGGTCATTCGATTTATTATTTCAATAATACTCATCTTTACTATTATTCATGTGAGATACTAATATTTAATCAAGATAGAATAATTTATTAATTGATGGATGAGATAGTTTACTTACCCAACAGTTATTATACACTTTGTCATTATTACTTTACACCACTTTGCCATTATTACTTTGATCACCACTATTAAATGATATTAGGACAATTTTTGTCCCTAGGTTCAAGATTTTTGTTTTAAAATCTGGAAACGATGGACATGTTTTAATCTGTATTACGATCGCAGAGATTCAAAGTAGTTGAGAGTATCAATGCTGCTCTGAGTATGTCCGTGAATTCACGATTCATTTAAAATCAAATATTATTAATATTTTTTAGATTAGAAACAATTGCCGTCGTATTCGTATATATTGATTAAACTTAATTTTATTCACTGATAATTACTTCCATGGTAATTCCATTTTGTTGTTGTTGATGTTGAAGAAGATCTCTTGGATCTCTCTGGGTTGCATTTCCTGTAGATTGATTGAGTCTACTTGCATTTTCTTTTTCTTTTTAAAAGATCATCATATGGTATTAAAGTTGCCTTTTTTTGATGTTTGTACTCAAGATAAAAAGACTACAAAAGTCCAAATGTGAAACAAATTTGAATGATATCCATTTATAAATAAATATATAGTACAGTTATTATCTGAGTTCCTAACAGTGATACAAAAACAACAAGCTCAATTTGAGCTGGATGACTTATTTTAGGAAATCTCGAGGTGACAAGGCATCCAACTGCAAGAAGGGGGAACGACACCCAAGATAATCTCATATCCAACATTAGTTTTGGATTATATAATTATGCACCAAGCCAATGGATACAGACATGCAAGTAGAGATTAAACCCAACAGTGTCGACCAAGAATCCACTCATATGAAATATGGTCAAGTATCTCTAGAAGAAAATGGAATTGGAATATGAGTATTTTTGATAACATTAGTGTCACGTTAATCAATGATTGCTGGTCTTGATTTCATTCGTCTATTATCTTGCCACATTCATATAAGCTAATAGATATAGTGAGCATTAAATATCATTCAAAAGAAAGAAAATTTCAAAAGAAATAAAAAAAAAAAGAAGTAAAGAGATGTATTTTTTTTAAGTTTTTCAAGTTTATTTAAGGGTCGGTGAAAGAAATTAACAATAAACAGGGACGTTTACTTCTTGACAGCAGCCTTGGAGGAAGCTGGCTTGGCAGACTTGGTGGTGGCAGCCTTCTTCTTTTCCTTGATTTCTCTATAGGTAATTTAAAGATAAAAAAAACATTAGTAAAACGAACGAGTAAATGTACACACACGTTTGGTGATCATTAAAAAGATAATTACCTCAAGGCAGCTTCACGTTGAGCAGCTCTGAATTCTGGCTTTTGTTCTCTCTTTTGCTTGATGACTTCCAAAGAGGCACCGAGGATGGAACGTTCGAACTTTTGGGTTCTCTTGGTCTTCTTCTTGTGGACGACTTCAACAGAGGTTTCCTTGTTGAGTCTACGGTAGATGGTAGACCAACGGATGTCTCTTGGGTTGACCTTTCTGAAGAAGAGGGATTCAACCTTCTTGGTGATGAAGTTGAAAACCTATATTATATTATATATTTATATGTGTTAGTGTTATTTGGTTTAAATCAATCATTCGTATGTGATCAGCTGTGACTACTAATTATTATTATTACTATTATCTCTTCCTGTTGTTGTCTATATATATATAGTTGTTGTAATAATAATAATAATAATCTGTCTCTACTGATCAATAATTATAAAAAAAAAATGATAATACCTTTGAGTCACCACGGACGTACTTTCTTCCCTTTGATGGATAGATACCTGTGTGATGATGATAAATAGTAGTATGGATGATAGAAAAAGAGTCAGATTATATATTCTACCTTTTACTGTATTGCTAAAAAAATAATTATTTGTTTTTGATTACTTACGGAACTCACTAAAGTTGCAAATACCAGTCCTGTATTATGATAAGAGTAATAGTAATGATAGAGTAGTGAGTGATAGTGTAATTAATGTAGGTAATAATAATGTATTGTTAGTGCGTTGATCATTGCTTTTAAAATTTTATAAGTGGCTGCTGCGAAACACATACTTCATTTTTTAAGCACCCTTACGTTATTGAGAGAAAAGAGAAAAAAAAATTATTTCTGTGACAGAAATCATGTGAAGACTCTAAAACGAAAAAATCAAAAAAAATAATTGAAAAAAAAAGACGACTCTTTGAAAAATAAAAGCACGAACCTCATCTCTCGATGATGCAGTGAGACCAATGGCACTGTTTTTTTAAGGTGATTAAAATTTAATTTACCAGAGACACAAAGAAGATTAATTAGATATTAGATAAAGATATAGATAGATAGATATATAAGATACAGACGATGATAAAGAAACCATTACCAAATCATATTACAAATGTATTTGAAGAGAACTTTAGAGTTATAGAATCGATTGCCAACCTCATAAGAGGAGGTTATGGACCAAATGGTAAATCAAAGTTGATATCACGTGTCAACTATAGTTATGATGTTATTGATAATAAGGGAACTCTATCAAATACACCGAGCAATGTGGTTTTACCAACTGTCGATGTATTATTAACTAAAGGTATAGAAAAGAGAGATTGGGACAAACAACAACAACAAAATTGTGGAGTCGGATCATTAATTTATTGCATTTCAAAAAAAAAGATTCATATACAATTATTAGATCATTAAATGAATATAAATCACCAATCTACCATATACTATTACAATCTTTATCAAATTTTAAAAGACAAGTATGTGCAAAGAGATTGTTGAACTCATTGATTAAAATATATATTAATAACAATCACTCCTATACTAAATAGAATAGTGGAGGTGTTTGTAGTTTGGTATTATTAACCAATAGTATACTTGAGAATATAATTCAATTGTTGAGATTAAATATTAGTCCATCATTAATTATTAAAGTAATTGAACAATGTAAAGTTTATATTAATCATTTTATATTATTATTAATTCAATCAAATAATAATAATAATAATAACAAGAGTAATAATATTAAAAATATTAATATCAATGATGATAATAATAATAATAATAATGAAATATTTGAATCAATTGTTAAAACAAGTTTATCTGGAAATGTATTATCAACTTATTCAAATACTGCTTCAAGATTAATTAAAGAGTGAGTTTAAACTTCAATTCAGTAGTGTCATATATATATATATACCAGTCAATGGTTGTTAATATTAACAAATAATGTATACATTTATTATAGTCTAATTAAAATAATTGGACCAAGTTTAAATAATGACCAATTTAATATTTTAAAAGTATTGGGTAAAGTTGATGGATTACAACATCTTGCCAACAATAGCAACGCCAACAACCAAAATGAAAAGATAGATTCATCAAGTATGGTTATCAATGGAATCATATATAAATCAACATTTTCCTATGCTGGATCAGAATCATTTTCAAAATACATTGAAAATCCAAAAATATTATTTATAGATAGTGATGTATGTAACAAAACAAATAAACTAAATATATATATATACAATCATTCATTAATATCCCTAACCATTTCTAAAAAACTAGATTGAATTAAAAAAAGAAAAAGAAAATACAATGATTGAAATGAATAGTGTTGGAGAATACAATCAATATATGGATTTTGAAAAGAATCAATTTCTAAAACAACTAGATCAAGTGTATGAAAAAAAGATTGATATTGTATTATCAAAAAAGAGTATTGGTGATGTGGCTACGGTGGAATTTGCAGAACAGGAAATGTTTGCTAGTGGAAGAGTAGAGTTGACAACCATGAATCGACTAGTTGGATCACTGGGAGGTGTTGTACAATCGACTTTGTGGGACCTAGCCACCGAGGATAGATTCTATGGCCATTGCAATAGTTATCGACGTATCAGATTGGATGAAAAGCAATTTGAACTATTTGAACAACCCAAACATCGTCCATACGCAACCGTGTTGTTGTCTGGAACCAACTCTGTCTTTCTGGATGAGGCAATGGGTGGACTCACCGATGCAATTACAACTATCAAGAATATTCATGCTAGTCAAGGATGGGTTACACTAGGTGGAGGTTCATTTGAAATTATGTTATCACATGCACTTGATCAATTTCAACAACAACAACCAGCAGAACCAGGATCAGAACAACAACAACAAATGGATGAAAAACAATTAATGATTGTTGAATCTATAAAGTTGGGTTTGAAATCAATTGTACAAATATTATTTAATAATGCCAGTACTGGAGGTGCAACTGATGACAAAGGATCAGTTAAAATTGATCAACTATTTGATGATGGTGGACAAGGCAGCACCGGTCAACCATCGTTGTTGGGAGTACACAAAAATGGAACAATAGGCAACATGGCAGACCATAATATATGGGAACCACTCAACTCAAAGATAGGATACGTAAATGAATCTTTGGATTTAGTTTGTTTGTTATTATCAGTCTATTAGAAAAAAAAAATAATAAACTGGTTGATTGATGATTTAATTTATGTGTTTTGTTTTGTTTTTAAAAAAGTTGTGCAACCTTGAATTTTAATTTAGGCTTGGAGATCAGCAACACTCTTATTGAGGTTGGCAGCAGAGGCACCAGCAAATTCAGAAACCTTGGAACCACTCTTGTAGAATTCAAACTTTGGAACAGAGGAGATGGTAGCAACTCTGGGTGATTCTTGGGTTAGGTCAATGTCGACCTTGAAGAACTTGACGTTGGTGTTATCTTGGGAGCTCTTGGTAAAGACTGGAGCGATGGCTCTGTTATAATCCATAAAGTAAATAAATGATATATATTAGTTATTTGTGTTTTTTTGATGATCTTCATCATCATCGTCATTTTATCTATCATGATTATTTACCTGCATGGACCACACCAAGTGGCAGTGTAGTAGATGACGACGTACTAGAAGAAAGTAAAGTAAAAGGATAATATTATTAGTAAAGATTGAACATCACATGATGAACTTGTATTTCTCTCTCTATCTTTCTATCTTACTGGGTCGTTTTTGAGGGCAGATTCGATGGCAGAGTCGAATTCTTGGGCAGATTTTGGTTCGATGTAGCTCATTGTACAATTAATATATGTATGAATGTGTAAAGATTAAAAATATGAATGTAATTTTAACTTCAGCAGCAACAAAAGGTAGGTATAAATAAAAAGTGGGGTGGTGTCTCTCTGCGTCACAACTGTACAAAAAAAAAAAAAAAAAAAAGAACGCCGTGGAACTGTTGTCGAAGAACTTCCATTTTCGGCCACCACCCATTTAATCCCAAGATGATTCTATCACAACTCTTCTGTTGTCCAACAACCCAACAACTGTTTTAAATTGAATTGAATTTATTACAGTTTCCAATCAAAAAAGATCTTCTTCTAGATCACTTTTTCATTCATATGAACATTAGAGTTGAGTAATATAGTAATAGTATATATACTATATAGTAATATAGTATAGTTCTGGAACTCTAGAATTTCCTATATGAACCTAGGGAGGGAAAGAAGGAAAGTCATAGTTATTAATTGTTAATCTGATTTAAAACAATTCTGTTCTGTATCCCAGAGAGTCCAAACATAATCCAAAATTAATTAATTAATATTTTTTGAATGAAAAATGTGAATCATCAAAGTGCAAGAGTGAGTTGTACTAGTATTATTAATGAAACGAAAACAACATTCATCATTCAAATATTCATTCATCCATTCACTACTGTCACCTAGTTAGTTGTATTTATCATATAATATATATATTATATATATAATATATATCAAGAGAGAGAGAGAGAGAAATGTTTTATAAACATACTTGGGACCCAAAGTTAATTATAGGTCAAATCATATCAGTACAATGTCTGTACTATGCAATATTGGCTGGTTTATTGTATATATTAGACTCTATATTCCTAGCACCGTTATCACTTGATCAAATGTTTTCATTTCATGCTCTCAATACCAGTGATTCATTTGGTTGGGTTGTTATTGTAGCTTTCTTGATGAATTCAGTATTTGGGTATGATAGTCAAAGAAGAGAAAGAAAGAGAGAGAAAGAGAAAGAGAAAGAGGGAGAGAGAGATAGACAATCTTGTTACTTACTATTTTTTTATTTATTATTAGATCAATTTGTTTAAGATATATAGTAGAGAGATCAAAGAAATGTTTGGATCATGCAGCAACTGTGATGGTTATTCATTTGGTGTTGGTATGGTCATTTTCTGGATTCCCAAGAACTGCTTCTTGGTGGGTCGTTCAAATTATTTGTTGTATTGTCATGGCTATCGTTGGAGAGTACCTGTGCATGAGAAAGGAACTAATGGATATTCCATTATCTAGAGCACGTGAATTAGACTCTACTCCCATCCTCATACCACCTCAACTCAGCATGCTATCATCACCCAAATTATTATCAAATAGAACTGGCTACTCGAATCTATCAACTGGTTCAAATTCACCTTTAAATCAAAGTGGTGATATTTCACCAGTCTAAACCTCGATAGATCTATCTATGCGCATATTATTATTATTAATTTAGGTAAGTCTACAAATCAAATTTGAGAGAGAGAGAGTTATTAAGTTATTTACAATTGGTGTTTTTATTTATTTGTTATTATTTGTAGGTTCATTTTTTTTTGTTTAACCCATCATATGATGATCAGTAAAATAGTTATCATGTTGTCGAGCAGTGATAAAGTATTCGACGACCAATCTTTTCTCATCATGGACAAATGTATTTTGGAAACGCAATAGACCATTGACACCTACCGTGACACGAGTGGATTTGGCAGTGGCCAAAGCTTTGACACATGGCTGGATGTGAGAGAGTGCATAGTTGAATTCGAGGTCATATTTACAATCACAAAAGTCAAATAGCTTTTGTTTACACGTCGAGATAAAGGTGGATTCGCTGCTAGTGCTCGACAAGATCAATAGATCCTTGTCTGGTCCTTCATTCAAACCTAGTTTAATTCTAATCTCTGGACTCTTGAAATCAAGTGTTCCAAATGCATCCAACAAATGTTCAGATGAAATGACGACATTGTTATTTTGAATATCATCCAAATTGAAAAACTCTGGTGATTCTGTATCCATAATCTTAAATTGACATGTTGTATTGACTCCACTATCTTCCAAACTAAAAAGAAAGTAATAAATAACAAAAAAGATATTAATAACAAAGATTTGAACCAAATTTGATCATCATCATCAGTTTTCATTCATGTCTGTCAGACATACATCATATTAAAAGGAGTTGGAGTATCCCAATAAAAGAATTGAATTGGTACAAGTCTATCATGACCTGGATAACTGCCAAAGATATTTAAACAATCCAACAACATTGAAAGATTTAATTTGAATCGATAAAAGTCTCTAGTGTTTCGATCGTAATTGTATGTTTTAAAGAAACTAGATTGAAAGAATACACTTGCTTGATATTCTTTACCATGTTCCACTATAAATTTCATTCCTTCTTCGTTAAATTCAACCGTTATATTCTATAGAGAAAGAATATAGTAAAGTTAGTGTCAACAAGTAATCTCTTTGAAGAATGAAGAACTATATATACATACAACAGAATCTTTCTTTTTACTATCTTCAGGTTTAAATACAATTGTTTGTAGAATGGTAGCTAATGTCTTTGCATTATCTGATTTGGCAACCCATATTGCTTCGGGTGGTTGTGAATCTGTTGATTGTTGTGCACTGTATACTGACATTGTTGTTGTTGTTGACTAATTAATTAATAAAGTTATATATATATTTGTAATTATCTGAAATATTAATCGAATGAATGAAATGCAATACACTCGTTGATGAAAGATGACATCTAAAATTTCGCTTTCTTAGAATTTTTATTTTAATTTATCGATAGAGTGTATATACAGATAATACGATTAGAGTATTACAACAACTCAATATATAGTATATAGAATATGAATGTGATAACTACATTTATCATATCATTTATAGTATTGCTACTACTTGTCATTGGCAGTTGTAGTAGTAGTGATAGTGCAGTCGTTGGAGCACAAAAGAGTGGTAGCAATGTTAGTGGATATGTAAGGAACCCAATACTAAGATTCTCGAGAACACTATTGACACCAGACTCTACAAGAGATCAACTTAAATGTGTTGGAGGTACTGCTAGATCATCTCCACAAGAAGAACCTCCTTATATATTCTGTATAGTTGATAGATTAGATATTTATGATAAGAATGGTATGTGTTAGTATGATACAATCAAATATAACGATTGGCCTCTATCTCTATCTCTATCTCTATCTACTATTTACTGATTATATATTTACTGATTTGGTTTCTACACAATAGCAACATTTGTTTGTCAGAATCCTGTAACAGCCAATCAAGTTACATTATACAATTATAAGGTTTATTGTGAAAAGGATCCAAATGATCCTACTGACTACACATTTGGTGATGAGTATGTAACAATAACAATAACACCATAATAACATCAACATCATAATCAGAAACAATAATATTAATGTACCATATCTATCTAACAATGAAGTCATCCTTGTTATGCAGAATTTCATATGGATTGGGTTCAAGGAAGCAAATGTATGTTTATCATCTCTCTGATTTGTGTGATATGACCAAGGATTAGTTTATTAATACTTACTTCTCTTTAATTACTATTAATAGTAAAAGTGTTGGGATGGGGAACTCTTGGAGTTTTATTCTTTTATCTATTGTTGAATAGAAATCAAAATACATATTATCAACAGTTTGTATCCATATTCTCCACTCGTCGACGATGAATCAATGAACTAATGTTATATATTTCCATTAGAATCAATAATCCAATGTCATTTCCAAGAGAAGCATCAAACCCAAAAGTATTTTTAGCATGTGGAGTCTTTATCTCTTTGGTTATCGTCACATCTATGGTATTTTTTGTATTCTTGTGCTTATTTATGTTTTCTGCAAAGATATAGGTGACAATACATGTGTATACAATGTCCTCGAATGACACTACCTTTTTTTTTTTACTATAGTATAGTATTCCATCAACTAAGAAATACCAACATAGGTAGTTGGTGTTATGATTGATCCATTCCACAAAAGAATCATGTGGATGGACTCATTCATTCATTCATTCATGTTGGGAATATTCAAATCGATTAAAATCATTACATGATAATATTAGTTTCCAAGAGATACCAATAATAATAATAATAATAACAATAATAATAAATTTCAAGTTTTGATTTCATCACAAGGACTTTTTCTCCTATTCCTTGTGATTATTAAAAAATATACATTTATAAATTTATTATTATTATTATTATTAGTGTTAGATTGCCAAACCTTTATTCTTGACAATATATCTTGGAGGTTGTTTTGGTAAGGAAAAGGTTGATTGTTGTTGTTGATTGATTAGATCTTGTTGTAATTGCTCGGTTGCTGTTGTTGTATTTACTGATGATGATTGTTGTTGCGTTGGTGATGATGCAGTTGATTGATCTTTTTTATTATTATAATTTTTTTGGGTTGGAGTATAAACATTTATATTATTAATATTATTATTGGTAGATGTATTATTATTTGTTTGGAAAAAGAAATCATTACTATTTGACAATTTGGTATTTGATTTTAAATCCAAGTATAGGTCATTTTCATTGTAAGTTTTCCAAAGTTCCAGTGTACCTAGAAAAGTTTGGAATGAGCGATCTATATCTTTGACTTGCTTGGTTTCATAGAGTGGAAGTTTCTTGTGGAATCTAACGATCCAAGCCTCTTTGATTACCTCTCCCGTCAGTTCCTCCAACGCCTTTGCATAGGCAGCCACCTGCAGAGCGTATTCGTTTGAGATCATTGACGATGTCTTCCAGTCGATTGCTACGAGCTGGCCATCCTTTGTTCGTCCAACTGCATCGACTGCACCGGCATACCCATACTTTTCCGACCATACTATAGTATCACGTCTCTCTAGTGTGAGACCAGACTCTTTTTTCCAGTCTTGAAATGCAATGGCCAAGTTTTTGAGGTCTTCTGGTGTCTCCTCCTCTTCCCCTTCCTGCCCCTCTCGTGGTAACAACTCTCCATCCTCTCCCTTTAGATCTATTTTCTTGTCGATCCATTCATGAGCTCGTGTTCCAAATGTCGATGCTTCGTTTTTGATCTCTTCTGCACGTGATTTCGACGAGGTGATGATCGAGTCGAGCCACTGGTGCTCTTCGGCCGACGACTGAAAAGCAGCGGGTTTACTGGTAGTATAGTGCTCCTTGATTGCCTGTATCATGACGCTCTTTTCCCAATTGATGAGAAATGGCTTGTTGATCATTCTGAGGATCGTAGTGACAGAGGGAAGCAGCAAGGGTGGCTGATCTTCTCCCCCTCCTCCTCCGCTGGCAGCGGCACTCCCTCCCAACTTGTAGTTTGACGGGATCGAGTAGAATCGCTGGCCGTACTTCATCACCCGTGAGATCTTGGCAGCGGCCGATGATAAAACGTTGCTTGTCATCTTGCACTAATTGTATGATGATGATGGATGAATGATAAAGTTGGTTGACTCGTCTTCTTTTTTCTATTATTTCTATCAACGACACATATTAAGTTAATTGAATGGGTCGAATCAATTGGTAGGCGCGCGAATAATTAGAGTAAGTAAGGTTGTTATTACTTGTGTATCACAGCTGATGTCTGATTCGTGCCATAAGAATACCATTTTCTTTCAACTGATGTTTTCAAAAAAAATAAATAAAAAAAAAAGCTGTGGTTGAGTGTTTTTTTCACTCTTTATCCAAACAAGAGCAAGTTTTCACAATATTACTGTTACCCTTTTTTGTTTTTTTTTTGTTTTATTTATTTAAAAGAATAAAAGAAAGAAAGAGAGAGAGGGATAGATAGATAGATAGAGATATATAGACCCGACAAGAAAGAAGAAAGAAAAAAGTAAAGATAGAGAAAGAGAGAGAGAGAGGGGAACTTGCCTAAGTTTACCCATCATCACAAACAACAACAAGAACAAGATATCTCTATATTTAATTATAAATAGATACAGACAGACAGGAATATTATTAAAGTATGTTTATGACTGCTGCTACACTACACTTTTGTCGATAACTAACAAACTTTGCGATCAATCAATTATAACGATCGATTACAGGTAGTTGTCTATTACTCATTTCTGGGCAACATATATATAATCAAAAAAAAAAACACTCGATCATCAAACGTGACGATCATATAACGTATAACAAGAAATGGAGTTAAAGATTGCAGGCAAATATAGGATGGGAAGAAAGATTGGTGGAGGTTCTTTCGGTGAAATTTACTTGGGAACCAATATAGCCACCAATGAAGAAGTGGCTATTAAATTGGTATGTTGTTATGATCGAATAATAAGACTGATTCGACCAACACCACAATAACTAATCATATATGTGTCTATTCTTTATATAATATAGGAACCTGCCAAAGCTGTACATCCTCAATTATTATTTGAATCAAAATTATATAAGATCTTTGCAGGAGGAAGTATGTAACAAATCATCAACCAACAAGATGATCATTAATATTAACAACTTGTGTTTGATTTATTATAGTTGGTATTCCATCAGTAAAATGGTTTGGTTTTGATGGTGATTATAATATTATGGTTATGGACTTGTTAGGACCAAGTCTTGAAGATTTATTCAATTACTGTGGTAGAAGATTCTCATTAAAGACTGTATTAATGTTGGGCGATCAAATGGTAAAAAAGAAAAAGAAAAAGAAGAAAAGAAAAAGGAATCATGTGTTTATAATTTAAATTTGATATTAATAGTTTTTAATTTTATAGATTAGAAGAATAGAATTTATTCATGCAAATAACTTTATTCATAGAGATATCAAACCAGACAACTTTTTGATGGGTATTGGAAAGCGTGGACATGTTGTAAATCTTATTGATTTTGGTTTGGCAAAGAGATACAGAGACCCAAGAACTCACCAACACATCTCTTATCGTGAGAACAAGAACCTTACTGGTACAGCTCGTTATGCCAGTTTAAATACTCACCAAGGTATCGAACAAAGTAGACGTGACGATATTGAATCACTTGGTTATGTATTGATGTACTTTAACAGAGGCAGTCTTCCTTGGCAAGGACTTAAAGCCTACACAAAGAGAGAAAAGTATGAAAAGATTTGTGATAGAAAGGCTCATACTGAAATTGAAGTATTATGTCAAGGTTTCCCACGTATGTTTAAAAAAGAAAACAAATCAAAAAGAAACAAGATGGTTTACTAATCCTCATCTATTTGGTATACAATAGCCGAATTTAATCTCTTTTTGAATTACACAAGATACTTAAAGTTTGAGGACAAACCAGATTACTTGTATCTTAGAAAATTACTTCGTGAAATGTTTGTTAGAGAAGGATTTAAATATGATTATATGTTTGATTGGGTTATTATTAGAAAAGTATGTAACCAAAAGAAATAGATGATAATAATAGTCTATTTTATATATTAACAAATCAATATTATCTAGTTGAAAGAAAAACCACCACTTTTAAATTACCCATCATCAACTCAAACCATCCCACCATTGCATGGTGGAACGGCTTCAAGTCAACCATCCCAAACAACATCGACTGGCGCAACAGCAGGAGTAGATAAAAAAGCTGAACCAGCCTCAACCATAACTGAAAAGGGGACTGCTACACCAGCAATTACAGTAAACTCAAATCAAGGCAGCTCAACCCCTGCTGCCAACAGTACCTCTGCCACTCTTGGCACTACATTTACTAGACAGAAAAAGGTCATTCAAATGTCGGACAACAATGCCTCCTCCTCGTCCAACAATTTAACCTCCCCAACAACCACCTCGACTACAACCACAACCAATACCTCTAAAGGACTCTACTAAAGCGTGTTAGATCAAAATAACAGTATCAAACCCCCCAAATTTACTTTACATACACAACCCAAGCAGCAGCAGCAGCAAGCATCAGTTAGTTAGTTTTTATAAAAAACATAATCAAAAAAACAACAAAAAAAAGAAAATAATTATTATTCAACAATAACTCATAACAACAACCAACCAAACAACACAACAATCATAACAATAACTAATCTTTCCCCCATAATTAATTATTATTATTATTTAAAACTATTATTTTAATAATGTATAAATTTTCTTTAATTATTATATTTTCCCATCCATGATGATGGTAGTTTAATATAAACTTGATTAAAATAATAGTAATAATAAAATTCTCCCCATTCAAAAAAAAAGAAGAAGAAGAATATTTTCAATAGGTTCCTTTTATTTTTATTTATCTAAACCATATCTTCGGCTTGATTTGAAATTCTACCTGAATTTCTAATTAATATACCATTGATGATTCTAGATGTAGTAGAACCTGGTGATCCTCCAAGTTCCGCATTAAATTCTATACATTTATGAAACCAATAAAGAAAATAATTATCAGATGGTCTCGAGTGTGGCATGTCGAGTGTAGTCATGACACCATTGATAATAAATGCCACAATGATCCAAAACATAATAATCATTGCCAAACTATTATTCAACAGGATGTCTTTGATCAACATGCAAAGCATTCCACTAAAAATACCAAACAAATGTCCAATAAAACTTGCATTTGGAAATAATATTTGTGTAAATAAAAGACTTGTAAAGATTGACAAGTTTGAAAATCCAAAATGAATTAAACTATAATATGTACTTAGACCAAAGCATACACTAATATTAATAATAAAAAGAGTTAAATAATTTGGAATACTGTGTTGGGTGTTAATTACTTACCAAGAATAACCTATATAATTGCGATCTTTAAGATTTAAAGTTGGTCTTTGAATGTTGACAATACTGATAAAAAACATCATCATTAGATTAGATGACAAGAGTATAAAGAAACTATATTTAACATATTGATAAAGTCCAATAGATTGTTCTAAAAACCGTAATTGCCATAGCGATATTGAATTTAATGCAAGATGAACCAAATTGATATGTGTAAATGTTGATGAAATGAATCTCCAATATTGACCATATCTTGTAATCTCTAAATAAATAGAAACCAAATCCAATGTTAGTTCAGAAATGATCATTTGTGTCATCACTCTACTATTAAGTTAATACTGTGTTTGATCTTATTTACTTTCAAAGTTAAATGAAACACTTTCTAATTGTGATCTTGTTTCATATTGATATACCCATATTAATATATTGATTGCTATAACTATAGTACTACCGATATAACGAGTCAATAACGTTATCATATCATTACTCTTATTTGTACCTCAACTCGTCTGTCTATACAATAGTATTTAAATAATAGATGTGTTATGAAATACATATTAAATTAAAAAAATAATTTCTTTATTCATTTTTATTTTCATCAAGATACTGGACATAAATATTTAAATAAATACAATTAATACTATCTAACGTTGTTGTCAACAAATATAATGATGTTTAGATTTGTTTGTTTGAAAAAAAAAGGGAATTGATTTGATATTTTTTTTTTATATATATTTATTTAACAACATGAAGATTTGGTTTGGGTATTGGTTTCTGGTTGAACTTGGATACCTGGTGGGATTGGGAAAACGAGACCGTCTTCGAGTTTGATAGCATTACGGGCGATAGTTTGGAAAGCTTGTTCGACGTTGATGGCCTCCTTGGCAGAGGTTTCAAAGTATGGGATGTTGCCCTTGCTTTGACACCATGAAGCGGCACGCTTTTGTGAAACGACACGTTGGTTCTCAAGATCGATCTTGTTACCGAGTACAACGAATGGGAAGTTGTCTGGATCACGTGGACCAGCTTGGATGAGGAATTCATCTCTCCATGAGTCAAGATTTTCAAACGTCTTTGCGACATTGACGTCATAGACGAGTACGCAACAATCGGCGCCACGGTAGAAAGCTACACCGAGCGATTGGAATCTTTCTTGACCAGCAGTATCCCAAATTTGCATGGTGACAACTCTGTCGTCAACCATGAGTTCCTTGGTAAGGAAATCAGCACCAATGGTTGCTTTGTATTGATTGCTGAACTTCTTGTTTACATATTGGTTCATGAGAGAGGTCTTACCGACACTAAAAGTAGTAATAAAAAAAAAGTTAATTAGTTATCAATAATGTATGTAAAAAGGTGTAGAGTTGAATCGACCTCAAAACGACAAGATCCAATATTCAACGAGTAGTAAAGGGTATAAGATAGGATAGTTGGTTCCCCTTTAACATGTGTGTAATTTACAAATATGTTCCAAAGATAGATAATCATGTCTTATCTATTTTTAGAATTCTTTAAAACCATTGTCATCTCAGGTGACATCATCATCATGTTGTAATATTACTTTACTCTCTATTTGTTGAATTCTTGTCATTGTCGTTTATCGTCTTGTTGTTGTTGTTGTTGTTGTTGTTGTCAAAAATATCCTATATTTATATTTATCTTACCCGGTGTCTCCCAAAATAATAACTTTTAATAAAACTTTCTTCTTGGTGGCCATTTCTATATAATGTTAATCCTGTTGTTTTTATATATTACAAGGATAGGGTAGGGAATAAAAGAATATAATTAGAATTATGTACAATTAATATACAAAAGTGCAGTGTAGTAATAAATAAAATAAACAACAAAGAAGAAGAATAGGAATGTGTATTGAAAAATTGAATTTTAAACCATGTGGGGTGTTGGAGAAAACTGTGTAAGAATCTAAATTCTCTCTAAGAGATTCTCTCATTTGAAAGTGAAAAAAAAAAATAGAAAAATATAATGAAAAATCCCAGTAGATATAATAATATTATTATATATGACACGGAACAAGTAGTAGACTTGTAATTATTATTATTATTACAATGCCGTTGTTTTAAATAAAAGGATGAGATTTGTATGGGGTTTTACAATACCTTTAAGGTTTGATTGTTTGTTGTTGTTGGTTGTTGTTGTTTTAAATTGATTTGTTTGTTTGGTTTGTTGTTTAATTCAACCAAAAGTGAATGGTATTTATAACAAACAGATGGATGTGGATGGGCAATTGCCTCTCGGAAATTGAGTAGTGATGAGAATTGAAAGTGAGAGAGTAGAGGGTGTTGTGAGAGTAGAGTGGTGCTACTACAAACAAAGAGAAATTATAGATGATGAGAAATGGATTGTTCTCTTGTTGTTTAAATATCAATTGAATTTGAATCAATATTATTATAATTATTATTATTATTGATCTATTCTGTTTGTCACTAATTATGGATTCTCCAAAGGTGATTGATTCTTATTCTAAAATTATATTCTCTTTCTTCTCTAATTTATGAGAGTTGTTTAACTCTCTCTCTCTTTCTCTTTTTTTTTGATCCTCGTATTCGGGACCTGACTGCTGAAACACACAACATGAGCACAAAACAAGAGGGATGACGTGATGTGTAAGATATCTCTCACAAACTGCAATCTTGAAAGTTTCTATAACTAACTATATTTATAATAAATTTACTTTATAAATTTGCGACAAAAGCAACTGAGAGAAGACAAGATTTACTTGGAGTGAGAGGAAAGGGAGAGAGAGAGTTTTTTTTTTTTAATATTATAATTTTTTCGTGACGAAATTTTCCTTCGCTCAAAACAAGGTCAAGGAGACCATCGCATCGATAAGATCTCGTCTCAGTACCATCGATTAATAAAATAATAAAATAATAGATATATATATTTAATTTCTTGAATTTACTAGTATAAATTTATTTGTTGACTCATCAGACGACCTATTTATACGCAAGAGACACCATAAAAAGTAGATGGTTGTCGAGGTTTGGGAACATGGGATTTGAGAAAACAAAGAATGAATGATCATTATATTCCCTTTTTAGGTTGTTTCATTAAAATTGATTCTTTTTACACAAACTATTAAAGTAGCGAACATTCAAACAGACTATTATTATTATTATTATTATTATTATTTGTGTTTGGAGAGGAATAATAATAAGATGAATATATCAAATTTAATACCTTCATTATTAGGTTTCAATTATCGTAGAATAACAGCAAGTAAACTTGCAGAGGCAAAGAGAAGAGCAAGTGTAGCTGTTGTACTCAGACTTGCCTCTCATCATGATGGTGATTCTACATCAACTACAACTACTACCACTGCCACTGCTACAACTACAACTAAACCATTAAAGGTACTGACAGGATTCAATTGTAGATGTTTGACAACAGACAATAAGCACTCTGAGAGTTGTCTCAGGAATTTTATCACATCGAGAAACAACATTACATCTGGAACGACCACTACAGTGGAAGCACTTTATGCCAAGAAATCAAGAGGTAGACGAAAAGGAGAGATTGCATTTGCCGGTGGACACATAGAGAAAGGTGAGACGGAAGAACAGGCTGCTGAGAGAGAGGCCTTGGAAGAGGTTGGATTGGATCTGGCAGATGGCAAGCAATTTTCGTTTATTGGAAGACTAAACGATCGTGTCACCTTTGATCACATTGCCATATACACATTTGTATACCTTCAATTGACTGAAAAGACACCTCCCATCACATTCAGCGATGATGAAATGGAAGATTGTGGATGGGTAGATTTAGATTATTTTACAAAAAGACAAGGAGGAGACAACAATAACAACAACAATAACAATAACAACAAACTCAAACCAGCTAATAGAATAGTAGACTCTACACTATTCAATACAGACGTGGTCGAATTCCAATCATTGGCATCAATGTCATCAAGAAGATTAACAAATCCATGTATGTTGTTATAGAGAGTACTCTATAATATAATATAAAAATGATAACATTACTAATTATTATTATTATTTAAAACAAGTCCTCAAACAAATATTTAATTCATTTAGAGTACCATTGGTACAATTACCAATTAAAACATCCGAGTTTAGATTGTGGGGTCTGACACTTGAACTGACGTCCGAGTTGATCAAAGTGGTGAATGGAAGCTCACCGATACCATCGATTCAAGAGAGTAATAGTCGGTTGGCATTCTTTTGCATAAACAATCCTTTGTTGGCTATTGGTACACTCACTCTTCTCTTTGGTTTGGTCATCCCAGGTATCTTATTTTATTATGTCACTAATAAAAGTTAAGTGTCTAGAAAAAGAAAAACAAAAACAAAAAACTGTGTACAGTATCACACACACACACGAACGAAAATCATTGTCATCACAGACTATGCCTGTCTTTTTTTAATCCAGAATATTATTAATACTGGACAAAAAAAAAGGAAAAAGGTCACCAGTTAAAAGATTAATATTATTTTTGAATACTTAAATATTTTATTTCTCATCGTTTTTTCAAGATGTGTGTGTGTGAGAGAACATTATTAAAATTTTAATTTATTTTAAAAAGGCAAAGGGAATCATCATCAAAGAAACAAACAAACAAACAAACAAATAATAATAATAAATATTTATTATTATTACTACTAGTTTGTTCAGCTCTATATAAAGATATAAGAACAGAATGAATAATAGAACAGGCCATAGAGTAATATCATATGTATTGTTGGTACCTATAACAGTGACGGCTGTTACTGGACTGCTCTACTCGTTTCTTGATATGGTTGGAGTCGATCACAAGTCTATATCATTTCTAATGTCCATACATCAAATGTCATTTATCTTTCCAAATAGTAGTGTTGCCTATACCTTTATACTCTTTTCACTAGTGTTAGCACTCGTCTATTTCGGATTACGATTGGTTAATTATACCTATGTATTCAACTCGATCGTTGCAAATAATACTCCAACTACTCCATCATCTGTATATATTCAAGGCAGACAACAACAAGAGTCAATCATATCAACACCACCACCAATGCAATTATCATCGCCCAATGATAACAATGGATTCTTCAATAATGACAATAGAGTAATTATATTCTTTAAATCATTGTCGTCGAGTAGTAGGAGTAATGTACGTTCATTCCATCATCGTTTGGCATCGGTAGTATTTGTGGTTTTACTCTTTATGGCTACTACTGGAGCTTCGTATCGGTTCTTGAGAAATGTGGTTGGTATGGAAAAGTCACAGGTTAAATGGATCATCAAACTTCATAGTATGAAGTTTCTACCGGCTTGGTTAAGCTTTATTTGGGTGTCATTGGTGTTTTCAGTACTGGCAATATTATTCTACAGTGGAGTAAGGTTAATCATCAAGACTAGAAGAAGATCTTCACCATGTACTCCATCAAGAAATGCTTCATCTAATATTTCTCGTCGTCGTCTTCGTAATAATAATAATAATAATGGTGAAAGTAATCAAGGTACACCTATAATGTCTGGTGACGATGTAATTTCAAATGTTCAATCAAATACATTTGTTTTTGTTGACACTAATAATATTAATAATAATAATAATAATAATAATAACAACCAAATATCGATTGATGATAATATTTGATAATCAAAATATTCCAATCAACTTAAATAATAATACAAACAATAGTGGTAATTTGAATGGAGATAGTCCAACAACCACATAACGAGCGTAGCTATGCTATCTTTTAAAATAGAGGTCACTATGCATTATCTCGTATACAATCAATCTTGGTATCAAAGACTTAAAGTCAAGGAAACTACATCTTGATGGAGAGTTGGTATTTACCTTTTTCAAATACTATGCTCCAAGATTCAACTATGTCACTTTCTGCACCCACCAGGGATGCATCCTCTACACCCTCACCAGAATTTAATAAAATTAATTCTATTTTATTCTAACAAGAGTCTTTTTGTTTGTAGAATTGTTAAATTAAATAAAGTTTTTAATTATTATTTAAAATTAAAAAAAATTAATGGTAAAATGTGTGGGCAATTGATTCATTATTGTCAGTTGCAATATTCATACGCACGTGATAAATAGGCAGAGAGATAGATAGATAGATAGATAAACAGAGAGAGAGATAGATACAAAGCTTATTTATTGATGATGGATGATAAACCTCCATCTATATCTATATCGAGGACATCCTCGACATCCTCTATAAACTCTACATCATCAACTAAAGAAAAGAGGAAAAGGTAATCATCATAGTCATCATCATCATCATCATTGTAATAATTAATGTGATTGTCTATTACGTAGTATATTAACCAAGATATATTTATTACTATTATATATTGTAGTGGAATACTTTCATTATTTAATAAAGACCAAAAGGAACCAAAAGAATCAAAAGAATCAAAAGGAAAACAAAAGGATGATATTAAACATGCTACATCGACTATAGTACCTACAATTAGTACTACTAATACTACTACAACTACTTCTACAACATCAACATTAAATGCAAAAGAATTAAAAGCTTTAGAAAAGGAAAAAGAGAAACAGAGAGAAGCGGAAAAGACAAGACTAAAGGAAGAAGAGGAAAGAAGAAAAGAGGATGAAAAGAAACGTTTAAAAGAGGAAAAGAAGAGATCAAAGGAATTGGAAAAGGAAAAGGAGAAGCAACGCGAACAAGAGATACAAACAATCAAAGAACAGGTAAAAGAGTTGAAACGTAAACAAAAGGAACTTAAAAAACAACAGAAAAAGGATGGTGAATCAACTCATAGTCATGATAGTACTAGTAGCATGATGGACGACGATGACGACCTATCAATATCATCGGCACATTCTTTCAACACTGTGGTTTCAACTATTGGTGTTGGTTCTAGTACACCTCAGAAAAGAAGAAAATCACTTGATATATCTGCTCTTGCAAACAAATTACTTCATCCTCATTCACATGGTCATAGTAGTGGAGATTCTTCCAATCAACAATCAAATGTTCAACAACAAAGACGTACACTCGGGCAACATAGAGGGAATAGTACATTGTCATTTGATTATCAAAAGAATTCTTCATCATCCGGAGGAGGAGGAGGAGGAGGAGGGGGAGACACTACACCAAGAAAATCAGCAACCGACAATGATTTAACCTATACATCAGGTACTGATGATTCTGATTTCACCTCTACCAATCCAACTATTATAGAAACACCTAGTTTGTCGATTGACAATAATAATAATAATTCTGAAATGACTCACACCAAGAATTCGACATCATCAAATTCATCCCTCACTGCACACTCTCAAAGCCCTCCCAATACTACATACTCGGGTATTGATGAGAATTCCTCGACACAACACATATCCGATGCCACTTATGCATTGTCTGCAGAATTTAAAAAGGAAATGGAGAGATTCTATGGTAGAATAGAAGATTGTCAGAAAAGAGGATCATCCTATCAAATAGAACGTATCAAAGAGCTCAAAGAAGCTCTAAAGGCAGAATCAACCTCTCCCATATCACGACACTCACCCAAGAAACGGTCACTTCTTCAAGGTGGAGACTCCACCTCTCATCCACAACTACAACAACTACTACAACAACAACATCATCATCACCACCATCGCAGTTATTCAACTACTGCAGCACCACAAGATTTGAAATGTATAATGAAAGAAATTCATCCAAGTGGTGGTGAAGTATCACCTCCCAACTATGATACAAACTATCCTCCATCATCAAATGGTGCATCTGGTGGCGGTGGATTAAAATCATCATCTGATGCCATCATGATGAATAGTACAGATTCACCAACAACATTGGATAAAAATCAACAAAGAAAAGGTTTATTAAGAAGAAGATGGAATACACATAGACTTTCACTTACTCTAACAAGAAATCAATTGAATACAATTAATAATAATGGTAATAATAATAATAATGTAATATCAAATATAAATAGTCAACAACAAGATCAAAGTAATGTAAATAGATTTATACCATCATTTGATGGTACAAGATTAAAGAAATATTTGCCAACGGTGAATTTTAAAGGTATTGGAGATCATTTACCTTCATTCCAAATTCTACCAAGTCGAAACAAGAAAAAGGAGATGGATGCCAAAGACAAGAACCAAGACAACCAAAAACCAACAGAATTTAAAAAGAATATTGATGAAATTCTTCAATCGTTCCAAGAACCAAAACGACCCAAGATTTCAGTGCTTAAAGAGTACCAAGAGCGATTACATCTTAGGAAACCAATCTACTCTGTCAATCAACTCTCTACGATGGGGTCAGATCTCGAGACCAAAACATTGCTCCAACATTCGAGAATTGTGGATGATCTCGAGCGATGTAAACGTATCAATCAAGAGATCAAGGAACTAAACAGTCGGTTGGACTATGCCTGTAGCTCAATCAAAACTATCGACTCTGACCTCCCATTTGAGCTTCAATTACGTGTCGACAATCTCAAACCAACAGTCGATAGTAATCTCAACGACTCTCACAAACTCTATGAAAAGTCAAAGCGACTGGAAGAATCGGTTCAAGTCTTGAGAAGACAATCCAAAAACTCTAGATATGCCTACATTCATAACATTTTTGTAAAATTGTTTATTACCGGATGGTTAGTTACCATCTACTCTTTTTTCATTGGTAAATGGAATAAAAATAATGTAAATAGTGATAATATAGATGATAATAATAATAATAATAATTTGGAATATAATAGCAACAACAGTAATAATAATAGTAATAATAATAATAATAATAGTAATAGTTTGGAATATAATAGTAATAATAATGATAATCAATTACAAAGTGGTAATAATAATCACTCGCTCGTTTTAAATGGTGCAAGCATTGGTCATGGTAATGACAATGCTAGTAGTAGTGGTATTAATGGTGCAAGTGGAAATGGTAGCAGCAGTTTGGACAATTTGGCTGACAAAAAAGATAAAAAAGATATAATGAAAGTTGCCATGTCAAATCTCGAAGCAATGAGCAGAACCATCTCTTTGATGAGAGAAAATGAACTAGCTGCTCAAGAACACTAATATTAATAATAATGTAGCATATATATAAACGAGAAATAGAGTTTTCATTTCCATTTTTGGAATTGGATATTTCAATTTTAGTAGATCAAAATCCTCTCTTTTTCATTTGGTGGTATCACCTTTTTTTTTTTTCAACAACAGATCCTTCACTATTGTACTATACACCATTATGACAACAGCAACAATAGTAATAGTATTTACAATATTAATAGTAATTGTGTTTTAAAAAAACCAATGGATGACTAGTACTTTATATATTTGAATTATGGGGCGAGTAACTTTTGGATCTATTGATGATATTGATTACCAATAGGTATACTCTAACCATTCTAGAACAAGAACATACTATTACTACCCTTTGTCTCTCTTTTTCTATTCCATTCCACCAAGTATAAATAGAATGGAATGCAATGGTTTTAAAACATCAATTCAAAAATCATAAACTCAATTCTAAATTTTAAATTCTAAACAATGATGAAATTCTTGGTTCTTTTTGCCTTGTTGGCTGTTAGCACTGCCTCTGCTGGTTTTGTGCCATATACTTGTGGACCACATGCTTGTGGTTACGGTAACTCTTGTATCTATGATGGTTACATTTTCGGTTGTTTCGTATGTACAAAAACACAATAGGAATAAATAAATAATATTTATTACAAATCATCACAAAGAATATTAATATTGGAAATCCAATTTCCAATTTCTTTTAAAATTTAGCATCGTTGTGAATATGTTGAAATCGCTCAATCAGTTGTCAACCAATGGAATGATAATGGTGTAGACTATGTTCAAGTTGATGTCACTGTCACCAACCATGGTCCATTTAATGTCAACAATATTCTCATTGGTTATGATGATACTTTTAAGCCACGTGATTCGTCTGCCGTCTGGAGAGCCGTTCAATTGAAGAATGGCCTTACCTTGCCAACCTACTCTGCACCCCTTGCTGTTGGTCAATCTACCCACTTTGGTTACATTAGCATTGGAAAGGCTGCTTCTCACCTCTATGTCAAGAATATTGCTCTTATGCATTAAATTGTGATCGATTTTATCATTTATTTAAAAAAGTTGATAAATAAGATTTCTTTTTTTTTACTACAATTTAGAAAAATATATATAGTCCTTTTCCATCGAAATTCAAATAATTTTAGAAAATATGTCGTTAAAGAAAACATCATCAATTCAATCACACCCACTGTCAATTGAATCATTCATTAAAAGTTAAAGAGTCTTTCATTCATTCATTCATTTAAATCAATCAGTCAATCAAAGATCATCGTTCAATCAGGTTTTATAAAACACATACAAGCAAAAGAGAGAGAGAGAAGGGACAATGAATCAGTTGTCACCAGATCACAACCAAAATATGAACGATGTATTAGACTCTTTTGGTAACTGTAAACTTGGTGTTACGATAGAGAGTAAGCCCAATGAAGAATTGGACAAGTACATAGACATAAAGGTCATCGGAAAAGGGTCTTTTGGAAGTTGTAAGCTCGTCAAGAGAAAAGTAGACGGTATGGCACTAGTAATGAAACAAATCAATGTATTGGATATGTCTCCAAGAGAAAGAGAAGATGCAATGAATGAAGTAAACGTATTAGCAATGTTAGAGTATGTAAATTAGAAAAAAGAGAGATATACAGTCGATACTAATACTAGTATCCTTCTTCTTCTTCTTCTTCTTCTTCTTCTTTACATCTATCTAGTCATGAAAATATTATAGCATATTATGATAGTTTTATTGTAAATGGTACACTTCATATATTGATGGAATATGCGAATGCAGGTGATATTCATAGAGAGATTAAAGAAAGAACAATCAAGAAACAACATTTTACAGAGGCTGAGATATTGAGGTTCTTTTCCCAACTCTGTTTGGCGGTACAATTCCTTCATCAAAAAAATATTCTACACAGAGATTTGGTATGTATAATGGTATTGGATCACACAATCAAATTGGTGTGTTTGTTAACTCTCCTCTCCTCTCTCTCTCTTTTTGTTTTTAGAAAACACAAAATATATTTCTATCGATTGTCAATGGTAAAAGTAGGGTCAAGTTGGGAGACATGGGTATTGCAAAGATACTTAGTGCTGATACTCAGTTTGCTAGAACCGTTATTGGAACACCTTACTATTTATCACCTGAAGTTTGTCAAGATATAGGATATGATACAAAATCTGATGTGTGGAGTCTTGGTTGTTGTTTGTAAGTCAAAGCTTGAGTATTGATCAATATTTGTATATAGCTTAACTAACAATAATAATGATTTTTATTAGATATGAATTGGCAACTTTAAAACATGCATTTGATGCTGGTTCATTACCTGCACTTGTACTCAAGATTCTAAAAGGAAATTATCCTCCCATTGCTTCATTTTATAGCAATGATCTACGACAACTTGTATCATCGATGCTTCAAACTGATCCAAGAGACAGACCCTCTATTGATGAAATTATCGAATTACCATTCATCCAACAATATCTCAATGACTATAACCATAATACCGCCGACATGTCCAACCAAACAGCACAAAAATCACCAATTTCCAACAACATACCAATGTCAATGATGATGTCAAAGTCACCACCTGCAATGTCATCACCAATTTCAAGCTCAAAAACACCAGTGAAAACGACTACAACTAGTAGTAGTAGTAGTAGTGGTAGAACTGCAATGTCTGCACCTACAACACCCATCAACAAAAAAACACCATCAAAAGTTAATCCAACTACACCTACTAGATCCGCATCTTCATCTTCCATATCGTCATCAACGTCCTCCTCCTCATCATCATCATCATCATCTGGATTTGTCAGAAAACCACCAGTTCCAAAGCCATCAACTCCTTTGGCAAAACCAACCAGATCTGCTCCTCTTGTCAAACCGACGAGCAGTATTGCAAACAAAAATAGTAGACCTTTGGTAAAGCAATCGTCATCCCCTTCATTAAAATCATCATCTGTTACAAGTACACAACAACAATCTACAAGTACTGCAGCATCGATAACCACAACGCCATTGTACACACCTCCAGCTAGACCAGCTGTAAATATTACCTCTTCTTCCAGATCTTCTTCATCTAGACATTCTATTGGTGGAACTACTAAATCATCAAGTACTAATATGACTACGACTACAACCACAACCACTACGATCCAAAGTCAACCAGTTAAATCTATAGGACAACCATCAATTGGAATGCCCCCACCAACAAACACGATATCATCATCATCATCTTCGAATAATTTATCGTCATCTCAAAAATCAAATCAATTACCAAGAAGATTATCAACATCAAACATTATAACACCTCCACCATCACCAACCACTAGACCCACTACGCCATCAGGTAATACAAGATCCGTAACACCTACTCCAACTTGCAATAATACAAACGTTGTTCCAAGACCACCAAGTAGTTCTAGTACTGCAAGACCATCTATTACTTCATCAAGTAGTTCTGTTGTCACCAAATCAACTTCAACTACCTCTTCTTCTTCTTCGACCAATACACTTTCACATTCATCTTCTTTGGTCATGCCAAATAATAGTTATTCAATTCCTCAATCGTCAGTTGTAATTAATAGCAAAAGACCATCGATACGAGCATCGATTGAAACTTCCAAATCAACGGTAACAGTAAACACTAAACCCACGCAGCCACCCTCTCCAACCTCTACATCCTCCTCCTCTTCTGTTCAACAACAACCACTTTCGAGAGAATCATCACAAGAATTCTCAAAACCCTTGGTCACTCTTGAAGTTGGAGAGGAATCTGATTCAAAATCATCAAGAGATAAAAAATTATTAAGTAGAACAAATGCACTTAGACAGTAAGTTGAAATCATCTCTCAATCAACCATTTAAAACAAATTATTTACTTTTTATTTTATAGTTTTTGTAATAGTATTTTTGGAGAAGAATTATTTGGTAACATTTATAAACTATTAAAGACCATAAATGGTACTTCATTGGACGAAGACGATGAAAATGTTCAACAACAATTAGAAACAATTCTTGGTGACAAAATTTATTACTTGAAATATCTTCAACAATTAATGTACTGTGAAAGTCAACTTGTTTCGATACTACCACAGAGACAAGAATCAGTGTAGATAAAATAAATTATTTATTGAAAAATAACTATAAATATTATTATTGTTGTTTTTTTTTATTTATTTATTTATTTCCCCCAAACTCTTGAAGATCTTGAAACTTGAATAGGTGAATTTACACTGCTGGTAATATTACTATTGTTGTTGTTGTTGATGGAATGATTATTTACAAAAGAGGATGATTGTGATTGAACAAGTGGAATGGTTGAAGTAGTTGTCATTGATCCAGAAGAAGAGGTGACAGTTGAAGCCTCTGGTATACTGGAATAGTAGACGAGAACATTTGGTATTTCAAGATACCGACCATTGTAAGTGCATTGAATCGTATGGAACCCTTCCTTGACCGATGGTGGTGACACAAAACTGATGGTCTTTCTCTGATTGGTCATTTCAATGCCTTGGGCTTGAACTCCTCCAACTGCGATGGTGATTGGTGCCACCAATGCATGCTTTAGATTCATTTCAATTCTTGTTCCACTCATTGGTGACACTGCAGGGTTGATTGTTTGAATGACCAAATCCTGTTTGGTCGGGCCAGATGATGCTATACTATCGAAATTGTCTGCGCTGTTTTTACCTCCAATGGTTGTATAGATGGGTTCTGGTTCCGAATTTAATCGATTGGTAAGCTCGTTGATATATCTTTCCTCTTGGTTTTCCTCTTGGTCGTCGTCATAGTCTGGTTGAAACGATATGGTGGTTGGCGTTGTCAATACATTTTCGTCATAGTCGTCATCGTCATTGGCGCTCTGACTGTTTGCGAGTAAACTACCACTGAGACCACGACTGTGTTTTTTGGTGTAGGCCGACAATGATGGGGATGCATTTTCATAGAGCTCCGATGCATAGTTGTTAATGTCTCTTATATCCTTTTCAGTTTGGAAACAAGAGTTTGTGCAGAAAATAGATTGTTTTGACAATGTGTAATCGTGATCCTTGATAACAATATCCACCTCGCCCTCTTCTTTGCGTTTGGGACCGACCAACAATAGAGAATGATAGTTCTTTTTTAGAATCTTGACCGTTTCTCCACCAATGGTCACCGTGATCATTGGTTTGTCCAAATTCTCTCCCTGAATGGCAATATAACTACCATCGAGTGCACATACTGCCGGCCCAACCGACAATATAAATGATCGATCCTTGGTGCTTTCGTATTCGGCATCGCTCATTTGCTTGTTGTCTGATGAAAAGACACTTGAAAAAAATGATGAAATTCTATTGGACGCCGATAGTGATTCGGTAAGAGGACTTGCCGATAGTGAGGTGGGCGAAGATCCTTCTTTGGCTGTTACCACTGGTGATTTTATGGAAGATGGGGATGAAGATGGTGTTATTTGCATTCTAGTTGTCAGTTCTGTTGTGTATAGTCTATACTCTGGTACAGTTTGATTTAAAAAGCTTAGAAAATTATGACTTATATTGAATATGATTGATGTTTGTTTTGGTGTAGTCGCTTGAATTTGTTTTAATTTAGTAATTCCAACTTTTAATTCCTTTATATGAAGATTTATAGTTGATTCTAATTCTTTTGCTCTCTAAATAAAATAATAAAAATAATATTAGATATGATGGACTAATTATTATTATTATTAATTAATTTACTTACTTTTATAGAAGGTGAACCAGAATCTTGAATTGTATTTACAATTAATTTATATTGATTAACATTTCTTTTCAAGTCTAAAATATTTAGATGCATTTGTTCATAAAATACAACAAATTCACTCCTTGAAACTCTCTCTTTGGTATCTTGAAATTCAGACCTTTGAATTGCTTTTGATAATGTTTTATAACATAATAAACATACATTTACATCTAAAAAAAGAAAATGATTATTAGAAATTAAAGAATATTATTATTAATCTATTAGTTATTTTCTCATACTTGGTTGATTTTGTTGTTGAGTATTTGATTGAGGAATTCTTTTAATCTTTTCAAAACTGTTTAAAGGGATATGATGTTTGTTACAATTGCTGCAAACGAAAAAGCCACAAACCAAACACTTTTGTTTCTTGGAGAAGATCTTTCCAAATACTACTCCACAAACCATACAATTCCGTACCACTTTACTTTCTATTTCTGGTTGCAAGATTGTACTAACATTCATTGAAACTTGTTTAAACTTTAATATGATCGCATCTAAATCATTATTCAATTTTGATACATGTTTCTTTCTTTGAATCATAAATTCTTTTGATTTATCTCTTGATACAACTAGATAGAGGAACATTAGATAAGTATAATGATCAATTCCCGATGATTCTTTCCTTTCCTTTGCTTACTTTGACCATCATTATGTATTACAAATAATGCCTCATTCTCTTGTTTTTGAATATAGTTATGATCTATTTGTTGTAATAGATTACTATTACTACCATTTTGATTATTAATCTTTGTATTACTACTATTGCTGTTGCTGTTGCTGTTTATTAAATTATTATCCATATACATGTTGAATATTATCCATTATGGTTGGGTTGTTACACTTTGATGTTACTCTTGACTAGAGGTATTCTACTTTTTGCTATTATAATGCTTTTTGATGATGACCGATAAACTCCTTGAATACCTAGGTTTTTTGCAAAGAATGAAATTCAATTAATTTTTTTATTATTAAAATTAATAAAATTAATTTATTATAGTTTAATATTAAAGAATAGAAGAAGAAGAACATTCATATGAATTCCTTTTTATTAATCATTAATAAAAGAGTAGTAGTAAAATTAATATTTAAATTCAATTTTTTAATATTTAAAAAAATAACCTAAATCGAGGAATCAATTGTGTTACTTCCATTTTTTTATATTTATTATTCCATAAAAAAAAAATTGGAAAAATGGAATAAAAGAGTTTATTAAAATTAATGTTACATTGTTGTTGGTGATACAAATAAATGAGAGAGAAAACAATATTTGGAAGAAGTTGGTTCTACAATAATAAAAATTAAAAAAATAGTCATATGATGGATGGTGATTCTGTTTGTTGAATATTATTAATATATTTGTTGGTTGGTTGGTTGGTTGAAATTAATTGTAGTTGGGAATATTATTAAATCAAAAATAATTTTGATGAAGTAAATATATATATATATAAAGATTGAATGATTAAATAAATAAATATATCTGATAATAATTATATTAAAATATTATCGGTACTATTAAATAATAATTATTGTTATTGTTGTTGTTGTTGTTTCTTTAATGAATAGTTGTTATTATTGTTGTTGTTGTTATTGTTATTTTCACTAGAATCAAATAATAATTCATCAATATCACTTTGAGATTCAACTTCATAATATTTTACCGAATTGTTTGATAAAAGGTTATGAACTGAAGCCGTAGTTGGTGATGATGAAGAGGTAGGAGAAAGTGGTGCCTGTGGACCCGGGAGGAATGGTTTTGATCCATAGGTACGTAATTTCTTCATGTATTGCAGTCCACAAGCATTGCACAGATTTGCTCCATTGTCTCCTTTTCTCCACTCGGGCGTCGATGTACAGTTGCAAATTGCACACGACGTTGGTCTAATCTTTCTAGGTCGACCTCTAGGCTTTGCAGCCTTGCCATTGTTGATGCTAGAGGTAATTGGAACCTTATTGATAGAACTGGTTGAGGTGGGTGAAATGGGGACATAGCGTGGGGAGCCAGGTGATCGAGATGTCTTACCGCCAGGCAACCCAATTATTTCCCCTCCTGGTCCCAAGCCACCGTGATGTTGAAGATTGAGAAGGGTGGGGTATTCGGTACTTCTCGTGATATACAGTGATCTGGGAGATAGGTTGAGAGCCGATCGAGGAGATGGCATGGCTCCCATGGTGATTGGATGTACATTTTGTTGGGTGGTAATTCTAGGTGAAAGATTGAGATTGGACATGGAACTAGATAGAGCAACATATTGGGGTGGTCTAAACCCTAGCCCTCCCGAATATTGATCATGCATATCTGGTGGTACAGCCCTACTGACATTTTGATGATGCATATCGTCATACTGTGTAGATGGTAATGAAACTCTTAGATTTCTTTTGGTAGTAGTAGAGCTCGATGACGAAGACGAAGACATGCTCATCTTAATAGATGAGGAGGAGGAATCAATACAAGTAGCAGTACTAGAGCAAATACTGCTGCTGCTACCACCAAATGCATTTGTATGATCAGTGGTGGAAAGGGGTAGAGATGGAGTAGGTAATTCAGAACTAGGAGGAGTTGGGTATGGAAGTAAAACTCTTTTTTCAGCCATATATTTTGGAGAGGTTGGTAGAGGGTACTTTGGTGATGATGGCGTAGTAGTAGAAGTAGAAGTAGAAGTAGTAGAAGTAGAAGTAGTAGAAGTAATAGTATTATATATAGGTGATGAAGTTTGAGGTATCTGATATCTTGGTGAGGCTGGCGGCGAAATGTGCTGTGTTGTTGGGATCTCTTGACTTTTCATCCTGCCAAGTATTTTGGTTAAAATTGAATTAAGTTCTTGATTGATTTTCCATGCTTTTTCTACTCTATCTGTTGAAGGTGATTGACATTCTTTGCAGAACTGGTTAATGTAACTTGCAAGTGGGATGACCTTTTAGAGAGAGAGAAAGATGTTGGGGTTAATACAAAAGTCATATGATCATGATGATGATGATGATAAAGTTTGGAATCTTACTTCATTTTTCCATAACGTATTAAAATCACTATGACCAAGGTAACTGAGATACTCCATATAGTCGTAGTAGTAGAAGGTAGTAATAGTAGTAGTATTCTGTTTCCTTTGTATTTGTAAATGTAAGAGAATAACTTGTATTTTTTTGAATCTATCCTCCTCTTATTTGCTTGTATGCAGTCTCGACAGGGTACGAATATGAAGTTGAAGCAAAAACCTCACAAAAACTTTTTTTTGATACCAAGGTTTTGATTGGAGGAGTCTTTTTGTCGCTGTAGGGAACGGGCAAAGTTGGATGGATAAAAAAAAAAGACAAAACAACAGAATGGGGCTTTTGAGATTTAAAATTGTTTGAATCAACGACGTTTTTTTTAGCAACAACAAGAGCCCTACGAAACAATGAATTTTGTGTAAGCGTGGTGATACGATAGCTAGTAGTTGATGTGTTTTGAGAAGAAAATAAAAATGACAAAGCTTTTGAAAAGTATGGAGGGTCTCTGAAACGCTCTAGCGTTTAAACAATAAAAAAATCTTATCTACTCAAAACGCACTACCTCATCTCTCTCTCTGACAACATTATAAAGAGAAAGATATTTTGTTTTCTTGGTTGCGCAAACACCCGATCAGATTCCAAAGTACGGATCGATTGAAAAAAAAAAGGGGCAAAACTGAGCCATCCCCTGCAATTTGATTGTTATTGTTTCGTGACGAAGATGACACACGCGCATGGTTTGAAAGTAGGATTGTCGATTGAGCCGAGATGGGGCCGTTTCTCGTATTTCAAACTTTTGATTGGTTGACTTTTATATGATGTGATTTGTGTTTGAGTGAAATTATATTAATTAAATGTGGACAAGGATAATAATTTAGGTGTAACCTAATCTTTTCGTTTAATACTGTGTTGAGATCATTGTACGTCGTCATCTGTTTGTGGTGGTATCTGTTTCCTTCATTGACCTTGTTGTGGACAAGAACAAATATCTTCCCAGCACTCGATACATTCCAGAAGGTTTCGTCAACACCATACGTACAGAGTCACCAAGGGCTCTACTGTTCATCTAGTTAAAACCTATGATCTATATTTATATTTTGAAGCACCATGTCAAGCCGAAAAGCTTGGTTGGGTCATTGTCGGGGAAAAGTGAAGTCTCTCTCTTTATAAACCCGAAAATTTTGTGTTTTGACCAGCAGGTCTATCTATCTATCTATTATGTTGACAGTAGTTTGATAGTATCAATATCAATAGTACGATTGACTATCAATTAATTGTAAACATCTTTTGGGTATTATCTGTAGTACATATTTAAATTTATCTGTATTTACTTTTATAAAATAAAATTAAAAAAAATTTGTTTAGTTTGAACCTCACCTCGTCACCACACACAATGAGTTCAAAAAAAACTATTTATTAGTTTTAATTTATTTCAACAAAAAGAGAGATAAATTTGATTAGATTAGATTAGACAAAGAAATGATAAAGAAGGGTACCCTATCAATCTACTTTTTGATTTTAGCTATACTTGTAGGTACACTTGTATCTATTGTCGTTTCAACAGAAGAAACACCTGCAGCCGTTGATGAAGTAGATTTGGTTATTGATCTAGTTGATGGTGATTCAAGTAAATTAAAAGAAGGTTTTTGGTTTGTTGAATTGTAATGTATTAAAGAATAGGAGGAATAAGAATAAGAATAAGGACAAGAAATGATGGTTTACTAAATCAAATATATCTCTACCTTTTTGTTGATTAGTTTCGCACCATGGTGTGGACATTGTCGTAAATTGGCACCTATTTGGAAGAATCTTGCAGTACACTTTAAAGACTCTGACATTAAGATTGCAAGAGTAAACTGTGATGACAACTCTGGTATTTGTGGTGAATATGATGTTCGAGGTTACCCAACCATTAAATTATTTGTTGAAGGTGTTAAAAAGGATTACAAGGGTGGTAGAACCAAAGATACTCTTATCAAATATATTGATAAAATGTTTACGTATGATAAATACAAAAAGTTTTATTATTGTTATTATTTATCTAATCATTTTTTCTATTCTATTATTTAGTGGATATTTAATCAATGTAAAAGATCAAGAATCATTGGATAAGATTTTAAATGATAAAAAGATTGCAATGATCTATGTTGCCGAATCTGAAGAATCTTTAAAGAATGATCCAATGTTTGATACCTTTAAAAAGATTTCATTTGAATTGTTTGATACCAACTCTCCCAACTTTGTACTTTCTATTGGTCACTCTCCCATAGAAGGTGTAAAGAGAGGTATCATTTTAAAGAGAGATGGTGAATTGGTACAGTTTAAGCAATCAATTGAAAAGTTACCATCTTGGATGAGATTCAACCAATACTCTAGTTTAACTGAACTCAATGATGTTTCTTTTCTTCCAATGTCTGAAACATTCAAGAATCTTGTCATGTTTGTTTATCCAATTAAACCAAATAATGAGTAAGAAAGAAATAGAAAAAGAAAAGAAAAAAAGAAAAAGAAAGAAAAAGAAAAAATACTTACTTGGTTTCTTTTTTAGAGAAATTGAAGAATTAAAAAAGATATCAAACAATATTATTAATCCAGATGAATTGACAGATTTTGTTTATACCTATGTCAGTAACAAGGCCTATGAAAAGTTTACTGCAAGATATGCACTCGAAGATTTACCAGCTTTGTTGGTGGTTCGTGAAAAGGGAGAAATCTACTATTACGATCCAGCTGTCAAGGTTGACCAAGAGTCTGTATTAAAATATTTGAATGATATCAAGGCTGGCAACATCAACTATCAATACCTTGATTTTGGTAAATACTATTTCTTGAAAACCATCAATTTCATTGACGAGTATAAATGGTTCTTGGCTGTTGCTATCATTGTCACCCCAATCGCTGCCATTATCATTGGTTCATCATCTAGTGGTCCAACTGAACCACAACCAGAAAGATTACCAAAACCTGAAACTCTTGTCATTGATGATAAAAAGAAAAAGGAAAATTAATAATAATAATAATCGTACACAATAATAAATAAATATACAACTGTCACGTCGATTGTTCCCATTTCGGTGTTCAATGAAAATTTAATTTAAAACAAAAGTTGATAAAAATCGTAATGTCTTACAAAGCAAAAAAAAAAAATTTATACTAAAATATTTGAAAAAAGAAATTTGTAGATACGTTGAACAAGCTTGTGAAAAAAAAAAAAAGAGTAAAATTAAAAACTAGTTTTTATTAAAGATCTATTCTATATTTTTATTTTAATTAGTTTTCCATCCATCTTTTTTTTATTATTATTTTATCTTTTAATACTTTATTTTTAGTCGTTCAAAGAAGGTATAAAACTGTAACCCTCACTCTCTCTATTTAGACTTTTATATCATTTTTTTATTTGTTTGTTCAACCCCAGCTTGTTATAAAAACCCATTCCCTAAACCACTCTACCTTTTTATTTTGTTTTAATTCCAACGATTTGTGTGTGTGCATTCAAGTTCAACTTTCAAGAGGTCTGAGCTAAGCTGTGATCCATCCATCTTTATTTTTAAAAAACAATAATAACATTTCATTTATCTATTTATCTATCTATTATGTATTTATAAATATTAAAAAAAAAGTAAAAAGATGAAATATAGATTTAAATTATTATTCATCTTTTTATTTTTGGTTTTTTTTCTTTTTCATTTTACTTTTGCAACATCGAATCAAAAAGAACAGTCAACAACAACAACAAAAAGTAATAATGATATCATATCAAATAATAAACCATCACAATCAAAATTATCAATTAATGATATTATAAACAAAGGTTATGACGATTGGTCAAAAAGCAAACATACTCATCAAAAGGTAACCTCTAACAAGTTTGTTGAATCATCATCATCATCAAGTCTGGATCAAGGTTCAATTGGAGGATATAAATGTCAACATGATGTTGTATCAAAAGATATTGATGGAAAGATTAAAGAAGGTTTGAAACATCTTAAAGAAGAAGATTTACCACCTCCACCACCTCCTTCTTCTTCTTCTTCATCTTCCTCTGAATCATCTTCATCATCATCCTCATCTAGTTTACCGAAAGGCTTTCTAAAAGCAAGCAAGATGGTAAATAATGAAGAGGATGTTGTAGAATCTACACGTCAACCAATTCGTATTACATTTGAATCAATTATTGAAGCCGATACTTTTAAATGCACGACTGTTGGACAACAAGTTCCTACGGGTCTAGCCACAGCATCAAAATCTTGTAGTACAGCCACTGCAAACGATGCATCATGTATGTACACTTGCACCAGTAATGATTTGGTTACCAATCAAGTCATTGAAAACATCAACGTTGTCATGGCCAATATGAGAGAGCTCTTTGCCAACCTCTTAATGGTCGATCAAGTAAACCCTCTCAAATTAAACTCTTTTGTTTGGAGTCAATTAAATCAAGAATGCGATTATGGTATCCCAATTAATAGTTCAATGATTGCTGATGGTATTCAAAATACTGATATCATTGTTTATGTTACTTCTAGACCAACTACAAGTACTTGTAAATATTAAAAAAATAGAAAAAAAATAGATATATATTTATTAACTTTTTTAATTTTCTATTTTGTAGCAACGATTGCATATGCAAAAGCATGTAATTTTAATGTATTTACATTAAATAGAAAACAAATTTATGGTAGACCATTGGCTGCAACAATCAATTTTAATCCAATTTATTTTAATGCAAGTCCATCTCGTCTAACTTTTAAAGAATATGTTCGTGTTGGCATTCATGAAATGACTCATGCTCTTGGTTTCTCTAATATGTTTTATTCAAGTTATCAAAATCAAAATGGTTTATATCAAAGTATGTATAAAAAACAAAAAAGAATAATTATTTTTATTTATTTTATTTATTTTAATTTTCCATTTTTTTAGATCCATTAATAGGATTAACACAAACAGGTAAAACACCAAAAGGAGTATCATATGAAATTGATAGATTTGCAATCAATTCTACATCGGTTTTGGAGTTTGCACAAGATCATTTTGAATGTAATCAGGCGTTTGGTGTTCAATTGGAGGATTCTGGTGGATCGGGAACTAGTTATAGTCATTGGGAAAAGAGACAAATTGGTGAAGAATATATGCTTGGTTATGTAGCACCCATCATGCCAATCACAGGTCTTACCTTGTCACTCTTGCAAGACACTGGTTGGTATGATGTTGCCATGGACAAGGCAGAACCATTGCTCTTTGGTAAAAAGATGGGTTGCGACTTTATGACTCAATGTACACCCGACTCTTGGAACTATCAAGGTTACTTTTGTAATAATCCTGGAAAAAGGGGATGCACTCCCACTAGAATGGGAAAGGGTGTGTGCACTATTTTCCAATATCAAAATGACTTGCCAGCGGCCTATCAACACTTTACAGACACAAAATTTGGTGGTGAATATGCGGCCGACGCATGCCCGCTCTACCAAGTTCCCGACAATTACCAACTGGGTGTCCAATACTGTGTCGATGTATCTCAAACTGGAAACTCTGACGTGCACGAAGTCTTTTCGGACAATAGTCGTTGTTTTGAATACTCGGACAATGGAGATGTCAAACAGGCCTGTTGGGAGTTTAAATGTCAAGGCACTCAAGTCTCTGTCAATGTCAATGGAGTGTGGAATCTTTGTCCAGATGCTACCAATATCACTGTCTCTGGTATCAATATTCTCTGCCCTCATGGCTTTGTAGAATGTGGTGCTACCCCAACAAAGGTGGAAATTGACTCGCTATCTTCATCTTGCAATACTCTCTTGCCACAAAAATTCAACATCTTTGGCTTTATCTTTTTATTATTCATTGTATTTTTATCTTCAAACTTTATTAAATAAATATATATTAGTAATAGAACAATATTAGATCATGTTAGATTCATTCTTTGCACAAAGACAAATTCGGAATGATTTTTTAATTTTTTTGTTTTTTTCATCAATATGTTGATGCTTAATCACTCCCCTCTCTACTTGTCATCAGAACGTCACTGGTTCATCCTCCATTCAATAGTAGTAGAACATGATATGTGAAATGTCAAAATCATCGATCCAAGTTTGTATGACAGACCAGCTTTGTTTTGCAGCAACCCGATACGGTATCAATAGTACACTTTAGTCTCTCACATTGTGCACTAGGTTTGTATAACAAACGATGCCTCGTAGGCCAAACGGATATTGTCAATATCTCATCCTGCTTGTGGGGAAACTTTTGGTTTTTTTCTTTCATTTCCTATTTCAAACGTTCCCGAATTGCTATTTTTTTTTTTTTTTTTTAAAGCATGCTAAAGATCTCTTTCCTTCACTCTTCTTTTTTTTAAAGCATGCTAGAGATCTCTTTCCGTCACACTTCTTTTTTTAAAGTAATTCTTTTCCTGTTCTCTCATCGTATACGACCTTTTTTTTTTTAAAGTAATTCTTTTCCTGTTCTCTCCTATCGGGAAGAGTAGTACTCAGAAGTTACAAAGTTTTATTAATTATACATTTTAATTGACCAGCAAGAAATAAAGATTATCTCGAGAAGAATTAAAGTTAATTTGTTCTGGGGGTTGTCCATGTCTATGATACATGTTATATGGACGTTGATCATGTATCTTATTGTATAGTGTCAAGCATGTTGGATTGTTTTGGGTTGTTGCTTGTTCTAAAAATAAATTGGTTAAAGATATCGCTTTTTTTTTTTTTTTTTTTTTTTTTTTTTTCTCACCACTATAGGCTGTAATATTGTGTTATATAATTATTCTATGTTATTATTATTTAGTAAATTATTATATTATTAATATTATTATTGATAGATGAAGAGAGAATAGAAGAAGATGAAGGTGTTGAGGAGGATGTGAAGAATGAGGTTGAGGTGATCGATTATAGATGTAGTGTACGCAGAGTCTTGTACCTCTCCAAATGACTAGGTAGTGCGATCTTGTAGACAGTAGGATGGTTGTAGTTGGAGGAGAATCGAAGGATGATAGTTTGTATTCGTTCTGTAATCGTATGTATTACTGATTCATCGGTTTGGTTCATTAGAGCCAAGTGCCATCGATTACACAATTCTAACGTCTTGTCCCAGTTTACTTTTATAATATGTCGCATATCACTTATCAATCTAGCTCGCAGGTATTGTTCAGTGAAAGGTTCATCTCTTTGGTGACGTAGATCATTACGTCGGAACCATATTCGTTCTAGTGTTGCAGCGACCAAGTTTATAGTCATTGGAGTTTGTTTGAGGTTGACGCAAATATGGCACCAACTCCGAAATTACCATACTTGCGGTGAAACCTTAAGCCTTGGGTGCGTCCAAGACCGACTGCCGCTCTCAACTCTCGCGCCGATTTACTCCCCATTGTGGACACTCGTCTTTACGTGTTGCATATTGTATTTGAGATGTCAGATGGCTTTCTATCGCGACGGCCCAGTATGTCCTCCACTACCTTCCCGTTACTTGTTGCAGTCTGGCTACCCAATCTCCTACTGAGAAGGGGAAACTAACCCGGTCATCCTTCCGTGGGGGTGTCCTGTCTCTAGATCCCTAGAGTCGGATGGTTTTTCTCCTCAATCCCCCCAATTGTGGTCAAGTTAAACGTTGGCGCCAAAGGTAAAGTTCGAGGGCAGGATTCGAACCTATGACCTTTACGTTCCCGGGGTAGCACACTCCCGACTCACTTGCCACGCCATGCCCGTCACATCGTATACGACCAATAAATAGGCCCAAGGACAATCTGACAACACAACAACTCAATTCCTCCTTTGTGGTGTAGTCGGTAACACTTTAGTCTTTCACACTGACACCCCGGGTTCGATTCCCGGCAAGGGAGATACTTTTTGCGTTTTGGTCACCTGCCTTTTTTTTTTGGGCCAAAACCCTTACTATAGCTTTCTCCACACTTTTCCCTATCTTTTTATCAAGGTTCCATCGATTTTGATCAAAACCATACAAAAAAAACCGAGTTTTTTTATCCTCAAAAAAAAAAACCAGGTCAAGAGACTACTTGATCTTTTTAAGGTATAGATTATCTTGGCATATTCCAATTTGTGATGTCTTTGTTTTATCAAGGTTTCACTTATTTTTTGTCAAAACCACACACAAAACTAACTACTTTTCTTCAAACTTTGTTTTTTGGAGGGAGATAAATGGGTCAATTTAGATCAACAAATTTTGTCAAGAGCCATATTATTAATGGAAAACTTAAAATTCATTTCAACCCCTAAATGATTAAAACCCAATTTTGCTCTCACTACGGTTCAACAATGTTCTCAACAAGTAGTTCTCTGTATCTATTTCTTTTACCGATTTCAAAAAAATAGAACACATTTTTTTTTTAAGTATCTCTTTTAGCGCCATTCGGTGATGACAATGTTTTATTTTAATTAATTGTATTTGATACTCTTGGTTGGTGCCTAAATCTAATATTTTTTTATATAATATTTAAAACCTCTCAAATTATATATATCCTGTTCTCTCCTATTGGGAAGAGTAGTACTCAGAAGTTACAAAGTTTTATAATAATTATACTTTTTAATTGACCAGTAAGAAATTTAGATTATCTCAAGAAGAAAGTTAATTTGTTCGGTGGGTTTGTCCCTGTTGTTGCTCGTTCTTAAAATAAATAAATGGCTATATTTTATATATTCAAAGTTGATATTATATAGTTGATTGTTATTATTAGATGGTCTAAGAGCTGCGAACGAGGCGACAATTTTACCAAAAAAAACATATCCATTTCCCTTTTATGGTCTTTATTGAATAAATTAAATTAATTTTTTGTTTCAAAAAATAATAATAATATTTGGATGCTTATTTTTACTGAATATCAGAGTTTTTCCCTAAAAAATGGCAGGGCGAATGAGACTTGAATTTTACAAAATTGGACATCAAAAATTCCCTTTTGGTCTAGTGGTGAGGATTTTCGCCTGTCACGCGAAAGGCCCGAGTTCAATTCTCGGAAGGGGAGATTTTTTGCTGGCTGTGTTTGCTGTGCTGTGTTTGCTGGCTGTGATATTCGATATAGATAGTAATAGGATAGTAATAATCAAGACTTATATAAACTATGGTTAGTCTTATAGATTGTATAGTGTTATATAAAATGTAATAATAATGAATGATGAGAGCTGTTGCTCGTTTGTAGGTGCATGAGAATTGGGATTTTGTAAAAATGGTCCATTCTCATTACAGCTGGCTGTGTTTGCTGGCTGTGTTTGACAAGGGCCGAATTTTTTATAAATTTTTTTTTAAGAGAATATATACAATAATTATTTATTATAGTTTTTCCATTATTATTATTAGATTAGTAAATTTTCAGCAATAGTTTTTACAATTTGAGATTCATCTTGTTTTGAAATAGTTTGGAGGGTAGCATAGAGAGAATCGCTTTGAGATTTTTCAAAGACATTTTGAGCTGATTTGACAGCTCCAACAATCTTTAGCAAAGTGATTTTAGAGACTGGCGATTGATCGATTTCCAAACACTCTACGAGGTGGTTGATCAAGCCAACCGAGACCATTTTACCAATCAAAGCTTGAGATCCATTCATGAGTTGGAAAAGAGGAATGAGCGACTTGGGGAACGAGGGATGTTTGATGTGGCTAGTGTGCAAAATGCCAATTAACTGTTGGCAGCAATCAGCGTCTTGAATGAGGCGGTCATAGACGAGTTTTGGTTCGAGTTGGGCCCAGGCGGCAATCGATTCGATGGCGTCGGCAAACCAGTTGTGATCCTCGAGGAGGGTAATGAGTTTGGTAAGAGTGTCGCATTGCCAGAGATGGGCACGACTGGCCGGCGATGTGAGACGAACAAAGTCAAAGAGGATGGGAAGCGCCAACTCCTTGAGAGGACCACGCTCATTAATGATAAACAAGAGTGGTGCGAGAATACCGCACTTTAGTGCCTTGTCTTGTCGAGACTTGTCGAGCAACAAGAGATAGTAGAGAGAGTGCAACACTTGATTGTAAATCTCGCTAATCTTTTCAATACCACTTTGATGGTAGCCAAGGTAATTGATAAGAGTGGGGATGATACCAACTTCGTCGAGTTTGGAGCGATTCGACTGATCCATTGAAAGGTTCTTGATGACCTTTAGCATACGAAGCAAAAAGGCACGAACATCACTTGCAATCGATCCCCAAGTATGGATTTCCTCCAACACTTGAGTAATGGGACGGAGTACCTGTGAACTTGACATTTCCTCTTTAATAAGAGAATCTCCAGTCGAAAAAAACAACATAATATCAGCTGCCTTTACAGAGTAGGATAATACCCTATCAAAAGTATCCTTTGGTAATATTTGTATACTACTTCCTCTACTATTACTTGGTGATGAATTTTTGGAATTTGCCAAATGATTATTTGTTATTGGTGGTGGTGGTAGCTCTCCTGTTGTTGTTGGTACTACTGCTGCTACTATTTGATTGATTCCTTTAACTTTTGTTTTTTGATCAAGTTGTTGTGGAGTATCTTGATCATTGGCGATAAAGATTTGATGTAATAAAATGGATATACGGGGTAAAAGTTGAGTGCGGGAAAATAAATGGCAGAGTGAAGTTTTGGGAAGTGCAGTGGGCACCTTGAAAATCTGCGATATGGAATCGAGTGCGTTGTGAATAAGATTAGAGCTGTTGAAATAGTCAGAGTCGACAAGATCGACAAGCACCTTGCATCCCCGACTACCAGCAATAAACATGTTGAGACTATAGGACGACGAGACACAGAGACGATGTACAAACTTGGAGACTTGTTCGCGGATGGCCTCGGCATGGTTTCGGTGCGCAAAAGTGGTAATGATGGGGATACCGTTCAATATACAGACAGTTTCGAGTAGTGCGCTATTGACTGCGTGGTCAGTGGTAGAGCCACACATACTCTCATTGATAAGACATAGAATCGATAGAACCAACGATGGTGGACAATCTGGAATTTCGAGAATCTCCAACATGGTGATCAATGGTAGACGAAGGTAAATACCACCTTCACCATTACTAATCAATAATCTTCTTTCTTCTGGGAATCTTTGGAAAAGTTCAATCAATTTATCAATTAAATTTGATTCTCCTCCCAATGAAAGAGAAGAAATGGCTTCCATACTAGTATTTAAATCTACAGATGTTTTCTTTTGTAATTGATTTGACAAGACCAAAAGTTGAGCCAATAAATCTACAATGGTTCTTGTTACTTGTTCTTTTTGTTTGTCTTGTAAATTGTTTATCGTTCTAAGAGTATCTTGTTCTACGTTCCATGCAGCCGAAACAGAGTCAAAAGTATCTTCAATTTCACTATCCCATTCTTCTGATGATTCTCTTACTTGAAGTTTTAAACGTAATTGTGATGCCGATGAAAGTAATGGTGATGGTTTTCTAGTACTACTAGAAGAGATTGATAATTTCTTTGGTACTTCATCTTCATCACTAAATCCAAATTGATCATCATCTTTAAATGATTGAAGTGTTGGTGAAGGTATGGTGGCTGGCTTTTTAACTGGAATGGGTAATGATGCAGTGGATTTAAAGAAATCAGAATCACTATCGTCATCATTTTCCACATATTTTTGTAATTTTTGTTTCAATGGTTTCTTGTCCATTACAAACATGTCATCCTCTTCATCATCAGACTTGTCTGCATATTTTTGTAAATTAATTTTGTTTGCCTCTTGTTTTTGTTGTTGTTGTTGTGATGGTGTTGATTGATTTTGATTTGTCGATTGATTTGTCATTTGTTGTTTTTCTTGATCTTTTTTAGCTTCTGGTAATAATTTTGATGATGATTGTCTTGGTGTAGCAATTTGTAGATTTGGTTGTGGTTTCTTTTCAAAAACCATACCAAACGTTGTTTGTTTTTCAATAGTCGTTATATTTGAAGATTGTTGTTGTGGTGAAAAGGATGATGAATTTGGTGTATGTGTAGTTGAAATCCATGATCCTCCTTTTCCACTACCGCTACCATTCTGATTTGTTGATGGTATTGGTATTGGACCTTGTTTTGATCTTGGTCTATTTATAATATCTGGTGGTGAAACTGCCATTCCCTCCTGTAGCTGTGCATTATAGGTTAGAATTTCCATGGTTGGGTTTTTGACTTGGTTATCTGGGTTCTTTACGACAGCTTTGATCCATGGATGATTTAAAAGTTGTTTGGCACTGCTTCTCATATTTTCATCCTTTTTAAAACATTGTAATAGAAAATCTTTCAATGCAGCCGATATACCTTGCGGTATGGGTGGATGATCCTCTTGAACAATCTTGTATAATGCTGCTGCTGGTGCCAATCCAAAATAAGGTGGTGTACCTGTTAATAATTCTATTATAGTACATCCAAGACTCCATACATCACATGCTGTTGATACTCCTTGCATCTAAAAAATTGAAAATTAAAAATATTAAATATATAAATAAAATTATTATTATTATCATATGATTTCATACTTGAATAACTTCAGGTGCCATCCAATATGGTGTTCCTGCAAATGAATCATCTGGATTATCTGCACTTAGATCTGATACTTTGGTTGCAACACCAAAATCTAAAAAGTTAAAATATAAATAATAAATAAATAAATAAATATATACTCTTTTTCTTTTTCTTTTTCTTTTTTTGTTTCTTTTGACATACCAGCCAATTTAATTGAACCATCAGTACTAATTAATAAATTAGCAGCTTTAATATCTCTATGAATGACACCTTGACGATGTAAATATTCCAAACCACCCAAAACTTGAGCCATATATACATTGACCAAACTTTCTGGTAATAATCCATGTCTTTTGATCATCTTTTCTAATGATCCATTTTCAATAAACCTAAAATAAAAAAAAAAAGATTAATATACAAGGATCTTTTTCTCTTTTTAAAAAGTATTTACTCCATAACAATATAAGAATGAGAAACGGTTGGTATATGATCATAGTAACGGACTATATTATGATGTGATAGGACCTTTAATAAATTAATTTCAACCATTAAAGATGATTGTGATTCTGCCTGTTGTTGATCACCCTTTTTCCTCTTGGTAATTCTAATCTTTTTAATTGCTGAAAAATAACCCTTGGTAGCATGCAATGCTTTATATACAACACCAAATCCACCTTTTCCTATAATATCAATCAATATCTAAAAAAAAAAAAAGTAGAGTGAGTGTAAGTAGGAGTGAAAGAGAGAGTATTGTGACAAGTAATGTTATCATATCTCTTCTTACATATTCTCCACATGCTTCTTTATCTACGATGGTGGATAATGAAGTTTGACGTTTTTCATCTGTTAACATTCTGTGTATAGGTGAAGGTTTAGATTTAGCAGCAGCAGTAGATGATGATGAACCCAATGATTTCTTTTCGTCTTCATCTACTAGTAGACTATCCTTTTTAATTGTCATTGACTAGATATGATTGATAAAAAAAAAAACCTCTGACTCTAGTCTACTACAAACTACAAACTACTACTAGAATATATTGATATATAGATATATATATATACAAAAACTAAACAAAAAGATAGATTTAATAGGGTCTCTAGAGATAGATAGATTAGTCAAAAAAAAGATAGTTGTTTGTTTTAAAACAAATGAGCTTTGTGGGTGTTTGTTTTTTTTTTTTTTTTTTTCCAATTTTGGTGATGGCAACGCTTTTTTTGTTTGTCGATCAGATGATCGGAAATAGATATTTGCAATACTAATAGTATAGAGCTTGCAACGAATAGTAATGGCATTTAAATTCAATTTCAAAGTTCAACAAACAGAAGAAGAAGAAGGAGATGATGATAATCAAGATATACAATCACAAAATGATAATGTATGATATATGATAAATGATACAAAAGTATACAAACTTATTATATATACCTTTGTCATTTTAGATAGATAATAACAATGATATTGAAAAGATAAATGAAAATGAAGCAAAGTATATAGAATTTAATCAAAATGATATAAAGCAATTGTTAAAGCAACAAACATTTCAAATAGATACGATTCAATTCAAAGATGGTATTGAATTAAAGAAATTGAGTAAACCTACTACTACAACCGACACTTTAAACAATGTATTGACAGAAAACAAAACAGACCTCATTCCTGGTGTCTATGAAGGAGGTTTCAAACTATGGGAATGTGCAATCGATCTAATCAACTATATCATTGAACAATCAATCCCTCTACAAGGTTTAAAGGTTTTGGAAATTGGTTGTGGTCATGGTCTTCCCGCTCTCTTTTGTAGATTAAATAATTCAATTGTTACTTGTCAAGATTATGTATGTAAATCATTGATAGTAAAATGAATCAATAGATAGATAGATCGATTAATATTAATACTTTTATTACATCATAGAATGAAGAAGTAATTAAAACATTGACACAACCAAATACTATTTTAAATGATATCCAAAACAATGTAACATTTATTTCGGGTGATTGGAAACATGTAAATGTAAGTATAGATTATTATCATAAATGATTTAAATAACAATAGTATATATAATTGGTATATTAATCGTCAATATTAATTTGATTGATTAATTAACCTTTGATTTAATTTAATTTAGCAATTATTGGGTAAAGAGAAATTTGATCTAATTTTAACCTCTGACACTATATATAGTGTTCAGTCATTCCAGAAACTACACGATCTAATTGTTGACCATTTGACTGACGACGGTCTATGTTTGGTGGCTGCCAAAACCTTTTACTTTGGCGTTGGAGGTAGTACTCATCAATTCAAAAACTTGGTAGACAAGAATTTAAAACTAAAGGTAAGATTGAAAAATATATTTATATTTATATATTTGTATTATACTATATTTGGTTGGTTGGAATAACTAACAAGCAAACAAACAAACAAATTGATGATAATGATGATGATCCATGAAAGTGAATCATCACTTTCGTATGTCGAACACACAATTACTCTTCCGTTTTTGCTAACCCACACCCCCTCTACCTTTCCAATTCCAATCGATTGATCAAATATTTATCCCCTCTATTAGTCCAAAAATGGTAAAGATTTTAAAGACGGAACTTCAAACGTACGAGAAATTATAGAGTTGAGGTTGATTAGATAAAATTTATATTTAAATTATTTATATATAAATATATTAAAAAATTAAAAATATATAATATAACCACCCACCCCCTTCATTATGCATGCCCAGTATTATCTTTTTAAAGGGACTATCTTTCAGTCATGGATTAATCACCGTCACCTCCTATAGGAATGATTTAGCTAACAATCAGAACAAGCTGCAAATACCCACACCACTCTCTCACTCTCACTCTCACTCTTTCAACTACACAACCCCCAAACCAATAATAAAACAACAAATCTTGATGAAAAGATGCCAAATGGTAATCTCAAATTGAAGGCAAAGTAGAAGTGAGCAGCAGCAGCAGCAGCAGAGAGAATACTTAATTTGTCTTCTTTTTTAGTTTCAAATAACAATCTTTTTATCTGTACACCATACAACAAATACACTACCAATACGACACACACTTTTATTTGTATATGTACCAACATCATAGACGTCGACTAGTAGTATAAAAAAAAAGGATAATCCAAAACTTTTTAATTATTTCATTGTTCTTTCAACAACATTTCTATCTATCTATCCTCGTACGAGCTCTTTGGTTGTTGTTCTTATCCTTGTTTGACCAAAAGGATAGTAAGAACTTCTTCTTCTTCCTCTTTCTTCTTTAAAAGGTAATTATAAATTATTATATATTGTTTGTTGGTTGTTCATAGCTCAATCCATAAAAAAAGACTCTGTTTGTGTGTGTCGCCCATTATTGCAAAAAGAGTAATTAATTACTCTCTACCCAATTCATTCATTGTGTAATATTTCCCCTTTATTATTGTTCAACAAGTTTCTTTTTTATCTTTAAGGGTACTACTGGGGATTAATGTTCACGCTATAACATTGGTGGTTTCCCCTCCCTTAATTACCCGACATACATATAAACACATAGGTAAAGACCGTGTGGTACATTGATTGTTTGGGTAGAAAGGACTTGCCTTTGCCCCAGATTAATAATCTCAAACATTGTGTTGTGCCTGTCAGATGATACAGAAAAAAAAAAAGGTTGTTCAGCGAATTCCCACAACAACCACGACCCCTCTAGATTTGGTTTTGATCATGGCTTGCCCCAACAACAACATCATCGGTTCATACTAATTTTCCTCATTCGTTTAATCACCTTTTCCAGATCATAACTAGAGACCAATCAAATCAAAAGGTAATTTCTAAACTCTTAGAAACACTTACTAGATATTCCCCTTTCTCAAGATTGAGTCCTTTCCCTTTGTTTACTTTTCCCAACCGTCGGACAGCCCAGCGGTTTAAAATCGCTTCAGACTGAACTTGAAAAGTAATAAGGTCCTGTGATTTAAATCCCCACTATCGAGATTATAGGGATTCTCTTGGTTGAACATCACACCGCCCTCAATCGTCATAACATACACAATAACCCTTACGTACGTAAAGCAAACAAACAAAACTGTGTATGAGATCACACGATAATGTAGATGTAACATTTCAAAGATGGTAGAACACACGATTCATAGGCATGGTTACCCCCACCACTTACACAATTCTTATTATCATGATCAACCCTTGTGGTTGCCCACTTTGTTGTTGTTGTTAATTATAGGCAATTCCTGAATCGTTCAAACCTTTTAACCAATCCACCAAAAACCAAACCCCTCCACGATTAACCACCTCATTGCTTGGGCATACCAACCACAACCAACCCCCCAACACTTGATCTATTGGCTAGAGTCATTATTATAAGGGTATTAAGGAGCGGAGGATATACCTTTTGAAAATCTCATCCTGAACCTCCCCCCTCTTTTTTCAATCAATCAATTTGATCTTTCCGTACAGTGCTCTTTTTGGGATTCACAATATGAACTCTGGTGAGCAACAACAGCAACATACTAGTACCTTTTCTGAACCAAAAAATATAAATACCCAAGACCACTCTTCAAGTAGAACAAGACCAAAAAAAAATAATCATTTTATTAGCCGTTCAACAAATAGTTTTTCAACAAATAGTAACAGCTACATTAGTATATCCAATATTCACTATTCTCACAAGAAGCAACTGAGAATGAAAACCATTATTCTTTCCATTGTTTTGGCCTTGTTGTCATTACTTTACTTTCCAGTTTCCCAACAACAATCTCCTACATATCAACCACGTACTCCTTTACAAGTAGCTCAAATTCTTGGTGGTGTAAGTAATTAAAAACAAAAACAAAAGGATATAATCAAGTTGGATAAATAATTAATATCTTTTTTTATTTTTTTTATTTTTACTATTTTATTTTTTTGTAGGCAGTAACATTCCAAACTATATCATATGATCCATCTGATCTTGAACATCCAGTAAATTATACCGAATTTAATCGTTTTATTAGTTATCTTGAACAAAGTTTCCCATTGGTTCATCAACATTTGAACAAAACCATTGTTGGTGGTTACAGTTTGGTCTTTGAATGGAAGGGTAGCAACACTGCTTTGAAGCCACTTTTCCTCAACTCTCACTATGATGTTGTGCCAGTGACTGCTGCTGGATGGGGATTCCCACCCTTTGGCGGTGCTATTGCCAACGGACGTGTTTATGGTCGTGGTGCTATCGACAATAAGCTCCTGGTCGTTTCTATTCTTGAAGCCGTCGAATCGTTGCTCGGTCGTGGTAACTTCCAACCAAAGCGTACCATCTATGTTTGTATTGGCCACGACGAAGAAATCGGTGGTTACAATGGTCATCTCAAGATCTCTAGAATGTTCCAAGCTGCCGGTGTCCAAGCCGAAGCTGTTCTCGACGAAGGTTTCCCCATCCTCAACACTAGTTTCCTCCAATCCACCCCAGCTCCACTCCCAGCCCGTCCAACTGCCATCATCGGTGTCTTTGAAAAGGGATATGTCTACTATAATCTCACTGCCAAGGCTGCCGGTGGTCACTCGAGTATGCCACCCGTTGAATCGGCCATTGGCATCATGGCACAAGCCACTCTCAACATTGAACGTAACCCATTCACCCCTATCCCCAATCCAAAGGACACCAACTACTTTTTGCGTCAATTCACCGACGAGCAAATTGCATCCATTCCATTCCTCAAGTACCAAGATCGTACCACTACCGCCATCACCATGATCAGAGGTGGTATCAAGCCAAATGTCATTCCAACCGACGTAACTCTCTGGATCAACCATCGTGTAGTCCCAGGTGACAACACCTCCTACGTCATTGAACGTGTCAACCAATTGATCAACGACTCTAGAGTTGTCATGACCATCGATGCCGTTCTCCCACCATCACCAGTATCTTGCATCAACTGCACTCAATTCAAGAATATCCGTAAGGCTCTCTCCAAGGCCTATCCCGACATTGATATTGTCCCAGGTCTCATGGTTGCCAACACTGATACCCGTTGGTACTGGAACGTCACCAGCAACCTCTACCGTCTCACCCCATCACTTGCCAGCGCTGCCGATTACGCCACCATCCACGGTTTCAACGAATCAGTCCCAATCGACTCGATTGCCAAAGGTGTCAAATTCTACAAGCGTGTCATTAAAATCTTTGACAAGACTAAAAACAACAAGCAAGTTATCAATGGAATGGTTGACGATGATTCTGATCTTGAACTTGACTTGAGTCTTGATCTTGATGACCTCTTATAAACAAAAAAAAAAAACATCAAAAGTTTTTTTGTATAATATTTGTAGAAAGAAAGAAAGAAAGAAAGATTTCAATCAATAATAACTAGTAATTATAATAATAATAATAAACACCAATTAAATTCTATTATTTAATAATTTTTAAAATGTACACTTTTTAACTGTTCTCTCTATTTATTTAATTGTACAACTCCTTTTTTTTCTTTTTATTTAATTTAATATCTTGCTCTTAAAGTACCAAGATTAATTGGATTTGTTGAATGATCACCGGTACCACGAGCATTACCTTGATCATCAATGTCAAGTGCCAAAATTCTGTCGATTTCACGCCATTCTTGGTCAGCTTCAGCAAAAGAGACTGTTGAACTATCGGATCTTGATCCTTGAAGTTTGGTAAAACACCATCTGTTGGAGACATGAGCATCGATATTGTTGGTACGCTTGCTCTTGAGGGCATGTTCAAAGAATAATGATGCAATGTAAACTTGTGACACAAAGAATGCAAACTTTTTGGCATTGGATTCAACAAATTCAATGTCACCGTCGACAGTCACCTTTTTGGCCATCTCTTCAACTTGCTTTAAACTATCATTGATCACCTTGTGTGAAAAGGCAAGAATCTCTGGGAATGGAACATTGATTCTATTCTTGACGACATCCAACATGACATCTAAAGATTTATGTGTCTTGATTGATCTCCAAACATCCATCGACAAAACATTGGTGGTTCCTTCCCAAATAGATGTTACCTGAGTATCTCTAAATAATCTTGGAATATCAGAATCTTCCATATATCCAGTACCTCCTAAACATTCCATAACTTCACTTGCTACTGTTATACTCTGTAAAAAAATAAATAATTAATATTTTTATCTCTTTTTCTTTTTTCTTTTTTTTTTTACTTACTTGTTTAGCAGTATAAAGTTTTGATAATGGTGTTAAGATACGAAGTAAAGATTCAGTTTGATCATTTTTAGCAAGACATTCACTTTTACCCAATAGGATGGTGACATCGAGGAAGAATTGCATACCGGCACGCAATTCAATTTCCATCTCGGCCAAGGTAGAGAGATAGAGTTTGTTTTCAGCCAACTTGCTAGAGAATACCATACGACGATGAGCAAAGTCACGAGCAATGGCAACACTACGACGCATAGTACCAACAGAGTGGATGACATTGTGGATACGAGTAATGTTGAGGATAGAGGCAATGACTGGCACACCACGACCCTTGGCACCAATCAAACGACTTGGAGTCTCGAGGAGTTCCAACTCTGCTGTTGGCACTGCTTTGGTACCAAACTTGTTCTTGAGCTTGTGGATGATAATGTTATTCAACTCGCCTTGTTTGTCACGAATGTTAATGTAAAAAGCTGATAATCCTCTTGATCCCTCGGCACGGAACCCACTTTCAGCAGATTCCTTGTCACGTGCCAATAAAATAGCACTGTTGGCAGTAGTTGCAGAAGTAAAGAATTTGTAACCGCTAATGTCATAGTTCTTTCCATCACCCTTTCCAACTGCAATAGTCTCTGAATTTGCTACATCACTTCCACCTGTCTTTTCAGTCATCTAAACAAATAATAAATAATTAGTTATATAGGTATATTGAATTGTAATTTTACTTCAGTATACTTTACCCATTGACCAGAAGTCCAGAAATTCTTTGGATCTCTTGTAGTAAAATGTTTGAATGGACCTTGCATCATTTCCTTGTCACCATAGAGTTCCAAGAGACGAGCACCACCGTCAGTCATGGAGAGTGGACAGTCAAAGACAGCAGAGCTACATGCAAACAAGTAGACCTTGAGGTATTGGTAGAGACGACTGTACTCTTGCACAGGACGTTCATAACCGATGGCAACAAGACCCTCTTGAGCACTGATATCCTGTAGTATCTTCCATCCCTCGTCTACAATAATCTTTGATACACGACGTCCCCAAGCATCATACTGCACAAGCTTTGGTGGATTGGCTTCAGATGCACGACCGTATTGGAGAATATCTCCCATGACACGGTCACCAAAGCGCGTTAAGTCACCTTTAATCTGCTCGTACACCTTTTCAGGTACGACACGTGGAAGTAACTCCAAGAGATAGCTGTCTTCCAAGTATTGATTACCTAGTCTTGGTGATTCTTGTTGAAAGAAATCTCTTCCATATCCTCTCTGTCTAATTGATGTTGTTAAATTATTTTCTGTCATTTTTTAAAAAGTAAACTAAGTATAAAGTAAAGTAAAGTCAAGTAAAGATAATTATCTCTCTATCTCTCTAAAAAGAAGAAAACATGTAAATGAAGAAGAAATTTGGCTATGGGTTTGAAAGTGTGTCATAAAAAAAATGTAAAAGGTCAGAGATGGTGATTATGACACCTTTTTTGGTAAAAGATAAAATTTTTCGAATCGGTTTACTTTCCACGACATAAACACGAACTAACCGATACTTTAAAACAACAAAAGAATAAAAAAAAAAAAAAGATAAACATAATAATATATTATTTTTTAGACACATAAGAATGAAAAAGAAGTTCATCCTATTTTAATTTTGATGAACTTCATTATCGTCGATTTACAAAATAATTTAAAAAAAAAAAATAATTGGGCGCCAATCAAGCAACCAAGCAATGTGTTTTTTGAAAGTTGTGTGTTGGGATAAATGAATATTTATTTTCTAGATAGATAATAACATCACCAATACAGTCTCTAGAGGTCATATCATGTCAACATCAGAAGAGATTGAAGAAAAGATCATACACGAAGAATATAAGATATGGAAGAAGAATACTCCTTTTCTCTATGACATGATCATCACTCATGCTTTGGAATGGCCTTCACTTACTGTTAATTGGATGCCACAAAAGACTGCGTATGTATCACTAATTGATAGATAGTAGTTGTGTGTATATATATCTATAAATTTATCAAATGTTAACATCATCATCATCATTATATTGTATCGTACATTAAACACTCTAGACCACCAAATAAACAATATTGCGTTGAAAAGGTAGTATTGGGAACACATACATCAGATGCCGAACAAAACTATTTAATGGTTGCAAAGGTTCATCTCCCAATTGATGGAGCACAAATAGATTCTATAAAATATGATGATCAAAAAGGAGGTGAGTTAGAAACAATCAAATCAAATCAGGTGATCAATTAATATTGACCCGTCTATCTCTCTCTCTCTCTCTTTTTCTTTCTTTATTTCTATCTATTTAGAGGCAGGAGGAATAGGTACAGTATCAGAAAAGATTGAAATTGTACAAAAGATTAATCATGAGGGAGAAGTAAATAGAGCACGTGTCATGCCACAGAATCACACTATTATTGCAACCAAGACCGTTTCATCAGAGGTATATGTATTTGATACGAGTAAACATCCATTAGAACCATCACCCGATGGAAAGTGTGCACCCAATCTAAAGTTGATGGGTCACACCAAGGAGGGTTATGGTATATCGTGGTGTCCAACCAAGGAAGGACTCCTTCTTTCATGTTCAGATGACCAAACTATATGTCTGTGGAACATCAACGCAGCAGGTAAATCTGCTGGTACATTGGATGCCGACCAAATCTTTCGTGGACATCAATCGATTGTCGAGGATGTCGGATGGCACTATCAACACGATTCATATTTTGGTTCGGTTGGTGATGATCGTCGTCTCATACTTTGGGACACTAGACAGGGTGACAAGCCAACCAAGGTTGTCGAAGCACACACCTCAGAGGTCAATTGTTTATCATTCAATCCATACTGCGAATACCTCATTGCCACTGGCTCCACCGATCACACTGTTGCTCTCTGGGACATGAGAAATCTCGGTGCTCGTCTCCACACCCTCATCTCGCACACTGACGAAGTCTTCCAAGTCCAATGGTCTCCACACAACGAAACAGTACTTGCCTCGTGTGGCTCTGACAGACGTGTCAATGTTTGGGATCTATCCAGAATTGGTGAAGAACAAAATAATGAAGATGCTGCTGATGGTCCACCAGAATTATTGGTATGTCATATTGATAAATATGTATATTATATATCTTTTTAATATTTAATTAATAATGATTTCTACTTTTATAACTAGTTTATTCATGGAGGTCATACAAGTAAAATATCAGATTTCTCATGGAATCCACATAATCCATGGGCTATTGCATCTGTAGCTGAAGACAATATTTTACAAATATGGCAAATGGCAGAGAATATTTACAACGACAAAGAGGAAGACGATAAGGTTTCTCCTTCTCAACTCGGAGAATAAAAATGACAAGAGAGATAGTCATCAATAAAAGTAAATAAAATAAAACAAAATCATACAAAAACTTACGTTTCCATCCATGTTCCATAATGATCTTACCAAAATGAAAATTGTACGGAAATTGATCACAATTGTGTTATCGTAATTTTTTTATATAAAAGAATTAAATTTTGTTTTGCTCAGAATAACAATAAACTTTCAAAGATCATACTTGTTCGTTTTTATTAATTTATTATATTACTTGAATTTTAAGTGAATGAGGCGATGGTATTATCTGTTTTGTTTTAAATAATTCACACGATACAATAATCTTGTAGGAATCCCTTTCGAAAAATACAACCTGGAAACTATGTTGATAAGATTTATGTGCTTCCAACTAGATAGATAAATAATAAATAATTAATAGGTATAAACTTTTGATTGAATGATTATAAACATAATTAATTACCTCTTTAATTGGAATGGTAAGGGATCCAACATAACCAATTTTTTTGTTTATGTCCAACGTTTTGTTTTCTACTTCACGATCAACGGTCGGTTGAAGGTGAAGGATTAAACCAGAGATGGGAGTATTTAATACATTTGTAATTACAATATCCAAAGTTTGGAATACTCCTACTTCAAATCTTTTCGACAATAAATGATCCTTAAACTCTACAGTAACTGGATCATTATTTAATTTATAAACCATTTTACTTGTTAAAATTAATCCATTTAATAAAACATTTCCTCTTGTATTATCAGACTAAATAATAAAAAAAAGGGACATTGAATTAGTTAATAATTAATAATTAAATTATTTGTATGATTAAACTTACAGATACCCAATTTAATTGAATATTTTTAATAAATAAATCTTTGAAATATTGGATTAATCTATTTAAATATTCTTCATGCTCGGTTAATTTTGTTTTAGGTTTAATGTATTGACCTTTGGCTTGTCTTATTTGTGGTAAATTTTCTGGGAATGGTTCTCTTTTCATTGGTACAATAATATTAATCGTTGAATTTGGTGCCAAATCATATTTTGTATTATCCAAAGTTATTTCTTGTTTGTCTAGAAATAAAAATAAAAATTGTTAATAAATATATATATATTCTATTAATAGTATTGTTTTTAGTTTCTTTACACATACTTTTAAATAATGAATTATAGGTTATATTAAATGAATGAGTTGATGAATTATTTTTAACTTCAAATAACAAGAGACAATAGTCGTTTTGAATATTTGGTGATTTTTGTTGGATACCTGTGCTAGTGTTGAGGGGTGATTGACCGGCCACATTGTTCATGAGGATGTATGGTTCGAGGGATTGCAATGATTTCTTGGATGTGTAGAGAATATCAAAGTTTGTAATCTCTGGACCATAGTTGATATCGAGTTGGAGTGGTACCGTGACCTTTCTCTGGTAGCTAGTGTCTTGGTTTGAACGATAGGTTATGATCATTTGGTTACCTGCAATAAATGGACGAACAAACACTTTGATGGGAAGGAGGAACGATGCACCAGGTGGGAGTGGTAGATTTCTTTGGACGATTGAATCCTCCCACGTGAATATTGGATCGTCAATATCGTCTTCATAGCTTGCATAACCTTGATTCTTTTTGGCTGCGATGCCACGGACGATTGCCTTGTCCAATGCCTCCAATCCTATTTGGATCACATCGATTGGTTGCGATCCGATATTCTCCAGTGCAATGGTAAAAGTGTTGACTTCACCCGTAAACAACGACAATGTCGATCCGTAGGATGGCACAGACAATTGGAGTAGTGGAAGGTCTGGTGCAATGAGAATTTTGTTAATGTCGTCTGGTTCAACCGGTGTTTCTGGGTCGAAACAATAGGCATCACGTTTGACCAACTGTTCATAGGATGCAATCGAGATGGCATTTCCTTGTGGATCGATGGGATGCTCAGACAAGAGATTAAACGATCGAATATAGGCACCCTTGATAATCAATGGGCCTGGACGGAGGGTCCGACCACTAATCACAATATCCATCTTGTCAGTGTTGGCCAACACCTTGAATGAAAGTGGGAATGATTCAAATGGTACACCTGCAGTACTAATAGTTATATTTTGTACCAAAACATCAAATTGGAATGGATTTGCCAAAGTAACCAAAAAATGACATTCTCCTTCAACCCATATCATTTGTTTCTTTTTACTAAATAAAGAAAAAGAAATTTCGTTAATATATATATATCAATATTTACATGTCTTTTCTTTATATTTACTCTAATGAATTATTTCTTTGTTCATAAGGAGAATAAATAAAAAAGAATTTTTCTTTTTGAGAATCTTGAGCTGTTTGTCTTGGGAATGGTGCAAGATGGTCAGGAAGAGCAAGTGGAGTGATCTTTACAAGAAAAGGGAACCCTAAAATATTCATATGAACATTGGTATTGATACTGATACTGAGACACTTGGAGTGGTGATTGAGGTCGGATAGGAATTCGAGTTGTTTGGTTTTTGGCAATTGTTTGTATTGCGTTCGAAGTAGATAGATGATATATTTGGTGATACTAAGTGAATCTTGCAAGTTGTTGGATGCACTGATAAGATTCAAGATCAAGTATCTTTGTAAAATATACCATCCCTCCTTTTTACGAGTGATTGATAGTTGAGGCATTCTCGTTTGGAATCGATTTCCGCCTCCTTGTGCATTGTTATTATTGTTGTTTGTTCGTCCTAGCTGTTGTTGTGATTTTGATCTCGATTGTTGTTTCTTTGTGTTTGATGCAGTAGAGACCGAGTAGTTGTATGTCTTGTTTTTCTCCTCTAAAAAGTTGGTGGGTCCACTACCAAACAAATCTTCGAGTTGGAAGAATCTACTGGCAATGATCAATAAATTATTAATCTTTTCCCAATTCTCTGGTTTCTTGTTGTAAAGAAAAGCTGCTTCTCTTATATAAAATGCAAACTTTCTTTTAAATCCCATTGAATAATATGCTAATGCTATTGAACATATTATTGTTATCTAAAAAAAAGAAAAATAAATAAATAAATAAATTAAATGTTTAACATTTTTTTTTTTTTCGTTATACATACTCTTTCAACCAAAGGTAAATCATAAGCCAAATCAAAAGCTTGAGTAAGTGTTTCAGATGCTTCAGTTTTTCTCTCCATGCTAGCATGGTAGTTTGCCATTTTGATTGTTAACTCAATCTCAAATGAAAGTGTCTTTCTCTTGTTGTAACATAAAATGGCTTCAGTTGCCATATCTTTGATTTGTTGGTCTTCTATCGCCGATGCAGAATCCATTGCAATCGAATTGTTTCCAAGCCCACTACCCAATAATTGGTGATGCACTGTTGGAACAGTAGGACTAATTTGTGATGTTTGTGAATGATATTCTTGATTCTAGAAAAAAAAAATACAAAACATTAATAGTTGATAACAAATTAAATAAAACATCTTAGTAGGCCATACTCTTTTTGAAAGAACAGCAGAGATATAACCTTCATAAGATGATGCTATCCATTCCCAATCATTATTTGATTTTGAAATTTCTAAACTTTGATCATAACTAAAAAAAAAAAGAAATTAATTAACTAATATCTATCATTTACAACTATATATATCTACATACTATTTAATTGCATCTAAAGGTGAACCAGATAATAAACAATAATCACCTTTACATTTACTAATACGACCAGGACGACGTTTCTTGGCACGAGCCACTTCATCCCATGACTTTACAATCTCCAAAGGAGTCGAGATGATATTGTTGGTACTATTACTGGCCTGATTATCCAATCCTTCCGTGATCATCTTTTCAAAGTGCTTCAAGAGTGTATGTGAAAAGTCAAACAACAGTGTCGACAGGTAGAACAACAAGTGTTTCTTGTCGCCAACGTTGGGGATCATGACAAACTTTCCTCTCTCGAGATCTTGTTGGTCTTCCAACGGATCAAAGGCATAGCAAACGGTTGCTACAGCCGATGGATATCTCGAGACGGCTTGTTCAAATTGTTTCTTTGTCTCTTGCAGATCTCTGCTTCTTTTGCAATCGACAACACCAATCACACCAAATATCTTTTTGTAGATGTGTAATTCCTCCCATTCATCCTTTGGAGGTACTGTACTATCTAAAAAGTTTAATAACATATGTCCATCTACCCAACTAATCTTTTCTAATATCTCTAAATATAATAGAAACATAAAAAGGAAGGAAGGAAGGAGAAAGTGTCAATAACAACAACAACAATAATAATAATCAGTACTGATATTGATATAAAAGGTACTTACTTGATTCATTAGCATCTCTAGTAATACCACTCAACTCTATGATTCCAAGTGTACGTATTAAACTTGTATACTCTTTGAATGATTCATTTGAGATGTCACCAATGGGTAATACCACAACCCTAATTGCACGATTCTCTACAAATGTTAGATTGATATCCATTCTTCTATTTGTAGAGATACTATACTACACTACACTACAACCTTAATCTATTCAACTAAATATATATATATGAAAAAGTGATGAGGATAATAACAAAATTTTGTTTAATTTAATTTTTGAAGTTGCATGATGCATCATCAGCACCTTTTTTAAAACTCTTTGTTTCTTATCCCTTTTCAATTAATAATTAGATAGAGATCAACAACAATATAGAATGAGTACAAGAAAGTCTAAATCAACACCTGCAACAGATCAACCATCACAACCACCAAAGGAATATCCTGAAGTTAAAGTACAATTATATGATGGATTATCAATGAAACAAGCATTAGATGACTCTATTGTTAGAGTATGTTTTAAATTACAAATACATATCAATCAATCATGAATTCATAGACTTACAACCCCAACAACAACAATCTTTTCTTTTCTTTTCTTTTATTTACCTATTTAGTATTTCACAGATGATTTACAATTCAGTCAAAATCATACACTCAATATCCTTAAAGTATTACTTGGATTTGTTGGATGTATATTGGCAGGATTAGCTCAATTCTATCCAACACCATTCCCAAAAAACAAACCAATTTTAATTACCTGTGTATTATTGTATGATAGAGATAGATAGATATGACATATATATCAATCAATTGATTGTTTCTAACATTTTAATCTTTTTAGATATGGACTTATTAGTTTTGCATTATATTATATTACAATGTTTATTCAAAAGGATAGCATTTTGAATGCAAGCAAGGATAAAACCAATTTACAAATCTCTACCATACTTCCAAGATACGATCCAAACTATACTGTAAAGATGGAAGTTGGTAACTATATTCATTCAATGACCCACTCAATCGATCGTTACTTTGATTCCACTGGAATACTCGATCAACCAGCTTTCTTTCATGACATTCTCAAGCTTTACAATGCTGTTACATCAAAACAAAATTAAACAACAATAATAATAATAATAATAATATAGAAAAGATAGATAGAAATTTTTAAACAAAACAATTGATCAATGTAGAGAGAGATGGTTATAACATTTATTATTATTATTATTGGTTTCTATTATTATTATTTTATTTATTTTGGAATAATATTAACAACATCACTCATGGGTCTAAAAGATAAACCACCTTGAGGTGGGTATTTAAAGTCTGGTCCAAAGTTGAAACGGACCTGTGCACCCATATACATTGATGCTGCTGGATAATACATTCCACGTCCAAGACCTGTAAATGCAACTCCTGGGGACACTCCATTCTTAAAGAATCGTATCTCACTATTCTCCAATACCGCTGGTGTGTCTGTCTCTAATTCCTCTGCAACTCTTTCATAGATTTCAACTTGATCTGTCTTGTCTGTAAATATAATCTTTGATATATCTGTTGTTTCTTGTTGGTGGTGGTTGTTATTGTTGTTGTTTGTCTTGTGTAAATTTTGACTTGGTAAACTAATATAGAATCCCAATGTATCGCCTGCTTGATATTTCTCTCCATACGATTTACCACGTGCTTTGTGAAAGATATCACCTTGACTTCTGTATCCATAACTGAATTGATCGTAGCCCACGTTGGCTTGTTTGTCACCTCTAAAGGCAGACCAACCAAGTCTGCACGCTCCTTCATTGTTCAACACTTGTATCTCAAAATACCAATTGCCATAAATACATGGGAACGATGCCTTTGTCATACGATAGCCAGACATGTTCCTAACCGTCAACAAATCACTCTCTATCGTTATCTGTGGTGCCGAGTTTTGTGCTGCAATACACATAATGTCGTATTCTACCATTGGTACATAATTCCCTTCTTTTAATGGAATTAAAAATAAAGTTGATAAATGTTTAAACTAAAAATAATTAAATATAAATGTTAGAATCATATATTAATAGATATATATTAATCTATCTATATATCTATCTCTCGACTTACTCTAATTTCTTCACCAGTTGATTTCTTTTTCTTTTTCTTTCGATGTAATGGAGCAAGTACTTTATCTTTAAATATTGGATTATCTTTTAATAAAAGTTGGTTCATTCCCAAAGCCCAGTACCCTTGTTTCTTGATATTAATGGCTCCAGATTTAAATATTCTACCATTTGACAGTGCTGTTAATAATGGTTTTTGCCAATTTGCTTTTTCTATAAAAAGAGAGATGAAAAGGAAGTGTATTAATAATCTTGATGTGGGAGAGAGATAGAGATAACCTTGTCTTTACTTACTCTTTTTATCATTCCATAAGATATACCAATTTTCATCGATAACAGGTACAATATCATTATCAAATGAAAAGTATCTTTGTGAAGGATTTTGTTGTTGGAGATGATAAATAACAATTTCCAAAATATCTACCATATTCTTTGAGAATCTTTCCAATGATTCGTTGCCATTACTGCAGATGGAGCAGGTAAATCGATATACCCAATCTCCTTGCATCTGACTTGACCCTCCAAGAATCTTTATACATCCAATATGGAATCTTTGTAAACAATAATCACATCTGATCATATGTTGATCCGATCCATTTCCACAATAACAATATCGGTTTTCTTTGTTTTCAAGATGATCTATATCCCATGTTAATGCATTTATCTAAAAAAAGATATATTTTAAAGAGTTAAAATAGAGATCTAAAAATATTAAATATTCTAGTCTAAAGTGCACTTACATCGTATGAAAATTCATGAGATGGTGATTTCTCTTGGTTACTATCAACTATGATTGTTTCGTCACCAGCGGTGATATTTGGTGATGTAATTCCAGGAGGTGAAGGTGATTTGGTCGTCGTCTTTTTCGATGATGATGACGATACCGATGATGAGGAAGAAGATTTCTTTATCTTTTGTTTATCAGTTGGTTTGGCAGATGGTTTAATGTTTACAGATGAAGTTGGGAGTGATGGAGTTGAGTCTTGTAATGATGTTGCAGATGAAGTTGAATATTGTAATGGAATAGATGATGAATCTTTCATTTCAATATCACCACCATTATGATTGTTGTTGTTGTTATGTCTTGGTTGTTGTTGAATAGATGATGAAGATGAATGAATCGTTGAAATATTGGCATCGCTGTACAATAGATTCATTCTATTTTCATAGGATTGTTGTTGTTGTTGTTGATCAACTTGCAATGAACCATAGGAACTATTCATAACCGATGCATCACTATACAATAATTGTTGCATTCTTTGATTCGGGTCGATTGAATGTTGATGATGTTGCTGTTGATGATGTTGCACCGTACTACCATTACTACTATCATTCAATGATCCATTGACAGTACCAATGTTTGCATCGCTGTACAGTAAGTTTAATCTTTGTGAATTTGGGTTATTATGTTGTTGATGTTGTTGTTGCATCTGTTGCATCTGTTGCTGTTGTTGTTGTTGTACATCTATAGGTTGAACAAGAGATACATTGTTGTCGCTGTACAATAGGTTCATTCGATTACTGACAGTATTGTTGGTTGCAGTGAATGACATGGTCGAATACGGGTTGTCTTGATCGTCGTCATCCTCTCTTGACGTAGAGAATGGAGGTATTTGCATGTCTTGGTCATCATCGTCTTCATCCAATTCATAGTCTACTTCTTCATCATCGTCTGGTTGCTCTTGTTGCTGCAATTGATTAAATGATGATGTAGCTGTCGTTGTAGTAGTTGTTGTTGTTGTTATATAACCATCATCTTCGTCGTCAATCGATATATCTTCATCTTCTCCACTCATATTATAATATATATATAACAATAATAATATATAAATACAATCAATAAATATATATTAAAGTCAAAGATTTAAAGTTTCGATGATTAATCATTCTTTCATCAAAAGTTCCCTCCTTTTTTTATTTTTTTTTTATTCTTTTGATGTATGTGTACTTTTACTACTCTACAATCTCATTTGTCATTATTGTAATAACATAATAATAATATAATATAATAACAATCTATGTCATTGATCACATGATCGTGACAAGAGATAACCATATATAGCATTTGCAAACGGTCGTTAAAGATTGGTTAATTGGATTTGCAGACCACTCTTATTATTATTATACTTTTACCACAGTAGGTTGACTTTTTGTTTGTGTTTGAGAGAAGATCCATCTCTAGAAGCACAAGTTATCATAATCATCATTTCGAAACTCTTTCTCTTTTATTCGTTCATTTCTCAACAAAACATATACGACTTCTAGTTCTTTATAAATTAATTAGTCTATTTATTTATTATCTTTTTTCTTTTATCAACCATCAAAGTCATTATTACTACTTTTATTATTGGTAGCCAAGTATCTCGATAATTGTATGTCAACCGGATTATTATTAACGACATTGTTACTTTTACAGGTACCATCTGGTGGCACGTTGATGTTGAGGTTGTTGGATGACTCGTCTTGGTTGTCTGCGCCCTCTTTGGTGGTGGCGACAGTGACACCACCTTGTGCAACAAGATTTAGATTCGTGCTGGACCCAGAGGATGGCGTGGATGTGTTGGATAGGTAGATGGGCACCGTGGTTTCGTAGAGGCTGCCCGTGCTGCCAGAGTGACGCACACTTCCCATTCCCGCGTTCATGCTTTGTCTTTTCTCGCGTTCCTTCTCGCGTTCTATCTTTTGGAGTTGGTGTTTCTTGAGGGTGTAGAGGAATTGGTACCATTCTTCGTCCTCTTGGAAACGTTTGACAAATTCGAGGCCTTGGCTGCGCGACAAACGGACCATCTTGCCGAGGATACGGATTCTAAATATTTGGCCAGGTATAGCAGGCAGATAAATGTCACGTGGCGACGTACGGATAAAGGGCAGACACATCCAACCAATCAACGCAACGGCAAAGAGCCAGTACGTGTTGGTGGTGTATACTTGGATGTCGTAGATGGTGTAGCCGTGGCTAATCATATAGTTAAAGATGGAGGTAAAGATGAGACCACCTCCTACTCCAGATATAGCCCACGCCGTCAATATAACACCGTGACAGGCACTGACATTCTGCGGGCCAAACATGTCGGTGAGGAAGGCCGGTATGGTGCCAAACCCACCTCCATAGCACGAAGTGATGATCCACACTGACAGGATGTACCCAATATACGATCTGCTGCCAATAATAATGGGCATCAAACCAATGATGACCGTTTGGATGGAAAGCATGGCGATAAAGCAGCTCTTTCGGCCGTACAGATCCGACACAAAGGCAAAGCCGAGACGACCGACCAAGTTAAAGGCGCCGTTGACACCGACGACGAGTGCGGCAGCCTCCTTGGACTGCCCAAAAATATCTTGGATCATGTTGGAGAGACGTGACATGGCGGCCAAACCAAAGATGGCGTTGCAAAGAAAGACGACATAGATGAGACGGAACTCGCGACTGGTCAATGCGTACGAGAGTGGGATCTTTTCACGTGAAAAAATGTCGTCTTCAATGGTTGGCTCCTCGGCAATGTTTCGACTGATTTGTGCTCCGTCCTCTTCGACAACAACACGTTTTTTGGGTGCTTCCTTGCGACCGTCGACACGGACACCGTTGATGACATAGTTGGGTGGTGGTACTCGAAACAGGATGGCTTGTGGCCAAATGACACATATAAATATAATACCCAGAATGACATAGGTGATGGGGAGACCGACCTTATCGATGATTGGTAGCAGTGACTGACTGAAACCAATGGCACCGGCACCAAATCCACACACTGCAAAACCTGCTGCCAACCCTCTCTTGTCACAAAACCATTTTTGGAGACATGAAATTGGTGACAAATACGTAATACCCAACCCTATACCACCAATCACACCATAGCCAACATACACCTCCCAAATAGCTTTCTGGTGAATACCAAAAGCTGTGATAAAATGACCAATTGTAAAAAGACCAGACCCTACAACCATACTTATTCTTGGTCCTACTCTTTCAACCCATGGACCCAACAAACATGCTGATGTTCCAAATAATGCAACCTAAATAGAAAAAAAAAAAAAAAATTGTTAAATGGATATGAATATAGATTGGTTTGGATAGATTATTATTATTTAATTTTTTACATACGGCAATGTAAAATGTAATTGGAGCCATACCAGCTGCAGGATTACCAAATATATAGGCATCGATTGGTTTATTGAAAATGGATGATGCGTACAGTGAACCGATACAAAACTGTACTATAAAGGCTGATGGAAACAAAAACCATCGATTAAATTTAATGCGACCTCCCGGTAAGTAAATATCTTCATAATGAGGATTTAATATAACTGATTCTTTGTGATTTGGTGATGAACTATAATAATTGACAAAACATTGGAGAAAGGGATTCATCTTGACCATGTTTTCAACATATATATTATCTGATGATGTGGAAAGGTTTGATGTTTCATCTATGGTTATTGATGAATTTGTATTTGGTGAATTGGTATTGGTATTTGAGTTACCATCTGTTGTCGTAGTAGGAAGAGGTTCCTCCATTTCTTTTTTTTTTTTGTTACTCTTTAAGATTTGAAAAAGATAGAATCTTAAAAGTACAATAAAATAAATAAATAAATAATAAATTATACTGCTGTGACAGATTATTATTATTATTAAAATAAAAAAAAAATAAAAAAAGTAAATTAAGGGATGATGCTATCTAAAAAAGGAGTATGTCTAGGAATGAATATAAAAAAAAAAAAAGAATGTGAAACAATCAATAGTTGAAATAATATATTAAACAATACAAAAAAATATTGTTTCTGTTACGGATTAATATTTATTCAATTATTTCTTGGTTGATTTGTGTAGAGAGAGCGACAAGCAACAAAAAGTGTAGTGGTCAGATGTAATATACATGCATGGAAAGAGTATATTGGATATTTTTGACTCTACTCGATAAAGAAGTGATCAAAATGAGGTTTGTTTAAAAATAAATCCATCAATCAATATAATGTAGAAGGAAAAGTCAAAGGAGGTAGTGGGGGTTGGTTGGTTGGTGCTGACCTAGCTCGTCCAGATGTATGGAAATTAATAAACGATCACTCATAATTATCTAGTATCAGTAGCATTCAAGTGTAGTTGGGTATTTACCCTGTACCATCAAAATCAGTCAACAATCAATAAATACTTCAACCCATACACTTCTTACTCCCACCTTTCGGAAACCGTGTGGATTCAATCACCACTTATAGAACGAAAATACCATAAAAATAACTTGTCTATTATTATATCAATATAACAATGTTGTTGATGGTTGTGGTAGGGATGATGGTTTAAAAGACATCCAAAAAAATCATTTTCTCATACACTTTTTCCTTATTGGCATCTTAGATTCATGTTTGGCAAGCTGGTTTTACATTTAAAACATACGACATCGTTGTTGCTTGTTGTAAACGAACCTTGGATATCGTCATCTTGATCGAGACAAACAAATTTGTCAGCAGTGTTGTTAATCCCCACCTCTGGCAGACATGCATACATCCATTTTTGGGTACCCCACAACCAAATTCTATTTTCAATTTTTTGTAGTATTGAAGAGATAAAATAATAATGGTGTCATCATTGAATCATATAAAGAATAATATGGACAATATATTACTTTTACTATTGTACCTCTTCATCAACCACATCAAACTGATAAAATTGATTTTTTTTTTTTTTTTTTTAGTTCAATCCATAAGTAATAAAACCCTGGTAACTTATTAATAGTTGGTGGGAATTGATGAATACATTCCAACTCTCTCACTCTAACTATTCATGATCAATAGTCACCACCCACAAGAGTGAGGTGTATTATTATTATTGATATCTTTTCCATTATAATATACTTCACTACGTTATGTAAACCAATTAAATTGATTCCCGCAAGACATCATCAATCAATAAATAGAGGAGTTGATTACAAGAAAGAAAAAATGAGATGGGTCCTTTAGAACATAGAGATGAGACATTGTCTATTATTGAAGTGAATGAATAATTACCAACAATTTTTGAAAAGAGTAAAAAGAATTTGGAGAAAATCGAAATGAGGAGATTAAAAGATCTTGAACAATCTATCTATGTCTTCTTTATATAGTTGCCGATTTATTCCAAAAAGGTTAAAAATCAGATTGACGCAAATGAAGAGACACCAACATAGACAGATCCAAAAAGAAATAATATAATTTTTTTGTTACTATCTTGTATTAGTAGAATAATATTAACTCCTAGGAGTTTAAAGTGGTTCATGATTAAACTTAATATGTATTAAAAAATATTATTAAGTCGTTTATTAAAGATAGTCAGTCAGATGGGGGCCACCACAGAGATTCCTACGAAAATCCTATAGTCCCAATGATTTTTTAAATTTGACAGGAATAGAATTGGTGCGATTATAGGATTATACATTCGTCTCGCATAAAGATTTTCTTCTTCTTTTGAGGAGTAGCTGTTGTGAACTTTTTATGTCGATTCAGTGCCTCAAGATTTGACCTTTGAGGAGTTGCAATTGAGGTCGTTGATTCTTTAATGAAATGAAAAAAGATGGAAAGAAATTAATTAATAAATTATTAAATCTTGCCAAATGGAATAATTACCATATAGAGTCATGATATTGATGATGTGATATTTAAAGTTTAAGAAATATTCTTATTTGTACCTTCTGACTGATAAATTTATAAATATTATAATTTTGAATTAAATAAATTATTGATGATGATCATTCTTGTTTTGGAAATAAGAATAAATAGGCGGGAGGGAGGAGGGGATAATGACGAAATACCAGTTTGAACAATGGGCAGAGGGATAAGATATATTAAAGTGGGTGAACTTTATACTACTTTAAAATATGTAATAGTAGTAGTATAACTCAATGATACCCGATTCAATAGCCCCCATATTATCAGTTGTTTAAAGAGAAGAATCAATCAAAATCCCACCCTATTCGCAATTCTGGTATCTTGTCTGATTTCTCGACTCTCTGTGTTTAAAAAATAACAATTTAACAATAGCACCACACTGTTTGTTCACACACCCACAATAGTGATTGTGTGATTAAAAGTTGGTCCAACAAACAAACAAATAATAATAAGAAGAAAAGTTGAACCAAGTATTTTCTCTTCTGATGTTCATAGATGAGGTGGCGAGGACGTTGTTGGTTTATCTTGTTCATTATTATTATTATTACTATTGAATGGACCCAATGTAGGATTAGAGGAACTAAATTATTCAAATCCCGTGGTTGTTGCTGATGAGTTTATCAAAGGAAAAGCACAGATGTTCCGAAACTACTTGTTATAATGCTGAGGTTGTAGTCACCAAAGTTAACTAATCATCTTGTTTGTTGTTGTTGTTGTTGTTGTTGAGTGGTATCTATGTAGATGCATAGTGACTTGTTGTCTCTAGTTAATTGTCTATTGACCTCAACGACGAAATTCAATTTCCCACTGGATCGATCCAGTTATTGCACCTGATGATGAGTGGCCAATCAATCATGCCACAACCGTTGTACGTACAATCTAAGATCATCGGGGTGTGCCACACAATTACAAACAGGAAGAATGAAGGATCTGATGCTCTTCTTATTAGATTCTCAACTAAAAAACTAAAATAAAAATATATTATTTCTAAAACAAGCTTGAATTGGGTGTCACCATCTAAAATTCCTTCATTTCAATTTAATATACATTTTAACACCACCCAACGCATATATACATATTATTTGTTATTTATTTGTACATACATACACTTTTTATCATATATATTTATTATTATTATTATTATTATTATTATTATTAATATTATTAGTAGTCATATTTTCTTTGTTTTTCATCGTTTAGATAATCACATATATAATATAAATCATGTCAGATACTACTACTACTACATCAACAACTTCAACCACCACCTCATCATCTTTGTCGACGAGTGGATCAGAAGATAGTAAAGATAAACAGGCACCGCTAAAGGATTCATCAAAGAGATTCCCAAAGCCACCTCGTGGCGCTCAACATAAACCTGCTGTTCAATCAGCTGCCACATCAAAAGATAAGGTTGACAAGCCAACCAAACCACAAAAAGAAAAGAAACAAGGAGACCGTCCATCACAAAAACCAGTATCACCTACTACTCCTACAACCACTACACCTAAACAACAACAAGTCAAACCAAAGGTCCACAAACCAGTACCATCACCTGCTACAGTTTCAACTACACCAACACCATCACCTGCTTCAACTCCTGTACCAGAAGGTGGACATCATCACCCACACCATCATCATCCACATTCGCATCCTCACCCACATCATCATCATCATCATCATCATGGCGGCGGCGGCGGACATCATGAACATCCTCATTCTCAAGGTGGACATAATAGACCAAGAGGTGGAGCTGGAGGTATAAAGAAGACTTTTAATCAAAATGAAATGGATAATGGCAAGAATGAGCAAAGTATCCCAATAGAGCAACCCGTTGGTCACCACCATCACGAGCACCATGGTGGTCATCACGCTCATGGTAGCCATCATCACCCACACCATCACGAACACCATGGCGGCGGTCATCACGGTAGTGGACATCATGGACATCATGGCGGTCATCACCAACCACATCCACACCATCATGAACACCACGGCGGTGGTCATCATGGCGGTCATCGTGGACAACCACAACCTCATAAGCCATCTAAACAAGTGTCTCCATCAGTTGCTGCACCTGTTCAAGTAGAGAAGGTCGTCCCAGTAGTACCAGCAGCTGCCCCGTCCAAACAAGACAATCTTAAAATGAAACAAGTGTTGGCCGAATCAAACGAAGCCAAAAAGAAGGAGAGAGCCGACAAGAAAAAGGACAAGAGAAAGGAAAAGGAAAGAGAAAGAAGAGAAAAGCGCAAGCAAGAGAAAAAGGAAGAAAAGGAAACACCCTCTTCTTCATCTGACTCTACTACTACCACTCCAAAGGACACCAACAAGAGAAGATCAAAAAAGGAAAAGGAAAACAAAAATGATCAAAGAGAAAAGAAACAAAGTGGTGGTCATAGAGAAGAGGAAGAAGAAGAAAAATCAAACAACAAGAATGGTGAAAAGGGAGGAGACAAGAGAAGAAGAAATAGATTTGATATTCATCTTTCCAGAGAGGATGTTCAATCTGGTTTAGACAAGGGTGATTTGTTCTATGGTACGATCAGAGTCAATGCCAAAAAGTTTATGGATGCCTATGTCACTGTCGATGGATCGGAACATGATTGTTATGTCGATGGTATCAAGAATAGAAATAGAGCTTTTCACACAGACATTGTAGTATTCAAGATCCTTCCAGAGACTGAATGGAAAAAGAGACCATCAACCGAAGATGAAGCAACTCAAGAACAACAAGAAGAAGAAGTTGCTTCTATCAAGGATTCCACATCAATGAATGAAGATCAAGGTACCATTGCATTGCCACCATTCCAATCACCATCTGTCCCATTAAGAAAATCAATTGCTGAAAGTCAAACTTTTAAATCTCAACAAGATGATCAAGGTGAAAGCAGTGATGAAGAAGAAGATGACTCTAGTGATGAAAGTGAAAGTGAAAGTGAAAATGACGACGATGAAGAAAAGAAAACTGATACTAGTACAACAACATTGGAAAATCAAATTGAAAAATTAGAAATTGAAGATGATTTTGTAATCATAAACAACGATAATAACTCTACTTCAACCACCACCACTATTATAAAATCAAAAAGACAACCCAAGTATGAAGATATTTCAGGATTAAAACAAGATAGATTGAAATTGGCTGCTCTAACTCTAAGAGCTTTCAAGTTAAACAAATATGTATCTGTTAAAATTGTTCATATTTTAGAAGCCAAACATAACAAGAATCATGTTGGTTTAGTTACTGTATGTAAACCAAATATTTTTTCAAAATATTTATATTAATTTATTTTTTTAGGAGGAAGGATCAACATTTGCATTATTTACACCATTGGATCAAACATTACCAAGATGTCTTGTATTTAGAGAAACAATGCCACAAGAGTTTAGAGTGGCACCACAGACATTTAAAACCAAACTAGTATCAATTCAATACGGAAGTTGGAAGGAATCATCAATGTATCCAGTCGGTAGATTCGGCGTAATATTTGGAGAATGTGGTGACATTGAACCAGAAACTCGTGCCCTCTTGAAAGAGTATCATGTCGACACTGAACCATTCTCTCGTGATGTTATGAATTGTCTTCCAAAGCTTGCCGATGCCAAGGACTTTAGACCATCGGCCAACGACTACAAGGAAAGAAGAGATCTTAGAGACTGGATTATCTGTTCAATCGATCCAGACACTGCCAAGGATCTCGATGATGCCTTGTCGTGCGAAGAGTTGCCCGACGGAAACTTCCGTGTCGGTGTACATATTGCCGATGTATCACATTTTGTCACTCCGGACAATGCATTGGACAAGTGCGCCCAAGAAAAGGCAACGACCGTTTATTTGGTGCAACGTGCCATTCCCATGCTTCCATCACTCTTGTCTGAGGAGTTGTGCTCTCTCAACTATGGCGTTGAACGTTTTGCATTCTCGGTTGTCTGGACAATGACCAAGGACGGTGAGATTCTCGACGAATGGTTTGGTCGTTCGGTCATTAAATCGGCCAGTCGTCTCACATATGGTGTAGCACAAAAGATTATCGAAGGTCTCATCTCTACCTCTTGGGATCAAGCTATGCCAAAGGACGACGTCAAGCCAATGTATGGTAATAATGTAAAGGCTGTTGTCAAGTCGGTTCTAGGATTACGTGATATTGCTAGAAGTTTGAGAAAGGAACGTATAGATAATGGTGCATTCACAATCCACCCCACCAAGCTTGCATTCTCGTTGGATGAAAAGGGTAACCCTTGCTCGACCCGTATCTATCCCATGTACGAGAGTAACCACTTGGTTGAGGAGTTTATGCTTCTCGCCAACATGCAAGTCGCCAAGCGTATCTCCAAGTACTTCCCATCCAACTCGCTACTCCGTCGTCACCCCGACCCCAACCAAAACAAGTTGGAGCGATTCATTGGATTTTGTGCCAAGCACGGCTTTGAAATTGACAGCTCGTCTGTAGGCAGCTTGGGTGCATCTATTATAAGCTTGCGTGAAAAGGTGTCTGATGCCGCCGTCTTTATGGCCATGCAAATGTTATCAGTACGTTCGATGAAGCTAGCCGAGTACTTTAGTACAGGCGACGTGGATGAAGACGACTGGCGCCACTATGCCCTCAATGTTGGCCACTACACCCATTTCACATCTCCAATCCGTCGTTACCCCGATATCGTCGTGCATCGTCTCTTGCAGCTCTCCATCGACCTTGAAAAATCTGATCAAGCCAGCCAAGCCGTGCGCGAGGCCGAAGCACTACGTGTTCGTGTCGAAAAGGACCTCCCCAACGGCGAATGGCTCACCCAAATCTCCAAGCACTGTAACGAGAAAAAGATGAACAGTAGAAAGGCACAAGAGCGTTCCGACAAGGTGTTCCTTTGCGTCTTGCTCGAGAACCACCCCACCGAATGCGATGCTGTCATCATGGCCGGTGGCAACACCTTTATCCAAGTGTTGGTACCCATGTTTGGTTGCGAACAACGTATCTATTTGGCCGACCTCAAGGAAAAGAACATGATTATCAAGGATTCGTATGATGGCTCCAGCGACGAAAACACAATCACATGGCCATCCATTGAAAACAATCTTGCTGGCAGTGACCCAGCCCTTGCCGTCACTAAAAAGTATGCACAACTCTCAACCATTCGCGTACTCATCACTGTAGATAAATCAAAATTCCCAATTGATACCAAGTGTACTTTATTACATCCACACCATATCAATATTGATAGTATTCCAGTTGTTAAAAATAAATAAATAAATATAAACAAAAATAAATAAATAAATAAATCTTTCATCACGCACTTCTCTCTCTCTCTCTCTTTTGTTCTTGTTGTTGTACAAATAATATTTTATTTTAATTTATTGTTTTATTTTATTTTTTAGATAAATCAATAACTGGACCAGTATAAGGTTCACGTTCAACCTTGAACAAGAGTTCATTACGAGCAATGTCACGTGTTTCAATACCGAGGAATGGATGTCCAAAAGCGGTACTTTCAATGTATTTTCCACTGCCTTGGACAGTTTGTAATTTGTTGTTGCTCCAAACAATCTTACCGGCGACAATGGTGGTATCGGCCAAACCAGTGACCTTCATACCTTCAAAGATGTTAAAGTCGACGGCGTGGTGATGGGTAGCGGCCGAGATGGTCTTGGTGGCCTTTGGATCCCAAAGAACAACATCACCATCACATCCAATGGCAATGCGACCCTTTTGTGGGTAGACATTAAAGATCTTGGCGGCAGCGGTCGATGTGACACGGACAAAATCGCAAGCAGTCAACTTTCCAGTGTTGACACCCTTTTCCCAAACGATCGACATACGATCCTCGACACCATTGACACCATTTGGAATACGGGTAAAGTCGTCCTTGCCCATAGCCTTTTGGTCGGCGCAGAATGTGCAATTGTCAGTTCCGACGCAATGGAGGTCGCCAGTTGCCAACATGTCCATCAAGTACTCTTTGGTGGTTGGGTCTGGACGGATTGGTGGACCCATGACATAGGCAGCAGCATGTCTCCAATCGTGATTCCAGCATTGTTGACCATCAACACCGAGACCGGCAGCAATAGGCTCACCAAAAACACGATGACCCTTTCCACGGTGATGACGGATGACTTCGGCAGCACCCTTGCTCATGACGTGAACGATATAGACTGGTGTGTTGACACTGTTGGCAATAGTGATGGCACGATTGGTTGCTTCAGCCTCCAACTCTTCTGGTCTGGAAAGCTCGTGGCCTTCAGGACCAGTGATACCCATTGCCAAAATCTTCTTTTGTCCCTCGAGCACGAGATCACCATTCTCGGCATGAACTTGGGCCAAAGCTCCCAACTCTTTACATCTCTTGAAAATATGATACATCTCTTCGTCGTTGACCATGAATGCGTTCTTGTAGGCCATAAACACCTTGAAGCTGCTGACACCACGTTCCTTGACCAAAATCTCCATCTCACGACTGACCTGCTCGCCCCACCATGTGATAGCAACGTGTAATCCATAGTCGTGGTTGACCTTGGGGTCAGCCCATGATCTCCATTGGTCGTATGCTTCCAACAAACTTTGTCCTTTGGTTGGAATGACAAAATCAATTACAAATGTAGTTCCTCCTGAAACAGCTGCTTGTGTACCAATATTAAAATCATCTACTGCAACTGTTCCCATGAATGGTAATTGAAAGTGCTAATAGATAAAGATAAAGTTAGTATAAAATTATCTCTCTTGAGTTGTTTGTTTGATGAGACATACAGTATGTGGATCAATACCACCAGGGATGACCAACTTATCAGTAGCATCAACTACTTGTACTCCAGCAGGAGCAACTAGATTCAAACCGACATCTTTAATCTTTCCATCAATGATTAATACATCTGATTTACATTGATGATCATCATTGGTTACTGTACCATTCTTGATAAGTATTGAACTCTAGATAGTAGTTGATTGATTCATAGAGATAATGTAGTACATTTGAGAGTAGATATTAGTAAGTTATATATGTAAATAGGGACTCTAACTACTACTACTACTACTGACCATTGATTAATATTGTTGATTGTGTGTTATGTCTTGTAAATGAAGAGTAAAGTCTACTCCCCCCCTTTCTCTAAATTAGATCATGAGATTGACAGATATTTTTTAAAATTAAATGAGGATCAACCAACCAGCTCTCATAGGCAATTTTACATTGATGCAACTTCAATCTTTATTCTTACAATTACAGTAGTTGTAATACTTACACAGCAGGAAACAGTATTGTATATACAACCATCTCGCACCATAAACAGTACTACACACCATTTCCAACCACCAGCAGCAGATATGATATGATCAAAGATTTACAAAACAACAAATATTTAAACAACCCCATATATAGGACTTGTTGTTGTTTGTGATATACAATGATGTAGGAGATGATAAAGATACACACTTTCACTATAGCATACCACCATTAATTCATTGTATTCTGTTCATTTCATTTCAAAAAACCCTTCTGTCTTCTTATTCATCATCATTCTTTACAACCTCACACACAGAAGCAAGCAATTTTAAATGCACATAGCCCAATCATAAATAGTCACACACACAATCAAAAAGAGAGCCAGATAGCATTGTTTCTATTTAATTTAAATATTCGCATCTATATCAGTAGCAGCAGTCTCCCAGATGCAACAACAAACACATTTTATAAAGAGTTGAGGGGGTTTCTGGTAGAAAACCACCCCTCTCTAGATGTGTTAAAAATAGAGGGGTGGTTGTTAAGTTAAATGGGCAGCACACCTATAATAATTAAGGAAGGAAGAGAACAACACACACACACAAAGACAGAGACAACAACAACAACAACAAAGCTCTTAATAATTCTCATCACCATCGCAATTCAATTCAATCTGTCTTTTTCCAAAACAACTTATACATACACATAATTAACCATTATTCATTCATTCATTCATTCATTCATTTTTTATATAAATACATAAATTATCTCTTTAAATATTAATCAACTTTAAATTAATCCATAAAAGTACTAAAACATGATGAGCTCAAAAGATTCGGAATTCCAAACAATCAATGATTTGATTGATATTGCTAATGGATTTACCAGAGCCAAATCATTGCACGTTGCCGCCGAGTTGGACATTGCCTCACATCTCAAGGAAGGTCGTAAGAGTGCCTTTGACATTGCCAAGACCATTGGTTGCAACGGCGAGTTCCTCTACCGTTTGATGCGTGCCCTCACCACCATGAGCATTTTCCACGAAGAGGAAGAGTATGGCTACTTTACTCAAACCGAACACTCAAAGCTCTTGCTCAACGAGAATGTCCGTAACATCATCCTCTTAAAGTGCAACTTTGACCATTACCGTGGATGGGAGAACTTCCTCGACACTGTCAAGACTGGCAGCGCCCAACCATACGCCTCTCTTGGCATCCAAGGTGACTACTGGGACTACATGAGAGAAAAGCCAGAAGAAGGTCTCCGTTTCCGTAAGGGTATGTCTGGTTACACCAACTATGTTAACCAACGTGTCGTAGCCACTGGTGATTTCAAGGGTTTCGATACTGTTTGTGATATTGGTGGTTCTCAAGGAGTGTATGTATACAAACAAACAAACAAATAATCAAACAAATGTAATGAGAGATTAATAATATTTTTCTTTGGTCTTTTTCTTTGGTCTTTTTCTTTGTCTTTTCTTTTATCTTTTCTTTTAGTTTTATTCAAGAAATTCTTAGACAAAATCCAACTATCAAGACTGGTATTAATTTTGATTTACCATATGTATGTGAAAAGAACAAGTTATTGGAACGTCAAAACATTGACCCAAGATTCAAAGAGGTAGAAGGATCATTCTTTGAGGCTGTCCCACCTGCCAACCTCTACACCATCAAACGTGTCTTGCACGACTGGAATGATGAACACTCTAAAAAGATTCTTACCTCGATCCACAAGGCAATGCTTCCAGGTGGCAAGGTATACATCTTTGATGCTGTCCTCGATACCATCAACAAGAACTGCTACAACATTGTTGCTTGGATGGATTTGTCCATGATGCAATTGGTTTCAGGAAAAGAAAGATCAGAACGTGAATGGGAAGCCCTCGTCTCTTCGGTTGGTTTCAAGATTGAAAAGGTTATCAAGACTCAAGATCCAATGTTACCACCAATCACCATTATTACCAAAATTTAAAAAATCGAATCGATTATAACAAACAAAAAAGAAAATAATTAAATAAATAAAAAAATAATAATTAATTAAATTATAAAACAAAGCATACAAATATTTTAGGTTACTAACTTAATCTAAAAAAAAAAAGGAAAAAATCTAAAAGTTGTACACAAAAAAAAATATATTTATTTATTTATTTATTTATTTAATTTACAAAGTTTTTTGGATTTTAATGATCACGACCAAAGAGAACCTTTCTTTCATCATCATTTAATGGTTTTTGGTTTGATCCTTTGAAACTTTCATCGTATAGTTTGAATGCCTTGGTTGATTCGAATTGTTCGAGACGTTGATTGTATTCAACCAAAAAGGGATAGTCAGAGGCAACAATGTGAGGAGCAAAGTATTGAATGAGACGAGTCCATGGGAAGATGGCAAAATCGGCTACAGATAATTCATCACCTGCAACAAAGCTACGGGTGGACAATTGACGATTAAGGACACTAAGTAGACGACGGGCTTCAGTTGCATGACGGTTGATAGCATATTCCACCTTTTCTTGAGCATAAAAGGTGTAATGGTAAAGCTGTCCTAGGGTAGGACCGACGCTTGCCATTTGGAGGAATAAAAAGTTCAACACTTCGTAATGGCTGGTTGGGTTGGTCTCTTCATTTGGTAGGTATAATCCCTTTCCATAATTCTTGGCGAGATAGATGAGAATATTTCCAGACTCCCATACCTTTACTGGTTTTCCATCCTCTCCAATTCGATTAGTGTCAATGATGACTGGAATCTTACTGTTTGGATTGATGGCAATAAATTCATCTGAATACTGTTCACCCTTTCTAAAACTAATTGGAATGACTTCAAATGGTAGTTGTAAATGTGACAAGAAAATATAAACTTTGGCTACATTTGGTGAATTGGTTGAATAAAGTTTAATGTTTTTTAAATTTGTAATATTGTTGGACATGATTTTTGAAAAGAAATAATTTTAAATTATTATTATTAATTAATTATTATTATTATTTGTTGTTTTGATTTGATGAGAATGATATTCATATTTGATCAACATCGATACTATTTATACTTTTTGGTATAAAACAATTAAAATTATTGTCCAGTCCATCTACAAGACCAAAAAGCTTGTAGAACCTTTGCAGCTGTGTTCGTCAATACATAGCCAGTTCCAATCTCGGGTCTGGGGAGATTGGATTAGCTTGAGAAGCAGCTTGACGAACGCCGTTCTCAAACCACAAAAAAAAAACGAAATTTCATCTAATTTTTTGTTTCTCTCAATTATTTTTATTTATTTATTATTTTTAATCATGATAATACATACTTTATTGAAACATTATATTATCTATAGATAATAATAATATTGATGTATCTAGAGATAGAGGAGTAAATGAAATAATTGTTTATCTTTTCACTTTTGATTTGATTTTTTTTTTTAAATTATATATTAAATTTCCCCAACTTATTTTGGCGCCAAATTTGAATGTTTACAGAGAACAAACATTGAATCTGAAATCAAACACTTGCACTCAGTCTATACTATAATACTCATCATTGATAACAAAAGTATCTTTTTAAAAGGATGGGAAAGAAACAATTAGCAAAACAATATGTTGATCAATTAGAATTAGTTTGGGATCAATTGCTACAGAGTCAACTTGCTGCTGGTGCAGCTGGTGGAACACATACAACAATCAACAAAGAAACTCTTAAAGATGATCAAGAGTTACAGAAATACTTGCAATCATTTAAATACGAATTGTTTAATAGCTTGATAAGCAACTATGAGGTGGTATCTCCTCCACCACCTCCACCTATTGTAGAACCAGAACCTCTTCCTCCTCCACCACCAGTCACATCGTCGCAGATGGAACTCATCAAAGAGGTTGAACAACAACAAGCAGATCCCCTTTTGGTCAAGACACATGCTTCTCTATTGACAGAGCTTCAATCTGTCGTTGCAAAAGTACAAAAATTAAGAATGGACGTACCATCAATCGTCAATGCAGAGATGGCTCAAAGTATACAAAAACAATCACCAACCATTATAAATACTTCTGTTTCATCCTCTTCTAATAATAACAACAATAATAATAATAATAATAATAATGATGCAGACAATAACAACAATGTAATAACAGTTTTAACCGATATAAATGGTAATATTGATAGTATAGATAAAGATTCACAATCAATATTGGAAATGATGGAAAAAGTTATACTAGATACAAAAGATATTCATGATGCTGCATACCAACTTCAATCCTAACAACAACAACATCAACGTCAGATCTTTAACATAACAACCTTGTATATATCAATCCAGAACTAACCAATAAACGAAAATAGGCAACAACGAATCAAACATTGTCAAATAATTATTATTAATATTTAATTGATCGAGGTCACAATCCTTTTGGTTGTATTATTATTATTATTTATAGTTTTGATGATATTTATATAGATAATACAATATCATCTAGAGAATTTGCAAATTGTTGGAAAGAGAAACTCTTCTCTACCCATTTTCTACCTTCATTACCCATTTCCTTTGAATTCTAAAAGAAGTAAGGAAGGAGGATTAGTTATAAAGTTTGATATTTATACATATTAGATATTCCTATTCCTATTCCTTTTGATTTATACTTACAGCTTTAACAATTTTATAAAATGCAGTAGAGAAATCCTTTGGAGTTGGATTACAAAGATAACCAGTGACACCATTCTTTACAGTTTCGAGTGGACCACCACTGTTTACGGCGACCACTGGAAGACGCATATACATACCTTCAAGTGGTGTAATGCCAAAGTGTTCGTTGGATGGAGTGTAAACAAGACAGATAGAGTTTCTCAACAACCATGATCTCTGTTCCTCGTTGAATGAACAGACAAACGATACATGATCACTGATACCCAACTCTTGACAACGTTGTTTCAACTCTTGTAAATGTTCAACATTCTCTTTTAATCCAGGATCATAACCACCAGCAATAACTACATGATATTGATCAACATTATTATCACCTTGTAATTTATCACGCAACTCTTTGAATGCATCCAATGCCAATAATAAATTCTTTTTTCTTTCATATCTATTAATTGATAATATTATCTTTTTGTCTCTAAACAAATAGTAAAAGAAAAGTAAGAATGATTTAACAAGATTATACTCCCTCTCTTTTTTTTTAGATTATTTTGCATACTTTGGAATAAAAGATAAACCTTCATTTGATGGTTTAGTTTCATCATATTGTTTAAGATTTAAAGAGGGATAGAGAACCGATGGAAGATTGTGAATTGATTTGAAAGATTCTTTAAAGATGGATGCTGTAAAGTTGCTATTGACAACGGTTCTGTCGGCCCAACTCGTAGTGTATTCTTCGAACCAATCGACTGGCACACGATACAGTTTCTTGAGAAGAGATGTACGACTAGTCAACAACTTGTCTGGGAAATGACAGTAAAAGAGTACTCTTGAACGTGACAATAATTTAAAGAGAGGAATCGATGCAGATATTTGATCAATGACGACAACGTCATACTTTGTCTTGCCAAAGATGATAGACAATGCACACAATACATTACGAATGATTGCACAGATGACCATGAATCTCCAAAATAGATGACGTGGGAAGTATCCACCAGCAACCTTGACTTCTAGTTCTCCATTATGTGTCTCTTTAAACGATCTCTTTGGATCGTGACGTGATGTATACATTGTGACACTGTGTCCCTTTGACTTTAGAGCAAGTGCTGCATCAACAACCAATCTTTCAGCTCCTCCAATACCAAGATCTGGATGTAAGAATGCTATTTTTAATAATCTTTCTTCTTTCTTACTACCACTATTACTCGTAGTACTACTACTACTAGTACTACTATTATTTTTCCCCATTCTGCTACACTCTATCTATAAATAAATAAAATTAAAAAGAATAAAACTTTGCTCAAGTTTTCTAAAGACATTCTTGTCAAAAAATGATTATTTAAAATAAATTAAATTTAAGATGAGTCATCAATACAATAGTTAACTTTTATTAAAATCATTCTTCTTTCTAGACTTTCTATTAGTTGTTTTGTTATTCTTTGGAATGGAATATATTTTATATCTATTTTTTGTTGTTATCCCAAAAAAGGTTACTTCCCTTTATGTGTAGTGGTTGAACATGATGATGTGGACAATCAATCCAACGGTTTGCCACTCGACATTGATTGTGTCCTGTCACTCAGTCTAACGTCCGTCTCGCACTCTAATAAGTAGGAAAGAAGGGGTTTGGTTGGTTGTTAAGTATGTTTATAAAGCAGTGAGAGACAGGCCAACTTTGGTTGGAGAGGGGTGTTTTTGGGTTTATTCATAAGATAGTACACCCGTTCAATCTTTTGTTGAACGAACTGGCTTGGTTGGGTGGGATCAACCACCATCGTTGCTGAGACATTAATCACTTTTAAGAATAAGAAATCTATCGTAGCGTGTGACCTGCAAATCAATATATATTAAATTTAATTTTACCTTTATTTGTAATTGGTCTTCTCTCTCTCTCTCTCCTCAAATCATCCATTCAGACTTTGATTCAAAAATTTTAATTCTTTCAAAGACTACAAATACAACCAACTACACTTCACACATACATACTTTTAAAATATATTAAATTATTATTATTTTTATAACAATGAGTACAAAATTCCCTTTAACTGGAATAGAATATTTAGAATTATTAAATATTTTTAATCTTTCTGGAAAAGTATCAATCAACGATCAAGATATAAATGTAATCAATGAAATTGATTTGATTTCAAAGGATGTTCAAGGTAAAAACTATAACTTGAAATATAAATTATAGATTATTTATTAATTTCCCTTTTTTTATTTAGATGGAGAATTACATTTAGTTTGTCAAGAATCTGATAGTTTGGATTCACTTATATCATCATGTTATTCACCATTCTCAGAGTATCAATACCGAAAGACTAAAAATGGAGTTTGGAAACAAACACAAATATCAAAGGTTCAAATGGCCGATGGCTATCTATTGGGATACCAAAGATGTTTTACTTTGGTTGGAGGAGAATCGTATTTGAAAATGTGGGAGTTTTCTACTCCATCGATTTACAACAAGTCACAGGGAGACAATACAATGGTGTTGCGTCACTACATCTATGATCAACCACTCTATGTTAGACAACGACCACGTCCAATGAGTATATCATTCCCAGCATCTGCACCCGTCAACCAAAAACATAATCTTCCAAGTTATTATCATCCACATCAACAACAACAACCACCAACAAATGAAATAATGGTACCTCTAGCCAATACGACTTTGACTTCTGGAAAATCTACAAAGAAGAATAGATCCTCTAAATTAATTCATCCACCAGATTTACATTCTATATTTAAATTATTACATGGTACTAAAGCTTAATGTAAATAAATCTTTTGTTGTATATATCATTACTCCTTTTATTCGTTTGCAGTTGTATCCATTTGATCATCTCCAGTTGATTTTGATTTCTTTCTTCTAGTCTTTTTAATTGTTTTAACCTCTGGTACCATTACTTCCTTGTTATTTTTCTTTTTGACTGATAATAACTTTGATTTCCCAAGATCTTGTTTCCTATTGTCGTTAATACCTACTTTTGATGATATTGTTGTTGGTTTTGTATTTGTTGATGTTGTTGATATTTTTGTTGATTCTTTTTCATCTTCTTTTTTATCTACAGTAGTTATATTTTCTTCATTGTCATCATCTCCATTTTCTTTTGGTTTTGGAGTAGATGTTGATAATATCAATTTCTTCTTTTTCTTTTTGTTTGTTTTTAAATAACTGTTTTCAGCAGCCTCCATTTGTTCACGGAGTAGATCCTCTTCTTTCATTTTTCTTTCTCTTTCCTCCTTTGCTTTACGTTCCAATTCAATTGCTGTTTCTGCAGCAGTTGGCAATAATTCCAATTCAGGGTCTTTGCCCTTTGATCTAATTCTTTCCAACTTTATCTTTAGTCTTTGTTCCAGCACCTCTTTTCTAACCAATGCTCTTTCATAATCTGTAATCTTTGTTAAATCTTTTTGTGTCTATAGAATTGATTCAAATTAGTATATTATATTATATTCCCTTTAAATTATTATTATTATTAATGTTTGTTTTTGCCTTACCTGAGATGAAGTTTGATAAGAAACCTTTGAAGGGTTTTCAAGAATGACAAAGTTTGAAAGAATAAACATAAGAGGAATACCAGGTTTGGTACGTAGATCGAATCTAGCATCATTGTTTTGAACACATAGATAGAAACGACTTGGATTCTTGGTCACCATATCTTCAAAACACGAGTAGGTTGGAAAGTCACGATCAATGAATTCATGATCCTTGTGATTACATCTAAAATGACTAATGGTTCTTGCCAAATTCAAAACATTTTGATAGTCTTCTCCTTGTATTCTAGCTTCTTCAAGTGCACATGTTGTTGTGTCTTTAAACGAAAAACAAAGAGTTTAGTTTCAATTGTCTATCTCTCTCTCTCTTTTATTATTGTTGTTTAAACATACATAATCTAGTCTTTTCACCCAAAGTATTTCTAATAGCTTTATCAAAGTCTACATTAAACTCTAAACATTTAAAGATAAAGAATGGATCGACTAAAACCGAGAAAGGTTCTCTAAATGAAAAGTTGTGGTGATAGTATGCTATAATCTTTTTATTATTCTTATTCCTTTTTACTTTCATCTCTTCAATAAATTATCGGTATCGTATTGTATTGAAGATTAATTATCTGTATTGTATTGTATTGAAGATTAATTATCTGTGTTGTTGGTATTGAAGATTAATTATCTGTATTATTGTCGAATAAAACAATATAAAAGAGTATTGACGAACGAGGTCATTGCAAGATTTTCGCAAATCCAATTATTCAAACAAATACAAATATAAATGATGTAAATGGAGAATGCTTTAACCATTTGTTTAAACACATTCTTCAAGTTTAATAAGAATAAGATATATATACATACAGATGTCAAGTCATAATAATAATAATAATTATTCTTCACAACAACAAGAATCATCATCATCATTGTCGTCATCAGAAGATGTTTTACTATTTAATAATTTAAATCAAAGATCATTGTCGATTACTCAACAAAGGTTAGCATTACCTGTTTATCAATTAAGAAAACATATATTACATCTACTTGAAACAAAACAAACGTTGGTGGTCGTTGGTCATACTGGTTGTGGAAAGACTACACAAATACCTCAATACTTGTATGAAGCTGGATGGTGTGATGGTGGAAGATGCATAGCTGTCACGCAACCAAGAAGAGTTGCTGCTACTTCGGTCGCTGTTCGTGTGGCGGAAGAGATGGGTGAGTCGACGGTTGGAGGCAAGGTTGGCTATACCATTAGATTCGATGACCAAACTACCAACACCACTGCAATCAAGTATATGACCGATGGTATGTTGTTACGAGAGATGATGGTTGATCCTTTGCTATCAAGATACCCCGTGGTGATGATTGACGAAGCACATGAACGAAGTTTAAGTACTGATTTGGTGATTGGTCTGTTGAAAAAGGTTATGGTCAGACGTCCTGATTTGCGTGTCATCGTGTCGTCGGCTACACTCGATGCTGAAGACTTTTGCAATTACTTTAATCTCAACAAGGACAGTAATGACAAGACCAAAGATACTTGTGCCATCTTATCGATTGAAGGACGAAACTACCCGGTCGATCTACACTATCTCGAGGAACCAACCGCAAACTATGTCGACACGACCGTCAAGACCATCGTAGACATACATCTTACACAGACACCCGGTGATGTGTTGGTGTTTCTGACAGGTCAAGATGAAATTGAAACAGTCCGTCGTCAACTGATTGATCGTCTGTCGGATGATCCCACCAACCAACAACACCAGTATACGATCGTGCCGATATACTCAGGTCTGCCACTAGAGAAACAAATGAAAGTGTTTGCACCACCAAACATACACAAGAGAAAGATTGTATTGGCCACTAATATTGCAGAGACGTCAATCACTATCGATGGTATCGTGTATGTGGTGGACTGTGGATTCGTAAAGATAAAGAGTTATAGTGGACGTTCTGGAACCGACTCTTTGGTGGTGGTTCCAACCTCGCAAGCATCGGCCAATCAGCGAGCTGGCCGTGCCGGTCGTAATAGATCGGGTAAATGCTATCGTCTCTACACCGAAGCTGCATTTGCCAAGCTAGACGTACACACCATCCCCGAGATACAACGATCCAATCTTTCATCGGTCGTCCTACAACTCAAAGCATTGGGAATCGACAATATATTGGCATTTGATTTCTTGTCACCACCCGTCGCAGACTCACTGGTTCGTGCACTCGAACTATTATACGCACTCGGTGCTATTGACGATTATGCCAAACTAACCTCACCGATTGGAATGACCATGGCAGAGCTGCCAACCGAACCCCCATTCTCTAAAATGATTCTGTCGGCTGCTTCAGACTTTGGTTGCTCTGAAGAGTGTCTGTCCATTGTTGCCATGTTGACCATCCCAGGAATACAATACAACCAATCATTGGTCAGAAAACAATTTGGTGTCAAGGAAGGTGACCACCTAACACTGCTCAATATTTACAACTCCTATGTCGACATAAAACAAAAGGATCAATCTGGATGGTGTCACGACAATGGACTCAATGCCAAAGCAATGACAAGAGTACTCCAAGTTAGAAAACAATTGGTTGGTTATACAAAAAAAATATAATATCAAATTAGTTTCTTGTTTTCAACAACAACAAGTAGAGGGCAATAATAATAATGATACAAAAAAAGTGGATCCAAGTGTATTGGTTAGAAAGGCAATCGTAAGTGGTTTCTTTTCAAATGCAGCTAGACTTTTACCAGATGGATCTTATCAAACTATTAAAGATAAAAGAGTATGTAAAAAAAAAAACAAACAAATCAACTTTAAATATTAATTATTTTTTTTTTAATCATTTAGAATTTATGGATTCATCCAACCTCTATCATTGGTACTATCAATTCTCCAGAATGGGTTATCTTCCATGATGTAATTATTACAACCAAAGAATTTATGAAGGAACTAACAGTCATTGAACCAAATTGGTTGTCAGAAATCGCACCTCATTATTATTCAAAATAAATAAACTATTTATCCTTGGGTAACAACAAAAAAAAAAATATATTGAACAGATCCTTAGGATTTCTTGACAGTAGAGTTTTTGAATTGCGGAAATGGACCTTGAATAAGATACATGAATCATCAATATACAATCATTGTTTGATACATTAACCAATAGAATTTATGGGAGATTGATCTATCGATGAAGGCTCAAATCGATGATTCTGCGAACCATTCCCAGAAAAATTATCTATGAAAAAAAAAGATAATTTTGAACAGATCCTTAGGATTTCTTGACAATAGAGTTTTTTGATTGCGGAAATGGACCTTGAATAGGATATTTTAATCATCGATATACAATGCTTGTGTGATAAATTGAACGATAGAATTTATGGGAGATTGATCTATCGATGAAGGTTCAAATCGATGATTCTGAGAATCATTCCCAGAAAAAATGGCATATGTGGTGTTGATAGAAGGTCTCTTGCCCATTCTCCCATAAAATTTAGAAGACACTCAAGATCCCTTCCTGCAATCAAACAAAACTCACTTAATTATGAAATGAAACCCCCCAGGGATCTGTTCTTAAATCTTTTATTTTTTTATTGTTATCTGGGTCCAGAATGAACTCTGGGTATTATTTATTATTTTATTTGTTTGAGGATTTTTTAATTAATTAAAAATCGTTGTGAGCTATCAGCATCGAAATTTCCTTATTTTCAAACACTCAATAATAATTATTATTACAAAAAGAAAACAAAATGGGAAAGATAACAGTGATTGGGGCTAGTAACTGGGATATGTTCACCTATTGCGCTAGAATACCGGTAGTTGGTGAAACAATCAAAGGAAATGACTTTAAAACTAGCTATGGTGGTAAAGCATCGAATCAAGCCGTTCAATGTGCTTTGCTTGGCTCTGAATGTGTATGTGATTGTTGTTGTTGATGAAACTATGACATGTATGATATCATATAGATGCTAATACAAAGTTGATTGACACACACATGGTTTTAGTGTATCATAACAAAGGTTGGTGATGATATGATTGGAAAGAATACAATAGAGAATTTCAAATCAAAGAATATCGATATCAAACATGTTGGTCTTGTCAAAGATGTACCATCAGGTTGTGCAACCATCATTGTCGATAGTAAAGGAAATAATAATATCATCATTGTTGGTGGATCAAATGATAAACTAGATCAACAAGATGTCATTGATGCAACTTTTACCATTCAAAAATCAAGTTATCTATTATGTCAACTTGAAGTATCTCTTGAAACAACATTTAAAGCATTAAAAGTTGCTAAACAACCTGCTTCATCTGTATGTTACAAATTATAATTACACATTGCGATTAGAACTAATACTACTATTGCTCTCTTAGTGCAAGACTATATTAAATTTATCACCTGTTACAAATGATCCATTGTTAATGGAAATGATGGAATTTGTAGATATATTATTATTAAATGAAGTAGAGTTGATTGGAATTGCAAAAAAGACAGAGGAAAAGATTGATATGACATCGATGAGCACTTTGCATCAGTTGGTGTTGGACAGTGTCATGAACAAATATCCTACCATTCAATCGGTTATTGTCACATTGGGAGAGAATGGATGTTTGTTGGTTAGTCGAGATTACAAGGGTATCGACCAATACACTCATGTCCCAGTTACTGAAAAGGTGGTGGCTGTCGACACAACAGGTGCTGGTGACAGCTTCACAGGTGCATTGGCACATTATCTCGATCAATCATTTGACATGGCTGAAAGTATTTCAAAAGCAAGTCGAGTATCAGCCATATCAGTAACTAGATATGGAACTCAAACTAGTTATCCATCTAAATCTGATCTTTAAAAAAAATAGATTAATAATAATAAAGATTAAATAATATAATATAAAAAAGACATAGAGCACAGAGAGCTTTATAAAAGTGATTTATTTGACAGTGAATTAAAATTCCAGTGAACGGGCTTGGCTGACGACATCTAAAGGACCCAACTCTGCCTGCATTCTAACAATGACGTTGGATTTTGATAGCATATCCCTGGGATTATGAGAAATCAAATTCTGTTGTATGAAGCTTCGAAACAGTCTTTCGAGACACCAGCTAAAAATAGAACAACAGAACTTGATTTCTCACAATTCCAGGGCTAGGTAGGCTATCACCCAACGTTGCGCGGAAAAGGCTGAGTGGATTCTACAGACCTGTTCTTCACCAAGTCTCTTTGTCTTGCCTCCATGCCAAGGAGCTGAACAAACAATAAAGCACAAGCTAGCAACAATATCGACTGAGTGATGGATGACAACATTGTGGATACCAAATTTGGAGACTGGTCCGGTTCAGTTGGTCTCGTTAGTCGTGGGTACTCGACCATATCTCTTACCTTTGTGTGGTTTGGATCAACTGGGAGCGACCGATTGCCCGATCCATATGGACGAGTTGATTGACGACCTTATGGATCTATTTCTCACTGGTCCTGAACTAAGTCTAGTTGGTATTGATTCTTGGTCAAATGGTTGAAGAGGATGGTAGGAAAAATGATGATTTTGAAACAAATGGTACACACCATTTCTTATATTGTGTGGTTGAATAAGGACTAGTTCAGCACCTAGTTCAATTTCCTGGATAGATCATCTTTCCTAGAAAGAAAGGTATTAAGCCACCAAAGTCAAACTGACACCAATTGGAATGAAAGCCAAGGAGAATGCTCGACAAGTCTGGACCCATTTGTTCAAAGTGTAGCCAAACCAAGAGATTTAATGAAACAAGTCAAGCAACACACTAAACAATTTTAGCATTCTATTGTCTAAGGTTGAAACCTAAAAGAACGCAGCGATTAATTAACGACCAATACATTTTGATCATTGGGAGAGATTTACTTCTCTCCACCACTCTATTATACATACATTATCATTCTCTTTGATATCTAGCACACTCTTATCCATCTTATCCCCATCCTCTCGACCCTCTCTTGATGAAATTTAATTAATAAATAAATAAATTATTGGGTTTCCTAGATATTTTGTGTTTGAATTTATATTATCTATATATATTTTATTTTATTTATTGTGATTATTGTGTTTATATTATATTATTTAATTCTTTTGATTTCCCAAGATGGAAGACAAAAGAGCCATTCTAACGTACATTCCATTTTCCATTTGTCTAAAGTAGGCGGCTCTTGGATCAGAGTCAACATCTTGAGAGATTTCGTTGACACGTGGGAGTGGGTGCATGACGATCATGTTATCCATGGCGTGGGTGAGGGTGTGTGGGGTGATGATAAAGGAATCCTTGACGGCTTCGTATTCGGCCAAGTCTTGGAAACGTTCCTTTTGTACTCTGGTGACATAGAGAACGTTGGTGTTGGAAAGGACTTCGTTGGTCAACTTGGTGTAGATGTGTTGTTCGATACCCTTTTCGGTCAATTCCTTGATGATCTTTTCTGGCATGGCCAAAGAGGCTGGTGAAACATAGTTGATTTTAACTTGGTAGAGCGACAAGAGGTGGACGAGTGAGTGGACGGTACGACCATTCTTGAGGTCACCAATGACTGTGATGGTGAGGCCATTGACGGTACCCAACTCTTCACGGATGGTAAAGACGTCGAGCAAGGCTTGGGTGGGGTGTTCACCAACACCATCACCGGCGTTGATGATTGGCTTCTTGGCGTATTTGATGGCAGTGTCGATGGCACCGACTTGTGGGTGACGGATGCAGATAGCATCGGCGTAGCACTCGAGTGTACGAACAGTGTCGGCCAAAGACTCACCCTTGACGACCGAGGAAGAAGCAGAGTCGATTGCAATGACGCTTCCACCAAGACGCTCAAAGGCGGCAGAGAATGAGCATTGGGTACGGGTGGATGGCTCGTAAAAGAGAGTGGCCAAGACCTTGCCCTTGAGGGCGTCTGAACCACCAGACTTTTTGACTTGGAGACGCATCTCGTGTGCCAAACCAAAGAGGTTGTGCAAGATCTTACGGTCAAATTGCTTGACAGTGTAGATGTGCTTCATGGCAGACAATGAGGCAGAGTCGTGTGGGTGGAACAATTGGATGGCATTGTCCTTTTTGATCAAGGTACCAACCAATGGCAAGACGTTTGGTGAAGTCATTGATTGAGCTGGTTGCTTCTTTGGTGATGACTCTACTGGGACGGCTGGCACGGCCAACGAAGAGGATACTTCTCTTGGGGTAGTTGGTACGAGGGTACGGACGTTTTGACCGTATCCTGGTTGAGCAATGACCTTACCATCGAGGTAGGCGAGCTTACCTCTGAGAACGACACGGGTGACACGTCCACGGACCTTGAGGCCAGAGAATGGAGTCCAACCGCAACGGGTGAAACCCAACTTTTTGGGGATAACCCATTCCTCGTCCATATCTACTTCAATGTAGGTGTTTGGTTGTTCGGGGAGGTTAAAGATACGGATGGGGTTGTCGTGCATCATTTCACGCAAACGTTGGAGGGTGAGACGACCTTCGTGGACGGCAGTCAACATCAATGGCAAGGAAGTCTCGAGACCTGGGAAACCTGGGGGTGGCTTGGCCGAGATCTTTTCTTCGTAGGTGTGTGGAGCATGGTCGGTGGCGATCATGTCGATGTAGTCGAGGTTGTCCCAGAGGGCCTGACGATCCTCTTCGGTACCGAGCTTTGGACGCACTTCGGATTGGCCGCTGCCAATACGTTCAATGTCCTTTTGACAGAGGACAAGGTGGTGTGGGCTGACCTCACAGGTTACATGGACACCACGGAGCTTGGCGTCACGGATCAAGTCAACTTCTTCCTTGTGCGAGACATGACATACATGAATATGCTTGTTGTACAAGTGACCGAGGAAGAGGATGGCTGCAAGGTTACGGCCGTCGGCGTGTACACAGATTGGGAATGGTGAGTTCCAGTTGATGACGTGCTCCTTCCAGGCGTTGAGATCGTCACGCAATGGCAAGGTAGCAAATGTCTCTTCCAAGTACATCTTGACACCCATTGATTCTGGTGCAAGGGCATTGAGAAGGGTGGTGTTGGTGATGGTGGCACCGAGGAAGATACCATAGTCGCAACGTGCCTTGCTAGAGGCGAGGGACTTGGCCAACTCAAAGGTGTCGTGGTCCATGATGGCAGGCGAGGTGTTTGGCATGGCACCGACGATGGTGAAACCACCAGCCAAGGCGGCAGCGGTACCGCTGTCCCAGTCCTCCTTGTGGGTGGCTCCTGGGTCACGCAAATGTACGTGGACATCGACCAAACCGGGCAAGGTGATGGTCTTGCTCGATGAGCGACAATCGACACGGTCCAATGCCATTGGGCCACGCATAAAGGCGATCGATTCGACAAACAACTTGGCGCACTTGATGTTGGTGATGAGTGGCACTTGGAAGTCGACGGCGACACGACGCAACGAGTATCCACGAGACATAAACGACGATGGACGACGGTACTTGTTCTTGGATGGCAAGTTGATAAAGAGATGGATGGTATTGTCGGTCATCTTTTTGGTGATATTGTCACCTTGACCCTCTTCGTCCCAATCCAATTGCATGCATTCTACATTGTTTTCAGTGTAGAAATCGGCAGTACCCTTGGTGCCAAAGAGGACGTATCCTTGGTCGACCAACTTACGGGCCGACGAGAGGAACTCTTGTTTCTCCTTGAACGAACCAATCGAGAGAAGTACGTTCTTTTCGGGGACACGGAAACCGGTCGAGATCAAACCCTTGATGTAGGCCTCCTCACGAGTGTTACCAAAACAGGCAACCTCACCAGTCGATGCCATTTCAACACCGAGCACTGGATCGGCACCCTTCAAACGGATAAAGGAGAACTGTGGCACCTTGACACCGACAAAGTTTGGTTGGTCGAGTTGAGGAATCTTGTAGTCGGCTTGGATGATGATCTTGGTGGCCAACTCGATAAAGTCAACGTTTAATGTCTTGCTGACAAATGGGAAGGAACGCGAGCAACGGAGGTTGCACTCAATGACCTTGATCTCATTGTTCTTGGCAATGAATTGGATGTTGAATGGGCCAGAGACGGCGAGAGCAGCGGCAATCTTACGGGCAGTCTCTTCAATCTTGGCGATGGTGTTGGCGTCGAGATCTTGGGCTGGACAGACAATGGTGGCGTCTCCAGAATGGACACCAGCGTTTTCAACGTGCTCAGAGATGGCAAACAAGACGATTTGGCCATTGTCAGCGACAGCGTCGATTTCAATCTCCTTGGCCTCTTGAATAAACTTGGAGATGACGACTGGGTAGTCACGGGACACGGCAGCAGCCTCGGTCAAGAAGGCTTCGAGCTCGCTGGAGCTGTTGACGACGTTCATGGCGGCACCCGACAAGACGTACGATGGACGCACCAAGCATGGGAACCCGACGGTCTCACAAAACTCTTTGGTGTCGTCGACGCTGGTCAACTCCTTCCAGAGTGGTTGATCGATGCCAATGGCGTCGAGCATACGCGAGAACTTGTAACGGTTCTCGGCAGAGTCGATCGAGTCGGGGTGAGTTCCGAGCACCTTGACATTGCAACGCGACAATGGGATAGCAAGGTTGTTGGGGATTTGACCACCGACCGAGAGGATGACACCATTGTTAGAGTCGGGGCCACCGACTTCGTAGATATCCATGACTCTCTCCAACGACAACTCTTCGAAAAAGAGGTAGTCGCATTCGTCGTAATCGGTCGACACAGTCTCTGGATTAAAGTTGATCATGATTGACTTTTGACCGAGTTTACGGAGTGTACGAATACAAGAGACGGCGCACCAATCAAACTCGACTGAGCTACCAATACGGTAGGCACCACTACCAAGTGTAATGTATGCCTTGTCCTTGATCTCAATGTCATCGTCTTGAGCATTGTATGTCATGTAGAGGTAATTGTTTTGTGCTGGGAATTCAGCAGCAACCGTATCGATATGCTTGATGAATGGGATGATATCCATCTTTTTTCTCATCTCACGCACGGCCAACTCGGTGGTGCCGATGGCACGACCAATCTGCTTGTCCGAGAAACCTTGTTGCTTGGCGTACAACATGACGTTGCGTGGGAGTTCACCCGAGTTCATCTTGACCATACGGTTCTCCAAGTCGATGATGTCCTTGAGCTTGGTCAAGAACCAACGGTCGATCTTGGTGAGTTGATGGACACGCTCGACAGTGTATCCGTCGGCAAAGGCGCTAGCAAGCACGAGGATACGGTTGTTGGTGGGGTGCTCGAGCTCTTCGTCGCTGGTTGGGTAGATGCCTGGTGCAAAACCATCGACAGAGTTGTCAGTGACCATACGAATGGCCTTTTGGATGGCCTCTTCAAACTTGCGACCAATCGACATGACCTCACCAACCGACTTCATCGACGAGCTGATCTTGGGAGAGACACGACTAAACTTTTTCAAATCCCAACGTGGCATCTTGACGACGAGGTAGTCGAGCGATGGCTCGAAGCAGGCAGTTGTCTTTTTGGTGATGTTGTTACGGAGGGTGGCCAAATCATAGCCGAGGGCGACCTTGGCCGAGATAAAGGCCAATGGGTAGCCAGTAGCCTTGGAGGCAAGGGCCGAGGAACGCGAGAGACGGGCATTGACTTCGATGATGCAGTACTCTTCGTTGTCGGGGTTCAAGGCATACTGGATGTTGCACTCACCGACGACACCGAGATGACGCACAGTCTTGATGGCAACCTCACGGAGCATTTGGTATTCGCGATCCGTCAAGGTTTGCGATGGGGCAACGACGATCGACTCACCAGTATGAATACCCAATGGATCAAAGTTTTCCATGTTACACACTGTGATACAGTTGTCGTGACTGTCACGGAGCACTTCATATTCGATTTCCTTCCATCCCTTGAGTGACTTTTCAATGAGCACCTGAGTGGATGTGGCCAATGCCTCGGTGACAAGAGCAGTGAGCTCTTCGGGGTTGTTGGCAAACCCAGAACCCAAACCACCAAGACAATAGGCGGCACGGACAATCACTGGATAACCAATCTTTTTGGCACTCTCCAACGACTCTTCCATGGTGTTGCAAGCCTCGCTTGGGGCAATACGTTCGTTGATCTCGGCCAACTTCTCGGCAAAGATACCACGATCTTCGGTGGAGATGATGGTGTCGATGGGGGTACCCATGACCTTGACGTTGTACTTTTCGAGGATACCGCTCTTGTACAGCTCGATACCGCAGTTGAGCGCGGTCTGTCCACCAAAGGTGACGAGGATGCCGTCGGGCTTCTCATTGATGATGACCTTGGTGACGCTGGCGGCGTTGACGGGCAAAAAGTATACCTTGTCAGCGAGACCTGGGCTGGTCTGGACAGTGGCAATGTTGGGGTTGATCAAGACCGTCTTGATGCCCTCTTCCTTGAGTGCCTTGATGGCTTGTGAACCGGAATAGTCAAACTCGCCGGCTTGGCCAATCGAGAGACCACCACTACCGAGCAACAACACCTTGGTGATGCCCTTTGGCGTCTCGATGATCTTGGACTTGTTCATGGGCGATGTCCACTCGACACCCAAAACATTTTGTACAAAGTTGTCAAAGAGGTACTCGGTGTCGGTGGGACCGGCACGAGCCTCTGGATGGAACTGAACCGATGAGAATGGCTTGTCCTTGTGGTAGATACCTTCGTTGGACTGGTCGTTGGCATTGATAAAATATGCATTCCATCCACTCTCCTTTGGGAGCGAGTCTGTATCAATAACGAAACCATGATTCTGTGAGGTGATGTGACAACGTCCACTAATCTGATCGACACATGGTTGATTCAAACCACGGTTACCAAATGGCATCTTGTGTGTCTTGGCTCCAGCTGCCAAACCCAATAATTGATTACCCATACAAACTCCAAATACTGGTCTACAAAAAAGAAAGAGTAAAAGAGAAGTGTCAATAAGAATAGTAAATATATTTTACTTTTTCTTTTTTCTTTTCTTTTTCTTACTTTGGTTTTGAAAGATTTAAAACCTTTCTAATATTATTGATGGCAGTAGTGCAGAGTGAAGGATCACCAGGACCGTTGGAGATGAATAGACCATCCCATTCTTCATCCTTTTCATTGGCGAGGACGTCGTAGTCCCATGGGACAACCTTGAGATCCATACCACGATTCAAGAGAATACGTAGTTGGTTATATTTGACACCGCAATCCAAGACGATGACACGCTTGTTCTTGCGGACGTTTGGAGCGGCTTGGAAGGTACGGATTTGCTTGGTGGAGACCTCGGCAACCAAGTTTCTGAGATTAATGTCTTCGAATGGGATCTTGGCCTCTGGCTCGCACCCCTCGACAATGACCTTGCCCATGAGTGAGCCCTTAACACGGATATGAGTGATGAGGGAACGGGTGTCGATACCATAGAGACCTGGGATACCGGCACTCTCGAGCCACTCTGAAAGCGAGCTTTCGGCAGCCCAATGTGAATAGTCGTCGGTGTAGTCGGAACAGATGATGGCTTGGACGTGTGCCTTGTCCGACTCGAAATTGACTGGAAGCTTAGAGTTGGGGTCGACCTCTCCAAACGATGGAACACCATAGTTTCCAATCAAAGGGTAGGAGAATACCAAGATCTGACCAGTGTACGATGGATCAGAGATGGCTTCGGGATATCCAACCATACCTGTTGTGAAAACACATTCTCCATTGACAGATTTGGTTGCTCCAAATACAAAACCTTCATATTTAACTCCATCTTCAAGAATTAAATAACCTTTCTTTCTATTTAAATGTCTATCCATTTTTTTATATTATATATGTATGTATGTATTTATGTATGTATGTATTGTAAGAGATGAGTTCTGTCTTTGAAACTAAAAGAAACAGATAGAGTAGTAGAGAGATATAGATAGATTAATACATAATGTTTAAATTAATTTATAAATTTGAAAATGAAATAGATTTGATTTGAAGTGTATCGTAGTGATTGATTGGATGGTGAGTGAAGAGGAGATTGAATAATCAAAGCACAATGGTGATGAGATGTTCATGAACATGTTCAACAGTAACAGTGAGTGTATGAGCAGTGGTGAGGTGAAGGTGGTATGTAGTGGGGGGACACAGCGAAAGATATGGTATGATATGCAAGAGAGTAGTAGTGAGGGGAGGGGTGATGAACATGCACTATCGCGACTCTCGGTTTTTCAAATTTATAAATGTCCCAAGAAGTCGGCAAATGCAACAAACGACGAGATTTTCGGTTTTCTAAAAGAGAGAGTTCTTCTTTGCACTACTTACTTTTTTTTTTTTTAGATTAGTATATGCCTTGAATTGTGTGTATGTGAATATATATAGAAAATATTTTGGGTGATTGTTGTTGTTGTTTTTGTTGGTTTAGTTTTTGTTGATTAAAACAAAGAAAAAAAATAATAAACTGATAGTTGGAATTTATCGGTCTAGTTGAATCAGGTGAGTTTTATGTACTCTCTATTGGTGGGTATATTATATTATTATATATATATAATGAAAAAGAAAAGAAAAAGAAATATAGTAAAGATATCAAAGGATTAATAAGATAAATATGTACTATATTAGTTTTTGTTTTTGTTTTTTGATCTTCCTCCAAACCTAAGTGTTTAATATATTAAAAGATGATACTAGTTGTTGGTTGCTTTTATGTTGTTTGCTGCTCGTGCGTGTTGGTTGTTGTTGTTGTTGGTAGTATTCTTTTAAATAATATTATTTCTTTGTTTGTCGAGGAGAAGAGGAAAAAAGAAAAAGAGTTGTGTTAACTATTGTAAGAATATAAGAGAGACTGGAGGCGAGCACTCCTTCCGGCTTTACACAAATTTAATAAATTTAAATTATTTTTGTTTTTTGGTGAGGTCAGCCAGCCCTTGCAACTTTCGGCCGAGTAAACCAACCAACGCCTAAAAGATTAGAACGCGTGTTCAACCTCTTAGGTTAGCTCATCTTTTCAAAAGAATAGGCGAGGCGAGATCGCCTGATTCGAAAGAAGAACTGTTTTTCGGTTTTATTGTTGACTTGTTTTAGGTCTTGACCGTCGCCGGTTTGTAGATTTTAAATTAATTAATTTAATTTGGATGTGAGTGTCCAAATGGTACCGTATTTCCCAAACAGATAGAACAACAAACCAACAACAATAAAAATATTGTAACAATAACTTTCAAAGTGTCTTTTTGATGAGATTATCTCAATGAGTTCGAGTTGATAAATACACCATACCTTTTTTTTTTTTTTTTTCTCAAAGATCGATATTGAGTTGCAAGCAGTCATTATTTATATATTGACCGTTGTAGTATATTCATATTTAAATATAGAATGTCGTCGTCATCAACATCATCAGAACAACAAGAAGATTTAAACCCTACATCTAGCAAGATTACAGTGTTTAATGTGTCTGGGTCGACTGCTGGTAGCAGCAGTGGAGACTTTCATATATACAGAACGCAACGAAGAAAGGAAATAGATAGACTTGAAACAATGGAAAAAGAAAGTCAATTGGTAGGTAGGCTTACATCTATATATAAACAACAACTATCAACACAAGAATAAACAATCTAACAACACCAACAACATATATAATATAGGATCAAGAAAATAGAGAGTTTTTAACTAGAAGAGAAGAAACAAAAAAAGTAGAGGAACAAAAGGTTAAAAGAAAGGCAGAACAAAGAAAGAAGAAAAAACAAAATAGAACTCATGCTCAAATAAGAAAGAAATTAAACGAACAATTGGAAGCAACAACAATAACAACAACAACAACAAAAAATAATGAAAACGATGACGATGATGAAGATGAAAAGGAAAATAAGAAAGACGATTAATCGTTGGACACCACGCGACAAACATAATAATAATAATAATATAGGAAATTGTATATAATGAATGAAATTAAATAATATATTTATTTGAAAATAATCAAAAAGGATTTTGATGATTATTTCTTTTTTTCCCCTGGAATTTAATTTTAGGTGCAATTATTTATCTGTTGTTTTGGTTATTTACATTATTAAATAGTGGTAATAGTAGTAGTAGTAGTAGGTGGTATTATTATTATTATTATTATTATACTGGCTACAGCAGTGAATATTATTATATGGTTGGTTTTAAATAAGTTTGGTTGGTTGGTTGGAATTAATTAAATAATGGTTTAAAGTGTTGCCTATATCTGGAAGTTATCTATTTTTGTTTGTTTGTTTGTTTGTTTGTTTGTTTGTTTGTTTATACAATATATGGTCTGGTTGGTTTGGTTTGAGAGAGCGTATGGCCATATGGCCTTAAATTAATTTTGATTAAATATGGTTGGAATTATATGGTTGGTTGATTGGTTGATTGACTCTTCCACTCTTTTCTCTATCTCTTGTCTCATCCTCTTCCTCTCTCATTGTTTATTCACTTGACTCATTATTATCATCAGTTGAAACAGAAAGAGAAAGTGGTGACGGAGGAGATGGAGATAGGGGAGTGGATGGTGATACGGTGGCGGAAGAAAGATCTCTGGAAAGTAACCATGGATGAGAGACGGCTTCAAGAGCCGACATTCTCTCATCGACATTGACTTTTAAGAGTGATGCGATAAAGTGTTTGGCATCATCCGAGACACTGGTCCAGTGATCGGAGGAAAAATCGAATTTAGAGTCGATGATGGACTCTCGAAGATAAGCGGTATCTTCGTTGAACAGTAGCCAAAACGGGTAGTAGTTTAAATAATTGTCTTCACGGTACTCTTGTTGCGAAAAGAATGGTGGATAACCACACAACATGATATAGGTGATGACGCCAAGTGCCCACATATCAACTTTACAAGTGATATTTGAGTTTCCAGTGACAATTTCTGGAGCTTCATATCCCAATGTCCCAATTCTATCAGCCGATGATGATGGCGAAGATGAGGATGGTGATAAAGATGGATCATTTGGTTTACTATTATTATTTAGGTAGCCTGCAAATCCAAAATCCAACAATTTAATGGAATTGGTTCGCGAAGAAAATTTTATATTCTCTGGCTTTAAATCTCTATGTGCAATCGCAGTATGACGATTGTTATGTAAATAGAGCAATGCTCCAATTATTTGTTTGGTAATTGATTTTGCATAATCTTCTGATAATATTCTCTTTTCTAGAATTTCATCAAATAATTCTTTTCCGTCGACACTATTTTTTAAAAAATGAATAGTTTGTTATTATTTGATTTATAGATAGATATATATATATTTAGTTTTTTTACATACAAATCCATAATAATATAAACATTTTCAAGGGTTATATAAGTGTCATGTAATTTAATAATGTTTGGGTGGTCTAGTGACTTGATGATTCCAATTTCCTTGGAAACTAATTTGAAATCTTTTTTAAATATTTTCTTTGTTGGAATTACTTTTGCTGCATATTTCTTTTTATCTTTTTTATTGGTTGCACAATAAACTTTACAAGTTGATCCTCTAGAGAAGGAAATATAATTCATTAATTAGTAATTAGATTATATATATTATTTGTTTGTTTTTACATACTCTCCAATAAGAGGACCTATAGTATATGATTCATCAAATTGATTTCTATTTGTTATGATTGAACAACATGTTGTTGGTGACCTGGTTGGAGACGATGCGGCAGAGGAGCATGATTCATTTTCCGAGTCACTTCCATAGTCTAGACAATCGTCGGTACTATTATTGACTTCTCTAACACTCTCCATGAGTGCTCGTTTAACTTGGTAAGCATGATTCAATACTGTCGTGTCTGAATCTCTCTTTACCAATTTTGTAAATATTTTGCTTGGTGATCTTCGTCTTGGTGATTTTAATGAGTTTTTCAACTCTTCCTGATAAATATGTGTACCTGGTGGTACAACTTCTAATTTCATATCTATCTATATTTATAAATAATTGTCTAAAGGTTTTTCAAAAAAAAATGTAAGTTGGTTGGAGTATGAGGAGGGTATTTATGGTTTTAGAAAAAAGGAAACAGATTTAAAATTGGAAAAAGGTAAAAAATAAAATTATGAAATGAGCAAATCAAAATTCGAGACCAATTCTCTGAAATTTATATCTATTTTTTTGACAATGCAACACAAACAAAACAATATATATATTTATAAGGATTATATATATTTATTTGATTTAAATAGGGTGTGAGGAAAAAGGAAATAGGAATAATACTAATGATTATGGGGCATATAAAGTACTATACTATAATTGCACTACACTCACTGACTGACGGGCAAAAAGGAAAAATGGAAAATAGATTTAAAATCTTATCTAAAAGATTTATATTTTCTAATACATTTGTATTATAATATATTAAATGTATTGGTGTGATAGGTTGTTGTTGTTGTTGTTGTGAAGGAGGTAAGTCAATTAATTTTTGATCTATGATAATTACTATTAAAGGGGGTGGTGTTGAAAATATTATTATTATTATTGTTGTTGTTAACTTGATATCGACCTGGAAATCAAAACTGGAATTCAATTGAATAATGAATCCAATAGATTGTAAATGATAGTTGTTGGAGGTTACTGCTAAAATATTTTAAAACTCTCTCTCTCTTATGGATATTAATATATTTATATTTAGGTTTTTTAATACATATGTATGGGCTGCTTCCTTTTTCTCTTCTCTCACTTAATCTGTCACTACTCTCTCTCTCTCTCTTTAAAATGATATGAATATTATCAGTTGAGCTACAATAGCAATAACAACATTAATAATAATAATAATAATAATAATAATATGAATATGTATATAGTAGTAGTAGTAATTGTTTTTTTTATAATCAACATCATCAATTTCAACCTACATACATAGATTAATTGGTTGATATACAGAAGTAGTAGTAGTATGTAAGGTGGTGAGTTCAGTTAAACCCTCCGAACCCAAACTAGTAGTTGCATCCATCAGCATCCACACCACCACCAACGATACCACTACAGCTACCGGTGGTCCGATGAGTTTGTTGTATATCACCAAAATTTAAATTAATCAATGTAACAAGTGGTGAGTCGACTTTCATGTCAAATGAACACATTGTTGTCGTTTGATAAAGCACTACCACTACCACCCACCATGTAAATTTGGAAGGTTGAATGAACAGATACAATACAATGTGAAGTGAGGTTAGCATGGATTGGATGACTGGATCCTCCCCCCCCCCCCCCCCCCCCCTCCCACTGAAAATTATTTTGGTTGGTGTTGTGCCCCCCCTGAATGACAGTATTTGGTTGGTTGGCGGGAAGGAAAGTACTACATGCATGAGTATTCAATTGTGCTGAAGAAAGCGTAGCAGCAAAGATAAAATCTAAATCTCTAACTATCTAACTATCTATCTATCTTTTTCTCTTCTTTGTCAATCATCTATGTTTGATGATTGGCATTTACCATTTCCCACCACCACGTATACCTAGATGATAACAAAACAAAAAAAGACTTTGTGTGTGCGAAGGTGAAATGAAATCTATGATTTTCATGTTTGAATATGAGGGATACCAACAAACAAATAATTAAATTAAAAATTAATTAATTATTAATACTTCTTTTTGATGATGGGAAATCTGACTTGTAAAAAATTATCTAGTTAGATTATATTATTATTAAGATTATATTTCTTTTCTTTTTGTTTAATGATTACTAAACTACTTTTTTTTTCGTTTATAAAAAAAGGGTATTTTGAATTATTATTTTGGAGTAATCAATTAATTAAATTAATTGTTCATAAAAGGGGGCTTTTTTTGAAATTAAAAAGAACAAGTGTTCCAAAAAAACCCCTTTTAAAGAAAGTTGTCGTCAGATGAGAAACGATAGGAGACAAGGTAATAAAGAAGTTCTTTTCTTCGACCCATAACAATTAATCACCTATCTATCCCCCAGAATTGAATTGAATTGAATTGTGCTACCACTATCAAAACACAGGGATTGTGATTTTTTTTTTTATTCATCATTATCTCCTAATATTGAAATTCGAATAGATCAATCAATCAACAGATACTGTACTTACTGACTGACAGACAACAAGATAGTAAAATCATTTTGTTTAATTATCATGATCAATTAAATAAAGAAGAGAATGTTGTTTGAATTTTACAATAAACAAAAACAGAATAATAATAATAGTAATAGTCAAAGTACAGGAGGAGGAGGAGGATTACAATATCCTCGATCATTAAATATCTTTAAGAAATTAAGAAAATCATTTTACATTATTCTAGTCATCGGACTTTTACTAGTAGTAATATACCAACTATTAATCAATTATGTTTTAGTTGTAAACAGATTACAATTGAAAAATAATAATATTAACCAAAACAAAGGAGGAGAAAATCATGTCAGTGTTTTACCAATTGCAGAACTTACTATAGAAGTTACAAGTCTTGGTGGTAAAGCAGTTTATGAAAAAGTTGGTGATCATTTAGCACTACCAATTCAATATACCATTAATCAACATAATAATAACAATAATAACAAAAACAATAATAATAATAATCAAAACTTAAAAGAGATTGGATTATCAAGTAAAATCAAACCTAAAACCTTTTTAAATGCTCCCATTTTCTCATTTCTATTTGATTTCCTTCCATCATTTTCTTCACAACAAATTAATCAAGGGTCTGCTGCCATTGTAGCAGGAGTCAAAGATCTAAGTGATATTTTATCAGCTACCAGTATGTACTCTCTCTCTCTCTCGATCTATTATATCTATCTATCTATTCAACTATGTTGATTAATCTTTTTCAATCATTTGTAGGTGGTCATGGATTTGTACCAAAACAACAACCAACGATAGAAAGGAATGAACTATAAATGTGGAGAGAGTGCCAATCGTATAATTAACTTAATGGATGGGTTCCATGTCCATGCCAAAGATAGAAAATTCTATTCTATATTTTTGGAAACTATCAAATAAAGAAAAAGGCCAACATTGTTGGGCAAACAATATTATAATCTTAATATTTCATCTATAGACCAATTTATATTTGTTTACATATTATCTTGACTCTTTCTAACAACTCTGGCAACCTTCTTTTTGAAAACATCTTTTTGATTTCTCCATTCGGTCTATATATATTAAATAATAAAAAGGTTAATATTGTCTGTAATCTTTATATATATAAGCATTATATTCAAAACATACGGCAGCATCAATATTTGCGGGAGATTCATCATTTGGAGAAGACAACATGGATATTACAGAAACCAAAATAGATTCGACAGTGTGAACTGGTAACCATCTTTCACTTGCCTTTTCATAACCATAAACATCATCTCCAGGTTCATGAAGAATTGAAATACAAACGTCACCATTCTTATATACATTTGGATGCCACATTTCAGTGATGAATTTCATTTTTGGTGGTCTAAAAATAAAAAAGAAAGAAGAAGAAGAAGAAGAAGAAGTAAAGAATGAGATTTGTATTAATATTTGATATTATTCATGCTAATAAAAGTGATTGATGTTGTACTTACTTGTTTGGATAATCGGGTGTGAATGAGAGGACAGCATTAAAGTAACCTCCTTCGTAGAGGGTATCTGGTGGACCTACAATGACAATTTGCCATTCATAAATATTGGATTCATCAACTAAACCTGCAGAGAACCCTTCTACTGGGTGCTTGTTCAAGTCTAAATAGTAATCATATAATGAGTAAATGAATGTGTGTGTTAATACAATATTGTCTATCAGTTGTTGCCCTATTCTTTTGTCATCATTATAATCATACCTCTTAGTTGCTTTTTTAGCAATAATGCGCTCTGTGACATGGTGACTTGTGTGAGTGGTTGAGTATGTTGTTATATATATATAAACAAACTATGTCTTTGTTGTTGAGAGAATGATGGTGGTGGTGTATAACTGTAAACAATAACAGTGTAGTGTATGTATGATATAGGGTATAGATATATAACTAACTACTAAGAGAGTGAGAGAGGAGAAGATCGAACGAGAATATATAATAATAATATAAAAGATAGAAATAATGATACAATATCTCGAGAGTTTAAAATAAAGTAGAGTTAATAATAATAATAATAAGTTTTTACTGCTTTCTTCTTGAAAACGCACTTTGAAAAAAAAAAAAAAAAAAAAAGAAAAAAGAGAAAACTCATCAACCCCCAACGTTGGACGGATTTTTGGAATGGAATGGTTTTGGTGAATCATGGAAACTCAAGATTAAGATTATATGGCACCGACCTACGTTCATATATATATATATATATATATATATATATATATATTTCAGTTGGATCTCAACTATATAACCATCTATTATTATTAATATTATTATTCTCGTTCGATCTTCTCCTCCTCTCTCTCGCACTCTTAGTAGTTTGTTTGTTTGTTATCAATAGATATATTTGGTTGTTGGTTGGTTGGTTTGATTGATTGATTATTTTTAATGATTACTACTTTGTATTTATTCATTGTTGTCATATTCCTCCCATTGACTACTCTTTGGATTACTCATTAAATCTTCATCGAATGCATCCCAAGATGATCCATTGTTGTTTTCTTTCTTTACATTTTGTTTCTTGTTGTTGGTGGTTTTAGAGTCTGTTGATTTCTTGTCTTTTAACTTTGATAAAAATTGGTTTTTGGTCACTATTGTACAAAGATAGAAGTGTTTGTTAGTTTGAGTTGATTATATTATACCATATATTGATATAACTATGTGTGTTTAAACCTACTTTCATCCTTTTGTGGATCGATTTCATCGTCAAGGTCAGCATCGACAACTGGATTTTCAAGTTGATGTTTGGCAACGGCGTTAAAGAGTTTGATGACACCACGTTTGGCAACACGCATCTTTTCACGCTCTTCAGAGGTGATCAAGACATCGATCTTTTTGTGGCTGACACTTTCAACCATATCCTTTTCTTGTCTCTTCTTTTTCTGCTTCTTCTTGGTCTCTTCTTGGTCTGCTTCATCCTCTGTCTTTTTCTTTTTGTACTTTGAAAGAATCGGTGCACCTCCACTCTTGACAATAGCTGGTTCCTTTCTCAAAATAGATTCCATAATATTAGAGAATCTGTCTGGGTCATTCTTTTGTTGGTTTTGTTTCTCTCCTTGTGTTGGTTTCTTTTGTTGTTTCTTTTTAGGTTGTTCTTCTTCCTCTGACTCTGAACTACTCGAATCAGAGTAACTATCTTCTGATTCATCTTGGCTATCTGATTCATCTTCACTACTGCTATGATAATCTATAGATTACACAAACAAACAAACAAACAGACAAACAAATTGTGTTAATACACAACTCTTAAACTCTTTTCTATTCCCCTATACGATAATTTGTTTGATTGATAAAAGACATACCTTGTTTATAAACTCTTTTAACCTTTTCACCTTTCTCTTGTTTGATCTTTCTCTCCTTTCTCTTTTTGGATCTATATTTTTTCTTATCCTCTCTAGTTTCAAATGAAACAACACCTAACTTTTTCTCTATGCTTGGTTCCATCTCTTCTTCTTTGTTTGTTTAATATATATAAAAGTGGCGTATAAATATATATTAATATTAACCTATCTTGCAATGCGAAAGATAATCGTGCTCAAAATAACGAACGAAAGAGTGTCGTCTTTGAAAAATTTATTTATTGTTTGATTTTCCAAACTTTGCAAAAATAATTAATTATAATAGTATTATTATTATGGATTCCTATTCAACTCAACAGTGTATCCTATCAATTATCTTGAGATAGAATTCGTTGTAGATAAGATAGATAGATAGATAGATAGATATAATATAGACCAACACAGAGAATAGACTAGACTTTGTTGTCATTATTAAAAATGATAATTTTTAAATATTTTTTATAAACCCAAACATTTTTATCTCTCTCTGACTCTCTATACATCATGATGTAGTGTGTCGATATTCATTCCTTCTACTTGTAAAAAGAAAATAGATAGACGGATAGACAGATAGATAGATAAATAGATAAGATAGAAAAGAAAGGAAACAACCTATCAGAAGATTTCAAGGATGATTGGTCATTATGAGGGATCAAAACAACTTTTCAACCCCCTCTCCTTGCTCACCCAATGGTTTTTTGGTCAGCTCTCTCCTTTCAAACAACATTGTGTTGTTGTTGATAGAGTGTTGATAGCGAAAGCATAGGAGGTGTAGGGTGGGTGGGTTGTAATGGGTCGATAGCCAGCCAGTCTAACATGAAATGGGAAAGAAACAGTACCCCACTGTACTAATTAATTTATATTTGCTCTGCACCCAGTACTAGTAGAGATACAACAACAACAAAGTAGTCTATCCCTTCTCCTCTTTTTTCCTTTTATATTGTTTGAAGAAGAAGAGTGTTTGATTAATTATATTTAATTCGTAATATTAGTAATATATTAGTAATATTATATATAAAATCATTACACAAACAACAGCAATAACAATAACAACAAGACAACAACAACAACAAAGATTGCAATAGTTTATTATACCAAATACCAATACCATTATTATTATTAAATAGTTTTATTGTATAATTAAAGTTTTAAAAGAAATAGTAGTAGTAAAGTTAGATAGATAGATAGATTAATACTAATCAAAAGAGAGAGAGAGATTTAAATCATGATGATGGATAATGCAGTAGAGGTGATAACCTCGGCAAATTCTTCTTTGTTGTTAAAAGACAAAGATAAAGATGCATCACTACTACTCTCAAAGGACAATATTGATGATGAGGAAGATGAGGAAGAAGAATCAGGTGCCGATAGAGGAAAAGCAAAGAAAGAGGATGATGTCAAGATGTCAGATGATCATCTCATCGATGATGACAGAGACAACAACAAGAATAATAAGATGACAATAGATGATGAGAATGAAGACGACGAACATCAATTACCTCGCGACAAGGACGACCCAGACGACATCGACACCAAGGATACTTCTTCTAAAGCTAAAGACACTGACAATGAGGATACTTCAGCCGATGGAGAGGATGACAGCGACCGTCCAATGGTTACAAACACCACCAGTTCGTTACTGGCAGCGGCGGCAGCAGCGGCAGCCGCATCGTCAGACCAAGAAAATAACCCAGCCAGTGGTGGCGAGTCAATTGGCATGGAATATATTTCAACCAACGATCCAACCAAAATCAAGATATCGTTAAAGTCGAGCTCGACCAACTTTGCTCCAGTCAGCAGCGATGGAGAGGGTGGCGACGATGCAAAGTCAATGGCGTCGGCCAAAGATGACGATGAAGAGGAGGAGATTATCAATCAAAATGCATCGTCAACTGCCGCCACGAGAAATGGCACTGGCAATGGCATCTCGGACGCCCTCGCAAAGAGCGGATCAAGCAGCCGTCCATACAACATCAAGTCGTCGCTTGACTTTACGCGGTTCAATAACTCTAATATCCATTTTGGAGGTGATAGCGAGGGTGACAAGTTGGATGGAGAACTGTCAGACGACCAACCAGTCGGTGCACAAATACAAACCCACTCTCATACACAACCTGCAGCACTGCATCAAAGAGATAGTAGAAACAGTATAAACAATCTAAATAATAGTGACTTGATGGATGAAGACGAGCCGTCCATGACAATGACCACAACCACCACCACGACAACCTCTACAAGTAACAAACATATCATGTCACCTCATCCAAACAAGGCACTATCATCGTCGTCTGGTAACAATCGAACATATAGTTCTACATCGTTGTTGGATGCTGACAAGGAAGTGATTCAAATACAACAACATCAGCAGCAATTGCTGCTCCAACAACAGCAGGCCAGTGGTGGCCGTCCACCTACTCCCCAGTACCCCCAACATTTGTATGTTCCTCCTCCTCCATCAAAGTCTAATCAAACTAGTCAGAATCAAAATCATGCTGCTGTTTTAATGATGGAGAGACAACAACAACATCAACATCAACAACAACAAATATTATTACAACAACAACAACAACATCAACAACAACAACAACAGCAACAACAACAACAACAACATCAACAACAAAGAGGTAGAAAGAGAGCACAATCAATGGAAGAAAAATATAAATCAACACTTTATCCTCAACAACAACAACAACAACAACAGCAACAACAACCACATTCAAATACAAAAGAAAAAGTATTCTATCAATATGTTGGTCCGCATCAACAAATGTCGTCAACTACACACCAGTTATTTAATAATCAACAACAACCACTTCAACAACAACAACAACAACAGCAACAACAACAACAACAACAACAAACACAACAACAATTACTTCAACAATTGAATGGATTTGGCTCTGGATTGAGCAGCAGCAGCGGCGGCATCGAAGAATCCTCTAGTGTAATACCACCAGAACAACTTGTTGGAAAGAGAAGGAGAAATCCAATGCCACCACTTCCACAAGCACCTCAACATCTTATGGTTGATGATGATTCTGTGGCTGCGGGGTTTGAAACCTCAAATGGCATTCGTAATCTCATGATCAAAGTTGAACGAATGGAGCGAGAACGTGAAGCATTGATCAATGAGAACAAGCGATTGAAAAAAGAATTGGTCGAATTGGAAACAATTGGACAAAGGGCAACAATATCAATCAGCCAACTTTTGGATGATACATCTCGTCTTAAAAGTAGTAAAGATATTCTAACCAATCGTAATGCATTGTTACAACAAACCAATGAAATCATTCAAACTCAATTGAAAACTTTATTATCTTGTTGTTCTCCTACTCATAATTAAAAAAAGTTTAAACAAACAAAATAATAATAATCGTAATAATAATAAAACCATATAATCCAATTAATAAATAATGTTGTTTAATTTATTTCATTCCTATTTACATTTAATTTTACAAGCCAAAAGGTTGTGTATCAACCCATTATGATTGTTGTTGATGTTGTTGTTGTTGTTGATGTTGTTGTTGTTGATGTTGTTGTTGTTTTAATTGATCATATTCTTTAAATACAGAATCTATATCATCAAGATGATGAAGAATAATCTTTGTAAATTCATGTGATATATCTAATTCACTCTTGAGTCCAAAACTAGAATGATCAAATGGAGCAACATCTGTCATTGAGTCTACAAATTCCATTAATCCTTTATGAATATCATTCTATAATAAAGATAGCTCTTGTTAGTAATTATATCATCTAAAGATATAGGATATGTACTAATAGTACTATGTTATCATCATACCTTTACTAAATTGAAATAACGATCAGATGTTTGTTTAAAGTCTTGAATTGATTGAGTAGAGTTTTGAACATCATATGCTTTTGACAATGAGTTGAGAGCTTTACCTGCACTGTTTACAGATTCTACCACTTTATCTTCAATGTTATTAAGTAATGTCAAAGAGTTCATAGTCTACCATACATATATAAATTAAACCTGAACTAAATGAACAAGTGCGAAATCTAATTTGGTAATCAAAAAAAACTATTCTAAATATTAACTTTTATTGTATGGATGATATCTATGTTGCAGATTATTATTATTGTTATTGTTTGTACCATCATTATTATTATTAATATCATTATTATCATCATTATTATTTGTATTATTATTATTATTATTATTATTATTATTATTATTATTATTATTATTATTTTCGTTCAACTATAGAATTGTTTTCATTATTTATATTATCTTTAGTTTCTGTATTATTAATGATTTGATTAAAAGGATCAATTGTTTCAAAGTTTAAAGTACCAATTGAATGATGTTTATCTTTTTTCTTTAATTTGTTGAATGGTAACATTAATTTCCAAGAGTGTAACATCATTCTTGGAGTGAGTGGATCTTTATCGCCATAAGTTTCGTCACCCACTATAACATGTCCAATTGAAGCCATATGAACTCGAAGTTGATGTCTTCTACCAGTATGTGGAAACAGTTGAATTTTACTGACTGCTTTGCCATTAAGTGTTCCATGTTCGAGTACTCGATACTTTGTTAATGATGCACGTCCTGCATTGGTTGATCCAGCAACACCAATTACCATCTTAAAGTTTGTAGGGTCATCTTGCATCTCTGCAATCGGGCTATCAATTGTCATCTCTGTGTTGTTGTTGCCGTCATAGACGGGATGAGCGTGTCCCCAAACGATTGCAAGATACTCTTTCTTTGTCTCTCTGGAACTGAATAGATTCATTGCACTGTTTGTTGCCTCTTTGGTGAGTGCGGTCAGAACAATACCACTCGTTGCATAGTCGATACGATTAGCAAACCTAACCAAACCTTTTAACTCTGGGAATCGATTCTCTATAAACTTTAGCACTGTATGTTCTCGATCATCACCATCAATACAAACATCTATAACAAACGAGTGATGTCAGCAATGCTTTGTATGTACTAGCATCATCATCATAGTTGACATACCAAATGGTTTGTTGATAGAAATGAAACAATCTGATTGATAGATGATATCAAAGTGAGGATTTTGAGGAGGAGTACGACCAATATACTCAGTTGCATTTAATGACATCATCTTTGCAACAAGTTAATAAATATATAACAACAATAATAATAGTTGATCATAATGATCAAGAGATGAAGTTATTGTTGTTATGAAAATTTTAGATCAAGAGAATACATTTTTTCAAGAGTTCTCTTTGAAATCCATATTTTATTAATAATTACAGCAAAAGTAATCCAAAAAAGAAACAATATACCTGATTGAATTTTAATGAATACTTGGATTGTTATTTGTGTTTGAATAAATATTATTATTATAAAAAAAATCCTACTAAATTGATTGTATTGTTTTTTTTTTTTAGTACATGAATATTCATATCCTTTGAATAACTTTCTTTTCTAGCTGATCTTGAATGGAAAATATTTCTCTTTTCTTTAAATTGTTTTTTAAAGTCTTTTAATTCCATGTTGCCATCTAAAAATTCTTGAGCCAAGTTGTCAGATACTGATTCTGAATCGTTGACAGCATCTGATAGTTTAGTATAAACGGCATGTGAAGAGAATTTTTGTTCAATTGCTTTTCTTTGATCCATCTTTTCTTGACACTCTGATTTTAATTGTTGATACAATCCCATTTGTTCATCCAAATTTGATCTTGTTTCTGTAATTTCTGTTTGAATCTTTTCAATTGCAACTATAATTGTTTTAAATAAGAAAAGGAAAGGATGTTTAGTAATAGGAACTTTTTTATATATCTACTCCCATTTGTTCGTACCATTATATTTTTGATTTTCAAGTTCTAAATTCTCCTTTTCAACAGACATTGCACTCACTTCATCAAGTGAAAAGATTAAATATTCCAAATCATCTGATTGTAAAAGTTCCAATAATTCTTCTTTTGTCTTTGTTTCAAGTTCTGGGAATGCAGTTGGTAGTGATGGAATGGCACTTTTTTTTGTATTGTTGTTGTTGTTGTTGTTGTTGCTGTTGTTGTTGCTGTTGCTGTTGTTGCTGTTGTTGTTGTTGTTGTTGTTGTGTTGTTTGTACATTAGTTGTTGTTGTTCCTGGTGAATATGGTGGTGGTGGTCCTTTTGGTGATTGTTGTTGCGTAGGTTGTTGTTGAGCATTATAATAAGTTGGTGGTGGAGAATATTGAGAAGTAGGAAAACGTGGAGGATTCTTGGAGTAATATTCAATATATTCCATAATCATTTTACTTAGATTGGTTTGTGGAGTCCAGTTGTTTGGTGGACTGATCGATAATGTTTGTCCATCACCAGACTCCAAAAAGAATGCTGGAGGTGAATTTGGGAAATAGATTGGTAATGATCTAAATAAAAGAATCAAATCGGTATATTTGTTAATAATCAAGAAGAAGAGTATCTAACAACCAACAAATAATATTATTATCATATCATACATAACAAGTTGAATACCTCCTAATAAAGGTATCTTATATGTTGACTCTTTTGCAATCTCTTTGATTGTTGGGTATCTACTCTTTAAACTTTCAATTTGTTTCTGTTTCCTGTGTATAATGAATGATGATTAAATGATAAGTTCAAGATATCGATATAGTAGTCTTATGTTTAAACAAGTTACTTACAATACCAACAACTCATTCTTTTCTTTGGTTGACATGATATTATATGATTATATTATCTATTTTATCTCTTTACTTTATTTATATATACACGTGAAAATAGAAGTGAACTTTGATTAATAGGTTGTTGTTAACTTTTGCCTTGCTTTCTCCCCTCAAAAAGAAAATTAAACAAGAATGAATCTAATCCTCGAAAAGTAGGTTTTCTTTTTTGCAGTGTTTTCAAAAACAAATGGAAGGGTTATTTATTTATTTATTATTATTAATAATGATTATTTGTATTTGTAATTAAAAGATAATCATCAAGTTGTCTAGCTACTAAATAGGTATCTGGATGATCGATTTGGTATTGATTAAATGCTTTAATTAATGTAAAACTACTACTATTTTCTTGACCATAGTTTAGACGTAATCTTTTAAATGTGCGACTCTGTTGGATGGAATCAAAAAGAAGATTACATTTTGTTTGAGTGCAACCAACAATACTTGTAGATAATTTCTTGATACTCTTTGAACGGGATATTAAATCGGTCACATAGTCCCAGCCATCTCCTTGTAAAAGATACAATTTTCTTAGTCTGGGCAATTGATCCAATTCAAATCCATAGAGATAGGCACTCGACTCGTTGATCCTTCGCATGTTTATTACTAGGGTTTCGAGTGTTGGAATAATGAGAGGTGATCCAATGTCGATATCATCGGGACTGTCAATACCAAAGTATAGTTTGGTGAGTTGAGTGTGTGCAAGTATTCTGAGCCATTCGCGACTCAAAAATATTCTGTCTAGTGATCTGAGGTGTTTAGCCCTTTCGACATACTCTCTAAACTCTGGTGTAGATGTCCTATTTTGATGAATCGATATAGATGTCACTGTATTTGGGATCATATTTGTCATCGTTGACCCGAATCGACTGAGAGTTAATTTGGTGAGACGTGGCAACACTGACAGTGCAGAGAGTACCATTTCAAAGCCATCGTTTGGAGGGTCAACATCATCTGATATATCGACAGATTCAATCAATTGACATTGTTGAAATAGTTGGGTGCATTCATCAGCGTCAAATGGAAAGACCGATCTAAACTCGATACTCTTCAGATTGGCCAACTTGGGTGATTGTTTGTCCATGTCTAACAGCATCTCAAAAAACAAGCAATAACGGAGTATAGGACCGGAATGTTGCTGCTTGAATTCGGTGGTGTGTTTAACGCGTAGACTCTCCAACTCTGGCATTGGCAATGCCAACAATTCTCGGTTGATCGTGTTTTCCTCTAAACTCTGAATCTCTAGCTCTCGTATCTTGGTTGAGACAGACACTAGTAGCTCAGAGTTTTGATTGGACATGGGAAACCAATATGGACCAGGTGTGAAATTAAGTCTTGTTGGGTACTGGCATAGGGCATATGCACTACGTTGTCTTTGCTTGATTGGATAGTAGTATTTGTTTACAACAAAGTCTCTTTCATATCTAACGGAATCTGGCATTGGAAAGCTTGGTTTCAATCGAGTGGTCGACGATTGAAGTGCAGACTTTACAATGTCAAACCATTTCTTGCATACACTTGCTAGTGACAATAGTTGATAGGTATCATTATCAATGACACAGTCCGTAAAGAGTAGATTGACAATGATTTGTGTTACATAGACTGGTATTTGAATCTCTTGTAATCTTTTTTGTAGTTGTTCTTGTTGTTGTTGTTGCTGTTGTTGTTGTTGTTCTTTTTGTTTGTTTCTTTGTTTTTGTCTCTTTTCTTTTCTTTGTTTATCTTTCATTTATTATTTTACCTCTACTACTACTACTAAAAGAAGATGATTCAAACAACAATGATCAACCAACTAAACCAAAAGAGCAAAACATTTATAGTTTGGTTGTTGCCGTCTCGACTAGAATTTAAAAAGAAAGATATATTAATATCCTGTGACCTTGAATAATTAGATTGTTTTCAGAAACATTATTTATCTTTACATAAAAGAGTGAACTGATTCTCTTCTCTTTTTCTTATTTATTTATAAGGGGTTTTTTATATAATATTATATACGACGTCGATCCACTGGACAATCAATCGAATGATTACCAATGGGATGAAGAATCATATAATAAAGGATTTCGTTGTAGTTTGAAAATTGGTGTTGTTGTTGTTGTTGTTTGGTTTGTTGTTGTTGTTGTTGTTGTGACAGGTTATTGTTCTTTGTTATAATATTACTACTATTATTAAAATTTAATCTTGACGAGCTAAAAGTTTCTTCTTGTATGTCTTTGCTGGAGTACTATAAAAATAAACAAGGAGTATTAATAAATATGAAATGACTATTGTCTATCAGGTTCCAGTTTCATCCAACTGGATTAAATAAATGAATATTAATAGTAATATTTACATGATTGTAACTTCAGCACCCCAACCACTCATAGCATCTCTTTCAATCGATGATAACATGCATTGAGAAACTGTTTCGAAAAGTTCATCCTCATTCTAAAATAAATAAATAGTTTATGTTAGCAAGTATTTCTCTTGGATATCTCTCTCTCTCTCTCTCTCTCTCTCTCTCTTTTTCATTCTTCTTATTCTATTGCTTCTTACCATATCCTTCTTATATAAAGTTTCACACAAACCATACATGGCAGGAGTCATTGTTCCAACCAATAAAAAGTCTTCGGTATATACAGAGGCACCAATGAGATCCATGCCAGAGATGAATGGTTTATCTTGTGTATCTAATCCACAAATAACTGGTTCTGTAAAGTATGGTCCGAATCTATAAATATTATTAATAATGTGTTCTATCTCTAAATAATCTTTAATTCAATCATTACCTCTTTTCATATAACATATTACCAACTAAATTTGAAAGTACTTGTGGTGTCATATCTCTCTCTTCTCTTAATTTATACAAGTTGTGTCTAAATACTAATTTTTGATATCTAAACATATATGTAAAAGTTGATAGGAAAATAGGATGAATCGATTAGTTACTACTCTTCTTTACACATGCTAGACTGCTGCTTGATTGCTTGCTTGACACATACAAAGTTTGAGCATCTGTTACAAGACCAGAGATACCAATGAAACACTTATCATTGATTCTGTAGACCTTTGGATGATTATTAGATACGGTTTGATGTTGAATACCAAATCTAAGATCGGTAGCGATAGCTACACAGTTCTTGCCAGTCATTACAATGACGGCACCACCATTATATGCCATAATACTCATCTTGTCTTTTCTTCTTTATTTAAATATATATATATGTATTATGTGTATGTATTACGTTTTAATTTAATAACTTTGATGAGAATCATCACACAAAAAAAAAAAGTGAACATCACCTTTTTTTTTAATTTTTTTTTAATTTAATTTATTTGATTAATTATAATTAATATACTATTACTATTACTATTATATGTTACATATTAAAGAGAGAGAGTACATATGTGTTTGTGGTGATTATTGTTTCTTCTCTATCTATCTCTTTTATCTTCTATCAAAATCCAAACCATTGAATATTCTTAAATCCATTTCATAGTGTTGTGCAGCCAAGTACAAGTCTCTAACGTATCGTTTGCTATAGTCAGCCATCGTTTTAATAGATGCTACTTGTTGTTCTATTCTACTTCTAACTCTATCTGGACGGATGTATTCATCGTTACTTAGGCCATGTGTTTGGTAGTTGCGCTTTTCAATCATGTTGTCAATCTTTAGGTCTACCATGTTTTGGTCTCTGCTTCCCATTCTATAGTTGGATTCATGATCATTACCAACTGATGGGTGTGCTTCTAGTATCTTGGCTGGGACGATATGTCTTGCATGACTCTCACCACCTGCACCAGCACCATGTTCTTTTCTATATTGTTGTTCAAACTTTCTTCCTGCACTTGACATTCCACAAACAATCAACAAACAACTAACTTCTTCTTCTTCTTCTTCTTTTTCTCTGTATCTTTTAATTGTAAATGATGATAAAAGAGTTGATCATCCGTCATGTCATGTTGTTGTTGTCGATGATCAAATTTCTTCAAACTTTCTCCAGGATAGCGAAATATTAGGTCTTGTGTGGACTCCCCCATCACCATCATCGATGGGTTTTCATCTCCTACCTTTCATCAATCAAACAGTGCGATAAACAAAAAAAATAGATAGATAGATATCTAACGATTGATGGTCAACGTAGACAACTCACAATCAAACGTCATTTGGCTCTTCCTCTCCAGACATTTTTTTTTTTTTTTTTCGTTTGATCAGGTGTTGGTCGTTCATCATTATTAATAATATCTTCACACGACTCCTTCACCTTCTTTTTTAAATAGATAGATAACTTTTTATTTACTTTGATTAATCGAACAAGTACTTTCACCTTACCCCTCATACTCGAAGTGTTTCTTTCACATTTAATCTATATCTATCTATCTATCTATCTTATTCCATCACTCCTCCACCCACCCCCTTTTTCAACACAACAATAATACATACAAATATATAAATATACTTTAGAGATGAAAAGTTTACTTAAACCATCAACCATTGCATTAGCCACTATTGGTGGTGGTATTGGTTTATTCTTGTACAAGTTCCTTACAATGGAGAATGTTTCCAATGGAGAGGGTGGAGCTATTGCCTTTGGTCAACTTTCACCAGAAGAGTATGCTGCTAGAACCGCCAAAAAGGAAAAGAAGGAGCGTTATGTTCAACCAAAAGGTGACGTTGCACCCATCCTCATCCTCTACGGCACTGAATATGGTTTGTCGGCCGAATTGGCACAAAAGCTCGAAAGCGAGATCAGTGAGATCAGCGGCATGTGGGCTCGTGCCGTCGACATGGAAGAGTTTGAGATGTTGGAACTTGAAAAGGAACAACTTATCCTCATCATCACCTCGACCTTTGGTGATGGTGTGCCACCCACCACTGCCCGTCCCTTCTTTGACTACTTGGAGGCCAACGCCAGCCAACTCCGTCTCTCGCAGGCCAAGTTTGCCGTGCTCGCACTTGGCGACCGTTCCTACCCATACTATTGCCAAGCCGGCAAGACTATGGACCGTCTCTTTGAAGAGGTTGGCGCCGCCCGTATCAAGGACCGCGTCGACGTTGACCAAGAAGACTGGCCCGTCTTTGACCGTTGGTTCAAGAGCATCATTGACATGTTGCCATCACTTGGCCTCGAGTGTCGTCCATCAGACTATTTATACGAGCGTGCCAAGACATTTGCCGCCAACGCTGGCAAGCACAACAAAAAGGTGCCATTCAGCGCCAAGCTCGTTGCCAAGCAGTTGCTCACCAACCCCAACAACCGTGACAAGGAAGGCTACCACTTTGAGTTTGAGTTGGCCGACTCTGAGCTCAAGTGGATCCCCGGTGACTCGCTCGCCGTCCTCGCCCACAACCAGGCCTCCGAGGTGGCCGCTGTCGTCGCTCAGCTCAAGTTGCAGGCCTCGCTAAAGGTCGCCACCCCCGGCTGGCACTACCAAGAGAAGTTTGGTGCTTCCAACGCCTCCACCATCACCCTCGAACACATCCTCACCAAATGCTACGATTTGCACAATGTCAAGCCAGAGTTACTCGTCCTCTTGCGCGACCACGCCAAATCAGCCGATGAAAAGGCCAAGCTCGCTGCCCTCGTCGCCGACGGCACCAGCAAGAGCAACGCCGCTCTCCACACCTTCCTCGAGCAAAACCATCTCGTCGACGTCCTCAAGATGTTTTCATCTGCACGTCCACCCATCAACGACGTTCTCTCGAACCTCTCTAAATTGCTCCCACGTTACTACTCTATTGCTTCATCGCAAGCTCACAATGACAAGACTGTCTCGTTGTGCGTAGCTATTGTCCGTTACCAATTGAACGGATCTGAACGTATCGGTGTCGCTTCTACCCACATGTCTGACCGTCTCAAGATTGGCGATCAATGCTCCATCTTTGTCAACAACAACCCAGATTTCCGTCTCCCATCTGATCCATCCACCCCAATCATTATGATTGGTCCAGGAACTGGTATTGCACCATTTGTTGCATTTATCCAAGAACGTGTCAAGATTGGCGCCACCGGCGAGAATCACCTCTACTTTGGCAGTCGTTCCTCCAAGATTGACTACCTCTACAAGGATGTCCTCGAGTCGTACGCCAACGACAATATCATCAAACTCAACACTGCCTTTTCTCGTGAAACCGACAAAAAGGTCTATGTCCAAGACAGACTCTTGGAAAACAGTCAACAAGTCTGCGATCTCATCCAATCTGGTGGTCACATTTACGTTTGTGGTGATGCCAAGCACATGGCTGTCGACGTTCATCAAACCCTTCAAAAGATCCTCGTTCAACACCTTTCAATCGATCAAGCAGAGGCTGAACAATTCCTTCATCAATTGGAAAAACAAAAGAGATACCAAAAGGATACTTGGTTCTAAACAAAAATGAAATTAAATTAATACTAATAAACTTATATAAATATACAAATCAATTTTACGCTAATAAGGTATTAAGGATCATTGGGCATGCTAAGAAAAAGAACAAAATGTTTATTTTACTAATTAGCTAATTTAAATTAGCTGTGAAATTGGGATGGACAGTTTGATTGTGGCCACAACCTCTTGTAGAGCATCTTTTGGGGTTTCTTCCTCGGAACCAAGTACATTCACAATTTCCAGATCGTCCCCCTTTGCACCTAGTAGCACGCAAGAATTCCTCTTTTTCCTCGTTGTTCCATTTGGGCATCTGTGCCAACTCACGAATGCGATCAGTACTGATGGTTGGGAGTCGAAATAATGTGGGGAACCATTCTCCAAGTGGTCGTTGTCAGTTATTGGGATATGATCAGATCCCATTTGGTAGTTTGTTTGATCCCGAGGTTCTTGGTTGTTTGGTTGGTCGAGAGGTATCTGTGGGGGTGACTCAAAATCAAACTGGAAAGAGTCATCAACCGGATGGTTTGGTTGACCTGGAGGTGATTGGTTGTTTGGTTGGTCGAGAGGTATCTGTGGGGGTGACTCAAAATCAAACTGGAAAGAGTCATCAACCACCGGATGGTTGGTTGACCTGGAGGCGATTGGTTGTTTGGTTGATCATGAGGTGCTTATTGTTTTGTTGATCATGAGGTGCTTGGTTGATTGGTTGATCTTGAGGCGGAGGGATTGTCCTCGATTGAGAGTTTTTCGATTTGGTCTGGTAGAAAATGGGTTTGGGATTCAGTACCCATTGGGGATCCTACCCTTTCCGATAAAAGATACTTTCTATGGAATCTTGAGACTTCATTAAAAAATTGCTCAAGAGGCTCTTGGTCATACTCTTCTGTCTTTCTTTCATGTTTATCCTGTCTGTTGTATCTTGGGAAACTGATGCAGAGTGTCAGGTTCTAGAAAATATTAAAGGAAAAAGTTAATGTCTATCTGCTCAAGGTTTGAGGAAATGTTGATACATACTCTTAAGAGTGTCAATAGCTGCTTGAATATTACGTGCTTTTCCAAATGAGATACGAAAAGATCGAAGGAGTGGTACCGTCATAATTCTAAGATCATCTCCATCTATATCTTCCTCATTCAAAGTATGGGCATGGTCTTTAACATCGTCCTCTTTATGGTTCATTGCCCATTCATATACCTGAGCTCTTGACTAGTCTTGCCAATCAGTTTTTGGTTCTCCTGTAACTGAAAATATAACAAACCAGTTTCCATCTCTCGAAAGTAGGTCAGTTTCAAACTAAATTGGAAAAGATTCTTTTAAATTAAGATGTATTCTGAAAAGGGAATAATAAGGAAAAGTAATAAACTATGAATAACTCTTGAGGTCACACCTCTCTGTTTTATAAAAAAAATGGAAAATTAAATTTATAATTTATTATCTTTAAGCTCTTTTGAACAACTTAATAAAACTATAATTTATAAATTTTAATCATACTACAGTGTAAATAATGAATCAAACACTGCAAGTCGTTGGTGTTTGTGTCGAAATAGAGTGAGAGAGGGATTAAAGTATAGAGAGAAAGAGAAAAAGAAAGAAATAAAGACTATCAATTGTTTTGTTTTTTTGGGGTTTTTGAACACTACGAACGAACGAGGATAAAATCTACTCGTCAGCTAGATGGTTCGGGGTGAGTTTATTATTTTTACAACATTATATATATTGAAGGGGACAGGGGGGGCAAATTGCTTAGAAACACTTTCTGTGGACGATGGATGGACCAGACTCGTCGTATTCCTCCTTGGAGATCCACATTTGTTGGAAAGTGGAGAGGGAGGCAAGGATGGAACCACCGATCCAGACAGAGTACTTACGCTCAGGTGGGGCGATGATCTTGATCTTCATGGTGGATGGAGCAAGGGCAGTGAGTTCCTTGTTCATACGGTCAGCAATACCTGGGAACATGGTGGTTCCACCAGAGAGAACGACGTTACCGTAGAGATCCTTACGGATATCAACATCACACTTCATGATCGAGTTGTAGGTGGTTTCGTGGATACCAGCAGATTCCATACCGAGGAAGGATGGTTGGAAGAGGGCTTCTGGGCAACGGAAACGTTCGTTACCGATGGTAATGACTTGACCGTCTGGTAATTCGTAGGACTTTTCGAGTTGAGAAGAGGTGGCAGCAGTTTGCATTTCAGACTCGAAATCGAGGGCAACGTAGGCGAGCTTTTCCTTGATATCACGGACGATTTCACGTTCGGCGGTGGTGGTGAAAGAGTAACCACGTTCGGTGAGGATCTTCATGAGGTAGTCAGTAAGATCACGACCAGCGAGATCGAGACGGAGGATAGCATGTGGGAGAGCATAACCTTCATAGATTGGAACAGTGTGGGAGACACCATCACCAGAGTCCATGACAATACCGGTGGTACGACCAGAAGCATAGAGTGACAATACAGCTTGGATGGCAACGTACATGGCTGGGGTGTTGAAGGTTTCGAACATGATTTGAGTCATCTTTTCACGGTTGGCCTTTGGGTTGAGTGGGGCTTCAGTGAGGAGAACTGGGTGTTCCTCTGGGGCAACACGGAGTTCATTGTAGAAGGTATGATGCCAGATCTTCTCCATATCATCCCAGTTGGTAACGATACCGTGTTCAATTGGGTACTTCAAGGTGAGGATACCTCTCTTGGATTGGGCTTCATCACCAACGTATGAATCCTTTTGACCCATACCGACCATGACACCGGTGTGTCTTGGACGACCGACGATGGATGGGAAGACAGCACGTGGTGCATCATCACCAGCGAAACCGGCCTTGCACATACCAGAACCGTTATCGATAACTAAAGCCTAATGTAAAAGAAAAGTAAAAAAATGGAAATTAATTAGCATTTGAAAATGAGGAGTAGATGAGAGCAGTTGCTTGATATTGTTTTTTTAGTCTCTAGAGATACATACTTGAACGTCGTCAGACATATTGTATTATATATTATATTGTTGAATAAAAAACTGACTTGAATGATGAACAAGAGCACTCTTTTATGCTTGCTGTTCCCCTGCAAGGGAATGAATAAACCCATTTATTAATTTTTTTTTTTATGGCTTGAAATGGGTTTTTGAACAGCAAAAACAAATATTTTGACAGGGATTTTTTAGTTTTGTGGTGCGGGAGGGGGTGTCATTTTGATCGAATTCAAGACAGGATATTTTTTTAGTAAATAATTGGCACATACTTGCTCATTTCAATGATTTGTGAAATTTTTTTTACCCAACCCACCAAGATATACACTGCAAACTTTACCTCGAGAGGTTTGGAATGGATGAATGGTTAAGGAGGAAAGAAAGTTAAGTTGAGCGTCTCCTCTAGATAGATCTGTCTACTATGATGTTAAAATTCTAAAAAAGTAAATTTATTATTATTATCACTGATTGATTCATCAAAGATTAGTTTGGATTGATCAGTAACAGTTTGTTTGGTATGATGTAATAGTAAATCTTGTCTATTATCAAATGACAAGGTTGTATTTAGGTTTTTGGTAGATGTACGATAGTGTTTATGATAGTTGAGTAAAAAGGTATTGACTTTTGACATTAGGAATGGTCTATGTATATTATCATCATTGATAGGGTTGTTGGTTGTTTGTATCATATTATAGGACTTGTCAAACATTGTCAAATGATTTGATAGAATATCTAATAATTGTGTATCTTGTAATTGGCATATACTATGAATAATTTGGTCGGTTGACATGAATGAATCCAAGTATTCCAAATGTGGATGATTTAATAGTATCCTTTCTATTTCCATCGTTCTTTTACAAAGACATAATTCTAAAAACAATTGATTTGGTATCATTCTTGCAATGATTAATTGTTCTATAATATCCCAACGTCCACATTTGGTAATAGCCACACTACAAGATATATCCAAATCCTTTTTTGTAATTTCAGCATAACCAGTTACAACACCTTTGTTAAAGTATTGTAATACATCTAATCTAAAATGATCGGCATACGCCAAAAATGATTGCATATCTACCCAATGTTTACCTTGTACTGCTAAATGATTAGACATTCCAATTACTTGTTGAAAAGGATTGAACTTGGCAAACAAATCAAATAGATCCTTTCTACAAGAATATCTTCTTTCATCCAATGATTGATGGTTTTGTTTGTGCATTGATTCTAATATTCTACTACCAGATTGCGGGTTTGCTTTGATTCTATGAATGTATTGTTGTAACAAATAGTCAGAGTCAAACTTGAAGGATGTCTTGACCAATAGATAACAGACTAGTGCTGTTTCACGATCTTTCATATAATAATCAAACATTTGATGTAGTTTTGATGGATTACAAACAAACGAGTTGATTGTACCTCTTTCAACACGACCATAAGATTGTCTTGGATTTCTACCAAAATCTCAATCATTTAATTTGATTACATATGAATAGACCAATTTACGTAAATATATATTATAATGTAATACATTCTTTACTTTTTCTTCATATTGAAGATTAAGAGAAGAAGTAGTAGTAGTATTATTCATTAAAAAAAAAAGTTTAAATAATGAAAACTAAAAAGGATTCTTCTTGTCTTGAACATCACCCATCATCTTTTTTAATTTATTTAATTAATATTCAAAAAAAAAAAAGTAAATTTATTATTATTATTACCAATTGATTCATCAAACATTAGTTTGGATTGTTCATTGGTTAGTTTGGTATGATGTCGTAGTAGATCTTGTTGACGGTTGAATGAATTAAAGGTAGTGTAATTGGCATATACTACGAACGGCTCAGCAAAATGTGGATGATCTAAGAGTATCATTTCAACCTTTTACAAAGACATAGTTCCATAAACAAAGAGTTTGGAATCATTCTAGCGATGATCAGTTGTTCTTTAATATCCCAACGTCCACATCTGATAATTGCCACATCTAAAATGATTGGCATATGCAAGATCAGTGAAAGATGTCTTGACCAATAGATAGCAGAGTAGTGTTGTTTCACGATCATTCAAATAATAAACAAACATTTGAGATATCTTGGATGGACATGAAATGATCGAGTTGATTGTGCCTCTTTGAGGAGTTACAGGATTGTAAGGGTCTTGTGAACCTAATAGTCTATTAAAATCTCCATCATTTAATTAGATTCCACTGGAGTATGAATAGACCAATTTATGTAAATAAATGTTATAATGTAAAACATTCTTTACTTTTTCATCAAAAGAATATTAGTAGTATAATTGTTGTTTGTATAAATAAAGAAAAGAAAAGTATTTTGGTTTGGGTTTTCTAAAGAAAAGGTCGCTCTCGATTTTTATTTTTAGAGAAGAAAAAGGAATTATACAAACCAAATTATTTAAATTATATCATCATTATAGGAAAACTAAGGGACAAACAGCTTGGAATTGACCAGTCCGACTCATTGGGTGACTGGAAAAAAGAAAAAGAATAATTAGTATTGTTTTTTGATTATGATCATTTTCCAACCACTCTGTCTGGTTGGCCCCAACTACTACTACCCAATCGAAGGATATAGATATAAATAATAAAACAAGTAATAGGGAATGATAAAAGAGGAGGAATTAAATATATCTTTTAAATATATTTCTCCACCCTCTTTTATACGATTTATAAATATATTTGATTGATTGATTGATTGATGGTTGTGTTGAATATTGATTACCATGTTAACCTAATATTTTGTTATTATTATTATTATTATTATTATTAGTATTATTAATTATTATTTAGTTATTATTATTATTTAGTTGTTATTAGTTTTTGATTTTATACATTGGTTGATGATTTCTTAAACTTTGGAGAATGTGCAAAAAAGGAAGCAATTAAACCAATAAAAGCACAACCAGAGAAACCAACACCGGCAACCCAAAAGAAACCTTGTTGAATGTCTCCATTGGCAGCGGTACTGTCCATGACACGACCAAGACCAAATGATAAGAGAGAGATGATGATGGCATAACTACTAAAGAGGAATCCCATCACCGATGCCAATGGACTGCCCTCGGCGGGATCATCCTCATCTGGTTCGGCGTCATTTTTGTTTACAACTTGTGTCGATTGTTGTTGTTTAGTGGAGGAAGAGTCGGAGAGATCGGCCAATGCCTCTTCGATAGACTCGGTGTCGCTCACCTCGGATGGTTCGCGGATTTCCTCAGGGTCGTCGGTTGGATTACGGTCGGTGCGGTCCATGGTCGACACGTTCAATGGGAATGAAGACTGGATAAAGGAGAGTAGGGAGATGTCACCAGCAGCCCAACTGCACGATACAACGGCCATGAGAGGGATGAGACTGCATGCAACCTTGATGGCTTCACCTTTGGGTGGATACACGAGGATCCAGACAATCGAGCAGCACAACGTATCGGCACGTACCCACCACATTGGGTTACGTACACGTTTACCAAATTTGACGACGAGAAGGGATCCAATAGCTTCACCAAAATTAGAACCACCGGTTAATATACCAGACAGGGAACCATCGTGCAAAATCTTTTTGGCAAATACTGGGAACAACAAGTTCTCCAACAAACGATGGAGTACTTGTGGTACGACATAGGTAAACAGAATCCACCAATACTTGGCCGACAAAATAAGACGTGCGCCAACAGCCACCGTCTTGAGATAATTGAATACTTCTCTTCCGGCAATCTTTAATCCGTACACAATCTTGTTCTCCTTTGCATTGGACCCATCTTCATCAGCCTTGACAAGCACCTTTTGTGGTGGGAATGGTTGTGCAATGACAAAGAAACAAATAGAAGCGACCAAGAAAAAGGGTGGTTGGAGGACCAAGGCATAGACGGGACCCAAACTCTTGATGAGAGCGGTCGAGAGGAATGCGCCGCATGTACCACTAATCTCGTAGAACAAATGGACAAGACCATTGAGTTTGTTGAGTCGGTCGGAACTGTCGCCCAACACTTGACGTGGGATCAACTTTCTCGACACTTCGACCATACCCAAAGAGGCACCCATCAACAAATAGACAATGATAATAATCCATTTGTTCCAGTTGCCAAGCGACTTTATCGTTCCCTTGTATCCAGCTTCCAATAATAAAAGGAATGATATAGTAAGACACATCAATAAAAATACACATGATGTTACTCTACTTGGTCTAAATTTTCTAACAAATGGTCCTACCATAATACTACCAAATGACTAAAATTAAAAAGTAGATTACAAAGTTAATATATATTTGATATTATTATTTCTTTTTTCTTTTTTTCTTTTGTTTTTTCCAACATACTTGAGAAATAAAATAAACAATATTCATAACAGCTAATAAAGTGACACCATAATCATCGAAACGGTCGAGGACTACAAGACCAAGAGCACTAGAGAGAGTTTCAAATGCAAATTTGAAAAACATGGAACCAATAATGAGACGAGTTTCATTGAGATGTTCGACAAAGTAAAACTTTGGATTGAGTCTAGAATAGTGTGGGGTATTGGCAGCTGGATCTTTCAACGATTGACTAGACTTGGAGAGTTGACCACTATTTCTTTTCATCTCTGCTTCAGCTTGGTCAATGATCACTACTGGTGATGTGGAATCTTTAAGATTATCCATTTCAACCATGGCAGGAGAAAATGAAACGACAATATTATTATCGTTTGTTGTTGTTGGAGAATCAACAATATTATTATTATTATTATCGTTGTTGTTGTTGTTGTTGTTTGGTTGGTTTTCCATTTTTATTGCTTTGGTGGAGGGAGGCTATTTATTTATTATTATTATTATTTCTATTTTGATTAAATTAAGGAAAAATGATAAAAATATTATTGACTATATTGATATATAGGTGTAGGTGTCTCGGGACCACTCAAACTTTACAAGCAAAGGAAGAAAAAAAGGAAGTAAAAGGAAAAAAAGAAGGAAACTTTAAATGGGGTTAAAGCTAAGGAATGGTAAGGGTTGGTCTATTCTACTCCTTGGGTAGAAAAGAGTAGGGGATAATTGGTTTTGTTTTGTTGTTTTGTTGGTTTAAAAATAAATTAAATCAACAATTGGTTGTTAATATTATTATTATTGTTGCTTGGGGAATTGATTTAAAAAAAATAATAATAATAATAACTAAACCAAGATGAGATCAAGTAAGAGATGTTGATATGTTGGTATGTTGAGTTGTTGTTGTTGTTGTTGTTGGTTCTGACTAGTTAAATTGTATTGTTTGTAGTCTAACAACAGGAAAAAAAACCAGAAACGCACAATTAGATGATAGAGTGAGTGAGCGAGTGAGACTGGTTGTTGTGAATGACGAAAATGAGTAAAAGATGATGTTTGTTTTAAAAGTGACGGTGTGGGATGGATGGATTAATTATAGCAGTGTGTATAAGTGTGAGATTATGATGATGATGACGATGCTTAAAGGTATGAAACAACTGTACCAAAAGAGGTGTAAAAAGCGGAATTGGGGGGTATGAATGAATGAAATAATTATTAACACCTAGGATTGTGGGCGAATATGGAAAAAGGGGTTGGTTTTGATCAGATGATCAGTCGACGATCTTCTTGATGTTGTATGGGTTGAATTGTGAATTGAAAAAAATAGATATATAAATATATTTATATAAATAATTAATATTATTATAATAATTGTTGAAACAATGACAACAACAAAAAAATAATAATAGAGAGTAAACTCTGGCACTAGTCACACTCTACTAGGAGCAATGAATGACAAAGAGCAGATGAAAGGAGGATGGAGGTTTGGGATTAAAAAAAAAATGTGTTGCGATGAGAAGCAGCAGGTGGTGGTGTGAGCGACGACAACTATTACTACAGACAGAAGTAAAGAATGAAACTGGTTCAAGTTATATAAAGAAGGTAGGGTAGGAGAGGAGGTGAGAGTATGAGGAGGAAACGCAATAAAATAAAATATTTATAATTAAATGGCATATGGATGACGAAACATCATTTAGTTAGGGGGCATTCTTTCATTCATCAAATCTCTCTCGGCGCAACAGCCAGCCAACAAACAGTAATTATTCCCAGTCCATTTGCTGCAAAGATTGTGTTATAAATTTATTTTTGTAAACTCGTTACTACCTAGGTAGGTGTTGATTAGATCTAGGGGTGGGGGGTTCTTTGCAGGACTTGCCTTGGAAAACGAGAAGTCAAACGGGCTGTTGCCAACTCTTTGACAAAGATTTCGATTTTTTGAAAACACTTTCGGTTGTTTAGGGGGCTTGTTTTGATACCGTTTTAAAATGAACCGTTAGAGTTTTCGACTCGTCTCAGCGTGCTCACCACAAAACATGTTCTGCAAATATCCTTTACAGATTTCCGAAATACTCAAAAAAGACGTAGAATAGGTAGGGGCCATCATAAATTAAATGCCCCTCGTTCTCAAAATCTTGCTCCCTCTCTTGGAAAGAGATCGATTTGGAAAGCCGAAAACCCTCCCCTCTTTTTTTCTTTTTTTTTTTGGATTAGTCGGCAGAGTTATCCAGATTACTTTTGGGAATGGTTTATTTACTTTTCCCATCTAATACTCTGTCTGATTGATCGCCCAAATTAAAAAGAAAAGAAAATGGATAATAATATCATTTTAATTAAATGAAATGATTTTTCATTATTTTGGGTAGGTGATAATCATTAATATTAATAATAATTATTCAAAAAGTATTATTATTAATTCCATCATGAAATATTATTTCCTTCTTGTCTCGGATCCTTAAATATAAATATAGTTTTCGTTAAAATAATAAGTTAATTAAAAATAATTAATTATATTGACAATTTTGAAAAGCATTCGTCTTTCGGTTTTAATTGATTTGTGTCTGTCTGTCTGTAGATTGATAGTTAGTTTTAGTAGATAATAGTAAATAAAAATGAGTGAATCAATAGAACCATCAACCTCTACTACTACAACCACAACTACCACCTCTTCTACTACTACACCAACTCCACCAGCAGCCAAGAACACTGGATTCTCTAGAAATGAAGCAACTGTTGGTATAACATGCTTTCTCGGCACTACTGCACCATACAAAGGCTTATTAAAACAGAGATACAGTGATTTTATAGTAAATGAGGTCGATTTGGATGATAATGTTGTCAGTTTAACTTCATTGACTTATGAAGATCCAACTACACCAAAGCAAGATGCCACTGCTACAGTTGAAACTGAAACTACAACTACAACAGAATCAGAATCAGAATCATCTAAACCTATAAATACTGAAGAAGAAATTGTAAGATCTATCTATCTATCTATCTATTTGTTGTTATAATAATAATAGTACCTAATCCTTGTTTCTTTTTTAGATTAAATTTAATAAATTAAAAGAATTGGTAGGAGAAGAACAAATGGAAGAATTTAAAGCCTTTTTTAATGGACCATCAAAGACAGAGATAACATCAACCTATAAATTCAAAGAGAACAAAAGTAAAGAAGAACGTACCAATCTACACAAATTGATCAAAGATTTTGATTTGGTCACTGAAACTAAAGATAATCGTGTTGTTGTTAGTGCTGGATGGTATGTTCAACCTATATATATACATATATATTATGATTGAAATATAATATTATATATAGTTATTAATATATTTGATTTACCTTTTTCTTTTTCTTTTTCTATTTCTTTATTAGTAATACTAGAAAAAGAGAATTAGCAAGAAATGTATGGGGAGGTGATAAACCAAAGTTTGTTCAATTTGTGTTACACAAGGAGAATAAGGAATTATTGGATGCCATTGGCATTCTATCAAATGTGATGCATGTCAATCAAAGATCGTTTTCATTTGCTGGTACCAAGGACAAGAGAGGTGTGACTTCTCAACGAGTCACAGTCTACAGACAATCACCCGAGAATATAGTGGCTGCCAACCAACGTTTGTTTTCATCGATTCGTGTTGGAGGTGATTTCAAGTATGTCGACAAACACTTGATGTTGGGTGATTTAAATGGTAACCGTTTCACTGTGGTCATTAGAGACGTGTCGGGAGACGACGAGTTGATTGCCGAGTCGGTCGCACAACTCAACCACACTGGATTCATCAACTATTATGGTTTACAGAGATTTGGAACTGGGTCGGTATCAACCAACCAAGTCGGCTTGGAAGTGATCAAGGGTAATTGGGAGAATGCAGTCATGTTGATCTTGGGACCAAGAGAAGGCGAGAATGAAGACTTTATAAAGGCACGTACAAAGTACAAAGAAAATGGTGATGCAGACGCACTCTTGCAAGCTCTACCCAAGTACATGGTCAGCGAGCGCAAACTACTGATGGTTTTGAAAAGAGATAAAAAGGGATTCTACAATGCAATCAACAGTCTTCCACGCACACTTCGTATGCTCTATCCACATTCTTACCAAAGTTATATTTGGAACAAAATGGCATCTGAAAGAATCACAAAGTTTGGTTTCAAAGAGGTTGTAGTTGGTGATTTGGTTGCTGTCTCTAAAAATAATAATAACAAACAACAACAACAAGAGAAACAAAAGGATGAAAAGAATGAAGAAGAAGGTAGTGGGGATGTTGTTGAAATGCCTGTGGAAGATGATGGAGGTGACGACAAGGATGATTATCAAGTGACACATGTTACCGAAGATGACATTAAGAACAAACGATACACTATCGATCAGGTTGTACTACCCATGCCTGGATCAAACATTGTTTATCCAAGCAATGAAATTGGACAACGTTACAAAGAGGTTATGCTCGAGGACGGAGTTGATGAGGCTAAAATCAACCACAACAAGACCAAAGTATTCCACCTCAAAGGCAGTTATAGAAAGATTATTTCTCGTCCAATCAACCTTGAATACAAGATCTATAGATACGACAGTGCAAAGATCCCATTGGCACTCAGCGATTTGGATCGTCTCAATGGAAAGGAGGAACCACAAGACCTACCAGACGGTAAATACAAAGCACTCAGATTATCATTCTCCCTTCCATCTTCATCCTATGCTACAATGGTTTACAGAGAATTACTTAAACAACCAACAAATGTTTTACAACAACAACAACAATTTAATCATGAAAAAGACAATAATAATAATAATGAAGAAGACAATAATACCAAAAATCTTAAAAGAAAATTGTCTGAATTTGCAAATAATGATGGTGATACAACAAAAAAGGAACAAAACAATGAAAAAGAAGAGACAACAATAACCGAAGAAAGAGACACCAAAAGATCATCGTCGATACCACTCTGAAGTCCCGGGATTTCACACGATCCAATCTTCTAAAAACAACAGCAGAGGAGGAAAAATAAAAACAGAAGATATCTGATTTTCAGACACTCCCATTGCAAGACAAACACATTCAACATTGAAATGAGGTGTTTGTTCAACTAGTTGAGAGACGTTGACTAAAATAATACAGTACTATTTATTTATTTAATTATTTATTTATTCATTCATTATTCATATTTACATTTATAACTATCAAAGAATGAGAACAATTTATCAATTTATTTCAGATTCATATGAAAAGAATAAAGAGTCAGATGCAATCATTCTACCTCATCATGAACAAGGAGAGACTGAAACAAAGTATTGTAATGTCTCTTATACTCAATTGATTGCTGATTCAATTACAGTATCAAACAAGTTGACAAACAGCGGTCTTGTAAAAGGTGATGTTGTATCAATTGTAGCTATCAATGGTTACTCTATTTTATCTACCTTTTTTGTATGTAAACTTAGAAACATAGATAGATAGATAGAATAGAGAAAAGAGATATTTATATTAATATTGTTTCAATTTAGGGAGTAACATTTGGTAAATTTATTGCAGCACCATTAAATTCAACCTATACAGTTGAAGAATTTAAATTCTATTTGGAGGATATGGGAGCCAAGTTGGTTTTCATTCAAAGTGGATTAAAGGCAGCTGTTGATGCTGCAAATGAATTGGGAATCAAGGTTTGGGAGTTGAAGGAATTACCAAACTATGAAACTCACAAGATGACCTATTCACTAGACGGTCAAGTCATTGGTAATGATCAATCAGTGACTTCAATCCCTTTGGAATCACAACCACAAGAAAATGATGTAGCTTTGTTCTTGCATACCTCTGGTACTACCAGTAAGCCAAAGGGTGTACCATTGAGACACAAAAACATCGCCGTCTCCTCTTCCAACATTGCCACCACTTTCCACCTCTCTCCACAACACAGATCAATGGTTGTCATGCCACTCTTCCATGTACATGGTTTGATTGGTGTTACCATGTCTACCTTTTTCGCCGGTGGATCGTTGGTTGTTCCACTTCGATTCAGTGCATCCACCTTTTGGTCAGATGTCAAGCAATTCAACGTCAACTGGTATTCTGCCGTCCCAACCATTCACCAAATCCTCTTGTCCATGGAAAAGAATGAAACAGCAAGTCCACATAAAGGATTACTTCATTTTATTAGAAGTTGTTCTTCTTCACTTGCTCCAACTTTATTTGAATCTTTGGAAAATTGTTTTGGTGTAAGATAAATATAAAATAATAATTATATATATATATATATATATCTCTTTTACTAATATTTGATTGTTTATTTTAGTGTCCAGTAGTTGAATCATATGGTATGACTGAAGCATGTCATCAAATGTCATCGAATTTATTACCAATTGATGGAAAGAGAATTCCAGGATCAGTTGGTAAGGGTACCAATGTACAAGTTGGAACTGCCAATGATAATGGAGACTTGCTCAAACAAGGAGAGGTTGGTGAGATTTGTATCAAGGGTGACAATGTATTTGATGGTTATCACAACAACCCAACTGCAACAGCAGAGAACTTTACAAAGGATGGATGGTTCTTGACTGGTGATATTGGTAGCATCGATGAAGATGGATTCATTACATTAAAGGGTCGTAAAAAGGAAATCATCAATCGTGGTGGTGAAAAGATCAGTCCACTCGAAGTAGACAATGTCTTGTTGGAGAATGAATCAATTGCCGAGGCTGTTTGCTTTGGTGTTCCAGATACCAAGTATGGTGAAGAAATCTGGGCCGCAGTCATTCCAAAACCATCATGTCCTGAATTGACTGAAGAAGATGTAAAGAAATTCCTTGCCACCAAGATTGTTGGTTTCAAAATCCCCAAAAAGATCTTTGTCACTCAACATTTCCCAAAGACCTCTACAGGTAAAATTCAACGTCGTAACATTAGTTCTTATTTCTTAAATCTTAAATAAATTGAACAAAACAAACTTAGCATATTAACACAAATATATAATGTATTTTTAGATTTGATAATAATTAGTTAATTATTTTTTATATTTATTATTTATTCTTTTTTTGATTATTATTATTATTATTATTATTGTTACTATTAATCGAGGTATTCATTAAAGCTGATGAAGGAGGTGAATTATTTGAATTGATATTATTACTCTGTTGTTGTTGTTGTTGTTGGATATTATTATTATTATTATTATTATTTAGAAATGGTACTTGTTGAGAATTGGATGAGGTTGGGATTGGACTTTGCATGATTGAGGGTGATGGAATGGAGGAGATCATTGAGGATATGTTGTTTCTAAAGGTTTCGCTTTTGGAGGCTTCGGCAATGGCAGACATAATTACAGGGTTTTGGAGGTTCATCATACTTGGAGGCAGGATGCCTGGAGGAAGGGTGGGTGCGTTTGGCATTGAACCTGGTGAGACTGGACTACCGACTGAAGTTGGGGATCCACTTCCACTCTTTGGGAATGAGAACGATACTGCTTGGGTTACAAAGTTACGAAGATACATCAATTGTTCTCTGATTAATTTGTTTTCAGAGTTTAATAATTCTGCCCTTGCTCTAATCTCACTATTGTTGGAGGTTAAATCGCTAACCTTTTTCTCCAAATCTTGTATATATGCCTTTTGTCTTTGTCTAAATAATTGTGCTGCCTCTCTATTTTTTACCAATCTAGAAAAAATAAGAAAGAAATGAAAATAAATAAATAAATTATTAAGTTTTAGGGTTGGTATATATATATTTTACCTTCTTTGTCTTTTTAAATTCTTTTCTTCTTCAGCATTAACTCCTCCATTATCAGTGGTTGGAACCAATGTAGTTCCATGTTCATTCTTTACAGGTGTAGTGGTGATAAACTTTCTCTTTTTAATCTTTTCTTCATCTTTTTTCTTTTGTTGGTTATTATTGTTTTGGTTGATTTGTTGTTGTTGTTGTGAAAGTTGTTGTGGTGTTTTTGGAATTGGAATACTAGCTTTAGTAATATTCAATTGATTTTGTGCGCCAATTGGTAATTCAAAAACTGTATCTGGAACAAAACTAGAGATCAAAAAAAATATTGATTAAGTATAAAGTTGAAACTAAAAATATTTATAGATATAGTTTACTTACTAATGTTTCATTTGATGATTCATTGAATCTGGAACCAAACCATTTGAGAATGAATTTTGGGAATCTTCAATCTTTACATTGGTATAAAACATTTGTTGTTGTTGAGTTGGGGGTTGTTGATGTTGTTGTTGATGATGATGATTATTATTATTGTGTTGATTATTTTGTTGTTGTTGATGTTGTTGATGTTGTGAAAAAGTTACACCTTGCATTGGTGAATTATTATAATCTGGATGAATAGGGATCATTAAATTACCATCCTTGTCTGGTTGACCAAAAAGAGAGAATAGGTTGTTATCATCTAATCCAGAATAGTATGTACCATTACCTTGTTGTTGTTGGTAAACATTATTATTGTTATGTGGTAAAGAATTGTGAGTTTGGATGAATAGACCATTCATTTGGGGGTGAAGGGATCCAACCAATGTGGGTGATTGTTTGATATTTCCATTGTTGTGACTATTGATTGATTTTTTTCCATTGGTTGGTTGAACGGGGATATTGGCACCGTTGGGGGACGATGAGACTTGTCCGGGAGAGCTTTGTAATTTGTTTGGGCTATCTGGAACAAGACCAGAAGTGAAATCCAACCCCAAATCAGTGTTTGGGAAGAGACTATAAATAGAATCGCCTTCTATTAAACTCATAATTCTTTCTTTTTTTGTTTTAGCAGATGTGAATAAAAAAATAGTTTTAAAGTTGAGGATGGTCTATTTAAAGAAAAGAAAAGAAAAATAATAAAATATTATTAGTGTGAATTTTTTTTTTTTTGGATTGATTAGAGAAACATAAAAGATTTCTATTGGCGATTCAATAGTAATTGTTTTTGTTGGTAACAAAGAATATATATTCTAAAAACAAGAAAACATTGATATGAATTGGAAAAAAACAAGGGAGTAAATGTTGGTATTTGGTTTTTTTTTTTTTTGCTTGGTTGAAAAGGATCTATCAAATGCCCATCCATGACGAGATAAAGAAAGAAAATATTGCACGATACCTCTTACCACTGGAAATACTAATTTCCATTCGACAATGAGAAATCTCCAAACTGTGGACATTTTACCCCCAAGAAAAACAACATTGCAACATTGTATGATTTTTCCCAGTCAAACATTGGTGGATGGAAATGGAAAATATCAAAAGGATATTTTATAATAAAAATAAATCTCTTTTGTTGTTGGAATAAAAATTATCCTTGTCGACAATATCATCAACTTGTGGATATCATAAAAGATGAAATAATATGTTTTCCATCATCTTTGGATATTTCTTTCTTTTCCAAATACTTACAAATATGGTAGGTATGTGATTGGCTTATTTTGTGTTGTTGATGTAATAAAATTTGAAATAAATAATAAATATGGAAAGTGATTAATATTTCGAGTTGATGATTGGAAAAAAAAAAAATAACTAAAAGGAACAATTCCAAATTAATTAAACTGTTTATAAATAATTATGGTTATTGTTGTTGGAATTGCAAGTGCTGCACTTGTTGTTGTTGTTGTTGTTGCTGTTTAAAGATATTTTTTCAATCTTGTTTAAAAAGGTTAAAGGTGAGAGAAGTGTGAAGGATATTTTTAAGAGAATGGTTATGGATTCCATTCCATTCCATTGATTGTGGTGTGGTTGAATTGATCAGCAACCAATAAATATTAAAACAGCTTCTTCTGCTAGCATCTTCCACAAACCAATACCACCAACCAGTGGTGCATCCATCCATCGCAACACAACAACATTGCATCAACCCTTTTGTGTGTATGTGTGAAAGAGGAGGAGTAATACAGATCGCTTTGTGGTGGTGGTGGTTGTGGTATTGGAGAGAAAGATTAAAAGTCAGAGATTAAACAACACCAACATATTAAAAAAAAACGATTAGAAAACAGAAAAACAACCCTCTCTAAATACCATACCCATGGTCAATCTGTGTAGATGATATGACCGAACCACACAACCTTTTTGAAATTTAAAAATAATATGAATGAAATATTTTAAACAGATTGATATTTCTTTCACATTTTTATCACTACTCTATGTTTTTATAATGTTTTAAAATTTTAAAAAAATAAACAGTGTGTGAAAGAGAGAGGGTAGGGTGGGTGGGGTATAGAGAATACAATGCATATTAAATATAAAAATGATGATAATAATAATAATTTTTTTGTTGATCTTTATCCACCAACCGACCTACTGCTAGTAGAAGTAGTAATTATCGCAGTACTACTAGGATGGATACTAGTAGCAGAGTAAATGAAATGTGTTGGTGGTGAGGGGGTTTGTGTAATAGTAGGTGCGATTGTTTTAAAAAAAAATAATAAATTCAAAAATGGATAAAAAAAGATTGGAAAAGGATATAATTAAAGTAAAAAGATAATGATTGAATTGGAAATATTGATGACAATGGAACCTTTTTTTTAAGAGAGAGAGTGTGTGTGTTTGTTCTATAATATTAATATATTATAATATTACTTTGGATCCTTACTTTTTTGTTTTGTGTTTTTGGAAGTTTTTAAAAAAGATGGAAAAAAAACTATAAATATAAATTATATGAATATATTTATTATAAATATCTATATGTATATATATGGACAATGAATAAATGAATGAATGGATATATATAGAAAGAGATAAAAAAAAACAAAAAAAGAGATATTTTAACTCTTACAAGTCAGCTGGTGAAAAGAAAAAAAGAAATAAGATTAAAGTGAGAAATTGAACAATATGCGTCCGGTCGACGGACCACTACGCTTCGGGAATTGAATGCTTAAAACAAGTTCTTTATCGGATCGACATATATTTTTTAAAAGTCTGTCTGACTGACTGACTCAAAAGTGATAATTAAGGAGTAGATAGGGGGGGGGGGGGGGTGGGGTTTAATTGTTTTTCGATAGGTGTGTTAGTCAGTCACAACATAATGTGGTGTGGGTGTTTGAGGAGGTGACATTGTGCGATTTACTTTTAATACCCACATTTCATTGTTTTTCGAAAAGAGGTGGAACAGTCTATGGAACAGCCGTCTCTCTCGACAATCTATCTTGTCTCATTGAAAGTGTGGTGTGGTGATACATTTGTATTACCCAGATTCTCTCTATCTTAGAACTGAGTTGTTTGTGGTGTGGTGTATTGAACCACCTCGAACCATTACCATGTGGAATCGATAGATTCCTTCCAATCGGAATGACTCTCTTTTTTTGATTCATAATTATTGATCTATAATGTGGTGTTGTTATTGTTATTGTTATTGTTATTGTTGTTGTTGTTGTATCTATCCTATCTTCCACACAATGTAAATAATTAAAAAGAGTTGATACCATTCTTTTTCTTTCGATCTATTTATAAACATGGAATAGATGGTGATTGAAAGAGATTAAAATAATACTGGTAGATGGAAATAGAACTCTAATTGGGATAGTTTCAATTCATAAAAAAGAATCCAATCTGAACAAGTATTCGTAATAAAAATGATGAAAGAGGAAAGGTGGAGATGGGAGGTTTGTTTAAAGAACCTGTATATTTAAATGAATGTAGTGATCATTCTAATTTATCATTATTAGTGCCACTGTCATGATCATCAAGAAAAAAGAATCTTAAAAATTGATAGATTAACTTTTTTTAAACATATGAACAATTTAAATTAATTTACAATAAATCATCTCTGAAACATTAATTAAAACGAACTTTTTACATATGTTTATTTTATCTAGATGAATAAATTATCAAGATGTTGTTGAAATTTTTGTTTGTATAAATATAAAATGTATATACATTATACACTTGTTTATTTATTTATATTTTAATATATTTGTATGTAATTAATCGATTTATATAATATTATTATTATTATTTATGTGATGTTGGTGATGATGTTTTACTTGGAAAGAACATATGAGGAGAACTTGGCAAAGTTGATGGAACCCAAACCAGAGGCGGTATCGTAACCCTTGGTGGCAGAGAAACCATATAACATACAGTAAGCGTGGTTACAGTTGTTGTTACCAGTGGTGATATCGTTAAAGAAGTTGGATTGGCTGGCAGCAGCTTGGTAGAGCAATGGGTTGAGGAAACCGAGTTGTGGCTTGTTGGCGTTCAACAATTGATCGTTGATGAGGGTAACCATACCGGCAAGAGTTGGTGAAGAGCAAGAGGTACCGTCGACAGATTGGAGTGAACATGGGCACTTGTCAGAGGATGAGGCAGAGACACCGATAGAGTAGGCGTGACCGACGAGGGAAATATCTGGGTAGGCACGACCAGAGGTGTTGAAAGAGTAGCTTGGTGGGAGGTTGACGCCGGCAGAGAGGAAAGAGGAGACGGCAGATGATTGGTAGGATGGTTGTGGTTGGATGTTGGAGAAACCACCACCACCGGTGATGATGGCGCCAGTAGCGATGGAGCAGACAACTTCAGGCTTGGAGGTATCGAGGATTTGGGAGGCACCGACAGAGGTAACGTATGGTGACGAGGTTGGGAAATCTGGGTAAAAGAGAGCACCGTTTTGTTCAGTGTAAGAGTAACCAGAGACCTTGAAACCGTTGGCAGAGTAGGTCTTGAGGGAAGAGCATGAGCACGAGGTGTGGACGTGGTAGTTCTTTTCGACATCTTGTTCGATGGAAGCAGCACACTTGCCACCAGCGTTGGCACGCATAAAGGCGTTGATGGCGTTGGCACCGTCTTGGTTGGAGAGGGTTGATTGACAGGCAACAGATCCGACACCTCCTGGGAAGAAACATTCGGTACCGTTGGCAGCGTAGGAGATGGTGATCATTGGACATTGGGTAGAGGTGGAAGCACAACCGCCGAGTGGACAATAGTGGCTTGGATCGATTGGGTTGTTACCCGAGGTGTAGTAGAAAGAGGTGGCACCATCGTCACCAGAGCTGACAAAGATGGTCATACCCATAAGACCGAGCTTTTGGAAGGCAGTGTTGGTACGCTCAATGTATTGGAGGTTGTCATAGTTGAGGGTGGTACATTCGTTGGTGAGGAGACATTGTTCGATTTCAGAGAAACCATAAGAGAGCGAGGCAACCATTGGGAGTGGAGAGGCAGAGGCGATTTCCAAGGCAAAGTCGAGAACCCATTGGCCGTTGGCGTGGTTCTTGAAGAGAGTGTTGGCACCCAAAGCCATGGCGGTAGAGTATTGAATGTCGAGGTTGGATTCCATTTCGTCACATTGTTGGGCCATGCAGTTTGGACCTTGACGGTTGACCTTGACGTCGGAAGAGGAGATACCAAACTTGGAGTCAAAGTATTGGAGGGCACCGAGCGAGAAGAAATCGTTAAAGGCAGCAATCATTTGGTAGGATTCTTGGTTGGTGGCCTTGAGGTTTGATGGGACACCATAGTAGGACTTGATGACAGATGGGGTCATGGTTGGACCGCCAGCTGGGGCCTTGAGGTTCTTGGCAACGGATGGCTTGGACTCGAGGGCAGAGAGGGTTTCCTTGATGGCTTCAGTAAACTTCTTGTCTTCAATGAATTCAGAGATACCTACGACAAAGTCAACATGTTGAGCGAGTTCAGTTGGGAGTGAAGCGTCACCATAGACACGGATACGCTCTTCACCAGAGACCAATGAAACAAACTTGTAGAATTCGGCTTCAAAGACAGCTTCAGCCTTGACGACGGTGGTGTGGACTTGGATGTAGTCACCATGGATAGAGAATTCCTTCTTGTTTAATCCAGAGGCTAAAAGATGCTTGGTAACTGATTGAACGGCTTCACGAGTGGCTCCAGTCAATGAATCAATTTCCTTCTTGCTCAAGTACTTTCCGTAACTAGCAGATTGTGGGTTAGATACTTCCCAAAAGAGTTCATCTAAAATATCTTTGTTTTGCTAAAATTTAGATAAAATAGATAAGATAATTGAAATAAAGGGGTATAAGTCATATGAAAAATTTAAAGAATTATATCTTGGGATTTATATATTGTATTTGACTTACTTCAACCAAAAGAATCTTGAATTCAACAAGGTCGGACTTTTGAGCCTTGTTTTGGAGAACAAAACGAGAGGCTGGGAAATCAGAGTGTACGTTGGCAACCAACATACGAGCAGATACTGCAGAGATGGCAAGCAAAGCCATCATAACTAAAAATATGATTTGTCTAAACATTTTATAAAAAATACTTGTATATTTGGTAGTATACAAATAAAGAAAAGATGAGATGATGATGTAAAACAAAGAAAACTTGATCACATTTATAGTTTCTCGTTGCTGTTGAACAAAAAAATAAAAAAAAACGAAAGGCTAGACCTGAAAATTCTTTTGAAATTTTCTCCGGCCTCCAACAGAACTTTCTTAAGAATGATCAAAGAACAATGGTTTGTCATTATCATGAAATGCAAAGAACAGACCTGATAACATCGATCTGAAAAAATTACTCGAGTCGGAGAAATATCTTTGCATCATCATGTCAATGGGGTACGGTAATTGCAACGATTTACGTCACTCTCTGTTGGGGTGGCCCTGTTTTATGGTTGTTCAACTCAAAGATGGGGGTTGTTTTAGATACTGTGGCCCATGACTTTTAAAAAAGTTAAAAAGGATCATGATATGAGCGAGCGGGCCACAGTTCTTCTTAAATTAAGAAATCCATATCGCAATGCGCAAAGGTTGTTTTGTTTGAGAATATTACAGTAGTCGGTGGTTTTGTTTTATTATGTTAAAAGGAAAAGCGGTTGGATTATTCATCAGAGCTTTCTCCATCTTGTTCGTCTCCTGATACTTGTTGCTCTTCAACAAATGCCTCATCTTTAAACAATGACCAATTAACGTTTTTACTTTGTTGTCCATTGGCGCCAGAAGATGTCGTAGTGGCAGTACTCGACGTTGAGGATGAGGTGGCAATTTTAGTATCGTTTGATTTCTTTGGTGGTTCGTCCTCCCCTTCTTCATCATCAGATGGTTCCCCATTATCATCGATCCAAGGATTTCCTTGAATAGTAGAAGATGACGTAGTTTCAGTAGTCTTTAAAATTTCCAATTGTTTAATTGCTTTAAAAAAAATAATAATTAATATTAATTTCCAAAAGTATTATTTCTATTTCTTTTTCTTTTTCTTTTTCTATTTCTATTTCTTTTTCTTTTTACTTTTCCTTACTTTCAGTTATAGTTTTCAATAGATCATCATTTGCATTTTGTTTCTTGAGAGCGTAATCTTTACATTTCTCTTTGTGTAATTTCCAATCACCTACTTGACAATCTCGCGAACAATATGAAACACTTTGACAAGCTCCACACAACATGAGAGGAGTACCGTCTATTTTACCACCAGATTTACATTGCTTGAATTGACACTTTGCGACGAGTGCCAATGCTCTTCTTTCTTCTTCGCCAGTCAACTTTAAGTTGTTCCACTTGTCAGAGAAATCGAGTGGGTTGATTACATCTGCTTGTGACTTTTTAGTAGTTGTCTGTCTCACTTGTTGTACCAACTTGTTTGCTTGATTATTCTTACTATCTTTTCTAATACCAAGCTTTGCTTTCTTTGTTTTACCTCTCTAAATGAATTGAATGAATGAAGAAGATGTTAATCACTTTAATCTTTTCAACACATTGTCATTGTTCTTGTTTCTATTCTTCTATTCTGTATCGTCTTCCCCTCTTACCTTTGTTGTGTATACTGAAGCCATTTTATGTTATTGCTATCTTCTTTGTAAACAAATTTGAAAATGAATTGATATTAATATCACACTCGAACGTCGAGTTGACGAAACACACGAAAGAATCGATTCGTTTTTTCTTTTTTATTTATTTATTTACACTAATATATATTACTGACACATCTACAGATATATAGATATAGATATAGATATACAGTATCAATCATCATGTGGAGAGGAAACAGTAATAATAACAATGGTTTTAATAGATCATCATCTTTTGGTGGTGGTGGTAGAGGCAGAGGAGGAGGAGGAAGAGGTGGCGGCGGTAGAGGAGGTGGAGGAGGTAGAGGAAGAGGTGGAGGTAGAGGTAGAGGAAGAGGAGGATTCAACAATAATAGACAACAAGAAGAAGAGGATGATACTCAATACTTGGATGAAAGAACGAGAAAAAGAGCATTGACCTATCAAAACTTTGGTGATGACCAAGATGACATTCCTCAATACGACGATGATAGTGACCAAGAACAAGAAAGAGAAAAGAAGAGATACGCAAGAACTTTTAAAAATCAACAAGATGATGAAGAGGATGAAGATGACTCTCCCGAAGAACTAGAATATAGCGATGATTCAAATGATGATAATGATAGTGACCAAGAAGAAGAAGATGACGAAGAAGAAATGATTAAAAGAGAATTGGGAAGTGTATCATTTTCAACTTTATTGGCAATGGACAAGAAGAAATCCGATGAAATAGCACTGGGTAAATCACAAAAGACACTTGGAGAAACGATAGAAGATAGAAATCAAAATGGTTATGGAAAACCAAAGGAATTTTTTAAATCAAATAATATTAATAAGGATGCGTAAGTAATAGAATTGAATAGTGGAATTAATAGTAATTTATTTGTTTATTTATTATTTCTAGTCCAGCAGAAGTAACTGCAACGAGACCAGTATCAAGATATAGAGTAGTTGTAAAAGATAATAAACCAAAAGCAAGAGATCCAAGATTTTCAAACAATGGAGGAGAGTTTAGTGAAAAGTTCTATCGACAAAACTATGGGTTCTTGGACGATGTCATGAAGACAAACATTACAAAGATGAGAGAAAAATTAAACAAGACGACCGACGAACACGAAGCAGAAATATTACAAAAGGAAATTCAATCCACCCAATCAAAATTACATTCGCAACACATCAAGGACAAACAGAGAGAACTAAAGGACCAATGGGCCGAAAAGGAAATAGAATTGGTCAAGAAGGGCAAGAAACCATACTACCAATCTCAGAAGGGTATGAAGGATATTGCACTCAAAGAGAAATACAAAGAACTCAAAGAAACTGGAAAATTGGACAAGTTTATGGAAAAGAGAAGAAAAAAGGTTACTTCAAAGGATCAAGTCAGAATTCCAAACAGAAGAGATTATTCTACCAATTCATAATAATAATAAAATAAATTCAATTTATTACAAAAGAAAGAAAAAAAGGAAAGTGATTAGGTTTTAAAATCTCAACTGTAGAGAGATAAAGGTGAGGAGTGTTGATCGTCTCATCCAAATTAGGGACAGAGGTGTTTAAAAAACGTCCCCAGGAATGCTTTTTAGAAAATTAATGTAAAAAAAGGACTTGCTTTCCGAACGTCACTTGAAGCGAAGTAGTTTCGGCTCCACTAGTTTGTGTAGAAACAACTTCCTCCTCCAACTATTAAATTCTGACAAGCAAGGAAGAGAACAGACAAACAGTTTTGATTAAGCCGTTGTCTCTCATAGGAACTATTATCAACACCACAATAATAATAACTAGGAATATTAATAATAATTATTGTATTAAAAATCCACCACAAAAGAAATCGGTCATTAATTTATAACAAACAACAAAGAAGAAGAAGGGGGTAACCATTGTGTTATTATAAAATTTTGAAATTAATAATAATAATAGTTGAATCACACCTCTACCTCTACCTCTACCTCACCAATCATTATACATAGATAAAGATAGATAAAGATTGATAGATAGATTGATATCACTGAAACAAACAATAACAACACGCATCGCAAATAATAATAATAGTATTAGTTAATAGTGCTATTTATTTTAAACTATTCTTTCTTTCTTCTTCCTCCTCTTCTCGCTCGAGACAAACAAAACAAAACAAAACACAACATAACAAATATTATTATTGTTTATAATATATATATATAAATATTTCAAAACATGTATTCACCAGTCCAACAACAACAAAGAGAATTAAAGACAAAGACAACCGACAATACATTAGGAGGCGAAGAGAAATGTATTACACATGTATTGACACCTCAAGATACTTTACAAGGTTTGGCATTGAAATATGGATCGTCTGTGGCAGACATTAAGAGAATCAACAAGATTTGGACACAAGATACACTACACATTAAAAAGACACTATTGATTCCCGTCAAACAAGAGGATGGTGATGAAGGATCGAGTAGCAGCACCAGCAACAATATCAGCCGTAACAATAGCTACAATAGTCTGAGTACATTCTCAGAGATGAGACGAAATGGAAGCTTGGATAGCAACACTGACTTTTTCACAGAGTTTAATAATAATACAAACAAGGATCTAAACAACTATCTAAATAATAACAAGTATACAACATCTACTGGTACAATTACTCAAGTTAACCTAGACAATAATAATAATAATCATAATCATAATAACCTACTTAATATCCCTCTAAACTCTGATAGATCAGGATATAAAATACCCATTTCAACACTTAGCATATCACCTTTGGTAAATACTGTAGATGAAAAGACTTTAAATCAATTCTCTCTTATAGATGATGAATTAAATCCACTTTAAATAATAATAATAATAATAATATTATACACAACAACAAAATAATAATAATTAATCTTAAAACAACAACAAACAAATGACGAGTTTATAATTATCATTGATTGTATATTTCCAAAAACAACCTTTTTTTTTTCCTCTTCCAAAACCTCCCCAATATCATACTAGTATTTCTTTTTTGTTAATCTCATTACTCTTAACAGACAATGAATTCAAAAAGTTATATATAAAACATGTCCAACAAACAATCCGATTTCTTATAGGAAACTCCCCTCCCCAATTTTAATTCATCAAACAACAACAATAATAATCAACCTAATAATAATAATTGGGAATATATATAAGATAGATTCTAAAAATAAATATAGATTCGTTATATTAATAGTGTTTATTGTCCCTCAAAAAAAAAAAGGATTCTCATGATGATGTTTATATATGTATGTTATGTCGATATTTTAATATTTATTTAGATTTAATAAAAAGTTTAAGATATCAGACAATGAAAGAATACCTTCAACCTTTTTGGAAGAGTCGATTGCTACCACTATCAAACGATGTACTCTCTTTTTTATACACTTTTCAATCACATCACCCAATTTATCGTTCTTTGTACATGAATATACTTGTTCTGGTCTTTGCCATAGTCTGGAGAATGTGCTTAATACTTGATGAACTGGTTTATCCAAATCTGATGGTGATAAAATTCCTTGTTTTGCCATAAGCTAAATAAATAAATAAATAAATAAATAAATAAATAAATAAATAATCAAAATCAATGATAATAATTGATTATTATTAATAACTTACAGTAACATCACCTTTAGAATAAACATCAACTACTTTATCGGATTCATCTAATATTGGTACAGCAGATATTTTCTTTTCCGACAATAACTTTAAAACTTGAACAAGTGGAGTGTCTACGCTCACAGTACAAACATTTTCAAATGTTCCAATTCCAAGTGACCCCAAAGTACATGATAATAAACCACTTGGTAAATCTGGTAACTAAATAATAATTAAATAAATAATTAAGATTAATATTTAATATTTGATTATAAATCTTTTTTTGATTTCTTTTTCCTTACACTTTTCATCATAAATGCTAATATTCTAGAATGAGTTAGAATGTGAAGAATAGAATTTGTTTCCTTTTTATCGACAACTGGTAATCTATGGATTTTATATTTTAACAAAAGGGAAGCAGCTTCAAAAAGGTTGGTTTCAGGTTCAGTATAAATTAAAGTTTTTGGTCTTTCTACATTAATTTCTGTAAACAAAAAGATATAATAAAAGATGTTAATAAATAAAGTTTCTTTTCTTTTTTGATTATTGATTTTTTCTAATTACCTCTCCAAAAAGTTTCAATTCTATGAATACCCATATCTTGAAAGATATTATCAGATTTTGGTTTGTTGTAATAGTAGAGTAAGATATCAATAAAATCAGATACAGTAATCATTCCAGTAAAGTCTTGAAGATCTGGACTCCAAAGAGGTGCAGACTTTATACCATTCTCTTCCAAAGCATAGAATGCCGATTTTACAACGAGTTTGGTATCCAATACAACCACCTTTCCACTGATTGGGATGACATCATAACATGTATGTTTGTTTAGGAATTGTGAAAATACCAATTTACCAACATAAATATTATGTTGATGTTGTGTCATTGTTGATAAATCTGGTGGTGAATGTATAAATGTAAATTGATTATTACCATTATTATTATTATTAAGATTAACAATATTAATATTGTTATTATTATTATTATCTTTACTTGTTGATAATGATGATGGGGTTTGTGGTGTGATTGGTGTAGTTGGTTCGGGAATATCATCTTTACTTTCATTGATACTTCTTAGACCACTAATTAGATTGGGTGTATCTCTATTTGATGATGATGGTAGTATGTTTGGTTCCACTTCTACTTCTTCTTCATCGTCATCATTGATCATTTTCTTTTTAGGGATGGGTGAGAGATGGAGTGTTGGTGCAGCTGTATCTACAAACTTGGGTAGTTGAAGGTTGATAGCTGTAGTAGTTGCTCCACCACTTGATGACTCGGGTAACTCTTCAATGACAAACATGGTGTCACTAGATGAAGCCATTGGTGACGGTGAAGGTGATGGTGATGACCCCGACGAACTTCTAATTACATTATTATCACTATCATTTAATGATTTATTATTTCTATCCATCTTGTTGTCGTTGCTATTATTATTATTATTATTTACAAAGGTTGTATTATTATTATTATTGATATTTATATCTGAGTTTGAATCTTGTTGATTATTATTGTTATTCATAAGATTCAACACTTGTTGATGATGGCTATGGTGAAAAGCTTTCTGCTTGATGATTTTAGTTTCCTCTTTTTCAATGTTGTCTATGATCTCTGCTGTCTCTTCATCTTCATCGGTATACCACATGTAAATAGATTAAGGGCTGGCTGCGAGCAGTAGTGTAGTAGTGGGTAACCTGTAGTAGACGAATAGAAGGGGTTCTTTCAAAGTATCCTCCCAATCCAATCGTTCCTATCTCGAGATTTCACCTGCCTGCCTGCTATCAATCGTATTATACAGATATCTTTCTTTTTGTTAGTTGATTGTATGAGTAATAAGTTGTAAAGATAAGATATTATTAAACCTTCTTCTTTGTCTTTGTCTTGCTTGTTGAGTGAATCTTGAAAACAGACAATAAAATGAAATTTAATTTTTTTTTAATTTTTTCTTTTTTTTCTTTGTGGTTCTTTTTTTTTTTTTTTTATGATTGCCAAGTTGATGAGTGAACATCAAAAGAGCTAAATTACATTACACACTATATTATTATTATTATTATCATTTTATTCATTTTTTTTTATAAACTTTTATATATATCTCAATTAGTTAGTTAGTTAGTTTGATACATAGACGACAATATATATATACAATGGGAGGATTAACATCAGCTTCTAGTTTTATTGCATTGCTTGAAGAAGAGCAAGTTGAACTTCAATCATTTGCTCTTCAAAAGCTCGATCATGTTGTCGACGAGTTCTGGCCAGAGGTTGCTACATCAATCAACACCATGTACGTCCACCATTTACATTACATTTAATTACACTATTCTCTATCTATAGAGAATAAATTAGGAATAGATACGAAAATTGATCATATATTAACACTCACCATCACATCACATACAACTACTACTACTATTTAAATAGAAAACAATTATCAGACAAAAAATCATTTGCACAACATGAATTGGCATCATTGGTAGTGTCAAAGGTATACTATCATCTTGGTGACTTTAACAACTCGATGCAATATGCTTTGTCTTCAGGTGGACTCTTTAACGTACTTTCAAAGAGTGAATATGTTGAAACTTTATTATGTATGTCGACGATAAATCATCAATCAACAAATAGGATCCCAACAACAGTCAGTAAATTAGCTAACTAATACTTTGATTTTGAAAAAAAAAAAAATTATTACTTTACAGATAAATTCATTGATGAATATATTAAATTAAGAGCTCAATCGGATACCATACCAGTAGATCCACGTTTAGAATCAATCGTCATGGGAATGTTTGAAAGATGTTTCAAGTATGTGTTTTGGAAACAACTAAAAAGAAGGATCAAATGAATAGATTATTATTCCTCTCTCTAACTCTTTTTTATTTTTCTATTTATTTATTTATTTATTATAGGGAAGGATCATATAAACAAGCTTTAGGTATTGCATTAGAATCAAAGAGATTAGATATCATTGAAAGATCAATAGCCGACTCTGGAAACGTTGCTTCCATGCTCACCTATTGTTTAAATATTTGTAATACCATTGTCTCTAATCGTACATTCCGTCAATCCGTTTTGGCCATTCTTGTTAAATTATACCTCTCTCTTGAACAACCAGATTTCATCAGTATCACTCAATGCCTCATTTTCTTGGATGATGCTGAACAAGTCTCAAAAATTTTATTATCTTTAACTCAAAAGGATGAAGTATGTAGTTAAAATGTAAATACATAATTTATATTTAGTTATTAATACATTTTTATTTATTTCTTTGTAGGACTCATTATTATTAGCTTACCAAATTGCATTTGATTTATTCCAAAATGGATCACAACAATTTTTATTAAATATCCGTAAGACCTTACCAACACCATTATCATCCGAGAGCAAGATGGATGTTGAGGGTTCTGCCAAGCCAGATTCTCATGATTTACGTTTAGAGAGACTCCGTACCATTCTCTCTGGTGACACTTCTATCAATTTATATTTGGAATTCCTCTATAGAAATTGTAATACCGATATGAATGTTTTACAAATTATGAAGGTAAAAATCAATCAAACAACAACAAACATACATAATGATCACAATTTTCTATATAGTTTACTAATCTCTTTATTTATTTATATTTATTTAGTCTGTATCAGAATTACAAAAAGGGGCAATCTTTTATTCTGGTACATTATTTGCCAATGCTATTATGCATGCTGGTACAACTAGAGATACATTTTTAAGAGAGAATTTGGAATGGTTAGCAAGATCAACACATTGGACCAAGTTTAGTGCCACCGCTTCTTTGGGTATCATCAACAGAGGACACATCAAGGAATCAAAGACCATTTTAAAGAGTTATCTTCCAGCCTCTACACCAAATGCCCACCCATATTCAGAATCTGGAGCCTTGTACGCTCTTGGTCTCATCCATGCTGGCCATGGTGAAGCTGTCACCTCTTACCTTCAAGAGAAACTTCGTTACAATAATGTCATCCTTCAACATGGTGCTTCATTGGGTATTGGTCTTTCCGAAATGGCCACTGGTAATGATGGTAAGTTGAACAAAAGGAAAAAAAAATATTATTATTATTTGTTTTACTAATATTTTTATTTTTACTGTTTATATAGAAATCTATGAAGATTTAAAGGGTATTTTATATAATGATGATGCAATTTCAGGTGAAGCTGCTGGTGTTGCTATGGGTTTGGTCATGACTGGTACTGGATCGAAAAAGGCAATCAATGAAATGCTTGCCTATGCTCATGAAACCCAACATGAAAAGATTATTAGATCATTAGCTCTTGGTCTTTCATTTACCATGTATGGAAAGGAAGAAAGTGCCGACACTTTAATTGAACAATTAATTTCAGACAAGGTAAAAAGCAACTCCCAATGATCATTACTTTTGATAAGATATTAATTTTCTTTTTATTTTTTATTTATTTTTTAGGATCCATTATTAAGATATGGTGGTATGTATACAATTGCTATGGCATATTGTGGTACTGGAAACAATGATGCACTTCGTAAATTACTTCACTATGCAGTTAGTGATGGTAATGATTCTGTAAGAAGAGCATCTGTTACATGTATAGGTTTTGTGTTGTCCAAGCAACCAGAAAAGTGTCCAAAGGCTGTCCTTTTATTGTCCGAGTCTTACAACCCACACGTCAGATACGGATCTGCTTTGGCATTGGGTATCTCGTGTGCTGGTACTGGATCGCGTGAAGCTTTGGATATCCTCAAGACATTGACTCAAGATACTGTCGGATTGGTACGTCAAAGCGCCTGGATTGCCATTGCTATGGTGTTGATCCAAGGTACCAAGGAGCAAGTTGCCGAAGTCGAGACTTACCGCAAGCAGTTTATCACTGTCATCAACGACAAGCGTGAAGACGCCATGTCCAAGTATGGTGCCGTTCTCGCACAGGGTATTATTGATGCTGGTGGTAGAAACTCGACCATTGCATTGCACTCACCATCGGGACACAAGAACATGCATGCTATCATTGGTATTGCCGGTTTCCTCCAATTTTGGTACTGGTTCCCAATGACCCATTTCTTTGGTTTGGCCGTTACCCCCACCGCCATCATTGGTGTCAACAAGAACCTCGAGATGCCAGTCTTCTCGGTCAAGTCCAACTGCAAGCCATCTCTATTTGGATACCCACCAGAGACCAAGCAAACTACCACCAACGCACCCTCCAAGATCGAGACTGCCGTCCTCTCCATCACAGGCCGTAAGGGTAAGGGTGGATTGTCGCACAGCCGTTCGTCCATGAGTATCGACCAAGAGATTGAAAAGGAAAAAGAAAAGGAAAAGGAGCAAAAGGAACAAAAAGAAAAGGAGGAAAAGGAAAAAGAAGAAAAGGAAAAGGAAGAAAAGGAAAAGGAACCAGCATTTGACCGCAAGCAAAATCCAATGAGAATCGTACCAAAACAATTGCCATACATTGTCTATGACGACCCACGTTACGCTCCAATCAAAAAGAATCCTTCCATTGGTATTGTTTTACTCAAAGACAAGAAACCAGAGGAACCAGAACAATTGGTTGCCTTGGAAAGACCAACCGTCAAGCCAATCACTGCATCATCTGGAAATACCGCCGCCGCTGCCTCGAAACCAGATTTACCTGAACCAAAGACTCCTCAACCATTTGAATTTACTGATTAAACAAAACATAACAAAGCAAAACCAAACAAAAAAGTATATATACAAAAAATAATAATAATGTTAAATTAGATAGAAATAAAAAACAAAACAAATTAAAATGATTTTATAATTGTAAAAAACAAAAAGGAAGAAAAGAAAGATAAAAGATATAATATACTATATACAAAAAATGGGTAAATTTATTTATTTATACAAAAATAAAAACTATACTATACTTTTACAACTCTTGATGTCGATCTTCTTGTTGTTGTTGTTGAAGAAATTGTTGATTATTATGTTGTAGTTGGTGTAATTCTAAATCTTTTTTAGAAACTTTTAAAATTGAACCAACAATTGATCTACAAAGTGGACAACGACCTTTGATTTCTCTGGCACAATTGGCACAAAGATAAAAGTGACGACATGGAATAAGTAATGTATCTCTCTCTTCACTCATACATGTCAAACATAATTTATCATCATCGTTTCCTGGTGTTTCATTACTATTACTGTGATATCCATAAATATCATGTGTAATATAACTTGTTTTACTATCAATAAACTAAATAAATATATAAAAATATTAGTAAATTAATAATTAAATATATTACTGATCAGTAAAAGGATAATTACATTTTTTTGTTTTAATGCTTTAACATCATAGGTGTAATCATCACATGCAAGTAATGTTAAATAGGAATATTGACATCTAATTATTTTTTGTGTTGATGTTGTTGATGTTGATGATGATGATGATGATGGATCCTCTAAATATGAAACTAAAATAATAATTAATTAATAATGATTCCAAGGATATTATTTGACATATATTTACCAGTCTTTAAAGTTATAATGAGTGGATATTGAACCTTTTCAATTGCAAAGGTAGTTAGATCCTTTGTTGAGAATTTTGAAACATCAATGTATTCAGAGTTGGAAAGTGAAAATGATTGATCCAATCCTCTACTGAAATGGAATGGCCCAAGATGTGTATTACATTCATTAATAGTACTAAATAGGGATGGAAAGTGAAATTAATTAATAAATGAAACAAATTATATGAAGGAGTCTATAGACGCGTATACATACTCTGATTCATCAGCTTCATGAGCCAACAAGTAAATATCAATTACGCATGGCTCTTCAGAATCAAATTTAAATTTAATATTGTATATTCCTTCTGTGATTACAATTGGTTCTAGTGATGTTGATTTACTAGCAGTAGTATTAATAACCTTGGCTGTAGTAGTTGTAGTAGTTGTAGTTGTTGATGTTGTTGAAGTAGTTGATGGGTCTGTTACTTGTAATGTTATATCTGTATTATTATTATTATTGTCATCATCATAATTCTCAATAGTAGGAAACCTTTCATTTATATCTATACTTTCATTGTTGTTGTTGTTGTTGTTATTGTTATTTGTTGTTGCAGTTGTTGAAGTTGTTGAAGTAATAATATCATTATTACTACTATCTTCTTCATTATCAACGTGATAATTTGGTTGTTGTAATTTAGTAATAATAACAACTTTATCTTGTTCTTGGTCTGTTTCATTGACACCAGTGTTAGATGACGATGTACTACTACTACTATTGTTGTTATTCTTGTCAACTCTAACCACTTTAATGGTATCCTTTCTTATTGCAATCTTGCTATAGACAACAGGAGTATTAAAGAGTTGAGGTAGTAACGATGATGACAACGAAGTCATGGGATATGCCATCTCCTCGTCTCCTCGTCCTCCTCCACCTCCACCTGCATTACTCGTTGTTGGGTCTACTTGTCCAACACCCTCGTCATCCTCTCTAGGATAATATGACCTTGAGCTGATGATTCCCATTCTTTCTAACAAATATTATTGTGCGTAATTTAACTACAGTGAATAATACTTGATATTAAATTTTAATATTAAAAAATAAATAGTTGAGGAAAGTTGCAAACATGTTTTTAAAAATGTTCGACAAATTAATTTTATTTATTATTTTGTTCTTCTTCTTCTTCTTCTTCTTTGTCACATATGTATCTACAGATAATATTATCGTTAGTTATTTATTTATTTATGTAAATCTATATACAACAAAGGTGAGATTGAGATTTTTATTGTTGATATTCCATGTACGTTGATCGGCTCTCATATTAATAAGCTGATTGATGATGCATCTCGATTCATTCATGACACACAAACAACAACAACAACAATAACATGGATATCTTCTTTCATTTGTAAAGGAGGGATCTCTCAATTAAAGGGTCAGTGATCGGTTTATGGCTTTGGGGTAACACACGCACATATATGTTTGTGCCCGTTCAATCAATATGCGTGTCAGTCTACTATCTTTGCAGGGTTAAAGTTGTTAATATCCTCTCGTCTTTTGCACGCGTGACCATACTTTAGCATTGGCGATTTCTAGGAAGTCAGCTGATGACATTGGCTTGGCTGGGGTGTGTGATGAAGGATAGATCATCAAACTGTTTTTGCAGATTTTTTTCATTCATTCCCGTTTGTCGCTAATCTCTCAGACAGTTAACTCTACAGGGACTATTCAAGGCTTTTCCCTCCTTTGGCATCCGCTGTTTTGCAGACTCTTGCTCAAACTACCCCCACGTCCCTCATCGAACCGTCGTTTTGATGACAAAACTCTTTTATTCCAAGTTCCTATCCGATCTCAATTGTGTTGTTGTGGTGGGTTGCAACTGCTGCTTGTCTGTGGTTGCCTTTTCTCTGCTGATTCTGCTACTTGCTGCTGCTGATAATTAATATACGCAACCAGAAGAGGAAGGGTTGTATGAAGAGAGGAAGAGGGAAAAACAAGCAAGTGTTGTGCTAGAAAGGAGGAAAGAAGAGCAGAACAACAACAAACCACAGCAGCAACAACAAACTATTATAATTAATACATTCAATCTGACAGTTCTCTCTCTTTCTCTTTCTCTATCCTTAATAGTATTAGTTTAAAAGACAACCAAGTCATCAACACAAACCCCCTTTAAACATTAATGTTTTCATATTAGAATCGTAGTTCACACAGCTACGCAAAAAGATCAAATAGCAACAACATCAAAAAAGGTAACTTTTTCTTTCTTTTCTTCACCAAACAACGAATGACCTGGAACCTTTAGATACATCCATTTCTCATCATGTGGTTGTTTAATTTTATCCAACAACATTCACCACTATCATCACCATCATCGTCATCGTCATTCCTTGCAGCTCACTCACTGTGTGTGGCACAGCCTGCCTTGCCTCCTAGAATAATATTCACACATGATGATACAATCCAACATCACAACTCTAAACCACCCAAAAACCCTGTGTGATGATTGCAGCGTAGCTCGGGTACCACACACTCACACATATTTCCTTTTCGAGATTTTCCCTAAAACATACAAGAAAGTGTAGTTGGGATTAATGATTCCAACAACAATCGATTGGATTTTCGGGTAATAACAAATGTACGATACAATTGTCATCAGCGAGAATGCTGAGCAGAGACTACTACTACCAATTCTAGTAATAAGGGCTTGTCTGTTCTTTTTTAGTTGTTATATCTCAAAACAGACTATTTTCCTATATTTCCTTACACCCCTAAACCTGCTCCTACCCACTTGCACCCACTTGGAGGGTAGGAGCTTCACCTCTGCATTTTTTACATCTCTCACGTTCAGCGACTCTTCAGCAGAGGGTTGAGTGTGGTGGAAAAAATTGCATGCTATACATCCAATCCAATCCAATCTCTTTCTTTTTTCTGTCTCTCTGTCTGTATACCACTACAGCTGCAGCTCTCTCTGTCTTCTTGTTTCTTGACAAGTGCACTTGTCGGACATGTGGCAGAAGGAGAAGGGAGGAGCAACCAAAAGTGGCAACCTGTCATTTCATTTTTAATTAATTTGTTCTACTTGTTCTTCTTCTTGTTCTTTTTTTTGATCAACCAACAAGATATATTCATATATACATCACAGATACATAGAATATTAAAAAGAACAAGAATAGAGCAGAAATAGAGGATATTTCAAACATTGTTCCCATCAGACTAGACAAGACAGTAGTACTTTAAGGTTGGATAGTATTTGACTTGGATTCTCCTTTTCCCTCTCTTTTTAAATCAAAGGTATTTTTTTTTTTGATTATCGCCATCAGCATCACCCACTGAACAACACCCAATCATTGCAACCACACTATTTAATTTTCTTGCATCTGCTGCTTCTGTGTATCAACAACATTTTTTTTTTTCCAAACTGTGGGTATTGGACGGAATGATGGGTGGAAAAAAGTCGCCAAATCGATCATTATTCTCCTGGCAGTGGTATAACAACAACAACAACAACGATAATAACAATAGTTTATCAATCACCAGGTTGGTGGCCCACCATAATCTCTATCTACCGCTGGCTGTCTGTCTGGCTGGTTGTATCTTGTTTGTGTAAAGAAGAACACGTCCAATATTGATTAGTCATTTAGAATAGACAGTAATGTTTGTTTGTTATAACAATCCATCCATCCATTTTGTTTCCCCCTTTCACCTCCTCCTTGTCCTACACTCTCCCCCCCTATTTCACCAGTTGACTAACCATCCATTTTTTGATTAAAGGATTCCCTCCCGGCACAGCAATATATATAAATATATAACAACAGCATTAGCTGCTGTGTAGTCATTGTACAATCAGCGTACAAGTAAGAGCTCAACAATCATTCATTATTTCAAAACATATATTGTTGGATGGAGATGGAGATTGAGTCGTCAGGGCACAACCCAATACAAATGGTACACGCCCGAGCCAAGAAAAACAACAAGGATTCTCCATTTTCAAGTAGTGGCAGCAGTGCCGACAATAGTAGCGGCTTTGGAAATAGCGGCAGCAGTAGTAGTAGTGGGAGTAGTGGAATAGACAGCAGCAGTAGTAGTGGAGAGAGTGAGACCAAACCATTGTCAACCATTCCAAAACACACTCCATCGTCAACAAACAACTCTTTATTGTCATTGACACCACCCATTTCGACTACCCCCACCCAATTGCTTCAACCCTCTTCACAGGGACCATCATCACTATTATCATCGTCGATATCTCACGACAGAGGTGAAGAGGTGACTGATCAAAGTAACAATAATGGAAATGAAGATAGCATGGAAATAATCGGCAGTTTAAATAGTGTTAATGAAGAAGAAGAAGAAGAACTATTACCTGCAACCCCTTTAAATGTTCATAATAATAATACCAAAACATTTAAAAAATATAGTCAACCATCTCCACCTTATAATAATAATAATAACAATAATAATAATAGTAATAATTGTAATTATACAAAGAGTATTATGAATTTAATTAACAAGTCAAATACCCAAAAAAGTCATCATAATGGTCATGAAATTGAAATTATAGATGATGACGAACAGGCTATCAGTGGTAATAATAAGAGTATTAATAGTAATAGTAATGGTAATAATTCACCAGTTTCACCCGATATGATGAATTTTGGTCAAAAAGGTGGAAAATCAAAATTATTGTCACCAGATCTACCAAACGATGCCAGTATCGATGATTTACCATCATCACAGGCATTACAAAGTCAATCATTTCAAAGATCATCACAATCATCACAAAATAGTAGTTCATTTGACAAGTCATTTACCAACAGTCAAAATACATCTTTTGGACCAACAAAAAATAATATTAGTACGAGTAGTGGTGGGATTAGTAACAGTGGCGAGAGTAGTATTACTAGTTTAATCAACCTTCCTGGAACTGGAAAATACCCAAAAAATACAAACACCACAAGTCAATTCCATCCATATGCTAAAAAACCTGAAACTATAAATGGTATGAAATTGGAAAACATATTATAGTTATTATATTCATTAAACTAATGTTATTTTTTTTTATATAATTTTGATGTAGATGAAAATTTTGATATAAAAGTTGATGAAGATGAATATTTAAATTATGATTTGGATTCAGATTTAAAAGGACAGTTCAGTAGTGAGATGGTTAAACAATCGGATCAAGGAGTATTGATTTTCTATCGAAAAATATTGGCCATTCTAATTGGAATCAAACAAAAGACTATATTATTTGAAGACCAACAACAATACTTTAATACTATGTTTTTTGTCTTGTTGGACAAGGATTATAAACCAATATACCACCAGGTGCAAGTAGACTCGCAAGGCACCGAGACAAGGGAGTTTTTGAGAACGAGTCGTCGCCGAAAGAATGGCACGCAGCAGTCTAATCAACCAATCACCGTGTTTCATCCTCCACTTGGCCAATTTAGTAACTTTCGTCTTGGCTATATGACCAAGGAGACATCGAGCCATCTTTATCGTGTTCCTCTGTTCATGTCACACGTCTCTACTATTATTGGACAGGCTCATGTGTATGCCAACACTGCCAACCAAATAACACACAACAATGCCGTCGAAACCAAGCAGATTGTGTATCGCAAAAATTGGTACTGGCATTTCCTCAATGTCACTCTCGAAAATATCAAATGTCATTGTGGTATCAATCCAAAGTTTCAACAACTACCTCTACAAGGATTCAGCCTTTCTCAATCATCTCAACCATCTTCACAATCTACTTCATCTTCATCTTCATCTTCATCATCGTCATCATCTACTTCACAACGAAAATATTCTTATGAACCTCTTCCATCCCCACCTGGTAATAGTAATGGTGTGAGACAAAATCAATTTGAATTTACAGTTCTTGATAATAATCAATCAGGATTCCAAAAATCCCTTTATCCTACCTCATCATTGTCATCAATATCATCTTCTACTACCACTATTAGAGGAGGAGGTCAAAATGGTAGTTCCACACCCAATGGTAGTAACACTCCTCCCACAAATGGATATTACAAGAATCAAACTACAATGGATCACTATCACCATATGTCACCCAGCAACAATAATGGTAATAATAATAATAAACAATCTCAACATACTCATCAACATCAACAAATGTTGAACCAACAACAACACCAACAACACCAATTAAATACAATTCAACAAAATATGAAACAATTTTTTTCATCCATTTCATCCATCGAATCTAGTATGAGTCGACAACAATATCAAATCCAACAACTGCAACAAGAAATGCAGATAGTTTCTAGGACGCTTTCCGAGTTTACTCGGACAATGGTGCAACAACTTCAACAATCCTCACCTATAGGGGTACCCCTTCCGCCACCACCACCACCACCCATGCAACAATTGGTGCATCAACAACCTTCACCTCAACAGTCACTACACCAATCAAAGAATAATAATAATATAATTACTAATAATCAAAATAATCAAAATAATCAAAATAATAATAACATTACACCAAATTTCAACCCTAATCGAGAGATTCGACCTAGGGTAAGCAATTCTACACCATTGCCTCCACCACCCATTCTACCCAACCCATTAAAACCATCACTAGTAAACTACCAACCAAGGGGTTTCCAACAATCACCTCCTAATACAGTATGTTCTAGTGATGATGAGCCGGAATTAATTGATCACACAAATAATGTAAATTCATATATTAATAATATTAATAATATTAATAATAATAATAACTATAATATTAATAATAATAATAATAATAATAATACACAAACTAGTACTATAACTAATAATAATAATAATAATGTAAATAATAATAATAATAATAATAATTTTGTACGTAATAATAATGGTATAATTCCAACAGAAGTTTCATCTTGTTCTTCGTCACCACCAGGTACACCAGAATCGGAATCTTCTTCACCAAACAATTCTTCAGATCCACATTCACCACCACCTAATGGCAAAAGTAGTACTAAAACTAGAAGTGGTACAAACTTTGCAACATCGACACCACCACAATCTGCAAGTGGTCGTACATCTACTACTGCTGAAACAGAAATGATGGATCCAGCATTAGTTTTAATGACCAACCCTAATTTGTCGGTCGAGGAACAAGGACGCCTCAAAGAGAAATGGAGAAAAAAGATATCAAACTTTAAAGACACTCTTCTTAGTACCATAGTCGAAGACCAATTCCAAAGACGTCGTGAAGAGTATCACACCATTGTCCAACAATTCAACGATTACTATTCCACTCGTTTCCCATCCACCAGACAAATTCGTATCGACGATGATTTTCCACAGACCTCAAAAGAAGTACACGATTATTTGATTCGACACAATCTATCTTCTAAAAAAAGAGATGGTAAAAAAGAAAAGATAAAATTAATTAATTAATTAATAATAATAATAACCAAACCGAGAGAAACAACCATGATGGAAGCTGAATAATAATTAAAATGTAATGTTTTTTTTTTTTCAAAAAAGTTCTTAAATAAATAATGTGTATAGATTCAATGATATAAAGGATATTATATATCAATCAATTAATCAATGACGTAATGGTTCTATAGATTTAAACCTTCCTGAACTAGAGAAAGTTCTTATGACCATTCAGCCGACTTTTTTTTGAGGTGGTCGCCCTTCGTTTCAGTCGGCCCTCATCAAATTAATTTTTTTTATTTATTTTTAAATTGAATTTAGGAGGAGGCAAAGCCTCAAAAGACTTTACCGACAGTTCATTAAACTCATTTAGATTCTCATTTTACAAGATAAACAACAATGATGAAGTTCTTTACCTATGCTGCTATTGCAGCTTTATTTATTGTATGTGAACAACAGTCGTAGTCGTAGTAGTGTAGTATGAATGACTTTAGGACTCTCTTTACTAAAAATAATCTATTCTATTCTTCTACAAAAAAAAAGGTTTCAGTAACATCAATGACCATAAAGACAGATACAGCCACTACTACATCCTATTCTGGCTATTTCAATGTTAATGAAACCACCAATGCTAACCTCTTTTACTGGTTTTTTGAAGCTCAAACTAATGCATCAACTGCCCCATTTGTAATTTGGTTGACAGGTAATAACAATAACAAAAACATATACATATACATTTAATATTTATAGCTAATTTTTTTCTAACCTAGGTGGACCTGGTTGTTCATCTGAGATGGCTATCTTTTACGAAAATGGTCCATTCAAGATTAATGAAGACCTTTCTCTTGCTTCAAACCCATACAGGTATGATTAGAATATTAATAATAATATTATTATTATTTTTTTGAAAAATAAGACCTGGATATTAATTTATACTTTTCAAAACTCTATCTAGTTGGAATTTAGTTTCAAACATTTTATATGTTGACAGTCCAGTTGGAACTGGTTTTTCATATGTTGAGGATCCAAGTGGATACTCTACCAATGAAGTTGAAGTTGCTTCTAATCTTTACAGTTTGCTTACTCAATTCTTTGAAAAGTATCCACAATATGCTGGTCTTCCATTCTTTGTTTTTGGTGGTATGTAGATAGATAGATAATAATAATATTTAATAATTATATTAATCCTTTGTTTCTTCCATTTTTTTAGAATCATATGCCGGACATTATGTACCAGCTCTTTCATACTACATCTTTGAACAAAATAAGGTTAGTGGAGTCAAGAAGATTAATCTCAAGGGTTTGGCCACTGGTAATGCCATGGTTTATCCAAAGGTTCAATATGGAAGTCTTGGTCTCATGGCCTACTCGCATGGTTTGATTGATGAGTTAGTTTTAAAGGAAACTGATGGTCTCTACTCTGCATGTGTTCAAGCTATCGATTCTGGAAACTATAACCAATCATCTGAAATTTGTAATTCAATCATTGATACCATTTCAGCTGCTGCTGGTCCATTCAATGTTTATGGTATGATTAAAAATATTAATGATTATAATTTAAATTAACTATAATACTAATAATATATTTACCTTTCGTTTCTACATAGATGTAACCAAGACTTGTCCTAGTGACCTTCCACTTTGTTACAACTTTACTCTTGCCCAAGTTTATTTGGACCAACCATCTGTTCGTCAATCACTTGGAATTCCATCCAATGTCCAATGGTCAATGTGCAGTGGTACCGTCTACCAAGATATCATTGGTGATTGGTTTGACACTGAAGTCGAGCATATCCCAACTCTTCTCGAAGCCGGTATCGATGTTCTTGTATACAATGGAAACCTTGGTTGGATTTGCAACTTTATTGGATCTGAGCAATGGGTCCGTGATATGAAATGGAAGGGTCAATCCCAATTTAACAAGTCACAAAGACAAATCTTTTGGAATGGTCCAACCATTGCCGGTTGGTTCAATACTTATGGTGGTTTAACTTTTATGAATATTCAAAATGCTGGGTATGTATTTCTCCAACTATATATATATATATGTTTTGATAAACTATTAATAATTTCTATTTTTTTCCAACATATTTTGATAAACTATTAATCCCTCTTGACCTCCTATTTATATTTGACAGTCACATGGTGCCCCAAGACGCCCCATTACCAGCATTGGATATGTTTACAACCTTTATCCAAGGAAAGTTCTAAAAGAACAGTGGAATAAAAAAATGGTGATTAAAGTTAAGTTTGGCTGTTTTTGTATTATTATTATTATTTCCAACTATATATATTTTGATAAACTAATAATCTCTCTTGACCTCCTATTTATATTTGACAGTCACATGGTGAACCAAAAAAATTTAGAGTTGTTATTGTATTTTTAAATATAACAAATACAGTAGTTTTTTTTTTCTGGGCAGAATCGATTCTGTAAAAAAATCTCGGTAACCAATCATCTATTGTTTCGGTATCCAGAATCGATGGCTTGAACTACAGCACTGCATCAGCACCCGAATTCATCCAATGAAATTGAAGTTCCATTCCGATTGTGTAAAATGAGACAGTCGATCATTTTTTTCATCGAATATCACAGAAAAAGCAAAGAATGTCCAATGGGACAGAAATAGGAATTGTTTGGTTTTTTGCTAAATTTTAGATAATATCAGATCGACTGATAGATATTGCACATAGTAATGAGAGAGAGTTTGTTTTGATCACAATACATAACTTTGTACATATTATATCACATTTATAACATTTAAAGAGGAGGAAAAGAGAGCAAAGTCTACATTTTTTAAAAGGACTACTACTATTACTCACCACATTACTTTATAGAACCTTTACAATAAATTTATATTTTTATTTATATATACACACATATATATATATATAGAAAGAAATGGTAAAGGTTGATATGCCAAATGACTCAAACACAAAGTTTGAGATTCAAAAGTGGCTCAAGAAATACTCTATTGCACATACACCATTCCAGTCAAAGGATGATCTCTTGTTTCTTGTCAGTGAGAACAAAAAGAATGTCATTGACCAAGAAAGAGCTGCCTATAAGGAGAAAAAGTTACAAGAACAAGCTCAAAAGGAAAAGGATGCATTAAAGGCTGCTACTGCTGCTGCAAAGTCTTCATACAAGTCATCATCTTCTTCATCCAATTCATCATCATCTACTTCATCTGCAACATCAACAAGATCATTAGTATCACCATTTAAAAAGATTCAAATTGTAAATGGAAAGGTATTATCAGCATCTTCTATTTCAGTAGCTGCATTTGATGATTCATCTTCAGTTGCAACAACATCATCATTGACTGTTCCATTAAAGATTATAAACAAACCAAGAAACAAATTAAATTTAATTGATAGAATTGAAAATAATACATTACATGTATTCATTTCATCGACATTCAAGGATATGATTGGAGAACGTGACCATTTGATCAAGGTTGTGTTTCCAGCTATCAACTTGAGATGCAAGGCAAAGAACTTGACCATTGTACCAGTTGATTTGCGTTGGGGTCTAACCAAGGAAGAGACAACTGTCAAGGGTCAAATCGAACTGTGCTTGAAGCAAATGGACAAGTGCCCGATTATGATTAGTGTGGTTGGTGAAAGATTTGGTTGGATTCCAAACGAGTACAAGTTATCGTCCAATGACAGTGCCGACCCTGTCACCCAATACCTCTCGTCGTTGCCATTGGGTGAGAGTATCACATCGATCGAGACGAGATACGGTCTCTCTTGTCACAAGACCAAGCATTCAGTTGCGCTGTTTAGAGATTCGTCGTCACTTGCCACCACTCCACAAATCCAAGACCATTTTGGTGAAAAGGTCGAAGAGAGCAAGACCAAACTGGTAGCATTCAAGGAACACATCAAATCGGATGCACACTGTACAGTATTGGATGGATATCCATGTAAATATATTGGAGTTGATAAACAAACGCAACAACACTGTGTCGGTAACCTTCAAGCATTTGGTGATTTTGTTATCAACCAAATGATGGATATCATCGAATTGGAATTCCCAAATCCAATTGAACTGTTAAATGCTGCTCAACAAGAAGAAAAGCATCATTCACTCTACCAAACAAACAAGGCACAATATTATTGGGGTAGAGAAGCTTTCCAAAAAAAGTTATTGGATCATATCCATAACAACAAGTCTGTATCACTCGACAAGATTGCCATTGTCTATGGTGAACCTGGATGTGGAAAGTCTTCTTCATTGTCCAATTTAGTCACTAAATTGGAAGCTTTAAACACTCCAAAGACCTATCTTGTACTCTCCCACTATGTTGGTTGTTCCGGTGAATCTACAAATGTTCCAAATATCTTGGAAAGATTTTCAACAAAGATTTGTAAACAATTAAAAATTAATCATGAAATTCCTACTAATCTTGGTAAATATTAATATAAAACAAAAACAAATATACAATATTAATTCTTTTTCTTTATTTTTTTATTTATTATTTTTTAGAAATGTTAAGAACAGAATTCCCAAAGATATTACAAAAAGCAAGTAAATTGGTAAAGAATATTGTAATTGTAATTGATGATTTGGATGAATTATCAACACAAAATCAGTCACATCAAATGGAATGGTTACCAGATACAACTGATTTACCGTCGAATTGTTTTGTATTGACAAGTTGTGATCAAAACAAGACGTGTTGGGATTACCTCCATCTTCGTACAAAGATTCCACATACCTTTTACTTGTCACCTCTTGAAATGACCGATCGTTCCATCATTACCACTCATACGTTGGATCGTTATAGCAAGCGTCTTGAACCAAAGCAATTGGATCGTCTTGTCGCCAAGACTCATGCCAAGTTCCCACTCTACATTCAATTGGTGTGTGAAGAACTTCGTGTCATTGGCAATTATGACAAGTTAAATTCAATCATTCAAAAGATTCCAGATACCATTGACCAATTGATTGTATCTATTCTTTTGCGTTTGGAAGATGATTTTGGTAGAGATTTGATTAAAAAGACACTTTGCTTTATTGCTCTGAGTAGATATGGTTTGTTAGAGTCGGAACTTTTGGATCTACTTCGTGAAAAGGGTACTCCACTATCATTTGTACAATGGGCACCACTTTTAATTGCCATCTCCCCACTTTTACGTAATGGTTTCAATACATCAAAATCCATCACATTCTTCCACGCACAAGTTGCCAAGGTCATCATCCAAAAGTACTTGCCAACTGAAAAGAGTGTCATTGTTGCACACACTCAACTTGCCGACTATTACCAAAACCAATGTCATGGTACCGTCGACGGTAGTAGTAAAAAGTGGAATGGTACATTGTTAAAACCATTTGTAGAGCTACCATACCATTTGACGTGTGCAAAGAGATTCGATTGGTTGGCTAATCTCTTCCAAGATCTCATATTCGTAGAGACCAAGTTCAAGTTAAAGTTGGGTCGTGACTTGTTGGAAAATATGTTGCTTGCCATCACCGAGACACAATCACCAACCCTGAGTGGTGAGCGTTGGACCGGTCTCAACTTTTCCTCGTCCAACCTCGTCCAAGATATTTACAATTTCGTTCAATACCAAGCACACAATATCGAAAGATACCCATTGGTTGTTGCTCAACAGGCATACAATCTTCCAGATGATTCAGTGTGTCATAGTGTTGCAGATCGTCATCTCTGGCAAACAAAGGCACCCCATTTCAAGTGGCTCAACAAACCACAGCTTTCAGACTTTGTCATTGCTTCGTTGGCCGGTCACGAGGATTTTGTCCGTTGCGCATTGTATCGTGAGGATGGTAACATGATTGCCAGTTGTTCAGACGATCGTTCGATTCGTATTTGGTCGGGAGAGACTGGTGCATTGGTACGTGTCTTTCCAAAACTGCATACTGACAAGATCACTAATTTGCAGTGGCGTGGAAACAACAACTTGGTGACCGTGTCTCGTGACAAGCGTGTTGTCTTGTGGGACGAGTATGGCAAGGTGTTGCACGAGTTTAACGGTCACAGTCAAGCGGTGTGGGGTGTAGCTGTCAGTGGTGATGGTCGTCGTATTGCCAGTGCATCGTGGGATATGACATGCATCGTTTGGGATATCGCTTCGAAACAAATTGCATTTACATTGACGGGACACACCAACAAGTTGTCTGCCGTTGCATACAGTCCCGACTCTAGACTCATCGCCACTGGTTGCTGGAGTGGTATCGTCATTATTTGGGACGCTGTCACGGGCAAGCAATTGCAAAGCACCAAGGTCTCTGACACGACCATTCTCTACTTGATGTTTTCGCCCGACGAAATGCTCTTGTCTGCTTCATGCGTCGACTCGTTCACTCATATCCTCGCTCGTCGTAACAACTGGTCCAAGGAAATCGCCAAATTAGAGGGTCACAAGGAAGCTGTCATTTCAAGCAGATGGTCGGCCGATGGCAAGTTTATCGTCTCTTGTTCAGATGATAAGACGGTCCGTGTGTTTGACTGCGCCGATTGGAGTCAAGCATCTGTCATGACGGGTCATTCTGGTCGTATCATTTCCGCCGCTTTCCATCCCAACTCTTCCAAGCGTCGTATCATCACCGCCGCCACTGACAAGTTTATCAAGATCTGGGATCCAAAGCTCGGCTACTCTGTCACCCAAGCCCATCAAGGCCACAGAAAGGGTGTCAGCACACTCCAGTACGATCACGAAAACGATATTCTCTACTCCTTGTCGGACGACCACACCATCCGTTCGTGGACAGATTTCCAAAGAAACGATCTCTTGGTGCCAGGCAATACCTACGAAAACATAAATTGGAAAAAGTTCAAGTTGCTTGACCCTCAAATCTTTGGTTCTCTCAGCTTGGCCTTTGCCATTGTGAGCAACGTTGGCACTGTACTCCAATACTGTATGGACAAAAAGACAATGATCAAAAGATTGCCAGACACGGTCAAGTGCACTGCTTTTACCATCACAGACAATGACTCTTTGTTTGCAGTGGCTGATCCAGAGGGTGTTGTCTATGTATACGATGTCGCTACATTTGAAGAGGTCTATCGCAACAGACATGGATTTGTTGTCAACGAACTTGCCTTTTCTCCCTGTTCAACCTATTTGGCAGCTTCCGACGGCAAGGGTACCATCACTATCCTAAAGTCTGGTGGTCTTGCCGACAAGACCTATCATCAATGTGCCTATTTGACTTTGGAGCCAATGAGTGCCATTACCTCGATCAAGTGGAGTGGCGATAGCTCCTCCTCTTCCTCCTCCTCATCAGAGATAGATACAAGATACATGGCTGTTGGTACAGTAGATGGTTCAATCCATATTTTCGATGTAAAGAGATCATTCTATGTACATCGTGTTACTACCAATGTACACGCTTTTGGTATCCGTTCAATGGCATTTTCCCCATCGTCCAAGTACTTGTTTACAGCCTCGCTTGACAAGACTGCCATCCTGTGGAATGTAGAGACCATGACCATCGTGTCTGTATTCCCATTATTCTCCATTGCCACTTCAAATATTCTTTTCTTTAAGGATATACAAAATGTTCCAACCGTCATTTTATCGGATTACACCGGAAAGATACACCACTTAAAATTAATAGGCGTTAATGAATAATTCAAGTAACAATTCAATTGTCATGACTCATAATAATAATAATTTCATAACAATAAATAATTTGTAATAATAATAAATTAATAATAATAATACCCCAAAATAACTTTTTTCCATTCAGATTTTTTTAAAATAGTTTAAACAATATTGGTTAATACAAGATTTCGCGAACGGATATTGAAGTGTTGTTCATGTCCCACATTTTCTCTTTACCACTTGAATAATAATTTCCTGATTCAGTAGTGGATGATATTGCTTGGATAGTTGGATGAAAAGAAAGTAAAAATTTCCAACCACATTGTGTATTTTTCATTCCCCCAACAAAAATTTGTAAAAAGTTCATAATGAGATATTGGCTCTTAAAAATCTGGAATACAATGAGAAAATTAGTGGTGGGTGATTTAAGTTCATTATATTTTGGTCCTCTATTATCATGTTCAAAAGAGATTTTAATTGATATTATTTTAGTATCAATAGTAATATTAGTAGTTAAAAAAATAGTAAAAAAAATGAGGATAATAAGTTTTATAGTTTTGATGATATTTATTATTAAAATAAATGCATCATCATTTTATAAATGCAATAATGGAGGTATTGGAATGGACAATTCTTGTATATGTCCTGTTGGATATCAAGGAGATCAATGTGAAAAATACAACTTTCAAATGCACGTCGGCACTAGATGTTTGGAGACCTTTACAGGTTGATGTTGGACCACTATGTTGTTGGTCAAAACAAAGGGAAATTCAAAATATTAAAGAACTAGAACATTCAAATTGGATGACAAGTCTACAAATGCTCAATCAACAAGAATTAAAAAAATAGTAGAAACTTATGGACCCTGGGATGAACATGATATTTTATTGCTCAACACTATCATCTCTAAAAATAATAATAATCAATATTCTTTAAAATATAAAGATCAACAATTAATTCAACCCATCAACAATATGTGTAATCAATCTACTAGCAGTCACTTGCATTCATTCTAATGATCCATAAATATGATTTGGATGCAATCAAGACTTTATTCAGAATATTGTATAGTCCCAAGCATTATTATGTCATTCATTGTAAGTTAGGTTTATATCATTATGAATATCTTTGGTATTAACTTTTTTAATTTCTTTTCTTTTTAGACGATGTAAAAATGAAGGATCAAGAGAAAATGATCGAAACTCATTGTTTGATGAAATAATGGGTAATCATACATTAAAGAATATCCAATTTGTGGAAAACAGATTATTGGGAATTTGGGGTGCTCCCTCAATGGTTTATATGGAATTGGCTGGCTATGCAAAGTTGTTTGATATGGTTTCAGAGAGACAATCAGTAAATGGAAATGAAATCAATCAAATGTGGTCACATGTTATCAATTTATCAACCAATGATATGCCACTCAAACCACTTTCAAAGATTGAAGAATTCTTTTGTGATCATTTTAATACAACATATATGTGCAAAGGGAGATATCTTGATAATGAAAGATTTAATGTATGTAACTCATTTTCTTTAAATAGTTTAGAATTTATTTTAATTTTCTTGATTCTTTTTTTTTTTTAAATATTAGGGATATTATATGGAATTTGTAAAAGGAGATTATTGGAGTAAAGTTGGTGATGGTACATATAATTCCTATGACTGTGGAAAACCAGGAAATTTAAAATATTTTTCACCGGTGAGCATTGGAACACAATGGCACATGTTAACATCTGGATTTGCTCATCATCTCATTTCAGACATCAAATCTCTTGAAACACTCATGTCACTAAAGTTCTCTTATATTCCAGATGAATCATTTTATCAAGCTGCTTGGAGAACCTATTCACAAGACGATTTTGAATCAAACTATCACAGAGATACCATGTGGGACAAGGTAACAACAAGTCAACATAGCAGATACAGTGTAGATCTTGAAGACTTGGATACTATACCAAAACATTTAATGTTTATCAGAAAAGTATACACCAATCAAGTAAAAGAAGCAATCATTTCCAAGTTTCTAACCGTCTAATTAATACCAACAAAAAAAAATGTAACATGTATATTATAATGTATTAAGAATAAATATTTTATTTTCTACCAAAAGATCTTTAAATGCTTAGGCACTAGTTGTAGTAGCAGTAGTAGATGATGATCTGAGGACGGTAGCAATTTGAACCATATTTTTGAGGGCAGCAATAGTTTCAGCATGATTTCTAGTCTTGAGACCACAATCAGGGTTGACCCAAAGCAATTCACTTGAAACAAACTTGTTGATTTGTTGAACTCTGTGGAGCATTTCTTCGACGGTTGGGACACGTGGTGAATGGATGTCATAGACACCTGGACCGATTTCATTGGTGTATCCATTTGAAGCAAAGGCAGACAACAACTTGGCATCGCTCTTTGAGTTTTCAATGGTCAAGACATCGGCATCCATATCTTGCAAAGACTTGAAGATATCGTTGAAATCACTGTAGCACATGTGAGTGTGGATTTGGACATTGTCTTCGACACCAGAGGTAGCCAACTTGAAGCAGTTGACAGACCACTTGAGATGGTTGTCCCATTGGTTACGACGGAGTGGCAAACCTTCACGGATGGCTGGCTCGTCGATTTGGACGATGGCAAGCTTGGAGATGGTGGCAAGATCGGCGACCTCGTCTCTGATGGAGAGAGCCAATTGGAGACAAGTCTCGGAACGTGGGATATCGTCACGGACAAAAGACCATTGGAGACAGGTGACTGGACCGGTAAGCATACCCTTGACAGGTTTGGTAGTGAGTGACTGAGAGTAGGTGGCAAGCTCAACGGTCATTGGCGAACGACGTTGGACATCACCATAGATGATGGGTGGCTTGACACAACGACTTCCATAACTTTGCACCCATCCATTCGAGGTGAATGAGAAACCTTGGAGATACTCACCAAAGAACTCAACCATGTCGGTACGCTCAGACTCGCCGTGCACCAATACATCGAGACCACACTCTTCTTGGATTTGGATGGTTCTGGCAATCTCCTCGCGGATAAATTGGTCATACTCTTGTTGAGAGATGGCGCCGCTACGGTATTGGCTACGAACTTGACGAACCTTGGCAGTTTGTGGGAACGATCCAATAGTAGTGGTTGGATAGAGAGCTGGCAAGACGGCACCTAATCTTTGTCTTTGGGCAACTCTTCTCTTTTCAAAGACACTGTTTCTCGAAAACATGTCTTGAGTGACCTTGTTGGCTCTGTCCTTGACATCGACATTGTGGATGATGGCAGAGGTGGAACGACGGGCACACTTGGCCAAGTTGGTGGCATAGGCCTCTTGCAAACCAGAGTCCAACAAGACTACAGATCCATCGTTTCCAGAGACATCGTAACCGGCATTGACAGCCTTGGTGAGGAATACAACTTCGGCAAGCTTCTCCTTGGCAAATGATAACCATTCCAACAATTCAACTGGCTTGAGCTTCTCCTTTTCAGCACTGTGTGGACTATGTAAAAGTGAACATGAACTGGCAACAATAATCTTGGATTTATCAATCTTTAAAAGATTAATAATACGATTAATTTCTTGTAATTTCTTTTGATAATTTGTAATCCAAATATTTCTACCATCAATTAATCCTATAAAAAAAAAATAATAAATAAAAAAGAAAAAAAAGAGTTAAAATTATTTGTTTTAATATTAATATTTGTTTGTTTTTTTTTTTTGACATACCTAAAGAAATATTCCAATTCTTATTAAATGAAAGTAATAAAGTATCTAAATGATCATTTGATAAAGATCTAGTGAGATCAATATGAACAGAGTGAATAAAGTCGAGATCCTTGATGAGGACAATGTTGGAACCAATTTCACCAAAGTAGGTGGTGAGGTGAATACGGAGGGATGGAGCGGCAGTGTGGAGGGCAGTGAGGACCTTGTGGTAGATTGGCTTGAGAGTGTTGATTTGGCTGTCTTCAAAGTCAAAGCAGAGGAATGGTTCGTCGACTTGCAAGTCGGTGGCACCGTGTGATTGGAGGAGAGTGACGATTTGAGTGTAGACGGCGAGCAACGAGTCAATGTGAACGAGTGGATCCAAAAGACTGGCATATTGCTTGTTGTCGGCACTCTTACTGAGCATCAAGAAAGAGATTGGACCAATGAGGACTGGCTTGCTGTTGATACCGAGGGCTTCCTTGGCTTGGAGATACTCTTCGACGATCTTTGGGTGTTGGGTAGAGCTGACAGAGTTGGTAAGCTTGAATGTCTGGTTGGCTTGGAGCTCTGGTACCATGTAATGGTAGTTGGTGTCGAACCACTTACGCATCTCCATACTGCAGACATCGACCTGTTGGTTTTGGAGTCCACGGCCCATAGCAAAGTAGGTGGCAAGCGAGGCAACACCACCTTCAGAGGCAACAACTGGTTCGTAACGGGTTGGGATAGCACCAAACATGTGGACGTGGTCGAGGACATGGTCATAGAAGGAAAAGTCGTTGCTTGGGATCAAGTCGATACCAACGTTCTTTTGGAGAGCCCAATGAACCTCTCTCAACTTGGCAGCACCTGCTACCAACTCTTGTGCATTCACCTTTCCTTGCCAGAATGCTTCTACTATCTTTTTTAAATCTCTATTCTCTCCCATTCTTGGGAATCCGAGGATTGTTGAAATTGCCATGACTATTAAGTATAAAGTATATAAAGTATAGATAGATAGATAGATTGAACTCTTTTTGTTTAAAGAATACACTAATGATGATGATGAACTTGAGCAAGAGAGCAGTGCTTATATATACCCAAATGAAATATTACAATTTAATTTAGAATAATAGCTTAGCTTGAATTGCCTTGTCAATGAGTCATCAAAGGCAGTGGACAAACTATAAGGTACAGATAATCTCTCTCTCTCTCTCTCTCTCTCGAATGGTCGCATATGATATTTGCAGCCTTATTCCAAAGTAAGAAGGTGGTGATGCTAGTTTGTTCTGTTGGTCGCTGTCGAGACCCCCTACGACGTGCTCGTGAGGGCAAAAAGGAGTTGTGAAAAGAAACAAGTGCTCTTGCTAGAAAGATCATACAACCATCCCTCTCTGAACGCATGCATATTCTCCTAATCAATCAATCAATCACACACACGACGACCGATCATGTTGAGGCCTCTCTGTTGTGACGACCTTTTTCAAACGACCAATGCATTCATTACGGGGTTAAAATGAGATGATCGATTACTTTGTGTTGTTAATATGAGGAAGAGGCAATTTCTCGTCTTGCGATCGTTGGAGACCATGCACTTGTCTCACGACCAATGATGCCAATCAACATTAGATGGGGGTGAGAACTGCAAGCCACCAATAACAACGGTCGGTGATCTTCACACCTTTAATATAAAAATCTCTTGAATACCAGGAGGGAGGAGTTGGATAAAGAAAGAAAGAAAGAAAGAAAGAGAGATGAGAGGTGAATGAATGAATCATCAACTTGATGACTCATTATGAAACCCACATCTCATTGTCTTTGCAGATGCTTGTGCTGAATTTAAAATGAATAAATTTTAATTTTTTTTTGTTTTTTTAAATCATCATCAAAGTTGTCTTATTGTGTTTTACACTTACTCCTTCTTTTTAATCTTGTTTCAATCAACCATTTTGTATAGTTGTTATTTGTTCAACCACCTTGTATTATTATTATAGTTATTCATCTCTATTCGTATGATCATATCTAACTTTTTTAAAAAACACAAAAAAAAAAATCAAAATGAAAAAAATGATGAAGGGTTTGTTATTTTATTTATTATTATATTACTTCCAATTCGAATGTTTTCTCTTTTCCTTTTGTAGACCATTGACCATGTATTTCCAGGTTCTCTTCTCCTCCTTTTTAATTGTTTTTTTTTTCCTTTTGTTCTTTTTGTTGTTCTAGCCTGTAGATGTTGTTGGTGTTACTCATTGTGAGGGCTTCTATACGGCATTGAAATTTCTTTGATTCTCTTGCATCGAATTCATCCTTTGTTGAAAGATTATACATCTTTGATTCTCTTTCTCAATTTTTAATCGAAGCATGATGATCATTTTATTGTTGTCATCCTCCATTGTTTGTTAATTGCAATATATATATATATTTATGTATTTCTTTTGAAAGTTTGTGGAAACATTTAATTTTCTGGTTCTTTATATCCATTCTTTTTTTTTTTTTTTTTACTCAAAAATATGAGCCTTGATCACTTGTTTCAATAAGTCATACAAGTTAGTGTTTAACTAAACAGAGAAAAGGGGGACAATATCAATGTCAATAAATTTATTTATTATTATTATTAACAAAAGTAAGATCATATGCTGACAATAAAAATAGCACATGTTCACAAACCAACAGAACAGAACAGACTTGTCAATCTACTCATCTTGAAATAATATTATCGTCTTGTGCATAATTATTTATGACTGAATGAAAAAAAGGGGATAAAACAAGAAGGTGGAGGGGCAAAAGAGTGAGTACTTTTTTTGTTAAAGTTTTGCCGTGAATGCAAAGGTTTGTGCATTGTCCCCTTGTCTAAAAATAGTGATTACGATCGTTTGGAAGAACTGTTTATGTTTAGACTTAGACTAGACTATTATCCTCGTCGTTCTTGTTATTCTTTTTATTTATCGTTTAAGAATTTGTAGTTTATACAAGTAAAAAGAGAGATAGATAGATAGAATTTATTATTATTAATAGTAGAAAGAAAGAAAGATAGAAAGAAAGACCTGGCAATATAGCACAATCAGACAGACAGACAGACAGAACAACAGACATAGAGGTAGTGTACAGCATGCATAGAATTATTGTGTTTTCATTGAATTTACTTCTTTTTGATCTTTCATTCTCTCTTCTTCTTCTTGTTGATGATGATGTTGATGTTTAAAGTAAAAACCACAAACACCCACACAATCCAACAAACAACATCACATTCAATCGAGAATCAATCAATCAATCAAACAAACAACCCTTCACACCCCTCATTATCACATGACAGCTAGAACAAGAGCAAGAGCTCCTCAAGATAATCATTTTATTTTTGTTTATTGAATTATTAGAGTTGTCTTTAGTCGGTAGAGTAGAAAGCTAGTGAAAGAGATAAGAGAATCAAATCAATTAAACAAACCCAATCCAATTCAACTATCCCAATCCAATCCAATAGAACTGTCATCATCAAATCAAACTATCATCATCAACAACAACACAACAACAACAATCTTTCCAATTAATTAATTAATTAATTAATCAAGGCCACACTTTTCCAATATCTCGCAAAACCAGTTGCCAATTGGACAAAAGAAGGAAAAAAAACAACCAAGGATAATAGTGTTTGGACACACAACAATAATAATAATATAATAATAATAATAATAATAGTAGTAATTCATACACCCATCAATCAATCACAATACAATAATAATATAATAACTTTTCCCCTTCTTTTACTACTTTTTCCATTTTTTCTACAATCCCTTTATATACAATGTAAATAATACTATTATTATGATTATAATTTTTTGTTTGTTTATCGTCGTCATCGTCGTCGTTGTTGTTGTTGTTGTGTTATACAAATATACTATCCAAACAAAATCAATTCAATTCAATCAATCCATTTAATTTATCAATATCAATCGCGATTCCCACCCTATACAAAGAGAGGGAGAGAGCGACCTTTGGTAAACGACAGAACAACATTGCACACTATAATTATTATTTTGTTGTTTTGTCATATATATGTGTGACCACTCTACCACCCAAACAGACACCCAAAAACGTTGTGGGGTAAAAGGGAAGAGCAAACTTACACAATTGTGTTGGTTTTGGGATCAATCAATAATAAACAGCGTGATAAAAAGAACAAGGAGAAAAAAAAAAAGATGAAGCAAAGTCGTGAGCAATCAAAGTAGTGTTATTTTTATCACAAAAATATATATTATTATCTATCTATCAATTGTTGTTGTTGTATAAAAATAGTTTGACATACTAGCTAGTAGTAACAGGGTTAAGGAGAGACAGAGGAAGAACAGTCACAAAAGGTAATCAACAATCATTAGGAACTATAATATAATATAATATAATTGACACTCACTTACTCACATGTGTTGTGGTGGTCCGACCCTCCTCCTCCTCCTCCTCTTCTTCTTCCTCTTCTTATTCTAACGATCATCGGAAATCAAGAGGGACAACCAATCAAATACTTCTACCTATTCAATTCAATGTATCAATCTCAATCAATATATTATATATTATGCCAACAACAATTTCAATTGGAGGACAAGGAGAAAAAAGAATAGTCTCCACAACACCACAACCACAACTCTCTCTTGTTTGTTTTATGGTGATAAGATTGGGCATCACTATTACAAGCAGTAAGAGTAACTGCTGCTTGAAACAAATAGCATTTAGTATCAAGAGAGTGAGAGGGTGGTGGCAATTTCCTTTCCTTGATACAAGCGAGCTGCAGATAGATTAATTATATACAGATAGATAAAAGTGTGTGTATATAATATATGTGGTTGATAAACAATATCGCAAATAGATGAAAGATGGATGGATAGATAGGCGATGATGATGATGATAATGATAATACTTTGATGGATGTGTTTGAAATCGCTCGATTCCACACCATCAAAATATATATTCAGTCTATCCGTTTTTTTGTAAAGTAATATTATTTTTGGTTCATAATAATAATTAATAATAATAATAATAATAGTATTATTATTTATTCATTTTTTTAAACAATCATATCATACCTTTCTTCTTACCAGTGTCCTCGAGGAGAATCAAACTAAAAAATAGTACCTTTATTATTATATTATATTATTTATTTTAATTTATTCGTTATATATCATATATCACTTTTGGTGTGATGGTATGATTTGTCTCCTCCATTAATTTATTTATTTATTTATTTAATATTTTCATCATTGTGCCCCTTTGTCATATCCACAATTTCATTCAATTATAATTAACCATTTTCTTCCTTCCTCTTTTTTAAAAACAATAGATATAAAAAAAGGCTACATATATAGTGTATTAATTAATTTATAAATTAAAAACAAGTTAATTAAACAAACAACAACAGAAAGAAAACAAAAAAATGTTTAATATTAATCCATACAAAAATGTAAGATAAATCAACAACCATCCATGATTGAATCCAAATTAATTATTAATTATTATTGTTACTTTTTAAAAAGAAAAAACCAGTTTCATCAACTGGAAATGGAGCATCAAAAGAAAAGGAAAAGACATTGACTAAAGAAAAAGAGAAATCATCTTCATCATCGTCATCGTCTTCATCAACATCTAAAAAATCATCATCATCTTCGTCATCAAAACATAAACATCAAATGGAAGAGATAAAGATGAGTCCACAAACACCAAACTCTGGAAGAGTTTCATCACACGACGCAGGTAGCCTATCTTTGACATCCATGTCAGAGATTACCAACTCGCTATCAAATACACACACTGCAACAGATACATCCAACAATACAAACGACGAAGTCAGTGAGATTGGCGATGACTATGACCCATTCCTTTCGATATTGGAGGAACCAATAGAAGGAGAGGGTGGTATTGAAAAAGAGACCACAGAAGAGTTGCAAGAGATGTTGGCGGTACTTAAAGGCGTTCAAAATGAATGCAACGTATTGTTGCTGGGTCGTACAGGTGTAGGTAAATCCAGCACTCTAAACACTGTCTTTGGTATTGATATTCCAGTGCATAGCAGCGAGAGTTGCACACAAGAACCATTCACCTATTCGCGTAACGTCAACGGATTCAAACTCAACATTATAGATACACCGGGTTTCTTGGACTCGCAAGGTGACGAAGTCGATTCGGCCAACATGTTAAAGATCCAGCGTTATCTCTCGGGCAAGACCATCCACTGTGTGTTGTTTGTCGAGAAGTTTACAGAGACACGTTTCGATGGTGCCCATCAGCTCGTCATCAACCAATTCACAGAGAAACTCGGTCCACAGTTGTGGCGTAACGCTGCCGTTGTCCTCACCTATGCCAACAGTCCCCTTCCCGACAGTTGCTACGACGGTTTCGATGAAGAGGATGAGATTGGCCCATGGCGCAAGCATTTGGACGACCGTTCGATCCAATTCAAAAAATTCTTTACACATATCCTCCAATCGCTGCCACAAGACGATGGATACACACCCAAAAACATATCGGTCTATGCCATGGAAAATAGTAGAAGATGTCGTCGTAACGAACAGGGTCAACGTATCCTCATCGATGGAACCCCATGTCTTCATCTTTTAATTAGTGGTCTCTTGCGTATGGTCGACCCAAAAACAGCTTTTTTGTTTATGGGTCATCTTCGCGCCAAGAATAAACCATCAAAGTCGCATCGTGGCGATCAACAAGATCGTGAACGTGGTGTGTTTGACAATCTGGCTGAAATTTTAAAACTATTCGTAGTACCTCCTTTTGATCAACTCGGCAAGGGTACAGTTGCAAAGATTTTGGAAAGTTGGGGTAGAAAATTGGATCGTTATGGTAATCTTCCAAATTTATTAAAAATCTAAAAATAACAAACAAAAATAACAAAAAAAGAAAAACAAACAAGACAAATAGATATATATAGGATATATATATTTATATAGAATTATTAATAAGAAATGGAATATAAGAATATTAACAATAACCAACACCAAAACAACAAGTGACGACACAATCAAAAAAAGAATTTCCCTTAATTCTTGAATAACAATCACTAAATCCTCTCCCTCTCCCTCTCTCTCTCTGTCCACTATCCAGTTAGTGGATTTTCCAAACATTGCATTTGATGATATATTTAACATCAATCAAATACTGTTTTCCCTTGTATCATATATAATTATTTCAATTTTAAATAAAATATCGTTATTTAAATATATAACAAACAAACAAACAAATAGAACAGAATATAAATGATTTTCTTTTTTTTTTTTTTTTTGATAACAAAAGTTTTTGTTATTTATTATCTATCAATCTAATTAATTAAATTTGTTTTCTATTATTATTAATATTTCTTTCTTTTTCTTTTTTTAGAAAGCTAAAGCCTTTGATATTTCGAAATTATGATCAAAAGCAATTCTCTTTCTTAATTCGTTCCAAGCAAATAGACAAAAGATGATTGGAAGTGGGAATGCCCAGTAGATTCCAGGGACGGAAGCGTTTTCGATAATATTGTGGACAAATGGAGTGTAGATGATAAAGACAAGGATACCAGCCTCAATGACAAGACCGAAATTGACAAACATGTTCTTCATGCCATGACGCCAGACGGGGACGACACGAGTCTTGTTGGTGATGAGGTTAAAGAATTGACACATGACCAATGTCATAAAGTAGGCTGTCTGAGCCTCTTCGAGTGCAGTGAGTTGGTAGTGAGCGTTACGAGCGACACCATCGCTGGTTACAAAGTCTGGAGCACCTTCTTGGAAATAATCTTTAGCAGTGTAGGGAAGATCTTGTGGACGGAATCCATAGGAGGCCATGACCAAGAAGAAGTTGAGGAATGAGGCAATAGCTTCGATTGGACCAGCTTGGAGATACGAGTAGGACAAGAGGTTGGTGGTCACCAAATGATCGACACCGAGCTGACGTGGTTTACGTGTCATAATGTCCTTTTCACCAGTTTCGTAGGCCAATGAAATGGCTGGAGCCAACTCGGTACCGAGATCGATACAGAGAATCAAAAACGAAGTAATGGCAAGTGGGATACCAGCAATAATGTTGAGGAGGAAAGGTGCAATTTCAGGAACAGCATGCGACAATGTATAGGCAATAGATTTCTTGAGATTATCAAAAATAATACGTCCCTCTTCGATACCGGCGACAATTGAGGCAAAGTTATCGTCCAACAAGATAATATCGGCTGTTTCCTTGGCGACATCTGATCCGACGATACCCATGGCAACACCAATATCTGCCTTTTTGAGTGCTGGCGAATCATTGACACCATCACCAGTGACGGCGACTACTTCCTTTCTCTTTTGGGCATTTTCAACAATTTGTTGTTTCTGTTGTGGTGAGGTACGAGCAAACACAATCTCACTCTTGGCAAGTACACGATCCCAATCCTTGTCAGTCAATTCACGGATTTGAGCACCATGCAACACAACAGCTTTGACTTCACTATCATCAACTTGGTCAAGTGGAATTCCCTTTTGTTCTGCAATATCTTCAGCTGTTGGCGATGAAATAATACCAACCTTTTTAGCAATTGCTTTAGCTGTAATTGGATGATCACCTGTAACCATAATAACTATAATAAAATAATAATAATAAGTAAACTATATATTTAATTGTATATATATATTTCTTTTTCTATTTACCTTTGATACCAGCAGTTTTACATTGATGAACAGCAAATGGAACATTTTCACGTGGTGGATCCAATAGAGAACAAAGACCAACAAAGGTCAATTGAGAGGTTGGGAAATTAAGAGTTTGAGCATCATAGAGATTGTCATGCATTGGACCGTATTCAGATTGATCGAGAATGATACGGGCGAAACCAAGACAACGTTCACCCATACTACCAAGAGCTTCATAGGCTTGGGTAAAGTCGTTTCTCCATTTGTCGTCAATCTCTACTTCTTTGCCATCGATCATGATCTTGGAGCACTTGGAGATGATAATTTCTGGGGCACCCTTCATCATGAGAACACGCGATGTGTTGGCTGGATTGGTACTCTTGTGAATAGAGAGTTGCCATTTGTTGGCAGAATTGAATGGAATTTCAAATACCTTTGGATTGGCAGCACGTACTTCGACAATCGGGTCATTCTTGTCACAGAGACGTACGAGGGCACTTTCAGAGGCATCACCGAGGATGAGACGTTGGTCAATTTGACGTTCCATGTTACCCTCCAAGAGCTTGTCATAGTCGGCACGATTACAATTGGCACAAATCTTGAGCAATTCAGCACAGGTGGTTGAATTCTTGTTAAACATTTCACGACCGACTGTAGCACCGTCGTCGATGGCCTTGACAATGGTACCGTCGTACCACATGTGACTGACAGTCATACGATTTTGAGTCAAAGTACCTGTCTTGTCCGAAGCAATCAGTGTGATGGATCCGAGTGTTTCGATGGATTCCAACTTTTTGGCATAGACATTACGTTTGGATAAACGTCTGGCTGTGACTGTTAGACATGCCGTGATGGTCGATGGTAGACCTTCTGGCACGTTGGCAACAATGAGACCCAAGACATTGATAAGATTTGGAATTGGCTGCAAACCAACACCAAAACCAATGACGAAAAAGATGATACCCATAGAGATACCGAGAATGGCGATAAAGTGGACAAATCTCTTGGTTTCGATTTGGAGTGTTGTCTCGGTCGTCTCTGTGTTGGAGGCAAGATCGGCAATCTTGCCAATCAGTGTATTGGTACCGGTACGGATAACTACACCACGTGCAGATCCATCCATCACCAAAGTACCATAGAAAGCAAGATTATGTGATTCGAGTGGATTGTCATCAGTACATGTTACCGTACATGACTGTGCTTCACTTTCACCTGTCAATGATGAATTATCTACTTTCATACTACTACATGTTATAACTCTAATATCTCCTGGTACCTAAAAAAAAGAATAATAAATATAATTAATTTGGTTAGTTTGAATAAGTTTTCTTTTTTCTTTTTCTTTTTTCTTTTTACCTTGTCACCAGCACTAACAACTACAACGTCACCAATGACAACATCTTCTACTGGAATTTTAGTTTCAGAGCCATCACGGACAACACGACAGCTTTGTGGTAATAGATTCTTAAACGAGTTCATAATATTGCTACTTTGTCTTTCTTGAGCAAATGTCAACATACAAGTAAAGATGACGATTGCCCAAAGTACACAACCAAGATACAAATTGACTCTTTGTGAAGTATCCAAAGCATAGGCGATAAAACAAAGTGCACCAGCAATTTCCAACAAAATCATGAAAAAGTTGGTAAAGCATAAAAATAATTGAACAAACCATGGTGTTTGTTTTGGTGGTTTCAATACATTTTTACCATATCTTAATAATAAAGTTGCTGCATCTTCTTGTCTTAGACCCTAAACAATAAAAAATAAATAAATAAATAGTTAGAAACAAATAAATAAATAAATAAATACATGTTTTTGTTCTTACTTGACTTTGAGATGGATCACTAAGATTAATATTTGTACCAAATTTTATAGCTAATTGTTCTAAAGAAAATTCATGTTCGTCTACATCATATTCAGCAGCTTTTTGTTTGACCTTTGCCTTGTCCTTGGTGGATAGGGGAGTATCGGCAGCTGGTTTTTCGGGTGAAGTAGGGGCAACACCAGTGATTGGAGTTGGTTCAATGGTAAGAGCAGGGCCAGTTGGGGGAGAGAGGACCTGTTGTGCATGTATAGTATTTCCAGTGGATGGTCGTGACAAATCCCTAAGTGGAATATCAATGAATTGTCCTCTCTGGATGGTGGTCAAAGAGGATTGTTGAGGGAGTTTGGAGGCATCGGTATCGGTACGTTGTCTACGTTCGCCAATTTGATACTTGATTTCGTGATAGAATTGTGGAATCTCCTTGGAGGTTCCAAAAGTGTCGATAGCCAACTTTGGATGGCCACTGCCACCAACAGACCCATTACGGGCACGTTGGAGTTTTTTACGCAGTTCCTTTCCGTCACCAGCTTGAAAGGTGTATCCATGTTGCTTTTGTACTGGTGGTGGTGATAATGAGGAACTTGAACCAGAGGAGGATGTTGTTGCACCAGCTCCAGAAATGGTCGTAGATGATGTCGCATTCGAATTCTTGTTTTGTGACATTAATCTACTAAGTGTTTCCATTGATAATCTGGATTGTCCACCTTCTCTATTTGGGTTTGGAAGTGTTACAGAATTTTGATAATAATTATCATTATTCATATTATTATTATTATTATTATTATTATTATTATTATTATTATTATTATTATTATTATTACCAACAAATAATTGTTCCAAATCTGTTTTTTGTTGTGTTTGTTGTGTTGGTGATGGTTCTTTTTGATCAATGATACTACCAGGATTTGGTTGTTCTTGAGGTGATTCCTCTTGATCTGGGGATGTTGTTGGCGTAGAAGATGATGAAGGATCCATGATTGATTAAGTATTTAGGCTCCTCTTCTTCTTATCTTCTCTCTTGTATTATAACTTTTAAAAAAGATTATAAACAATATGTGTCAAGGAATAATATATATATATGTAATACTAATGTTATTAATATCTAATAATACGTTCAGCTGATATTAATGACTATTATTACTAATACAACGAAAAAAAAGGATTATATATATCTGCAATATTATAATATATTATTATTATTGTGGTTGTTGTTATTATTGCTTAATTCCTGATGTTGTTATAAGAAAGCTATTATATTTCTATATATATATTTAATTATTATAATTATGGAGAAAGAGGAGATGGAGCCAGTGATATATAATATTGATATATATATATATATACCAGGCATATGATGATAGAAGAAATAAATTGGATGGATTAGTAACCGAGTTGGTATGTAGGTAGGTGTAGGATAGAATATAGTGGGGGGTACAGAGAGAGAGGAGAGAACGAAAGATAAAAATAAAATCAAATACACCACCCTTTTGTTTGTTTGTTTTTTTTTTTTAAAGGTTGATTATATTTGTGTCTTGTCTGTACAGTAACACAAACAAAAAAATAAGAATATGTTAAATTAAAACTATAGACAACCATACACATCATCTGATTAGTCTCACTGCCTTTGTAGATGACAGCTAGCTCCGATTATCTCTTAAAATGGAGTGGTGTCGCCTCGTTTTTTTTTCTTTTTTCTTCGTTTGAAACGAAGTGAACAAACATCATCGGTATAAACAAACGTGCTAACATATTTAAAATAAAAGTGATGGATAGAGATAGATAGATAGATAAAGTGATAATTACCTTTACTACTTTTTATGAAAGCGGGATGGTAGAAAGAAAGAAAACTGTCTCTGTCGATCGATTTGAATAAATGTTAGTGAGATGTGAACGTTAAATTCATTATCACCTCTCTATGTGGGAAATAATAAACTTTGTGTAGTAATAGGATTAAATAGATAATAAAAAAGATATAATATATATATCTCTTATTTTTAACAAGTACACCTGTCTGTCTATATTTATCTTTCTATGAGGAAACCCCTCCTTGTTCAGCAACAGCGCAGTAGATCCTCGTACAAAGACGAAAAAATAAAAATAAATAAAAAAACCTTTTGTGCATCAAAACCTTGAAATTCGATTTTCATACCCACCCCCAACTGAAATGCCTCTTCACTGTTTGGGAGATCATTTTAAAAATAAATATTTTTAAATAATATAATATTAATTAATTTGATTTTTAATTTTTTAATTAAAATACTCGTGAAGTGAAGGAGTTGCAGAAATTGAGAACTTTCCTTGTTGTTGTTGATTGTTGTTGGTTGGAACGACCACTGAAGAAGCACTATTATTGGCAGTGGAAGTAGAAGTAGTTGAAGTAGTATTATTTCCATCGTCAATGTGTAGTAAATGTTGAACATGTGGTTTCAACATTGATAAGACTTGGTAATCGTCGTCAATGTGCATCAAACATTCAAGATGTCTTGACATATGTGCTCTTCCTTGTGTCGTTGAACAAAATAGTATTTTCTAGATAACAATTAAATAATTATTAATATTAATACTAATATTTTTCATCATTATTATTATTATTATAAACAATTGAATGACATAATCATACATGAGGATTTAAACCATTATCAAATATTCCACTATCCTTTAAAATGGATTTAATTTTATCTTCTTCACTATCATCTTCAATCATTGTCATGAGGTAAATATCGCATTGTGATGTTAATTTAATCAATGCCTGCTTTTCAGATTCCATAAATTTATAACTACATATTCTTCGATCCGATGGTGATTCATAATGTACCGTCTTTTCAATTATTACCTAAATATATGGTATGTCAAAGTGTATCATGTTTAATAATCTAATAATATCTCAATCAAGCATCTATCAATGAGTACATGTATCGTATACATACATTTATAGTAGATATAGATATCTTTTTACTTTTAATTTGATTAAAAGGTATTTTCTGTACAATTGGTTGTTTCTTTTCCTCTTCCTTCTTTCTCTTGTCTCTTGGAGGTGATGGTTGATAACCTGGTGTTGGTGAATCACCTTCAATAAAATAAGATGATGATTGATTGCTTGCAGTAATCTCTTGTTGTTGTTGTTGTTGTTGATTCTCTTTACTACTTATTCCAAGCCATCTTCTACCTGCACCAAACAACCTTACTATCCACGTAGTAAATCTTCTTCTCAGTAGTACAATGAGTAGTGCCACCAGTATAATCGATAAGTAAAAGACTCCACTCCGTCTCCTAGAAGAGAACAGCAGTAGTGCTATCAACTTTATTTTGTTTATTCTCGAATCTCTTCCATTATTATTATTATTATTATCGTTATTATTATTATTATGGTTATTATTGTTGTTATTACTTTGACTCATTTAGTAACTAGTATAGCATAGCATGTGTTGTATGTACATGTTAATCTTTCAATAACACATTGAAAAACATTTCTACTATTTCGATTTGGGAGTCAGCTGAAACATACATGTGAAGTGGTGTTTTGAAGAAAGAAATAAATGCATATGAAATTCAAGTTCAACTTGCTGTTTTTTAATATCTCTTATCTATCTATTACTCCCCGAAAAGATTGGAAAAATAATAATAACAATAATAACAGTTTATTAATAACTTTGTAAGTACTTGTGAAAAGAGTAGTTTTGTTATTTTATTTTTTATTTTTTATTTTCATGTTTCCATACCTCTCCCTCCCTCCCTCTTTCCACCTTTTTACCACATCTCAACTACTATTTATGATGTTGGCACCACCACCTTCACCTAATTTTTGTTTATATTCAACTCCACTTTCAACTCTCAATGAGAGTGTGTGTTAGTCTGTCTACAATCTAATCTGATGATGTTGATTTTAAAATATTTAAAAACAACACTCATATATATATCGACGAAAAGTAGTATGGATGGAAGTGACCCTATTTAAACACACATGCGTGCCCTGACTTTTCATTCTTATCATCATTATTCATTGGTATTTTGTTATTATTATTATCTACAAGTATAATATCCACTTTTTGACTATATTATTAAAAAAAAAGAATAATTACTACTTTTCATTTTATATTATGTCTTGTTTAGAAATCTATAATATTTTTAATTACTTACTCGTTCTCTTTATTTAAATAGAGGATAGATATATATAGTCATTCAATTCTATTTGTACACCAATCGATCAAACTTTACCACCATGAATGGTACAAGTCAAAAACTGACTCTGTTGTCAGTATTTTGTATTTTATGTTTACTCTATCCATTTACTAATGGAGAATCTACTGGTATGTATAATGAAAAGAAATCACATTCAAAACAATAACCATTCATTTGATTAATCTCTCTCTCTATTTATTTTTTATTTATTTTTTTTAGAATGGAGATCCTATGATGGATCAAATAACAATTTAATCAATCCAAATCAAGGAGAAATTTATGAACCTTTTATTAGAGTTGCACAACAACAATTCTTTAACCCAGATGACTATCCAACCTTGTCTATTCCATTGTCAAGAGAAGTTAGTAATATTGTTTGTGATCAACAATCACCAGTTCCATCAAAGGAATTATTATCTGATATGTTTAATATGTGGGGTCAAGTACGTATCTAAAAAATATATATAATTGTTTGTTTATTTATTATTATTATTGGTTTTATTAAAATATTTCTTTTCTTTTCTTTTACTTAGTTTTTAATTCATAATATGGCTCATGCATTACCAACACCAACCAATGGTAAATACCCAGTAAAGGTACCACAATGTGATAAAGTATTTGATCCATCTTGTGAAGGAAACAAAACTTTACCATATTTTAGAACAAGAGTCACTGAAGTTGATTGCTCCACTCCATTCTCTACCAGACAAGAAAACAATCTTTGTATGGAACAAGTCAACAGTCTTTCAGCCTACATCGATGCCAAACCAGTTTATGGAGTTTTCAAAGCAAGAGTTAACCTTTTAAGAGCTGTATGTTTTTAAAACAAAAAAGAAAATATAGGAAGTTATTAATACAGTTATATTTTCTTTTCTTTTTAGTTTAAGAATGGTGAAATGAAATTAACAGATTTAGGAGAAAAGGGAGAATTCCCACCAAAGGGAATTGCTGGTTTGGAAATGGATAATGATGCTCGTAGATACCCAATTGATCAATTGTTTTCATTGGGTGAAAGACGTGGTAATGAAAATCCAGGTCTCACTGTTGTACACAACATTTGGTTGAGAGAACACAATAGAATGGCAAGAAAGATCGTCAGAGACAACCCTTCATTTGAAGACGAAAAGGTATTCCAAATGGCTAGATCATGCGTCATTGAAAACATCCAACAAATTACCTATGAAGAGTAAGTAGAAATGACAAAGGAATGATTAAAGGAAAATGATTACGAAAAAAGGATGGATACTTTTTAAAAAAAAAAAAGAACAAGTTGATTTTTTGAACCGGTTCATTGCTCGACCCATTTCGTTGCGAATTTGCGGGGGTTTGATGAATCATCAAAGATATTCTATCCCGATTCATATTTCCTCTTTTGCTACTAGTGACATCACTGACACTTTTTGTTTTTTGTTTTTTTATTCAGATATTTACCATCATTGTTGGGAGAGTCCTTGCCACCTTATTCGGGTTACGATGACGAAGTCAATGCACAAATATCCAACGAGTTCACAACTGTTGCATTCCGTTTTGGTCATTCTGAAGTTGGCCCCACCATCGAGAGTGTCAACGCCGATGGCACCTACAACCAACCCCTTCCTCTCAAGGACAGCTACTTTAACCCAAAGTGGTTGGAGGAACAAGGCATGGAGAATGTCATCAGAGGATTGAGTTACAAGCAAGAAGAGAGTGTAGACATTTACATGATTTCCGATCTACGTAACTTTTTGTTTGGTCGTCCAGGTGCCGGTGGCATGGATCTTGCCAGTCGTAACCTCCAACGTTCACGTGACCACGGTATCGCCACCTACAACACTGTCCGCAAGTCACTCGGATTCCAACCTGTCAACAGTTTCTCAGACATTACTAGTGATCCAGTTATCCAACAACGTCTCGAGGCTGCCTACAAGACAGTAGATAACGTAGAGTTGTTCACCGGTGGTCTATCCGAAGACCACATCGGAAATGGTGCCGTTGGACAAACATTCCATCGTTTGATCACTGAGCAATTCGAGCGTACTAGAAAGGGTGATAGATTCTGGTACGAACAACCATGGATGAAGCGTGTCAACGCTCACTGCGAACCAGACACATTTGCCAACATCATCAGAAGAAACACCAAAGACATGGGTCAACTTCAAAAGAATATTTTCCACATTCCAAATGGTAATAATCCTTTGGTCAACAATTAAAAAGACAAACAATCAATGAATGAATGAATGTGACCAGTTGTTACCCAGTAATTGAAACAAACAAAATTTAAAATAAATTCTATTATGTATTCTTAAAAAAAACAAACAAGACCAAACAGACATACACAACTATAGTATCAGATATCTAACAGAGAGAGAGATGTTCAGAAACAATGCAATGAAACAGATGACCAGGTGTAGATCATGTTTACATCTATAATCTGCAATGGTACGGTTTAAACGAGGTCTATGAACAGCAGCATTGTGTTGTTTCAACAACCATTGTTTGTTTTGTCTGTCGATAAATGTACTTTTGTTTACCCAGTGTAAATTACAGACGAGTCGTTTTACTGCCCTGTGTTGTTGTGTTTTTTCTTCGATCTCTAAAAAAAGAATGTTTGATTCAAAGGAGATCCAAGACACGAAAAAAATCATCCCTGAATAAAAACAAAGGTCACTCCCCCTAAACCCTTTCCTACTTTAAACACCACAAAAATCGTCACTGAGGGTTCTATAGGAGAGGTCACGATTTCGTTCTCCCCAGATAGATCATAGTCTCTGGGTTACTCACATTTTTCAGTGAATCCAATTGAGCATAGGATGAAACTAGAACGGTGTCAGTGCTTGAGGAGCCGGGGCAAAATGGAAGGTTTTTTCTTTGCGACCTGTGGAACAAAAAAATCCAATTAGCTCTGAAAAAATCTGGGCAGGGGTTCGTTTTTTTGATTTCTCGGCTGGGGGCAGGTGAGTGTTGCCCCTGTCATCACCTGAGAACCATCGTGACCACTCACGTCATCATCTTGACTTTTCCATGTTGTTTTTACAATTTTTTTTTAGTTCCTTCTCCTGTGTGTGAGTTGTCAACAAGTACTCCTTCTCCGTCGTCATTTCATTTGTTACTTCCAACTTTAAACAGACTTCTTTGTTTTCTCCTACCTTGCCTCCTTCTCCTATAATTTTATCTATCATTTTAAAAGCCGACGATCAATACAGACAGCAGACTCCTATATCTACTTTCAACAATCAAGTTTAGCAAATAATAATATTATACCTTTATTAAATCAATCAAATAATCAGCTGATACCGATACCAATACCAATACCAATACCAAATTTTTGTAAGTATCATACAGTCATATATTATCTTTTATTTTATTTTTTGTCGATCATATATCTATATATTGTTCGTTGGGGTTGTTTTTTATTTGTGTGTGTGTATGGATTACGTAATCCATAGCCCGTCGTGCACCTGGTGCTTTGGTTGGCCTGTGGGGCTGTTGAGCTCAACCCAAGCAATCTGGTGGGAATCGAAAATCGTGTCACGATTTTTTTTTTTTTTTTTTGGCAATTTTGGTTTTTTCGACAGGCATGAAAACTAAAAAATATTTCCGAAAACTTCTAGTTTTCCTCCTGGGCGAGCCTGTTGTGTTGTGTCCCGCTTGTTGCATTGCAGTGCTGGTGACACATCAACGACTAATCGTTATTTTATTATTTTAGTATTCCCCCACGGTATTATTTTATTTTATTCCTCTTCCTTCTACTCCGCATTTTTTAATTTTTTTTTTTTTTTCAAACCCTCCGAATCTAATCTCTACTTGCAGCAAGTCCTTTCTTTCTTTCCTACTCCTATTCAAACAATCGATCTCTCCCTAACCCTAAAACCCACCCAATATATTCTACCCTACTATTTGTACAAATCATTTTCATTTCCAAGCTCAATATACCTACCATATTCAGTCAGTATTATATATTCCTCTCACAATCAAATTGATTGACTGATCGATTGTTCAATCACATCAATATCATCCAATCCACTCACATCTTTATGCTTTGTGATATATCACAGTCGCCAGCACCCATACCCATCACCCACTGATGATTGATCATCAACATCATTGAAATTTAAATGTTGATCATCAGTCAGGTGGGTTTTCATTTAAATAATCTGTTTCTTCCTCTTCCAACGACACCACTACCCAACAACCATCGATGGAAACCAAACAGGTTTCAATGATCGTTGCACAACTTTTTCCATACACCCCCAACTCACTGTCTGCCAACAAAACTTTATCACGTGATAAAGCACGTATAGAGTAGAATGACCACCACCTCTCACACACACACACAACACCTTTTGTTATATAGATCGATCTTACAGCTTATCTCCACAATGTGTTTCTCTCTCTCTCTCTCTCTTTTAAACTCATCATCATCTTCCACAGTCAACCGATCACCCGTGTCCCAACTTTTTTCGTTAGATCTATCCCTCTCTTTGCCATACACCCGACGGACGACAACAACGATTCTTCTCCCCTTTACCCTCCTACAATCGTTGTGGGTGTATTTTCAGGAGTCAAACCTTGTTGGCTTTGCTTTGATTCACCAATAACAATCTTCTACTACTTGTTTGTGTGAACAACGCAACCCTACTTACCTATTGCGTTACTATCCCAATTGGTCACACCCCCACCCTACCCCCATCGCGGTGTTCATTGGATTGACAAATCGATGGAGTGGGGCAACAATATGTGTGGACAGATGTTGTTGTTGATCATCCACCCTCACACTGGGTGCTACTCTCTCCCTAGCAGATAAATGTGCTTGCCTGTGTTGTTGTTGTAACACATAATTATTTATTATCTTTTTTTATCTCTCTGTCGGAGGACTTGTGTGTGTGTGTGCGTGCTATACATTAACACTCACTACTACTACCTACCTACTCGATACACATTCCTTCCTTCCCTCCCTCCATCAATCCATTCCTTGCCCCTTTTTAAATAGCAGTTTATTAACCTTTTAATTTCTTCATTCAATACAGATAATTTTAAAACAAACCTTTCAAAATGTCACATAACTCTTTTTCAATACCCGGACAACAACAACAACAACAACAACAACCAGTCATGTCCAAAGAATCTACTTTTATTACAACGACTAGTTCATCATCGATGACCAACAACAACACCAGTCCACTACCACTCCAACGGGATCGCCGTTCCAACAGACGCAGGGTATCCTGTGGTTTCCATCACAAGCGTCATCAAGCATGTCCCGAAAACTGTGAGGGTAGAGTGTCCCACCCACCCGAGGCCCATCCACCCATCCAAGACAAGTTTACTGTCGGCTGTTCCGAATGCAAGTCGTACTTTCAAAATAAACTATTTATCTTGGCATCGTCGACTTCCCCCTCTACCACTTCTTCTACATCTACCAACAACAACACTGCTGCCACCTCACCTTGTACATCACCATCACATGTCAACAAAAAGAGAATGGTAGTGTCACCTGTCGAGATTATCGATAACATTAGAACATCTCCAATCATTTTAAACAACCTCTTGGCCGTCAACAATACCAACAACAACAATAACGGCGAGACTGACAGTCAATACAATTCATGCTCATCATCGCCATCTAGCTCACGTCCAATGTCGCCAATCTGCGAGGTTCCATCTATCAAGTCGTACGAGTCCTCTCCAACCTTTGCCAGTGCTTCGATTGCTTCGTTGTCAAGCAACCTTGCCCTTGCCAATAACCTTGCCAATACCCTCGCTGCTGCTGCCGCCGCCAAGCCAATCAACCTTGTCTCCAAGACCAACGTTGGCAACATCAACATCAACAACAATATCATATCCTTCCCAGTCAAGTTTGACAATGACCCACCCGAACCACAAAACCAACCACTACCACAACGTCGTGTGTCTGGCTCCATCATGGGCTCGTCACTCAAGAGAAAGTCCAATAACCAATCCCTTGAATTCATCGGATACGATGATAACTCTTCAACAGCCGTCCCAGACGACTCGTCACCAACCTCTACCCCACGCCGTAGCTTCAATGCCTCATCATTCTCATTCAACAACAACTCAATTAACACTGCTGCTGCTGCTGCTTCTGCTGCTACTCAACCAAGCTCTGCCGTTGCCACACCAACCTCACTCAGTACCCCCGCATCAGCCTCTTACGCACAGGCCACCAACTCTGCGGAGGCCGGTCTATTGCATCTCTTGGAAGCCGAAGTTGCCAAAGAGATAATGTCCCAAAAGGAAATAGAATTAAACGAAAGAAAGAAACTCCAAACAGAAGAAAAGGAGACCGTAGAACGCATCCAACAAGTGTTGGACTATCAAAAGATCCAACAACAAATGGAATTCCACAGACTCAAGAAACAAAATGAAGAACTCGAACAATGGAGAAGTAAATTAGACAATATGGAAAAGGATCTCTTGGTCAAAGAAGAGTTTTTAAAGCGACGTGTTGATTCCGTCCAACAACCCTCTCTTATCCCAACTCAACTACCAAAACTTTCCATCAACTCTAATTTATTAAAACATATTTCAACTGAAATGAACTTGTATACTCCACCATCCACAACAAACACAGTCCAACAACAACAACAACAACAACAACAACAACAACCAAAACAAATGTCATTTGATTTGTTACTTAACCAACAAATTCCACAAGACATTTAAAAGAAAGAGAGAGAGATAGAGATGAAAGATCAAGTTTTTTTTTTCCCAATGATCCCAATCCATCCAAGCAAATCAAATCAAATCAAATCTTCTTTTCACCCTTGAAAATCATATATTTTTCTTTTGTTCATACACAAACCAATCAATAAGTGTAAAAAGTTCTACCGATTGGATAATCTAGTCCAATCATACATATATATATATATTTATTTATTCTTTCCATCCTACCATCCCATACCCAACAACGTATATATAATCATTTTTCCCCAAAAAACAAACCAGAGGCATAAATATCAACTATTTAGAATTTTAATCACCCCCCCCCCCCTACCAGGCATAAAAACATTGTAAAATAAAAACACATTAAAAACCTTTCTTTAAGTACTTTCTTAATACTCAAAAATACATTAGTATAGGTGTATAGCAACATCTGTGAATCTGAAACTTCACCAACCATCCCAATCCAAAAAAAATAATTTTTTTTTTAAATTTTGTGTCTCTTCGCTGATTCTAGAATAGAATCTATTCCAACACATAATCCCGTTGTTGGAATGATCAGATTCAAATATTGTCGTGTTGAATCGATAAATATGTTTCGATATATATAGACACAAACATGTGGTCCGTGACAGAGGAGTCGAGACTAGATAGACTGAGGGTAATATCCTTGGATTCCAATCATTGATTCCAATACTTTCCCCACAACTATAAATACCTTGTAAACTTGTTATTTAAAATATCATTCAATTCAATTAAATACAAATACCAACAAATAATCATACAATTTAAATCATCATCACCATTATCTCATTAATTTTTTATTAAAAAATGACATCAACTATTAAATATAATACAATCAAGATTGATAATCAAAACATCTTTTATCGTGAAAGTGGTGACAAGAAGAACCCAACTTTAATCTTATTACATGGATTCCCATCATCGAGTCATCAGTACCGTCATTTATTGGCAGACAACAAGTTGACTGAAAAGTTCCATTTAATCGCACCTGATTACATTGGTTATGGTCAATCTTCTATGCCATCAACCAAGGAATTCGAGTACACCTTTGATAACCTATCAGTCGTCACTGAAAAGCTTATCAATGCCTTGTCTATTGAAAAGTACAGTCTCTATGTATTTGACTATGGAGCTCCAATTGGATACAGACTTGCTCTCCGTAATCCTGAAAAGATTCAATCGTTCATTGTTCAGAATGGTAATGCCTATGATGAAGGTATTGATAACGCTTTCTGGGCCAACGTCAAAAAGTACTGGGCTGAACCAACCAAAAAAGAAAACATTGACTTTGTTCTTGGACTGATCACTGCTCAAACCACTCAATGGCAATATTTGAATGGTGTTCAAGAAAAGGACAAGAGCTTAGTTGCCCCAGATGGATATGTCAGTGACCAATACTACCTCGATCGTCCAGGTAATGGCGAGATCCAAGCTCAACTCTTGTTTGACTATGGCACCAATCCAGCCAAGTATCCAGCATTCCAACAATACTTTAGACAATATCAACCACCAATGTTGATCGTTTGGGGAAAGAATGATGAAATCTTCCCAGCTGAAGGTGCTTACCCATACAAGAAAGACATCAAGAACCTTGATTTCCATCTTTTCGAAACTGGTCATTTCACTCTTGAAACTCACCACCAAGAAATCAGTCATTTAATTAATCAATTCCTTACAAAGAATATTATTAATAATCATGGTAAATCTTCAAACTAATTGAAATAAAACAAAATAAATAAATAAATAATAAACATATTTATTATTATTATTATTTATAAATATTTGTATCATTTATTTAATACTTTTTTTGTTTTTTTTTTTTTTAACTATCTTGTACAATTAAATGATCAAGAGGAGCAACAAGTTTAGAATAGTTGTGACTCTTGATAACAAAACTTGGTTTGACAAATTGAATAGAAGGATTCTTTTTTTGTGTAAGGGCAAATGATTTTTCCCATGTTCTATCTGTAACAATATACCTAGTTGTTGTCTTTGGAATTGATGCAATTATACTAAATAAATAAAAAAGGAAAAATAAATATATGTTTAAATTATTATTTGTTTTTTTTCTTCTTACCCTTTGTAAGCAATAATATATCTTGTAACTGTTGATTTTAATGTTTCATCTTTGAAACTAAGATAAAATTCAATACCATCGAAAAACGATGGTAATGGGTCCAAAATATCTAATACAACAAAAAATAAATAAAATTAATAATACAATTCTTTTCTTTTCTTTTCTTTTCTTTTTTTTTAATATTTATATATTTCTTACATTCTTTTCCTTTGTTTTGAGATAAATCACCAAGTTTTGCAGTTGGATTTCTTTTAAAATGTTCAGGAAGTATATCATTGTCTTCATCGGTATCATCATCACCATCTTGCATAGAGTCGTCAGTGAAATCACCAAACATGTTATCATTGGGTTGTAATTGTTTGGCGGATATCATTCGTGTCAACTCTTCTTTAATAACAAGAGCACTCAACTCTTGAGTGGTATCGTGGAATAAAACCTCGTCATCAAACATTCCATGTGACTTTTTTCTCAATACTGGTGAAATTGGTGGTGTAATATCTTGATCGTCATCCTGTTGTTGTTGTTGTTGCTTTTTAGGTGGTGCCTTTGGTTTGGTAGAATATTTCTCTTCTTGCTTTTTATCCCATGATTTGTGTTCTCTTGGTCTCCTCCTTGGAGAAGAGTGTTTTCTGACTGCATCCTTTACCAAAGGATCCGATGAACCATAAGTTCTCTTTAAAAATTCCATACCCTCAGCAAACATATCGTCAGTGTCTTCTGCTACAAACTTTGGTTGACCATCCTCATCATCTGTAGATGATCCATCGTCATCGTCGTCTCCACTACTATCTACATTGCCAGTGTCGATAAAATCATCGTTGAGATCGTATGCATTTGGTCCATCTTCCTCGTCTTCAGTGTCACTTGGGTCAAGTGGATTTGAAGGTGCCTTTTTCTTCCTTCCTTTTCCTTTTCTCTTTTTACTAGTTGTGCTGATAGTTTTTGGTTTCTTTTTGTTCTTTTCATCGTCACTGTCACCGTCCTTTTGTTTGACAGATTCTGTCACTTGGAAAGATTTAATTGGTAGACGATCCTTTTGTTTGTAACACTCTTCAATCCACTCTGGCAATACAATTGAACCACCAGATTTGTTTGCTTGTTTATATTTTGGTGTATCAATAAGTGGTGTAATCAAATGTGTTGCCTCTCTACACCAATCAGGTTTATACCCAGCTCCCATTTCAATTGCTTTCTCTCTTATCATTGCTTTTTGTGGATTAACTATACCTCCAATAACTATAACTACTCCTTTCTACAGTTTTAAAATAAAATTGAGTTAGATAATCAGTTTGATAATGGTGATTTGTATTGACGTGTGTGACATACCAATAAATGACCAAATGGAGTTTGATATTTTTGTCCTTTTGGAGTAAACTTTGGTAATGTTTGAACATCATCTTCACTATCAGTTTTGATATCTTCCATTTCTGGTTCTTTTAATATTGATGATGATGATGGACCACTACTCTTTTTCTCTTCTTCATCATCTTTTGGGGGATCAAGAGAAAATGATGATTCTCTTTTAATTGTAATCGATTTACCTGGAATGATGTTGGATAGAATGGATTGTGACTTTGCTATACTTTGGTTTGTTGCACTTGTTGTACTAGTATTGTTGAGATCCAATTGAACAGTACCTTGGTTTATCAACTCTGTTGGCACTGTAATATCCTCTTCTGTTTTGTTCAAGTCGGTCATTGATTCATCGCCATCACCTGTTTTAAGAATGATCTGTTGTGTTGATGTCTTTTTCAAAGGTGAATAAAACTTGATAAATGACAACCCAATGTTATCCTTGCCAAATGGTTGTTTACAAACAACTCTAACCTTTTCCCATTTTCTATGTGATGTTTGTGATGCCAATTGATTACCTTCGAATCTCTTTGTTTTGTTTCTATTTGTATTATCTTTACTTTCACTTCCAGTCATAAATGATGTCATTGGTACTAATAACTATATATAATAACAGACAAATAATAATAACATTAGATACATTGATATATAGATATAAATCAATTGATTGATTCGCTTACTTGATATTCAGTATCTTCCCAATTTGAATAACCAACCAATACTTCTATAAAAGCAGAACCTGCATTACCTATATCGATAGCCTTGATGACAGTTGGTTGTGCAAATTGAATAACGATGCTTGCTTCACCAACCTTTTCATTGGTTTGCCATGTTCTATAGGTATCTTCAACCAACACATTGGTTGCCTTGTTAATATCACTCTCTGATGAACATGTTACAATCGATGCTTCTGTTTGTTGTACATTCTTTGGTGCATCAACTACTAAAGATGTATTCATTGCTTATTATTATTATTCGTTTCTATTAATATCTAATCTCTATGTATCTATCTGTTAAAACTTGCAAACTACAAAATCACAAAGATATAAATTACAAAAATTTGTCAAAGTCTCAAATATCATCCTTCTTAGAATTTAAATTCCTCATTGCAAAGTAGCAGACTCCCTAAAAAAAATATTCTTCTTTCAAAAATGCTAGCTAGTATTTGCTCTCTGAAATATTATTTTGGTTTCGTAAACTAATAATTTAATTTGTTTATTATTATTTTTATTTTTTTTAATAATTAAAAATATCTTGTAAATAAATTGAATTTTATTGATTAATTTGAAAGTTGTTATTATTATTATTTATGAACTACTCGGCAAGTTCTATTCTTCTATTACAACTTCAAATAATTAATTAAATTAAAAAGAATATTATTGTGAAAGAGAGAAATTAAGATCTTCTAAACCTAAAATTGTTGATCACCATGGAGAAACAAAGGAAATCTCCCATACAAACACTGATTCGTAGAACAAAAAAGAACAAATTTGCTTGTCACGATCAGAAATTAATTTTTTTTAATTATTCTTTTTTTTTTTTGCTGACTCAAAAAGCCTGTTTTTTCATTCACGCATTCATTCACACACAAAATTAATAATAATAATAACTCGATTTTTTTTTTTTCTCTATCTCACAAAGTTCAATTGTATATAAAACAAACACAACTTCCACTATCTTTTAATATATATATATCTCTTATTTTATATTGTAAAAATTAATTGTACATAAAGCGTAACAACAACAACAACAACAACAACCATTCCCTTTTTATATCTATCTTCCCACATTCCCATTCTTTTAAGAGTAAGTTAAATAAATATTTAAAACGCAGCAACAACAGACAAACACAACACACATTTATATAGCACGAACATTAAAAAAAAATAAACCACCTTTAGGTTGGTACAGATACACAACAGACAAACAGTAGTACAAGTAATATAGTAGCAGTAGCAGCACAGTAATAAAAGAAGAATATTCTTCCTTTTTTTTTTTTTTCTTTGTCGTCGTTATCGTTTTGTCCACGCGACTTCACCCTATCTCTTCCATCTCTGATCTATCTATTTTTGTACATGCTATCTCACCATCACCCAACGACAAGGCAGTACTGACGCAACCAGAGAGATCCAGCAAAGCGGAGCAGCAGCAGGAGAAGAAGTTAAAGAAGAATGCGTTTTTCAATTTTTCAATTTTTTTTTTTTATTTTTTTACTTGACAATCCATACTCCCTCACCTTTTTGACCACAACCAACAAAAACATACCACTTATTAATTCACTCATTTCCTACACCTTTTTGGAGAATATTTGTAACATTCAAACACAACCAAGCACAATTTTCATTTTTTCACCTACTAAGCATAATAAACAGCCTACAACAAAAACAATAATAACACTATTATTAGGTCATTCTATTTCATTTTTTATTATCTTTTTCCATACTCTGCTGCTATTAATTTTTCAGCAACCTACCTTGGTGTTGAACAAACTTACTGTTTAATCAAACTATTTAGTTTTTTTCCTTTCCTTCCTTTTCAACCAATAATAATTATTTATTTCTTATTCTTTTCTTTTTTTTTTTTTTTAAAACAATCACAATTTATCTAATATTTCCTCTTCCTGTACATTATAGCAGCCACTATACATAACCAACAACAATAACAAAACAACAACATAATTTGGTATTAAAGCAAACCGATCAATATTTGTATATTATATAAACAAAACAGACACTAGAATTTCAACTTTTTCCCAACTATCCTCAATCTTTTAAATAATATATACACATCCCCAACAATAACTCTAAAATGGAAGGCGACTCTACTCAAAAATCATCAACTCCAGTACCATGTGCTAATAATTGCGGTTTCTTTGGGTATGTAAATACTAAAACATAGCAGCATATAAGAACAACAAATGAACAAAAGTATTAATCATCTCTCTCTCTTCCTCCTCCCATCACTACTACTATTATTATTACTTTAGTAACCCATTGACAGAAAACTTTTGTTCAAAGTGTTACAGAGACATAAATGCCTTGAAAAAGGTAACCGAAAAACCACCAGCTGAAGTAAACAGACCTGAAGAACCAAAGGAACAACCCATTGAAGGCATTACAGAAGACCAAGTTGCCAAAAAGGTTCAAGTCGACACAACAAAATGTTTTAACTGCTCAAAGAAAGTTGGTTTATTAGGATTCAAGTGTAGATGTGATTATGTATTTTGTTCAGCTCATAGATATTCCGATAAGCACGACTGTAGTTTTGATTACAAATCGGCTGGTAAGGCTGCTCTAGCTAAAGCAAACCCTATCGTTGCCGGGTCCAAAATTCACAAAATATAACAAATTTTAATTTATAAATAATAATAAACAGAATATAGAATACTAAACTAAAAAAAAAAAGGAAAGGAATGGTTTTTTTTTTCTTTATTTTATTTAATTATAAATATAAATATACAGTAGCAACAACAGCAGCAGGAGCAAAGCAAGAACAACATTTTATAGATTTATGGAAACATTTATGATACAACCAACATTCTCATATTTTTGGTAGATTATATTTATTTATGGATGGAATAATAATAATAATATTGGAGCATAGTTTACAACCAATTACTTTCAAACAAACAGATATATTATTTGGTGGTTTGATTTAAAACTAGTGATTGCATCCACAACAAGCGACAATATTAATATTATACAAATAATATTATGCAATCGACACCCCCACCATTCAAAACGAGTGGTTAAAGCAATTTGTGGAAAAGTGGTTAATACTTTTTCCAAAATAAGAATAACAAGCAACCATAAACATCCAAATATATTTGGATAGATCTCCTTTTCGTATTGGTTCAATTATACTCGAATTTGGTTGGATAGAATGGAATGAAAAAAAAGAATTGAAATAAAATGGTAATTTAATTTAAATTTATTTTTAAATTGTTAAAGAGAATTGATCACTAAGGATTAATAATACCAAAGAAGTAGAACCACAGAATGGATGTGCACCTTGACCATTTCCTTCAATTGAGTGGTATTGTTCCCAGATGAAACCAGAGTCACGATACACCAAATAGACATTGTGGACCAAATTGTGTCTGAGAGAATGATAGGTTTCGTAGAATGAGATTTTAGCTGCTTTGGGTGGTTCCACCATGTATTTGGTGTGTATGGCATTGGTGAGAATATAGTTGTAGTTGATCCAGATGGCACCTCGCCATTCATGGTTATTCGAGTTAAAGTAGGGGTCACGTACTGCAAGTGATCTCAATCCATGTCTTGACCACAGTCCCCTGATATCCTTGACCGCGTTGAGTTTGTCGAGGAGGTATCGGTCATTTGAATCTTCCAATCCCAACAAGAGAGGCATAAAGTTGAGGATACCATAGACATCAACCTTTTCAACTTTGATGGTTGGTTTGGTGGTCGTAATCTTGACGTCATAGTATTTACTAGTGTACGGATCCCAATGATACTTTTTGAGTTGTTCAAGCACGACACTTTTATCGTTGCGGTAGTCTTGTGACGACTCCTTGATGGTTTCGGCGATTCTGGCCATTCTACCAGCTGCATAGGCAACCCAAGCGGCAGCATCCAAATGCAAGTAGTTTTCTTCTTGTTCAAATAGCTCGTTTTGGCTGTTACACGAACCAAAGTTGCATCGTGGGTAGTCGGTCATACCACTGGCAATCAAGACGGCAGTACCATTTTTGAGGTTGGATTTTGAGAGATGATCCATCTTCCAACTAAAGAGTTTTGGTACCTTGTCCGATTCTAGTGTGTCCCAAAAGTATTGGTAGTACTTGCCGAGTCGTGGATAGGCAGCGCGAAGGAACTCGAGTATTCTAGCAGACTCATTCTTGCAGTCCGAGGTAACCGTAGATTGTGTGTTGGATGTACCTTGGAGACATTGGTAGACTTGATCAATCAACCTATCAATAGCCATCAAGATGGTGGGTGGGTTGAGTACACGTGGTGATTGTACGATATCCTCATTCTTGTTGTTTTCCAATGCAAATGATGCAATTTCCCGATCCAATATTTGGTCATGAGCAATCCAACCATTTGCATCCATCGTATTTAACCAACTAGACAAGATCTCAAGTGACATGTCAGAATCAAAATGACCAACTACCAATTGATGTAAACCTTCATCCCAAAGGAATGGTCTACCAAATATTGCTCTACTTGGTGTTGTTCCAAATAATGTCTAAACCGAAAAAGAAAAAAGAAATTAGTAAATTTAATATTTATCTTTTTTTTTTAACTTACAGAGTCAGGAGCAATTTGAATTTTATTAGTGATTGGATCTCTGTATTGAATATTACCAGACCAAAAACCAATACCACCAAACATATTAGAAAGTACTATTTTTCCAAACTTTCTATATTCATCTGTTACAAACTTGTTGACTGGGAACTTTAATTCATATTTTGTTTCAAACTTTCTATTATGTTGATCCCAAATCTCATCGAAATTAGTTCTAGAGATTTTAGTAAAAGTTTCCTTTAACTTTGCTTGACTTAATTCTTTTTCACCATGACAAGTAAATGATATTTCAACCTAAAAGTAAAAAGAAAATAAAAGAAAATAAACTAAAATAAATATATTTTCTTTTTCCTTTTCTTTTTCTTTTTAAATTATACAAACATTAAAAGGAGCAGTTAAAACTCTTTGAACAACTAAAAGGTTACTATTCTTTTCAACGATATTGGGAAGTGTTGGTACAAAAACAGTTTGTTGTTTCTTTTCAGAACTCAACCATTTACTGTAGTAGCTTTGAATGTGTTCTTTGGTTGATTCGTCAAACATGACGGTTGGAATGTCCCATCGATTGTCTGATGTTTCCGACTGACCATAGTAACGCCAATCTTGGACACTTGGTTGTGTGTCTAGGAACATTGAACTCTTTGGAGTGTTTGTGGCATCTAGATTACTGAGTGTCATTGTGTATCTACCAAGTTCTGGGTGAGAACCATCAATGTAAACATCCTTTTCACCTTTAGAGACACCGTCAGTTTGAGAGTAGGTCAAACCTTTACCATCCTTTTGATCAGTCATACTTTCATCTTGGATATAGTAAAAGAGTGATGTCATTGGAACAGGCTTGGTTGTGTTTAATTGACTACCACTAACACGAACACTCCAGTTGGTCTTGTCCTTTTTAATAAACGAGATGATCAGCTTTAGATTACCAGCCTTGTCTTCAATCTCTTGTTCTCCATAGTTGTAGCCGTCGTGTCTGATCCATTCGTATCGTTCCACTCCGTCAATGGCTTGGCCTCCCACACGGTGCAAATAGCGAGTGTACAGTTTATCAATGTTTGGTACCGACCATATCAAACCCGCCGTGATTGGTTGTTTACTTCTGCTCTTTAATGCATGATATAGGTGTGGTTTATAAGTACCCCAGTACAACTTTTCATTTAATCCTTCTTTACCAGTCTCTATTACATTATCTAAAAAGTAATTAAAAAAAAAAAAAGTAAAAGAGAGTTAACATTGATTAGTTTCACAAAAAAAAAAGAAAAACAAACAATTAATATTTAATAATGATTATAATTTACCTGTATATGGATTGGATGAGTTTGTAGAACCCAATAAAAGTATAGTAATCAAGCAAGCAATCAACAATATTTTAGTAAAATACTGGCTTCTTTTTGATTTACTATATCTTCCTCTTTCTCCTCTTTCAATTTTCATTGTTATTATTATTATTATTGTTATTAGAGATAGAGATCAATCTATTCTTTTTTAATTATTATTATTAATGTTTAGAACAAATATATATCTATAATTATTACAATTTATATATTGGTAATGTTAACTATACCCTTTTTCGAATGATAGGTGTTTATTGATGGATGGAGTTAATTTTTTGAATTATTGGTGAGATAAAACAGGTGTGCGTGGTGGTTGAATGAGTGAATGAATGAATAAATGTGGTAATGAAGCAGGATGGGATGGGGAGATTAGATGAGCTTGTTTTATCTATCTATCTATCTATCTGTAGCTATAGTTAGGGTTAATCAATTATTATCATTAGGTTTAAGTTGAAGAATAAGAACTACTCAACTAGTTTGGATCACTAGTTTAAATGGAACACTATGATTGTTGGGGATTGGTTGTTTAGTTAGAAGGTAATTAGGTGTCGTCGTCCCGCCCCCATCATCATTCTATTCAATTCTAAAGTTCAAAGAAGCATTAAAATTTTAATCGTTGCGTCTTCGTTGGTTGGTGATATTGCCCTTGATGTTGCTTGATTGCAATGGCTTAGGACATGCCCTCCCCATTAAAATTGAATCACTCGTTTAAGTTAATTAAATTTTCCTGGTCGACCACTATAACGCGCAACATCAAACACCACTTTCCTTTTTAGGGTCAATATGTGAAAATGTAGATTCATATTCTCTTTTTGAACACTTTCATACAACCAACCTAACGATTATTAGATCAAGAGATACATGTTGAGACTTTGGTACTGAGATTAAGAGGGAAGAGAAATAAAGATTCTGAAGATGAATGAGTAAGATATATAGAACACAAATTAAAAAATAATAATGAATTAATTCACTATAGTAATATTCATTGTAATCTCGATCCTATTACTGTTAACTACCGGTGGTTTGGTTGATCTCTTTATCGGCACCAACCAGCCCGTACATATGTATATTATCACAATCTAAAGCCATTGTATTCATCTCGTACGAATGTTTGTGCAGTCACCTGGATCTATGACACTCCTTTATCTATGGATCAAAACCTATGAATACCCCATCGCCTAGAACCTCTGACCCCAGAACATCTCTTACTATTTATAAAAGGTAACTAACTACCAACATTCACCACTATCTTTAAAGAGTCGAAACCTTATTTATTTAATTATTTATTATTAGTTGTACATATGATAGGATACATTGTTGATGGGCACTGTCGGCACTTGTTTCAAAGTGTTATTGTTGATTATCGTTGTACAGAGGATTATCACCAGATGTTGGTTTGGTTTCATACAATGGGTTGGCATTTGCAGCACCAATCTTGCCAGCTCGTTGTGTCTTCCAATAGTCGTATCCCTTCTTTCCTCCAAACACTGCGAGACCCAGAGCAACTGCACCGGCAACTACCACACCTGCAATGACGGCGGTGGAAACGACAGCAGCCGTTTTACATACAAATGGATAGGGATCACGGTCATGATACTCGCAAGTCTCTGTTTGATTGTTGCATATTCCTACTTGACATTGCGGACGGTTGGGTGTGCAGGTACGATTGAGCGACAAGCATCCTAGACGCTCATCACAATAGCCCTCGAGACAATAGGCAGCGGTTGTGCAGTTTCTTGGGCGGAGAAGACAACCCATTGACTTGTCGCAGTAGCCAACTTGACAGTTTCCTTCGTCGGGACAGGTTACGCTTTGCAATGTGCATCCTTTGGTCTTGTCACACGTGTAGAAAGAGCACTTGTCGGGATCGGCAGGACACTTTATTGGATCGAAAAGACAAGTTCCATTGGTAGAGCATGTATTGGTTGTGCACGCATTGGAATCTTCACAAAGAGAGTTGACTAGTTTACATGCATAGGCACCATCGGATGCGTTGCAACGGCTACAGGTCCCAGGACAAGCAATATAGGGGTGGGTTATTACACCGGTGGCGATATCACACAAATCTTTGTTACATGGGTCATTATCGTTAATCTCTGGGTTGTCTTTGAATGTCCACTTGCCCGTGGCAGAGATACACTTGTCGAGCACCTGGCATGGGTTGGGGGTACCGGAACAATCGTTGCAGTTGGCAATCTCATTGATAACACATGGATTGGTAGTATTTGCAGGGTTGCATGTACCATACTTGCACTTGTTGACAACACCATTCTCGACAATCACCGTTGGACAGGTTGGCTGAGAGGTACATCCATCTGGTCGACTTGTATCACACGAGTACTTTTTGCAGACGTCTGTGCTGGTACAGGTCTTTGGACTACGATTACAGGTTACCCCGTCGGCAGCACACTTGACGACCTCACAGCTGTTTGCCGGGACACAGGTGGGTGTGTAGACACATCCTACGGCTCCATTGGTACAAGTTGATGATTGGCATGGCAATTTATCGCAAGGGGATGGATTCTTCTTTGGATTACCAGTGGCAGGATCACAAGTGTAAAACGAGCATTTGTCATTCATACTATCATAACTTCTGTTAGTGTAGACACAATAGTTTGACATTTGAGAAAGGTCTGGAATATTTGTATTCCAAGCTGGACATTTTGCATCCATACACTTGTTACCAGCATACTTTACACATGCCTTGTTGACATCACAACATTCTCCTGCACCATTACAAACTCCACAATAATCTAAAATAGAAAACAAAACCAAAACAAAAAAAAAAAAAGTTAGTGAATGGATTAAATTTAGAGTACTCTTTTGTTTGGTTTCAACTTACCAGTTTGAGAACAATCTAGAGGGAAATTAATTTGGAAACCCATATGAGAACCAGTTGTTTGACGTTCACAATAATAGAAATCAAATGAATAGACACCATCATCGGTCAGACCGAGTTCTTGTGCTTTCATCGTGTCAAACACGATCGAACCATCCGCATAATAGTGGAGACCACCCAAATCCATGGCCAACTTGTTGTTGATGTATACCCAAACATCATCATCTCCTCTAAAGTTAAATTGCATTGGAGGACTGGTCAGTCTGAATTTGAAAAAGGAGTTCATTTTCAGACAAAAGTGGTAGTTGTGGTATTGGTTGGCGTTTGGAACATCGTAGTAGAGTTTGTAACCCTCGGCATCAAACCCGAGTTTGGCGGACGAGGTACCATCAATTGGGAAGAAAAAGTCGTTCTTGTACTCGTAATAGTCTCCTTTTTTGGCAAGTAGAATGGAAGTGTTTAGATAACGATTGATCTTTGATGGCGTGTAATCTGGCGAGAAAAAGTATTTGAAATTCTGTGGTACGTACATATTGCCTCCTATATTTATTTTATTGGCTGGATCCAGCGACACCAACTCTGGAATTTTAGATTTAATATCTAGACTAGATTTAACCATTCCTCTAGTGACTTTACCAGCTGTTGGAGGTTCAAAATTACCATCTACCGCTGGATGGTGGTCAAATATTGATACTTTCATCAATACCTCTATTTTTTTTTGGTTGAGAAGAATATTATTAGTCTGATATTGTTGGGGGGTTTCAATTTCTATCTTTTCCTTCTTTTCTATTTACCTTGACAATATATTACAATGGGAAGTAATAATAGAATAATTAAAAAATACTTTATCATTTTTTATGTTTTTTTAAAAATAATTATTTACAGATAAATTATACAAATCTTTTAAAGTGATTATTAAAAGTCTGACTATTGATCATAGATAGAACCAATCCATAGAATGTATTGTGATTAAAGTAGGACGGTTAATTGAATGGTTCTATTTCCTTGATGGGGTTTTAATTATTCTGAATTTGATAAACCACCACTCATGTCAATCAATATTAATAAATGACGAAGCCATCACCGATCTATATATATAACCAATGGCACAATTGAAAGATGGGTGTATTTTGTCAACTAAAACAATTGTGGTAACAACGTTGGTTTTAATTCTATTTTGTCCAGTGGTTGGTTTTTGTTTTTTTTATTTTCAAATTTCCATTTTTTGATTGGTGGCTTTGAAAAAACACTACCACGACTTGGATTCAATCAATAATTGGCAACCACGATCAAATTTGATCGATCGATGACTCTTCAGATAACATGTATTGATAATATGGCAAAGGGGTTGTTTAATTTATTATATATTGGGGGTTTTTTAAAAAAGTTATTTTGAAACAGAACTAAAATCTCTAATTTCATTAATAATTTCATTGGCCTTTCTCAAAACGTCAATCATTGCCTTGCAAGACTTTCTCTTTGATGAGATTTGAGGAGACTCTTCTAATAACTCGTCAAATAATTCCTCTCTGTACAATGCACCAACCAATTCATTTTGAATTTGTTCCTTTGATTGATTAACAAGGAAATGCATAATCGATTTTGGTACTGTATCCTTTACATTCTTTTTAACAATATTGAAATATGATAATAATAATTCACCTAAAAAAAATAAAATTAAATGGTTAATATAAATTATATATAAATTTTTTTGTCTGTTCTCTTTTATACATACGAATAATTTCAGTTTCAAACTTTTCTCTTGAATTTAAATCTTCAGAAGCCTTGATGGTTGATGGTACTTGAGATAATTTGTCACTACGATATTCATTTAATCTATTATTTGAATGTTGTTGTTGATAGTTGAAAATGGATTGAGATGGATTATTGGATTGATTAGAGTATGACATGGAGTTGGAGTTGGACGAGGTTGGGTCTGGAGAAGCTCTAAAGAAACTGGAAAAGAAGGATCCTTGTGGTTGATCCTGTGACGATTGTTGTTGTTGACGACCACCTGGAACAGGCTTGGACGATGATTGTTGTTGTTGTGGTTGTTGTTGTTGTTGTTGCTGTTGTTGTTGTTGTGGGCCGCCGGCTGGTTGCTTGGCTTGGTTTTGTGGAGCGGGTTGTGGAGGATATCCACCCTTTTGATTTACATTTGGTACCCAAAGTGGATTGGCAACGTTTTGATTGTTGTTTTGTCCGTTTTGGTTGCTTTGTGTGTTTTGTTGGTGGTTCAACATTTGCAAGTGCATCTCTTGTTGTGCCTTCTTTTCGACGAGTGCCTCAAGAATACCGTCACCACCGACAAAATCGGGATGTGATGTGTTGATAAAGGCAAGTTCGATCTTGATAAGGTTCTCAATCATTGACTTGGTGGGCATCTTGTGCTTTTGGAGCAAGTTGTTGACAACTTCGATGACACGTGACTTGAGGTTGATAAAACGTGACAACTCCTTGGCTTCGAGTTGTGCAATGATACGTTGGAGCTCGTCATAGACGAGTTCGACACATTGTGTGGATGGGTCTTCGAGACGTGACACTTGACGCTTGACAAGCAACTCAAACGAAACTTCTGGGATAAAGATGGCGGCACGAGGACCGGTGGCGTTACGCATGGTGGTACGAATGTCGTTGAGACTGACACCGTCCATTGGATCGATACTGTTGATGCACTGCGAAAACACTTCGTTAAAGATGTACGAGATACGGGCACCACCGCACAATTCGTTGGTTGACAAGTCGGTTAGCTTACCGTCGATAGCATCCTTGAAATTGGTTGAAAAGATGGTGATGATCTGGAGCAAGAGTGCACCTTGGCTGTTCTTGGTGTCGTAGAGTGGGTCACCGTAGCTTGTCAACTCTTGTTGCACCTCGCTGAGCATCTTGGACACCTTGACCTTGAGCTCTGGCAAACAGTCACGAATGTGGAACATGAGCAACTTGTTGAGCGTCTTGGAGAGGTATGCAGTACCGCTGCGGTTGGCAATGTTTTTGTATATGGGGTGGTTCTTAAAGTAGAGAATCTCAGACTTGAGCGAGTCACGAATCGACTTTTTCGAAATGATATCCTCTTGACTACGATTGATGACACCGACAAAACCAAGAGTCAATGGGATGACACGACCGGTCAACACGTCCATAGCATCGGTACCCTTATCCATCAAGTCGAGCTTGGTGATGACACCGATGGTACGTTTGCCCTCTGGATCGACCTCACGGGCCAATTGGAGTGCATCTGAATTGGCAAGATCGGTATTGGCGGGGGTAACGGCCAAAATAATGGCATTGGGACGCTTAATATATGCCATGATCATACGACGGATTTGTGACTCAATATCCGATGGTTGATCTCCTACTGGGACCTTGGTGATACCTGGCAAATCAACCAATGTCAAATTTACAACATGTGGTGAATATATCTTGAGGTTGATTGGTTGTGCTGAAATACCCTTATTCTTGCCTGTCAACCGATCGGTATCCTTTATAATCTCGTCACGAATCTCTGAAAATTCATAAAACATATCGTTTGGTTTATGTAAGAATTCTCCCCATTCTTGTGTTGGTGCATCTAAATAATTAAATGAATGAATGTTAAAGACTATACTATACTATATTGTTTCTTTTTTCTTTTTTTTTTTCTTTTTCTATTCTTACCATCGTCTGCAATTGGTAAATGAGTAAGTTGAAGAATCAAAGGTCTTCTAGTGACAATGCCTGAACCTCTTGGAAGAAAGTCTCTTCCTACTATATTTTCGAGTACCGATGACTTTCCTGACGATTGACTACCAACTACAACAATCTGAGGTAAATCCAAAGGATCAGTTCCCAATGTATTGAAAACATCTTGTAACTTGTTGATGACTGGGATTAATTGATCCATTATTATATTATGTTGATAGATATGTAAGTTCTGTGACTAGACTAGTTGGTGTTGATGTTTACTTGTTGGTTGGTTGGTATGTGTGTATACAAAGATATATATAAAAATAGTAATAATAATATAAATACAATAAAAAATAATAATATAAAACCTATAATATTATACTACTACTACAAACTGCTGTGAATAATAATGACGACTGTACTGTGATGATTATGGTTGATGATGAGTGCAGAGAGAGAGGATAAAGGTGAATGTATAACGCCTTTTAAATGAATGGATTTAAAATATAAATATATTTAGTTTTTGAATGATAATAATGAGTCAAGTGGAGTTGGAGTTTCAATGTAAAAAGCAAAAATAATTAAAAAAAATAAAAAAAAAAACAAGAGGGAAACCACCATATGCATCGTTCATTCTCCAAGGCATAGGAAAACCATTATTCTCAAATATTAAGGTACAACTAGTGTTAGAGAGTTACGGTATTTGAATGAAAACACGATTGTGTATCGAAAAATCAAGTTTATTATTCGTTGTTTGTTGTGTTGCAATTATTTTACTGTGAATATTAAATATAATTACCACAAACAAGCATGGGTCAGACCTCAATCTTGATTTTGTGAGCCGAGGAGGAGGAAGAACCCCTCATGAGATTTATTGCATTGCCTCGTCACCTATAGGTGGGTATCAAATTGACAATTGATTATAAGAGACTAACTACTAGAGAGGCAATGCAATAAATCTCATGGTATAGTCGGTGTCCTAGCACAAGCAAATGGTGATGTGATGGTCATGGTACTATTGTTCTTGAATTCTAACTACCTGCTATTGATAATGATTGGTGTCGATTCCTAGGTGTGCCTCATTGATCTATCCATGTGATATATACATATAAAAGGTTTACATACTCTATTGAATTGAGCTAATTCTTTTGACCTAGATCTTTGTTGTCGATGAACAGGTTTTAAAAGTGGTTTGAATGAAAAGTTCACAACAAAAATATAAGAGTTGGAAAAGAACACTCAACTCTTAAACAATTGTTTTAAATACTATTTAATTTCTTTATTTATTTATTAATTTGTAAATTCTATAGTATCATTAAATGCAAGTAATTTTTTATCAACACCTGTTCTAAGTTTGTGGATATTTTGTTCTTGAGTAGACCATCCTTGGAATAGGTTTGAAGCAAGACGGTATAATGCAAGAAAGAGTCTAGCTTGCATGACCTTCTTTATGATGAAAGAGTAATGAGCCAAATGCATAAAGGTGTAGATACTCTCAAAGTACCATGGTTTCTGTGGACATGTTGTTGTAAATTTGATTGGTGTCTGTGATAATGTTAGTGCCCTGTTCTCGGCATCCGACAGGTCGACGGTGATACCAGTGACTCTGAGGATTTCGAAATAGGTGTCGAGGCATTTGTGGTGATCTACCGATTGATACGCCAAAGCGATGGCTGTCAACGGAGAAAACAAATCAAGGGCAAGTTGACGTCCCTCTTTATCTCGGTATGTGTTTTTGACGGCACGCATGTGGTTTTCGAGAAGAGGTACATCTACCAACTTTAGCGTTTTTTGGGTGAATTTGTGTCGATAGACTGAGTCTAGTTTGTCTCTAGCGGTACGACTGATCTCGGTATCCTGCTGATCAAATTGACATAGTTGGCAATGGCAGATCTTGACGCCAAAATATTCATCCAACCATGACATTCTGGCAGCGTACGATGGCAATATTCGGCATGTATAGTTTGCCATAATCTCTTGGTTGGCTTTGATATTGGTGGTGGCATGGATAAACATCATGTCGCCAATGAGGAAACGAGTGACATTACCAAGACAACTGTGGTTGATGAGTGATGGTATTGGCCACACTCCACATGTTGGCTGTTCATATTCATGGTATGTATTGTATCTGATGATTCTTTGAATACGTTCATCGTCAAGTGGTATCTGTGAAAGTGGATCATCCAAATAGGTTTGATTAACATTGTTTTCTGTTGTTGTTGGATTTTTGTTGTTGTTGATGTTTTTTGATTTTGCTACATCCTCTTCACCAGAATAAAGAACAGATAATTGTTTTTTCGCAAGAGGATTAGATTTGATTGCTTGTTTAATCAAGCCAGGCATGTTTTCTTCCTTGTATTCTTGATCCAAAACTCCAACACCTTTTGATACTATTAGCAACGTTCCCAAAGGTACATCTCTTGTTACAATGAGACCACGACCCATCGTTTCGGTTTGAATAATATCCACCGGTCCAATGTATTCACTGCAATCTACAAATTGCTCGAATGGATTTTCGCTCGTCGATTTGGCTTGTTGACGAATACTTTTCAAGTCGTATATACCATTGTCTCTTTCTTCTATTCTTTCCTTGCATTTCTTGGTGTATAGGACCGCCTCTTCATATTTTGGTGATATTTTTAATAGTTTTTTGTAGCTATCACTCGCTTGCTCGTAGAGACCAAGCGCATAGTATGCTTTACCCATTCTTGCATAGACCTTGATCTCTTGCGGCAACTTTTGCAAGAGTATCAAGCCGAGTGGGATACATTCATGGTATCGTTGGAGTGCCAACAATGCAGCCAATTTGTTGAGTTGCAAGATCGAATGATCCTTGTCAAACCCAGCAAGACCAAGGTCATAACAAGAGAGAGCACGACCATATCTTCCCTGGGTATAGAAATCATTTCCTCGTAGACGCCATCCTTCGATATCTTTTGGTAACCTGGCAGCGAGCGATTCCTTCCAATCGGCATGACGATCGACGAGATGACAATGATTGACATCTTCGATAAATTCAATATCATCGTCGGGATTGGCGATATGAACAACAGAAAAGTTACTGTTTTGAACGACATTTGGTTCTTTGATGGCAAGAACAACACCAGCAGGAAATGCCAATGCTACCTCTTTTTGAATTGGTCCCTTTCCTGGTAGTCGATAGTTTGCAACAACGACAACCAACACATTGTCCAGCTTGGTTACATCGCCGTCGCTGATCACTAGTTGAATGAAACTACTACTACTATTATAATGATCCTTTGAGGAGATGTGTGCATCACCAACTGTTTGTACAATCAACACTCTACCAGTGTGTATAGTATCTGCTGACAAGTCTTGTACAGCAACCGGTTCCAATTGAGATGCTTCTACTGTTGTTGGAGTATGCTTGATCGTACTAATATTTTGATAAACCTTTTTTCCTTGTTCACTTTGTGTGATGACACAATCAACTTTCTTTGACATTTCTCTATCTTGTAGTGTCGTTCTATATATATATATATATATATATAAATATAAATATATATAAGATATATAAATATAAATATATATAAGATATGTACATAGATGAATGAAATGAAACGAATCTTTGGTGAACATGGTTTTTTTTTGTACTACCAAATTAAATTATTAATTAACTACTGGTGATTTATTTAGCTTCTACAGTTTCATTATTTATATGTATGCTAATATATTATTTAATTTAATGATTTGTTTGTTTGTTTGTTTATTTATTTATTTATTTATTTATTGATTAATTCAACAGTATCATGAAAAGTTAATAATGTTTTAGAAGCACCTTTTTTAAGGTATTCAATATCTTGTTCTTTAAAAGTTAAACCTTCAAAGATGGTTGAACATTGACGAAATAGTGCAAGTAGACAACGCGCCATCATGACTTGCAGTGGGTTTATAGTAAGAGTGAGAAACGCCATATTTAAAAGCGCGGTGGTATTTTCATAGTAGAATGGTACACGAGGACACGGTATCGTAAATTTGATCGGTGTAGTTGATGGCGATGGTCGTCTGTTCTCGGCATCGAATAGGTCGAGGTTGATACCAGAGGCATGAAGGATTTCCGAAACCACCTTTAAAGCATCTTTGTCCTCGCTGATCGAGGCAAGGCAACCGAGTGGAGAAAACAAATCAAAGGCAAGACGCTCCTTAAAGTCTGGGTTGAGAGTCTTGACAGCTTTGATATGGGTTTTGAGGAGAGGTATATCGCTCGAGCCGAGTCTGCCCTGTCGATGTTGGAATTGGCTTCTAAAGACTTGGTCGAGTTGGTGTCGAGCTTCTCGGATGTGGTTGGGTTCGTGGAGATCGGATTGGCACAGCATACAGCGACAGTTTGTCACACCAAGTCTGGATATATGCTCCATTCTGAGCTTGTAAGATGGCAACATTAGGTTGTTGATGCTGACAAACACCTCTTGGTTGGCTCTGATATTGGTGGTGGCATACGTAAACATCATATCACCAATACGGAACCGCGTGGCGTTACCAAGACAACTGTGGTTGATGAGCGAGGCCAACGGCGATACCGTCGCCGACTGATAATCACGATCCAAAATCATATTGTGTGCAAGGATGCCTTCAATACGCGCCTGTTCAATGGGTTTGTTGGCGGCGGGACCGTCGAGTTGGTTAAAGTCGCTTATCGTGGCCGGCGTTGTCAATTGATCACCCCCAGAATAAAGATGAGAAACTTGTGCTTTGAGAAGAGGATTGTGTTTGGTGGCTTGTTTAATCGCCTCCATCATATTGTTAAGATCCGGGTCACTACGATCCGAGCTTCCAATACCTCTTGATACCATTAGCAGCGTTCCAAATGGTACATCTTTTGTTACGGCGAGACCACGACCCATCGTCTCGGTTAGAATAATTTCCAGCGGTCCAAGGTATTCACTGCAGTCTGCAAATTGCTCGTGTTCCTTGCCCATATGACCTACTTCTGATTTGACTTGTTTACGAATCTTTTCGAGATCGTATTTACCATTGTCTCTTTCTTCTATTCTTTCCTTGCATTTCTTGGTGTATAGGACCGCCTCTTCGTACTTTGGTGATATTTTTAATAGTTTTTTGTAGCTATCACTCGCTTGCTCGTAGAGACCAAGCGCATAGTATGCTTTACCCATTCTTGCATAGATCTTGATCTCTTGAGGCAGCTTTTTCAAGAGCAAAAAGCCAAGTGGAATACATTCATAGTATCGTTGGAGTGCCAACAATGCAGCCAATTTGTTGAGTTGCAAGATCGAATGATCCTTGTCAAACCCAGCAAGACCAAGGTCATAACAAGAGAGAGCACGATCATAATATCTTTGCGTGTAGAAATCATTTCCTCGTAGACGCCATCCTTCGATATCTTTTGGTAATCTGGCAGCGAGCGATTCCTTCCACTCGGCATTGACAAGATGACAGTAGTTGACATCTTCGATAAAGTCAAAGTTATTGGAATGAGTGATATGAACAAACACATTGTCAGAGATTGTAACGACAATTGGTTCTTTGATGGCAAGTACAACACCGCGTGGAAATAGCAATGATGTTTCATTTATTACCTTTCCTGGTAATCTAAAGTTTCTAATCGTTACAATTATTGCATGGTTATTGTTGTTGTTGTTGTTGTCTGCTGCTGTTCCTGACTCTGTAGTTTGATCACTGACCAATAGTTGAATGGTACCATTACCTGATATAACGTATGCATCAGCAATTGTTTTAACTACCAACACTCTACCAGTGTTGACAGTATCTACTGACAAGTCTGTGATACCAATTGGTTCCAATTCAGATGCATCGGCTGTTGATGCACCCTTTGCTACAATATAATCTTTATAAGCACTTATTCCTTGTTTCCCATTATGTTTCTTGATCAAACTTGATCTGTCTATATCTTTTGATTTGATCTTATTCTTATTTTCTTCGCTGCTCATATTTAATGATATTAAATGACCTTTTTGTAAAATTTTTTTTTTCGATATAAAATGAATACTTTTTTAAATCATGACAACCCGTGATGAGAGGTACAAAAAAATTGTTGTAGATTTGACCGTTTTGGACGCTGCTTTGAGGAACCTGCTGAGAACTTCCTTGTGAATCTTAAGGTGGTGTTGTTGTATTACTGCTCATTGAAGAAGTATATAAATAATCAAAACAATAGTTATATCTAGTTTATTGTTGTTTGCAGTCGATCAGGGGTCAGGGGCCGCAGGTAAGGTCCCCTCTTAAATTTGAGCCTTTATTTTGAAATGAGGAAAAAAAAGAGTCTGTCAGTATGATCCAAAATATGAAATAAATAAATATAAATAGACATACTTTGGGGCCCAAATTGTGTTGATGCCTAGGTTTTTGCCCTGGCAATTATTTTGAATATCTTAACGGACGGTGACCATTTTTCCAAACTTTAAAAATACCAAGTAGCAGCATATTACGTGCTGCATTCACATCCCGGTTGAAGCTTTTTCCGCAACCAGTGCACAAAACACGTTTCCATGGCACAGTCATTCTGTGCTTGTTGTGCAGGGCCTTACTTGATTTTCTGATAGCTGGACTGTATCTGTTCTGTCCGTGTCGATAGTCGAACTTTTTTGTTGAAGACGATTGGCATTTCACGAGATGAAAATCATCCAAAGGATCCTCATGGTTCGTTGAGGTCAGAATGGATCAAGTTTTGCTCCTCTTGGTGGAAAAAACAATCAAAATGTTGCTAAAAAGTTTAAAGAGAATTAATAAATTTAATTAAATATTTAAATAAATGAAATTAAGAAACTTACTTTGGAAGTGTTGTATTCATTAATATAAACAACGGAATATTTTTTAGATTTTAATTTGTTGACAATAGTCTTGGCTGCAAATGTTGTGACCTTGCTACGAGTGTTGTGTCCAAATTTTGCATGTACAAAAAGAACAGAAGAATCTTCTTTTAATTTAAATGAAATTAAGGATTCATGTCGACCCTTAAGGAGAAGATTGATGAAATGATTATTGTGAAAAGAAAGTATATACACACACGTATAAATGATGGATAACAAAGAGACATATGACTTTGACAGTAAATGTGCAATGCATTATAACATTAAAGGTCCTGTTAATTCAGTGGCACCACCCATCTACACTAGTAGCACATACTATGTAGACTCTGCAGACCATGGAGCAGTGTTGTGTGCTCAAGACAAGCCTACTGATGGCCGTTCAGAATGGTTGTACACTAGATGGGGCAACCCTACCAATGAGATACCCGAGAGAATGATCACCCAACTCGAAGGTGGCTATGCAACCATCCTCACATCATCGGGTATGGCAGCCATCACATCGTCGATTCTGGCTCTACTCAAGACTGGCGACCACGCTGTCTTCTCGGTCAATATCTATGGTGGCACCTATGAGTTTATTACAGACCTCTTGCCAAAGATGGGTATCTCGGTCGATATCGTCGATCCCCGAGACATTAACAACTACGCATCCAAAATCAAAGACAACACCAAATTATTGTATGGTGAGACACCTGCCAACCCAACACTCATCCTCACCGACATTGCAGCACTTGCAGCACTTGGAAAGCAACATGGTATCCCAACCATGGTCGATTCTACCTTTGGCAGTGTATACAATCAAAAGCCTATTACTTATGGTATCGACATTGTGTTGCATTCTGCCACCAAGTACTATTCAGGTCACACTGATCTAGTAGCTGGAACCATTACTTGTGCCTCAGCGGACCATTACAAACACATCTCTCATTACGTTCGTTTGTTGGGTGGTACTCCATCACCATTTACAGGATACCTTTTACAAAGAGGTATAAAGACACTTCACCTTCGTATGCCTCGTCACAATGAGAATGCATTGACTATTGCAAGATTCCTAGAGAAACATCCAAAGATTGAAACCGTTCATTATCCAGGCTTGGAATCACATCCACAACATGAATTGGCAAAGAAACAAATGCAAGGTGGATTTGGTGGTATCATTGCATTTACAGTCAAAGGTGGTGCCGAAGCTGGTAGAAAGGTAATTGAAAGTGTTCAGTTGATTACACTTGCCGTATCACTTGGTGGTGTTGAATCATTGATTGAACAAGCATCTACCATGACTCATATCATGGTACCCAAAGAAGAAAGAGAACGTGGTGGAATTGCCGATGGTCTTCTAAGATTCTCTGTTGGTTGTGAAAATGTTCAAGATTTAATCCAAGATCTTACCAATGCTTTAAATCAAGTAGTAGTATAAATAATTATAAATAAATAAATAAATAAATAAAATATATTTATTTCAATCAAAAGGTGATTTAAATTGATACAATTTTTTATTATTATTATTATTACTTTTTTGATTGATTTTCTTTTTTTACAAAAGTGATCTGTGAAAACAAATCCAAACAGTTGTTTAATTAAATATTTGTTTGGATTGGTAATTCTAATTATTCCTTTTTTGGTTGGTTGTAAAATAAAATATAAATGGTGGATGGATGATTGGATGATTGGTTGGGTTGTTTTGGGTTGTTATGTTTTTAATTTCATTTCGATTAATCGTCATCATCACCATTTGGTTTTATGGGCAATGGTTTTATAGCCTTTTCCCAGAGATCCTTATTTGATTTGTATTCAGTTTCCAATGTTTGGAGAGCCGAGACAATGTCGGTACAGGTGGGACGATTTTCAAACTTGGCATCCCAGCAATTATTAATGAGTGCTGCAAAGTTGGCTGGACAGGCAGGTGGGATGGTTGGACGGAGACCTCTCTTGGCGGTTTGAATGATGATTTGGAAATCGTGTTGAAGGTTCTTGAATTCAGAGAATGGACGTTCATAACGACAGTTTATACATCTTGTTACCAATTCCCAAAGAATCATTCCAATTGAATAAACATCTGATTTGACTGAAAATTGTTCACCAAAGTATACCTAAAACAAACAAAAATTAAATAATAAATAAATAAATATTTCTTCTTTTTGTTTTTTTTCTATTCTTACTTCTGGAGCACAATAAGCAAAAGTTCCACGCATTTTTGTTAAAGTTTCCATATTACTACCAGTGTTGAAACGACTGAGACCAAAATCGCAAACCTTTACCTCCCATTTATCGTTGACCAAAAGATTGAGTGATTTCAAATCCCTGTGTACGATTTGAGGATTCCATTTGTGTAGACACTCGATACCTCTTGCAGTCTCGATAGCAAATCTAAATGTACTATCCCATCCAATATCATATTTCTCGTTATTCATTACATGATACAAACTACCTCGACCACAATTTTCCATAACCATACATAATCTTGGTGTCAATACAGCTCCATAAAAGTTTACAACATATTTTGATCTAATTGCACTATATAAAATAAAAAGGAAATATAAAGTCAGTCTATATTCTTTTCTATATTCTTTTCTTTTCTTTTTACCTCATAATTTGGAATTCCTTTTTAAATTCATCAACTTCTTTAGCTTCAGACATTGATTTTAATATTTTGATTGCAACTTCTTTTCCTTTATACAATCCTCTGTAAACCTTTCCTGAACTTCCAGCACCCAACTTTTCAGTGTATTCAAGTTCGTTGTCATTGATAATATTAATTTCTCCAATATGTTTCATGGCAATCAATGAATCTCTCAATCCAACAATATCTGGTGTATGTGGAGATGGTAAATCATCTTCATCCAAAACATCTTTTCTACTAATAGTTGGTGATGGTTGAATTGCTATTGGTACCTCACCTAAACAAAATAAATAAATAATAAATAAAAAAAAGTTAATAACTATCCATTTCCATCTTTATCTTTTTCTCTTTTTCTTTTCTTTCTCTTATTACTTTTAAATGGAGCACAAGCTTTTAAGATTCTAATTTTCTGACCAGCAGTCGTGATACCCATTTTTTCCAAGATCTTTTCATTGATATCACCTAGGAGGTCCTTAAAGATTTGTTCCTTTACAAAATATTCCTTGTAGTCTTGGAGACCCTGCTCTTTGAGCCACTCGTACAACTCCTTGTAACGGAGCATACGGTTTGCGATTTCCTTGTGCGACTCGCACGCCAATTCATAGGGCGTCTTTTTGTCACGCCCGACAATATCGAGGTCGGCACCGGCCTTGAGAAGAGTATTTACAAGATCATCACGTCCAAGATGAACGGCATAGTGAAGAGGAGACTCGTGAAAGTTGTTCAAGAGATTGACGTTGGCACCGGCCGACAACAAGAGATTGACCATCATCAAACGTACATAGTTGTTAAAGATAGCCTTGTGCAGCGGTGTCTCTCCGCTTCTGTTTTGCACATTGACATTGACGTGTTTGGCCAAGAACAAGAGGAATGGGTCTTGACAATTGGGCGACTTGAACTTGCCGCAAAAGTAGTGCAGTGGTGTATTCACATCCTCGTTACGAATGTCGACATTGATGCCCTCAAACTGGAGCACTTTGGTGAGGATAGGTTCGTCGCTCTCCACTGCAGTGTGCAATATGGCGTATCCATTCTTGTCTTGCAAATTAATATCCGACTTGGTTTCTTTGTACGCTTGCAATAGAAAATCTACCATCTCTTCTTGATTGTTCTTTAACGCGTTGGTCATTGGTGTCTGTCCGTGTTGATCAAATGTCGTCAACATCTTGGCAAACTTCTTCTTGTCCTTGTACAACTTTTTCACCTTTTCCATATCCTTTGTCGATGTTGCTTGTCCCAGCTCTGTTTGACCTGAACTTGACATCTAAACATTACAACAAAAAATAAACAAACTTATAAGTTTTCTATCTCTCTTTTGCTGTCTCGCTGTCTCTCTAACTTACCATTTTGATATATATTTATTTATTTATGTGTTTGTTTGTTTGTTTGTTGTTTGTTTGTTTGATATAATATAATACACTCTATTTGTTGGGTTAGTAGTACTTTGTTCTCTCAATCTCTCTTTCTTTCTTTCTTAAAGGGGGAGGGTTGTAATAAATATAATAATAATACAACTAGACCGAGATATACCGATAATAATACTCGTTCCGATGATGATGATGATGTTGGGTTGTGGTTTGGTTGGTGAATGAGTAGGATGAGGTTTATGATACTTTAACATCAAGAGAAAATCCTCCTTAATATCACCAGAACAAATTTGAAAAAAATCAAAAAATAATTTTTAGTTGTTGAAAAAACCCAAAGATGCGATTCAGCACCATTCCCAATTTCGACCAAAAGGGAAAGTGAGTGAGAGTGAAGAGCAACCAAACCTCATACTTTATACAAACGAAACAAAAAAGAAATATCATCATCATTCATTGTCATTCATTGTCGTCGTCATCATCATCATCATCATATTTCATTTGTACATAGATTCAATATATATAATATAGAGAAGAGTAATATAACAACATTCATAGACACACATAGATACACATAGATATATATACAATAAAAGATGTTCAACCCATACGCACCACCTCGTGGCAAAAGTGCGCTCATTGCATCATTGACACCTGATAGAGACGACCTTCCTTCACTTGACAGCTTGAATCCCGATAATTTGAAAGATTTGACTAAAGAGGTATTGAGCGATCTCTTGAAAGCACACAGTATGTTTGTACAAAGATATATAGATAGATATAGATTAGAGATACACTAGCTAACAATGATTATTTACATTTTCAGATGTAATTCCAGGAGGATCAAAACCAGAGATGAAGAAACAAGTTAGAACATTGATTCATTCTATAAATAGTAATACACCATTACCAACATCGATACAGATGCCCAAGGGTATGGAGATGGGAGCAGATCAACTGCACCAATTCCAACAGTTACAGAATCAACAACACGAGTTGATGCAAGGTGTGGTGGGACAAGCACCAATGATGAATCCACTGTCTTTGCAATTCCAACAACCATACAACCCCATGTCGTTTGTGCCACAGACGGCTGCTCCTCCTCCACCTTATCTAGTGACGTCGCCAATGTCACAACATCAGATGCAGAGTCAATTTGTTCACACTGTATCTACTCCGCAACCTCCACCCATGTCGTATCCAGGTGCACCAAATATGGGTGTTGGTGCGTCAGTCGTGGGCGCACCATCTACCCCACAGACTGCAGATCGTACAGAACGTGCGTCGGCCAAGTCGGCCAAGGAGACGACGAGCAGCAGCGGACACCAGAGCGCTGGGTCGCCGCCACCTTCACCCAAGCACCATGAAGAGAGTGACACGTGCAAAGACTGCACGAAAAAGGCAAACAAGGAGTGCACCAACCATCGGTGCAGAGGGTGTTGTCTAAAGTATATGGTCGAGTCAAAGGATCTGTGTTTGATCCACATCAAGGACGAGAGCAGACGTCCGCGTACAAAGGAACACCCCAACGCCGAGTTGCAGTCGTTGATTGCACAGGCGCAGGCCACCTTCCCAGGGTTTAGCGTTAGCACGAGCAACACACCCGCCACAGCGACACCCACGATGGCGTCGGCTGCTGCGGGCGGCAATGCGAATGTGACCGAGCCGCTCTCGCTCGGCGTGTCTCCACTCATGATTGGCGGCAAGCCACACCACCTTGCACCACCCCCACCCCTCCATCACCACCTTCAACAACAACACATGCATCACAAGCAAGTATCGAATATCGCAATGCCAGCCGTTCCAACAGGCACCATGCATCCAGCTGCCGGCGCCAACACAGCACAACAACTCGCTTCAACACACAAGGTGCAGACCCAACTCCAAATGAAGCTCGTCAACGAGGCCGCACACTATGCCCAGCAAATTGCATTCCACCGCATGACTATGCGTAAAGACGACCAGGCCGCATTCTACTCGTGTCCACGATGCGACAAGGTCCTCGGTGTCAATGGATCGCAGTTGTGGCGTCACGTCCAATCAGAGCATCCCGACCTCTTTGTCCCACTCCTCAAACAAAATATTTATAATGGTGGATTGGTAGGCGACCAATCTGACATTTTATCGCTCAGCAAAGAGGCCGCTCAAGAACGAATCAATACCACTGCCCAATGGCTCAAAGAATTATTTTCCCCTTCCCTCCTTTTAAACAGCAACAATAGTAACGTAAACAACTCTGACAAAGACAATGATCATACACGTCTAGAAAAAATCAAAGGTTATGAATCCAGATTAGAATCATTGGTTCAATCTTTTGATCATAGAATTTCAACTAGTATTGAATCAATTCAATCAGATTCAAATTTATTTTATCAATTTTATAATCAATTATCTGAAGTTAATACTATTGATGTAAGTCATAAATATATACAGACAAGACCAGGATATATTTATTTATAATTATTTAATTATTTAATTTTAGGAATTGGAAAATCTAACCAAACAATATGAAAAAGTTAAAAATATTCATTTCTCTCCCAAACCTTTATTAATTACACCAATCCTAAATCAACAATCTCAACCAGGTGTAAATAATGATTTAATCATTCAACAATTATAGATAGAAATAAAATGAATGAATTTGTACACACACAAACAAACAAACAAACAAACAAAACGTAATTGGAATCTAGGATGATGAAATTTACATTACATTGGGTTTTATGGATATAATTAAATTAAATTTAAATTTAATTACCCTTCAATGCTTTAACTTTATTTTGAAAGATTGAATCTGTAATTTCAGATTGTTGTTCACCATTGATTACAACATGAACTGGCTATAGAAAATTGATATAGAAAAGAAATAGTATTAATTTAATATTAATTAAATGTAAAATTAATCTTTTGTTTTTTTTTTTTTAGTTTTCAATACATACAGAAAAGAATTTATCAATGGTACCTTTATGAGAAGTAATACGACCTTTTAATAATGGACTAACATTAACACCAACAAAATTAATTTGACCGTATTTATAGGTAACACTTTGATCGATTTGATCGGCCGTCTTTACAATACCATAGTATGCTTGGGTATCACTAAGATGTTGGGCTAGTTCATCTACACCTCCAGTTCCCTTTGCAACAAAGACCAATGATTCCTTGCCTTGGTATCCAATCAACATCCAATTGGTCTGGTTCTTACCATCCTTTACTTCTTGGACAATGGATGCCAACTCGTCTGAAAAGGTCAATCCTACAGAGGAAGTATTGGCACCTGGAACCTTTACAGTGGTGGTGGTTGGATTCTTGAGTGATGATACATTGCCATAGGTAGTATTGGCCTTTTTAACCTCACCTGTTCTATCACGTGATCCAGAAGCATCTTGAATTCTATTCATCACTTCAGTCTCTGTAATATCAGATCTTTGATCAGCAGCTATTTCAATGTTATAATGACCAAGTAACTTTGTAATATGTGCTTTATTTGTTCCATATCTTGCTTTATCCATTCCCTAGAAAGAAAAAGAATTAATTAATTAATTAATATTAATCAATGATTGTGTTTTTGAATGACTTAATTTGTTTTTAACATACTTTAACACCTTGACCAATCCAAGTAATATATGCATATCTATCAGTTGGAATACCATCAACTTTATCGACAACTCTAGCAATTCCATAGGCCATAATAGAGTCATCTAGATGTTGAGCCAACTCGTTTACACCTCCATTACCAGAACCAATCAACTTTATTTGATTTGGAGAACCATCATAACCAACCAAGATCCAGTTGGTTGGATGACCCGATGTATGAATATCACCGATTGTTGGTTTCCTGCTCCTGATACTTTTGACATTATTACAATTAAAATAGATAAGATAGATAGAGAGTCTCTTTAAAATAAATTAAACAACAAAGCCTTTGAATCAAGATAGATGGGATGACCAAAAAATGAATAAAAAATATCCTCTCCTCCTGTCATTTAATATTAATTGCAAATTCAATGAACCATCAAATTGAAAGTGGCTCAAAAAAAAAAGATAGAAGAATATTGATACTTGTATTAACCCTACAACCAAAATACAAAAAAATAATAATATTGATTATTCATAGTAGTTTCCAGTTTTCTATTAATAACCATAGGTTATCAATTGAAAAGTAGTTGTAATCATCAATGATGCCTACTATTCTAAAGAAGTATTGATTGAAATAGTACTCGATCATTAGATCTACCTTTCTTCGATGGATGGTCCGATTGTTATGTCATGGTTGTGCTTGAATTCAAAGTATTAAAGTGACAGTCATGACTACTAATTACGTAACAATCGAGTATTTAGAGTCTCGTATACAACAGTATAACTAGGAGATGAGGTTCATTCCGAGTGGAAAAGTTGTCGACTACTTCTATGTTGTGGTCTCTAAAGTAGGATGATGATGAGGTGTAGGGGATGATCTCCTCTCCTCGATCACTGCAATGTAATTGAAGTAGGTCTGTCTGTCCGATACCAAGATGAATGAAAAATAGGAAATTTAAAGTAAAGACCTATATTTAATGATCGAGTACTCTATGATACTTTTGATGTCACCAGCATTTCATATCTTGATTGTTGCGAAAGATCAGCTGAACATTCTCGCCAGTTTTTATCGTAAAAATCTGTCAGTACTGGATTGGGAGAGACTTGTCTTTGGATGATCTCATTTAAATAGAGACAGCTCATCACTCGATCAATTCATCAAATTCATTTCTATTTCTATCTTATCTAAAAAGACAAAGACAAAGAGATAATAAACATTCAATTCTCACTCAAAAAGATGAACAGAACAGTATTATTAGCATTATTAGTATTATTATCGGTCGTAGCATTGGCTAGTGCTCGTCGTCCATTCAGATGGCACTCTGACCTCAGTATCTACAACAAGTTAACTGACGAAGCTCTCTTTGCTCGTTCAGAAAAACATTTGTTAAGATCAATTCAATACCAATGGTTCACTCAAGTATGTTGTCATTTAATATATATATAGATCTATCATATGATAGATATGGTAGTAGTATACTGATCATATGAATGATGATAACTAACTTCAATTCAATCAATTAACAATATATATAGAGACTCGACCATTTCAACACTATCAATCAACAAACCTTCCAACAAAGATATGTTATCAATGATCAATATTGGAATGGTAAAGGACCAGTATTCATCATGATCAATGGTGAAGGTCCAATGTCATTGGCTACAGTCACTGGATTACAATTTGTAAACTGGGCTCAACAATCAAACGCACTCATCATCTCTCTCGAACACAGATACTATGGTGCCAGTTTTGCTACTGATGATCTTTCAACTGACAACCTCGCCTATCTCACTCCACAACAAGCACTTGCCGACAATGCTGCCTTCCGTGAGTTTGTTGCCGTCACCTTCAACGTTCCAGCTACCTCCAAGTGGGTCAGTTTCGGTGGTTCATACTCTGGTTGTCTCACCTCTTGGTTCCGTATCAAGTATCCAAACCTCGTCGACTACACCGTCGCTTCATCTGGTCCAGTCAATGCTGAAGTCAACTTTTACCAATATTTGGAAGTTGTTCAAAACTCTTTGTGTATGTCTAAAACAACAACAACAACAACAACAACATAATATCTTGCTCAAAAAAAATCTATTTGTATTTTACTAACTTCTTTCTTATTCTTTTTTTATTAGTGACCGCAACCAATGGACAACAATGTGTTTCAAACATTGCTCAAGCAACTCAAAAGATTCAAGCTTTATTGTCACAACCAAACGGTTTGGAAACTGTCTCTGACATGTTCAACCTCTTCCCAGCCTTGGAATCTCAAAATGATGTTGCCAACTTTATGCAATCTCTTGCTGGTAACTTTATGGGTGTTGTTCAATACAATCTCGAAGAAGTTGGTCCATCTGTTGAAACTGTAAGTTTTAATATATATATATCTCAAACTATTATTATGTTAATATTAACATATGTTAAAATGTTTATTTTTATTTTAGTTATGTCAAACTATGACTGATTCATCAAATGATGCACTCACCAATTACATTGCCATCTGGAATCAATATGCTCAAGGTGAAACTTTGGATGTATCTTATGATACCATGATTTCTGAACTCACCAATGTTACCAACGACCAAAACATTGTTGGTGGTCGTCAATGGTTCTTCCAAACCTGTGCTCAATTTGGTTTCTACCAAACTTCTGATTCACCAAACCAACCATTTGGTAACCTCTTCCCACTCGAGTTCCAAATCCAACAGTGTTCCGATGTGTTTGGTTTCGACTTCTTACCAAACGTCAACTGGACTCTTTTGGATTTCGGTGGTTTGAACCCAGTCACCTCAAATGTCATCTATGTCAACGGTGACATTGATCCATGGCACTCACTCGGTATCACCGCCTCCTTCCCAGCTGCCGGTGAAAACACTGAAACTATTTTGATCCACGGTACTGCTCATTGTGCCGATATGATGATGCCAACCGCCGGTGTCTCACCATCCACCTTGGCCCCAGCCCAAACCATCATTGGTCAACAAATCCAATCTTTCCTTTCACAAAATTAAATTCATTCTCTCTCTCTCATCCTTTCCCAACATACACACATCTTTCTTCATAAATATTAATGAATAAAAAGTTTTCTTGTTCGAATGAAAAGGTATTCTTTCCATTCATTCTAATATAAATATAAATACATTTTACTTCCCCATGTTTTTTTTTGTTCAAATGCCACACATGATCTCAAGTTTTTCAAAATTTTTTTTGACATAGGTGGGTGCAAACCACCGAAATCCAAAAGAGTCCAGTTGACGTTTGGTAAGAAGTCGAAACCAAACACATCGGAACACGTTATGGTAAATATTTATAAATTTCCCAGTTGAAAAGATAAATGTCTGACCTTTTTTTTATTAATATCCTTCGATTTCTTTTCATTCCATTTTCACCCATCTATAGAAACTACTCTATCTGTTTGCAAGACCCACTGAAAGGCCAAACTTCAAAGAGACAATGTTCTTGGCTTTCTCTCTATTTCGATCTTACAAGATGAAGTCCCATAGACCAGGGAAATGTGTTGTCCAGTAGATCGCACCAATTCAATCGAATTCATGTCTTGGCAACCAACCAACCAAATTCAACTCATAAGTCAAGTGGAAAGAGTTCATTATTGTATTATATAAAGATTCATCTATACAGTATTTTTTTGTTTTACAATACATTTATTTTAAAGATATATTTATTCTTGAATGATTAAATATTATAGTTTTATCGGTGATTGGATCATGAGGATTATCATGCATAAATAATGAATCAATATTATTATTGTCTATACCAATCCTTTCTGCAATAAGTTTTTTTAAAAGTTGGACTGTGAATCCAAGTCCTTGTCTAACTGAAAGTCTTCGATACGCCTCAATACCCTCTTCTATCTGAACGTATAATTGCGTAACATGTAAATCACTATCATATGTTTCATTGACCAATGCATTATTGGCAGGTGATTTAATAGTACGAAGAGGAAATTTGAAATCCAGTGTAGAAGAATTAAAACTCTTTATCACTTCTGTCTTTGGATTGATAGTAATTGTTTTCATATTTACAATTAAAGGTGCCAATGTTATACTTGGTACTGTTATATTATTAGCTTGATATTTAAGTGATAATTTTTGTACTCTATCAATAAATAGGTTGATTGATCAATATAAACATGCATGTTAACATTAAACAACCTATTTTCTTTCTTTTTTTTTTTGATTTAACTTACTTGATATATCTCAAATCATATTCAACAATCTCCAACAATCCATTTTCAAATGATGATGTTCTTATTACAACTTGTTGAATAGTTTCATTTGCTTGTACTATACCCATAAATACTGGTATCAGTTCTGCATTTTTAATGTCATCATATTGGTAAACTATTGTCTAAATATAGATAGATTTGGATAGGGGAATTGGTTAGTTGGTTGGTTCTTTGTTTTCTTTCTTTAGTTTACATACAAAAGTAGAGGGTTGCTTTTGAACTAAACCATTTGAAGTAATGTTTGGATCATCTAATCTTCTTTTGTAGGTTGAATATTCATCTTTTGTTTGCAAATAGATTGATTTGGTTTCATGTGTAAACTTGCATGGATTAAAGGTTTTAGAAGAGATGGCATATGCTAATAACCATTCATGAGATCTATGAAATCTCTCTACTATCTTGTGTTCAAGTTCTAATATCTGACCATACATATTTGGTTCAGTGTCTAGATCGGGATTACACAAATCATCTTTGTATTCCTTTCTAAATGCTTCTAGCAATTTCTCTTTTCCTCCATGTTCCCATGCAGGATTGACATATTCAGGTGTGTTAATGTCCTTGTCCAATGAAAAGTAAACATATATAGGAAAAGAATTAAATTCCTTTGAATCACTTAAAAGACAATGTAAATAAGTTATTACTTTTTACTCTCTTTAGTGAACATGGTTTACTTACAATGAGCTTGACATATATATATATATATATCTTGTTCAAACTAATACAGTAGATGTAATATATGTATCGTACTAATATCTAGACTGCAATAAACTCATTTTAGTCTTCTTTTTTTTTTCATTCATCTTGGTTATTTCTGGAACCTCTATAGTACGAGTGACGTGACCTAGGTACCCATCGATTTAAAGTCATTGTTCTATCATCTCTGAACCTTTGACGTCGTCGTTTATTCTTATCTTCTGCTGCGACATAGAATAGATAATGATAATAATAATAATAATAAGCCGTTATAACTTCACTTCCTTTTCGAGAGTTGAAAATAAAACAACCACCCAATAGAATGAATGAATATAAAATAACCACTAGCAAAATGATTGGGGGGGGTGAACAGATTTGATTGATTGACACAACCCCCCCATTAATATGAAATAGAGAGAAGGGGAGGGTATGAAAAGCTACCCTATCCCTATTCTAGCTATGAGCAAAGAGAGGTATAACTGTGGTTGTTTAATCACCACTCTATCCCAACAAACAACCCCTTCCTTCAAAATTGAATGACAACATCAACATCTTCTCTTCTCTCTTCATTAACAATAATAACAATATCTTCTCTATCTCTTATTCTATTCTGTCATCATCAACTCTTTTTCATTTTCTTATTTTAAACATAACTATCTATCTATCTAATAATCTATCTAATTAATTATCTCTATAATTTATATTTTTTTTTGAATAATGGATGTTGGTAAAGTTAACTGTGTATTGGGATTAGACCCAAAAAGATATTCTAGATGTGATGTATTGTTGGAAATTAAGAATCTAGTTGAACAATACAAACATTCGAGTGATGCTGATATTTCAGAAGCTGGAGTATTTAGAAGAATCTTTGCTGCTCCACTGACTGCACATTCAACATCGAGACACTTTTCATTGTTTGTCGATCAGGATTTGGTCAACTCTGATACTCTCATCAAACAAATCTACAAGACATCGTCGATGGGAAAGGTATTGGAATTGGTCTATGAAAAGTTATCAAACATTGCTCTTCATCCACTTCTCATCAAGTATTCTTTGGCCACTGCCATCAATCATGCTCCACAATTCCAATCCCTCAAACAACAAGTACCACAAGCTCTAGTCATTGCTCCAAACCATGTTTTTTGTGATCAAACTATTCCAAAACGTTGGACTAATCCTGTATGTAATATAAATATAAATATAAATATTTAAATATTTAAATCTCTCTCTCTTTCCCTCCTAATTAATTATTTATTTTGTTTTTTTTATTATTTATAGGATGATTTATTAAAATGGTGGAGAGAAGATCCAATGTTAAATTCACATCATTGGAATTGGCATACTGCTTATCCATCGTTTGGTGTTAGTTTGGATGGTACACCAGCCAAATTAAAGGATCGTCAAGGTGAGTTGTTTGTGTTTATGCATAGACAAATGGTTGCCCGTTACGATTGTGAAAGAACTGCACTTGGTATCGAATCCCTTGATCCATTCGGTTCAAACACCTACAAAGACAGTTTGGGTGAGAGTTTTGACCCACTCCTATCCACATTTGTGTCTCGTCAAAGTGGATCAGTCATGAAAGACAATGTCAAGGGAACTCATCCCTTTGATACCATCTCTTTAGTCGATCTTGAAATTTGGAGACAAAGATTATTAGAAGCTATTCAAAATAGAAAGTTTAAAAAGGTAAATAGTATATATATATTTATAATATGACTCATTATCTAATCTTTTTGTTTTTTTAGACTATTACAGCATCAGATGGATCAATGATGACAAGTGAAATTCCAATGACAATTGCAGATCTTGGATCATCACTTGAAGCTACTATGGGTTCACCAAACAAGGCCTACTATGGAAACTTGAACAAACAAGCTCATAATCTAATGGCAAGAGTATCCAATACAAGAGGTGATGAACAAAATAACCTTGGTATTATGGGTGATATTATCGGTGCTTTCCGTGACCCATTGTTTTGGAGATGGCATAAACATCTTGATGGTAAGATACAATAATACAAATAATATAAGAGATAGATATGTAATATTTATATTTATATTAACCTTTTTAATTTTCTTTTTTTTAGACTTTTTCCATAGATTTGAAATTGCATCAATTCCACATAAACTAGAGGAGACTGCTCCACCACAATTCAAGGTATCCAAGGTATCTGTAAAGAATGCTTATGTACCACAACTCTCTACTAATCCAGTCACCAAAGAATTGGAAGTATCCTTGCAACCAAACAAGAATCCACAAGAAAACTATTTGTCAACTTATATGAAATCTCAAATCATTGATATTAAAAAGGATGGTCATGTAGTTTCTCATAAACAAGTATGTTAAAAGGAAAATAAGTAGTGATAATAATATGTACTTATACTAATATATACTATTCTATTATTTTTTTTTCAGAGTGAAATTATTGATCATGAAATTATTAATAGTTATGATACTTATAGATTGTATCATGTACCATTCAACTATGAGATTAATGTTGAAAATCAAGATGCAACATTTAAAAAGGTGGTTGTTAGAGTGTATGTGGTTGCAAGTGACGATTATGGAGATCGTAGAAAATGGGTTGCTTTGGATCAATTCTACACTACTCTTCCAGAGGGACAAAAGACCTATACTATTAGTAGATCATCTTCAGAGAGTACTATTCTCCAAAGAGCAGTCACTGAGGAATGGCCAGGAAACTGGGAAGGTCTAGATTCCAACACCCCATCAACCACCTTGGAAACCTATTGCAAGTGTGGTCTACCACGTAACCTACTCCTTCCACGTGGTAGCAAGGAAGGTATGAAGTTTAAGCTCTGCGTTGTAGTGACTGATGCTCGTCACGATATCATCATCTACAACGATGGTACTTCATCATGCTGTGATGGTAACATCTACTGTGGTACCTATAACAAGCCATACCCATTCCGTCTTGACATGGGTTTCCCATTCAACAGAGGTATTCCAAATGCTGGAGATACCGCCGCTGAAAAGATGGATGCCTATCTCAATCAACCAAATATCTATACCGGTGATATTACCATTCAATGGATTGTTCCAAAGGTTGCTGCTGCCTAAGCCAACTCTTCTGTAGATATATATATACTAAGCTATATAGTATAGTATATAAAGTACTCTTAAACAAGTATATAGTTGTTTTCTTCTTCTTCTTCTTCCTCTTCCTTTCCAAAAATAAATAAATTAATTATCCAACCAAATTAAATATATTATATATTATATGTATTGTTGTTTGATTTATTTTGAATCATAACCAAGGGAATCCAAAAATCTATTACTACTTTCAAGAATTTGATTATAGTTTTCGGTGAAACCATCCATCTTACCATAATATGGATCTTCTACATTTAACTTTTTCTTGTCTGAATGATACTCTCCGATTCTTGTAATCTTTGCTTTGAATCCTGAACCTTCCTTGTTGGTTTGATTGTACAGTTTTTGAATATTTTTAAGATTATCTCCATCCATTGCAAAGATGTAATCAAAGTCTTTGAAATCTTTGGCTGAAAGTTGTCTTGCTTTGTGTAATGGAAGAGATTTGAAATGTTGATGTGCTTCACTTGATATGGTACTTGAAATCAATTTAGAACAAGTCTCTACACTTCTACCATCTGGATTGTCTCCGATATGATAACCAGAAGTCCCACAGCTATCAATATGAAAATCATCTAAAATACCTCTTTGGAATGCCAATGCTCTAAATACTATCTCTCCCATTGGTGACCTAATGAAGAAGAGGAATTAAACATCAGTAATAGTTGATAATAATGGTCATTCAAGTTTATAGTATAATTATATAAAACCATATTTAATAACCTACCTACAAATATTGCCTAAACAAACAAATAATACTGATTTCTTTTCCATTGTTGTATAAATCTATTTGTTAAGTATTGTAGTTGTTTACATGTTTCTCTTTTTAATTAAAACTTTGAAGTACTACTGAGCCCATCATCATATTATTTTTTTTTTCATTTTTTTTAATTTTCCTCATGCTTTCAGTTAGAGTGTGATTGAAACATCTTCATTTTAAATTTACAAAGAGATAAGAGAAAGAAAATGTTAAAGTCAGGTAGATTATTATCAAGCATTCAGCCATCAGTCTTGCAAGGACTCTATGGCACTTATCAACCAAACTCATCATTGGTCTTGTCCAACGATGACAAAAACAACAACAACAATACAAAGAGAAACTCTAGCACCACTTCTGCTGCTTCTGCTGCTGGTGGAAAGCTACCAGACCCCAGCAAGGCTATCTTTTCGAGCAACATGTATCACTACAGCTCTATTGGTTTGGTCACCCTCCTCCCAATATCACTCATGCTCCCAACCTCTGAAATCACAATGGTTACAGACTCGTTCCTTGCTCTTGCTATCCCAGCTCACTACTATCTTGGTATGAACTCGGTTGTCAATGATTACATCTATTCAAAGTTCCCAAAGTGTATGTATCGATGATATCGGGTAGTAAAAGAAAGATACTACTATCAAGTTTGAACAACATCTGTACAGATCTATCTACAACAAAAAGATGACTAACAACTTTTTTAAACACAAACATTATATAATAGTGTTGAGCAAGGCATTCGTTCTCATTTCATCAGCAGTCATTTTTGGTGGTTTCATTGTGATTGCCAAGGGTGCTGGTTTCGGTTACTCGGTTCGTCAACTCTGGGTTAGCAAATAAGAGAGCAAAGCAACCAATAAGAATAATAAGAATATTTAAATTAATTTAGCAGCGTGTAAACAAACAAATCAATATATCATCACATCACACTTTTGGTTGATAAAGTAGAAAAAGTCATTCATAAACATTATGATTTTAAAAACACAAAAGGCACAAGATTACCAACCATAAACCATTTTCCCCTTCTTCATCATCATTATAATAATAAAACCATAAAATTAAACTTTACAAACAAAATAAGACAAAAGAGAGGAGAGAGAGAGAGATAACAAATTATATATTATTGGTAGTTTAAAATATATATTATACATATATAAATTATTTATTATTTTGTTTGTTTGTGTGTCGATTTATATATAAAGATTTGTTTAGTATTGTTCATTGAAAAGAGCAGTGACATCCAATTCAATCATACCTCTTGCGTATGCTGGAATTGGATTAACAGTAAGTGGCCATGTAACGTTGGGACTGGCATATCCAACGGTTAAAATATTATTTTGATAGTCATAAATGGCAGCGTGGAGGTTACCAGTTTGCATGACCGATGTCATTTGTTGGATGGTAGTCGAGGTAATATAACCATAGTATTTCTTAATTTGCTTGGTAAAGCATTGAGTTTGTGCCGAAGCATAATCTGGATCAATATATACAACTCCTAAAAAATAATAAAAAAAAAAAATATTAGTATTAGTATTTGTTACAATCATAATTATTTGTTGTTGTTGTTAATTATATCTTTTACCTTCAAATAATTCATGTGGAGCATATTGTGGTGAGTAAATTGGGAATGGAGTGATATCATCAAAGACTTGGACATAGTCGTGAGAATATTCGACGGCAACAAATTGGTTGGTAATGTTGGCACCGATACCCATGTAGACGGCACAGGTTCTTTGAGTGTATTGGATTCTATTGATAGCCTCGTCGATGGTAATATCGAATTGGAGGATATCTCTCATGACGAAATAGAATGGAGTACCAGCCTCGCTAAAGGTACCGTTGTAGTTGCTCCAAACCTTTTCAGAGACACCCATATGTCCACTGTATCCAGTCAAAGATCCAATGAAACCGGCCCAAGAGACGGTAGTAAATTCGTGACCTCCCTCGGTTGGATGGTACACAAAAATGGCTGGAACAAGAGTCAATGGAGATTGATAGTCCCAATCCAAAGCACGTAATTGAACCAAACCTCCACTTGGTGAAGCATCATTCCAAGCTCCCATCATTGAACAACTAGCTCTAATTAATTCTGGAATCATATGGAATCTAAGAACTTCTTGTTCAGTAATACCACCTAAAAACAAATAAAAAAAAAAAGTAAAAGATTGATATCTAGGTTAGCAAACACATTGATGCAAAAATCATTCAACTTTTAGCTTTTACATACTTCCATCAGCCAAACCTTTCATTTCATCCAAATAGTGTTGTGGAATATGTGGTTTCATCTTGTTGACGACACCATCCAATACAGTGTTGATACCTCCAAACTTGATGAGGATCTTTTGCCATTCTGGGAGTGGGAGTGATTCAGCACCAGCAACAAAATAGGCAATATATTCCTTGTATGCAAATTGAATCTTGTCTTTTAAGAGTGTACCATGAGCTAGACCCATTTGATATGGGGTACCATACAAATGGACCACAGGAATGCCAGTCTCTTGTGAGCCAGCAAGGAAAAGCTTACCATTGGCTGTCTTGCTGACCAACATTGGTGTTTCTGGGATAATGCCATGACGATTGGATGTACCTTTGCAAAAGGCTTCAACACCAATACTAGCCAATGACAAAAAGAAAATTGAAGCAACTAAAACTGCGAGTGTGATAGTGATAAATCTCATCTCTGTCTATTCTATTTTAAATTTACAATTGAACTGAATTGTAATACTTTTTTGCAAAGAGGGCGTAAAAACGTTAGCCTCTCAATGAGATCTGCGTACTGGGAAAAAAAAACCAAATTTAATCAAAAATAAATATTGCTCTTTTTTTGGTGACCAGCCCTCTTATATCTGTGAGCACAGATTTTTTCGTTGTCGAGTTGAATTGTTCGACTTCTTTTTCGATTCTACACTTTCGCTTCTTTTTTACTGTCACTGCCGCGACCCCAATACCTCATTTCTCATTACGCAATCCCGATCAAAATCAAGTAATCTTGATATTAATATAGAGTGGATATCCAATGGAACGTGTAAATGTACCATCGGAACAACAAAAAAAAAAAAAAAGAAAAGAATATTCTCATATATTTTCAAACAGATAAATTAAATTTTATGTATACCTATTCAACCAAAGGTTGGTTAACAATGAAGTTGTCCACCATTTCTTTTTAACTTGATTGTTTTCTAGCTGCACCAAGTTCACAACTATTAACTTTTGATGCAAATCTTAAAGAACTAAAATAATTAAAATAAATGTGTTAATATGGGTAGAGTTGTAATAATTTGTTTCATATGCACGTACCTCATTGTTTCTTGAAGATCACCAGATTCAGGAGAAATATTTACAAACATTAAAGTTTTGGAATTACCACCCAGACTATTTTGCAAGAGATAGGTTAACTTTGAATTTCTGTATGGAATGTGTTGTTCCTTGTTGGCAAGTGCCGATATGACATCAGAGAGACAACTTAAACTCTTGTTGATTGATTGTGTTTCTTTTAGACGGTCTCCTGATGCACCACTCTTTGACAATCTTTCCGAACCAGCCAAATCGATAAGATTCAAAATACCCATTGTCTTTATACCAGTGATGGAATTGGTTCCTTTGATTCGGAGTTGGAAAACACTATGTGAACGTGATGATCGATCGTTACAAAGTGTCTTGGCAACTGCTCTATTTTTAGAGGCAATACCCAATAATTCAAAGACATCTTCAGCCTTGCATACCTTGACCGTTGTCAAATTGGAGATATGGGTAATACTAGTTCCTTCATGTCTAATATCATACTTGATGTTACCATTGACCTTGTCCACTATTAAAAGGTCATTAATGGTTTCATTATAAATCTCTAAAAAGAATGCTTCCATCTCGTATTGCCAACCATTCATACCCAACGACTGTGCACTATTAAATATTTTTTCAACTGTTCTTGGGATCATACCACGATTCTCCTCATTTCCATTTCCTTCCATCGTAAATGTTTTTCCTGATCCTGTTTGTCTAAATAAAATTAAATGAAAATATTAATTAATTAGATTATAAATTTTGGAAAGGATCCAAGTTTGTTTACTTACCCATAAGTAAATATACAAGTATTATAACCATCAAGTGAACTTTGTACAAGTTGTGATATTTCTTCAAATACCATTTCCTGACTACTATTTGTATCAAATATTTTATCAAATGTATATGATGCTTTTTTAATTGATTGAGTTCCAATTGCACTTGATGACTAAATAAAATTAAATAAAAAAGAAAAAGTTGGTATATTATATAATATTGTAATATATATATATTTATGTACTACATACCAAAACAGAAATATCAATTAAATTATCAGAATTATTTGGTAAATTATAAATAGGAGGGTTTTCTATTTGTTTGTTTGATAAAAATGGTCTGATTCTACAAAATACTCTAATGTTTCCTTTTAATTCTTGGATGGTATTGTGAAGTACCTTTCTAAGTGCTTCGTCACGATGACTCTTTTCCAATAAATGTTGAATTTCTTTTTGTCCCTTTTCCAATAGTTGAGACAATCGATTGATTTCCATTTGTTGATTCATAACCAACTCGGTTTTAGCTTTTAATTCATTCTCCATATTATTATTTGAAAGTAAATATATTTTATCATTTAATTCTTTTATATTATCCTATAATTAAATGGGAAATAAATAAAATTAATAAATAAAGTAAAATAAAATAAAATTATATCTATCAATATTCTATAGTAACATACCTTTAATGATTGATTATCATATTGATCAGATTTTAAAGTTTCAATAATATTATTTAAAGATATGATTTCTTCTTTTTGTCTATGATTCTCTTTACATTTTTCTTCATAATCCAATTGTGTACGGATATCTGGTAAGGCAAGTGACATTCTTGGTGGTTTTGATGAACTTAATTCCTTTTCTCTTTCCATTTCAATTTCAGATTCCTTTTGTTGTTGTTCAAATTGATTACGAAGATTTTGTGCAAGTGTATCAAGGTGAAGAACCCTTGATCTTATATCCTCTGGTGTAACCAATTTTTTTTGAGCTGATTTTGTTAAAATCAATGATGGATTTCTTGCCAATAATTGATTAATTGTTGATAATGGTGCTATTGGAACTGATGTAGTTGTAGATGATGGTTGTTGTTTAAGTTGTGAACATGACAATAAATCTTCATGATGATTTGGATTAATAGTTCCGGCATCTGAACTAAATGAAAATGTAAAGTCTAGATGATTATGATGTGGTTGGGATGGTTGTTGTTCACCACCACCACCATGATGTATAATATTATTGTTATGATTAAATGATTTCTTTAATAAACTCTAGAGTTTAAAGGAAATATTAGTTAGTTTAGATATGATATTAATTTGAGGATTAAATTAATTAAATAATTACCTTTGGACCATCAAATTTCTTTTTAATTCCAGTTATTATTGGTAATGTAGAAGATGTGGTAGGGGGCTTGGTATTACCAGTGGTAGTAGTAGTAGCAGCATTCGTAGTGGTAGAAGTTAAATCATTGATCTTTGGAGGTGACATGGTAAATGAAAAGTCATGTTCATAACTTGAATCATTCAATGATATATTGTTTGCATGGGTATTGTATGAATCAAATGGTGATGGGGTTTGATTGGGTGTAAGAGAACTTGGTAATGGAGAAAGATGGTTGCCAAGTACTGCATCATGAATGCTACTCATTGACAATATTGATGGTGTTGAGGATGATGAAGATGATGTTGTTGGAGAGGGAGTACTAGTTGTTGTTTTCTTATTATTATTTAAAGTCTTATTGATACCTCCACCAATAGGTTTTTTAAATAGATTGCTTGCAGTTGGAGTAGTTGTCGATTTGACAATAGTCTTTGACTTTTGAATCGATGATGATGATTGTGTTTGCTTCTTGACACCTGATGTCGGAGTTGTTGTCTTGTTTATAACATTGACAGTCTTGTTGGTAATCGTACCAAGTGGTGATCTCTTTGATGACATATCGCTCTACTCTACAATCTATCTTTGTTTCTTCTATTTATCACAAATACATACACTACACTTCATGATTTAATATAACCATCCCTCAAACAAAAATGGATGATTTATTTTTGGCGCCATTTTCGAAAATAGTCCGTTGGTGATATCTATTTCAAATAGGTCTGGGTTAATATTAACGCTCTCTTGTACAATGTGTAGTAGTTTATTTATTTATTTATAAGTTTATTTTAAGCAGAAGAAGGTAAGAATTTATGAACGGTTAAATCTACATTATCGTCCAAATCTTTTTGTAAAAGTTTAATCTTTTGTCTTGCAAGATGGTCAGAATCTGGACCGATGAATAGATGGAGTGGAGCTGGTCCTTGACGATCACTGACTTGTTGGATGATTTCTGCAATCTTGACTGGGTCTTTCCACTCCAATAATTTCAAAGATTCAGAGGAACTAAAGCTTGCATAGACAGAGGCATACTTGGCTTTCAAATCGATCGATGGTTCACGAGTACTCGATTGGAACGATGATTGGAAGGTACCAATATTTAAAATGGTTACATTAATACCAAGTAATTCTTTTACTTCGGCGGCATACGATTCGGTGAGACCATCCAATGCAGACTTGGAGGCAGAGTACGATGCAAACAATGGGATTGCCCAAGTACTGCAGATCGATGATACGTTAAAGAGATGAGAGCCTGGCTTTCAAATGTTTGGTGACATGGCTCATAACAGATGCATAAGAGAATACATTAATGTCAAATAGATTTTTGTAGTCTTGCATGGTGTGTCCTTCAGCTGGGCCATAATATCCAAATCCAGCATTATTGACAACGATATCAATTCTTCCAAATGTTGAAACAACCTCTTCAACCGTCTTTTTAATGGCTTCATCATTTAACAAGTCATTTTCCAATGCAAGGAATTGATTTGGGTCATCGTTACCAACTACCTTGAGGAGATTGTCTTTTGATCTTGATGTTGCTGCAACTTTGTACCCTTTTTCAAGAAAGTATTTGGTAATTGCCAAACCTATACCTGTACTTGCTCCAGTGATAAATAATACTTTATTATTATTATTGGTGGTAGTCATGATTAATTATTTAATTGATGTTTAATATTTGATTAAAATATAGATTTTTAATTGAATGTGTGATGAAATTATATTTAAGGAAGATATAAAAATATTATTTGTTTAATGAGTGAATGAATGAATGAATGAATCGGAGGAGAGAACTGATTTATAGCTTGAGGATGCATTCTATTTTTGATGCATCCTTTAACAAAAGTTGACAGAGAACCTGACTTTGGTAATCATAAATTTAATGACATTCACAAAAAGGGGTGGTTGTATCTTCCACACAATCATGACTATAGTATCTAACTATCAAAGAGAGAGAGAATCATATATATCGATATACGCTAGGATTGAATTGAACTAAATTAATTCATTAATTGGTATTAGGTTCTCTCGTCTGGGCAAAGGTTTCCAAAAAAAGTTTTTTTATACCAAAAAGAGAAAACTATCCAAAGTGTCACCAATAATGATACCATTTTTTTTTCAAAAGGGTAATGATGAGGATGGCGTTGTTGGAGAGGATAGGTTAGGGTTGTTTTTTTTTATGTTATATATTTATTCTCCACCTACAGACTTTTAAATAGATTGTTTGAAGTTGGAGAGGGTCTTTGACTAGCAATCATAATTACGTATTCTTTCATGATTTAATATTAACCCTCCAACAAACAAAATTTAAAATGAATGGTTGCTATCTTGGCGCCATTTATAATGTTTAATCTATTTTAAAATTGGTCTATAATATTAATTATTTCAAACATGACATGATATGATTATATTTATTATAATTAAGATTATTTATTTATTTAAGCAGAAGTTGGTAAGAATTTATGAACGGTTAAATCTACATTATCGTCCAAATCTTTTTGTAAAAGTTTAATCTTTTGTCTTGCGAGATGGTCAGAGTCTGGACCGATGAATAGATGGAGTGGAGCTGGTCCTTGACGATCACTGACTTGTTGGATGATTTCTGCAATCTTGACTGGGTCTTTCCACTCCAATGTTTTCATAACTTCAGCGGCACTTGCATAGACTGAGGCATACTTGGCTTTCAAATCAATTGATGGTTCACGAGTACCCGATTGGAATGACGATTGGAAGGTACCAAGATTTAAAATGGTTACATTAATACCAAGTAATTCTTTTACTTCGGCGGCATACGATTCGGTGAGACCATCCAATGCAAACTTGGTGGCAGTGTACGATGCAAACAATGGGAAAGCCCAAGTACTGCAAATAGATGATACGTTGAATAGATGAGAGCCTGGCTTTAAATGTTTGGTGACATGGCTCATAACAGATGCATACGAGAATACATTAATGTCAAATAGATTTTTGTAGTCTTGCATGGTGTGTCCTTCAGCTGGGCCATAATATCCAAATCCAGCATTATTGACAACGATATCAATTCTTCCAAATGTTGAAACAACCTCTTCAACCGTCTTTTTAATGGCTTCATCATTTAACAAGTCATTTTCCAATGCAAGGAATTGATTTGGGTCATTGTTTCCAACTACCTTGAGGAGATTTTCTTTTGATCTTGATGTTGCAGCTACTTTGTATCCCTTTTCAAGAAAATATTTGGTAATTGCCAAACCTATACCTGTACTTGCTCCAGTGATAAATAATACTTTATCATTAATATTATTGGTGTTGTTGGTAGTAGTCATGATTAAAGAATTAAATTAAAATATAGATATTATATTGAATTGATGATTATAATTTGAGTTGATTATTATTATTATTATTTGTTAAATGAATGAATGAATGAATGAATGATTGATCGGGAGTAGATTTATAGTTTGAGGATGCATTCCAATGTCAAAGCATGCTTTTACAAAAGAAGACAAAAGAACTGGACGTAGGTGTGTGGGTTTGCAAAAAAGGGGTGGTTGTATCTTCCACACAATCATGACTTTAGTATCTAATTGTCAGAGTCATAGAGGAAGAGAGAATCAATTTATCGAGTAGGGATTGGATTATATTGAAAACTGAATGAAAATTAATAAGTTGGTATTGGAATGTCGTTCTCGTCTGGATCATGGTCTCCTAAAAAAGTTTTTCGGACATGTCGCGCCAAGAATGATACCATATCATATTTTGGATATTTTTAAGGGTTGTCCTCGATGATTATGTCACAAAACAATGTAGGAACTCCTCTCTTTTTTGGAATATGTTTATTTGGACATATATATTAATATTATTAATTTTTAAAACTATAATATAATAAAAAGCATATACAAAGTCCTATCAATGTTCCAAGTACCACTAAATTTCTATTTTTCATTCTTTTAATCTTTGACATTACTCCATCAACAGTTTGAAATAAATCTATATAAAGATTAAAATAATATTAATAAATATATATTTGTATATAATCAATCATATTATTGAAAAATTAATTACATACTTGGCATTTGATTAATTTTATGATTTGTTCCTCTTAATATTCTTCTTTGATTTTCAAGTGCTTCATGTGCTTGTCTTGCTTGTCTATAATAATAATATTATAGATTAAATTATTATTAATATTAATTAATGATCCAAATTGGATGATTCGTCTCGATATATATATATATAATTATTTACCCTAAAATTGAATCAGCAACGGAATGAGAACTTTGTAATGAACCTTGTTCTCTTATTAGATTGCCCATTGGTATTTCTACGTCACCCTTTTTATTATACGTTGATCCTGAGAGTAATTCAGCGCTCTCTAATGCAAAATTAATACTTTTCTTAAACTTCCAATATTCCTTTGAGAAATCTTCCAATTTATCTCTATGATGTTGTAACATTGATGAACTAATGTTTGGTTCTCTTTGTAATGATTCATTTCCTTGTTTTAACTGTTTAGATTATAGGAGGGATATGTTGGTCAATTGAGAGCACTCTAAATAATAAATAACATGTCTCATCGCATCGCTATCTATACCTTTTTAAATATATTTTCCAAATCTTCTATCAACATATCAAATTCTATTCTACAATCCTCAACCTCTGATGTAGAGTTTGAGTTTTCTCTGAGTACTTTATCGTTTAGCGTCGATAGATGACTGAGCTTTGTGTCCACGTCTACCTCTAAGCTTCTAATTTCTTTTCTTATACTATCTGCAGATGGCACAGGCGTGCCTCCACTTCCACCTCCATTACTTGTATTACTATTACTATTATTATTATTATTGTTCAGTAGCGACGATGACGACGATGATCTATTGCTACTGTAAGGTGAATCCCAACTTGGTCTTGACATTCTATAAATATATATATGTATTCTCTTTTGTGTCTCTTTGTATAACTACTATTATCTCTACTTCTACTTTCTTCTACTTTCTTCTCCCTCTTCTTCTTCTTCTTTTGTATATTATCTATTCCTTTTTGAAAATGATGATGTATGTTACTGCACACGACTACAGCCAAAGAAAGAAAGAAATAGAAATATTTAATATTTAATATTAACAACCAAAGTCAATGACTCATACAGAGTTCAAAATAAACTTTATTTTTATTTTTTAATATTTAATATTTCTTTGACTAAATAGGAAACATAATAGAGAGAGAGAGAGAGAGAGAGTCATCTTGATGGTGTTATATAATGATAATAGATATAGTAATATTATCAAGTTGTAGTACGCTATTTATTATTGCGTTGTGTAAATATTTTAAAACTCTCTTTCTTTTCTATCTAGATGAATTGTCGCGTTCAATTCATTCTACATATAATTGCGTAGTATTATATGTATATGTATATGTATGTCAAAAAGAGTTTAAAGTTTAATATCTCTGACAAAGATCCATTTACCAAAGATGCCAACTGCCAATAGATCTCTTTTATAATCGTTTGCTTCGATTGGTTTGGTTGTTGCAACTGAAAAGAAGACAAGGTTCTGACAATCGACGAGATCTGTTAAATATAATACACCCTTGGCTACAAATGACTTTATAGAGATAGATAGTATAGTAATAATAGAAAAGAAGGAATCAGTATTTAATCAAAAAGGATTGCCAATAACAACGCAATGGATCCTTACCAATATAGCTCCATTCTCCTTTTTAACATGTTTGGTGAATTGTTGGTCGAAATCTTCACGAGTTGGATTAGTATGATAGGTGATGAGACCTAAACCTGCAAGTAGAGCTAACTTTTTAATTGACATGTCTTTAATTTAAACAAACAAACAAATAATGATTAAACATCGATAGTGCTTTGTCTTTTCATCTTTCGCTTTGTCTATTTTTAATTAATTTCAATTTTAATCATCATCATCTTTTCGACCCTCTACTTCATCATTCGTTGTTCTAATTATCTTGTAGATTATTATTATTATTTATTATTTATTATATTTATATTCCTAAAAGATGGAAGAAGAAAATAATAAGAAAAAGAACAAAGATCTTCCTTTTATCATTCAACTAAAGATAATCAATTATGTATTGTGGTCAAGATGTATTAGTAATTCATTTGAAAGTGATTATATCTACCTTGATAAAGATAATTATCAATTGGCTCGGGTCAACAAAAAATGGTTTCAACAGGTATCGGGTAGTGTTACAGGTATAGATCTTGGTACTATTGCCTCTTTACGTCCACTTGTTCAAAATGGTCCTTATTTAACAAAGGGTAGATTGTTATTTTTAAAGTTGCTTTTTATAAACACCAAATCGAACGAGTATTCAATCGTCAAGCAATTAAAATCAATGACAATACATCAATTAAACTATTTTGGTGTTGTCAAAGGTATTGAAAGACTTGAAGAGATCTGCAACAACTACGACGACGACGGTACTAGTGGTGACAACCAACCATTTCTACCAACCACTTTGGAACATATATCATTTATGGCAGATGATATTGAGACCAATATTCCAACTGCATTGAATAGAGTACTAAGTGGTAAAAGCGAGTTATTTCCAAACTTTAATTCAATCTCTATCATATCAAATGAAGAGTTGGCCGATCCATTTGGGAATATTTATACTCTTCCACAACTCAATCGTCTCTACATTGATGTTAATTCACAGGAATCATTTTGGCAAACAGTCTCTTGGGATGGAATATGTAAAAATGCAAACTTGAGGTACTTGCATTGGGCCACCAACCAAGGTTTTGCAATCGATCTATTCCAATCACTATTTCAAAACTGTTCATCTCTTCAACATCTCTATGTAAGCGCTAGAGAACCCCATCAAACCCCACAAGGATTTGAATTTAAGCAATTGTTGACCGATGTTGAGAGAAATACTTCAATCACATATCTAGATATTTCATTAATCGATTTAAAGTTTTCAGACCAAGAAAAAATGGAATTTAGTCAATCCCTATCTATAAACCATTCAATCACCCATCTTACAACCAATTATTCACTATTATACACATCAATGGCAACAACTTCAATATTAAGTCAATCATTACAATATTTTAAATTAATTAAACCAGAACAATTTATTATTCAATGTATGTAATTATATATATTTGAATCTAGTAATAATTATTAATCTTTTTTTTTTTTCTATTTTAGATGATTTTACAGAAATAACAGAATCAATTTTAGGAATGATTGAAAATAATACACATCCAAACCTTAAATTTATGTATATTACATTTTTATGTCATCATGGTAGTGATCCAAATATATTAAAAAAGAGAATTATAGATACATTGGCTAAAAATACAACATTACAAACCTTTTATTTCAAAATATCACAAGGAAACAAAACATTGGTTTTCCAAACTTGTTTAAGATACAATGGAATATCTATAGAGAGTAAATAAATTTGATTGATAGATTACAATTTAATTTAAATTTATTTTAAATTGTACCAAATCTTTTTGATAGATTTACCAATTCAGAAATTTTTCTAAGGATTGACATTTTAACTTCTTCATTGGGTGTTGGGATGGTTACAGTTGTAGGAGGTAGTTTTGAACTGCCTTGGTAGACAATGGCAATGACATTGGTGCCTTGTTGTTTAAAGAATTGTTGAATGTCGTTGATTTTAATGGTCCATCCAATCTCATAGTCTGATGGTGCTTGACCACTGGCAGATGATGATTTGGCAAGGAGGACGATTTGATTGGTCGATGCCAAGAGAACATGGTCTCGACTGAGGAGTACATGGAATTGATACCAACTGTGGAGAGGTGGAGCACCAAATTTCGAATAGAGAAGGTATGCTCCTTGTGCCTTGAAATTGTTGTACAGTTGGAGTGTACCATCCTTGGAAAAGTAACGGGGTAGACGACGTCGACGATTATTGTTCATGAGTGATTTGGCAATGGTAGTACTGTTTTTGACACCTTCGCTTGTTCTAGAGGCGAATTCAAACAGACCTACTGTAGGCTTGACAGCCACACCAATCACACCTTTACCAACACCTTTGAGGAATCCTTCAATACTCTTTTCCTGAGTGGCGCCTTTAATGGGCTCGTCGATAATACCCGTGATACCACGAAGTAGACCTTCTCCAAGATCGCGAATACCAAACTCCAAACCTTGTTTGAGACCGGTTGGTTTGACCTTGTTGCTTTCCTGTCTCTCTCGAATATATTGGTCGTCGAGTGAGAGGTGTACCAACCCTTTACCAATGGTTCCTGTAATCTTGGATGCACTGTCCATGATACCAAAGACACTATTATTGACAAGACTCGATGTTCCCTTGCTGACACCCAATGCAAAATCTTGAGGACTCTTTACAATGCCCATGGCAGGTTCATGGAAAAAGTCTTTGAATCCACTACCAAGTGATTCGGCCAATCTAATTGGATTGCCAATCGCATCAAATGAACCAAAGATCTTGTGAATCTGTCCCATCATTTGGTACGAGAAATGCAATGTAATTTCATCTGTCACTTGCTTGATCGATAGGAACGGATGTTCCCAAATAAAACCATTAAATTTGATTGGAGCATGTTCGATATTTAAAAATGGTGAAGATGATTTGATTCCAAGTAACAATTCCGATAGTGAACGAGCACCCAACACGGCACTAATCTCCTTTGGCAATTTACTACTAGTAAATGAAAGATTGACCTTGAGAGGATTGATGTGTAACATTTCAAAATAAACCATATTCTCCAATTTACTATTGTCTGTTGCCGATTGAAGGATTTCTTCTTGTGTAATGGTTGGATGAAGTTTGAAATGTTGATTGAGACTATTGAGATTAATATTGATAAATGACAAAGCATTTAATACTGACGATTCATCAATATTTAAATCAAATTCTTGTACCAAAAATGAAAAGTATCTAAAAAATAGAATGTTTGGATATTTAAGTGATCTTGTTGAACTAAATTGGAAAAATGGTTTAACTGCGACTGTTGAAGAAGAATTATTATTATTCTGATTATTATTATTTTGATTATTATTCTGATTATTATTATTCTGATTGTTTAAATTATGAATATCAAGTCTTTTTGATTGACTAAGGAATACTGGGAAATTTGATTGATATCTTTGATCATCAATTTGAAGATCATCTAAACTAATTTCCAAATATTGATCTGTTTTGGTTTGTTTAAAATCTACTGATAATCTATCAAATGATGCATATATAATTTCTTCTGGAACTTGATTGACAATTGAAAGACCAATATGAACCAATTTAACTCTTGTTTCAAATTTTTCATATTCTTTTGTTTTTTGGTTGTATTGACTTGAAAGTTTCTCTTCAGTCAACAAGTTGTTGTCATCTGATAGCGCCAAATCATTTGTCTTGTCTCTTGACATGGTAGGTGATCCACCTGTCTTTTGTCTTGGTTTTTCTCTGAGATTTAATACTCTAGTTGGTCCACATGCAGTAATAGTAATTTCCAAGTCAATTTTGGGTTGTGACAAGATCGATGAAAAGGGAGTAGTACCAGTATTCGACGAAGTAGATGAAGTATTGGATAAATTCAAATTAGATGAAGAGTTTGAAGAGGAATTTGAAATTTGATTATCCAATTGTTGTTGCTGTAGTTGTATTAGAGCCAAATCCTTTTCTTTAATGTGAACAGTTGAATTTTCCTCTAAATCATTTAAACGGTAGTAATTCTTTTCTCCACCTGGGAATTCAATACACAGTTTTTTAGGAAGGATGAAATGATCCCAAGTATATGGGATGGAACTGTGAGCTTTAACTTGTTCCCAATTCTCTGTTTTCTTTTGTCTAATCCAAATGGGTACTCTTGAATGATTGTCGATACGGTATGGAGGAAGATCTGGATTATGTTCTCCTAGCATGATCATTTTAGTGGTGATGGTTTTTGTCGCCTTGACACCAATCGTCACCGACATAAAATGTTTTGGTCGTTGTGGTTGTTGTTGATGAAAGTTTGGTGATTTTGAAATCTCTGAATCCTTTCTGTTCTTGTCTACCTGAGTATCAGCATCTCTTCTTAATCTAACTATAATATTACCCAATTCATCTGGATTAAAGTATCCACTCCATCTAATATTTTGTTGTTGTTGGTTGTTACTAGTGGTTGATTGTGATTGAGGTTGAAGCTGGAGTAGAGGTTGTGGATCTTGAACTATTGAACCGATACGAATTAACTTTTCTCGCTTTGAAGATGGGAAATAAAATGGTAGCGATTGATTGGGGAGAATGGTTTGAGTATTACCATAACATTCAAACTGTTGATAGTATATTGGTTCGGCTGTAGTGTTGACGATAATATGCTCAGGGCAGAATGTGACAACACGAGTTCTCCAAAACTTGCTATTCGATGGCAAACAAGAGACGGCCAGTTGATAGTACCGTTTTTCTGGGATTGGTTTGAGCATGATTTCAAGTTTCTTTTCTTCCGATGTCTTTTCCTCTTTGATTGTAATGTTGGAGCTGGCACTCGAAGAGGACGAGTTGAGAGAGAATGGCGACGACCATTCAGAGTTTGAAATCTTGAGTGCAAATCTTCCACCCACCAAATTACTGTCACTGTAGGCAAACATAAAGGGTGGTGTTGGGTGAGCCCACTCATCATTCTTTTGGTACCAATCCAAGGAATCTTTGGCAAAGAGGTGTGGGGGGATGACAGTCTCTTGGTCCTGACCAGCCGGCTCTATTGTTTGTGCACCGATATGATGACGGTAGTAGAGTGGCAGACCAGTTTGATTAATCATCCAAAACTCGCAATATATATTAATGTATCTATTACCACTTGGGTTGACACGGTTATCAAAACTAATGAGAAGAGGTTGTTTGTTCTTGTCCATAATCTTGATCTTTTCAGTTGGATTATGGCTACCACCTTCAATGAGGAATGGTTGTGACCATGGGAAATCATATATCTGCATCTCCATGTATATCTCCAATGTTGAATCATATGTCGCCACTTCCAAACGTTCACCCATCTTGATCGTACCCGTTAAAAATGGTGACCCAATAATCTTTTTGTTTTGTGCATGATATAATCTAAACGACAGATCACATGCCAACACATTTTCTATTATTATTGGTGTTTGAATTGAAATCTCTATTCTATTTTCTTTTAATTTCTTTTCAATCGATGCAAATATTGAATATGGTAACTAAATAATAAATTGAAAGTGAGTTAGTAAAATAATAATAATTATGATTGTTCTTTTCATTTTTTTACCTTTGCAGTATGTTTACAATTCATTCTTGAAGATATAATATTTGATTCATTATTATTATTATTTGAAATGGAAGATGGTGGTGTTGGTTGTTTAGATCCAAAGGTAGGGGAGGAATTGGGAGGTGTTTGATTTTGTTGGTTTTGTTGCTTGATCATTTGAAGGACGGTGATACAATCAATCTGTTCGTTTGAGAGTGAGTACCCCATGTTGTTTGGTTTGATTCTTAGACGACCCATCGAGTAGAGGATAGGCAATGGAACACGAGAGTTGGCATCTATATGGATTTCGGTCGGTTCAATCTCCTTGTTGGCACCGACACCTACATGAACCACCATTGGCTGATTGGTATTATTGGCAATGACAATGTTGGAGTGAAGAGACAATACCTTGCTACCCTTACGATACGAAATATCATAGAGCAACTTGACATTTCTATACTCTGGCATTGGATGAAGAGTGTATGTTCCAATAGTATCCATCGGTACATTTTTGATTGGTTTAAAGTTACCATACAGCTGGAACGATATCTTTCTTTCAACCTCCATACCCTTTGATCCAAGTCCACGTAGATGATTACCACCTTCACTAAGTTGTTTCAAGTCGTCTGGCACCAAAGGTACCTCTGCACCTATTGGCACCTCAATTAATTGATTATTATCCAACCAATACCAAATCAATTGACCTGTATCATTTCGAACAAAGTAGGGATAATATTGATTATCTTCATCGTCATCATCCTTTGTAATCTTTTCTGAAATCGACGATATTTTTGGTGAAGCAACTGATGGAGAAGAAGATGAAGGCGAAGAGACTAAATCATCTGACGATTGTGGTTTTTCATCACCACCGTCATTTTTGTCAGTTGATTTATAGAAATCAGCTGTCAAGATTTGATAGGTTGATAACGAAGTGTCTACAAATCCCTTGGTGATATTAATTTGAAGAGGAATCTTTGACGAAAAATCAGATATCCATCCTTCTTCGGCCGAGTTGTTTGCAGTGATGGTGAAACCCCATGCTTCTACAAGAGGCTCCCACACACCATTGTTTCCATTGAAATAGTTTGAGTTGATATTACTCTCTAATGAAAATGCAACCTGTTGTTTGAGTGTCCATGAAAAGATATCGCTCTTGCAACGGTCTACAGTAATCGATAGCAAAGGGATGGTTTCTTTGATTAAATGGTCATCGTGAAGGATGAAATTACCCTTGCCCAACTTGACTTGGAAGTATTTTTGAATGGGTTGATTGGATTGTTGTTGTAACGATGATAACTGCTCGTATTCTTGTTGGTCATCATCTTCTTTGATTGGAATGATTTCCGATCCTTCAGTGGGGAATGATGTTATGGTGGTACTAGAGATAAGCATAATCTGCTTGAAATCCAAATAACTAAAGTTGATAGTGATCTGGTCGACCGAAAGATTGACCTCGTGACTCTTGGGTGTCTGTGTTATTTGGTATACTGCTTTGAAAGGTTCGACTATTTTACGTGCTATATCTTTTTGATGGTTGTTGAGTTTGTGTCGGTAGACTTGGACATTGTCAGCCTCGATCAAAGAGACAGATTCTACACCAACAGCTCCCTTGGTTGTGTTTTGAACATCAACTGTCGCACGGATAACAAGAGCATACTCTCCGTCACCGTCACCATCGAGTCTAGTGTTGGTTGGCAGTGCTATTCTCGCGTCTTGAATATGTGCACTAAAGAACGACGAGCCAGATTGAATGACCTCATCGACACCTACCGGCGCAGCTCCGAGAATCTTTGTGCTGTAACGCAACCATGCATCCATACCAAATGTTACCAAACGTCCAATACAACTTTGAACCTCTAGCCATGAATGGGGAACAAATACCATAGACATGCTATTCAACTCCATTTGAAACACTGATTGTTGGATGGGTGGTGGTCTGATCGTACCTCTAATGATCAGCTGCTGTTGACGAGCCATTTTAATGTCACCAGACCCACCAGTCAATGGAGAAAACAATGATTTAAAGTGTGGATGTGTCTGTCTATTGTAATCATTTAAAAAGATAGTGTCAACCTCTATTGACAGGTTAGTCTCCATCTCTTGCGTGTTGATATGCATCGATGCATTGGTAGCTATGAATTGAACCAATCTATCTTGCTCAATCGAACCATCACGTTTCATAAAGATAATAGAGAATTTGTCGAGTAAAACATTGGTCGTTCCACTTTGAACCAATCTAACCTCCTTTTCTTCGGAAGATGACCCACCATCTATAGATGAAACTTGTGTTGGTGAGTTTTCCTTGTTGTTGTTGTTGTCTTCATTGTTTAATTTACTACCCATGACAGTTGTATCACCAGCAAGATCGTCTTGGATGGACGATGAATACTCTGACAGATTGCCGTCGAGTAATTCAATCAAACATTTTGTCTCGTACTCGCTGATGAGTAATTCAATTGGATTCATTACAAATGAGCGTTGGTAAGGAGGTAAATGAATGGCGCCATCGGTGACAGACTCTGGTTGAGTCTGATAAAATGGTGTGACAAAGGTACAAGATATATTAATATCTTTGGCCATTTTACCAAATTTACGTGATGCAGACAGAGGTGACAAGGTAGATGGTGGTGGTGATCTAACGTTGAGTCCCGATGACTTTATATCAAGTCCAGACAATAACTTTAAATTGGTACCATCCACTTGAATACTTTCAATGATGACGTTTGGATCTTCAGGATCCTCCTTTATCGTATTGGAGATGACAATTCGACCCAAATCAGCAATAAACACTTGATGTGAAAGACTAGACAACGGTACGATAATATATGGATTGTCAACTTGAATCTCGTATAAAAAGGTCGACCGGTTTTGTGAAATGACAGACGCAGCAGAGTAAATTGATTGTTTCAAATACTCTCTCATTACATTGACCGATGAAAGGAATATTCTAACTTGTTCGATGAATCTTTTAAGGAATACAAATCTGATACTTGAAAGTCGACACTTTAATCTTTGTACACCTCCATCTCCAGATTGTTCCAATTGGAAGTGAATCAACGCATGTTGTTCGTCTTCAGCAACCATTGAAGAAGTAGATGACAATGACAGCAATGATAGAGTTGAGTTATTGACATCCATATTTGTATCAATTCCCATCATGTCATCTACGATATTTGGTGAAAATGATTCACCACCACTATTATTATTATTATTATTACTATTTTGATCATTTACAATTCTTCTTTCTTTGGTGGTAAAGATGGTTCTATAATTTCTACCCTCCAATGTCATATCATAAATCTTGATACTACCAACACGACCATATACCTGAGTTGTATCAAGATACATGTCGGTTGTAGCAACCAATTCTGTCAATGCCAGTTTGATCAACGGACTATTTGTTTCATTTGTCAATAATACTCTAACCAATCCAATCTTGAATGACAATCTAAGTTTGATCAATGGTTGTTTTTGTTGTTGTTGTTGTTGTTGTTTTAGTGTTGGTGAATTGGTTGAAATGTTATTATTACTAGTACTCTTGTTTAAATTATTGGTATTATTAAAAGTTGGAGGAGTGGTAGGCGTAGGTGTCGAATTTGATTCGTTGGTCTTTGATAAACGAATCTTTTCAGATGTTAATTGTGATACACTATTTGAAAATTCGATAACACCAGCCACTGTATTTTTGTTGAGAATCAAATTGAGTTGAGGTAATGATATTTCATACTCTTGGTCGACGAATCGATAGTTGGGAGAACTAGACGATGTTTGGATGATTTTAACCGACATGCCATTAAGATTGACTAGTTTCTCGTCGGGCATTGACTGGATAGACTGTAGAGTCAAATGATTGGTGGTCAATGCCAAATAATTTCCGTTGCCAGCTGGTTTCTTGAGACAATCTTCAATCCAGAGTGCCTTGACAGAGATGACCATAGACGAATCATAATGTCGCTGAGTGAGAACACCACGACATCTTCTTAGATAGATCAATGCCAAATTCTCCTCTATCGTGGAAGAAGAATCACCACCAACTTGTTGTTTGCCACTCATTCTAAGATGAATATTGAAATTTTCAACTTGAAATATCGATTCGAGGTAAGTAAGATTCTCAATGATCGATTTGTACTTGTCCTCTAGAATATTGGTCAAATCCATTTCCAATAATTCATTTTTAGATGATTGATGTGTTGCAATCTGTTGTTGTTGTTGTTGTTGTTGTTGTTGTTGTTTTTGTGAAGATGTAATTGATTGAATGACATGTATCATATCGACATATTGTAATGAAGACAAACATAATTCAAGTAACTTGATGTTGATGAAAAGTTTGAGTGATGTCAATAGATGATTTCGAACTTTGCTAATGTTGAGTGAAAGGTTGGCATCAAATGGTGACGCAATATTCATTCGGTATTTTTGTACTTGACTCTGATCCTTCCAATCTCTATCCTGTCTTGACAATAATAATCGAATATTTGTCAATTTAAATAAATATTCATCATAAAATTCCTCCCATTTTTCTGATGGTTGTTGTTCAGAGTTATTATTATTATTATTATTATTAATTTTAGTTGGAGTATGATTAATTGAAAGATGACCAAGATCCAATATAATCATATTGGAACGATCATTGTTGTGAATATCATCTGGAATGACTATGATGGGTGCCTCTAATTCCATTGAAAGTGAAAGTCTGGTCTGGTTTGATATTGCCATCAACAGACGATCTTTGGTTTGTGATTTAATGCTGTTGATGGTGGTTGATGCCATTCTTTCAATGTCCTCGTAAATGTCAATAGAGTTACTGTTGGAGATGAAAAAGTTGGATATAGTGCTTACAAATAGTGGATAGTATACAATGGTCAATGGTTTGGATTGAATATTCAAACTATAGTCACATGGTTCACCTACTCTATGACTTTTAAATGTTGCTTTAAATAATATATTATCATTTGTCGAGTTGGTAGTAGAAGTGACAGCAGTGACAGCGGTGGTGGTAGTTGTAGGTGATGTAGAAGAGGATGATGAAGAATCTTTCAAACATGGTGTTATTAATTTTGGAAAGTATGTATTGGGAGTACTGTGATCAATAAGATCTAACTTTTCCAAAAGACAATCGAATTGATAAGAAGATTCCTTTGCTTTGAGGTCAAATTGTAGATTTAAAAGTTGTAAAATTGCCAACACACCAGAATTCTTTTTCAAAGTGAGTGATACTTTTGAAAAACTAACTTGAATAACTGTCTTTACTACATTGTTTGTACCCTCACTTGATTGTTGTAATGATGATTTACCAGCAGCTGATGTTTTATCTTCTTCTTGAAATCCAATAGTATCATAAATCTCTGCCCATTCTTGTTTTGTCAATTGTATTTCATTATTATTATTATTATTACTGTTTGATGAATTGGATGTTGTAAATGAAGGTAATGTTGTAGAGGTTGTTGGAGAAGAAGTAGATGGACTACTACTATTTGGTTGATCGATTGGTTTTGCTTTCCACCAAGTTGAAAACCATCCAGCTTGTTGTTGAGATTGTTGTGGTTGTTGAGCTGAAACTGTTGTTGCTGTCGCCGTTGTTGTCGTTGATGGTTGATTGGTAGTCGTAGGTGAATCAACCTTTGGTTTCTCTTTTGATTTTTCTTTTTCCTTTTCTTTTTCTTTTGCTTTTAATTTTTTCTTTTTATCTTCTGTCTCTAACATTCTGTAGCATAGGTTTCTAAAGAGAATGATATTTTCAAAAGGTAATTTCCACTCTAATGCATCTAACTTCTCTTTCTCGGCGGGTTGGATAGTCTTGCTCTTTAACTTTTTGTACAATTTGATATATTCCTTTTTGTCGCGTAGAAAGTCAAACAAGTACGACCAGGTATGTTGGTACTTGTCTTGGTGTATTTTGCCAACCACACAATCGATTGCATACTTCCACCACTGTCTTGCATTCTGCTTTGTGACACCTGCACCCGTTGCGGTACTGGCCTTGCTCGCCGACAATGACGAGTGTGGTCTTTTGGCATGCATACGATTCTCGATTGACTTTCTAAACATTGTGAATCCCTCCATCACATTGGTAATGTCTTGGTACTGTGCATCAGACACTGACAAATTAGTATCATCCATTCGAAGCGACAGAGAGAGTCTAGGTACCGTGTCACTCGGTATGATACTCTTGTTAAACACTGCTCGCAAACTAGATGAAAATGGTGGCAAGACATAGCTCAACCGAGTAGACGCACTCGAGGGTTCGCTGCCAGCCTCTGTAATCATGTATTCCAGTTGAGTGACGAGATCCGACAAACTCGTATACTTTAAATGTTGTTTGTCCGAGTCCCAATACACCGACAGATCCGACAAATTAATCACCTTGTGAACAATCGAGTTGTTATCCTTGTTTTGTAAAAATGTTGGTTTCCAATTTGAATCCGTCGATTCAGCTATTAATTTCTTCATTGTAATACCAACTGCGAATGGCTAAATTAAACAAATAAATTAATTAATTAATAAGAAAAATAATAATAATAATAACTATAGTTATCAATCTATCTATCTATACATACATTTGAACTTGTACCTTCAAATCTAATATGTACAGAGTTTATATATAATTGTAAATTATCTACAACGGTTGCCAACATTTTACCTCCAAAAGATGACATGACCGACGATGATGACGAAGATGATGAAGATGAATTGGCTGATGCTGCCAAATCTTCATCCCACCAATCATTGATACCTTGATGACTCCTATGTTTGATTCGAATCAACTCTTGTACCAACACTCTTTGTAATTTTTCCTGATGGAATTTATCCTTGTAGTATTGTTCATCAACATCTTTAGATGCTTCTGCCAATACATATATACCATCTAATTTTATAATTGCTGGTTTTGTTTTAATCTACGAAAATATAATAATTGTTGTTAATATATAATAAATCACTGTAACTATATATGAGTGTATATATATCTCCATACTTGATTCCAAGGTATAAATAATGATAACTTTCTAACTACAGCTTGTTTTACTACTACACTTGGGAATAGTCTTTGTAGAGCAGTTTGTTTAATCTTGACATCATAGAGTTCAGCCTCTCCAGATAGAAAACTTAATTTTACATTGTCTTTGTTCAAATCATCTAGATATTCACCTAGATACTTTGATAACAATGTAGCTGCTAAATGTGATACCATTCTCTGACTCTCTTATTCTAATCTGATTGTTCTTTGTTTGAAAGTGATCTACGGGTGGTCGTAGTCACAATAATTGTAATGATGATGGTTGAATATATATATTTATAAATAGATAACGTTGTAAATATTTGTATCCTAAAGGTATAGAATGAATGATTTGATGTAAAATTATAATTATTATAATTATAATTATATATATATATATAATCAAAAATAAATGTATGATAAAAATAAATTGAGTGTGGAAGTTGGGGAAATGAGGTCACGACTGAAGTCGAAATTGCTCGAGCAAGGATTCACTGGTCAGGTCAGATGACAGATTGTGAACTGAAACTATCGCATAGATATTATAATTGTAGTTTCGAATCTAAATTAACCCCCCCCACAATTATTATTATTTAATACCAACACCAAAGTTTCATATCACTCATTCTTTTATGCGAAAACATCATTCATTGATCAATTATATTAATCTATTGTTATTTGTTCTTTTTGATGATTATACAAATTTTAATTTATTATTATTATATTTTAAAATGATTATTATTATTATTATATTATTATTATTATTAGTTGTGATTATTATTAATACCTGGTTCATTGATTATTTTGGTTTAATTGATTGAATTACACCTTGGAAGCCAGCCATCAAAGGGTTTTCAGACTTTTCTAATTTGTTTGCCATCTCATAGTTGGAGACTACTATGGCTGGATTCGTCTCCAACACCAATCCACCCATCACTATTTCATCTAATATATAGTGTACTCTGTCAATATGGAAGATTAAATCTAATTCGCAAACATTTTCAAAACCTAATGTAAATTGTACAAAACAGAGAGTTAATGATGAAGCCATTTTGATTGATTGATTAAACTTAATGTTTTAAACATACACTTGTCTAAAGTTTCAACAAAAGTTTGAATGAGATCGATCATTGATAATTCACTCTCATTTGAATCAACACAAAATATAAAGTATAGAGTTGCATAATGTCTGTATATGATCTTTGTGTCTTTGTCTGCAAAGACATCGTCTACCTCTAAAAAGTTACATGCACGCTCTGGTCTCTTTGAAACCAACAAGAATAAGTCTCTAATGATTTGTTGTTGTTTATCAATGCTCTATATTATATAAAGTAATATGTGTACACATAATAGTAGTTGAATCATGATGTTAGATCTAAAGTTTCTTTCTTCATTCATTCGTCTTCTTTGCAACCATACATAGTTTTCGTAAAATTTAGTTAATCTTGGTTTACCATGATTATTAATGATTAATATAGCTTTGATCATCCTCTATCTATCTCTCTCTATATATGAATATGAATGAAAAGGTGTATATATATAAATAAGATAGATATTCAACTTTTAATCTCTGACTTTTTCATTGCCTTTTTCTCGTGATTGCAAGGGAATTTTGATAATATTATTTTTAAAGGTGGAATGTAATACATAATATAAATATATGTTTATTTCTTCTTTTTATGGTAATTTGAGAAAAATGGGGAAGAATCTGAAGGAGTATTGTTTTCCGATTTTGATTTACCATTATTACTATTACTATTACTGTTATTATTATTATTATTATGATTATTTGGATCGTTATTATTATTATTATTATTAAGAGTTAATTTCTTTTTTAATCTTTTTAGTTGTTTTGATTTCTTTGTTTTTTTAGTGGTTTGATTATTATTGGTTGTAGTTGTTGTTGGGTTTGGAATCATTGAATTTGGATTAATTAAATTAATTGAAGAGGATGATGATAAAGTCGGAGGTGTTGAAATGGTTGATGATGAATGACTATTACTATCACTGCTACTACTACTACTTGCTTGAGTTTCATCATCAGTTTCAAAAACAATATGATCATCATCTAGGAAATCAGACATTGTCGATAGATTGGAAACGGAGGATGAATGGTTATTTGAAGAGGTTGTTGTAAAGGAATACATTCCACGATTTTTGACAACCTTTGATGTGATTCGAATGTTTTGAGGAGAGGGATCGTGAACATTACCCATTACCTTGTTGATAGTCTCACTGCTAAAACTCTTGTGTGATCTGTAGCTAATTGTAGAACCACTGGTACTGTCCGGTGAGAAGATGTTGGGGTTTGCAAAGTTTAATATTCCCTCTTCGTTGCCATACAGTTCGTAGAATTGCAATATGTCTTTGTTTCGTTCCAACTCTTCACTTTGTGCTTCGATAAACTTGGTGAGTGAATGTACCACTGCTCTTCGTTTAAACAGTACAATGAGTTTTGGCACAAACAATAGTCCAAGTGTCACCAACACAAAAATCAAAGATGCCACTGCAACAATCAAAAATTGTGCATTTGGTTTGGTTGGGAATGAGAACCTTAAAGGTAACAATAAAAGTAGAATAATTAAATAATTGTATGTCTAAATAAATATGAATGATTGAATAATTAATAAATATTAAAAATCAATAACAATATTATTATATTAATTTAAATGTTTACATACTAAAATACCTAAATAAGTAGGTTCACTAAAAGATCCAGGTGATGAACGATATGGTCTAGTTTTGAATACCAATACACAAGTGATGAATAGGAATATCAATGCATAGATTAAAAAGACAATGACGTAGAGGTAGGCTTTGTCACCAAGACAAATATGCGAATAGGTCAAGTCCCTTGTATCAAATGAGATTGCTGGAGTAAGAGGTTTAAATGTGCATGCTACAACCACAACAATGGTCGGGATGACCAAATAGGCTGCCGTGTAGGTTATAAAGTATCTGTTTCCCATTGCAGATTTCAATTGAAAGCTGAGTACCTTTCTTATCTTCCATAATCTATATTGTTTGACAACCAATGCTGCAACTGGTATTTCCAATCCCATTGGTAATAATATACTTCGTAGTCGGCATCTAAATAAATAGATAAATAAATAAATATGTTTAGAGTATTAATTTTTTCTTTAAACGTTTTACATACGAAATAGGAGAAACGATAAAAGATGTAATAAGACTAGCAAGTAAAACACAACAACCAAATAATATGACACAGAGAAATATTTGATTTGAGAATCGAATGATTGGATGACTCCAATAGACAATGACAATACCAAAACAAAAGAGTGTGAGCAGTCCGATAACGACAACCAAGAAAGTTACTATAATTTTGTTGAGATCACTAACTGTTTTCTCCTTGAGACAGTAGAATATGCCAGTGACGTTGTGTGGTTCGTATGGATTCTCACACTTTCTAAAGGTAATGGTTTGATTGACATTGCCTCCGATCGGTCTCGGCGAAGAAGCAAAAAAGAGTGTATAGTTGGAACCGGGTACACCAGACAACTGAATGTTGTACATGACAGTGACACCTTGTACATTCATAAGCACTGTTGTGATACCACTCACCCTGAAATCGGGATTGGCCGACACTGCAGTATACGATATCTCTGATGATCCTTGGAACCGTTGTCCGAAATAGTCTTTGGCTCGGATAACGATTTGTAAAATGATGGGTGTTGTAACATTTGATGCCATCGATACTGTATACGAGTAGTAGTTGGAATTGATAAGATTACCTTGTTTTGCTCGATTTCCTAGCATGTAGCAATCGAGACATGTAAAGTTGATAAACACATTTTTGATGTAAAACACCAATGCACCAGCACCCAACGCTGTGTTTCCTATAAACGTTGAATTTGAAAACAGGGTCTTTGCCAATAACGGTGTTGGTTGGTGTGAAAAGTATATCTTTTCTTTAATCTCGTCACTCGACTTTGGATCACCAAATACTATAATCGTCCCATACGTTGATCTATTCCTTGTAAACCTTGTTACAAGTACCGTTATATTACCAGTTTGATCTAAAAAGAATATTCCTCCTCCCTAAATAAAAATTAAAAGAAAAATAAATGAAATGATTAGCAGGTACAGGTAAGGAGGATACTACTGTCTTTTGGTTGTTTGGGTCATCCATACCAATTGAATATCATTTTCAGATAAAAAACAATCTTGCATTCTAATTACATAACCATCTACACCAATCACTATAGATGATCCATTCGTAGAGGAAATGTTTGATGCGTACATATCCAACTTTGACTGAGCCATATCAATCACATTGTATGCTGAATTGTTGTAGACCACGATCTGATAGGCGAGCATATAGGCACTATTTTCAAGTTGGAATATTGGTACTTGTGATCGTGCTCCACAAACTGTTGTTGATATAACATAGGCTGATCCTTTACTATAAAAGTCTAATATCTTTCCACTAAATGCTAGAAAAGATATAAAAAAATGATTATTAGTACAGAAAACTCAAGAGTATAAAGTATTTATAGTTTAGTTACATTTAAAAGAAGAAAAAAACAATATCAAAACGGTTGAGGAATCAGATGAAAATACATTTCCAGAGAAATTTCTAAATGAACAATATTGGACCAATGATATTGAACTCCCCATTAAACTAATCATTATATTAAATTGATTTCTAAATTCGCAAAAAGTTATATTTAATCCACTTGATCTAGTACCAATACTTGCACCAACCAAATTTGAATTACCATCGATAATTGATAATGATATACTACAAAAAAAAAAAAGAAATAAAAATTAATAACAAGAGATATATAGTCAATATTGTTTGTCATTTTGATAAATCATTTATATACCTTGTTGCTTGTCTTGTGTTTAAGGATAATAGAGTATAAGATTCATTTGAACGATTCTCAATAAATCTACTGTTCCTTATGTTGAAATTCGATCCCCTTGGTCCAAATAGAAATGAATTGACACCAAAGTTTTTAATGACCAATACATTTGTTAAATTTACCCAAGAATCTATAGAGATAGCAAGTAATATTAACTTTTGTTAGAAGAATAATAATAATATTATTACTATTATTTTTGTTGACTCACTTACCAGAAATGATACCTGAAGAATATCTATTGTATGCAATTATTGAATCTACCATGTGAAGATTTGATTGAATCGATGTAATTAATAGATTACCTCTATTACTAATGAATTGAGATAATCCACCTGTGAATGTAGTATTATAAAGAAATATTAAATTCGATTGATTGATTTGAAATGTTGTATTTGTCATTGAAATGAAAGCTAAAAGAAAAAATGAGAGAGAGATTAATTTATATTCAAGAAATATTATTATGTTGTTTGTATACATACAATAAGTTGAAAATATGGCAGCACTTTCACTGAATAGTTTGAATTGTGTGATTGCACAATCAATAAAATGAACGATGGATTGATTTAAATAGATGGGGGCAGATCTTTGGACCAGATTCAAATTGGTTCGATAATTTAGAATATTTAGGTCACGTTCTGAAAAGAAGGTGTATATAAATGGAGTGGGTCGATTGGTTCGTGCAAAGGTAATACCGGTGATGGTCAGTGTGCTTTGCACCACATATAATAGTCCTGTACCTTGTCCTACGACAGTAGTCACATCACATCCACCAGACCCCACCAAAGCCAAATGACTGTTTGAAATCTGCGAATAATTGGATTCAAAGTAGGTTCCAGGTGCCAATATAATGGTAGAGAATGGTGCTGCTATATTCGTTGCGTATTGTATGGATTTGCATGGGTTCTCGATTGAACTACATCCATTCTCATCAATTCCACTAGGTGATATATAATATTCTTCACCATTTACAAAATAAAAGAATATTGATCTATAATGTCCATTATTATTATTATTATTACCATCTTTTTCTTCTTCTTCTTCTATACTCCTACTACTACTATATAGTTTATCTGATAAACTTGGGAGTAAGTATAAAGAAAGTATTGTTGATCATTTCATCATTCATTCATTTGATTTACATACATATTAAATGATTATTATTGTTGGATGCCAAAATGATCAGGTATAGAATGATCAACAGGTAGATCTTGATTCGAAGATATGCCATGTGATGATCAAATATATCTTGCCTTGTATTCCTTCCCTGTTGATTTCCTTCTCTTTTTCCACATTAATAACCAGATCTCTATCTATCTCTCTCTCTCTACCTCTACTATATTCTCATGTCCTGCACTGCAACAACAAATAAATAACAAATGATTATTATATAAAAATAAACTACTGCTACTATTTTGTATGTAAGAATCCCCAACCTACAACATTCATAACACCCCCTATATCATTCATCATCATCATTATCATTATAATCATTAATCATGCTATTATTATCATCATATTAATATGATGAAGTGTGCCTGCTGCCCCCATATACCACTCGTTGTATTGATGAGTTGGTGGTGAAGAGGAGGGAGGGGTACAAGGAAACACACAAAGAGAGAAAGGGGTGATACAAAACCAATCACGAGCATCTTGTTATACACTAATAATAATCATCATCATCTCTATCATGAAAGAGAGAGAGAGAGAATGTGGATTATAATTAATTAAATTAAACTAATTATGATACATACAATGATAAATGGAAGTTCATTATAATATATTAATGAAGGAATGAATCTTGAACTTGGCAAGTATGACTCCTAGGAGTCATAAGAGGGAGGAGGTATAGACTAAGAGATATGAGCTTCTAGGTGAATGAATGTAACATTGTACGCTCAAAAGCTTACAATGTTATTTTTAATTTGTTTTCCAAGTTCCTTGCTCACAATTTAAATTTAATTAATCTTTTTTTTCATACGTCGATCGGCAAATCGAGCTTTAATATCATCTCTGTCTTATCTGTTCACTATTATCTTTTTTGAAAGAGAAAGAAAGAGAAAGAGAAAGAAAGATGGAAGGATTCTCACAAAAAGTGAAGGGATTCCTGTCATCTGCTATATCACCTGTCAAAGACTATGATCTAAGAGAGGTCAGATGTCCAACTAGATTTTGGAAAATACATGATGCAATCAAGAAATCATCATCTGAAGAAACTTCTGTCTTTGTAAGATTATATGAGAGAGAAAGAGAGAGAGAGAGAGAGAGAGAGAGAGAGAGAGAGAGACACTAGTAGAAACAATTACATAGTATTGATTGATTGATTGATTGATTGATTGATTGATGACTGACCCAATTATCATGATCCCTCTTCTCCTCTCTATCTCTTTAGTACTTTGAAAAGAAATCAATAGAAAAGTTACCAAAAGCAAATCAAACAGAGATTATAGACTATTTGAAAAAGGAAGCACAGAGTCTACAGAGATTACGTCATCCTGCCATTTTACAGGTAGTTAGTCCCATTGAGGAGACAAAGACAACGATGTACTTTGCAACTGAACCCATCTTGGCAACATTAGACGCATTGATTCAACAACATAGAAGCTCAAAGAAATCAAACCAAGTATCATCGGTCGAAGCAAACAAACCTCATTTTACATTTGAAGAATTGGAGATTCAATTGGGTATATCTCAATTGATTGAAGGTGTACACTTTTTAAATCAAACTGCCAAGTTACTTCATAGAAATATATCCCCAAAATCAATATTCATTACAAAGACTGTATGTAATCAAACAAACAAACAAACAAACAAACAAACAAACAAACAAACAAACAAACAAATAATCACAACTCCTATAATATTAACCTTTTTTTTTTTGATTTACTTTTAATTAGTTGAAATGGAAAATTGGAGGATTAGGATTTTCAAGTGGAATAGATAAACAAGATTCAATTCATGGATTGAGTCATGATATGAAAGAGTATGGGTATGATGAAGGATCGATCATTTTACCAGATTTGGATTATTTGCCACCTGAATATGTACAACAAAAGAAATGGGAGTACAATAGTGATCTCTTTAGTATTGGTCGAATCATTAGTGAGATATCGTTGAATTTGGATCGATCGTTGGATCAGGCCGGAGAGACAATCTCCAAGATGGGTGTTTCTTCATACTACCTCTCTCGACTTTCCAACGCCAAACAAGAGGCACAGAAAAAGTCACATTTGCTAGACAGTGCTCGTGTATGTACCATTCTACTTGGTGAGCCATCACTAAGAGGTGATGTTGAAAGTTTTGTTAGATCTGCCTATTTCTCTGATGTCAAGGTAAAGTCGTTGGTCTATCTCGCCAATATTGTCCAAAAGGAAGAGGAATCACGATTACAATTCTTTAGAGGACTGTTGAGAATATTGACTCAATTTTCAAGTCATATTCAAATCAACTATCTCCTCCCAACCCTCATTGCAGAACTTTCAAACGAGCGTACTCTCTATGTGGTCCTTCCTTGTATTCTCGCAATCTCCAAGGAACTTAAAAAAGATCATTTCATGCAAGCTATTGCTCCCAACCTCAAACAAATCCTCACCAACAAGGAACCAAAAAATGAAGTATTGGCTTGTATTCTTGAAAGTTTAGAAACTATAGTTGATAAATCAACAAATGAATATATTAAAAAATGTTTGTATAAACAAAAAAAAATAATATTAATAATAATATATGAATGTTTATTAATTTAATTATTTATTTAATTTAGATGTATTACCAATAGTTTTAGGTACAATGTGTGGACCAACACCAGAGATTATATTCCAATGTTTAAATGTTTCAACTATTGTAATCAAGCATTTCGATCATGATGCTATTAGTCATGGTGTAGTACCCCGTTTGACTAATTTGGTTGTTGGAGGTTTCCCATTACATATTCGTACAAAATCAATTCAATGGTTTTCTTTGTAAATATTTTAATATTTTATATTTATTTATGGAAACTATTCCGTTTTCTAATCAAATTATTTCATTCTTAACTTGATTTAGATTAATACCATTATTGGATAAAAAATTAATTGAAGAATCAATGCTACCAAATTTGGAAAAGATTTTATCAATTGACAATAGTCCACCTATTTTAGAGGCATTGGTATTTGTGTATGAAGCCATTTCAAAAAAACTTGGAGGTGAATTATTGGCACTTAAAGTGTTGCCAGCTCTAATTCCAATGAGTGCAGACAAGCACATTGATTTGGAGCAATTTAAAACCATCATGAAGGTGGTCAAGGACGTTTTGACAGCCTATGAGGCAGAACGTCTCAACGAACTAAACAATCTCAAACGATACACCAAATCGCCACAAGAGACTGATGATAAGTTTGAAAGGGTAATCAATCCATCTGCTGGAGGAGCTCCTCCCAACAGCAGTGGCACTAGTCTTTCAAATAGTACAAATCCATTTGCCGACAATGGAGGATTCTTGGAACCAACCACCAGTAACAATAGTAATAATCAAGCATTTGGAAAGATTACTCTACCTTCAAATTTTATTTCACCAATTTCTTCATCATCAGACAAGATTAGTCCAACAACAACAACAACAACAGCCAATAGTAGTAGTAGTAAAGGAGGAATGGGTAGTGGATCTGTATTTGATTCACCAGACTTTACTTCAATGACTCCACCTCCTCCATCAACATCATCCAATACTCCACCCATCCAACTTCGCAATCCTTCTCCCAAATTAAGCTATCCCAACTCTACAAACACAATACCCTCATCATCTACCAATACCTATAACAACACTAATAATAATAATAATAATAATAATGCATTTTCAAGTTTATTGACCCCACTTCCAACAACATCATCATCAACCCCAATCACTCCAATCTCATCTTCATCCACTTCTAAATCATCTTATCCTGCACCCAACTATAACTATAATTTGGATGACTTTTCAGCAACTCCAATCACTCCAACCACATCCTCGTCATCATCATCCAATCCAATGCCATTTACTTCTTCTTCCTCTTCATTTTCATCAAACACAGTTGTTGGAAATACAGGAAACTATCAAAATACCTCTATGAATTTGGGTTATAATCCAAGTAGCAATTATAACAATAATAATATGAATATGGGAATGGGAATGGGGTTAAATAGTGGTAATAGTAGCAGTAGCAGCAGCAGTGGAATGACACTACTTCAACCTACATCAAATGCAGGATCAAATAATAATAATATCACAACTAATAATAATAATAATAATTCTACACAATTAAAGTATGATAACTCTTTTTCCTCGTCATCAAAACCGCTTAATAACTATAGCACTAATAGTAGCAGTGGTAATAGTGGTTTTAATAATTTTAATATGACCACTGACAATAATAATAATAATTTCAACAACAATTACAATAATAATATGAATAATAATAATAATTTTAATCAATCCTCCTATGGAGGAGGAGGAGGATCCTCATCAGTATTTAATAATGCTACAAATGATATATTTGCTGGTATGAATAACAACCAACAAATTTTACAACAACATCAAAAGAATATAAATAATTTTAATAATGTTGGTTTAAATAATAATATGAATAATCAGTGGAATGGAAATCAACAACAATCTCAACAACAACAACAAAACACTAATTATAATCGTAATAATAATAATTTGATTTAAACCATCCATTTCCATATGAACAAAATCATTTTTGGGTTTTGGGTTTATAGTGGGTTAAAAATATAATAATAGTCAGTCAAAAGAAATAAATAAAATTTATTTTATATAATAAATAATTGATTATAAACTATAGATAAATAGAACATTTTGTTATAAATCAAATAATATATATAATATGTTAAGCCTTATACTTACCATTGTTTTTGTTTTTTTTTTACAAATACAACTCATAATATTTAAATCCAATAAAGAAATAAGCTTCAAATTAATTTTATAATATTTAAAAAATAAAAGAATTGATGGTTGAAATCAATTCTAATATTTCATACTCTATCCACAAACCAATCTTTTTCAAGAAAGGAAGTAAGAGTAGAGCTTTTATTTAAATCTCCAAAAACCGTTTTGGTTAATGGAAATTATAATTTTAATTTGTTCCTCGTTTGGAAATAGTAGTAGGAGTAAAGTTGGATGTGAAAAAGTGAAAGTTTAAATAAATGATGAGGAGGTGAAAAATGAATATATCAGAGGGAATAAGTGTATGTTTGTGTGTGTGTGTAGAGTTTATGTAATGATGGAATTAATTTAAAAAGGTTTAAAAAAAGTCATTGTATTCATCTGGATAATCTGGGAATTCATCTTTAGAATCTTCTTTGTTGTTGTGGTTGTGTGGGTTTTGGTGTAGGCTATCCTAGTGTAAATGAGAATAAAATAATTATATAGATATAATGTATATATAGAAAACAGAAATATATAGATATAGTATATATGGATATATTTTAAAATATATAAGAAATTTTATATAAATATTTTATAAACGATCGATGTGTGTGTATGTGCGTGTATGTAGATGAACATTAAACAATTAATGTCAAAAGGAAAGGGAAGGAAAAGGGTGGGGGAAAAATCCTGATTGTTTTGAAAACTTTACTTTTCATTGGCAACGACACTAATACTACTATATGTGTGTGTGATGACTTAGACAAACAATATACAGGAAATGACAGAAGAGATGATAAAGAAGAGGAAAAGGGAGGGGGATAATTGATTCGAGCCATTAGAGTCGTTGACACCTCCAGCTGGATCAAAACCTACCGAACTAGTTGTCGACATATTGGCTCCAACCGCGAAACCTACACGATCGTTGACATTGTCAAACACCGTGTAATATCCACGCATAAAAACGTCACCAAGGATTGTCATGGTAGAATCGGCACGTTCAATCATGAAACAGTAACCATATTTGCCATTGGTAAGTGGGGCCTTGACCAAATAATTCTTTGGTGGGATGGCAACTTGAACTCCACCGTCAAAGGTGAAATACAATGTTGGGAATTTCGATAAAACATCATCTGAACTATAACAAATTGACTAGAAATAGGTGAAAGAATGGTTTAGTTAAAATGTATATGTGACTATTGTTATTTGGTTAGTTTTTACATACACCTTGGAAAATATTAGGATTTTCACAAACACCTTGAATGGAACAATAGTGAGTTTGGAAGTAGTTTCTTAATTGATCGTAAGCACCTGAAGCCAATGAAAGAGCAGTGCTACCACTGTCGACGATAACTTCTTGACCCAACTTGCTACCCGGGATGGTGTAGTCGTTGATACGAATACCAGTGGATTTGACACTGTAGAATGGGGTGTTCTTTTGGACCAATGGAGTGTATCTAATGTCACCAGTGTAGTAACTAGTGTTGATTTCACCCAAAGACAATGAACCTCCACCTTCATAATTCAACAACATACCAAATTGATTCTTGAGACCTAAATCACTAACCAATGAATCCCAAACTGTTGGAACACATGATGAGCACTAAATAGATACATATAAGTAATTGATTGATTGATATATATATATGTGTGTATTTTTAATTTACTTACAGTTCTACCAAAACCAATGATACCATCAGCTCTTGGATATTCAAAATCACCAGTTTCTTCATCGTTGGCACCAAAGTTTGCTTTTCCTTGGAGACCGGCAAGATTGACAACATCTTCGTAGATGTAACCAGAAACGTGGGAACCGTCACCATAACGGATTTGGAAATCACATGATTCACCAGAAGAGGTACGACTGCAGGATGGTGGAGTACTACCTGAGCCCTTGCATTGGTCAGAGCTACACGCAACCTTGGTAGAGGTTGAAGATGGGTGATAGACTGGACGACTTTCAACACAAGTGTTACATCCTTCCAATGGAATGGCCATTAAAAGTGACCCAGTATCGACTTGGACGAGGAATGTAGTGTTTCCAACAATGATTTGAGTATTGATTTGGAACAAGTCACCAGTCATTGGTTGATTTACTTTACCAGATAATACTGATCTGGTTAAATGTGGTCTTGATAAAACTACAAATCCATTTGTTTCATGTGATGCTTCCAATGGTCTAAAAAATAAATAAAATCTTAATATTTGTAAAATATATTTGGATAATAGTTATTTGCGTAATTACCCTCTAATTGTGATTTCCAATGGTAATTCATAAGATCCATAATATGCTTGATTGGTAGCAAGCGAACTTCCTATTAAAAATAATAAGAATAGAGATGATACTATTCTATTCTTCATAGTTTTTTTTTTTTTCTCCCAAATATAAATATCTATAAATACAATTGATGAACGTTCTGTCGCTATTACTACTATAAATAATTATTACTATAAATAAAATTAATTATTACTATAATATATATATATAAATAGAAAAAGAACAACAAAAAAAAAAAATGATATTTAAATTATTATTTATAATTTATAATATTATTATTTATGTGTGTGTTGAAGAAGAGGTGAAGAGATGTTATTAAATGTTTATCTTTTGTCGTGATATTTGGCCGTTTAAATAGAACAGAGATGATGATTTTAAAATGACCTATTACTTTTAAATCTCCTTTAATAGTATGGCAGGTAGCAGGTGTAAGTATTACTTATATATACGGATACTAATATATTGGGATTATGTGTTTAGAATTGAAATTAGATATATATCAAATGTACATGTAAGAAATAACAAATATGGAAACTGTCACAGGTAATAGCTTGGCAATGACAACACAGCTACTGTAAATTAAAAGACAGATAGCTTTTTTTTGAAACGTATAACTTTACCATGCCAGAGCTAACAGTGTGTTTGTGTGTGTGTTTGTGTTTGTGTGTTTTCCATAGACAGTAATCTATGTTGAAAACGAGTGGTAGCGTGTATTACATTGGGGTAATAACAAAGAGGGGTAAATGTGATATTTTGCAATTTTGATCTTGATAATTCTATAACTAGTTCCATTGTTGTGTATGCAATGACAATGTGAATACACCACCACTACTCTAGTGAATACACTACGTAATGTATTCTTTACGGATTTCTCTTGTTTTCAACCAGGGTATGGAATGAGGTGGAGTAGTAAGAGTAGGAGTAGGAGTAGGAAGAGAATATTACTTGATTCTCCTCGTTTCTCTTATTTTATCAAGTTGCTTACAACTCGAATTTCCATCATCACACAGTGTGTCATTGTGTGTGGTTGTTATTGTTGTTGTGTTGATGCTAGTACTACGATGACATTTATCACCGATATGTATAGTGTGATTTTAAAATGATGTTGATCACATCACACTCTTCTCTTTTGTCAATGATATCATTCACATGATCTTTATCATGTTGTTATTTGAATATCAATACGATTATAAAACCAATGTCATTCATTATCTTTATCTTTATCTCTTCTCTAATATTTGTATTTAAAAAAATGAAATGAATTTGTGATGAAGATCTGTGAGATACTGTCGCGACCAATGAAGAACACCCATTTTTAGTAATTAAACTATCTAATCAATTATTGATAAATAATAATAATAATAATAATATAAGATGACGACAGAAGGAGTAGTAGAGGAATCATCTTTACAGCTGCTCATTGATAATACATCAAGTGTCGTATACTTAATCGTAGCGTTTATGACTGGCATCATGTTTGGAGCTCATTTCTTACAACCTAAAAATAATACAGATAATAATAATACTTCATCATCAGCAACTGCTACTGCCACTGCTACTGCTACTTCTACTACTAAACCATCGATTAAAGTTGAAGATGACGAATCGACAGACGAAGAAAGTGATTTCGATGAAGATTTCGATGATCAACAAGAAGAATGTAAAATGGTATTAATTGTTCGTAACGATTTAAAAATGGGAAAAGGAAAGATTGCTGCTCAGTGCTGTCACGGCACTTTAGGTGCATACAAGTCGGCCACGAAAAAGGAGGAATTCAAGGATCTACTCAAACGTTGGGAATATGGAGGTCAAGCTAAAATAGCCATCAAAGTAGAAAGTGAAAAAGAACTATTGGACATTGAAAGGGAAGCAAGAAAACTTAAACTTCCAAACTATTTAGTGGTCGATGCTGGAAGAACTCAAATTGAAGCTGGAACTTGTACTGTATTGGCTATTGGTCCTGGTATGTTACAATGATGTTAAACACAAACACATTCAAACAAATATATATATATATACAAACAGGATATTAATTAATTTACTAATATCTATACATTTAAAGCTCCAAAGTCTCTCATCGATACTGTTTCAGGTCACCTTAAATTATTATAAATAAATTTGGCTATGAATATACACTATTTAAATTTTGAAACCTTCCACATTCCTATTTTGGCACATATATCACGATCACAAGGAAGAAAAACAATAACATACACACACACAAAGGTATGTGTGCATCTCTATGTGGGTACCCACGTTCATTAGAATGCATAATCGCACAACCACCACCAAGATGATCACAAAAAAAAAATTTTGGTTGGAGTGTATCCTAAAATTAAATCAGTCAAAAACCCCTCTCTTTTTTTTATATCTATATTTTTCCATCTTTGTGTTTTGTTTATTATTTCTTTCAATCAATCAAATTAATAGTTCAAATTAATTAGTTCAAAATTATAATTAAAAATATGAAATCTCTATTTATAATATTAATAATATCAATCTTTTATATCTCCTCTAATAATGCTCAATTGACTTCAAATTCTACAAGTATATATCCATACATACATATGTTTCCCTCCTAAACAAAAAAAACTTTAAACATCTTTCTAATTTCCTCAACTATCTATCCCCTTTACCCTTTACCCTTTACCCTTACTATCCATCCATTATTTTAGAGTTTTATTTTAATGGAGAATTTAGTTTTGATACTTTACCAATTACAAAGAGTCAATTTATTATAACTAGTGGAATTGCATTTATCACTGCTGAGAAGGGATATGGAGATGATAAACTTGGATGGACATTAAACTATGATTTGAAAGTCTCTGATGAGAATAAAACACTGGCAGTTAATCGTGTAGAGATTGGTGGATTTGCTCAAAAGAATTATGAATCTAGTTTCTATCACCAGATCAATGCATCCACTGCCTCGGTAAACACTAGTTCAGAGTTTAAATTGAATGTTACAGAATCATACAATTCCAATCACATCATTTCAAGCACCATCAATCGTGCTCTTGAAAAGGGTGTCATGGATTCAAACGACTCTCAAATGGTCCTTGTCGTCTCCAACTATAGAGAATTCAAGGTCAATGTAACTAATAATGGAACAACTACTCTACAAAATAGTAATTCTACCACTTATTATTCTCGTGCTCAATTGTATGCTGGAGAGGATGTCGAGAGAAGTGGTGCCTTTAAATTAGTTTCCTCAACCATTTTACTTTTATTAAGTATCTTAAGTTTTTTAATTTAACTTAAACTTTGAAAGAACAATCCTATAATTATTATTATTATTATGATCACAAATAAAATTTAAATAAATAAACTTTATCTATATAAATATATATATTATAATTACAATTAATTGTTAATATTAATATTTAAAAATATCTTCATTTTTGAATATATCTTTAATTTTTTCAAGATCCCAAACCAAATCGAATGTATTACATTCCTCTCATTTAATCGAGTAGAGAGAGATATAGAATAAATATATTTATACATATATACATATATATATATAGATATAGAATAGATGGTGATGGAGGATAGTAACCACTATGATGACGACGATGAGGATATCAAACCAAATGCTAAAAAAGGTGATGAAAATACAATCAAAGAGTGGAGAGAAGCATTATACAATTCAAAAAAGAAATGTACAAGGTAAGCAAGCACTATAACAAACATATATAATATACATTAATAGAATAGAGTATAGAGTATACTAAACAACAGAGTTTTTTTGATTATAATAAAGAGGAAATCTATCAATTGCAGAATGGGATGAATCAAAGAAACTATTTAAAGTGTTAAAGCCAAAAGGAAAACAATTTGAATCACTTGGTCATAGTATTAAAGGTGTTTTACATCTTTATGTTGAAGAAGCAATGTATGTTATTATATATATATATAGAGATATAATGTGTATTTAAAGTAATACTAATCCTAGAAACTACTACTTTAGATATTTATTAGAGATTGGAGTAGTTGAATTAATATTTAAAGGATTACCTTTATGTTTACAAGATGCATATAAACTATTTGATGATCAATTCTATAGTGGAGGTTTCCCATTCTATAAATACCAAACATTTCTTTACTTTAGAAAACTTGGATTTCATCTTGTCCGTTATGAAGATTCATTAGACTACCAGGATGATGACACAACTATTAAATCATCGTCATCAACAACAACAACGACGACGACATCTAAAACAAACAACTCTCAACAAGTTATGATACTAGAAGATGAAAAAGAAGATATATTGAAAAGAATTAAATTTAATGTTGGTTGTACAAATAATACTACAACCAATGGATCATCAACTTCAACAACTACAACAAATAATAATAATAATAATAATAATAATAATAATAATAATAATAATAATAATAATAATAGTCACGATAATACTGATAGGAAATGTCAAAATTGGTGGAAAGAGATACAAAATGATCATAGTGATCTTGACAATACCAATTTTACACCATTTATAGATATGATTGATCAACCAGATTATAGTCAACCGGTTATCAATCACTTTCAACAACATCTTAAATACCTATCACTCAAACGAAAGGAAATGGATACTACACAAGAAGAAGAACTCAAATCAAAATATAATATCAAAATATTGGAATCTAAATTTAAATCACCTATTCTACCAAATATTATAATTAACAACAACAACAATGCTGCTATTGCTGGAAAAGGCAATACAACAATGACGACGACAACGACTAAAATAGAGAGAATTAAAAATATAGTATCACCAATCTTACAACTACCAAATGATTTAAATGGAAATCAAACTATCAACTCTATCAATAGAAAATTACAACTTACATCACAATATTTTATAAAACATGAACAACAACAACAAGAACAGGAAACAGAACAAGAAAAAAGTTTGGATGGAGATGAAAAGATGAATGATCATCATCATTCATTATCAGATGATTATTTATACATTGATTACAATGTTTATAAACCAAAAGGTAAATCATTTAAGAAATCGAATCCTGGCAAACCAGATTTTAGAATCAAAATCTACAATAATTTTGGGACATCACACCTTGTTCCATCATTTGAAGAATTGGCTCTTATCGACCAAGAATCAAATGGTTTCGATACCCTCAATACAATTCCATTGAAACATTGTATTTTTAATCAAGGCGATTTAATCTTTTTTCAATTTAAATCAATTAAATGAAATAAAACAATGATCAAAAGAGAGAGAGAGAGAGAGAGAGAGAAGAGAAATATCATCGATATTTAAATATTACTACATGAAATCAATTTTTCTAAATTTGACAAAATGATTTTTCTTTCTTTATTTATTTTTGATGGGAAAAAACAAACAATCTAATTTTAAAAAGTTAATTAATTTTTGACCAGCTCCCAAACAAACATCATCCTCGTCATCATTCCATTCATTGCATTCAATTCAATTATTTCACTTGTCTATAGAAAGATAGTATTATATTACAAACACATTGATTGATTGATTCAAAAGATAGAAAGAGAAGAGGATAGATACAAATGTCAACATCGATAAATCAAAATGACATGGATCATCCAAGTATAGAAGAAGAAGAAGAAGAAGGAAAAGGAGAAGAACAACATAACAACAATAATGATAATATAGATAGCGAACAAATATCATCTAGGAATAATAATAATAATAATAATAGTGGTGGTGGTGTGAGATTAAGATCAAATGCTACTACACCTACAAATAATAATAATAATACTAATGATGATGATGATACTCCTAACACGACAACTACTAGTACTACTACGACAAGCACAAATACAACCTCTACTTTTACTTCTTCAACAACACCAAAAAATGAATCACCTACAACAACAACATCAACAACATCAAACAATAATGAAAACGATAATAATAATAATGATGAAGGTAGCGATATGTTTGAATGTAATATATGCTTTGATACTGTAAATGAACCTATAGTTACTCAATGTGGTCATTTATTTTGGTATGCTTTATGTTGATGATTGTCATCATATATATTATTATTATGGTTCTTCTTCCTTTTTCTTCTTTATATTGATTTATTTTCCTTTTTAATAATAGTTGGTCATGTATATTTCAATGGTTACAACATAATGCAAGTCAACAATGCCCAGTTTGTAAAGCACCAATATCAGAGGAAAAATTAATCCCAATCTATGGAAGAGGTAATTCCTCTGATCCAAGAAAAAAGAGACCTAGTTCAATACCATCTCGACCACCTGGACGACCAGAAACAGAACGGTCTACCAGGGCAGGTGGAAATAATTTCGACTTTTTTGGAGGCATTGGAAATCAATGGAATGGTCAAGCTGGAGGTGGAGGAGGTGTATCATTCTCTGCTGGATTTGGTCTATTTCCAGGTTTATTTGGATTACATTTTTATCAAACTAATAATCAACAACAAGGACAACAAGGACAAGGACAACAAGGAAATGGAAATGGGAATGGTGGACCATCAGAATTTGAATCTATATTCCTAAGTAGGATGTTTTTTGCTCTTGGTTTAATCATATTATTCTTTGTTTTATTTAGTTAGAAGAAACAAAAGAAAAAGGAAGAAATCTTAAATATATTTTAATAATGAATACAACATTGTACAGTACAAACAAAATATTATTATTTTTTGTGTATATATATATATAAGGTGTGTATAACTTTTTTATTATTATCAAGTGCTGGTTTACAAAAATTATATTTAGTAGGGGAGGTATTAATGAATTAATTAATTATGGTTATGTTGTTGATTGCGAGAGTTGGGGGAGTATACTTTGTGTTGTTTAAAAAAGATGCGATATGGGAGATGGTAGTACTACTGGTAAGGGTTGGATTAACAATTATATATTTTGTTGTTATTATGATAGATTAATATTACATTGTTGTTGTTGTTGTTGTTTTAGTGATGACTATTCATTTAATTTTTAAACTGATTTAAAAGATTCTTCCAAAGCATCATTATCAATTCTCAATTCTGTTAAAAATGCTTGGATTTGATGAACCTTTAAAAAGTTGTATGGAACCGATTGGTATTTTCGAGTGTTTGAAATGACATGGTACAATGTTCTACGTTTGTTGAGATTGATCATTCCATCGATCTTGTCGTTTGTACATTCATCGACATAGGTTAAATCACGTAGATGAATACCCATGAATGGTATACATGGTGGTCCTGCGTCTTTATATGCAAGTCTATAACTCTTATAATTATTATCTGAATGGAATAATTTCTCTAAATCTGCATATGTCTATAGAAATAGGAATAGAAATAATAATAGATTAGAATATATTTCTCTCCTTTGTCTTTTTCTTTTCTTTTTTTTTTTACCTCTTGTTGTTGTTTTGAAAGATCTTTTCTAATTGTTTTTGTTCTATAAACTGAAGTACTATTGATGGCACCAAAGATAGCCATGAGAGAATGGAAATTATTGAGAGTACGTAAATGTTCAGCAATCTTTAAAAACTTGCCCAACAATTTTGATTTTCCTTTGGTGTTTTGTTGTTCGATCAAGAGACTGTGAGAGATCCATTTTGTGAAATCATTGAATCTTTTCATTAGCGACAAAAGATTAACAGCCTTTGAACGATAGGATGGTCTGACCCATCCCTTGATTAAAAATTCGGTTGGTTTGATACTCTCGTACATTCCAAAATCAATCAAACACAACTGTCTTGCAATCTCTTCTTCATCAATGTCTTCAAAAGTCAATGTCGATGAAAATATATTCTTTGGTACTTTTGGTTCTGGTGGATTAGTTAATTGATTTTCTTTCTTTTTAGTATTATTATTTTCCTAAAATAAATAAAATTAATCAATCTGTTTCTTTTTTTTTCTTTTTCTATTTCTATTTCTTTTTTCTTACAGTTTTAGCAATTGAAGTTCTTAATTTCTTTGCCCAATTTGTTAGACCATCTTTAACCATTTGATTATCAATAAAATTATTTAACATGGATAATAACTTGTCGTTAAAATCTTGAGGTTGTTGTTCAATCCAAAGATTTAAAAATACGATAACCAGGCCCATGTCACTGTTATCTCTAGTTGGTGAATTATACATTTGAATTAATTTGGTTAAAATTGTTTCTGCGGTTGTGAATGAAGGAAATGTTAAGAAAAAGATTTTTCTAAACTCTGATACCTCTGAAATATTGTTGAAATTAAAATTAAATGAAATGTTTATCGTCAGTATAATAATAATAATAATTATGATATTCCATTTTCATTACAAACCTGGACTATTTGGGTTACTAGTTAACCACCAAATCAATTTGTTTAATGTTGCTGCTTGAATCGTATTATTATTATCAGAGTTTTTCAATAGTTTAACTGTACTCTCATCATTCAAGTCATCCCATATATTTTTACTTTCAATTGAACCATCTGTAACTATAGATAGAGAAAAGTCAATAAATTAGAAACATTAGAAACATTAAAAGATGATAGATTATTCATCCTTTATAGTATCTTACCATCAGTATCTTGTTCAGAAACATAAGCATGATAAGCTTCAACTTCAGGATCATCACCATCTATTTCCTCTAATGGTCCAAACCAATTATTTGCTTCTTTAATGCCTATTTTTAATAATGTTGGTAATGCTTCTTTTTCAACTTCATCCTTTACAACTAATTAATAATAATATTTAGTAAAGTGTGTGTGCATATCTATCAATCTATATATAGAATTCTTCTACTTACATTTAAAAGTAGATTCTTCTTGAATCTTTGTTAAAGTAGAAGTTAAACCTTCTTCGTGAAGATATTGCATGATCAACTTTAATAGTACAGAATCTGAAATGACGTGACTAGCTTCTGTCTTTGAACACATTCTGTTTCTAGAGAATGATTTTTGATTGGTGATTGGTCTCATTCTTTCTCTCAACTCTAATACATCTGGATGATTGTGCATCACTCTTGATACCCATTCGCTTGGTGGTATATTATATGAATCTAAATCATCAATGGAATGCTGTTAGTTTGTTGTTATTCTAATCTATAGAGTCTGTCATTTCAGATTCTGTGTTTTGTTTGTCTATTTTACCTTCGATTGATTCTGAATTTGATTGACCCGATGTAGCACTAAGATTGGACATTGAAGAGAATGATCCAAGTAGAGGTTTCTTTGGAGTACTCGATCCACTTCCTGTACTACCTCCCATCGCACTTCTACCAATATTACTATGATTGATAAATGACATTCTCTAAATTGTATCTATCTCTATATTTAATAATAACAACTATATATATATATCTCTTCTTCTCTCTCTCTTCTCTCTTCTTCTCTCTTCTCTCTACTACAAACTAAACTATACTATGATATTGACTTTTGTTACTGCTGATCTCTAATCCTATCCTCTGTTTATGTATATACTTAATATACTACTTCTACTACTACTATCTGAGGTGATGATGATAATATTGGTGTTGGTGCGATATGGGTTTGTAATGTGGAGGATAAAAAAAAAAAATCTTTTTTGTTTTTTTGCTTTTTAACTGTAAACTCGGGTTGCCCAGTTAAAAAAACTTTTATTATTGTTATTGTCTTTGGTATAACCTATACTATTACTATTACTATTACTACACTAGTTGTGTTATCTTTATTTATTAATTAATAGAGCAGGGTAGTTAGTGGCCACTCACTTTAAAGAGAGCAGCGTAAAGAGAGTATGAGAGACGGAGGGTGTTTGTTTGCAAAAACAGCTTCTCTCCACCCAATCGATTGGTGATGATTGTGAGATCCGCAAGCCGTTTTTTTATCAGAACGCTAAAAGAGTAGGGGGTTCATCATTCAATCAATCAATCACATCTTTTGATTATTGTTTCTTTTCTTTTTTTGAAAGGTGTAGAAACAAAGATTCATCTGAATCAGAATAATAGGTCTCTCTCTTTGTTATTACATGTATTATTATTATTAATAATAATAATAACCACCACATCATTCAGAGAATTATTATCATCATCACCCATCTTCACCATTCATTCATTCCACAACAGACGACTATGCATTATACGTAATTTTGTTTTTGTGAGTGCAATCAGATAAAGTAGACAAGACACACAAATACAACACAAGACAAAAGGATAAATCGAAAAAGTAATAGTAATATTCTTGAAAGGATCATCACGTCCGTTTCAATGAACAGACCAAAATCCAGAGGGTGGTATCGAGATACTTGTTTGGGAAACGCAGTGCTCGGAATCGTAAAGAGGGCAGATTTACCGTCAATTTTGAAAATCAAGGGATGATTTTTTTCGAACGTTCTCTAATGTGCAAATAATCATTATTTGCTTTTTCTTCTTCTTCTTCTGTCTGTCTCGTCTACGCACACCCGCCCCTCTCCTCTAAGTTTTACTTGTTGTGTTTTATTTGTTTTATACTAGTAATTCGCACAGTGCCCCCTAGACAGTAATTCAATTGTTTAAAACACACACACAAAACAATCGTTTTATTATTGTATCATATATCTTCTTTTTCTTCTAGCTAGTTTAAAGTTTCAATTTTTTAGAGAGAGAGTTAGAGAGAATGAAATTATTATTTAGTATTTTAATTTCAATTTTATTATTATTGTCATTAGTACATAATGATAATATAGCTGTCAATGCAAAGAAACATCATAGTAGAAAGCATGACAAAAACAGTGATCAACACGAACTATTAAAACAAGAGTTGGTCGACAAGAAATTGTCTGCCTCTTTCCAGACATATACCGTTTTTAGCGACTCTGCCAACGGATATCGGGTTGTCAATGGCAATCAAACCGGTGGCATTGCAACTGCCATCTATTCTAATCAAATGGAAACTACCGGTTGGGGTTACCTCTCTGTTGAGACCTCTTCCAATTTCCCCGATTTGGTTCAAGCATCGGCTGCTGGTTACCTCGAAGGTTACATCACTTCCGATATGATCTACCAAAACTGGTACAACATGTATGTCAATGAATACAAATCATTCATCTCTGATGCCGTAGTTAATTGGGTTTCATCAAATATTAAATATATGGTAAATATAGAAACAAATAGAAATTCAAAAAAAAATCTATACATTCTTTTTATTTATTAATTTATTATTATTTTTTTTTTGGTAGGTACAAGAAATTCAAAACAATCCAAATGATCCATTTTGGGTAAATGTAAATTTAATTTACACTCAAACTCTTAGTTTAGTACAAGGTTATCAAGCTGCCAACCAAGATCCAAACCAAGATTTACAATTGATTGAATTCATGTTGATGAATATGGATGGTGATATGATTGATCTTGCTCCAGCTCTCAATATTTCATTTACCAACTTTTTAAGAAAGACTGGTCATTGTTCTTCATTGGTTAAATTATCCGATGATTTAACTGATCTTTATTCTGGTAAATACAATCTAAAAAAAACAAATAATCATAATTTATATTTATATTTATTTATTTTAATTTACTTTTAGGACATACAACATGGTCAAGTTATTATGAAATGGTTAGAATGTTTAAGATTTATACATTTTCATTCTCTGATGCTGCCGAAGCTGCAAGTAGAACTACCATGTTTTCATCGTACCCAGCCTCATTGTCATCGATTGATGATTTCTATCTCTTGGATACTCGTATCGTTGTCATGGAAACCACCAATGGTTTGATGAACAATAATCTCTATCCATTGATTACCACGTCGTCTGTTCTCAGTTGGATCCGTGTTGTCATTGCCAACAGAATGGCTACCGACGGTAATACCTGGTGTCAAGTCTTTTCCATCCAAAACAGTGGTACCTACAACAACCAATGGATCGTTGTCGACTATAACCGTTTCCAACCAGGTTATGACGTCAAGGACGGTATGGTCTACATTCTCGAACAAATCCCAGAGTACATCGAGTATGATGATGTCACCAACTTGGTTCGTACCGGATACTGGCCAAGTTTCAACATTCCCTACTTTGAAAACATCTACAACATGTCTGGTTTCAACGAGACTGGTCCACAATTTGGCAACTTTTTCTCGTATGCTGCCAATCCACGTGGTATGATCTTCCGTCGCGATGCCAACAATGTCGACTCTTTCAAGGCATTCAAGGCTCAACTCCGTTACAATGACTGGAAAAAGGATCCACTCTCCCTCGGTAACCCAGGCAATGCCATCAGCTCTCGGTTTGACCTTGTCACTAAAAACTCGAGCAACCCATACCTCAATCGCGATGCTTTTGGTGGCATCGACTCCAAGGTTGTCTCTCTCAAACACGTAGACTCGATGTTGGTCGCCGCTCAAAGTGGTCCATCTCACGATCAACAAGATCCATTTGATTGGAAAAAGGGTGATTGGTCTTACACCCACGTTGGTATGCCCGACAAGTGGGACTTTGATTGGATGACTATGAGTCAACAATCAATGGCTATTGATAGAAATTAAAAAAGAAACAAAAGAAAAAAAGAAAAGAATTCTATCATTTGTCATGATGATTTCTTCTTTTTTCATTATTAAATAAATTATAATATATTTATTGTACAATAATAATAATAATAATAATAATAATAATAATAATAATAATAATAATAATAATATTTAATATACATACATACTCTGATCACCAAATAGTTTGTTTGTTTGTTCCACCCCCAAGTACCTTTAATTATTCCAAGAGGCGATAGAACTATAATTGATTGACCACAGACTCGGGATATTGTTTGCCATAGGTTGATGCCGCCTTTCTTCCAATCTAGTGTTGCTCGCTCTCCTCTTATCGCGTTAATATATGTTGCTTGTCTGTTGTATCCTGATGTTGGGGAACTGTATAGATACCAATTGATCAAACTGTCTAGTTGCTTGATTTCGTCTTCTGTGATATTTTCAATGTATAAAAAGTAGGTGAGTTTGGAGAGAGTATGTTTTGATTATCGTCATTGACGCTCTCAGTGATACTCTAAATTTAATCCATTTTAGTAGAGATGATCGAATGTTGTTGAGGATGGAGGGTAGTTGTCTTGCTATTCCGAGCTTGGTGTCTAGGAAACCAAGGTATCTTTCTGCTGTTGTTCCTGTTGGGAAGGGGAACGCTTGGCCATCGAGTGTATTGGTGTATTTAAAGCTTTCGACAACATGATTTGTATGAATATTACTAGTTGTAGATATTATTAACTATTATTATTGCTTATTACTTAAAATTTATAGTTGAGATTATTACTAATTTGATTCTTGATACCATGTTATTTGTAGTTTGGATAGGTGTAGGTATGAGAATAATAATGTAGTTGACGTAAGACTGAATGGCCCTCTGGTGGGCTGTGAATATGTATACTAGTTTATTCTATTTAATGAGGTATCTATGTGTAATAGTCTTTATATGTCTATCTCTATTCTCTCTATGTATATTCTGAAGAGTCGTACTCATGACGTTCTTCCTCTAATGTAGTAAACTAAACTGAATGTAATAGATAACAGATGTGATGATAATTCTGTAACGTGAGCATAACCTCAAATGGTATCTTTGAGTTTTGCAAATAAATAAATATTAATTTAATAATATTCCTTTTAGGGAAACTCCCTAACAGTTTGTCTATTATTATGCATTTTTGTTTGATCAGACAGAATTTGTCTATTTTTTTTTAATTAATTCGTCAAGAGTACCCGACATGCCAGCCGAGTCGGCGAATGTCTGGACTTACCGATTTCAAGGCCTGTTGATGGTGGGATCGGCTGTTAACATATATATGGAGCGTGTCAAAGGTTCGATCAAGAGTGAAAATATGGTTGGAAAAAATCGGGTCCCCCTGTTTTGTGCCCCTGTTGATGGCCAACTCTTTATACAATTTTTTTTTTTTTTTTAATAAATATGGACTCTATTCGTCGGACAATAGAGTAATTATGGTTTATTTGTTTTAATTTTAATTAAAATAGTTAGAGGTTCAGTTAGAAAAGGGGCTCAAAAATATTTTTTTTATTTTTTTTAATAAAATCTTTGACCTCTTCATCACTGCTGAAGTCATATTGTTTATTTTTAAATTATGATTTAATTATTATTGTTGTTTAATTTGGAGTAGTTGTTAGATAGTGGTTAGTTTTAGTTAGGAAGGAGGGAATGCGATAGGGTGAAGCTAGTTTGCCCCAAATGAGAGAGAATTTAATAAAGTTTGCGATCAGTTCGAGATTAGTGACCGACCATGGATCAGGTTCACATTTAGCTAGAATCGACTTGCAGTTTTGGATTAGTAAAAAAAAAAAAAAAAAAAAAAAATTTTAGAGGTCAAAAGACCAACATCCCAAAAAACTCTCATCAAGCACCAATGGTTCAATGGTAGAATGGATCCCTGCCACGGATTCGATCCGAGTTCGATTCTCGGTTGGTGCACTCTTTTTTGCCCTATCTAACTTTTTTTGGCCGTAAACGGTATATTCGTGTTCTACACTCGATTCCCTATCGATTGAGCTAGGTTTCATTTATTTTCATTAAAACCACACAAAGATAACAACTTTGCAATCGAACCGATAAAAAAAAATCGACGTCTATTAATACACCATTTTTTAAAACTTATAGTAGTAAAGCAAACAGATAAATGAAATGAATGATAATAATGAAGAATCAGTATTTGTAATCGATGACGATAGAGACAATATTATACAGCATCAATCTACTATAGGATTATCGTCTAGTATTGGTAGTATTGACAACTCTACTACCTCTAATCTCAAAGTATATCATAGTAGAGATGACAAATTCCCACCATCAATCAAGTTTATCATTGGTAATGAAATATGCGAGAGATACACATTTTATGCAATTAGATCAATCCTCGTTATCTACCTCTTAAACTTTTATGGTTATAGTGGTGATACTGCAACTTCTATACTTCATTCATTCAACTTTGGTTCTTATTTCTTGTATGTCTACAAACCATTAAACTAAACTACTCTCAAACTAATATATATATTCCTCTTTTTTTTTATCTTCATTAGACCATTACTTGGAGCATATCTGGCAGATGGAATATTTGGTAAATATAAAACTATATTGTATTTTAGTTTAGTGTATTGTGTTGGATGTATATTCTTGGGGATGAGTGCTTTACCGAGACTGGTTGGTGATGATGTTGAAACGAGATCTCCATGGGCACTGATAGTTGGTTTATTACTTTTGGCAACGGGTACTGGTGGTATCAAACCTGTCATTTCAACGTTTTGTGGTGACCAGTTGGATGCCAAACGACAAGCATCGTTGGTTGAAAAGATGTACAAGATCTTTTATTGGAGTATTAATGTCGGTGGATCGGTATCGACGTTTTTATCTCCCGTCTTTAGAGAACATCTAGGATACGGTTTTGCATTTGGTATTCCATGTCTATTCATGTTTACTGCCACCATCTTTTTTGTAATGGGTTCTAAACTCTACAGAAAGAGACCTATTACTGGTAGTATTCTCATTACAACATTTGGTATTATTGGTAGAGGATTATGGGAACGAATCAAAACACTATGTGGACGATCTTCACAAGGCGAGTCATACTATAATGGACATTGGCTCGACCGTTCAAAATCACATTATGACAATCATGCAGTCGAGTCTGTTAAAGCATCTCTAAGTGTTTTAGTTTGTTTTATCCCCCTACCATTCTTTTGGGCTTTAAATGATCAATCTTCATCAAGGTAAATTTAATTATAGACATAATAATATAAAAGAATTAATATTAATACTTTTTATTTATATCTTATAGATGGACACTTCAAGCAACACAAATGAATTTAAATATAGCTGGTAGTTTTTCAATTCAACCTGATCAAATTCAAGCTCTCAATCCTATTATTGTACTTTCCATCATTCCACTTTCAGAGATATTAATTTATCGTCCTTTAAAAAAAAGAGGTGTATGTAGTAAAGAATCATTAAAAATAATTAATTAATTGTCTTTTTGAAATTAATTCTTTTTTTCTTTTCTCTATTTTCTTTTTAGATACCATTTGGCCCATTAAAAAGAATGGGAGTTGGTATATTTATAGCAGTATTTTCATTTATTGCATGTGCATTATTACAAATTCATATTGACAAGAGTGAAGCCAATAGTGTACCAGTATTACTTCAAATACCACAATACTTTATATTGGCGGTTGCCGAAATATTCATATCGATTCCAGGATTGGAATTTGCCTATTCACATGCACCTGCATCACACAAAAGTTTAATCATGAGTGGATGGTTATTGTCCATCTCTGTTGGCAACATTTTTGTTGTTTTCGTGGTCGATGCCATCAAACTAACCGTACAATGGCACGAATATATATTATTTGCAGGGTGTATGTTAATATTTGGGTTTATATTTATATTTATTGCTTATCGATTTAAAGCACCTGATTCATCAATTGTTAATTATCAGGCCGACCAAGACCAACACGACGATGACGAAAATGAAATCCAATTGGAAGCATTTGGTGAATCAACAACGACAAGTATTGCTCAACTACAAGATGAAGATGATATAACAAATCATTCAATACTTTCAGATTCATCGTCAGATACTAATATTGTAACAACTAAAAACAACAAAAATGAATCTTATACTTTACTTAATCATCACAGCAATCAATAAAGTTTTAGTTAGTTTCATTTTCAATTTTCAATTAAATTAGAAAAGAGATAGTAAATTTAAATGGATAAGACTAGACTTAATATTTATAGTGTATTTAGAAATCAATATTTAGTAAAGATTATTGGTAGAGAGATTAGAGAGATTAACAAGACATATCATGACAATAATAATATTGTATCATCTTATAGATTTGATCAAATACCATGTTTGAAATGGGTTGTAGAGAATGATACAGGTAATCTATTACATGATCTATGCAAGAGATCAATAAAAGGTCAAATATCATATCTATCAAGACTACAAGTTAAACGAGCAACACTTAATATGATTGTGGCTATTTGTTCACCTCATACATACCATAGATCAATTAAATTCAAGATGGATACATTTGAAAAGATATTTACATACTATCAATCTGCATTTGAACAAGAACACTTTGCAGTTGATAGTGCTGTACTATCTGGTAACACCGAATTGATTACATACCTATTACAAAAAGGTGTACCATTCACAACCAACTCATTTGATAATGCTTGTTCAATTGGTAGATTAGATATCATTCAATTATTATTAAATCATAAATCAAATAATATATTTATTGTAAGTAATAGTAATATATTCTTCTTCTTCTTCTTCTTCTTCTTCTCTCTTTTACTTTTTACTTACAATTCTTATTCTTCTTATCTAGGATGAAATACAATTTACAAATCATTCATATGATGTTGCAGCTACAAACGGTCATATAAATGTATTATATTATTTGGATCAATTAAAAGAAGAGTATGATAAAAAGGGACAATATCATATGATAGAGTTTACAGTAGCTGCTATGGATGGTGCAACAAAAAATCAGCATTGGAATATAGTCAATCACATGTTGAAACGATATGGACAAAAGATCAAGTCTGACCGACCGACGTCTTTTCCACCTTCTGATCATGATCTAAATCTTCCACTATTTTCAAATGAATCATTAAAATGGAGTGTTTGTTATGGAAACATAGAAATGTTGGAAACATTGATAGGTTTTGAAAGTCCTGACAAGAATAATACTAGATGGTTGGATGAAGGATTAAATATGGCAGCTTCACTTGGTCATTTAAAGATGATTAAATGGGTTCAAAAGAAGAGTTGGTCATTTGGGATATTACCATTACGCATGTTGGAAGAGGCTGTTAAATCAAGTCATGTCAATGTGATTAAATTCTTGTTGGCTTCCAAGAATTTTGCAAAGTTTGGGTCCTCACTTAAAAGGCTTGATCTCCCAGGCCCATTGTTTGCAGCTACCATCAATGGACGACTAGATATTTTGGAGCTGTTGATAAAGACATATATTAAGAACCACGCACCTCTTGATAGAAGAGGTACACCAGTCCACTTTACAGGTATGGTAGGGTTGGCTTGTTCAAATGGTCATCTTCACATATTGGTATGGTTACTTGATAGGTTTGTGGGTGCTGACGTTCCACGTGAATGTCTTGTACAGACTGCATGTCGTGCTGGTAAACTCGAAATATTAAAGTATTTGGTCGAACAGAGACGTTTCAAACTCACATCAGACGATCTAGAAGATTGTGTAGGTGAAGGTCATTTAGAGTGCATAGACTATATCCTCACCACACAAAATGTAATGGTATCAAGAAGATCTATTAAATTTGCGTGTATGGGAGGAAATGACCAGGTGTTGAAACGTCTCATTGATGCTATTACGGTACAGAGAACAAGTCGTGATGACTTGATAGATTTTGCCATTCAATTCCTTGATTGTGCCATTACAGCCGGTTCATTAAAGTGCATACATTTATTAGAGTCAAATATAAAGGTTGAAAGTGATCGATTGGTCACTGTACAACAACTCAAATTGGCTATTTATTGTGGATCAATTCTGATTGCAAAGTACTTGGTAGAAACATACCCCCATCTTTTAGAGATACCATCAACATCATCTATAGCCGAACAATTGGATATTACAGAAACAGTCAATTCAAAACGACACAGTATGGTAGATTATATACTTGGATTAAAAGCAAACAAGTTTGTTGAGGAACTTGGTAAAACGATTGAATTGGAGCAATCTAGATTTCAAGTATCACACGATGCCATTGAAGCGGCAGTACATAACTTGGATTCACAAATGATTGATATATTCATTTACCACCGACCCAATATGCATATCCCCAGTCCAAACACACTTCTCACCTATGGATATATTGATCTATATGACCGAGTAGTTTTATGGAACAAGGAAATCAATTACATTGAAGAACAAGATTGTCTTTGGTATTGTTGTGCCATTTTGGCTGGTAATATTGACCTCTTAGAGTATCTTGTCAAGGAGAGAGGATTCTCTATTCCAGTGTCATCACCATGTTCAAGTGTTGGATGGTCAAAACAAATACAAACTAGAATTGGACCTAGTATACGATCGGTGGTGTATCTAGACTCACCTGAATACTCTTCATTCAAGGAATTACATTATCAAGAATCTATACAATTTGAATGTGTCGCCAATGACAATTACTCGGTCATTGTCAATTGTAAGGCACCCACACTTCAAAGTAGAGCCATCTTGGAGGCTGGTCGAAACGCCAATCTAACCCTACTCAGACACATGCTTTCCAAATCGACTCCACATGGATTCAAAGAAAATATAACCTATCATTTAAAGATATTCACAAATTATTCTATTTTTTATTTCTTACATGATTTGATTTCAATCAATCAATCAATTAAATTAATTAATAATAATAATTAATTGGAAAATGAAATGAAAATATGTGTAATAAATAATAAATAATAATATTATATTATATTATATTATTAAATTGTATGTAATCATCAGATCAGAACCCCCGATCCATTTCAATTCAATTCGTTTTTAGGGGGGGTGTGAATCGATTTTCGTAACATGTAATTTTGAACAACATACATACATGTACAAAAAGTATTTATTTATTTTTTTATCATCAATGATGATGGCACCACCTTTCTTTTCATGACCCTTTTTACCTCTTGAATAAATTTTTTTATTTATCTACTTTTATGACCCTGTGTGTAGGTGTGGGTTACAGTAAAGTAAAATTAAATTTAATTATGATAAAAATAAATATATATATTTTGTGCAAAAACGTGGATGATTTCTTCATGAATACGACGATCCATCAAATATCATTATATTTGTTCAAAGTTATACTTTTTTTGAAAATTATTATTATTTACAAAAAAAAACAATGAAATTAATATTATCAATTTTATTTGTTATATTCTTTAGTTCAGTTATTTTATCATCAGAGTTTACTAGTTTCTCTGATGAATTTTCAGCCGATGCTGAATCTCTTTATGGTCGTCACAAACGTCCTCATCATCATCATCATCATCATCACAAATGTTTCCGTAAAGCAAAGGGTTACACTACCTACTTTGGTGTAACTTCTTTTAATTGTATGTTCCCAGATGGTCAAGGAAATATTAAACCAATGTCATTTGCTGAATGTATGTAATTTTAGAAATATTTTAAAAAGAAAAGAAAAAAAAGAAAAGAAACGAATAAATCATTACTAACTTTAAATTTTAAAATTTATAGATGGAAATACATCAGTTGATTTCCATGGTCAAAGAATGAGAGTCAATTATTATATTGTTGGTGATAATTGGAGAGTTAATGGTTCACTTTGGGGTTTTGGTAAATCTGTATGTTATTAAACAATTTATAAATAATATAATATATTTATACAAATACTAATTTACTTTTTTATATTTTATAGGGAGAAATGTATGTTCTTCAAAATGGTACATGTTCAAAATACAATTTATCATTCCCAATTCCATCTGGATATCCAGTCAATCAAACTCATTTCATTGCAAAGGGTAAGATTGGACAATTCAAAGTTGATATTCTAAGCGTCAATCCAACTCCATCTGGTGAAACCAATCAAACCGTTTTATTTGATCCAAAACACTGTGCTTGTGTCAGTTCAATGCTTAGAAATAATGATCGATCACAACCAGGTTATGCTACAATTGAATTCTTTGACTACAGAAACGACTATGATAAACATTACTTTTCATTGCCAGGTGAATGTAGTGATCTTGCGTTCAGTGATCCTTCTACTATTCATAGAAACGTTGGAAGTCAAGTAGTCATGTGGGGTCACAAGAAACCAATCGTTATCCCCAACTACATCCATTTATCACCAAACTATTTCTAAATCATTTTGAAATCAAAATCATTTAAATTGGATAAATTTAAAGACAAAAAAATAATAAATACATAAATATATATAGTTTTCAAGAATATTCCTTCAAAAAACACAAATTTTTTTAAAAGTTTTTATTAATATTGAACAACTCTATTTCTATTTCCCTTTTTGATCTAAAATAACCTTGTTTTAAAAGGACTTGTTGGTTGGTTGTCAAGATATATAGAAATTAAATTTGTGAACATTCTCTGGTTCATATACTTTTACTAAAAGTGGGAATACAAAGACAACATTGTCTCTTTGGCCATTGAGAGTTTCTGGAAGTTGTGGAGCCTTTGGGGTCTTGCAAACAGATACAGTAGTTTCTATATATATATAGGGTAAAATTGGAATTAAATTAATAAAGTTAGGAAATTATCTTTTCAATTTGGAAATCATTAATAAATTTATAAATAATTACCATAAAGAGTCATGATGATGATGATGTTGTAGTTATCTTAAGATTGTAAAATGAAAAGTTGAATGAAAATAGTTGGTGGAAAAGATGATTGTTTTATACTCAATCTATAAAGTGAATCGGCACAGTTGTTGTTGTTGTGACACAACCGTGCATCAAAGGGACGATTCAAATAAGTATTACATTACCCCTCCCTCGGTCGACCACCAGATTTTAGTTAATTTAGTTTAGAAAATTTATTCTTCTTCCAAGTTTGGTTGATAGTGAGTGACACTCAATATCGGTAGATTCCTCTCACCCATCCACCAAAGTAGATCAAATAAAAAAAAATAAAAAAAAAGAAAAATCAATCTTTAAAACGATTTAGAAAATTAGATATCTATTTATAATGTGCCAGGAATGAAGAGTGATAATGAAGACTATACAGAAACACAATCTATATTTGTAATCGATGATAGTACTTTAATAAATGAAGATAAGAGTAATGGTGACATCAGAGTAGGAGGAGGAGGAGAAACAACAGACAATGGAGCAGACACTTACAAATTTTATCATATCAAGAGTTTGTCACTTGACAATGATGATGGTGATGAAATATCAACAACAACAGGTGATCATATGACTAGTAAAGTCGATCGATTCCCACCATCTATAAAGTATCTCATAGGTAATGAGATTAGTGAAAGGTATTGCTATTATGCAATACGATCTATTATGGTGTTATACTTGATCAATTTCTATGATTATAGTCATAATCAAGCTACCTCTGCTTTACATACATTTAGTTTTGTTACTTATTTTTTGTATGTACAATACAATATCGAATAAATACAACACACAATTAACATACTTTATGTTAAGGTTTACTAATTCATTAATTTAATTTATTTATTAATTTATAGTCCAATATTAATGGGAGCCTATTTAGCAGATGGAGTAATTGGAAAATACAAGACTATATTATGTTTTTGTATAGTTTATTGTTTTGGTTGTATTACATTGTGGATGAGTTCATCCTCGAGGATTGTAGGAGATAATCCTGAAACACGGTCTTCTTGGGCACTTGGTATTGGTTTGTTGTTGGTGGCTACTGGTACTGGTGGCATCAAACCAGTGGCACTCACATTTTGTGGTGACCAATTGGATGCCAAGCGACAAGCACCTTTGGTCGAAAAACTATACACACTCTTTTACTGGAGTATCAACGTTGGTAGTTTTGGTGGTACCATTCTTTCACCAATCTGTCGTGCCTATCTTGGTTATGAAATAGCATTTGCCATTCCATGTCTCTTTATGTTTATGGCAACCATATTCCTACTGTTGGGAAGAAAACAATATAAAAGGCGACCAATCACTGGAAGCATCCTTCTCACATCGTTTGGAATCATTTTAAGAGGTATTTGGGAGAGATGTAAATCATTGGTTGGAAAAGCATCACAAGCTCAATCCCATTACAATGGTCATTGGTTGGATCGATCAAAATCGACATTTGATAATAACTCTGTAGAATCTGTTAAAGCATGTCTAAACGTTTTAGTTTGTTTTATTCCAATTCCATTCTATCGTGCAATGGGTGAATTATTTCCTTCAAGGTAAATATTAAACAATAATATTTATAATTCTAAAAAATATAAATATTAATTTATTTATTTATTTATTTTGTAGATGGACACTTCAAGCATTATCAATGAATAGAAAGATAGGTATATTTACAGTTCAACCAGACCAACTTCAAGTACTAAATCCACTCATACTTTTGGCAATCATTCCACTCTCAGAGGTATTAGTATATCGTCCTTTGAGAAACAAAGGTGTATGTATTAATATTATTTATTTATTTTTCAAATGTATTCTTATTAATTAATTATCTTTTTTTTTATTTTCAAAGATACCATTTCATCCATTAAAGAAAATGTCAATTGGAATGTTTACAAGTATAATTGGGTTTTTGGTTTGTGTTGGATTGCAGATACATATTGATAATAGTCCTAAAGAGAGTGTGTCAGTGTTTCTTCAAATACCACAATATTTTATAATGGCAATTGCAGAATTACTGGTTACTGTGCCAGGATTGGAATTTGCCTATTCTCATGCACCGGCATCACACAAAAGTTTAATTATGAGTGGATGGTTAATAGCAATCTCACTTGGTAATCTGTTTGTGGTGTTGGTGGTCGACGGTTTCCAAATAGCCGTACAATGGCACGAATATCTATTTTTTGCCGGTTGTACATTAATCTTTTCATTTGTGTTTGTCTTTATTGCCTATCGATTCAAACCATCATCGGCATCTATCATCAATTATCAAGCAGATCATGATGAATTTGAATTGGACCAAGACGATGAATTATTTGACAATAGCAATAATGGAGTTCAAATGAAAGAAAGAATAACAAGTATAGCAACAGAGGAACCTCAAGATGGCGACGATCATTTGCGTTCTAGCAATGATGGTGGTTCTATTCTAACTGATTCTTCATCTTCTATACTTGGTAATGTTGGTGGTAATAGTAAAAATAATCAATCTAGATATACTTTATTAAATCATCATCACCAAAAGTAAAGTAAATAATATTGTAATATAAATAACTTGTATAAAATAATAATAATTAATAATAATAATATAAATTATTAAAATAATAATAATTAATTAAATTATTTTCTTTATTGAAATTAATAATTAATAGTAATTGGTGGTACAAATCACATTGTAATCATTCAACACAATTTTGCGTGGTTCCTCTAATATAATCTGTATCATTTGACAGTCCTGTTGAGATGTGGGAGATGGAGATCGGGTAGCCATTGACTTTTCATCAACATCCAAAGACATTGGCTCCAACAAAAGTGGTGCAGGAGCAGTTGGCAAAAAAATAGGTGATGAAAACCCAGGCTCTAAAAATAACTGAGAAGGAGCAGGAGAATAACGTCGGGCATTACTTGGTGGGAAAAGGAGGGGTGTCGAAGATGTAGGTTCCAATAATAATGGAGATGGAGCAGGAGGAAAACGTCGGACATTACTACTTGGTGGGGAAAGGAGGGGTGTTAAAGACGCGGGTTCCAACAATAACGGAGAGGGAGCAGGAGAATAACGTCGGGCATTACTTGGTGGGGAAAGGAGTGGTGTCGAAGATGCAGGCTCCAATAATAATGGAGATGGAGCAGGAGGGAAAAGGAGAGGAGTTGAGGATGCAAGTTCCAATAATAATGGAGAAGGAGCAGGAGGATATCGTCTGATTTTACTTGGAGGTGGATCTGGAAGATCAGAGAGAGAGCCAGGATGCAATGGTAGAGGCAACCTGGTAAAACCAGATGGAGAGTGGTCAGTCATTGGTAACGAGTTGGTGTATTCTGTTGGAGCTAACCAAAGAGACTGGAAATACCATTCCTTTAGTTGTGGAGACACTTGTAGACAGCCTGGCTTGGCTGAGGTCGGATTGCTTTTGGGTTCATAGTTTGGATCTATATTCATTCCCAACCATGATGGACTGTTGGAGGTAGTGAATGGAGAAGGGAGCACTACTGAACAGGGTCTAGATTTGAGAAAATCGAAATGCTCCCTTGGAATAGCTTCTACATATCTATGAGGATGTGAACTATCTAAAGTAATTGGGGTGTGGCTAGATGGATGACACAGATGAGAAATTGACATTCTTTGTTGATGTTGAATGAGTGGTTGATTAAATGGAGATGCCATTATCAAATCAATAGAGTACAGGTGAAGGAATAATACAACAATGTAAAGTAGAGTAGAGTGAATTGAATTTGTACAAAGAGAATAAATTGTTAGATTTGTGAATTGAGGGAATGCTCAATTGAGTTTCCTTTGAACCTATTGATTCGATTTACTCCATCCATTAGTATTGTTGTCCTAGCCTCTGAAAGATTATGATGGGCTCTCCCACCCATTCCAATACAATCATATCTGATTCGAGCATTTTGAAAATGGCACAATGTGATGAGAATTGAACCTTTGTTGATGACAGGTTTTTAAAATGAATTAACTAAAACACAATTGAACAATTCTATTTTTTGTTTACCCATTAATGTAAGATTAGCCTAAGTTCAACCATCTATTGTTGACTAGTGGAGCGCTGATTTTGATTTAATCCTTGAAATCGAAAATAACCACTCTTAAAAATCATTGATCTTTCTGATTAATATTTAAATATATGTCTTCCAAACTAACTCCAAAGTAAAGAGGTATATAATAAATAAATATGGATATGATGTAGAAAATATCATTGAAGAAGAAGATAGTAAAAAAAATTAAAAAAAAAAAGAAAGACCATGATGATTTGTTGAACGATGATTTTTGTATGGTTAAATAAAAAAAGAAAAAAAAAAGAATATTGTTTGAAAAATGATTCTATTGATGTAAACCCTGAAAGGTAAGTAGTTATTCTATTGGATTTTTTAATCTTGGTTGTAGAATCAGTAATTTTACTGATATTTTTTAACTAAAAAGTTTAATAGATAAAAAAAATAAATAAATACAAGGAATATGTTAAAATATTAAATTAATATATTTTATTTATTTATGATTTAAAACTATTATTATTATTGAGGGACCAACGCATTGTCCTCTGGTTCTTGTCTCGATTCCAAAAACAATTGAGGAAGAAAGTTGAGAGATTGGAAAGGGGTGGGAGGTGTCCCAGGTAACTTAAAAGAGCCAGGTGTTGACGGCAGAGGCAATATAATTAGACCAGGTGGTTTGTGTTCCAGATTACACACGTCGGATGGTGTACAGGATGTTGGCATATAATCTTTAAGAGGTGGGTGAACCAGTGATGATGGATGGAGTTGAGGAAAGAAAAAAGTACAGGGCAACAACAATATCGACTCTTGTGGTGGTGGTGGTGGTGTGATGGATACCAAATTTGGAGACTTGTCCGGTTCAGTGGGTCTTAGTCTTGGGTACTCGACCATATCTCTAACTTTGGTGTGGTTTGGATCGAATGGGAGCGACCGATTGCCCGATCCATATGGACGAGTTGATTGGCGACCAATGGATCTATTTCTCACTGGTCCCGCACCAAGTCTAGTTGGTAATAATTCTTGGTCGAATGGTAGAAAGAGGATGGTAGGGAAAAAAGATGATTCTTAAACAAGTTGAAATCATTTATAACAAATGGTCCTTGATTTCCTATATTGGGTTGAATAAGGACAGGTTCAGCCCCTAGTTCAATTTCCTGGATAGAACATCTGCGTTGAATAATATTGGTGGGATGGGGTTGTTGTTGTTGTTGTTGTGGTTGTGGTTGTTGTTGGTTTGATTGGGAAGACATTTTAGATAGATATAATTATTATATGTATTGGTAGAGTAGAATAGGATTGGATAGGATAGTGTTTATTGAGTAGTATAAAGAGAATGAATTGATTAGAATTGAATTGAATTGGGGGAATATGAATTGCATTTACTTAAATAGTCTACTTTTCTTCGTTTGGTTCCATCCACGCGTTGCCTTAACCGCTTGGCGTGTGTGAGTATTGTTGTGATGTCCGAAAGATTTCTATGGGCTCTCCCACCCATTCCAATACAATCATATCTGATTCGAACCTTTTGAATCGGGGCACAATGTGATGCTGAGAACTGAACCTTTGTTGATGACAAGCTTTTAAAATGAATTAACTAAAACACAATTGAACAATTCTATTTTTTTTTTGTTGACCCATTAATGAAGAATTGGTTCAACCAATCTGATTGAATCAACATTATCTATTGTTGATTGGAGTTTACTAGTAGTAGTGCTAATTTTGATTGATTATCCTTGAAATTTAAATCAATAAGTGTACATTAAACCTTGAAAAATCTTTTTGTTTTCTGATTAATATTTAAATATATTTCTTCCAAACTGAGTAAATAGAAAATAAATATGGATATGATGTAGAAAATAGTGAAATATATCATTGAAGAGAAAGATACATATCTCTCCAGCTCCAAGTAAGAGTAAAAAAATTAAAAAAAAAACATAAAACAAGGATGCAAACTCGAAAACAACCTTTTGGCGATCGATTATTTGTCGTGAAGAGCAATGATTTTTAGATCCCCATAGGACGGCTTCTGCTACCAAAAGAAAAAGAAAAACAAAAACAAGATACTTGAAACGGATGAATTCGTTCATCACTTCCAAAAAAGGAATGGAACTTGACCCTTTTGAGACAATTTTCTTTTTTTTTGGAGGTTTGTGCACAGGTGCCTCTTGGTTGATGGCTCAACAGCACCCCCAACCTAGGGACGAGAACCCAGAGCCTTGATTCAACAGATAACTTTACCCTAATAATATTAAAATTAATTAATCAGATAGTAGACATTTTAAATATATTATAATATTTTTATTCTAATTGATGAGAGCAATTTTAGAGTATAGAAACCCCAAACACAAACATATGTTGAGATACTATTGATATACCTAGAGTACTGATCTTGTAGAATTTATAGTTTTAATAAATAAAAAAACTTTAATGATTAACATTAATATGTATGGAATTCTGGTTCTTTGTTTAGTAAAACAAAAAAAAAAATCATAACCACAACTTCATAGAGTGGTGTTATGATTGTTAGAACACATAACATTCATTCAAACACACTTCATGTGTTTCATTTATCATGGTCGACTAGTGATGGTGATGGTGGTAATCGTGGTAGTCAGTGATATGACTGACATGGTAAACATTCATATCTGAATGATTATCATTTACAATTAGTAATGATTAAATCAAGAGATAGATAGATAATTTGATATCTATAGACTCATAGGATCGATGGTTGTTACTCGTAAACTACACTATAATACTGATGGTGACGATGAAACACAGTCAATCTTTAAACAAGATAAAGATCAACAAGACTCTATTCCAATATCACACATTGAACAACAACAACAAAAAGAAGAAGAAGAAGAAGAAGAAGAGGAGGATGAAGATAGTTATATTACATTTATAGATCAATCTGATGAAACCCAATCACAAACACTTTCATTTCCTCCATCAATCAGATTTCTCATTGGTAGTGATATTTTTGAAAGATATACATTCAACTCGGTTCGTTCAATCATGGTCATGTTCCTCATCAACTTTTATGGTTACAATAATAATGATGCTACATCAATACTCCATGCCTTTATTTTTATTACTTTTTTATTGTATGTTTATTGAAACGAAACCATTAATCCCCTCAATCAATCCATATATTAACATCGATGAAATCTTTGTTTTTCATTTATAGTCCAGTAGTAATAGGAGGATATTTAGCAGATGGAGTAATTGGAAAATATAAAACAACTTTATATTTTATGGTTATGAATTGTATGGGTTCTATATTATTGTTTCTTAGTACTATTCCTGCTAGTGACAATCCAAACTCTAGAAACCCATTTGTATTGTTGGTCGGATTGGTTCTACTTTCATTTGGCACCGGTGCATTCAGGCCAGTGTTTACAGCGTTTATTGGAGACCAATTGGATGCAAAGACACAAGGTCCACTGGTAGGTAGGCTTTACACTTTTTACATGTGGGGACTCAATCTTGGCTTTCTCCTCTCTTCCATCGTTTCACCACTCATTGGCGCCAAAATTGGATACCAAGCAGCATTCTTGGTTCCATGTCTTTTTAATTTTGCATCAATTGCTCTATTGCTCTTGGGTGAAGAGCATTACCAAAAGAGACCAATTTCAGGTAGCATTTTCATTTCTGCCTTCAAAATTATAAGTTTTAGTATTTTTGAAAGATTTAAAAATATATTAAACATCAAAAATAATAATAATAATAATAATAATAATAATCCTTCTCTTCCTCCTCTAAATGAAAAAGAACAAGAAAATGTAAATAATAATAATAATAATAATAATTCAACACATTGGTTAGATACTGCAAAATCAAAGTATGATCATTGGTCAGTAGAATCACTCAAAGCATCGATTGGTGTCCTTGCTTGTTTTATTCCATTGCCATTTTATAGAGCCATGACTGAACTGACAGCTTCAAGATGGGTCCTTCAAGCTCTATCAATGAATCGAAACATCGGTGGTTGGTTTATGATTCAACCAGACCAAATTCAAGCATTTAAACCACTTTTAATGATATCACTCATTCCAATATCTGGTTTAATATTTAAATATATGGATAAAAAAGGGGTATGTATTTTTTAGTATTCTCTATTTTTGATTTAATTAATTATTAATTATTTATTTTTATTTTATTTACAAAGATTGAACCAAGACCATTACAAAAAGTTGGAATTGGATTGTTTACGAGTATTGTTGCAATGATAATGTGTACATTATTACAAATACATATTGATCATAATCCGCCAAACAGTGTACCGTTATATCTACAGGTACCTCAATTTGTAGTATTGGCACTGGCAGAGCTACTCATTTCCATTCCACTATTACATTTCTCGTACAAATACTCGGCAGCGTCACACAAAAGTTTAATCATGAGCGCACATTTGATATCGATCTCTCTCGGCAGTTTGATTGTACTTTTGGTGGTGGATGTATTGCAATTCTCTGTACAATGGCATGAATATTTATTATATGCAGCATTGACATTGCTATTTTCTCTCCTTTTTGTTTTTATTGCTAAAAGGTTTCAACCTCCTCCTTTGGAATCATCAATATTAAATTATCAAGATGATTAATCATACACCACATTCTATCTTGCTGACTGTGATGTGATAGGATGAGGGTTAATATCTCCTTCCAATAAAAACCAAATATATAAATACATACTGACAGCAATGACAATAGTTGTAAAATATCAAATGATGGTAATCCTAAATGTACAATGGAAATTAAAATTAAAAATAGAGTGATCAAACCACATAAAAGGGTTGTCCATCGAAATCAAAATCAAAACACAAACTCCATTTTACTATTTTTAATCACCCATTACCCACACTCTGTTATACAATATCGAAATCTGTACATATTTAGATTTATTAATATATCCTATATATCATTTATGATTTGATTACTATTATCATCATGCCAATAAATTTTTGTTGTTGTTAACAAGATGGAAAATGAAAAGAACATGATGATAAATTGACCTATTAATCAATACTAAATAATCATCATCAACAAGTAAAACATTTAATTTCTATTTGTTATAATTATATGAAATAGAAATGGAAGATTCGAAAACTCAGGATATTGACATTATAAATAATAGCAATAATAATAATTTTAATGATGACAATGTGTTTAATCAATCATCCAAAAATGATACAATAGATATGGAAGAAGAGGCAGTAGGAGCAGATATTAAAGTTGAAACTGTTAAATTCCCGTCGGCACTTAAATATCTCTATGCTTTTGAAGCATTTGAAAGGTATGCCTACTTTGGAATCCGAACGATTATGATGTTATACATGATCAAATTCTATGGGTTTAGTGATCATCTTGCTACTACTATTAATCATGTTTTCCAAGGAATAGGTTATTTTTTGTAAGTACTAAAACAAACAAAAAAAAAAATATAAATTAATTAATCTTTTTATTTAGACCAGTAATATTGGGAGGATGTATTGCAGATGGAAAACTTGGAAGATATAAAACACATTTAATATTTTGTTTGGTATATTGTATTGGATTCATATTTCTAATACTTAGTACTACAACAATGATCGTTGGTCATTCAAAGTCGAGATGGGCATTATATGTTGGTTTGCTATTTATTGCATTTGGATCAGGCGGAGTTAAACCAATCATACCAACAATGATGGGTGACCAAGTAGAAAAAAAGGACAAATCAAGAATGGTAGACAAGATATACTCTTTATTCTTTTTTATCATTAGTGTTGCCGTTTTAGCCACCACCATCACTGCTCCACTCATTCGAAGTTCTGTCAGTTACCAAGTAGCATTTGCCATGTGTTTTTCATCCTTTTTCCTTGCCATTGCTTCGTTCATGTCTGGATCAAATCAATTCAAAAAGAGACAAGTCACAAATTCTGTTTTATTGACATCGATTGGTATCATTGGAAATGGTATTTCGGAATCAATTAAATATCTAGTTGGTCGTCCATCATCACTCGGTCATATAAACTATCAAGGACATTGGTTGGATCGTACCAAAGCCAAATACCAAGAAAATGATGTTGAATCGGTTAAGCTATGTTTAAATGTGTTCACCATTTTCATTCCATTCATCTTTCAAAGAGCATTACCAGAGTTGAGTAACACTCGTTGGATTTTACAAGCAGAATCAATGAATAGACAGTTTGGAAACCATCTAATCTCATCGGATCATATTCAAGCCATTTCATGTTTTTTATTTCTCATTTCAATTCCATTTTGTGAATATCTAATTGATAGACCACTTAAAAGAAGAGGTGTATGTAGAGAAGATTAAGCAAAGTTTACAATTAATATTAATATTTTTTTTATCTTTTTAGATTAAATTTAATCCATTAAAGAAAATGGGAGTTGGTATATTTATTAGTATTTTGGCATATATAATGTGTATCATATTACAATTATATATTGACAAGAGACCACCATATAGTGTATCCTTTTTTTTACAAGTCCCACAATTATTTGTACTTTCACTGTCAGAGGTATTCATATCGATTCCAGCATTACAATTTGCCTATGAAAATTCACCTGCCACTCATAAAAGTGTTGTCATGAGTGCATGGTTGGTTTGTATATCTTTGGGTAATATGTTTATTGTTGTGGTCATTCAATTGAGCCACTTGAAACAATGGTTAGAGTATTTGGATTTTGTGATTATCACTCTTGTTTTTGGAATCATTTTTATTATATTGGCATATCGATTCAAACCACCCAATTCAACTCTTACTCACTATAAACCAAATCAAACTAAAAACAACAACAACAAGGAAAAAGAAAAAGAAAAGGAAAATGAAAATTATCAAGTAAAGAAGGATAAAGTGGTGATTGATCAACAAACTCAAATAGATATGGAAATGGAAATGAATACAACAACTATTCCACTTTATGATGATCAATAAATAATAAATAAATTAATAAGATAATATCTCATGGTTTCTTTTTTTTTCTATTTTTTCTATTTTTTCAATCAAAAAAATCATTTAGGAAGTTAGTTGTCTATATAAATAAGTATACTAAAGAGAACTTACAAACTATCTTGGGGATCTTGCTATCAATCATTTTATATTTTGAATATTCGTTTTCTAATTAGAGCTTTCATCAAAGGAGGAATAACAAAGCTACTCGATCGGTTGCTATAGAGAATGGAGAGTTTGTTTATTTCCTTTTTTAGCTTTCTTTCTTTTAAAAGTAAAGAGAGTGACCTTTTAAATAATTTTATATCGTTTATAAAGTAACGACCAATTAAAAGATAAATCGGATCTATCTATCTATTCTATTCCTTTTTTTGTTTTTATTTCTATAATGTTACAAATGTATAGATATATATTTATATGTAAAGATACTGTTGTGTAGTACATGTAAAAGAGTACCATTCTTGTTGTATTTAAAACACTTTAATACAAAAATAAACATGTGTTGGCCCCCCCCAAGACCCATACGTATGTATCAACTGGAATTATGATATAGAGATACCAGTAGTGGAGCAAAATGAATCAAAATATTAAATAGGTTTATTATTATTGTTATCCAAAATAAAATGTGAATAAATATTATACAAATTGATATATAGCGTTCTGTAGTTTAATCAGTTGGTGGAATTAAAACTTTCATTACAAATTCATAAGCCTATAAATAATTAATAATAATTAATAAATTGATTGATTAGTTACACAAAGTCATGTTGTTAAAAATATTGGGTACCAGTTTGACTTACTAAAAATGTACAACCGTTGGCTGGAAAAGTACGAAGAAGACATGGAGTAAATCCTTTCCAGAATCCTTTCCATCCTTCGACAGCATAAATCTTTCTGGCACAATCAACCATGCCACTGTAACGTCTTGGTGTCTCGTCTGGCATGGTCATGATACGTGAACGAATGACATCAAATGGGAAATTGGTACACCAAAAACCAGTACCTGCAATACCACCAGCCAAAAATGATTTGGCAGCTGTCATTTTACCATTTTCATCCTTTAAATGTCTATTTGCTAATTCATATCCTCCAAAATAGGCCCACAATGAATTTCTCTACAAATTGATAAAATTGGTTGGTGAATTTATAAAAAGAGATTTCTAGATTTCTTTTCATTTCTCTACATACTTGGAAACCAGTTGGAATTAAAGCACGATATAAACCTTGAATACCTTCCTTTTTGACAACCTTTTTAATACAATCGATTGGTCCACTGTATAATTGGACACCTTGGTATTGTACTTGAAGCTTTGACTTTACAGTTTCGATTGGACAGGCCACGAAACTGACAACCCAACCTGTGATGGCACCAGATACCATTACCTCGGGCAAGGAGAGTGGTGTAGAGGTGTTTGGATGAATGTAACCCTTGACAATTTGAAGTGTTCCAAACATACAAGAATTGATGATACCCATACCAACCATTGGTGGCGTGGCACCCTTGTAGAGTGCCAAGAAACCCTCTTGTTTGATAGTGGTTTGCAAGCAATGTGTAAGACCTCTGAATCTACCAGTCGAACCCTCTGTTTGCATACGCACCTTTAAAGTATCAAATGGATGACCTGCCACCGTACAAGCGACACCAGAAGCTGCTCCACCAATAAAGTTTCTAATCTTGTCTCTTGTTTCTTTATCTTTTGAATTTATAATATTTATCATCATCATCGTCATTATTATTATTATTATTATTAAAAGAATAAGAAGAAATTGACATAAGGATGAAAAGCAAAAGAAGAAGAAGAATAAGAAATTAAAGGTGAGTATAATAACCAATGAATGAATGATAATGTAATGTCCTGCTGTCAGTCTTGGGTGTACACATGTGTATTTTTATCTTTCTTTCATTCTCTTTTAACACCGATGATCTATAGATAGTTTTATTATTATTAATGATTTAATGTTGGGTTGGGTTGGGGGGTGGGTGTTATTTGTTATTTATTGATTAATGGGGTTAGGGTTGAAAGCTGCAGCTGATAGGTGATGAGGTGATGAGGTGATGATTAAAAACAATGACTTGAACAAAAGGGGGGTGTATAATGAATGATGTATGTACCAATCGATCGGGTCGATGATTCAAATGTTGATCAGCAGACAGATGAACTACAAACTAACAAACTATATATACCTATTGAAGTTGTTGCAAGCATTTCTTTTCTATGTTCTTGATGTTGTTTATTTCAACAATATATATATCTATCTGCTGGTGCGTTGAATCTCGCTCACTCACTCTCTCTTTAAAGATGAATGATCATTCTCAAGCAAAGGGCGGACTTTGATGATCGTCCCCAAAACCAGTGAAAATCAAAGAAAGGAAGAGACACGACGAAAGTCAAAAACACTATCCGGATGGGAAATGGCCGGTGAGATATTATTATTATTAAATATATATATATATATATATGATTTAAATAAATATAACAATTTTTATTAATGTAAATATAACTTTTTACACATTACAGTTGATCACATCAATAAAATATGGAAACTTGTAAGTTTGCATTGTCCAGAATCTAGATTTCTGGTTTATATACAGATGTATCTTACAATTATCCCCACACACGCTATGAAATTATAAATCTATGCGGGTATGATTTTCAAAAAAGATAAAGCATACTTTACAACATATATACATATATTTATTGCATAGTAAGTTTGCATTGATCAATCTATTTTTTGTTTTGGACCAGACAATTTTCCCCCCACAGCACTCCATACGATTCTCTATATTTTTATATATCTGTGTGTGTTCGGCAATGAATATGTATATGTATATTTATATGTTATATATTTAAATTCCAATAATGGATAATAATTGCACTACTACCCAGCATGCTGGCTTGCTGTAGATCCATCAAAAATGACCAAACAGACAAAATCAAATCAAATCAAATCAAATCAAATAATCAAACCAATACTATAAATATCTTTTTTAGTTATCTAAAACTAACAACAATTCCTTATTTATCAAAAATGACTCTTTTGAATGCTTTTGTCTCATTGAAAGTTGGTGCAACTGTATCTCCTGTCAACAGACAAAAGCTATCAACTGTAAATGGTAGTGTTCTCCTTGGCTCCAATTCGTCGGCTGGTTTTTGGACAGATCTCTGGAATAGTATCAATAGTTACAAAGAGCTTAAGCCTATTAAATAGGCCGATTTGATTGCCTTAAGTTGGGAACAAACAATGATCTCTAAAGTCGATAAAGAATTAAATTAATTGGTGTATCTACTTTGATGATACTCATCAATCTTCATTCCATTTTATTCTAACATACAATTTTTATTATTTATATTCTAAAAAAAACAAGCTTGATGGTGATGTTCATCAGAGTTCATTTCATTTCATTTAAAACTAAAGATAAATGTACATGAAACGATGAAACTAGAAAGTTATTACAAGAAAAGAATAGAATCATTTGAATTCAATGTCTTGAATGTCGTTGAATCATTATTCAAATCATCGTCGTCACAGAATGCTGTCGAGTCTTTAGAAGAAAAGAAAAGTTTGAATATAGTATTTGGTTGTACTGATGGTAGAATCATTGTTTATAAACCTGTTATCAATACAAACAACAATAATAACAACACTATATCCTCGTCATCATCCCCTTCTCTGCCATCATCATCATCATTTGCATCTTCACAAACATTGATTGATGAAGTCGATAAAGATATTGTAGAGATTCTAGAGACTAAAGGTACATCTGTACAATGTATCTACTTTGATGATACTACCAAGTTTGGTACTACCGATATTGTCAGTGGTGACAGTCACGGTAACATTGTCATCTTTTCTAATCATCAGATCATCTATCGTGATTCTATTGGTTCTGCAATCTCTTGTTTAATCACTCATAAATCAATTAGTATGTGCATTGATACAACCCTCACATATGACCCCTTAATATTAATATATTTTACTATCTATCTATAGATAATGATTCAAGTATTATTATTGGTGATCGAACGGGTGCACTTTCATCTATTAAACCTCATCAACCAATTCAATGGAAATTAAAATTAGATTTAATAGATGATCGATTGAAATACTCTAATAATAATAATCGTTCAATTGATAATGATGATGATGATGATAATGATAATGATGATAGTCAAGTTGATGAAAAGAAAAATACTACATCATCATCGTCAACATCTACAACTCCATTATATGGTAGTTATTACCAAACATTGGCATCAAATAGTCATTGTATTAAATGCATGCAATCGATTGTAGTAAAGGATATTCATGGAGCAGAGTGTAGTTATATAGTGGTGTCTGATACTTCGAGTACTCTGCATTTTATCGATCGTGGATACCGAGTTGTCTCACTCAACGTACCATCACCAGTAACATCAATGGCAGTTGGTTACTTTCAACATATAACTGACGATGATAACCTATCGTTGGAAAACAACGGTTCAAATCAACACCAACAAATAGCACTTGGATGTGAAAATGGTTGGATTTATATAATGCATAATTATAAAATACATCCATATGTACAAGTAGGATACCCAATTACAAAGATATTAAAGTATACAGAACAACAAAATAATATTTCAACCAATCTATTAGATTATATCTTTTGTATTGGTCATTTTCATTCTTTAAAAATTTATTTAAACAAATTGGTATGTAAAGATGATTTAATTTCAAATTTACTAAATAATTAATTTTTAATCATTGTTTTATATATATATATATAGTTATCAACAGAATATTATACAGATGATTGGATTCATACAATGAGCTTTTTAAATAATCAACAACAACAAAAACAAAAAAATAATAATCATGGAAATAATAATAATAATAATAGTTTGACCAAGGAAGTAATAATAATTGGAAAATTAAATAATAGTATTGAATATTTATCTATACTATCATAAAAATATATATATATTGGTTCACATTAATGTTAAACAAATAATAATATAGATAAGATTACCCTGATTTATTTATTATTTATTTAATTTTATGTATGTATGTACATGTTGTGTTGTATTTTCGAGAATTAGAATACTTTATGGTGTTCAGCAGCTGTGACACATTGTTCACCAAATAGATGAATAATAGATGTATCATGTTGTACATCTTCTTTGAATTTGTTTCTTTCAAGAATACGAATAACTAGGAATGAAGCTGAACCTTGGATAACACCCCAAAGCGAGATACCAACATATGGAATCGATAAAACATACATTGAAATAATTGAGAATCCAAATAACCATCCAAAGAATCTACGATTAATATAAATCTATAAAAACAATCATAACAGATATTGGAAATGTTAATAATCAAGTATTATTAATACTTTGTATACTTTTTGTTTCATACCTCTTGTTTTGCATCGGGTACACGACAATAATAAACTTCTAATAATTCTTTACCAAGAGAATAACTGGCCATGAGTGCTTTGAGCATGTATGCAGAATGACTCTTTAAACTTGGATGAAGAGAGATGACTGATAGGATAAAAGACATACCCATGCCAAGTGGTTGATAGGCATAGTAAAAGTTGGAAGCTGCCAATACAAAGGTACCGATATAAGGGACCATCGAGAACAAGTAGACAACACCACCAAACAAGGCCATCTTTCCAAAACGGATCATGTAGCCACTGAATGGATACTGTTTGACGACTGGTGACTCTTTGAGAAACTCTGCCAATTGTTTGTTTTGTGAGGCCATCACATTGAAAAACATGTCCTCGTTGTAGGATGGCAAGACATAACGAAGTACACCAATAAAGACCATTGGGATGAAAAAGGCAATCTTGGAGAGAAGATTAAGTGGTGTAAAGTGGATCTGTATCGTTTCAAAGTGACCCAAGCCAAGTTTTGTAAACAATCCCATCAATGCCATCACTGGGAATGATAGTAGAGTCAATGCCAAATAAACCGATGCCATCATAATCAACATAATCTTTAATGTTTCAAAATAGGTCTTTCTAATCTCTTTGGTATTGATTGATAAGTAGAATCCTTTAAAGAGAGACAAATACAAAACAAATTAAAAAAAACACAATATTAGTATACACTACAACTTGATAACAGTAATGTGACTCTCTATCTATCTATCTATCTCTATCATACCCTTAAAAAAGGTAATGAAACCTTTGAAAAACTTTATATAGAATACAGGGTGAACAAGTGTTCTTCTCTTGGTTACCTTTTTAGCATCCTTTCTTGATAGATTGCCATTGATTCTTTCTTGAGTTGGTGACAATGGTGGTGTAGTAGTAGCAGGTGAAGATCCTGCATCGGGACTCTTCTTTAACGATGTCTTTACTAAATTCTTTCCTTCTTTTAAGTATTTATCCATTTCTTCTTCTATCTTGAGATAAGATAATAAGTAATGAAATGAAATGAAATGTGAATGATGTTGCAACTCTCTTCTCTTGTGTGTAAGTAATCCCTCTAATCTATCTAATATATCTATCTATCAGGTGACGATGCAATGAATGATGATGATGATGATGAAGATGATGATGTTGCCTTAATAATGTTAATGATGATGACGGTGATTGTAAAATGATGAAGGTCATTGCAAAGATTAATATCCGGCCCTGTTTCAAAATAAAAAGAAAAACATCCAACCTTTGACCAGAAATCCTCCCATAAACTGATCCTTGCATCAACCTTCCACAACACGACCGTGTACAGAGTGAAGAGACTATTGAAAAAAATTAAATCAACTGATTAAAATTTATCCGGTCTTCCCAAACCAACCCCCTATATTAATTTAAAAGACAAACAAATACAAATACACAATAGTTTAGTCTGTTGGTGTCAAGTATGATTCCTTACATTGTTTTATGACTGGTTCAAGTCTGTCAGCCTGTTTGTCTACATGTAATATATATCATTCTCCAACTGAACTAATTATTCATTTGCACTCACTACTATAATGTTCGTTTTTGACAATACTACTGGATTTTAAATTAATAGATCGAAATGCAAGGATTAATAATAAATAGGTGTGTATGTTTTGAAAATTATTTATTATTATTTTTTTAATTTAATATTTTTTTTGTTGAAGTTCTTCTTTTTTTTTTTTTGTTTCGAATTAATTAATAGTTCCTCGGGTCTCAGAGTGCATACACATTCAATCTAGTTTGAGAGACATAGATAGATTTATACTATAGTAGAATCACACACACACATACACATATACATCTAGAGAATATGCATATTACACAATATAAAGAAGATGAGATCAGGGAATTAACAGTACCCGATCTTAAAAAGATTATTACAGACAGTGGAAATAGTACTGCTGGTTGTTTTGAAAAGAGTGAATTGGTTGATTTAGCTATTAAAGTATGTGTGATAGAGAGAGAAAGAGAGAAAGAGAGAAAGAGAAAGAGAGAGAGTAGAAAGAGAGAGAAAGAGAGAGAGAGTAGAAAGAGGGAAAGACATATAAAGCTTACATTAACAACTTTTTAACTTTATAGTTGAGAAATACATTACCACCACCAGTCGATTTAAAAGCATTAGCTCGTCAAGACGTTGATACAATTAGAAATGAAAAGGTTGATTACTATGAAGTTTTGGCTGTCGTCAAGACTGCTACAACATCTGAAATTCAGAAAGCTTATTATAAATTAGCAAAAGAATATCATCCAGTATGTAGTAATATAGTTTTATCTCTTTATATTATAGATATATTATAGAGTTCTGATTTATTAATCGATTCTTCTTCTATTTAGGATAAAAACAGAAATGATGCACATGCAGAAGAAATGTTTAAAAAGATTAGTGAAGCATATCAAGTATTGAGTGACCCAGAAAAGAGAAAGAAATACGATCAATTTGGTTTCGACGCGATGAATGAAAGCATGATTGATCCATTGGAACTCTTTAGATTGATATTTGGTGGAGCACAATTCCAAAACTTCTTTGGTGATCTCTCCTTTTACGACCTCTTTGCTCAGCAATTTGATCCAAACAATCCAGAGGAATTCAAACAACCCGATCCAGAAGAGATTGAAAAGAAACAAAAGATCAGAATAGACGAACTTTCAAAACAATTGGTCATTTTAATTGAACCATATGTTCAAGGAAACAAAAAAGAATTTACTGATATGGTATGTAAATCAAAACTAAACAAAACATAGTTTGTGGAATAGTATTAATTAATTAATCTATTTATTTATTTTATTTTTTAGATAACTGAAAAAGCAGGAGAAATGGCACTTACACCAGGTGGACCAGAGTTGTTATCATTGTTGGGTTATATATACGTACAGGAGGCCAAACAACATAGTACATTTGGATTCATTTATGAGATTTCAGAAAAGGGTCACAAGGCTAGCGAATTTTATTCAACCATTAAATCGGCTTTCAAGATGCAAAGTCAGGTACAAAACATGGCACAAAACGAGAATCAAGGAGAGGTACCTCCAGAAGGCCTATTAAAAGAAGGTCTCAAGTTGATTTGGAAGATTGGACGTTTGGATATCGATTCGGCAGTCAGAGAGGTTTGCGAGCGTGCCATGGACAAGAAGAAAATAGCAAAGGACGAACGTAAACATAGAGTAGAGGCTATCAAGTTACTAGGCCAGATTTTTGAAAAGAAGGGTGCAGAGCACAAAGGCAAGAGTGGTCCAGAGGATATTTTTAATTTAGCTGCTCAAGCAGAACATCCCAACCCCACTTCTCCAAACTCTTCTACTACCTCTCCACGAGCCACTACTAGTTCTACCACCTCTCCACGAACTACTACTACTACTAGTTCCACTACAACTTCTTCTACTACTACGAATACTACTTCATCTCATTAATAATAATAATAATAATAATAATAAATCATAATAGACTCACTCATTTTTGTATAAAGTAACAATAATTATTTTTGGATCAAGTTGGGGGGGGGGGGGGGGGGAATTCAAATTTTCTTTGTTCAACATATATACAAATATTTGGAATCTATTTTTCCAAAACAAAAAAGACCTAAAAATTTGATCCATTTCATTATTAATATATAATAATAATAATTATTTTTGATAATCCAGTTTTTTCAAGTCACACTCTTGAATATCATCATAAGTCTCTTTTAATATTTTATTTATTTTTTGTTGTATATATTTTATATTTATTAATTATGATGAATTTATATTCATACATTTTTCGAGGACCTAGTATAGAGAGTGTTAGAGGTAAATTGGAAGATGTAGATCAAAAAAGACTGAGCAATATCTTTTTCGATAGTCACCCAGAGTCGGAAGATGATATCGCACCGTTGTTGGTTAAGGAGTATCTCAAATTCATCACTCTCAAAGTATTGGATCAAGATTGGGATGCAACCAAGTTATCACCATCTCCTCTCATCGATCAAATGTGGCACATTCACATTCTGGAAACAAAGTCGTATCAAGATATGTGTAACAAGTTTGGAAGAATGATTCATCACAGAGCCAGTATCAAAGAACAAGAAGATGATGATCCTCTTCTTCAACAAGAAAAACGAAATAGATATCGTCGAACTTTGGAACTATATGAAAAATACTATCACACGTTTCAAGACAATACATCAACTATTTGGGACACTCAATATCTAAATATCGAAAACCATCATCCTCTCCCCATCCTAACCAAAATCGAGTATGATCCTGATGTGACAGTCGAAGCACCGGCACCAGATAAGCTTGAAAGCCGTATCATGCTTCTCACTGTCCGATTGCCAAAAGGAACAAAAGTCTATTTGTGGGCCAAAGAACCTTCAACAACGACCATTGGTCGAGTTACAGACGTTGCATTGGGTTACACAGGGTACGATTATAGAATCATCTATAGAGGCAAACAAATAGAACCAGATATGCTTTTATCAGAACTAAGATATTGTGATTTTGAAAATGGTGATACTTTTGATATTGTATTTAGACTTAGAGGTTGTTAAACAATGAATGACTCAAAGAAGTGCATAAAGAAAATAAAAAATAATTAAAAAAACCTCCAATTTAAAAGTATACTTGCGCGATGAACCATCGCTTGAGCCAAAATATAACTTTGTTTATTTGTTTATTTATTTATTTATTTGTTTGTTTGTTTGTTTCAGCAATCAAATCATCACAACAGCTAAATATATGGTATTGTTGACAGAAGATATTCTAACAGTTAGTTATAAATTGTTACAAGTGGATGCGATTGCACTACATAGTATCTTTACATACCATCACCCAGAGTTGAAAGATATCGCATCGTTGTTGATTAAAGAGTATCTAAGATTCATAGCAATCAAGGTATTGGATCAAGACTGGAAGCAACCAAGTTATCACCATCTCCACTCATCGATCGAGTGTGGCATATGCACATCCTCCATACAATGTCCTATCAAGATATGTGTGACAAGTTTGGTAGAATGATACATCACCGTGTCAGTGCAAGCATGGATGACACTGTTGAAAAGAAAAAGAGATATGATCGAACGCTGGATCTCTACCAAAAATACTATCAAAAGTTTGAAAATAATACATCTACTACTATTTGGGATACTCAATATCTAAATAATAATAATAATAATAATAATAATAATAATAATAATAATAATAAGAATAACAATATCAACAACAACAACAACAACAATAATAATAGTAGTAACATTAACAATGATACTATTAGTCCGTCAATTAATATAAGTATTGATGACAATTTCGTTAAACTTGAACCTCAACAACAACAAACTTCATACCAACAATCATACCAACCACCACCACTACAGCAACAACAACAACAACAACAACAAACTCCATACCAACAACCACCAGCACTACAACAGCAACAACCTCAAACTCCATACCAACAGCCCCAACAACAACAGCCACAAACCCCTCAACAACAAGCTCTATACCAACTCCAACAAATGTTTCTTAATAAACCTCAAGCACTTCAATATCAAAAACCCTCATCTCCAATACCAACACCAACACCTTCACCAACAATAACACCTTCAACACCAACAAAAATGACAACACCGACAGACCAAGGATTCTATTTAATTGTACAAATGTCAGATGGTAGCAACATAAGAGTAAACATCAAGAACCCAAAGAAGACAAAGATTAGTCGAGTCATATCACATGTGGCGCGTAGTATTGGTTCAGAAAACCAATTTAGACTAATATACCAAGGTAGTCGTACAAACGAAGACAGGTTTTTATCCGATTACAAAATGAATAGTGGTGATCAACTTGAAATAGCCATTGAACAGGCAGGATGCTAAACAACATAAAATATTAATGTTTTGTAAATATATAATAATTAAAATAACCAACCAACCAACCAATCAATCAATCATTATCTTCAAACATTATTATTACTTGATTTTTAAATACAATGGAAGATCAACAAATAGGAAATTAGAATAGCACAGTTATAGTCATTTATTTATTTTGGATAAATGTTTGACTTGATAGATAATAGAATACTGGTCAATATATTTATATATTTAACAACAATCATTACCACCAATATTAATATCAATATCAATATCGATATCAATATTATTACCACGGTTACGACGACCACCACAACAACCTCTACGAGCAATCATTGATTCACCAACTGTTGTTGAAACATTGGAATGGTTTGATCCTTGGATTGATGAGTTTTGGATGGAATGACCAGAGACTGCTGAAAGTTGGGAAAGATTCTCTAAAGAAAGGAAATTGAAATGAAAATGAACGAAATTGGAAATTGGAATGTTAGAATATTATTATTATTACTTATACATATACATGTATCCTATTACAATGATTTTAAAAACTTACTGAATAACATTTTGGTTTTGTTAACTGTAAATAGAAAAGAAAGAGATAATTAATTAATTAATATTTAATTTAATATGAATTGATTATTATTCACAATACCAATTACTATTTATAGTTTATCAAATGCAAAGATTCTTTTTAAAAAACTATTGAAAAATCCAAACATTTAGAATATTCCTATTTTAGAATTGGGGGTATGACTAGTCATCACAGAATATAGGATTTTTGATTGGTTTTAACAATCTTTTTTGACAATTCTAAACTATAAATAGTAAACTTGTTCATCCTATTTTCAAATCATTCAAAACAAAACCCAATATACAAATTTACAAATATACAAGCAACAATTAAAACATTATTATTTATATTCTATTTTATCAAATCAAAACATCAAAATGATCTTTAGTAAGTATACATTAAAATATAAAATAATTATTAATTAAAATCTAAACATTTTAACTTATTATTCTTTCTTTCCTTTATTCTAAATTCTTCTTTCTTTAGAAAACCTATCAAAATTATCACCAATTTCCAATCATGGAACTAATCAAAATGTAACAGTCCAAAGTTACTCTGATGTATCAAGTGATTCTGTTAATTCCATTGCTTGTAGACGTCATCGTGGATGTTGTGGTGGAAACAACATTGATATCGATATCGATATTGATATTTGTATTGACAATGGTTTTGGTGATCGTGGTGGCCGTAGTGGATGGTGGTAAATTCTAAATACCCAACAAAATATCTGTGATGAATAATAATAGATAATAATAGATAGATAATAAATATTATTTTTTATTCTCCTATTTCCAATTTTTCTTTTTTTTTTTCTTTAAATCAAAATTTCTTTTGAATTAAAATAATATTTTAAATCAATGAAAAGATACCTTAGAGACATAGAATCAGATTTAAGCCAAGATATCTTGGCCTATTTGTCGGGATGTCCATCAAAACAAGGAAAAAAAAAGTGTGAATAATAATATTTCATTTTGGGATATTTTCGTATCTGAGTCATTGCTTGAGAAAACCTTACAATCTATTATTTTATTATTATTTTTTATATAAATTTAATTTCGATTCGATTTAAAAGAGAAAAGAGAAGAGAAGAAGATAGATACTACTACTACATTTGTTATAACAATATGATGGGATTACTTTACACAAGATCTTCATCATCATCATCATCTTTCAAATCGATACTTTTAACAGTTTTCGTATTAATAGTATCGTCGATATTACTCAATAGTAGTAATAATCAAGTAGAAGCTAGAATACTATCAAACTCTAATCCAACAGTATATCATACTGGTGACACTGTCAATGTAAAAGTATGTTGTCATCTTTCTATCATATCATATGTCGAGGATATTGACCTCTCAAGAGAGTTGAACAATTTTATATATACTTACTATCTATCTATCAATCTAATAATATTATTTAGGCAAACAGAGTTAAAAGTGGATTAGTATCATTAGACTATTATCAAGCACCATTCCCAAAGCCAAATACTACTGTAGGTGACTCCGGATCATTCATCTTTAAACTAAGTGGTAATCGTAAATATGACTCATTGTATGATATACCTGCATTGGTATCTTTGAATTGTAGTCATGTTGGAAACACTTCCTATAATGTAACATCTGATCAAGTTAATTCATTAATTGACTATATTGATAATAGATATAGAGTATTTATGTAACTATCTAAAAATATTAATAATATCCAATATACATATAACTAATCTTTCTTTATCTTTTTATAGGTATATTGATGATTTACCAATTGGTGAGAAATATTCAAACCATATTGAAATTGGTTATGATATTGGTTATTTGTATAGATCTTATAATGGAAATGTAAGTAGATTTAAAATGACCAAGTATTACTTTTGTTTTGTTTTGTTTATTTATTCATTTTCCTTTTTATCTATCTCTATTTAGAAAACCAATACAGTCTATTATTTAAATAATCATTTAAATATTCATATTGAATATACGAATTCGTCGAGTTCAAGTGGAGGAGCTGAAATTGTTGGAGTGTATGTGGTTGCACATTCAGTCAATTCCAATCTAGCACAGGAATGTCAATACTCATCTTCAGAGAGTTCAAGATTAATCCTTGAACAAGACAAACCTCTTATTAATATGGCATGGACATACAGGGTGACTTGGACCAATGTCACTGACAAGACATGGGCTACTAGATGGGATGCCTACTATCCATACGTTGCAGCTGTCGAAGCACCTTCGATTGCACTCTCCTTTTTCAATACAGCCATTCTCGCAGTACCATTCATAATGATCCTCTTTAGAGTATTTAGAAATGAAAACACGTTGGGTGGGTTTGTCGAAATGATGGACTCTGGTTGGAAATCAATCTATGCCGATGTATTCAGATCTCCAAAGGGATTCATGACACTCTCTGTCATTGTAGGTTCTGGTATTCAAATTGCTACCACCAGTTTTATCGTCATGTTGTTCTATGTTGGTGGTCTCCTATCGATTGCAAATGACGGAGCTTTTACAATGACCGCTGTCATTGTATTCGCATTCTGTGCAGTCTTTGGTGGTTATGCCTCAATGAGAACTTATATTATGCTTGGTGGTACTAGAAAACGTTATAATGCCGTTTTGGTAAGACCAAAAAAGAAGAAGAAAGAAATCAATATATTAAAAAAGAAAGAAATCATACTAACTATTTATTTTTAATATATATATATATTTGTTTTTTAATATTTAGAATGCAACATTTGTTTCATTTGTTGTATTAATATTATTAATGATTGCAAATACTCAATTATGGTCACATAAATATACGACTGCACCTTCTGGTGGACTTGTAGCTATCGTTATTGTATTGTTTATTTTCATGTCCATTCCACTTTCACTTGCAAGTTCATATTTTGTAAATTCATGGCCTGTATGTACAAACCTAACCTAACCAAAACATAATCTAAAGAAAGAAAGAAGAAAGAAAGATTTTCTAATATTATATATAATATTTTTAATTTTAAAATTTAGCCTGCAGGATACCCATGTCATACAAATAGTATTCCAAGAATGATACCAAAGAGAAAATTCTATCAAAACCCATATATCATGTCTGCCATTCTTGGATTTATTCCATTTATCAATATCAATGTTCCCATTACTATTTACCTCAATTCCATGTTTTTCGATCTCCACTATAGTGCCTCTTTTGCCACTTTTATTGCAGTCACTCTTTTATTTGTTAATGTTTTACTTGTTAATGTTTTAATTGAATTTTATCAATTATCAATCGAAGTATGTTCAAACAAAAAAATAATAAGAAATTTAACTAAACCAAAATTATTTCTATTTTATTTAGGATTACAATTGGTGGTGGAGATCAGTTGTTGGACCAACATTTACAGCACTTTATATATTTATTAAAATGTTAGTTTTTGGATTCTCAAATTTTGGATCGATTGCCACTCAACCCAAATTCTACTACTTTATGTTTTCATTGGTCACTTCGCTCATGTCTGCACTCCTTTTCTCGGCTGTAGGCTTCTTGGGCAATTTATATTTTACAAAGAGAATTTATTCTACTCTTCACTTTGATTAATACCAATCGATCTATTTTTAATCAAATTAATAAATATTTAATTTTAAACACAAACAATATTTCCACCACTTTAAAGAAGTGGGTTGCATTTCATTAAATAACACACACTAACACTATGTAAAATAAATAAATTCAATCACAAAGAATAATAATAAATACTATCATCAACAGAAATGAACACACTAATAACAATCATTTTAGTCCCTTCTACTACTGTAGCCCAAGATGTATCCAACAGATGTGAAGAGTGTATCGATATCCCAATTGCAAAGTTTAGTGAGTGCAAAGTGAATGGTCGCTCGTACCAACCCTGTTATGACCTATTCTCAATTTTGCAGAAACCTTGGATGCTAAACAAACATGGTTCCTGACCTGGTTTGCTTTTTAGTAGCCCATTATTATTTAAAATAAAGTAAAGGCAGGAAGAGGATATTCATTGTTTAAATGGGAAGAGTCGAGAACCCCCGACGATGACGATGATGAGGTTACATCTTAAGATTATGTCAACATAATCTTTATTTATCGTATTACTTTTCATTGCTCGAGAACATTAAAATTTTAAAGTAGGAGTCATTCCTTTTTGATTCTATTTTATATTTTTATCCAAATATCATTATTTTTAATGTTTTGTATCGGAGTAAACTCAACAATGGTCTGAACTGAATAAAGTTTATTGGTACGAATCGGGTTCCCGTTCGAAACAACACATGTTGGGTGTTCATCTCATGAAACTCGTTTGAATGTGAAACTACTTTACAACATAGTGTGGATTTACTATGACCGGGAATATTAAAAAAAAATCTTCTTGAAAATATCTCCAACAACATCTTTTGCTATGTTGATGAGAGTTGATCGAACACTTTCTCTCACTCTGCTTCCTTCGAACCCACCTACCATCGGGGTATGGTATTGTACCCTCCCTCCCTACCTACCTATGTGCACGTCAGAAGGTTGACAATTGTATTTTATACTCAGATATTCTAAATATCTACGGCAATCAAGAAGGAGTTTATTAAAAGAAAGATGTTATGTTAATAAGCTTTATAAATTTATAGGAATGTCGGGCGGTCTGCTTGCTCTGCTATGACTCCTATTCTCGCACCAACCTAGGTCGGATATCGTAGTTTCGATCACATCGTAGATGAATATAATATTGCAATATTTGGTAAATGAAACGGTCCTTACTTCTTTCTCATCCTCATTTCTCATCAACACAACATCTATCAACATTGTTTAATTATAACAATATAATATAATAACTGTATATTTATATATATAAAACATGTATAAAAACAAACATAATAGTCTATCCTTTTTAAGGGTAGTGTCTATAGCATCACTATTACTATTCACATTGACATTTATTTCAATATCAAATGCAACTCTACCATCAGATGAATGTAAGTAAATTAATTCAATCATGATAATTTATCTAGATTTTAAATTAATTATTAATTAATTATTAATTAATGAACCTTTCTCTACTCTACTCTACTCTCTCTCTTTACTAGTACAATCGATTGAATGGTTGATTAAACAATACGGACAAGGAATACCAGTTGATCAAACCATCTGTAATGGAACATTTCTCCAAAATATACAATGCTCAGATCCCGACTCTTCAGGCACACAACATATTACCTATCTGTATTTAAATAGGTCATTCAATGATGTTGGATCACCCGATCCAAATCTTTCACAATTAGTTTTCCCAAGTTTGATATCAATGCTTATATCATGCTCCACTACAAAGAATCAATCTTTAAGTGTTCTCTCATTACTTGAAAACCTTCCAAACTTACAAACATTAAAGTATGTTCAAACATATCATTATGATTCTTTACCATCCATTATTTTAATTCACTCTCTTCTCTCTCTTCCTCCCTCTCTCTTTATTTTAGGATTGAAAATGATCCATCAATTAAAATAGTTCCATCAGACTTTCCAAAGAATATGCCAAATCTTAGTGCAATGTATGTTAATTAATTTTTTTTTCCAAAAAGTACATAGACATTATAATTAATAATTTATTATTTTTATTTTGTTTGTTTATTGATTGATTGATAATAGAGGATTTTTAGATACAGTGAATTTATATTATATACCAACATTTTTTAATTATTCAACTGTTGCATTTATACATTTAAAGGGAGTAGAGATACGAGAGCTAAGTATCTCTAATTTAACCTATTTACCAGAATTGAATAGTCTACCAAAATTTTCAATTAGACCAGTATCATACTTTAGTCTCGACTTTCAAACCAAGTCTTTTCCATCACTAAGAGTATTGGATTTAGAATTCACAGGTCCCAATATAATCGATGTCAATATTAATAGTACAGTATTTGCACAAATATTTTTCAATATGACATCGGCTCCAATTAATCTATGGATTGATAAATCAAACAATATGCAACATATCTATTTGGAAGGAGCTGTCAATTTCCAATCCGATATGAAAGATTATCAAAATCTATCTATTCTTCAACTTATCAATTCATCCATTTCATCGTTTCCTTTTACTGCCTATCCACCAAACCTCGAGAATTTTTGTGTTACCGGTGCCAGTAATTTGTTAGCTTTTCCAAATATCCCAATTCCTCCATCAATAACTACTTTGTATGTAAAATATAATATAATATCTTTAAAAACATAAATTAATTAATCTCTCATTCAATTTCAAATAGTATAATGACAGATGGTCAATTAACAGGAAGTTTACCACTAGGAGCTTTTGAAAATGTTTCTCCACGTATGTTTTAATTTATATATCTATAATGACAAACAAACACAAATAGAATTAACTTTCTTTTATTTTTAGGTTTTGGAGTTAATCTTCAAAATAATCCAGATTTGGTAGTTGGTGATGTACCAGAATCTTGGTGTAATTTTAGAACTGTCAATTTAAATGGTACTATTGTAAATTCTGTACCAGATTGTTTTTATTGCTATTATTTGGATCCTGCTACTGCTATTCCTATACCTCCACCTATTGGATTTACTTGTCGTATGTATTGTAATACATAAATATATATATTTTATATAAATATTCATTTATTAATAATTAATTTTTTATTTTAATTATTTTTTTAGCAATTGAAATTCAAAGTCTTTATTTATTATCACATGTTGCAAGAGTTACGGTGATTGGAAATAACATTGGATGGGGGTATCCATCTGGTTATCCAATCATTCCAAACAAAATGATTGAATACACAACCCTCTATACACCAGGTCCTAATAGAACTGTTGACATCTCATTTGGAGTCAACCAATTGTACAACTATTCTTTCAATGTTTTAGAAGTTGGGTTTGTAGTGGCTAATGCTATTGTCAATCTCAAGAATACTGGTGACTTTAATGAATTGGTCATTCATTTTATATATTTCAATCCCTATCATGTTCACACTGTCAGTATGACTGACAACAACATCAATTGTACTGTCACTAGTCAAACTGCAGATAATATTACTTGTCTATTCCCACGTTCCACTCCAATCTCTCCATCTTTTAAATATGTAATATCTAATCCTTATTATAGTCAACTTAATATTAAAGACTTTTGTATGTATTAAAACAATATTTAAAACAATATTAAATCAATCATTTGAAAGAATATTAATATTAATATTTCTCTTTTTTTTTTAAAAAAAAATAGATTGTAGGTTAAAATATTTTATTTAATTATCAATTTATTATTTGATTACAAATATTAATATTTATCTTTTATATTTTTTTAGATTATCCAACAGTAACATCATTTACTTATTTTAATGAAACCAATTTATTAAGATTTTATGGTCAATTTGGATTTGATCTATCTCCAGCATCGATTAAAGTAGCCGATACTATCAATTGTGATATTCAAACCATTCTGTCATTTGCCATTATTTGTAAATTGGCATCTAATCCTCCAAATGGTCCAGCCAATCTATACGTCAATGTCAACGGTTCAGAGTTTAGATCATCCAGTTTATTGTATTTCGGGTCGCCAAACAATAACAATGGATCCGGTACAACTGGAGGATCATCAACTGGAGGTAGTGGAGAGACTGCACAACAACAATGTCAAAGATTAACACACAATTGTTATGGTCATGGTGTTTGTGATATATCTGGTAAATGTCAATGTATTGATACTTATAATCCAATTGATAATTGTTTAACTAAATGTATGTGTGAAACAAAAAATAATCAAATATAATCTAATATTATTATATTATTATATTATTATTATTATTATATTAATATTTATTAATTAATTTAATTTAAATATTCTATTCTATTCTATTTTTTGTTTTTAGATATAAATACAACTATAACACCAAATGCAACCAATCCAACTGTTAATTTTAATATTGATGGAATTGATTTTTATTTTGAAATCTATTCAGTTCAGGAAATGGATTATGATGGTGGAGTGATCCAAGAGTTGTCATTGATTGATGAAACTTGGAATGTTACATTGACAACGAATAACCAAACACAAACAACTATGGCCAATTATACACTCAATACAACTACTATTGTCAAAGACAACAGTTTGTTCTCAAACTTGATAGTGTATAGTGAAGTATCATTCTCATCGATTGCTAGAAATGTTACATTTGGAGAACAAGTACTGTCACTTGCACCCAATGCAATTAAAGTTGGATTCACTATTTCAAAGTGGCCCTATACATCCAATGTTGCCACCCTAAGAGTTGTATTCAAATCAATCATCAATAACGATCAATCTGTCACATTTGATTGTGAGAAACAATCAATTGACAGTTTTACAAAGGAAGAGTTGTCATCATCCATTCAATATCTCCGTGTTGTCCAAGACAACATTCAATTCAATGGTCGGTTCATTGATTTTGTATTGTCTGATGACAGAGCAACTTATTCAAAGACTGAATTAATATCTTTGACTCCAATTGAAGGTGATGATGATTCTGACCAATCGATTGCATTGATTGGAATCAATTTACCTCAATGTTCACTATGTAAACTTGATCCAGATTTTACACCACTTGTCGTCGACAGGGGTAGTGATAGTGGTCGCGACTGTGACAAGCAGTCGAATACTTGGAGGATCATTGTAGGTAGCGTGGTTGGAGGTATTGGTTTAACTGCAGCGTTGGCAGGTACTGCCATCTATCTCCGAAAGAGAAGATGGGTTAGATCACAAGACCAAAAACTAGGAAGCAAATTGAATTCTTTTACCGGCTAGCCAAACAAACATACTATAAATAAATAAATACTAAAAATAAATACTAAAAAAAAAGATATTTATTATCTAGATATTTATAGTTCGTTATCGAACATAGGCTGTCCGATCTGATACCACCTTGCTCAAGGAGGATGAGCTGACGTCTATTCATTACATTATTCATTATTGAGAGATAGAGATATATAGATAGATAGATAGATAGATAGATAGATAGATAGATAGATAGATAGATAGATAGATCGATAGATAGATAGATAGATATAAGAGACATTAGTTTAAACTCGTACGATAGGTGGG